ATATTAATGTCTCTGGCTGAAAATGAAAAAAAACTTTAAAAATTTGAAAAAACTATGCCACGTGAGAATCTTTGGATATTTTTAATATGAGCAATGCCTCAAAAATGTGAAAATTAGCATTTTGAGCCAAAAATTGTGAAATTCCGATGATTTTCAGCCTAACATGAGCAATGCCCTGAAAATCACAATTTTCTGAATTTTGGGAGCTAAAACCCATTGAAAATGATGAATTTTGAGCTACGAATCACATTTTCACCTAAAAATTAGCGATCAAAAGGTCAGGGGATCGATCCCCGCTGCCTGCAGAATTTTTTTTAGTTTTTTTTTCTTCCCGCGAAAAAGGTCAACATATTTTCGAAATCCAATTTCATTTAAAATTTTTTTCGTGTTAATTTAACGACCACCCAAGAAGAAAACAATAATAAAATGAGAAATAATTTGAGAAATTTCCCAAATTAGTGTCATGTTTTTGGCCTTGTTTTTGTCCAAAAAAAAACAGCTATCAAAAAATGTGTGTTTTAAAATAAATGGCCGTGTTTTTTTTTTTTTTTGCAAAAAAAATCTGAACAGGAAAAAGCATGGCGATTATTGATTTATGGGAGGTCAATAGGAAAAAAAAAACAAAAAAAAATTTGCAGGCAGCGGGGATCGATCCCCTGACCTTCTGAACGTTAATTTTTAGGTCAAAAACATTGAAAATTCTGAAAATCCCAAATTTTTATGAGAAAATTTTGAAACAGTGAATTTTTATTTTTCATGGCAAAAAAATATTGTTTGGAAAATTTTCTGGATAATTTTTTGTCCAAAAAAATTCACTGTTTCAAAAATTTTTAATAATTTTTTTTTCCCATTTTTGTTAATTTTGTTGATTTGTAGGTACGACGACTAATTAAAAATACTGAATTTTTTGAAAAAAATTTAGATTTAAAAATTGCGCCAAGTTTTTTCGCCACGAAAACAAATATTTTTGGCGCGAAAATGTATTGTGTATGAAAAAAAAGGAATGAAAAAATAAAAATCCAAATTTTATGACAAAATTTTGAAACAGTGAATTGAAAAAAAATATTTTGTTGAGATTTTCTAGGTAATTTTTGGCGCGAAAATTCGAATTAGAAACTGCGAGGATACATCAAAACTCAGAGAAATGGGCTGGAGAACCGGCGGAGAAAACGACATGTCGGCCAACTCTCGGACAACCGGCGGAGTGTCTGACCTACACTATTTCGCCGAAACTTTTGTCCACCGGTTGTCCGAAAGTTCGCCGACAGGTCGTTTTCTCCGCCGGTTCTCCAGCCCATTTCTCTGAGAAAAGTTTGTTTTCAATATTTTTATGACAAAATTTTGAAACAGTGAATTTTTTGAGAAAAAAAGTGGTTTTCTTCAATTTTCCGAGAAGTCTTCTTTGTAAAAAAAATTTTCAGCCTGAAAATTCTGAATTTTTCCAACAAAAAATTCACTGTTTCAAAAATTTCTGATAATTTTTTCAAAACTTCAATTTTCGATAAAAAGACTTTTCACCAATAAAAATTGTTATGGGAAAAATTATGAAATTTAACTTCCGAGCTGGATTAAAATTCTGAAAAATCAAAAAATTTTATGAAAAAATTTTGAAACAGTGATTTATTGATGGAAAAAAATGATTTTCTTTAATTTTCTGTTTTTCAGATAAAATTTTTTTATTTATTTTCAGATAAAATTTTTTATCTGAAAATGTTCATTTTTTCCCAAAAAAAATCACTGTTTCAAAAATTTCTGAGAATTTTCATTTTAGCTGAAAAATCCCCATAATATATAAAGTATAAAGATTTCTCATGTTAGATCAAATCATCCAAAAAAAAATTGAAAATGTGGATTTTTGGCGCCAAAATTATGAAAATTTGAAATAAAAAATTCACTGTTTCAGAAATTAAAATTCGTGTCGTACAGCCATGGCAGATTAAGAATCAAAAATTCAATTTTTTTTTGATTTAACTTTGAAACAGTGAATTTTTTTTCTCGAAAAAAATTATTTTATTTAAAATTTTCAGCGTCTCTGAAAATTCTGAATTCAATTTTTTTTTGAAAAAAAAATTCACTGTTTCAGAAATTTCTCTTCATTTTTCTTGAATTTCTAAAAATTGCTATGCGTATGCGATTTTTGTGCAGGATTAAAATTCTGAAAAACAACAATTTTTATAAAATATTTTTGAAACAGTGAATTTTTTTCAATTCGAAAAAAATTTTATTTGAAATTTTCAGCATAATTTCTAGAAGTCTGAAAATTCTGAATTTAAATTTTTTTTTGAAATTCTCGAAAAAAATCTTTAATTTTTAATTAGAACTGGAAATTAGTCAATAACAAATTTAAAAATCCAATTTTTTTTTTGAAAATTTTTTGAAACAGTGAATTTTTTTCTGAAAAAAAAATTTTTTTTTTTTGAAAATTTTTTCAGCGCTGAAAAAAACCTTTCCCAAGCCCATAAAAAATTTGACCTCGAGAATTTTTTTTTTTCGAAAAAGCGTTCCTCATATTATTTACCTTAACAAGATGGCCGCGCAGTTTTTTATCAAAAAAAAATTTTTTTTTTTGTTTGGAAAAAAAACATCTGTCCAAAAAACAGGAAATCATCACCCCAAGGACAAATTTGTGTTTTTTTTTGGGATTTTTTTTTGCTGGTGAACAAAAGGTTTATTTTATTTCTTTTTATTATACATTTAAATGGGCTTGATGACAACAGGCGAAAAAAAAAAAGTTATGGGCTTTTTTTTGGGCAAAAAAAAAACACAGAGACAGGAAGTAAGGGATTTTTGGGGGAAAATTTGCTTGCCACGTGGCAAAATTTCAGATTTTTAAAGCTGAAAATTACCCAGATTTTTCAACAACAAAAAACTTCTCGAAAAAATTCCCTGTTTCAAATTTTTCATAAAATTTTGAAAAAAAATTTGAAATTCGATGATTCCCTTCTTTTCAAAGGTTTTCTAGTTTTCACTCTAAATTCCACAATTTTTCATGAAAATTCGAAAAAATTTCAGATTTTCAGCTGGAAAAATTGATTAAATTGAGGAAATCTGAAAAATTTTGGTTCTGAAGATACATTTTCAAAATTCAAAATTTTTCACTGTTTCAAAAATTTGATAATTATTTTTCGGCGCGAAAAAAAAGTCTGATAATATCGGTTTTTTTTTAAATTCTGATATAAAAGTTCTCAAAATTTTTTCTTGAAAAAATTCACTGTTTCAAAATTCCCCTAATTTTTTTCTGTTGCAATTTTCCAAAAAACCAGAAAAAAATGCCACGTGGCACTATTTTTCAAAATTCAAAAAAAAATTTTCAAAAAAATTCACTGTTTCAAAATTTCCGTAAAAATTTAAAATTTTTTCAATAATCTTCAAACTCAATGAAAATCCACGTGGCAAAAAATACATTTTTAAATAAAAATTTTCAAAATTTTTGCATTAAAAAAATTCACTGTTTCAAAAAAATTTTCAACTAAAAAATGGGTTTTCTCTGTGATTCTTCGCTTCATTGAATAGAGTTAAAAGTTTTGTGAAATCCACGTGGCAAAAAAGTTTGGTTACATTTTTTGCGCGAAATTTCGTTTGCCACGTGTCAAAATTTCAGAATTTTCAGCAAAAAAAAAATTTTCGAAAAAAATTCACTGTTTCAAAAAATTTTCATAAAATTTTGTAAAAAAATTTGAAATTCGATGATTCCCTTCTTTTCTATAATCCATTTTTGCAGCCGAAATTCAAAATTTTTTTTCACAAAAAAATTTACTGTTTCAAAAATTTCATAAATTTTTCTGTGCAAATTTTCATTGGTTACACCACTTTCTACTTCGAATTCCACATTTTTTTATGAAATTTTGAAAAAATTTCAGATTTTCAGCTGGAAAAATCGATTTAATCGAGGAAATCTGGAAAATTTTGCTTCTGAAGATACATTTTCAAAATTCAAAATTTTTCGCCGCAAAATTTGAATTCAAATTTTTTTTTCTCATCAATCAATCAAAATTTCCCTCAGGAAACATCCAATTAAAGTACAGTAGTCAAATTTCATCAAAAATAATTTGATCTACTCAAAAATGTGTGTGTGCTCAAAGAGCACACACACATTTTTGAGTGAGCAAAAAAAATTATTTTTTTTGAGCCAAGGGATTTGCACTTGTGATGTCTAATTCTCTAATTCTGCTCTTTTTCAGCACCTCGCGGCGCTGAAAAATTCAATTTATTTTTCAACACACGCAACACTTTTTCTACTTTTTTTTGGGTAAATTTTCAATCAATTTTGAAGAATTTTTGAGTTAAAAAAAGATTTTTCATTCTGAAATTAATTTCAGCTCATTTTCAGCTCAAAATTTGAATTCCCAATGGTTTTCTAGCTTAGAATTCATTTAAAAATTAATTTTAGGTTAATTTTTAGCTTTAAATTTAGGAAAAATTGATTTTCAGCAAGAAATTCAAGATTTTTCAATCTGAAATTAATTTTCGAAGTCAAAAATTGATTTTTCAAAAATTTAAAAAATTCACTGTTTCAAAAAATTATTGAAAAAAAAATTATTTTTGAATTTTTTTGATTTTCAGAGATTTTTTTTTTGAAATTTCAAGTCAAATGAAATCTGAAAAAATTTTAAAAATTCAATTTTTTATTGAAAAAAAATCGGATTAAAAATAAACATTTTTTTGAAAAAAAAAATAAATTTATCGATTTTTTTTCAAATTTCATGTCACTTCAAAATTAAATTTTAGGTTAATTTTTAGCTTAAAATTAAGGGAAAATTGATTTTCAGCAAGAAATTCCAGATTTTTCAATCTGAAATTAATTTCAGCTCATTTTCAGCTCAAAATTTGAATTCCCAAGGGTTTTCTAGTGTTTTTTATCAATTTTTAGCTTAGAATTTATTTAAAAATTAATTTTAGGTCAATTTTTACCTTAAAATTAAGGGAAAATCGATTTTCAGCAAGAAATTCGATATTTTTCAACCTGAAATTAATTTCAGCTCATTTTCAGCCACTTCAAAATGAATTTCCGTGAAGTTTGGATGAATTCCGATCACAATACCTTGGCACAAGCCTACGATACAAATTTCCATCAAAATCAACTCAATTTTCATCAACAGGAATTCGAGACTTGTCAGAAGTTCAATGTGGTGAGTTTTGGGGCCAAAAAATGAACTTTTTGGGACCAGAAGCCTGAAAATCCATTGAAAATCGAGAAAATCCCAAATTTTTCATATGATTTTGATTTTTGGCTCCAAAAAGCTTCAAATTCCACGTGGCAAATTCAGATTTTTCAAATTTTATTTTTTTTTGCTCAAAAAAAAAATTCACTGTTTCCAACATTTTTGATTTTTTTTTTATAAATTTTCTATCAAAAATTGAAGAAAATCCCAAATTTTTCATAAAATTTTTGAAACAGTGAATTTTTTTCATTTGAAAAATTCAATTTTTAGCTTCAAAATTTAATTTAAGATTAAAAAATCCCCAAATTTCTTGCTGAAAATTGATTTTTCCTTAATTCTAACCCAAAATTAATTTTTAAATTAATTCTAAGCTGAAAATTGATTTAAATCACTAAAAAACCCTTGGGAATTCAACACATGGGTGGTAACAGTGAAAATTTGCACAGAAAAATTCATTAAAATTTTGAAACAGTTAATTATTTTGAGAAATTTAGAATCGCAAATGGAGTAAAACTTCTATTGAAAAAAATTCTCAAACTTTTTTTTGAAAATTTTTTGAAACAGTGAATTTTTTTTGTGAAAAAATATTGAATTTTGGCTCCAAAAAAATAGAAGGGAATCATCGAATTTCAATTTTTTTCAAAATTTTAAGAAAATTTTCAAACAGTGAATTATTTTCGAAAAATTTTAGTTGCTGAAAATCCTCAAATTTTGACACGTGGCAAACGAATTTTCGCGCAAAAAATGTAACCAAAATAAAAAAATGTATCTTCTGAACCAAAATTTTCCAGATTTCCTCAATTTAATCGATTTTTCCAGCTGAAAACTGATTTTTTTACTGAAAAATCGGAAAATTTTCACATTTTCATGAAAAAATGCGGAAATAACAGTGAAAACTTGCACAGAAAAATTCATAAAACTTTTGAAACAGTGAATTTTTTTTTGAGAAATTTAGAATCGAAAATGCACTTAAATTTCTATTTAAAAAAATTCTCAAATTTTTTTTTTGAAACATTTTTGCATTGAAAAAATTCACTGTTTCAAAAAATTTTCAACTAAAAAATGGGTTTTTCTCTGTGATTCTTTCGCTCAATTGAATAGAGTTAAAAGTTTTGTGAAATCCTCGTGGCAAAAAAAATTTGGTTACATTTTTTTGTTTGCCACGTGTCAAAATTTCAGAATTTTCAGCAACGAAAAATTTCTTTTAAAAAATTCACTCCTAAAATTAATTTTTTAATAAATTCTAAGCTAGAAAACCCTTGAGAATTCGAAATTTCGAGCTGAAAATGTGCTGAAATTAATTTCAGATTGAAAAATCTCGAATTTTTTTTTGCAGATCCTAATTCTCCTCTCAATTTTCCTGGTCTCCCTCAATTTGCTAACAATTCTATTTTTCAATCGAAAATCGATTGCACGGAATTTCAGAAGGCGATTTCAGCAATTACAAAGAGATGAATCAATTAATGAAGGTAAGGGCTTTTAGGTTTAGGCCTAAGGTAAAACCTTAAGGCCTAAGGTTAGACTTAAGGTCATTTTTGGGTTAAAATTTGAATTCCCAAGGGTTTTCCAGCTTAGAATTTATTAAAAAATTAATATTAGGTCAATTTTTAGCTTAAAATTTAGGGAAAATTGATTTTCAGCAAGAAATTTGAGATTTTTCAAGCTGAAATTAATTTCAGCTCATTTTCAGCTCAAAATTTGAATTCCCAAGGGTTTTCCAGTGTTTTTAGGTCAATTTTTGGCGCGAAATTTAAAAATTCAAATTTTTTTGCAGCTCTCAACACCACCGAACTCAAAGGCTAATCAATCAATAATTTATTTTTTCGCACAAAATTCAGAAAAAATCAATAAATATATATTTGGTTAACAAATGGCTCAAAATTGAGCATTTTTGCTCATTTTTGAGCAAAAATGCTCAATTTTTGCTCATTTTTATTATGATTTTTGATTCGACGCCGAATCGGCGACCATTTTGGCGAAAACCGAATTTTTGTCGGCCATCAGTGTGTCGGGTGAGTCGAATTCGATGATTGAACCCTTGTCCAAAACCATTATTCTGGAAGAGAGGAATTGGGGTACTGTAGTGGTTTTGGCGGGAAAATTTGAATTTTTCACGAAATTTTGATCTAGAAATGAGAATTTCAAGTTTTTGGCTCAAAATGCTCCAAAATTATCGTTTTTTGGCTCAAAATGCTCCAAATTTCAAGTTTTCCGGCTCAAAATGCTCCAAAATTATCGATTTTTGGCTCAAAATGCTCCAAAAATGCTCACCGATCATAATCCATAATCGTATTCAACCTATGAGCAATCGTAAACACCGTGCAATTCCTGAACTCCGTCCGAATCGTCTCCTGAATCAATGAATCGGTTGCCACGTCGACGGCGGCTGTGGCTTCATCCAAAACCAGGACTTTTGTGTGGCGGAGCAAGGCACGGGCTAATGCGACCAATTGACGTTGACCAACACTGAAAAATTTCAGATTTTTCGGTTTTCAGGCTGAAAATGCTCGAAAATGCTGATTTTTGGGGGAAAATTCGAGAAATTTGATGGAAAATGATGGGTTTTGACCCAAAAATGACCTTTTTTCAACCATTGCTCATATTAAGAAAATTCCGACTAGGGTTACTGTAGGGCCTTTTTTGCCACGTGGCATGATTATTTCTTTGATTTTTTAAATTTCATTGTTTTGTCATCAATTTTCCCAAAAATTCAAATTTTCAATATAAAAATTGTGAAACAGTGAATTTTTCAGGGTTCAAAAATTGCAAAAATTCGGGTGAAAACTGATATTTTCATCTGAAGAAACTCAAAAATTTTCATTTTCTTTAAATCTTAAAAAAATATTCAAAACTGGAACTACAAATTATCAATTTTCAAAAAATTCAAATTTTTGATAACAAAATTTTGAAACAGTGAATTTTTCAGACCAAAAAAATTCGAAAATTTCAAATTTTCAGCTAAAAAATCTGGAAAATTGAAGAAAATTGACGACTTTTTTAGCTGAAAATCAGGTTTCAACCTAATTTCAGATTTATTTTTCGATTTTTTTAATCCAAGAAAATTTACTGTTTCAAAAAAAAAACTTCGCAAGAGAAAAAAAAATTAAATGAAAATTTTGAAACAGTGATTTTATCCGCACCAAAGCTCAAAATTCTCCAAATTTCCTAATTTTTGGCTCAAAAAATCGCAATTTTCCCCCAAGTCGAAATTTTAATTAAGCCTAAGCTTAACCTCAAATTTTTCTTAATATTCAAGATTTTTTGTGACTCCATTAGCAATAACATTATCAAATTTTTCCAAAAATTCAAATTGTTCATACAAAAATTCTGAAACAGTGAATTTTTTTGGATCAAAAAATTTGAAAATAGATTTAAAATTAGGTTTAAACCTGATTTTCAGCTGAAAAATCGTGAATTTTCTTAAAATTTCCAGATTTTCTAATTCCAGAAGGTGCCTTCCTATCAAATTTCCCAAAAATTCTGAAACAGTGAATTTTTTTTGGATTAAAAAATCCGAAAAATTTCAGATTTTCAGCGAAAAAAATCTGGAAAATTGGCATTTCTCTTTGAATTTCTTCAAATTTTCCCTTAACGCTTAAATTTCCAGATTTTCTAACAGACTTAGACATTATAGAATCAACATTTTCAAAAAATTCAAATTTCCTTATAAAATTTTTGAAACAGTGAATTTTCTGGGATTAAAAAATTTGAAAATTAATTCTGAAATTAGGTTTGAACCTGATTTTCAGCTAAAAATCGTAAATTTTCCCAAAATTTCGATTTATAAAATTTTCGAATCAATAACTTTTCCGAAAAATTCAATTTTCAATATAAAATTTTTGAAACAGTGAATTTTTTAGGGTTCAAAAATTGCAAAAACTCAGGTGAAAACTGATATTTTCATCACAAGAAACTCAAAAATTTTAATTTTCTTTAAATCTTAAAAATATATTCAAAACTGGAAATACAAATTATCAATTTTCAAAAAATTCAAATTTTTGATAACAAAATTTTGAAACAGTGAATTTTCTGGAATAAAAAAATTGAAAAATTAATTCTGAAATTAGGTTGAAACCTGATTTTCAGCTGAAAATCGTTAATTTTCTAAAAATTTCTAGATTTTCTAAATAGAAGAGGCGCTATATGATCAATTTTCTCAAAAAATCCAAATTTTTCTTATAAAATATTTTGAAACAGTGAACTTTTTCAGACCAAAAAAATTTGAAAATTAATTCTGAAATTAGGTTTAAACCTGATTTTCAGCTGAAATTTTGATAAAAATCCAGAAATTTAAAAATATTTACAGCCAAAGTCAATTTTCTGAATATTTTGTTTTTTCTAAAAAAAAATAAACTTTCAGAAACAAAAAAATGCAGGTGAAAACTGATATTTTTTGCTGAAAAAACTCAAAAATTTTGATTTTCTTCAAATATTTTTTCTAAAATTCTGTAATCGGAACTAACGACATATCAATTTTGCGAAAGTTCAAATTTCTCATATAAAAATTTTGAAACAGTGAATTTTTTCAAATAAAAAAAAATCACTGATGATAAAAAAGGATGGTGATGCTGAAAATTCAGAAAAATTCACATTTTCAAAAAATTTGCAGTCAAATTTCAGAACATTTAGACCGTGTCATTTGAAGAAAAAAAACCAAAACTTCACAAGAGAAAAAAAATTTAATGAAAATTGTGAAACAGTGAATTTTTTTGGATCAAAAAAATTCGAAAATTTCAGATTTTCAGCTAAAAAATCTGGAAAATTTGCATTTCTCTTTGAATTTCTTTAAATTTCCCCTTAAAGCTTAAATTTCCAGATTTTCTAACAGACTTAGACGTTGTAGAATCAAAATTTTCAAAAATTCAAATTTTCAATATAAAAGCTTTGAAACAGTGAAATTTTTCAGATCAAAAAATTCGCAAAAATTTCAGATTCTCAGCTGAAAAATCTGGAAAATTTGCATTTCTTCTTTGAATTTCTTCAAATTTCCCCTTAAACCCCAAATTTTAAAGATTTTTGATAAAGTTAAAGTTAATTCCATCAATTTTCCCAAAACTCCAATTTTTCATATAAAAATTTTGAAACAGTGAATTTTTTCAGGGTTCAAAAATAGCAAAAATTCAGAAGAAAACTGATTTTAAGTTGAAGAAACTCAAAAATTTTAATTTTCTTTGAATCTTAAAAAAATATTCAAAACTGGAACTACAAATTATCAATTTTCAAAAAATTCAAATTTTTGATAACAAAATTTTGAAACAGTAAATTTTCTGGGATAAAAAAATTAAAAAATTAATTCTGATATTAGGTTTAAACCTGATTTTCAGCTGAAAAATTGTTAATTTTTTTTTAATTTTCAGATTTTTTAAATCCTGTGACATTCGAATTATCAATTTTCCCAAAAATTCAAATTTTTAATATGAAAATTTTTGAAACAGTGAATTTTTTCGAATTAAAAAAATTCACTGATGAAAAAAGGATGGTCATGCTGAAAATTCATAAAAATTCAGATTTTCAAAAAATTTTCAATCAAATTTCAGAACATTTAGACCGTGTCAATTGAAGAAAAAAAAAACAAAACTTCGCAAGAAAAAAAAATTAAATGAAAATTTTGAAACAGTGAATTTTTTTGGATCAAAAAAATCGAAAATTAATTCTGAAATTAGATTTAAACCTGATTTTCAGCTGAAAAATCCTCAATTTTCTTAAAATTCCAGATTTTCGATAGCGTTAAAATTGTATATATCAAATTTTGCAAAAATTCAAATTTCTCATATAAAAATTTTGAAACAGTGATATTTCTAGAATTAAAAAATTGCAAAATTAATCCTGAATTTAGGTTTAAACCTGATTTTCAGCTGTAATTTTTCATGAAAATCCAGAAATTTAAAAATATTTACAGCCAAAGTCAATTTCAAGAACATTTTGTTTTTTCTAAAAAAAAATTTCAGAAACAAAAAAATTGAATTTTTTCAGGGTTCAAAAATTGCAAAAATTCAAACTGTTTTTTTTCAGCTGAAAAAACTCAAAAATTTTAATTTTCTTCAAATCTTTTGGAAAATTTTGAAAGTTGAAGTTATCAAATTTTACCAAAACTCCCATTTTCCTTATAAAAAATTTGAAACAGTGATTTTTTTCAGACTAAAAAAATTCGAAAAATTTCAGATTTTCAACTAAAAAATCTGGAAAATGTGCATTTCTCTTTGAATTTCTTCAAATTTTCCCTCAAATCCCAAATTTTACAAATTTTTGAGAGCAATAAAAAAAATAATTTTCCCAAAAATTCAAATTTTCCTTATAAAAATTCTGAAACAGTGATTTTTTTCATACCAAAAAAATTCGAAAAATTTCAGATTTTCAGCTGAAAAATCTGGAAAATTAGCAATTCTCTTTGAATTTCTTCAAATTTCCCCTCAAAGCCCAAATTTCACAAATTTCTGAGAACATTGAAGTTAAATCTATCAATTTTCCCAAAAATTGAAATTTTTCATATAAAATTTTTGAAACAGTGAATTTTCTGGGATAAAAAATTTTGAAAATTAATTCTGAAATTAGGTTTAAACCTGATTTTCAGCTGAAAAATCGTCAATTTTCTTAAAATTTTTAGATTTTCTAAATCCAGAAGGAATAACGTTATCAAAATTTCCCAAAAATTCAAATTTCTCATATATAAATTTTGAAACAGTGAATTTTTTCAGATTTAAAAAATTCGAAAAATTTCAGATTGTAATGGTAGATGACCTCCCAGTCATCTCCATTATATATTTCAATCATAGATATAACAACCTTTACATGTATAATATTTATTACAAGTAAAATATGTTATCGGCCGATGTATGTGGCAACATAGTAAAGAATGAGCTTCTTAGAGAGGCGGGGAGACACTTGGGTGCACATGCGTGCACATGTCTCTGCGTCTCTCTAGGAGGCACCACAAGATTTTCAGCTAAAAAATCTGGAAATTTTCATTTTTATTTGAATTTTTCAAATTTACCCCCAAAGCTTAAATTTTACAGATTTTTGATAGGAATAAAACAAAATCAATAACTAACCCAAAAAATTTAAATTTTTCATTTGAAAATTCTGAAACAGTGAATTTTTTTGGATTAAAAAATTTGAAAATTAATTCTGAAATTAGGTAGAAATCTGATTTTCAGCTATAAAATCGTTAATTTCTTAAAATTTCCAGATTTTCTAAATCAAGAAGAATTCGTTGGCCATCCATCAGTTCGCGTTATCAAATTTTCCCAAAACTCAAATTTTCCTTATAATAATTCTGTAACAGTGATTTTTTTCATACCAAAACTTAAAATTCTCCAAAATTCTCAATTTTTGGCTCAAAAAATCCCACATTTTTCCCCCCAAGCCTAATTTTTAATAAGCCTAAGGTTAACCTCAAATTTGTCTTAAAATTCCTGATTTTTTGTATCCAGAAATACCATTTTTCGATCAATTTTCCCAAAAATTCAAATTTTTTCATAAAAAAATTCTGAAACAGTGATTTTTTATAGAACAAAAAAATTTGAAAAATTTCAGATTTTCAGCTGAAAAATCTGGAAAATTTGCATTTCTTTTCGAATTTTTTCAAATTGATTTTCAGCTGAAAAATCGTTAATTTTCTTAAAATTTTTTAGATTTTCTAAATCCAGGAGGTTCGTTCGCATTATTAAATTTTCCCAAAAATCCAAATTTTTAATATAAAATTTTGAAACAGTGAATTTTCTGGGATTCAATAATTTGAAAAATTTCAAATTTTCAGGTAAAAAATTCGCAAATTATCCCCCCGAGCCTAATTTTAAAAGCCTAACCTCAAATTTGTCCTAAAATTCCAGATTTTTTGAACAACATATGCGTTGTATAATCAAATCTAGTGAAAATTCGATTTTTCCACATAAAAATTTTGAAACAGTGAATTTTTTTGGATTAAAAAATTTGAAAATTAATTCTGAAATTAGGTAGAAATCTGATTTTCAGCTATAAAATCGTTAATTTCTTAAAATTTCCAGATTTTCTAAATCAAGAAGAATTCGTTGGCCATCCATCAGTTCGCGTTATCAAATTTTCCCAAAACTCAAATTTTCCTTATAATAATTCTGAAACAGTGATTTTTTTTCATACCAAAACTAAAAATTCTCCAAATTTCCCAATTTTTGGCTCAAAAAATCGCAAATTTTCGGCCCAAGTCTAAATTTTAATAAGCCTAAGCCTAACCTTAAATTCGTCTTAGAATTAAAATTCCAGATTTTTTTAATCCATAAACTGAATTTTTCAAATCAAATTTTCCCAAAAATTCAAATTTCTCATCTAAAAATTGTGAAACAGTATATTTTCTGGAATCAAAAAATTTGAAAATTAATTCTGAAATTAGGTTTAAACCTGATTTTCAGCTGAAAAATCGTCAATTTTCTTAAAATTTTTAGATTTTCTAAATAGAAGAGGCGCTATATGATCAATTTCCCAAAAATTCAAATTTTTCATATAAAAATTTTGAAACAGTAAATTTTCTGGGATAAAAAATTTGAAAAATTTCAGATTTTCAGCTAAAAAATCGTCAATTTTCTTAAAATTACTCAAAATTCTTCAAATTTTTCAATTTTTGGCTCAAAAAATCGCAAATTTTCGGGCCAAGCCCCCAAATTTCGGCCCAAAAAAGCCTAAGCCCAACCTCAAATTCTCTCCAGCTTCACTTATTGCATATTCCAATCCATTTGTCAATGTCATCGCAAAACTCTTCAAATGTGCCAATTCCAGCGCTGTCCATAGTTCATCATCGGAATACGTGGAAAACGGGTCCAAATTGAAGCGAAGTGAACCAGAAAATAGAACTGGGTCCTGAAAGGAAAAGGGGTACTGTAGGTGATTTTTTGGCGGGAAAATTTGAATTTTTGAGCGAAATTGACCTTAGAGACCTTAAGAATTACCCTAAAATTTTAAGAATCTAAATTTGGAGCAGAAATTGTTGAAAAATCAATATTTTTAACCCTAAATTGAATTTAGAGACCTTAAGAATACCTAAAATCGATTTTTACCCCTAAATTGACCTTAGGGAGCTTAAGAACACCTAAAATCGATTTTTTGGCCCTAATTTGACCTTAGGGGCCTTAAGAGCACATAAAATCAATTTTTTAGCCCTAAATTGACCTTAGGGACCTTAAGAGCATCTAAAATCGATATATTAGCCCTGAAATGACCTTAGAGGCCTTAAGAGCACCTAAAATCGTTATTTTTTACCTAATTTGAGCTTAGAAACCTTAAGAGCAGCCTAAACCTTGAAGAAAAGCTGGAATTTGAAATTTTGCTTTTTCTTAAGAACCTTAAAGTCAATTTTTAGGGTTAAAAATTTTTTAAGGTTCCTAAGGTCATTTTAGGGTCAAAAAATTGATTTTTGGCTCATTTTGCTCCAAATTTAGATTCTTAACATCTTAAGGTCATTCTTAAGGTCCCTAAGGTCAATTTAGGGTCAAAAATATCGATTTTTGGCTCATTTTGCTTCAAATTTAGATTCCTAACAAGTTAAGGTTATTCTTAAGGTCCCTAAGGTCATATTAGGGTCAAAAAATCGATTTTCGGCTTATTTTGCTCCAAATTTCCTGGGGAAAAAGCTCAAACCTGTGGTATGATCGTAATATTGCTTCTCAAATCATGCAGCCCAATTTCCGACACATCAATTCCATCAATAATAATCCGGCCTTCGGCCGCTTCAATCATTCGGAAAAGTGCCAAAGCAAATGAGGATTTTCCTGGAAAAATTGGGGATTTTTTGGGCGGGAAAATTTGAAAATTCAAAAATTTTCGAAAAAAAAAATTGATGACGTCACAACATTTCAAAACTTACCATCAAAAAAATCGATTCCTAGGAAAAAAAAAATTTTTTTAGAATTTTTTTTGAATTTTTGGAGCATTGCTCATATTAGGAAATTTCTAGAAAAATTCTGAAATTCTGGAATTTTTGGAGCATTGCTCATGTTATAAAAATCTAAAAATTGATTTTTTTTCAAGATTTTCTAATATTTTTGGTCTAAAAAATTCACTGTTTCAAAAATTTCTGATTTTTTTTTTCTGAAATTTTTTTTTCAGTTAAATCGTTTAGCTTTCATATTCAATTTCTCAAATTTTTCCAAAAAAAATCTGAAAATTTCTAGATTTTTTTGGTCTAAAAAATTCACTGTTTCAAATTTTTTTTCGAAAAAAAAATTAATTTTTGAAATTTTCGACCAAAATTTAATTTCAGGTTTTTTTTAAAGATTTTTTGGAGCATTGCTCATATTATAAAAAATTTTACAAGGGAACCTCTTCAGCTCGCGGTCGAGTTTTGAGCTGAAAATTGTTTTGGAGGTACTTTAAGATGTTCTAATGGCCATATAAAAAATTCAGCTGCTGAACTCCACTCTGAGCACAAGAAAGTGAGCTCCGAAGTTTGAGCATTTTCAAGGGCGCACGCGCCAGTTTTATTCTTTTCGAAATTTCAACTGCAGAAAAAACAACTAGCAAAGCGCAGCAGGTTAGCGGATAGCCCCTTGAGGCAATGCTGTGGGGTTGGACTCCTGCTCCCTTCAACATTTTTTAATTTTTTTTTCTTTTTCAAGAAAATGACTTTGGAGTACTGTAACTTGTTTAAAAATCGATTTTTTGAAAATCTGATCATACGGGGTTGTTCTAGAGGGTCAATTATATGGAAAAATAAGTTCATATAATTTTTCGAGAAAATTCATTTTTCTTCAAAATTCATGGTCATCGGATGGATGAAAATTTTCGAAAAAATTTTTTTTTGAAATAAGTTCAGTTTTTATGAAATTGATCTTCCTGAACAACTCTGTGAAATCCGATTTCCATAAAAACCGTTTCTACGAAAGTTATCGCTTGCGAAGTTTTTTTCTCCAGAACGAAGATAGGATAATCGGGAGTTTTTCTGGAATTTGGCTGGTTTGGAATGTTGTAAATTGAACATTTTAAAGTTTCTATCGAAAAATGATTTTTTAAATTAGAAATGTTGGTAAATCATTATCTTTTCTCCCACGATTTCAATTGCAATTGCCCGACAAGTGAAGACCTTATAATTTGGGAATATGAATTCAAATTTATCATAAGTTTTGAGAGCTGTTGGTATAATTTAACATGTAAAGTTTCCAATAGGGTTTGTTCTCATTAACTTTTGAGAAATTGGATTAAAAGGACGAAATTCTAGAGAATGGCAACATAATTCTTCTCTTCGACCATTAACTTTTCTAAAAATCGTTTTTATGGAAATCGGATTTCACAGAGTTGTTCAGGAAGATCAATTTCATAAAAACTGAACTTATTTCAAAAAAAAATTTTTTCGAAAATTTTCATCCATCCGATGACCATGAATTTTGAAGAAAAATGAATTTTCTCGAAAAAGTATATGAACTTATTTTTCCATATAATTGACCCTCTAGAACAACCCCGTATGATCAGATTTTCAAAAAATCGATTTTTAAACAAGTTACAGTACTCCAAAGTCATTTTCTTGAAAAAGAAAAAAAAATTAAAAAATGTTGAAGGGAGCAGGAGTCCAACCCCACAGCATTGCCTCAAGGGGCTATCCGCTAACCTGCTGCGCTTTGCTAGTTGTTTTTTCTGCAGTTGAAATTTCGAAAAGAATAAAACTGGCGCGTGCGCCCTTGAAAATGCTCAAACTTCGGAGCTCACTTTCTTGTGCTCAGAGTGGAGTTCAGCAGCTGAATTTTTTATATGGCCATTAGAACATCTTAAAGTACCTCCAAAACAATTTTCAGCTCAAAACTCGACCGCGAGCTGAAGAGGTTCCCTTGTTAGAAAAATCTGAAATTTCAAAAAATAAAAAATTTTTTTCAAAAAAAATTCACTGTTTCAAAATTTTTTTTAATTTTTTCATTAATTTTTAAATTTAATTTTTTATGCTCATATCAATGCTCATATTATACAAAATTCCAAAAAATCTGAAAATTTCTAATTTCAGCCTGAAAAATTGGCTGAAAATTAGAAAATTTTCAAAATTCAAAAAATCGGAAAAAAAATTTTTTTGGAAAAAATTCACTGTTTCAAAATTTTTTCGAAAAAAAATTAATTTTTGAAAATTTTTGACCTAAATTTATTTTCAGGTTTTTTTAGACTTTTTTGAGCATTGCTCATATTAGGAAAATTCCAAAAAAATCTGAAAATTTCTAATTTCAGCTTGAAAAATCGGCTGAAAATTAGAAAATTTTCAAAATTCAAAAAATCATTAAAAAAATTTTTTTTTTGGAAAAAAATTTTACTGTTTCAAAAATTTTTGAAAAAAATTTGATTTTTAATTTTCCACGTGGCAAAATTCTTTTTCAGCTAATTTCCAGCCAAAATCCACGTTCCCAGGCTCATTTTCAGCCAAAAATCCCAAATTTCAGCTCATTTCCACCCAAAATTCACGTTTCCAGGTTAATTTTCAGCCAAAAATCCCAAATTTCAGCTCATTTTCAGCCAATTTTCAGCCACTTACCAGCTCCAGTTCGTCCAACAATTCCAATCTTTTCTCCAGCCATCACATCAGCTGAAATACCGTGCAAAACCAAATCCAAGCCTTCTCGATATCTCGTCGAATATTTGTCGAATTTTACAATTCCATTTGTTGGCCAGCCGGTTTGCACTGTCTTTCCTTCAATTTTCCAAGGAGCCTGCGAAAATAGGGGGTTTAGGGCCTTAATTAAGGTAGTTAAGGTTCTTAAGGCCTCATTTTAAGTACCTAGAGTCTTTAAGACACTAGTTTAGGTTGTTAAGATCTCTTAGGCTGAAATCAGGCCCTTACGGTATTTTTAAGGACCTTAGGTTATTTTTGAAGTCCTTAAGGTTTTTTAAGGCCCTTAAGGTCTTTTTAAAGCCTAAAGTTTAGTAGTTAAGACCTTAAAGGCACTAATTTAGGTACTTAAGGCCTATACTTAGCCACCTAACGTTTCTAAGGCCTTAATTTAGGTACTTAAGGTCTTTAAGGCCTTAATTTAGGTAGTCACGGGCTTTAAGGTTTTGATTTAAACCCTTAAGGCCGTTAACGTCTTGATTTAAGCACTTACGAGCTTTAAAATATTGATTTAGGTACTTAAGAGCTTAATTTAGATGCTTAAGGTCTTTAAGGCCGTAATTAGGCTACCTACGGTCTTTAAGGTCCAAATTCAGGTACTTAAGGCCTTAATTTAGGTACTTAAAGCTTTAATTAAGATGCTTAAGGTCTTCAAGGCCTAAGTTCAGGTACTTATGGGCTTTAAGGCCTTAATTTAGGTGTTTAAGGTTTATAAGACTTTAATTTAGGTACTCACGGTCTTTAAGGTCTAAATTTAGCTACTCACGGGCTTCAAGGCCTCAATTGAACTTACTAGGGGCTTTAAGGCCCTAATTTAGGTACCTAAGGTCTTTAAGGCCCTAATTTAGGCCCTCACGCTATTTTTAAGGCCATTAGGACTTGTTAAGGCCTTCAGAGTCTTTTTAAGGCCCTTGAGGTCTTTTTAAAGCCTAAAGTTTGGTATTTCGAGTTTTTAGGCCCTAGTTTAGGTACTTAAGGCCTTAGTTTAGGTACCAAAAGTCATTAAGGTCTAAATTTGGGTTAACGAAATCTTTAAGGCCTTAATTTAGGTACTTGAGGTCTTTAAAGCCTTAATTTAGGTACTCACGGGCTCTAAGGCCTCAATTTATCTACTTACGGGCTTTAAGGCCTTAATTTAGCTACTTAAGTTCTTAATTAAGGTACTTAAGGTCTTTTAGGCCTTAACTAAGGTGCTTAAGACCTTAATTCAGATACTTACGGGCTTCAAAGCCTAAATTAAAGCCCTTAGGTTTTCATTAAAAGCCTTAAGGTAGTTAAGGCCTTAATTCAGATACCTAAAGTCATTTAGGCCCTAATTTAGGTACCTACGGGCTTAAAAGGCCCCAATTAAGGTACTTACGAGCTTTAAGGCCCTTATTTAGGGGCTTAAGACCCTAATTAAGGTACTTACGGTCATTTTTAACCAAAAAAGATGCTTCTAGGCTCATTTTCAGCCAAAAATCTCAAAATTTGGCTCATTTTCAGTCAAAAATTGAATTTTCCCACCTCATTTGGTGTATTTGTATACTCATCAACTCGTTCAACCGACACAATATTCGCCTCAATTTCAGAAACTTGTCGGACTGCGAAATTCAGCACTTCTGTGATCTGGAAATTGATTTTGGGTCAAAATCCCCTAATTTTAGGTCATTTTGACCTAAAATTAAGGATTTTCCTTAAAAATTAAGGTAAAACCTTACGTTAAGTGCATAGGAAATTGAGACTCCAATAATTCCAGCCTGAGTTATCCAACCAAATTCTTTGGATAAAACTGCGAAGAGAGCGGCGAAGAAAATCTGGAAAAAATTTAAATTTCTTGAATTTTTAGGCATTGCTCATGTCAAAAAATATGAAAAATTCCAATTTTGCCATGAAAAAATTGACTGTTTCAAAAATTTTTCAATTTTTTTTCGAAAAATTTTTAGTTTGATAATTCCTTTTTGGTTAATTTGGGATATTTGAGGCATTGCTCATGTTAAAAAAATGTTTTTTTGAATTTTTTCGCTCAAAAAAATGCATTTTTAGGAGCATTGCTCATGTTAAAAATAATCAGATTTGTTTCAAGGAAAAGATGACGGTGAATCAATTTTCGCTCTCAAATTTTGACTTTCAAAAATTTTTGAAACCTAAAAAATCCAGGATTTTTTTCTTGTAAATTTTCAACAAAATCTGAGTTTTTAAAATTTCAGGAGCATTGCTCATATTAGAAAATGTGAAAAATTTCGAATTTTTGTAGCTCAAAATAATTTACTGTTTCAAAAATTTCATGAAAAAAATTGAAAAAAAAATTTTTTGATTAATTTGAAATGAAATTTGTGAAAAAATCCAAATTTTGATGGATTGCTCATGTTAAAAAATTCGTATTTTTATTTTCTTAATTTTTACGATTTCAGGAGCATTGCTCATGTTAAAAAAATGAAAATTTTAAATTTTCCCATGAAAAATTTACTGTTTCAAAAATTTTTTTAATTTTTTTTCGGAAATTTTTAGTTTGATAATTCCTATTTGGTTAATTTGGGATATTTGAGGCATTGCTCATGTTAAAAATAATTTTTTAAAATTTTTTTGCTCAAAAAATGCATTTTTAGGAGCATTGCTCATGTTAAAAATAATCAGATTTGTTTCAAATAGAAAAAAAGAAGAAATCAATTTTCCGCTCTCAAATTTTAATTTCAAAAAATTTTGAAACCTAAAAAATCCAGGAATTTTTTCTTGTAAATTTTTCAACAAAAATCTGAATTTTTAAAATTTCAGAAGCATTGCTCATATTAGAAAATATGAAAAATTTTGAATTTTTCGCCATGAAAAATTTTACTGTTTCAAAAATTTCATTTAAAAAAAAATGAAAATATTTTTTTTATTCCGTTTATCTCAATGCAAGTGAAATTTGTGAAAAAAATCCAAATTTTGAGAGATTGCTCATGTTAAAAAAATTATTTTTCTATTTGCTTAGTTTTTAAGGTTTCAAGAGCATTGCTCATATTAGAAAAATTCGGAAAATTCCAATTTTTGCCATGAAAAAATTCACTGTTTCAAAAAATTTTCTAATTTTTTTCTGGGAAATTTTTAGTTTGATAATTCCTTTTTGGTTAATTTGGGATATTTGAGGCATTGCTCATGTTAAAATAATTTATTGAATTTTTTTGCTAAAAAAATGCATTTTGAAGAACATTGCTCATGTTAGAAAAATTCGGAAAATTCCATTTTTTGCCATGAAAAAATTCACTGTTTCAAAAAAATTTCATTTTTTTTTCGGAAATTTTTTAGTTTGATAATTTCTTTCTGGTTGGGAATTTTTTCTAAATATAAAAAATTCACTGTTTCAAAATTTCTTGTAAATTATCAACAAAATCTGAATTTTCAAAATTTCCAGAGCATTGCTCATATTAGAAAAATTCGGAAAAATTCAATTTTTGCCATGAAAAAATTCACTGTTTCAAAAAAATTTTCAAATTTTTTTCGGAAATTTTTTTTTGATAATGAAATTGTGCAAAATAATCGTGAAATTTGGAAAAATTCAAATTTTGAGTGATTGCTCATGTTAAAAATTCGTATTTTTATTTTCTAAATTTCAGATGTTTCAGGAGCATTGCTCATGTTAGAAAATATGAAAATTTTCAATTTTTGGCTCAAAAAATCCCGAATTTTCACCCAAAATCCAAAATTTCGAAGAGCATTGCTCATGTTAACAACAACTCACAATACAATTTCCAACAAATTCCAGCCTTACAGCCAACCATCGATTCGCCACCAAACTCGTATATCGACATCGGATAAATGTGTCGACTTTGTCGCCAGATTGATCACAAAATTGGGTGACCTGAAATTAAATTTTTTGGATTTTCTAACATGAGCAATGCTTCAAAAATTCTCTAGAAACCTGAAATTAAGGTCATTTTTGGTATAAAAAATCGGAAAACTATCAAAAATTCCAAAAATCCCAAAATTTCTCATAAAAATTTTGAAACAGTGAATTTTTCTAGACCAAAAAATGGAAAATTCGGAAATTTTCAGGTCACTGATAAAATTGTGAATTTTCAGAGCATTGCTCATGTTAAAAAAAATTCCCGAAATTTCCTTTTTTGGTCCAGAAAAATTCACTGTTTCAAAATTTTCAGATGAAAAATTTGGTATTTTTTGAAAAAATGAAATTTTCGCATATTCTAGACCAAAAATATGGAAAATTTCAGATTTTTGTAACATGAGCAATGCTCAAAAACTCTCTGAAATTAAATTTAGGTCAATTTTGAGATCAAAAGCAGAAAAAGCGCATCAAAATTCCAAAAATCCAAATTTTTCATATAAAAATTTTGAAACAGTGAATTTTTGTAGACCAAAAATTGGGAAATCTGAAATTTCAGATTTGTTTAACATGAGCAATGCTCCAAAAGTTATTTTTTTCAGGTTTCTAGATTTTTTGAATTTTCAGAACATTGCTCATGTTAAAAAAATTCCCGAAATTTCCTTTTTTGGTCCAGAAAAATTCACCGTTTCAAAATTTTTAGAAGAAAATTTGGGATTTTTTGAATTCTGATGATATTGGCATTTTTTAGACCAACATTTCAGAAATTTCAGATTTTTCTAACATGAGCAATGCTCCAAAAAATTCTCTAAAAACCTGAAATTAAATTTAGGGTAAATCTAAGCTAAAAAATTACTATCGAAATTCAAAAAATCCAAAATTTTCTCATAAAAATTTTGAAACAGTGAATTTTTTCCAAAAAAAATTTTTTTTTAATTTTTTTTTTTGAAAAATCCCAATTTTCAGCCGATTTTTCAAGCTGAAATTCGAAATTTTCAGATTTTTTTGGAAAAATTGAGAAGCTGGGAGTTAAAGCATTTCACTGAAAAAAAAATTTCAGAAAAAAAAATTCAGAAATTTTTGAAACAGTGAATTTTTCTAGACCAAAAAATGGAAAATTTTGGATTTTTCTAACATGAGCAATGCTCCAAAATTTCCAGAATTTCAGATTTTTCTAGAATTTTTCTAACATGAGCAATGCTCCAAAAATTCACAAAAATACGGAATTTTGACCTGAAATTAATTCTAGGCTCAAAATCCATGATTTTTCATGAAAATCCTAAATTTTGGCTCAAAAATGCTCATTTTTCATGAAAAATCCCAAATTTTCGCTCAAAAATGCTCATTTTTCATCAAAAATGCTCATTTTTCATGAAAAATCCCAAATTTTGGCTCAAATCCCCAAAAATCACCTTATTATAAGCTCGAATTGAGGCGGCTCCCTGAATCGTTTCACTGAAATGCGAATAAATCGGAGATCGATGCACACTTTCCAATCTTCTCAATTGTCGAGCTGTCGGCACGTAGAAACGCTGAAAATTTCAGATTTTTGGTTGAAAATTCGAGATTTTTGGCTGAAAATGACCGTAAAATCAATTCTAGCTCAAAATCAATGATTTTTGGCTCAAAAAATCTGAAATTTCGAGATTTTTGGCTGAAAATTTGAGCTCACCAAAAAGAATAGATAGACAATTCCAAGTGGCACAATGACAATGGCGAAAAGTGGTGTGGAGATGATAATTACCAGTAATGTGAAGAATACCTGGAGAAAAAATGATGATTTTTGGGTTACTGTAGGGAGGGAGTACTGTAGTTTGAGAAAAATTCTAAATTCAAAAAAAAATTTTTTTTTGAAAAAGTGAAATTTTTCATTGCTCATATTAGAAAATTCTAGAAAAATCTGAAAATTTCAGAAAAAGTTCACTGTTTCAAAGTTTTTATGAGCAATTTTGAGATTTTTGAAATTTTAATTCTTTAAAAATTGACCTAAATTTAATATCAGGTTATCTAATTTTGGAGCATTGCTCATATTAATATTCGCCTAATATGAGCAATGCTTTTTTCGTTTAATTCAGAAACCTCTGAAATTAGGTAAAAACATGTCAAAATCCTGAAATTTTCCAGAAAAAATTTTTTGCCATTTTTTTTTCAAAAAAAAAAAAACAATTTTCGCGTTAATTTTTTCTTAATATGAGCGATGCTTTGTAAAATGCAAAATTCCTGAAATTATTTTTTTTTGAAATTTAGAAATCTGAAATTACAGACAAAAACAGGTCAAAAGTCTGAAATTTTTCAAAAAAAAAATCCATTTTTTAAGAAATTTGATTTTCTATTTTTTTTGGAAATGACGCTCTATTGAAATCAAAAATTAAAATTTCTCAATTTTTTATCAGAAAATTTTGAAACAGTGATTTTTTGTTCTTCAAAATTTGGGTTTAGAGAAAATAAAAAAAATTGAAAAAGTGAATTTTTCAAAAACCAAAAAATTCACTGTTTCAAAATTTTCTGATAGAAAATGGGGAAATTTTTGATTTAGTTCCAAATCCTAATTTCAAAATAAAAATTGAATATTTATTGCTCATATTAAAGGGTCAAAAATCCTAAATTTTCTACCGAAAAGCTCAAAAATTATCAAATTTTCTGAATTTTCTCATAAAATTGTTCAAAATTCGATAATTTTCGCATTAAGAAGCCTAGAAGCCTAGAAAAAAGGCCTTAAAAGCCTAAAGCCTAAATTAAGGTCTAAAAAATAATTTAAGGTAAAAAAACCCAAATTTCCCACCCAAAAAAGCCCTTAAAAAGCCCGTAGAGCCCAAAATAAAACCTTAACCCTATTCTAGACCCTAAAAATCCCAAATTTCCCCTTTAAAAAGCCTCAAGAAGCCTTAAGCCTAAAAATAGGTCTAAAGAGGTAATTTAGGTTCTAAAACCCTTTATTTTCCACCTAAAAAAGCCCTTAGAGCCCTAAACCTAAATTTAGGTAATTTAGAGCCAAAAAACCCCAAATTTCCCACCTTAAAACTCCCTAAAGCCTTAAATTGAACCTTAAACCCATTCTAGACCCTAAAACCCCCAAATTTCCCACCAAAAAAAACCTCCTAAGAGAGATAAGCCAAGTCTAGTTCAACCTAATCAATCAAAAAAAAACCTCTTATGATATCATAAGCCTAATCTCAAGCTTAAGCCTAAGATCAGCAACAAAAATCATGTCAAAACCCAAAATTTTTTGGGTGAAAATTCTGACCTTGAGAAAACTAGAACCTCTCAAATTTTTTTGCTATAAAAGCCCAGATTTTGGGCCTAAGCCTAAGCTAAACAACTTAGCCTAACTCTCAAAAATGAGCTCAAAAAGTGCACAAATTTTCGCGTTCGCTGTATTTTTCCTGATTATTTTGCTAGCCGAAGCTTGCCATCCAAGCAAATCTTCAAGATCTGAATCTTCTGGAGGTTCAGGATCAGGAGGATCAGGAGGATCTGGAGGATCTGGAGGATCTTCCGATTCCTCTTCTGAAACCACAGATTCAGGATCTTCAGAATCTACAACACAATCTTCTGGTTCTGGTTCAGCTACAACTATTATTGTTACTGTTAATGGATGATTTAGGCTAACTTGAGATCTAGTTTAAATTATTGATTTTTTTCTGGTTAGAATGAATATTTATTGATTTTTGAGGCATTGCTCATATTAGAAAAATCCCAAAAATCGAATTTTTTGTCTGAAAATTTCCAGATTTTTTTGAGGCATTGCTCATGTTAGAAAAATCCCAAAAATCGAATTTTTTGTCTGAAAATTTCCAGATTTTTCCATTTTTGGTCGAAAAAAATTCACTGTTTCAAAAATTTCTCAAATTTTTTATGAAAAAACCAAATTTTTGCTGGGTTTTTGTTTATCATCAAAATTTATTTCGGAAAATTTTGAAACAGTGAATTTTTCAGAAACATTGCTCATGTTAGAAAAATCCCAAAAATCGAATTTTTTCATTTTTTTGGTTGAAAAAAATTCACTGTTTCAAAATTTTCTCAAAAAAATGAGAAAATTTTAAAATTCGATAAGAAGCGAACTTTCAGAGGCATTGCTCATATGAGAAAAATCCCAAAAATCCTCAATTTTGGGCTCAAAATGACCAGAAAACTCTGAATTTTCTGAGCATTGCTCATGTTAGGCTCAAAAATCCCATTTCTGAGCTCAAAATGCTCCAAAAGCATTGCTCATATTGAAAAATACCCAAAAATCCTGAATTTTGGGCTCAAAATACTCAAAATCTCTTAATTTTCTGAGCATTGCTCATGTTAGGCCCAAATTTCATCATTTTTCACGTTTCCGGGCTCAAAATCCTATGATTTATGGTATAAATTTCCCCTAAGCTCAAAATTACCCCAAAATCATGCTCCTGGGCACAAAATCCATCAAATTTCACGTTTCCGGGCTCAAAATGCTCCAAAAATCTTGGTTTTGGGTTCAAAATGCTCCAAAAATCTTGCTCTTAGGCTCAAAATGCTCCAAATCCCTCGATTTTTGGTCTAAAATTTCCCTAAGCTCAAAATTACCCAAAAATCATGCTCCCGAGCTTAAAATTCATCATTTTTCATGTTTCCGGGCTCAAAATGCTCCAAATCTCCCAAATTTTCGCCCAAAAACCCACCTGTAACGCGCACATAATCAAATATCTAAAATTCAACGGCATCATCATATCAATCGTCTCAATATCCTTAGCACATCGGTTCAAAATCCTGCCAAGCGGGGTCGTGTCATAGAAGCTCATGGGACTTCTGAGCAAATTGTGAATTAAAGGCGCATGCAGATTTCTGGAGGCTTTTTGTCCAACAAAAACCAACGCGTAGAGCGCGAGAAAAAAGCAAAAAACTTCCGAAAATCCCAGGGCCGCATATACACCAAGCCTGAGGCCATTCGACATTTTCTGGGCCTCCTGCTGGGCCGTGTTTGGGCTCATTTTGGAGCCCGGACCATCGGGCGTCAGGCCCGTGGGCTCATTTTCATCCGACCAGGCCGACAACCAAAAACTTCGCAAAATATTACACGTCATGTTGAGGATGAAGAGCACCAAAAAAGCGATCGATAATGTATAGGTTCCGGCTTTGATGTACAATTGATACGTGGCAATTTCGACTTTACCCTGAGCAATGCGCTCTTTTTCAATGATTTTATTGTTGGTTTCCGGTGATTCGGGCGATTTTTCAGAGAGTTTTGAGATTTGCGTGGTGAATTTGGGGCTGAAAATCAAATTTTTGAGATTTTTTGGGCTGAAAATTTGAAATTTTCAGATTTTTTTGGATCAAAACCCAATTTTTAAGCTGAAAATCCTGATTTTTGGTCAATTTTTGAGCTGAAAATTTGGAATTTTCATATTTTTTTGGATCAAAACCCAATTTTTAAGCAGAAAATCATGATTTTAGGTCAATTTTTGGTCCAGAAAGAAAATTTTCAGATTTTTTAAGCTGAAAAATGGGAATTTTCAGATTTTTTGATACAAAACTGATGATTTTTAAACCAGAAAGACGATTTTCAGACAAAAATCGATATTTTTGAGCTGAAAATTGGGAATTTTCAGTTTTTTTAAAGCTAGAAGCCTTTAAAAGCCTTTAGAAGCCTTAGGAAGCCTTTAGAAGCCTTAAAATCCCTAACTAGACCTAAAGACCTAAAGCCCTTCGTTTAGACCCTAATTAAGGCCTAGAAAATCCCCAATTTTCAAGCCTAAATAAGGCCCTAAAATCCCCCAATTTCATACCTTAAAAATCCCCAAACCCCTTAGCTTAAGCAAATTCCCTAAATATACCTTAGGCCTCAAAAACAACCTTAAAATTATCCACCCTAGCCTTAAAATTATCCACCTTCTTCTCAAAAAAAAAAAAAAGATGCCTCCAGGCGGGATTGAACCGCCGACCTTCTGTTTACGAGACAGACGCTCTGCCACTGAGCTATACAGGCACAGCTGAAGAAGACTCTTCTTTTTTTCCCATCTTCTCGCTGGTCGAGTTTTTTCGCGTTTTTTTTTTGTTTTTTCGGGTTTTTGGTCAGGAAAAGGGGAATTTTTTGGGAATTTCGGGGAAAAACGTGGATTTTTTGGCGTCAAAAATTTGCCACGTGGATTTTCTCAAAAATAAATTCAAAAATTCAAATTTTTCATTGAAATTTGAATTTTAGCATTAAAAAACTGTGAAAATTTCTAAAATTTTCTGGCTGAAATTTTCAGAATTTCTGGATTTCAGAAGCATTGCTCATACTAAATTCTCCAATTTTTCTAATATGAGCAATACTGGCAAGAGAGTAATCAAATTTTCAAATTTTCAAATTTTTTGTAAAGAAAATTTGAAACAGTGAATTTTTTTTGGGGGAAAAATTGCAATTTTCAATTTTTCAGGTCCCGAAACCTAAATTAGGCTGTTTTGGACCAAAAATCCCATTTTTGGTGTCAGAAAACCTAAAAAATGCTCAAAAATATGAAATTTCCGGTCTAAAAGCCTGTTTTGGCCTAAAAATCCAAATTTTCAGCTCTAAAAGCCTTTTCCAGCCTGTTTTAGCCCAAAAATCCGAATTTCCGGGCCCTGAAACCTAATTCAGGCTTTATAGGCCTAAATGGGCCATTTCTAGTCCGAAAAATGCTCAAAAATCCAATTTTCCAGGCCCAAAAGCCTTTTCCAGCTTGTTTTGGACCAAAAATCCCGAATTTGGTGTCAAAAAACCCCAATTTTCGGCCCAAAAGCCCAAAAAACCCACCTCTCCTTCAGTTCCAACTCAATCTTTCCCAAATCCTCCTCAATTCCTCGGACCAAATCCTCTTCCTCATCTTCTCCACTTCCACTCTTATATTCTTCCAAAAATCGCCAAAAAGTTCCGCGTTTCTCCAGCAATTCCTCGTATTTTCCCGATTCTTCAATACAACCTTCGGACAAAACCAGAATTTCGTCGGAAAATTTGGTAAAAGTCAGGCCATGGGTGACTAGGATTCGAGTTTTGGACCGCAAAAGGCCGTTGGGCCCAATGACTTTGTCGAAAATGTGACGGCCCACGTGAGAATCGACGGCCGAAAGGGGATCATCCAATAGGTAGATATCTAGGTCCTGTAAAAAAATTAGGCTTTGGGGGGCTTGGGAAGCCTTGGGAAGCCTTGGGAAGCCTTGGGAAGCCTTGGGAAGCCTTTAGAAGCCTTAGGAAGCCTTTAGAAGCCTTGGGAAGCCTTTAGAAGCCTTTAGACACTATTAGAAAAATTTAAAGAGCTTCTAAAAGAATTTTCAAATTTTTTTTTATCAGAAAAAAATTCACTGTTTCAAAATTTTAATTAAAAAACATAGATTTTTGAAATTTTGATGAAATTCTATATTTTTTGGTATTGCTCATGTTATAAAAATTCAGAAAAAAATATTTTTTTTTTTCGAATTTTTTTGTCAGAAAAAATTCAATTCTCAGCTATTTCTATATTTTTCGATTTTTTTTTGTCAAAAAAAATTCACTGTTTCAAAATTTTCCTATAAAAAATAGAGACTCCAAAAATTCCATTAATGACATATTATGGTTTTTGAAAGAAATTTGTTTGAAAAATTATTGAAACAGTGAATTTTTAAGGCATTGCTCATGTTAGAAAAATTCAAAAAAATCCAAAAAAATCATGAAATTCTCAAATTTTTCAATAATTTTCAAAATTTTTTTGAAGAAAAAATTTTTTGTCAGAAAAAATTGACTGTTTCAAAAAATTCTTTTGTAAAAATATAAATGTTTGAAATGTTGATTGAGCTTCAAATGTCGCTACAAAAAATTGAAACAGTGAATTTTCGATTGCTCATGTTAGGAAAATTGTTGACCATTTTATAAAAAATAAAATTCAAGATTTCCAGATTATTCTATCAGAGCAACTAAGTGATTAAACTACCAAAATTTCAAATTTTTTTTGAGAAAATTTTGAAACAGTGAATTTTCGATGCATTGCTCTTGTTATAAAAATTCAGGAAAATTTTCATTAGAAAAAATTCACTGTTTCAAAAAATTCTTTAAAAAAATAGACTTCAAAAAATTCCATTAATGATACTTTTATGGCTTTTAAAAAGATTTCTGTGGAAAATATATTGAAACAGTGAATTTTTCTTGATTTTCAGCTCAAAATGCTCCAAATTTTGGCTGAAAATTTAACATGAGCAATGTCTCAAAAAGTTGCTATAAATCGAAATTTAAAAAAAAAAAAGGTTTTTTTTTAAATAAAATTTTTGAAACAGTGAAAAAATTTTTGATTGAAAAAATTCAAATTTGAGCCCAAAAACCTCTAAAATGCTCCCTAAAACCTTCCAGAGCCCAAAAATGCTCCCAAAGTTCCCTAGAGCCCTCTGGAGCCCTTTAGAGCCCTCCAGAGCCCAAAAATGCTCCCTAGAAGCTTCCAGATCCCAAAAAAGCCCTTTAAAGCCCTCTGGAGCCCTTTAGAGCCCTTTAGAGCCCAAAAAGAGCCCAAAAATTCTCCCTAAAACCTTCAAGAGCCCAAAAATGCTCCCAAAGTTCCCTAGAGCCCTTTAGAGCCCTTTAGAGCCCTCTAGAGCCCTTTAGAGCCCTCTAGAGCCCAAAAATGCTCCCAAAGGTCCCTAGAAGCTTCTAGAAGCTTCTAGGGACCTTCTAGACCCCAAAAAGAGCCCAAAAAAGCCCCCCAAAGCCCCAAATGCCCACCTGATAAACCGCCCGTGCCAGGCTAACCCGGGCCTTCTGGCCCCCGCTCAAATTAATTCCCTTCTCTCCAATTTCCGTCAAATCTCCAGCGGGCAAAATTGAAATATCCGACTTCAAGGCGCAAGCCAGGAGGACATTTTCATACTTTTTCTTGTCAAACGGGCGGCCAAACGTGATATTGTCACGCAATGTCATATTTTGTATCCAGGGTTGTTGGGGAACATATCCAACACGGCCGCTCACCCCAATCCGTCCCCGTAATTTCGTCATCTCACCCAGGAGGGCATTGAGCAGGCTGCTCTTTCCGGCTCCAACTTTTCCCACCACCGAAATGAGCCCGGCTCGCGGAGCACACAGATTCACCTCCTCAAGTGTCGCGTGCGTCTCATCCGTCTCATCCCAGGTTGCAAAGAGATTTTCGACGTGCACAGCGTTTTGAGAGCGATCGGCGTGCGAGGATTTTTGCACCGCGTTTTCGTCGAGCTCTTCGATGACTAGGAACTCTTTGAGACGATCGTTGGAGACGACTGCCTGGAAATTGAGTTATGACGTGGCAAAATTTGGAATTTTCAGATTTTTCAGGGAATTTTAGAGCTATGACGTGGCAAAATTTGGAATTTTCAGATTTTTCTGAAAATTTTGAGCTATGACGTGGCAAAATTCGAAAATTTCATGAATTTTGGAGAATTTTGATACCAAACATGATATTTTTGGACTTAGAATAACTTGGGGGAATTTTTGAGCTATGACGTGGCAAAATTCAGAAATTTCATGATTTTTTTGAATATTCCGGCAGAAAATTTGAATTAATTTCAAATTTATCAAAAAAAAATTTGGCAAATTTTTAAAACAGTGAAATTTTTTTTGAAAATTTTTGACTTCAAAAATTATAAGTTATGACGTGGCAAATTTATCAAGTAATTTTCAAATTTTAGCACTAGAATTTCAAGAATTTTTGAAACAGTCAATTTTTTTTTAAAAAAATTTCATGAGTTATGACGTGGCAAAATTCAGGACTTTTTCCCATTAAACAGAACACGGGATCATTTTTTGAAAAATCGAAAAAATCTTATAAAAATTTTGAAACGGTGAATTTTTTTCAGAAAATAAAATTAATTTTTTGGTGAAAATTTTTGACTTCAAAAATTATAATGACGTGGCAAATTTATCAAATAATTTTCAAATTTTAGCACTAAAATTTCAAGAATTTTCGAGACAGTGAAATTTTTTCAACCAAAATTCATAAAAAAAATTTTCTCTGAAATTTTTTCCACGTGGAATGTTTGTGTCAAAATTATGAGTTATGACGTGGCAAAATATTTAGTGCTCAAAATGTTGTGATTTTAGAATTTCGAAGATTAATATCACTTTTTGAAAAATAATAAAAATTTTGAAACAGTGACTTTTTTCAGAAAAAAAAAATTTTTTTTTGCGGTTCTAAATTTTACGCTCCAAAAAAACATGAGCTATGACGTGGCAAAACTTTCTAGAAATTAGTTTTCGTTTCAATTGGAGAAGATAAAAAGTACTCCCAATCAACAGTTCAAAAAGCCAGAAAAATTATACAAAAATTCTGAAACAGTGAATTTTTATAACGAAAAAAAATATTTGAAAATAAAAATTTCGGAAATTTTCTAGCAAACCTTTAAATGGAAGAAAATACAAAATTTCAAAAATTAAAATTTTTCAGGAATTTCTGAAACAGTAATTTTTTTCAGAAAAATTTTATTGAAAATTCCAGATTCTCAGCTCATTTTTCATCAAAAATCTTGATTTTTGAATGAAAAAATCGGAAATTTTCAGCAAAAATCATCCTAACATGAGCAATGGCTCAAAATGCTCTAAAATTAATGATTCTGGGCTCAAAAATTGCAAATTTTCTCCCAAATTAAAATTTAAAACTTTGAATTCCTATCGTAACAATTCGAAATCATTATTTTTCAAATCGAAAACATTTTATAAAAATTTTGAAACAGTGAATTTTTCAGAAAAAAAATTATTTTTAGGTTCAAAATTTTTGAGACCAAAAAAATTGAGCTATGACGTGTCAAAACTTTCTAGAAATTTTTTTTCGTTTCAATTGGAGAAGATAAGAAATACACACAATCAACAGTTCAAAAAGTCAGAAAAACTATCCAAAAATTCTGAAACAGTGAATTTTTATAACGAAAAAAAATATTTGAAAATAAAAATTTCGGAAATTTTCTAGCTAACCTTCAAATGATAGACAATACAACATTTTTAAAATTAAAATTTTTCGGGAATTTTTGAAACAGTTCTAAAAAAAATTTTATTGAAAATTTCAGATTTTCAGCTCATTTTCCACCAAAAATCTTGATTCTAGGCTCCGAAAATCGGATATTTTCTAGAAAAAATCATCCTAACATGAGCAATGTCTCAAAATGCTCCAAAATTAATGATTCCGGGCTCAAAAATCACAAATTTTCTCCAAAATTAAACTTTTAAAACTTGAATTGCTATGAATGTCGGAATCATTATTTTTAAAAATCGAAAAAATTTTATGCAAAAATTTTGAAACAGTTAATTTTTTTATAGAATAACATTTCATTAGTCAGACAGAAAAATTGATATCATTTTTTGAAAAATCAAAAAAGATTTTATGAAAATTTTGAAACAGTTAATTTTTTTGGTGAAAATTTTTGACTTCAAAAATTATGACTTATGAAGTGGCAAATTTATCGCGAATTTAAGGATTCCCCAATAATTTTAAAAATTTTAGCATCAAAATTTCAAGAATTTTTGAAACAGTTAAATTTTTTTTCTTTATTTTCATGTAAAATTCGAGTTTGCGATTAATAATTTTCAATTTTGGCATAAAAATCTTAATGAATTTTTGAAACAGTTATTTTTTTTTTCAGAAATAAAAATTTGTTAGTTATGACGTGGCAAAATTTAGGACTTTTAGGTATCACAATCAACATACAATCATGAAATCAGATTTCCAAAAATCGAAAAATTTTTATGAAAATTTTGAAACAGTGAATTATTTTTAGAGAATAACATTAATTTTTTTGTGAATTTTTGACTTCAAAAATTATAAGTTATGACGTGGCAAATTTATCAAGTGATTTTCAAATTTTAGCACTAGAATTTCAAGAATTTTTGAAACAGTAAATTTTTGGGTTTCAAAATTATTGAAAATTCCAGATTCTCAGCTCATTTTCCAACAAAAATCTTGATTTTTTGGCTTAAAAAATCGGAAAATTTCCAGAACAAATCATCCTAACATGAGCAATGGCTCAAAATGCTCCAAAGTTAATTACCTGGGCTCAAAAATCACCAATTTTCTCCAAAATTAAACTTTTAAAACTTGAATGAAAGTCAAAATCATTATTTTTCAAATCGAAAAAAATTTATGAAAATTTTGAAACAGTGATTTTTTTAGAGAATAAAATCAATTGTTTTTGTAAAATACTTAAACTTCGGAAAATTGAGTTATGAAGTGGTAAATTTATCCAATATTTAACTATTACGAAATATTTTTTAATTTTATCACAAAAATGTTAATGAAATTTTGAAACAGTAAATTTTTGGGTTTCAAAATTTTATTGAAAATTTCAGATTCTCAGCTCATTTTTCATCAAAACTCCTGATTTTTGGATTAAAAAATCGGATATTTTCTAGAAATAATCATCCTAACATGAGCAATGGCTCAAAATGCTCCAAAGTTAATGACCTGGGGCTCAAAAATCACACAATAAACAGATTGGATCAGAAAATTAGAACTCAAAAAAAATATGTGAAAATTATGAAACAGTGAATTTTTTTCAGAGAATAAAATTTATTTTTTTAATGAACATTTTTGACCTCAAAAGACATAACTCATGACGTGGCAAATTCATTCAAAACTTTACAATATGCCAATAATTTTCAATTTTAGCACAAAAATCTTAATGAAATTTTGAAACAGTAAATTTTTGTTAGAAAAATTTTTGAAAATTCCAGATTCTCAGCTCATTTTTCACCAAAAATCTTGATTTTTGGCTCAAAAAATTGGATATTTTCTAGAAAAAATCATACTAACATGAGCAATAGCTCAAAATGCTCCAAAATTAATGATTCCAGGCTCAAAAATCACAAGTTTTCTCCAAAATTAAAATTTTAAAATTTTCACCTCGTAAAACGATTCAAAATCATTATTTTTTCAAATCAAAAAAAATTTTATAAAAATTTTGAAACAGTGATTTTTTTTAGAAAAACATCAATTTTTTCTGGTGAAAATTTTTGACTTCAAAAATTATGAGTTATGACGTGGCAAATTTATCAAATAATTTTCAAATTTTAGCACTAGAATTTCAGGAATTTTTGAAACAGTGAACTTTTTCAGAAAAAAATCGTGATTGCATTGGAAACATTACATCAGAAATAAAAAAAAACTCAAAAACTTCTAATAAAATTTTTGAAACAGTAAACTTTTGTCAAGAAGTTCTTGGGATTTTTTAGCTTCCAATAAACATGAGTTATGACGTGGCAATATTTTTGGTGTCAAATTTAAGTGATGAAGAATATAGCCACAACATTTTTCGAAAATCAGAAAAACTTCCTCACAAATTTTTGAAACAGTGAATTTTTTGTTAGAAAATACATTTTTTTTTGGTTAAATTTTCAGTCCTAAATTTTGCCACGTGGATTTTTTTGAGTTATGACGTGGCAAGTTCTGGAAATCTATATCATTTTTTGAAAAATCGAAAAAATTTTATAAAAATTTTGAAACAGTGAATTTTTCAGAAAAAAAATTATTTTTAGGTTCAAAATTTTTGGCTCTAAAGAAATTGAGTATGACGTGGCAAATATTTTTGCTTCGACAATTTTTAAGCAATAATCACTCAGGGAACAGAACATCAGAAATAAACAAACTCAAAAACTTCTAATAAAATTTTTGAAACAGTAAAATTTTCCGGAAAAAAATTGCCGATAATTCCCCAATAATTTTTTAATTTTAGCATCAAAATTTCAGGAATTTTTGAAACAGTAAATTTTTGGGTTTCAAAATTTTTTGAAAATTTCAAATTTTCAGCTCATTTTTTATCGAAAATCTTGATTTTTGGCTTAAAAAATCGGAAATTTTCTAGAAAAAATCATCCTAACATGAGCAATGGCTCAAAATGCTCCAAAAATCCTGAATTTTGGCTCAAAATGCTCCAAATTTCACGATCCCGGGCTCAAAATGCTCCAAAAATCACAATTCCGGGCTCAAAAATCCCCAAATCTTCCCACCTGTACAGCCTGTCCAATCAACAGCGCAATCATAGTCATCGGACTCCTCAATTGATTAAAAAGTGCCAGTGAAACGAACGCAATTTGCGGTGTCAATTCATGACTGGGATTCGATAGCACAAAAGTTCCAAACGAAAATAAGGCGACCAAAAACGGACTTGCCGTGTTGAAAGAATCCAACATATTTCGGACCATCGAAGTCTTTTTAATTAGCACAAGTTCCTGATTTCTGATTTTTTCCACGTGTTTTTCCATCGGAATTTCCCACGCGTACAATTTGACGACTTTTATTCCATTCAAAATTTCATTGACCATTTTTGTACGCTCATCTTTCAGGCGCATTTGTTCGATTTGCCATTTTCGCACGATTATTGAGCTGAAAAACTGATTTTGGAGCAAAAATTTGGAAATTTTGAGCATTTTGAGCTGAAAATCATGAAATTCTGAGCATTTTAAGCCAAAATTCAAGATTTTTAGGCTTTTCTAACATGAGCAATGGTTTTTGGAGCATTTTAGGCTAAAAATCATAAATTTACGATTTTTCTAACATGAGCAATGCTTAAAAATAAATTTTGAAGTAAATTTTGATCTACAAGACTTTGGGAGGTGATTTGGAGCATTTTGAGCCGAAATTTGGGATTTTCGGGTTTTTCTAATATGAGCAATGCTTTTTTGAACATTTAAACGCTAAAAAATATGTTAACATTTTCCAAAAACCCAAAATTCCTTTGAAAACTTTTTGAAACAGTGAAAAATATTTTTTTTTATTGGTTGAGCCATAAAATCGTGTATCGAATTAATTTGAATTTCTCTCGAAATAATTTAGAAAAAATGTTGAAACAGTAAATTTTTGAACAGAGAAAATCAATTTTTTAAACAAAAATTCAAAAAAAAATTCACTGTTTCAAAATTGAAATACGAGAAACTCAATTTTTGTTTATTTTGATCTGAGGAGCCATTTTAACACAAAAATTTCTAGTTTTCACCAACAAAAAAAAATCCACGTGGCTAAAAACATCTATAATAATTTTAGGATATTGCTCATGTTAGAAAAATCGGAAAATTTCGGATAGTTAGCTCAAAGTGCCGAATTTCAAATTTCAAAAATTCACTGTTTCAAAATTTCCACAAATTTTCTGGATTTTCAAAGCTTCTTCAGTATGATTATGCTTCCTACACCAAAAAAAAACAATAAAAAAATGTGATTTTTGTTCAAAAATTGCAAATTTCAACTGTAAATATAAGTTATGACGTGGCAATTTTTCAACAACAAAATTATTATTGAAATATTTGAAACAGCAATTTTTTCACTGTTTCAACATTTTTCCAAATTATTTCTAAAGACAATCAAATTTGTTCTGGTTCTGGATAATTTCTGCAATTTTTCACTGTTTCAACAATAGGAATTTTGGGGTTTTTGGAATTTGTTACATTCGGAAAATTAATCATTTTTTGTTGAAAAATTTCCACGTCATAACTCATGTTTACAGTTGAATATTGCAATTTTCGAACAAAAATCACATTTTTTTTGTTGATTTTTCGTTGTTTGACACCAAACTACAAACAAAAATGCATGTGATTAGGTCAAACTAGAGTATAGTTATGTATATCCCTATCCATTATTTTTTTTTGTTTTTTTTTTGGGTGTAGGAAGCATAATCAAATTGAAAAAGTTTTGAAAATCCAGAAAATTTGTGGAAATTTTGAAACAGTGAATTTTTTTTTGAATTTTTGTTTAAAAAATTGATTTTCTCTGTTCAAAAATTGACTGTTTCAACATTTTTTCAAAAAATTTCGAAAGAAATTCAAATTAATTCGACAAGTCGGTTTATGGATCAACCAATTTTTAAAAATATATTTTCACTGTTTCAAAAAGTTTTCAAAGGAATTTTGGGTTTTTGGAAATTGTTATTCTCTTTTTTTTATCAATTTATGAATTTATTACCAATGTAACAAATTTGATTCTCTCCAGAAATAATTTGGAAAAATGTTGAAACAGTGAAAAAATTGCTGTTTCAAAAAATCTTTAATTTTTTTGCAATTCAAATAAAATGTTTCGAATATCATTTTAATTGAAAATTTTTAAATTCTTGACCTATAAGGCTTTGGGAGGCGATTTGGAGCATTTTGAGCCAAAATTCAAAATTTTTGAGTTTTTCTAATATGAGCAATGAATTTTTGAGCATTTTAACACTAAAAAAAACTTGTTAACAATTTCCAAAAACCCAAAATTCCTTTGAAAACTTTTTGAAACAGTGAAAAAATATTTTTTTTTATTGGTTGAGCCATAAAATCGTGTATCGAATTAATTTGAATTTCTCTCGAAATAATTTGGAAAAAATGTTGAAACAGTCAATTTTTGAACAGAGAAAATTAATTTTCTAGACAAAAATTCAAAAAAAAAAATTCACTGTTTCAAAATTAAAATACGAGAAATTCAAATTTTTCATTTTAATATCTGTTGGTCATGTTAGAAAATACGGAAAATTTTGTATAGTTAGCTCAAAGTGTCGAATTTCAAATTTCTGCAATTTTTCACTGTTTCAACAATAGGAATTTTGGGGTTTTTGGAATTTGTTACATTCGGAAAATTAATCATTTTTTTGTTGAAAAATTGCCACGTCATAACTCATATTCATAGTTGAAATTTGTAATTTTTAAACAAAAATCACATTTTTTGTTGATTTTTCGTTGTCTGACACCAAACTACAAACAAAAATGCATATGATTAGGTCAAACTAGAGTATAGTTATGTATATCCCTATCCATTATTTTTTTTGTTTTTTTGGGTTTAAGAAACAAAATTAAATTGAAGAAGCTTTGAAAATCCAGAAAATTTGTGGAAATTTTGAAAAAGTGAATTTTTTTCTGATTTTTGTCAAAAAAATTGATTTTCTCTAGGGTTGGAAAAAAATACACGAATACACGAATACACGCTTTTTTCTGAATTGCTTGAGAAGAGAAGAAAACCGTGTATCCGTGTACGCAACTACACTGTTTTTCCAACCCTAATTTTCTCTGTTTAAAAATTGACTGTTTCAACATTTTTTCAAATTATTTCGAGAGAAATTCAAATTAATTTGATAAGCGGGTTTCCTGAATCAACCAATTTTCAAAAATATATTTTCACTGTTTCAAAAAGTTTTCAAAGGAATTTTGGGTTTTTGGAATTTGTTACCGGAAAATTAATCATTTTTGAGGCATTGCTCATATTAGAAAAACCCAAAAATCCCGAGATTTAGCTTAAAATGCTCAGAATTTCATGATTTTTGGCTCAAAATGCTCCAAAAAACCATTGCTCATGTTAGAAAAACCCAAAAATTCTAAATTTCGGCTCAAAATCATCACAATTTCATGAATTCTGGTTCAAAATGCTCCAAAAAGGATTGCTCATATCAGAAAACCCAAAAATCCCAAATTCGGACTCAAAATGCTCAGAATTTCATGTTTTCTAGCTCAAAATGCTCCAAAAACCATTGCTCATGTTAGAAAAATCCAAAAGTCATGAATTCTAGCTCAAAATGCTCCAAATTTTCAAAAATCTTCAAATTCCGGCTCAAAATGCTCAGAATTTCATGATTTCCAGCTCAAAACGCTCCAAAACCCACCTAAAAATATTCATCGGCACAAAAATGAGCATAATCACAACTCCAGGCAGCGCACTATATCCAAGTGTGAAGAAGAGATAAATCAGTGCGAAAGCAATCTGGTAGGGGCAACTCCAGAATTGTTGAATTTGCGGTGTGATCATCTGAAACCTCTCCACGTCAATCGCCATCAAATTCACAATTTCTCCAACAGTTTTTGATCTACGAGCAGAATTCGACAAAATCAGCGTTTTGTTATAAACCGCAGCTGTTAGGGCGGTTTGAATTTTGGTTCCCATTCTGAACATGATATAAAAATAGCCATTCAGGATCAGAGATCGAAGTTCGGAAGTGGAGAACATCAGGATTGAAAGGGACATGCCTTTCCAGAAGACCGCGTGATCGGAGGCGACGAAGTTGAGGAGTTGTCTGTAAAAAATTCGAGATTTTTTGAGCCCATATAAGCCTTTTGATTTGGCCTGAAAAGCCTGGATTCTAGGCCTGGAAATTTGGAATTTTTTGAGACTAGATGAGCCATGTTTTAGGCCTAAAAAACCTGGATTTTTAAGGCCCCTTTGAGCCTAAATGGCCAGGATTTCAGGCCTGGAAATTTGGGATTTTTTGAGACTAGATAAGCCTGGAACGGCCTGGTTTAAGGCCTGAAAATCTGGGATTCTTAGAGCCTAGATAAGCCTAGTTTTGGCCTGAAAATTCTGGATTTTTCGAGTCTAGATAAGCCTAGATTGGGCCTGGTTTATGGCCTGAAAAATCGGGATTTTCAGAGCCCATATAAGCCTGGATTTCTAGGCTGAATTAGGCCTGAAAAGCCTGAATTAAAAAAAATCAATTTGACCCTCAAAAAAATTTCCAGAAAATCTACTGTTTCAAAATTTCTATGAGAAATTTTCAATTTTTTTGATTTTTTGATGATTTATTGAAAGTTACTAAAAAAGTTACTGTAACTTATTTTATTTTAAAAAATCAATATTTCAAATTTGCTAACCTGAGCAATGCTTGAAAAGTCCAATTTTTCACACAAAAAAAACCAGAAATTCTACGTTTCAAAATTTCTATGAGAAATTTTCAATTTTCTTGGATTTTTGATGAAATTTTAATTCTTTTTCAACTTTACGTACATCATTAAACTTAATTACTTAAAAAACATATAAATTCACAAAACTATCAGAATTTTCTAATCTGAGCAATGCTGCTGAATTTTGAGTTTAATATGAGCAATGCTCGAAAAATTCGGCGTTTTTCGAGTCTAGGAGTGAAAAATATCGATTTTCAGCTCAAAATTCATCATTTTCAGCCAGATTTTCAGATCTTTAGCTGAAAATGTGCGATTTTCAGCCCACTTACTGTAACAAAAACGGACTGGCGAACTGCAGGGTGTCAGAGGTGAATTTGAGCACCGACGCCAACATGAATTCCCATTTGAACATTTGGAAGAGAGTTGCGATAACTGACGGGTATGGGGGACCTTTTTCGTCCAAATCCTTGTTCCAGATGCTGTTTTCTTCGATGTATTCTGAAAAATTGGGAAATTTTGGGAAATTCGGAGCATTTTGAGCCCAAATTCAAGAAAATTAGTAGAATTTGGAGCATTTTGAGCCCAAATTCGAAAATTTTGGAGCATTGCTCATGTTAAACCCAAAAAAATTTCGAAAACTCACAAAAAACCACATTTTCCTATTGATTTCTTCATGAAAAATGAGCAAAAAAAATTTTTTTTTGGAAAAAAAATTAGGTCACGTTTTTTTCACTGTTTCAAAAATTTTTAAAATTTTTCGGGATTTTTTCAAATTTCGTTAATGTAATCGGGTAGCGATCTAAAATTGATTTAAAAATTGGAAAAATTTGGAGCATTGCTCATGTTAGAAAAATCAATAATTCTGGTGAAAATTGGAGCATTTTGAGCCCGAATTCGAGAATTTTCGTGAAATTTTCGTGAAGCATTGCTCATACTAAGCCCAAAAATTAGAAATTGATTTAAAAATTCAAAAATTTTGGAGCATTGCTCATGTTAGAAAAATCAATAATTTTATGAAATTTAAATAGTTTTTTTACTGAAAAATTTAAAATTTTCGAAAATTTCATAAAAATTTTGAAACAGTAAATTTTTTTGGAAATTTTTTTTGTGAAAAATTGGATTTTTCTAATTTTCTTGGCATTGCTCAGGTTAGAAACACTCGATTCTAGTGATTTTAGACCCGAAATGGCCCTATTTTCAGGCCTAAAATCCAGGCTTCTCAGGCCAAATTTAGGCTCAAAAAATCCCAAATTTTCAGGCCCAAAATCCAGGCTTCTTAGGCCAAATCTAGGCTTATTTAGGCTCAAAAAATCCCAAATTTTCGGGCCCAAAATCCAGGCTTCTCAGACCAAATCTAGGCTTATCTAGGCTCAAAAAATCCCAAATTTCCAGGCCTAAAATCCAGGCTTTTCAGGCCAAATTGAGGCTTGAAAAATCTAGGCTTCTCAGACCAAATCTAGGCTTATCTAGGCCCAAAAAATCCCAAATTTCCGCCCCAAAATCCATGCTTTTCAGGCCCAAATTTGGGCTCAAAAATCCCAAATCTTCAGGCCTAAAATCCAGGCTTCCCAGGCCTAATTTAGGCTCAAAAAATCCCAAATTTTCAGACTTACTCAATCTCTTCGGTTCCCAAAACCCTTTCCACATTTCAAACAAATGCGCAGTTTTGCTCCGCTCGCTGAGCTCAAAAACATCCTCCAGCTCCAAATCCTTCTTATATCCCGCAAAAGGCACACTATTGAACCACCAAAGTGTCAAGCGATTCAGAAAACTAGACTGTAGTTCTGGACTTGGATTTTTCGCGCCAAGTTTTTCCACTTCTTTCGGATTTCTTTTGTCGGCAAAACACAGTGCAAATGTGTAGATCAATAGAATCGAATAATAGATCAGATATGCGATTCCAAGAGGTTCGGATGACGTGGCAGCACCAAGATTCCTACACCACTGATAGAATTCTGGAGCTCCGGAGAGCAGAAATAAGATTGCGGTGAGATGTTGAACTCCTGACGTCACTACACCACATCTCAATCTGACGAGGTGCAGGAGAAATGTGCAGGTCTGGAAGAAAAAAGAGCATTGCTCATGTTAATTTTGAAACAGTAGATTTTTTTTAGAAAAATTTTTTTACAAGGTAAAAATTCGAAGACAAATCAATTTTGAGAATTTCCAAAAATTATATATTATATAAGAAAATTTTGAAACAGTGAATTTTTTTGGGAAAATTTAACATTTGAAAATTTCGATTTTTCAGGGTTCAACTATCAAAAATCAAAAACAAAATTTTAATGAAATTTCAAGTAGAATTTTTGAAACAGTAAATTTTTTCGAGAATTTTTTCTAGGATTTTTTTATTTAAAAAATTTATTCAGATTTAAAAATCTCCGAAACATGAAATTCTTTCACATTTTTCAAAATTTATTCATCCTAAATTTTAAGTAGAAAATGAAAAAAGAGAACAAATTGAAAATTTCCAAAAATTATATAAAAAAATTTTGAAACAGTAATTTTTTTGGGAAATTTTCACTAGAGCAAATTTTTGTGTTTTTCGAATTTTTGACAGTTTCAGAGCTTTATTTGAAGTCAGATTTATCAAAAATTAACTTTTGTAATTTTTTGAATAAAAATTTTGAAACAGTAATGGGGCTATTCAAGTAATTTCTCAACATGCTGAGAAAACAGGAGAAATGCGGAGAAAATGTATTTTCTCCACTTTTTTCGTATTTTCTCAGCTTGCCTGAATAGGTTTTCTTCGCTTTTCTCAGCGTTGAGAAAATAACTTGAATAGTCCCATAAATTTTGTGAACATTGGAAGTTAAAAATGAATTTTGAGAATTTCCAAAGATTATTTAAAAATATTTTGAAACAGTAAATTTTTTAGAAAATTTTTTTCGGGAGAAAATTACGATTTTTTGAATAATAAAGATCGATAAACTGAATTTCATGAAATTTTGAGTAGAATTTTTGAAACAGTAGATTTTTTCTGAGATTTCTTTTCTAGGATTTTTTGGTTGAAACTTTATTTCAATTTTCTGGGCAGCTTTCAGATTTCAAAAACTTGGAAAACTTAAATTCATTTCTAGTTTTTATTTCGCACAATTTTCAAGTAGAATTTTTGAAACAGTAAATTTTTTTGATATTTTTTTCTAGGATTATTTGATTGAATTTTGAATAATTTACAGATTCGAACACTTGGAAAATTCAATTTTTTCGTATTTTTCAAAATGTATTCATCATAAAATAAAGTAAGATATTACCATTAATTTTGAAAATTTCCAAAAATTATATGAAAACTTTTTGAAACAGTAGATTTTTTTTAGAAAAATTGTTTTTCAAGAAAAATTCGATTTTTTGAAGTTAGGATAATTCTTGTCAATGAGTGATTAATTTTGAGAGTTTCCAAAAATTATATAAGAAAATATTGAAACAGTAGATTTTTTTTGAAAAGCTTTTTTCAGAGAAAATTTCGATTTTTTGAAGTTAGGATAATTCTTGTCAATGAGTGATCAATTTAGCGAATTCCCAAAAATTATATGAAAACATTTTGAAACAGTGGATTTTTAGGAAAATTTTTGAAGCTGAAAATTCAGATTTCTTTGGGTTCAACAAATCAAAAACAAATTTTAATGAATTTTCATGTAAAATTTTTGAAACAGTAGATTTTCTCTGAGATTTCTTTTCTAGAATTTAAACTTGGAAAACTAAAATTCATTTCTAGTTTTTATTTTGTAAAAAATAAAAAATTTCAGTTTTTTTCGCAAATGATTAATTGCTACCATTAATATTGAGAACTTTCAAAAATTATGAAAAAGAATTTTTGAAACAGTGAATTTTTGGGAAATTTTTCAGTTGCGAATTTCTTTGTTTTTTGAATTTTTGACAATTTCAGAGCTTTTTATGAAGTTGATTGATCTATCAAAAATTAATTTTTGCAATGTTTTTGAATAAAATGTTTGAAACAGTAAATTTTGAGAACATTCAACTGAATAATCAATTTTGCGAATTCCCAAAAATTATATGAGAAAATTTTGAAACGGTGAAATTTTGGGAAAACTTGTCAGGTGCGAATTTAATTGCTTTTGGAATTCTGCATGATTTTCAGGTTTCTGATTCTATTAAAGACATGTAGAAAACTAGAAATGTGTGTTCGTAATCGTAAAAATTTGAACGCGCGTCTTTTTTCAAAGTTGTGTGTTGTTCGTTTGAAAAAAGAAAAAATAAATAAAAAGTGGTGGTACGGTATGCTAAGAATGCACACATGTGCGGCAAATCACGAACATTTGTGCAAACACCAAATGTCGCGTCGGCTGAGCGATTTCAAAAAAGGAAATTTCTTTTTTTGACTTTCGCTAAACTCAATATTTTTCAATTTTGTTTATGTACTTCCACTATTTGAAGGATGATAAAAAACATGCAAATAATGATTTTTGAACGATTTCTAGTTTTCTACGTGTCTTTAACCAGTCCTTGATGAATATTGATAATTTTCAAAGAAAAATAAAACCAAATTTCGAAACAGTGAATTTTTGGAAAAAAAACAATGCAAGAGAAAATTTCGAACATCGAGAATCTAAATTTTATGAAATTCCAAGTAGAATTTTTAAAACAGTGAAGTTTCATTAATATTTTTAGAGAGAAAAATTAGATTTTTCTGTCGTATTAATTTTGAGAATTTCCAAAAATTATATAAGAAAATTTTGAAACAGTAGATTTTCTCTGAGATTTTTTTAGGATTTTAAATGTTCAATAATTTCCAGATTACAAAAACTTGGAAAATTAATTCAATTTTTTCATATTTTTCAAAATCTCTTAATCCCAATTTAAAACAAAAACAACTGGATAATCAATTTTGAAAATTTCCAAAAATTATATAACAACATTTTGAAACAGTAGATTTTTGGAAAAAAATTTTGCAAGTGAAAATTTCGATTTCATAGAGAAATTCCAAATTTCTAACGAATTTCGATAAAAAAATTTAATTTAATTTTAGAAACCAAATTGACTGTCTGAGCAACATTTTGAAAACTTCCAAAAATTATTTAAAAATATTTTGAAACAGTGAATTTTTGGGACAATTTTTGAGCTGAAAATTCTGAATCCAACCGAATTTTCAATTAAAAATTGAATTTTTCACTCAAAAAATTCACTGTTTCAAAATTTCCCCAAATTTTTCCCCAAAAAAACTCACAAAAACCAGAGCCCAACAAAATGGATAAATAAAATAGGCGGCGGCAAATGAGTTCGACGAAAAAATCACAAAAAACCACACAAATATCGAGTTGAGTGATAGAAGAGCACAACATAACTGGAAAAAATCGATAATTTTCTGATCAGAAGGGTAAGGGTTCAATTCCTCTTGGGAACTATTTTCAAAAAAAAAATTGGGGTCAAAATTTTTGAAAATTCAAATTTTCGCGCCAAAAATCCCCCAAAAATCTGTGTTTTTGCCAATTTTCGCTTCGCTTGAAAACATTTAAAAAAAAAATTTTTTTTTGTTGATTTTTGGCCTAATTAGCATGTGACTAAGCTAATTAGCATAATTTTCTAGTAGAAAAATTTTTTTTGAACAAAAAGTTCCGCATTTTTCGAATTTCAGCTCAAAATTCACCAAAAATCTCAAATTTTGGCTGAAAATTTCGCATTTTTCACGAATTTTTCAGTTTTTCAGCTCAAAATTCCCCAAAAAACTCACCAATTTGAAGCAAATCGCAAAACTGAACGGCAATTTCGCAAATCTTTCGCCTGTCAATTTACACTGAGCAATGAAGAATGGAAGTGTGAGAAGGAAGAAAATTGTGGGAATCCAGACGAGAAGTGTGTGTTGAAAACACACAGAAATGTTGGGAAGACCGGTGGGAAACTGAAAAAATTGATTTTGAGATTTTAGGGGGCTTCAGGGAGGTTTTTGACCCAAAAATTCAGATTCCTGAGCCATTTTTAATGAAAATTCGGATTTTCAGCAATTTTCAGCCAAAAATTTGGATTCCTGAGCTATTTTTGAGTAATTAAGCTGAAAATTCGGATTTTCAGCAATTTTCAGTATAAAATTTGAATTCCTGAGCTATTTTTCAGTATTTTTGCTGAAAAATTGAAATTTTTTGAATTTTCTCAATTTTTTGAAACAGTGAATACTTTTTTCTAGAAAAACTCAAAATTTTCAAATTTTCAAAAAAAATTAAATAATTTTGAAACAGTAAATTTTTTAGGGTAAAATTGAGTGAAAAATTGGGATTTTCAGCATTTTTTTAAGCTGAAAATTTAATTCTTGAGCTATTTTTATAAAAAAGAAGTTAAGCAATAAATTTTTCTGAATTTCTGAATTTTCTTAAAATTTTGAAACGTATTTTTTCGAGCTCAAAAATTCAGGTTTTTTCAAGCTGAATTTCAAAAACAAATAGTAAAATTATTGAAACAGTGAATATTTTGAGGTATTTTCTTTCGGAGAAAAATCAAATTTGAACATTTTTCCAAATATCTTCTTAGAATTTTGAAACCTATTTTTTCGGCTTATAAAACCAGGAACCTATTGGAAATTTCGAAGAACTTCTGAATTTCTCAAATTTTTGAAACAGTGAATTTTCATGAATGAAATTTTTGATTTTTTTAAATGAAAAACTGAATTTTATTAAAGGTGGACTACGACATTAGATCAAATATTTTTTGATTCTCAAAAAAATTTATGCAAATTTTGAAACAGTGAATTTTTTTTGGGAGGAAATTTGAAATTTTCTTGAATTTTTGAATTTTCACATTTTTTTGAAACAGTTATCCGCTGAAAAATCAAAAATTTTCAAATTTTCGAAAAATTTAAAATAATTTTGAAACAGTAAATTTTCTAGGGTTAAATTTGCTGAAAATTCAGATTTTCAGCAATTTTCAGCCAAAAAATTAAAATCCTGAGCTATTTTTATAAAAAAGAAGTTAAGCAATAAATTTTTCTGAATCTCAAAAAATTTTGAGCAAATTTTGAAACAGTGAAATTTTTTCTCAATTTTTTTTGACTTTTTTAGAATTTTGAAACAGTACAAAATTTTTTTTCAAATTTTTAAATCAAAAAATTTTTCTGGGTTCTTATCAATTCAAAAAATATTGATAAGAAGAAAATTTCAAAATTTATTTTTTCTGGAAAAAAATCCAAGGTTTTCTGGGTCAAAATTCATCAAAAATCATGAATTTCAGCTCAAAATTTCAGATTTTTCTTGAAATTTTCGAATTTTTTCAAATTTTCATCCCAAAAACTCACCGGATTCACATTAGGTCCACCGCAAAAATCCTCAAATCCTCCCATTCTATTCTACGAATTATTAGTTGAAGAAAAAAATGAGCCAAAATCCAAAAATGAGCAAAAAAATCGATCCGTAGCGGTTTTTGAAGGGTTTCGTTGTGAAAATCTGCAAAAATTTGGATTTTTTGGAAGAATTTTGGGGGGAAAAACGGAAAATTGAAGAAAAAATGAGCAAAAATAGCATTTTCAGCTCAAAAATGAGCTCTAGAGCTGAAATTTGATGAAAAATTGGATTTTTTGGGATTTTCAGCTCAAAAATGAGCTCTGGAGCTGAAAATTGATGAAAAATTAGATTTTTCTGGATTTTCAGCTCAAAAATGAGCTCTAGAGCTGAAATTTGATGACAAATTGGATTTTCCTGGATTTTCAGCTCCAAAATGAGCTCTGGAGCTGAAAATTCACAAATTTCAGAGAATTTCAGCTCAAAAATTGGCCTGAGGTTAAAAAATGTGGATTTAACCAAAAAAACCGAAAAAAAAATTTAAAAATATTTTTTTGACATCAAAAAATCAAATTTCAAAGAAATTTTGGTAGATCAAGATCAAAAAAAAATTTTTTTTTTTTTTTTTTTGAAATTTTCAAAAAAATCCCCAACTTCCGCGATTTTTTCCAGAATTTTCAGCAAAACAAAAATTTTCAGCTGGAAATTCTGATCTTGATCATTGAAAATTCAAAAAAACAGATTTCCAGGTGAAAAAAAATCAGATTTTCATTATTTTTTATTTTTGTGTTGAAAAAAAATTATAGATTTTTCTGCTGAAAATCTAGAAATCTAGATTTTCAGCCAATTCTGAGTTTCAGAATTCAATTTGAATTTTGAGGTCAGAAGCTGGAGCCAGACAGCTAGAGAGTGTAGGAGAGCTAGAGACGCAGAGAAGCCAGACAGCTAGGGTCGCTAGATAACATAGGGAAGGAAGAGAGCGCAGAGAAGCCAGAGAGCTACAGAGTGTAGGAGAGCTAGAGACGCAGAGAAAATTAGCCACGTGGCAAATTCTGGAATTCAAATTTTCGCGCCAAAAATTTTGAAAATTCAAAAACGATAGATTTTTGAATGGAAAAATTGTCCTAAATCAGAAAATTTCAGAAATTTTATGATTTTCAGGCTGAAAATGCTCAGAAATCTCAATTTCAGCTCAAAAAACTTGAAAAATTAGGGAACAATTCAATTTTAAAATAAAAATGAGCATTTTTTCAGGTGAAAAATGCTCCAAAACACCGTGTAAAATTCCTAGAGAAAAATGTACGATTTTCTAGTCAAAAAATGCTCAAAAATCTCAATTTTGCGGTCAAAAATGCTCCAAAAAGCACATTTTTCTGGTCAAAAATGCTCCGGCTCAAAAACCATACAATCAGTGAGAAAAATGATAAAAATTCTCGCCTTTTTATACCAAAATAATCTGATCAAGTTCCACAAACCACGAAAAAAACGATGACAAAAAAATTTTCAGATTAAAAATTCTGAAAATTATGCAAATTTCATTTTTCCCCGGAAAAAATCTGGGTTCACAAAACCAAAATGAAAATTTTTTTATCAAAAAAAAAAAATTTTTTTTTCATAAAATATATGATTTTTCCTTATCTCTAACCACATTTTCCCCAAAATTTCTCGAATTTCAGCCAAACTAGACTCTAGTTTCTCCTTTTTTTTCTCCTAGTTCCTTCTTCATCTACAGTACCCCCTGGGTTACTGTAGCTTCATTTTTTGCCACGTGGAATTTTTCCTGACATCATTTTTTGAATTTCGAAAAATGATGACAAAACTTTTTGTTATCAGTTTATTTTTTTCGTATATTTTTGGGCTCCGCCCACAAATTTTTTAGCGAAAATTTCAGATTTTCAGCCAAAAATCTGAAATTTTTGTTGGAATTTTGAATAAAAAGAGGTGTTCAGTAGAGCGCATTTGCAATTTTCAATTCAAAATTTTTTTTATTTTATATTTTTGTGCTAAAAATGTGTTCAATAGAGCGCATTTGCACATTTTGAAGCTAAAAACTTGAAATTTTTGAAATTTTCAAATTTTAGCGCGAAAAATTCGAATTTCAAAAATTTAAATTGAAAATAATGCCACGTGGCAATTTTTAGCGCGAAAAATTAAAATTTTTCAAATTTTAAATTTTAGCGCGAAAATTCAAATTTCAAAAAATTTTGAAAAATTTATGCCACGTGGCATTTTTACCGCGAAAATTCAAATTTAAAAAATTTAAATTGAAATTTATGCCACGTGGCAATTTTGAAAATTCAAAAAATTGAATTTTCATATGAATTTTTTCAGCGCGAAAAATTCAAATTTCAAAAATTTTTGAAAAATTGAAAAATTCATGTCACATGCACAGGGGTTTTTTCACTACCGAGTCAATGCAAAATTGTAATCGAGCAAATAGGCTCCGCCCATCTTTTTCCGCACAGACATGTGGGCGGAGCTTAGGTTTTCAGATTTTCAAAAAGAAAATTGAAAACCCTTTGGCTCAAAAGACACACAAATAAAAAGAAAAAAGTCGGGCTATATGTGTGTTTGCAGCGACCGACATCTCGCGAGGCCGGCCACACGCTATTGTTTTTTTTGTCGGCCACGTAGCGTGCTGTTTGCGGAGGTTTTTTGTCGTCAGATAAAATGTTTTGTACGTGATTAATTCTCGGTAGTGAAAAAACCCCTGTGACATGGCAATTTTTAGCGCGAAATTTCATAAATTTAAATTTTCAAATTTTAGCGCGAAAAATGCAAGTTTCAAATTTCAAAAATTTCAAAAATTTTCAAATTTCCCGCCAAAAAATTAGCCACGTCATCATTTTTTTTCATATTTTTTTGTAACTACAAAAATTTTGGTTTTATTTTCAGAATCAACTAGAAAAATTTGTTTTTCAGTTTTTTGGAGCCAAAAACTGAAAAATTAGGCTCCGCCCACTTTTCTAGCTCATTTTCAGCCAAAAATTTCAGATTTTCAGCCGAAAAACTCTGAAAATTTCAGATTTTCAGTCAAAAAACGCTGAAAATTTCAGATTTTCAGCCGAAAAACATGCTAGACTTCTCAATCGTCCCAAATTCTCACATTTTAATGATGATTATCGCGTGGCCTTCGATTTTTTTGTATTTTCGACTGATTTTTGTGATTGGTGTGGAGAGGAAGGAGTTCAAATCCACGTTTTTCTATATTATTAGGCTTCATGTGAGTTTTGGGCCTTTTTAGGCTTGAAAAGGCCTTCAAAACAAGCCTAAATGGGCCTAGGCCTTTTCTAGGCCCATTTTTCATGATTTTCTGATGAAAATTCGGATTCTGGGCTTCAAAACGAGCCTAAATAGGCCTAGGCCTTTTCCAGGCCAAGTTTTAGCAAGAAATTTGAATTTTAGGTTATTTTTCATGATTTTTTTTAAGATTTTTGAGCTTTTCCCTGAAATTTTTCCCCACAGCTGAAAAAAATTTGTCTGAAAATTGAAAAAGTTCAGAAGAACTTAGTCATTTGGGGAATTTTTACGAGGAAAACATGATTTTTGGCTGAAAAATTGGGGATTTCAGCTTTTTCAGGTTGAAAATTGCTGAAAATCTCAAATTTAAGCCTGAAAAAGGCCTAGGCCCATTTAGGCTTGTTTTGAAGCCTAAAATCCAAATTTTCATCAGAAAATCATAGAAAATGACATAAAATTCATATTTTCTCCTCAAATTCGGCCTGAAAAAGGCCTAACCCTATTCAGGCTCATTTTCAGCCAAAAATCTTGAATTTTCATCAGAAAATCATAGAAAATGACATAAAATTCATATTTTGAGCTCAAATTGGGCCTGAAAAAGACCTAAGCCCTTTTAGGCTCGTTTTGAAGCCAAAAACCATATTTTCATCAGAAAATCATGAAAAATGCGATAAAATTCAAATTTTCACCTCAAATTTGGCCTGTAAAAGGCCTAGGCCTATTTAGGCTTGTTTTAAAGCCTAAAATCCAAATTTTCATCAGAAAATCATGAAAAAATGGCCTAAAATTCATATTTTAAGCTCAAATTTGGCCTCAAAAAGGCCTAGGCCTATTTAGGCTTCAAAAATCCAAATTTTCACTCAAAATTCACCAATTTTCATGATTTTTAGCTCATTTTCAGCCAAAAATCTCGAATTTTGGCTCATTTTCAGCCAAAAATCTCGAATTTTGGCTCATTTTCAGCCAAAAATCTCAAATTTTCAGGCCGTAACCGACATTCTAATGTTTCTAATGGTTGAACTAATAATGCGTCCACGAAAATATCGAATCTACGAATTGATTTCTCTGATTTCCGACGACTGGAAACCGCAACTCGAATATTTTAGCCTAACTTTGATCAAAAATTCAATGTTATTGGGTTATGTGATTGTGGCTTTCAATAGATTCACAACTTTGTATAATCATAATAATTTGCTGAAAATGGTGAGGATTTCAGACAATTTAGGCTTGAAAAGGCCTTTCAAACGAGCCTAAATAGGCCTAGGCCTTTTTCAGGCCCAATTTGAGCTCAAAATATGAATCTTAGGGTATTTTTCATGATTTTCTAATGAAAATTTGGATTTTAGGCTTCAAAACGAGCCTGAATAGGCTTAGGCCTTTTTCAGGCCCAATTTGAGGTGAAAATTCGAATTTTAGGTTATCTTTCATGATTTTCTGATGAAAATTTGGATATTAGGCTTCAAAACAAGCCTAAATAGGCCTAGGCCTTTTCAGGCCCAATTTTAGCTAAAAATTTGAATTTTAGCTCATTTTTCATGATTTTTTCCCAAATTTTTTGAATTTTTAACATGAGCAATGTTCAAATTTCCCAAAAAAAAGTTACCTTCTCAGATTTGGACACCTACAGTAATCTACACAATATATTTATTCGAATGGATTGCTCCGTGCTCAATTCTCATTCCATTGTTCTATTTCACCGGAAACCACAATTTCTCGTATTTTCGAAATTCCGCTGACGGTGGTGGTGGTGGAATTCTGCTGCGCGCCGATTCTAAATTCATGAATTTGGATGGACTTCAGGATTTCATTCTCACCTCTGCTTGCTGCATTTTGAGCACAGCTTGTTATTTCGGGATTTTGGTGCATTTTTTGCAGAATCGCAGTGTTTTTGTGAGTTAGAATATCAGATAGGTAAAAACTAAATTTAGTGAACAATTGGTTCGCAAACAAACAACAATTTATGATGAAAAACAATTATTTTTCAGAGCATTGAACAAATAATAAAGAAAAAAATTAAATTAAATTGAAGAAAAAAAAGTCGAGATCTACACATCTCGAGAGAAGAGTAGATTCGATTTTTATTTAACAGGATATAGGGGATTGAAGGTTTTTTCGCGTGGACAAAAAAACCAGCAAAATAAAAACAAAAATACAAAAAATCAACATTTAAAAGAGAGAGAGAGAAAGAGAGGGAGAAATGAAGATTAGGCGACTCTGATTTTCGAAAGACGCTCTTGTGTCGAATAAGACAATACTCTGGTGAGCATTGGCCAGTCTTGCTCGATTTCGCCATTTTTGAATTTGTAGGCTTTGAAGAGACCGGTGCCACGTTTGGCCAATTCGTGGGCAACAAAGACTGGAGTTGGGATGGATGTTGGACTGTTTACATATTGGTGGAGTGAGCAAACGGCGCAGACGAGTTTTGAGATGTGCTCATCGGTGACCTCTTCGTCGTCGCGGATAACGAGGAACGATGGGACTTTGGCGGTTCCTTGGACTGGTCGGAAGGCTTGGATGAAAATCTGGCGTTTTCCGTATTCAGCGATGTCGCCACAAACAGCAGTGTCCGGAAGTGGATTCTGAAAAAAAATAATTAGAATTTTTGTTTTGGATCCTAGATTCTCTAAACTCACTGTTGGTTGATTTCCGCCATTTCCACCTCGTCCATAGAATCGTGTGTGATGTCTCTTCTTGACAACCACCGCCAAAACCGACGGTTTGTAGTTGCGAACTCCAGCTTCGTGCGCCATCGAGATGATCGTTTGCTGGATGATTTCGGCTTCACGCTCCGCCTCAATTTCTTCACCAAAAGAAACACCATCGCGGAAGATGATGATCTTTTTGGGGAATCCGCGAGCCTCGGCGAATTGTTTGACGTTTCTGGCAGTGAAACTGCGCAAAATCTCGTCGTCAATTGCTTCTTTGCGTGCTGTGGTGTAGGCGAAATCCCCGATGAATGTATATGGGCTTTCGGCAGAGTTGCACGATAACTGAAAACACGATTTTTTCTCTGAGTTGTTTTATTTTATCTTGAGATAACTCACTCCAACAGTTGATGGATTTCCATCTCGAACCGACATCTTATCCGGATGAGCAACATCCAAGCCGATCACAAAAGTTGGAACTTCGTCCCAGCAGGCGAGACTGAAAAACCATATATTTCCAAACGGTTCTATGCATTATGCAACGTACAAAGTGAAAAAAAAATGCGAAAAATCAAAAAAATATCGTGCAAACAGACTTTTTTCGCGCATTATTTTTGCATTTTCTGGTGTTTTTCGTGCCAAAATGGACAGAAATTGAAAGAATTTGTATGGAATTGTGTTTTTATCAATAAAGACGATTTCAGACAAATTCTTTCAATTTCTGTGCATTTTGCTTCGAAAAACACCAGAAAATGCAAAAATAATGCGCGAAAAAATTGTTCCACGATATTTTTTTCACTTTGCACGATCCAAAAACGATTAAACCCAACTCACTCTCTTGGAATATCCGCTTTATAATTCAAACCACCCGACTTGATGTTGGCCTTCATGACAATATTGTCCAAAGTCAAATCAAACGGCTTGCGTCGTTGTTTGATTTGGGTGTCGAGGGTTGAGCTGATTTTGCGGATATTTTTGAGCAAAACATGTTGAGTTGGCACATCGCTCATGCGTTCTTCGAATTTGAGACACTCTGAAACAATTTTTATAACTTTTTAAAGCAAAAAAGCGGGGGAAAAACCAACCATGGATGTTTGGCACATCGTCCGAGATGAGCAAGACAAACGGTTTGAAGCTTGATTTGCTGTATTGTGGATTGTTGACCATTTCGCTGAACACATACGTCAAGAATGATTCAGCTTTTTGATCGCTGTTAAGCGATTGAAATTCGCTGCGCGCAATCTTCATTCCCTTCTCCTTGCAACGTTTCACAAATTCGTTGGCGAAGAATTTTGTCGCGTCACAATCCATTTGGAAGTTTCGAGTGTAGCCGACAATCAACACAACAACCAAATAATCAATGTTGGATGGAGTGGAGAATGGATCGTCGCGAGCTCTCCAATCTCTTTTCGCATCATCGACGTGAACTGGGTTCGCATAGCTGATGGCTGGCTTGTCGACACGATCTCCGGCGATTTCACTGATGTTTTCGAATGGATCGTTGCAAAGACGAACGCCAAAGGTATCCATGATCTCGTCGTTGAATTGGAATTCGACGAAATGGTTTTGAAGATCCGCCCATCTTTCATTTGGAGCATTTGCGCGTGGCTGAAAAAATTGACAGTTATTTCAAAATTCGTCTCATGGATCGTGCAAAAAATCAATAAAATATCGTGCAAACCAGAGTACCGCAAGATTTTGTTTTGTTTCGAAACAAGGCGAAACATGAAACTGAGTTTTCTTGTAAGTGTCACTGATTTTAATGAATTTCGAAACAAAAATAGCACCACTCAAAAACAATTCACAACACTTCACAAATAAAAAATGATCAGACAATTAAAAAGATCGAATTAGAAAAATATTAAAAGCGTGACACGGTGCAGGTGTGACGTGTTTTCGATGCAAAACATTTTCAAAAAATGAAATGCTTCACGTGTTTTTTCATAACACATTTAATTTTTCGAAATGTGTCAAACCAAAAAAGAGTGACACAAAAAAATGTTTCACGTTTTGAAAAAATTAATTGTGTGACACATTAAAATGTGTCACACAAATTTTGTATGACACATTCAATTTTTAAAAATGTTTCATTGGTTTTCAACGAAACAAAAATGATCAGCTGTTTTGTTTCGCCACATTTTACCATTTTCTCTATTAGAGAATTTGATAGAAAAAGCGACCTGGAAGTGAATTTGAGCACATTTTGAATAGATTAGTTTGTGAAGATACTATTTCACTGTTGAGAACTTATGAAATGGACCCGAAAAGTCGGACCAAGTCAGATTTTTTGAAAAAAAACTGACAAGGAAACCTTTCGGAACCGCCAAAAAATTGATAATTTTTTCCAGCAAACCTCACCCAATACCTGATATTCCAGGTGGGCATTTTTTTTTTGGAAAACCTAACCTTGTAAGTGGGCAAAAAATTTAAGGGCTTTCAAGGCCAGCCTCAGTCGGGAAAAACATTTTCACTAGGTGGGTAATTTTGAAAAATGAACCCAGGTGGGCAATTTTTCAGCCACTGCTCCAGGTTCTTGAGTGAGGTTTGTTTTTTCAGAAACCTAAAGTCTTCCACAAAATCTTAGCCTCACCGCCAAATTTTTCAAAAATTCTGAAATTTGCTTTAATGTGGAAAATAAAAACCCCTATTTTTCAAAAAAAAAAATCAAGTTTTCATTTCAGCCTCATTTTCATCTCAAATTTGAAGTAGGGCACATTTATGTATCATCTTTTGACACATTTTGGCTATACCAACTTTTTTTTTTAGAAAAAATCAAACTTCCGAATTTTTGAAAATTTTGACGGTGAGGCTAATTTTATGGAGGACAGTAGGTTTCTGGATAAAATTATCAATTTTTGGCGGTTCCGAAAGTTTTCCTTGTCAGTTTTTTTTCAAAAAATCTGACTTGGTCCGACTTTTCGGGTCCATTTCATAAGTTCTCAACAGTGAAATAGTATCTTCACAAACTAATCTATTCAAAATGTGCTCAAATTCACTTCCAGGTCGCTTTTTCTATCAAATTCTCTAATAGAGAAAATGGTAAAATGTGGCGAAACAAAACAGCTGATCATTTTTGTTTCGTTGAAAACCAATGAAACATTTTTAAAAATTGAATGTGTCATACAAAATTTGTGTGACACATTTTAATGTGTCACACAATTAATTTTTTCAAAACGTGAAACATTTTTTTGTGTCACTTTTTTGGTTTGACACATTTCGAAAAATTAAATGTGTTATGAAAAAACACGTGAAGCATTTCATTTTTTGAAAATGTTTTGCATCGAAAACACGTCACACCTGCACCGTGTCACGCTTTTAATATTTTTCTAATTCGATCTTTTTAATTGTCTGATCATTTTTTATCGTGACACTCGCTGAAAAAACAAAAAATGACTCAGATAGAAAGTGAAAACATTGAAATTTTGTAAAATGTTCTGCTAAAACCAAGTGAAACTGTTTCACAAAAATGTTTCGTTGCGGTACTCTGGTGCAAACAGACCCATTTTTTGCATTTTCTCGTGTTTTTCGAGCCAAAATGGACAGAAATTGAAAGAATTTGTCTGAAATGGTGTTTTTATTGATAATGAAGGAAAAATCAGCGGTGCATCTTTTTTTTCAAAGTCGTTTTTTCTCGTTTCACCACTTATTTGAGAAAAAAGAAAAAAAACGACTCATTTTTCTTGATTCACCACTGATTTTTCCTCCATTATCAATAAAAAGACTATTTCAGACAAATTCTTTCAATTTCTGTCCATTTTGGCTCGAAAAACACCAGAAAATGCGAAAAAATGCGTCTGTTTGCACGATATTTGATTTTTTCACTCTGTACGATTCATTAGATCGTCAGCTTACAGTCAAATCGAACTCCTCCAAAACTCTACGATCAATCGATTGATATGGAAGAATACGCAACTTCTCCAACGGATATCTGCGCTTGTTCGGTCCGATTCCACAAAGAGCAGCCGGGAAATGTGGATACTTGAGTTTCTCGTGTTTCTCCGCGTATTCCGCATTAGTCGGCGCCGCATAATCCAAATCGGAAACAATGATGGTGTTGGTGGCCCAATCGTTCAAATCACTGTAGAATGGGTTGCATTTCAAGTCTCGGAAGAGTGTTTTGGCGGCTCGAATGATTTTGCTATTTGGATTGGTTGGTCCACGACGTGGATCTTCGCTGAAGTCTCTTGGAAAGGCTTTCAACAACAATTCGGCAAGAGTGATTGGCGCGTAATATTGTGTTGATTGAGCTGAAGAATCAAATATTGAGATTTTGTTAGTTCCAAAACGGGAATCTAGACATTTTCATGTTTTTTAAGAAAGTGAGTTGAAATATTGGATTCTAATGTTAATCATATGATAGAATGGTCTAAGACGAACAGAATTATATAAATTTTGATGACTTTACGTTATCCTTAAGTGATTTAGCGACGTTATCTACTAAACCTCGCTAAATCACTTATGGATAAGGTAAAGTCATCAAAATTTATATCATTCTGTTCGTCTTAGACCATTCTATCATATGAATAAAACTAAAACCCAATATTGCAACTCATTTGCTTAAAAAACATGAAAATGTCATGTCTAGATAAACATACGATCCAACTCCAAAATCGGCAATGGCGAGCCAGCTTGTCCAACAATTCGGCAACCTTTATGAACACCTTTCGCGCCAACCGCCCAACCATTTTTCAAATTCATCATATATTGAGTGTTCACATAAAGTCCCTTTGATTGCGACAAATATTTGCCACTTTTAATCGCACCTTGTGAAGTAACAATATCAAGATAACCATAGAAACGTGGATCTTCCCATTCTTTGAAATCGATTTGATTGAATGATGGTTTGTCGAGATCTGGATCGCAGGTGACTTCGATGACACCGTTCAAGAATTTCAACGAGTCCACCAAGAAGTTTGAGATTCCCGGAATTTGCAAAGCATCCTCGTTGCTAATTTCGATTGCGGCAGCGATTGGTTCCAAGGCGAACAAAGTTTGCGCACCATCATAAGCAACCGGCAACTTGGTGTCACGATCTGGCTTGATTTTCTTGTTTTCAGCGATGAAATGGTCGAGAACACGATTGGTGAGAATGAAATTGTCGCGTTGTTTCGACGCGCGATTTCCACGTCCGCGAGAACTCATTGTAGTCAGGATGAAGTCCTTCTTGTTCTTGTGGTCGACCAATTTGATTTGGACAACATGGCGAAAGATCTCCCTCTCCTCCAATCCTATTCCGAAGATGTTGAGGCTTAATTGCTGAAAAACCATGGTTTTTGGGGGATTTTCAGCGAAATTTCAGCATTTTCCAACTCACCACACTGTTATTATTCATGTTTGAGCTGATTTTTGAGGTCTTCTGCAAAAAAACAACTGTTTTGACACAAAAAACTGCCAAAAACACGCAAAAAAAATAAAAAATGATGGATTTTGGGATTTTCTGGAAGCGCGCGCGTGAAAAAACACGGCGACGCACTTTTGCGGACGTGTGATTTTCAAAGAGCGCACACACGTTTCTTCCTGGGAAGAACATAGGGCCTGGAGGTCTGGAAATTAGTGTAAGTGTTTGAGTGATATAGGGGAAGCCCTATTTATTTAGGATAATAAGGAAAAATCTAAAATCCTTCAAGTTTTTGAAGGAAAACCACAATAAACAAGTAAACGTTGCATACCGTAATCGCTGGCGGGGGTTTGAAAAAAAATTGAAAAAAATTGTTTTTTTTTGATTTTCAGAAGCAAATCACGCCATCCTCCACAATAAAATCGAAAAACCTCTCACACACCGAATCAGTAATACTCAAATGCGCTCTACTGTCATTCGTATTCTTCATTCCCAACGCCATCAAAGCGTTCGTCCTATTTTTCGCCGATTCTCCAACAATCATCAATCTGGTGACGTCAGCCTGGTTTTTCACCACCGAAATCATGTGCATCAGTACACCGTGGAGCCTGATTTTGACGAGTAGGAAGTTACGCGAACTCGTCTGGCCTGGATTTTTGAGAAATGTTGTTTTTAAACCGCCGCAAAGCACTCATGTGTAGGTTTTTTTTAAAAAATTGAAAAAAAAATTTGAATTTTTTTCAGCACACGCTCGTTTTAAAAACGTGCTCCAATTCGAATTGACCGCCCAAAATGTCAAATTCAAAAAAAAATGTCCAAATCAAATCAATCCCAATTTTGTAACTCGCCAAAAAATGCCGGAAAAAGTTAGAACTCCTCGTACGGTTTTGAATGAACAAGATTTGCCGGTGGTTGATGGATGGAATGCGGCTTATGTGAGTGACACACCGTGACTTTTTTTCGCGCCGAAATTTGATGAAAAATGATGGTTTTTGGGGCGAAAACGAGCGAAAATGCGGTTTTCGTGGTGGGACCCGAGAAAAATCCGATGGGTCTCGCAGCGAAATCCCCAAATTCTTCAGAAGTAGTGCATGTTTATACTCAAAATGCTCCAAATTTCACAGGGAGCAAGAGGAGAGCCTTGAAAATTCAAAATTTTCGCTGCGAGACCCAAAAACCTGGGTCTCGCAGCGAAAAAACTGAAAATTATCAGAAAATAGGCATGTTTATACTCAAAATGCTCCGAATTTCACAGGGAGCAAGATGGGAGCCTTGAAAATTTGAAATTTTCGCGTCGGGACCCAAAAAATCAGGTTTTTTCGCTGCAAGACCGAAAAAACCAGGTTTTTTCTCTGTGAGACCGAAAAAATCAGGTTTTTTCGTTGCGAGACCGAAAATATCTGGTTTTTTCGCTGCAAGACCGAAAAAATCAGTTTTTTTCGCTGCGAGACCGAAAATATCTGGTTTTTTCGCTGCAAGACCGAAAAAATCAGTTTTTTTCGCTGCGAGACCCAAAAACCGGGGTCTCGCCACGAAAACCCTGAAAATTATCAGAAAATAGGCATGTTTATACTCAAAATGCTCCAAATTTCACAGGGAGCAAGCTGGGAGCCTTGAAAATTTGAGTTTTTCGCTGCGAGACCCAAAAACCTGGGTCTCGCAACGAAAACCTTCAAAATTATCAGAAAATAGGCATGTTTATACTCAAAATGCTCCAAATTTGCAGTCGGACCTGCTCAAATACCTCTCCGCCTCACACGGTGAACTCATCGACCACATTGTGCTCAAAATCGAAGAGCTCGGCGTCAAACGCGATCATTTGACCTACATTGCGTTCGGTTTGACGGGATTCTATTTGATTTTCGGCTCGGCGGCCAGATTGTTGTGTAATTTTATTGGATTCGGCTATCCGATGTATGCATCGGTTAAGGTGAGCGTTTTGCGGGATTTTTGGCTGAAAATTTGAGATTTTCAGAGAATTTTAAGCCAGAAACGTGGTTTTTAGGCTGAAAATCTGAAAATTTCCGGATTTTTTAACCCAAAAATCGAATTTTTGATGAATTTTAAGCTAGAAACGTGGTTTTTTGGCTGAAAATCATGTTTTTTGACTGAAAATCTGAAAAAATCCTGATTTTTTAACCCAAAAATCACTTTTTCCGTGCAATTTTCCTAGTCTTATTAGGAAATGACGAATAAAATAATTGAATTTCACAAATTCTCGCTGAAATTCAATTTTCAGCGCAAAAATCTGAAATTTTTCGAAATTTCTAGGGGAAACACGGGATTTTACGCGAAATTGCGGACTTTTTCAGATACAGTACCTTTCTAGATCAATTTTTGATGAAAAATTTGAATTTTTGAATTTCCCGGGGTCAATTTTCCACGCGGGACCCGATTTTCCCGCCAAATTTTGATCTACCATGAGAAAATGTGGTTTTTTGGCTTTTGGAAAGGTTTCTGGACCAATTTTTGCTGAAAAATTTTAATTTTTGAAGTTTCCCGGGTTAATTTTCCACGCGGGACCCGATTTTCCCGCCAAAATTTGATCTACCGTGAGAAAATGGGGATTTTTCACATTAAGAAGCTTTCTAGATCAATTTTTGATGAAAAATTTGAATTTTTGAATTTCCCGGGGTCAATTTTCCATGTGGGACCCGATTTTCCCGCCAAAATTTGATCTACCATGACAAAATTGGGGTTTTTCACATTAAGAAGCTTTCTAGACCAATTTTTGATGAAAAATTTGAATTTTTGAATTTCCCGGGGTCAATTTTCCATGCGGGACCCAAAAATTCCACAATTTTCCCGCCAAAACGGCTCTAGGCCAATTTTCAATGAAAAATCGTGTAAAAATCTTCATGAAAATTACTAAAAATTTGAAAATTTGTCAAAAATATGATTTTTAACATGAAAATCACTTAAAAAATTCAAAAAATTGTCAAAAATGAGGATTTTCGGCTTCCGGAAACTTTTCTAGACCAATTTTCAATGAAAAATTTGAATTTTTGAACTTCCCGGGACAATTTTCCACGCGGGACCCAAATTTTCGCATGAAAATTGCTAAAAATTTGATCTAATTGCATTTTTGCAGGCGATTCGCAGTCATCAAACCGACGACGATACAATTTGGCTAATCTATTGGACGTGTTTTGCTGTTTTGTCACTTTTTGACTTTTTCTCCGAAGGAATCCTCTCATTTTTCCCATTTTACTACATTTTCAAGGCGATTTTCTTGATCTACTTGTATTTGCCACAAACTCATGGATCCATTGTTTTCTATCACAAAGTTGTGAATCCGTTGGTCAATTCGATCGATATTTTATTGGGATCGGGTGGAAATTCGGGAAATTCTGGAAATCCGGCTGAAAATACACAAGCTCCACTTACAGCTCCAACAAATTAGACGAAAATTGAGCCGGAATGAAGGTTTTTACACGATTTTTTGTTGAAAATTGGGTCCCGTGTGGAAAATTGACCCCGGGAAATTTAAAAATTCAAATTTTTCATCGAAAATTGGTCTAGAAAAGTTTTCTAATGTTAAAAATCCTCTTTTTGGCGGAATTTTGGGTCCCGGGAAATTTGAAAATTCAATTTTCTCCCCGTTATTTCCAGGTTACTGTAGCTGTTGTTTTTTTTTGCGCGAAAATCAAAAATTCAAATTTTTTTGTATTTTTTGATAATTATAATTTTTGCTTTTTTTTCTGAGAAATCTATAATTTTCAGATGTTTTTTTTTTGTTTTTCAAGATTTTTTTTCAAAAAAAAAAAAATAATTTTGGGGGATCTGAAAATCTCTAAAAATTTTTGCCACGTCATAACTAGAGTGTAGTATCATTTTGTAGCTCTTGAAATTCTCTACAAAATGAGCTACAGTAATCCAGGAGTACTGTAGAATTTTTGGGGGGAAGCAATGTCTAATCAATTTTCAAAATTTCGCCAAAAAAATTCATAGAATTTTTGAAACAGTGAAAATTTTTGGATCAAAAAATTTCCGAAAATTTTAAAACAAGTTTTCAGTTGATTTCTAGTCACTTTTGAGCTGAAATTAATGCGATTCAGGCTAAAAAATAACTATTTGAAACGTATAAAAAACGGGTAAAATTTTCCGATTTTATTTTGTATTTTGAACAATTTGATTCATGATTACTCATGTTATTTGTTGATAGAATATCGATTTTCCCCCTAAAAATTGCTACAGTAATCCAGGACTACTGTACATCTCAAAAACGTCAAAAAAACTGTAATTTTTCAGCTAGCACTTCTGAATGAACTACTGAATAATTCTCGAAAACTCCGGTCGACATTAATTATTTGAAACGTATAAAAAACGTGTAAAATTTCAGGTCCAAATTTCGGAATTTTCAGATTTTCAAAGGTAAAAGAGTTGATTTCGAGCTGAAATTTATGAAATTTAGGCTCAGAATGTCTTTCTTTCTAAAAATATTGAAACAGTGAAATTTTTCAAATTCAACAATTAACTTTGCCACGTCATAACTCGTGCATAATTGAAAATAGTATCATTTTGTAGCCCTTCAAATTCTCTACAAATTGAGCTACAGTAATCCAGGGGTACTGTAGAATTTTTTGGGTTATCCAATAGCTTATCATTTATTTTAATTTCAAAAAAAAATTCATAGAAAAATATTTGTGAATGTATCAATTTCCAAAATTTCGCCAAAAAAATCATAGAAATTTTGAAACAGTGAAAATTTTCTGATAAAAAATTGGTTTTTTTTTTTGAAAATTTTCCACGTCATAACTAGAGTGTAGTTTTATTTTGTAGCTCTCAATACAAATTTTGATAAACAATCTGAAATTTGGAGTAACTCTAAGAATCAAAGTTGATTTTCAGACATTTTCAGCTTTGAAATTCCGAATTTTCAGATTTTCAGAGATCAAAAATTCGATTTCGAGCTGAAATTGATGAAATTTGGGCTCAAAATGCTCCAAAAAATTCTGTTACCGATTTTTTAATAAATGAAAAAAATGAAAAAGCATCAAAAAACTCCCGAATTTTTCTTATATAATTTTTGAAACAGTGAAAATTTTCAAGTCAAAAATCCACTTTGCCACGTCATAAGTAGAGTGTAGTTAAAGACACATCAGCCACTGGAAAAAACAGATTTCCCGCATTTATTTTCAAATGAGAAAAACAGCATGTGCGCTCTATTGCTTCGTTGTGTGCAAACTCTTTCGAAAATCCCGTCGGCTCAGCGATTTCAAAAACAATTATTTTGTTTTTTTCACTTTTGCCAGACTCAAAATTTTTTCTTGATTTTTATGAATTTCGATTACTTGAAAGGTGTTATGAAAGAATAACAAACTCATTTTCTGTTCATTTCTAGTGGATTGTGTGTCTTTAAGAGTTTAGTATCATTTTGTAGCATTTGAAATTCTCTACAAATTTTTACCTTATTTAAGACAAAAATTAATCAATTTCAGCTGAAAATTCTCAAAAAATCATCAATTTTTTAGCTGAAATTTAGACTCAAAATGCTCCAAATAATAAATAGTATAGGTCAGTTTTCGAAAAATAGAGAGATACAAAGTGAACAAAAAAAAAAATTTCAAATATTTTTCTCATAAAAATTTTGAAACAGTGAAAAATTATGAATATTTTAACTCTTTTTTTTTTTAGTGGATATTAGCCATTTTCAGCTTGGAAATTTTGAATTTTCAAATTTTCAGAGATTTTAGCTCAAAAAGCCCGAATTTCAGACCGAAAATTGGCCTTTTTCAGGCTCGAAGTCTAGTCTCATTTGGGCTCAAAAATTGATTATGAGCTGAAAAAAAATCACAAAATTCTACCACTTTTTTTATACGTTTCTAAAAATTACCTTCAACCGGATTTTAAATGTTTTTCGACATTTTTAGTTGGAATTTTTAACAAATTTGACATTTCGATATTTTCAGAGTCCAATAAATTGTTCTAACAATTTTGTGAGCTAAAATTGAAAATTCAACAGTACACTACAGTTCTAAAATGTGTGAGGGCTCGGTTTGTTGCTCTCGAAATCCTCTACAAAATGAGCTACAGTAATCCAGGAGTACTGTAGAAATTTTTGGAGGTACAATCGATCTTTTTTCATCATCAGTTCTCGAAATTTTGCAAAAAAAAATTATAGGAATTTTGAAACAGTGGAAATTTTTTGATCAAAAAATTGGATTTTTTCGCCACGTCATAACTAGAGTGTAGTATCATTTTGTCGCCCAATTTTCTCTACAAAATGAGCTACAGTAGTCCAGGATTACTGTAGAATTTCCAGGGGGTACTGTAGAAACAATGTGCTGTCAACCAAATTTTCAAATGTCCGCAAAAAAACTCATAGAATTTTTGAAACAGTGAAAATTTTCTGATAAAAAATTGGTTTTTTTTTTTGAAAATTTGCCACGTCATAACTAGAGTGTAGTTTCATTTTGTAGCTCTTCAAATTCTCTACAAAATCAGCTACAGTAATCCTGGGTTACTGTAGAATTTTTGGGGGGAAGCAATGTCTAATCAACTTTCAAAATTTCGCCAAAAAAATTCATAGAAATTTTGAAACAGTGAAAATTTTTGGATAAAAAAATTGAGATTTTATGCCACGTCATAACTAGAGTCTAGTTTCATTTTGTAGCTACAGTAATCCAAGATTTTTCATTTAACAAAAAAAAACGTACAAAATCAACAACAACAAAGAAAAATAGGGAAAAGTAATTAAAAATTTAATTAATTAATTAAGAAAATTATTGATTTCCAGGTTTTCTTCCATTTTGTCTCATCAAATAATTTCTCAATGATTTCTGTTGATCTCTAAAAGATCTTTGACGATTTCGGCCTCGAACCTTATTTTTGACCATTGCAAACACTTTTTCGTTTTGAATTCGCATCATTTGTTCGGCCAACGTGGGCACCCTGCGAATTAATTGAATTTTGGTGGAAAAATTTGGATTTCTGATGAAATTTTGAATTTTCTGAGTCTAAACTTGATTTTATTGTAAATTTTGGAACCTGAAATTAATTTTAGGTTAAATTTGTGATTTTCAGATCTGAAATTCGAAAAAAATGACTAGAGTGTATTCTCATTTTGTAGCTCTCAAAATTCTCTACAAATTGAGCTACAGTAATCCTGGGGTACTGTAGATTTCGAAATAAAAAACGCTTATATATAAATTTTCAAAATTTCAGGAAAAATTCATAGAAATTTTGAAACAGTGAAAAATTTTTGGATCAAAAAATTGGATTTTTTTTGGAAAATTTTGCCACGTCATAACTAGAGTGTAGTTTCATTTTGTAGCCCTTCAAATTCTCTACAAATTGAGCTACAGTAATCCAGGGGTACTGTAGAATTTCGAAAAACAGACGATTATCTATCAGTTTCAAAATTTCACAAAAAAATTCATAGAATTTTTGAAACAGTGAATTTTTTTCTTTTTAAAACTAGAATTTTTGCCACGTCAACTAGAGTGTATTAGCCTTTTACCGATCGGTGCACCTCGCTCTATCGCACTCGCCATGGAAGAGAAAAGTTTTTTTTCGCGTCCTAGGATCCGACACACTCGGCCATCTTTTTTGTTTTTGTTTTTCTTTTTTTCGAAACGTTTTTCGTTTGTTTCTGAACGAGTTTGCATTTAATCAAGCTCCAAATTGTTGATATTTGGCTGGAAAGTGATATTTGGAGGTAAGACTAAGTTTTTCTATAAATTTTAGTTGGTTTTTTCCAGGAATTCGGCCATTTTTGACGGAAAAATGAAATTCGAGGATGTTTGCCGATTTCGCGAGTTTTAGCAACAATTGGATGAATTCATCGATGAATTTCAATTGATAATTGTCATTGGTGGATACAATAAGTCAGGAGATTGCATAAAAGAAGACGAAAACGAGAAAAACTGAGAATAAAATGCGCAAGGAGTTGCCGAGAAGAGGAGCAGGTGTGACGATTGGAATGTTATGGTGTCGACAGACGATTTAAAAACGGAAATGAGAATTTCAGTTATGATGTGTAATCGGTGGATGAAGGCATTCAAGAAGATTAGAAGCAAAGAAATGATGAAAATTGAGATTGAGAGAAAAATATGAAGGTTTTGATGGTGATTGATGTGTCAAAGTCGATTTTGATGTTATTTGAAGCGCCCTGAATTGCCGGAAAAGCCTGATACGCGTAAGAGTTCTTTTAAAAACAAATAACAACAAAATAATTGAGAAAAAACCCTAAAAATAACATAAAAATTGAAAAAACCCTAAATATAACATAAAAATTGAAAAAAACCCTTAATTTAACATATAAATTTTGTAAATATAGCTTTGGAGCATTCAATGCTCAGTTTGCTTGCAATAGTGGCATTTCATCATCTGATTCATAATCACTCTCCACATCTGAAGCTACCAATAATTCTTCTGTATCATCTTCTTCCAAATCAGGCATTTCAGCCATAATTTCAATCCTTCTCTTTTCTAACAATTTTCTCAAATCATTTTCAGTTTTCAAAATCTTTTTGAAAATCTTTTTTGCTTCTTCCTCTGTATATTCATCCATGAATTTTAGCATGGTGTCCCGAACCTTAAAAAAATCCTGAATATATTCTATGTTTAGTAATCTACATACTGTTTCTACTTGTGTTTTTGTAGTTCCTTGGCGTCTTGTATGATCTTTCAATTGATTCCAGAACAACTCAATACCATTGAAAAAACAATGGTATGGAGGTGTTCTCAAAATTTTCACTTGATGCTCGGTCCAGGCCCAGTGATCGAGTTCATAAACAATAAAATTTCTTCGTCCACCATTTTCGGCAACGAATTTCCTGGAGCAATCAAGTAAATGTGGTTTTCTCGTCAAACCTTCGTAGTCGACGTTGTGTTTGTCGAGAAACTGCTTGATTTCAGAAATTGTGCTCGCAGAAGTGGGTGGCTGAATTGTTTTTGTTAGTATTTTAACGGAAATTGTAATTTTGATGTAATTTTGAATTGTTTTGAAGAAACTAGCCTTTTCTCGCATCTTGTTATGATAACTTGCGTTATCCGCCACTAAAACAGCTTCTCTTCCTTGTGCTTTAGCTTCCGCCGCAATAAGTGGAATAATCCTTTTCATATATTCTTCTGTTTTCTTAGAATCCATCTCTTGATGGTAGTCTTCTGACTGATCCTCTGGTTTTTTCCCGCTAATTATGACTTCTGCTGATCCTTTCAAAATCCCATCTTCCGTTAAAACCCCTAGAACAATACATCTTCTTCCTTTATTCTTCCCTTTGGCCGGACCTTGAACAGGTTCATCGATATTTGCCATTCTGGCTTTTTCATACATGTCTCCATGTGCACATTGCCAGTCTCTTTCTGTTACCATTCCTTCATATCCCCAAGTCTCATCATAATAAACTATATAAGCATTCTTTTTTCTATATTCTTCAATTTCCCTCAAAAATCTAGTTCTCCACGCAATAAGATCAGGTCTTTCTTCAATAATTGTGTTCCTTTGCTTTTTTTTGAAACAATATCCTAATCCATAAAGAACATATGAAAGAACGGTGCGACCATATTGATAATCAGTATATGTTTGCAGCCATTCAGTCATTTCTTTCAATGTCACCACACTTTCTTCTTTCCACTTAGTTTGCAAATATCCATTAATCATAATTTTTGTTTGCAAACTAATGCTGTCAGCATAGTGTTTTTGTCGCTCTCTTTTAGTCATGAAAGTTGGTTTTGGTGATGGAGTCGGTGGTTGATCAAAGCCAGGTGTAGAATTTACAAGACGAACTGATAAACCAGACAAAGCTGCTGTCGTTTTGTTAACATTGTCGAAAATTGTATTTTTTGCAGTTTTTCCTAGATGTTCTTTGATAATTTTCAAATTTTCTTTCAGAGTAACAACAACATCTTCTGCTCTTCGCGACAACGGCAATCGTTGAAGCTCTGTGTGTTTTTGGAAAATATCGAATGGAAGGCAGGAGACAGCTTTTCCCAATGACACATATTTCCTCATTTCCTAAATTTTTTGTTTCATGATAATTTTAAAAATTGTTATCTTCTATTCTTTTTCAAAAATGCGGTTTTTCAGTTATTTTGACAGAAATCTGTCTTGTTTTTTTTATTTTATGACAAATTATCAAAATTATTCTTTACTTTTTGTTCAATTTTTTGAAATCATAGGCTAAATTTTGGTATTTTATTCGTTCGAAATTTAATTATTTCAACCAAATGTTTTTCGTTTAAATTATTGATTTGTCTAAATTATTTTTGATTTCTCCAAAGTTTATATAAGTTGAAATGAGATGTTTCAGGGAATTTGTATTTTGTTTTGATAATTTTCAGGTTTACAATTCGGTGAAATCGTTTTTCGCAAAGTTTTTTTTCAGAAAATGGTTGCTCTATCACTGACTTTTTCTTCTTGCTCGCTCAGTTGTTGTTCGCTTGAAGTTTGACAGGATTGATTTACAGGACTGGTTTTTGTTTCAACCGCTTGTTTTGGTTTTTCGTCCAATGTCTGGGTCTTTTTAACTTTTGTCAATTTCGGCGTCTGAGTGCCAAAATTGCGGAAACCTCTTCTGTGGACATGAGATGCTGCTGAAAATGTTGATTGAAAATGAGGTTTCATTCTATATAACCTTTACCCGCTTCACGCCCAGCAAACCAATCGGGTCGTATAGGTTTCGATAGCATGTTTCAGTTGGTCGGTTTAGATTTATTGTTCAACAGAAAAAAACGAAAAAAAAAGAAAAATAATTTGCATTTGAACTCGTGCGCTTTTTTTGGCGCGTCGCGTGCGATGCGGAGCGTGTTTGTTCGATGGAGCGAGATGCACCGACGTATGAAAGGCTAATAGTTTCATTTTGAAGCTCTCAAGATTCTCTACAGTAATCCAGGGTTACTGTAGAATTTTAGAGGTAAAAATCCGGGATTTTCAGGTTTCTAGGCTCATTTTTCACGTAATTTTGCTCAAAATGCACCAAAATTCTCGATTTTTGGCTCAAAACCCCCGGAAAAACTCACATTTTTCTTTGGTCGTCCAAATTTATAATCATTATCCTCTCTCCCAGCCGCAACATCAGCCAATCTTTCCTCTTTTGTCTGTCGTTTTTTCTTGTGGAATTGTTCAATGTCCGAGAGACGAGCCAAACCATCTGAGGATTTTTTCCTGGAAAAAAATTTGAAATTTGAATTTTTTGAGCCGAAATGAGCTAGAAAATCAAAATTTTGATGAAAAATTGATTTTTTCTAGGGGTTTTGTGGCATTTTCTAGTTTCTAGGCATTTTCAGACCAAAAATTCTGAATTTTCAGATTTTCAGAGGTAGAAAAGTTGATTTTAGGCACACCTCGGCTAAAATCGTGGTTTCCGAAATAAAAAATAGTACGCTAACTTTTTACAGTACAAAAATTGTGAATTGTTCAGTTTTTGTCCTCTAAAAACTGAAATTTAAATTTTTCCAAAAATTGTACTCTGGCTAGCCACGGCTTGGCCGAGGTGTGATTTTAGGCTGAAATTTATGAATTTTGAGCCAAAATGAGCCAGAAAATCAAAAATTTAATGAAAAATTGACCAAAAAAAAATGTTTTTCTTCAAATTTTCATAAAAATTTTGAAACAGTGAAATTTTTCTGACCCAAAATTAAGAATTTTGCAACGTCATGACTAGAGTGTAGTATCATTTTGTAGCTCTTCAAATTCTCTACAAAATGAGCTACAGTAATCCTGGGGTACTGTGGAATTTTAGGGGGAAATCGATATTTTATTAAAAAATAGTTAGACAGATATATCAATTTCCAAATTTCGCTAAAAAATTCATAGAATTTTTGAAACAGTGAAAAATTGTGAAATTTTTTTTCTAGGTATTTCTGGGTCGAAAATTCCGAATTTTCAGATTTTCAGAGGTCGAAAACTTGATTTTCAGCTGAAATTGATGAAATTAAGGCTCGAAGTGCTCCAAAAAATTATGTGAGCAATTTTTTTAGAATTAAAGAATCAAACGAATCATAATCATCGAAAAATTCCAAACATTTTTCTTATAAAAATTTTGAAACAGTGAAAAATTGTGAAATTTTTTCTAGGGTTTTGTGAGTTTCTAGGCATTTTCAGGTCAAAAATTCTGAATTTTCAGATTTTCAGATGTCAAAAACCTGATTTTAAGCTGAAATTGATGAAATTTGGGCTCAAAATGCTCCAAAAATTATCGAAATATTTTCAAAAAAAGGAAATAAAAAAACAGCATTTCAAAAACTTCAATTTTTTACTCATGGAAATTTTGAAACAGTGAAAAATTGTGAAATTTTTTCTGGTGGTTTTATGAGTTTCTAGGCATTTTCAGCTTGGAAATTTTGAATTTTCAGATTTTCAGAGGTCAAAAATTTGATTTCAGGCTGGAATTTATGATTTTCAGCTCAAAATTCATCAATTTTCATGAATTTCAGCTCAAAATTCATCAAATTCCTCAATTTTCATCTCAAAATTTTCATCTCAAAATCACTCACATTTCCAATCTCTCAGTCATTTCCTCAACAATTCGCTCATCCGCATTACTTCTTCCTTTTCCCATCTGTTTTTTCAACCGTTTTTCACCAATCAATTGTTTTTTCATTTGATATGCTTTGATGTTTCGGAAATCTTCTTGCGTCAAAATTCGATCCAAACAAATCGCTTCCGCCTTCTTTTTTGGGTCAATTTCTTGGGTTTCAGCCAATTTTTTAGCATTTTCAGCGGGATTTTCAGCTTCTTCAGCTTCTTCCTCATCATCTGCTTCAATTTCCTCTTCATCATCAATTTCAGAATTTTCTTCTTCTTCCTCATCTTCAAATTCACCTTCTTCATCCGAAATTTCTGGAAAAATGGGAGTTTAATATGAGCAATGCTGGAATTTTTGTAATTTTGATGAAAAAAAACGTTTAAAATGAGCAATGCCGGAATTTTTGATGAAAATTCGTTTCTTGGGCAAAAGTTTAAAGATTTTCAGAGCTAATATGAGCAATGCCGAAATTTTTGGTTTAAAATTCAAAATTTCAATAATTTTTTCTGCTTAACATGAGCAATGCAATGGAAATTTCAAATTTCTAGAAAAACGGGTTTTTAGAGTTTAGTATGAGCAATGCTTTCAGAATTTCGGGTTTTCGTTTGGAAAAATCTGAAATTTTCAGAGTTAACATGAGCAATGCCAAGTTTTTCTTCAAAAATGTAATTTAATTGAATTTTCTGGTACTAATATGAGTAATGACTCAATTTTCATGAATTTTAGCTCAAAATTCTTCAATTTTCATGAATTCTGGGTCAAAACTCATCTTAACATGAGCAATGCTCCAATTTTCATGAATTCCAGCTCAAAATGTTCAGTTTTCGCTCAATTTTTCATTTTAAGACCTGAAATTTCTCAATTTTCATGAATTTTGAGTGAAAATTCAGTTTAACATGAGCAATGCTCCAAATTTCATGAATTCTGGCTCAAAATTCTTCATTTTTCACTATTTTCAGGTCAAAAACCTTCAAAAATCTTAATTTTTGATGATTTTCAGGTTTCTGAGCTTGAAAATGCTCATTTTTAATGAATTTTAGCTCAAAATTCATCATTTTTGGCTCAAAAAATCCCAAATTTTCAGATTTTCATGAATTTTGGCTCAAAATTCCCCAAAAACCCTCACCTTCCATCTCCTCTTCATCTTCCTGATCCTCCTCAACTTCTTCTTCCTCCTCCTGAACTCTTCTCTTCTTCAAAACCGGACCATCATCCTCATCCCCATCAGTATCAACTTCATCCGTATCCACGTCAGAAACCTCAATTTCAGAATCGGAATCCACGTCATCTCCAAGAACATCTCCAGAATCTTCCGCACCTTCCGCATCCAAAACCTCCGCGCCCTGCACAAAATCATGCACTTTCGGCCGTGCAAATCCGCAATACTCCTGTTCCTCTTCCGCCTCTCCGCGCTCCCCAGGTTTTCCGCGATCTTTCCGCGCCAACAGTCGCGGATTCGTCGCGCGGAAAAGTGTGATAAGACTTCTTGCTGCCATCGATACATTCTTATTTTTGTATGTTTTGTAGTCAGCCAAATCGCGCAGCAATTCTTCAGTGGCAGCGAATGGGCAATTCGCGAGAATCTCGCGAATCGCATTGATTCCCACAGTCATGGCTTCTGGGGAATTTCGATCGGTCACGAAATTGTTGGCAATGACGCGGAGAAGTTGTTCGACGGTGTCTGGGGGAACCATTTCGTGGCATGATTGAGCGGCGTAGAGAAGGATTTTGGTGACCTGGAATTAAATTTTTGATCTAGAGAAGTGGAAAAGGCTTGGTAGGGGAGAGGAGAAGAGTTAGGCTAAGTTCTAGAGAAATTTTTGATGAAATTTAGCAATTTTTCTGAATTTAGGCTAACTTCTAGTGGTTTTTCGGTGAAAAATTCGAAAAATTGACGAAGTTTGGAAACTTTTCTGAATTTATTAGGGATTTTTTGAAACCTGAAATTAAATTCAGGATTCTAGCTGAGTTTTAATGAATTTTTAATCGAAATCCAGCTATTTTCAGAATTTTTGATGAAAATTTCGGTTTTTCAGTCAATTTTTATTAGAAGTTAGCCTAACTTTCCAGAATTTACAGGATTTTTGGTGACCTGGAATTAAATTTAGGCTTGGGATGAAAGCTAGGGGAGTTAGGGTAAGTTCTAGAGAATTTTTGATGAAATTTAGCAATTTTTCTGAATTTAGGCTAACTTCTAGTGATTTTTCGGTGAAAAATTTGAAAAATTGGTGAATTTTCAGCCTAGTTTTGATGAAATTCAGCTATTTCAGTCAATTTCCAATTAAAATTAGGCTAACTTTCAAGATTTTCAGGTTTTTCATGAAATTTTTGTGCTAAAATTTCAGAATTTTCAGTAAAAACAGTGAAATCCAGCTATTTTCAAAGGTTTTAATGAATATTTCGGATTTTTGGTGACCTGCAATTAAATCCAGGTCAAAATCCACCAAATTTCATGTTTTCTAGCTCATTTTTCTCCATTTTTTCAAATTTTTGCTCAAAAATCCCCAAAAAAACCAACATCTCTCTGTTTTGGCTGCAAATATCTGTGTAAATACGAGTAGAACGACAATGTGTGAAGACGATGAATTCCGATAACTCGAGCACAAAGAGCAATTCGGAATAGGCGAACCTGGAATTAATTTGGGTTGAAAATGTGGATTTTTTGGGTTTTTGGGTGTGAAAATATCGATTTTTCACTATTTTTAGGTGAAAAACCTTTAGAAATCTAAATTTTGATGAATTTCAGGTTTATAGGCTGAAAAAAGCTCATTTTTCACTATTTTCGGGTCAAAAATCTCAACTTTTGATGAATTTCAGGCTTCTAGGCTGAAAAATGCTCATTTTTCACTATTTTTAGGTTAAAAACCTTCAGAAATCTCGCTTTTTGATGATTTTCACGTTTCTAGGCTTAAAAATGCTCATTTTTCACTATTTTTGAGTCAAAAATCTCAATTTTGATGAATTTCAGGTTTCTAGGCTTGAAAATGCTCATTTTTCACTATTTTTGGGTCAAAAATCTCAACTTTTGATGAATTTCAGCTTAAAAATGCTCATTTTCACTATTTTTGGCTCAAAAACCTTCAAAATTCCCCAAATTTCTCAATTTTTCACCCCAAAACCCTCTCAAACCTCAAATTTATCCACTTTTTTGCTCTCCAACATTCCAAACAATTTATCGGCAAATTCTTGTGGATCATAAATCGATTGAATTGCCATCAGATTGCATTCTTTGCTTCTTCCCTCTTTTTTCGCCTTCTTCTTCTTGTTTATCATTTTCTTGGCTCTTTCCACATTTTTCGCGCGTTTTCTCGTTTTTTTCACATTTCTGAATGACGTCATCACTTCTTTCAGTGTTTTTGTGTTGTTTTTTTCGTCTTCTGAATCGATTTCACTGTCTTCGTCCGAATTTTCACCGTTTTCTGATTGATTTCCGAGGAAAAATTTCATGGATGTTACCTGGAAAATTGGGAGCGAGTTTAATATGAGCAATGCTGAAATTTTGATGGAAAAATATATGAAAACGGGATTTTTTGAAGTTTAATATGAGCAATGCTCAAATTTCTTGGATTTTTGGTTTAAAATTTGGATTTTGTCAAGTTTAATATGAGCAATGCCAAAATTTTTGCAATTTTCATTGAAAAATTGATTTTTTCGTTAATCTGAGCAATGCCTAGAATTTTTAAAGATTTTTTAAAGTTTAACATGAGCAAAGCTCTCAAAATTTCAAATTTATAGTAAATTCGGGGATTTTTCAGGTTTAACATGAGCAATGCTCAATTGTCTTGAATTTCCAGTTGAAAATTGGGATTTTTTTGAGTTTAACATGAGCAATGCTTAAATTTCTTGGATTTTTGGTTTAAAATTTGGATTTATTGAGCAATGCTAAAAAATAATGAATTTTCCAAGTTTAATATGAGCAATGCCAAAATTTTTGCAATTTTCAGAAAAATTGAACGATCCTACTGGTACTATGAACACAGTCATTGTCTAAAAAAAAATCTAAAAAATAATTTTAAAAAATTCTGAAACAGTGAATTTTTCTGGTTGAAAATTGTCTAGAAAATTGGGATTTTCAGCCAAAAGAATGCATTTTTTTGGAATTTTTGATGAAAAATATTAATTTCAGCTTGATTTTTAGCATTTTAAGCTGGAATTTGACTGAAAATCTAGAACTTTAGCTCAAAAAATCGCTAAAAATTATGATTTTCAGCAATTCTAGCTCAAAATTCGCTGAAAATCTCGAATTTTAGTTAGAAATAAGGATTTCAGGTTGAAAAATCACGATTTTCAGCATTTCTAGCCCAAAATTCGCTGAAAATCTCAAATTTCAGCTAGAAATAAGGATTTCAGGCTGAAAAATCACAATTTCCAACATTTCTAGCTCAAATTTAACTGAAAATCTTGAGTTTTAGCTGGGTTTTCAGCATTTCTAGCTCAAAATTCGCTAAAAATCTCGATTTTCAACATTTATAGGTCAAAAAATCACGATTTTTAGCTCAAAAATCACCATTTTTCCCCATTTCCAGCCCGAAATACTCACCTGAATCTTGGCGACTCGATGAAAACAAGCCTCCGCAATAACATTCGCAGTCCGTTCATCTCTCCAAAATTTGCGTCGAAACGCATCGATACAAATCAATTGGGCGGCTCTCGCCACAATCGATCGTGAATCTTTGATTTTTGAGAAACACAAATTCTGAATTTTTCCCAGGATTTTCACATCTTTCTTCTTGTGATATAATCGCTTCAAATGAGCGGAAATTGACGACAAAACGAATTTTCTGAGATGTTTATCTTCGATTTTCACCAATTCGAAGAAGACTTCCATTAACTCGATTGCATTTAGCATATCTTGATTGCGAAGAAGAACAAGGGCTTTACAGAAGGACATACGAACCTGGAACGAAATTTTTTTTGGAGTTTTTGGTATGAAAATTCGAAAATTTCATCATTTTCAGATCAATTTCATGTAAATTTCATTGAAAATGATGAATTTTGGCTATTTTTTGGAACTTTTATGCTTAATATAGGTTTTGGAAGGGTTTTTGGTATGGAAATTCGAAAATTTCATCCATTTTCAGATTAATTTCATGTGACTTTCGTTAAAAATTAGAAATTTTGGCTATTTTTTGGAATTTCGAGCCTGAAATGGGCCTTATTTCAGGCCTACAATAAACCTATTTTCAGGCCTAAAAAGAGCCTTCTTTTAGGCTTGAAATGAGCCTATTTTCAGACTTGAAATTAGCCTATTTTTAGGCCTGAAACGAGTCTAATTCTATGCGTAAAATAGGCTTATTTTGAGGCCTGAAATAAGCCTAATCTTAGGCATGAGACGGGCCTGAGATAGACTTAATTTCAGACCTGAACCGGGCCTATCTTCAGGCCCGAAATGAGCCTATTTTTAGGCCTGAAATAAACCTTATTTTGAGCTCAAAATAGGCCTATGTTTGGGCCTGAAATGAGCCTATTTTTAGGCCTAGAATGAGCCTATTTTAACTCTAAAACGAGCCTAATTTCAAGCCTAAAATGAGCCTATTTTAAGGCCTGAATCAAGCCCCTTTAAGCCTAATTTTTGAGCTCAAAAAATCAGGATTTTGACAAATTTTTGAATTTTTCTGCAATTTTCAGAAGTGCTTATAAATTTCGCTAATATGAGCAATCCTCTGAAAATTTTTTTTTAATAATTTTTTCACTGTTTCAAATTTTTGATAACAAAAAATCAAGAGCTCACAATAATATTAAATTGAGCATAATATGGTTTTGCTTAAAAAAATTTCGAATTTTGTGCATTTTTGAGCTCCGCTAATATGAGCAATGTAAATTTATTCGAAAAATCACAAATTTTGACAATTTGACATTTTTTCACTGTTTCAAAAATCTGATAATTGAAATTTCGATATTTTTTGGGCGGTAAAGCGATTCGCAAAGTTTTTAAGTCAAAAAATCATGAAAAATCTGAATTTAGAGTAACTTTTATCGATTTTTCACAATTTCCAGCTTAAAAATCTGAGTTTTGGGTGACTTTTATCGATTTTTCTTGATTTCCAAGTTGAAAATCATGGAAAATCAGGTTTCAAGGTTGTTTTTATCGATTTTTCATGATTTCTAGCCTGAAAATCATGAAAAATCTCATTTTCAGGTTATGTTTATCGATTTTTCATGATTTCTAGGTCAAAAATCATGAAAAATCTCATTATCAGGGTAATTTTATCGATTTTTCATGATTTCTAGCCTAAAAATCTTGTAATTATATATTTTTCATGATTTCCGAGTTAAAAATCATAAAAAATCTGGTTTCAAGGTTGTTTTTATCGATTTTTCATGATTTCTAGCCCTAAAAATCATGAAAAATCTCATTTTCAGCCTAATTTTTGCTCAAAAATCTCACATCCGGATCCAATCCAGCTCCTTGTTCCTTCAAAATCTGCAACAAACTATCGGAAAACTGTTTCGATTCCTTGGGATAATGTTTCGCCAAACCGGACAAGAAAAGTACGGATTCCATGAGAGGTTGCATTTCCATTTTGTGTTGTTCGGGTTGAAGTTGAAGCAATTTCATGGTTTGAACGAAATGGTTGAATTGTTCGAGGAATTCCTGAAGAAATTGAGGATTTTTGGCTATTTTTTGGTACAAAAATCGATTTTTTAGCTGAAAATTCACGTATTTTGACACCAAATAAGCCTAGGATTACTGTAAGGCGCCAAAATTTGATCCACAGTAATCCTAGGCTTATTTGGTATCAAAAAATCAGTTTTTCGATGAAAATTCACGTTTTTTGACACCAAATAGGCCTAGGATTACTGTAGATCAACTTTTGGCGGGAAAATTTGATCTACAGTAATTCTAGGCTTATTCGGTGTCAAAAAACCGGGTTTTTCATGAAAATTTTGAATTTTCGGCTAAAAATTCCCTACCTCCTTATAAGATTCGGGATCTTTGCGAATAATCTCCTGCATAAGTCCCAAATTCCTTTCGGACATTGTGAACCGCGATGCGCGGCCCGTATTTGTTCCAGCACCCAAAATCGTTGAAGACATCTGAAAAATTGGGTGATTTTCAGCCAAAATGGCTGAAAATGTGCGAAAAGGTATGAAAATGGCTGGAAAACCACGGAAATTTGAAAAAAATGAAGAAAATTGAGGAAAAATGGTTTTTTCAGCAAAAATACATAGAAAAATTGAAAATCCACGCACTTTGAGTTGAAGATGGCGAAATTGGAGGAGTTTCTGGAAAAATTTCAGTCAAAAACGCTGAAAATACCAAATTTTCCATGTTTCCATGGTTTTCAGCACAAAATTTGAGCCCAAACTCGACAAATCCAAGGATTTTCAGTCAAAACTTGAGATTTGGCTGAAAATTTCAGATTTTTCATGATTTTCAGCCAAATTTTTGTGCTGAAAATCAAAAATTCACTGATTTCAAGCTAATTTTCTATTTTTTCATGGTTTTCAGCACAAAATTTGAGCCTAGACTCGAAAAATTCGGGATTTTCAGTCAAAATTCGATTTTCGACTGAAAATTTCAGATTTTTCATGATTTTCAGCAAAATTTCGTGCTGAAAACCGAGAATTCACTGATTTCCAGCTAATTTCCCTTGTTTTCATGGTTTTCAGCACAAAATTTGAGCCTAAACTCGAAAAATCCGGGATTTTCAGTCAAAACTCGATTTTCGACTGAAAATTTCAGATTTTCAGCAAAATTTTGTGCTGAAAATCAAGAATTCACTGATTTCCAGCTAATTTTCCTTCTTTTCATGGTTTTCAGCACAAAATTTGAGCCTAGACTCGAAAAATCCAGGATTTTCAGTCAAAACTCGATTTTCGACTGAAAATTCCACATTTTCAGCAAAATTTTGTGCTGAAAACCGATAATTCCTTGAGATCTACCTGATTTTCCTTGTTTTCATGGTTTTCAGCGCAAAAATTGAGCCTAGAATCGAAAAATCCAGGATTTTCAGTCAGAACTCGATTTTCGACTGAAAATTCCAGATTTTTCATGATTTTCAGCAAAATTTCGTGCTGAAAATCATGAATTCACTGATTTCCAGCTAATTTTCCATGTTCCCATGGTTTTCAGCGCAAAATTTGAGCCTAGACTCGAAAAATCCGGGATTTTCAGTCAAAACTCGGGATTTAGCTGAAAATTCCAGATTTTCAGCAAAATTTTGTGCTGAAAATCATGAAATCACTGATTTCCAGCTAATTTTCCTTGTTTTCTTGGTTTTCACCACAAAATTTGAGCCTAGACTCGAAAAATCCAGGATTTTCAGCTAAAACTTGAGTTCTAGCTCAAAATTTCAGATTTTTCATGATTTTCAGCCAAATTGTGTGCTGAAAACTATGAATTCGCTGATTTTCAGCTAATTTTCCTTATTTTCTACGTTTTCAGCGCTAAATTTCAGCCTAGACTCGAAAAATCCGGGATTTTCAGTCAAAACTCGGGATCTAGCTGAAAATTCCAGATTTTTCATGATTTTCAGCCAAATTTCGTGCTGAAAACCAAGAATTCACTGATTTCCAGCTTTTCCATCAGTTTTCAATAGAAAACCTCGAATTTTATATCAAAAAATTGCAAATTTTTCATTTTCGCCCTATTTTCCCCCAAAATCCCCGAAAAACTCACGGATTTTCAGCCAAACCGAGCAAATTCCAGCCAAATTTCAAATTCACCTGAAATTTCTACTCAAAAACCCTGGGAAACCTCGAAAATTCCAGGTTTTAGGGTTGAAAACGAAAAAATGCGAAAAAAAAACGAAAAAAAAACGCGTGCGCTAAACAACACGCACGCGCGGAGTGTCGTTGTTTTCTCGAGGGAATTCAAAAACTAATTACCAGAAAGTGCTATTTTCTTCGCATTTTCAAAGAAAATGAGCTGCTCTCGGTTTGTTATCGGAATTACTGGAGGTGTATCTTGTGGAAAAGTAGGTTTTTATCGATTTTTCAGCAAGATTTGTTGAGATTTTCAGAAAAAATTGGCTGAAAACCTGCTGAAAATGGAAAATTTACAAAATCAATCGATAAATATTGACATTTGCCGGGATTTTCGAGGGAAAAATTGTGATTTTAAGGTTTATATTGATAGAAGCTTGGATGATTTATTGATAAAATACACCGTGAATTTGCCAAAAAATATTTTGAGCTCTGAAAAATCGGAGCTCGCTAGAAAATTGATGAAATTTCGAGATTTTCACGTGGAACATGTGGTGCCAAACAGGAATTTGGCCGATTTTTGGATCAAAAACGTTGAGGACCCAGGTGAGCTCTCAAAATTTCTTGGCTGAAATTATTTTCAGCCAAAAAAAATCTGAAAATTTCAGCTCGCCTTCATCAACTTTCCCAGGCAATTTTGCAAAAAATGGCGAAAGGCGAAAATTTTGCTGAAAATCTGGAAATTCATCTGAAAATGTCGGAAAATGTGTCGAAATTGTGCGATAAAAAATTAAGCCAGAAATATTTTCAGATTTTTTCGAAATAAATCATTTTTTCCCTATAATTTCTACAGTACCCCAGGATTACTGTAGCTCATTTTAAAGAGAAAATTCAGGCCTACAAAATGATACTACACTCTAGTTATGACGTGGCAAAATTTCCAAAAAATTCTGAATTTTTTGATCGGAAATTTTTCACTGTTTCAAAATTTCTATGAATTTTTTGGCGAAATTTGGAAATTGATGATATCTTTCTAACTATTTTTTCAAATAAAATATCGATTTTCGCCCTAAAAATCTACAGTACCCCAGGATTACTGTAGCTCAGTTTGTAGAGAATTTCAAGAGCTACAAAATGAAACTACACTCTAGTTATGACGTGGCAAAATTTTCCGAAAATAATTTTGAATTTCAGAGGTTGTGACGTGTTTTTTCGATTCCAAAAGTTTCCTGGGTACTGTAGATAAATTTCAGATTACTGTAGTCCTTAGGAGTACTGTAGTGTACTGTACATCAAACTTTACCCCAAAAATGTCAAATCTTCAATTTTCCCGCCATTTTTCAACGTGACCCAATTTTTTTTTCAAAAAAAAAAAAATTTTCCCGCCAAAAATTCCCGAGCCTCATTTCCTACCTTCCCAAAAATGCCTATCTATCACACTTATCGCTACTACTATGATCCGGTACAGTACTCCACCTACAGTAATCCTACAGTAAGCCAGAAAATTTTGCAGAATTTGAACAAAAAATCGAAAAAATCCTCGTTTGCCACGTGGAATAACAAGGAGGAGGATACGGTAGGTCACCTACAGTAACCCTTTCGACTTTTTTTGAAAAATGTCTCTTACAGTATGACGCACGCGCCGCATCCGACGCATTTCAATCATACGCGTTGCGTATGCAGCAAAAACGTCACCGCCACCTGGAACAAAAAGATTTGAGCCGAATTCTCGTCGAGACCAAGGATTACTGTAGGGCCCAAGGTACTACTGTAGCCCTCCAGGAGGTCCCATTGCCACGTGTCAGAATTCCGGGGTAAGCTGAAAAAAGAAAAAAAAAACAAAAAGAAAAAAAAAGTTCGCGGGCAGTGTGTCTCGATCCCGCCACCTCTGCAACCAAAACCGCGGCGCTAACCGTCTGCGCTATGCGACACAGTGTTTTTGCCTAGGGGTACTATAGCACCCCTATAGGGGCACTACAAAGTTTTTGACTTGTGTGTGTAATAGGTCCACCTATAGGGGCCCTATGCAAACTTTTTTTAGTACCACTATAGGGGTGTCAAAGTGGTTTTTTAGTGGTGCAGTAGGGGTGAATCAAAATAAGACTCAAGTTTGACAATTTATTTTCAAAAAAACGAACAGAACAAAAGAATTTACATTAAGTGTCGAATTGTTGATTTACTTGAGCTTCCAGTTCGAACATAAATTTCTGGAGGTGATGCTTCCGTCCGACAAAGTAGTTGCTTCCAATGCATTTTGAGCTGATTTGACGTCGAATTAATGAAGACGAGTGTTGGTATGAGTTCTGGAAATGAAAGAGTTAGACAAAATATTTTGCAATTTGTATTTTTGTTGTCAACTTGAGTCGATGGGTTTTATCGACTCGACTTCTATGGTCGATTATCTCGTGATGGATGTGAGTTTTCAGAGATTTCTATGTTTTTGGTTGAGATGGTGAATACTCGATAGCGAACATTGGCGCTAATCAAACTATACTGGTGACTTGTTGAAATTATGAGATTAGTAGTTGATGAAATTGGTCAGTTTCAACCAATAACACCATTTCAACAATCATCTCATCCAAAATTCAACATCTAAACCAACGCGATAACCATATTTGAAAACTCCATCCATCACGAAAAGTCTTGATTGATTGATTAACTCAAAATCAACTCGCTTTCCAACTACAGCGCATCTACGTAGTTTTTTTCAAAAAAAAAATCACTCACCATGCGTTGACCAGCACCGCGAAGACACTTCTAACTGGAAATTGCTTCTCTAGGTGCTCACAAGTACAGTCGACCTTTGAGCGATGGTTCCTCCGTTGATTCGGATTTCGACCGAATGCGCCTTCTTTTGACAGTTGACGACCTTCATCTGAAAATGAAGAACCATTCTAATTCAACCTTTCATATTCAAGTCAACAAACCTGTGTGTGTGACACGAATCGATGTCAAGTTGGCTTCGATGAGTTTCTTTCCATCTTCATCGTGTCATTCATTGACGCACTTGGCGGAAGCCTTCTTTTTGGAGCAAGCCCTAAAAAATCGTATAACGAGTGAATTATAACGTATGAGAAACACGCGAGAAAGAAGAAATTAGACATAAGACATTTCAATTTATAACTCTGAGAAGGAATTTTCAATCGAAACCCATTCAAATGTTGATTTTCTTGAATGAAACTGAAAATAGCCTTGTTTTGCTATCTAACATTTGAAAACTCAGAAATTTTTAATTTTTGGCCTAAAATCATGTTTAATGGGTGAATTTCAAAGTTACGATGGAATTTTCTACTTGCTCCTAGGCGGGGAACATGTTTTATAAACTTTTCGCAGCTTTGAACACTCGATTTCTCGATAAAACGTGGAACAAACAAAACAAACGAAAAAAAACGAAAAAAAAATTTTGACGCCACTCCTCCGTGAGAAGTACACACAAACCAACACGCTGCGAGACCAATGTGTTGAATTCCTTGCGCCTTTACTTTTTGTTTTCGCGCATTAAAATATCATTTTTTGGAGGAAATGACATACACCATTCAATTCAAAATGTCAAGACGAACAAAATGATTATAAATTTAATATACATTGTCTCACTTTTAGTGGACTGCTCTTGGAGTGAAAAAATGAGCATTTTTGACCGGCATTGATTTTTATTTGTTAATAAATGCTCTCCGTAGCATTATGTGTGTTTATAGCGCAAGGAATGTGCATTTTCACTGTTTTAGAGATGCTAAAATTTTCCCAGAGTCGGGACCACTACTCAACCCCTACACGACCCCTACACTTGAAAAATAAAAGTTGATAACTTTCTCAAATGGACGTTTTTCTAAATGAAATTTTTTAGAGAACAATTTCAGAACCTATAGATTAGTTTGTACTTTTTAGTTTTTCTCAAATGAACACCACTAAATAACCCCTTTTGAATCCCTGCCAATTAGTGGTGCAATAGGGGTGCAATAGGGGTAAAAATCACCCCTATTGCACCCCTAAATCACGGTAGGGGTACTATAGTACCAACAAGGCAAAAACACTGTGCGAGACACGAGAGAAGCAGCGTCAATTTTCCAATATAAATTTGTTGCAGCGCCGTATCCAAGTGCACGGCATTTTACGGCACCAAGGAAGCGCAAGCTTGCGCATCACATGCCGCAAATTACATTGCGCTGGCATGCGATCAGCTGAATCGCCTACAATTCGTCAGCGACGCGGTATTCGTGGAAAGTTGCCAACGTGTGGAGGATTTGCGCAAAATCGCCGGCGAGATCAAAGATTTCGGCACAAAAATGGCGGAAAACGCGGTGAAGGTGCCCACAAATTTGAATATGGTGGGTTTTTGGGCTTTCAGGGCCGAAAATAGGCTTTTTAGGCCTGAAAATGGCCCGAAAAGCCTATTTTTAGGCCTAAAGAGCCTAGTTTCGGCCTGGAACGGCCTAAAATTGAATTATTTCAGAACAGCAGCCACGTGGCACATTTTGTGATGGAGTATTGATTTTTTGATTTTTTTTTTTTGTAAATAAAAAAGTTTTGGCGCCAAAACCTACAGTACCCTTCAAAAAACCCCGCTTTCATCGAATTTCGGCTTAAAAATTTCAGATTTTGCTGAAAATTTCAGATTTTTGGCTGAAAATGGTTCATAATCATCGGAAAATCTGAAAAAAATGCAAATTTCTAACAAGCCAAAAAACTCGACAACGATTTTTGTCTTGTAATTGTTTTGGTGCGCGAATTGTATTCGAAAACATCGCCGGAAGTGAAGGCGGTTACTGTAGATCCGGAAGCTGAAAAATTTCAGATTTTTGGCTGAAAATCTGGAAATTTAGTGCTGAAAATCGTGAAAAATGATGAATTTTGAGCTAAAAAGTGATTTTCAGCTCAAAATTTCAGATTTTCAGCCAAAATTTCAGATATATTCAAGTTGGGGCTCATTTTGTGGCAAATTTCAAGAATTTTAGATTTTTGGCTGAAAATCTGAAAATTTAGTGCTGAAAATCGTGAAAAATGATGAATTTTGACCTGAAATACCGTGTTTTTGGTCAAAAATTGGGATTTTCAGCCAAAATTTCAGATATATTTAAGCTGGAGCTCATTTTGTAGCAAATTTCAAGAATTTCAGATTTTTGGCTGAAAATCTGAAAATTTAGTGCTGAAAATCGCGAAAAATGATGAATTTTAACCTAAAATACCGTGTTTTTGGTCAAAAATTTGGGATTTTCAGCCAAAATTTTAGATATATTTAAGCTGGGGCTCATTTTGTGGCAAATTTCAAGAATTTCAGATTTTTGGCTGAAAATCTGAAAATTTAGTGCTGAAAATCATGAAAAATGATGAATTTTGACCTGAAACACCGTGTTTTTTGGTCAAAAATTTCAGATTTTCAGCCAAAATTTCAGATATATTTAAGCTGGAGCTCATTTTGTAGCAAATTTCAAGAATTTCAGATTTTTGGCTGAAAATCTGGAAATTTAGTTCTGAAAATCGCGAAAAATGATGAATTTTGAGCTAAATTCGTGATTTTCAGCCAAAATTTCAGATTTTCAGCCAAAATTTCAGATATATTCAAGCTGGGGCTCATTTTGTGGCAAATTTCAAGAATTTCAGATTTTTGGCTGAAAATCTGAAAATTTAGTGCTGAAAATCATGAAAAATGATGAATTTTGACCTGAAACACCGTGTTTTTGGTCAAAAATTTCAGATTTTCAGCCAAAATTTCAGATATATTTAAGCTGGAGCTCATTTTGTAGCAAATTTCAAGAATTTCAGATTTTTGGCTGAAAATCTGGAAATTTAGTTCTGAAAATCGCGAAAAATGATGAATTTTGAGCTAAATTCGTGATTTTCAGCCAAAATTTCAGATATATTCAAGTTGGGGCTCATTTTGTGGCAAATTTTAAGAATTTCAGATTTTTTGCTGAAAATCTGGAAATTTAGTGCTGAAAATCATGAAAAATGATGCATTTTGAGCTAAAATTGTGATTTTCAGCCAAAATTTCAGATATATTCAAGTTGGAGCTCATTTTGTAGCAAATTTCAAAAGCTTCAAAATGAGCATAAGAAAATTTCAGATTTTTGGCTGAAAATGCTCAAAAAATGCTCAAAAATCATGTTTTCCGGCTCAAAATTCATCAAAAATCCCGATTTTCAGCATATTTTCAGTCAAAAATGGCTGAAAATCCCGAAAAAACCCACGAGATTCCAATCCTTTGACACCTTTCGGCAAATTTGGGAAATATGAGGAAATTCGATTTTTGAGGGTCACTTGATTCCAAAACTCATCATAGACTGCAAATTCATCGCCGCTCTGCAAAAAAAATCGATTTTTGGCTGAAAATTTCAGATTTTTGGCTTAAAATCGCGTTTTTTCATGTAAAAACTTGAAATTTTCACCAAAAATCCAGAAAATTTCAAAAAAAACTTGCTCCGAGCAAAATTTGATGTCCATTGATCCATCGGAGTGCTCCAGAAACTCGGAATCCTAAATCTGAAGGCAGGGTTTTTGGGAAACCGGAATCTAGTTTGTAGGTTGATTGAAGGCGGGAATAATAGTAGCTGTAGACCTGGAATTTGGGAATTTTGGGGGGAAAAATTTGGGAAAAATTGGATTTTTTGGGGAAATTTTCAGCATTTCTAGTGAAAATTTCAGAATTTTTGATGAAAAATGAAATTTTCTGATGTTTCTAGTGAAAATTTTAGAAATTTTTTCAAAATTTAAATTCAGGTCAAAATTTCGCAGAAAAAATTCAAAAAAAAATTTTTCAGGTTGAAAAATTCCATAAAATTTTCTGAAAATTAAAATTGAGCTTCTGAAGTCAAAAATCATTTTTTTTAACATGAGCAATGATTTAAAATGAGCATTTTGATCCAAAATTCGAGATTTTCAGGAAATTTCTAATATGAGCAATGCCTCAAAATTTAAAAAAAGGACAATTCGCTGAAAAATTAATTGTAAATTTTCAGAAAAATTATTTTCAGACAAAACCAGGAAAATCGAAAAACTAGAGAAATTCAGAAAATTCATAAAAATTTTGAAACAGTGAATTTTTTTAAATTTAAAAATCCCAAAATTTCGTATTTAGGTTCAAAATGCTCCAAATTTCATGATTTCTGGCTCAAAATGCTCCAAATTTCTTAAATTTCAGCTCAAAATGCTCCAAAACCCCCCACCTTATTATTCGAAAACACCAACATCGATCCACTAATCGGATTAAAAACCGCCGCTTGAACAGGAGTCGGTGCACTTGGGAAAAGTTGTGAAATTGGTTGAGTTTTGGTAACTCGTGTGCCACTTATCACATATACCGTACTACCGGAGAAGGCATAGGAGAAAGAATCACTTGGAGTGTAAGCATCGATTGAATATGGGCAACCTGGAGAGAAAATTAGGGTTTTAGGGTGGTTTTTGTGGCTGGAAATGCTGGAATTGCTCATTTTAAGCGGTTCCAGCGTTTTCAGCGTGAAAAATAGATGTTTCCAGCATTTTCAGCGTGAAAAATTGATCTAGAAAGAAATAGGTGCCCCCCTTTTTTTTTCTTCTGGGGGGGGGGTCACCTATTTTGTTCTAGATCAATTTTTCATGCTGAAAACGCTGGAAATGCTTAAAATGAGCAATTCCAGCGTTTTCAGCGTGAAAAATAGATCTAGAAGATATTTTGGTACCTCAGGGAGATAGAGGAACCCTTACAATTAGAATGATAGAGGGTCCCCAATTTTCTGCTAAAAACTTTTCCAGATCAATTTTTCGCGCTGAGAACGGTGGAATTGCTCATTTTAAGTAATTCCAGCATTTGCAGCGTGAAAAATTGATCTAGAAATTTTTGTCCAGGAAAATAGGTACCCCACCCCCTTTTTTCCATCAAATATGGGGGGGGGGTCACCTATTTTGTTCTAGATCAAATTTTCACGCTGAAAACACCGGGAACATCAATTTTTCATGCTGAAAACGCATTTTCAGCGTGAAAAATTGATCTAGAAAAAATTAGGTAACCCCCCCCCCACCTAATTTAATGGATAAAAAAAAGGGGGGGGGGGGTCATTTTTTCTGACTAAAAACTTTTCTAGATCAATTTTTCACGCTGAAAACGCTGGAATTGCTCATTTTAAGTAATTCCGGCTCACCTCCCGATCCCGAACCACTTCCACTTCCCCAACTTCCACTATTCGGACTTTCCGTAACTGGCCATCTTGTAGTTGCTCTTTGTGTAGTTGTTGTATATCTTTGAGTGGCTCTCGTAGTATCATCATTGTCATTTCCGAAAAATCTTCCAAACCAACTTCGAGTTGTAGTTGTGGCTGTTCGAGGGGTCGTGAAATCTGAGCCAGAGCTGGAGCCACCCCAGGAGGAAGATGAGCCGCCGGTTCGAGGACCTGCAAGGATTTTTTTTTTCAAAATAATTATAAAAATTTTGAAACAGTGAGAAATTTTTGAATGAAAATTTGAAAAAAAATTTCTGAAGATAATTTTTTGAAACGTATAAAAGAGGGTAGGATTTTCAGAGATTCTGAAAATTCTAGAGCTCTGAAATTCTGATTTTTCATCATAAACAAAATTTACCACATTTTTATACGTTTCAAAAAATTATGAAAAATGGATTTTTCTGCGAATTTTCCAATGATAATCTCATAATTTTTCAAGAAGCGAAAAAATGTAGAAATTTTTATTAATTTTAGTTCAAAAATTTTGAATCAAAGTGGGAATTGATAAACCAGTTTTCAACAAAAAATTGTTAATGTTCGAAATTTTATAGAAATTTTGAAACAGTGAGTTTTTTTATTTTTGAAAAATATGGATTTTCTACAGTTTTCGAGGTTCCAAAGTTAGAATTCATCAAATTTTCCGAATTTTTCAGAATAAAAATCAAAGGTTTCAGTTTAAAAGCTCAAATTTTACCCAAAAGTTCTCGATTTTTTTCGGGTTGAACAAAAACAACAACACGTCAATCAAAATTCAAAAAACAGTGAAAAAATTATATGAACATTTTGAAACAGTGAATTTTTTAATTCAAAAAATTTGGATTTTATCATTTTTTCAGGCTCCCTGGCTCAAAATTCATCAAATTTTCCGATTTTTTCGGAATAAAAATTAAAAGTTTCAGTTTAGAAGCTAAAATTATACCCAAAACTTCTCAATTTTTTATTTTTTGATCTGACTTGACCCATCAAAATTCAAAAAACACTAATAAAATTATATGAAAATTTTGAAACAGTGAAAAATTTTAAGAATGAAAATTTGAAAAAAAAAAGAATTTTTGCATTTCGAAAAATAATGATTTATACTCTAATTTGTCATGTTAGGAATACTGTAGAGTACTGTAGTCTAGCTACAGTAATCCTGGGATTACTGTAGGTGAGGTTCTGTTCGAAAAGTATCAATAAAATTTGCAAACTAACAAAATTTTCAAAAATCTCAAAAAAAAATTATAAAAATTTGAATTTTTATCATTTTTCAAGGCTCCCTCGCTCAAAATTCATCAAATTTTCCAATTTTTTGCTGAAAATTAAAGTGTTTTTCAATATTGTCGGAGCACGATAATCATATTTCAAAAATAGCTTCAAAACTCATAGAAATTTTGAAACAGTGAATTTTTCTCTCAACTAATAAACTTGCATACTAAATATCCAAAACTATTCAAAAAATTGATAAAAATTTTGAAACAGTGAAAAATTTTTGAATGAAAATTTGAAAAAAAATTTCTGAAGGTCATTTTTTGAAACGTATAAAAAGAGGTAGGATTTTCAGAGATTCTGAAAATTCTAGAGCTCTGATGTGAAATTCAGATTTTTCACCAGAAAATTTACCACATTTTTATACGTTTCAAAAAATTATGAAAAATTGATTTTTCTGCGAATTTTTCAATGGTTCTTTGTTAAAATTAGACATAGAATCGAAAATTTTCAAAAATCTCAAAAAAAAAATGAAAATTTTGAAACAGTGAATTTTTTTGTTTCAAAAAAAAATGGGATTTTTATCAATTTTCAAGGCTCCCTGGCTCAAAATTCATCAAATTTTCCGATTTTTTAGCTCAAAAACATAGTAGAAGAATCATATTTCATATTTCGTTCAAAACTCATAGAAATCTTGAAACAGTGAATTTTTATTTCAAAAATTATGTATTTTTTCGAAACAGTGGGATTTTAATGAGTAAAAAACTGAATTTTTCATTTTTCACAACAAAATGTAGTAAATTTGGAATTGAAATCATAACTGCCCAGCAAAATTTCCAAAACTATTCAAAAAATTATAAAAAATTTTGAAACAGTGAAAAATTTTAAGAATTAAAATTTGAAAAAAATGGGATTTTTGTATTTCAAAAAATAATGATTTATACTCTAATTGCTCATGTTAGGAATACTGTAGAGTACTGTAGTCTAGCTACAGTAATCCCAGGATTACTGTTCTGTTCGAAAAGTATTTGAAACAATCACTCTGCAAACTAACAAAATTTTCAAAAATCTCAAAAATTAATATTAATTTTGAAACAGTGAAAAAAATTTTGTATGAAAATTTTTAAAAAAATTCGAATTTCAGTTCAAAATTTAGACTTTTTGTGGCAGCAACAAATCACAAAAAATTTTCAAAAATTATATGAAAATTTTGAAACAGTGAATTTTTTCACTTTTTTTTGAAATAAAAAAATTCACTGTTTCAAAATATTCATAAAAGCTTTTCTGTTTTTTTTTAATTTTGTTGGGCAGTTGCAAAATTTTCATGAACATGAACAATTTTTAGTTGAAAAATTAAGAACTTGGATTGTTGAACTAAAATTTTAAAAAAATGTTGCAGAAAAATCAATTATTTATAATTTTTTTAAAGTATAAAAATGTGGTAAATTTTCTGGTGAAAAATCTGAATTTTAGCTCTAGAAATTTCCGATTTCAGAATCTCTGAAAATCCTGGAAAATCTGAAAGTCCATATTTTTGAAAAGCAACAAAAATTCACTGTTTCAAAACATGTATAAAAATTTTTTTTATCACATTTTTATACGTTTCAAAAATGATAAAAAATTGATTTTTCTGCGAATTTTTCAATGATATTTTCGAAATTTTTCAAGAAGTGCAAAAATGTAGAAATTTTTATTAATTTTAGAAAAAAAGTTTCAGTTTAGAAGCTCAAAATTTTATCTTAAACTTTTCAATTTTTGTGGATTCGTAATCCGATGCCAATCAAAATTCAAAAAAAAGTAAAAAATTATATGAAAATTTTGAAACAGTGAATTTTTAAATTCAAAAAATTGGATTTTATCAATTTTCAAGGTTTCTAGCTTAGAATTCATCAAATTTTCCGAATTTTTCAGAATAAAAATCAAAGTTTTCAGCTCAAAAGCTCAAATCTTACCTGAAAACTCTAGAGCTCTGAAATTCAGATTTTTCATCATTAATGGATCAATTCATCTGAAGAAAAAATGAATTTCGCGACATTTTTTGTCGCGAAATTGCAATTCGCGAAACGACACGAAATTAATAAAATAAAAGAGGAAATTCTTTTTTCGTGTGTTGGGTCTCGCAGCGATTACGTGTCCCTTTAATATTTCTCCTTTATTTTTGTGTTTATTTCGTGTCGTTTCGCGAATTGCAATTTCGCGACAAAAAATGTCGCGAAATTCATGTTTTCTTCAGATGAATTGATCCATAACAAAATTTCCCAAATTTTTATACGTTTCAAAAAATTATGAAAAATTGATTTTTTTGCAAATTTTCCAATGCTAATCTCACTTTTTTTAAAATTTTAAATTAAAAACCAGATTCACAATTTTTCAACTAAAAATTGTTCATTTTCATAAAAATTTTGAAACAATGAATTTTTTTAATTCAAAAAAATGGGATTTCATCAATTTTTCAAGCTCCATGGCTCAAAATTCATCAAATTTTCCAATTTTTTGGCTGAAAATTAAAGTCTTTCTCAATATTGTCGGGCCTAATTTATCATATTTCAATAATAGCTTCAAAACTCATAGAAATCTTGAAACAGTGAATTTTTAACTCAAAAAAACATGAATTTTAACCTAGGAACCTTGAATTTTTCCGAAATTCAGATTTTTCACCAATAAATTTACCAAATTTTTATACGTTTTAAAAAATTATGAAAAATGGATTTTTGTGCGAATTTTCCAATGGTTTTCTGTTTTTCAAGATGTGAAAAAATATTGAAATTTTTATTAATTTTAGATTTTAAAAAATTCATGTTCATAATTCTTCAATTAAAAAATTGTTCATGTTCAAAATTATATAAAAATTTTGAAACAGTGAAATTTTTTTTAATTCAAAAATTTAGATTTTAATCATTTTTGAAGGCTCTCTGGCTCAAAATTCATGAAATTTTCCGATTTTTTGGCTCAAAAACATAGTGAAAGAATCATATTTCATATTTCGTTCAAAACTCATAGAAATCTTGAAACAGTGAATTTTTTTATTTTTTTTAAATTCGAATTTTTTTCATTTTTAAAGCTCCATGGCTCAAAATTCATCATTTTTTCCGATTTTTTGGCTGAAAATTGAAGTCTTTTTCAATATTGTCGGATCACGATAATCATATTTCAAAAATAGCTTCAAAACTCATAGAAATCTTGAAACAGTGAATTTTTTAACTCAAAAATATGAATTTTAACCTAGAAATATTGAAAAATTGATATAATCACAAATTTCATTAAAAAATTCGCAAAAAAATTTTCTGTAAGTGTAAAACTTTAGTAAAAAGGTGATATTGGAAATTTTCAAAAATTTCAAAAATATATACAATTTTTGAAACAGTGAAATGTTATTTTAATCAAAAAATAGACTTTCAGATTTCCCAGGATTTTCAGAATTTTCAGAGCCTTGAAATTCAGATGTTTCACCAGAAAGTTTACCAAATTTTTATACGTTTCAAAAAAATTATGAAAAATTGATTTTTTTGCAAATTTTCCAATGATAATCTCACTTTTTTTTAAATTTTAAATTAAAAACCAGATTCACAATTTTTCAACTAAAAATTGTTCATTTTCATAAAAATTTTGAAACAGTGAAATTTTTTAACTCAAAAAATGAGATTTTTTCAATTTTCAAGCTCCCCGGCTCAAAATTCATTTCCGAATTTTTCAGAATAAAAATTAAAAGTTTCTGTTTAGAAGCTAAAATTTTGTCTTAAAATTCTTAATTTTTAATTTGTTTTCCTATTATTTCCAATCAAAATTTAAAAACACTAAAAAAAATTATATGAAAATTTTGAAACAGTGATTTTTTTTTTTTTTTTGAAACATTTGGAACTTCTACATTTTTAAAGGCTCCTGGCTTGAAATTCATCAAAATTTCCAATTTTTTGGCATTTTTATTAATTTCAGTTCAACAATCCAGATTTAAATGAAATTTTGAAACAGTAAATTTTCCGGCTAACAAACTCAACTGAATTAAACTTACAAAACTGTTCGAAAAATTATATGAAAATTTTGAAACAGTGAATTTTTTATCTCAAAAACTATGGATTTTTATCAATTTTCAAGGCTCAAAATTCATTAATTTTCCGTTTTTTTTTGCTGAAAATTAAAGTCTTTTCAATATTGGCAAGATCGCGTAAAAGCAAGATAATCATATTTCAAAAAACGCTTCAAAAACTCATAGAAATTTTGAAACAGCGAATTTTTCATTTTTGAAAAATATGGAAAAAAATATGGGATATGGATTTTTATCATTTTTCAAGGCTCCCTGGCTCAAAATTCCTCAAATTTTCCGAATTTTTCAGAATAAAAATTAAAAGTTTCAGTTTAGAAGCTCAAAATTTTATCTTAAAAATTCTCAATTTTTAATGTCTTGTTCTGACTTTGTTAATCAAAATTCAAAAAACACTAAAAAAAATTATATGAAAATTTTGAAACAGTGAAATTTTTTATTTTTTAAAAAATCTGGTCTTTTAACAAGGTTTCCAGATTCCCTGGCTCAAAATTCATCGATTTTTCCGAATTTTTCAGAATAAAACTTGAAAGTTTCAGTTTAAAAGCTGAAATTCTGTCCTAAAACTTTCAATTTTCAATTTTATTTCCGGGTTAAACAACAACAACAACGCCGCCCATCAAAATTCAAAAAACAGTAAAAAATTATATGAAAATTTTGAAACAGTGAATTTTTTAATGTAAAAAATTTGGATTATATCATTTTTCCAGGCTTCCTGGCTCAAAATTCATCGAAATTTCCGAATTTTTAAACAGTGAAAAAAAATAACTTTAAAAAAATGGGATTTTTTTATTTTTCAACCTCCCTGGCTCAAAATTCATCAAATTTTCTGATTTTTTGGCTGAAAATTAGAGTTCTTTTTTCAATATCAGCAAGATCGCGTAAAAGCAAGATCATCATATTTCAAAAATAGCTTCAAAACTCATAGAAATCTTGAAACAGTGAATTTTTATCTCAAAAAAAAACTTGAATTTTTCCGAAATTCAGATTTTTCATCATAAAAAAATTTACCAAATTTTTATACGTTTCAAAAAATTATGAAAAATGAATTTCTCTGCGAATTGTTCAATTTTTCTTTGTTAAATTTAGACTAAAAAGTTTGAAACAGTGAATTTTTTATTTTTGAAAAATCTGAATTTTTATAATTTTTCAAAGCTCCCTGGCTCAAAATTCCTCAAATTTTCCGAATTTTTCAGAATGAAAATTAAAAGTTTCAGTTTAGAAGCTAAAATTTTACCCAAAAATTCACAATTTTAAATTTTTTTTTGATTTATAATCAGATGTCGATCAAAATTTCCAGAACTATTCAAAAATTTATAAAAATTTTGAAACAGTGAATTTTTTTAATTAAAAAAAATGGGATTTTTTTCAATTTTCAAGCTCCCTGGCTCAAAATTTCCCAAATTTTGCACCAAAAAATCGCATTTTTCCCCAATTTTCCCGCCAAAAATCACAACTTACCATAAATCGCCTGAATTGCTGAAATATCATCAGATTTCAAGTTCGGATACACATAATTTCCATTTGAATCGGTGGTTTTTTGATAGAATGGTGCCATAATGGCTTTTTCGTCTCTTGAATGTTCGAGGCCTGGAAAAATGCATTTTTTGGGCATTGCTCATGTTAAAAATGGAGAAAATAGTGAATTTTGGCTCAAAATGCTCCAAAAATCCTGTTTTTTAGCTCAAAATGCTCCAAATTTCATGATTTTCGGCTCAAAATGCTCCAAATTTTTCGAATTTTTGCTCAAAATTCAAAAATTACCCAGCGTATGTCCCCCTTCATGAATCGCAACAGCCAAAAGGTCCGTATAATCATTGCTGGCAATTTTTCGGGCATCTTTATAGGTCCAATTTTCGTCGTCATCAAAATGGAAAAGACCGGATTCGGGCATTGTTGCGTGAGCCAAAACACCGCCTGCAAAAAAAATTTGAAAAATTTTTTTTCAGAAAATTTTGAAACAGTGATTCAGATTTTTCAGGCTGAAAATATCTGAAAATTCAAATTTTTTTGAAATTTTCAGCTTTTCTCGAAAAATTTCAGGTGAAAAATCAATATTTTCAGATTCAAAAATCATTTGAAAAATCTATCAATTTTCAAAAATTCAAAATTTATTTTCATAAAAATTTTGAAACAGTGAAATTTTCTCAATATTTTTTTTGAAAATTCACATTTTTCAGGCTGAAAATATCTGAAAATTCAAAATTTTCTGAAATTTTCAGCTTTTTTTTCGATATTTTTAGATTCATTTCGAAAATTGCCAAAAAAATCAGATTTCAAAAATTCAAAATTTATTTTCAAGAAAATTTTGAAACAGTGAATTTTTTCCTAATTTTTTTTTCTGAAATTTTAGATTTTTTAGGCTTAAAATATCTGAAAATTCAAAATTTTCTGAAATTTTCAGCTTTTTTTTCGAAATTTTTTCATTTAGAGAACAATTTTCAAAAATTCAAATTTTTTTTCATAAAAATTTTGAAACAGTGAATTTTTTCCTAATATTTTTTTTTTTGAAAATTCAAATTTTTAGGCTGAAAATCTCTGAAAATTCAGAATTTTCAGAAATTTTCAGCTTTTATTCGATCAAAAATTCGAAAAAAAAAAATTCCGCAGGCACCAGGAATCGATCCCCTGACCTTCTGAACGCTAATTTTCAGGTGAAAATTATCGGAAAATTTTGATTTTTAGCCCCAAAAATTCAGAAAAATGTGATTTTCAGAGCATTGCTCATGTTAGGCTGAAAATAATCGAAATTTCACAATTTTGGGCTCAAAATGCTCATTTTTTAAATTTTGAGGCATTGCTCATGTTAAAAATACCCAAAAATCATGAATTTCCACCTCAAAATGCTCCAAATTTCTCAAATTTTAGCTCAAAATGCTCCAAATTTCACAAATTTTGGCTCAAAATGCTCCAAAAAGCTCACCTTGTCCATCAAAAGGCCACGGATCATTATGATTACTAACTCCAAATCGAACTTTAATATCGGAAGTCGATCCAGCCGGCACTTCTTCAAATTCCAGCGGCGTAACTTTACTCCAAAGGCTATAAGCTTCAGCGATCGCTTTTCTGACGTCATCTTTGGGTAAATCCGACGAAAAATTCTCAATCGAGTATTTCAGCCTGTTTTTGGGCCACTTGAATTGACTGGACGAGCCTGAAGTTAGGGCCAAAGGTGTATCTGTCACACCGCATCTTGAGAGGGCCATTTTGGCTTTGGTCGCCACGTCGAGAACACCGGTTTTGGCGAGACCAGCGAATTCCTGGGAGAAAATTTGAATTTTTTTTGATTCGCGCGAAAATTTGGCGATTTTTGATACCCAATAAGCATAGTTTTGATAAAATTTTGAATTTTTTGAATTTTCGCGCCCGAAATTTATCCGGATTACTGTAGTTTTTGGCGGGAAACGGGGAAAATTTGAATTTTCAACAAGATTTGGAGTTTTTTGATACCCAATATGCATAGTTTTGATAAAATTTTGAATTTTTAAATTTTCGCGGGCAAAAATTCAACCAGATTACTGTAGAAAAAAAAAATACTACTGTAGTTTTTTCTACAGTAATCCATGTAATTTTTCTGAATGAACTATTTAATCAAAACTTCATTGAATAATCAAAAAAAAATTTTTTTTTCAAAATTTCTAAAAATTTTGAAACAGTGAATTTTTTTTCGAAATTCGAAAATATTTGAATTTTTTGAATTTTCGCGCCCGAAATTTATCCGGATTACTGTAGTTTTCGGTGGCAAAATCTACAGTAATCACTGAAAAGTTTATTAATTTTGAAAAAATTTTTTCAAAATTTCTAAAAATTTTGAAAAAGTGAATTTTTTTCGAAATTCAAAAAATATTTGAATTTTTGAATTTTGGCCTCAAAAATCTACAGTAATCCTGACAAGAATTTAGCGCCAGAAAATCATCCAGATTACTGTAGTTTTTGGCGCCAAAATCTACAGTAATCATTTGGTTTTTATTTGGACGATAGGCCATTATGATTCAAAAAAAAATTTTTCAAATTTTCTAAAAATTTTGAAACAGTGAATTTTTTCGAAACCAAAAAATTTGAATTTTTGAATTTTCGCGCGCGAAATCTCCGAGATTACTGTAGAAAAATACTACTGTAGTATTTTTCTACAGTAATCCATGAATTTTTCTAATTAAACTTTTTTTATCATCAAAATAACATTAATTTTGAAAGTAATTTTGAATTTTTGAATTTTCGCGGGCAAAAATCTCCCAGATTACTGTAGAAAAATATTACTGTAGTACAGTAGTATTTTTCTACAGTAATCCAGGTAATTTTTCTGAATGAACTATTTGATCAAAACTTCATTGAATAATCAAAAAAAATTAATTTTCAAATTTTTCTAAAAATTTTGAAACAGTGAATTTTTTTCGAAATTCAAAAAATATTTGAATTTTTGAATTTTCGCGCGCAAAAATCATCCAGATTACTGTAGTTTTTGGCGGGAAACGGGGAAAATTTGAATTTTCACAAGATTTGGCGATTTTTGATACCCAATAAGCATAGTTTCGATAAAAATTTGAAAATTAGAATTTTCGCGCGCAAAAATCATCCAGATTACTGTAGAAAAATATTACTGTAGTTTTTTTCTACAGTAATCCATGTAATTTTATCAATTTGATTGAAAAACCATTAATTTTGAAAAATAATTTTCGAAATTTCTAAAAATTTTGAAACAGTGAATTTTTTTTCGAAATTCAAAAAATATTTGAATTTTAGAATTTTCGCGCGCAAAATCTCCAAGATTACTGTAGTTTTTGGCGGGAAACGATGAAATTTGAATTTTTCACAAGATTTGGAGTTTTTGACACCCAACAAGTATATTTTTGATAAAAATTTGAATTTTCAAATTTTCGCGCTAAAAACAGCTTGATTACTGTAGTTTTTGGCGCCAAAAGAAGAAAATTTGAATTTTTCAGAAGATTTGGAGTTTTTTGATATCCAATAAGCAAAGTTTTGATAAAAATTTGAATTTTTGAATTTTCGCGCCGAAAAAATTCCAGATTACTATAGAAAAATATTACTGTAGTATTTTTCTACAGTAATCTATGTATTTTTATCGATTTGATTGAAAAACCATTAATTTTCAAAAATAATTTTCGAAATTTCAAAAAATTTTGAAACAGTGAATTTTTTTTTTGAATTTTTGAATTTTCGCGCGCAAAATCATCTAGATTACTGTAGTTTTTGAAGCCAAAAATCTACAGTAATCACTGAAAAGTTAATTAATTTTGAAAAAAAAATTTTGAAACAGTGAATTTTTTCGAAACCAAAAAATATTTGAATTTTTGAATTTTGGCCTCAAAAATCTACAGTAATCCTGACAAGAATTTAGCGCCAGAAATTCATCCAGATTACTGTATTTTTTGGCGCCAAAATCTACAGTAATCCATTGGTTTGACTAAAACAAATTTATATAACTAAATCGAGAAAGAAATTTTCGAATTTCTAAAAATTTTGAAACAGTGAATTTTTTTCGAAATCAAAAATTTGAATTTTTGAATTTTCGCGCGCAGAAATCATCCAGATTACTGTATTTTTCCCCGCGAAACTCCCAAAATTCAAATTTCCCACCTGAAACTTCGCAATCGCCGATCTGAAAATCGATCCAGCATCCATCAAATCAGCCGACATTCCATTTCTTGAAGATTGAAGAGAATTTGAGGGGGGAACATAGCCAAAGTCCTGGAGGTATTTTCTGGCCTTGTCATCTGAGACAGGAGGCGGCGAGCGAGAATTGTGCACTTGAGAGCTCGGATTTGATGATCCTGTAAAAAATCGGGGATTTTTGAGCCAAAAATCGTGATTTTTGGATGATTTTGACCCAAAATCCATAAATTTTGATGAAAAATTACTGCTCAAAAGGTCGGGGGATCGATCCCCGGTGCCTGCGGAACTTTTTGTTGAAAATTTGAGCTGGAAATCATCATTTTCTGATGAAATTTATCGCTCAAAAGGTCAGGGGATCGATCCCGGGTGCCTGCGAAAATTTTTTCTTTGAAAAAACAGCATTTTTGGATGATTTTGAGCTAAAATTCACCAAAAATTATGGTTCAGAAGGTCAGGGGATCGATCCCCGGTGCCTGCGAAACTTTTTGTTGAAAATTTGACCAAAAACCCATAAATTTTGATGAAAATTTATCACTCAAAAGGTCAGGGGATCGATCCCCGGTGCCTGCAGAATTTTTTTTGGAAAATTTGAGCCAAAATCATCAATTTTGATGAAAAATTACTGCTCAGAAGGTCAGGGGATCAATCCCCGGTGCCTGCGAAAGTTTTTGTGAAAAAACAAAAAACCTCCGCAGGCACCGGGAATCGATCCCCCGACCTTTTGAACAACAATTTTTTGGGGTTTTCAGCTCAAAATCATGCAAAAATCATGATTTTTGTCGAGAAAAATTTGAATTTGGCGCCAAAAATCCCCACCTTTTCCAGTAATTTTCGAAACCAGCGAATCGAAAAATCCGGCTTGGCAAGTGGCCAAAATGAGCGCAAAAATCAGCCAAATTCGAAAAATCATCTGAAATTTCAGATTTTTCGGTTAAAAATTGATAGAAATGGCGAAAATAACAAAAATTGACCAATTTTTGTTGATAAAAATTTGATAAAAATTATTACACCGTGTTTCAAAAAGTTAGGTTAACTTGGCCAAAAAAAAATAAATGATTTTTTTTTCTCATTTTTTTGTTCAAGGTAATCAGAAAGTGTGTTTAATAAAATCTTATCAAAATAAATCGTGTTTTTGACCGGAAAATGATAGAATTAGTCATTTTTTGACGAATTCGCGTTATTTTTAGCGCGCCAAAAATTGAAAATTCAAATTTTTCTCGATTTTTGGCCCAAAAAAAACTCACCCAACCTCACATAATCCACGAAAATCCCAATTTCTCCTTAAATTCCAACCAAAAATCGATATTTTCAGCAGAAAATCCAGCAAAAATCGATTTTTCATCATTTCCAGCCAAAAATCCTCCATTTTTTCAGCATTTCAGCATGTCCCCGACATATTGAGGCGCTGAAAATCATCTGAAAATCGAAAAAATCACTAAAAACCTCGAAAACCCCGCAAAAAAGCGAAGAAAACGAGAAAAAACGAAAAAAAAAAAGAAAAAATACGTGTTGTTCGGTGGAGCGCACTTGCTTGTTTCACCCCCAAAAGGCGGCGTTTCTTGAAAATTATTGATTTTTTGGTGGATTTCTTCACAGGTTCAGTGATTTGCCACGTGGAAAGCGAAAAAATGAAAGTTTTTTTTCAAATTTAATTTTTAATTTGTTTTTCTCCAAAAAAAAAGAAAAAATTCAATTTCCTTCATTTTCTTGGGTTTCGCATGAGTTATTATTCTTATTACAACTAGATTTTTTTCTCTAGAAATAATTTGATTTTCTGATATTTCCGTGTGTGTTTTGACCACAAAATATGTATACTGCCACGTGGCGTTTTTCAGCGCTGAAAATCGATTTTTCCAGGAAATTTTGTTTTTTGTATTTAGTCAGTAAATACAAAAAATATCGCATTTCTTCCGAGTTTAGTCTTCTCAGAAATTTTTCTTTTGATTTTTCGATTACTCCAAAAAAAATTAATTTAATTCAATTTTCAAACTACACTTTAGTTTAGCTGACTAACGTGCGCGCTCTGATAAATATCAAGGGTATTTTCCCATTGGCTCGAAAACAGACAGTTTAGCGCAGTGGCAGTGCGTTGGTTTTGCAGGTACGAGGTGCGGGGTTCAAACCCCGCCGCCTGCGAAACTATTTTTTTTGGCTGAAAATAGCTGAAATCGTAGAACAATTTGATTAATTTTTGTGTCGTAAAGCAGAAATGAGAAAAAATTTGATTAAAGTTCGCGTTTTTTCTGATTTTCAATTAAATTATTGTATGATTTCTGAGGAGAAAATTTTTTTTTTCAAAATTTCTCCTTTTTGTTGTGATAAAAATTATCGCTTATTCATACGAAAAAAAAATGTTTTTTGGTTAGAAAAATGTGGGCGGAGCCTATTTCCAGCCCACTTTTTTCAGAAAAAAAAAATTTGGAAATTCTCTGGAGTCTTGTGCGTTAATTGTTTTTGAGGCTGAAAATTTCAGATTTTCAGCCAAATTTCAGCCAAAAAACAATGTGCGAATCTGAGGCGACTTCAAATCTTCGATTTATGACAATAATCAACACTTCTGTGGTGGCCGAAAAAAATTTGACTGAAATTTTTCACTGGGCTCTGAAAATCGAGATTGGTGTGCTGTTTTTCAGGTAAAAATTTGAATTTTGGTATCAAAAATCGCCAAATTCCATGAAAAATTCAAATTTCCGATCTACAGTACCCCCTACAGTACCCCAAAATAATTTGCAGTTGGATCGAGTTCCTCTATCTCTTCTACCTGTTCCTCTTCATTCGCGCCATGCATTTCAACCTCAATTTTTTGTTCATGGTATACGGTGGCCAATATTTTTGTTCAATGGTTGCACGCATTTTCATACTGTACTATCAGCTGGGTTACGGTAGGTGTGGCTACAGTAATCTTTTTTTGAAATTTTTAATTTAAAAAAATTAAAAAAAAAAAAAAATTTTTTTTGAAAAATTTTTAAATTCAATTTTTTCGCGCCGAAATTTGAATTTCAAAATCTTCAGCTAAATTACAGTAGGCTACAGTACCCCCTACAGTACCCCCGAATTTTCCAGAAAATCTCAAAGATTGGCTAATTTTATCGAATTACGTCAGAACTATCGCCCTGGTCATCGCTTTCAATGTTTTACCGATTTTCATGTTTGAAAGGTGGGTACAGTAACCCAAGGGGTACTGTAGCTAGCTACAGTAATCCTTTTTGCAGATGCGTCGCCACATTTCTGGTCAAAAACTACGAAAAATCAATAAAATTCCACGTGCCAGTCATAATTTTACTCATATTTTTCCCGTTTTGCGGAATTTCCGGATTCGCCTACATACAGTGTAAGAAGTTTCACGTGGAAAAACCGTATGCCACGTGGCATTATCGATTGATTTTCTTCTTACAGGCTGGATTCCGTTGACTCTGCTCATCGCCGGATTTTTTGTGATCAACATCACCGGATATTTGGGAATCAATAGTATAAGGGATTTCAATGTGAAGCGGCATAGGTACGGTGGGATTTTGACGTCAGAATAGCCACGTGGCGAAATTTTCGCAGAATTTTTGAATTCACCGTGAAATTTGGAGTGTTTTGATACCAAACATGGATTTTTTTGCAGAAAATTCAACACTGTGACCCGAAAATCATCGCCGTATGTTTTAAGCGAACGCTTTCAGCTCGCTGAAAACATCAAAATGTTGGATATTTTGAAGAAAGTTCAAATCTCGATTCTATTCTTCAACGTAGCTTCAACTTCCATCCTTCTGATGGATTATTTTCGAATAGATCCCATCATTTTGTATACGAGTTATATGATTTACAATTATTTTTTGGCACTTTATGCGATAACTGTGCCGATTATTTTGCACGCTTCATTACCGGAGTGGAAAAAAGAGACGAAACGATTGATTTTGAAGATTAGAGGGAAGAATGCGGTGGGTGTATGCCCGAGGAATACTTTTGGCAAGCAAATGATTTATACGAATCCGAAAGAAGAGGCGGATATTTATTTTACACAATTTGACAGTGTTTTGAATAAAGTTTGAATTTTTAACTTGGTGTCCCTCCGTTCGTCTTTTCACGGGCTACAGAATGATATAAAAATCTTATGGGTTTGTTAAGGCTTTAGGGGAGAAAAGGTTGTTTTAAGTTTTCGTCATCGAGGAAAACCCTTCAAGATGAATTTCACCAAGCCTTCAATGTATTTCGAAATTTCCCCGGTCATGTCTGGTATCCCTCCGTTCGTCTTTTCACGGGCTACATAATGATATAAAAACCTTATGGATTTGTTAAGGTTTTAGCAGAGAAAAAGTTGTTTTTAATTTTCGTCATCGTTATAAAATGTCTATTTTAAACTTCACCAAGCCTCCAATGTATTTCAGAATTTCCCTGGTCCTGTCTGGTATCTCCTTATTCGTCTTTTCACGGGCTACAAGATGCTATAAATATCAAGCATTATCCCTGTTTTCACAGAGAAAATCCCCTTATTAAGGAAAACACCCAAACGACACTCCGCTATGCGCGTTGTTTAGCCGCGTGGCGTTTTCAAAATTTTTATTTCGAAAATCGCGTTTCCATGGTTTTTGGCGGTTTTCCTTGGGGTTTTCTGTGTGCTTTTTGATTTACAGCCAAAATTTCAGCTAGGGAACTTGATTTTCAGTGAAGGGATCTGGAAGTTTGGTGGGGAAAATGGGATTTTAGGAGTTTGTCTGAAATTTTTAGGTTTTGACCGAATATTTGAATTTTTAGAGCTATCTTGAATCAAATTTCATGATTTCTAGCATAGTCTAAGCTTTTTCAACAGGTTTATCTGGAAATTTCATGTCGAAACTTGTAAAATTCGATTTGCTAACTGAACTTTAGTCTAGTTTCTTTTTTCCCCGCAAAATCCAGTTTTTTTCTGAAATTTTACTATACTAAATACAATTTTCCGTCCGAAAAACTAGACTACAAGTTTTCTTTGACGCAAATTGTAAAAATAACAACATTTCTAGATAGAAAAGGATTTTTATATGAGAAATGGGGATTTTCTAATTGCCACGTCATAGGTCACGGAAAAATATTGATTTTTAGCTCTAGAATTTTCAAATTTCCTGGTTTCAGCATTTCTAAAACTCGTTCTAGAATTGCTGAAAATCCTAGGAAATCTGAAATTTCAGAGCTAATGAGATGCGGAAGCTATGCCCAAATTTTCATTGATTTTTTGCCACGTCATAAAGAGGCTAGCTCAAAATTCTTGATTTTTAGCGAAGTTTATATTGAAAAATCTGAAATTTAGCTCTAGAAATTTCAAATTTCCAGAATTTAGCATTTCTAGGTACTCGAAGAAGTTCTAGAAATGCTTAAAATCCTAGGAAATCTGAAATTTCAGAGCTAATGGGATGCGGAAGCTATGCCCAAATTTTTCATTGATTTTTTCCACGTCATAAGGAGGCTTTTGCTCAAAATTTATCGTTTGTAACGAATTTCACATTGAAAAATCTGAAATTTAGCTCTAGAAAATTCAAATTTCCTGGTTTCAGCATTTCTAGAACCCGAAGACGTTCTAGAAATGCTGAAAACCCTAGGAAATCTGAAATTTCAGAGCTAATGAGATGCGGAAGCTATGCCCAAATTTTTTATTGTAGTTTTGCCACGTCATAAGAGGCTTTAGCTCAAAATTCATGGTTTTAAAGAATTTTACATTGAAAAATCTGAAATTTAGCTCTAGAAATTTCAAATTTCCTAGTTTCAGCATTTTTAGAACTCGTGGAAGTTCTAGAATTGCTGAAAACCCTAGGAAATCTGAAATTTCAGAGCTAAGGAGATGCGGAAGCTATGCCCAAATTTTCATTGATTTTATCCACGTCATAGGGGGTTTAGCTCAAAATTTTTTCATTTTAAATGATCTTTGCATGAAAAATCTGAAATTTAGCTCTAGAAATTTCAAATTTCCAGGTTTCAGCATTTCTGGAACGCGAAGAAGTTCTAGAATTGCTGAAAATCCCAGGAAATCTGAAATTTCAGAGCTAAGGGGATGCGGAAGCTATGCCCAAATTTTTATCGATTTTTTTGCCACGTCATAGTGATTTTTAGCTAATTTTTCACCGAAAATCTGAAATTTAGCTCTAGAAATTTCAAATTTCCAGAATTTAGCATTTCTAGAACTCGAAGAAGTTCTAGAAATGCTGAAAATCCTAGGAAATCTGAAATTTCAGAGCTAAGGAGATGCGGAAGCTATGCCCAAATTTTTATTGATTTTTCGCGACGTCATAGGGGATTTAGCTCAAAATTTTTTCATTTTAAATGATCTTTGCATGAAAAATCTGAAATTTAGCTCTAGAAATTTCAAATTTCCTGGATTCAGCATTTCTAGAACTCGTGGAAGTTCTAGAAATGCTGAAAATCCTAGGAAATCTGAAATTTCAGAGCTAAGGGGATGCGGAAGCTATGCCCAAATTTTTATTGATTTGCACCTTGAAGTTGATCATTTTAGACCTATTTTACACCAAAAAATCTGAAATTTTCCAAATTTCCAGCACAAAAATGGCGTCAACCGCCTCCAACCCCAACACATTGCTTCCACTCGAGCTCGTCGACAAATGCATCGGCTCAAAAATCTGGGTAATCATGAAGAACGACAAGGAAATTGTGGGAACATTGACGGGTTTCGACGATTATGTGAATATGGTTTTGGAGGATGTTGTCGAATACGAAACGACTGCCGAAGGAAAACGAATGACGAAATTGGACACGATTTTGTTGAATGGCAATCATATTACAATGTTGGTGCCGGGTGGAGAAGGTCCCGAAATTTAAATTTTTATTGATTTTTTGATGTATTTTGATGATAAATTGTGAATTTTCGCGATTTTTTGGTTCAAAATTCATTTTTCTAGCTGAAATTTAGCTCTAGAAATTTCAAATTTCCTGGATTCAGCATTTCTAGAACTCGGAGAAGTTCTAGAATTGCTGAAAAACCTAGGAAATCTGAAATTTCAGAGCTAAGGAGATGCGGAAGCTATGCCCAATTTTTTTTTTCAAAAATCAATAATTTTATGCTCATCAAGTAGTAAAATGTTTAGTAGCATTTGGATAATAGGTCGAATAATGTTGTGTTCGTTTCAAAAACTCTTCGCGCGCTTTTTTGAGCAACGCATTTTGCCGCAGGATCGCCGCATCCAAGTCGCGTTCCTCGTTTTTGAAGTGTTCTTCGTGATTTTCGATTTCCCACTGGGTTCCGAGACGATAGAATTCGTTGGTTACGTCGACGCAAGCATCGCGGAACTGCAAAATGTGGGATTTTTGGTGGGAAAATGTGAAAATTTGGGATTTTTTGACCCAGAAATGTTGATTTTTGATGAAAATCCTGATTTTTAAGCTCGAAATTTGAAAGTTTCATGAAATTTTGACCCAGAAACGTTAAAATTTCAATTTTTTTTCGAAGCTACAAAAAAAAGCGTCAGCCTTGGGGTTTGCTGACGTATTTTCTGAAGCTACAAAATCTGCGTCAACCTCAGAAGTTGCTAGCGCATTTTTTGTAGCTCTCAAAATCTACGTCAGCTTTTGGTTTTGCTGACACATTTTCTGTAGTTACAAAAAAAAGCGTCAACACATGATTTCACTGACGCAAATTTTGTAATATACGTTTTTTGGCCTGAAATTTTCCAAATTTCAAAATTTGTCATGTTTGGTGTCAAAAATCGTGGATTTTTTCACTGAATTTAATTTCAGGTCAAAAATTTCGAAAAATTTATCATTTTTCATCAAATTTTCAGTTTTTCAGCTCAAAATTCATCATTTTTCATGAATTTCGGCTCAAAATTCATCATTTTTCATCAAATTTTCAGATTTTCAGCCCTCAGCTCCCCAAAAAAACTCACATGTTTACTACAAACTTCAGCCACTTCTTTAACATGTCCCAAAGTGGAAGGAGGTGGAACCGGAGCACGAACTGATACATTTGTTAGCAATTGACACCTGAAAATTGGATTTTGATGAGAAAATTCTGAAAATTTCAGGTTTTTCTGATAATTTTGAGCTGAAATTTGAATTTTTTGTGAAAATTTGACCTGAAAAAATTTACTGTTTCAAAAATTCTATAAATTTTTTTCAGATTTTGGAAAAATTATTAGTTCAAGCTTATATCACAATAATAATAAAAATTGAATTTTTAGCTGAAAATTTAGAAATTTTCAGATTTTTCCTGCCCAAAAATATGCCACGCGTCAAAAATTCCCATTTTTTATTCCCCCCATTAAAATTCCCCATGAGAATTGCATAAAAATCCAGAAATTCACTAAAAAATTCATTTTTTTCTCTGAAAAAAAATGAAAATCTTCCTTATTTTTGCAATTCTGGCTGGAATTTCAGGTGACTTAGAAAAATTTTTTTTTGAATTTTTGAAAAAATTTTTTTTTCAGAAGCTGGCGGTGCTTTTCCTCGAAAAATCAGTCAAAATTTGGAGAATTGAATGAAATTTTGGGATTTTTTTTGGGAAAATGAAGATTTTTATGATTTAATGCTGAAAATTTCAGATATTTGCCACGTGGCATCAAATTTTGCTCAAAAATTCAAATCTGGGCTCATTTTCATTGGAAAATGCTCAAAAATTCAAATCTGGGCTCATTTTCATCAAAATTTCAAAATTCCCGCCCAAAAATCGCCTACTGACCAATGCATCATCAACGAATCGATTCCATCACCCAACAATGTTCTTTCAAGCGGTTCTTCCTCTTCTTCCGCATCCGGTGCTTCCGCTTCCGGCTTCCGCGCGGAATTTTCCGCGTCCATCTCTTCCTCATTTTCAGCCGTCGATTTTTCCAGCAAATCCATCTCAGAATCGGACATTTTCAGTGAATTTTTGAAGCTGAAAATTTTGATTTTCAGGTCAAAAACAAGGTTTTTAAGGTAAAATAATGGGTTTTAGACCAATTTTCAGCGAAAAAACTGGAAAATTTCAAGAAAAATGCATTTTATCACATCAAAATCCCGTGTAAATCACAAAAAAATGCACAAAAAAATTATTTTCGCTCCTCGAATCGCCTCAAAAATGCTTCACGATCTTTGCGTTGTTGAGCAGCTGCGGCTGGAAAAAATTTGAATTTTTCGAATTTCCCGCTATAAAAATCATACTGTAGATCAATTTTCGGCGCGAAAAATTCAAAATTCAAAAAAACCCACTCAAAATTGGTGTCTCCACTGGATTTTCAGCATTTTCAGCTGCAGCTTCCGGATTTTCAGCATTTCCCTGTAGACTTAGCCGAATTGCAGCTTCCAGATTGTCTTCCGACAATTTTCGGGTTTCCATTGACATTGCCATCGCAATTGCCAAATCTTTGTCTTCTTGACCTACAAAATTCACGTCAATCTTGAGTTTTGCTGGCGCGTTTTCGGTAGGACTACAAAAATTGCGTCAGTGAAGGGTTTTGAAGCTACAAAATTCACGTCAGCATGCATTTCTGTTGACGTGAATTTTGTAGCTACTGGAAATGCGTCAGTAAAGGGTTTTGTAGCTACTAAATTCACGTCAGTGAACATTTTGTTGACGTGAATTTTGTAGCTACAGGAAATGTGTCAGTGAAGGGGTTTGAAGCTACAAAATTCACGTCAACATCAGATTTTGCTGGCGTCATTTTTGTAGCTAAGAAATGCTATTTTGAAGCTACTAAAAATGCGTCAGCATGAATTTCTGTTGACGTGAATTTTGTAGCTACGGAAAATGCGTCAGTGAAGGGTTTTGTAGCTACCAAAATTGCGTCAGCATGCGTTTCTGTTGACGTGAATTTTGTAGCTACAAAAATCACGTCAATATAGGATTTGCTGGCGTCATTTTTGTAGGTATCAAATTTTCCGATGACTCATCAAAAAATTCAATTTTCTCAATTTTTTTTTCAAAAATTTCATTTCAAAATTGAAAAATGTTACACTTTTTCAAATTTTCCCCTTAAAAATCCCAAAAAATCTCGATTTTTCGCTCGAAAATGTCAAAATTCGAGAATTTCTTGTGTTCGGAGCATCGAGTTCCGCGAACTTTTTGGGGAATTCCGATAAGTTTCGCCATTTTGACGTGTCAATTATTGATTTTGGCGTGGATTTCAATTGGAGGTTGGGTGGCCCAAAAATCGATAATTGTGGTTTATTTTGTGAGTTTTTTGGGGCTACGAGAAATGCGTCAGCAGAACATTTTGTTGACGCCTTTTTTGTAGCTAAAAAAATTACGTCAGCAGATCCTTTTGCTGACGCTTTTTCTGTAGCTACAAAAATTGCGTCAGCAGAACATTTTGTTGACGCCTTTTTTGTAGCTACAAAAATTACGTCAGCAGATCCTTTTGCTGACGCTTTTTCTGTAGCTACAAAAATTGCGTCAGCAGAACATTTTGTTGACGCCTTTTTTGTAGCTACAAAAATTGCGTCAACATGGGTTCATACTGACGTACTTTTTGTAGCTTTGTAGCTACAAAAAATGCGCCAGCACATCATTTTGCTGACGTGTTTTTTGTAGCTACAAAAAATGCGTCAACAAAATTCTTTACTGAAGCAAATTCACATTTTTGAGCTACAGGAAATGCGTCAGCAAGGCGTTTTGCTGACGCCTTTATCGTAGCTGCAAAAAATCACAAAAATTTCCAAGAAAAAGGTCACAGGTTCGATTCCCCATGCTGCCTACTTTTATTTTTTCAAAACTATTTGAATTCGGTGTCAAAAAACGGCAAATTTTCGCGCCAAAACGCCACGTGGCATTATTTGTGGCGGGAAATTCAAAAATTCAAATTTTCAGGGTTTGCCTCAACTCCTGATTACCGTACTTTTCTTCTTCAACTTCTACTATCTCATAATTTTGCATTTTTTCGCGCAAATTACGGGATTCTTGCTGGGCATGTGCTATTTGTTCTATATTTTCAGAATGGGTGAGTTTCAGATGTGAATTTGGCTGAAAATCATGAAATTTCAGTCAAAAATTCCAGATTTTCAGCAATTTTCAGCTTTCAGGACATCGAAATTGGCCAGAATCATTCGACGTTTTTCAATTGTGGTTTTTCACAATTTTCGGGATTTTCTACATTTTTTATATGGATTTGGTGCTAAAATATGCACTGCATTTGAAAAAATGGCAAAATTTGGAGGCTGAGAAGCGAAAAATCGAAGAAGCTGAAAATCAGGCTGAAAATGAGGATTCTGTTTGATTTTTACTGAAAATTTGAATAAATTTTTTGAAATCGCTGAAAATCCACGTTTTTGACAGGAAATACGCCTAGATTGTCTTACTGACGCAATTTTTGTAGGCTACAAAAAATACGTCAGTGAAATATTGCGTTGACGCAATTTTTGTAGCTTCAGATTTCACATCAAAAAGGATTTTTGCTGACGCAATTTTAGTAGGCTACAAAAAGAGCGTCAGTGAAACTCAAAATTCTCGGTTTTTGGCTTAAAAATCGGGATTTTTCGAATTTTGCATAGAAAATATAGCATTTCAGGTTAAATTAGGTCAAAATTTATGAATTTTAGATCAAAAATTGATTTTTCAGATGAAAAAGCTTAAAACTGACTGAAAATTCAGAATTTTGGGTTAAAATTTATCAATTTTAATAAAAAATCCAAAATTTCAGGTCAATTTGATAAAAAATCCACTTCTAGGGTTGAAATAGGTCAACATTCACAAATTTTGGATCAAAACTTGATTTTTCAGATGAAAAACGTTAAAAATGACTGAAAATTCAGAATTTTAGGTCAATTTGATAAAAAATCGATTTCTAGGGTTGCAATTGCTCAAAATTCATGAACTTTCGTCCAGAAAATCACATTTTTCATGAAAAATCCAATTTAGAGTCGATATCCACCAAAAATCGATCAATTCAGGTTAAATTTCATGATTTTCGGCTCAAATTTTGATTTTGCAGCTAGAAAGGTTAGATTTGACTGAAAATTCAGAATTTCAGGTTTAAAATCACCAAAATTTACGAATTTTGGGTCAAAAACTTGATTTTTCAAGTGAAAAAGGTCAAATTTGACTACAAATCCAATATTTTAGGTTAAAATTTATCAAATTTAGTGCTGAAAATCGGATTTTTCATGAAAATCCCAGAAATCAATGAATTTTCGCCCCAAAAATCCCCCAAAACTCTCACTTTCCGGCTCAATTCCACTACCCAATCTTCTTCCAACATTCTCCACCAATTTCTCCAAAATTCCCGGCTCTTTTTTGGGTTTCTTGGGCACCGATTTCTCCACCACCGGACAAAGTGAGATCAATTGATCGGCTTCCGAATCCGGCAAAATTCCATTCACCACAAATATCGAATATTGTTCGGCTGCTAATTGATGCAAAAATACGTGGACGTAGGTGTTGGACAATAATCCGGGACCCATTTTCACCGAATTTAGTTCGAACCATTGGTGGCCGAATTTGCGCAGCACAAACCAGTGTTCCATGTGATTACAGATGAAGGCGCGCGCTTTTCTGGAAAAAAAACGGGGTTTTTTGGTGAAAATTGGGTTGGGCACGGTTTTTTGGGCGTGGCTTAGGCTCAAAATGCAAGTCTGACACAGTTTTCCCTAGGTTTATTGTTCAAAATTAGGCTCCGCCCCTTTTCTGCAAGCCTGGCACAGTTTTTTGGGGCGTGGCTTAGGCTCAAAATGCAAGTCTGACACAGTTTTCCCTAGGTTTATTGTTCAAAATTAGGCTCCGCCCCTTTTCTGCAAGTCTCGCACAGTTTTTTATCAAATTTAGATCAAAACAAATGAAAATGCAAGATTTTCGATAGGGCACGGTTTTGTGGGCGTGGCTTAAAAAGGGGCGGAGCTTAGGGTGTTCAAAATCCCATTTCTGCAAGATTTTGGATAGGGCACGGTTTTGTGGGCGTGGCTTAAAAAGAGGCGGAGCTTAGGGTGTTTAAAATTCCATTTCTGCAAGATTTTCGAAAGGACACGGTTTTGTGGGCGTGGCTTAAAAGGGGGCGGAGCTTAGGGATTTTAAATTCCAATTTCTGCAAGATTTTTGATAGGGCAGGGTTTTGTGGGCGTGGCTTAGGCTTTACATGTAAATTTTTCAAAATTTTAGGCTCCGCCCCTTTTTCTGCAAGTCTGGCACAGTTTTTTTCTCAAAAATTCAAATTTTCAGCCAAAAAACACTTTTCTAGACCAATTTTTCGCGCGAAATTCAAAAATTTGGCTAAAAACATGTTTTTAGGCCCAAATTTCATGAAAAATTCAAATTTCGAGCCAAAAATGACCTACAATGGATCATTTTTGATGTCCGCCATAGTGGGATGTTCGATATTGGTCAATGTCAAATCGAAACTCTTCAACGCCTCCGAAATGACTTGAATCGAAAAGTAGCCACTGTCGTTCATGTTTTGACTTTCGCGATTTTGAAAATTCTGAAATTTGGTGGATTTTTGGCTGAAAATGATGAATTTTGACCCAAAATTCATGAAAAATGATGAATTTTAAGCTAAAATAGTGAATTTTAGCTTAAAATGCATCATTTTCAGCCAAAAATCTGAAATTTTCAGCCAAATTACCTGATCTAGAACACTATTCTCCTCCTGATCCAATCTTCTGGCGATTTCCGTCAATTCCGCCACTGAGAATAGCGAATTCTGTAGGAGCATATTGAGAGCGTGTTGAGCACACAGAGCCGCTTCTTGCTGCAACAAAAAATGCGGATTTTTTGGCGCCAAAATTTGATCTACCGTAATCTGGTGGAAATTCTGCGATTTTTGACACTAGGTTCGGGTTACTGTAGAATTTTTTCGCGCCAAAAACCTACAGTAACCCGAACCTAGTCATATTTGGTTTCAAAAATCCCAGAATTTTCAGTAGATTACGGTAGATCAAATTTTCGCGCCAAAAACTCACTTTTTCAAACAATATCGAATCCATGGCTGGAAATCGTTCTGAAATTTTCGAAAAATTCAAATTTTCGGTTGAAAAATATTCGAAAGTTCTTGCAACTTCAAAGTAATTTGAGAAAAAATCGATAAAAATTCAAAAAATCTTCATAAAACTCTCAAAATTTGCAGGATAAAAGATAAAAAATATATAGAAAAGGGTAAAAATGGCACAAAAATTCAAATTTCGCGCCGAAAATCGCCGATTTTCGCTCCGAGACCCCCAAAATCACTCCATATAAATGTCCAAAACCGAATCGCCAAAATTTCCGTTTGAACTTGTTGAATAGATATAATCCTCGTTAGAAGGCGGTGGAGATATCGATTGAGCTGGTGGAATTGGATTTGAGGCTGAAAATTTCAGATTTTTCATGAAATTTGATGAATTTTGATACCAAACAATCCCAGGATTACTCTAGATCGATTTTTAGCGCCGAAATTCGGGATTTTCATGAAATTTCGTGAATTTTGATATCAAACAAGGTTACTGTAGGCTTTTTAAATGAAATTTGATGAATTTTGATACCAAACAAGCCTAGGCTTAGGCTTTGGGTACTGTAGATCAAATTTCAGGGCTCAAAATCTACAGTAACCCTAGTATAGGTTAAAATTCATTGAAAATCACGCCAAAAATCGATAAATCCACGTGGATCGGGTTACTGTACGCTTTAGCGCAAAACTTTGATGAATTTTGATACTAAATAAGCCCAGGATTACTGTAGATCAAATTTTAGCGGCGAAATTCGGGATTCTCGTGAAATTTCGTGAATTTTGATATAAAACAAGCCCCGGATTACTGTAGATTAAATTTTAGCCTTCGAAAAATCTACAGTAACCCAGATCTAGGTTAAAATTCCCATAAAACACTCACATTTCTTCTCGCCCTTCTTCTCTGCCTCCTCCTCCTCTTTTTCCTCTGCGTCTCTCGCCTCCTCATCTTTCTCCATCTTCACTGCCTCTTCTCTCGCCTCCTCTGTCATCTCTACGTCTCCACCACTCGTCTCTCCATCTCCTTCTCTAACACTCTCGTTTCTCTGCACTCTCTCCTCATTATTATTCTCGGTCTCTTTGACGAATTCATTGAAATCGTGATCACTGATGATGGCGGCTCGAATTGGACCCGTCGTGTTTTTGGCGTAGAGCCAAACCGAATCCTGGTCGTTTTCTGTGAACACGTCACGAAGCGGGTTTTCCTGGAAGAGATTTGCGGTTGGTTTTCTAGGCCATGGGTGAGAAAATTGGGGATTTTTGAGGTATTTTTGGTCTAGAACATTGATTTTTGGATTTCTAGGCCGTGACAGCTAGAGATTTGGTTTTCTAGGCCACAGGAGGGGTTTTGGTGTGAAAAAACGGGTTTTTTGAAGTATTTTTGGTGTAGAAGGTTGTTTTTTGGATTTCTAGGCCGTGACAGCTAGAGATTTGGTTTTCTAGGCCACGGGAGGGGTTTTGGTGTGAAAAAACGGGTTTTTCATGTGAATTTTGAATTAAAATTGGTTTTCTAGGCCATATATTCGGTTTTCTAGGTTTTTGAGTGAAGAAATCGGGTTTCTAGGCCATCTATTAGGTTTTCTAGGTCACGGACTAGTTTTCCGGTGAAAATTCGGGTTTCTAGGCCATTGATTTGGTTTTCTAGGTTACGGACTAGTTTTTGAGTGAAAATCCAGGTTTCTAGACCAAAATTCATCAATTTTGTGTTGAAATTCACCGAATTTTCGCTCAAAAACCTCGATTCCAGCTGAAAATCTCAAATTTTCAGCATTCCCACCCCAAAAATCACTGACCTCCGGTGTGCTAACCATAATCTGTGTCCCCGTTCTCGTCTGCATTCCCATCACCATATCCTCCCCAAAAATCTTCGCTATATCCTCTCGCAAAACATATCCCAACTGATGATTCATCTCCGTCTCATAAACATTCCTCATGGATTGGACCAGCCACCGCTGATGCTTCTCAATCAACCGCTCCTCCTTCTCAATCTTCTCCAAATCCCTTTTCAATTGAATAATTCGAATTTCCTCGTCAGTCGTCCCACTCAATTTCCTCGATTCCTTCGCATTCAACATAAAATCCCCACCTTTCCACTGTATCATATTCTTACTTCGTTTCTCCACTAAACCAATTCCCTCCAAAACATTCGTTATATCATAAATCCTCCGCTTCTGCCTGACATTCAAGGCTTCCGCGGCCGTATTCAAATCACACCGGCCATACGGTGAAAATTGAATCATCCTTATAAATCGCTTGGCTAAAAGCCCCAATGATTTATCCGCACGGGACCCCATTTGCGGGTGATCCAAGTCATCTTCATCATCCAAATCGAAATCAAAATCCGCCGCTTCTTTCGGGGGCGGCATTGCTGGAACTGCAAACTTCTTTGTCATATCCAAAGCTTTCTCCAGTTGCAGGTTTGACATTTGGCGGATTGACATAAGGCTAGTCTTCATTTGCTCGTCAGTTTTACTTTGACTCATCTCTCCTGAAATCCATTTAGCTTGTGCGAAATTCAAAAATAAAAAAAATATATTCAAAACGCCGCGCGCGGCAAAAAAATCAATGACGCGTCAGCGACGAGAGAGTGTGTGTTTTGAGGAGGGTGCGTTCGCCATAGAGCGCACTTCCATTTTTACTTTTGTTTTTTCTCCTTTTTTTTTTGCTTTCTCAGATTATTTATTTAAAAAAAACACATTAAACATGTTAATAGCTTTCTGTGATAGTTGAAAACGAAGAAGCGCACCCGGCTCTTTGTTTATTGATCAAATTCGCATTTCGCAATGAAATCTCCAAATCTTCGAGCATTTTCTTCTGAAACGTCTCCTGCTCCAATTCCTCCCTCAATCTCTCCACCAAACCATCACGTTGTCCCTTTAAAAGTCGAATAGCTTCGGAAACCTTGTCGACGACATGATTCCAATGTTTTGTGCTCGCCTCCATCTCTTTTATATCGTTTTTCACGTCGCGCAACTGTTGTTTGTGCAATTTTCGACGAATATCAATCTCTTCGCGCATTATTTGCACTTTTTCGCGTTTTTCGGCGAGGCGTTCGAGATTTTCGGCGATTTCGGCGGAGATTTGCGCAGAGGTGTCCATGGTGAAGCCGATTTGTTGTTTTTTGGTTTTGATCTGGAATTTTGAGAGATTAGCTGCTTTTGATCTGATTTTAGGCTTGAAATTTCGAAATTTCGCAGGATTTTTGGTGAATTTTCAGTAAATCTCATGTTTTTTGATGTTTAGAAGCTAAATAAGGGTTTTCTGACCAAAATTGAACAGTTTTTCGATACTTGCACTCATTTAAAATTGACCATGAGACGATTTTAGGCCAAAAATTCTGATTTTCGTCAGTTTTTGAGTCAGAGTTCGTAGTTTTTGTCGAAAATTAGTGTTTAGGGTTTGTAGACTAGAAAAATCTTTTCCAGAATGTTTCTAGACCATTTTTTAGTTTCTGGAAGGCCGCTAGACGGTTTTTTCGTCTCCGGAAGGCTACTGGACTGTTTTTTGGGCTCCGGAAGGCTTCTGAATCGTTTTTGTTGTCCCAGGAAGGGTTCTAGACCGTTTTCCGGTTCCGGAAAGTTTTTGGACAATTTTTCCGCTTCCAGAATGTTTCTAGACAGTTTTTCCGCTTCCAGAAGGTCTCTAGGCCGTTTTTTCGTGTCCGGAGGCTTCTAGACTGGTTTTCCGTCTCCGGAAGGTTTCTAGACCATTTTTCCGCCTCAAGAAGATTTCTAGACCACTTTTCCGTCTCCAGAAGGCTTCGAGATCACTATTTCGTGTCTTGGAAGCTTCTAGACCATTTTTCCGCTTCCAGAAGGCTTCTAAACCAATTTTTCGGGTCCGGAAGGGTTTTGGACTGTTTTTTCGTCTCCGGAAGATTTCTAGACCGTATTTTCGCTTCCGGAAGGCTTCTAGACAGTTTTTCCGCTTCTGAAAGGTGTCTAGGCCGTTTTTTTGTCTGTGGAAGGTTTATGAACTGTCTTTCCGTCTCCGGAAGGTTTCTAGACCGTTTTTTCCGCTTCCGGAAGGTTTTTGGACTATTTTTCGTCTCCGAAAGGATTCTAGACTGTTTTTTGGGCTCCGGAAGGTTTATGGACCGTTTTTTGGGCTCCAGAGCTTCATAAGCCTAGAAAACACGAATTCCAGCTTACCATTTCCATTTGCTCAGCCAATTGTTGAGCCCACGACGTAACCCTATAACTAATATCAGTCTCTCTACGTCTCGCCTTATCCACTCGATCCCACAATTCGGAAACCTGGGCCTGAACCACACCGATACGATTCGCGCACTCGCGCTTCTTCGCCAACTCCAATTGCAGCTCTCGCTCCAAATTCAACAAATACTCATCGACGTCGGCTTCGAATTCGAGCACCGTCTCACTAGTGACGTCATCGATTTTGAGACTGGAGAGACGCTCCTGGATTGTGCTGCTCATTTTTGTTTTTCGAAAAATGAGCCAGGAGTGCATGGAAATTTGTGGGTGATGTGGATTTTTGGGTCACGTGACGCGGATTTTTCAAATTTTTTTTTGAGAGCGGACGTTTTTGTGTTTTTTGGTGGCCTAGAAATCTAAATCTAGGTTGTTGGTGGCCTAGAAAACAAAACGATGGCCTAGAAACCCAGAAGCACATTCCTGGTGGCCTAGAAATCAAATTCTCGAAACCTGGTGACCCAGAATACCAAACTATTGCCTAGAAATCCAAATATACTATTTTGGTGACCTAGAAATCAAATTCTCGAAACCTGGTGGCCTAGAATTCCAATTTACGACCTAGAAACCCAGAAAAACGTTCATGTTGGCCTAGAAACCCAAATCTAGAACTCTGGTGGCCTAGAAAACCAAATATACCATTTTGGCGGACTAGAAACCCAAACCATGGCCTAGAAACCCAGAATCTCGCTCCTGGTGGCCTAGAAAACCAGGCTATGGCCTAGAAACCCCAATGTACTATTTTGGTGGCCTAGAAACCCAGAAACACGCTCCTGGTGGCCTAGAAATCCAAATCTAGAATTCTGGTGGCCTAGAAACCCAAAAAATACCGGAATTGACCCGAAATTCGTCCCAAGACCTAATTTTGATGAAAAAATCGAAAATCAGCTCAGAAATTTCAATTTTCAGCTTGAAAAACCTCAAAATTCGTGTAATATTCCAAAAATCACATTTTCGTGGCCTACAAATCCACCTCCATGGCCTAGAACTCCAAAAACATGATTTTTATACCAAAAAATCACCTAAAACCCTTCAAATTTGTCTTAAAATCACCTTTTTGACCTTGAAAATCTGTTTTTTTCTCTTCTCGATTATTTTGCACAAAAAAATCCGGAAATGTTTCCAGTGCTGAAAATGAATACAACATTCAATCGCGACGACGAATCAGCACCATCTTCACCAATCGCAAAAATGGCACCAAATGATATTCCACCAACTATGTCAGCTGTAAGTGTTTAGCCTAAAAAAGCCTGAAATTCAAGCCTAAAGCCCAAATTTGACCTGAAATTAAGGCCTTAAATTTGGCCTAAAGCCTGAAATTCAAGCCTAAAGCCCAAAAAAGCCCTGATTTCCAGCCAGCCAACAATACGATCGTAATGTCGGTGGAAGAATCGAATGGAAATGTGGAAATCGATGAAAATGATGCGATTCTGGCCGGATGTTCTTTGATGGATGTTGTCATTTTAAAGCATACCAATAAGAAGTATATGGAAATTAATAAGAGATTATTTGATTCGGATGGTAAGCGGCCTACAAGCCTAGGCCCAGGCCTTGAAGCCTAATTCAAAATTCCACTTCCAGAATTCGAAGTTCGTCGATGTTCGGATGGTCAAGTCATCTCCTACGGTCGATGTTCGAATTTCGGACTTCCTGGTTCAACTCCATCAAATTCGATTCCAGGTGAGTGTTTTTGGCTTAAAAATCAAGTTTCTGAGCTCAAAATGCTCCAAAAATCAATTTTCTGAGCTCAAAATTCCCCAAAAATCAAGTCTCTGAGCTCAAAATGCTCCAAATAAAGGATCTGAGCTCTAAAATCAAGTTTCCGGGCTCAAAAATGCTCCAAAAATCAAATTTCTGGGCTCAAAATGCTCCAAATCGATTTTTTTGCTCAAAATTCGAATTTCTGTGCTGAAAATGCTCCAAAAATCAAGTTTCTGAGCTCAAAATGCTCTAAATCAAGTTTCTAGTCTTAAAGGGGGGGTAAGACGACAAAATTTTATTTGCTCAATGAATCGGGCTCCCTTTGAATAGTAAAAGCCCCAGGGGATTTTTTCTCGAAAGGCCTAAAAAGGTCCGAAAAAATATTCCATGAACTTTTTCAACGTATAGCTATACGTTGTCCAAAAGTTTATGGAATAATTTCAACGTATAGCTATACGTGGTACCTAGTTTATGGAACATTTTTTCTGGACGTTTCCAGAAAAAATCCCTTGGAGGTTTTACTACTTTTGGGGAGCCTTTAACTTTGCGACAAAAAAAATTTGTCGTCTTACCCCCCCTTTAAAATGCTTCAAAAATCATTTTTTTTGAGCTCAAAATGCTCTGAATCCAGTTTCTGAGCTGAAAATGCTCTAAAAATCAAGTTTTGTCGCTTAAAATGCTCCAAAAATGAAGTTTCCGGGCTCAAAATGCTCGGAATCAAATTTCTATGCTAAAAATGCTCTAAATCAAGTTTCTGGGCTCAAAATGCTCCAAACAGAATTTTTTGCTCAAAAACCAGGTTTGTGGGCTCAAAATGCTCCAAAAATGATGGTTCTGGGCTCAAAATGCTCCAAATAAAGGATCTGAGCTCTAAAATCATGTTTCTGGGCTCAAAAATCAAGTTTCTGAGCTCAAAATGCTCCAAAAATCAAGTTTTTGCTCAAAATGCTCCAAATCAATTAATTTTGCTCCAAAAATCAAGTCTCTGAGCTCAAAATGCTCCAAAAATCAAGTTTTGGGGCTCAAAATGCTCAAAAAATCGAGATTTGTGGCTCAAAATGCTCCAAATCAAGTGTCTGAGCTCGAAATGCTCAAAATATCAAATTTTTTGAGCTCAAAATGCTCTAAATCAAGTTTCGGGGCTCAAAATGCTCCAAAAATCGGATTCCTGGGCTCAAAATGCTCTAAATCAAGTTTAGGGGCTCACTATGCTCCAAATCAAGTTTCTGGGCTCAAAATTCATCAAAAATCAAGTTTCTGGGCTCAAAATGCTCCAAAAATCAAGTTTCTGAGCTAAAAATGCTCCAAAAATCAAATTTTCTGGCTAAAAATCTCGAATTTCAGACGAAGAATATCAGCGAATCGTAAAAGAACGTGATCAAGCGCGTCAAGAAGCTGAAAAATCGCACGAAAACTACAATGTGCTCTTCTCAAGTTACACGGCAGTTCGCGAAGCAGCAAATGATATTCGCGAAGGTTATCAAGAAGCGGCTGAAAAGCTGAAAATGGCTGCGGGAGAAGTGGAAGAATGGAAGACGAAATACGAAATTGTGAAACAAAATGCGAATTTGGAATTGGAACGAGCCAGTTTGGAATATGAGGATTTGGTGAGAAATCATGAGGAAAATACAAAAGGTTTGAGATTGAAAGTGAAACGAGCCGAAATTGAAATGAAGAGTCGAGATGATGAGATTCATATTTTGGTGAGGGATTTTGGGTGGTTTTGGTGGAAAAATTGTGAAATTTTGACCTGGGAAACCTAAAAATCGAGATTTCCAGTCAAAAATGAGCTGAAAATTGTGAATTTTCACCTAAAAATATGCAAAATTTTTAAAATTTTGACCTGGGAAACCTAAAAACCAAGATTTATAGTCAAAAATGAGCTGAAAATGAGCATTTTTGACCTGAAATTGATCTGAAATCAAAACCCAAATTTTACCTATTTTTGGAAGGTCCTGGAGCAAATTTGGAGGGTTTTGATGCAGAATTCATGAAATTTGAGCCAGGAAAACCTGAAAATCGAGATTTCTAGTGAAATATGAGCTAAAAATCGTGAATTTTGACCTGAAAATAAGCCTGAAACTGACCTGAATCCAGGCCTAATTTAGGCCTAAAAATAGTCTAAGGTTGGCCTGAAAATGAGCCTAAAACCGGCCTGAAAATGAGCCTAAATTCAGGCCTAAAGATAGTCTAAGGTTGGCCTAAATTTAGGCCTAAACTTACCCTGAAATTCAAATAAAAAAACAAAATTATCGATTTTTCATTTCAAAACTTGATTTAAAGGCCTACCAGACCTGAAATTTTGCAAAAATCCCAAATTTTCACCCAAAACCCCCTCAAATTTTCCAGAAATCCCGAATCGAAGAGCTGACTCGAATTTGCGATCAATTGATGAATGATGTTGATGTGACAGATACCGAATCAAGATATTCAGCTTCCTATGATGCATAATTTTCATTTCTTCAACTAAAATTCAAGTTTTTTTGATCTACAGTAATCTTCTCGAAATTTCACGTTTTTTGACACCCAACAAGCCTATTTTCCACCTGGATAATCCAGGCTGGATTACTGTAGATTTTGGCTTACTTGTGAATATTTAACGCATTTTTGGGCTTTTATCATTATTTATTTTTAACAGTATTTTTTTTGCGAATGAATTTTCCAGCCGGTTTTTTCAGCATCTTCTGAAGCTCCATGAGTAATTTCAGCTAAAAAATTTCAGAAAAATTTATTTTGCAGCGCGTGACGTCACGATTTCCAGATTGCGCATCCCCTAAATACCCCCATCAAATCGTGCGCCCGACATTTCCCTGGTTTTCCCCGCTACTCGCTATATTTAATGTGTTTTCACCTATTTATTTCGAGGTATACGGTGCGTTGAAATGTGTGCATTTGTGCGTCGCCGTGTGTGTGGTTTCTCTGCGCGCACTCCACGTTTTGTGTGCTCTCTCATCTCTCTTCCAAAATTTTTTGTCATTTTTTTTTGTTTTTGCGGGGTTTTTGAAGGTGAGAATTGATTTTCAGAGTGAAATTATTGATTTTTAAAGGCGCAAGGTGGAATTTCGACTGGAAAATCAAGAAAATTTGGCGGGAAATCGAGAAATTCAACGTTTTCACAGGGTTTTCGTGGTTTTCAAGGTGAGAATTGATTTTTGAGTTGATTTTTGGGTAAAATTATTGATTTTTAAAGGCGCAAGATGGGATTTCGACTGGAAAATCGAGAAAATTTGGCGGGAAATCAAGAAAATCCACGTTTTCACAGGGATTTCGTGGTTTTAATGGTGAGAATTGATTTTTGGGGTGAAATTATTGATTTTTTCCACCAAGGAGATATTTGAGAGTGTAAAAATCATGAAAAATCGAATTTTCATACAAAATTTGGTGAAATTCATGAATTTCGAGCTGAAAATCGTGTCTAGGCCTGAAATTCATGATTTTAGAGCTCAAAATGCTCCAAATTTCACGGCGAGTTCAAAAATCAAGTTTATTTTTCAATTTCAATCGATATAAGTTCCATAGGTTTTCAATTTTTTCGAATCTCGATGTCGAAATGGGCGGTGATGTTTGTTGGAGGTTTTGATGATCCAGAAATCGTCGTCGATTTGACCTTCCTGAATTTCTAGTTTAATATGAGCAATGCCAAGTTAAACTATATCATGTTTGGTGTCAAAATACCGCAAATTTTAACGCGATTACTGTAGTGCCTAACCTGAGCAACATTGATCTGCCTGAATCGCAAATGTGTCTCATTAAAGATCCGCATCCTTCCGAATCCATAATCTGTCGATCTTTTCGCACTCCACGGCGGTGGATTCACCACAAAAATATCCGTGTTCTCACGGCAACCCTGGAAAATTTGAATTTTTGAATTTCCCGCCAAAACTGTTTTTGGCGGGAAATTCAAAAATTCAAAAAAACCCACCGCTGAACCAGTTATAATATGCACTGGAGCTGGTGGATTGACATACGGTGCATCTGTGTTATTATAAACCTGAAAATCTACAGTATGCTAGGGGTACTGTAGGTTTCTCGCGACAAAACCTACAGTACGATTATAAACCGGCCACAGCCTTTCATAAGTGTGCTCATGAGCATATAATTGCACATCGACTCCTTGCTCATAGAACAGTTTTTCTAGCGCGTAGGCGTGAGTTAGCGGAAGTCCGGTGCGAATCTGAAGGGGGTACTGTAGCTCGAAATGGTCAAAAATTAAGCCTAGGAGGTCTTTCGTAGCCAAAATTTGAGCTATAAAGTGGAAAAAAGCAAATTTTTTTTTTTTTGTTTTTTTTTTTTGTGAAAAAAAGCTCCCAGGCTTAAAATAACCCGGAAAACTCGATTCCGGGCTCAAAAATGGCCAAAAATTCAAATTTTCATCGAAAATGAAGCCTGAGAGGCTTTTCGGGGCCAAAATTTGAGGTATGAAGTGGAAAAAAAAGCAAAAAAAATTTTTTTTTTTTTTTTTTTTTCGAAAAAAGCACACAGGCTTAAAATAACCCGGAAAACTCGATTCCGGGCTCAAAATGCTCCAAATTTTCGCGCAAAAAAACCCACCACCGATTCGAATTTGGTGCAATCATCGCCATCAAAGTCCGAACAATACATTGGTCTATGTCCCATCGTAATAATCCATGGAACCGATTTGCGGTTCAAATTTGCCGCCTTCAAATCGGATTTTAGGAATTTGAATTGCGTTTCGATTTGATGATAGCCGTATTCGGTGTAGAAGTAGAATTCGGTGGAGAAAACGAGGAAATGCGCGGGGCCCACGTTGAAACTGTAAAAAATATCTAGCTCAATTTTTATGGATAAAAATGAAAATCGTCGTTTCGGAGTTACTACGAAATACAGATTTTTTATATCTAGCCTTATTTTATGGATAAAAATGAGAAATCGTCGTTTCGGAGTCACTACGAAATACAGATTTTTTATATCTAGCCTTATTTTATGGATAAAAATGAGAAATCGTCGTTTCGGAGTTACTACGAAATACAGATTTTTTATATCTAGCCTTATTTTATGGATAAAAATGAGAAATCGTCGTTTCGGAGTCACTACGAAATACAGATTTTTTATATCTAGCCTTATTTTATGGATAAAAATGAGAAATCGTCGTTTCGGAGTCACTACGAAATACAGATTTTTTATATCTAGCCTTATTTTATGGATAAAAATGAGAAATCGTCGTTTCGGAGTTACTACGAAATACAGATTTTTTATATCTAGCCTTATTTTATGGATAAAAATGAGAAATCGTCGTTTCGGAGTCACTACGAAATACAGATTTTTTATATCTAGCCTTATTTTATGGATAAAAATGAGAAATCGTCGTTTCGGAGTTACTACGAAATACAGATTTTTTATATCTAGCCTTATTTTATGGATAAAAATGAGAAATCGTCGTTTCGGAGTCACTACGAAATACAGATTTTTTATATCTAGCCTTATTTTATGGATAAAAATGAGAAATCGTCGTTTCGGAGTCACTACGAAATACAGATTTTTTATATCTAGCCTTATTTTATGGATAAAAATGAGAAATCGTCGTTTCGGAGTCACTACGAAATACAGATTTTTTATATCTAGCCTTATTTTATGGATAAAAATGAGAAATCGTCGTTTCGGAGTTACTACGAAATACAGATTTTTTATATCTAGCCTTATTTTATGGATAAAAATGAGAAATCGTCGTTTCGGAGTTACTACGAAATACAGATTTTTTATATCTAGCCTTATTTTATGGATAAAAATGAGAAATCGTCGTTTCGGAGTTACTACGAAATACAGATTTTTTATATCTAGCCTTATTTTATGGATAAAAATGAGAAATCGTCGTTTCGGAGTTACTACGAAATACAGATTTTTTATATCTAGCCTTATTTTATGGATAAAAATGAGAAATCGTCGTTTCGGAGTTACTACGAAATACAGATTTTTTATATCTAGCCTTATTTTATGGATAAAAATGAGAAATCGTCGTTTCGGAGTTACTACGAAATACAGATTTTTTATATCTAGCCTTATTTTATGGATAAAAATGAGAAATCGTCGTTTCGGAGTCACTACAAAATACAGATTTTTTATATCTAGCCTTATTTTATGGATAAAAATGAGAAATCGTCGTTTCGGAGTTACTACGAAATACAGATTTTTTATATCTAGCCTTATTTTATGGATAAAAATGAGAAATCGTCGTTTCGGAGTTACTACGAAATACAGATTTTTTATATCTAGCCTTATTTTATGGATAAAAATGAGAAATCGTCGTTTCGGAGTTACTACGAAATACAGATTTTTTATATCTAGCCTTATTTTATGGATAAAAATGAGAAATCGTCGTTTCGGAGTTACTACAAAATACAGATTTTTTATATCTAGCCTTATTTTATGGATAAAAATGAGAAATCGTCGTTTCGGAGTTACTACGAAATACAGATTTTTTATATCTAGCCTTATTTTATGGATAAAAATGAGAAATCGTCGTTTCGGAGTTACTACGAAATACAGATTTTTTATATCTAGCCTTATTTTATGGATAAAAATGAGAAATCGTCGTTTCGGAGTCACTACAAAATACAGATTTTTTATATCTAGCCTTATTTTATGGATAAAAATGAGAAATCGTCGTTTCGGAGTTACTACGAAATACAGATTTTTTATATCTAGCCTTATTTTATGGATAAAAATGAGAAATCGTCGTTTCGGAGTTACTACGAAATACAGATTTTTTATATCTAGCCTTATTTTATGGATAAAAATGAGAAATCGTCGTTTCGGAGTCACTACAAAATACAGATTTTTTATATCTAGCCTTATTTTATGGATAAAAATGAGAAATCGTCGTTTCGGAGTTACTACAAAATACAGATTTTTTATATCTAGCCTTATTTTATGGATAAAAATGAGAAATCGTCGTTTCGGAGTTACTACGAAATACAGATTTTTTATATCTAGCCTTATTTTATGGATAAAAATGAGAAATCGTCGTTTCGGAGTCACTACGAAATACAGATTTTTTATATCTAGCCTTATTTTATGGATAAAAATGAGAAATCGTCGTTTCGGAGTCACTACAAAATACAGATTTTTTATATCTAGCCTTATTTTATGGATAAAAATGAGAAATCGTCGTTTCGGAGTTACTACAAAATACAGATTTTTTATATCTAGCCTTATTTTATGGATAAAAATGAGAAATCGTCGTTTCGGAGTTACTACAAAATACAGATTTTTTATATCTAGCCTTATTTTATGGATAAAAATGAGAAATCGTCGTTTCGGAGTTACTACGAAATACAGATTTTTTATATCTAGCCTTATTTTATGGATAAAAATGAGAAATCGTCGTTTCGGAGTCACTACAAAATACAGATTTTTTATATCTAGCCTTATTTTATGGATAAAAATGAGAAATCGTCGTTTCGGAGTTACTACAAAATACAGATTTTTTATATCTAGCCTTATTTTATGGATAAAAATGAGAAATCGTCGTTTCGGAGTTACTACGAAATACAGATTTTTTATATCTAGCCTTATTTTATGGATAAAAATGAGAAATCGTCGTTTCGGAGTCACTACAAAATACAGATTTTTTATATCTAGCCTTATTTTATGGATAAAAATGAGAAATCGTCGTTTCGGAGTTACTACGAAATACAGATTTTTTATATCTAGCCTTATTTTATGGATAAAAATGAGAAATCGTCGTTTCGGAGTCACTACAAAATACAGATTTTTTATATCTAGCCTTATTTTATGGATAAAAATGAGAAATCGTCGTTTCGGAGTTACTACAAAATACAGATTTTTTATATCTAGCCTTATTTTATGGATAAAAATGAGAAATCGTCGTTTCGGAGTTACTACAAAATACAGATTTTTTATATCTAGCCTTATTTTATGGATAAAAATGAGAAATCGTCGTTTCGGAGTTACTACGAAATACAGATTTTTTATATCTAGCCTTATTTTATGGATAAAAATGAGAAATCGTCGTTTCGGAGTCACTACAAAATACAGATTTTTTATATCTAGCCTTATTTTATGGATAAAAATGAGAAATCGTCGTTTCGGAGTCACTACAAAATACAGATTTTTTATATCTAGCCTTATTTTATGGATAAAAATGAGAAATCGTCGTTTCGGAGTCACTACAAAATACAGATTTTTTATATCTAGCCTTATTTTATGGATAAAAATGAGAAATCGTCGTTTCGGAGTTACTACAAAATACAGATTTTTTATATCTAGCCTTATTTTATGGATAAAAATGAGAAATCGTCGTTTCGGAGTTACTACGAAATACAGATTTTTTATATCTAGCCTTATTTTATGGATAAAAATGAGAAATCGTCGTTTCGGAGTTACTACGAAATACAGATTTTTTATATCTAGCCTTATTTTATGGATAAAAATGAGAAATCGTCGTTTCGGAGTCACTACAAAATACAGATTTTTTATATCTAGCCTTATTTTATGGATAAAAATGAGAAATCGTCGTTTCGGAGTCACTACAAAATACAGATTTTTTATATCTAGCCTTATTTTATGGATAAAAATGAGAAATCGTCGTTTCGGAGTTACTACAAAATACAGATTTTTTATATCTAGCCTTATTTTATGGATAAAAATGAGAAATCGTCGTTTCGGAGTTACTACGAAATACAGATTTTTTATATCTAGCCTTATTTTATGGATAAAAATGAGAAATCGTCGTTTCGGAGTTACTACGAAATACAGATTTTTTATATCTAGCCTTATTTTATGGATAAAAATGAGAAATCGTCGTTTCGGAGTCACTACAAAATACAGATTTTTTATATCTAGCCTTATTTTATGGATAAAAATGAGAAATCGTCGTTTCGGAGTCACTACGAAATACAGATTTTTTATATCTAGCCTTATTTTATGGATAAAAATGAGAAATCGTCGTTTCGGAGTTACTACGAAATACAGATTTTTTATATCTAGCCTTATTTTATGGATAAAAATGAGAAATCGTCGTTTCGGAGTTACTACGAAATACAGATTTTTTATATCTAGCCTTATTTTATGGATAAAAATGAGAAATCGTCGTTTCGGAGTCACTACAAAATACAGATTTTTTATATCTAGCCTTATTTTATGGATAAAAATGAGAAATCGTCGTTTCGGAGTTACTACAAAATACAGATTTTTTATATCTAGCCTTATTTTATGGATAAAAATGAGAAATCGTCGTTTCGGAGTCACTACAAAATACAGATTTTTTATATCTAGCCTTATTTTATGGATAAAAATGAGAAATCGTCGTTTCGGAGTTACTACAAAATACAGATTTTTTATATCTAGCCTTATTTTATGGATAAAAATGAGAAATCGTCGTTTCGGAGTTACTACGAAATACAGATTTTTTATATCTAGCCTTATTTTATGGATAAAAATGAGAAATCGTCGTTTCGGAGTCACTACGAAATACAGATTTTTTATATCTAGCCTTATTTTATGGATAAAAATGAGAAATCGTCGTTTCGGAGTCACTACAAAATACAGATTTTTTATATCTAGCCTTATTTTATGGATAAAAATGAGAAATCGTCGTTTCGGAGTCACTACAAAATACAGATTTTTTATATCTAGCCTTATTTTATGGATAAAAATGAGAAATCGTCGTTTCGGAGTCACTACAAAATACAGATTTTTTATATCTAGCCTTATTTTATGGATAAAAATGAGAAATCGTCGTTTCGGAGTCACTACAAAATACAGATTTTTTATATCTAGCCTTATTTTATGGATAAAAATGAGAAATCGTCGTTTCGGAGTCACTACAAAATACAGATTTTTTATATCTAGCCTTATTTTATGGATAAAAATGAGAAATCGTCGTTTCGGAGTTACTACAAAATACAGATTTTTTATATCTAGCCTTATTTTATGGATAAAAATGAGAAATCGTCGTTTCGGAGTTACTACGAAATACAGATTTTTTATATCTAGCCTTATTTTATGGATAAAAATGAGAAATCGTCGTTTCGGAGTCACTACAAAATACAGATTTTTTATATCTAGCCTTATTTTATGGATAAAAATGAGAAATCGTCGTTTCGGAGTCACTACAAAATACAGATTTTTTATATCTAGCCTTATTTTATGGATAAAAATGAGAAATCGTCGTTTCGGAGTCACTACGAAATACAGATTTTTTATATCTAGCCTTATTTTATGGATAAAAATGAGAAATCGTCGTTTCGGAGTCACTACAAAATACAGATTTTTTATATCTAGCCTTATTTTATGGATAAAAATGAGAAATCGTCGTTTCGGAGTCACTACAAAATACAGATTTTTTATATCTAGCCTTATTTTATGGATAAAAATGAGAAATCGTCGTTTCGGAGTTACTACGAAATACAGATTTTTTATATCTAGCCTTATTTTATGGATAAAAATGAGAAATCGTCGTTTCGGAGTCACTACAAAATACAGATTTTTTATATCTAGCCTTATTTTATGGATAAAAATGAGAAATCGTCGTTTCGGAGTTACTACGAAATACAGATTTTTTATATCTAGCCTTATTTTATGGATAAAAATGAGAAATCGTCGTTTCGGAGTCACTACGAAATACAGATTTTTTATATCTAGCCTTATTTTATGGATAAAAATGAGAAATCGTCGTTTCGGAGTTACTACAAAATACAGATTTTTTATATCTAGCCTTATTTTATGGATAAAAATGAGAAATCGTCGTTTCGGAGTTACTACGAAATACAGATTTTTTATATCTAGCCTTATTTTATGGATAAAAATGAGAAATCGTCGTTTCGGAGTCACTACAAAATACAGATTTTTTATATCTAGCCTTATTTTATGGATAAAAATGAGAAATCGTCGTTTCGGAGTCACTACAAAATACAGATTTTTTATATCTAGCCTTATTTTATGGATAAAAATGAGAAATCGTCGTTTCGGAGTCACTACGAAATACAGATTTTTTATATCTAGCCTTATTTTATGGATAAAAATGAGAAATCGTCGTTTCGGAGTCACTACAAAATACAGATTTTTTATATCTAGCCTTATTTTATGGATAAAAATGAGAAATCGTCGTTTCGGAGTCACTACAAAATACAGATTTTTTATATCTAGCCTTATTTTATGGATAAAAATGAGAAATCGTCGTTTCGGAGTCACTACAAAATACAGATTTTTTATATCTAGCCTTATTTTATGGATAAAAATGAGAAATCGTCGTTTCGGAGTCACTACAAAATACAGATTTTTTATATCTAGCCTTATTTTATGGATAAAAATGAGAAATCGTCGTTTCGGAGTTACTACGAAATACAGATTTTTTATATCTAGCCTTATTTTATGGATAAAAATGAGAAATCGTCGTTTCGGAGTCACTACAAAATACAGATTTTTTATATCTAGCCTTATTTTATGGATAAAAATGAGAAATCGTCGTTTCGGAGTTACTACGAAATACAGATTTTTTATATCTAGCCTTATTTTATGGATAAAAATGAGAAATCGTCGTTTCGGAGTCACTACGAAATACAGATTTTTTATATCTAGCCTTATTTTATGGATAAAAATGAGAAATCGTCGTTTCGGAGTTACTACAAAATACAGATTTTTTATATCTAGCCTTATTTTATGGATAAAAATGAGAAATCGTCGTTTCGGAGTTACTACGAAATACAGATTTTTTATATCTAGCCTTATTTTATGGATAAAAATGAGAAATCGTCGTTTCGGAGTCACTACAAAATACAGATTTTTTATATCTAGCCTTATTTTATGGATAAAAATGAGAAATCGTCGTTTCGGAGTCACTACAAAATACAGATTTTTTATATCTAGCCTTATTTTATGGATAAAAATGAGAAATCGTCGTTTCGGAGTCACTACGAAATACAGATTTTTTATATCTAGCCTTATTTTATGGATAAAAATGAGAAATCGTCGTTTCGGAGTCACTACAAAATACAGATTTTTTATATCTAGCCTTATTTTATGGATAAAAATGAGAAATCGTCGTTTCGGAGTCACTACAAAATACAGATTTTTTATATCTAGCCTTATTTTATGGATAAAAATGAGAAATCGTCGTTTCGGAGTCACTACAAAATACAGATTTTTTATATCTAGCCTTATTTTATGGATAAAAATGAGAAATCGTCGTTTCGGAGTCACTACAAAATACAGATTTTTTATATCTAGCCTTATTTTATGGATAAAAATGAGAAATCGTCGTTTCGGAGTCACTACAAAATACAGATTTTTTATATCTAGCCTTATTTTATGGATAAAAATGAGAAATCGTCGTTTCGGAGTCACTACAAAATACAGATTTTTTATATCTAGCCTTATTTTATGGATAAAAATGAGAAATCGTCGTTTCGGAGTTACTACAAAATACAGATTTTTTATATCTAGCCTTATTTTATGGATAAAAATGAGAAATCGTCGTTTCGGAGTCACTACAAAATACAGATTTTTTATATCTAGCCTTATTTTATGGATAAAAATGAGAAATCGTCGTTTCGGAGTCACTACAAAATACAGATTTTTTATATCTAGCCTTATTTTATGGATAAAAATGAGAAATCGTCGTTTCGGAGTTACTACAAAATACAGATTTTTTATATCTAGCCTTATTTTATGGATAAAAATGAGAAATCGTCGTTTCGGAGTTACTACAAAATACAGATTTTTTATATCTAGCCTTATTTTATGGATAAAAATGAGAAATCGTCGTTTCGGAGTTACTACAAAATACAGATTTTTTATATCTAGCCTTATTTTATGGATAAAAATGAGAAATCGTCGTTTCGGAGTTACTACAAAATACAGATTTTTTATATCTAGCCTTATTTTATGGATAAAAATGAGAAATCGTCGTTTCGGAGTCACTACAAAATACAGATTTTTTATATCTAGCCTTATTTTATGGATAAAAATGAGAAATCGTCGTTTCGGAGTTACTACAAAATACAGATTTTTTATATCTAGCCTTATTTTATGGATAAAAATGAGAAATCGTCGTTTCGGAGTCACTACAAAATACAGATTTTTTATATCTAGCCTTATTTTATGGATAAAAATGAGAAATCGTCGTTTCGGAGTTACTACAAAATACAGATTTTTTATATCTAGCCTTATTTTATGGATAAAAATGAGAAATCGTCGTTTCGGAGTCACTACAAAATACAGATTTTTTATATCTAGCCTTATTTTATGGATAAAAATGAGAAATCGTCGTTTCGGAGTTACTACGAAATACAGATTTTTTATATCTAGCCTTATTTTATGGATAAAAATGAGAAATCGTCGTTTCGGAGTCACTACGAAATACAGATTTTTTATATCTAGCCTTATTTTATGGATAAAAATGAGAAATCGTCGTTTCGGAGTCACTACGAAATACAGATTTTTTATATCTAGCCTTATTTTATGGATAAAAATGAGAAATCGTCGTTTCGGAGTTACTACAAAATACAGATTTTTTATATCTAGCCTTATTTTATGGATAAAAATGAGAAATCGTCGTTTCGGAGTTACTACGAAATACAGATTTTTTATATCTAGCCTTATTTTATGGATAAAAATGAGAAATCGTCGTTTCGGAGTTACTACGAAATACAGATTTTTTATATCTAGCCTTATTTTATGGATAAAAATGAGAAATCGTCGTTTCGGAGTCACTACGAAATACAGATTTTTTATATCTAGCCTTATTTTATGGATAAAAATGAGAAATCGTCGTTTCGGAGTTACTACGAAATACAGATTTTTTATATCTAGCCTTATTTTATGGATAAAAATGAGAAATCGTCGTTTCGGAGTCACTACGAAATACAGATTTTTTATATCTAGCCTTATTTTATGGATAAAAATGAGAAATCGTCGTTTCGGAGTTACTACGAAATACAGATTTTTTATATCTAGCCTTATTTTATGGATAAAAATGAGAAATCGTCGTTTCGGAGTCACTACGAAATACAGATTTTTTATATCTAGCCTTATTTTATGGATAAAAATGAGAAATCGTCGTTTCGGAGTTACTACAAAATACAGATTTTTTATATCTAGCCTTATTTTATGGATAAAAATGAGAAATCGTCGTTTCGGAGTTACTACGAAATACAGATTTTTTATATCTAGCCTTATTTTATGGATAAAAATGAGAAATCGTCGTTTCGGAGTCACTACAAAATACAGATTTTTTATATCTAGCCTTATTTTATGGATAAAAATGAGAAATCGTCGTTTCGGAGTTACTACGAAATACAGATTTTTTATATCTAGCCTTATTTTATGGATAAAAATGAGAAATCGTCGTTTGGTAGCTACTACGAAATACAGATTTTTTATATCTAGCCTTATTTTATGGATAAAAATGAGAAATCGTCGTTTCGGAGTTACTACGAAATACAGATTTTTTATATCTAGCCTTATTTTATGGATAAAAATGAGAAATCGTCGTTTGGTAGCTACTACGAAATACAGATTTTTTATATCTAGCCTTATTTTATGGATAAAAATGAGAAATCGTCGTTTCGGAGTTACTACGAAATACAGATTTTTTATATCTAGCCTTATTTTATGGATAAAAATGAGAAATCGTCGTTTGGTAGCTACTACGAAATACAGATTTTTTATATCTAGCCTTATTTTATGGATAAAAATGAGAAATCGTCGTTTGGTAGCTACTACGAAATACAGATTTTTTATATCTAGCCTTATTTTATGGATAAAAATGAGAAATCGTCGTTTCGGAGTTACTACGAAATACAGATTTTTTATATCTAGCCTTATTTTATGGATAAAAATGAGAAATCGTCGTTTCGGAGTTACTACAAAATACAGATTTTTTATATCTAGCCTTATTTTATGGATAAAAATGAGAAATCGTCGTTTCGGAGTTACTACGAAATACAGATTTTTTATATCTAGCCTTATTTTATGGATAAAAATGAGAAATCGTCGTTTCGGAGTTACTACGAAATACAGATTTTTTATATCTAGCCTTATTTTATGGATAAAAATGAGAAATCGTCGTTTCGGAGTTACTACGAAATACAGATTTTTTATATCTAGCCTTATTTTATGGATAAAAATGAGAAATCGTCGTTTGGTAGCTACTACGAAATACAGATTTTTTATATCTAGCCTTATTTTATGGATAAAAATGAGAAATCGTCGTTTGGTAGCTACTACGAAATACAGATTTTTTATATCTAGCCTTATTTTATGGATAAAAATGAGAAATCGTCGTTTCGGAGTTACTACGAAATACAGATTTTTTATATCTAGCCTTATTTTATGGATAAAAATGAGAAATCGTCGTTTCGGAGTTACTACGAAATACAGATTTTTTATATCTAGCCTTATTTTATGGATAAAAATGAGAAATCGTCGTTTCGGAGTTACTACGAAATACAGATTTTTTATATCTAGCCTTATTTTATGGATAAAAATGAGAAATCGTCGTTTCGGAGTTACTACGAAATACAGATTTTTTATATCTAGCCTTATTTTATGGATAAAAATGAGAAATCGTCGTTTCGGAGTTACTACGAAATACAGATTTTTTATATCTAGCCTTATTTTATGGATAAAAATGAGAAATCGTCGTTTCGGAGTTACTACGAAATACAGATTTTTTATATCTAGCCTTATTTTATGGATAAAAATGAGAAATCGTCGTTTGGTAGCTACTACGAAATACAGATTTTTTATATCTAGCCTTATTTTATGGATAAAAATGAGAAATCGTCGTTTCGGAGTCACTACGAAATACAGATTTTTTATATCTAGCCTTATTTTATGGATAAAAATGAGAAATCGTCGTTTGGTAGCTACTACGAAATACAGATTTTTTATATCTAGCCTTATTTTATGGATAAAAATGAGAAATCGTCGTTTCGGAGTCACTACGAAATACAGATTTTTTATATCTAGCCTTATTTTATGGATAAAAATGAGAAATCGTCGTTTGGTAGCTACTACGAAATACAGATTTTTTATATCTAGCCTTATTTTATGGATAAAAATGAGAAATCGTCGTTTCGGAGTCACTACGAAATACAGATTTTTTATATCTAGCCTTATTTTATGGATAAAAATGAGAAATCGTCGTTTCGGAGTTACTACGAAATACAGATTTTTTATATCTAGCCTTATTTTATGGATAAAAATAGAAATCGTCGTTTCGGAGTTACTACGAAATACAGATTTTTTATATCTAGCCTTATTTTATGGATAAAAATGAGAAATCGTCGTTTCGGAGTTACTACGAAATACAGATTTTTTATATCTAGCCTTATTTTATGGATAAAAATGAGAAATCGTCGTTTCGGAGTCACTACAAAATACAGATTTTTTATATCTAGCCTTATTTTATGGATAAAAATGAGAAATCGTCGTTTCGGAGTTACTACGAAATACAGATTTTTTATATCTAGCCTTATTTTATGGATAAAAATGAGAAATCGTCGTTTCGGAGTTACTACGAAATACAGATTTTTTATATCTAGCCTTATTTTATGGATAAAAATGAGAAATCGTCGTTTCGGAGTTACTACGAAATACAGATTTTTTATATCTAGCCTTATTTTATGGATAAAAATGAGAAATCGTCGTTTCGGAGTTACTACGAAATACAGATTTTTTATATCTAGCCTTATTTTATGGATAAAAATGAGAAATCGTCGTTTCGGAGTCACTACGAAATACAGATTTTTTATATCTAGCCTTATTTTATGGATAAAAATGAGAAATCGTCGTTTCGGAGTTACTACGAAATACAGATTTTTTATATCTAGCCTTATTTTATGGATAAAAATGAGAAATCGTCGTTTCGGAGTCACTACGAAATACAGATTTTTTATATCTAGCCTTATTTTATGGATAAAAATGAGAAATCGTCGTTTCGGAGTTACTACGAAATACAGATTTTTTATATCTAGCCTTATTTTATGGATAAAAATGAGAAATCGTCGTTTCGGAGTCACTACGAAATACAGATTTTTTATATCTAGCCTTATTTTATGGATAAAAATGAGAAATCGTCGTTTGGTAGCTACTACGAAATACAGATTTTTTATATCTAGCCTTATTTTATGGATAAAAATGAGAAATCGTCGTTTCGGAGTTACTACGAAATACAGATTTTTTATATCTAGCCTTATTTTATGGATAAAAATGAGAAATCGTCGTTTCGGAGTTACTACGAAATACAGATTTTTTATATCTAGCCTTATTTTATGGATAAAAATGAGAAATCGTCGTTTCGGAGTCACTACAAAATACAGATTTTTTATATCTAGCCTTATTTTATGGATAAAAATGAGAAATCGTCGTTTCGGAGTTACTACGAAATACAGATTTTTTATATCTAGCCTTATTTTATGGATAAAAATGAGAAATCGTCGTTTCGGAGTTACTACGAAATACAGATTTTTTATATCTAGCCTTATTTTATGGATAAAAATGAGAAATCGTCGTTTGGTAGCTACTACGAAATACAGATTTTTTATATCTAGCCTTATTTTATGGATAAAAATGAGAAATCGTCGTTTCGGAGTTACTACGAAATACAGATTTTTTATATCTAGCCTTATTTTATGGATAAAAATGAGAAATCGTCGTTTCGGAGTTACTACGAAATACAGATTTTTTATATCTAGCCTTATTTTATGGATAAAAATGAGAAATCCAGGCTCAAAATCACCCCCAAAAACCTCACCTATAATACAAATTATGTTCACTATTCGGCATATTAAATCGATTAACATAATGCGTAAAATTGTTAAAATTCTCATGATTTCCCACCGCAACCATATACGGTACATACGCCGCAATCGGCTCAATTTGCCTCATAAATTCATCACCAGTCTCGCCGTTTTCCTCATTCATATTATAGGCGAAATCGCCCACGTGCAACACCATATCGATTTCACCAATTTGCGCCAGTTTTTGAATGGCACCCAAAGATCTACCGTTTTCAACACCCAAATCACCGTAGACCGCGAATTCGTAGCCGCCACCTGTGCTATGACGTGGCGCGAGTGGGGTGAAGAAGAAGATTGGTGACCAGCCGTGTTTTGAGCCAACGTGGTAGACTGTGAAACATATTTGGAGATTTTTGGGGCTTGGGGCTTTTCTGGACCTAAGGCTTAGGCTTAACTAAAAGCTTAGGCTTAACCGAAGGCTTAGGTTCATTAGGCTTAGGCTTATCTAAAGGCTTAGGTTCATCAGGCTTAGGCTTAGGTTCATCAGGCTTAGGCTAAGGTTCATCAGGCCTTAGGTTCATCAGGCTTAGGCTTAGGTTCATCAGGCTTGGGCTTAGGTTCACCAGGCTCAGGCTTAAGTTCATCAGGCTTAAGCTTAGGTTCATCAGGCTTAGGCTTGGGTTCATCAGGCTTAGGGTTAGCCAAAGGCTTAGGCTTAGGTTCATCAGGCTTAGGCTTAGGTTCATCAGGCTTAGGCTTAGGTTCATCAGGCTTAGGCTTAACCAAAGGCTTAGGCCTATACCATGTTTCTAGGCCTAAAATCCACGATTCCTCACAAATTTCGGCTCAAAAATGAGCATTTCCCACTCACAAACACGTTTTCCCGGCTCCAAACCCGTCAAATTCGCTCGATGAATATACCGCCATATGTTATCCTTCTGCCCGTCCAAAAATACCCCGCATCTTCCGATTGCCACGTTGTCCAACTTTCCCAAATCCTCGCCAAACTCGACCAAACTCTCCAGGGTGTCGTCGAACGTCAGCCAACTTATGACGTATTCCGTGGGGCTGCGATAGGCCAAGTGGATTTGTTCGGGCTGTGGATACGAGGGGCCGTGATTGGGATTTTTTTGATGCAGGGCTTTCCAGGCCGGAATTCGGCCCACTTCCAGGTATTTTAGACCGAAAATTGGGGAAATTTGAAGAAAACACAGAAAAATTAGCATTTTTTGGGGGGAAAAATAAAAATATTTTGATAATTTTCGTTATCAAGTGACCTCTTTTGGGAGGCTCTTATCAGCTGATTTTTTTTCATGGAAAATTTGGGATTTTTAGCTGAAAATTGGGCCCAAAGGCCTAGAGACTTAGGGCTTAAGCCTAAAGTCTAAGCCCAAAGCTTCAGTCTAAATCTTAAGCCTAAAGCGTAAGCCTAAAGACTAAGCCTAAAGGCTAAACCTAAAGGCTAAGCCTAAAGGTTAAGCCTAAAGCATAGTCCTAAAGGTTAACCATAAATAAGCTACAAAATTTGCGCCAGCAAAACCCTTTGCTGACGCGTTTTTTGTAATTGCGTCAATATGGGTATCAAAATGATCGAAATTTCATGGGGAATTCGAAAATTTTAATTAAAATCTAATTAATTAATTAATTAATTAATTAATCAATCATCATCCTTGGAATTTGATGACGTGGCAAATTTTCGATCGATTTTCAAGCCATCTCCACCTCCAGCTTCTTCATCCAAACACGGCAAATTCGGATATTTGAAGATTACGGTATCCGGTTTTGGACTTGGCGTATACGGTGAATTTGAGCGGCGTTTTTCCGCGTCGCCGAACGCGGAAGTCAATTTCCGGCGGATCAACCCGGCTGTCGAGGTTTTGTCTGAAAATTTGGGATTTTTTGCTGAAAATCCGGATTTTCTAGCGCAAAAATGGGTTTTTTGGCCCCAAAAAGGCATCTACAGTACCCCTGAGATGAGCTACAGTAATTTTTGGTTACTGTAGCTAAAAAAACCTACAGTAACCCGGAAAAACTCACGAATCGTCTCATTTTGCGCTTCAACCGGCACCATTTGCACTTTTTCATTGTCGCGAAGAAGTCTGCAAATTTTCGCTGAAAATTCAAGATTTTCAGATTCTGGGGACCATTTTGATGTAAAATTTTCAGATTTTTGTCAAATTTGATATCAAAATGGTCCCCAGGACCGGGAAAAGCTGAAAATTTGAATTTTGGCTGAAAATTCAGGATTTTCGGATTCTGGGGATCATTTTGATATGAAATTTTCAGATTTTTGTCAAATTTGATATCAAAATGGTCCCCAGGATCTGGAAAAGCTGAAAATTCAAATTTTGGCTCGAAATTCAGAAATTTCAGATTCTGGGGATCATTTTGATATGAAATTTTCAGATTTTTGTCAAATTTGATATCAAAATGGTCCCCAGGATCTGGAAAAGCTGAAAATTTGAATTTTCGGGCCAAATTCCATCCACTCACTCCACATAGGCCGCACTTCCAACACAATTCTTCTGGGGGGCCTCGTCGGCCGTTTCGGCCGAATAAACGGGCCGCCAGGCCGGATTCATGAAGAGGTCCGAGGAGCCGAGGGGCGGAGCCGAATCGTGGTGATCGTCCACCATTGCCATACCGATCTGCAAAATCAATGCTGACGCGTTTTTTGTAGGCTGGCGCAATTTTGGTAGCTTCAAAAAATTTTGCAGATCAAACATTTTCTACAGTAACCTGAGAAAAATCTGGGATTACTGTAGCTCAAAAAGTTGCGAAAATTCCAGAGAGCCTTCGGGTTATTGTAGATCAAATGTTCCCGCGAAAGAAACCCAGGATTACTGTAGTGGTTCAAAAATTGTTCCGAAAAATCTTCTAGATCAAACATTTTCCACAGTAACCTGTAAGAATAACCTGGGATTACTGTAGCTCAAAAAGTTCCCGAAATTTCAGAGATCTTTCGGGTTACTGTAGATCAAATTTTCTCCCCGAAATGATAGGGTTACTGTAGTGTTTCAAAAATTGTGCCGGAAAATCTTCTAGATCAAACATTTTCCACAGTAACCTGAGAAAAATCTGGGGTTACTGTAGCTCACTGGATTCCTGAAACTTCAGAGATCTTTCGGCTTACTGTAGATCAAATTTTCCCGCGAAAAAACCCGGGTTACTGTAGTATTTCAAAAATTGTGCCGGAAATTCCGAAAAAATGGATCAAAAATTTTATATATCATATTGGGTGTCAAAAAACTCGAAATTTTCCCGCCAAAAATCGCGGATTACTGTAGCTCACCGCAATATTCTTGTCGATCAACCAATTACACTCCAAATCATCATCGTCTTCGCCGAGTGGATTCAGAAGCGCCTCCGCAACTTTCATCCAACCCACGAAAAACACAAATTCGAGTACGGTCATCAGCGGAAAAATCCACGCGTTTTGAAAATTTGAATTTTCGATTTTTGGCGCTGCCACAAAAAATTGGCGCGAAAAAAGGCAGATCAAAAAATATACCCGAACTGCCAGAAAAACCACTTGAGGGTAGGCTATGGGAATTGGAACCCAATCGTATTTCGACATCATATCCAGTGAGCCCCGAAATTCTCGGATTGCCTGGAATTTTTTTTCTTTTAGAAAATTTGGGCACTACAGTAATCCGCGCGTGAAAATTTCACGCATTTTGACACCAAACACGATATATTTTGATGGAAATTTTTTTGATCCACAAAAATTTTTGGAATCTCTGGCACAATTTTTGAAATACTACAGTAACCCGGGTTTTTTTCGCGGGAAAATTTGATCTACAGTAATCCGAAAGCTCTTTGAAGTTTCAGGAATCCTGTGAGCTACAGTAATCTCAGATTTTTCTCAGGTTACTGTAGAAAATGTTTGATCTAGAAGATTTTTTGGAATTTTTGAAAAACTACAGTAACCCGGGTTTTTTTCGCCGGAAAATTTGATCTACAGTAACCCGGAAGATCTCTGAAATTTCAGGAACTTTTTTGAGCTACAGTAATCTCAGATTTTTCTCAGGTTACTGTAGAAAATGTTTGATCTACAAAATTTTTCGGAACAATTTTTGAAAAACTACAGTAACCCGGGTATTTTCGCGGGAAAATTTGATCTACAGTAACCCGGAAGATCCCTGAAATTTCAGGAATCCTGTGAGCTACAGTAATCCCAGCTTTTTCTCAGGTTACTGTAGAAAATGTTTGATCTACAAAATTTTTCGGATTCTTTGGCACAATTTTTGAAAAACTACAGTAACCCGGGTTTCTTTTCGCAGGAAAATTTGATCTACAGTAACCCGAAAGATCCCTGAAATTTCAGGAATCCTGTGAGCTACAGTAATCCCAGCTTTTTCTCAGGTTACTGTAGAAAATGTTTGATCTACAAAATTTTTCGGATTCTTTGGCACAATTTTTGAAACACTACAGTAACCCGGGTTTCTTTTCGCAGGAAAATTTGATCTACAGTAACCCGAAAGATCCCTGAAATTTCAGGAATCCTGTGAGCTACAGTAATCCCAGCTTTTTCTCAGGTTACTGTAGAAAATGTTTGATCCACAGAAAATTTTGGAATTTTCGGCACAATTTTCTACAGTACCCGCAAATATGTCATATTTGGTGTCAAAAAACGCGGATTTTTCGTGCCAGGAGTACTGTAGGCTCCCGAACTCACCAAAATGATTTGATTCAACTGCGGAGCGGCGTCAATATATTTCCGCGCGTACACATTTTTCTCATTGTAGAAACACCGTGAAATGAGAGTTGTGGCCCAATTGATCGGCATCCAATATTTGTTGTAGGCGAATTTGTAGTTTTTGATCAGCTCCAATTCGTTCTGAGGGGAAAATTTGGGTTACTGTAGGTGATTTTTTGGCGGGAAATTTGAAAAATTCAAAAAATTCGCCATTTTTTGATACTAAACAAGCCTGGAGCCTTTGGGTTACTGTAGGGGGGTACTGTAGAGGGGTACTGTAGATAAATCAATATTCTTGCTTCGAACCTTGATCTACAGTAACCCAGTAAAACCTTTTTGACGCCAAAAAGCCCGGGTTACTGTAGGTTTCGAAAAAAAGTTCCAAAAAGATTCCGAAAATTTTGTAGATCAAATTTTTGTCTACAGTAACCCGGGATATTTTTTGTGCAAAATTTTTCTACAGTAATCCTAGAAGCATTTTTGATCTACAGTAACCCAGCTGAACTTTTTGACATCAAAAAATCCTGGGTTACTGTAGGTTTCGAAAAAAGTTCAAAAATTTTGTAGATCACACTTTCAGCACTGAAAATCTACAGTAACCCGGGATATTTTTTGTGCAATATTTTTCTACAGTAATCCTAGAAGCATTTTCGATCTACAGTAACCCAGCTGAACTTTTTGGTCTCAAAAAAACCTGGGTTACTGTAGGTTTTGAAAAAAAGTGCCAAAAATAGTCCGAAAATTTTGTAGATCACTTTTTTGTCTACAGTAACCCGGGTGATATTTTGCGAAAACTACAGTAACCCAGAATAGAACTAGGATGTTTTTATTATGACTAAAAAATTATCTACAGTAACCTTCTACAGTAATTCGATCTACAGTAATCCTGGGTCAAAATCCACCGTTTTTGGCTCATTTTCCATCATTTTTCATGATTTTTTTCACCAAAATTTGCCAAATTTTCCGCTACAGTACCTCAAGAATAAATCCGGCTTCAATCAGCGACTCCAAATTCGGAAAACGTCGGCGAACTCGCATCGAAATGTCGCGAAACACCAGCACTTGCGATAAAACCAGATAGCGTATCGAATTTCGCCGAATCATTCGAGCTTCTGGTTCTTGTCCTCGAATGTAGGATGAAATTGAGATGGCGGTACTGTAATTTTTGAATTTGGCGCAAAAATTGGAGCAAAATGGTAGATTTTGGTGGATTTTTGGTGAAAAATGAGCCCGGAAACGTGTTTTTTGGGCCAAAAATGCTCCAGGGGTACTGTAGATCACTTTTCTTCAAAACCTACAGTAATCCTGGATATTTTTCAGTGCCAAAATTTTCTACAGTACTCCCCAATCCACTTCTAGTAATGTACAGTAATCCTGGATAGTTATCGGGTTACTGTAGGTTTGCAAAAAAATTCCAAAAAATTTTGTAGATAAAAAAATCTAGCTTGAATTTCTACAGTACCCTGGGGCCCAAGTTTTCATCTACAGTACTCCTTAGACCCTTCGAGTCTACAGTAACCTCTTAATAATTTTTTTCGCACTTAATTTTGATCTACAGTACCCCTGGAACAATTTTTGGATTTTCAAAAAAAAAGTTCCAAAAATTTTGTAGATCAAAAAATCTAGCTTGAATTTCTACAGTAACCCCGGGGCCCAATTTTTCATCTACAGTAATCCTTAAGCTCTTAGAGTCTACAGTAACCCTAGGATAAATTTTTCGCACTGAATTTTGATCTACAGTACCCCCTGGAACAAGGTTACTGTATGAAAAAAGTGATCTACAGTAATCCGGGCCCAAAATCCACGTTTCTGGGCTCATTTTTCACCATTTTTTGCGCTGAATTCAAAAATTCGCGCGAAAATTCGACCCACTTCTCAATAAAATGCATATTTTGTAGAATATTCCGCCACCTGTCGATGACAATTGTCACAAAGAAGCCGAGCATAAAAGTGAGGGGAATGTAGACGAGTCGAGAATCCAGATGTTTCGCGGCGTTTTCGAAAGAGCTGCAAAGATTTTTGGGCTGAAATTTGGAGCTAGAAGTGTAGAGCTCGAAATTTGGAGCATTTTGACACCCAATTTGGGTTACTGTAGGTGATTTTTGAAAAAAAAATTGTGCCAGAGATTCCAAAAAATCTGGTAGATCACAATTTACTACAGTAACCTGGGGAATTTTTTTTTGGAAAAATTTATGCTAGGGTTACTGTGACCTACCGTACCTCATTTTGCTGACAATAAGGGTTACTGTAGAAAATTCGGGTTACTGTAGGTGATTTTTCAAAAATTGTGCCAGAGATTCCAAAAAATCTTGTGGATCACAATTTTCTACAGTACCCTGGGGAATTTTTCCCTTGAAAACCACAATGTTGGATTACTGTGACCTACAGTACCTCATAAAAGGGTTACTGTAGAAAATTGTGCCAGAGATTCCGAAAAATCTTGTAGATCACAGATTTTCGGCCCAAAATCCACAGTAATCGTCATTTTTCACCGGGAAACCTGGTTTTTTCGTGAAATTTTTCAAATTTCCCGCGAATTACCGTACCTCTGCGCATTTTCGGACAATAAAAATCGATAAACGGCGTGCACCGCATAATAGGCCAAAATCCAGCCGATCAGCTCCAAATAGACACTTTTGAATATGGAGCCACGCCACCGGCCGAGCAATTTTAGGAATGTGAACGAGGACACAGAGGACACGTCCAAATTGTAGGATACGGTCATTTTTGGCGCGAAATTTCGATTTTTGAATTTTTTTTTGCGAAAAAAAATGATTTTTGTTTTTGTTTTGATCGGAATCACAACAAAAATAATCTGATTATTCAAAAAAAAATTTTTTTTTTTTGAATTTTTAATTTTTCCGGGTTACTGTAGCTACAGTACTCTTCTAAAGTACAGTAACCTTTGAATAAGCTGAACACTCTGGGTTACTGTATTTTTTGTAGATCGAAAAATTGTGCCAGTTTTCTGTGGGTACTGTAATTTTGAAAAAAATGTTTCCCGGGTTACCGTAGCTACAGTACTCTTCTTGAAGTTGTCTAGAAAAATTTGAGCTACAGTAACCCTAGGTTACTGTAGTATTTTTCACCAGATAAAAAAGTGCCAAAATTTTCTGTAGATCAAAAATTGTGCCAGTTTTGGGGGGTACTGTAGGTACAGTAATACTCTTCAAATTGTTAAATCTAGAGAAATTCCCTACAGTAGTCTACAGTAACCCAAGAGCCTTCAGGTAAAATTGTGCCAATTTTTTTTTCTGAAAAATTTTGTAGATCAAACATTTGTGCCAGTTTTGGGTTACTGTAGATTCTGTAGATTTTTCTATGGGTTACTGTAGCTACAGTACTCTTCTCAAATTTTTCTAAACAAATTCCGAGTAACTCTAGGTTACTGTATTTTTTTCACTAGATAAAAACATTCCAAAATTTTCTGTAGATCAAAAAATTGTGCCACGTTTTTGGGGTACTGTAGCTACAGTACCCCATAAGAAACACATTTCAAAAAAAAATTTATTTCTCAAAAAAAAACTACCCGAAAAAAATTTTCAAAAAAAAATTTCTGTAGATCAAGGGGATTACTGTAGGTTCCTACAGTACTCCTCGGCTCAAACCAATTGCTCATATTCAATTTTGGCGGGAAAATGACGACATTTGAACTGATAGATGGGTCTCGACACGAAAAGCGCAAAAATTGCAAAAACGAGGAGCAGAAAGATGCACAGGATACTGTAGATCAACAATTCGTTCATCTCATGGGGTCTCATCTGGAAAATGGGTACTGTAGGGGGTACTGTAGGTGGAAAAACAGACCTCCAAATGTTCCAAATAGTCGGCGGGCCAAAAAACGAAAATTTTCTGGAAAAATTTGAATTTTGGGGGTTTTCGCGCTAAAAACACGGTGGCTCAGTGGTAGTGTGCGCTGCTAGCAATCTCAGGGTCACGGGTTCGATCCCCGGTGCGCGCAGAAATTTTTTATTTTGGGAAATTTGAATTCTGGACTTTTCGCGCAATAAAAAAGGTAGTTAAGTGGTAGTGTGCGCTGCTGGCAATCTCAGGGTCACGGGTTCGATCCCCGGTGCCCGCAGAATTTTTTTTTTTTGAAAATTTTTCTAATTCAAATAAAAATCCATAAATTCTTCCAAAAAAAGTAAGAAAAATCTTGTCACTACATTTTTTTCATAAAAAAAAAGGAAATCTTTCAAGTTTCTATGGAGCAACGAGAGAGTATAGGGAAGTGAGAGAGTGCAGAGAAACGAGGAGGAATTAGGCTAACTAGAAAATGTGTGTGAGTGCAAAAGCTTTTAATGGGGCCAGGTAGGGATTTTTTGAATTCAAAATTGTTCGCGCGCGAAAAACACGGTAGCTCAGTGGTAGTGTGCGCTGCTGTCAGTCTCAGGGTCACGGGTTCGATCCCCGGTGCGCGCAGAATTTTTTTTTTTTGAAATTTGAATTCAAATTTTTTTTCTGGAAAAGTCCGAGAGAAGTACACACAAATGCAGATTTCTGACCTCCAAACTTTTTTTTCCAAAAAAACTAGCTTGGTCAAGGCTAAGCCAAGATTTTCTAGTAGAAAACCTCAAGGTTTTCGCGCCAAAATTTGAATTTTGCCACGTGGCTTACAGTAACCCACAACAAAAAAACTCAAAGCTCTCTAGCTTTCCTGACTTCTCTGCGCTCTCTCAAAACTCTATGATCTCTGGATTTCCTGGTTTCTCTGTCGCCTCTCAAACTTGTGTGCTCTCTAACTTTTCTCTAGCTATCTCCCGTTTTTCTCTGCGTCTCTTACCTTCTAACACATTCTCTCTAGCACTCTCTGCGTCTCTAACCTCTCTACATTTTCTAACCTTTCATTCTAGCTTCTCTAACTTTTCTCTAGCTGTCTGCCTCTCTCTCTCTCTCTCTCTCTCTCTCTCTCATTCCCTATGCTCTCTAACCTTATGTCTAGCTTCTCTAATTTCTCTAGCTATCTCTCATTTTCCTATGCTCTCTAGCTTCTCTAACCCCTCTAAAAATCCCACACACTCTCTCTCCCTCTCTTCTCTCTCATCTCTCCATACTCTCTCATTTTTCTCTGCGTCTCTCACCTCCCTCCACCCTATCTCTCTCTCGTTTTATTTCCAGGTGTGCTCATCTCCTTATTTATATTGTATCCGTTCCTTTTTCCTCCTTTCCCACCTGTCTTTTCTCTCTCTCTTTCTCTGCACCCTCCTCTCTTCGCACACTCTCTCATCGCTTATTTTTTGTTTACTTAAGAAAAGACTGTGCTTGCTTGTTGTGTTGGTTGTATTTTATACTTTTATGCATATGTGCATATTTTTTTGGGGTGAATTATTGATTTTTTGTATTTTGATAAGAGAATTAGTCATTTTTTAATGGATTTTAAGGGGAAAAATTAGGGTTTTACCTTAATTTTAAGCCTTATTTTCACGTTTTTCTGATGATTTTTAGCCTAAGTTAGCCTAATTTCCTTAAAAATTGCTCTTTTTTCAACATTTCTAGCCTAAAAATTAGGGTTTTACCTTAATTTTAAGCCTAAATATAACGTTTCTGGCTCATCTTTTACCTTATTTTTACCCTGAATCCCTAAAATTTAGCGCATTTCACTCTTAGTTACCCTAAGTCCCCCTAAACATTTTTATTCCAAAATTTTATTGATTTTCAAACCATGACTCATGTTATATTATTATTATGATTAAATATTGACATTTTCTCATGCTTTTCTCTATTTTTCACTTTATTTTGAAAATTTTCGCGCCATTTTTTTTCAAATTCAAATTTTAAACGTGACCCAATTTTTTTTGAATTTCAAAATTTTCGCGGAATTTTTTTCATTTTTCAAAATTTTTGAGCTTCGAAATTGTGAGTTTAAAATTTTGTGCCACGTGGCAAAAAAAAATCCAGTTACAGTAGTTCTAGAATTTTTGAGGCTACAGTAACCCTGTGATTTTCTAGCGCGAAAATTTGATCTACCTAGAATTTTTGGAACTTTTTTTGAAAAATCAAAAAAAAAAATTTTGATAAAAAATTTTTTGAAATTTTTTTTTTCGAAATTTTGAAATTTTCCCATGCCACGTGGCAAATTTCAGCTACAGTAATCCTAGAATTTTTTGAGGCTACAGTAACCCTGTGATTTTCTAGCGCGAAAATTTGATCTACAGAAAATTTTTGGAATTTTTTTGATCTACCAAAAACAATTTTGATAAAATTTTTTTTTTTTTCGAAATTCGAAATTTTCCTATGCCACGTGGCAACTACAAATCTTACTGTAGCTACAATTTTTCCCGCCAAAACAAGGCTACAGTAATCCTCAAGGTTTCTAGCGCGAAAATTTGATCTACCAAAAATTTTGGGAATTTTTTTTTGAAATTTTCCCATGCCACATGGCAAATCCCAGCTACAGTAATCCTAGAAAAGCTACAGTAATCCTAGAACCTAGAAATTTTAAAACTACAGTAACCCTGTGATTTTCTAGCGCGAAAATTTGATCTACCAAAAAATTTTTGAACTTTTTCTAGAGAATCAAAAAAAAAATTTTTTTTTTCGAAATTTTGAATTTTCCTCTGCCACGTGGCAAATAGGTGGATTACTGTAGTCCAAATTTTTAGCTCGAAAAATAAAGCTACAGTAACCCTGTGATTTTCTAGCACTAAAATTTGATCTACCAAAAATTTTGGGAAATTTTTTTGATTTACAAAAAAAAAATTTTTTTTCGAAATTTTTCCTCTGCCACGTGGCAAAAATTCCAGCTATAGTAATCCTAGAACCTAGAAATTTCAAAACTACAGTAACCCTGTTGTTTTCTAGCGCGAAAATTTGATCTACTCTGAAATTTTTGAAAATTTTTTGGGCCACTAAAAAAATTTTTTTTTTTGAAATTTCGAAACTTTCCCATGCCACGTGGCATTTTCAAAATTAAAAATTCAAAAATTCCAGGAAATTTTATGAATGTCACGAAAATGCCTAGTAATATTGATCTACCTGCTCCTTCTCGAGTTCCGCCAACTCGCCGGTCAAATCGGTCAACCCGGTCAGGCTCCCGGTCAAGTTCCGCTATCTCCAGGCTACCAGCAACCTCTCGAGCCCATCAAAAATATTCTCCAGGGCTCCTACGCCAACAACATCACACTCTACTACCGTAATTCACCGTATCGTGTACAGGGTGGCGATCTTACTGTAGAGTACGGTGTGACGATGGAAATTGAGACGGGCACGAGGATTTATTTTGATACGGGGACGGGGCTGATTGTTAAAGGAACATTGAGGGCTGTGGTGAGTTGCGGGTGACCTACAGTACCCTGGGGACCATTTTAATCAAAAAATTCGGAAAAATTGGGTTCTGGGGATTTTTTCAGCGCGAAATTTGGAGCATTTTGAGCTACAGTAACCCTGGGGACCATTTCAATTAGAAAATTCAGAAAATTCGGGTTCTGGGGATTTTTTCGGCTCGAAATTTGGAGCATTTTGAGCTACAGTAACCCCTAAAGGTACTGTAGCTCAAATTTCCCGCCAAAATCGACCTACAGTACCCTGCGGACCATTTTAATTGGAAAATTCAGAAAATTCTGATTCTGGGTTTTTTTTCCACAAAATTTGGAGCATTTTGAGCTACAGTAACCCCTAAAGGTACTGTAGCTCAAATTTCCCGCCTAAATTGACCTACAGTACCCTGGGGACCTCAAAATAATCCAAATTTTTCCAAAATTTTTGCCACGTGGCATCTCAAGAGTACTGTAGATCAAATTTGACGTCAAGATCAATTTTTCCCACAAAAAAAGGTTCATAGCTGTAGCTCAAAAAATTCCAAATTTTTTGCCACGTGGCATCCCAGGAGTACTGTAGCCCCATATTTTTCAGGGAAATCAATTCGCGCACATCGAAATGCTACCCTACCAACAACAAATCAACTACGACTCGGAAATGCCGAAATTCAGGCTTGTCGACGGCCCGACAGTAAGACAGGGCCGACTTCAGGCCCAATTTCGAGACCGTTGGCGAAGTGTGTGTACTATGGTCACAAATTGGACGGCTATTGATACGGGAGTGGCGTGTCGGAGTATGGGATATAGTGATGGAGGTGGGTTGGGAGAGGGGGAGGGGCAGACGACGAGAGAGAGTGGGTTAGAGACGTAGAGGAGACGATTTGGAGCATTTTGATATCAAATATGACTAGGTTTGGGAGAGGGGGAGAGACGCAGAGTGGGTTAGAGACGCAGAGAAGCTAGAGACGCAGAGTTTTTTGGTTAACATGAGCAATACCTAAAAATTGAGCGAAATTCGATAAAAATGAGCAGAAAAACTGAAAATTTATCAATAATTTTTTTTTCTGGAGATAATCCGGATTTCCGCCGGATTTGTGGGAAGAATTTATCATAATTTTTTTCTGAAAAATAAAAAAATCTAGATTTTTGGGGTTTCGAAGAGATAGCTAGAGAAGCCAGAGTGGTTAGAGACGCAGAGGGAGCTGGGCAGCTAGATAGTTAGAGAACACAGAGGTTTGAGAGACAGCTAGAGAAGCTAGACAGCTAGAAAGTGGAGATATGTTAGAGATACAGAGAGGTTAGACAGCGAGAGAGCATAGACGCAAAGAAATCTAGAAAGTTAAAAGCTAGACAGCTAGAGAACATCATCAAATAAAAGAGGCAAAAAAACATAGAGAATAGAGAGGTTAGAGACGCAGAGGAATCTAGAAATTTAGATGCTAGACAACCAGAGAACGTCATCAAATAAAATAATCAAGAACCATAGAGTATAGGGAGGTTAGATACGCAGAGGAATCTAGTAAGATTGAAGCTAGACAGCTAGAGAGTGCAGACATGCAGAGGAACAATATGATACCCAAGCTAGACAGCTAGAGAACATTAGAAAATATAGGTCAGAGACGCAGAGAAGCTAGACAGCTAGAGTGTGCAGACAAGCAGAGGAACAATGGACACCCAGGCTAGACAGCTAGAGAACACTAAATAATATTGGTTAGAGACGCAGAGTAGCTAGACAGCTAGAGAGTGCAAGCATTCAGAGTATATAGTAGAATACCCAGGCTAGACAACTAGAGAACACTAGAAACAACAGGTTAGAGATGCAGAGAAGCTAGTGTCAGTGTGAGACAACTAGAGACTGCAGACACGTAGGGTATATGGTAGGATACGCAAGCTAGGCATCTAGAAAACCATTAGAAACCATTGGTTAGAGACGCAGAGGCAGCTGAACAAAGCGTGTCCAGATGTCAGAATCAAACAACTAGAAAGTACAGACATACAGATAAGCTAGAGTGCAGACAACCAGAGACAACCCCCAAACTTCTTGCAGGTTTCTGGAAATGGTTCCGCCGCAACAACGACACCTACCCCTTCGTCATGCCCCAACCCGACTGCCACCACGGCGCTCAAAACCTCTGGGACTGCCCCGCCTTCTCGAACCCCGACACAATCCGTCTCTCCGAAAACCTATGCCAAGGCGAAGATGACATCGGCATCTACTGCTGGGGTCCACCAAGTTTCACCGGTTGGGCGAGACATTGGAAGGGCGTGCAGATCTACGACTCGCCTTTCCACTATGTGCACAGTGACCCGGATATGGTGGCTGTGCACAAGCAGAGCAACAGTCGACTCGAGTTTGTGGATATCCTGTATGCTGGATATGACGGGGTGACCAGGAACACAACAAGCGCCCTGTATATCCAGGGTGTTGCACCAATCATGAATGGGCTGCGGATAGAGCATAGCGCCAGGGATGGTCTGCAGCTCTATGACGTCACCGGGCCTGTGCTGATTGCCAACTCGACATTCTCATTCAACAGGGGGAGAGGGGTTATGGTCGACAACACGACAGATGGGCGGGTTTATTTGAATAACTCCAGGATTGATGGAAATTGGGGGGATGGAGTGTGGTATAAGCAGAAGCGGGGAGTGAATCTGATGACATATGGGATCAGGGAGCGGCGGAGTATCGGCGGAAAGGTTGCGGAAGATCGACCGCGGATCGACATGTGTCAAGAGCATCATGTACCCAAGGATCAGTTCTTCCCCCATCTCATTGTCGCCACGTTGCGCAACAAGACATTTCTGGACCCCGCGCAGCCGACGCCGTGTTGGATGAGTATCTCACTGCCCCCGAGACTTCCCTACACTTATAGTCTGCAATGGTTGTATATCAGCGATCGGAATGAGGCGGAAACGACGCGGACGAGTATTGTGATATGTGACGCGGAAGAGAATGCGTGTGGTGTGGAGAGGTTGCGGGTTCCCATAAGGAGCGGGGTTTATCCGCAGAGTGTGGCGTTGAAGTGAGTTTTTTTTGGAGGGAGCGGAAGGTTGCGGAAGGTTGCGGAACCTACACTTGAGGGATTCTGGGTAGCTAGAGAAGTTAGATACCGAGCGCTCTGCGCGAGTGTAGACCGGAATATTCCGCGCAGCGGCCGGGCCCAAGCCTAGGTTTGGTCTAGCATTCTGAGCCTAAGCCCGAGCGCTCTGCGCGAGTGTAAACCGGAAGGTTCCGCGCAGCGGCTAGTCTTGGATTTAGCTCAGACGACCTTAGCCTTAACATGAGCAATGCCTGAATTTCTAATTTATTATGAGCGGGAGTTCAAATTTTTTGCAAAAATCATCAAATGCGCTCTACTGAACAATTTGTTTTCCATCAGAAAATTCAAATTTTCAGTCAAAAATTCAAGTGCGCTCTAATGCAAATTTGGCGGTTTTTGGTGGGGGGAAATTCAAATTTTTAGCTTGAAAATAAAGCAAGTGCGCTCCACTGATAATTGGCTCGGGAAAATTCAAAAATTTTCAAGTTTACTGTCGGCCGGGCCCAAGCCCAGGTTTGGTCCAGAAGCCCAAGCCTAAGTTCGAGCGCTCTGCGCGAGTGTAGACCGGAAGCTTCCGCGCAGCGGCCGGGCCCAAGTCCAGGTTTGGTCTAGAATCCCGAGCCTGACCAGAGGCTTAGGCTTACCAAAAGGCTTAGGCTTAACCAAAGACTTAGGCTTACTTGTAAGCTAAGCAAGTTTAATATGAGCAAGGCCCCGAGCGCTCTGCGCGAGTGTAGGCCGCAAGCTTCCGCGTAGCGGCCGGGCCCAAGCCCAGGTTTGGTCTAGAAGCCTGAGCAAGACCCCGAGCGCTCTGCGCGAGTGTAGACCGCAAGCTTCCGCGAAGCGGCACTATCTACCGCGCAGCGGCTGAACCCCAGCCTATTCTCAGGCTGGGATTCAGCCGCTGCCCGGCTCAACCCCATACATTTTTTTCCAGAAGTTCCGGCGTGCCCCTCTACATCGCCCTCGAACACACTCTCCCCGACGCCCAACCCGGCTACGTTCAAGCCGACATCAACATCCTATTCAACATCCACGCCTCAGTCATCGACAAAGCCTATTACGGTCTGAATGTCTCCACCTGCATCATCAACGACAACATCGGAAATGGTATCGCCGCCTATGACATCAGGGAACGCACCGCTCTCACAAATGTGACACTGGACGCAAATCAAGGCTACGCTGGCTTCTATGTGAAAGACGGTGCAGCGGATATTTGGGTGAATGAGACGAGGATTTTGCGGAACTGGGGAGACGGGATGAATGTTAGCTATGCTGGTGGAGCTGTCATGGTGAATGGCACCAGAATCGAGAAAAATCGCTGGCGCGGCGCGGCTTTCCACTTCAATCAGACAATTCCCTTTTTCCCCGTCCACCAGGAGATCGTGTTCAAGGGTCGACCATCGAACAACATGTTCTATCTCCCAACGACAGTGTCGGGTAATGAATGGGGAGGGATACTGGTGGGGAATTTTTCGTGGGGCTTCCCGGGCTTCCCAAGCCCCCGGGAAGCCTTCCCCAGGCCCCGGGTCGAGCCCAAGATCCTCATCAGCTGGGTCGAATTCAGCCGAAATCTCTACCACCCGGCACTCGAGATCTTCTCATGTCGAGATCCCTCGGCTCCCAAGACATATGTGGATGTCACCGGCAACAAGATCGAGGGAAATCTGGGGTATGGCCTGAGAATCTCACCGGCAGTCAACATCCAGGCTGTGATCTCGAGCAATCAATTCCTGAACAACAACGATACGGCGCTCTACATCAGGAACGCACAATGGCCCGAGCTCTCAGCACTCCCCGCCGATGTTACGATATCCAAGAATGCTTTTAAATTCAATCATGCCAAGTATATCATCTCACTGGGGCTCAATGAAGATGCTCCGAATCAGGGGCTCATTTTCAATCAGCAGAATGAGATCCGCGCGAATCAGGTGTTCGATCCTTTTCCGAACTTGCCACCAAGATCTACACCCTATGCAGCGTTGGTTGTGTCAAGCAGTAATGTTCGCATCCATCGGAACTGTTTTAAAAATGAGCACGCGAGGTTTGAGATTGGCACGGAGCTCGAGGAACACGCGAAGATCATCGATGCCAGGGAGAATAACTGGGGTTCACCCGTTATTGCCGAATTCATCGACAAGGTTTTCGATCAATTCAACAGGTATTCCCTGGCTCGCATCGACATCGATCCATTTATGGCGGTGTGTAATCAACGGGTCCCACACATCACTCCGCAGAACGAGGTGTTCCGCAAGTTCCGCAAGGATTCCGAAGCGAAGCGGCTTGGCGGGATGATTTATGAGAATCATGATTTGATGCGTGGAAGGTATGAGGTGGTGGAGGATTTGCAGGTTGTCCCTGGCGCGAAGTTGACCATAGCGTCTGGAAGTGTTCTAGAGTTCCAGCATGGTATAGGGATGCTTGTGCAAGGAGATCTGATAAGAAATGAGTTCGAGAGTGATGATCAGGTCATCTTCACAAGTGCCCCCTTCTCCCTGATGTCCAGAACCAACATCAGATTGGTAGATCCGGATGGTAATGATCAGGTCACCGAGGGTCGGCTCGAAGTCTACCTCGACAATCAATGGGGCACGGTGTGCAATCGATCTTGGACCCCGGAACTCACAATTCTAGCCTGTAACCAGCTGGGATTGATAGCCGATGTGCAGTATTTCGAGAACTGGAGAATATTCCCGACGGCTGGCGATCTGCCAATGATTATGGACAATATTCGATGTGAGGAGAATGAGATTGACATCACGAGATGTCGACATGACGGGGTTGAGAGGAATTGTGCGGCGGGGTGTAGATCAAGTGAAGTTGTTGGATTACGGTGCTTGGAGCCGAGGTGGGCTGGGGTGAGATATTCGTTGCTGGCGAATCCGCCGACTGTGACCGGACAGACGACGATGGATAATTGGTTGATTGAGAAGGCGGGGTTGTTCAATTTTAGGTGAGTTGGGGGGGGGGTTAATATGAGCAGTCGCTCAGTAAACCGGAATCTTCCAGCTAGGCCTAGCTTAGATTAAGCTCAGGTGACCTTAACATGAGCAATCCCGAGCGCTCTGAGCGAGTGTAGACCTCAGATCCTTAACATGAGCAATGCCTGAATTCCTTGTTTAACATGAGCGGAAATTCAAATTTTTAGCAAAAATCATAAAATGCGCTCTACCGAACTATCGCCTTCTGCAGTCTAAAATTCAAAATTTCAGTTGAAAATCGCAAGTGCGCTCTACTGAACACTAGGTTTTTCATAAGAAAAATTCAAATTTTTAGTCAAAAAAGCAAGTGCGCTCTAATGCAAACTTTGTGTTTATGTATGAAATTCGAATTTTTAGCTCGAAAATAGCAAATGCGCTCCACTGATAATTGAAACCAAGTAGTTTAATATGAGCAATGCCTAGAATTTCTAGTCTAATATGAGCAATGTCTTTTGCCACGTGGCAAATCTGGAATTTTGTGGAGTTGGAAATTCTAAGAAAATAATCCGGCTCATCAAAAAAAATTTGAACCAATTTTTTTGTGAAAATTTTGAAACAGTAAATTTTCTGGAAAATTAATTTCGGGTTTTTTTTTTGAAAATTTCTTCTCAACTTAGCCTAAATCCTGTAAGGTTCTAAGGCAAAAATCCAATTTTTCAGTGAATTTTGCCACGTGGAAAATCTGGAGTTTTTGGGGTCAAGTCTAGGGTTACTGTAGCTCAAAATGCTCCGAATTTTGATGCCGAAAATCTAGGATTACTGTAGGCATCAAAATCTAGAGTTACTGTAGCTCAAAATGCTCCAAATTTTTTCAGAACTTCCGAATTCTGCGCGGCCTTCTCCATCGACTGGAATTATCACACTTTCAATCGCCTCGAAATCCGAAATAATTTCTGGGATGGAATGGATATAATCTACAATGATCTCATCAAAAAACCAGCTATAAGACATTCGAAAATCATCAATAATCGAAGAAATGGAATACATATCAGATCAGCTGGAATAACTATCGAAAATGTGACGATTTCTGAAAATGGTCAAAGTGGAATGCGATACAATCCAAAGATCTCATCGCTAGGTCAAAATGATATTGTAACATGGCTAGATATGACTGAACAACCCGAACTTGAAGCCAACAACATCTTCGAAATCCCAAATCGAGATCTGGATTTCATCGAAGTCCTCGAATCAAATCTAAATCAGCGCAAGTTCCTGGTTGCTAAATCGAACCTGGATTGTCCTGAGAATCCCAAAGATCTTTGTGTTTATAATCTGATGATTCGAGCCAGTGGATTCGAGTATGGTATGAGTTCGAAGATGGCGGTGCAGATTGTGAATCCGGCGTCGAATGTTAGCGATGAGGATGCCGTGTTTACGGAGGTGTCGACGGGAAAGACATGGAGTGTGAGGAAGGATCAGGTTGAGGTGAGTGGCCTTTGGGTAAGCCTAAGCAATAGGCTTAGCCTAAGCCTGAGTCTAGCCCAGCCGCTTCGCGGAAGCTAGTGCCGCTTACGCGGAAGCTTCCGGGTTACACTCGCGCAGAGCGCTCGGGCTAAAGCTCAGGCTTCTAGACTAAAGCCTGGGCTTAAGCCTATGCCTTTGGTTAAGCCTAAGCCTTTGGTTAAGCCTATGGGTAAGCCTAAGCTTTAGGCTTTGCCTAAGCCTGCGTCTAGCCCGGCCGCTACGCGGAAGCTAGTGCCGCTTACGCGGAAGCTTCCGGTTTAGATTTTTCGTTTTGCAGTTCCCAATTGTGTCAACTCGAAACGAGATGCGAATGCGATACACCAGATCCTACGGCACTCCGAAACTCGTCATTCTGATTCTGTTTTTGGACAGTAAGTTTGAGAATTTTATTGTCAGTAGAGCGCATTTGCTAATTTCAACTGAAAATTCGAATTTTCCCATTGAAAATCAGGGGTTCAATAGAGCGCATTTGCTATTTTCAACTGAAAATTTGAATTTTCCACAAAAACACCACATTTACATCAGAGCGCACTTGCTATTTCTCAACTGAAATTTGAATTTTCCGATTGAAAACCAGGTGTTCAATAGAGCACACTTGCTATTTTTAAGCTAAAAATTTGAATTTTGGACATCAAATGCCTCTCAAGAAGCCGTGCCTTGAGAATAAGCCTGTCAAGGAGTCGCGCCTTGAGAAAAAAAACCTGGCAAGCAGCTGAGCCTTGAGAACATGTTGGTCAAGCAGCTGAGCCTTGAGAATAAGCCTGGTAAGCAGCTGAGCCTTGAGAATAAGCCTGTCAAGCAGCCACGCCTTTAGAAAAAGCCTGGCAAGCAGCTGACCCTTGAGAACAAGCATCTCAAGCAGCCGTGCCTTCAGGAAAAGCCTGGCAAGGAGTCGCGCCTTGAAAACATGTTGGTCAAGTAGTCGTCCCTTGAGAATAATTTTGTCAAGCAGTCGAGCCTAGAGAATGAGCCTGTCAAGCATCTGCGCCTTCTCCCCCCCCTCCTCTCAAATCTCCAATTTTTGCAGCCCAAGAATACCTGGACCGCTTCATCCACATCTACAAATCGCGCATCGACAACAATCAATACGGCATCTCCACCGTCCACTACAGTAATCTCACATTTTCCGACGGTTCGCTCTCAAATCGCTGGCAAAACGAGAAAATCTGGATGCAAAAAGTGAACTTCACACGCAATTCCGAAGCGGTGATATGGATCAACTCCCCACAATTCCAAGTTCTACCGAACACACCCACTTGTGAGATCTTCTATCATTTGGATAATTGTAGTATCATCGAGAACACCGGGCCGATTATTGAATATCACAAAGATCTTTTCGCCTCCGCTAATGTTTTTAAATGGAACTTATGGTCAAATACATTTGCGAATAATTCGAGGAGCGGGATTTCTGTACAACTCCCAGATTCCTATGACATCCTAGCCAGGCCTAAAATGAGCCATGAATTTCTGATGACTGAAAATCGTTTCGAGACCAATCACGACTTCAAAATCCTCGTCGAGGGATACTATGCTTTCCTAAACATCTCATCAAATAACTTCACATCGAATCTGGCTCCAAGGAATTTCGGGATTCTAGAGCTGCGGGGTATGGAGAAGAAATTGATCTTTGAAAGGAACCGGTTTTTCGAAAACTTCGGAAATTGGATGTTAAAGATCGACACCACTTCTCAATATCTGCAGGACCCGTTAGAAATCCCCGGGTTCGTCCGATATAATTACTTGGAGAAGAACAGATTCCTTGAGCCATCGAGGAACGTGGAATACGTGGATATGTGGCCTCGAAGTTATGCTGTTGGGATCTTTGGAAGTCAGAAGATCAACATACATTTCAATCGATTTCAAAACATCCTGATGGATTTTGAGTTGGTTTCGGGTTGCAAGTATAGCACGGTGTATGACACAATGAATGTGACGTATAATTGGTGGGGAACTGGAAATGAGGCGACGATTGCTCAACGAATTTTCGATTTCGACGATTGGAACATCTTCATGCTCACCAAATGGAGCCCCTTCTACGTCACCAACGATTTGTTCATCAATTTCTGGTGGAAACCGTTGGTGGATGGACAATTGGCGGAAGCCGGGCCGTATGTTGAGCCGACTATTAGTGATTTGAAGGGCCGTGTGTATGAGGATAAGAATATGACGTTGATTGAGGAGAGGTGGTATAATTTTCCGCATTATTATAGGGTGAGTTGAGGGATTTTGTTTAAGCCTAAGCCTTTAGCTTAGGCTTAGGCTTCTAGACCGAAAACTGGGCCCGGCCGCTTCGCGGAGGATAGTGCCGCTTCGCGGAAGCTTGCGGTCTACACTCGCGCAGAGCGCTCGGGGCATTGCTCATATTAAACTAGCTAAGCCTTTGGTTAAGCCTAAGCCTTTGGCCTAAACTTCTAGGCTTGCGGTCAGACCCAAGCCTAGCCAGACTTGCGCAGACCTCTCGGGGCCTTAGGCTTAGGCTTCTAGACCAAAACCTGGGCCCGGCCGCTTCGCGGAGGATAGTGCCGCTACGCGGAAGTTTGCGGTCTACACTCGCGCAGAGCGCTCGGGACATTGCTCATGTTAAACTAGAAATTTAGGCATTGCTCATATTAACCTAGGCATTGCTCATATTAAACTAGAAATTTATACATTGCTCATACTAGAAATTCCGTTTTTTTCAGATAATCCGAAAAAAAAATCATTTTTTTTTTTGAAATTTAAAGACTCGAAAATTAAAAAAAATACATTTTTTATTGCAAAAAAAATTCACTGTTTCAAAAATTCAACAAAAAATTTCTCGGATAATTGAATTTTTTCGCTTTTTCAGCCATTGCTCATATTAAACTAGAAATTTAGGAATTGCTCATGTTAAGGATAAGGTCAGCTGAGCTAAGCTTCTAGGCTTGCGGTTAGACCCAAGCCTAGCCCAGACTCGCGCAGAGCTCTCGGCCTTAGGCTTAGGCTTGTAGACCAGAACCTGGGCTTAGGCCCGGCCGCTTCGCGGAACATAGTGCCGCTGCGCGGAAGCTTGCGGTCTACACTCGCGCAAAGCGCTCGGGACATTGCTCATATTAACCTATCAAAACTTCCCCCAACTCCGCATCATTTTCCAGCCATTCCGTCCCTACTTCATCTTCCGTGACGTCACCATTATGCCCGGAGCAACTCTTTACATCCAACCGGGTGTCGAAGTGCACATCTGGCCGAATGTCCGAATTTTGGTGTTGGGAAATCTGATCGCCGACGGAACCTATTGGCAACCGATACGATTCAAACCGGTGAACACGACCGAGTTGGCGGAGTTCAAGGGCAGGATTACGACGGAGTATAGGAAGAGGCGGAAGAGGGAAGCGGCTCCAGATTTCGGATATGTTCTAGATGCTCCAGAAGCTTCTCCTGAACTTGTGGAACCTTCGAAATCTTTCGATGAATTTTTCGGATCTTCGGGAAGTTCTAGAGGACTTATAAGATCTTTTAGAGGATCAGTAGAACCTCCAGGAACTTCTCAAGAACATACAGAATCTTCTCCAGGCTCTCACAGACTTCCAAGAGCATCTGAATCTGCTCCAGAAGCTCTACACTCACCAGGAACATCTAGACGACTTCTAGGATCTTCAGAATCTGCTCCAGGACATCCAGAATCTTCTCCAGGATCTCAAGAACCCCCTGGACATCCAGGAGCCTCTCCAGAATCTCTACACCCACCAGGAACATCTAGAGGATCTCGACAACCTTCAGGACAACTAGGAACATCTAGAGGATCTCGACAACCTTCAGGACGACCAGGAACATCTAGAGGACTTCTGGAAGACTCTCAAGAACGACCAGGAGCTCCAGGAGCCTCCCCAGAAGCTCTTCACCCACCAGGAACATCTAGAGGATCTCAAGAGCCCCCTGAACCCCCCAGATCTCCGCGCTCCCACCGTTCCACAGATCGCAGTCGCCCCGACTCCATCTACCGTCAATTCCCCACCCTCCACCGCGACGATCCCTACTACCAGCGATTCTCGATCTCCCTGAACCTCACCAACCCCGCCGATCCTCGTGCCGGTTGGCTACAAATCTACAACTCGACGACCGGCGAGATCGTACCCTCGTGCGATCAACAATTCACAATTCGAAATGCGCAAGTGGTGTGTCGCGAGTTGGGTTTCGACACGATGAATGTGTATCATTGGGTGACGCCGCGGTGGGACTACAAACCCGAGTTGCGCATCCTCAAGACCTATATGGAACCCAGGGAATGTCGAGGGGATGAGGAGCGACTGGATCGGTGTAACTTGAGATTATCCGGGAATCTATCCCTCTGGCAGTGTAAGACCAGTGAATTCTTCAACTATATCTATTGCGGAAAGGCGCGGAGCTTGCGGAAAGAGTACATCGGAAATTGGGGTGGTGTCGCGTTCGGCGACGCGACTTTGGAAGGTGCGCGCACACCGGAAACCTCTCTGCTACGCAACGTGGAAATTGTGGGCGGCGGTGCGGGCCATAATGATAGTTGGGCCAGCGGTGGGCTTCAGATATTCCACCGTAGTCCCATCCTGGATCGGGTGAATGTGACGAATTCGAGTATGGCGGGCGTGCAGATTTTTGCACCCCGGAACAAGATTGTGATGGCGAATCTGAATGTGACGGATAATTTGGGACAGGGTGTGAATATTATGACGGCTTTTGTGCAGGCACCCAATGCGCAACAGGGTGAGTTTTTTATAGTTTAATATGAGCAATGCCTAGTTTAACATGAGTAATGGTGCAGTTTGACACCGAATATGACTAGGTTTGGTGGAGGGGCAGAGACGCAGAGAAGCTAGAGAGTAGACAATACAGAGTGTGTTAGAGACGGAGAGGAGAGACAGACAGCCAGAGATACCTGGGGAGAGACGCAGAGAGTTAGACTGCCAAAAAAATACTAGGTTTGGTGGAGACGCAGAGTCGGTTAGAGACACACGGAGAGACAGACAGCTAGAGATACCTGAGAGACTCGTCAGAGAATGTATAAATTTGAGAGATGTTGGACAGCTAGATGAAGTTAGAGACGCAGAGTTTTTTTTTCAGTTTTCTGGTTCAATATGAGTAATGCCTAGTTTAACATGAGCAATGCTAAAATTTCCAATTTTTGAGCTCAAAAATCCACGTGGCATCAAAAAATGCTCCAAAATGTTCCCCGGAATCTCTGGAAACCTTAAAAAATTCCCAGAACTCCAATTTTTGAGCAAAAAAGTGCCACGTGGCTCTTGGGAAGCCCCCAGAAGCCTTGAGAAGCCTAGGCAAGCCCCCAGAAGCCTTTGGAAGCCTTGGGAAGCCTCGGGAAGCCTTGGAAAGCCTTGGGAAGCCTTGGGAAGCCCTGGGAAGCCTTCAGAAGCCCTCTAAAGCCTCTTGCAGCCCTCCCAAGCCCTCTAAAGCCTTGGGAACCCTGAAAATCCCTCAAAAACGCTCCAAATTCTTCCAGAAACCATGCGTCGCCCTCTAACCCTTCCCTACTACACGCAAGGAATGCTCGACATGTGTGCCGCTCAAAAATCGATCACCGTCAAAAATCGCATAATGCTCTACTACAAATACGACTCCGTCCCCGTGGATTGCGTCAAAATTTTCCGCGCGGTTTCCGGCCGTCCAATCGCGTTCCGCTTGATCCAATACCATCTCTATTCCTCGCCCACCGATCTTGGAAGATCCGATGTTTTGCAGATCTTCGGGGCTGACACCTTCACAGGCACTTCGAAGCTTGCCGAGTTCCGTCAAGACCCTTCCAGATCTTCCGATCCTTCCAAACCGGTCTCATCGGAAACGCTAGCAATACATCTTCGCGCAACCGCCGCTGACGGTATCTACGGTTTCATTGCGGAAGTGTCCGCGTTGCCAAGCACTCCGGAAGCGGAAAATGTCGCGGAAGTTGTGATTCGCAATTCGAGAATTGACCGGAATGATCGGGGTGCGATTGAGTATTCGAATTGTGGTGAGATGAGTCCACCATTGGTCATCGAGGATAGTTCGATGTCTTTTAATGGAATTCATTTATTCGGAAATATTTCGACATCGAGTCAGGCGGTTCAATTGAATTTGCATAACACGCTGGTGAGTTTTTGGGAGGTCTAGGTAACAGTTTCTAAGCTGTGTGTGTATTTGTGTAGTTCTCCCGGACAAGTTTTTATTTTAAATATTTATTTTTAAGGTTCAAGTTAAGTGCGCTCTAATGATAATGTAGTTTATGCTTGTGTAGTTCTTTTGGACAAGTTTTGTTCCTTGAATAGTTGAATAGTTGTTTAAGTGCGCTCCATTGAGAACATAAATATTGATTTTTCCAGAACTTTAAGTCTGTTAGGTTAAGTGCGCTCTACTGACAATCTATTTCTAAAAATATTTGTGTAGTTCTCCCGGACAAGTTTTTTTGAATATTGATTTTTTAGGTTAAGTGCGCTCCATTGATAACCTAGTTCCCTTAATTATGAGTTTTGTAGTTCTCCCGAACAAGTTCAAATGCGCTCTACTAGAGCGGCTCTAGTGATAAAAATGCAGTTGAAAATTCAAATGCGCCCTATTGAGAACCACCCGCCAACTCTTCAAAATTCAAATTTTCATTTTTTTTTCTGGGAGCTAAAAATTCAAGTGCGCTCTAATGATAAGCCCACACACTTGGCAATTAGAAAAAACTTTGTAGTTCTCTCGGACTATATAATAAAGTAAGTGCGCTCCACTGCAATTTTGATAATTGTCCACTATAAATTCCAAGTGCGCTCCATAGAGAACAGCCCGGAAAATTAATAAAATTCAAAAAATCTCAAAAACCCGTGTAGTTCTTTTGGAAAATGATAGCTATTTGAGTCAGTAAGTGCGCTCTAATGACAAAATCAAACTTCTAATGTTCAAACGCGCTCTACTGATAATTTTGCGATGAAAATTCAAATTTTCAAATTTTCCTCTTCCAGCTCCTCCTGTTCCGCTCCAATTCCCTGGCCCACAACCAGGGTGGTCTATACATCTCAGCCACCTCCAGTTCTCCAGTTGCCCGCCTTCAAGCTCTCGTCAAAAACTGTCTGTTCGCCTACAACTCGAACAGCACAACAATAGCACTAGCCGGAAATAATTACCAAGTCGTCACTTTTCTCAACAACATCATCTCTCACAATTATGCACTATTTCATGATACAGTAGTGTGTCATGACGTGGCAATCAATATGACAAAGAATACGGTATTCGAGAATGTCGGGTTGCATACTGTAGATTTGCGGGGGAATTCGAGGACGACTTCGGACAAGAACGTGTTTCAATACAATCATTTCTATGAGAATTTGGCGCTGGGACATGGACATCAATATGTGGAAATGTATGGATATCAGCCGATGCGGGAGAATAACGAGTTCTTGAATCGGCCCAGGAGGAGGAAACGGCAGGTTCTGACACAGCAGGGGATTTCGTTCGATTGGTGGACACATGTCGACAACGAGACTACGCGATACCGTTCGACTATTGTGGCAGGTAAGGTTTTGAGCGGGAAAAAATTTCTAGTTTAATCTGAGCAATGCCCAAATTTCTAGTTTAATATGAGCAATACCTAGGTTAATATGAGCAATTTTGAAAAGGCGAAAAATTTCAATTATCCGAAAAAAAGTCTAGTTTAATATGAGCAATGCCTACATGTCTAGTTTAATATGAGCAATGCCTAAATTTCTAGTTTAACATGAGCAATTCCTAAATTTTTTGATTAATATGAGCAATGGCTTCAATGGGAAAATTCAAATTTTTGGTTGAAAAATTGCAAGTGCGCTCTATAGAACACCTGGTTTTCAATGGGAAAATTCAAATTTTTAATTGAAAATTGAAAATGCGCTCTATCGAACACTAGGTTTTTGTAGGGAGAATTCAAATTTTTAGTTGAAAATTGAAAATTCGCTCTATCGAACACCTGGTTTTCAATGGGAAAATTCAAATTTTTAGCTTGAAAAATTGCAAATTCGCTCTATTGAACACTAGGTTTTCAATGAGAAAATTCAAATTTTTAGTTGAAAAATAGCAATTGCGCTCTATCGAACACTCTATCGAGAAAATTCAAATTTTTAGTTGAAAAATAGCAATTGCGCTCTATCGAACACTTTGTGGGAAGAATTCAAATTTTTAGTTGAAAATAGAAAATTCGCTCTATTGAACACTAGGTTTTCAAGGGGAAAATTCAAATTTTTAGCTTGAAAAATAGCAAGTGCGCTCTATCGAACACCAGGTTTTTGTGGGAAGAATTCAAATTTTTAGCTTGAAAAATTGCAAATTCGCTCTATCGAACACTAGGTTTTTGTAGGGAGAATTCAAATTTCCAGTAGAAAATTGAAAAAATTCAAATTTTTCCCGAAAAATCCCTCAAATTCTTACAGGTTCCCCAATGGATGTGTTCCATTTCAACACGTTCAACGATCCCAAAAATGACTACGAACTAACTTCATCCAAACAATCACAATACGAGATCGGAACATCGTTGGACGCCCGCAATAATTACTGGGGCTACCCTGGAACCATCGGAGTTGCCTCCGGAAAGATCAGAGATCAGGAGGATTATCCATACCTTTCCAGAGTGAATTACTCCCCCGTTCTTGAATCCAACACCTCGCTGGTAGAAGGTGATTGTCCCGCCGGATGGTTCCAGGCCGGACATCAAGAATTCAAATCCTGTTTTCTATATGTAGCGGCGGCTGTCACTTATCAACACGCTGTCGAATATTGCGAAGAGCTCGACGCATTTGTGCCGTATCTCCGCGCGGATGACGTGCGGCAAAAGCAACTTGCCATGCGGATCGATGAGATGGGTAGAGCCTTCATTACGGATGCGGAAAGAATCGCCGCATATGGTGTGGATGATGATGTAAATGTTTGGATCTCTAGTGTTCACGTGCCATCGATTCAATGCGGAAGGCTTTCCGCGCGGACAAATCGCATCGGTACTGTGAATTGCAATCTGCTTTTGCCGTTTGTCTGCGAGAAGGGGACACAGCCTTACAGTGAGCCGATTTTATGGAGGAACGGGATGGTGATATCGATTGTGATTGCGGGGATCTCGCTGTTCTTGCTGATCTTGTTGCTGATCTGCTGGTGGATCAAGAGTAGATCTAGGAGATCGGAGAGTCATGTTGTACGACAGGCGAGTATGAAGCTGCAGAAGAAACATCAGGCTTCCACGATCTATGAGGCGACGCATGAGAGTGCGCATGCTAGCCTGGCATCAAGATCGAGAAGCTCTGCGCACTACACACGGCGGTCGCCCACGGAAACTGTGAGCACCTACGCGGACATGCGGAAACCCTACGCGGAAACTTCGAACTATACCTATGCCGGGTACGGTAGCTCGGCGGGATCTTCAAATCCATATTCGGAAATATCGGAGACGACTGTGAAGATGCGCGATGATTTGAGATCGTGTAGCACGTGTACCGTGGATTCTGGTAGGTTTGGGGGCTGCAGAAAATGCGCCAGCAAATCTTGAGCTACTTGAAATGCGTCAGCGAAATTCTGAGTATTTTCTGTAGCTACGAAATTCGCGTCAGCAAACTTCTAGGCTGAAATTGCGCCAGTCAAGAGTCTAGGTATTTTAGAGCCTACAGAAAAGACGCCAGCAAACTTCTAGGCTGAAAATGCGTCAGTCAAGAGTTCAGGTATTTTTAGAGCCTACAGAAAAGACGCCAGCAAACTTCCAGGCTAAAAATGCGTCAGTCAAGAGTCTAGGTATTTTTAGAGCCTACAGGAAATGCGTCAGCAAAATTCTGTGTATTTTCTGTAGCTACAAAATTCGCGTCAGCAAACTTCTAGGCTAAAAATGTGTCAGTCAAGAGTCTAGGTATTTTAGAGCCTGCAAAATTTGCGTCAGCAAATCTTGAACTACTTGAAGTGCGTCAGTCAAGAGTTTAGGTATTTTTAGAGCCTACAGAAAAGACGCCAGCAAATTTTGAGCTACTCAAAATGCGTCAGCGTAACCCAGTTCAAACTTGGTAGATCAAAAATCAGAGCCGCGACGCGTGACCCCCCCCCCCCACGCAACGCGGGTTTCAGCCAACAATTTTTCATTTTCAAAATTTCCAGGCTCCGAGCGAACATCAACCGCCACCGATATGTCAGCCTCCTCCTACAGTACCACCTCAATATCCACCGTACAGAATCATCCGATCCCACCAATCAGAAGATCAAACCACCAAAATCCACCTTCAACTTCCACCAGAAGATCATATCATGTTATCGAAACTTCCATGTGATTTTCAAAATGTTCTTTCATTTTTCAAAAAATCCCGGGTATTTGTTCCTTTTTCAGGAATTCGATCTTTTTTTTACGTGTATTTTTTCTATTTATATATAAATTATTGATTTTTGCCACGTCATAGCTCGAAAATTCCACCTTCATCACATATGTGGGTACTGTAGAAATCTATTTAGAGCACAAAATTCAATTTTTCCGATCTCGCTTCTCACAAAAAATAAAACTCCGGCTGCAAATCGTGAAACGTGTGAACCACAATTAAAAACTTTTTTTTTCATTTCATTTTTCCAACTACAAAAATGTTGGAAAGCAAATCTATATTTCTATTCCTAGCATTTCAGTTTTTCATAATTTCTGATTCTCATGAATTAAAATCCGCAGCGCCTCTGACTAATTCAGAAGTATTATTTTTGAAGAGATGTTGGACTTTTTTACCGAGAACGTAACGTTAAAAATCACAAGTATCACCAGAAAAAAACCCCACAAAATTTTGCAGATTAATGAAGTTATACAGTAGTAATGGAGTGATAGAAAACATTATTAGTGAAGTTAATCAATATGTTTCGAATAAAACTTCTCAACGATTATTGAATGATAACGGGTGGCAGTTGTCAGTTTGTGGAGAACAAGTTTTTTGGGATTCTGAACGAGGTATATTTTTTTTAATGAAATTTTGTGCAGCTTTTGGGGTCATACCCGATGGACCACAGCGCTCCATTTCAAAATAATTTTTGAGAGAAATAAAGTTTCAGATATTGCTTAGCATAGTCGATTTACTAAAAGTACATCAATAAAAAACATTTTTTCAAAAAAAAATTTTTTTTTATTTTTCGGATGAAAATTTTGCAGATTTTTGGGCTCTCAAAAGTTTAAAAATTGGCTCAGTAAACACATCATAACTCAATTTTCGATGATTTTTATGAAAAACTGACTATCAAATAATCATCAGCGTGGTCGATTTACCCAAAAACCAACAATATATCAAAATTAAAAAAAAATTTTTTTGAAAAAATATTTTTTATTGATGTACTTTTATTAAATCGACTATACTGAGCAATATCTGAAACTTTATTTCTCCCAAAAATTATTTTTGAATTTTTGAGGTTCATACAACCCCAAAAGCTGTCCATGGACAAATTTCCCAACAAAGTGTTGAGTAAAAAACTTTCACATCAGGTGGAGTTCAAGAAATGAAGGAATTTTCAAGATTTCTTATTTTTGAACGTGAAAAATACATCAGAACTGAACTAATCCATAATCCCAAAATTTCATTGATAAAAGAAGACAATGAATATTTCGAATTCTCGATTGACTACGAAGTGACAAGTTTAATGAGTGTAACGTTCAAAAAGAAGATCACAATTCGAGCTAGACGTTTCTATTTTCGTCATGAAATCACTCCGTCTTACCAATGGTATGTAACTCACATTAATTTCGATGGTGAATGTCATAAAACAACGAAATATATCAAAAGTACATGGGAATCAACTAAAAATCAAACCAGTAATGAGAGAAATAATGGGCCAGAATTTGTGGAGCGGTTTCTTGCAGTGTACGTGAAGTTTTTTATAGATTTTTTTCTAGCTCTTTTCAGACTATTTGACGGAAGAGCTTTCGATGAAAATTCCAAGTATTTATCGAATAATTTTGAAATGCTTGCGCAAATCGGAAATCTAACACGTTTTTCAAAAGCTAACGCTCATATTTTCTTCAATTACATTCTACAACGATACTCCGTCGAATCCATTCAAACCGAATTTCTCGCTGAAAATGTTGATCAAGTAGTTTTCAACACTTTCACCAAGTTTACAAATCGAGTTTATCGAAAAAAGACGAAATGGAGTTTTCAAATGGAAGCAATTTATGTGAGCCTATTTTAATAATTGTATTTAAAAGGAAATCAATTTTAGAACATTGATGATGATGAAAAATGGAAAATAACAAGAATTTTTGTGAATCATCCATCAGATCAATTCATTTACTCTGAATTGGAATGGAATTTTGAATACTTTGTTGAGCATACGGTGACAATCAAGAAAACGTGAGAAACACTTCAAATCTTGATCAACCAATGGACCTCTGAGCCAAGTTTTGGGCTCTAAAAATTTCAAAATAATTTTTTTCGGGAGAAATGAAGTTTCAGATATTGATCAGCATAGTCGATTTACTAAAAGTACATCGATAAAAAACAAAAAAAAATTTTCATTTTTTTTTTCGAAAATCAGAAATTTTTTTGAAAAAATATTATTTATTGATGTACTTTTAGTAAATCGACTATGCTGAGCAATATCTGAAACTTTATTTCTTTAAAAAATTATTTTGAAATTGAGCAATTTTTGAACTTTTCAGAGCCCAGAACATGGCTCAGAGGTCCACTGGGTAACTAAAAACCCCAAAACCTGTCCATAGACAAAAAATTTCACTTTTTAGGATCGAAAATATTGGGAGAAATAAATTGGAAGAACTCGAGAAGCTTAGAAATCATTTAAGATATCTTAAAAGTTTCACTGAGACAAGGTTTCACAAAGGATTGTCGATGAATATACAAGAAAAAGTGTTGGAAATTTTCAAACCTGAAAATAATTTGAAGTTGTACAAATGTGAAAATTATTATCCGGAAAAAAAGTTGATTCAAGAAAAATATACATTCCAAATCAAATGCTGGTGGAAAGATCAATGGGGAATTGCAAAAATCACACGAGTGAACATGACATCGGTAATCAAGAATTTATCGAATCATATAGTTTCAGTTGAACTTGTGCCATCGGATTTTGTTCGGAACAATATTCAGGATTTTTTTGTTAATGATGAAAATGATGAGAAAACAGGGGTGGCTGAAGTGATCAGTGAATTGTGAGTAATAGAATTTTGAATGGATGAATGAGCTAATAATTTCAGACTTCTATCCCAAGACGAACTGAATTCTTCATCTTGGAGAAATAATACAAACAAACTGAAAAAAATGATGGGTTCTTCCGAATTTCAATTTTATGTATGCAGTTTTGAAGTGCCCGACATTTTTCGATTTTTAGAAAAGCGTCGCAGGAAAGTAAGAGTAACTGAAAACAAATATTATGTATTCAATATCACAAATTCGAGCAATTCGAATTATTTTGAGTTTACTCTTCGGAACTTTCCAACAAGTTTCATGAGTTTCGAATATATGGAGACGTACAGAATACAAGTGCAGAAAAACAATTCGTGGGAAATTATGCGAATCGATTTGATGGATCATTGTATCAGTGATAGAATCAATAGACCAGCAGAAGTGGGATTATTAGCAATCGATACAGCTAATAGTAGAGATAATTTAGATGCGTCACATCCACTGCATACTTTGATTTATACTTTGCATTTGGATAATTTCAACGAATCAGATTATTTTTCGAAATTTGAGGCGATTATTGAAACGAATGACAATGCTAGTGAAATTTATGATCTTACCGATTTTATCAAATATTTAAAAGTATTTTCGAATATTTATGAATTTACTCTATATATGAATCATTACATTGTTTTTGAAAACGATTATATTGTTATACGACATTGGGTGGCGTATAATTTAGTATTAAGAGATCGACGAAAAACGGATAGAAAAGATGAATTTGTCTTTTTGATTGAAGCGTTTTATGTGAGTTCCAACAATGTTGACTTCAAATCTAGCTTTTGCCGTCATAAGAACACTCTTAAAAGTTCAAAAAATGCTCCATTTCAAAATAATTTTTATAAAAAACAAAGTTTCAGATAATGATCAGTATAGTTGATTTACTAAAAGTACATCAATGAAAAAAAAAATCAAAAATTTTTTTCGAAAAAATATTTTTTACTAATGTACTTTTAGTAAATCGACCACGCTGATCATTATCTGATAGTCAGTTTTTCATAAGAATCATCGATAGTTGAGTTATGATAACTTTAATGAACCAATTTTTGAACTTTTGAGATACTGACAAGGGAACCTTTTTTACTCAACACTTCAAATGTTGATGCAATTTTGTCATTGGACAGATTTTGGGGTCATAAGAACACCCCAAAAAATTAGTCTCCCAATGGACCTCTGAGCCAAGTTCTGGGCTCTCAAAAGTTCAAAATTTGACTCGCAAAAGTCATCATAACTCAATTTTCGATCATTTTTAAGCGTGGTCGATTTACCCAAAAAGCATCATCGAAATTTCAGAAAAATTTTGATTCCGGAAAAAAAGTATGAACGGAGTTTTCATGAATTTTCAGCCGAAAAATAAAAATTTTCAAAAAAAATTTTTTTTTAAATAAAAAATTTGTGAAAAATATTTTTATTGATGTACTTTTAGTAAATCGACTATGCTGATCAAAGATTTGAAGTGTTGAGTAAAAAAGGTTCCCTTGTAAAAGAATTTCTCATCATACAGAACAATGATATACATCGCTGGCAATTTGTGAAAATTGTGTTAACTCGTCCCGCTGATGAGTTGTACAATGCGTCGGAACAGTTCGAACTTGTTGAACGTTCACGTGAGAGATATATGGGTTGGATTGATGAAAGGTTTTTATCCAACCAACCAGAACTAAAACATTTTTGTTCTTTTCCAGATATAACAAAGCTTTCAAGAGTGTTGAAATTGACGATATTGCAGACTATGATGGCAGCCTTGCGTGCAATACAAATTATGATTCATTGAATGTTCAATTTTTCCAAAAATATTTATCATATGTGAAAAACGTTGTGAATCAATTGTTTTTGGTTGGTTTTTTAAGGGGGGCTCCCCAAGAGAAGTAATTTACTACTTCAAGTAAAACCTTCAAGGGATTCTTTCCCGAAACGTCTAGGAAGAATTGTTTAACACGAGAGTTCCAGAGAAACCGAACAAGATCCGAATTGGAGAAACAATACATTCGCTCTTTTGATTTCCAGTTCTCCGATGTGTATATCATCGATGATGGTGAAAAAGGCTTCACCGTCGATTATTATGTTAAATATGTGAGAGAAGTTGGTTTTTGAAACAAAAACCAAGATATTTCAGAATCAAAAGTTCAACAGCTATCAAGTTACAAATATCAATTTGAGTTGTGTTGTCGATTGGAGACTAGAGGTACATATTGGTGAACTAATGCAGTGATTTACGGAATAGAAACGCTTTTTAACGTTAAAAAAAACCAAAAAAAGTGATTCATGAACGGTATTTTTATTCATTTGTTTCACTCACCATTTTCTCAACACACTGAATAAAGTGAAGCTAAAACGCATTTTAGTGTCGAGAAATGTCATCCCAAGCTCTTTCAACATACATAAAATGGGTCCCCAGAATCAGGGTGAGGAGCTTAACTTTTTTTTTAATCGGAAGGGAAGGGTGCCTAACTTGGCCAATTTTCTGCTGATAATTTACCAAAATTCCCAGATTTGTCCAAAATTCGCTCAAAAATGTGAGGAGGGACCCCAACTTTGAAAACTGACTTGGGGGACCTATTTTATGTATGTCTTTCAATAAGTCTAATAGACAAATCAAGCCTTCAAAATCGAATTGTTGATTTTCGAAAATCACCAAATACATTTTTTGAGAGAAGTGAGGCTTGATTTGTCTTTTAGGCTAATCAGAAGGTCTTAAAATAGCAATTCTGGACACTAAAATGCATTTTAGCTTCACTTGGGAATGTGTTATGAAAATGGTGAAAAAATGAATAAAAATACCGTTCGTGTATCACTTTTTTGATTTTCTTAACGTTTAAAAAACGTGTTTTTTATTTCGTGAATCACTGAACCCTATTATCTTTCTGTACCCCCTTCATTTTCAGAATTTCGCACATCGGTTTCCCCTATTTTTCCCACCTTATGACAGATTGAAGAGTGCATATGGAAAAATCACATTTTATTACACTGACTCGTATTGCGGAACAAATTCCGTGGAAAAATTTGCCAGTTACTTGCCAACGCCACGTGGATTTGGTATGGAGTGCGAAAAAAAAACGTGATTTTTAAGATGCAATATTATTTTCAGAACAGTCAGCGAGTCATTGTTGTGCGCTACATGATGATTGCTATGATCATCATCTAGGTCAAACATATTGTGATGATTCGTTTTCTTCTTGTCTGGCGGGCAAGACACATTTACTTGCGGATCAAGCATTTTACATGCTTGTCAAACATTTTGGAGATGAAGCATATAAAAACGCTGATAGTGAGCAATAACCTTTCTTACTCAACACTTCAAATCTTGATTTTAGTTACCCAATGGACCTCTGAGTCAAGTTCTGGGCTCTCAAAAGTTCAAAAATTGCCAAAATTGGCTCGTAAAACACCTCATAACTCAACTCTCGATGATTTTTGTGAAAAAATGAATCGCAGATAATGATCAGCGTGGTCGATTTACCCAAAAAGCATCAATTAAATTCGAATTTTCAAAAAAAATTTCGATTTTCGAAAAAAAAAAATTTTATTTGAAAAAATATTTTTTATTGCTGTAATTTTAGTAAATCGACTATGCTGAGCAATATCTGAAATTTTATTTCTTGTAAGAATTATTTTGAAAAGTGCTCTATTCTAAAATAATTTTTGAAAGAAATTAAGTTTCAGATATTGATCAGCATAGTCGATTTACTAAAAGTACATCAATAAAAAACATTTTTTCAAAAATTTCGAAGTTTTTTTTATTTTTCGGCTGAAAATTCATGAAAACTCATATTTTTCTGTGAATTTAATTTATTCATGCTTTTTGGGTAAATCAACTACGCTGATCATCATCTGCTACTCAGTTTTTCATAAAAATCATGGAAAGTTGAGCATGAGCAAAATTTTGAATTTTGGAGAGCCCAGAATTTGGCTCAGAGACCCCAAAAGCTGTCTATGAACCAAATAAATATAAGCGATAGATATACTGATTTCAGGTCAAATTGGTCATATTTATGAATTCCGCGACGAAAAATTGAATTCTGAATTCAATATTGTTCGATTTCATTGTCCACAACACAAAAATGTTTTCTCATCGTGTATTATTCAATTTGAAATTTGCACGAATCGACAAATCTTCGATTGTCCCAAAAAGGTATAAAAAGGTAATATATAATAAATCTATAAAAACATTTCAGACTGACTATTGCTACGATCGATACTACGAAATTTGCAAAGAAAAGGTGATTTGCAAAAAAAAAATTAATTGATTTGAGAAATTTTTAGTTGGCGAACTGTCTTCGAAAACTTCGTGATAAATATCGAAAAAAATTCGAGGAACAAAACAGATGGGGAAACTATTCAAAATGTTCCAACATAATCAAATCTTTCAACAAAAACATTTTGGGATTTGAAGAATCGCAAATTCGGCTTACATTCAATGATTGATACCATGTTTTTTTTTACCACTTTTGTCACATTTACTCATTAAAAATTTCAGAAATCAAATTTTTACACTCCCAGAAAAGTTATCATGTTGATGTTCAGATTGCCCTTGAAATTTCGAGTTTTTAGACACCCATATTGATTTACTTTGGATAACTTTGAAAAATTTTCAAAAATTTTCAGACTTTTGGAAAGTATTTGAATGTGGGTGTCTAAAAATCGAAATTTCACGAGAAATTCAAAAATCGATACTAGACATCTTGGGGAAAATTAGAAATTTAATTTCTGAAAATTTTTGGTCTCAAGATTTCAGAAAATCATCCAAAGTATATCAATATCGGTGTCTAAAAACTCCAAATTTCACGGGGAATTCAAAAATCGAGCCTAGAACTCAAAAATTCATTTTTGGATCATTCGAATCTCACACTGCTTGAATTCAATTCGACTATACGGTTTAGCTCCATCTCCTCCAGCTCCAAACAGACCCAATGCCCCAAAATCCACATCAAAATTTGCACGGCATTTTGGCGCGCGAATCAAATATACAAAATAACCAGATTCCTTCAAAATTGGCATGTTAAAGGACCAGGAATTCAAAAAATTGCCCAAATTTTCACCAAACGAAATTTGTGCCAGCCCATCGCCATGGTGATCAATCGATATTTTTGCAATATTTTCGGGAGAGTACGGTATGATTATAGCATTTTCACGGTCTGGCAAAAAGCCAATTCCAGCTCCAAAAATAAAATCAATAGTTTGGCCAATTTCTCGATCAATAGTTTTGGCATAATCTTTTTCCCAATTACTGGAAAAATCAATTTTTCCTAGATTACTGTAGGTTTTGGCGCGAAAAATGACGCTGAAACCAGGTTTTCCCGTCAAAAATGATGCATTTTGGGTTTGAAAAAGTGATCTACCAGAATTTTCGGAATTTGTGGCACAATTTTCTACAGTATCCCAAAATGGTTTTGGACCCAAAAATATGAGCTACTGTAGATCACATTCTACGGTAACCCCACATAATTTTTCGCGCAAAAATCTCTCGGATTACTGTAGAAAATTCGTGATCTACCAGAATTTTCGGAATTTGTGGCACAATTTTTTGAAAATCACCTACAGTAACCCGAAATATATCAAATTGGGTGTCAAAATGTGCCAAATTTCATGATCTACATTTATAGCGTCAAAAATCCCAGGGTTACTGTAAGTTTTAGCGAAAAAATTCATGATCTACCAGATTTTTCAGAATTTGTGGCACAATTTTTTGAAAATCACCTACAGTAACCCGAAATATATCAAATTGGGTATTAAAATGCGCTAAATTTCACGATCTACATTTTTCGCTAGGGTTACTGTAGAAAATCTCTAGGGTTACTGTAGAAAATCTGCCCAATTCTTCTGATCTACCAGATTTTTCGGAATTTGTGGCACAATTTTTTGAAAATCACCTACAGTAACCCGAAATATATCAAATTGGGTATTAAAATGCGCTAAATTTCACGATCTACATTTTTCGCTAGGGTTACTGTAGAAAATCTCTAGGGTTACTGTAGAAAATCTGCCCAATTCTTCTGATCTACCAGATTTTTCGGAATTTGTGGCACAATTTTTTGAAAATCACCTACAGTAACCCGAAATATATCAAATTGGGTATTAAAATGCGCTAAATTTCACGATCTACATTTTTCGCTAGGGTTACTGTAGAAAATCTCTAGGGTTACTGTAGAAAATCTGCCCAATTCTTCTGATCTACCAGATTTTTCGGAATTTGTGGCACAATTTTTTGAAAATCACCTACAGTAACCCGAAATATATCAAATTAGGGATCAAAATGCGCGAAATTTCATGATCTACCAGAATTTTTGGAATCTGTGGCACAATTTTTTGAAAATCACCTACAGTAACCCGGAAATATATCAAATTGGGTGTCAAAATGTGCCAAATTTCATGATCTACCAGAATTTTCGGAATTTGTGGCACAATTTTTCGAAAATCACCTACAGTAACCCAAACTATATCAAATTGGGTATCAAAATGTGCCAAATTTCGCCCCAAAAATGAATTCCCACCTCGTTTTAGTTATCCAAACTCTCATCCAATGACAATCTCCCAAATCAATCAATATTTTTTCGCTGGAAATCGAGCCTTTCGGTGGTTTTCCCGGGGTTTTGGCCACCGACAATCTCAAAAATGATGGTTTCGAAATAATCGACGCAGTTTCCTCAGCCGCTCCAATATTACAATGTTCGAATTTCAATTGTCCCAGCGATTTTCGAGGTTTTTTCAATTTTTTGAGCATCGGAAAATGATCGGTGGTTCTGGTGTGGGATTTGGAGGGAATTGAATCGGTGTAGAATGTTGAGATTGGTTTCGCATTGTAGGTGAAGATTTTCGGCATTTTCGAGGCGATTTTGCTGGAAAAACTCGAATTTCCAGCTTTTCCCTGTGATTTTTTATCATTTTTCAAGTTTTTTCCAGAAATTTCACTTAAAAATCCCAATTTTTGAATACCCTGCCGCAAAATTGCAGAAAAACCATGCGGCAGGTTGCAAATTGCACCGCCTTTCATTTTTGCTCAAAATTCTTGGTTTTTCATCGTTTTTGGGTTAAAAATATTGATTTTTGAGCATTTTTCAAGTTTTAAAGTGAAAAATCCTAAATTTTCACCTAAAAAGTTCAGTTTTCACCTAAAAATCCCAATTTTTGAGAATTTTTCATGATTTCTAGCTCAAAAAATCCCAATTTTTGAACACCATGCCGCAAAATTGCAGAAAAACCATGCCGCAGGTTGCAAATTGCACCGCCTTTCATTTTTGCTCAAAATTCTTGGTTTTTCCTCGTTTTCGGGTTAAAAATATTGATTTTTGAGCATTTTTCAAAAAAACCATGCGGAAGGTTGCAAATTAATGTAGATTTTTGAATTCCCCGTGAAATTTCGAGTTTTTAGACACCCATATTCATATACTTCCGATAACGTTGAAAAAATTTCAGAATTTTTCAGAAAGTATATGAATATAGGTGTCTAAAAACTCGAAATTTCACGAGGAGTTCAAAAATCGAATTTTTGATTCCAACAAAAATGTGTGTGTTATCACAAAAAAGTGAGCACAAAACTTCTCATAAACAGCAATTGATAAGCACTTCATCAAAAAATGTGCAAAATTTCGATATTTCTAGTACAAACATTCCTGTTTTTCGTGACCAATGCAATTGTTTGTAGAGATGGTTTCACATTGGTCAACAACAAGTGTCTAATGGTGAGGTTTTCATAAAAATCATCTCTAATATGAGTTATGGGCTCTCAAAACCACGAATTTTCAAAAAATTCTCCATTTTTGCCTCATTTTTGGGCTCTACAGAGTCGCTCAGCGTGAAAAAACTCTACAGAAATATCTGTGATTTTCATGTTTTTTAGCAAGCGAGTTGAAATATTGGATTCTAATCGTATTCATAGGATAGAAAGGTCTAAGGCAAACCGAATGATATAAATTTTTATGACTCTTGAGTGATTTAACGACAAATTATCGCCCAAACGTCGTTAAATCACTTAAGAGCCATCCTTTCTACCCTATGAATACTATTAAAATCCAATATTTCAACTCACTTTCTAAAAAAAACATGAAAATGCCAAACTACAAACTAATTTCCAGTTATTCCCCATAAATGAAGGTGGTAAATCCTCTTCTCAACTCAAATGTAATTCATTGGGTGGAAATCTCGTATCGATTCACACTGCAATCGACAATACCGCGATTGCAAAACTCGCCAACGCACAAGGAATCTCGCAACCAATCTGGATCGGTCTCCAATGTGTGGGAAGCAACGATCCATCCTATTGTATTTGGGAAGATCAACAAACTACCGCGAGATACAACAATTTTCAGGCGGGAAATCCGCAACGTAGCCTAGGTATTAACGTTGGAATGATACCATCCACTGGAAAATGGGTGACTATCGATGATTCCGATCGAAATATGAGCGCTGTTTGTGAAACCGATATGATTGGTGAATGTACTCACAAGTTCGGTGAGTATTGTTATTCCATCATCGCCGGAACACAGATGGAACATTATTCTGCGTTGAATGTCTGTGAACAACAAATCTGTGGAAGTAGTCTGGCTTCGATTCATTCAGCTGATGAGAACTCATTCATTTTCGGATTATTTATTGATCAACGTCTAATTGCGACAATCTCTGAGATTCATATTGGTGCACTATTGAGTCAGAATGGCACAAATTATTGGAGCGATGGTACAATTTGGGATTTCCAGAATTTCGATAATTCGAGCGGGCGGGTTTATGGTATGTCAAAATATGATGGTAAATGGAGAAGTGGAGATACATATCGGTCAACTGTTTGCAAATGGAAAGCTAGTACGAATTGCCGGAAAAATTGTACGGGTCCAATATATAGAGAAGAGACAGGACAAGTGAGGCCATTTTTGGGCTTGGATAAACTCGGGGAACTTTTCCAAGGTTGTGAACAGACCTGGGAATTTTTTTTTTACGGCTCAAAAAATCGTAAAATATTTTGTTTAAAAATTCACTAAATATAGTGAATTTTGACAAAAAAAATTTTTTTTAAAGAAAATTTTGAATAAATCCTAATTAATTAATTTTTGATGGATATAGAGAATAATATTGTTAAAATTATTTCGGAGTTACGATAAGTTCCCAATTTTCGAAGAAGCTGTTTTTCAGTGAAAAGATTGAGTAACAAAATTTTACGAATTTCACGGGATTTTACGGTTTTTAAACCGTAAAATTCCCATTTTACGTTTCACGGTGCCACGTAAAAATTTCAAAAAAAAAGTCATTTCTAACATGAGTTATGGGCTCTCAAACCCACGAAATCTCAAGAATTATCCATTTGATCTTTCTCAGCGTGAAAAACTGTACAGAAACATCTTAGTTTGCCACGTCATAACTCATATAAGAAGAGGAAGCGGAATTTCAAGTTAGTTTCAAGCAGACCTGGGAAATTTTTACGTGGCACCGTAAAACGTAAAATGAGAATTTTACGGTTCTAAAAAACCGTAAAATTTTGTTACTCAATCTTTTCACTGAAAAACAGTAAGAACTCCTTCAAAAATTGGGAACTTATCGTAACTCCGAAATAATTTTAACAATATTATTCTCTATATCCATCAAAATAAAAAAAATTTGTGTTTTTTCACTATATTTAGTGATTTTTTTAGCCGTAAAATCGTAAAACGTAAAAATTCCCAGGTCTGGTTTCAAGCAAGAAAAAGGGATTTTCAGATATTATCTCCCAACTTTTATGGGGTTTCTTACAATTTTTATCGCACAATTCCACCATGTTATTATATTCTACACGTTCCAAATGGTCTAGCCGTCATATGGTTCATTCATCTGTCTCTCGACTCAGTGAGTACATTTTCTCAATTGCTAGAAGAATCTCTTAATTTCAGAGTTCATCAATCGAATTATATTCTGGAATTGAAACTGAAAAACCATTCGCTGTTATCACTAAAGACAATCAATTAGAATCTGTACCATTAACCTCTTCCAGTGACGTCATCAAATTTGTATTCAATCAATGCCAGAATAATTGTGATATGAATGGTTATTATTATTGGTTAGCAGAGTTTGGCACAAATTACGGTGCGAGTTGTGGAAATTGGTATAATACAACTGGTGTTATAACATCTCAAAATTATCCGGAAACATATCCAAACAATTATAATTGCACATATTATTTTCAAGCGCCAACCACATTGTAATCAATTTCAATTAATTATCTTCAATTAAAACCCAACTAATTACAGCGTGGACATCAAGTTCAATCATTTCGAGACCGAACAAAATCATGATTTTGTCAAGATATTCGATCAAGAGTCTGGCGAACTTTTAATGTCTCTTTCTGGCACAAAAAATGGTTTCGGATACACTGCGACTGGGCCTATGAGAATCGAATTTACGACTGATGGAAGTAACACGTTTTCCGGGTGGAGTGCAATATTTCGATACTATTTATGGGAATAACAAATGTTTCAGTGAAAAGATGCTCATAAATCTTAAGTTGCAACAAAAAACGGGTTTCCAGAATTCTACAGAAGTCCAATTATTGATTTTTGAATTTTTCGTGAAATTTGGAGCTTTTAGACACCCATATTCATATACTTTGGAAAAATTTTCGATAATTTTCAGAATTTTTCAGAAAGTATATGAATATAGGTGTCTAAAAACTCGAAATTTCACGAAAAATTCAAAAAATCGATACTAGAAAAATATTTGGAGCCAAAAAAAGTTCAAAAAACGCACCTTTCCCCAAAATAATATTGATTTTGCACAACTCCATCCACAAAAATATACGGTTGACATTGTCGACTATTCGTCAATACCGTAATCCATGCTCCTTTAATGTCATTCTTCATTTGCCCACTTTTCTTCTTCGACTTATCCCAAGTCCTTTTATTGAAATAGGGTTGAGCCTCCCAATATTCAAATTTATGCGTTTTTTTCGGATTTTCGATATTGGACAATGTCAAATCGTCGGAAAACCACGTGGTTTTTTTGTTGTCCACCGGTTTTCCCGCCAAAAATACGGTGATTTGGCTGGTTGCCAAATTCCACGTGATTTCTTGCTCTCGACAAAATGCCGTGCGATTCTTGTCGAAGCAAATTCGGGCGGTTTGACAGTATTCGGGCGGGAAAAATGTGACGGTGATTTGCGATTTGTCACGTGGAATTTGCGATGACGTCATCAGAGATGGCGAGATTTTCGGGCTGGAAAAATTTGGAGCATTTTGAGATCAAACACGGTACTGTAGCGCTACAGTAATCCTAGATTTTTTGGCTGGAAAAATTTGGAGCATTTTGATATCAAACACGGTACTGTAGCTACAGTAATCCTAGATTTTGGAGCACATTTGGTGTCAAAATGCTCCAAATTTTCGCGCGCCAAAAACTACAGTACTCACTTCAATTCGGGTTCCCAATGATTCCCAACCAAATCCACAAAATCCGCGCGAATCTCTCGCGAAGCCGGAGCCGCACAATTCGCATGCTCCCAAAAAACGATGCCAAAAATGAGAATCTGCAACGAAAAATGGTGAATCTACAGTAAGCTACAGTACTCTTACAGTAGTCAGAAAATCGGCAGTGATCATTTTTTGGAAAAATTTTGGAAAACTGATTTTATGGCGGGGTTTCGCGGCCTTTTATAGGCCGGGGGCCGAAATTCCACGTGGCACAGTGTATTTCACGCGCAAAAATGTTTGACCTACTTTTGGAATTTCACTATTTTTTGAGCAAAAATCGCATTTTTAGGTGAAAAATGAACAATTTTAGTGAAAATTCAGGATTTTTCACTTCAAAACTTGAAAAATGCTCAAAAATCAATAATTTTAACACAAAAACCAAGAAAAACCAAGAATTTTGCGTAAAAATTAAAAGCTGTGCAATTTGCAACCTGCCGCATGGTTTCTCTGCAATTTTGCGGCATGGTTTTCGGAAATTGGGATTTTTTGAGCTGGGAATCATGGAAATTGAGCAAAAATTGCATTTTTAGTTGAAAATCCGGTATTTTTAAATGAAAAAGGTAAAAAATGAAAAATTTTAGTGAAAATTCAGAATTTTTCACACAGAAATCATAAAAATTGATGAAAAATGCTCAAAAATCAATAATTTCAACACAAAAACGAAGAAAAACCGAAAATTTCGAGCGTCTTTTACAACGACACTCCGGCTTGCCCGCTGTTTAGCGCAACGCCGACAAAATTTTCATTTTTCGTTGTTTTTCGCGGGTTTTTCGGGTTTCTAGTGGATTTCAGTCAAAAATTGAATTTTCAGATGTTCTACAAGGCTCAAATTATCGATTCCAACGGAAAATTCGAGAATCATCGTGAAAAAGTGGGTTTTTTCCAAGAAAAACACTGTTTTGATGAAATTTTTGAATTTTCAGCGTCAGAAATGATTTTGAATGTGAGGAGAACGAATTTTCGATGATTTTTAGTGTGATTTGAGAAATTGAAGCGATTGGTGAGTTTTTTGGGGAGGAAAATCATGAAAAATGCTCAAAAATCAATAATTTTCACCCGAAAACCAAGAATTTTAAGCAAAAATGAAAGGCGGTGCAATTTGCAACCTGCCGCATGGTTTTTATGCAATTTTGCGGCAGGGATTTTGAAAATTGGGGCTGGATCTTCACAATTTATTGATTTTCGTCGAAAATTCTCAATTTCCCGCCAAAATTTCTATATTTCCCACTGCAAAACCATAATGCGCCTTTAAAAATCAATAATTTCACTTTGAAAATCCACCAAAAATCATTTTACACCTCGAAAACCCCCGAAAAACCACGAAAAACAAGAAAAAAGAAAAAATTTCGAAGAGAGATGAGAGAGCACACAAAACGAGGAGTGCGCTGAGAAACAACACACACGGCGACGCACAAATGCACACATTTGAAAATACCGTATAGATTTGTGTGTGAAAAATATGAAAATAATGCTTTTGCGGTGGATTTTTGAGAGTTTTTGGGGCTAAAAATAGATTTTCAATGAAAAAAAAAACAAAATTCAGTTTTTCAAAAGCCAATTTCCTATATTATTAGCTTTGTGGGTGTCGGAAATCGGTTTTTTTTTAATAAAAAATATTTTTTTCAAAATTTTCTAATTCAAATTTTCTTTTTCTCTTCCCCAGAACAAAATTTTCATTTTTATTCAAAAAAATCCAAATTTTATGCGTATGTGTGTGTCTAAAAGTAAACATTGCACCAAAAAAAGTGACGAAAGGCCGGAAAGAATAAATAAATAAATATTTGAAAAAAAAAAGTTTTGCGCATGACCCTTTTTTTTCGAAGGAAATTTGCATGAAATGAGAGATTTTTGGTTTTTTTTTGGGAAAATCTGGAGATTTTTCATGGTTTTTGAATTTTTCTGAGGTCAAGGGGTGGCTGCTTGACAGAAACCTTTATCTCAAGCAGCGGTCCCTTGACAGCTCAAATATAGCCGTCAAGGGTTGGCTGCTTGAGAGCAACCTATAGCTCTCAAGGCTTCACTCCTTATGAGCATTAACTAGTCTCAAGGAACCGCTCCTCATGAGCTCGAATCTATCTCTCAAGGCTCCACTGCTTGAAATCAAGAATCTAGCTCACAAGGGCTGGCTGCTTGAGAAGAACTTATAGCTCTCAAGGGTTCACTCCTTATAAGCCCCAGTCTCAAGCAACCTCTCCTTGACATCTCAAATCTAGCTCTCAAGCAGCCACCCCTTGACACTTAAAATTTCCTCAAGGCTCTACTGCTTGTCATCCCACATCTTGCTCTCAAGGCACCGCTCCTTGTCAACCCTAACTCCCCTCAAGCAGCCACTCCTTGACATCTAAAATCTAGCTCTCAAGGTACGGCTGCTTGAGAGCAACCTGAAGCTCTTAAGGCACCACCCCTTCTGAGCCCTAGTCTCAAGCAGCCACTCCTTGTAATCCTAAATCTAGCTCTGAAGGGCCAGCTGCTTGACATCAATAAATTAGCTCTCAAGGCTTCACTCCTTGTCAGCTTAGAACTAGCTCTGAAGGGTTGGCTGCTTGAGAGCAACATAGCTTCAAAGGCTTCACTCCTTATAAGCCCTAGTCTCAAGCAGCCCTTCCTTGTCATCTCAAATATAGCCGTCAAGGGTTGGCTGCTTGAGAGCAACTTAAAGCCCTCAAGGCACCACTCCTTATGAGCTCAAACATAGCCCTCAAGCAGCCACCCCTTGACACCTTCAATTTCCTCAAGGCGCCACCCCTAGTCATCCCAAAAAAGCTCAAAAAATCAAGAAGTGGTCCCCTGACATTTCCTTTAGTAAATGTATCCGCTCTTCCCCATTTTCCTCTGTTTTTCTGGCCATTTTCGGGATTTTTTCCCATGATTTCGGTGGCCACAAATATCAAGTTACCACTGCCATTTTTGGTGATTTTTCTGTCGCAAAAAAAATGCTCCGCGGCTCTTTTTTTTTTGCTCCTGCAAATTCCACTTTTTTTCTGGAAAAGCAAACAAAAAGTCCCCCCCCCAAATTGCGCATTTCCGCCCCTTTTTCAGGGCCAAAAAAAAATGTTCGAAAAAAAAAATTTTTTTTTTTTTTTTGAAACTTTTTTTTGAGCTTATTAAGGTTGCGTAGCAGAGTACCGCAAGATTTTGTTTTGTTTCGAAACAAGGCGAAACATGAAACTGAGTTTTCTTGTAAGTGTCACTGATTTTAATGAATTTCGAAACAAAAATAGCACCACTCAAAAACAATTCACAACACTTCACAAATAAAAAATGATCAGACAATTAAAAAGATCGAATTAGAAAAATATTAAAAGCGTGACACGGTGCAGGTGTGACGTGTTTTCGATGCAAAACATTTTCAAAAAATGAAATGCTTCACGTGTTTTTTCATAACACATTTAATTTTTCGAAATGTGTCAAACCAAAAAAGAGTGACACAAAAAAATGTTTCACGTTTTGAAAAAATTAATTGTGTGACACATTAAAATGTGTCACACAAATTTTGTATGACACATTCAATTTTTAAAAATGTTTCATTGGTTTTCAACGAAACAAAAATGATCAGCTGTTTTGTTTCGCCACATTTTACCATTTTCTCTATTAGAGAATTTGATAGAAAAAGCGACCTGGAAGTGAATTTGAGCACATTTTGAATAGATTAGTTTGTGAAGATACTATTTCACTGTTGAGAACTTATGAAATGGACCCGAAAAGTCGGACCAAGTCAGATTTTTTGAAAAAAAACTGACAAGGAAACCTTTCGGAACCGCCAAAAAATTGATAATTTTTTCCAGCAAACCTCACCCAATACCTGATATTCCAGGTGGGCATTTTTTTTTTGGAAAACCTAACCTTGTAAGTGGGCAAAAAATTTAAGGGCTTTCAAGGCCAGCCTCAGTCGGGAAAAACATTTTCACTAGGTGGGTAATTTTGAAAAATGAACCCAGGTGGGCAATTTTTCAGCCACTGCTCCAGGTTCTTGAGTGAGGTTTGTTTTTTCAGAAACCTAAAGTCTTCCACAAAATCTTAGCCTCACCGCCAAATTTTTCAAAAATTCTGAAATTTGCTTTAATGTGGAAAATAAAAACCCCTATTTTTCAAAAAAAAAAATCAAGTTTTCATTTCAGCCTCATTTTCATCTCAAATTTGAAGTAGGGCACATTTATGTATCATCTTTTGACACATTTTGGCTATACCAACTTTTTTTTTTAGAAAAATCAAACTTCCGAATTTTTGAAAATTTTGACGGTGAGGCTAATTTTATGGAGGACAGTAGGTTTCTGGATAAAATTATCAATTTTTGGCGGTTCCGAAAGTTTTCCTTGTCAGTTTTTTTTCAAAAAATCTGACTTGGTCCGACTTTTCGGGTCCATTTCATAAGTTCTCAACAGTGAAATAGTATCTTCACAAACTAATCTATTCAAAATGTGCTCAAATTCACTTCCAGGTCGCTTTTTCTATCAAATTCTCTAATAGAGAAAATGGTAAAATGTGGCGAAACAAAACAGCTGATCATTTTTGTTTCGTTGAAAACCAATGAAACATTTTTAAAAATTGAATGTGTCATACAAAATTTGTGTGACACATTTTAATGTGTCACACAATTAATTTTTTCAAAACGTGAAACATTTTTTTGTGTCACTTTTTTGGTTTGACACATTTCGAAAAATTAAATGTGTTATGAAAAAACACGTGAAGCATTTCATTTTTTGAAAATGTTTTGCATCGAAAACACGTCACACCTGCACCGTGTCACGCTTTTAATATTTTTCTAATTCGATCTTTTTAATTGTCTGATCATTTTTTATCGTGACACTCGCTGAAAAAACAAAAAATGACTCAGATAGAAAGTGAAAACATTGAAATTTTGTAAAATGTTCTGCTAAAACCAAGTGAAACTGTTTCACAAAAATGTTTCGTTGCGGTACTCTGTTGCGTAGTAACGTAGGAAAATTTGATTTTTGAAAAAATTTTTTTTTTATTTTTTTGCCACGTGGATTTTGAGCCTTGAAAATCTAGGCCTAGATTTTTGAGGCCCGGTTTTTAGGCTCAGTTTTGAAAGCCTGAAAATTCTAGGCCTAGTTTTTTGCCATGTGGATTTTGAGCCTGAAAATTCTAGGCCCAGATATCTGAGCCCAGATTTTCGAAACCTAAAAATCAGGCCTGAAATTTTGCCACGTGCAACTTTAGGCCCGGTTTTTAGGCTCAGTTTTGAAAGCCTGAAAATTCTAGGCCCAGTTTCCCAGGCTCAAAATCCTCAAGCCTAAAACCTTAAGCCTAACCTTAGGCTTATTTAGGCTCATTTTAAAGCATTTTCCAAGCCCTATAAGCCTAGGGTTGAGCCTAAGCCTAAGGTTTTAATTAACCGTAAGCCTAACCTTAGGCCTAAAACCCTTAACCTAAGAAATACCTAAAGCCTAAGCCTAATCCTAAGCTTATTTAGGCTCATTTTAAAGCATTTTCAAAGCCCTATAAGCCAATGGTTAAGCCTAAGCCTAAAAAAAATCGCTAGGCCTATTTTAGGCCCTCCAAAATAGCTAGGCCCATTTCCAGACCAATAAACCAACTTTCTGACTCATTTTCGACGCCAAAAATAGCCGAAAATCTCATTTTTCCTCTTTTTTTCCCTAAGAAAAGCCAGAAAATCTAATAAATTAAAGTAGTTTTTCTCATTTTCTCATCGAAAAAAAAACTTTTTTTTTTGGATTAAAAAAGTAAAGTTTGCACTCATTTTGAAGGATTTTTGATGAAAAATCCCATTTTTTTCATTAAAAATTGGATTTTTTCAGATTTTTTCAGATTTTCAGCCAAAAATGGATGCGCAAGATGTTTCCGCTGGAATTTTTCTGCTACTTTTCGGAATCATGGGATGCGGATTGTATTTTTTGATCGTTTTTTCCATGTGGAGAATGGCTTCGGAAATTGTGGGATTCAGATTTTTGATCTCGCAAGCTCTCACCGATATTTTGCTCATGATTCAGGTAAAAATTTGGGATCTCTAGAAAATTTGCAAAAAAATGAGCCCAAATTTGATATATTTTCAAAAAGTTCCCACCGGGGATTGATCCCCTGACCTTTTTCTTGGCAATTTTTTAATTCCTCTTGAAATTCTGAATCGAAAGAGTGGTCACATGATATATTTTTGAAAAAAAAAATTTTTTTTGCAATAGTTCCCAGCGGGGATCGATCCCCTGACCTTTTTCTTGACAATTTTTGAATTCTTCTTGAAATTTTGAATCGAAAGAGTGGTCACATGATATATTTTTTTCAAAAAAAAAAATTTTTTTTTGCAATAGTTCCCACCGGGGATCGAACCCTTGACCTTTTTCTTGCCAAAAAATCAATAATTTTAGGAAAATGTGATGTTTTTTTGCTCAAAACACCAAAAATCTTCGTGAAATTCGATCCTCTAATGTTAAAAAAAAGCATGTCATTTGAAAATTACTGTAGTTTTTTTCCAAGAAAAAGGTCAGGGGTTCGATCCCCGGTGGGAACTATTCTAAAAAAAAATTTTTGTTTTTTTTTCCAAATATATATCATGTGACCACTCTTTCGAATCAGAATTCCAAGAGGAATTCAAAAATTGTCATGAAAAAGGTCAGGGGATCGATCCCCGGTGGGAACTAATAAAAAATGTTTGATTTTTTTTTTCAAAAATATATCATTCGATGCAGAATTTCGCCCCCTACAGTACCTTTTGCAGTTCGGCATCTGGCCCGGTATCGTAATCCTCACCCAAACCGAAATCATGCCCAAATCATGGCGTTGGAACGTGCACATCTATCTGGACTTCACCTGGTGGGCCATGGTCTATCATTATACGGTGATAGCCTGGTCGAGATGGGCCGCGGTCCAATGGCCCAATTGGTTTCGGACTTTGCCTAACTCGACGTGTATTGCGATTTGCGCATTTCCGTGGTTAATTGGATTAGTTCAGTCGATTTTGGAACATCAATTCGAGTGGTTTGAACCACTTTATTATAGTCCAGAGAGATATGGAATGATGTCGAATTGGGAAAGGTAAGGCCTTATTTTCGGGTTGTTAAGGTAGTTAAGGTCATTCTTAAGGTACTTAGGGTACTTAAGTTAGTTAAGAACTTAGAGCTCTTAGAAGTCTTCAACTTCGTTATTTATCAAAATTTCATTTTAAACGATACTCCGCGTTTACACCTTCTTTTTAAGGTAGTTAAGGTCCTTTTTAAGGTAGTTGGGACCCTTTTTAAGGTTGTTAGGGTGCTTTTTAAGGTAGTTAAGGTACTTAAGGTACCAAAAGTAATTAAGAACTTAGAGTTCTTAGAAGCGTAAACGCGGAGTGTTGTAGTTTTGGAAAAAAACCATTTCAAACGATACTCCACATTTACACCTTTAATTTTCAACCGCCAAAAATTGAAATTCAAATATTTTCTTATCCTTTAAGGTACTTAAGACCATTTTTTTAAGGTATTAGAAGCATTTTTAATGATTTCCTAATAATATTTAAGGTACTTAAGGTCACATCTAAGGTAGCTAAGGTCTCTTTAAGGTACTTAAGACCCTTTTAGGGTATCCAAGACATTTTCATTGGTTTATTACTCATTTTTAGGCTAGTTAATGCTTATTCAAAGTAGCTAAGGTATTTTTTAAGGTTTTTAAGGTATTGCAAAAATAGTTGAGACCTTCGTAAGGTAACTAAGGTACATAAGTCAAAGTTTAAGGTAGCTAAGGGCTTTTTGAAGTACTCAAGGTCACTTTTAAGATGCTAGATGCATTTTTAATGGTTTCCTAATCATTTTCAAGGTAGTTAAGGCTTAGTTAAGGTATCTTAAAGTACTTAAGCCCTTTTTAAGGTAAATAAGGTCTCTAGGGTCAATTTTCATCAAAATTTCACCTAAAATCCCAAAAAATCCCTTTCAGATATCAAAACGAGGGGACCCACACCTACTACATGGTGTGCAATGTGATTTTGATGGTCCTTCCGTTTCCGCTTTACGCGGCCGCGTTGGCAGTGCTTTTCAAGCGTCAAACGAAACGCCGTGAGTTTTTTTTGAAATTTTTTGGCGCCAAAAATTGATCTACAGTACCTTTATCGATTTTTTTGCAGAAATCCGATCAAAGTACACACAAACTCCAATTTGCACGTCATCCTACGCCGCTCAGCAGCGACAATTATCGATTGAAACGAGATTGTTGGTCCCTTGTATCATTAATACGATTTTATTTGTTGTTGGACAGGTTAGGCGTGGAAGGGGCTTTAAAATGAGTCTAGATAGGCCTGGGTTGGGCCTAGAAGGGCCTGAGATAGGCCTAGGCTTATAGAGCTTGAAGAGGGCTTCAAAATGAGTCTAAATAAGGCTAGGCCTAGGTTTATAGGGCCTGAGATAGGCCTAGGCTTATAGAAATTGAAAGGGGCTTTGGAATGAGTCTAGATAGGCCTGGGTTGGGGCTAGAAGGGCCTAAGATAGGCCTAGGCTTATAGAGCTTGAAGAGGGCTTCAAAATGAGTCTAAATAAGGCTAGGCCTAGGTTTATAGGGCCTGAGATAGGCCTAGGCTTATAGAAATTGAAAGGGGCTTTGGAATGAGTCTAGATAGGCCTGGGTTGGGGCTAGAAGGGCCTAAGATAGGCCTAGGCTTATAGAGCTTGAAGAGGGCTTCAAAATGAGTCTAGATAAGGCTAGGCTTGGGCTTATAGGGCCTGAGATAGGCATGGGCTTGTAGAGCTTGAAGAGGGCTTCAAAATGAGTCTAGATAAGGCTAGGCTTAGGCTTATAGGGCCTGAGAAAGGCCTAGGTTTACAGGCCTTCAAAATAAGCCTAGAGAAGGGCCTGAGAAAAGCCTAGGCTTATAGGGCTTCAAAATGAGTCTAGATAAGCCTAGGCCTAGGCCTGGCCCACCAAAACAAATCATATTTGATCTCAAAATGCGTCAAATTTTCGCGCGCCAAAAACTACAGTACCCCCTACAGTAACACAATTATTTCCAGGTCTTCATAACACAATGCTCAAAACACGGAAAATGGATGAATTGGGCGGTGATGGTGGTGTTCGCCACAAATTCCTTTGTCAATCCACTTTTATACCTGTTTTTCAGCAGTGTGATACGCAAAGGTGTTCTCTCGAATTGCCGCAAAAATTTCAGCCTTTCAGCAATCTATAATGATTATGAGTTGAGAAGTTCGTCGCCGAGAAGTTCGAGTTTGATGTTGAAGATCAATCATCGAGATTCAACTGTTTGTTCGAACCTTAATGGACGCTTAAATTCCGGTTAACCTTACTTTAAGGTTCTTACGGGTTCCCTAAAAACTGGTTGTAAATATGTATGTATTTATTTATTGTCATAAAGGTTCTTTGTGAAGAAGAAAAAAAATAAAATTAAAAAAAAAAGGTTGCCCCGAACCAGGATCGAACTGGTGACCTTTAGATCTTCAGTCTAACGCTCTCCCAACTGAGCTATCGAGGCGCATGCGTCTCGAACGGTGAAATTGCATATTCACAGGTGATTTCCAAAAGTGTGAAAAAATGTGCATGTGTCTCTATACGTTATATGCATGTTTTTTCATCCTCAACATACACATTTTTCATCCTTCACAGACACATTTTTGACATTTTTGAGGATCTAAAAAGGATGAAAAAAGTGTGAAAAATCAAAATTTCAGTGGAAGCCTCAAACTTTCAGACAAGGTGTGTGGACTTAAGTTAAGTATCTGAAAGTGTGATTTTAAGCTTCTGGGGTCACTTTCAGCTAGGAAAAGCTGAAAATAGACTGAAAATCGAAAATTTTGAAGTTAGGCTCAAACTTTCAGAATTGGTTGGGGGACCTCTGAAAAGTGTGTGACGAGATGAATTTCAGCATTTTCAGCCAGGAAAAGCTGAAAATGAGCTGAAAATCGAAAAATTTGAAGTTGGGTCAATATTTTTGGATTTTGTTGGGGGACTTCTGAAAAGTGTGTGACGAGATGAATTTCAGTATTTTCAGCCAGGAAAAGCTGAAAATGAGCTGAAAATCGAAAAATTTGAAGTTGGGCCAATATTTTTGGATTTTGTTGGGGGACTTCTGAAAAGTGTGTGACGAGATGAATTTCAGCATTTTCAGCCAGGAAAAGCTGAAAATGAGCTGAAAACCAAAATTTTCGATGTTGAACTAAAACTTTTAGAAATGGTTAGATGAGTGAGGCGATGATTTTTTTGATTTTCAGCCAGAAAAAGCTGCAAATGAACTAAAAACTGAAGTTTATTTTCTCGGTTTCAAATTCTCAGAATTATTAGAGGTCTTCAGAAAAGTTTGTTTCAAGATGATTTTTTGAAACTTACAGCTAGACAAAGCTGCAAATGAACTAAAAAGAGAACTGGCGAATGTTCTCATATCATTGCTTTGGGCGCAGTGTCTAATTGTAAATGAGACCATTTGAGGAGTATGATACGAAAACAAAAAATGTCGCGAAATTCATTTTTCTTCAAATGAATTGATCCATTATACAAATTTTTCTGGCTCATATTCAAAATAATCATCTCTTCATTTACTTTTCAGAGCTCGCGCAACCAATAATGAATGTTTGAATCCAACATCAAAAATTTCATTTTTCAGTTTTTTTCTGGCTGAAAATGCTGAAACTTCAATATTCAGATTCTTCTTCCAACACTCCAAATAAATTCTGAAAGTTTTAGTTCAACATCGAAAATTTTGGTTTTCAGCTCATTTTCAGCTTTTCCTGGCTGAAAATGCTGAAATTCATCTCGTCACACACTTTTCAGAAGTCCCCCAACAAAATCCAAAAATATTGGCCCAACTTCAAATTTTTTGGTTTTCAGCTCATTTTCAGCTTTTCCTGGCTGAAAATGCTGAAATTCATCTCGTCACACACTTTTCAGAAGTCCCCCAACAAAATCCAAAAATATTGGCCCAACTTCAAATTTTTCGATTTGCAGCTCATTTTCAGCTTTTCCTGGCTGAAAATGCTGAAATTCATCTCGTCACACACTTTTCAGAAGTCCCCCAACAAAATCCAAAAATATTGGCCCAACTTCAAATTTTTCGATTTTCAGCTCATTTTCAGCTTTTCCTGGCTGAAAATACTGAAATTCATCTCGTCACACACTTTTCAGAAGTCCCCCAACAAAATCCAAAAATATTGGCCCAACTTCAAATTTTTCGATTTTCAGCTCATTTTCAGCTTTTCCTGGCTGAAAATACTGAAATTCATCTCGTCACACACTTTTCAGAAGTCCCCCAACAAAATCCAAAAATATTGACCCAACTTCAAATTTTTCGATTTTCAGCTCATTTTCAGCTTTTCCTGGCTGAAAATGCTGAAATTCATCTCGTCACACACTTTTCAGAAGTCCCCCAACAAAATCCAAAAATATTGGCCCAACTTCAAATTTTTCGATTTTCAGCTCATTTTCAGCTTTTCCTGGCTGAAAATACTGAAATTCATCTCGTCACACACTTTTCAGAAGTCCCCCAACAAAATCCAAAAATATTGACCCAACTTCAAATTTTTCGATTTTCAGCTCATTTTCAGCTTTTCCTGGCTGAAAATGCTGAAATTCATCTCGTCACACACTTTTCAGAGGTCCCCCAACCAATTCTGAAAGTTTGAGCCTAACTTCAAAATTTTCGATTTTCAGTCTATTTTCAGCTTTTCCTAGCTGAAAGTGACCCCAGAAGCTTAAAATCACACTTTCAGATACTTAACTTAAGTCCACACACCTTGTCTGAAAGTTTGAGGCTTCCACTGAAATTTTGATTTTTCACACTTTTTTCATCCTTTTTAGATCCTCAAAAATGTCAAAAATGTGTCTGTGAAGGATGAAAAATGTGTATGTTGAGGATGAAAAAACATGCATATAACGTATAGAGACACATGCACATTTTTTCACACTTTTGGAAATCACCTGTGTTTATTCCTTCTTCAAAGTTTAGTTATTCTTACCTATAATTTGGCTCAAAATATCCTGATAACTTAAAAAATGCAAAAGTAATTGAACATAAAATAATAGTTCGTGTTTTCAAGCCGATCGTCCACATTTTTCATAGATTAACAATGAGTGTTTCATTTAAAAAGGGTTTGGGACAATTTCGGAATTTATAGATAAGCTGGATTGTTTCAGAGATATCGACACAAAATTGAAATTATCTTGATGTTTTGTCAGATCGAAATGTAGAATACAATTATCTTTATGGTCACAAAACTTGACTCGACTTGAAACTTGATTGAAATTATCTAGTGTTTTTGAGATCCCGTAACTCATGTTAGAGAACATTTCAAAAACTTGATTATATGTATTTGTTGGTGAATATAAATATACAAAGTTGAAATCCAGAAATCATTTTTGAAAATGAAATTTCTAATAGCAATATTTATAGTATTTGTTGAAATTTCTGCTGAAAAACTTGAAATAAGAAAATATTTCGAATGCATTGATATCAATAAAAATATTGATTTTTTTGATATTTGTGATAAAAACATGACAATCTATAAAACTCGACAAAGAAGTTTGCAAGCTTATCCTTCAGCTTCACAAAAAAATGTATGGTTTTTCGACTTGAATCTTGATATTCCAATGGAAACCCTACTGAATTCTAATCAATTTTCAATGATTCTCAAAAACGCGATTATCGATGAGGTTAAAATATTGGAGTTGGGAAATCTCAAAACACTTTTTGCTCATAGAAATGTGTGCATTTTCACTTTGGATTTGAAATATTTGTCAAAAATCGAGAGATATGTTAGACAATTAATTTTTTATCGAAAATTTGTGGTTGTTTTGAGAAATCGTGAAATTGTTTTCTGGAATTTTAACAATGTTAAATGTTTGCGAAACAAATAAATTTGATTTTTTAAAGTTTTTCTTTTTTTTGGTAAAGTAAAGTTCAGGTTCATTTTTGAATAACTTTTTTTCCCTAAGTGACACTTCAAAAATAGTGTTGAGGTTAGAGACAAGATGCATCTTTGAGATAAAAATTTTTGAAAAAAGAAAAAAAAAAACAAAATCTTTATTAAACTATTCAATAATAATAAAAAAAGGAATTAAAAAATATCAAAAAAATCATTATCTGAAATATCGGCATGAAAAATATCGAAAATATAAAATAATTCCTTGATTTTATTTTTTTCGTTCATAATTTTCTTCATATTTTTCACAATATTTAATAGCTTAATTAATCGACAAGAATAATTAGTTAATTTTAAATCATTCGAATAAAAATGATGCATTTCATTGGCAATTTCATCTTGCAATTCTTCGATAATTTCAATAGTTTGTTGAGTTAAATCATTTTTATCATATCCTAATAATTGAATTAAACAAAATTTTAATTCTTGATCACTTATTTTAATTTCATATAATTTTTGACCAATTTCATCAATAAATCTCTGAAGATATGGATCGAATAATCTGAAAACAAATATTTAACTTACAAGGGAACCTATTTCAAAATAATATTTGTAAGAAATAAAGTTTCAGATATTGCTCAGCATAGTCGATTTACCCAAAAAACGATGAAAAAATTGAATTTTCAGAAAAAAATTTTGATTTTGGAAAAAGGGTTTTCATCCGAAAAAAAAATTTTTTTCGAAAAAATGTTTTTTATCGATGTACTTTTAGTAAATCGATCATGCTGAGCAATATCTGGAACTTTATTTCCTATAAAAATAATTTTGAAATGGAGCTATGAACTTTTAAGAGCCCAGAGCTCGGCCTAGGGGTAACTTAATATTTTAGGACCCGAAAAGCAACATTTTTTTGGAAAAATTCTGCAAACTCACTTTGAAAAATATCGATTAGTAATTTCAGAAATACTTGATACATTATAATGACTTTTTCCACAAATCCATAATAAATTATTTGAAATTAAAATCGAATTTGTTTTGAGCAATTCTTCATATTTCGATGTTATTTGTAATCGTTCAAAAACATGAAGAATATTCCAAGAATTTCGAAATAATTGCATTTTTTGTTGTTTTCCAATTGATTTTCCACAAAAAATTGAATTGATCCACTGAGCCCATTTGATAATTATAACATTTTTCAATAAATTAATCATATCAAATATTTCCATCTCATTTATTTTGATCATTATTGAAGAACTTTTTTCAAAAATCTCATTTTTTCCATCATCTTCATTTTTTGAATCAAATATCACTTCGATTTTTTGTGTTAAATCCGAAAAATCAATAATTGCAATTGGTTTTTTCGAAGATTTTGGTATAAAATTGAATAGCATATCATTTTCGGCTGCTTCTTCTTCAGATATTGAAAAACTTGGTGAATTTGTTAATGAACTTGTATTTGATTCTTCACTTGTTGTATAATAATCATCAAATAATTGTTTCATTGATAATGTTGGATCATAATCTATTTTAACTTCTGAAAAAAAAAAGCAAAATTGTTTTTTTCTTGAATTCTTGAAATAACAAACTTTTCGAAGTCATTCCAATTTCTAAACATTTCGAAAATCGACAAGATTTACATATAAATCTTCGTTTTTTATCTCCACTACAATTATTATTCTTTTTAATGCATTCAAATTGCAAATTTAATAATGTAGCTCTTCTGAAAATATTTAATCAAGAATTTTTTATGAGAAATTATGTTACCTGAAAAAAGCAGCGCATGCTCTACAAGTATTTGCTCCAAAATGCATTCCTTTTGATGGATTTTGACAAACCAAACATTCGTTGTCGAGGAATTTTTCAATAATTTCCATTTTTTGAAAAAATGAATATGAAATACAGTGGGAAAGGGCAATTTATAAAGAACCCAACATAAATCTTGATAATCCAAAGTTTTTTTCTAGCAAAATAAAAAACTTTCTGACCTCACACCTTTATTTTCGTTTTTTTAAAGATTGAATCTGAAGGTTATATGTACCTACTATTCATAAAAATTGGTCAAGATCTTTATAATTTTAGCGGCAGAATAAAAATCATTTTTGATTTTTTGATTTTCGGAAAATTTCTCACATTCAGAATGAAATCAGCAATTTGAATTTTGAATAATCCACTCAAAATTTTTGAAAAACAAAATATCTTACTCTTTTTTATGGATAAAAATGAACCTGGAATACCTTTTCGTGGCGAGATATTTTCCATAAAATAAATGTCTGCTCCTTTAAACAAATTACGGTATTCTTTCAAAGGCACACACTCCGTGCCTGATGGCATGATTAGACTCCTGTCGTCTCTCATCTGACCTGAAGGCCAATTTTGTATTGGAGTGAATTGTTTTTTTTATTTTTGCAAAACTTATCTCAATGTTACATCTTGATTGTGTTATTCAAAAATGTACCCGAACATCTATTTCTTGATCTCAAAATTTTATTTTTTCAGTAAAATTTATATTTTTTTGTGTATCTTGGGAGCGAATTTTCACAAAAATCTTTTTTGAGATCCAGAATTTTCACATTTTTGAGACTAGATAGTATATTGATATCTATTGTGACAATCTGTTCTTCTTTCCGATATCTGATCTGAAATTTTCGATTAGATTTTCAAAAATTATCGTTCTCAAAAAGAATCTGAAAATTGTTGTCACATTTATTTTTTCTAACAGAACATCAAGATAATTTCATTTTTGTGTCGATATCTCTGAAACAATCCAGCTTATCTATAAATTCCGAAATTGTCTCAAACCCTTTTTAAATGAAACACTCATTGTTAATCTATGAAAAATGTGGACGATTGGCTTAAAAACACGAACTATTATTTTATGTTCAATTACTTTTGCATTTTTTAAGTTATTAGGATATTTTGAGCCAAATTATAGGTAAGAATAACTGAACTCTGAAGACTGTATGATCTAACAATCAGATGTTTGAAAATTCAGAAAATCTAAGACCAGCCTAAGAAAGTTCAAATATAAATATTTGTTTTTAGAGTTGAGCGAATTGAAGAAGAAGAAGATGTTGGGGACTTCAAGGCATTTATAACATCATCATATTATTATCCAAAATCACAAAGTTTAGGTGATAATGCATTAGCAATTGTAATGAATATAAATCAAAAACGAAGACATTGGTTTGATAAAACATTATATGAAATTGAGAAAAAACCACTAATAACAATAAGAGCAATCAATTTAACATCCACAAAAATCATTACAACATCTTATGAAAGAATCACATTGGCTGGAAACAAATGTTTATTACCATCAGTATTTCTAACTGTTCAACTTCTACCAAACACACTTTCTGTTGAATTTCTTGGTGATAATCAACAAAATTCAGTAGCAATTCCATTTTCAATTCCACCAACTACAAAATATGATGTTGTAGTTTGTATAACTCCAATTTTTGTTGCGGAAAATTGGCAGTCTTTTTTGTTTGCAATGCATATTTATAAAAAGTTTGGAGCATTTGTGAATTTATATTATATTAGTTCGATTGATTCATTTTTTGATCTTATAAGAATTTATGAAGATGCTGGTTATTTGACAATTCAACCTTGGGTTACTATTAAAATGATTGGAGTTGATAAAAATGAATTGGATGCTTTTCAACAAGTTGAATTTAGAAATCAGGCTGCTTCTCAAACTGATTGTATTTTGAAGTATAAGGTGAGTTGGTGAATTAATTTTAAAACTTAGCATAACTCTACTTCCGATTAAAAAAAACTAACCATCAAATAATGATCAGCATGGTCGATTTACCCAGAAGACGTCTTCTCAAAAAAAAAAAAAAAAAATTTCGAAAAAAAGTTTTTTACTGACGTACTTTTAGTAAATCGACTATGCTGAGCAATATCTGAAACTTTATTTTTCTCAAAAATTATTTTGAAATTGAGATTAGGTGACTTTTATGAGCTAATTTTTGTACTGAACAGGGTGGTCGATTTACCCAGAAGACGTCTTCTCAAAAAAAAAAAAAAAATTTCGAAAAATTTTTTTTTACTTACGTACTTTTAGTAAATCGACTGTGCTGAGCAATATCTGAAACTTTATTTTTCTTAAAAATCATTTTGAAACTGAGCTCAGGTGACTTTTATGAGCTATTTTTTGAACTGATCAACATTGTCGATTTACCCAGAAGACGTCTTCTCAAAAAAAAAAAAAAAAAAAAATTTCGAAAAAAAAAGATTTTTACTGATGTACTTTTAGTAAATCGACCATGCTGAGCAATATCTGAAACTTTATTTTTCTCAAAAAATTCCAGGAAACCGCAAAATTCGTGGCATGTCTTGATATGGATGATATTCTTATTCCAAAACTTGCTCCAACATTCATCGGAGAATTCAACATTCTTCTCAAAAACGCGAAAGAAAATAGTTATTTAATTTATCCAAAACAAGATTATTATGGCTTAACTGTTAATAATTTCAACAATTTTTCGGTTTCAAGTATGTTTCAAAGTTTGGAGCAACAAAACTGCACAAAATCTGGAAAAATTGTGACGGATCCCAGGATGATAAATTATACATGGATTCATTGGACTTATCAAAAAGTGAGGCGAATTAAAGTTCAAGAAAATAAGATAACCCATTTGAAAAAACTGGAATGGTTGGAATCGTTTCCAAAATCGAATAAATCATCGAATATTTCAATAATGAACGAGATGAATATGTTAAAAGATATCGAGGAAGATTGGCAAAAAATGCAGAAAAAAGTGGATTTGAAGAAACCCTTACCAAAAGAACAATTCTACGCAAAAGTAGTCGGAGATTGTTATATGAAAAATTACTATTCATACATTTCTGCTGAATCTGCGCCGCCTTTTTGTTCAGGTCCACATTATTGTGAATATCCTCAAAGATCTGATATTAAATGTGTTCATTCGGATGCGAGATATGATTTTGTTCCACAAATGTCACCAATAACTTATTATTTTGCAGTTCATCCGAGGTTTAATTCATCTTATGGATGTTATTCTTAAATTTTTATACATTTTGATTCCTATTGTTGTTTGTGATCATAAATGCATTTGAAAAAAATTTTTTTTTTGGTTTTAGCAGATGAGCAAAATGTGTGTGCCTTTGAAAGAATACCGGAATTTGTTTCAAGGAACACATATTTTATTGAAAAATTCAAGGAACACATATTTTATTGAAAATATTTTATTGAAAAATTGAAAATATCTCGCCACGAAACGGTATTCCAGGTTCATTTTTATCCATAAAAAAGAGTAAGATTCAAATTGCTCATTTCATTTTGTAAGAGAAACTGAGAAAATTTCCAAATATCAAGAAATCAAAAATAGTTTTTTATTTTGCCAATTTTTATGAATGGTAGGTATAACCTTCAGATTCAATCTTAAAAAAAACGAAAAAAAAACGTGTGAGGTCAGAAACTGTTTTGTTTTGCTAGAAAAAAAAACTTTTTTTTCAGAATATTTTTATCATTTTCATAAGTCACAAGTGAAAACATAGCACATTTTTGTACATTATCTTTAAGAACAATAATTTTTAAAAATCTTATCGAAAATTTCAGATCAGATATCGGAAAGAAACACAGATTGTCACAATAGACATCAATATCTAGTGTCAAAAATATGAAAATTCTGGATCTCTTTTCAATTCAGGCAGATACACAGAAAAAAATAAAAAATTTCACTGAAAAATAACATTTTGAGATTATAACACAATCAAGATGTAACATATTGAGATAAGTTTTGGAAAAAACACACTGGAAATTCTCAAAATGCTTTATTCTATAACTTTTCAAACAAAAAAAACAAAAAAAAATTCAATTCTTCAATTTCGATAAAAATTCCTGACTTTTTATAAGACTTTCATAATCCTTTCGATATTTCTCATCAAAACTTGAATTGCTCATATTATACGGTGCATCCAAATGCGCTCTATCGAACTCCGGAAAAACCAAATAATCATAAAAATATATTTTATGCAGATATTCCCGTATGATTTTGTCATTTTTCACTTTTTCCTCCGCAATTTTTCGCATTTCAGAATTATGTGTTGAATGATGAGTTTCAGATGTCAATAGATTTCCCTCGATTTTTGAAATATACACTTCCGGCACATTTTTCCGTCTTAAAATCTCGACAAATTTCGCAATTGGCTCTTTTCTCTCGTCAAAACTCGAACCAATAACCATAATATAATAAACATTTCGAAATTGTTGAAAATCACAAACCCAAGTGGTTGGTGTTGCATGTATATCCATATATGACGAGCTATTCAACATTTTTGTCAAAAGTGCCTGTTCACCTCTCGATATCTTCAATAAACTGTCGTAGACTTCTTTGACTACACATCGTAGGTCTTCAGGTTCACAATTATAGCATCGTTTTTCGTGTAGACATTTATCCAAGTAGAATGAGATGAATCTATCGAATGGGTCACGAATGAAGACAAATCTCGTGTATCGCGAAGTGTTTTGAAGATTTTCGGGAAATCCACCGAAGCCATTCTTGTCAGCAGCTTTACAAGATCTGAAAATTGCAAAGATTCACGAAATAAAAACGTTTTTACCGTTTTTTAACGTTAAGGTTTCTTAAATTTAACGTTTTTTAACGTTAACGAGGCTATTGCGTACTGCAAATTAACTCTGCACGGTGTTTGCACGCTATATTAACGTCTTTTAACGTTAACGTTTCTAAACGTTAATGTTTTTTAACGTTAACGAGACTATTGTGTACTGCAAACGGTATATTAACGTCTTTTAACGTTAAAGTTTCTTAACTTTAACGTTTCTTAACGTTAAAGTTTCTCAACGTAAACTTGTTCAACGTTAACGAGACTATTGTGTACTGCAAATTAACTATGCACGGTATATTAAGTTATAACTGTGCAAAGTTAATTTACTCTGCCTCTCTAGCTGTCTGCGTCTCTAACACTATTTCTACACTCACCTCTTACTCTTCCACGTCTCATTAAACGAATGATTTTCACTCAAAAACCGTTGCGGGTCATACAGTAGACACATAGCATTCGTCGTCATTTGCGACATTGATTTCCGATACGTACACGCCGTGAGATTATATTCAGGAACTGTTAAATAATCAGGTGGTAAGTGTCCCATATAGGGTCGAATGAATTCCAGTTCACTACTACTACTCATGGGCGCTTCGTTTTGCTCAGTGATAAGTGGCTCCTTTTGCTCGCTGAATTGTTGATAGCAGAAAAGGCAGCAACAGAATATTAGAAATAGGTTAGCCCAATTTTTGCTCAGCATTTTTTGACCAATTGTGCTTTTTTGGGTGGTTTATAAGGGGTCGAATATTTCCAGTATTCAAGTTTTTTGAGAATTTTCATCTTTTTGAAAAACATCGCGATAAAGATCGGTGATTTACAAAAAACATAACCGAAATATTTTGGACTTAAGACTGAAGGGATCGAAAAACATCGGAATGCCTACCTTAAGGTCCTTAAGGTTTTACCTAAACGGGTCCTAAACTGGTTGTACTTATTTATTTATTGCCATAAAGGTTCTTTGTGAAAAAGAAAAAAAAAGCTTGCCCCGAACCAGGATCGAACTGGTGACCTTTAGATCTTCAGTCTAACGCTCTCCCAACTGAGCTATCGAGGCGCACGGGGCTGCCTGGGGAAAATTGTATATTTATTTTGGCTGCCCGGGTTTTTCCACAAAAACCTGTGCCACGTGGATATTTTAGCGCGAAATTTGAAAAATTGTTTATTTTTCGTACAGCAAATTATTTTTTGATGATTTGTCAACAAAATTCGCCTACTAAAGGAGAAATTTGAAAAATTCTGGGTCTCGCCTGGAAAATCATCATGATTTTTAAAATATTCATGGCGCTCCTGGGTACTGTAGTTTTTTGCAGTTTGGAAGAAGGTAGTGGGTACAGTAACCAGGGGAGGATTACTGTAGAAATCGTGACGAGACGCACGTTTGATCCGGAAAATAATGCGGCGAATTTGCGGGTGCTCATGGATACGGTAGGCGTTGAATTTTTGGCGGGAAATTTTGAAATTCAAATTTTTTGCAGCTCGACGAGTTTACGAAATCCGAAGACATCAACTATCCAACCACGCAAATTCGCCAAAAAATCGCAGAAATTGGCGGGAAGTTCGCGGCAATTTTTGAAATCGCGGAAGATGAGGCGACTTGTGAAGAAGTCGCGAATTTCGTGCGACCCGCCACGAAATTCGCGAAAAATGAAGTCGATTTTTCGCTGCTGAAATGTCCTGGGGAAAAACCTGTGGTTTTAACTAATTAGTTAATTACTTAGGTTAATTAATGAAGATTTTTCAATAATTATTTTCTAATTTTCATGTTTTCCCACCAAAAACTGCCACGTGGCAGGAAAAAGACCGGAAAAAACGAATTTTCAAAGCGAAATTTTTTTTTAAACAAAAAAGTATACGGTGTGTTGAAATGTGTGCATTTGTGCGTCGCCGTGTGTGTCGTTTCTCTGCGCACTCTGCGTTTTGTGTGCTCTCTCGTCTTTTTTCGAAAATTTTTTGTTTTTCGTGGTTTTTCGGGGTTTTCAAGGTGTAAAATGATGTTTGGTGGATTTTCAAAGTGAAATTATTGATTTTTAAAAGCGCATGATGGTTTTGCAGTTGAAAATATGGGATTTTTGTTGAGAAATCGAAAAAAAATAGTTTTTTGATGAAATTTTCGAATTTTTGACGTGAAAACGTGAAAATCCAGCTCATTTTTCAAAAAACTTGATTTTCAGGTGAAATCAATCTGAAAATCGATGAAAAACATGTTTTTTCACTTACAAATTCCCGAAAAATTCGAATTTTAGGTTAAATTTCACATTTTATTCACAAAAAACCCATAAAAAGTGCAAAAATCACCAATTTTTGTATTGATGTCCAGTTTTGTATCCATTTCGATCCATATTTCTCATATAAGCTTCCCATTCCAATTCTCCGATTTGCCATTTTTTCGGATCGACTTTTCCGTCGATTCGATTTACACCGCCTCCTGGAAAAATTGAAATTTTGAATTTTTGATGGAATTTGGAGCATTTTGAGCCCAAACATGACCAATTTTCGAATTTTGAGCACAAATTTGACTAGGGAATTAAATTTGCAGCATTTTGAGCCCAAACTCGCGTTTGGGGAGTTTTTCAGAGCCAAAAACCAGAATTTTTACTCTAGGATTATTTTTTTGAGCCTAATTTTTGAATTTTTGATGGAATTTGGAGCATTTTGAGCCCAGATAAGGCTAATTTTGGGATTTTTGTCAAATTGAGCTCAACATGCTCCAAATTTAGGGGGTTTGGGCTCAAAATGCTCCAATAATCATCCAAAATTCACATTTGAGCTCAAAATTTAAAAATAAACCATGTTTGGACTCAAAATGCTCCAAAAATCAAGAAAATAAGCTCAAAATGCTCCAAAACACCCCCACAAACCTCCAATTTTCACCACTTGTTCAACTTGTTCTTGTGCCTCTTTTGAAGTTCGAATAACTTGCTGATTTTCTCCATTCGGACAACATCGAATCTGTGTTTCGCACGCCAAAATCAAATGATAAGCCAGGAGAAAAGCGTGTTCAATTGTGACGCCGCAAATCACGAATCCATGATTTCTCAAAATCATCACATGTTTTTCAGCGAGATCAGCGATTATCGATTTTTTTTCAGCTTCATCCACGAGGATTCCCTGAAAATTTGGGTAATTTTGATACCAAATATGCTTGGGGTCAATTTTGGGGTCAAAAATTACGGTTTTTGCCACGTGGCATAATTTTTGGAGCGAAATTTGGTGCATTTTGATACTAAACAAGTTTAGGGTGAACTTTGGCTCCAAATTTGAAAATTCAAAAAACTCGACGTGTATTGCGATTTGCGCATTTCCGTGGTTGATTGGATTAGTTCAGTCGATTTTGGAACATCAATTCGAGTGGTTTGAACCACTTTATTATAGTCCTGAGAGATATGGAATGATGTCGAATTGGGAGAGGTAAGGCCTTAGTTTAGGGTGGTTAAGGTACTTAAGGTAGTTAAGCACTTAGAGCTCTTAGAAGTCTTTAACTTCCCTGTTTTTCAAAATTTCAATTTCAAAATGTTAAGGTGCTTTTTAAGGTTGTTAAGGTCCTTAAGGTTTTTAATGTAGTTAAGGACTTAGAGTTCTTAAAAGTCTCAAAATTTCCTTTTAAACGATACTCCGCGTTTACACCTTTTAGAGGTACCTAAGGTAGTTTAGAGGCTTTTTAAGGTAGTTAAGGTCATTCTTAAGGTACTTAGGGTACTTAAGTTAGTTAAGCAATTAGAGCTCTTAGAAGTCTTTAACTTCCCTGTTTTTCAAAATTTCATTTTAAACGATACTCCGCGTTTACACCTTCTTTTTAAAGGTAGTTAAGGTCCTTTTTAACGTAGTTGGGACCCTTTTTAAGGTTGTTAGGGTGCTTTTTAAGGTAGTTAAGGTACTTAAGGTACCAAAGGTAATTAAGAACTTAGAGTTCTTAGAAGCGTAAACGCGGAGTGTTGTTGTTTTGGAAAAAACCATTTCAAACGATACTCCGCGTTTACACCCTCAATTTTCACCGCCAAATATTAAAATTCAAATATTTTCCTTATCTGTTAAGGTACTTAAGACCATTTTTTAAGGTATTAGAAGCATTTTTAATGATTTCCTAATAATTAAGGTAATTAAGGCTTATTCGAAGTAGCTAAGGTATTTTAAGGTACTTATGGTCACTTCTAAGGTGGCTAAGGTCTCTTTAAGGTACTTTAAGGTACTTAAGACCCTTTTAAAGTATAATAAGCATTTTTAATGGTTTCTAAACCATTTTTAAGCTAGTTAAGGCTTATTCGAAGTAGCTAAGGCATTTTCAATGGTTTCCTAATGATTTTTAGGGTAGCTAAGGTTTAGCTAAGGTATCTTAAGATCTTTAAGGTCATTTTTAAGGTCTTTAAGGTGTCTAGGGTCAAATTTCATCGTAATTTCACCTAAAATCCCAAAAAAATCCCTTTCAGATATCAAAACGAGGGGACCCACACTTACTACATGGTGTGCAATGTGATTTTGATGGTCCTGCCGTTTCCGCTTTACGCGGCCGCGTTGGCAGTGGTTTTCAAGCGTCAAACGAAACGCCGTGAGTTTGCGCACATTTTTTGGCGCCAAAATTTGATCTACAGTACCTTTTTCGCAGAAATCCGATCAAAGTACACACAAACTCCAATTTGCACGTCATCCTACGCCGCTCAGCAGCGACAATTATCGATTGAAACGAGATTGTTGGTCCCTTGTATCATTAACACGATTTTATTTGTTGTTGGACAGGTTAGGCTTGGAAGGGGCTTTAAAATGAGCCTAGATAAGCCTAGGTTGGCCCTGAAAGGGCCTGAGATAGGCCTAGTTTGGGCCTGAGATAGGTCAGGGCTTCTCAGGCTTGAGAAGAGCTTCATAATAAGCCTAGATGAGCCTAGGTTAGGCCTAAAACGGCCTGAGATAGGCCTGGCCCACCAAAACATATCATATTTGGTCTCAAAATGCGTCAAATTTTCGCGCGCCAAAAACTACAGTACCCCCAACCAAAATCAATTCCAGGTCTTCATAACGCAATGCTCAAAACACGGAAAATGGATGAATTGGGCGGTGATGGTGGTGTTCGCCACAAATTCCTTCGTCAATCCACTTTTATACCTGTTTTTCAGCAGTGTGATACGCAAAGGTGTTCTCTCAAATTGCCGCAAAAATTTCAGCCTTTCAGCAATCTATAATGATTATGAGTTGAGAAGTTCGTCGCCAAGAAGTTCGAGTTTGATGTTGAAGATCAATCATCGAGATTCAACTGTTTGTTCAAACCTTAATGGACGCTTAAATTCTGGTTAACCTTACCTTAAGGTTCTTACGGGTTCCCTAAAAACTGGTTGTATATATGTATTTATTTATTTATTGTCATAAAGCTTTTTTATTTGAATATCAAAAAAAAAAAATAAAAAAGCTTGCCCCGAACCAGGATCGAACTGGTGACCTTTAGATCTTCAGTCTAACGCTCTCCCAACTGAGCTATCGAGGCGCATGCGGCAGCTTGGGGGAAAATTGCATACACAGGTGATTTCCAAAAGTGTGAAAAAATGTGCATGTGTCTCTATACGTTATATGCATGTTTTTTCATCCTCAACATACACATTTTTCATCCTTCACAGACACATTTTTGACATTTTTGAGGATCTAAAAAGGATGAAAAAAGTGTGAAAAATCAAAATTTCAGTGGAAGCCTCAAACTTTCAGACAAGGTGTGTGGACTTAAGTTAAGTATCTGAAAGTGTGATTTTAAGCTTCTGGGGTCACTTTCAGCTAGGAAAAGCTGAAAATAGACTGAAAATCGAAAATTTTGAAGTTAGGCTCAAACTTTCAGAATTGGTTGGGGGACCTCTGAAAAGTGTGTGACGAGATGAATTTCAGCATTTTCAGCCAGGAAAAGCTGAAAATGAGCTGAAAATCGAAAAATTTGAAGTTGGGTCAATATTTTTGGATTTTGTTGGGGGACTTCTGAAAAGTGTGTGACGAGATGAATTTCAGTATTTTCAGCCAGGAAAAGCTGAAAATGAGCTGAAAATCGAAAAATTTGAAGTTGGGCCAATATTTTTGGATTTTGTTGGGGGACTTCTGAAAAGTGTGTGACGAGATGAATTTCAGCATTTTCAGCCAGGAAAAGCTGAAAATGAGCTGAAAACCAAAATTTTCGATGTTGAACTAAAACTTTTAGAAATGGTTAGATGAGTGAGGCGATGATTTTTTTGATTTTCAGCCAGAAAAAGCTGCAAATGAACTAAAAACTGAAGTTTATTTTCTCGGTTTCAAATTCTCAGAATTATTAGAGGTCTTCAGAAAAGTTTGTTTCAAGATGATTTTTTGAAACTTACAGCTAGACAAAGCTGCAAATGAACTAAAAAGAGAACTGGCGAATGTTCTCATATCATTGCTTTGGGCGCAGTGTCTAATTGTAAATGAGACCATTTGAGGAGTATGATACGAAAACAAAAAATGTCGCGAAATTCATTTTTCTTCAAATGAATTGATCCATTATACAAATTTTTCTGGCTCATATTCAAAATAATCATCTCTTCATTTACTTTTCAGAGCTCGCGCAACCAATAATGAATGTTTGAATCCAACATCAAAAATTTCATTTTTCAGTTTTTTTCTGGCTGAAAATGCTGAAACTTCAATATTCAGATTCTTCTTCCAACACTCCAAATAAATTCTGAAAGTTTTAGTTCAACATCGAAAATTTTGGTTTTCAGCTCATTTTCAGCTTTTCCTGGCTGAAAATGCTGAAATTCATCTCGTCACACACTTTTCAGAAGTCCCCCAACAAAATCCAAAAATATTGGCCCAACTTCAAATTTTTTGGTTTTCAGCTCATTTTCAGCTTTTCCTGGCTGAAAATACTGAAATTCATCTCGTCACACACTTTTCAGAAGTCCCCCAACAAAATCCAAAAATATTGACCCAACTTCAAATTTTTCGATTTTCAGCTCATTTTCAGCTTTTCCTGGCTGAAAATGCTGAAATTCATCTCGTCACACACTTTTCAGAGGTCCCCCAACCAATTCTGAAAGTTTGAGCCTAACTTCAAAATTTTCGATTTTCAGTCTATTTTCAGCTTTTCCTAGCTGAAAGTGACCCCAGAAGCTTAAAATCACACTTTCAGATACTTAACTTAAGTCCACACACCTTGTCTGAAAGTTTGAGGCTTCCACTGAAATTTTGATTTTTCACACTTTTTTCATCCTTTTTAGATCCTCAAAAATGTCAAAAATGTGTCTGTGAAGGATGAAAAATGTGTATGTTGAGGATGAAAAAACATGCATATAACGTATAGAGACACATGCACATTTTTTCACACTTTTGGAAATCACCTGTGTATTTATTTACGCTGCCCTGTTACAATATAACAATTTTATGAATAACATCCATAGGATGAATTAAACCTGGGATGAACTGCAAAATAATAAGTTATAGGTGACATTTGTGGAACATAATCATATCTCGCATCCGAATGAACACATTTAATATCAGATCTTTGAGGATATTCACAATAATGTGGACCTGAACAAAGTGGCGGTGTAACTTTCGCATAGAGGTATATATAGAAATTGATCATATAACATTCTCTAACTATTTTTGCATAGAATTGTTCTTTTGGTAACGGTTCCTTCAGATCCACTTTTTTTCGCATTTTTTGCCAATCTTCCTCGATATCTTTTAACACATTCATCTCGTTCATTATTGAAATATTCGATAATTTATTTGATTTTGGAAACGATTCCAACCATTCCAATTTTTTCAAATGGGTTATATTATTTCCCTTAACTTTAATTCGTCTCACTTTTTGTTGAGAAAAATGAATCCATGTATAATTTATCATCCTGGGATCCGTCACAATTTTTCCAGATTTTGTGCAGTTTTGTTGCTCCAAACTTTCAAACATACTTGAAACCGAAAAATTGTTGAAATTATTAACAGTTAAGCCATAGAAATCTTGTTTTGGATAAATTAAATAACTATTTTCTTTCGCGTTTTTGAGAAGAATGTTGAATTCTTCGATGAATGTTGGAGCAAGTTTTGGAATGAGAATATCATCCATATCTAGACATGCCACGAATTTTGCGGTTTCCTGAATAAAAAAAATTATTTTGCAAACCCAGGGTTAATTCCGCTGGTCCTTACAGTCATCAAAGCTCCACTTCAGAATAGTTTTTGAGAAAAATAAAATGTCAGATATTGCTCAGCATAGTCGATTTACTAAAAGTACATCAATAAAAAACTTTTTTTCGATTTTTTTTTTTTTTTTTGACAAGACGTCTTCTGGATTAATCGACCATGCTGATCAGTTCAAAAAATAGCTCATTAAAGTCATTAAAGCTCCACTTCAGAATAATTTTTGAGAAAAATAAAGTGTCAGATATTGCTCAGCATAGTCGATTTACTAAAAGTACATTAGTAAAATAGATTTTTTCGATTTTTTTTTTTTTTTTTTTGACAAGACGTCTTCTCGATAAATCGACCATGCTGATCAGTTCAAAAAATAGCTCATTAAAGTCATTAAAGCTCCACTTCAGAATAATTTTTGAGAAAAATAAAGTGTCAGATATTGCTCAGCATAGTCGATTTACTAAAAGTACATTAGTAAAATAGATTTTTTCGATTTTTTTTTTTTTTTTTTTTTGACAAGACGTCTTCTCGATAAATCGACCATGCTGATCAGTTCGAAAATTGGCTCATAAAAGTCATAGAAGCTCAATTTCGAATTTCGAAATGATTTTTAAGAAAAATAAAAATTTAAATATTGCTCAGCATGGTCGATTTACTAAAAGTACATTATTAAAATACATTTTTTCGAATTTTTTTTTTTTTTTTTGACAAGACGTCTTCTGGGTAAATCGACCATGCTGATCAGTTCAAAAAATAGCTCATTAAAGTCATTAAAGCTCCACTTCAGAATAATTTTTGAGAAAAATAAAGTGTCAGATATTGCTCAGCATAGTCGATTTACTAAAAGTACATTAGTAAAATAGATTTTTTCGATTTTTTTTTTTTTTTTGACAAGACGTCTTCTGGATAAATCGACCATGCTGATCATTATTTGATGGTTAGTTTTTTTTAATCGGAAGTAGAGTTATGCTAAGTTTTAAAATTAATTCACCAACTCACCTTATACTTCAAAATACAATCAGTTTGAGAAGCAGCCTGATTTCTAAATTCAACTTGTTGAAAAGCATCCAATTCATTTTTATCAACTCCAATCATTTTAATAGTAACCCAAGGTTGAATTGTCAAATAACCAGCATCTTCATAAATTCTTATAAGATCAAAAAATGAATCAATCGAACTAATATAATATAAATTCACAAATGCTCCAAACTTTTTATAAATATGCATTGCAAACAAAAAAGTCTGCCAATTTTCAGCAACAAAAATTGGAGTTATACAAACTACAACATCATATTTTGTAGTTGGTGGAATTGAAAATGGAATTGCTACTGAATTTTGTTGATTATCACCAAGAAATTCAACAGAAAGTGTGTTTGGTAGAATTTGAACAGTTAGAAATACTGATGGTAATAAACATTTGTTTCCAGCCAATGTGATTCTTTCATAAGATGTTGTAATGATTTTTGTGGATGTTAAATTGATTGCTCTTATTGTTATTAGTGGTTTTTTCTCAATTTCATATAATGTTTTATCAAACCAATGTCTTCGTTTTTGATTTATATTCATTACAATTGCTAATGCATTATCACCTAAACTTTGTGATTTTGGATAATAATATGATGATGTTATAAATGCTTTGAAGTCGCCAACATCTTCTTCTTCTTCAATTCGTTCAACTCTAAAAAACAAATATTTATTTTTGAACTTTCTTAGGCTGGTCTTAGATTTTCTGAATTTTCAAACATCTGATTGTTAGATTATACAGTCTTCAGAGTCTAGTTATTCTTACCTATAATTTGGCTCAAAATATCCTGATAACTTAAAAAATGCAAAAGTAATTGAACATAAAATAATAGTTCGTGTTTTCAAGCCAATCGTCCACATTTTTCATAGATTAACAATGAATGTTTCATTTAAAAAGGGTTTTCGGACAATTTCGGAATTTATAGATAAGCTGGATTGTTTCAGAGATATCGACACAAAATTGAAATTATCTAGATGTTCTGAGAGATTGAAATGTAGAATACAATTATCTTTATGGTCACAAAACTTGACTCGACTTGAAACTTGATTGAAATTATCTTTGAGATCCCGTAACTCATGTTAGAGAACATTTCAAAAACTTGATTATATGTATTTGTTGGTGAATATAAATATACAAAGTTGAAATCTTGAAATCATTTTTGAAAATGAAATTTCTAATAGTAATATTTATATTATTTGTTAAAATTTCTGCTGAAAAACTTGAAATAAGAAAATATTTCGAATGCGTTGATATCTATAAAAATATTGATTTTTTTGATATTTGTGATAAAAACATGACAATCTATAAAACTCGACAAAGAAGTTTGCAAGCTTATCCTTCAGCTTCACAAAAAAATGTATGGTTTTTCGACTTGAATCTTGATATTCCAATGGAAACCCTACTGAATTCTGATCAATTTTCAATGATTCTCAAAAACGCGATTATCGATGAGGTTAAAATATTGGAGTTGGGAAATCTCAAAACACTTTTTGCTCATAGAAATGTGTGCATTTTCACTTTGGATTTGAAATATTTGTCAAAAATCGAGAGATATGTTAGACAATTAATTTTTTATCGAAAATTTGTGGTTGTTTTGAGAAATCGTGAAATTGTTTTCTGGAATTTTAACAATGTTAAATGTTTGCGAAATAAATGAATTTGATTTTTTAAAGTTGTTCTTTTTTTTGTTAAAGTAAAGTTCAGGTTCATTTTTGAATAATTTTTTTCACTAAGTGACACTTCAAAAATAGTGTTGAGGTTAGAGACAAGATGTATCTTTGAGATAAAATTCTTTGAAAAAAGAAAAAAAAATAAAATCTTTATTAAACTATTCAATAATAAAAGAAGTAATTAAAAAATATCAAAAAAATCATTATCAGAAATATCGGCATGAAAAATATCGAAAATATAAAATAATTCCTTGATTTTATTTTTTTCGTTCATAATTTTCTTCATATTTTTAACAATATTTAATAACTTAATTAATCGACATGAATAATTAGTTAATTTTAAATCATTTGAATAAAAATGATGCATTTCATTGGCAATTTCATCTTGCAATTCTTCGATAATTTCAATAGTTTCTTGTGTTAAATCACTTGTATCATATCCTAATAATTGAATTAAACAAAATTTTAATTCCTGGTCAGTTATTTGAAGTTCATATAATTTTTGACCAATTTCATCGATAAATCTCTGAAGAAATGGATCGAATAATCTGTAAACAAATATTTAACTTACAAGGGAACCTATTTCAAAATAATTTTTGTAAGAAATAAAGTTTCAGATATTGCTCAGCATAGTCGATTTACCCAAAAACGATGAAAAAATTGAATTTTCAGGAAAAAAATTTTGATTTTGAAAAAAAAAAAAAAAATTTTTTCGAAAAAATGTTTTTTATCGATGTATTTTTAGTAAATCGACTATGCTGAGCAATATCTGAAACTTTATTTCGTATAAAAATAATTTTGAAATGGAGCTATGAACTTTTAAGAGCCCAGAGCTTGGCCTAGGGGTAACTAAATATTTTAGGACCCCAAAAGCAAAATGTTTTTTTAGATAAATTCTGCAAACTTACTTTGAAAAATATCGATTAGTAATTTCAGAAATACTTGAAACATTATAATGACTTTTTCCACAAATCCATAATAAATTATTAGAAATTAAAATCGAATTTGATTTGAGCAATTCATCATATTTTGATGTTATTTGTAATCGTTCAAAAATATGTAAAATATTCCAAGAATTTCGAAATAATTGCATTTTTTGTTGTTTTCCAATTGATTTTCCACAAAAAATTGAATTGATCCACTGAGCCCATTTGATAATTATAACATTTTTCAATAAATTAATCATATCAAATATTTCCATCTCATTTATTTTGATTATTATTGAAGAACTTTTTTCAAAAATTTCATTTTTTTCCATTATTATCTTCATTTGAATCAAATATCACTTCGATTTTTTGTGTTAAATCCGAAAAATCAATAATTGCAATTGGTTTTTTCGAAGATTTTGGTATAAAATTGAATATAATATCATTTTCTGCTGCTTCTTCTTCAGATATCGAAAAACTTGGTGAATTTGTTAATGAACTTGTATTTGATTCTTCACTTGTTGTATAATAATCATCAAATAATTGTTTCATTGATAATGTTGGATCATAATCTATTTTTACTTCTGCAAAAAAAAAAAAAAAAAAAAATTTCTTGAGAAATAATAACAAACTTTTCGAAGTCATTCCAATTTCTAAACATTTCGAAAATCGACATGATTTACATATAAATCTTCTGTTTTTATCTCCACCACAATTATTATTCTTTTTAATGCATTCAAATTGCAAATTTAATAATGTAGCTCTTCTGAAAATATTTAATTACGAATTTTTATGAGAAATTAGGTTACCTGAAAAAAGCGGCGCATGCTCTACAAGTATTTGCTCCAAAATGCATTCCTCTTGATGGATTTTGACAAACCAAACATTCGTTGTCTAGCAATTTCTCAATAATTTCCATTTTCTGCAAAAATGAATATGAAATACAGTGGGAAAGGGCAATTTATAAAGAACCCAACATAAATCTTGATAATCCCAAGTTTTTTTCTAGCAAAACAAAAAACTTTCTGACCTCACACTTTTTTTTAGTTTTTTTAAAGATTGAATCTGAAGGTTATACCTACTATTCATAAAAATTGGTGAAGATGTTTAGCGGCAAAAAAATGATTTCTTGATATTCTCAGTTTCTCTAGCAATATGAAATGAGCAATTTGAATTTTGAATAATCCGCTTCAAATTTTTGAAAAACAAAATATCTTACTCTTTTTTATGGATAAAAATGAACCTGGAATACCTTTTGAAGCTTGCGAAAAGACTTGAATGATATTCTTGAGCGGAAATATCCTGAAAATGAATTTCGTGGCGAGATATTTTCCATAAAATGTCTGCTCCTTTAAACAAATTCCGGTATTCTTTCAAAAATTTCTCTTTCTCCGTGTCTGATGGCATAATTAGTCTCCTGTCGTCTCTCATCTGACCTGAAGGCCAATTTTGTATTGAAGTGAATTGTTTTTTTTATTTTTGCAAAACTTATCTCAATGTAACATCTTGATTGTGTTATTCAAAAATGTACCCGAACATCTATTTCTTGATCTCAAAATTTTATTTTTTCAGTAAAATTTATATTTTTTTGTGTATCTTGGGAGCGAATTTTCACAAAAATCTTTTTTGAGATTCAGAATTTTCACATTTTTGAGACTAGATAGTTTATTGATATCTATTGTGACAATCTGTTCTTCTTTCCGATATCTGATCTGAAATATCCGATTAGATTTTCAAAAATTATTGTTCTCAAAAAGAATCTGAAAATTGTTGTCACATTTATTTTTTCTAACAGAACATCTAGATAATTTCATTTTTGTGTCGATATCTCTGAAACAATCCAGCTTATCTATAAATTCCGAAATTGTCCCAAACCCTTTTTAAATGAAACATTCATTGTTCATTTATGGAAGAAAATGTGGACGATTGGCTTGAAAACACGAACTATTATTTTATGTTCAATTACTTTTGCATTTTTTAAGTTATTAGGATATTTTGAGCCAAATTATAGGTAAGAATAACTAGACTCTGAAGACTGTATGATCTAACAATCAGATGTTTGAAAATTCAGAAAATCTAAGACCAGCCTAAGAAAGTTCAAATAAAAATATTTGATTATAGAGTTGAGCGAATTGAAGAAGAAGAAGATGTTGAAGATTTCAAAGCATTTATAACATCATCATATTATTATCCAAAATCACAAAGTTTAGGTGATAATGCATTAGCAATTGTAATGAATATAAATCAAAAACGAAAAAATTGGTTTGATAAAACATTATATGAAATTGAGAAAAAACCACTAATAACAATAAGAGCAATTAATTTAACATCCACAAAAATCATTACAACATCTTATGAAAGAATCACATTGGCTGGAAATAAATGTTTATTACCATCAGTATTTCTAACTGTTCAACTTCTACCAAACACACTTTCTATTGAATTTCTTGGTGATAATCAACAAAATTCGGTAGAAATTCCATTTTCAATTCCACCAACTACAAAATATGATGTTGTAGTTTGTATAACTCCGATTTTTGTTGCGGAAAATTGGCAGACTTTTTTGTTTGCAATGCATATTTATAAAAAGTTTGGAGCATTTGTGAATTTATATTATATTAGTTCGATTGATTCATTTTTTGATCTTATAAGAATTTATGAAGATGCTGGTTATTTGACAATTCAACCTTGGGTTACTATTAAAATGATTGGAGTTGATAAAAATGAATTGGATGCTTTTCAACAAGTTGAATTTAGAAATCAGGCTGCTTCTCAAACTGATTGTATTTTGAAGTATAAGGTGAGTTTGTGAATTAATTTTAAAGGGGGGGTAAGACGACAAAATTTTATTTTCTCAATGAATCGGGCTCCCTTTGAATAGTAAAAGCCCCAGGGGGTTTTTTCTAGAAGGGCCTAAAAAGGTCCGAAAAAAATATTCCATGAACTTTTTTCAACGTATAGCTATACGTTGTCCGAAAGTTTATGGAATATTTTCAACGTATACCTATACGTGGTACCTAGTTTATGGAACATTTTTTCTGGACGTTTCCAGAAAAAATCCCTTGGAGGTTTTACTACTTTTGGGGAGCCTTTAACTTTGCGACAAAAAAATTTTGTCGTCTTACCCCCCCCCCTTTAAAACTTAGCATAACTCTACTTCCGATTAAAAAAAACTAACCATCAAATAATGATCAGCATGGTCGATTTACCCAGAAGACGTCTTCTCAAAAAAAAAAAAAATTTTGAAAAAAAGTTTTTTACTGATGTACTTTTAGTAAATCGACCATGCTGAGCAATATCTGAAACTTTATTTTTCTTAAAAATCATTTTGAAATTGAGCTTAGGTGACTTTTATGAGCTATGTTTTGAACTGATCAGCATGGTCGATTTACCCAGAAGGCATATAAAGTGAGTTGGTGAATCTCAAAAAAAAAAAAAAAAAAAAATTCGAAAAAAAGTTTTTTATTGATGTACTTTTAGTAAATCGACCATGCTGAGCAATATCTGACACTTTATTTTTCTCAAAAATTAGCTTGAAATTGAGCTCCGATGACTTTTATGAGCTATTTTTTGAACTGATCAGCGTGGTCGATTTACCCAGTAGACGTCTTCTCAAAAAAAAAAAAAAAAAAAAAAAAAAAAATTTCGAAAAAAAGTTTTTATTGATGTACTTTTAGTAAATCGACTATGCTGAGCGATATCTGACACTTTATTTTTCTCAAAAATTATCTTGAAATGGAGCTTTGATGACTTTTATGAGCTAATTTTTGAACTGATCAGCGTGGTCGATTTACCCAGAAGACGTCTTCTCAAAAAAAAAAAAAAAAAAAAAAATTCGAAAAAATTGTTTTTTACTGATGTACTTTTAGTAAATCGACTATGCTGAGCAATATCTGAAACTTTATTTTTCTCAAAAATTCCAGGAAACCGCGAAATTTGTTACATGTCTTGATATGGATGATATTCTTATTCCAAAACTTGCTCCAACATTCATCGAAGAATTCAACATTCTTCTCAAAAACGCGAAAGAAAATAGTTATTTAATTTATCCAAAACAAGATTTCTATGGCTCAACTGTTAATAATTTCAACAATTTTTCGGTTTCAAGTATGTTTGAAAGTTTGGAGCAACAAAACTGCACAAAATCTGGTAAAATTGTGACGGATCCCAGGATGATAAATTATACATGGATTCATTGGACTTATCAGAAAGTGAGACGAATTAAAATTCAAGAAAATAAGATAACCCATTTGAAAAAACTGGAATGGTTGGAATCGTTTCCAAAATCAAATAAATTATCGAATATTTCAATAATGAACGAGATGAATGTGTTGAAAGATATTGAGGAAAATTGGCAAAAAATGCGAAAAAAAGTGGATTTGAAGAAATCGTTACCAAAAGAACAATTCTATGCAAAAGTTGTCGGAGATTGTTATATGAAAAATTACTATTCATACATTTCTGCTGAATCTGCGCCGCCTTTTTGTTCAGGTCCACATTATTGTGAATATCCTCAAAGAGATGATATTAAATGTGTTCATTCGGATGCGAGATATGATTTTGTTCCACAAATGTCACCTGTGACTTATTATTTTGCAGTTCAACCGAGGTTTAATTCATCCTATGGATGTTATTCATAAAATTTGAATTTTATTCTAATTTTTTTGTTTGTAATCATAAATGCATTTGAAAAAAAAAATTTTTTTTGGTTTTAGCAGATTTCAAGCTAGACTTCCTCTAAGTAGAGCTTAAAATGCTACTTCACTTGAATATTATAGCATCAAAGACAGAGAAAGAGATATTTTTGAAAGAATACCGGAATTTGTTTCAAGGAACACATGTTTTATTGAAAATATCTCGCCACGAAAAGGTATTCCAGGTCCATTTTTATCCATAAAAAAGAGTAAGATATTTTGTTTTTCAAAAATTTGGAGTGGATTATTCAAAATTCAAATTGCTCATTTCATATTGTAAGAGAAACTGAGAAAATTTCCGAATTCAAAAAATCAAATTTTTTTTATTTTGCCAATTTTTATGAATGGTAGGTATAACCTTCAGATTCAATCTTTAAAAAAACGAGAAAAACGTGTGAGGTCAGAAAGTTTTTTGTTTTGCTAGAAAAAACCATTTTCAGAATATTTTTATCATTTTCATAAGTCACAAGTGAAAACATAGCACATTTTTGTACGTTATCTTTAAGAACAATAATTTTTAAAAATCTAATCGAAAATTTCTGATCAGATATCGGAAAGAAACACAGATTGTCACAATAGATATCAAACTATCTAGTCTCAAAAATGTGAAAATTCTGGATCTCAAAAACGATTTTTAATTTTTTCGCTTTATCGCTTCCAATTCAGGCAGATAAACACAATAAAAAATTAATTTTACTGAAAAAATAACATTTTGAGATTATAACACAATCAAGATGTAACATATTGAGATAAGTTTTGAAAAAAAACACATTTTTATGTAAAATTTATTCTATAACTTTCAAAAAAAAAAACAAAAAAAAAATTCAATTTTTCAATTTCGATAAAAATTCCTGACTTTTTATAAGACTTTCATAATCCTTTCGATATTTCTCATCAAAACTTGAATTGCTCATATTATACGGTGCATCCAAATGCGCTCTATCGAACTCCGGAAAAACCAAATAATCATAGAAATATATTTTATGCAAATAATCCCGTATGATTTTGTCATTTTTCACTTTTTCCTCCGCAATTTTTCGCATTTCAGAATTATGTGTTGAATGATGAGTTTCAGATGTCAATAGATTTCCCTCGATTTTTGAAATATACACTTCCGGCACATTTTTCCGTCTTAAAATCTCGACAAATTTCGAAATTGGCTCTTTTCTCTCATCAAAACTCGAACCAATAACCATAATATAATAAACATTTCGAAATTGTTGAAAATCACAAACCCAAGAAGTTGGTGTTGCATGTATATCCATATATGACGAGCTATTCAACATTTTTGTCAAAAGTGCCTGTTCACCTCGCGATATCTTCAATAAACTCTCGTAGACTTCTTTGACTACACATCGTAGGTCTTCAGGTTCACAATTATAACATCGTTTTTCGTGGAGACATTTATCCAAGTAGAATGAGATAAATCTATCGAATGGGTCACGAATGAAGACAAATCTCGTGTATCGCGAAGTGTTTTGAAGATTTTCGGGGAAACCTCCGAAGCCATTCTTGTCAGCAGCTTTACAAGATCTGAAAATTGCAAAAAAAAATGTTAACTTTCTTAACTTTAACGTTTTTTAACGTTCACGTTTCTAAACGTTAAAGTTTCTTAACGTTAACGAGACTATTGTGTACTGCAAACGGTATATTAACGTCTTTTAACGTTAAAGTTTCTCAACGTAAACTTTTTTAACGTTAACGAGACTATTGTGTACTGCAAATTAACTCTGCACGGTGTTTGCACGCTATATTAACGTCTTTTAACGTTAACGTTTCTAAACGTTAATGTTTTTAACTTTAATGAGACTATTGTGTACTGCAAACGGTATATTAACGTCTTTTAACGTTAACGTTTCTCAACGTTAAAGTTTCTTAACGTTAACGTTAGACTATTTGTTTACTGCAAATTAACTCTGCACGGTATATTAACGTCTTTTAACGTTCACGTTACTCAACTTTAACGTTTCTTAACGTTAAAGTTTCTCAACGTTAAAGTTTCTTAACGTTAACGTTTTTAACGTTAACGAGACTATTGTGTACTGCAAATTAACTCTGCACGGTATATTAAGTTATAACTGTGCAAAGTTAATTTACTCTGCCTCTCTGACATCTCTAGCTGTCTGCATCTCTAACACTATCTCTATACTCACCTCTTACTCTTCCACGTCTCATTAAACGAATGATTTTCACTCAAAAACCGTTTCGGGTCATACAGTAGACACATTGCATTCGTCGTCATTTGCGACATTGATTTCCGATAAGTACACGCCGTGAGATTATATTCAGGAACTGTCAAATAATCAGGTGGAAGGTGTCCCATATAGGGTCGAATGAATTCCAGTTCACTACTACTACTACTCATGGGCGCTTCGTTTTGCTCAATGATAAGTGGCTCCTTTTGCGCATTGAACGTTTGATAGCAGAAAAAGCAACAACATAGTGCTAGAAATAAGTTTGCCCAATTTTTGCTCAGCATTTTTTTACCTAAATTGTTGTGCTTTTGGGTACCTTATAAAGGGTCGAATGTTTCCAGTATTCAAGTTTTTTGAGAATTTTTATCTTTTTGAAAAACATCGCGATAAAGATCAGTGATTTACAAAAAATGACCGAAATATTTTGGACTTAGGACTGAAGGGATCGAAAAACATCGGAATGCCTACCTTAAGGTCCTTAAGCTTTTACCTAAACGGGTCCTAAACTGGTTGTACTTATTTATTTATTGTCATAAAGGTTCTTTGTGAAAAAGAAAAAAAAATAAAAAAGCTTGCCCCGAACCAGGATCGAACTGGTGACCTTTAGATCTTCAGTCTAACGCTCTCCCAACTGAGCTATCGAGGCGCATGCGGCAGGAGTGGGAAAATTGCATATTTATTTTCGCTGCCCGGGTTTTTCCACAAAAATCTGTGCCACGTGGATTTTTGTGGCGCGAAATTTAAATTTGTTTATTTTCCATACAGCAAATTATTTTTTGATGATTTGTCAACAAAAATTCTCCTATTAAAGGCGAAATTTGAAAAATTCTGGGTCTCGTCATGATTTTTAAAATATTCGTGGCGCTTCTGGGTACTGTAGTTTTTTGCAGTTTGGAAGAAGAAGGTAGTGGGTACAATAACCAGGGGAGGATTACTGTAGAAATCGTGACGAGACGCACGTTTGATCCGGAAAATAATGCGGCGAATTTGCGGGTGCTCATGGATACGGTAGGGGGGTTTTGACGCGGGAAATTTTGGAATTCAAATTTTTTGCAGCTCGACGAGTTTACGAAATCCGAAGACATCAACTATCCAACCACGGAAATTCGCCAAAAAATCGCCGAAATTGGCGGCAAATTCGCCGCGATTTTTGAAATCGCGGAAGATGAGGCGACTTGCGAAGAAGTCGCGAATTTCGTGCGACCTGCGACAAAATTCGCGAAGAATGAGGTCGATTTTTCGCTGCTGAAATGTCCTGGGGAAAAACCTGTGGTTTTAACTAATTAATTAATTACTTAGGTTAATTAATGAAGATTTTTCAATAATTATTTTCTAATTTTCCCACCAAAAACTGCCACGTGGCAGGAAAAAGACCGGAAAAAACGAATTTTCAAAGCGAAATTTTTTTTCGCACACAAAGGTATACGGTATGTTGAAATGTGTGCATTTGTGCGTCGCCGTGTGTGTTGTTTCTCTGCGCACTCTGTGTTTTGTGTGCTCTCTCGTCTCTTTTCGAAATTTTTTGTTTTTCGTGGTTTTTCGGGGTTTTGAAGGTGTAAAATGATTATTGGTGGATTTTCAAAGTGAAATTATTGATTTTTAAATGCGCATGGAGGTTTTGCAGTTGAAAATAATGGAATTTTGATGGGAAATCGAAAAAAAATCGGTTTTTGATAAAATTTTCGAATTTTTATCCAAAAAATCAATAATTTTGACGTGAAAACGTGAAATTCCAGCGCATTTTTTGAATTTACAACATTTCAAATGGAAATTTGCATTTTCAAATTTTTTTCCCACCAAAAATGCTAGCAAAATCAATTTTTCGTCAACTTCCCGTGATTTTTTCGGTGAATTTTTAATCTTATCTTTTTTTCTTATCAAATCAATTGATTTTTGTTGTTTTCCATCGAAAAACTACAAAAAAACCCAAATTTTCAGGAAAAAAATCGAATTTTTGCGCGAAAAATGTCATTTTCACCCGGTGTCCTCGGTCAATCTACAGTACCCCATCCAAAATTCCCTCCTACAGTAATCCCAATCGATGATCTATCATCGGAGAGTGCTGTAGGACAAGAGGAACGGGTCTTGCGACGAAAATTGGCGAGTTTGTATCGATTGGTGGATTTGTTCAATTGGAGTCAGAGTATTTATAATCATATTACGGTAGGTGCTATACTTGGACATGGTTCGAAAAAAACCGAGCGAAACTGGTTTTTTTGGTTCGCTCAAATTTTGGTTTATGGTTCGCTCATTTGAAATGGTTTGGTTAGGCGCAGGCTTTCAGACTGCGCCTATTTGGGCTTGGGATAGTTTTTCGAAATTTTTGTTCGGGTCAACGCTTTTCCAGTTTGATCTACACCCCAAATGAGGAAAACCTATCATGGGATTTTTTCTGAAATTGCCTCTGACTTACGCTAACTCGCCGAGAAGTCAAAAAAGACCCTTCGCATGTACCACCGTAAAGCAATTTGTACTTCATGAAATTTCAAGCTCTTTTTTTTAAAAGATAGATAATGTGAATACCTCGAGGTGTTTTTCGAGTTACGTCAATTTGTGATATCTGCGTCGAATGCGGGACCATTGAAAAAATGACGATTTTTGAACGCAAGTTTCTACTTTAGGTTGTCATAATTTTGAAAATCACTTGATTCAGTAAAACGCAGCACATAATTTCGCGTTTTTCAAAAAAAAAAGACATTGTAAATTGATGAAGGAGAAGCTGAAAATTTTTAATTTTAGTTTTTTCGATTTTTTGAAACTCCACGGAACCGTAATTTGGTTCAAAATGAACGTAGCGAAATGATTTTTTTTTTCAAAATGTAGCGTTTGGCGTGTAGAAAATGAACGAAAAATACTAGAAGTCGCATATCCACTTTTAGGATGAGTTATGATATGATATGACATCTGGAGGATAATTTGAAATTTAAAAAATCGGCTTTTCCGAGAAAACCAGGCCTGCAACCTATTATTTTGACAATAAAATATGAAAGAGCACCTAAAAATACCCCTTAGGACACTTTTACAAAAAAATTGTTCGACTGGATTTTTTGGAATTCGAGGTAGATTCTTTTGACATCTATATTGCCGAGAAAAGTCCGTTTCAAAGGCATTTTAGTGTTGTTTCGATATAACCAGTGTCTTCAGAATCGAAAAATAGACCGAAAATCTTTTTCCCGCGTCGAAAAAGCTCAAGTTACAGAAATTTTCAGCCGCGCAAGCTTTTGCGCAATCAAGAAATAATAGGTTTGTCATAACGCATGGCTTTGTCCCATCTGGCAGGTTGAGCAACGTTGACACTGGTTAGTCTCGAGTTCGACCCCTGCCGAGTGAAAATTTTTTGAAAGTTTTGGAAAATTATGAGACTGTTTTGGAAACATGTTTTTTTGTTAGTTTCCGATGTTTAACCATCCTGGATTTTAGTAAGATCTTCGAAGCATCAGAAAGATCGATTTTTTTGAAAAATCTCAAAACTTGATGAAAATTCGAAATTTTTCATTTTTACACGGAAATCATTGAATTTTTCATTTTTAATCATCCTGGACTTCAGCAAGATCTTCGGAGCATCAGAAAGATCGAATTTTTTGAAAAATCTCAAATTTTGTTAAAAATCATAAGAAAAAAGACTACATTGGAAACAAATTTTCTATGGTTTTCTGAGTTCTGAAACTTCAGTAAGACCTTCGGAAATCTGAAGGTATTACTGAAAACATTTAATCATTTTTACATCTCAAAACTTCTTGAAATTCATAAGATAACTCGAAAAGTATTATTTTCATATAAAAATCTATGCATTTTTTATTTTCATCGTCCCGAACTTTACTGAGACCTTCAGAATATCTGAAAGTGAATTTTATAAAAATTTCTAAAGCTCTTTAAACATTAGGACGGAACTCAAAATGTCTCCTTAACTTGAAATCGACGACGTTGTTATAATTCTGACCATCTTGATCTCTCAATTTTTCATCATAATCAATTTCTAACTTTTTCCCAAAAATTATTTTAAACCGGGCTTGTGGCCATTCTTATGGCCACAATAGAATGTATTTGGGCTTGGAGATATTTTATAACCTGAACTCTAGACGAGAATAGAAATTCCAAGCTTGTCAAATTTTAATTTTTTGCTCAAATACCCGCGATTCAAGAAATTAATTTTGTAGTCCTCTCAATTCAGCAAACTATCAGAGTTATGTTTTCGAATCGCGGGTATTTGAGCAAAAAATTAAAATTTGACAAGCTTGGAATTTCTATTCTCGTCTAGAGTTCAGGTTATAAAATATCTCCAAGCCCAAATACATTCTATTGTGGCCATAAGAATGGCCACAAGCCCGGTTTAAAATAATTTTTGGGAAAAAGTTAGAAATTGATTATGATGAAAAATTGAGAGATCAAGATGGTCAGAATTATAACAACGTCGTCGATTTCAAGTTAAGGAGACATTTTGAGTTCCGTCTTAATGTTTAAAGAGCTTTAGGAATTTTTATAAAATTCACTTTCAGATATTCTGAATTTGGTTTTGGTTTTTGGTTCGCTCACTCATTTCAAACTGGTTCGAACCGGTTTTCGATCAAATGGTTTTTGGATTTCTGGCTCCTGGGTGTCCGGAGTTGATGAATTTCGGGGTTTTCGGGTATGGGGATTACTGTAGTGAACTTCTTTTCATGTAAAAGTCGTTCTTAAAGGCACATACCCACCAAAAAAATGTTTTTTGAAAATGAGGTATTTTGGGACGGGGAACATTTTGGTAAGGTATACGGTCGGGAACAGACTTTTAAAGGCGCATGCCAAGCTCTTACCCATTTTCCGAGATATTTTTTTCAAACTATCATAACTTTTTTGTTTTTGAAGCTTTTTTAAAATTTCGACAACCATTTTGACGGTCTTGAGGTGGGCTAAATTTTTTGTGTTGACACCAACTACCGTATTACGCTCCTAGGAGGTGAAAAACACGGGTTTTCTCTCAAAAATGTCATTTTTTAATGTAAATTCGAACAAAACCGTGTCATTTTTTATGTAAACTTGAACAAAACCGTGTTTTTCACCTCCTAGGAGCGTAATACGGTAGTTGGTGTCAACACAAAAAATTTAGTCCACCTCAAGACCGTCAAAATGGTTGTCGAAATTTTAAAAAAGCTTCAAAAACAAAAAAGTTATGATAGTTTGAAAAAAATATCTCGGAAAATGGGTAAGAGCTTGGCATGCGCCTTTAAAAGTCTGTTCCCGACCGTATACCTTACCAAAATGTTCCCCGTCCCAAAATACCTCATTTTCAAAAAAACATTTTTTTGGTGGGTATGTGCCTTTAAGAGTGACTTTTACATGAAAAGAAGTTCACTACAGTAATCCCCATACCCGAAAACCCCGAAATTCATCAACTCCTGACACCCAGGAGCCAGAAAACCAAAAACCATTTGATCGAAAACCGGTTCGAACCAGTTTGAAATGAGTGAGCGAACCAAAAACCAAAACCAAACCAAACCATTTCAAATGAGCGAACCATAAACCAAAATTTGAGCGAACCAAAAAAACTGGTTTCGCTCAAACCATTTGAAAAACCGCTCATGTCTGAGTATAGTAGGTGCGGAATTTTTTGGCGGGAAAAATTCAAATTCAAATTAATTTCAGGTCAGAATTCCTGCTGAAGACGATGAGATTCTGATAAATCCCTATGGACTATTCTACAACGAAGTTACGGCAAGTAATTTGATCAAGGGTGAGTTTTTGGCGCCAAAAATTGATCTACAGTAGTCTTTCAGGTGAAAATTCAAAATTCTCACTGAAAAACTTCATTTTTCACCTAAAAATCCTAAATTTTCACCTAAAAATCCTAATTTTTGAAAACCCTGCCGCAAAATTGCAGGAAAACCATGCGACAGGTTGCAAATTGCACCGCCTTTCATTTTTGCTCGAAATTCTCGGTTTTTCCTCGTTTTTGTGGTAAAAGGCCCAGATTTTGATGAGTTAGCCTAACTTTTTTCAATTTTCCGGAAATCCCTCCCCAAAAAACTCACCAATCGCTTCTAAACACAAAAATCATCGAAAATTCGAAATTCTCCCAGTTTTCCACATTGAAATCCAATTTTCCATCAATATTTCGAGCTGAAAATCAGAAAATTTGAATTTTTCCAAATTTTCAGCTATTTTTCACAGCGAAATCTTACCAAAACTCAAAAAACCGCAAATTTCTTCGATAATCCTCGGATTTTCCGTTGAAATCGATAATTTGAGCATTGTAGAACATCTGAAAATTCAATTTTTGACTGAAATCCACTAGAAACCCGAAAACCCGGCGAAAAAAAACGAAAAATGAAAATTTTCCCGTGTTGCGCTAAACAGCGGGCAAGCCGGAGTGTCGTTGTAAAAGTCGCTCTAAATTCTTGGTTTTTCTTCGTTTTCGGGTTAAAAATATTGATTTTTGAGCATTTTTCAAGTTTTGAAGTGAAAAATCCTGAATTTTTGATCAAAAATCCATAAAAATACAATATTTCAAAAACCGTGCCGCAAAATTGCAGAAAAACCATGCGGCGGCTTGCAAATTGCACCGCCTTTGATTTTTATTCAAAATTCTTGGTTTTTCTTCGTTTTCGGGTCAATATTATTGATTTTTGAGCATTTTTCAAGTTCTAAAGTGAAAAATTCAAAATTTCCACCAAAAATCCCAGTTTTCAAAAACCCTGCCGCAAAATTGCAGAAAAACCATGCGGCATGTTGCAAATTGCACCGCCTTTCATTTTTGCTCAAAATTCTTGGTTTTTCATCGTTTTCGGGTCAAAATTATTGATTTTTGAGCATTTTTCACCTGAAATTTCCAGATTTTCACTCAAAAATCTGGTTTTCCATCAATTTTCATGATTTCTGGCTCAAAAAATCTCAAATTTCCCCAATTTTCATCTTCCAGTCAACCTTCACGGCTCAGTAATCTCAAACGGCTCCACAAAATACGGTATAAATCAAGCGGGCTACGTGTTGCATTCAGCAATTCACGCGGCACGACCCGAAATCTCGTGCGTCATTCATTTGCATCATCCGTCGGTTGTGGCGGTTTCGGCGCAAAAATGCGGATTTTTGCCGATCTCCCAGGAAGCGCTGATTGTCGGAAAAGTGGCTTATCATGATTTTTGTGTAGGTTTTTTGAGCCGGGCTCCGAATTTGGAGCATTTTGAGTCTAGGGGCGAAAATTTGCGATTTTTTGACACCAAATATGCTTGGGTGATTTTTGATGTCATAAATTACGGTTTTTGCCACGTGGCATCATTTTTAGAGCGAAATTTGGTATATTTTGATACTAAACAGGTCTAGGGTGGTTTTGGCGCCAAAATTTTGAAATTCAAAAAAATTTTTAAAAATAAGATTTTTTGAATTTTCAAATTTGGAGCCAAAAACCACCCTAGACTTGTTCAGTATCAAAATTTACGAAATTTCGCTCCAAAAATTATTCCACGTGGCAAAAACCGTAATTTTTGACCCCAAGCATATTTAGTATTGAAATTCCCCAAATTTTCCAGGGAATCCTCGTGGATGAAGCTGAAAAAAAATCGATAATCGCTGATCTCGCTGAAAAACATGTGATGATACTCAGAAATCATGGATTCGTGATTTGCGGAGTCACAATTGAACACGCTTTTCTCCTGGCTTATCATTTGATTTTGGCGTGTGAAACACAGATTCGATGTTGTCCGAATGGAGAAAATCAGCAAGTTATTCGAACTTCGAAAGAGGCGCAAGAACAAGTGGAACAAGTGGTGAAAATTGGAGGTTTGTGAGCTATTTTTCTTGATTTTTGGAGCATTTTGAGCCCGAACATGGTTAATTTTTGAATTTTGAGTTCAAATTTGACCTGAGGATTGAATTTGGAGCATTTTGAGCCCGAACACGGCTAATTTTTGAACATTGAGCCGAAATTTAAATTTAGGATGATTTTTGGAGCATTTTGAGCTCAAATTTGAATTAGGGAAGATTTCTGGAGCATTTTGATCTCAAGCAAGGCTAATTTTTGAATTTTGAGCCGAAATTTAAATTTAGGATGATTTTTGGAGCATTTTGAGCTCAAATTTGAATTAGGGAAGATTTCTGGAGCATTTTGATCTCAAGCAAGGCTAATTTTTGAATTTTGAGCTCAAATTTGAATTTTGGATGATTTTTGGAGCATTTCGAGCTCAAATTTGAATTCAAGAAGATTTCTGGAGAATTTTGAGCTCAAATTTGAATTCAGCAAGATTTCTGGAGAATTTTAAGCTCAAATTTGAATTCAGCAAGATTTTTGGAGCATTTTGAGCTTATTTTCTTGGATTTTGGAGCATTTTGAGCCCAAACATGGCTAATTTTTGAATTTTGAGCTGAAAAACCCGAAATTCGGAGCATTTTGAGCTCCATCTGACAAAAATCCCGAAATTAGCCTTATCTGGGCTCAAAATGCTCCGAATTCCATCAGAAATTCAAAAATTAAGCTCAAAAAATAATCCCAGGTTCAAAAATTCCTGGTTTTGAGCTCAAATTGCTCAAAAGATCAAATTTGAGCTCAAAATGCTCCAAAAATCAAGAAACTGAGCTCAGAATGCTCAAAAATCGAAAATTGGTCATGTTTGGGCTCAAAATGCTCCAAATTCCATCACAAATTCAAAAATCTTCGAATTTTCAATTTTTCCAGGAGGCGGTGTAAATCGAATCGACGGAAAAGTCGATCCGAAAAAATGGCAAATCGGCGAATTGGAATGGGAAGCTTATATGAGAAATATGGATCGAATTGGATACAAAACTGGACATCAATACAAAAATTGGTGATTTTTGCTCTTTTTATGGGTTTTTTGTGAATAAAATGTGAATTTTGACCTAGAAATCGAATTTTTCATCAAAATTCCACTAAAAACCAGCATGCGCCTTTAAAATTCAATAATTTCACTAGAAAAAAATGAAAAATCCTGCAAAAAATGATTTTTTTTGGAAAATGAGCTGGATTTTCACGTTTTCACGTGAAATTTATTGATTTTTTCGTTAAAAAATCGATTTTCTTCGAAAATTCTTGATTTTCCCGATATTTTCAATTGCAAAAACACCATGCGCCTTTAAAAATCGATAATTTCATTCTGAAAATCCACCAAAAGAGAAAAATTTCGAAAAGAGACGAGAGAGCACACAAAACGTGGAGTGCGCTGAGAAACAACACACACGGCGACGCACAAATGCACACATTTAAACATACCGTATTTTTTTCTCTTTTTTTTTTTGTTTTTGTGTTTTTAACCAGAAGTTCCAGTAACTTCTTCAAAAGCAGAAAAAGTTTATTTTTGTACGAAAAATCCACAAAAATTCCTGAAATCCGCCCTCAAATCGTCCCAAAAGCCCTTCTGTGTCCAAAAAATCACCAAAACCACACCAACACCATGAATCTGAATCAGCCAACGACAAAATTGCACCAAACCCGGATTGAACCAGAATCCCCCAATAGAACTCGTCGAAATTCCACTCGGCACCATATAGGCCCAAAAAAACACGGCGGTTTGCAACACCAAACTTCGCAACACCAATTTTTGGTGCGTTTTGTGGTGACGTGATGATTGACGCGTGTTTTCGAACTTCAAAATCAGACGGATCGATGTTGGCGGGATGAGCCAGACGGAGAGAGTGGAGAGGATAGAGACGCAGAGGGCGGGGATGTGGGGGTGAGAGAGGAGAGGGTGGCGAGAGGAGATGTAGCAGGTGGGAGACCAGAAAATGTCGGGGAGTCCGGTGGCGGTCTGGAAATTGGGTGGGCTTAGGCTTCTAGGCTTCTAGACCTTAGGCTTAGGAAAGACCTTAGGCTTATTAGCCTAGACCTTAAGCTTAGCCAAGACCTTAGGCTTAGCCAAGACCTTAGGCTTAGCCAAAACCTTAGGCTTAGCCTAGACCTTAGGCTTAGCCAAGACCTTAGGCTTAGCCGAGAGCTTAGGCTTAGCCAAGACCTTAGGCTTAGCCAAGACCTTAGGCTTAGCCAAGACCTTAGGCTTAGCCAAGACCTTAGGCTTAGCCAAGACCTTAGGCTTAGCCTAGACCTTAGGCTTAGCCTAGACCCCCTTAGCCTAGACCGTAGGCTTAGCTTAGACCTTAGGCTTAGCCAAGACCTTAGGCTTAGCCAAGACCTTAGGCTTAGCCTAGACCTTAGGCTTAGCCTAGACCCCTTAGCCTAGACCGTAGGCTTAGCTTAGACCTTAGGCTTAGCCAAGACCTTAGGCTTAGCCAAGACCTTAGGCTTAGCCTAGACCCCCTTAGCCTAGACCGTAGGCTTAGCTTAGACCTTAGGCTTAGCCTAGACCTTAGGCTTAGCCTAGACCTTAGGCTTAGCCTACACCTTAGGCTTAGCTTAGACCTTAAGCTTAGTCTGGACCTTAGGCTTAGCCAAGACCTTAGGCTTAGCCTACACCTTAGGCTTAGCTTAGACCTTAAGCTTAGTCTGGACCTTAGGCTTAGCCAAGGCCTTAGGCTTAGCCAAGACCTTAGGCTTCTAGGCCTAGCCAGGTACCGTACCCACCTGCGCATACTCAATCCTGTCCAAATCCGTTCCACTATGCATCAACGAATACGAATGCACCAAAAACCCGGCCAAATACAGTAGCCCGATATAAATGGTCCCGCCACGATCCAACAATTTAAAGGCACACGAATTGGGGCGCAACGCCAATTTCAATCGATACAAATAGAGATGAGTTATCGAAACTGGAAGCGCGTGATTCAGACACATTGCAATACTTTGCCAGATGATTGGAGGAGGTATGTTGAGGTACAGTAGGCAACCGGTGGGACACGAGACTTGTATGGGTGAAAACCAGATCGTGGCGAGACCCGATGAGAATTGTTCGAAGAGAAAATTGATGACGATTTTGGAGAGCAATATGTATCTATAGCTGGTTTTGAGGTGTTTTTGAGCACGATGTTTTGAGAGCATGTAGAATATTGAATAGATGTAGATTGGTAGACTTAGGATAACATCGAGATAGCTGAGGATTGTGTAGATTTTGAAGATTTCGAGAAATTGGGTGTAGTCATTCATTTTTAGACCGAAATTTTGAGTTTTTTAGGCGGAAATTTTTTTTTTTGAAAAATTTTGATTTTGGAAGTTGAGCTTGCTCATTTGAGCAGAAGATTTTAATCACAAGTATTTTTGGAAGTTTTGAACTCTGCAAATTCGAATTTTTTCCATAAAGAAGTTTGAAACGTAAATTTTGCGGGATTTTTTCAAAAATTATTTTTTGATACGATTTGCATTTGCAATTTCTGCAAATGCAAAAATTTCCCCCCATAAAAATCAGATTTCCCCCAACCCTTCCAAAAACATTTGCAAAATGTTCCGATTTTTGGCCATTCTCTCGCTGATTCTCATCAATTTCACAGTGGATGCTCAACATAAAGTGGATATCAGTGCTTCAATAACGATTACTTGTTTTTTGAATGTTCATTGGCAATATGATGTTGTGATTCATGACTTAATGTGAGTTTCCGCAAGCTTCCGCGCAGCTAGAGAACATTGTAGAATCAGAGACGCTTTTTCAGAACTAACGACATCTATCATAGAAGTCAAGTAGTCAATCTTGGCGGAAAACGAAAAACATATAATGCGAATTTCGCAGCTCCTTCCAAAGCAGCATTAAAGATCAAAATACGTCACACTTGCACAAAAGATCATTCGCATTACACAGATGATTACCCATTGCCGACTGTGCCATTTGATCGAAGAGTATTCCAATTTGTTAAAGAATTTCGAATTGGGGTTGTTTAGATAATTAATTTCGGGTTAATGAAGCATTTTATTGAGAAAATTTTTGAGATTTTTGAATTCTGTGTGAAATTCTGCAAATTGCAGAAAACTTTGCAAAATGATAATCAATAAAAGCTTTATTGTGTATCATTAAAATCAATTAATTGATTAATTTAAGTATATGACCATGGTGGTGAAGCTTGGTATCCTGTGTAACGCGGAGACTCTGCTGAATATGGTATTGAAGCTTTTTCTGACGTCCGCTCGCTCAATCGACAATATTATTTGAAAGATGAAAAGGTTCCGATTACTTTTTGATTGAACCTGTCACTTTTCGTGTCATTTTTGACATGATTTTACAAGGTGTGAAAAAAGGCAGGCGATGGGTGCGTTAGAGAGAAGGATGAATGACAGATCGGGCGGGCGGGCGGGCGGGCGTCGTTTTGGGAAAAATAAGAGGCAGGCGGGCGAGACACCACCGAAACAACAGGGTGAAACGGGCGACCCACATGACAGCCCTAACGTGGAGACAATTTGTAGAGAAAGGTTAATATAAAGTGATTTAAAGGAATTTAGCTGTAGCTCATTTTGTAGAGAATTCAATCAATATTCATTTACAGTACCCCAATTCCAAACATTTTTCAGCCAAATTTTCAGAATTTTTAATTTCCTCGAAAATTTTTCGACTTTTTATTTGACACGGCACAGGATTAATTAGCGTATAATATTCAAATGAACAAACCTGAAATTAATGAAAATTCAATTTTAATGAAATTTTTTTTGAGAATTTACGTCATCTTTTTCGGTGCTCTGAATTAGGCCGGTGAAATTAGCCCTATCATTTTGTTGCACAAGATTTGCACATTTTTCACAGCTTTGGAAATATTCCGATGTTGCGAGAGGAATCAGACAAAAAATATTTAGGAGAATCAAGATTTTCAACATTTTCAGTTGAAAAATACATTTTGGGCCGAATTTTTATAGAAGACTGGATTTTATGAGGTGTGAAAAAAGGCTGGGGGAAAATTTTCTCTTTTTGATTTTTTGAAATTCGAATTTTTTCGATAAAAAAGTTTATCAGATAATTTGAAACGTAAATTTTGCGGGATTTTTTCAAAAATTATTTTTTGATACGATTTGCATTTGCAATTTCTGCAAATGCAAAAAAAATTGCCCCATAAAAATCAGATTTCCCCCAACCCTTCCAAAAACATTTGCAAAAAAAATGTTCCGATTTTTGGCCATTCTCTCGCTGATTCTCATCAATTTCACAGTGGATGCTCAACATAAAGTGGATATCAGTGCTTCAATAACGTTTACTTGTTTTTTGAATGTTCATTGGCAATATGATGTTGTGATTCATGACTTAATGTGAGTTTCCGCAAGCTTCCGCAGGCTTCCGCGCAGCTAGAGAACATTGTAGAATCAGAGACGCTTTTTCAGAACTAACGACATCTATCATAGAAGTCAAGTAGTCAATCTTGGCGGAAAACGAAAAACATATTATGCGAATTTCGCAGCTCCTTCCGGAGCAGCATTAAAGATCAAAATACGTCACACTTGCACAAAAGATCATTCGCATTACACAGATGATTACCCATTGCCGACTGTGCCATTTGATCGAAGAGTATTCCAATTTGTTAAAGAATTTCGAATTGGGGTTGTTTAGATAATTAATTTCGGGTTAATGAAGCATTTTGTTAGGAAATTTTCGTGAAATTCTGATTCGAAAAAATGGATTTTTGAAGAAGTTACACACCTCGGCCAAAATCGTGGTTCCCAAAAGTAAAAATTGTACGCTTTGTACGGGAGTTCTGGGTATCTGGAAGAGGTAAAACTTGGATTAGGCCTAACCCAAATTTTAAGCTCTGGTTTGATGCGATTTTTTTTGCAAAAATTGCAGAAAACTTTGCAATGAACTTTTTTATTGTGATTAACATCATGCATAATTAATTTAGGACGGAGAAGTTGGTGAAAAAGTTGACAAGGCTGGGGATTCCGTGTACACCGAAGAATTTGGTGAAAATTTTGGTGAGGCTGAGAATTCCGTGGTCACCGAAGAATTTGGTGAAAATGTTGGTGAGGCTGAGAATCCCGGAGTAGTTGTTGTTAAATCTGTTAGCTTAACTCCAAACGTGATTCTCCAATCAAATAGCAACCGTGTTTGATTGATCGGCACAGTTGGCAAAGCGAACACTTCTCTACGTCCAGATTGATCATTGGTACATGTGTGGAGTACATGCATTATCATCTCTGAACCGGCACGAGCTTCAAATATCATACCGTACGTTTTCGATGTCCTCTTCATTTTCTTAGTAGCATTCTTCAATTTCGGCTCAAAGTTGATGAATTGGGATCTTTTCAAGGTTTTTTTGGTTCTGCAAAAAAATGTGGAAACTCAAAATTCAGGCAGAAACAACTCACGCGACATCAAAAACATACACCATATATTCCCAATAAACATCATATTCACAAACAAATTGAATTGTCGCAACCACCTCGACTTTTTGTGGAGATTCAGTCGAATTTTTATGTTGTTGAGCAACTACCGTGAAATTGACGAAAATCAGCGAGAAAATCAGCAGAAATCGGAACATTTTTCAACATTTTTGGGAGAGAAAATTTGATTTTTATGATCAATTTTTGATTTGATTTGGGAATTTTTGGGACTTTACACAAAAAAATCTGTTTTCATATCATAATCTTTATTGTGCATCATTAAAATCATAGATAATTAATTTAAGTATATGACCATGGTGGTGAAGCTGAGGTTCCCGTGTACGACGGAGAAGTTGGTGAATATGTTGGTGAACCTGAGTAACCCCGGCCTGATGGAGAAAGTTTTGAATATGTTGGTGAAGCTGGGGTTCCCGAGTACACTGGAGACACTGCTGAATATGTTGGTGAAGCTGGGTATACCTCATATCCAATCATTCGAATTCGATTGTCACCTGATTCAGCTAGATCTATGCCGACGACAATTCCAAGCAACCTTCCAAACTCGTCAAAAATTCCGGCACCCGGAAAATCTCCTTCAGTTGTTCCGGTGTAGTAGGTCAAGACTTCTTCGCCTATAATTTTTTATTTAGGTTGGCTTAGCGATCAGGTTTCGACATTAAACATACTATTACTCTCAGAAATCACTCCATCCCTCCAAATCGGACATTTTTCAGCATCCAACCCAACCATTATATATTCTTGACCGTTGGAAATTGAACCACCCAACTTTGGAACCACAGGGAATTCGCCCTCAATGAGTTTTAGACACACCAAATCATAATAGATTGATTCCTTGCCCACAACACACTGGAAAAAGCACTTAGCGTTAAAGTAAAATAACGTTAATCATCTTTAAATCGGTTAAGCGATCACTTAAGCGTGCTTAAATGATCCCAGTACCTTAAGGGTACCCGTTAAACTGTGCTTAAAGTATTATTTAACTATACTTTAAGTACCCTTTCATACCTCAAACTGTATATTGCTATCCAGTGTATTATAAATGGTAACAACTTGATTTTCAGTCAAATTCTCGTGTGGTCCATGATGAAAAGTGAATGCAGAATGTTTATCAATCACAATAACACAATTATGTGATGTTTCATCTGGACGAGAAGTTGTGTATAATAATTGCTCCAAATCTTGACAAATTGGGCTCTCCATCTGGATAATTGATTAATTTGTTCTTTTTTTTAATTGTAAGCTTTTCAGTTATGTTAAATTATAAGGCTTTATCCTTAAATATTGTTCAAAACATTCTTAAATTAATTAATTCCTTAATTAAAGGAACTTTGAGTTAAGCTAAATTCCTTAAATCTTATTAATATTAACCTTTCTGCGCAAATTGTCTCCAAAGAGTATTTCGCAACCTTTTCGAAACGACGCGCACATGCATGCGGCGTGTTTGCAAAATTGTGTGCGATGCGGTTGCAGGGGGCGGGGCCTATACTCTAGCGTCGTTTGTTTTCGAAACAATATAAGAGACATTTGGCAAGAAAAGGTTATAAATAAAGTGAGAAGAAGAGTTAAGGTTAATTTAAAATTTAATTAATTAAGTTAAGAACGTTTTAAGCAATATTTAAGGATAAAACCTTATAATCAAACATAACTAAAAAGCTTACAATTAAAAAAAAACAAATTGATTAATTATCCAGATGAAGAGTCCAGTTTGTCAAAATTTGGAGCAATTATTATACACAACTTCTCGTGCAGACGAAACATCACATAATTGTGTTATTGTGATTGATAAACATTCTGCACTCACTTTTGGAGCACATCAGAATTTGACTGAAAATCAAGTTGTTACCATTTATAATGTACTGGATAGCAGTTTACAGTTTGAGGTATGAAAGGGTACTTAAAGTATAATTAAATAATACTCTAAGCACAGTTTAACGGGTACCCTTAAGGTACTGGGATCATATAAGGCACGCTTAAATGCTCGCTTAAACAATTAAAAGATGATTAACGTTATTTTACGTTAACGCTAAGTGCTTTTTCCAGTGTGTCATTGGCAAGAGATTAGACTCTTGTGATTTGGTGTGTCTCAAAGTCATTGACGGCGAATTCCCTGTGGTTCCAAAGTTGGATGGTTCGATTTCTGAGGGTCGAGAATATATGATGGTTGGGTTGGATGCTGAAAGATGTCCGATTTGGAGGGATGGAGTGATTTCTGAGAGAAAGGGTAGGTCGAGTGCAAACCGGAAGCTTCCGCGAAGCGGCACTATCTTCCGCGCAGCGGTAAGGCTTAGGCTTAAGCCTAGGTCGAGCGCCCCCGGCGCGAGTGTGGACCGGAAGCTTCCGCGAAGCGGTAAGGCTTAGGCTAAGCCTAAGGTTTCGGATAAGCCTAAGGTCTCTGATAAGCCTAACGTTTAGGGTAAGCCTAAGGTCTATGAGAAGTCTAACGTTTCGGATAAGCCTAAGGTCTCTGATAAGCTTAAGGCTCGGGCTTAAGCCTCATATCAAGTCGATCGCTTTTTGCGCGAGTGTAAACCGGAAGCTTCCGCGTAGCGGTAAGGCTCAGATCTGGAAATGTTCACTTTACGTTTTTTACGTTTTGCGGGTTTTTACCCTAAAATCCATTTAAAAAAATTTTAAATAAAATTTTGATCAAATCAATTAATTTTTTATGGATAAAATATGTTGGAGTTACGATAAGTTACCAATTATTAAAGAAAATTTTGATGTTTTCAGTGAAGCAGTTCGGCTCAGCCGTTTGGTTAAATCAAGCCCCTAATCCCTTATCCCAGGGCCTGGGCCCCAGGCCTTAACTACCCAAGCACCACATTTACAGAAGAAGAAACCTACTACACCGGAACATCTGAAGGAGATTTCCCGGGTGCTGGAATTTTCGACAAGTGTGGAAGATATCTCGGAATTGTCATCGACAAAGATCTAACTGAATCAGCTGACAACCGAATTCGAATAATTGGTCAAGAAGATAGTCTGGCGATATGTGACCACATGAAATCAGCTAAAAAATATGTGCATTCTCCGGACTGGGAGTACTGTGAATCACCACCAAGCTATGGACAGGCGGCTTCTCCAGCCTATAGTTATGGATCGCCAAGCTATAGACAGGCTTCTCCAGCCTATAGTCATGGATCACCAAGCTATGGACAGGCGGCTTCTCCAGCCTATAGTTATGGATCACCAAGCTATGGACAGTATTCACCAGACTATAGTCATGGATCACCAAGCTACACACAATATTTTTCGGTTAACGGACAGTACTATAGCTATACATGATTCTTCAGGATTTTTTTAAAATCCCAAATTTCATTTGTGCTTTTTGGGCTAACTAATTATACAATAATTTTGTTAATTACAATTTTAATTTTAATTTTGTACATAAAAAGTTATTATTCGTAACTACTCGAAATTCAAAAAATCAAAAAAAAAATTCCAGACCAAAATTTATTTCTGTTTTCTGAGAACATAAATTCGAAAATCCAAAAAAATTCTTGTTTCTCTGGAAACTTTCATTTTTTCCTTCTGGAAAAAAATGTTTCTGGTTTTTTGTCTATTTTGTCATATTTTTGTGGCTCGAATTTCGCATCAAACCATGATAATAACATGGGGACAATTGGAGAATTTTGGAGAATAATTGTATGCAATCTTGGACCACCGAAGGCGAGGACGAAGACGAAGAAGATACATGTATAAGTTTTTGTGACCAATATTCAACTTGTGTTTTGGCTCATTTCGACCGTCCAACTTCAACTTGTAATACTTGCCTAGCACCAGTAATCGCTCAGAAATTGGACAATTCGCAATCGAAAAAAATCGCTCTCAAAATTGACTCAGTCCAATCTTGCGCAGAAAATCCGTATCGAAATTATTCGATCACACTATCAAATAAAAATTATGGCATAATTTATGATGATAAAGCTGGGATTTGGAATATTACAGAAAAAGAATGTGTTACTATGGAATGTGTAGCAAATAAGTTAAAAAGGTACATTTCAACAATATTTTGCGAATAATTTCGAATTTTTCAGCAATGGTTATAAATGATTTTGCCACGTCATAAGTATTTTGCTCTCAAATAAAACGATACTTGAATGTGACTTTAATTTTCTTTGAATATATTTGATCTTGGTTTTCAAAAATAGCAAAAAATGTATAATTTTCATCTTAGTTTACACAGTACCCCAATTCCAAACATTTTCCAGCCAAATTTTCAGATTTTTTGATTTCTTCGAAAATTGTTCGCACCAAGTTATAACACCCGATCCCTGTATAATCAAACCAGCAAATCTAAAAAAAAATTTAAAATTTTTTTAAAAATTTAAAATTTTTTTAAAAATTTTTTACCTCATCTTTTCCAGTGCCATAAACAAGGTCGGTAAAATTAGTGATATCATTTTGCTCCACAAAATTTGCACATTTTTCACAGCTATAAAAATATTGCGCGCTTGCGAGCGACATCAAGAAAATCTGCAATTTCAGCATGATTTTTTTTATGTTGAAGAAAAATTTGGCCAAATTTTTATAGGAGACTGGAATTTATGAGGTGGGAAAAGGGCTTTGGGAAAGTCCGATTTTTTGACTGTTTCAAAAAAAGTTTAAGTTGTGAAAATGAAGTTGGATTCTTGAGAACTGCAAAAAGTACTGTACCTCCCAAATGTACATAAGTGGAAGAAACGAATGCATTTGTTTAATCTACAGTACTCTTTGCAGTTTGGGAAGAACATTTTTTCAAATTAAAAAAAATCAAAAATCAAATTTTCTAGGTGAATTTCAGCGGACATTTCATTTTTTCAGATTTGATTATGGTGCATGGATGGTTTTGTGTGGAAAACCGGCGATTTTGAGATAATTTCTTTTATTATTACTCTGAAAAACAATAAAAAGGTAGAAAAACAATAAAATTTGAATTCTTCATTGAAATTCCCAAAATGAATCAGGAAAAATAAAAAGCATGCCGCAAAATTGCAAAAACAGTGTGCGAGGTGTTGTTGTTTGTGGGCGGGGCCTATTTTATTTATTTTTTTCTCGCCGTTTTTCGTTTTTTTCTGGGGTTTTGGGGGATTTTTCGATGTTTTTGTGTTTGGAAACTTTGAGCAACTTGAAAATCAGAAAATTTAGCCCAGAAATCATGAAAATTTCCGGAAATTTTCAGATTTTTCGTTTCAAAACAAGGTTTTTTGCGAAAAATCAATATTTTCCAGGAAAAATGCACAGACATCGTCGATCTCGCTCCAGATCAAGATCTAGATCTCGTTCCCAGATCTCACCACATCGAAGTGGCTCAAGCGGACTTACGGCAAGTCAAAAACGCATCATGGAAATGGAGGCGCGGATTCGAGCGCTAGACAAAAGCCTGGAAGCCTCTTCGCACAAAATTCAGGTCTATGAGGAGAGGGAAAAACAACTTTCAAGAAGCCCGAAAGCAAAAAGAGCCCGAAGCCCTCAAAGAAGGCCAAGAAGTCCAGCAAGAAGGCCGAGAAGCCCTGAAAGACGGCCCAAAAGCCCAAGAAGGTCTAGAAGTCCCGAAGAGAACAAATTCCGAAGAATCAATGATTTTCGGCTGGAATTTGAAGCCTCAACTTCAAATTTTCGCGAAAATCCGGCCTATGAACCGCTTCCAGTTTATCCGACTTCAGAATCGTCTGGAAAATTTGCGTTTCCAAGTTTTTGGAGAGCTGATGAGCCGGAAATTTGTGCGGAACCTGTGCCAATTTATCCGGGACCATTTTTCAAAGAAGATGAAGATGAAGAAGAGGAAGAAGGTATAGATCGAAGGGAAGTAGAGCGGGAGAGAAGGTGGAGAAAAAGGTGAGTGATTTTGGGCTGGAAATATCGATTTTTGACTGAAAATTGGTCTGGAATCGGAAAATTCGAGGTTTTTTTGTCCAGAAAGCTGAAAATCATAATTTTCTACTGAAAATGACCCCATAAACTTGAAATTCTGCAATTTTCTTTTAAAATTGCTCCAGAAGCTTAAAATTCTACTCATTTCAGTCTGGGAAGCTGAAAATCATGATTTTCGACTGAAAATTGCTCCAGAAGCTTGAAAATCTGTATTTTTTGGTCCCTAAGCTTGAAATTAAGCAATTTTTGACTGAAAATTGGTCTAGAATCGGAAAATTCGAGGTTTTCTGGTCCAGAAAGCTGAAAATCATGATTTTCTACTGAAAATTGGTCTAGAATCGGAAAATTCGGGGTTTTCTGGTCCAGAAAGCTGAAAATCATGATTTTCTACTGAAAATAGGTCTAGAATCGGAAAATTCGAGGTTTTTTGGTCCAGGAAGCTGAAAATCGTGATTTTTGTCTAAAAGTTGGTCTAGAAGCTGGAAAATTGACCATTTTAGCCTAGAAACCTTCAAAAACTGAAATTTCGAGGGATTTGATACTAAATTGCTCTAAAAGCTTGAAAATTTCACATTTTCAACTCGAGAAGCTGAAAATTTGGAAATTCTAACTGAAAATTGCTCCAGAAGCTTGAAAATTGACCATTTTTAGCCTAGAAACCTTAAAAAACTGAAATTTTGAGGGATTTGATCCTAAATTGCTCAAGAAGCTTGAAAATTTCACAATTTCGGTCCTTAAGCTTGAAATTATGCAATTTTTTACTGAAAATGGCTTCAGAAGCTGAAAATCATCAATTTCAGCTCAGAATTCGATATTTTTGCTCAAAATTAATTTAAAATGCTCCCAGAGCTCCAAAAATCCTGAAATTTGGCTCAAAAACCACGTCACAACTCAAATTTTCCCGAATTTTTGCAGAGAAGAAGAAAAAAAGCAGCTGGCAGAATTGGCACAAAAAGCCGAAAAAATCCGCAAACAACACCTGATGGAAGTGGAAAAAAAGAGGAAAAAACAAGAGAAAGAAGAGGAGGAGGAAAAACGAAGAAAAAAGAGAGAAGCCGAGAAAAAAGAGGAGGAAATTCGGAGGAAAATGAGAGAAAATGAGAGGAAAATGGAGGAATTGAGAAGGAAAAAGAAGGAAAAAGAGAATGAAAAGAAGGAGAAGGAAATGACGAAAATCAGCCAAAAGACCGTGTATTCCAATTATATTGATCGAATTTTGGTTTTCTTCAAAGAGCTCAAATTGTCACTGGGAGCATTGAATTATGATTCGAGTTTTAAGAGGAATGAAAAAGGATATGATGGTTGGTGCATTTTTTGGGCTGAAAATTTGAGAAATTCGGCTGAAAATGAGCATTTTGAGCTGAAATTCGAGAAAAATCAGTGAAAAATGAGCATTTTGAGCCAAATTTCGAGAAAAATGATGAAAAACTGAGTTTTCCTGGTTTTTGAGCTCAAATTTGAGATTTTTAGCTGAAAATAGGTGAAAACTGAGTATCTAACAAGATACGCAGCCAAATTTATACTAAAATTAGTTTCTTGACTGAGTATTAAACGTACACAGCCAAATTTATCCTAAAATTAGTTTCTTAACTGAGTATCTAACGAGATACGCAGCCAAATTTACTTCGCATCTGTTGACTGAGTATCTAATGAGATATGCAGTCAAATTTATCCTAAAATTAGTTTCTTGACTGAGTATTAAACGTACACAGCCAAATTTATCCTAAAATTAGTTTCTTAACTGAGTATCTAACGAGATACGCAGCCAAATTTACTTCGCATCTGTTGACTGAGTATCTAATGAGATATGCAGTCAAATTTATCCTAAAATTAGTTTCTTGACTGAGTATTAAACGTACACAGCCAAATTTATCCTAAAATTAGTTTCTTGACTGAGTATCTAACGTACGCAGTCAAATATACCCCAAATTCATTGCGTACTATTTGCTTGAGTATCTAACGTACGCAGTCAAATAGGTTCTAACATTTACTGTTCATTTTTTGACTGAGTATCTAACGTACGCAGCCAATTTTGTCCATCCCAAATTTCAATTTTCAGATTGGACCACAATTTGCCACATCACAAACATCCCAAAAGAGCTAATTAGCGCAACTTCGATCGGAAAAGAGACGAAACAGTGAGAAATTTTTGAATTTTGCAATTTTCGCGCCGAAAATTGGCTTTAGCTACAAGAAATGCGTCAGCAATACACTTTGCTGACGCATATTTTGTACCCGGCCTTATTTGGTCTCAAAATGCTCGAAATTTCGCGGGGAAAACGCCACGTGGCATATTTTTTGCGCGAAAAATCATGAGCTACAAAAAATGCGTCAGCATTACACCTTGTTGACGCATATTTTGTACCCCGTCTTATTTGGTCTCAAAATGCTCCAAATTTCAAGGGGAAAATTGCCACGTGGCATATTTTTAGCGAAAAAATCATGAGCTACAAAAAATGCGTCAGCATTACACCTTGTTGACGCATATTTTGTACCCCGTCTTATTTGGTCTCAAAATGCTCCAAATTTCAAGGGGAAAATTGCCACGTGGCATATTTTTAGCGAAAAAATCATGAGCTACAAAAAATGCGTCAGCATACATTTTGCTAGCGCATATTTTGTACCCGGCCTTATTCGGTCTCAAAATGCTCCAAGTTTCACGGGGAAAATTTCCACGTGGCTTATTTTTAGCTGAAAAATCATGAGCTACAAGAAATGCGTCAGCATTACACTTTGCTGACGCATATTTTGTACCCGGACTTATTTGGTGTCAAAATGCTCCAAATTTCGCGCTAAATTCAAATTTTCATTCCAGCGTCTCCCGAAATCATGCAGTCGAGCGGTTTTTCGAAAAATTGGTCCTATTCGGAATTTTGCCAAAAAACGTCAAAGAGGATTTTCTGAAGTACAAAACGTATCCCGTATTTTTGGCCGGAATAATGGATCAATTCTTCAACGATATTGCCATATACGGAACACAAATCAGTGGTAAAATTTTCAGCAATTTTCAGATTTTCAGCCATTTTCTCTCCGGATTACTGTAGATCGTCAAGTTTGACGCGTTTTGACACCAAACACGCCAGCAAAATGCTTGCTGACGCGTTTTTTGTAGATGATTCGTATTTTTTCCCGATTTTCCACCTCCCAGACCAGAAAATTTGAAAAAATCCCGTTTTCCCACGTTTTTAGTCTCAAAATTGACAGTTTTCTACTAGAATCACCCAAGTTCCCATTTTCCCGAATTCCCAGTTTCCCAAGCTCCCAAAATCCGAGTTTCTCTAACTTCTAGCTCCAAAAAGATTCCGAACTGCAATTTGCAGCAAATTTCAAGAGCTCTAATATTGATTTTTGAATTTTTCGCGGAATTTTGAGTTTTTAGACACCCATATTCATATACTTCCGATAACTTTGGAAAATTTTCAAAGTTATCGGAAGTATATAAATATGGGTGTCTAAAAACACGAAATTTCACGAAAAATTCAAAAATCGATATTAGAGCTCATGAAATTTGTCGATTTTTGAGTTCCCCGTGAAATTTCGAGTTTCTAGACACCCATACTTACCATAAGTCCCTATTTTTCTTCTTCCCACAGTAACCGCCGATCGTGAGATGACGAAAAAGTTCGCCGAATTCACCAAGCAAAAATCGCACGATTTCTGGAAACGTCAACAAACTGTCGTCGTACGTTTTTGCTGTTTTCGCGGGCCCGAAAATCGAATTTTTGAAAATTTAAGGAAGCGTTTCTCAAGTGCCAAGTTGCTGAAAAAGTTCCGAAGAATTTGCTCGAAGCTACAAAATCTGCGCCAGCAAGACCGCCTACAAGTTATGCGCCAGCAACACCAACAACAGCAGCTACCCAAATTGCGCCAATCATGAACTACTTGCAAACATGCGTCAACAATCAACAGCCGCATTTCAATCCGATGGGACCACCACCGTCTATTCAATATATGGGCCCAGGCCCGGCCCAAATGGGGCCTGGCCCATTTCTTGGCCCACCAATCATGGGACCACCACAAGAATTTCATTTTTTCGCCGGCCCACTTCAGCCCCCGGCTCAAGGGCCCCCAGCTCCACGACCCGATTATCCGGTACAATGTTTTCCGCAAGGCACCGCGCGGACATCTATCAAGCCGCAACCTCTGATGGGCCCGAATGCGGAAGCGGAAGCGAATATCGATTGGTTGAATGATATTTTTGAGTAGATTTAGGGCTTTGGGCTTGAAAAATGCTGAAAATCCGGGGATTTTCAGCATTTTTCTAGCTAAAAATTATCTGAAAAATTTGAAAATCCCGAATTTTCGCTGAAAAAATGCTGAAAATCCCGAGCTCCTCTGGATTTTCAGCATTTTTTGTGGCGAGCTTGCGGAAGCTATGCTCAAAAATTGATTTTTAGCTGGAAATATTGATTTTTGCCTGAAAATTCAAAATTTCTAGCTAAAAATTATCTGAAAATCCCAAAATTTCGCTGAAAAAATGCTGAAAATCCCGAGATTCTCTGGATTTTCAGCATTTTTTGTGGCGAGCTTGCGGAAGCTATGCCCAAAAATTGATTTTTAGCTGAAAATATTGATTTTTGCCTGAAAATTCAAAATTTCTAGCTAAAAATTATCTGAAAATCCCGAACTTTCGCTGAAAAAATGCTGAAAATCCCGAGCTTCTCTGGATTTTCAGCATTTTTTGTGGCGAGCTTGCGGAAGCTATGCCCAAATTTCAATTTTTGACTGAAAATATTGATTTTTACCCTTAAATATGACCTTAAATTTAAGGTCCTAACCTTAATTTTCAAGCCCAAAGTTCCTTTAAGTTTTAATTGATTTTTTTTACTTGCATGATTTTTTTTTTGAAAATCCTCCATATGTTTTAATAAAGATTTTAAAAGCTAATTTTTCGCTTCCCCGAAAAAATATCGATTTTTGCCACGTCATAACTCGAATTTTTAGTTTTCTAAGAAAAAATTCAAAAAATCCCGCTTTCCCGCCAAAAATCCCGATTTTTGTAGTCCGGTTACTGTAGTTTTCATCAAAGGAACACGGAGTTTTGGGTCTCGACGCGAAATCTACCGTACTCCTCCCATGACGTCATAATTTATTGATTTTTCTTCGATTTTTTTGAATAAAAGTTGTTTTTGGAAAAAAGACATTTGCATGATCCTTTGAAGTGGGTTACTGTAGTTTTAGGAAAATTTGAGAAGATTTGGATTACGGTAGGTTTGAAGAACTGTATGTTCCTTTAAGACAGGTTACTGTAGTTTTGAAATTTTCAGGAAAAATTGCATGTTCCTTTAAAAATCATACTGTAGAAATTAAAAACAAAATCAATTTTCACGTGACACCAATTTTTTTTTTGGAAAAAAATTGAAAATTTGAATTCAAAAATTTTGGCGGGCTCATTTTTTATTCAAATTTTTGTGGGAAATGAATCCACAAAAAGTTCGATTAGCACAAGTTTTAGAAGTGGGTTACTGTAGATTTTGGCGGCGGGAAATTTGAAAATTTCAAAAAATTTTTGCAGAGGAGACGAATTCAGGAGAAGAAGGAGAAGGCGAAAAAAGTCAAGTGAGTTTGGGCCTAAAATAGGCCTTTTCAGGCCTAAAATAGGCCTTTTCAGGCCCTTTAGGCCTGAAATAGGCCTTTAGGCCCTCTAAAAGCCCCCTTTTTTTGCAGGCCAAAAAGTCGCAAGAAAAATGAGACAAATCGAGAATTGTACATCAAGGCGAGCATGGAAACCGCAAAACCCAGTGACGACACAACGGCCACCGAGTAGGTCAAATTTTGGCGGGCCCCAAAAATTATGCCACGTGGCTTTTTCGCCGCGAAATTTGGAGCATTTTGACACCAAACAAGGCTGGGTACCGAAAATGCGTCAGCAAAGCTCTATGCTGACGTGTTTTTGGTAGCTACAAATTGTGCGCCAAGGAGAGTCTATGCGCGAATTTTGAAAATTCAAAAATTTTTGAATTTCAAAATTCTCGCGCTTCAAAAATCATGAGCTACAGAAAACGCGTCAGCATTACACTTTGCTGGCGCATTTTTTGTACCCAGCCTTATTTGGTCTCAAAATGCTCCAAATTTCGCGGGGAAAACGACACGTGGCATATTTTTAGCGGAAAAATTTGGAAATTCAAATTTTTCGCAGATTTTCACCTGACGAATTCGATGACGAAAAATTTCAAAGCATCAAAAACGAGCTGCTGCGAAATCTGATGCTCGAAAATCTGAAACTCGACAAATATCTGAAAATTTTGGCTGAAAATGAGAAAAAGCTGAAAATGATGGAGGAGTCGGTGATTAAGTGGTTCGATCGATATGAGGAAATGTTACGGGGTTTCGAGGAACAAATGAATTTCTATGATCAGGGAAGAGAGGAAAATATGCAACAATTGCTTCTGGAGGTACTGTAGGGCCCTTTTTTTGCAAAATTCTGATACCAGGGGCGTTTTCCCCGCGAAATTTGGAGCATTTTGACACCAAATATGCTGGGGTACAAAAATTGCGCCAGCAAACATGTTCACTGACGCGTTTTTTGTAGCCTATGATTTTTTTGGGGACGAAATTTGAATTCAGCACCTAATTTCGATCATTTTGACACCAAATATGCCGGGATACAAAATTTGCGCCAGCAAGGTGTAATGCTGACGCGTTTTTTGTAGCTCATGGGTTTTTGGCGGGAAATTTGAATTTTCAAATTAAAAAAAAAAATTATATCATGTGACCACTCTTTCAAACCAGAATTTCAAGGGGAATTCGAAATTTTCCAAGAAAAAGGTCAGGGGTTCGAGCCCCACTGCCTGCGAACTTTTTTATTTTTTTGAAAATATATCAAACGACCACTTTTTCGAATCGGAGTTTCAAGGGGAATTCAAAATTTACCAAGAAAAAGGTCAGGGGTTCGATCCCCGCTGCCTGCGAACTTTTTTATTTTTTTGAAAATATTTCATGTGACCACTCTTTCGAACCGGAATTTCAAGGGGAATTCAAAAATTCACTCCAAAAATTAATTTCAGGTCGAACCGCTGGCCCATCGTTGGAAAGAGCTCATAAATCGTCTGGAAAAAATGAAAGAAGTCAAAAATTTCAGCTCATTTCTGAATTACGCGCACAGTCTATCGATTTATGAGCATTGTTTGCACTACGGTATTTTGGCGACTCGGAAAATATTGTACACTTTTGCTGTTATTCGGGATTATGTGTTTCCAGGTAATCGAAATGAAAAAATGGAGACAGCTTCGGAGAGAAGCCCTTTAGTAGCTGTTAAATGAATTTTTTTTCGAATTCGCGGTCAAAAATTATGCCACGTGGCGTTTTCCCCGCGAAATTTGGAGCATTTTGACACCAAATAAGGCGGGGTACAAAAAATGCGCCAGCAAGGTGTAATGCTGACGTGTTTTTTGTAGTAGCTACAAATTTTGCGTCAAAGAGATTAGTGAAATTCGATAGCTACAAATTGTGCGCCAGCAAAATGCTAGAGAATTGAGATTGACGCAAATTTGGTAGCTACAAAATATGCGTCAAGGGGAATGTTTGCTGACGTGTTTTTTGTAGTTGTGGGTTTTTGGCGGGAAAATTTGAAATTCAAAAATTTTCGAAATTCAAAAAATATTGCCACGTGGATATTTCGGCGCGAAAAAAATGATTTCAAAATTTTTGAAGTTTTTTCGCGCGAAAATTTGGATATGTCAAGAGTACTGTAGTTTCAATAGTTCTATGGGTTACTGTAGCTTCTGAAGATTACTGTAGCTCTCGAAAAATCCCCGGATTACTGTAGAATTACCGTAGTTCACAAGATAATTTTTTATTACAACAAAATAAAGCTGAAAAAGATCATAAGGTGAAAGAAAACAGGGAAATTTCAGATTTTCAGCCAAAAAATGCTGAAAATCGATATTTTCAGCATTTTCAGCTGAAAATTTCGAAAAATTTACTTAATTTCATCCGGTGTTTTTTGGCGTTTCCAAGATTGTGGAATTATCAGCGCGAGAACCAGCAAAGTGTAGAGAATTAGGGTCAAAACTGCAAATGAGGCCACATATTCCATACGATTATTGCAGGAGAGAGTTGAGAAGCACGGTCTGTAATGTGAAAATTTGAATTTGAATTTTTCGCGCGCGTTTTTTTGATACCAAACATGCCCGGGTTTTTTCAAAAATTCAAAAAAAAAAGTTCGCAGGCAGTGGGGATCGAACCTGTGACCTTTTTCATGAAAATTTTTGAATTCCTCTTGAAATTCTGATTCAGAAAAGTGGTCACATGATATATTTTTTCCAAGCAGAAGGTCAGGCGTTCGAACCCCGGTGGGAACTATTCTGAAATTTTTTTTTAATTTTTTGGAAAATATATCATATGAGCAATGTTTCGATTCAGAATTTTGAGAGGAATTCAAAATTTTCCAAGAAAAAGGTCACAGGTTCGATCCCCGGTGCCTGCGAGATTTTTTTTTGGAAAATATATAAAATGACCACTTTTTCGAATCAGAATTTGAGAAGGTTGGTTGATTTTCAGATTTTTTCGGGAAAATTCTGAAATTTTTGAATTCTTCTCGAAATTTCCGATTTTTTGACACCGAATACGGTTATTTTTGGATGATTTTGCGAAGAAAAAGGTCAAGGGTTCGAACCCCGGTGGGAACTATTCTAAATTTTTTTTTTATTTTTTGGAAAATATATCATGTGACCACTCTTTCGACTCAGAATTTCACGAGGAACCCAAAAAAATCAAAAATTTTCCAAGAAAAAGGTCACAGGTTCGAACCCCGGTGCCTGCGAGATTTTTTATTTTTTGTAAAATTTATCATATGAGCAATGTTTCGATTCAGAATTTCACGAGGAATCCAAAAAAATCAATAATTTCCCACAAAAATCAACTCACAGTGTATCAAAGCTCAAAAACGTAACATATCCCACAACACATTGAATGGCGGCTAAAATGAGCAAACTCGCTCCAATCGCACGATGAATCGGAATAAGTCGTGCACGATGTTTCACCGAAGCACACGGCATTAAAAATGTGAAAAATCCGAAGGTGAATTGAAGAATATACACGGTGAGCAGACATACACCGATCCAACTGTGGATACTGTAGAAATGCTTGTTTCCACCCAGATTTTTGTTAATTATAATTGCAATTAGCGCAGTGATTCCGAGAGAAATTGCCAGAAAATGCAGAATTCCATGGATTAATTTTGATATTATTTTCGGCTCGTAGCGGTAGATACGGTAGGAGAGAAGAGCTGCAAAAAAAAAAATTTTAATTAGTTCCCACCGGGGATCGAACCCTTGACCTTTTTCTTGGGAAAATTTTGAATTCCTCTTGAAATTCTGGTCATATGATATATTTTCGAAAAAAAAAACTAAAAATCTCGCAGGCACCGGGGATCGAACCCCTAACCTTTTTCATGGAAAATTTCGAGTTCCTCTTAAAATTCTGAACTAGAAAAGTGGTCACATGATATATTTTCAAAAAAAAATAAAAATTCTCGCAGGCACCGGGGATCGATCCCCTGACCTTTTTCTTCGAAAAATTTCGAATTTTTTTGCAAAATTATCCAAAAATAACCGTGTTTGGTGTCAAAAAATCGGAAATTTCAAGAAGAATTCAAAAATTTCAGAATTTTCCCGAAAAAAGCTGAAAATCCACCAACCTTCTCCCTGAAAAAACACAAATCCCAGCACCATCAAAAATCCGTGAAATTGAATTCCATAATAATCATGTTGCTGTTTTGTGGGCCAAGTTAGGCCATCTCGAAAAGTGTTGAAAAAATAGCCGTTTAGGAGTACTGTAGTGAATCCGAAGAAATGTGTGATGGCTAGAATGTACTCGTATGACGTGGCAGATGAAGCAGCCATTTTTTGGCTGAAAATTTTTGAAAATTCTGAAAATTTGCAAAATTTTGGTGAAAAAATCATGAAAATTGATGGATTTCGAAGGTTTTTGGAGAAAATTTGAATTTCCCGCCAAAAAACTTGTTGGCGCGAAAATGTGAAATTCAAAAATTTTTCAAAAAATAAAATTTTATCAATTTTCTTGAGAAGTTTATACTTATTTACATTATGAGTCAGGGTTTTTTGAAAAAAAATTTGAAAATAAAAAAAATTTAAGCGTAGGTTGGAATTTTTGAAGAAAATTTGAATTTTGAAATTTTCGCGCGAAAATTTCTGAATTCAAAAAATCTTGAATTTCAAATTTTCGCGCGAAAAATTCTGAATTCAAAAAAAATTGCAGGAAAATTTGAATTTTGAAATTTTCGCGCTAAAAATTCACAAATAACTTTTTCGCGCGAAAATTTCAAAATTCAAATTTTCACTGAACAAAAATTTTTTGGGCGCGGTCCAAAAAAGGGTTTAAAATGCCGTGCGATAATAAGTGTCGTAAAATTTTGACAATTTTCCCGCCAAAAATCGATAAAAATTCAAATTTCAGTGAAATTTTCGAAATTTTAGCGCGAAAATTTCCAATTTCAAATTGATTTTTGAATTTCAAATTTTGGCGCCAACACTCAAAAATATTGAAAGAGAGTATAAAACATAAAACAATTTTTGGCCAGCACAAAAAAAGCAAAAAAAAAGTTGGCTGATAAGAAAAATAGCGTTTTTGTACAAATATTACTATTCGAATCGAATATTAGTGTTTTTATTTATTTTTGCGTCTTTTCTTTATCACAAAAGAAGAAAGGCCGTGCATTAAAACTACAAAAAATGCGCCAGCAAATAGGGGGGATTGACGTGTTTTTGGTAGCTATAGAAATTGCGTCAATCATAGTTAAGGTTGACGCGTTTTCGGTAGGTCAAAACCCTTCCTTGACACATATTTTGTAGCTACAAAAATTGTGTCCGAACAAAAACCAAAAAAACTGATAAGCATGGGAAAAACGATCATTGACCTTCAATGGCGCAGTCGGTTAGAGATTGGAATTTGAGTTGAGAGGTCAGGGGATCGATTACCACTGGGTGCAAATTTTTTTTAAAAGTAATGACGTGGCAAAGCACTAAAATTCAAATATTTATTGTTTCTATACGTTATAAAAGTAATCTTTGGGATTTTCTTGAATTTTCTGAATCTCAATAATATTCTTTGCATCCTTATACCATACATAATCCTTTGAAAGATGATCTTTATACCAAAAATCACCATATTCTTGTCTTAAAACATCCAAAGAATTGCAAGGAACCCAAAAAATCGCGCCAAAAAGATCAGCCGAACAAAATTCGAGCGGGAAACTTGCGATTATTGAGGACATATATTGAAATTTGTATATTGAAGGTGTGACGGGCTTGTTCTTGAGTTTTTGTTGGGCTGCGATTGCAATATAGGGGCCAGGCCCGGTTTTAGGCTCGTAGAGAATCCATAGATCAATTCCGACTTTTTTGTTGGCATAAAATGAGATTATTAAAGGTTCTTCAATTGTTCCCAATCTTCTGGCTATGGTGAAATTTCCGAATTTTGCGAATTTTTGCATAAAGTCCTAGAAAATGTGATTTTTTGAAGCCAAAAATACAAAAAGAAAAAAAGTTGTGCAGGCGAGGGGAATCGAACCTGCGATGCTTGACCAAAAGACGCGCGTGCTAACCACTCTGCCACGCCCATCTTTTTTCTTCCTGCCGAAAATTTCGATGAAAAGAGCGCTCACCTTGGGTAGATCACTTTTCCGCGCGATAAAATCGATATCCTTGGTATGCGGAATGATTCCGCATTCCCTATACCATCCCAATAATGTTCCACTCTCTAAAATTGGCAAAATCCCGAATTCCTCCATGAAAATATCGCGAAATTCGCGCATGACTTGCGGAAAATAGACGGAATTTGGGTAGGGTGCGGTTGTCCGCGTGATTTTCATGTTGCGGCATTCGCGGAATCGCGAAAATCTCCAAGATTTCTTGAAATTTTCCAGTTTTTTGGGATTTTCAGATGATTTTGTCGATTTTCAGCCGTAAAAATTGATTTTGGCATCAAATTTTTGTTTTGAAATTCGAAATAATCCTTGGCCTCCTGGTTACTGTAGAATAGGATTTCAAAATTTTCCGGGAAATATTCGGGGATCAAATTTTGATATTTAACATCGATTGCAATCTGCAAAGGGTTACTGTATTCTAGGGTTACTGTAGGGCCTACCGTACCTCAATTTTCCTGTGAAAATTCCTGGGAACACAATGATTTTCATCGAATTTTTCCAGAATTTCGAAATCCATTAAAATCACACCAAATTCTTCCTCGAAATTCCAGCATTTTTGATTTTCAGCCGAAAATTTCAGAAAAATCAAAAATGTGATAAAAATCAGCAAAGTTGCGATAAGTTTGTTCCTGGATTTTAGCCTAAAAATTAAGGGTTACTGTAGGGTTACTGTAGATCAAAAATACTCACTTTAGCCCAGAAATTGACATTTTTTCAAAAAAATTATTTTTTCCCGGAAAAAATAATTAAAAATGAGGGGAAATCGTGGATTTTCAAAATTTCACGTGAAAAAAAATTTTTTTTTATTTTTCACGTGAAATTTCCAATCATTTTCATTTTTTTTTTGCAAAAAAATTTTTTTTTTGAAAAAATGTCGATTTCCGGGCTAAAGTGAGTTTTTTGATCTACAGTAACCTACAGTAACCCATAATTTTTAGGCTGAAATCCAGGAACAAACTTATCGCAACTCTTCTTATTTTCATCACATTTTTGATTTTTCTCAAAATTTTTCTTAAATTTTCTGCTGAAAATCAAAAATGCTGGAATTTCGAGGAAGAATTTGGTGTGATTTTGATGGATTTCGAAATTTTGGAAAAAATCCATGAAAATCATTGTGTTCCCAAGAATTTTCATAGGAAAATTGAGGTACGGTAGGCCCTACAGTATCCCTAGAATACAGTAACCCTTTGCAGATCGCAATCGATGTAAAATATCAAAATTTGATCCCAGAAAGTTTCCCGGAAAATTTCGAAATTCTTTTCTACAGTAACCAGGAGGCCAAGGATTATTTCGAATTTCAAAACAAAAATTTGGTGCCAAAATCAATTTTTACGGCTGAAAATCGACAAAATCATCTGAAAATCGCGAAAAACTTGGAAATTTTCAAGAAAACTTGGAGATTTTCGAGATTCCGCGAATGCCGCAACATGAAAATCACGCGGAAAACCGCACCCTACCCAAATTCCGTCTATTTTCCGCAAGTCATGCGCGAATTCCGCGATATTTTCATGGAGCAATTTGGGATTTTGCCAATTTTAGAGAGTGGAACTCTATTGGGATGGTATCGCGAGTGCGGAATCATTCCGCATACCAAGGATATCGATTTTATCGCGCGGAAAAGTGATCTACCCAAGGTGAGCGCGCTCTTTTCATCGAAATTTTGGGCTGGAGACAAAAAGATGGGCGTGGCCGAGTGGTTAGCACGCGCGCCTTTTGGTCAAGCATCGCAGGTTCGATTCCCCTCGCCTGCACAACTTTTTTTCTTTTTGTATTTTTGGCTTCAAAAAATCACATTTTCTAGGACTTTATGAAAAAATTCGCAAATTTCGGAAATTTCACCATAGCCAGAAGATTGGGAACAATTGAAGAACCTTTAATAATCTCATTTTATGCCAACAAAAAAGTCGGAATTGATCTATGGATTCTCTACGAGCCTAAAACCGGGCCTGGCCCCTATATTGCAATCGCAGTTCATCAAGAAATCAAGAAAACCAACAAACTTATCCCAACAATATACAAATTTCAATATATGTCCTCAATAATCGCAAGTTTCCCGCTCGAATTTTGTTCGGCTGATCTTTTTGGCGCGATTTTTTGGGTTCCTTGCAATTCTTTGGATGTTTTAAGACAAGAATATGGTGATTTTTGGTATCTTTCAAAGGATTATGTATGGTATAAGGATTCAAAGAATATTATTGAGATTCAGAAAATTCGAGAAAACCCCAAAGATTACTTTTATATCGTGAAAAAAGCTCAATAAATCAATATTTTTTTGATTTTTCAAATTTCTCCCAAAGTCTAGACCCATAAATCCAGGTTTATTTATAAAAAAAATCATCCCGAAATCCATATTTTCATCAAAAAAATGTTGAAATTCCTAATTTTCTTCTCAATTTTCCTTCAACTTCAAGCTAATCAGCAAATTGTGGACAATTGTTCAGATTGTGATGAATTGTCAAAATTGGACTTTCCTTCGTTCAAAAAATCTGTTCATAGATATTTTAATGTAACTCTCAGAAATTTTTTTTCTGGAAAATAATGTTATTTTCAGTTTTGCCACGCAGACCATAAAGGACGGGGTCGTGGATCTGTTTGTGATCCGAAAATTGAAAAGTTTTACGTTTTTTTGAAAAGTGCTGAAAATCCAGCGGAAAAATGTCTGAAAATGGGTTATTGTAAATAAATAAACGATTTTTCATTTGCCACGTCATAACTCAAAATCTCAAATTTTTGGCGATAGCTTCGCCACCGCCGATCCGAAAATATCAAGCGATAAACTTCCCTCCTCCCCTCCCCCTTCTTATATTTTTTGTGTGTGCGACACTTCGCGGGTCTCGCTGTCTGCCATGTTTTGTGTGCAAAAGGGGCGGAGCTTACTCATTTTTCTCGGGTTTTTGAGCGTTTAGGGATGAAATTTTGTGCTGAAAACGATGGAAATGCTCATTTCTAGTGCTTTTCATCAGATTCAGCACAAAATTTCAGCCAGGGCACTTTTTTGGGTGATAAAATCTGAAAATTTTGAAAAAATAAATTTTCAGAGCTGAAAAATGTTTCTAGATCAGAATTTTGTGCTGAAAATCATGGAAATCCTGATTCTCAATGAATTTCAGTTTTTTTTCCCAAAAAAAAACCTTCACTGACGCATTTTCGGTAGCCGCAAAACCTGCGTCAACCTCTCGAAACAATGCTGAGGCAGATTATGTAACTGCCAAAAACGCGTCAGCGAATGCAAATTTGCAAAGGCGCAAATATTGTAGATCAAAATAATAGTAGTGAACAAATGTTCAAGAAGAAATGAGAAAATTTTCAGATTTTTCATATTTTTCAGCCGTTGCCAGGGAGATAAGTAGGGGGATTTGCACTTTTTTCCAAAAAAAAAGTTTTTTGAGGTGAAATTATATGCTGAATGTCATTCCAGCACAAAATTCTGATCTAGAAACATTTTTTCAGCTCTGAAAATGAATTTTTTCAGATTTTCTCTCCAAAAAAATAGTCCTGGCTGAAATTTTGTGCTGAATCTTATGAAAATCACTGAAAATAAAGATTTTCATCGTTTTCAGCACAAAATTTCATCCCTAAAACCCAGGCATGTTCATTTCGCCGGCGAACGCCGAGCGTCGCCTTTTTTATTGAGGCGAAGGCGAGGCGTGCCTCTTTTTTATTTTTCAACGAACAAGGCTAGGCGAGGCGTCGCCCGGCGATTCGCCGGACGAGTTGCATTTTGCAAGTGAGAATAGATTAAATTTTCTTCGATTTTTTCATAAATTCGGTTGTCGGCGGGGTTTCAGCTACCTATTAGCAACATTTTCAATCAAGATTTTGCTTTAGTTTTCACTAAAACGTATATATGGAAAAGAAACAGTTATTTTTAGATAGAAAACATATCGTACAAATGTTCTCATGTAACTGTAAGGCGATATATTTTTATTTCTAAGCTTACAAAAACATTTTGCTGAAGTTGAATGTTTATAAATACAGTTTTTCACAAATTGGGTGAAAAAAACTAGGTTTTCAGTGAAAATGACTCTTTTCTTCACTTCTTTAACCTTAATAATGTGTTTCAGAAGAAATCTTAGCACATAACGTTAAAATATGAGTGAAATTATGCCAATTAATCGTTTTTTATGCAAATAAATTACGTTTCTTCATGAAACAGACAACACACACACGTTTTCTCGCCGCGGCGAAAGCAGGCGAAGGCGAGGCGTGCTTTTTTTATTTTTTCAAATCGCAGGCGAGGCGAGGCACGCCTGCACAAAACTTCGCCGGGCGAAAAGCAGGCAGGCAAAATGAACATGCCTGCTAAAACCTTGAAAAACGTTCAAAAATCAGAGAAAAAAGGGTAAGCTCCGCCCCTTTTGCATACAAAACATGGCAGACAGCGAGACCCGCGAAGTGTCGCACACACAAAAAATATAAAAAGGGAGAGGGGAGGAGGGTGGTTTATCGCTTGATATTTTTTGATCGGCGGTGGCGAAGCTATCGTCAAAAATTTGAGATTTTTAGTTATGACGTGGCAAATTTAAAATGAATAAATATTGATTTATTGGGTTATGACGTGGCAAACAATGACCATTTTGACGTCACGATTTTACAATAACCTTTTTGACGGCACGAATCAGCTGGATTTTTAGATTTTTTCAATAAATCCCAAAAATTCCCAACAAGGCGGTCGCAAATAATCCACGTATTCGTACGTGGCTCGCGGCAAATCTGCAAAATTTGAATTTTTGTTGAAAATTTGAGAAAAAATAGGCTACCTCGATGTATTGTCGAACTTGAATGTCGAATTCTTGAAAATCTGTGATTTTAGCCAATTCATCACAGGTTTTACAAGTTTCGAAAATTATATCCTTAGTTTGAGAAATGGAAATTAGGAAAATTGAGAAGAAAATTGGGAATTTCAACATTTTTTTGATGAAAATTGGATTTTGGACACATTTTTTGAATAGAAACCTAGATTTATAGGGTCTAGACTTTGGGAAAATCAGGAAACTTCGAAAAAATCAATATTTTTTGCCACGTTGATTTTTTCCACATAAAAAATTCACTGTTTCAAAAAATTTCAAAAATTTTGCATTAATTTTTGGTTTTTCTCATACCAAAAGGTTTCCAGGCTGAAATTTTGTGCTGAAACTCACGAAAACTTGATTTTCAGCGATTTTCTATAGTTCCAGCGTTTTCAGCACAAAATTTGGGTCTAGAATCATATTTTTGACCTGAAATTAATTTTTATTCAAAATTTTCAGATTTTCTCACCCAAAAAAATAGTCCTGGCTGAAATTTTGTGCTGAATCTGATGAAAAGCACTAGAAATAAGCATTTCCATTATTTTCAGCACAAAATTTCACCCTAAAACCTTCAAACCTCATGAAAAATGCTCAAAAACCAGAGAAAGATGAGTAAGCTCCGCCCCTTTTGCATACAAAACATGGCAGACAGCGAGACCCGCGAAGTGTCGCACACACAAAAAATATAAAAAGGGGGAGGGGAGGAGTGAAGTTTATCGCTTGATATTTTTTGATCGGCGGTGGCGAAGCTATCGCCAAAAATTTTAGATTGTAAGCTATGACGTGGCAAAATTTAAGTTTTATTAAATTAACAAGACCCGTAAATACAAAAAATCAATAAATCTTTGGCTCCAAAAATGCTCCTTCTAATGACATCCACATTCTTGCACAACCATATCATGATATCTCTTGATTTGCATATCTTTTTTGTGATCTTCTAGCAGAATTTTCATCGATGAAAGTTTCGATGGAACACATTTGGCTTCAGAAGTTATGTTGGGACGCACCAGATTTATCTGAAAAAAATTTGGCTGAAAAGCATGAATTTTGAGGTGAAATTGACCCGGGAAACTTGAAAAATTCAAATTTCCATGTGAAAAGCGGCAAATGCGCTCTATTGAGAATTCGAAAGGTATTGCAGGATTTTTGAATTTTTCAAGGGGAAAAATGGGATTTTTCATTAGTTTCCATGATTTTTAGCTAAAATTTATGAAATTTCATGAATTTTAGCTCAAAAAACTCGAAAATTAACGATTTTTAGCTCAAAATTCATGATTTTCAATGATTTTCCCACCCAAAAACTCACCATACTCTGTACAATCGCATGAGCCGAGACATTCATCGATTTATCGAAAGGAACCGAACAGGCGCCCGAACAATAGAACGCCGAAAATCCCTCCGGTGCAATTACCCACTTTTTCCAACCCAACGCGTCGAAATCCACGTATAATCCCTTTTTCTGACAAATTTCGTTCTTTTCCGCTGAAAATTGGTGAATTTTGAGCTGAAATTCACATTTTTTGCTCAAAAATATTCAAAAATCCTCCCAACTCCGCAAAATTCTCCATAGAGCGCATTTGCCACTTTTCAATTAGAAAACGCTCAATTTCAGCTGAAAGTTTGTGTATTTTGTGAAATTTTCAGGTTTTCGAGGTGAAATTTGTGAAAAATGATGATTTTTAAATAAAAATTCACAATTTCTCACTGAAAACCCCATTTTTGCTCGAAAAATATTCAAAAATCCCTAGAAACCCAGAAAATTCTCAATAGAGCGCATTTGCCCCTTTTCAATTAGAAAATTTGAATTTTTCATGTTTTTTACGCTGAAATTTGTGAAAAATGATGATTTTTAAATAAAAATTCACAATTTCTCACTGAAAACCCCATTTTTGCTCGAAAAATATTCAAAAATCCCCGAAAACCCACAAAATTCTCCATAGAGCGCATTTGCCACGTTTTCAATTAGAAAATTTGAATTTTTCAGGTTTTCGAGGTGAAATTTGTGAAAAATGATGATTTTTAAATAAAAATTCACAATTTCTCACTGAAAACCCCATTTTTGCTCGAAAAATATTCAAAAACCCTCCCAACCCCGCAAAATTCTCAATAGAGCGCATTTGCCACTTTTCAATTGGAAAAATTGAATTTTCATTTTTTCACCCCGTGTACTTCTCTCGGACAACAAAAATTGTCCGGGAGAAGTACACAAAACTCACGTTTCTCGAAATACGCGGATTTGCTGCGGCGTACGCGTTGCGGAACATTGAGAGGCGACGCGGTCACAGCGCGTCGAGACCTGAAATTTGAATTTGCCACGTCATAGCTCAATTTTCATTAAAAATTTTGAAACAGTGAATATTTTTGACCCGAAAAAATCGATTTTTCTCGAATTTTCAGACAAAATTGCCACGTCATAGCTCAAAATTATCGATTTTTTTAGAATTTTCAAAAATTTCCCTACCGTACCTTCGTTTCGGCCCCGCCGCCGCCTGCACATCTTTCACACCAACCACAATAAATGCGTCAATCTCGAGCTCCTGTGCCACGTCATCATTTGTGACGTCATCAGCTTCAGGCTCCGATGACGTCACGAGAGTGAAAGAGATAGTGGGATTTGAGGAGGCGGCAGACATTGTCCAAAAATCGATGACGTCAGCGACGATTCGCGGATTTTCCGGGGTGATTTGGTGTTTTTTGGGGGAGATTCTGGAAAATTCAAATTTTCCCGCCAATATTGCCACGTGGCATCGAATTTGACTACTGTAGATCAAATTTTGGCGCCAAAAATCTACAGTAACCACAGAGACTCACCCTTCTGTATCAAAAACCACCCAAAATGTGTCCGCCACGATTTTTGACCTCAAAATCTCGGCTCTCAGCTCGGCCTTCACAATTTTCGATGCCACGTCATCGCGGCCGCGCGAAAATTTGAGCGCGAAATTTTTCGCGCCACTTTTTTTTCGTGGCGAGACCTCTTCGGAAAGTTGGGTGGTGAGAATACGGTCGGCGTTTTGCCACGTGGCTTTTTCAAAATCTTCATCTTCATCGTCATCTTCATCTGGGTCTTGGCTGGAAAAACAAATGAAATGTAGTACTGTAGCTACAGTACCCCCCCCGAAAATCTTACTGTATCTCCTCATTCTCCAATTCCTTGTACAAATTTCTCATAAATTCGGAAACGCCGGAAATTTTCGAAATTTTTTGATATCCTTCGGATTTCTCAAAATCAAAATCGAATAGTTTTCGAATTTGCTCGCCAATTTTTTCGGTTGAAGTTGGATCACTGAAAATAATAGAAAAAAATTTGAATTCGGGATTTTTCGCGCTGAAAATGACACGTGGCATTGGATTTGGAGCATTTTGATATCAAATATGCCTAGAAGCCAAAAAAATCTTCAAAAATATGTTTCTAGATCAGAATTTTGCGCTGAAATTGGAAATCTAGCTGGAAATCGCTGAAATTGAAGTTTTCCATGATTTTCAGCACAAAATTCCAGCCAGGAAACTTTTTTGGATGAAAAAATTTGAAATTTTTGAACAAAAATTTAATTTCAGGTCAAAAATATGTTTCTAGATCAAAATTTTGTGCTGAAAGTCATGAAAAACCTGGAAATCGCTGAAATTGAGGTTTTCCATGATTTTCAGCACAAAATTCTGATCTAGAACAATATTTTTGACCGGAAATTAATTTTTATTCAAAATTTTCATATTTTTTCATTCAAAAAAGTTTCCCGGCTGAAATTTCGCGCTGAAAATCATGAAAAACCAGGAAAACGCTGAAAATCACGATTTTCAGCACAAAATTCTGATCTAGAAGCAAAGGTTACCTGACAGCTTGTGTATACGTTTTTCCATCGCGTTCCTCCACAATATAAATTCCCTTGCTCTCGAATTTCAGCACAAAAATCGAGAAAATCAATAATTTCAGCATTTTTGCTGAAAAAATTGATTTTTTCAAAAAAAAATCGAAAAATTTGCGAAACTTGAGCCAAGTTTGCTGAAAAGATTTATGTCTCGCGTTTTTTTTCAAAAAAAAAACCAGAAAAAAGTGTGGGCACATGTGTCTGTTCCATTATTTTCTTTCTTTTTCTCTCCGGGGAGACGAGGGAGCGAAAATTGAGAGAGACGCAGAGACAAAATATTTTCTATCCAAAAAAAATGAAACACTGTGTAATAATAATTGATCTAATTTTGGAGACAAAAATAATATATTTTTTATAAAAAAATGTTTTTCTTTATTGTTTGCCACGTCATAACTCAATAAATCAATATTTGTTCATTTCAAAATTGCCACGTCATAACTCAAAATCTCAAATTTTTGGCGATAGCTTCGCCACCGCCGATCAAAAATATCAAGCGATAAACTTCCCTCCTCCCCTCCCCCTTTTTATATTTTTTGTGTGTGCGACACTTCGCGGGTCTCGCTGTCTGCCATGTTTTGTGTGCAAAGGGGGCGGAGCTTACGCTTTTTTCTTGGGTTTTTAAGCATTTTTGATGGGGTTTCAAGGTTTTAGGGGTGAAATTTTGTGCTGAAAATCGAGGAAAACATCATTTTCAGCTAATTCCCCAGTTTCAGCACAAAACTTCAGCCTGGAAACTTTTTTAGCTTTAAAAACCTGAAAATTTTGCACAAAAATTAGTTTCAGCTCAAAAACATGTTTCTAGATCAGAATTTTGTGCTGAAAATCAAGAAAAACCTAATTTTCAGTGATTTTCAGCTTTTTAGTAATTTTCAGTGAAGAAATAAATGTACTTTTTTGAAAAAGTGAAATTTTTTTGTGTTGAAAATTTGAATTTTCAATGAAAACCAAGAAAATATCGAATCAAATTTTGAAAAAATCAGAAAATCGTGGCGAAAAATATTGATTTTTTCGAAATTTCCCACAGTCTAGGGTCTAGACTAAATAAATCCAGACTTCTCTATAAAAATTGGGCCCGAAAGCCCAATTTTTCATTTCAAAAAATGTTGAAATTCCCTATTTTCTTCTCAATTTTCCTCATTTCAACTCTTCAAATTCAGGCTGAAGAGCTAATTTTTGAAAATTGTGAAGAATGTGCATCAGGCTTGTGCGGAAAATGGGTTTTCGGAAAATTTCGGAAAACCGTGTTTTTCCGAAATCATCCGGTCGGAAAAAATTTTCCGAAGTGATTTTCCGACTTTTTAATTCCGGAAAAAAGTTTTTCCGACTGTTTTTTCCGACTTAATTTTTCGGAAAATCGGAAAATTTCGGAAAAAAACAAAACATGATTTATTTAATTAAGAACGAAAAAAACTAACTAACAAATGCATATTTACCCAAAAAGATAAAAAATCAATTCGCAAACCCCATTAATGGCATGTTTTTGCTCAAAAATATGTGTTTTGAGAAGTTTGCAGGTCCAAGATTTTTTCGATTATCAGAAAGTATGAGTCTAGCTGTGGAAAATAAGCGTTCTGATTCAGCCGTCGAAGCGGGAGAGCATAAATACTTCTGACTGAGTTGATGGAGGTGTGGGAACGATTTTATGTTGTTTTCTTGCGCCCAAAAATTTGTTGGTGAAAGGTTGATATCGACCGCTTCGTCTAACCATTTTTTAAACTCGGTTTGAACAACAGTTTGCGAACCTTCTTGCTTTCTTTTCGCTATCTTTTGATTGGACTGTAAAGATTGAAAAAATTGATCTCCAATAGCTTATTTAACATACCTTCATATATTTAGAAAATATGTTTTCAGCAGTAACATTAATTTCTTCAATTGGTCCATCATCATCTTCACAATTTTGTTGATCTTGCGGAGAAATTTTGATAAGTTCTGCCAACATTTTTTCTTCCCAATCTTTATTCACAAATAGATTCTGCAAAAAATATAGAAATATAGAAAATCAGAAACACTGTTACCTTAAATCTGGGATCTAAAAGTGTGGAAAAGTTCAAGTACTCCAATTTCTCATATTTTTCCAGCTCCTCTTTCATACGTTCCGACATGGCCTTTGTGGCTGTTTTGTATTTTTTAGAACTTTCCAATTCTGATATGATCACCGAGCACAATGGAATTATCGCGCTTGCATTCGTTTGACGATGCTGAACCAACATTGTCGCATCAACTAATGGTTTGAGAAGTTCAGTTCCACAAACCACCGTTTCCCAGTCACCGTCTGTCATTTGGGGCCACTTCGGATGATTCACAAGAATCAATGCCAATTGAGTTTTGACTTTGAGCGCTCTCTCACAAACTGCATATACACTATTCCAGCGCACCTATAAAAGTTGAAAAAATTACTGGAAATTCACAAAAACTATTCTCACTTCTATATGCTTCTTCAAAAATAAGACAGGGATGTCCATTAATTCCGACAAATTGACATATTCTTTTCGCGCCACTGATGATTTATTGAGCAAAGTGCAGATTGTTCTCAACTTTCCAACAATATTTGATAATTCCGAGAAAACATCTAGTCCATCTTTCACAGCCAAATTGATTTTATGCGCCAAACAATCGTAATGTGGAACATCCATTAATTCGGCTGCTTTTATTGCATTCGCGGCACCATCTCTTATCAAAACAACAACTTTATCGGTGATTTGGAATTCTTTCAAGACATCTTCCATTGAAGTTTTGAGGTAGTTCGATGTATGCCGTTTTTTGCTAACATCAATAGCTCCAATGATACGATAAGTGTTCTCATCATTTTTTGTAAAATGAGCAACAACTGCCAAATATTCGTGCTTATTTCCAGTGTCTGACCATCCATCAAAACTTATACACATGTTATCCACATTGGATAACTCTCGAATCAATTTACATTTATACTCTTCGTATAATTTTGGCAATTCATTTCTGGTGAAATGGGTCCGACTTTTCAAATTGAATCGACGAGAAAATACTGAAATCATGTTCTTGAATGACGGATTTTCGACGATGTTTATGGGTAAATTACATCCCGAAATGAATTGCATAATGGCTCGATCAATTTGTATTGTTTTCAATCCGTTTTCGGAAAATTCGTTCCAACATTGAATAATTGTTTCATCGCCAATTTTTGCTTTTTTTGCCGGATTCTGATCAGCGGGTTCTGATGTTTGTTTTCCATTAATCTGAAATATCAAACTTTGAATAAAATCATATATATTGCTAAAATTACCTTTTCATATTCATCCGGGTGGTGAGTCAGAAAATGATATCTATATACGTTGGTAGAAGAATCCTTCTGTTGTTTAAAAGTTTGATCTCGACATATCTTACATTTTTTGCCGCCGTTAGGCAATTCAATCAAATAAATATCATATTTTCCCATCGTAGATTCAGAAAACGTTGGTTTTTAGAAATAAAAATAGAAATTGATAAACATAAAATCCTAAAATAAAACCCTTCTCAATTGTTTCCACACAAGAGTTTGTTGTTTTTGTTTGTTGTGTGCCTTGAAACTACAGTAATCTGTTTTTCGGAAAAAAAATTTTTTTTTCGGAAAATTTTCGGAAAAAAGTATTTTCCGAAATAATCCGTCGGAAAAATTTTCCGACCAAAAGTTTTCCGAATTTTTCGGCCGGAAAATTTTCCGGCTCGTATTTTTTCCGAAATTTTCCCAAAAAGTCGGAAAATCGGAAAAAGCGTTTTCCGTTTCCGCACAAGCCTGATGTGCATTATTCGTGAGGTCAACTGATTACTCACAATTTTTTTATAGGCTATATAAGAACGCAGGAAAGCTGCCGGTAAGTTGAGCAATTTTCAAAAAATACTTTTTTTTTTCTTCAAAAATTTCAGATTTGCACAGGAATAACTGAATGTAGGCATGAAGTCAGTAGAATTCACCGAAAAATCAAACAGTCTCAAAAGCCTGCTGAAAAATGTCGAGAATTTGGATATTGTAAATAGATAAGACATGTTCTGTTTGCCACGTCATAACTGGATAAATCAATATTCATTTATTTTTTACCACGTCATAACTCAATAAATCAATATTTATTCATTTCAAATTTGCCACGTCATAACTAAAAATCTCAAATTTTTGGCGATAGCTTCGCCACCGCCGATCAAAAAAAATCAAGCGATAAACTTCCCTCCTCCTCTCCCCCTTTTTATATTTTTTGTGTGTGCGACACTTCGCGGGTCTCGCTGTCTGCCATGTTTTGTGTTCAAAAGGGGCGGAGCTTACCCTTTTTTCATGGGTTTTGGTGGCATTTTTCATGGGGTTTGAAGGTTTTAGGGGTGACATTTTGTGCTGAAAATCAAGAAAAACATCACTTTCAGCGTTTTTCAGCATTCCCATGATTTTCAGCACAGAATTTCAGCGGGGAAAATTCAACTTTTATTTATTTTTGGCAGAAAAAACAGGTTTTCAATGAATTTTCAGCAAAAATATTGAATTTTCCAAGATTTCAAATGTTTTTTTTAACAAAAATAGTTGAAACTGAACAAAAACGTGGTACTGAAAGAAAAAAACTTTTTCCCCAGGAAAAAAAATAAAAAGAAAATAACGACACTCCGCTGATTGACGGTTGCCCGCGAAAAAACAAATTCAAAAAACAGAAATGTTTTTTTCCCGGATTAATCGATTTTTCGAATTTTTGAGCGGATGCTTTGAAAATTGGTGAGTTTTTTTTTTGATAAATTAAAGTTAGAGGTGCTGAAAATCTGAAAAATCACAAAATTTCGTTGCGAGACCCGAAAAATTGCGAGAAAAATGGGTCTCTAAGCGAAAAACGTCGATTTTTTTGATTTTCAGGCTGAAATTGGCTTGAAAATGTGATTTTCCTGCTCAAAATCAGGAAAATCACAAAATTTCGCTTCGGGACCCAAATTTTCCCGCCAAAAACATGTTTGATATCAAAATTCATCATTTTTCAAGGCTAATCTCATGCCACGTGGCAAAAATTCAAAATTCCCGCCAAAAACTTGTGGGAAAACTTCCATTTTTCTCTGCGTCTCTTATCTCTCCCCGTGTTTTTGTCCAGGTCAAATCAATATACGATTTTACACAGTCAGACTACACTGTAGTCTTATCTCTGGCCAAACATTTTCGTTCTCATCAAAAGAAAACAGAAAAATATGTTTTTAGATCAGAATTTTGTGCTGAAAACGCTGGAAATGCTGAATTTCACTGAAAATGACGATTTCCATGATTTTCAGCACGAAATTCTGGTCTAGAAGCATATTTTCAACCTGAAATTAATTTCAGATGTCCTCAAAACGCTCCGAATTTTTGGCATATTTTTTCCGGATAATTTTCCGCCGAAAATTACTGAAACTTGTCTGGAAATCGCCACGTGGCAAGCTGAAAATTCGAAATTTGGCTGAAAATCTGGAAAATCCTGAAAATTTCAGCCAAGGCTCGATTTTTTTGAACATTTTGGATTTGTGGAAATTCGGCGTTTTGGACGGGCAAATTGTTCGGGTTACTGTAACTGCGACTACTGTACTTGGTGAGTTTTGGCGCGACAATTTGGTGCATTTTGATACCAAACATGCCTGGGGTGTTTTCTGGAGCGAAAAATTCAAATTTTCGCGCCAAAACCATGCCACGTGTCAATTTTGGCGCGAAATTTTAAAAATTCAAATTTTTTCAGGAGATGTTCAACAATTCGAGCGATTGCTCATGGTAAAGTCGTGTCGAAAAACGGCGGCGGGAAATTTCGAAATTTCAAAAATCGATTTTTTCAACATTTTCGGGACTACTGTAGTTCAACAGGTTACTGTAGATGTGAGTTTTTTAATTTCCCGCCAAAACCTACCGTAACCTAGGCGTGTTTGGTCTCAAAACGCTCCAAATTTTTTGCAGAACATCATTCCACATTTCATCTTGCGACGTGAAAAGCTGGAAATTCTGGAAAATCTGAAATTTGCTCGAATTCGCGATTTCGAAAGTGCCAACAACAAAATTCGACTGAATCCCGAAAAAAATCGAAAATTTTTTGAGGTCTCCCAAAATTTTCTACAAAAATGATATTGTGAAATTGGTGCATTTTGATGCGATTTTGGGAATTTCGACGAATTTGTATTATAAGGTGAGAATCTGGGAGAAATTTGGAGTTTTTTGATACCGAATATGCGTCAGCTAAGGTTTTGCTGACGCGTTTTTTGTAGCCGCGGGAAAATTTCCTTTTTTTTTCGTAGAAAATATGTTTTCCGGCTCAAATTTTGTGCTGAATCTTGTGGAAAAGCTGAAAACTGCTGAAAATAAGGCTTTCCATGATTTTCAGCACAAAAATTTCAGCCAGGAAACTTTTTTGGATGAAAAAAAGTCAGCTAAACATTTGCTGACGCATTTTTTGTAGGTTGGGGAAATTTCCCCTTTTTCTCGTAGAAAATATGTTTTCTGCTTAAATTTCGCGCTGAAAATCATGGAAGTTCTCATTTTCAGCGATTTTCAGCTTTTCCACCAGTTTCAGCACAAAATTCTGATCTAAAACATATTTTTAACCTGAAATTAATTTTTTCTCAAAAAATTTCGAAATTTTTGGTTAAAAAAAGTTTCCAGGCTTAAATTTTATGCTGAAAATCATGAAAAAGCTGAGAATTTCTGAAAATGAGCAATTCCCTCAGTTTCAGCGCAAAATTCTGATCTAGAAACATATTTTTGACCTGAAATTAATTTTTTTCAAAAAAATTCGGAATTTTTTCTTCAAAAAATTTTCCCGGCTGAAATTTTGTGCTGAAACTGAAAAAATCGCTGAAAATCACTGAAAATAAGGGTTCCCACGGTTTTCAGCGCAAAATTTCAGGTAGCACACTATTTTTCTCCAACCTACAAATTATGTGTCAGCAAACTATTTTGCTGACGCATATTTGGTGTCTAAAGATTCAGAATTTCACGTAGATCATGAATTTGGCCACAAAATCTACCGTACTCCTGACAAAAAATCGAATTTCAGGTCGATTTTTCAAGCTCCTCCCCCTGCTTAGCCAATTCATCCACTTCAATCTATGAAACCTCATCAATTTCAACATTTCTACCATTTTCGAATTTCAACTACCGTATCAAATTGCCACGTCATCACCTGAAAATCCACGAAAAAATGCTGAAAATCCACGTGGCTCATCAAAAATTGGCAAAAACCCAAAAAACCGCGGAAAAATCGCTGGTTTTTCAGGTTTCCGGACCTTCCGGAAGCGGAAAACGCCTGATTTGCCGCCTGTTTTCCGCGTCAACGCATCGCAATTTTGTGGAAATCGACGGATTTCAGCTGATTTCTGAAAATCCCGAAAAATCCGAGCTGAAAATTTCGGGGATTTTTGAAAAAATCTCGAATTTTGGAGGTGGCAAATGTGTGGTTTATTTGAGAAATTCCGATGTTCTCGCTTTTGATCAATTTAATGGAATTGGTAAGGTTTTTCAGCTTTTTCAGCGTTTTCAGCATAAAATTTCAGCCTGGGAACTTTTTTAGCTGAAATTTTTCTTGTTATATCCTCTCTCCTTATGCATAGTATATAATGAGTTTATTGATGTTACATAAGAATATATATATAAATAGTAAAAGCTACATGGTAATTACTGATAATAAACTGATAATAGAATGCGCTACGCTACTTATATATGGGTTACTGTCTCCTCCTACTACATGCCGATTTTCATTAGCTGATGTCCTCATCACTCAAATCGCGATTTTCACACTCTTCTTCACTCGCGGTGATCTTCTGAGAGTCTGGGTTTGTGGCTCTCTGTCCTCGAGTTCTCCATCGCTTTTCTCCTTTTCTTCTCTTCCGGATTTTTTCAGTAGCCGATGTCCTCATCGTTTCTGGCAATCGTCTGCAGTCGGTTTTTGATTCGGATGTGGTGTTCAATTGGTCCATTGAAGTTGCCGAATTTCCCATCTTCGTTAAAAAAAGATAGTTTCTTCTGGATGATGAGTTGTCGAAGTATCGCTTTGTTCTCTTGCGAGAGAATACATTTTCTCAGATCGATTTTGGATTTGAAGTCTTCTTCTGATTTTGCGAACTTTAGGATGTTTGCTTCCCAATTGGCTTCTTTTGATCCCGAGTCTGGTTCTGCGTTGTTGTCTTTCTTGGAGTAGACGGTCGAGGAGCTTTTTTCGGTACGGTTGGAGTGTGAGGAACTTGTATTTCGGCAATTCTGAAAGATCATAGTGTGGATCTTTCAATGTTCTCGAGGGTGAGGACTTTTCGGCATGAGGCGCCAGAGACAAGAAAAAACAAATCTTAGTATTCTAAGTGTATTGGTATACCTAATGTATTGCTAATTTACTATGACTAAAGTTAAGAATATATTATGCATTAAGAAGTGAAGGTATAAAAGTGTAGCTTGTATGATCACCATTCGCTGTTATATAGTATGCTTATCAGGGGGCGGAGCTTCAGAGGAAAGTAATAAAATCAAGTGAAGTAATTTTGTTTGCGTCAATAAGGTTGTAAACTAATAAACAAAATTGTTGATGTTGCAATTTTTCCCTGATTATCTACTGTTGAATATGCATTTTACGCTTATCTTTACAATGGGTGGCTCCATTTACTATCCTAATTGGTTGGTGATCTTTGGGCTCAGTTCTAGGACTTATGACAAATAGACAAAGATTACAACCTGGTGATTTCGCTATCGGGAACTGTTGATTGGTCCAAGTTGGTGTAGACCATGGTGAAAGATTTCAATATTTGTACCCCACTCGGACAAAGGCAAGTCGATAGATTGGTCTGCAGTTCCATTCCATCTGTGGTCTTCGTGGGCGGGTTGCTATCCCAGATCTTTCGGTGTGCACGTTGATACTTTTATAATATTTCAACAGTCAGTTTTCCCATTTTCCATAATATTTTCCAATTTCCATATTATTTCAATTTTCCATATCGATATGTGTTGTTTGATAGCCCAATAGTGAGTCCAGTGTTGATCCTGTCGAGTTCGTGTGGAACCTCCATGTTATATCCTCTCTCCTTATGCATAGTATATAATGAGTTTATTGATGTTACATAAGAATATATATATAAATAGTAAAAGCTACATGGTAATTACTGATAATAAACTGATAATAGAATGCGCTACGCTACTTATATATGGGTTACTGTCTCCTCCTACTACATTCTGAAAATTTTGAATTTTTCATTAAAAAATTAATTTCAGGTTGAAAAAATGTTTCTAGACTGGAATTTTACGCTGAAACTCGTGGAAAACCTGAAATTCGCTGAAAATGAGGATTTCCATGAGTTGCAGCACAAATTTTCAGCCTGGGAACTTTTTAGCTGAATTTTTCTGAAAATTTTGAATTTTTTATCAAAAAATTAATTTCAGGTCAAAAAAATGTTCCTAGGCTGAAATTTTGTGCTGAAAATCATGGAAATCTTTATTTTCAACGATTTTCAGCTTTTTCAGCGTTTTCAGCGCAAAATTTCAGCCAGGACTGTTTTTTGGCTGAAAAAATCTGAAAATTTTGAATTTTTCATTAATTTTTGGTAAAAATATGTTTCTAGATTAGAATTTTGTGCTGAAAATCATGAAAATTGCTGAAATTGAGGATTTCCATGAGTTTCAGCACAAAATTTCAGCCAGGAATGTTTTTTGGCTAAAAAAATCTGAAAATTTTGAAAAATAATTAATTTCAGGTCAAAAAAATGTTTCTAGACTGGAATTTTGTGCTGAAACTCGTGGAAAACCTCAATTTCAACGATTTTCAGCATTTTCACGATTTTCAGCACGAAATTTCTGCCTGGGAACTTCTTTAGCTGAAATTTTTGGAATTTTTTTGAAAAAAATTAATTTCAGGTTGAAAAAAGTTTCTAGACTGAAATTTTGCGCTGAGTCTTGTGGAAAACCTGAAATTCGCTGAAAATGAGGATTTCCATGAGTTGCAGCACAAATTTTCAGCCTGGGAACTTTTTTAGCTGAAAATTTTGAATTTTTCATTAAAAAATCAATTTCAGGTTGAAAAAATGTTTCTAGGCTGAAATTTTGTGCTGAAAATCATGGAATTGCTCATTTTCAGTGATTTTCAGCATTTCCAGCGTTTTCAGCACAAAATTTCAGCCAAAAACCCCAAATTTTCCTTCCAGATAGACGAATTCTTCACCACCTCGAATCAAAACTCTCAGAACCCTCAAAATCTACAGTAATCCTCTCATGTGTCTCGCAACGATTGTCAAAAATGCCCGCGAAAATCAAAAATTTGAGTTTATATCAATTTTCGACGGAATATTTGGAAGAATCGGATCGATTCGAGTATTTTGAGCATTTTTTGGGTAAAAATGTGAAATTGGCGAGAATTTTGGCGAAAAAAAACGAATGTGAGTTGAGTTTCAGCGATTTTTGACTGAAAATTTGAATTTTTCACGATTTTTTGAGCCGGGAAGTGAAAAAATTGAAAAAAATGCGATTTTTTGACCAAAAATTAAATTTTTTTCAAAATTTTCAGAAAAATTTTTCCCAAAAAAGTTTCCTGGCTGAAATTTTGTGCTGAAACTCGTGGAAATGCTGAAAATTGCTTAAAATAAAAATTTCCATGATTTTCAGCACGAAATTTCAGTCAAGAAAATCCACGTGGCATAGTTTTTGGCTCAAAAGGTCCTCGATCAAATTTGGGCTCAAAAAAATGTTTTTTTCATCCCCAAAAATAGTCCCAAGCCTAACAAGCCTGAAAATCGAGCACTACAAGCCTACTGAGAGTTTTGGGCTTGAAAAGAGCTACATTTTGAGCCCGAATAAGCCTAGGCTTCGGCCTAGGCCTATTTGGGCTCATTTTGAAGCCTCTAAAGCCTCCAGCCCGAATTCGGGCTCAAAAAATCGCAAATTTTTCAGGGATTCACGTTAGCCGAGCTCGAAAACTTGCTCAAAATCACAAATCCGAAAACCGAGCCACAATTCGATTTTCAAATTTCGAAAAGAAATTCGAATTTTGCGGATGCAATTGGAGCTCCAAAAATACCCGATGTAAAATGGAGTGATGTTGGAGGATTAGAAGAAACAAAGAAAATTGTGGCTGAAAGTATAAGGAGCAATTTATTTTCGACTGGAAATTCGGGTAGGGCTCGAAATTTCAGCCCGGAATGATTTTTGGCTGAAAATTTTCTGAAAATTTTGAAAAAATCAGTTTTCTGAACTGAAAATCGGTTTCTAGACTGGAATTTTGCGCTGAAAACCGTGAAAGCACTAATTTTCAACAATTTTCAGCAGTTGCATGATTTTCAGCACAAAATTTCAGCCTGGAAACATTTTTCAGCACTGAAAAAAGATTTTTTCAAAAAATTTCAGATTTTTGTTCAAAAATCGGTTTTTTGAGCTGAAAATGGGGTTCTAGACTGGAATTTTGTGCTGCAAATCATGGAAATGCTCGTTTTCAGTGATTTTCAGCAGTTTCATGATTTTCAGCACGAAATTTCAGGCTGGAAACTTTTATTCTGAAAAATTAGAAATTTTTTGAAAAAAAAATTAATTTCAGGTTGAAAATATGTTTCTAGATCAGAATTTTGCGCTGAAAGTCATGGAAATCTTGATTTTCAGTGATTTTCAGCAGTTTCATGATTTTCAGCACAAAATTCTGATCTAGAAGCATTTTTTCAATCTGAAATTGATTTTTTTTCAAAATTTTCAGATTTTTTCAGCAAAAAAACTTCCCTAGCTGAAATTTTGTGCTGAAAATCGAGAAATCCCTCATTTTCCTCTAAATTTCGAATTTTCAGCCGGAAATCGACGTCTAAAAAGATCTGGAATCATTCTTTGGGGTTCACCTGGTTGTGGTAAAACAATGATTGCAAAAGCAGTGGCCACCGAATTCAAAATCGCATTTTTGAGTGTAAAAGGACCCGAATTACTCAATAAATATGTGGGACAAAGTGAGGAGAATTTGAGAAAAGGTAAGGGCCGAAAATTCGGGATTTTTTGAGCCTAAATAAGCCTGGGCTCGGGCTTAGGCTTTTGGGGGCCGAAAGGGGCTTTTAAATGAACCTTTATATGCCTAGAGTTGGAATTTTGTGCTGAAAATGGAAAAATAGCTGAAAATCACTGAAAATTAAGTTTTCCATGATTTTCAGCATGAAATTCTGATCTAGAAACATATTTTCAGCTTGAAAATAATTTTCGGTCAAAATTTTCAGATTTTTCCATCCAAAAAGTTTCCTAGCTGAAATTTTGTGCTGAAACTCATGGAAATGCTGGAAATTTGTAATTTTGAACCAAAAATTCGGAATTTTCGAATTTTTTTTATCCCGAAATATTTACGTTTCAAAATTTTTATAGATTTTGAAGTGATTTTTGAAATTGATGAATTTCCTTAAAATAATATTTTGAATGTTTTCTTGACTGAAATTTTGTGCTGAAACTCATGGAAATGCTGAAAATTGCTGAAAATAAGCAATTCCATGGTTTTCAGCACAAAATTCTGATCTAGAAACATATTTTTCGACCTGAAATTAATTCTAGTTCAAAAAAGTCAGATTTTTCTATCCAAAAAAGTTCCCATGCTGAAATTTTGTGCTGAAACTCATAGAAATCCTCATTTTCAGCGATTTTCAGCTTTTTCACGATATTCAGAGCAAAATTTCAGCCAGGAAACCTTTTCCGAGCGCTTTGCGCGAGTGTAAACTGCAAGCTTCCGCGAAGCGGCACAATCTTCCGCTTCAGCGGCCAAAACTCGGGTTTTGACTGGAATTTTGTGCTGAAACTCATGGAAATGCTGAAAATCGCTGAAAATAAGCAATTCCATGATTTTCAGCACAAAATTCTGATCTAGAAACATGTTTTTCGAGCTGAAATTAATTTTTTTCAAAAAATTTCGAAATTTTTGGTTCGAAAAAGTTTCCTGGCTGAAATTTTGTGCTGAAAATCAAGAAAATCTTCATTTCCAGCGATTTTCAGCTTTTCCACGAGATTCAGCCCAAATTTTCAGCCAGGAAACCTTTTCCGAGCGCTTTGCGCGAGTGTAAACTGCAAGCTTCCGCGAAGCGGCACAATCTTCCGCTTCAGCGGCCAAAGTTGGGTTTTTGGCTGAAATTTTTGTGCTGAAAATCATGAAAATTCTCATTTTCAGCGATTTTCAGCCAGTTTTCCAGTTTCAGCACAAAATTCTGATCTAGAAACATGTTTTTTCGAGCTGAAATTAATTTTTTAATGAAAAAAAAAACCAAATTTTTGGTTCAAAAAAGTTTCCTTGCTGAAATTTTCTGCTTAAACACATGGAAATCCTCATTTCCAGCGATTTTCAGCAAGTTTCCCAGTTTCAGCACAAAATTCTGATCTAGAAACACTATATTTTTGACCTGAAATTAATTCTAGGCTTATTTGGGCTCATTTTGGAGCTCATCCCTTGCTCATTTCAAAATTTTTCAGTTTTCGAACGTGCCAAACAAGCGTCACCCTGTATAATTTTCTTCGATGAAATCGACAGTTTGGCCCCAAATCGTGGAAAAAACGGCGATTCTGGAGGTGTTATCGATCGAATTGTCTCGCAACTTCTAGCCGAGTTAGACAAACTCCATCACACGCAAAAAACGCGGATTTTTGTGATGGGGGCCACAAATCGGCCCGATTTATTGGACGAGGCCCTGATGCGGCCCGGTAGATTCGATAAAATGGTTGAAGTTCGGCCTGGTGAAGATCGAGAATCGAAAAAAGCGATTTTGGCGGCGATTTCGAGTAAAATGAAGTTTGAAGATGGTGTGGATTTGGGAGAAATTGTGAGTTTTTTTTGGAGGGGCCTGAGAGGGGCCTAGGCTTTTAGGCCGTGAAAAATGATGAATTTTGAGCCTAAATAAGCCTAGGCTTAGGATTGGGCTTTTGCGGGCCGAAATGGGCTTTAAAATGAATGAAAATTTTCGAAATTTTGTGCTGAAACTCGTGGAAAAGCTGAAAATCGCTGAAATTCAAGTTTTCCATGATTTTCAGCACAAAAATTCAGCCGGGAAGATTTTTTCAGCTAGAAAATCTGAAAATTTTTGAAAAAATTTAATTTCAGCTCAAAAATATGTTTCCCGGCTGAAATTTTGTGCTGAAAATCATGGAAATCTTTGTTTTTAGCGATTTTCAGGTTTCTAGTGATTTTCAGCACAAAATTTGGGTCTAGAACCTCATTTTTTCAGATAATTTTCAAACCTGAAAATTTTGAAAACAAAAAAGCTTCAGGTTGGAAATATAGTGTTTCTAGATCAGAATTTTGTGCTGAAACTGGAAAACTGGCTGAAAATTACTGAAAATTATGATTTCCACGATTTTCAGCACAAAATTTGAGTCTAGAATGAAATTTTTTGACCTGAAATTAATTTTTTTCAAAAATTTCAGATTTTTTCATCCAAAAAAGTTTTTCCGGCTGAAATTTTGTGCTGAAAATCATGGAAATCCTCATTTTCAGCGATTTTCAGATTTCTAGTGATTTTCAGCACAAAATTTGGGTCTAGAACCTCAATTTTTCCGATAATTTTCAAAACCTGAAAATTATAGGTTTCAAATTTTTTTAGAAAACATTTTTTGAAAATTTTCAAATTTGATATCCAGTTTGAACATACTATCCTACAAGATCCTAAAAAGCCTGAAAATGAGCCTAGGCCTGAATTTAGGCTCATTTTGAAGCCAAAAACTAGGCCTAGGCCTATTTAGACTCAAAATTCAGCATTTTCCGGGCTATGAAAGCCTATATAGGCCTATCTAGACTCATTTTGAAGCCCAGGCTTTTTCCAGGCCGATTTGGTGAATCCAACAATGTCCGGAGCCCAATTATTCTCGATAATATCCAATGCCGCAATGCAAGCAATCATCGAAAAAATCGAATTGGGAAAAATCGATGAAAATGTTCGAATCTCACAAAAACATCTGGTTCAAAGTGTTGAAAAATTTCATAACAAAACGTTTTGAATAAATTATATTGAAAATTAGGCCTAAAATGGGCCTAGGCCCAGTTTAGGCCCGATTTCAACAAAAAACAATAACAAAAATCTAGAAATAATTACAGGAAAAGCCTGAAAATGGGCCTGAAACTAGATTAGGCTTTTCAAAGGCCCGTTCAGTCCCGTTTTCAATGCGGTAAATGTTGTGGGCCTTCACTGATCTTCTTCGGATCTCTCAATTCGACTTCCTTCAAACTCCCATTGAAAAGCCTGGGCCTGGATTCAGGCAAAGCCCAGTCCATAACATAGGCCAACAATGCGGCCTGAACTCCGCTATTACACGAGGTTACTGTAGGCAATGAGGGATTGTAGCCGTTTTTGGTGAACCCTGTGGGAAAAAATTTGAATTTTTGAATTTTCGCGCCAAATTCAAAAAAAACACTCACATTGTCTAATTTCCTCTTCCGATTTCAAAATTCCAGGTTTTTGCAAAAGTTCGGCGGATGGGAAATTTTTGAAGCCAGCAATTCGAGTTCCATTAACTTCTGAAGAAAAATCGGGCTTTTTAGGCCGAAAAATGGGCCTGTTCCTTCAAATTGTCCTCTTCCACGTGAATCCAAAAAGTTAAATTCATCCGATTTTTCGAAATTTTGATTTTTTCTTGGCTTTTAGCTCTTTATAAGTTATAACATATCATATTTGGAAAACGATCTTTTCAATTAAAATGTATTCAAGTTGACTTTTTTTTCAAAATAAACTACATTTTTCTCATACATGAAATAAAACCATTTTGACACATACATAAAATTGAATAATAAAACTGGTAATAAAGATTATAGTTTTATTGGTAATCTCAGTTTTATCAATTTTATGAGTTGAGTATAAAAGCTCAAAGTTGAACTTTGCTAAATAATTCTATTCAAAAATGAAAAACCTTTACATTTTTCTGCTTCTTCTTCTTCTTCTTCTAGTTGTTTCTGTTGATGCAAACAATTTTGGAAGAATAAACAATGGAACTACACTACCTGAATTTCTGAATATTGTGAGTTGTTTTTTTTTTTCATAATTGTTTTCAATTCCCAATTTTGATGAGAATTGTTGACAAAGTCATCATCTTATATCAGAAAAGTTCTAATGATTTAAATTATTTTCAGGCAACTAAATGCAACAGTTTTTTGGATACGATAGATAATATTGTTAACCACCTTATGTCAACAAATGCATTCAAATTCAATTGGAGCCTAATAAATAAGCATCTAAGTCCGAGTAATGTGGAACTGATTAAAAGTGTATGGAATGATGTAATTTCGTTTATCCATGAAATGTGTGAGAATGGAGACATCGCATATTCAGTGAGTTTGAATGAACCGACATCTAACAAACAATATGAAATGAAAACACTCCATCTTTAAACTGTTATTGTTTTCTAAAAATAAATTGGCAAAATTTTGAAGTTTAATTGAATAATAAATTCCGAAAGCTATATATTTGTCAACCAGTTCGATGTTCATGTCGCCACGTCATTACTGTACGTGAGTGCCAATTCAAACAGGGTGATTTTGTGTTTTTAGGTCATGTTTTTTTTCGGAATGACTATTCTGATTGATCATTTTGAACTCGAAAAACAATTTACAAGAGAAATAATTTTATTTTTGAAGAAACTCGAGTGCATTGTTGAAAATGTGGTTCTTGATGTGGAAACATTTATCAAATCGATTCAGGGGTTAAAGTTATTTTCGTTGGCAAACGCCGATCAAATCTTGAAAATCGTTGACGAATTATTGAAATCAATTTCAAATGCTTCCAAAAAGTGCTCCAATATTTAATGTATTAATAGCAATAAACTATTTTCTATTTCAAATTTTGTTTTTGTTTTTTTGGAAACAAAACATCTAATGGGATAATCTCTCTGACCATCAATGACCGCAAGCTTTCGAAAATTAATCAATTCAACAGAATGGACAATATATATTTTTACACGAAAGTACTGTTTTTCATGTTTTCTGAAGATACATTTTCCAAAATAGTTTTTGCACCTGCTATAAAACAGCTGAAATTGATCCTGAAACTCACAAAATTCGAATAGATAACTTCACCTGTTTGAAATGTCAAATTGCAGCTGAATTTATACATATATTGTCTTAAATTTCAGCGGAAAAAATAGACTTGGGCGTGTCCGGAGTTATGACGTGGCAAAACTGCTATAAAAGCAGTAGAACTTGCTGAATGTGTCAAAAAAATGGTGCTCAGCGAGTCTTATTTGTTGGAAGTCAAAGAATTCTCAAAAATAATTGATATATATTTGTTAGTGATAACATTCTTCTATATTCTAAGCATTTTATTTTTTTTCCCTATATTCAAATATTTTCTGAAAATCAATGAGAAAAAGGATGAGGAATCGTCAATTTTTCAAATCACCAATCATCTTTACAAAATCACAATTTTCTCACAATTTATGATTATAACCATCGTATTTTGTATCATTTTTGTTGTAATATCCCAAGATAATTTTCCACTAATATCAATTGAAACTAAAACAATATTTCTTGTAATTGCAATTAGTCTAATTATTTTAATTTATATTTTCAATCAAATCGTTGTTCCCATTCAAAATCTTCTAATATTTGTTTCGATTCTTCTAAAATTCCTATTTCATTTTATTCCAAAATCTGAAAAATATTTTAAAATTCCTCCGGAGAAATCTTTCAAATCCATTTTAAAATGGCTATATTTTCTGACCATTTTTGGGAATATCATTTATAATTGTTTTATGATTCATGATTTATTCATTTGGGGTTCAAATGTGAAAAGTTACACCAGAAAAGTTGGATGGTCTAGTCTAAACTCGGCAATTTATATATTTCTCGATTTTCTCGTCATTTTCTCGGCGATCTTGTGTATTTTTCTACTGAAAAGTGCGCGAAAAATGGATAAATTATCGTCGAAAAATGAAGAAATTCGAGAAAAATGGATAATTTATCAAACTTTGGTTATGATTTTCGTCAAATTTTTCTGTTTTCCATTTTGCTATTTTTCGTATGTGCAAATATTGGCGGATGAGGAGCGATTGGATTTAAATATGATTTTGAATGCGGTGAGTGGAAATTCAGATTATTCATCATTTTTAGGCCAATTTTTGAGCTTCTAGGCTCATTTTAGGCCATTATTTTTCAAAATTTCAGATCTACTATCCATTATTCATAATTGATATGTTAACAACACCCATCGTCTTTCAAATCACATATGTTTTGTGCGACAAATCGAATCTGGAAATTTTGCTGAAAATGAAAATGAATTTCAGAACTTGGAGAATGATTTTTTGTGGATCTTCGAATCATGTGGAAAATCACAAGGAATTGTATAATATGAGCAATTAAAATAAATTATATCGAAAACTAGGCCTAAATGGGCCTAATTGGGCCTAGGCCCAGTTAGGCCCGTTTACAACAAAAAACAATAACAAAAATCTAGAAATAATTACAGGAAAAGCCTGAAAATGGGCCTGGAGGGCTTAAATTCGATTTAGGCCCATTTCGGCCCGTTTTCAATGCGGCAAATGTTGTGGGCCTTCACTGATCTTCTTCGGATCTCGCAATTCGACTTCTTTCAAACTTCCATTAAACAGCCTGGGCCTGGATTCAGGCAAAGCCCAGTCCATAACAAAGGCCAACAATGCGGCCTGAACTCCGCTATTACACGAGGTTACTGTAGGCAATGAGGGATTGTAGCCGTTTTTGTTGAACCCTGTGGAAAAATTTGAATTTTTGAATTTTCGCGCGAAAATTTTTGAATTTAAAAATTTGAATTTTTGAATTTTCGCGCAAAAATTTTGAATTTTTTTAAAAAAATTGATTCTAGGCCAAAAATATGTTTCTTGATCAGAATTTTGCGCTGAATCTGGAAAACTGGCTGAAAATCGCTGAAAATGATGATTTCCACGAGTTTCAGTACGAAATTTCAGTCAGGAAACTCAAATTTTGAAATTTTCGCGCGAAAATTTGAATTTTTTTGAAAAAAAATTAATTTCAGCTCGAAAAATATGTTTCTAGATCAGAATTTTGTGCTGAATCTGGAAAACTGGCTGAAAATCGCTGAAAATGATGATTTCCACGAGTTTCAGTACGAAATTTCAGTCAGGAAACTCAAATTTTGAAATTTTCGCGCGAAAATTTGAATTTTTTTGAAAAAAATTAATTTCAGCTCGAAAAATATGTTTCTAGATCAGAATTTTGTGCTGAATCTCATGGAAATTCTTATTTTCAGCAAATTTCAGCTTTTCCACGAGTTTCAGCACGAAATTTCAGCCAGGAATTTTTTTAACCGAAAATTTTGAATTTTTTTAAAAAAAATTTAGATTTTTTCAGCCAAAAAAGCTTCCTGGCTGAAATTTTGTGCTGAAAATCATGAAATTATTGATTTTCAGCGATTTTCAGCTTTTCCACGAGTTTCAGCGCAAAATTCTGATCTAGAAGCCTATTTTTGACTTGAAATTATTTTTTTTCAAAAAATTTTAGATTTTTTCAGCCAAAAAAGCTTCCTAGCTGAAATTTCGTGCTGAAAATCATGGAAATTCTCATTTTAAGCGAATTTCACCTTTACCATGAGATTCAGCATGAAATTTAGATCTAAAAGCCTATTTTTGACATGGAATTAATTTTTTTCAAAAAAAAAAAGAACATTTTTTTTGAAAAATTTTGAATTTCTGAATTTTCGCGCTCGTTTTTTTTGCGGGAATATTTAAATTTTCAAAAAAAAAAACTCACATTGTCTAATTTCATCTTCCGATTTCAAAATTCCAGGTTTTTGCAAAAGTTCGGCGGATGGGAAATTTTTGAAGCCAGCAATTCGAGTTCCATTAACTTCTGAAGAAAAAAGCGGGCTTTTTTGGGCCTAAACGGGCCTATTTTCTACCCAAAATTGATGGAAAATGGGCCTCAAACAGCCTAAAACACATCTAGGCTTGTTTAGGCTCATTTTTCGGCCCGTTTTCAGGCTTTTCAGGCCCATTTCCACTCACTATTCGGGTCCAATCCAGTATCTTCAGTTCCTTCAAATTGTCCTCTTCCACGTGAATCCAAAAAGTTGAATTCATCCGATTTTTCAAAATTTTGCTTTTCCGATCCATTTTCCTTGGTTTCCAGCTCCTCGTAGGTTATGACGTGTTTTTCGATGGCATTTTGGGCTTTCCAGTTTCCGGGCTGCAAAAATTCGGGCTTTTGGGGGACGAAATAGGCTTTTCAGGCTCATTTTAGGCTAATTTTCATGAAAAATAGGCTCAGAACATGAATTTCAGGCTTCTAGACCAATTATTAGGCCTGTAGGCTCATATTTGGGCTCTTAGGCTTATCTTAGGCTATTTTTCGTGAAAAATAGCTCTTAGGCTCGTTTTAGGCCAATTTTGAAGCATCTAGGCTCATTCCAGAGCTCTTAGACCAATTTTTTAGCTCTAAGGCTTATTTTTGAGCCCTAAAGCTCATTTTAGGCTTCTGGGCTCATTTTAGGCCATTTTCCAATAAAAATAGGTTCAGAACATAAATTTTAGGCTTTGAAAGCTTAGTGGGCTTTCAAACCTGGATTTTAAGCTCTTAGGCTCATTTTAGGCCATTTTCCATCAAAAATTGGCCCAGAACTTGAAATTTAGGCAATTTAAGGCCCAGAAGGCTTATTAGGCCTTCAAACCTGGATTCCAAGCTCTTGGGCTTATTTTAGGCCAATTTTTAGGCTTCTAGGCTTATCATAGGCTAATTTTCATTAAAAATAGGCTCAGAACATGAATTTTAAGCTCTTAGGCTCATTTTAGGCTAAATTCAGGCTTCTAGGCTCATTTTAGGCTAATTTTCATGGAAAATAAGCTCAGAGCATGAATTTTAGGTTTCTAGGCCAATTTTTAGGCCTATAGGCCAAATTTCTAGCTTCTAGGCTTATCATAGGCTAATTTTCATTAAAAATAGGCTTGGAACATGCATTTCGGGCTTCTAGGCCAATTTTTAGGCCTATAGGCTCATATTTAGCTCGTAGGCTCATTTTAGGCCAATTTTTAGGCTTCTAGGCTCATTTTAGGCCAATTTTTGAGCTTCTAGGCATATTTTCATGGAAAATAGGCTCGGAGCATGAATTTTAGGCTTTGAAAGCTTAGTAGGCGTCCAAATCTGAATTTCAGGCTTCTAGGCCAATTTTTAGGCCTATAGGCTCATATTTGAGCTTATAGGCTCAATTTACGAGCTTTTAGGCTAATATTTAAGCGTCTAGGCTCATTTTAGGCCAAATTTTTATGAAAAATAGGCTCAGAGCATGAAATTTAGGCAGATTAAGGCCCAGAAAGCTGATTAGGCTTTCAAATCTCAATTTCAAGCTTCTAGGCTTATTTTAGGCCATTTTTCACGATTTCAGGCTCATTTTCCATCAAAAATCCCCCAAAAATCCCACCTGCAGCCTCAAATCCTCCTGTGACACCTCAAATCCCGCCCTCTTCCATCCATCAAATCCACCATCCACCAACGAAATATTCTCATGTCCATATGATTTAAAAAGCCACGCACATTTCGACGCAAACAACATTCCACCAAACGCGCCTTTTCCGTAGAAAATCAAGTGTTCACCGGCATTCAGGCCCAATTTTTGAGCGTATTTTTCGAAAAATCTCCGCTGGATAATGTGCAAATCGCTGGAATTTCGATGGAAACATGGCTTGATCCAGGTCCAAATGCACGGCTTGTGGAATATGCGCGGATAAATAGAGTTTCCTGCTCGGCGAGCTCGAATCCAAATCGAACTTGGCATAACTCTCCTTCTCGAATTGCCGCCAATCTTGACGTGGAGCCAACGCGTAACTACAGTCTAGTAGGCGCACGCCTTGATTCGAATTTAGCAATTTGCGCTGGAGCAACGTGTTGACCTGTGCGACGTCGATGATTTTTTTCAGCCCGGGCATTTTTAGCTGGAAATTTTTTAGGTTTCGGTGAGTTTTGGATGGCCTAGGTTCCCCCTTGTGAAACCTAGGCCACAGGGCCTTGAAATCCACGAAAATCCGCTGAAAAACACGGTGCCCCGAACGCGTAGCCAGAGAAAAGTTGTGCGCATTTTTGGTGCATGTGCGGTAGAGCGCACAAGCCTGTTTGTCAGTTTTTTGAAAATTTAACACTAGGTTTTTTCTTGAAACGATTAGAATTGAATTTTACTCGCATGGAAACTCCCAAACTGAGCTATATGTTCTGGAAAATAATGAGAGGAACGTTTTGATATAAAACATGTGAAGATTGGATTCAAAATAAGTTAGTTAATATCTTTTGAAGAAAAACAATTAAAATTTTATGAATGAAAAATGTGATTCGGCACTTGTTTTATGATAAATATGTGAATTAGAACACTTTCAAGGTGTTTTAATAATTATTTGATCAAAATAAACTTCTGAAATCTGGTTTTTTCATCAATTTTGGGCAAATTTCGATGGAAAAGAAAATAACAAAAACGGCATAATTTTGAATTATTATTGATTCCACATACTTGAGGAGTCCTATTTCAATGTTTTGGAAGCATACCATTGAATTTTATCAGCTTTCCTGGGTCGAAAATGATGTTTTTGAACAAGGTATTTTTTGAAGAGCTCTTGCTCATTTCATTCTCAACCATTTTTCATGAAACAACTTGGAATAGCTTCAATTTTTCTTCCTCTGTCTTCTCCATACTCGATTTAGTTACAAAAATAACGTTTCCAGCATTTTTCAGCAAGAAAACAAAAGCACAAAAAAAGATGAGAGAGCGCGCTTTGCTGAAGAGACGGATGAGAGATAGAGAGAAAACGAGAGAGTGTGTGGAGTGTGGAGTGCTGGCGCAATACGCGTTCGGGACACTGTGAAAAACGGTGAAAAAACAAAAAAAAATCATGGTGGCCGAGGTTTCTTTTGGTTTTCTCGGCCACCATGCCCGTGTAGTTCTCTCGGACAATTATTTATTTTTTGATAAAGAATTTCGAAATTTCATCATTCCCCCATTTCCCACCAAATTTCACCGGATTTTCAAATTCCAGGATGATTTTACGACCGCTCCGCAAGGTTCTTACGGTAGGCGCCGCGGCAGGCATCGGTTACACGGCCTATTCGGCCGATTCGCTGGAAGATGTCAAACATTTGGGAGTTTTTCGATTCGGACGCGCTGCACTGACTGTTGGAAAGATTGTGGTGGATTATAAGATGTCGTTGAGTGGAATTCCCGAGCCATCGGAGAAATTTGATGAGGAAATTAGGAAGTGTCATCAGAGAAGTGCGGATTATTTGCTGGATTTGGCGTGTACTAATGGAGGCGTTTTTATTAAGGTGAGCAATGTTTTTTGAAAAAAATCAGCACAAAATTTCAGCCAGGAAACTTTTTCGGCTGAAAAAATCTGGAATTTTTTGATAAACATTTAGTTTCGCGTCAAAAATATGTTTCCAGACCAGAATTTTGCGCTGAAAATCGTGGAAAACCTCAAAATTGCTGAAAATAAGGCTTTCCATGAGTTTCAGCGTAAAATTCTGATCTAGAAACACTGTATTTTTGACTTGAAGCTTTTTTTTTTCAAAATTTTCAGATTTTTTGGCTGAAAATTGTTCTGGACCTAAATTTTGTGCTGAAAATCATGGAGAGCCTAGAAATCGCTTAAAATGAGGGGTTTCATGAAAAAAGTTTAAATTTTTTGAAAAAAATTAATTTCAGGTCAAAAATATTGTTCTAGCTCAGAATTTCGTGCTGAAAACGTAGAAAATGCTGAAATTCGCTGAAAATAACGATTTCCATGAGTTTCAGCGTAAAATTCTGATCTAGAAACACTGTATTTTTGACTTGAAGCTTTTTTTCAAAATTTTCAGATTTTTTGGCTGAAAATTGTTCTGGGCCTAAATTTTGTGCTAAAAATCATGGAAATCCTCATTTTCAGCTATTTTCAAGTTTTCCATGAGTTTCAGCACAAAATTTGGGTCTAGAAACATATTTTTGACCTAAAAGCCTAAAAATGGCCCCAAGCCTGAAAAAAAGCCCGGAAACCCTTCCCAAGACCAAAACTCAGCCCAGAGAGCTTTACAAAGCCCTAAAATGGCCCCAGGCCACTCTTAAAGCCTCTAGACTCTTTTAAAAGCCCGGAGAGCCCCCTAAAAGCCCGGAGAGCCCCCTAAAAGCCCTTTAGGCCCGCTAAAAGCCCCCAGGCCCCCCAAAAGCCCCTAGTCCGAAATTTTCCAATTCCAGGTTGGCCAACACATAGCAGCAATGGAATATTTGATCCCACCCGAATACACAGATACCCTACAAGTCCTAATGGCCCGGGCCCCGCAGGCCCCCCAAAAAGATGTCCAATTTGTCATTGAAAATGAATTTGGCCGGCCGATTCACGAGATTTTCGCCGATTTTTCCGAAAAACCTGTCGGAGCTGCGAGTTTGGCACAAGTTCACATTGCTCATCTTAAAAATTCGGGCGAAAAAGTTGCGGTCAAAGTTCAACACAAAAGAGTTTATCAGAATAGCAAGACGGATATGAATACGATGCAGTTTTTGGCCAATTTTGCGGATGCCGTGTTTCCTGAGTTCAAATTAATGTGGCTGGTGGATGAGGTGGGATTTTGGGGCATTTTTTGAGCCTAAACAAGCCTAGGCCCAAAAAATCCACATTTTTTGAGCCTAAATAAGGCCAGGCTCAAAATTTGGGATTTTTTGAGCCTAAACAAGCCTGGGCCCGAAAAAATCCACGTTTTTTGAGCCTAAATAAGGCTAGGCTCAAAATTTGGAGCATTTTAAGCCCGGAATCATTGAAAATGACCTTAAAACCTTGAAAATCGCGAAATTTCACCCCAGAAAATTTGAATTTTCAAGCCTCCCGCCGGAATTTGCAATGGAGCGCATTTGCTTCTTTTCGAGCTAAAATAGCTCAAAATTGAGCTAATTTGATGGTTTTTGGCTGAAATTCACTGGAATTTATGGTTTTCATGAATTTCACGTTGAAATCTATGAATTCCAGTAATTTTAAGCCAAAAACCATGAAATTTGCTCAATTTTGAGCATTTTTAGCTCGAAAAGAAGCAAATGCGCTCTAATGCAAATTCAGGCGGGAGGGTGGGGAATTCAAATTTTTCGAGGTGAAATTCATCGAAAAACATGATTTTTAGCTCAAAATTTAACATTTCTCAACAAAAATCCCAAATTTCAAGCTTTCTGGGCTCGAAAAGGCTTGTTTGGGCTCGAAAAATGCAAAATTTTGAGCCCGGGCTTATTTAGGCTCGAAAAATCCCAAATTTTGAACCTAGGCCTATTTAGACTCAAAAATCGTCAAATTTTGAGCTCAGAGCTCCAAAAATCATACAAAATTTTTCAATTTCAGGTCAAGAGAAACCTCCCCAAAGAGCTGGATTTTGAACACGAGGCAAAAAACGCAGACGAAGCCCGAAAACGCTTCAAACACTTGGATTTCCTAAAAATTCCCGAAATTCGCTATGATTTCACAACAAAACGTGTTTTGACAATGGAATACTGTGAAGGTTGCCACGTGGATAATTTGGAATATCTCAAAAAGCACAGTATTTCACCGAGAGATGTTTGCAAAAAAATCGGAAAAACCATTTCGGAAATGATTTTTCTGCAAGGATTTTTGCATTCCGATCCACATCCCGGAAATATTTTGATAAATCCAAAGAAAAATGGATATGAAATTGTACTATTGGATCATGGATTGTATTTGAATATTAATGATCATATCAGGAAAATGTATTCGGATTTGTGGATGGCGATTTTGAAGCCGGATATGCAGGAGATTCGGGTAGGCTTTTTCGCCGCAAAATTTGGAGCATTTTGAGCCCGGAAACCATGAAAATCGCAAAATTTCACCCCCGGAAAATTTGAATTTCTCTAATTCCCGCCTGGATTTGCATTAGAGCGCATTTGCAATTTTTCAGCTGAAAATATGATTTTTGCGCCCTAAAATATATGTTTCTGACCGGAATCTGCTGGAAAATTCGAATTTGAGATAAAAATTCAAGGTTAATGCTGAAAATCCGGATTTTTGGCTGAAAAACATGAAAATCGCAAAATTTCACTCAAGAAAATTTGAATTTTCAAGCCTCCCGCCATGCATTTGCAGTGGAGCGCATTTGCTTCTTTTCGAACTAAAATTGCTCAAAATTAACCAAATTTGATGGTTTTTGGCTGAAAATTACTGGAATTCATTATTTTCAAGCTGAAAAACGACATGAAATTAATTTTAGGTCAATTTTTCATAAATCTCAGCTTGAAAACCATCAATTCCAGTATTTTCAAGCCAAAAACCATCAAATTTGGTCGATTTTGAGCAATTTTAGCTCGAAAAGAAGTAAATGCGCTCCACTGCAAATGTACGCGGGAGGCTTGAAAATTCAAATTTTCCGCCGTGAAATTTTGCGATTTTCAATGTTCTAGGGTCATTTTTCATCAGAAAACTTGATTTTTAGCTCAAAATCCTAAAATTTCTTCAGAAAGTCGCGAATCAAATGGGAGTCGGTGAACTTTATGGGCTTTTCGCGTGTATTGTGACAAGAAGAAGCTGGAAATCTGTAACATCTGGAATTGATAACTCAAAAAATGGGAGAAGATGAGAAAAATGAGCTGCGCACATATGCGGCAAGCTTGATTCCACAAATTTCCGAAGTTTTGACACGAATGCCCAGAGAAATGTTGCTCATATTAAAGACGAATGATTTAATGCGAAATATTGAGCATAAATTGGGACTTTTTGGATATAATGATGCGAATATTGAGGTAAATTTGAAAAATTTGCGATTTTTTGAGCCCGGAAACATGAAAATTGACCTTTGAGGTCAAAAATTAGATTCTAGGCTGGAATTTTGTGCTGAAACTGGAAAAATGGCTGAAAATGCAAGCCTCCATGATTTTCAGCACAAAATTTCAGCATACAAACTTTTTTTGGATGAAAAAATGTGAAAAAAACGAAAAAAAAAACATTTCTGTTTTTGAATTTGTTTTTTCGCGGGCAACCGTCAACCAGCGGAGTGTCGTTGTTTTTTTTCGAAAATATTGATTTTCAGGTCAAAAATATGTTTCTAGGCTGGAATTTTGTGCTGAAAATCGTGGAAATATTCATTTTCAGTGATTTTCAGCTTTTTCCCTAGTTTCAGCACAAAATTCTGATCTAGAAACATGTTTTGACCTAGAAATGATGAAAAACGAATATATTTGAACTAGAATTAACGAAAATATGTTTCTAGATCAGAATTTTGTGCTGAAAATCATGAAAGCTCTCATTTCTAGTAATTTTCAGCATTTTGCCCAGTTTCAGCACAAAATTCTGATCTAGAAACATATTTTTAGCGCTAAAAATCACCTAGGCTTATTTAGTATATAGAAAACGTGGATTTTTCGCGCCAAAATTCAAAAATTCAAATTTTTGCAGATGACACGATGTGTTGTTCGATCCTCTCACGAATTATCGATTCGCCGAACCGAAAACCACCTCAAAAAATTTGGAATCTATCTGAAAATGTACTGGCAACTGCTGAAAATCTCGATTTTTCAGCAATTTTTGAGCTTTGGACTAATTAAAATGAATTAATTAGGCATGTTTTATGTAGAACTCACTTTTTGCCTTTTTTTTGGCGGGTTTTTGTAGAAATTCTAGATTATTTACAAGATTTTTATCATTTTTAGTGTCAAAATGAAGATTTTTCAGTGAAAAACTATACCAAAATATTTTTCTTATCAAAAAAATTTTTTTCCTTATCATATCCCTAACCAGTTAGTTAACCTAATTCCCAAATTTTCTATGCGCAAACCAGTTTCCTTCCTAAGCTCCGCCCCTTTTTCTACAGTATAAAAGCGCGGGCCAAGTTAGCCTAACTTCATCAGGCTTGAATGAGCGTGACAAAAGCGACAGCCGGGGCTTTGTGCCTTTCATCGGCCACCCTCATTTTCTCACTTTACGCCATTTTTTCGATCTATTCTGATGTTCAGACGATTTGGCAACAATTGGATTCGGAAATGGATCAATTTAAGGTACGGAATGAGCCTAAACACGGCCTGAAATGGGCCGAGGGGGCCTTAGATAGGCCTGAAACCTTTTCAGGCTGAAAATATGTTTCTAGGCTGGAATTTTGCGCTGAAAATCATGGAAAGCCTTGTTTCCAGCAATTTCCACCCATTTCTTCAGATTCTGCACAAAATTCCAGCCTAGAAACATTTTTTGGATGAAAAATGTGAAAAATTTTTGAATTTGTTTTTTCGCGGGCAACCGTCAACCAGCGGAGTGTCGTTGTTTTTTTTCGAAAAATATTGATTTTCATGGTGAAAATGTGTTTCTAGGCTGGAATTTTGTGCTGAAACTGGCGAAATAGGTGAAAATTGCTGGAAACAATGATTTCCACTAGTTTCAGCACAAAATTCTGATCTAGAAACTGGTTTTCAACCTGAAATTGAAATTTTTTCAAAAAATTCACATTTTTAGCGTCAAAAAAAGTTTCTCGGCTGAAATTTTGTGCTGAAAATCATTGAAATCGCTATTTTCAGCAATTTCCAGCTGTTTTTCCAGCTTCAGCACAAAAACGGCCTAAAAATGAGCCTAAGGGGCCTTACAAGTTAGAGGCTTTCAAGAGCAAAAAATTTCTTTCCAGAGCTGAAAAAAGTTTCTAGACCAGAATTTTGCGCTGAAACTGGAAAAATGGCTGAAAATCAGCAAAAATGTGAATTTCCATGATTTTTAGCACAAAATTCTGATCTGGAAACACTGTTTAGCTCTGAAAATTGAGTATTTCGAAAATTTCACATTTTCCAAGCTGAAAACAGTTTCTAGACTAGAATTTTGTGCTGAAACTGGAAAAATTGCTGAAAAATCAGCAAAAATGTGAATTTCCATGATTTTCAGCACAAAATTCTGATCTAGAAACATTGTTTAGCTCTGAAAATTAAGTTTTTCAAAAAATTCACATTTTTGCGTCAAAAAAGTTTCTCGGCTGAAATTTTGTGCTGAAAATCATAAAAATCGTTATTTTCAGTGGATTTCAATAGATTTTCCAGTTTCAGCACAAAAAACGGCCTAAAATGAGCCTAGGAGGCCTTAGAGGCTTTTAAGAGCAAAAAATCCCTTTCCAGAGCTGGAAAAAAAGTTTCTAGATCAGAATTTTGTGCTGAAACTGGTGAAATAGCTGAAAATCAGCATAAATGTGAATTTCCATGATTTTCAGCACAAAATTTCAGCCTAGAAACATGTTTTTCACCGAAAATTGAAATTTTCTCAACAATTTCACATTTTCAGAGCTAAACAATGTTTCTAGACCAGAATTTTGTGCTGAAACGGGAAAAATAGCTGAAAATCACTGAAATTGAGCTTTTCGATGATTTTCAGCGCAAAATTCTGTGCTAGAAGCCCATTTTTCACTTGAAATTGATTTTTTCCGAAAATTTCACATTTTCAGAGCTGAAAAAAGTTTTCCGGCTGAAATTTTGTGCTGAAACTGGAAAAATAGCTGAAAACATCACATTCAGTGATTTTCAGCTAATTTTCCAGTTTCAGCGCAAAATTTCAGTCTAGAAACATATTTTCAAGATGAAATTGAAATTTTTCAAAAATTTCACATTTTCAGAGCTGAAAAAAGATTCCCGGCTGAAATTTTGTGCTGAAAACGCTGGAAATCACTATAATTTCAAATTTTCAGGTCGCCACCGACGATCTTTGGACCCAAATGTTAGGCCTCGGAGCGGCGACACCCTCAACCCGTCAACGTCGTCAAGGAAAAGAGCAATACGGTGGATACGAGGCTCAGGGCGTGAACCCGGGACCAACGTGTTCCTGCCAATCCGGAAACGGAAACGGAGACGACGCGTTGGGCACCGGCGGATGTCCGGCAGGTCCGCCAGGTCCAACCGGTGCTCCAGGACCCGACGGAATCCCCGGAATCGACGGGCTCGACGGTTTTAACGGAGAGGACGCGGAAGACTCGCAAAACGCGCCGTTCAACGGATGCATCACATGCGCACCAGGCAAACCGGGAACCCCCGGCGAACGCGGAAAACCAGGGCAACGCGGAATGCGCGGACCACGCGGAACACCCGGTGCCCCCGGAAGCGATGGTTATCCAGGACAACCTGGAGAGATGGGACCACCCGGGGCACCTGGGGAGGACGGGAAGCCAGGCAAGGCTGGAGACAAGGGACAAGACGCCGAGCAACTTACACCACGTAAAGGGCCACGCGGGCCAACTGGAGATGCCGGACCACCAGGGCCTGAAGGAGATGCTGGAAAAGATGGGCCGGTTGGAGAGGCCGGACCACCAGGGCCGGATGGTGTTAATGGATTCCAAGGGCCTGGTGGAGCTCCAGGAGAGGAAGGAAAAGAAGGTCAAGCTGGAAAGATCGGAGACGATGCCGCATATTGTCCATGTCCGGATCGGAATGCTCCAAAAGACAAGGAGGGCTCGTACGCGGCTGCTCCAAGTCACAATCCATCAAATGCTCCAGGAGCCAGCTATTCGGCCGGAACTGGGGGATATTCTGGAGGCCAAGGACATGCACAAAGCAGCTATGGCCGCAAATAAGTGGGCCTTCTTCTGGTCTAAATTGGCCTATTTTTGGGCCTGGGCCCCTTATCTTTATATTATTTTTTCATCGAAAAATGAGCGGGTATGAGTCGAGCAGCGGTTGAGTCGTCGTTTTTGTGTTGAGCCAATTTATTTTCCAATAAATTTTTTCATTTTCTATTTTTTTCAGCCTTGGGCTTGGTTTTCAGCGATTTCCAGCCAGTTTTCCAGATTCAGCGCAAAATTTGAGCCCAGAACCATTTTTCAGCTTTGAAAATTGAGTTTTTCAAAAATTTGCACATTTTCAGAGCTGAAAAATGTTTCTAGATGAGAATTTAGTGCTGAAAATCATGGAACCCCTTGTGTTCGACGATTTTCAGCCAGTTTTCCAGATTCAGCGCAAAATTCTGGTCAAGAAACATTTTTCAGGAAAAAAACAAGAAGAAAACAACGATGCTCCGCTCGTTGACGGTTGCCCGCGAAAAAACAAAATTCAAAAAAAAAACAGAAATGCGAATTTTCACGCTAAAACTGCGTGAAAATTATATATTTTTCGAAAAAAAAATTTTTCGCATCGAAAATAATGCAAACGGGCAAACATGCTCCACCGCTAATCTCTTCCCTTTTTTCAATTTTTTTTCGCGCAATATCAAAAGATCACCATAGCAACGGTGGGAAAACACCATTTTCCTCATTTTCTCCAAAACTACTTTATCTTTCTTCTGATTTTCGGCTAAATTCGCAGTTTTCATGAAATTCAGCACAATTTTCAGCAAAATGACCGAAAATTCTGCAAATCAATGGTATTTATCGTTTTTGGCAAATCGCCCGGTCGAAATCAAGCGCAAAATTCAACATAATTTGAAGTCGGAAGGTTATGCGCTGCGGATTGGCAAATTATACTCAAAAGAGGTGAGAAAATCCTAAAAATCTCGAAAAATCGATAATTTTACATGCAAAACGCTCCAAATTCCATGAAAAATTCAAAAAATAAATCAGAAAATGCGCCCCACCGCTAATTTTCTAGCAATTTCCTCTTAAAACACGGAAAACGGCTTGAAAAACAGAAAAAAACAAAAAAATAAAATCAAGGCGCATGGAATTATGCGAGCGGGTCTCGCAGCGCGCGTGTACTTCTCCCGGACAAGATGGGGATTTTTTTTGTGCGGAAAATTGAATTTTCACGGTTTTCACGGGTAAATGGTGGGAAAATCGAGATTTTCTGAGGAAAAATGCCACGTGGCAATGAGAAAAATCGATAATAGTCATATTTGATGTCAAAAAATCGCAAATTCTTTCAGCTCAAGCCCGGAGCAAGTTACCGTATCTCGGCCTTCTTCTACGATCGTCAAACCTCGCAAATGTTTGGCAGGCCGTGTCACACAAATTGGATTGAAGTTAGCGAAAATCAGCAGCAAGAATGCGAGTTCTACGAAGAGCTATTCTTCCACGCCCCGATTTTGGACGAGAAAATTTTATTGATTTTTGAATTTGTCGAAAATGGCGGGAACGAAAAATCGATTGGTTGGACAAAACGGCCAATTCAAATACAAAATGAGGCGATTTTTCGAGTTGCTCGAACTTCCGGCGGAAATTTCGACAAACCTGAAAACCCTGGAAATTTACGCGGGAACTCCGAAATGCCTCATTTTTGGGCAGGATGAAGTTAGGCTAAATCCAGTGGGCCACGTGGAATTACAATTGTTTTCGCATCGCCCGATTCTGGAGGTTTCGAATTATTTTCCCGAATTTTGTCTGGTTGGAGTGATGGATGATATTCCGGGAATTTTGGCGACGGAAAATGGTGAGTACTGTAGGGAGTACTGTAGTTTTTGGCGGGAGAAAATTTGGAGCATTTTGATACCAAATAAGCCCCGAAATTTGAATTTTTAACCAAAAATCAATTAATTTTGATGATTTCTGGTCCAAATTTTATGAATTTTCACAAATTTCAAGCAATTTTTCATGAAAATTCAAGTTTTTCGGGGTTTTTTGAGCATTTTTACTCCAAATTTATCAAATGCGCTCTAATGCAAATAATGCGAAAAGCTCGAAAATTCAAATTTCCCGCCTTTTTTTGCCATGTGGTTTTTCAAATTAAAAAAATTTGAATTTTCAAATTTTCCCGCCAAAAACTACAGTCATATTTGGTCTTAAAACGCTCCAAATTTCGGCGCGAAAAATAAAAATTCAAATTTTTTCCAGACCCCTTTCTACACCACCCACAAATCGACCCCCAAATTTCGGCGTCAATCGATGAAGTTACCGTAACTTTTGGTCCAAATGCGCAAAAAATCGAAAAAATGATAATCGACGAAGTTTTGCACGATTGGAATCTCAAGGAAAATGCGCAATTTTTGGCTGAAAATCTGAAAATCTCGGAGCGTCGGCTGAAAATCGGAGTTCATAATGGATTTTCGTATTTGTCGGAGCCGATATCGATTAATTTGAACGCGTCGAATTCGAATATTTTGACAAATACTTCGAGTTTGAAGAAACGAAGAGCTTTGAGCTCAAATGATTTGAGGTAAGTCCAGAATTTGGAGCATTTTGAGACCAAACATGCCCAGGGGTACTGTAGCGCGTGAAAATTCTGAATTTTTTGAGACCAAACATGGCTAGGCTCGAAAATTTCGGGATTTTTCGATCTGAAATTAGAAAATTTTGGATACTGTAGAATCTACAGTAGTATTTTTTGCGCGAAGTTTGAAAATTTGAAAATTTTGAATTTCAAAATTTTCGCGCCTGAAAATCTACAGTAACCCGGATTTCCCCCAGCTTGTTTTGTGTCAAAAAACTGCAAATTTTCGCGCCAAAAAATCTACAGTAACCCGTTTTCCCTCTCAGAAATGGTCCCGTCTCACTCTTTGTCAACTCTCGAATCTCGATTCCGAACATTTGCGAAGATCCACGTGTCGCGCTGATCTTCTTGGTCGAATACACGTTCGCCTACGAAGATCGACGCAAATTCAGTCAGCAGCCGATTTTGATTGGATGGGGAGCGTGGAAACCGTTTGGCGAGGAGGCGGCGGGAAGTAGGCACAATGTGCTGGCGAGCGGTGAGTTGGCCGGCAAATTTGGAGCAGAATGAGCCCAAACACGGTGTGTTTGGGCTCATTTTTCGCGCCGCACACAAAAGTGGGCGTGGCTTATGGGGGGCTCATTTTGTAGAGCACTTCGAGAGCTTCAAAATGACACCCCACACGGTGTATTTTGAAGCCACGCCCACTTTTCTGTGCAGCTAGACAGTGAGACGACGAGAGTGGGGTTAGAGACGCGAGAGATACCATGCAGCTAGATAGATAAGGCAAGAGTCGCAGAGGGGCTAGACGGCTAGATAGATAAGGTTAGAGACGCAGAGGGGCTAGACGGCTAGAGAGTGTGGTTAGAGACGCAGAGGGGCTAGGCGGCCAGAGAGTGTATGAACATGAGAGATACCAAGCAGCTAGATGAGGTGAGAGACGCAGAGGGGCTAGACGGCTAGATAGATAAGGTTAGAGACGCAGAGGGGCTAGACGGCTAGAGAGTGTGGTTAGAGACGCAGAGGGGCTAGGCGGCCAGAGAGTGTATGAACATGAGAGATACCAAGCAGCTAGATGAGGTGAGAGACGCAGAGGGGCTAGACGGCTAGAGGGTGTGGTTAGAGACGCAGAGGGATATACACTCGCTCCGCTCGAGCCGCTTGCGCGGAAGATTCCGGGGCGCTTCGCGCAAGATTGCGGCAGACAGCTAGAGAGTGTGGTTAGAGACGCAGAGAGGCTAGAGAAACCAGATGATGCTAGAGACGCAGAGAAGCTAGAAAGTGCAGAAATTTTAGAGAGACCAGACGACGAGAGTGTGTTAGAGACGCAGAGAAACACATTTAATATGAGCAATGCTAGGAAAATGAAGGATTGCTCATGTTAAGGTCCTTAAAGGAAGCTAAAACCTGTAGTTTAACATGAGCAATTCCAAAATATACCGTATCTAGACTCATTCTGGAGCATTTTTCAAGCTCTTTTTCTTGCAGTCAGCCTCGTCGGCGGTCCGCGTCCCAATCCGGAAGGTGCGCTCTGCTTCCGCAACCTCCTCCACCTCCGACAATCCGACGATTCGGTGTTCACCGAATCCCAGCCACAAATCACCATCAATTTCGCATTTTTCCTCGATCAACTGAGAGCCGAGAGCCGGATAACGAGCCTTGGCGATGGCCCGATATCGGCCCGAAAAAGCCCGAAGCCTAAGCCTAAAAAGCTTGAGCCCGAGCCCGAGGAGACTAAGATTCTGAGCTCGACGAAGTTACCCGAAATCTCGGCGAGATCTGTGAATTCTGAGCTGGAAATTCTGGAGATCTCCAAAGATCTGGAGGCCTTTTTGGAGCCCCTAAAACAGCCCGAAGTGGGCCCGGAAAGCCCGGTTATCTACAGAATTCCGGAGGAAAAACCGCAGAATTTTTCGAGAATTTTACACGGTCTCTACACAAGATTGGAGTTTTTGAGGATTTTGGATCGGAATTCGGAGCAGCCTGAAATTCAGGATGTGAATTTGAAGATTTTGTCGAATTTCACCGTGGAAAAGCTGGATCGGCTGGATATTCAACACATTTTCTTCCAATTTTGTGCGATGAAAAAATTTGAATTTGCCGCCGAGGACACTACAGTAACCCGCGTCTTTTTCTCTATAAATTTTTATCGATTTCCTGAGATGATTACGGAGAGCATGATTCTGAAGCAATTTGAGAAATCGGAACCTGCCGCGCTTTTGAGACATGATGGGAAACCGGGACTTGTGGTAAGTCTAATCTGGGGTACTGTAGATTTTGGCGCGTGAAATTTGGAGCGTTTTGAGACCAAATATGGCTAGGTTACTGTAGATTTTGGCGGGAAAATTGAATTTTTTGAATTTTTAAATTTCGCGCGCTTAAAAATCTACAGTAACCTGGAGGATTTTTAGCGGGAAATTTGAATATTCAAAAATTTGAATTTTTAAATTTAGCGCGCTTCAAAATCTACAGTAACCTGGAGGATTTTTAGCGCGAAATTTGAATATTCAAAAAATTTCCGAAAATTTGAATTTTCAAATTTCGCGCGCTCAAAAATCTGCAGTAACCTGGAGGATTTTCGGCGCGAAAGTTTGAAAATTCAAAAATTTGAATTTTTAATTTTCGCGCTCTCGAAATCTACAGTAACCTGGATTATTTTAGCGGGAAATTTGAATTTTTTGAATTTAGCGCGCTAAAGTTTGATCTACAGTAACCTGAATTTTTGGCGGGAAATTTGGAAATTCAAAAAATTTCCGAAAATTTGAATTTTTTGAATTTAGCGCGCTAAAGTTTGATCTACAGTAACCTGGATTTTAGGTGGGAAATTTGGAAATTCAAAAATTTCCAAAAATTTGAATTTTTAAATTTCGCGCGCTTAAAAATCTACAGTAACCTGGATTTTTGGCGGGAAATTTGAATTTTTTGAATTTAGCGCGCCAAAAGTTTAGCTACAGCTAAAAATTTAAATTTTCAAAGCTTTCCGCAAAATTTGCATTAGAGCGAATTTGATGAATTTAGGGTTAAAATTGCTGAAAATTGAGGTTTTAGGGTTAAATTTTGTTAGAAATTTGGATTTTTGATGGAAAATTATTGAAATTCTATCAAATTTGGACTAAAAAACCTGAAAAACTTGAATTTTCTACTGAAAATCATCAAATTTGCAGTCAAAATACATAATGGATTCAGACGAGGATCGTGTGGAGTTCCTCGAATTCCTGAATTCCTCCCACGCCACAATTCACATCTGGGATTCGGATTCTCTTCTTCTAATCGGCACGTGTCATGTGCCTTTAAACAATTTGATGCGACGCGGAAAAGAGGCGGTGCAATTATTCGTGCAATTGCCGATTTTTGGAATTGAGCCAACGAATTCGAGACCCGTTGGCATGTTGGCGATGAAATTGGCGAATGTTGGATGGCCGACGACGGGGGGGGGACGAGACAAGGTGGGTAGAGACGTAGAGGAGAATGAGGCGAGCATTTTGAGACCAAACATGGATATGTTAGAGACGTAGAGGGGCTAGACAGCTAGAGAGTTTGTTAGAGACGCAGAGAGATATACACTCGCTGCGCTCGAGCCGCTTACGCGGAAGATTCCGGGGCGCTGCCGCGCAAGATTGCAGCAGACAGCTAGAGAGTGTGGTTAGAAACGCAGAGAGGCTAGAGAAACCAGATGATGTTAGAGACGCAGAGGAGAATGAGGCGAGCATTTTGAGACCAAACATGGATTAGTTAGAGACACAGAGGAGCTAGACAGTTAGAGAAACCATATAGACCAGGCTAGGTTAGAGACGCAGAAGAGCCAGACAGCTAGAGAGTGTGTTAGAGACGCAGAGGGAGATACACTCGCTCCGCCTCGGAGCCGCTTGCGCGGAAGATTCCGGGGCGCTGACGCGCAAGATTGCGGCAGACAGTTAGAGAGTGTGGTTAGAGACGCAGAGAGGCTAGAGAAAACAGATGATGCTAGAGACGCAGAGGAGCTAGACGACTAGAGGCGCTTTTAGTTGAATATGAGCAATGGTAGAGGATTGCTCATGTTAAGACTCTTAAAGGAACCTGCGAAGCAATAAGTTTGATATGAGCAATGTTCTGAAAATTGAGGATTGCTCATCTTAAAGTCCTCAAAGGACCCTGCAAAACAATAAGTTTAATATGAGCAATTGTGGAATTTTTCTTAAAGGAACCGGTTATGTAAAGTTTAATATGAGCAATCAAATGGAAAACAAATATTTATTAAATAACAAATAAAATAAAATAAGTTAGGCTAAGTCTCAAATGCGCGAAGTCTCGGTGACCAATTCGAAAACAGGTTCTGGAAGATTTTCAGCAGAGCTTTCGAGATTTTCAGCAGATTCTTGAGAATTTCCAGCTTCCGCCGCGAGTTTCGCAGCCAATTTGTTCTTCAAAACTTGAAGAGCCGCGCGACGCTTACGTCCGCCACCTCCGCATCCGCAGCAACCGCATCCGCATCCGCATCCGCAACACGGCCGACAGCAGCACGGTCTACAGCAAGTGCAGCATCTTGTACAGCAGCAAGTTCGGCAGCATGTGCAGCAACGACGACAACAGCAACAGCACCTTTAAATTACTGTAGTTTAGGCATTGCTCATGTTAAACATAGGATTGCTCATGTTAGAAAAAAGCCCCCCATGAGAGAGCGCCCGCGAAAATATATTGACAATTTAGCAGCGAGGAGTCACATGCTTCCGTGGCGCAATAGGCAGCGCGTTCGGCTGTTAACCGAAAGGTTGGTGGTTCGAGCCCACCCGGGAGCGAGACTTTTTTTTTTTTTTTTGAAAATACTCGTGTTTGGTATTAAAATGTGGCGAATCACGTGGTGACGTCATCATTTTTGGCGCGAAAATAAAAAAATCTGGGGCTTACCTTGGTCTACAGCAGCAACATCCACATCCACATCCACATCCACCCTGTCTTTTGACACGTGTCTCGCTCCCCAAAGTGTCGATTTCTGTGCTCGAATTTTGGAGCTCCGCAGATTTTTCCGGCAGCGGATGAGCCAAAATGAGCACCAAAAATGCTCCAGCCAAAATCACAAATTTCAAAGTAGAAGACATATTTTTTAATATACAAAATACCGTGTAACTTTTTGCCGCTTTTATATATCTACGAATATTTGCACAGTAGTTTTCCGCGCGCGCGGAAAAAAAACCGCATAGCTGTCAGAATTTTTCCGCACGCGCGGAAACATGGATTTTGACAGTTTTTTACGCGTCATGAAGGTCTAGACAATTTTTTGAATTTCGCGCTGAAAACAAGATGACGTCATCAGTGTGCCGCGAAATTTGAAAAATTTAAATTTTTGAATTTTGAGCGCGAAATTTGAAAAATTCAAATTTTTTTGAATTTTCAGCGCGAAATTTGAATTTTTAAATTTCCCGCTTAAAATTTCAGAAAATTTGAATTTTTTTCATTTCGCGCCTTAACAGATGACGTCATCAGTGTGCCGCGAAAATTAAGAAATTCAAATATTTTGAAATTTTTGAAAATATTTTGAATTTTTCAAATTTCGCGCTCAAAATCCAACAATTTTTTATTTTTCGAATTTCGCGCCTAAAATTCAGAAAATTTGAATTTTTGAGTTTCCCGCTGAAAAAACGATGACGTCACTTTGAGCGCGAAACTTGAAAAATTCAAAAATTTTTTGAATTTTTTTTGAGCGCGAAAATTAAGAAATTCAAAAATTTTTGAATTTTGAGCGCGAAATTTGAAAAATTTAAAAATTTTTTTGAATTTCGGCAAAAATTTGATTTTTTCAAGTTTCGAGGCTAAAAAAGATGACGTCATCATTTTGAGCGCGAAACGAAAAAATTTGAATTTTTCCGATTTCGCGCCCAAATTTAAAAAAAAATTCAAATTTTCTGAATTTCGCGCTTAAAATTCAACAAAATTTGAATTTTTCAAATTTCGAGGCTAAAAAAAGATGACGTCATCACTTTGAGCGCGAAAATTAAGAAATCCAAAAATTTTTGAATTTTGAGCGCGAAACTTGAAAAATTCAAATTTTCCAGATCTTGCCACGTCATCATCGGGTACTGTAGTCCGACGTCTGGTGACGTCACAAATGTTGTCGGAAGAGGGTCCCCATACGTATCGCGTTGTTGCGAAGCCGTTGCGGAGCGGAAGCGGAAGCGGAAGCGGAAATGCCGGATTGGAGCGATTCATGCAGGCTCAGAGGTGAGATTTTGGGGAAAAAATTTGAATTTGAATTTTTTCGCGCCAAAATAGCCTAGGCTTGTTTAGGCGCATTTTGAAGCCCATTTCGAGCCCGAAAAGCCTGGTGCCACGTGGAAATCTGAAATTTTGATCTGAAATTAATTCCAGAATCGATCTGCAACAACGTCACGAGCAAATCTTCAACGAACACGCTCTCGACAAGCTGGCCAAGTGGGAAAAGCTCAAATCGAATTTCTCGGGCCCCCGGGCCCAGGCCCGGGCCAGGCCAACAACAAAAAATTCATCTTTGAAGAGGAGCTCGCGGCCTACAAGCGCCTCCGGTTCGAATCAAAAAATTCGAAATTGCTGGAGGCCGTCTTCAAGGGCATTACAGTACGCCACGTGGCACGCGCCACATTTGGCGCCAAAATATTTTTCGAATTCCCCCTGGAGAACGCGACGAGCGAACCGATGAATGTGACGGTGGAGATGGATGACGTGGCGCTGGCCATTTGTGATGACGTGGATTTTTTGGGGGCTCACGGAAGCCCAGGGGGCCCCCGAGGGGCCCAAGGCTTCTCAGGCCCCCCGGGGGCCCCCCGAATCTTCCTGAAGCCCGGCGAAACTCTGATGGTCCCGTTTATTTATGACACTTTCCGCATGCAAAGCGACGCGGAAAACCCGAAAATCGTCTTCCGCAACCGGACCGCGGAAAACTTCGAGCCAATCGCGATTCTCGATCTTCATGTCCACCGAAAACCTCCGATCTTCCACGAGAATCTCGTGATGTACGCGGAAGAGGCGCGGAATTGTACGCGACGCGTTTCCGCGTCGTCAAATTTTGCTGCCGGAAGAATCGCCGCAGTACGATGCTCCGATCCCGCGGTCAAATTATCGATCGCCGCCAAAAATTCCATCGAATTCACCGCATTTTGCAACGACACTCCGCAAAAACGCGAGTTTCTCATTTTCGCCTACACGGATTGTTGGCAAATGAAGTTAGCGCAAGTCTGGCGGGTTACTGTAGTTGCGATGAGGCGAATTGATTTGCGGACGGTCGCCGGGCAGATGACGAAATATCGATTGAGTGTGAAGAGACGCAGGTATGGTGGATTTTCGGGGGGTACTGTAGATTTTGGCGCGAAAAATTGCGGTTTTTTGAGACCAAATATGACTTGGGTTACTGTAGATCAAAAATCCACGTTTTTTGATACTAAACATGAATAGGATTACTGTAGATTTCTAGATTACTGTAGATCTTAGGTTACTGTGGGGGAATTTGCGGTTTTTTGAGACCCAATATGGCTAGGGTTACTGTAGGTTTCGGATTACTGTAGATCAAATTTTGGTGTCAAAATTCCACGTTTTTTGACATCAAATATGGCTAGGGTTACTGTAGATTGCGGGAGTACTGTAGATCAAATTTTCGCGCTAAAAATTTTGCAGTTTTGGTGGGGTACTGTAGATCTCAGGTTACTGTAGAAAATTTGGGATTTTCTGATACTAAATAACCGTGGGTTACTGTAGATCATTTTTTGGCGCGCGCGAAAATCCTGAATTCAAATATTCCTGAATTCAAAAAAAATTCAAATTTCAAAATCTTCCCGCCAAAATTTGAGCTACAGTAATCTTTTCGTAAAATCTTTATTAGGCCAAGAAAAATAGCAAAAAATTTTTAAAAAAATGTGGAGAAAAACTAGGCCCACGTGGCCCTAGATTTAGGCCTAAAAATAGGCCTTTCTCAGGCCCACGTGGCAAAATATTGACGTGTTTTTCGATCGTAAGTGGTTGGCAAATACAAATCTTTGGTCGGAATATACAGTTCCCGCCAATTTTTGAAGCGCTGATCCCAATATTTGGAAGTTAGCCAATAGGCGTCTAGAGTAGCATGATTGATAAGGCCTGAAACGAAAAATTGGGGCTTTTTCGGGCTTTTTTTGGGCCAAAAATGGGCCTAAAACACTATTTTTAGGCCTAGAAAGGGTTTCTTGAAGTTTCAAGGCCTTTAAAAGACCTTAAGTGCCTTAAGAACCTTTCTAGACTCTAAATAAGGCTTTCAGGCCCTGTCTAGGCCTAAAAATAGGGTTTTAGGCCCGAAAAGCTTGTTTTTAAGCCCGGAAAGCCTATTTTTAGGCCTAGAAAGGGTTTCCAGAAGTTTCAAGGCCTTAAAAAGACCTTAAGTGCCTCAAGGCCCTGTCTAGGCCTAAAAATAGGCTTTCAGGCCCTTTTAGACCTAAAAATAGGCTTTTAGACCAAAAAATGGGCCTAAAACTATAATTTTAGGCCGGAAAGCCTATTTTTAGCCCTAGATTGAGTTTTCTGATGTTTCAAGGCCTAAAATGACCTTAAGTGTCTTAAGGACCTTTCTAGGCTAGAAAATAGGATTTCAGACCAGAAAAATGGCCTAGAAAGCCTGATTTTAGGCCCAGAAGCCCGAGCCTACCTAATATTGATAAAAAAAGTTGCGAGAAGATTGTTAGTAGTAGGAAAGGTAGCGGGAGTAGTAGTAGGGGTCTGGAAATTGGACATTATTAGGCTTGAGGCTTGGGCCTGGGCCTAAGGTAAGGCCTGAAGCCCGGGCCCGGACCTAATCTCAAAAATCCCCGAATTTAGGCTCAAAATGCTCCAAAAATTGCCGTTTTTTCACTTTTCCGCACCCTTCCGCACGCCCTTTCCGCGCCTACCGTACCCGATCTGTACATTGACAATCCACGTGACAAACTCGAGCTCAACGAGTCCAACAAATAGGATCTGTAGGGCGTGTAGGTGGTGGTCAAATATCGATTGAAAGCCGTGTTCGAATAACGGCGATAATAGCTCGGATAATCGTAGTCGTACCAATAGCCCTTGTAGCGGGTCCAGTAGTTACTGTAGGTGTTCCAGAAGTATGGGTTGGGCAAATTGTCGCTGGAAATGAAAAGAGCATTCGAATGACACCAAACACGCCTAGGTTTTGCTCGAAAAATGCGCCAAGCTACAAAAAATGCGCCAAGGAATACTTTCACTGACGCAAATTTTGTAGGGCTTCAAAATGACACCGAACATGCCTAGGTTTCTATGGAAAATTTTGGTTCAAATGAGCCAGCTACAAAAAATGCGCCAAGGAATACTTTCACTGACGCAATTTCTGTAGGTCTTGCAGAATTTGCGTCAGTGATAGTTCAGCTTGACGCAGAATTTGTAGCTCTTCAAAATGACACCAAACATGCCTAGGCCAGCTGCAAAATTTGCGTCAGCAAGGCCTTTGCTGACGCATTTTTTGTAGGCTACCAAAAATGCCTCAGCAAAATTATTTACTGACGCATGTTTGGTGTCATTTTGAAGCTGAGAACTTAGAGATTGTGAAAATAGCTTTACTGACGCATTTCCGGTGTTGACGCAATTTTTGTAGCCTTTCAAAAATGCGTCAGCAAAAAAAATTAACTAGCCCATGTTTGGTGTCATTTTGAAGCTCTGAACCTGTAGATTAAGGAAATAGCTTCACTGACGCGTTTTGAGTGCTGGCGCGAATTTGGTAGCCTCTGATAGTAACTAGGCTGACGCATTTTTTGTAGCCTACCAAAAATGCGTCAACAAAATTATTTACTGACGCATGTTTGGTGTCATTTTGAAGCTCTGAACCTAGAGATTGTGAAAATAGCTTCACTGACGTGTTTCCGGTGCTGACGCGATTTTTGTAGCCTACCAAAAATGCGTCAGCAAAATTTTTTTTTTAACTAGCCCATGTTTGGTGTCATTTTGAAGCGTTTTTTCTGTAGATCATGAAAATCCCCAAATTTTCTCGCCAAAACTGACCTATAATAATAGCGGCGACTTGGATAATAGGTACGGTAGAGTGGCGAAAAATAGTAGTACTTATCGTACCAATAATCATCATAGAGGTCCCAATCGCGACGCCATTTGTATGGTGTCGATTGATAGACCGTGTGCCATTGTGGACGATATTTTGCCGAGTAGCGGAAGTGTGCGGTGAGATCCGGAACGGAAGCGGTACGTGTGACCTGAACGCGGAAATTTGCGACGTTTTGAGACCACACAAGCCCAGGGTTACTGTAGAACACTTTTTTTTTGCCACGTGGAATTTTTAACTGAAAATTTGTAGAATTTAATTTCAGAATTTTTTAAAATTAAATTTTCCAGCTTAAAAATTCTGAAAAAAAAATTTAAAAAATTTTTTGAATTTTTTTTCTGAAAAAATTTTCAGATTTTTTTTGAAAAAAATTTTTTAGAATTTTTTTTTTGGAAAAAATTTTTTTCGAATTTTTTTTTTGAAAAAAAATTTTTTGATTTTTTTTTGGAAAAAAAATTTTTTCGAATTTTTTTTTTTGGAAAAAAATTTTTTGATTTTTTTTTTGGAAAAAAAGGTTTTGATTTTTTTTTTTCAAAAAAAAAATTTTTTTTGAATTTTTTTTTTAAATTTATTGCCACGTGGCATTTTCCTGTGTACTTCTCCCGGAGAATTTTTTCTTTTGTTTACCTTTTGAACTTTTCAAAAGTGAAAAAAAGAGATACGAGAGAAAATAATTGGTTTTTGGGGGCGATGTGTAAAAAAGAAATATCACATGCTTCAGATTTTTGATCTCTATTGTTTTCCACGTGGCAAAAACAATTACTGTAGTTTTCTGGGGTTACTGTAGCTAATCGCATTTTGTAGAGAATTTCAAGAGCTTCAAAACGAGACCTAACATGACTAGATTTCAGGCCACGCCCACTTTTCTGTGCCGCACAGAAAAGTGGGCGTGGCCTAGTCATGTTGGGGCTCATTTTGAAGCTCTTGAAATGCTCTACATGGATTTGGGCCTAGGCCTAAGCCTAAGCCCGGCCCGACTTACCAAAAGCCGCGAAGCCGGGTCCACAGATCTGGAGCGTGTCAAAGCGCTCCGCGAGCGCACCAAAGCATAATCACTCATGTTTTCTGCAAATTTTTGAAATTTTGGCTGAAAATTTCAGATTTTCAGCAAAAATGCTGAAAATCGGCGATTTTCAGACGGGAAAAATGAGAAAATGAAAGGGAAATGGCAATTTTCAGGTGGGCGGAGTGGGATTTTTCCATTTTTTTTTTCTGGAGCACAGCTGTTGCTCAGAGCTCCAGAAAAGAAAACAAAAATAAAAAACAACAAAATTTTTTTTCGAGCCGAACAATAAGAAGCTTGGAGATTGATCGATGCGATTTTTTGAGATTTTTCAGCAAAAAATTGGCTGAAAATCTGGAATTTTTGGGAATTTTCGGCCCGAAAAATGGGCCTAGTCTCAGCCTACAGTAATCCAAATTTAGGCCGAAAATTTGGAGCATTTTTGAGGTACAGTAACCCTAGAATCCTAGATTACTGTAGGTAAAAAATAGCAAAATTTGGAAATTTTCGAGCTACAGTAACCCAGAAATTTTCTAGATTTTTGGAGATGAAAATTGAGCTACAGTAATCCAGAAGATACTGTAGATCAAAAATTAGCACAAATTGGAATAATTGAGCCAGTAACTCTGGGGAGTACTGTAGATTTTCTATGTTTTTTGAAGATGAAAATTGAGCTACAGTAACCCTGGGAAGTACTGTAGATCAAAAATTTTCAAAAATTGGAAAATTTCGAGCTACAGTAACCCTAGATTACTGTAGATCAAAAAATAGCGAAAAATTGGAAATTTCGAGCTACAGTAACCCTGGGAAGTACTGTAGATGAAAAGTTTGGAAAATCTGAGGAATTTTGAGCTACAGTAACCCAGAAGAGTACTGTAGATCGAAAATTAGCAAAAATTTTGGAATTTTTGAACTACAGTAACCCTGGGAAGTACTGTAGATGAAAAGTTTGGAAAATCTGAGGAATTTTGAGCTACAGTAACCCAGAAGAGTACTGTAGATCGGAAATTTGGGAAAATTTGGAAATTTCGAGCTACAGTAACCCTGGGGAGTACTGTAGATCAAAAAATAGCAAAAAATTGGAACTTTCCGAGCTACAGTAACCCTAGATTACTGTAGATTTTCTAGATTTTTTGAGGATGAAATTGAATTTCAGTAACCCAGAAGAGTACTGTAGATCAAAAATTTGAGGAATTTTTGAGCTACAGTAACCCTGGGGAGTACTGTAGATCAAAAAATAGCAAAATTTGGAAATTTTGAGCTACAGTAACCCTGGGGAGTACTGTAGATCAAAAATTAGAAAAAAAAAAATGGAAATTTTTGAACTACAGTAACCCAGAGATTTTTTAGATTTTTGAAGGATAAAATTGAGCTACAGTAACCCTGGGGAGTACTGTAGATCAAAAATCAGCGAAAAAGAAGAGTACTGTAGATTCTCTAGGTTTTTTGGAGATGAAATTTGAACTACAGTAACCCAGAAGAGTACTGTAGATCGGAAATTTGAGGAATTTTGAGCTACAGTAACCCTGGGGAGTACTGTAGATCAAAAATCAGCGAAAAAGAAGAGTACTGTAGATTCTCTAGGTTTTTTGGAGATGAAATTTGAACTACAGTAACCCAGAAAAGTACTGTAGATCGGAAATTTGGGAAACTTGGAAATTTCGAGCTACAGTAGCCATAGATTACTGTAGCTATTTAAATTTTTTCCAGTGAAAACGAAAATGTGGACGATTTGCTGCGCGTCTATTGCTCCATGGGCTCCGCAATTCTCCAGGAATCCACAATTTTGGCAGATCGCCAACCCGTTGTCGAAATGCAGTTTGTGCTCAATTTCATCGGTGAGTTAGGCTAAATTGAGTTAAAAACGGGCGGGGCTTAAAAAGGCGCGAAAAACGAGTCCAAACACGGTGTGTTTTGGACGATTTTTGTGTGCGGCACGGAAAAGTGGGCGTGGCTTATGGGGACTCATTTTGTAGAGAATTTCAAGGGCTTCAAAATGAGCCCCAACATGACTAGGTTTTAGGCCACGCCCACTTTTCCGCGCCGCATTGAAAAAACTTCAAATTTTCATTATTTTTGCATGCGGCGCGGAAAAGTGGGCGGAGCCTAAAACATACCGTGTTAGGTCTCGTTTTGAAGCTCTCGAAATTCTCTACAGAATGCCACCTCACACGGTGTATTTTAGGCCACGCCCACTTTTCTGTGCCGCATTGAAAAAATGTTTATTTCCAAAAAATCACAAAAATCCACAGAAAAATCGATAAAATGCCACGTGTCCCAGAAGAGCAAAGCTGCAAAAATTTTGAATTTTTTGAATTTCGCGCCAAAAATTACCGTACCTCTTGCAGTTCTTGTAGATTTTTGACAGTCATATTTTGAAAATTCGAATAGAGCTGCGAAATTTCGCAAGGCTCTGGACATTTTGGCAAAAAAATTTGGACGGGTGCCAAATCTGACGAGTTACGGTAGTAGAATTGTGCCACGTGGCCATTTTTCGGGGTACTGTAGATCTCCATGATTAGAGTGGCCGCGTAGGGAACCATTTGATTGTTGCTGGCTCCGAGAGCATTTAGAAGAGCCAGCAAGACGCCGTCGTGCTGAAAATTTCAGAAAATTTCAGATTTTTGGCGCGAAAATTGAGCAAGGTGGGAAAATTTGCCGTTTTTTGACACCAAACATGCCTAGGACGAGTTTAATATGAACAATGCCTAGTTTAATATGAGCAATGCCTAAATTTCTAGTTTAATATGAGAAATACCTAGTTTAACATGAGCAATACCTAGTTTCACATGAGCAATGCCTAGTTTAACATGAGCAATCCCCAAATTTCTAGTTTAATATGAGCATGCCTAGTTTACCATGAGCAATTCCAGAATTTCTAGTTTAATATGAGCAATCCCCAAATTTCTAGTTTAATATGAGCAATCCTCAATTTTCTAGTTTAATATGAGCAATACCTAAATTTCTAGTTTAACATGAGCAATGCCTAGATTAACATGAGCAATGCCCATTTTTTGGCGCGAAATTGAGAAAATTCAAATTTTCTGAGAATTTTTTGAATTTCAAATGTTCGCGCCCAAAAAACTACAGTAACCCAGGCTTACTGTACCTCAAAATGATCCAAATTGAGCCTATTTGAGGCCTGGGCGGCCCTATTCGGCCCGAAAATAGGCCTAGGCCTATTTTGGCTCATTTTTCACAAAAAATAGTTCATTTTTCGCGCCAAAATCTACAGTACTCTTGACCTACCGATGAATAGAGCATCATTTTCCTGTCCATTTTTCCTTCGGCCACATTTCTAGCATTTTCGAGCCAAATATTCAAAATTGAACCTCCCATAAGCCTGGATTTTTCATCGGAATTAAATAAATCCAACATTTTCCGCGTCCTCATCTCGAAAATCAAATCCATCGATGTGCGGCCCCCGAATTCGGCCCATTTTTTGTGGACCCAATCGGGCTGCCGGCCCAAAAGCCCGTGAATCAGCTCCCGCTGAATATCGTATAATCCATTGATGTCCGAATAGGAGCAATTATCCAGGCCGGTCCGGTTTTGGCCCGAAATTTCGCGGAAAAAATCGGCGTATTTTTGATCGTAGAAGGTTTTTGCGCGATTTTCGGAGTCTTGAGCTAGGAGGGCGTGTTTTGGACATTTTATTGAGGTTGCTTTGCAAGTCTGGAAGATTTTGGGGGCTTTTGAGGGGCTTTAGGGACCTTAGGGACCTTAAGAAGCTTTAAGAGTCTCACGGAGCTTCTGAGAGGCTTTAGGAGGCCTTAGTGACCTTAAGAAGCCGTAAGGAGCTTCTCAAAGGCCTAGAAAAAAATTTGTGGATCTCAAAAGCCCCTAGGGGACCTTAGGGATCTGGAGAAGGCTTTAGAGAGCTTTAAGAGGATTCAGAAGGCCTTAGGGACCTTAGGGACCTTAAAAAGCCTCAAAAAATGCTTAAGGTATCTTTAGAAGCCCTTAAAATGGTTCAGAAACCTTAAAGAACCTTTAAAGAAGGCTTTATGGACCTTAAAAGCCCTTAGTGAACTTTTAAAAGCTTCATGAACCTTAGGACCCTTAAGAAGCCTCTAAAACGCTTAGAGTATCTTTAGAAACCCTTAGGCGTCCCTTAGAGACCTTAAGGAAACTTAAAATGGTTTAGGGAGGCTTTAAGGAGCTTTAAAGGGCTTTAGAAAGCCTTAGGGACCTTAAGGAGCTTTTAAAAGCCTTCAGAAGGCTTCAGAGGGCTTTAGGGACCTTAGGAACCTTAAGAATCCTTTAAAAATGCTTTAGGAGGCTTTAGAGAGCGTTAGAGGCTTTTGAAAGGCTTTAGAAAGCCTTAGGGACCTTAAGGAGCTTCTGAAAGCCTTCAGAAGGCTTCAGAAGGCTTCAGAGGGCCCAAAAATCCACAGTACCCACCAAATCGGGTTCCCCAGGCGTCGCCGCATGCACCGGAATCGGTTGCCAATCCAAATCCGCTTCCCACCGCCATTCCGCGTTGCGGGCCGGATAAAAACCGTACAAAAAAGCCTGGGCCGAAGTCAGGGCCCGGTCCGAGTCCGAACTCTGAAGGTATACGGTTTTGGTGGAGAAATTGGCGGGCAAAAAATTGGAAGCCACGTATTTTGCGCGAAAAAATTCGCCCAACTCGTGCAGTTGACGCATGCCGATCTGAAATTAATTTCAGGTTGAAAATTTGGAGGTACAGTATGTCTGGGGGTACTGTAGACAAAATTTGAAGCATTTTGACACCAAACATGACTGGGATTATTGTAGATCAAGGAGTACTGTAGCTCTGATACAGTAATCCTGGGATACTGTAGTTTTTCTGAAATCAAAAATTGAGCTACAGTAATCCTAGAGCTTCTGGAGTACTGTAGATCAAATTTGACTCATTTTGAGCTACAGTAACCCAACTACAGTAATCCAAAAATGTTGTTTCTGGAAGGAGAATGGCTACAGTAACCCGATAAATTTCTGAATTTAGGATTACTGTAGATAGGCTTGGGTTACTGTAGTTCAAATTTTTGCACAATTTTTGATCTACAGTAACCCAGAATTAATTTACTGTAGATCAATAGAATTTTGAAATTTTCGAAGTACAGCCTACAGTAACCCTAGAGTTTTCTAGAAATATAGGGCTACAGTACTCCGGGTTACTGTATCTCGAAATTTTTGGCACCAAAATTGATCTACAGTAACCCTAGTCATGTTTGGTATCAAAAAATTCCCCTTTTTTCTCCGAATCCAAATCTACAGTAATCCGCGAACCCTACAGTACTCACCGCCGTCAACTGTCCCCATCCACGTGGCCAACTCGTCTCCCCATACTCGTCATTGGGGTACGGTAGATGCAACGGCGCTCTATCGCCATGCCGCCAAAGTGCCTGCACAAAAACGAGCTCAGAGCAAAATGCCACGTGGCTACAGTACACCAGCAGCGCGAAAATTTGGAGCATTTTTGAGCTGAAAAATCGAAAAAAATTCTTGAAAAATGAGATTTCTTCGTGTGAAAACACATTATTATTAGTAAGCACACGAGATTTTGAAACGCGATACTTTTGGCGGGAAAATTTTGAGATTTTTGGCGCCAAAAATCGATGTGCCACGTGGCAAGAGGAAAAACGCGAGCATCGAAAATAAATATACAATTTCACCCCCACTGCCACATGCGCCTCGATAGCTCAGTTGGGAGAGCGTTAGACTGAAGATCTAAAGGTCACCAGTTCGATCCTGGTTCGGGGCAAGCTTTTTTTTTTTTGAAAAAGTGGAATTTTCAGGGCACAAAAATTTGCATATTTCGGTGGTGAACACGAATTCTGGAAGTCTGGAAGCCTTATATTTATTATGCACAACATCTGAAGCTCCAAGGATTACACAGCGCTTCCAAGTTGAAGTTCGAATCGCAGAAGAGGAAAAAATTGTGAAAAAAACGCTAAAGATCAGGAATCCCTATGGAATTGCGAAAAAATTCCAGATTTCGACATCGTGCGCGGATATTTTGCGAATTTCACAGGATTTGATGGAAATTCCGGCGGAGAGTTACAGGAACTTGGAGATTTTCTTCCAAAAAATCACACATAAACCGGCGAATTTTGAGACACTCCTGTTTATTTCAAATCAGGAGAATAATATACAAGAGGAGGCTTTTGCGATTTTGGTCAAATTTGTGTAAAAAATAAAGTGAATTTTTGAATTTTTCATGAAATTTTGAGGCGGAAACGTCCAAAAATCGATATTTTAGGGAAAATTTCAGGGTTTTTCAAAAAAAAAAGCACAAAAAAGTACACAAACCTTATAGTTTATTGTTTGTTATCATCAAAAATGAAACAATTTATTATTATTCGGGTTTAAAAACAGTCGAAAAACTGATAAAAATGCAAATTCATTGAAAATTGTGCGAGTTTCCGGTCAAAATTGATAAAATTCATTGTTTTCTGTGCGAAAATCCACGTGGCATCGGTTTTTCTCTCCAAATATGAGAAATGTTGTTTTGCATGTCTGAAAATCTGGAAATTTAGCTAATTAACTAATTAATTAGCTTAAAAATCCGAGAAACTGCAAAAATTCAATTTTTTGTAAAAAAAAATCGCCATTTTCTCCGAGAGAAGTACACGGGCGCTGCGAGACCCGCTTGCATAATTCCGTGCGCCTTGATTTTATTTTTTTTGTTTTTTTTTTGCGTTTTTTCATTTTCAAACCAGGTTTTCCCACGTTTTCAGCCAAATTTTTAAGAAATTTGGCATTGGAGCGCATTTTCTTATCGATTTTTGAACTATTCATCAGAAATCGCGCAGGTTTCCATGTGAAATTGAGCTGAAAATTTGAAAATGACAAAAATCCACGTTTTATCGATTTTTGAATCGTTTTCCACGTGAAATGTGGCAAATTTTGTTGGAAATCAAGAAAACGTGGATTTTCTATCATTTTTGCATTTTCCTATCGATAAAAACGGTGAAAATTTGAGAGATTTGTGATTTTTGAGTGAGTTGGGCAGGAAATTTCATAGTTTTTCTTGAAAAACAAAAAAATTGATGAAATTTGACACCCTAAGGTCATTTTTCACCAGAAATACCTTAAAATCCTCCTAAAGGCCCTATTTTCACTGAAAAACCACGAAATTTGACACCCTAAGGTAATTTTTCACTAGAAATACCTTAAAAACCTCCTTAAGACCTTATTTTCACTCAGAAAACACGAAATTTAACACCCTAAGGTCATTTTTCACGAGAAATACCTTAAAAACGTCCTAAAGCCTTTATTTTCACTCAAAAACCCAAAAAATGATGAAATTTGACTCCCTACGGTCATTTTTGACGAGAAATACCTTAAAAACCTCCTAAAGCCTTGATTTTCACTGTAAAATTCAAATTTCCCGCCAAATTTAAAGGCACACAATCCCCCCTTTCCCAATGGATTAGTCCAATTTGTTCCCCCCCTCTTCGCAAAATGCTGTGTTTTGTTCTCTGCATCTCTGCACACTCTCTCAATGGTCATTCACTCTCGCTCTCTCGTTTTTGAGTGTGTGTCCTTGTCTTCTTCCCTTTTTCTTTCTTTTTACTCACCCCAGCACGCCAAGGATGACCCCTTCATTATTATTTTTCGGGTTTATCGCTTTTCGCAGTGAAAATTTGAGGTTTTCAGTGTGTTTTAGACGAAAAATGACCTTAGGACGTTAAATTTCGTAATTTTCCATGTTTTTTGAGTGAAAATAAAGCGTTTATGAGGTTTTTAAGGTATTTCTCGTGAAAAATGACCTTAGGGTGTTAAATTTCATCATTTTTTGTGTTTTTTGAGTTAAAATAAAGCGTTTGGGTGGTTTTTAGGGTATTTTAGGCGAAAAATGACCTCAGGACGTTAAATTTCGTCAATTTCCATGTTTTTTCAGTGAAAATAAGGTCTTTAGAAGGTTTTAAAAGTATTTTTTACGAAAAATGACCTTAGGGTGTTAAATTTTGTGTTTTTTGAGTGAAAATGAAGCCTTTAGGAGGTTTGTAAGGTATTTTACGCTAAAAATGACCTTAGGGTGTTAAATTTCATCTATTTTCTTGTTTTGTGAGTGAAAATAAAGGCTTTAGGAGGTTTTTAAGGTATTTCTCGTGAAAAATGACCTTAGGGTATCAAATTTCATCTATTTTCTTGTTTTGTGAGTGAAAATGAAGCGTTTAGGAGGTTTTTAGGGTATTTATCGTGAAAAATGACCTTAGGGTGTCAATTTCCATGTTTTTTGAGTGAAAATAAAGCGTTTAGGAGGTTTTTAAGGTATTTTTCATGAAAAATGACCTTAGGGTGTCAATTTCCATGTTTTTTAAGTGAAAATAAAGGCTTTAGGAGGTTTTTAAGGTAATTTTCGTGAAAAATGACCTTAGGGTGTTGAATTTTATCAATTTCCATGTTTTTTAAGTGAAAATAAAGGCTTTAGGAGGTTTTTAAGGTAATTTTCGTGAAAAATGACCTTAGGGTGTTGAATTTTATCAATTTCCATGTTTTTCGAGTGAAAATAAAGGCTTTAGGAGGTTTTTAAGGTAATTTTCGTGAAAAATGACCTTAGGGTGTTGAATTTTATCAATTTCCATGTTTTTCGAGTGAAAATCAAGCGTTTAGGAGGTTTTTAAAGTATTTCTTGTGAAAAATGACCTCAGGGTGTTAAATTCCATGTTTTTAAAGTGAAAATAAAGGCTTTAGGAGGTTTTAAGGTATTTCTCGTGAAAAATGACCTTAGGGTGTCAGATTTCCTAATTGTTCTGTGTTTTCGATCAGAAATTGCGCTCCAATGCGAATTTCCCATCAAAAAATTCGAAAATCCCATAATTTTCCGTCAAAAATAAGTTATTTTTCATCGAAAAACAATAAGTTTTCACTTTCCATATAATCCCGCAGGTTTTTACAATGCGAAAAACAATTTTAATTACTTTTTCGTGAAAATTAGCCTTGGAGCGCATTTTCCCATTGATTTTTCGAATTTTTAATGAAAATTAGCCTTGGAGCGCATTTTCCTATGATTTTTTCGAATTTTTGATGAAAATTAGCATTGGAGCGCATTTTCCTATGATTTTTTCGAATTTTTTGATGAAAATTAGCCTTGGTGCGCATTTTCCTATGATTTTTTTGAATTTTTGATGAAAATTAGCCTTGGAGCGCATTTTCCTATGATTTTTCAGAAGTTTTGATGAAAATTAGCATTGGAGCGCATTTTCCTATGGTTTTTTCGAATTTTAAACAAAAATTAGCAATGGAGCGCATTTTCCTATGATTTTTCAGAAGTTTTGATGAAAATTAGCATTGGAGCGCATTTTCCTATGCTTTTTTCGAATTTTTGATGAAAATTAGCATTGGAGCGCATTTTCCTATGAAATTTTCGAATTTTTGATGAAAATCAGCATTGGAGCGCATTTGCATCATGTTCTTCACAATCTTTCCCATTTTATACAACAAAAAAACTATGACTCATCCTTTTTTTTCGTTTGCATAAATTTTTATCGCGTTTTCTTTCCTTTTTCGTTCATTGTTTACTTTTTCCCGCTTTTCTAATCCTTTAGGTACCTAAAAGATTTTATTTTTAAAAAAACGTTGTTTTTTGAGTGAGAAAGTGCGCTCCAATGCTAATTTTCATCAAAAATTCGAAAATACCATAGGAAAATGCGCTCTAGGGCTAATTTTTATCGAAAATTCGAAACAATCATATGAAAATACGCTCCAATGCTAATTTTCATCAAAAATTCGAAAATTTCATAGGAAAATGCGCTCCAATGCTAATTTTCATCAAAAAATTCAAAAAAAACCATAGGAAAATGCGCTCCAATGCTAATTTTCATCAAAAATTTGAAAATTAAGTGGGAAAATGTGCTCCAATGCTAATTTTCATCAAAAATGCGAAAAAAACATAGGAAAATGCACTCCAATGATAATTTTCATCAAAAATTCGAAAAAACCATGGGAAAATGCGCTCTAATGCTAAAAATCATCATTTTTTCCAGAAAAACCATGCAAAACGGTGAAAAATCATTCAATCTCAACGATGTCAAATCAAAAGCCGTTCTCCAATTAATTAAGCAACTAATTAACGAAGTTACAACAATCACCGAAACTTTTCCGCTGGAAAAAGGACAAACCACCGAAAATTTGGTGCAAAACGTGGATTCATCGATTTTGCGATTTTTGAAAGAGGCCGACTCAGCTGTGGAAAATTGCCCAGTTGCCAGAAATAATCCGAGAGCTGTGGAAAAACTGAGAAGAGCTCTGGAAGATGTTCGAGACACTGGTAGGGCTCTTTTTGACCTGAAAATCATGAAAATCGCAAAATTTCACCCCAGAAAATTTGAATTTCTCAACTTCCCGCCCTGATTTGCATTAGAGCGCATTTGCATTTTTCCAACTAAAAATGCGATTTCTGGGGCTTAAAATACATGTTTCTGATCGGAATTTGCTGGAAAATTCGAATTTCTTATGAAAATCTGAAATTTCAGCCAATTTTCAGCAGAAACCTTCAATGTTTATAGAAAATTCGAATTTTCCAGCGAATTCCAGTCAAAAACATGTATTTTTAAGCCCCAAAATCGCATTTTTAGCTCAAAAAGTGCAAGTGCGCTCCAATGCAAATTCCCCCCGGGAAACTTGAAACTTGAAAATTCAAATTTTCTCTGTTGAAATTATTGATTTTTCAGGGTTTTGGGCTATTTTCGAGCTGAAAATTTCCAAAATTCAAATTTCCAGGTCAAATTATGTCGAAAAACGGTCGGGAATTCATTCGCCACTCGACTTCTTCACCAAAACGCTCAAATGCCGTGGAAGCTGGAAGACAATTGTTGAATGTTAGTTTTTTGGCTGAAATTGAGCTGATAATCATGAAAAATGATGAATTTTGACCTAAGAACCTCAAAAACTCGATTTTTCAACCCAGAAAATTTGAATTTCTCTAATTCCCGCCCTGATTTGCATTAGAGCGCATTTGCAATTTTTGAGCTGAAAATTCGATTTCCGGGCTTCAAAATACATGGTTTTGACCAGAATTTGATGGAAAATTCGAATTTTCGGCCCCTGAAGCCCAAAAAAAAAAAGCCCCCAAATTTTTCCAGGCCGTGGCCCGTTTTCTCATCATTGCCGATGACATTGATGTTGATGTAATCGTCGAAAAAGTCGACAAAATCCGTGAAATCATCAAAGATCTCGAACAAGCCGAATCGAAGACGGAAGTCGAAGAATTGTATCAGATTCTGGTGTCACAAATCGAGGAATTGGATGTTACTGTTAGGTAGGTAAATTTGGGATTTTGAGCTCATTTTGAGCACAAAAATTGCTCAAAATGACCTATTTTGACCTGAAAACCATGAAAATCGCAAAATTTCACCCTAGAAAATTTGAATTTCTCGAATTCCCGCCTTGATTTGCATTAGAGCGCATTTGCAATTTTTCAGCTAAAAATGCGATTTTTGCCACTAGAAATACATGTTTCTGACGGGAATTTGCTGAAAATCACGATTTTGAGATAAAAATTCAAGGTTTATGCTGAAAATTTTCTGAAAATCGAGTTTTTTGGCTCAAAATGACCCCTGAACCATGAAAATCGCAAAATTTCACCCTAGAAAATTTGAATTTTTAACTAATCCGTCTGGATTTGCATTAGAGCGCACTTGCTTCTTTTCGTAATAAAAATGCTCAAAATTGACCGGATTTGATGATTTTCAGGTTGAAATCGTGAAATTCGGTGTTTTTAATCCAAAAATCATGAAAAATGCTCAAAAACGACCCCGGAACCATGAAAATCGCAAAATTTCACCCTAGAAAATTTGCATTTTTAACTATTCCGCCAGAATTTGCATTGGAGCGCAATTGCTTCTTTTCGACCTAAAAATGCTCAAAATTGACCGGATTTCATGGTTTTCAGCTTAAAATTCACTGAAAATTATGATTTTTGAGCTGAAATTCAGGATTTTCAGGTTGAAATCGTGAAATTTGGGTGTTTCTAATCCAAAAATCATGAAAAATGCTCAAAAATGACCTTAGAACCATGAAAATCGCGAAATTTCACCCTAGAAAATTTGAATTTTTGACCCTCCGGCCGGAATTTGCATTAGAGCGCACTTGCTTCTTTTCGACCTAAAAATGCTCAAAATTGATCGGATTTGATGGTTTTCGGGTCAAAATTCACTGAAAATGATGATTTTTCAGCTGAAATTCAGGATTTTCAGGTTGAAATCGTGAAATTTGGGTGTTTCTAATCCAAAAATCATGAAAAATGCTCAAAAATGACCTTAGAACCATGAAAATCGCGAAATTTCACCCTAGAAAATTTGAATTTTTGACCCTCCGGCCGGAATTTGCATTAGAGCGCACTTGCTTCTTTTCGACCTAAAAATGCTCAAAATTGACCGGATTTCATGGTTTTCGGGTCAAAATTGCTCATTTTTCATGATTTTTGGCTCAAAATGGCTCATTTCTAAAGTTTTGACCTCTGAAATTCAAATTTTCAGACGTCGCGCCATCGATTTGGTCAAACAAAATCAACAAGACGACCTTCTGGCAGCTCGAAATGCTCTCAAATCCATCGCTCCAATTTTGTACACCACCACCAAGACCTATGTTAGACATCCGGAACAAATTGAAGCAAAAACGAATCGCGATTTTTCGATGAATGAAATGCACACGGCACTTGATGCTATGGAAAATGTGCTCCGCGGAAAACTCGACACAAATATCAAATTTAGCGAATATGGAAAAATTGGCGATTTGATCAATGAAATTGATCTGTTCCAGGTGAATTTTTGACTATTTTCAAGCTAAAAATCATGAAAATCGCAAAATTTCACCCCAGAAAATTTGAATTTTTCACCCTTCCGCTCTTTTTTTGCATTAGAGCGCATTTGCACTTTTCAAGCTAAAAATGCGATTTCCGGGCCCGAAAATACATGTTTTTGACAGGAATTTGCTGGAAAATTTGAATTTGAGATGAAAAATTGAAGGTTTATGCTGAAAATTGGTTGAAAATGATCCAATAACCGATTTTCAGCTGGAAAATCTGGAATTTCAGCCGAATTTCAGCATAGACCCATGTTTTTCATTGAAAATTTGAATTTTCCATCAAATTTCAGTCAGAAACATGTATTTTTGCCCTAAAAATCGGCATTTTCAGCTGAAAAATTGCAAATGCGCTCCAATGCAAATTTACGCGGGAAACTGGGAAATTCAAATTTTCTATATGAAAAATTATCGATTTTTCACCCAAAACACCTCAAAATTCATCATTTTCACCTGATTCTCATTCCAGAATCGCATTGAAATCGAGCCCTCCAAATACCGTGATGATAAACATCGTCCGGAGCTCGAAGAGCTCGCTGAGAGAATAGTTAGCGGAAGTGCCAGTATTGCCGACTCGGAATCCACAAGAGAATCGAGAAAACAGAAAATTGTGGCCGAATGCAATAATTTGCGGCAGGCATTGCAGGAATTGTTGAGCGAATATGAGAAAAGTGTGAGTTTTTTGACTGAAAATCATATTTTCTAGCTGAAAATCGCGTTTTTTGACTGAAAATGATGTAAAATTCATGAAAAATGACCCAGAAACCAAGAAAATCGCATATTTTTGACCTAGAAAATTTGAATTTTCAACCTTCCCGCCCTGATTTGCATTAGAGCGCATTTGCAATTTTTCAGTTGGAAATTTGATTTCCTGGCTTTAAAATACATGTTTCTGAGCGGAATTAGCTGAAAAATTCGAATTTGAGATAAAAATTGGAAGTTTTTGCTGAAAATCGGCTGAAAATCCGGATTTTTGGCTGAAAATGATCTGAAAATCATGAAAAAATGACCTCGTAGGTCATTTTTCATGATTTTTTCAACCAAACTTCTCTGCGTCTCTCAAAACTTCACACTCTCTCTCATCTCAAAGACCTACCGCTAAGCCAATATAGACTAACTAAACAAATATCAATAGACATATCCGATTTCTGATCGTCTGACTTCTCTGCACTCTCTCACATAGGGAAAATTACCTAATTTTAATTTAAGGTCGAAAATTTCAGCTTTTCCTCAATTTCAGCTTGAAAATCGTGAATTTTAAGACGAAAACTATTGAATTCGGTGAATTTTGAGCATTTTTACGTCGAAAAGAAGCAAGTGCGCTCTAATGCAAATTCTGGCGGGAGAGTTGGAAATTTGAATTTTCTACGGTGAAAATTTGCGATTTTCATGGTTCCGGGGTCATTTTTTATGAATTTTACATGATTTTCAGCCAAAAAACGCGATTTTCAGCTAGAAAATATGATTTTCGACCCCTTTATGACCTAAATTTAATTAATTTGTCTTATCTCATCCGAAAAATCTCAATTTTATTATGAAACATATATTTTTGTTATCAAAATGTTCCATCTTTCCCTCTTTTTTTTGCCCGAATTTCTCTCGGACAAAACAAAACAAAAACGTGCGAACAATGTAAATAAAACGGACAAGGGATGATGTTTTTTGAGCTTTTTTCTTTGAAAAGAGTAAAATCGTGTTGGATTCTTGAGTACTTTGGGCTCTTCTCACTGAAATTTGGGGATTTTTTGAGCCGAAAATCGTGAAAATCGCAAAATTTAACCCGGGAAAATTTGAATTTTCAACACTCCCCCCTGGATTTGCATTAGAGCGCATTTGCAATTTTTGAGCCAAAAATGCGATTTCTAGGGCTCAAATTACATGTTTTTGACCGGAATTAGGTGGAAAATTCGAATTTGAGATAAAAATTGAAGGTTTATGCTCAAAAATGACCCCGGAACCATGAAAATTGCAAAATTTCACCCTGGAAAATTTTAATTTCAACAACTCCCGCCTGGATTTGCATTAGAGCGCACTTGCAATTTTTCAGCTGAAAATCTGATTTCCGGGCCTAAATATAGATGTTTTTAATCGGAATTTGCTGAAAAATTCGAATTTGAAATAAATATTCAAGGTTTATGCTGAAAATATGCTGAAAATCCGGATTTTTTGGCTGAAAATGACCAAAATTCTTCAATTTTGGCTCAAAATGGCTCATTTTTCACCAAAATTTTTCATTTCAGCGCGGTCGCAACGACAATACGGATGACGTTTCGCTGGGAATCGCGCAAGTCCATCGAAAAACCAAAGATCTACGACGACATCTGCGAAGAGCAATTGTCGATCACATTTCCGACGCTTTCTTGGACACCAGAACACCCCTTTTATTATTGATTGAGGCGGCGAAAAGCGGAGATGCGGAAAATACCGCACACAAATCGCACATGTTTCAACAACATGCCGAGAAAATTGTTCATGTAAGTTGATTTTGGCTGAAAATTTGGGAGAAATGCTCAAAAATGAGCCAAAAATCATGATTTTTGGTCAAAAATGACCCTAGAACCTTGAAAATCGCAAAATTCACCCTGGAAAATTTGAATTTCCCTACTTCCCGCCTTGATTTGCATTAGAGCGCACTTGCTTTTTAGCTCTAAAAATGCTCAAATCCTATTGGATTTGGCTGCGTACCTAGCTGAGTATCAAATGTGTATTTTGGCTGTGTACCTAGCTGAGGATCAAATCTAATAATTTGGCTGCGTACCTAGTAACTTGACTGAGTATCTAATGTGGAATTTGGCTGCGTATTCAATCCCTTATTTTGGCTGCGTACCTAATCTCTTGACTGAGTATCGAATGCAAATTTTGACTGAGTATCTAATCGAATAATTTTGCTGCGTACCTATTCTCTTGACTGAGTATCAAATCTAATAATTTGGCTACGTTTGTAGTAACTTTACTGAGTATCTAATGTGAAATTTGGCTGCGTACCTAGCTGAGTATCTAATTAGCTAAAAATTTGGCTGAAAATGAACTAGAAAACATGAAAAATGCTCAAAAATCGATATTTTTACCCTAGAAAATTTGAATTTTCCACCCTCCCGCCTGCATTTGCATTAGAGCGCGTTTGCATTTTTCAAGCAAAAAATTCGATTTCTGGGGCTTAAAATACATGTTTTTGACCGGAATTTGCTGGATAATTTGAATTTAAGATAAAAATTAACAGTTTATGCTGAAAATCGGGTTTTTAGGCTGAAAATGAGCTAGAATACATGAAAAATGCTTTAAAAAATCGATTTTTTGCATGAAATAATTTGGCTGCGTACCTAATTCCTTGACTGAGTATCAAATGTGCTTTCAGGTCGCTCGTCTCTCATGTCGTCTCTCATCGGACACCGAAGGAGTTAGCGTAATTCTCCACACTGCGGCTCAACTCGCCAATTTGGCCCCCCGAGTCTCAAATGCGGCCTTTTTGCTCTGCTCACGGCCCGACTCCAAAACGGCCCAAGAAAATATGGAGGCCCACAAAAGCCTGTGGTTCGAAAAAGTCCGATTGCTCACCACGGCCCTGGATAATATTACGACTTTGGACGATTTTTTGGCCGTCAGCGAAGCGCATATTGTTGAAGATTGTAATGAGGGAATTCAGGGGGTTACGGTAGGTTTTTGGCGCGCAATTTTTGGAGCATTTTGAGCCCGAATATGGCCTGGGGCCTTTTTGGCCCGAAAAATCCGCTTTTTTTGAGCCTGAACAAGATCAGGGCCCGAAATTTGCGATTTTTTGAGCCCGAACAAGCCTAGAAGCTGAAAATTTGCGATTTTTTGAGCCCGAATAAGCCTGAGGCGTTTTTTGCCACGTGAAAAGCCTGAAAATCCACGTGGCACTGGATTTTTCCCAAAAAAATTTGAATTTTCAAATTTTTCGCGCTGAAAACAAGCTAAATTTCCACGTGGCAAACATTTTCAAAATTAAATTTTCGAATTTTTAAATTTTCGCGCTAAAAAACAGGATTTTTGAAAAAATTTGAATTTTTTGAATTTTCGCGCTAAAAATTTTTTCGAAAATTCACGTATTTTCAAAATTAAATTTTTGAATTTTGAAATTTTCCCGCCGAAAATTCTCGAAATTTTCAAAAATTTTTGAATTTTCAAAATTTTTTGAATTTTCGCGGTAAAAAAACAGGGTTTTTGATAAAATTTTTGAATTTAGAATTTTCGCGCTAAAATAATACAGGATTTTGAAAAAATTTAAATTTCAAATTTTCCCGCCAGAAAAATTTTAGATTTTAAAAAATTTGAATTTTTGAATTTTCGCGCTGAAAAATTTACGAAAAAATTTGAATTTTCAAATTTTCCCGCCACAAAATTGCCACGTGTCTCCCCAAAAAAATCAATAATTTACCAGGCTCACGCCGAAAACATCGACCAAAACATTGAGAATTGTGTTCGAGTCGACTGCGCGGCTGGAGCAATTCGAGGAAGAGCTCTGAGAGTTTGCGATGTTGTGGATTCTGAAATGGACTTCCTACAACCATCTGAATATACCGAAAATGTCAAACAAGCTGTCAGGATTCTCAGAGAGAAAAGTGAGTGATTTTGGGCTGAAATTCGGCTGAAAATGAGGTTTTTTACGCTAAAAACCATGAAAAATGCTCAAAAATGACCCCAAAACCATCAAAATCGCAAAATTTCACCCTAGAAAATTTGAATTTCTTTAACTCCCGCGGGAATTTGCATTAGAGCGCATTTTCAATTTTTCAGCTGAAAATTCGATTTTTGCCCTCTAAAATACATGTTTCTGACCGGAATTTGCTGGAAAATTCGAATTTGAGATAAAAATTCAAGGTTTATGCTGAAAATCCGGATGTTTTGGCTGAAAATAAGCTGAAAACCATGAAAATTGGCTATTTTTGACCCTAGAACCTTGAAAATCGCAAAATTTCACCCTAAAAAATTTGAATTTTGTTAACTCCCGCCCTGATTTGCATTAGAGCGCATTTTCAATGTTTCAACTGAAAATTCGATTTTTGCCCCCTAAAATACATGTTTCGGGCCGGAATTTGCTGGAAAATTCGAATTTGAGATAAAAATTCAAGGTTTATGCTGAAAATCCGGATTTTTTGGCTGAAAATCATGAAAAATGACCCCAGAACCATGAAAATCACAAAATTTCACCCCGAAAAATTTGAATTTCCAATCCTCCCGCCTGGATTTGCATTAGAGCGCACTTGCTTCTTTTTGACGTAAAATTGCTCAAAATTTACCGAATTTGATGGTTTCTGGCTTAAAATTCACTGAAATTCACGATTTTCGACCTGAAATCCCAAAAATTAATTTCAGGAGTTACCGAATTCGCAGCCCGTGCTGGAAATTTGGTCGATCGACAACAGGCGACTGGATTAGACTGGAATTCGCAAGATCGAGACAATGAAATGAATGAATTTATCAATGCCTGCACGCTGGTTCATGATGCTGTTAAAGGTGGCTGAAAATTCTGGAAAATCTGAAAATTTGGAGCATTTTAAGCTAAAATTCGAGAAATTTGGAGCATTTTGAGCCCAAATATGAAAATATTCGAAAAATTTGCATTTTTGAGCTCAAAATGCTCCAAATTTCATGAATTTCCAGAATTTCCAGCCAAAATTATCGATTTTTCTTCCAGAAATCCGTCACGCCCTTTTGATGAATCGAAGTATGCATGACGTGGATTCGGACAATGAATATGAAGAAGAAGGTCCAGAAAAAGCGGAAAAAATTCAAGATGAAATGGAAAATCAGCAAAAATTGATGAGAAGGCTTCCGGAAGAGGATAAGAAGAAAATTCAGGCACAAATTGATATTTTCAAGGTGAGATTTTTGAATTTTGAATGAGATTTGGAGCATTTTGAGCCCTCAAAAAGCCTATTTTTGAATTTTGGATGAGATTTGGAGAATTTTGAGCCCGCACAAGCCTATTTTTGAATTTTGGATGAAATTTGGAGCATTTTGAGCCCCCAAAAGCCTATTTTTGAATTTTGGATGAAATTTGGAGCATTTTGAGCCCCCAAAAGCCTATTTTTGAATTTTGGAGATAATTTGGAGCATTTTGAGCCCTCACAAGCCTATTTTTGCATTTTGGATAAAATTTGGAGCATTTTGAGCTCTGAATTTAATTTTAGGTCGAAAATCCCGAAATTTTGAGCCTAGTCATGTTTATACTCAAAAAATCCAGAATTTCGAGCTGAAATTAATTTCAGATTAAAAATTTGGAAAATTTTGACCCTAACCTTATTTAGACTCTAAAAATCCCAAAATTTTAACCCTAACCTTATTTGGACTCTGAAAATCCCCAAATTTTGAATCTATGCTTGTTTAGGCTCAAAATGAGCCCTGAATTTAATTTCAGGTTAAAAATCCCGAAATTTTAAGCCCAGTCATGTTTGAGCTCAAAAAATCTAGAATTTTGAGATGAAAATCATGTCACGTGGCAAAAATCCCGAAATTTTGAACCTAGTCATGTTTAGACTTGAAAATTTCAGAATTTTTAACCTAAAATTAATTTCAGGTCGAAAAATCCCAAATTTTTAACCCTAACCTTATTTGGACTCTAAAAATCACGGCCCGGCTAAACGGACGCCCCGCCCACTTTTTTTTTCGTTTGTGTTTTTTCGTTTCCCACACAAAAATGTGCAACAGCGAAAACACGCTGTACGAGTGGTTAACACACGCGCCGAACAAACGCACAGTGCGAGTTCGACTCCCCATTGGCGCACACATTTTTTTCTTCTTTTTTTTCTTTTTATTTTTGCGCGCGCTTTCTTTTCAACGATAAAATACTTCATGAATAAAAATTATTTGGAAGTATATAAATATTCATTTCCATCAAATCGATGACGATAAAAAATATTATTTTGTTTTTGGGTGTTTTTTCGGCTTTCAAAAACAAGAAAACATCGAAAAACCAAAATTATCCATATTTTCATAGGGTTTTCAAGTTCAAAAATTAATTTTGAGAAAACCGCTTGTACAATTTTTATATAAATTTTTTTTCTTGACTAATAAGGTCTAAAGGAAAGATAATAGCCCACAAACAAAAAATTTTACGATGAAATTTGAAAGTAATGGGCTTGTGACCAGATTTATCCTTATTTTTCGGTGATTTTCAAAAGTAAAAATTAATTTTGAGAAAACCGCTTGTACAATTTTTATATAAATTTTTTTCTTGACTAATAAGGTCTAAAGGAAAGATAATAGCCCACAAACAAAAAATTTTATGATGGAATTTGAAAGTAATGGGCTTGTGACCAGATTTATCCTTATTTTTCGGTGATTTTCAAAAGTAAAAATTAATTTTGAGAAAACCGCTTGTACAATTTTTATATAAATTTTTTTCTTGACTAATAAGGTCTAAAGGAAAGATAATAGCCCACAAACAAAAAATTTTATGATGGAATTTGAAAGTAATGGGCTTGTGACCAGATTTTGCTTCATTTTTCAGAGATTTTCAAAAGTAAAAATTAATTTTGAGAAAACCGCTTGTACAATTTTTATATAAATTTTTTTCTTGACTAATAAGGTCTAAAGGAAAGATAATAGCCCACAAACAAAAAATTTTATGATGGAATTTGAAAGTAATGGGCTTGTGACCAGATTTTGCTTCATTTTTCAGAGATTTTCAAAAGTAAAAATTAATTTTGAGAAAACCGCTTGTACAATTTTTATATAAATTTTTTTCTTGACTAATAAGGTCTAAAGGAAAGATAATAGCCCACAAACAAAAAATTTTATGATGGAATTTGAAAGTAATGGGCTTGTGACCAGATTTATCCTTATTTTTCGGTGATTTTCAAAAGTAAAAATTAATTTTGAGAAAACCGCTTGTACAATTTTTATATAAATTTTTTTCTTGACTAATAAGGTCTAAAGGAAAGATAATAGCCCACAAACAAAAAATTTTATGATGGAATTTGAAAGTAATGGGCTTGTGACCAGATTTATCCTTATTTTTCGGTGATTTTCAAAAGTAAAAATTAATTTTGAGAAAACCGCTTGTACAATTTTTATATAAATTTTTTTCTTGACTAATAAGGTCTAAAGGAAAGATAATAGCCCACAAACAAAAAATTTTATGATGGAATTTGAAAGTAATGGGCTTGTGACCAGATTTTGCTTCATTTTTCAGAGATTTTCAAAAGTAAAAATTAATTTTGAGAAAACCGCTTGTACAATTTTTATATAAATTTTTTTCTTGACTAATAAGGTCTAAAGGAAAGATAATAGCCCACAAACAAAAAATTTTATGATGGAATTTGAAAGTAATGGGCTTGTGACCAGATTTTGCTTCATTTTTCAGAGATTTTCAAAAGTAAAAATTAATTTTGAGAAAACCGCTTGTACAATTTTTATATAAATTTTTTTCTTGACTAATAAGGTCTAAAGGAAAGATAATAGCCCACAAACAAAAAATTTTATGATGGAATTTGAAAGTAATGGGCTTGTGACCAGATTTTGCTTCATTTTTCAGAGATTTTCAAAAGTAAAAATTAATTTTGAGAAAACCGCTTGTACAATTTTTATATAAATTTTTTTCTTGACTAATAAGGTCTAAAGGAAAGATAATAGCCCACAAACAAAAAATTTTATGATGGAATTTGAAAGTAATGGGCTTGTGACCAGATTTATCCTTATTTTTCGGTGATTTTCAAAAGTAAAAATTAATTTTGAGAAAACCGCTTGTACAATTTTTATATAAATTTTTTTCTTGACTAATAAGGTCTAAAGGAAAGATAATAGCCCACAAACAAAAAATTTTATGATGGAATTTGAAAGTAATGGGCTTGTGACCAGATTTTGCTTCATTTTTCAGAGATTTTCAAAAGTAAAAATTAATTTTGAGAAAACCGCTTGTACAATTTTTATATAAATTTTTTTCTTGACTAATAAGGTCTAAAGGAAAGATAATAGCCCACAAACAAAAAATTTTATGATGGAATTTGAAAGTAACGTGAGAGAGAAATGTATCTTAATGAAGGAGACTGTTACGTGTAGGATTAACAACTTCTAGGCTTGGTTAATAACAATGTATAAAGATTTTTCAAGCAAAAATAGTTAACCTTTTCTGAATTTGAATTTTTCGGAAATATTGTTTTTTTTTCAAAAATTTCAGACTTTACAGAAAAATTTCAAATATTCAAACTCTTTGAAAATCTCTGAAAAATGAAGCAAAATCTGATCACAAGCCCATTACTTTTAAATTCCATCGTAAAATTTTTTGTTTGTGGGCTATTATCTTTCCTTTAGACCTTATTAGTCAAGAAAAAAATTTATATAAAAATTGTACAAGCGGTTTTCTCAAAATTAATTTTTACTTTTGAAAATCACCGAAAAATAAGGATAAATCTGGTCACAAGCCCATTACTTTTTAAATTCCATCGTAAAATTTTTTGTTTGTGGGCTATTATCTTTTCTTTAGACCTTATTAGTCAAGAAAAAAATTATATAAAAATTGTACAAGCGGTTTTCTCAAAATTAATTTTTACTTTTGAAAATCACCGAAAAATAAGGATAAATCTGGTCACAAGCCCATTACTTTCAAATTTCATCGTAAAATTTTTTGTTTGTGGGCTATTATCTTTCCTTTAGACCTTATTAGTCAAGAAAAAAATTATATAAAAATTGTACAAGCGGTTTTCTCAAAATTAATTTTTGAACTTGAAAACCCTATGGAAATATGGATAATTTTGGTTTTTCGATGTTTTCTTGTTTTTGAAAGCCGAAAAAACACCCAAAAACAAAATAATATTTTTTATCGTCATCGATTTGATGGAAATGAATATTTATATACTTCCAAATAATTTTTATTCATGAAGTATTTTATCGTTGAAAAGAAAGCGCGCGCAAAAATAAAAAGAAAAAAAAAAGAAGAAAAAAATGTGTGCGCCAATGGGGAGTCGAACTCGCACTGTGTGTTTGTTCGGCGCGTGTGTTAACCACTCGTACATGAGCTCCCACGCTTAAGGAAAAAATGAGAAAAAAAGTGGGCGGGACGTACGTTTCGCCGGGCCGTGAAAATCCCAAATTTCAACCTGAAATCAACTCAAAATTCAATTTCAGGTCACCCAAACCCGCTTCGAACGTGAAGTTGCCAAATGGGACGAGACTGGAAATGATATTATAGTCCTAGCAAATCATATGTGCAAAATTATGATGAATATGACAGATTTTACACGTGGCTGCGGACCATTGAAAACCACAATGGATGTTATCAGATCTGCCCAAGAAATATCGCTGGCCGGCTCGAAATTGAATGCATTAGCCCGACAAATTGGTGAAGAAAGTGCGGATTCGAGAAGTAAAAATGATTTGATGGCATATTTGAGCGAGATGACGTTGTATTGCCAACAGTTGAATATTTGTAGCAAGGTGGGGTGCTTTTTCCCGTTTTTTTCGTGAATTTTGGAGCATTTTGAGCCCAAACACAAAAATTTGCGATTTTTTGAACCTAAATAAGCCTGGAACCACTAAAACCGTGAACACCGTAACGTAAAAATGCACAGAATTTTTCCGATTCAATTTTCTGAACAGCAAAGTTGCTCTATTGAACAAGTGAGAAAATTTGGGGTTTTTTCGAGAAGGCAAATGCGCTCCGTTGAGAATTTTCGATTTTTGAGGAGAAATTCGAATTTTTGTGATGAAAATTATGTTTTCTAGTGAATTTTTATCCCTTTTCAAATTTCCCTGCAAACATCGAAAATTTTAGAAAGTTCTCAACGGAGCGCATTTGTCTTCCTGAAAAAACCCCAAATTTTTTCACTTGTTCAATAGAGCAACTTTGCTGTTCAGAAAATTGAGCCGAAAAAATTCTGTGCATTTTTACGTCGCGGTGTTAACGGTTTAGAGGTTTCAGGCTTATTTAGGTTCAAAAAATGGGGAATTCCGTGTTTGGGCTCAAAATGCTCCAAATTTCATTCTAAATTCAAAATTAGGCTTTTGGGGGCTCAAAATCCTCCAAATTTCTTGCTGAATTTAAAAATAGGCTTGTGAGGGCTCAAAATGCTCTAAATTTCATCTTTATCATTTTCAGGTCAAAGCTGATGTGACACAAGTCGGAAATGAGTTGGTTGTATCCGCCCTGGATTCGGCAATGTCGCTGATTCAAACCGCACGAAATTTGTTGACCGCCGTTGTTCAGACCGTCAAAGCTGCTTATATTGCTAGCACCAAGGTGAGTTTTTCCACTTTTTTTCGAAAAATTTCAAAATTCCACTTCTACGCACCTAAAAATTTTAAAGACACACAATCCACTAGAAATGAACAGAAATTGAGTTTGTTATTCTTTCATAACATCTTTCAAGTAATCGGAATTCATAAAAATCAAGAAAAAATTTTGAGTCTGGCAAAAGTGAAAAAAACAAAATAATTGTTTTTGAAATCGCTCAGCCGACGGAAATTTCGAAAGTGTGTGCACACAACGAAGCAATAGAGCGCACATGCTGTTTTTGTCATTTGAAAATAAAAGCGGGAAATCTGTTTTTTCTAGTGGCTGATGTGTCTTTAATTTTCGGGTAAAAATTTAAAAAAAATTCACCCAAATCCCCGAAATTTTCCCATTCCCACCAAAAAAAAATCACACAGTGTGCACAACGAGAAAGAGCTCGAGTTGAGACGGCGGTGGCGCTTGGCGCCACCCACAACTCGATTAATTATGACGTGGCAGAAGGTAATTAATTAATTAGCTAATTAATTAATTCATTAATTAATTGGCTAATCAGTGGTGTGAGGTTGATTTTGGTGTGTGTTTTTGCATGAAAATATTGATTTTCTAACCCGAAAATCAATATTTTTGGCATTTTTGCATGGAGTGTTGTGAAAATTGTGAAATTTGACCTAAAAATGACCTAGAAACCATAAAAATCGATAATTTTTGACCTAGAAAATTTGAATTTCTCAAATTCCCGCCCTGATTTGCATTAGAGCGCATTTGAAATTTTTGAGCTTAAAATGCGATTTTCGGGCCTTAAAATACATGTTTTTGACCGGAATTTGCTGAAAATTTTGAATTTGAGATAAAAATTCAAGGTTTATGCTGAAAATAAGCTGAAAATCATGAAAAATTATGAATTTTGACCCCAAAACCCGCAAAAATCGATATTTTTTTTACCTAGAAAATTTGAATTTCTCAAATTCCCGCCCTGATTTGCATTAGAGCGCATTTGTAATTTTTGAGCGAAAATGCGATTTTTGGACCAGAATTCGCTGAAAAATTTGAATTTTTAAGTGAAAAATTTCACTGTTTCAAAATTTTATGAAAAAAATCGAGTTTGAAATTTTTTTTGATATTTGGATATTTGGATAATTTCCTCACGATTTCATAAAAAAATTTGAAAAATATGTTTCTAGATCAGAATTTTGTGCTGAAACTGATGAAAGTGCTGAAAATTAATGTTTTCATCATTTTCAGCACAAAATTCGGATCTAGAACAATATTTTTGAACTGAAATTAATTTTGAAACGTATTTTTTCAAATTTTGCATCCTTCTGTTGTGATTTTCATATCGATTTTTTCGCGCCGCGAAAAAAAATCAATCAATAATTTTTCGAATTACAGTACCGTCGTCCGAATGCTCATAGTGTACGTGTTGAGTGGCGCATGGCGCCACCCAAAAAGCAGCCACTTGTACGACCACAAAAAAATGCGGCGATTATCAGGTAAGCCACGGGATTTTGGTGTTGAAATTTGAAAAATTCACAAAATTTCAGCCAGGAAAGTTTTTTGGCTGAAAAAAATCTGAAAATTAAAAAAAAAATTAATTTCAGGTTTAAAATATGTTTTTAGATCAGAATTTTGTGCTGAAAATCATGGAAAAGCTGAAAATTGCTGAAAATGAGCATTTCCATGATTTTCAGTACAAAATTTCAGCCCGGAAACTTTTTTGGCTGAAAATTTTCTGAAAATTTTGAAAAAAAATTAATTTCATGTTGAAAATATGTTTCTAGATCGGAATTTTGTGCTGAAAATCATGGAAAAGCTAAAAATTACTGAAAATGAGCATTTCCATGATTTTCAGCACAAAATTCTGATCTAGAAACATGTTTTTTGACCTGAAATTAATTTTTTCTGAAAATTTTTTAAAAATTTCAGCAAAAAAAATTTCCCGGCTGAAATTTTGTGCTGAAAATCAAGAAAATGCTCATTTCCATGATTTTCAGCACAAAATTTGAGCCAAGTCCCCGAAATTTCCCAATTTTTTTGAAAACCAAAAAAAAATCCAATTTCCCTCCAATTTTTTTCTGGTTTCAAATTGAAAATTGAATTTTTTCTCAATTTCCCCGGGAAATTGAAAATCTGACATTTTTTTTCGAAATTTTTGAATTTTTCAAAAAAATGTGACATTTTCGCGCCAAAAATCAAAAATTCAAAATTTTTTTTTCAAAATTTGAATTTTTGAATTTTCAGGCGAGCCTCTGAACGTCGTCCTTTGCCACCGGCCAAAGCTTTGGCCGAATTTACGTGTAGCTGAAATTTTTTGGCTGAAAATTCCAGATTTTTCACTTTTTTTTCGTCTGAAAATGTGCATTTTACTTGATTTTTGATGATTTTTTGACCATTTTGTGCAATTTTTCCCCCCAATTTTTAACTATTTTTCAGGTTTTCTAACCCCTGCCTTTTCTTTTTTTTGCATTTTTTTAATTTTCAACTTTTTTTATGTATAAAGGTTTATTTATCTGTGAAAATCTGGAAATTTGAAGAATTTCAGCACAAAATTTCAGCCAGAAACCGCTGAAAAAGTGGAAAAAATAAAAAAGTTCGCGCGCATGCGGGATCGAACCCTTGACCTCGCTCTCGGAAATTTGCATAGAACACATGGCGCATGGCGAGAGAAACCAGGAATTCGTCGGCTGCTCGATTTTGTTGGGGTATTTGGGAGAATTGCGTTTTCTGGGTTATCAGAAACATGGAAAAATCCCATTAGAATCAACTTGACTGCTTCGTTTTGGTTGAAGTTAGGATAAGTCCAAAAATCCCTGCTCAATTTTTTCTAGATAATTCGATTTTCAGACGGGGAAAAATAGCGTGTTTTTTCGTACTTAAATCTGAGCGTGGAAGCTACAAAACAAAACAGCAAGCAAAAAAAAACATTTTTATTAAAATAAAAAAAATCCTGCTACTGGTAAAAAAATTAATTATAATGCGAAAAAAAAATTGTTTAAATTTGAGAGATGCCAAAAATGTGTCGAAGTTGTCCGAGAGTCAAATCAGTTTCTGAAAGAAGAATAACATAATCGCCCACCAAAACCTCCCCGCAAAAAAACTGCCCATTTTTGGCGATTTTCCGTATCTCCTCATCAATACTTGTCTCAACAATCATATGATAAACGTTCATCGCATTTTTCTGTCCAATTCTTGCAATTCGACCAATTGCTTGTTGAACAATTGATGATGAATGAGGTGGATCGAGGAAAATGATGTGATTTGCGTGTGTTAAATTGAGTCCATTTGCACATCGTGACAATGAGCACAAAAGAACTCGAGCGTATTTCGATGTTTCGAATTCGCACAGATTTTCTTCGTAGTTTGCAGTGTTCACCTCAATGAATGGAACCTGAAACTCATTTTTGGATCATTTTGAATTAAAAACTTTTTTCAAAAAATTCACCTTAGCTTTTCCCAAAACACTTGTCAAAAACGACCAAATCGGTCGGTGGACATCGACATTTGTGAAAAGCACAATTTTATTCTCCTCATTTTCGTCGAGAATTTGGCGAATGAGTTTGATGGTTTCCCGCAATTTGACAGCCACAATCACACCGCCGCTTATCTCGCGATTTTTCGGTTGACACGCGATCATGATTTCGATGTGTTTGAATGTTCTTCGGCAAGTCACACATGTAATTGTGTCAGATTGGAGGCTGCAAAAATGCATAAATTCGACAGAGTTTCGCGTTCAACAAATTCACCTTCTATCTTTGAATTCATAATAACAATGCTGACAAATGCGATGAGCGCATGGTAAAATGGCGAGAATTTCAGAATCTTGCCAGCAAACTGGACAGCTATTCGATATTTCGCTATTTTCTCTGGAAGAAAACGAGAAAAAAATGTGAAAAGGAAACTGTTTCAGCTTTTACTCTAGATTTTGATCAAATATATGTTTTCTAGTAGTTTTCGCGCAGGTTTCCGCTGTCTAAAATTGCAAAGCTCAACTCCTAACATGAGTTATGACGTGTCAAATTTCAAAAAAAAAAAACACAAGGTTTACTTATGTAATCGAGCCGTCTGAACAACGCTATGCTATCAGATTTGTAGGAAAACCGTTTTGAAGACGAATTGCTCATTTTCAGCGATTTTCATCAGTTTCAGCACAAAATTCCAATATAGAAACATATTTTTCAAATTTTTTTATGAAATCGTGAGGAAATTATCCAAATATCCAAATATCAAAAAATCTCTTGTGAGAAACTTACCCATTTTGTTCTTCACAAAGTGTGACCAAATATCGAAAATCGTTACATTTCTGCTTGAATTCTGGAAGAAGATTTCGAAGATTTCGAATATTTCGTTCATGCAAGCGCTGCAAAAATGAGTTTCATTTGAATTATCAGCCAAATCCTGTCTAACCTCATAAATTCGTCGAAAAAAACGCTCTTCTTCTCCCTCTATATGGTTAAAGCTTCGAGCCTCCCACATCGTATCTGTCTTCGTAATTCGATTTTCGGCCAACGATAAACCTCTCAATTTCTCCTCATATTTGATCAATTTGATACAGTCGATTTCAATCAATCTTGACATTCGATGAAGTCCGTTGACATATTTATGAAAACATCTGTCAAAAAAAGAAAACATGGAATTTTTTGAAGATTAGAGACAGCCTTACCCAATCTCGCTCAATTCCACAAATTCTTTTCTCGATTCGCTTTCCAGAATCATCTCAATTATCATTGTGATCTCCAATTTTTGCCCAACATTCTTCTCATTTTTCGGAAATCCATGAAAACTTCCCACTCCAATGAATAATTGAAAATGTGTCAAAGTATGATAAACTCGACAAATTTTACATTCCAATTTGTCTTTTTCAATTTTCCGTTCATTTTCATCAATACAGATTTTGTTGAGATACGGATGTTCACAAGGAGAAATGACAAAAGATGCATTTTTGATGTTGTCATAAGTTGAAAGATCCTTGAAATAATCAATCAATAATCCAAAATCCTCCTTCAATTCCTCGCTCAAATCCACAATATTTTTCAAATAAATCGATAAATTTTTGTAGACTTCGAAATTCGTTGCCAATTGATATTGTGGATATAATTTCGAAAATGACAAGTTATTGCAAATTCCCATACAAGTTCTTGCATTGTGGTACTTCTTCTTCTTATGTATCTTTTTTATTGGCTCGCTGCAAAATTTGAAAAAAAACATTGATTCAAAAATTTCCAACTCACTCCAATTTCACAGCTCCATCTTTCAAATGCTTCTTCATATCATCAAAAATCGGCCAAAATGGCAAGATCTCACAAATCTTCTGCAATTTCTTGACATTCAATGATTTCACCAACGAATCATCGCAAATCTTTTGACTCTCATAAAATCCCGCCAATTTTTCAATGATTTTCACACACATTTTTTGCTCTGCTTCATCAGTGTTTGGGAGCATTTTCTCGATTTTTGTCAAATCTTCTTTCGAAAATGATGCGATTGACGAGTTCAATTCTTCCCGGATTGCGGAAACTCCGCCAAAATTTTCGATAATATCGCATGCTTTTGGGCAGATTTCAGCCAATTTTTGGAGATTTCTGGAAAAAATTACATGTGATCTTCTGAAGCACACCAAATAAACGTTTGATGAAACATATCGAAAGACTATGCTGATCACTATCCCGAATTTAAAAATTGCACTTTTCTGGAGCTCCAAAGTTTGAGTTGAGTTTTGGTTTTCGCCTATTTTCACCTTGTTTCTGAATGTAAAATCAATTTTTATAATTTGAATGAGGTTGTTCACCATATTCAAAAACCTATCTGTTTTTTAGTTGATCAAAAAATATGCAAAACCAGCTGAAAAAAGCCCAAAAATCTTTGTTTGTGTTTATTTTTTCAAAATAACAGTTTCCAGCGACTAAAAAACAGATAGGTTTTTGAATATGGTGAACAACCTCATTCAAATTATAAAAATTGATTTTACATTCAGGAGCACGATGAAAATAGACTCAACTCAAACTTTGGAGCTCCAGAAAAGTGCAATTTTTAAATTCGGGATAGTGATCAGCATCAAAATTTTTATTGCTGACCCCTGAAAAACCTACATTATAGTACGAATCATCGAACTCGTATCAATTTTCAGCGCTTCCAGCGTTTTTTTTTTCTCAAATCTTCCGCATCTTCTTCTTCTTCCAGTTCTTCTTCATCGTCTGCCTCAATTTTTTGCCTTTTTGCCGGAATTTCGTCTGAAAATTGTGGGAGAATCGTCTCACCATTCTCCTCAATTTCCGCCAATTTTTCCAATACTCAAATTCAAATCTCGTATTGTTTCAATAATTTTCAAAACCTCTTCATAGCGTCTCGAAGCTCCATCGAAATCCATTTCCAACCAATAAACTTCCGAATCATGGTTGGAATTTCTTAAAACGTGCCGCAAAATCTCAAGAATTTCCTGTTTTTTCTTGCAAATCATGCGGAAAAGTATGTTGATCGGTTCAGCAACGACGATCTCGTTGATATTTTTCCGTTTTTGACGACCGTTTCGAGTATGTTCGCCGGCTTGAAGAAAATTTTCCAATTTTTTCCACAACAAAAACAACTTACAAGAAATCAAGGTCTCCTTCAAAACCGTCAACGCTTGCAAAACCCTCTCTCTTCCCACCATATTCCTCACCAAAACCTCATCTCCCACACTGTTCACCATATTTTCAATCGAAACTTTCAACGCATCCCTCTCATTTTTGTAAAGTCTCTCCTCAATCGTTGAGAATTTCACAATTTTCTCAATTTCCACCAACTGCGGTAGCTTGATTTGCGCCGCAACCATCGATTTCGATGTTCTTCTCATAATTTGTGATCCCAATTTGATTAACCAACTTTGACCGGCTTCATTTTTCTCAACTTTTGATAGGAAATCTGGGGAAAAATTGGGATTTTCAATGAGGAACACTTTCGAAATCTCACCAGGAATCACAAAATTCATCCAAAAATGTTTATTGGACAATGGCCAAAAATCGATATATTCAAAAAAGTCCACCAAGTCCATGAATATCCTTGAGAATTGGTGTCGCTGTCATCGCCCATCGATATTTTGCCTTGATTATTTGACACATTTCAGCGCGTTTCGAGCCGCCGACTTCCACTAATTGCGATTCATCCGTAATTAACTGCAAGAAAATTTTTGCTGAAAACAAACATTTTCCGCGTCAAAACACTCACCCTCCACCATTTCACATGAGTCATGGAACTTGGCGAAAATTTTCGGCTACCAAAATCCTCATCATTTTTGAAGTTTGTGAAAACAAGTTCGCCCACCAATGTTTGATAAGTCACAAAAATGACATCGTAGTTGGCGATGTCGTGCGGATTCAAATAGCCGCTTTTTTTCAAGCCAAAGTAGAACTGAAAGAAATCGATCAAGTTTTAATTTCACATCAAGTATTGTCGAAGTTGAAAAATGTGGCAGCCGTGAAAAATAAAAAAAAACAGAATAGTTAGACATCGACTAAATGACATTTTCATCTTTTTTTAGCAAGCGAGTTGAAATATTGGATTTTAATCGTATACATAGGATAGAAAGGCATTCGGTTCGCCTTAGACCTTTCTATCCTATGTATACGATTAAAATCCAATATTTCAACTCGCTTGCGAAAAAAACATGAAAATGCCATTTAGTCGATGTCTAACTATACTGTTTTTTTTATTTTTTACGGCTTCCACATTTTTCAACGTCGACAATACTACTATTTGTGATTTACCATAACTTTCAAATTCTTATTACAATGCTTAACAATCTCTTGATACCATTGCATACTCAATGTTTCTGGCACAATAATCAAAGTTGTTCCAACATTCAATGGATCTTCTTTTGCCATACATAACGGACACAGAAAATCAATATTTTCATCATCAAACTCCTTCTTCCAGCCACATTTTTTCAAAACACAATTTTCTTGACACTTTGAACATTTTTGCAAAATATCTAGCTTTTGTGATTTTGTTGGATTATGTTCTGCTGTATAAACGACGGGAAATACATCAATCTTTTTTGCCTTTTGTTGTTTCTGCAAAAAAAAAATGAATTTTGAAAATGTTAAAATTTGAAGCATACATATTGTTTCCAGTCTAATTTCTCTTCTATTTCCTCCTCTTTTTTCAAATTTGCGCGAACTTCTTTAGGATTTGAAACAATCAAGGCCAACATTTCTAGAGTTTTTCCCAAACCCATTTCATCCGCCAAAATTCCACCATTAGGAATTGATTCAACACTCAAATCAGGTTTTTTTGAAAATACACCAAAAGCTGGATAATAGAAGATTGATTCAATTGGAAGACTTTGAAATAATCCGAAGAATTCTGTATTTTTTCCATCAATTTCTCGAGAAATCATCCATTTTACAGTGGTTTTTTGATAATCCATTAGTTGACTGTTCAATAAATCATCACGAACTTCATATTGTTTTTCATTTTCATTTCCAGCTTCAGGTTTCCAATCTTCTGTGGTTTTTTGAAGAGCATTAAAAAACGCGAAAAAATCCGAGCCTTCTTTTGAATTGTATTTTGGATTATTCGGCCAAAAAGCGAAAGAATCGGAGTTCCATAAACGCAGACTGTTGAAGAATGTGTTGAGGATTGTTGCAACTTTATATTGACTCAATTCAAAAATTTTTTCGTGTTCAAAAGAGTTGAGCAAACTTTCATTCTCGACTTGAATTTCGATTTGAAATCCATTGTTTTCTGATAAACTCCATAAAATTTTGATGCCAGCAAGCTTGAATTGTCTGAAAGGTGCATTTTTGAAGGTTGAGAATAACTTATAAGCAACAAACCCTGGGCATTCAGCAAACAATTTTAACAATTTGGAGGAAAATCCGCAAATCTGATCAATTGGTATTTTTTCAACCAAAACCGAATTTTTTCCGCAAGAATTTGCATATCCCGCTCGCTCTTCAGGTTCCAAATCAATCAATATGCAAATAGTTTCATCTTTCATGTCATATTGCAAATATAACACTGAAGATTCTTTCACATTCTTCAATTCCCATTGAAATTCCAATCTTGCCAATGAAATATCAATTGGCTTTTTAGAAGATAATGGGTGGAGATTGAATGTTCGATGTTTGTCGATTTTCATCTTTTCTCGATTCATTTCTGAAGCAAACAGCTTGCGAAAAACAGAAACAAAAATAAAAAATCTTAGACACCGTAGTTCTTTAAAGGCGCACATGTTTTCTTGCTTGGGTCTTGCACCGCTAAACATATGAAAACGTGTGCGCCTTGATTGAAAAACTACGGTGTCAAGGGTTTTTATTTTTGTTTTTTGAAATTTTTTTCGCAAGCTTCCCTATTTTCAAGCTGTACAATTCAGATATGAATCAAGAACAGTTTAAAATCGACAAACATCGAGTACTTCATCTCCACCCATTATCTGCCAAAAATCCAATCGATATTTTACTGGCAAGATTGTAATTTCCATTGGAATTGAAAGATTATAAAATGATTTATGATTTTTTGACCATTTTGTGCAATTTTTCCCCACCCAATTTTTAACTATTTTTCAGGTTTTCTAACCCCTGCCTTCGTTTTTTTGGAAAACTTCAGGAAACTTCAGAAAATCGATTTTTCCCTAATTATTGATTTTTAAAGCGGGAATTTAATTTGAATTATGGTTTTAAGCGTAAAAATTATCGATTTTTACGCAGGTATTCCCCGTAAAATCTGGCCATTTTCTATTTTTATCATTTCCACAGAAATAGTTCAAAAATAATCGTATCATTGTGTCGTTTCCGATTAGAAATCTCATTGATCAAACATGCATTGGTCATGTGAACACCAAAAAACTACACTTGATACTGAAAATATATAGAAAAATGCGCTTTCCGGGGCATAGATCATAGATCTCAAGGGGTTTTGACAGATTTTTTTGAATTTTTCATTCGTTTTTCGTTTTTATTCGGTTTTTTCGGGTCTCGACACGAAAAATACAGATTTTCAGCGCGAAAATTGGTCTCGGCACGAGAAAGTACGATTTACGAGAAAGTAAAGCTTGCAAATCGGTAAAGGACCAATTTTAGCGCTAAAAATACGAATTTTTCGTGTCGAGACGCGAAATTTGACGTCATAGCAGAAAATAAACCTTGAAAATCGTTGCGGGACCAATCTTAGCGCTAAAAATGTGAAAAATCGTATTTTTTCGTGCCGAGACCACGTTTCGCGCTAAAAATACGAATTTTCGTGTCGAGACCCAAAATTCGACATCATAGCAGGAAATAAAGCATTTTTAGCGCTAAAATTGGTCCCGCAACGATTTTCAAGCTTTATTTTCTGCTATGACGTTAAATTTCGGGTCTCGACACGAAAAATTCAGATTTTTAGCGTCAAAATCGGTCTCGCAACGATTTTCAAGCTTTACTTTCTGCTATGACGTCAAATTTCGGGTCTCGACACGATAAAAATGATTTTTCACGTCAAAACTCAATCCACGTGGCAAAACACCTGAAATTCTCTCTGTAAATCATCTATTTCTGAACAAAACCATTTTTTTTCAATAAAAATTTGTTTATTCATTTTTTTGGGGGTACCCGTATATATTTACATGAAAAATCGATATTTACAGCAAAAATTAAATTCACAGCGTTTTAGACGAATTGTACAGAAAATCGATGACCGAGGCGTTGTGCTTGAGCCCAGCGCAAAAACGGTGCCAAAATCTTATGGGACGATCGGACGATGACTTGACGACGCGGAGCGGGTCCACCGTATTCTCCGCGTTGCGGTTGCGTCGCGGTCGCCACAACAACACGCAACGCACACAGATTGGCGGCGTCAATGATGCCACGTGTCAGTGGACTTCGGTAGACGGCGAATCTGCGGAGTCTCGACAATTGCGGAACACTTGCGCGAATCGCGAGCTCCGTGGCTCGCGGAAATAGTGGTCCGGTGGGAATGAGTTGAGTGCGCGGTTGCCACGTGGCTGGGGATGCGTCGCGACGCGGAGACGAGGCGGATTGATATGCGAACCAGTAGGCAATGTCGCTGGTGGATTGGGCGGCGACGCAGAGTTCGGCGAGTGACGCGTCGAGCTGCAAATTGATTTATTGATTGATTTTTCGACACCATATATATGCCACGTGGCGAAATTACGGTGGTTTTTTCGTGTCGAGACCCGAAATAGCTCATTTTTCATCAAATTTTCATGAAAAATCGTTTCTTGGCTCAATTTTTCATCAAAATGCACCATTTCTCATGTAGAAACTTGGTTTTTGCCACGCGTGGCGAAATTACGGTGGTTTTTTCGCTTCGAGACCCGAAATAGCTCAATTTTCATCAAATTTTCATGAAAAACCGTTTCTTGGCTCATTTTTCATCAAATTTTCATCAAAATGCACAATTTTTCGCGTAGAAACGTGATTTCGCCACGTGGCAATATCACATTGAGTTTTTGCGTCACAAAAATCGTGTCGAGACCCGAAATAGCTCATTTTTCATCAAATTTTCATGAAAAATCGTTTCTTGGCTCAATTTTCACCAAATTTTCACCAAAATGCACCATTTTTGGCGCCAAAACACCCACCGTAACAGTTCGTGCAAATTCGCCAAAATATTTGATAGCTCCGAGCATTTTGTGCGCATCCGACGCACTCCAATGCGTATCCACAATAATCAGTACACTGCGTTTCTCCTCGTGAAAAATGAGCCGCGAATTTTTGGCGTGACGAAAGAATTCGCCGTCTCCGGAAATGCCTTCCGGAAGCAGCTGAAATACGTCGCTCCGCAAGAAATCCGCGTAGAGAATGCGTTTTTTCCGCTTCTCCACGAGCGTTTTGAGCATTTTGTTGACGCGGCGAACTTTGACGACTTCGAGCGGCGGAAGAAAATCCAGGATTTTGTCCCTGCAAGAAAAATAGGCTTGGTATGCGAATTTTGAGGTTTCCATGATTTTCAGCACGAAATTTCAGCCAGGAAACTTTTTTGTGTGAAAAATTTTGAAAATTTTGCAAAAATCCTAGTTTCCGGTCAAAAATATGTTTTATATCAGAATTTTGTGCTGAAACTGGAAAAATTGCTGAAAATCTCTGAAAATTCGGGTTTTCCATGATTTTCAGCACAAAATTCTGGTCTGGAAACATAATTTTGACCAGAAAATAAGATTTTTGCAAAACTTTCAAATTTTTTCACTCAAAAAAGTTTCCCGGCTGAAATTTTGTGCTGAAACTCGAGAAAAAGCTGAATATTGCTGAAATTAAAGCTTTTCATGATTTTCAGCACAAAATTCTGGTCTGGAAACATAATTTTGACCAATAAATAAGATTTTTGCAAAACTTTCAAATTTTTCCGCTCAAAAAAGTTTCCCGGCTGAAATTTTGTGCTGAAACTGGAAAAATGGCTGATAACCGCTGGAAATTCGGGTTTTCATGATTTTCAGCACAAAATTCTGATCTAAAAACGTAATTTTGACCTGAAACTAAGATTTTTGCAAAACTTTCAAATTTTTTAACTCAAAAAAGTTTCCCGGCTGAAATTTTGTGCTGAAAATCGACTCACCAAACATTCTCCGGCAAATTCCCGAATTTCGGATGTTTTTTGGATTTTTTCGAGCCAAACGCTATCCGCATTTGTGATTTTCCGTTCATAAATTGAAATAATCTGAGCAATTGATCTGTCACCAACATTTTGTGGTCTGAAAATGAGATTTTTTCCATTTTTTTCTCGAAAAAAATGAGATTTAATGAGAAAAACGTGTCAAAAACACGCGAAAATGTGATTTTTTGGAAAATTTTTATAGAATTTTCCAAAAAATCACGAAAAACACTGATAATTTCCAAGTCAATACACTTTCTTATCAAAAAAAAACCCAAATTTTTATCAATTTTTTGTGGGTTGTCCAAGACAACCCACATCAAATTTGATGACGTCAAAACCGGAATTTCGAAAATTTCCGGTTGAAAGTTCATCTCAAAAATCCACGTTTTCGGCGGGAAAACGTGGATTTTTGGCGCGAAATTTGTGAAATTCAAAAAATTTGTCGAATTTTGATATACAACTTGGTATAGTCTTCAAAATTCATAGAAAATTGAAATTTTCGTGTTGAGACCCGAATTAATTGATTTTTAACGTTAAAAATCGCTTTGGGACCATTTTTCGTGAATTTTTCCACTGAAAATGGTCTTGAAACGATTTTCAATGCTAAAAATTCGTTTTTTCTGGGAAAAATCTCAGAACAGCTGAAATTTTCAGCTTTTTTTCGGCAGCTGAAAATTTTTTCGCATCGAAAAATATCGATTTTCGCCACGTTTTCGCGCCAAAATTTGAAGAATTCAAAAAAAAATCAATAAAAACAATGTTTCATGACCAAAAAAAAAAGTGAAAATCATGAGGGAAACCTTTTTTTTTTCTCACAATTATATATTTTTGTTACAAAAAAAGTGAAAGTTTTTTTTTCGTATAGAAATCTCGGGGAAAATTGGATTTTTCAGTTCAGAAATCGTCTCGGGACCATTCTCATCGGAATTTTTAGGTGGAAATGGTCCTGACACGATTTCTGAAGTGAAAAATCAGAAATTTTAGGTCCCAGCATGAAAAAATGCGATTTTTCACATCAAAAATCGTGCCAGGACCATTTTCAATCAAATTTCGAGATGAAAATGGTCCTGGAACGATTTCTACTGTGAAAAATCAAAAAATTTGGGTCCCAACACGAAAATAGCGATTTCACACGAGTTTTGAAAACTATACCAAGTTGTATATCAAAATTTCGCAAATTTGTTGAATTTCACAATTTTCGCGCCAAAAATCCACGTTTCCATCGATTTTTGGCGGGAAAACGATGAACTTTCAACCGGAAATTTTCGAAATTCCGGTTTTGCGGTCATCAAATTTGATGTGGGTTGTCTTCACCCAAAAATTCCAATGGAAATGGTCCTGACACGATTTCTCAAGTGAAAAATCCGGAAATTTAAGGTCCCAACACGAAAAAAATGCGATTTTCACGATTTTTCGCCCCAAAAATCGATAATTTTTACTGTAAATGTATGTGTTTCGCGCGCGGCGAAACACATCAATCAACCAAAAAATCATATTTTTTTTTGTTTTGTGTCTAAAAATAGACCAAAAATGGACGGAAGTGGGGGGAAGAAAGAAAGAAATGAGAAGAATACAATGGGTTTTGATAAAAAAGGGGCGGGGCTTAATTAACCGTAAGCCCCGCCCACTTTTTTTTTTGAATTTAGCCTCATCTACAGTAACCCTACAGTATTTCTTTTTTTTTAGCCGAAATTTGAATTTGAAGGAAAATTTTTGAAATTCTAGAACTGCCACGTGGCAAAAAAAATTGCGGAATTCGAAAATTAAGAAAATTAGTATTCTACAAGTGATGGGAAAATTTGAATTTCAAATTTTTCGCGCGAAAAAATTTGAATTTTCCTACTGTACCCCACGAAAATGTGTTTTGAAACAGCTGAAATTTTCAGCATTTTTGCAGCTGAAAATTTTTTTTCAAATTTTTTCTGGTGTCAAAACACAAAAAGCTCAAATTTCTGACCTCGAAAAAATTTTTTTGAACTTTTTTTTTCAAAAAAAAAACAACTGCTTTTCCCCCTTTTTTTGATCGGTCATCAAAAAATTTGAAAAAAAAATCAATTTTTTTTCGAATTTTTAAGAATTTGGACCCAAAATTTGAGAGCTACAGTAGTCAAGTGTTTTTTTTTCAAAAAAAAAAAAGAAAAAAAATTTGAAGTGGTTGAAAAATAATTTTTCGAGAAAATTCTAGAATTCTGGGTTACTGTAGCTCTGAAATTTATTTAAAAAAAAATAAAAAATTTCATGAAAAATTTGCTGTTTCAAAATTTATAAACATTTTTGTTGAAAATTTCAACAACAAAAAAGCCACGTCATAGCATAGTTCAAAAAATCACAAAAAACATTTCTGACTGAAATTTTGCGCTGAAACTGGAGAAATAGCTGAAAATCGCTGAAAATCAAGAATTCCATGATTTTCAGCACAAAATTCTGGTCTAGAAACTTGTTTTTTGACCTGAAATTAATTTTTTTTTCGAAATTTTCAGATTTTTTCAATCAAAAGAGTTTCCTGACTGAAATTTTGTGCTGAAAATCATGAAACTCTTCAATTTCAGCAATTTTCAGCATTTCCACGATTTTCAGCACAAAATTTCAGTCAGCAAACTTTTTTGGCTGACAAAATCTGAAAATTTTGAAAAAAAAATTAATTCCAGCTCAAAAACATTTTTCTAGATCAGAATTTTGTGCTGAAACTAGAAAAAGGGCTGAAAATCGCTGAAAATGAAAATTTCCATGATTTTCAGCACAAAATTCCGGTCTAGAACAATATTTTCAGCCTGAAAATGATGTTTGTTCAAAAAATTTCCGAATTTTTCAACCAAAAAAGTTTCTAGATCAGAATTTTGTGCTGAAACTAGAAAAAGGGCTAAAAATCGCTGAAAATCACAATTTCCATGATTTTCAGCACGAAATTTTGATCTAGAACAATATTTTCAACCTGAAATTAATAGTTTTTCAAAAAATTTCAGAATTTTTCAACCAAAAAAGTTTCCAGGCTGAAATATTGTGCTGAAAATCTTGGGAAAAACAGCTGCAACTAGAAAAACTAATAACAAAACAAAAAAAAATAATTTTTTTTCTCTCCCGAAAAAAAAATTATTTTTCTTATGTTTTTTTTGCTCGCAGAGCAAAAAAAAGTATAGAAAAAGTAAAGCACACTCTCTGGTTTTTGGAGCAACAAAAAAAAAAAGAGCAGATGGCCCACGAGAAAAATTGGGTGAGAGAGTGTGAGAAAATGAGAGAGCGCAGAGAAAAACGGGGGCCACGCCCCTTTTTGAGGGTGGATGTGAGGGTGGACAGCGGGAAGGGTAGAAAATTCTAGAAATTCTTTGCCGCGTGGCATTTTTCGAGCTACAGTAATCATTTCTGGCGCGAAATGATGGAAAATTGAAAAATTTTGATTTTTTTTTTTGAATTTTCAAATTTCGCGCTGGTGTAAACGTGGAGTATCGTTTGTTCGTTTTTATTTAGAGGAGTACTGTAGATCAAACGTGGAAAAAAAATTTTGGCGCGAAAAAAATGAGAAAAAAGTAGTACAAAAAAAGAAGAAGAATAGCTCTTCTTCTTTTTTTGTGTGCATTTTTAAGTGTAAAAATACATACATATTTTATGAGTCGAAAAAAGAGAAGAAAAGACGAGAAAATAGCTATTTTTTGAGAAGAATTTTGTGCTGAAACTGGAAAAATCGCTGAAAATCACTGAAAAAGAAGATTTCCATGATTTTCAGCACAAAATTTTGATTTAGAAACATATTTTTGAGCTGAAATTAATATTTTTCAAAATTTTCAGGCTTTTCAATTAAAATTTCAATTTTTCGCGCTAAAAAATCAAATTTTCGAAAAATTTTATCGATATTTGGCGTCCGGCCAAAAATAGACCCCAAAAAATCCGAAAAACAAATAAAAAGTGAGAAAATGTGAAGTCAAACACAGAAAATTTTTGTTTTTTTTGCGGAACGAAAAAAATTGGTCAAAAAAAAATTCCTCAAAAATTGCCTCAATTTTTTTTCTTGAATAGAAAATAATTTTTTTCGCGGCGCGGCGCGAAAAAAGTGCAAAAAAACAAGCTATTTTCGCCCCGTCTGAAAATCTAATTACCTAGAAAAAAATTGAGATTTCTTTTGGCTCCAGACTTATCCTAACTTCACCCAAAAAAAGAGCAAATCAAGTTGATGCTAATGGGAAACGCAAGTCTCCTAAATACCCCAATGAAATCGAGCAGCCGACAAATTCCTGGTTTCTCGCACCATGCGCTATGTTTTGTATGCAAATTCGCGAGAGCGAGGTCAAGGGTTCGATCCCGCATGGGCGCAAACTTTTTTATTTTTTTCACGGTGTTGAACATTTCCATGTTATGCTAACCTAATTATTCCAATCAGATGGCTATCGAACAAAAACTTGTTAATTCAACATCTTTAAAAAGCCCGCGCAATGAAAGCTTTTCAAAAAAAAACATGAAACACTTCTCAAATGCTATAATTCTCACCGTTTCCATCATTTTTCTATTAATTTTCGGTGAAATTGTGAATTTCCATCAATTTTCGTTCAATTCACCCGATTTTAGTAGAGATTCTCGAGATGTTTTAGAATTTATCGCACCATTTCAATCGATTCTATCGGATTATTTGGTAATTTTTAGCGTTTTTGCCACGTCATAGCAAAAAAATTGTAGACCTCCCCAAGTTATGGCATCACGACGTGTTCAATTCGAAAATCAATGTCAAAAATGATGTTCAATACAATGTGCCTGTTATATGATTCGGAGAATTTTTTGCGCGGCGGGAAATATAAGAGGTGCGGTAGCCGCGACGCAACCGCAACGCGTTTAAAAATTATTAATTTCTCTTCAGATGCTCCTACTCGGACCCGAATTTTGCGGCTCTCTCGAAAAACTTTACAACTTATCCCAATTTCACGAATGTGGTTTTCATACGAGATCCATTCGACCGATTTTTGTCGTTGTATTTGGACAAATGTGTGAGGTAAACGGCCCAGGCTTCAGGCTTCAAGGGCTGGACCTTAAATCAGGCTTAAACCCGGCCGCTGCGCGGAAGATTCCGGTTACCACTTGCGCAGAGGGCTCGGGCTTAGACCCGGCCGCTTTGCGGAAGATTCCGGTTTACACTCGCGCAGAGCGCTCGGGCTTCAAGAGTCGGACTTTAACTCGGGCTTAGACCCGGCCGCTTTGCGGAAGATTCCGGTTTACACTCGCGCAGAGCGCTCGGGCTTCAAGAGTCGGACTTTAACTCGGGCTTAGACCCGGCCGCTTTGCGGAAGATTCCGGTTTACACTCGCGCAGAGCGCTCGGGCTTCAAGAGTCGGACTTTAACTCGGGCTTAGACCCGGCCGCTTTGCGGAAGATTCCGGTTTACACTCGCGCAGAGCGCTCGGGCTTCAAGAGTCGGACTTTAACTCGGGCTTAGACCCGGCCGCTTTGCGGAAGATTCCGGTTTACACTCGCGCAGAGCGCTCAGGCTTCAGGCTTCAAGGATGGGACCTTAGATTGGGTCTTAAAGCCCGAGCGCTCTGCGCGAGTGTAAACTGGAATCTTCCGCGCAGCGGCACTGTCTTCCGCAAAGCTGCCGGCCTTAAGCCTTAGTGAAAGGTCCAATCCTTGAAGCCTGAAGCCCGAGCGCTCTGCGCGATTGTATACCGCATGCTTCCGGGCCTAAGCCTAGGCTTGTTCGGACCCAAAATGCTCCAAATTTTCCTCATCGCAGACAACACAAATGCTTCGATTGTAACGAAGATATGAGATGTGTGGTTCGAGAGATCTACAATTCCCTAAAACAGCGAAAATCCGCGTCATTCATGGATTTACACAGTGCTCCAAGCTCTTGGTTTTGTGATTTCGAAAATTCAATGAAAACATACGATTTGCTGATAATTGGAAGTGATTTAGAGGAGAGAAAAGTTCCCGCGTTGAAATTTTCGAAAATTTTGGAAGATAAAGGTGTTCCAAGAGAGTTGATTAGGAAAATTGTTGGAGATTTGTTGGGTAAGTCAAGTCTAGCCATGTTTATATTCAAAATAATCGATTTTTTCTCTAGTTGGCGAAACTGAACATAGCACTCATAGATCAAAACGTCGAAAAATCGCAGCTCAACAAATCAGGCAAGATCCGATAGTTCGAGAATATTTGCATAAAATATATTTGAATGATTATTTGATATTTCCACAATTCAATCGATCACATTTGGATCAAAAATATCAACAAGACGATTTTGATTTGGTACAATTACAAATTTCAAGCAAATTTTGATTTTTCATGTGAAGTTATCAAATTGCCACCTCATCTTGCTCGTGAATAAATTAAAAAACAATTTATTACAAAAAAAAAACAAAAATTAAGGATTTTTCTTCATTAATTTTTGGTATACCACTTTAGTAAATTCGGCCCCTGGTGGAAAAAGTTCCCCACCCATGGGGCTTACTAAGAAAAAAAATTGGGCCGATTCTGAGATCATGACTTTTTCTTTGTCCGGTGGGTTTTGCAGTCTTACTAGGAGTGTCTTTTAATACTTTTCCTCGAACTTCAAATCAGCAGAAATCTGGATGTTTCTCTTTTCTCAAAGAAAAACAGCCAACAAAAACAGGCGGCGGGTGAGAAAAAAAGAAGTGATCACGTGATAATTGATTCTTTCAACGGCCTAGGTCACGTTTCTCATGTGATTGTTCTATTTTTTGCAAAACAATTGAAATAATGCCGGTCATTTCTTTATATCACAAATATTTGAAAGAAACGCTCTCAATTTATAAAATGGGTAAGTGAAGAATACTGTAGAAACTTGTCAGAATCATTGTTTTACAGATTACAAAGCCGCTCTCATGAAAATGATTGCCAAGAGCGAAATGGAGTGTTCGAATTGGATTGATGGACCGGGAATCTGCACTCCATTGGAAATTGGTTCCCCTTATGGTTTTTTATAAAAAGTCCGCACCCATTCAAGAAACTCGATGTTGAAATTGTTACCAGTAAGTAGAAAATGATTTAGTCTCTGGTAAATGTTAAAAATATCACTTTTTTCAGATGTTTCAACAAAACCAATTGTATTTGATTGCAAATACAATAAAGCAAATAATTCCTCGAATGTGGTATTCATATGATAATCGAACCATCAATGAATTCAAAAACTCAAACTCAACTTTTTCTTTTAATCCTGACGCCGATGGACATTCATCTACCAAGTAAGTTAAAGTTCATTCTGGAACCTCCCAAGTGAGCTCAGGAAATTATAATTACATTTCAGGATTGCCGAAAATTCATCCACAGAATTTGGAAACACAACTGTTACTATGCAGATGACTGGTCGTGAACACCAAGTGGAAAATCAATCGACAAAAAAGGTTATAAAAGCGAAGTTAAGCAAAACAATTTGATAAAGAGAGAAATTGAAAGCGAATGAAAATTTCAGAAAATCCGAAAAAATCATTGTTTACGTTTGTTTTGCAATTCATGGGCACAAGACATGTTTTACAAAACTTTTATAGTTGTTTGTATTGTCCAAAACAATTCCAAAAACTTCTCGAAACGGGTGAAATGGATCAGTTTAAAAAAACGAAAAATGACAAAGCCCCGCCGCACACTTTTTTTTTGCTTTTTCAAATTTTCCCGAAATCCCTCCCCAAAAAACTCACCAAATCATCGTAAATCCGAATAAAAATTCAATTTTTGACAACACACCGAAAAAAAACCGCTAAACAACGGGCAAGCCGCGGAGTGTCGTTGTAAAAGATGCGAAATTCATTTTTTTTTTCAATTTTTTTGTGTTTTTTATAAATAAATTTCATGTTTAGACTCAAAAAACGTGGATTTTTCGCGCGAAAAAAACTTTATTCAAATTACATGGGATGAGATGAAACAACTTCAGTAAACCTATCATGTTCAGGAATATATCCGGTGTCTTTAAATCCCAATTCCATTTGTCGTTGCCTTGCAATCGCAGTCGCATCTCTCAACGTCGGATAAAAATTGTCTTTGGGCACAAATTGATAGAAATCACATTTATCGAATAATTCTCGAACGGGCGCTTTTGCATTCGCAAAATACACCAAAATGCCACGTTTTCTCATGTCGGAGAAGATTTCTTTGAGAGCACTGACTCCCATTAAATCGATAAATGTGAAACCGGAACAATCGATGATGAAATGACGTGATAGAATGTTGGAGCAGATTGTGTCGATGTTCTGTGAGGGAATTTGATGGAGAAATCAGGATTTTTGGTGAGTTTTAGGGTATTTTTGGGGGAAAATTGTAAAATTTTTCAAAAATCTCTGATTTTTTTGGTTCAAAACATGTTTCTAGACTAGAATTTTGTGCTGAAAATCATGGAAATCTTGATTTTCAGCGATTTTCAGCAAAAAATTTCAGCTAGGAAACTTTTTTGATTGAAAAAATCTGAAAGTTTTGAACGAAACTTGATTTCAGGTTGAAAAAATGTTTCTAGATCAGAATTTGGCGCTGAAAATTACGAAAAGCCTGATTTTCAGTGATTTTAAGCTATTTTTCCAGTTTCAGCACAAAATTCCAGCCAGGAAACTATTTTGGTTGAAAAATTCGGGAATTTAAAAAAAAAATTTATTTCCGGTTGAAAACATGTTTCTAGATCAGAATTTTGTGCTGAATCTCGTGAAAATGCTGAAAATCACCGAAAATCAAGTATTTAATGAGTTTCAGCAGAAAATTCTGATCTAGAAACATATTTCAATCTGAAATTAATAATTTTTCAAAAATTTCAGATTTTTTCGGTCAAAAAAAGTTTTCGGGTTGAAATTTTGTGCTGAAACTGGAAAAATAGCTGAAAATCGGTGAAAACGAAAATTTTCATGGTTTTCAGCGTAAAATTTCAATCTAGAATAATTTTTGGCGCCAAAAATTCCACGTGACATGTTTGGTGTCAAAAAACGTGGATTTTTCGCGCCAAAACTGATCTACAGTAACCCTAGACATATTTGGTCTCAAAATGCTCCAAATTTTGCACCTTTTCAATCGTCGATTCCTCCTCATTTTCTGCTCCCATCAATTTTTCCTCTCTCAAAACATAAAATTCATGCGATTTTTGCCATTCCAAATACGCTTTTTCGATCGATTTTTTGAAACACTCAACATTGTGAAATAAAAGTGGAGCATCGAATCGAAATATGCAAATACCTTTGAAATACATCGTGTCACCGTATCTTTCCGAATCGCGGAAATCCGGTGTTCCTTTGACGCTGGCGAGAATGTGCCATTTTGGGCTGAAAATTTCAGATTTTCCGGAAAATTTGCGATTTTTTGATACCCCACATGCCTGAAATGTTTTTTCCGCAACCTTCCGCAAGCTTCCGCGTACGCGGAAAATTCCGCATCGCTCGTTAAAAGACTTGGCCGCCTCGTGGAAGCTTGCGGTCTACACTCGCGCGGAGCGCTCGAGCTTCGCGGAAGCTTGCGGAAGCTCGCGGAAACCTCGTTTTCAAAATCCCCCTGGCATGTTTGGGCTCAAAATGCTCCAAATTTTCGGACCAACTTGATTTTCGCCACGTGGCATTGATTTTCGGACCCCAAAAACTCACTACTGCTCCCGAAGTACTGTAGTAAAAAGAGCAAAAGCCACCGAAATTATCAATCCCTCCGAAACATCGATCAAAACAGTGGAGAGGAATGCAATGATCCAAATCATCTGCAAAAATCGAAAAATCGATATTTTTCCACGTGGCGCTGATTTTTTGGCGGGAAATTTGAAAAATTCAAAAAATTCGCAATTTTTTGACACCCTAGGCTTGTGGGGTGTCAAAATGCGTCATTTTTCGCGCCAAAAACCGTTCCACGTGGCAATTTACTCACAAAATCGATTTTCGAGACTTTCCACAAGTCGACAAGATCGGCAAACTTCCGGAACATTCCCTGAAGTGCTACACAAATTATTGCAGCCAGAACACACATTGGTAAGAGTTTCCAGAAATTGTCCCAAAAATAGGACAACGAGAAGGACGAGAGTTGAGCTGGAAATCATGATTTTCAGAGATTTTCAGCTATTTTTTCAGTTTCAGCACAAAATTTCAGCCGGGAAACTTTTTTGGTTGAAAAAATCTGGAATTTTTTGAAAAAAATTTATTTCAGGTTGAAAATATTGTTCTATATCAGAATTTTGCGCTGAAAATCATGGAATTATTCATTTTCAGCTTTTCCTTGATTTTCAGCACAAAATTCTGATCTAGAAATATATTTTCAACCTGAAATTAATTTTTTCAAAAAATTCAAATTTTTTCATCCCAAAAAGTTTCCTGGCTGAAATTTTGTGCTGAAACTGGAAAAATAGCTGAAAATCGCTGAAAATGAAGGTTTCCATGATTTTCAGCACAAAATTTCAGCGGGGAAAATTTTTCCGAGCGCTTTGCGCGAGTGTAAACCGCAAGCTTCCGCGAAGCGGCACAATCTTCCGCTTCAGCGGCCAAAGCTTGGTTTTGGCTGAAATTTTATGCTGAAACTGGGGAAAAAGCTGAAAATCGCTGAAATTGGAGCTTTTCATGATTTTCAGCACAAAATTTCCGCCGGGAAACTTTTTCGAGCGCTTTGCGCGAGTGTAAACCGCAAGCTTCCGCGAAGCGGCTCCTGGCTGAAATTTTGTGCTGAAAATCAAAAAAATCATGATTTTCAACACAAAAAGCTCCCGTACCTGAATAAAATGGACAATTGCGATACGACCCCAGCTCCAAGAGCCACAAGAGTTCGGCTAAGTGAACAAGAAACGGGCAAAGTTGGGAAGAAGCTTGAGATGATTGAGGTGAAGCTCAACGCAAACAATTCTTGGCCCGAATCCAAATCATGGCCCATTTTTTTGGCCAACATTTTCGAAATTGACAACCAAACTGAGATTGCGACAATTGTTATTGGAATGGTTTCCGGGAGGACTTTTAGAATTAGGCCGAATTTTGGGGCCGAAAATGATGGTAGGCCAATGGGGATTTGTTGGACTGTTTTGAGATTTGCGGTGATGTCGAGGCGCGTGAGAAATACGAAGAGAGTTGAGAGGATTACCTGGAAAATTTGGGATTTTTTGAGCCCAAATGAGCCTGGGCTTGGGCTTAGGCCTAAAGTTACTGTAGATCAAAATTTGGCGCGAAAAAATCCACGTTTTTTGAGACCAAACAAGCCTAGGCTTAGGATTACTGTAGATCAAAGTTTTGGCCCGAAAAGTCCACGTTTTTCAGGGATACTGTAGGCTACTGTGTTGAAAATTTGCAGTTTTTTAAAATTTAAATATGACTTGGGTTACTGTAGATTGGGAGTACTGTAGATCGCGAAAAATCCACGTTTTTTGAATATAAATAAGCCAAAGGTTACTGTAGGTTAGGATTACTGTAGATCAGCACATTTTCAGAGTACTGTAGCTCGAAAACTTGGTGTCAAAAACATATTTTTTTGAAAAAAACGTGGATTTTGGATTACTGTAGGTCTGGGTACTGTAGTTTTCAGGAAGATTTCAATTTGAAACAATTTTTTCGCTGGGTTACTGTAGATCAGGAAAGTTTGGGTTACTGTAGATTCCAAAAACCAGGAGCCTATAAATTTTTGAAGCCAAAAAATCGCGGGTTACTGTAGATCTGAGAATTTCAGGGTTACTGTAGTTTCCCAAAACCTACAGTAATCCTAGGGTTATTCGATCTTCAAAAAAAAGGGAAATTTCAAATTTTCGATTTTCGCGCTAAGAAATCCTACAGTAATCCTATAGGCAAAAAATCTACAATAATCTCGAAATTTCAGGGTTACTGTAGATCCAAAATCTACAGTAATCCTATAGCCAAAAAAAATTTTTTTTTTAATTCAAAAAAAAATCATACAGTAATCCTAAACCTAGTCATATTTGGTCTCAAAACGATCCAAATTTCAGCGCGAAAAATCTACAGTAACCCAGATTTTCCGCGTTGGCGGAAGCGGAAGCATGCGGAAAAACACTCACCACAATCAATTCCCAAGGAATCGGAATATCGACTCGAAATTTCCGCTTGATGAATGGATTCACAAATTGTTTTCCGCAAAACAGTACCAAAATTGTGGCTGCGGAAATTCCGCAACACACCGCATTCACCTGTCCGCTTGCCGCAACCAAATCGCGCAGGTGGCGGAACAAATAGAGCGGCCCGGCCTGTTTCGGTAGGCCGCGCAGGCCCAAAAGTGTCTTGAGCTGTGAGATCAACACGTGGATTGAGGAGCCCGTGGTGAAACCGGCGATGACTTGATCTGATAGATAGGTGGTGAGAAATTGAAGGCGCATGACTCCCATCAAGAACTGCAAAAATTCAGGGGGTACTGTAGGTTTTGCGCGCGAAATTTGCGATTTTTTGACACCGAATATGACTAGAAGCTTCCAAAATAGTTTCTGGGCTGAAATTTTGTGCTGAAACTGGAAAAATTGCTGAAAACGAGGATTTCCAGCGTTTTCAGCACAAAATTTGGGTCGGGGAATACTTCAAAAGGTACTGTAGAAAATTGTGCCAAAGATTCCGAAAAAATGGATCAATCGGATTACTGTAGAAAAACATGTTTCTAGACCCAAATTTTGCGCTGAAACTCATGAAAAGCTTGATTTTCAGTGATTTTAAGCAATTCCATGAGTTTCAGCGCAAAATTCTGATCTAGAACTATATTTTTGACATGAAATTAAAAATTTTTGAAAATTTTCAGATATTTTCAGCTAAAAAAGTTTCCTGACTGAAATTTTGTGCTGAAACTCATGAAAAGCATGATTTTTAGCGATTTTCAGCAATTCCAGCGGTTTCAGCGCAAAATTTGGGCTTAGAAACATGTTTTTGACCTGCTAGGCTTATGGGGTGTCAAAAAACCCCAAATTTTCATATTTTTGCAACCAAAAAAAGTTTCCCGGGTGGAATTTTGCGCTGAAACTCATAAAAAGCTTGATTTTCAGTAATTTTCAGCAATTCCATGAGTTTCAGGGCAAAATTCTGATCTAGAACTATATTTTTGACATGAAAGGCTTATGGTGTCAAAAACCCCAAATTTTAAGATTTTTTTCAACCTAATAAGTTTCTTGACTGAAATTTCGCGCTGAAACTCATAAAAAGCTTGATTTTCAGTAATTTTCAGCAATTCCAGCGTTTTCAGCACAAAATTTGGGTCTAGAAACATATTTTTGACCTAAAATCAAAAGTTTTCGAAAATTTTCAAATATTTTCAGCTAAGAAAGTTTCCTGGCTGAAATTTTGTACTGAAACTTATGAAAAGCTTGATTTTCAGTGATTTTCAGCAATTTCAGCGTTTTCAGCACGAAATTTGGGTCTAGAAACATTTTTTCGACCTCAAAGGCTTATGGGATGTCAAAAAATTCCAACTTTCTATAGTTGGACAACGGCTCGGCTCAAGCTGCTTCAAAGCGGCTCGGCTCAAGCCGCTTTCAATAAAAAAATTGAAAGCGGCTAATCGGCTATTTTTCAAGCCGTTTTGGTCAGCCGATTAGCCGAATGATTTAGCCGAGCCGCTTTGATTCAAAGCGGCTCGGCTCGGCTTGGAGTGAATTTTTGAAATTATCAGGAAAATGAAGTTAAGATAATTTATTAATGGGTTTTGGGGTTTTTTGGTACGGGGAACATCGTGGCGGGACCCATTTGACTTGAAAGTGACTCTTAAAGGCATGTTATGACTAAAAAAAAATTTTTTTTGAAAATTTCAGATTTTGGGTTTTTCGGTACGGGGAACATCGTGGTGGGACCCATTTTGGATAAAAATGACTCTTAAAGGCATGTTGGGACTAAAAAAAATTTTTTTTCGAAAAATTCAGATTTAGGGTTTTTTGGTACGGGGAACATCGTGGTGGGACTTATTTGATTTGAACGTGACTCTTAAAGGCATGGTGGGACTGAAAAAAAATTTTTCTGAAAAATTCAGATTTAGGGTTTTTCGGTACGGGGAACATCGTGGTGGAACCCATTTGGTCTAAAAATGAGTTTTAAAGGCATTTTGTCACTAAAAAATGTTTTTGAAAATTGCTTATAGAGCACGGGGACATACCGTACCGAAAAATCGAAAATCTAAAATTTTCAAAAAAAATTTTTTTTGATGACAAAATGCCTTTAAAACTCATTTTTAGACCAAATGGGTTCCACCACGATGTTCCCCGTACCGAAAAACCCTAAATCTGAATTTTTCAAAAAAAATTTTTTTTTAGTCCCAACATGTCTTTAAGAGTCATTTTTATCCAAAATGGGTCCCACCACGATGTTCCCCGTACCGAAAAACCCAAAATCTAAAATTTTCAAAAAAAAAATTTTTTTGGTGACAACATGCCTTTAAGAGTCACTTTTAGGTAAAATGGGTCCCACCACGATGTTCCCCGTACCAAAAAACCCCAAAACCCATTAATAAATTATCTTAACTTCATTTTCCTGATAATTTCAAAAATTCACTCCAAGCCGAGCCGAGCCGCTTTGAATCAAAGCGGCTCGGCTAAATCATTCGGCTAATCGGCTGACCAAAACGGCTTGAAAAATAGCCGATTAGCCGCTTTCAATTTTTTTATTGAAAGCGGCTTGAGCCGAGCCGCTTTGAAGCAGCTTGAGCCGAGCCGTTGTCCAACTATACAACTTTCAGAATTTTCCATTCAAAAAATTTTCCTGGCTGAAATTTTGCGCTGAAAATCATGAAAAGCAGCGATTTTCAGCAATTTTCAATGGTTTCAGCGTTTTCAGCGCAAAATTTGGCTTATGGGGTGTCAAAAAACCCCAAATTTTTTTCAAAATTCCAAAATTTCCCACCAAAATCAATCCCATAGTCAGCGAAATAGTTGCTGCAACTTCTTCCGCTGACACATTTTCATATTTTTCTCGAATATTCTCGACTGCAATTCCAGTCATCAAACAAGTTACAGCAAATGTTCCCAGGCTGGATTGTTTTGAAGTTCCAAAAAACATATAGATCAGTGGTGGAATCAGGGAAGCGTATAGGCCATTTATTGGAGGTTGTTGAGCCAAAAGAGCATAGGCTATTCCTGCAAAAAAATTTTTTGGGATTTACAACGATGCTCCGCGTTTACGCTGTGTGAAAAATGCGTTTTTTGAGAAAAATTGATTGAAAATAGTGAAAACTACGACACTCCGCAATGACGACGTGTGAAAAATGCGGTTTTTGAGAAAATTTGATTGAAAAGAGTTCAAACTACGACACTCCGCGGTTAACACTGCACAAATTTCGAAAAACTACGATGCTCCGCAATTACACTAGTGAAAAATGCGGTTCTTCTGAGAATTTGAATTTTTTGCTCGAAAAATGAAAAACTACGATACTCCGCGTTTACACCGTGTCAAAAACCACGAGTTTTGGCCCCAGAAAAGCTCAAAAACTACGACACTCCGCGTTTACACCGTATTTGATCTCAAAATGCTCCAAATTCAATTTCCAAACTCACCCTGTGGAACATGCATCACACCAACCGTCACACCACCCACAAAATCCGCCAACAAATTCGCCCTGATGTTATAGTTCGGAAGCCATTTGAAGATCGGAAACAAATCCAACACGAAACATTTGAACAATTGAAAGGAGGTGAAAGGCTCATAATAGCGGCGCGCGAATTTTTTCAGACGTTTTTTCAGAGAATTTTCAGTTTTCGGCTTCGCGTAATCGAATTGTTGATCGAATTGAACCTGAGCAATGGGTACTGTAGTTTTTGGCGCGAAAATTTGGGATTTTTTGAGACCAAATATGCCTAGAGCCGAAAAAAATCAGATTTTTTCAAACAAAAAAGTTTTCCGGCTGAAATTTTGTGCTGAAACTGATGAAATCACTGATTTTCAGCGATTCCATCATTTTCAGCACAAAATTTGGGCCCAAAAAGATATTTTCTACAGTTACCTGGTTGATCCATTTTTTTGGAACTTTTGGCACAATTTTCTACAGTAGGTTTTCAAGAGTTTCCTGTGCCAAATTTTGTGCTGAAAACGCTGGAAATACTGAAAATAGCTGAAAATCATTAATTCCAGCTTTTTTAGCACAAAATTTCAGCTTAGGAACATCAAATGATACTGTAGAAAATTGTGCCAAAAATTCCAAAAAAAAATGGATCAACCGGATTACTGTAGAAAAACATGTTTCTAGGCTGAAATTTTGTGCTGAAAAAGCTGAAATTATTGGTTTTCGGCTATTTCTAATAATTCCAGCATTTTCAGCACAAAATTTGGGTCTAGAAACATTTTTTCAACCTGAAATTATATACTTTTGAAAATTTTCAGACTTTTTCATCTAAAAAAGTTTCCTGGTCGGAATTTTGTGCTGAAAATCATGAAAAACTTGATTTTCAGCAATTTTCAATTACCTGATTCATTGGATCTCTTTGAACAAACATCGTCGAATTTTTGTTGTTATTATAGAAATTATTAAGAAAATCATCGTTATTTGATGAAGTTTCGTCCATTGTTCAAAAAAAAAAAATGAAAAATGAGGAATTTTTGGGGCGAAAATGGAAAAATTGATGAAATTTTTGAAAAAATTGTGAAAATTTGCACTTTTTCCACACAAAAATATGCAAATTTCGATTTTTCATCGAAAAAAGAACAAAAAATCACTGGGAGTTAGCAAAAGTCACGTTTTTTGAGAAAAACACATGAGAGATATTTGAGGGACCTTTTTATCTGATTTTTTCGCTGAGAAAAAGGCGTGGCCTAATTTTTCCCGCCAAAAAACTACAGTTTACTCACCTGATTCATGGCGCCACGTTGAACAAATGTGATTTTTCGAGATTTTTGAAAATTTTCAGCGGTGTTATAAAATTTGTCCAAAAAATCGGCGGAATCATCTTCGGGCTCCATTTTTTGCAGCAAAAATTTCGAAATTTTCAGAGAAATTTGTGATTTTGTGATTTTTCCACGCCATGTGTGTGTGGTTTATGCAAATTTCTCGAGAAAAACTGGTTTTTCACGATGTTTTGATGATTTTTGGCAATTTTTGACAAGTGAAAACAAAAATTTTTGGATTTATCCTAACTTCAAGCAGCAAAATTAACGTGAACATCTGGAAAAATCGATTTTTTTGCCACGTCATAACCAGGGAAATATTTACAAAGAAAAGGAAATAGCAAAACCCCCTTTAAAAATTTTTGGGGAAAATTTTCCCCAAAAAAAAAAAAAAAAAAAAAAAAAATTTAAACCGTGCACTTCTTATCTTTTTTGAAAATCGGAACGCCTTGACCCAAAAATTCTTGAAAACCGTTCAAACTTTTCTGAAGGTCAACTCAAAAGTTCAAATAACCTTTTTTGACAGGTAAAATCATCGCGATTCGCGTAAAAATCCCAAACCTAAAGAAAGAACGGAAAAAATAAGAGTGTATGTCAACACCGACTGCCCGCAAACACCAAATCCTACGCGCAACCTTGGCGCGAAATACGGGCTGTGTGTTTTCGCGAAGAAATTTTTGGGGATTTTTAAAAATTGGGAACCCCCCCCCCCCCCGAATTTTAGAAATGGACACGTTTAAAGTATAACATATGGGAACCCTGAGAATCTCTCCAATGTCGCTTTTCCCAGGGAGAATACTATTCAACGAAAAAAATGGTCGAAAATCGAAAAAATAAATAGATGACCGAACTTTTTCAAACACACGTCCCTTGGTTTCCTAGGCCATTTTTTATTTTTTGCAGATTTTCCGAGATAAAAAAGAAATGTTTTCAAAACAAAAATTCTTCATCATTATCGCAATAATTATTAAAAATTTAAAAATGCAGAAACGTAATTCAAAAAAAAAATTATATTCACAGGATTCAGAAAATACATAAAAAAGATGTGCGATAAAAAAATTAATCAATTTGGACAATCTCATTAACATCATCAAAAAATCGATTTTCGATGATATCCGCGAACTCCGGACGATCTTCTGGGTCCATTTCCAAACAATCGAGAATCAGGTTGAATAATTGTATTCCGATCAAATCATTGTGTCGTACATTTGTCTGGAAATTTTTTTTTGATTTTGAGGGGGGATTTTTTGGATAGAAAACTCACATAAATCGGTTCGATGTCCAAGAGCGGCGTGTAGTTGAATCGATGAAAACTAAGTGCCGTCTTCGAGATTTTCACCTTTTTGCTTCTGAAAAATACGAATTTTTTGAAACAAAAAATCCCCCGCAAATCCTCACCCAACATCGTAAGCTTTTTCATACATATAATACGGAATCGCTCTTCGAAGAACCGATTGTATGACATCTATTTGCGATTCTTCCGAATTCTCCTTCTCATCACCGAAAAACAAAAGTTGTCCGGTGTACAATTCGAATAACAGGCAACCAAATGACCAAACATCCGATTTCTCATTGAAGCCGAGACCAAGAAAAACTTCTATGGCGCGATAATTTTGAGTTTGCGCATCGACATTTACCCATGATTCTGATTCAACGAATTTTCTTGCTGTTCCGAAATCAATTAGGCAAGTTTGATTATCCTCCATTTTGATAAAACGATGATTGCCTTGGCTTGTTCGAGATCTCACTGAATTGTTCATTTTTACAAAGCAAACATTCTCGGGTTTCAAATCCAGGTGTACAAGCCCCCGGCTTTCTAGATATTCCATAGCCGTGCAAACTTGAAAGCCGATTTGACGGATGTCGCAATCTATAAAAAATTATTGATTTTTGGTTTCTAATTGTGAAAAATGAATCTCACTTTCAAAGCAAGCTTGTTTTTCCGCCTCCAAAACATGAAAAATCGATGGGCCTAACAGATTCATGATGATGTATCCGTCGTATACACTTTCTGTCGATTTTTCGTTTTTCAGCGCGCCGAAATCATGTATCTTCACGATGTTTCTGAAAAAAGCAACTGATCTTCCGAAAATTTTATTATCTAACTCACTTTGCTTCTGCTTCCTTCGCAATCATATTCATGATATTGGTTTCAGCTCGATGATGCTCGATTTTTATTTTTCGATTGATTTTCATTGCGAGCGGTTGTTGCTGAAAGGAACATGTTGATTTAGGATGAAAATATAAACTTCTGGGTTTTCAACAAAAATCTATGTTCACTTTTCAAAATTTCGAATTTTTCACATCGAATTTATATTCAAAAGATACGTCGTTTTCTCCTAGCGAATTATTCGTCAAAAACTAGATTTTCAGGCGAAAATATCGTTTTTCCATTCAAAATTCAATGTCCATTCTTCCCGAAAAAAAACTCACATCTCCATTATGAACCTCATAAATCTGCCCAAACGCTCCAGCGCCCAAAAATCGACGAATTTCATCTGAAAATCGCAAAAATGTCAGCTAAAACTTCGAAATTCAAAACTCACATTGATTTCCATTCTCACTCTTCACCGTTTCACCAACCAATTTTTCGCTGCGGGGAACACACACATTAGAAATTGCGCCTCCCTTGAAAATATATTTTCATTTTTTTGCAGTTTTTGCTCCTAAAATTTTGCATTTTCGCGTGAAAACTATCGATTTTTTTGGAATTTTTTGTTGCCACGTGGATTTCAAAGGGTTTATTAGAAAATCTCATGATTTTCAACGTGATTTCTCGGTTTTCGGCTGACAATTTTTGATCGAATTGAAATATCTAATCTCCGACGCTCTTCTCTCAACTTTTTTCCATTCTTCAACTAGATTTCGGAATTCTTCATCATAAGCTTTTCCTATGCAATAAACCAATCGTCGAAATTGCCCGGGAACTTTCGAACATTTCGAAATTTGAACATTTGGCGCGCATTTCTTCATTTGATCTATATATTTTTGAGCATCAGGTAGACAATTCTTAAATCTACATTCAATTTCAATTATTTGATATGTGGTTTCTCTAGAAATATATATAATTGTTTGGAAAATGCTAAAAAAAACTCACACTTGATCAATTTTCTCATTTTCCTTGTTATAATTGTCCTCTATAAATTGCCAACCTTTTCTAAATTTCCGATGTTTATCAAAAACCTTCCAATTCTTCTCTTTTTTCTTTAAATACGCCAAAATCGGCAATTTTTCCTTTTCATTCTTCAAATAATCATCAATTTCCAAATGTTTCTTGAAAAACATCGCATCTTCTAACAATCTGAATCTTGTTTTCACTGAATAAACAGTTTCATCTTCATTTAATTGCTCAGAAATTAGATTCCATATTGATTCATTATAATCAACTCGATAATAACAATCTGAATCAATGTTTAGTATAATTTGTGAAGCATTGATGATTATTGGATTCTTCTTTAGCCATAGAAATTCAACATTTTCTTCTTGATCTTTTCGATAGAAAATTGGAATTTCCCAACTTTGATTTGTTATCGGAGTCAACAATTTTCTCTTCGTTTTCATATCATAACTCAGCTTCATTTGCTTGATTTCCAAATGTGTTTCATTAAATTCTTCCACTCTCACCACAGGAAACATCACATTTTCCGTCCAAGATTTCGCAAATGCTGCCAAATCCCAACTTTTTCCCGGTATTTCAATATCATAAGCATCTTGAAAGTGTTTGAATAGAATATCCTCATCCACATTTTCAAATTGACTCGAGTTCAGATAACTTCTAATCGCTTTATCAAACACCGAAGTTCCGATAACTTTTCGAATCATAAGTAATATTGAGCCAGCTTTTCTATAGGTTATTCTATCGAAAAATTCTCGAATATTGTCATTTTCCCCAAGTTTAAAGGACACTGGGTGATTTTTAAATTTTTCCGGTTTTCTGAGGCTCTCAAATTCAAAATCGAATGCTGATTTTTGTGAATTAAGTAGGAATTGGGTATCCTGAAATTCAGAAATTTCTTCAAATTTTTGATATTTTCGAAATTTACCCATTTATAAGCTCCACTATTTGCAATATCTGCTCCATAAAGTTGATACAACGTGGCAAATCCTTCATTCAGCCAAAGTTGATTCCAATTTTTCATTGTTACCAAGTTTCCGAACCACTGAAAGAATCACGTTACTTTTGGTTGAGATTTTGGGCTGAAAATCGGGGAAATCTTGATTTTCATGATTTTCAGCACAAAATTCTGGTCTAGAAACATTTTCTCATCTGATATTATTTTTTTTCACATTTTTCCAGCCAAAATGGCTCCGCGGTTGAAATTTTGTGCTGAAAATCATGAAAAATGGGAATTTCCTGATTTTCAGCACAAAATTCGGGTCTAGAAACATTTTTGGCTGAAAAATTTGAAATTTTTGAAAAAATTATTTTCAGGTCAAAATTCAGGTTTATAGATCAGAATTTTGTGCTGAATCTGGTAAAATTGCTGAAAATCGCTAAAAATGAAGATTTTCAGCACAAAATTCTGGTCTAGAAACATTGTTTGATATGAAATTAATTTATTTTCGGATTTTTTCATCCAATAAAGTTCCCCGGTCGAAATTTTGTGCTGAAAATCGTTAAAAATCGCTGAAACTCAAGATATTCATGATTTTCAGCACAAAATTCAGGTTTCTAGATCAGAATTTCGCGCTGAAAATCATGCAAGCCTTGATTTTCAGCCCAAACCTAACCTGATGAGCAATTTCATGTGCAATAACTGTTTGAATCATCCGTTTATCCTCCAAATTATTCATTTCCTCATTATAACTCAATTTTCCCTCCTTATAAATTATCAATCCCCAATTTTCCATCGCACCACTTCGAAATTCTTTCACCTCAATCATATCTAATTTGCCCAATGGATAAGGCACCCCAAATGTTGTTTCAAAATTGTCCAGAATTTTTATCGCAGTATCCAAGGCTAGATTCAGATTATCTTTTTCTTCGGGTTTCGAGCAAACTCGAATTTTTATCGCATTTTTTGTGGTGTTTTTTGAAATACAAGCAAAATCAGATATAACAAAAGCTAGAAGATATGATGACATTTTGGGGGAATCTTGAAATTTCGAAACTATTTGTCCTGAACTTCCATCATCATCTTCTTGATCTTCCAATTCAGCATTCGAAAAAGCTTTCGTTTCATTCGAATGTATAATTGTCAATTTCCAAATTGCTTTATATATTGGTTCATCAAAACAAGGAACAACTAATCTCGCTGAATTCGGTTCCATTTGTGTAGCCAATGCAATTTTTAGCTCATTTTTTTCATCGAAATACGAAGAATTATAGAAACCTCGAGAATCATTCCGAATATTTCCAGAATAATTGATAATTATTTCAAATTCTGAATCCTTCACGAGTTCTTCTATCAAAACTATTTCTATATAATTTTGATGAATATGCAAATATTCCAATTGATTTATGTCAATAGTCACATTTCGAATCGTCAATTCTTCTGAATTCAAAGTGATAATATTTGTGGCTTCTAGAACTTTGATCTTGATTTTCAGCTCTCCATCAAAAGTTTTTTCGATATATCGAATCATCAGATCATATTTTATCGGTTCCAGATTCTTGGGAAGTTCGAAAATCCGCAAATCATCATTTTTCAATAGAATCACATGATGAAATGGTCCGATTTTTTGAGTTGTTGTAACTATTTCATCAAAATGTTGATGTTCTGCATGTTTTTCTGGTTTTGACTCGGATTTCGACATAAAATACACAATTATTCCAATTGACAGCAAGATTATTATTATTAGGCTTATAGTTATTAGGAAAAGCTTCTGCAAAATTCGGAATTTTTTCGGGGGGTACTGTAGTTGATGTAGTTGAGATACTGTACCTTTTCTTTGATCATTTTTATTATGGTCATTTTTGAGATGTATAAAATTAGAAATGATAGGTTTTTGGATTGAAAAATGCCACGTCAGTTAAGTAGGTCACGTCATCTTGCTTTTTTCCATGTGAACTTTGAAATTTTCGCGAAAAGCTTTGTTTTCGTGCCAAAAATCGTACCATTCTTATCTTTTCCCCACACATTTTCAATGTTCGCAACATTTTCGATGTTTTATCATCAAATTTTTTATCATTCTGACCTTAAGCATGGAAATGGCGTCATTTTACGGTATTTAATTTTGGTGGAAAAATGTTGAAAATTTGCCACGTGGCGATGAAAAATTCAATTTTTAGCGGAAATCGCAAGCTTTTCCTTCAACTTGAAATCGAAAAATTCCGATTTTTCTGGCGGTTTTCATCCTAAAATCTTCGAATTTGTCTGAAAATGAAGAAAATCTAAGTTTTCGTTGAAAGAAAACATGTTTATTGGCGATTTGAGCATAATAACAACAGCAAAATGAATATTTTCAACAAAATTGAAGGGCAGTGGAATAAATGAGGTGTTTGGAACTAGAATGAGGTGAAATTGAGGATTTTTGAGATTGGGATGAAAAATGAGGTGAAAAATTGGAATTTTTGTTTCTTTTTTTGAATTTTTTTGGTTTTTTTTTAAATATTTTTAATCGAAAATCAATTATCTTCCTCACTATTACTATTTCCTTCTTCTAATCGTTGTCTTCTTCGAATCCGTCCGCGATAATTTGATAATTCAAACAACTTTACTCTCCAATTCTCCAAAATATGAGCTTCAGCTGTACCATCGAGCAATTGATCAATTTCAGACATTTTGAATGTCTGAAAATGTGGAATTTTCGAATTTTCCGAGTTAAATAAGTTGTTAGGGTCTAAATTGAGCCAATCCCTTCCCAAAATACTTACTTTGAAAAACGAATAATATTCGACTGTGAGCTCTTTCAAATTTTGCGGCATATTTCTTCCATAATATGAATTTGCCAGATAATCCCCACCATAACCACAATCATATAAACAAACTCTTTCATAGCAACATTTTTCTAACTGCAAAAATTGAAACTTGTTGTCAGAAACAGGATTTTATTCACCAGAAAATGTGATTTTCTCTGAAAATACTCTTCCTTTGATAGAAAATCGCGGGAAATTCGAAGATTTTCAAAGAAAACCAAAGGTTTTGATGATTTTCGTGATCTCAAATCCCAAAAAAAACTCACATTTTCCAATTCCGCAATCGTGGTATTCTCATTTATCAAAATATTCGGCCTCGTGTTCCGATATTTTGGTCGAGAATCCAGCAATTTTTTGAAACTCTCTTCTCGATAACAGTTTTTCCTCGTTCCCATTATTTCAAATGGGCATTTTATGTGATTGGATTCCGTGAATCCAACAGCAATCAAAAATAAGACAAAAATATAGAGGATTTGGGACATTTTTGTAATTTTTTCTGCAAAAAAGCTATAGTTATAGATTGCCACGTCATAACTAACAGAATCCCAAAGAATTCGAAATTTCAGCTAGGTAAAAAATCGAGTAGAGTTAGCGAATCTACTAAACCCTAGTAAAACCTCTGCCCTCCCCAAAAAAAATCGAAAAAATGAGAAAAACATTGAACACCTTCGCTTTTATACCACAAACAAAAGTGGGCGGAGCCTCCTAGAAAGAAAATCGCAACATTTTTCGTCTTCCGTTAGAATTCGGATTTTCACTATCTCCCAAAACTTTTTCGTGATTAATTTGATAAAAAGTTTTTTGTGGAGAAAAAAAGGCGGATAGTTTTTCCCCAGGAAAAAATGTTGCGAACTTTTTTTGGCCCACTTTTTTTGTTTCGAAAAAAAGTTGGCCGTTTGCCAAACGACGAAAAGATGATAGTTTTTTCTCGTGAGAAAATGAAGATGAAAAAAATAATAAAAATAGAACAACATTTCGAAAACCCCTAATTTCCGGTCATTTTTTGAACCGAAATTGATAAAAACATGAAAATTTCCTAATTTTTGACGTGAAAACGTGGAGGTTCAAAAATCATTTCTTGGTGGAAAAATCGATGCCACGTGGCAGTAAGTGGATTTTTGGCGCGAAACCAAGGATTTTCTAGATTCAAATGGCTCGAACTACAAACACCTTGGTTTTCACGTCAAAAAATCAATTTTCTGCCACGTAGCATCGATTTTTCCACCAAGAAATGATTTTTGAACCGCCACATCATGAAATTTCACGATTCCTCGTCAAAAATCTATGTTTTGGTCCAAAATTTCGGAGTTTGGACTCCAAATTCCAAAATTTCGTATTGTTTATCATAATCCTTGGTTTTCGACGCAAAATCGCCTCATTTTTATCATTTTTCGTGAAAAAATGAATTTTTATCATCTAATTCTGAACATGGACGATAATTCGGTCATCGACTGTAGTGTTGACACCAAAAAACCAAGGAGTTCAAATTAATTATTTTATTTTTCGAAAGTTTTATTGATTTTTAGCCAATCGAAATCGTGAATTGATATATACAATTTTTTGTTGAGTGAAATGCGGTGCTTGATTTTTGACCTCGATTGAATTGGCATACTGAAAATGTGATTTTTTCTTTGATTTCAAGATAAATTTTGGGAAAAAGGAGCTTACTTTGAAAAATTAGTGAGATTTCGAAAATCTTCGACGCGAGTCGAGAGCTTCTCAGGTTTTTCGGCATATTTCTTCCTTAGTATTGATGCAACCAGTTGATTTCATAACAACATCTTTCGACCTGTAAAAAATCAAATTTGGTGTCTTTTTTCATTAGAAAAATCATCAAAATTTGAAAATTTCATGATTTTCAGTCAATTTTTGGTCAAACCCCCCCAAAAAACTCACATTTTCCAACTCCAAAATCGTCGTATTCTCACTGATCAAAATATTTGGCCGAGTATTTCTGTTCTTTGGTCGAGAATCGAGAAGTTTCTTGAATTTTGCCACTTTTCTTCAGTTTCGTCATAAGCTTACTGAAAAATCGTTTTTTTCTAAGTTTCAACCCTCAAAAACTTCAAAACTCACGCTTCAGAATAAATTCCATCAATAATTACGACATTTTAGATGTCGTTCTGGAGAAAATTGGGAAAACAGCCCAATTTTGGAGACGACTGAATTTTCGGGGCCGCCCGAAAATTTCTGCAAAAAATTTGGATTGTTTGATGGCGGGGTAGATCAAAAATGAAAAATTGAACGAAAATTTGGAGGCTTTGAGAAAAAAATGCGAAAATTCTATTGATTTTTGTCAGAAACTCAAAAAACCTGAAATTCCCTAAAAATTCCTTCTGAAATCCCAACTCTCAAGCTTTTCCTTCAACTAGAAACTTTAAAAAACCCGAAGTTTCATGTTTTTCAAAGAAAAACACAGGCGGCGCACAAAAAAAAAAGAAAATACGTGCGCGGCAAATAAAATGCCGAGGTCCGCAAACGTGTCGGTGTTTGCACACTTTTCCAGCGCGCTACAGTAATCCAATCGATTTTTCTGTTTTGGCCTAAAATTAGTGCATTTCTTGTGTATTTGGAGCAAAACACAGTTTCCTCACGCAACATTTTCAATTTTTATCAAAAAACTTTTTATCAGCCTAACCTTAAGTATTTTAAAAAATTGCAAAAACCCAATAAACAAATAATTATCGCTTGTTGACAGGAACAAACAAAAATGTGTAATTTTCCCGAATGTTAATTGAAAATAGCTATGACGTGGCATTGGGTTTAAACAAATTAGTCATGTCGAAAAAACGTTGAGATTTTCTATTTGTGTGTTCTCCCCGTGACCTTTTAGTTACTTTAACTCTCGAACATTAGAACATATTTACCTGGGGGTGGAAGTTAAGTGGATATGAGTCAGAATTCGTCGAATTTTTCGATGATTTTTGGCAGCAAAGTTCAAAAAACTACACCTGAAGTTTAGACTCCGCCCACTTGGTAAATATTTTCTAGTTACAGTAACTGGAAAATCTCGGGAATTGAAAAAAATGAAAGTGAAAATAAAAATGAAACAACATTTCGAAAACCCCAATTTCCGGTCATTTTTTGATCAGAAATCGATAAAAATATGAAAGTTTTAGAATTTTTGACGTGAAAACGTGAAATTTCATGACGTGGAAGTTCAAAAATCATTTCTTGGTAGAAAAATCGATGCCACGTGGCAGAAAATTGATTTTTGACGTGAAATACAGGGATTTTGTAGTTTTAGCCATCAATTCTTGTACTTCGCACGAAAAATCCATTATCTGCCACGTGGCATCGATTTTTCCACGAAGAAATGATTTTTGAACTTCCACGTCATGAAATTTCACGTTTTCACGTCAAAAATTCGAAAATTTTCACATGTTATATCAATTTCGGTTCAAACAATGACCGGAAATTGGGGGTTTTCGAAATGTTGTTCTATTTTTATTTTTATTTTCATCTTCAATTTCTCACGAGAAAAAACTATCATCTTTTTTCGCGTTCGAAATCGAAATGGAATTTTTTTGGGCAAGTGCTCAGAGATTCGCTGGCCAGCTTGCCACCAGATCGCTGCGGCCACCTGGAAACCGCATGGCCGCCAGGTCGCCTCGAGTTTTCCGGCGACGTGGCCTGTGTGTTTGAAATCCTGGAAAGCTGGCAAGGCGGTGGTTTGCACTCAAAACACTTCATTTTCTACTGTTTTTTCACTTCCTAAGGTTTCAAGTGCTGCGAAAAAACAGAAAATTAGCCAAATTTTTCGAAAATGTCTCAATTCACAAGTTTTTCAGACATTTTCATGAAAATTCATTTTGACGTGGCGAAGTGGCCACCACATGGTAGCCATGTGGGCTTGACCTAGCCAGGACTTGGCCACCTTGCCAGCGAAAAAAAACCGGGCGACATGGTTTCCATGTGGTTCCCAGGTCAGCCAGCCTCCCCACCTGGTGGCGAGCTGGCCAGCGAATCTCTGAGTGGCCAAACTTTTTTTCGAAACAAAAAAAGTTCGCAATATTTTCACCTGTTCATTTTCCTGTTGTGATTGTCAATAAAAATGTTTTCTATTCAACGAAAACCCCGTGTTTCTTCATTTTCAGACAAAATTCACAGATTTTGGGCTGAAAACCGCCCGAAAAACCAAAAAATCGATTGGATTACTGTAGCTCGCTGGAAATGTGTGCAAACACCGACATGTTTGCGGACCATGGCATTTTATTTGACGCGCACGTTTTTTCTTTTTTTTTCGCGCCGCCTGTGTTTTCTTTCGTGTTTTCCTTGGGAAATATTGGATTTCTGTGAAAGTTTTTTGAAGGAAAATCTCAAGGTTTCTTATTTTAACTGAGCTTTACGTAAAATATCAGATTTTTTGAGAGAAAAGTGCAGTAATAACGTAATTTTTAGGATTTTTTTTTCATTTCTCGTTTTTTCTTCGGGTTTTTCGGGAAATCAATGAATTTATTTTTACAGAATGGATACCATCCGGTATCACAAGGAAATCAACGGCATAAAATCGTATTTCTTCTCGCCACTTCTCAGATACATCTTTATAAATGAGCAGAAATTGATTGAGAATAAAAAAGTCAACCAATTTGCCGCATTCATTTTGGGATTAACCGATAACTTCCCAACGGCAGATGATTTTGAAAGAATTCTCACCCGCGCAAATCCGAATAATTATGAATTGATTACTGAAATCGATAGATTTCTCCTATTTGGAAATGATTATTTGGAAATCACTCAGATTCTTGTTGAAAAATTGACTGCAAATGGAATCAATCACGATGTATACACTTGTCGATTTAATGCAAAAGATAGTGCAGGTTTTAAAGAAGATTTTGAAAAACTTGTCAGAAAATCAGTTATCGGAAAAGTAAAAGGCAGCCAATTCTTGAGATCTCTCCAATCGATTATGATGGCAGAATCTGGGTGTGCTAGATTTGCAGCAATTAGTGATTTATGTATTCATGATTTTGATTGGGACGCCTACGTCTACCTCAAGTTATTCTTCAGTGAAAAAGAGGAGGAAATCAAATTGATTCGTGATAGAATTATCGAGAAAATCAAAGGAAAACATGATGGATTGGTGGATATTTGGGAGAAAGCTGAACTTGCGCGGAGTTTGAAGAAATCGATGGCTGAAATTATTGAAAAAGTGTTGCCAACAATTATTGAGCAAATTCTTCCGATTGTTGAGAGAGAAAATGAGTATGCATTGATTCAATTAGCTGGACTCACCAGTCAGATTTTTTATTTTTTTGTTCGTGCGATTCTTGATGGTGAATTGGATTTGGTTGAGGATATTTATAAGAAGATTCCTGAATCTATCAGAAGATTGATGTTTCCTGGATTGATTCGGTCAATTGTTAAGGTAACTTATTTTCTTTCTTTAAAAAATAATTGATTTTTTCAGTTTCAGCACACAATTTCAGCCGGGAAACTTTTTTGGCTTAAAAAATTGATTTCAGGCTGAAAATATTGTCAGAATTTTGTGATCAAATCATGGAATTATTCATTTTCTACGATTTTCAGCACAAAATACTGATCTAGAAAATATTTTTGACCTGAAATTGAAAATTTTTCATATTTTTTCAACCAAAAAAATATTTCCCGGCTGAAATTTTGTGCTGAAAAATCAGCATTTCTATGATTTTCAGCACAAAATTTCAGCCAGGAAACTTTTTTCGAGCGCTTTGCGTGAGTGTAAACCGCAAGCTTCCGCTTCAGCTGCCAAAGCTCGATTTTGGCTGAAATTTTGTGCTGAAAACGCTGGAAACATTGAAAATTGCTGAAAACGTAGGTTTTCATGAGTTTCAGCACAAAATTATGATCTAGAAAAATATTTTTGACCTGAAGCAAACCTCACCCAAGAACCTGGAGAAGTGGGTAAAAAATTGCCCACCTGGGTTTATTTATTAAATTTGCCCACCTAGTAAAAAAATTTTGCCCAGTTGAGCCTCGCCTTAAAGACCCTAAAAAACTTTGCCCAGTTGAGGCTCGCCTTAAAGACCCTAAAAAACTTTGCCCAGTTGAGGCTCGCCTTAAAGACCCTAAAAAACTTTGCCCAGTTGAGGCTCGCCTTAAAGACCCTAAAAAATTTTGCCCAGCTGAGGCTCGCCTTAAAGACCCTAAAAAATTTTGCCCACATAGGTTTTCCGAAAAAAATTGCCCACCTGGAATTCCAGGTCTTGGGTGAGGTTTGGACCTGAAGTTGAAAATTTTTCAAAATTTTCATATTTTTTCATCCAAAAAAGTTTCCCGGCTGAAATTTTGTGCTGAAACTGGGAAAATAGCTGAAAACTTAGGTTTTCATGAGTTTCAGCACAAAATTTCAGCCCTGAACCTTTTTTCGAGCGCTTTGAGCGAGTCTAAACTGCAATCTTCCGCGAAGCGGTTCCGGACTGAAATTTTGTGCTGAAAATCGTGCTAAACCTGACATTTGCTGAAAATAATGATTCTCTAATGCAAAAATAGCTTTTTTTCCAGCCATCCATCACATTTGTCACCTATTTTTCCCAATTCTTCATCTCAATTCCTGGAAACCCACTAAAATTGGCTGAAATCGAAGTCGAATTGTTCAAAATGCTCGACAAACCTTGGAAAAGAGATGCTTTGCTGAAAATTGTCTACGATTTCAAGGCTGCCATCTCAAGAAATCCATTTGGTTGTGCAGTTTTTTTGGGAGGCCATGAGAGAAGCCAAATTTTGTTGGCATTCGATTTTGTTTCGGAAGCTGTTTTGAATTTTGGTGGTGAATTTGATTTCCTTTGGATGCATTTCAATGTCAAATCAATGATTATCAAGAAAATGAAAGGTAAAATATTTGTCAATTTATCAAAATTCCCCAAAAACCCCTTTCAGCACCTTTCTGGAGCTCCAAAGTTGATTTTCGCTCATTTTCAAAACTTTTTGTTGAATTTTAGTCGAAAATCGAAAATTTCCATGTAAAATCACTTTCAAAGCTCAAAATTGCATGAAAACTCGTTTTTAGTAAAAAAAGAATATTTGAATTCTCTCATTTACCCGCTCGAAACATGCAACGGAATTGCGGAGCATCGTTGTTTTCACAAAACTCGCATTTTTCAAGGTTTCTTGGTCATTTTTCGGTTCAAAAATCCTCAGAATGCAATTTTTGTGAAAACAACGATGCTCCGCGATTCCGTTGCATATTTCCAGCGGAAAATGACAAAATTCAAATATTTTTCACCAAAAAAACGAGTTTTCATGGGATTTTGAGCGTGGAACGTGAAAAATGCAAAAACAACGATGCTCCTCGATTCCGTTGCATATTTCAAGCGGTAAACTATGAAATTTGAATGTAATTATTGTTTTTCCAGGAGAAACTGCTTCAACAGCTGCAGCCAAAGAATATTTAGCGAAACTCGTCAGAGGTCTCGAGAAAAAACCATTTCCACCATGCGATCCAAGTTTATTTATTTCGAAATTTGAAAATAATGAAAAGGCTTTGGTTTGTTGCAATTTTTCATTCTAGAAATCTTGATTTTCTCAATTTCCAGCCCGGAATCGATGATGCTCCTTTACATTTTCCAAACAACAATCTACCAGCAAAAATCATTCCACCAAATGCTTCGCTTCAAAAACGAGATCCAAGAATTCCGAAGCCTAAAAACTACCATCCTTGTGTGATGAAAATGGTCGCAGGCAACAAATTCGGTCCACCGGGTGGATTTCAAAAAACAGGCACTTTTGAAAGATTTGGCAAAATTCCAAAAAAAAAAGAAAAGACTGGAAGTGATGAAATTAGTGCTGCTGGAAGTAAGGCTGCCACCTAAATTTTCATAAGTTTTTATCAAATTTTGTTGTTGTTATTCCTGTTTCATTGTATTTTTGTTATTTTTTCTTTTAATAAATCTTAAAAAGCAGATTTTAAGCCAAAAACCGTCCGAAAAACAAAAAAAATCGATTGGATTACTGTAGCTCGCTGGAAATGTGTGCAAACACCGACACGTTTGCGGACCTCGGCATTTTATTTGACGCGCACGTATTTTCTTTTTTTTTTCCGCGCTGCCTGTGTTTTAAAACGTTTTTTCTCTGAAAAACATGAAAATTCGGGATTTTTTAGGTTTCCAGTTGAAGGAAAAGCTTGAAGTTTGTCGTCATATTACTGTACCGACGAATTTTGTTCAGGCAAAACAGGCGTGATGGAAAGGTATTTTGATTCTCCGGAAAGAGCCGATTGTTTGAAATATTTATGGTTTTTGTTTATCTTGAAATCTAGATTAAAAACCCCCTTTTTGTTGTGCAAACACATCTACATAAAAAGATGAAATAAAAGAATAAATAATCGAATAAAACGTGACCTAAATACGTGTTTCCACGATTTTTTGCCAAACAAAACGTGGATAGGCGGTTTGGGCAGTTCATATTCTATCGATTTCAATCAACGAATCAGTCTGCAATTTATTGAGCTGAAGAAATGATTTCGATTGGATTCTTCATTCAAAATTTTTGGATTGGTTGTGCGATGCTGCTATTGCTGATTGACAAGGAGAATTTCGAGGAAAACCCGGATGTTGTGAAGGAAAGATTGATAAGTTTCGATGAGAAGATCAAGATGGGCGGTGAGGAAATGAGAAAGAAAGAGTTTTATTTTGATGAAATGGAGAACAAGCTGATTTGGCATTATACAAATACATCAGACATCGTATTTAGACATTTCAAGCTTGATTTGATGGAAAAGGTGAGAAAAAATGAGTTTGAAAATGTAAATCAATAATATTTTGATATTTAGGACCTTCAAAACTACCCGTTTTTGATCAATTATCTACCACAATTGATGCACGCAGTTGAAAACCAATGCTATCAACAAACTGACAAAACAAGAACATCGGAATATTCCTCGATTTTGAAAAGAGCAAAAGGATTGACCATCCAATTTATCGATGATTTTCCGAAGTTTCTTGATTCAAAATTTGATGAAAAAATCAGAACAACTTGGGAGGGAATTCTTATAAAAGATCGATTGAAGCTTGGCCGAATCACGAATTATAATGTTGGAAGACATTTCAAATCAAGTGCATATATCATGGAGAAAATGAGCGGATTTTTGAGGAAATCCGATGAAAAGATTATGGGTTTGAATCGATTGAAGGTGAGTTTTTTGAAAGAATGATGACAAATTAATGAAAATCTTCAATTTTTCAGATCGAAGAAGCAATTGAATATCGCCGTGAAACCCAAACTCTTCTTGGAACAGTTTATATAATTGTTTTCATTATGACAATGGGTCACTCACTAACATCAGATATTCCAAGATTGCATCGTTTCTTCTCATTGATCAGACTCCTCTCCTATTATTCGGCTCTGGCTCTTTATATTCTCGTTTGTCTTGGAATCCTCGATTATTATCCAAAACCATTCGATTGCAAATTGGATTTCGAAGTTCCACACCAAAATTATTCGAATTTCAATGGCGATTTGATGGAATTGAGAACCAATATGTTGAAATGCGATAATTATAGAAAATCAATTTTCGGCGAATTGGAAATCTATTTGGATTGGTATCGAGTGATTGGAATGGCCGATGAATATCGTGCTACAATCCGTCCACATATTCGAAAAATATTTGAGCAAGATGACAAATTCCCAACTGATCGAAACAAATATATTGAAATGGCTGATCTCTTGAAAGAAATTCGAAATTATTTGGAATGTGGATACAATTATCATCCAGAACTCAAAAGGATCGATAAAATGTTGAGTGCGAAAATCAACCAAATGGAACATATCGCATACAATATTTATGATATTACAAATCTGAATGAACACGTTTACATCGCGATCACCAATGAGTTCAATTATTTCGAAGAATACATCAGAACTAATTTCTCGAGTGTTAATGTAAGTTTTTAAAAAATTTATTTGGCAAGAAAATATATCATTTTCTCAATTTTCAGGCCTTCCTCGGAAATTTCTCCACTTCTTGCGGAGAATTCGAAGAAATCACCACGAAAAGAACTCGCAAATTGTGTGATTCGATCGATTTCATGAGCGATATGCGACGCATTTATCTTCCTTTGAACTTTGTTTTCTTGATGTTTACAATGATTTTGTATTCTTTCAAACCCTACAACTAGCTTTTTCTCTATTTTTCCTCTTTTTTTTTATGATTTTCATGTTTTTTTACTAGGATTTTCAATTATAATTTCGTATTCTCCTGTAAATTCATATTTTCTATTTTATTTTTTCAACTAGGATTTTCAAATTATGAGATTTTTTTTGTTTTTTTTTCTTTTTTTATGTATTAGGATTCTGTAAATATTATAGTTTTTATTCTTTTTCATTAAAGTATTAATTTTTTTCATAAATTAAATTAGGATTTTCAATTATGAGTTTCAATTCCGTTTTTTATTAGGATTCTCTCTAAATATTAATTTTTATTATTCTTTTTCAATTAAATTTTTAATAAATTTTTTTTGTGGGAGATTGAATTGTGAAAAAAAATGTGTAACCACGGATTTTCCAACTCGTGAATTTTTTGACTAGTAAACACCTGAAAACTCGGAAATTGGAGTTTAAGGCCAAAGACTTGTATGGACAATTTCATGAAAAGTAGTAAAATTTCAGAGATTTTTCTAAAATGTCTTTATCGCCTTAAATTTCAAATCTTAATTTTTCGAAACAAAACTCATTATATCAGTCTTGATTTGACTGTATTCTTTGAACTAAAAAATACACTAATTCAGAAATCGAAATCGAGTTTATTTTTCAAATAAATACATTTTTCAAACAGGAGTATTGGCAGAACTTGGAGTCGAGATTGATTTTTTCTGCGATTTTTTCTCATTTTTCTTCGATTTCCCAGTATTCTTCTCATCTTTGTTGATTCTCTTTTTATAATACAAATATCCACCACCAATTAAGGACAAAATAATAATAATTATGATAATTGGTATAATTACAGCCATAATTGGAAAACCATCAGGTAGACTTTTAAAAGTCATTGGATTCAAATAACATTTTCCTTCTCCAATTTTTCCATCAAAAATACAAACTTCTTTATTTTCTCCAGCTCCACAATCAATATTTTTCTCGCATTTTTTGGAATTCGATGATAATTTCAATTTCTCGCCATGTTTTGAGAATTTTCCAATTACAACCAATTTTTGAGATTTTGGGTCGCAAAAACTATTCGGAAAATTGATTTGAAAATTGTATGTTGAGTTGCACGATCTTTGAGTAATATAATGATGTTTGGGTTGGGAAAATGAGCCGTCTGATGAGATTTTGGCTGGAAATTTGGGAAATTCAGGCTGATTGTGGGCTGAAATTGAATTTTAGGTCCCTCAGCGCTCAATTTTCACTTTTCCAAGCTTGTCCGGCCCCAAAACTCCCCAAAAAAATTCCTCATACCTTCTGGACAACAATGTCCATTTTGACAATTCGAATCAGTTTGTTGTTTCTGACAATCTTCATTATTTTGACATTTTGGTTCCAAAAATAATGCAGTTTGTTGATCAGCACAAAATTGACTATTCCAACAAATTCCCGATGTTTCAATTGATTTTCCATCGAGATATTTCAATTCTTTTTGTTGATAACAAAATGATGGTAATTGACAATTTTGACATAAAACAAGTCCAGAAATTGTCGGAATTATTGTTGGTTTTATAAGAGGCGAAGGTGATTTGAGAGCTGCAAAATTCTAGATTTTTTATTCAAAAAGGGATGAGATCTCACCTTTAAAACAATATTTATTCTCTAAATCTTTTTCTCCATTTACTCCAATAATATTATCACAAAATTGTCCATTTTCAATATCACATTCCTCATTTTTCACACATTTCTTCAATAAATCTCGATTTTTCCATCCATTTTCCAAATCAACCGCAAAATAAAAATGATTTTGTAAATTTGAATGTTCTTCAAATATTTTCGAATAAATAAATGCGACTGGTTTTCTTTCAATACAAATTCCACTTTTTCCATTCCATTTTCCATCATTTTTCCAACAAATTCTATCATTTTTTAAACAATCCGAATTTGAATCACATAATTTTAGACCAAAATCTTGTGAATCGACAGCTATTTGAAATGATGTTGCGATATTTGTGATAGGAATTATTGGGTCTGAAGAAAAATGAGATTTATTGATGGGAAACAATTTTTCTAGTGAATTTTGACAAGCTGATTAGAATCCTGTAGTTGAAAACTGCAAAACTCAACTCTAAATATGAGTTATGACGTGGCAAAGTTTGACTAACTTCAAAACTTGTTCCAAACAATTCTAATAAACTTTTTCACGACATGACTCATTTTTAGAGTTGAATTTCGTAGTTTTTACAACTGAATCATGAAAAGTGGCTCAAAAACTACTCCACAATATATTTTCCCCTTGAAATTCAAAATCCAACTCACTTTGATAGCAAAATTTCAAAGTTGCCCCATCTTCTTCCGCAAAACTTGTATAATCCCCACAAAACTGATTCGGACCTTTACAATCAACATTTTTCTGACACGGTCTCAAACTTTTCTCCTGATTCATATCAATAAAATCGAGTGGCAAATATTCTTTTGGGATTTGTTGATTTTCAACAGGTTTATAGATTTCCAGCCAAATATTTCCAATTGGAATTGCTAAAAATAACGGGTTTCAGGAGATTTTTCAAGAGAAGAAAGCTTACGACAAAGAAATTGCTGTTTTCCATCATTTTTTATAAATTGATGAATATATCCAGAAACTTCTTGATTTGCCAGAATCGATTTTGTCAATCCATATTCATTTTCCTCTTTTGTCACAAATTTATAAGAAGATTGGGTGATTTTACAACTTTTAAAGTCCTCTGGAAAATAAATATTTTCTAAAGTTCATTTTCAATATCTTACCACAACACAAATAGGCACTTTTGAATAATTCATCAAAATTTAGACGAAGTTTGATTTTACTATCATTTTGTCCACAATTTGACCAAGTTTGAGGATCGGGAAATGATTGAATTCCATTTGGACATTCGAAATATGCATCTGAAATTATATGTACAATTTACAAGAACTAGACAAAACATACACTGCTCCACAAAAGTATAGCCTCACCCTCAAAATTTTCAAAAAATCGAAAAAATTGAAATTTTCAGAAAATGTTTGTTTTTGAAAAATATGGGCAAATGGGACACTAATTTATCCCAGAAATCAAATTTTGGGTTGATAAGTCACGAAAAGATTTTTTTGAATTTTTCAAAAAATCGAAAATTTCCAATCCACAAAAGTATAGCCTCACTTCAGAAAATCGCTCTGGAAATCGGTTTTTGGGTTAGATAACTTTAGTTATTGTTGAGAAATGGGTAGAATAACTCATTTTAAGTTGATTCCAACAATTTCTGATCCATTTCATTGATTGTCATTGACTTTATCGGGTGTAGCGTGATGACTTCCAACTTCAACCAAATTTTTTTGTTAAAAAATTTTTTTTTCATATTTTTTTGGACCAAAGCTTGGGAATTGGTCTGAAAATGGTAAAACTTCACTTTTTCATGATAAAAACCAAATTTGGTTCAAAAATTCGGAGGTCGGACAAGAAAAATAACAATTTTTAGGTACAGTACTCTCCTGAAATTGGGGTTTTCATTGAATTTTTGGACTTTTCAGCATGAACATGTTCTGGAAGCGTGAGAAAAGCAAGAACCAAGTTTTTCAAAGCTTTTTAAAACTTCTTCTGACAAAAAAACAACCTGTTGGTGGATTAAGGCCTTGAGGGGCTTAGAAGTTTATTTTGAAAAATTTGGAATTTAACAAAATTTGGTTTTCATCATGGGAATCGTTAATACTGGATTAATATCAATCTTAGCGATCTCTTTAAACGCTGTTAAGTGGATAAAAAGTGAAAAATGAATTGCGGAACCCTTTTAAACCTTTTCAAACAAAAAGTTATGAGATTCATGAAAGTTGGAGAATTTACAACTTGATTAGATTCCTTAAGCAGTAATATCGTAATTGAACATTGTTTAAATTGACGAAAACTTGAAATAATCTTACTCTCTGAGCAGTATTCTCACGCTTCCAGAACATTTTCATGCTGAAAAGTCTGAAAATCTAATGAAAACCCCAATTTCATGAGAGTACTGTACCTAAAAATTGTTATTTTTCTTGTCCGACCTCCGAATTTTCGAACCAAATTTGGTTTTTATCATGAAAAAGTGAAGTTTTACCATTTTCAGACCAATTCCCAAGCTTTGGTCCAAAAAAATATGAAAAAAAAATTTTTTAACAAAAAAATTTGGTTGAAGTTGGAAGTCATCACGCTACACCCGATAAAGTCAATGACAATCAATGAGATGGATCAGAAATTGTTGGAATCAACTTAAAATGAGTTATTCTACCCATTTCTCAACAATAACTAAAGTTATCTAACCCAAAAACCGATTTCCAGAGCGATTTTCTGAAGTGAGGCTATACTTTTGTGGATTGGAAATTTTCGATTTTTTGAAAAATTCAAAAAAATCTTTTCGTGACTTATCAACCCAAAATTTGATTTCTGGGATAAATTAGTGTCCCATTTGCCCATATTTTTCAAAAACAAACATTTTCTGAAAATTTCAATTTTTTCGATTTTTTGAAAATTTTGAGGGTGAGGCTATACTTTTGTGGAGCAGTGTATATGACCGAGAAATGTCGGGAACTCGGTCGAGACATTTCTAGGCCATCTCAAAACAAACCACAATAAACTATTTGTCCATTGATCAATTCCATTCCGATTTCTTCATTATTTTTTGATTTTGTTCGAAGTTCTTTTCCATCTGGACATTTCATGTTTTCCGTACCTGCAATTATTGTTTTTTTTGTTGATAACCCTAATTTCTAGACTCACCACAACAGAATTCATTATTCTCCCCAAACTTCCAGACATATTGATTATCTTCACATGGTTTTCTTGTTGGCACTTTTTCATTAACACATTTCAATTGATTGAAGTCACAACAAACATCAGCAAATCCCAAATGATCTTTATATTGTTCATCTTTGCATGGCTCATTTGTTGGAATATCTCCAGCAACACATTTCAATCCATCGAGTTCTAAATATTATCAAATCACAGATCTAGATAAAAGAAAATGGATATAACTTACTACAACAAATATCTTCATTATCTGTTGCTCCTAAATTAGTCAAATATGTTTCAGAAGTGCATGGTTGTTTTTGTGGTATCTCTCCATCCAAACATTTCAAGTCATTTAAAGCTGAAAATAAACAAGTACTAGACAGCTAATTGGTTGGTCCTAACTTACGACAACAAAGATGTTCATGTCCCAAAAGAGTTCTATATTGATCAGTGTTACACGGCTCATTTGTTGGCGATTCTCCAGCAACACATTTTAATCCATCCAGTTCTGTAAGGAAATATTTTATGTAGATGGAAGAGAAAACCAAGAGAAATTGTTTGGTTTTCTAGGCCATAATGAAATTATGAAAATCAATATTTTCTAGCAAAAATTGATGAACTTACTGCAACAAACTTGTTCATTTTCCGCAACTCCTAAATTAGTCAAATATCTTTCCGGTGCACAAGGCTGCTTTTCTGGTTTTTCACCATCTACACATTTCAATTCTTCAAGTTCACAACAAACTTTTCGCGAAGCACTAAATTCTTTTTCATATTGATTTGCATCACAGGGAAGATGTGTTGGATGTTTTTCATTCAGACATTTTGCATCATCTAGAAAATAACAATATTTTATGGAAAAATTATACATTTTTTATAATACTTACCACAACAAAATTCTGGTCCCTGTTCAAATTTGAAAAGAAATTGTTCTGCTGAACACGGTACATTTGTCGGAATATCGTTGAGTGGACATTTGTAACCAGAAAGCTCTGTAATTTGAATTTATTTGTATTTAGTTTGATTTAATTTTTTATTGAAGAATGAAACTGACCACAACAAAATTTGTGACCATCTACATTATGTTCGTAATCGTTTCCTCTACACGGTGAATGAGGAGTACTTCCATCTGGGCATTTTTTAACAGCATCAAGCGCTGAAATGTTTCAAGATCATAAAAAATCGCAGAATTTCAAAAAACTTACAGCAGCAAAATATATCATCATCTTGATCTCCAAATTGTTTCAAATATTGATTTGCTCCGCATGGTTTTTTAGTCGGACGAACATTTCCAGGACAATTTGTTTCAGGCATCGCTGCAAAAATAATCAAATTATTCCCTGTTTTCAAAGTAAAAAATATCTACTTACGACAACAAAGTGACACTTTATCCAATAAATATTTGTTGTTTATTCCAATTCGACGTGAATACTGATCAGAATTGCAGGGTGGTATAGTCGCATCTATTGATCCTCCAAAACATTTTGCACCAGATGGAGCTGAAATTTTATTTTAAAAAAACAAGGTAACAACGTTTTCCTAAATAAATAACTCACGACAACAAACTTCTTGGTTGAAAAATTGCATTTTTGTTGCAATTCGATCACTTCCACATTTACCATCGACTTTGTGAACAGCTGTGTATCCTCCGAAACATTCTACATGATCAACGTCTGAAAAATATTCAAGTTTTGAATTAGAGTGAAGAAAAGGGACATTCAGTTAACTCAGTTAATTATAAAAAATTATAAATTTATACCTTCGACAAAAATGTTTCAAATAACTTACTACAGCAAAGTTCGCTGTCTCTACATACATAAAAATACATATTATCCATACATGGCGGTTTCTTTTCTCTGAAATCATCGTTTGGGCACATTATACAACTATTAACAAATGAAAAGCAGGTTGGTAAAAATAATAAAATGAGGATGATACATTTCATCATGAATTTTGAATAATGCATGTATTTTCTACCTTTTTATAATCGAAAAATAATGTTTAATAAAGGGTCACGCTTCGTTTGAAATTATTCGATTTTTAAAATAATTATTCGAATTTTTGAATATTCAAAATTGTCAGAACAAATTTCAATAGGTCCCAAATTGGGTGAATCGCAGAATAACCCCCCACCTCAAAGTAAGCCCCCACCAACAAGTAAAAGTCCCCACCGAGTCCCCACTCAATGGAAATGGGGACCTAAAATGATTATGTGGGGACTTATTTTTGGATGGGGACCTATATTGGGGTGGGACTTATATTTGTATGTGGGGGCCTATTTTCACATAATTTTAATAGAGTTGGGGGCTTTTATTTCGATCATAGGGTATTTCGGAAAAAAGGTCCCCACCACTATCATTTTGAGCCCGCACGTGTCAACTTAATTTTAGGTCCCCACCAATAAGATTTCTTACCATAATAAGGTGGGGACCTATAATATGTCTGACTAGTGGGGGCTTAAAATGACATTGGTGGGGGCCTGTTCTACGATTCACCCCCCAAATTTTCTATATGTTTGTATTATTTTTGATTGCTGTTGGATTCACGGAATCCAACCATATCAATTGCCCATTCAAAATAATGGGCACACGGAAAAACTGCTTCCGGGAAGAAAAGTTCAAAAAATTGCTGGACTCTCGCCCAAAATATCGAAATACACGTCCAAATATTCTAATCAATGAAAATACGACAATTTTGGAGCTGGAAAGTGTGAGTTTTTTTCACGAAAATTATCAAAATTTTTGATTTTCTTTGAAAATGTTCGAAATTCCCGCGATTTTCTATCAAAGGATGAGTATTTTCAGAGAAAATCACATTTTCTGGTGAATAAAATTCTGTTTCTGACACAAAGTTTCAATTTTTGCAGTTAGAAAAGTGTTGTTATGAATCAGTTTGTTTGAATGATTGTGGTTATGATGGGGATTATCTGGCCAACTCATATTATGGAAGAGATATGCCGAAAAATCTAAAAGGGCTCACTGTCGAATATTATTCGTTTTTCAAAGTAAGTATTTTTGGGGATGGGCTAAAACTACTCAATTTACACGTGGCAGCCGTAAAAAATAAAACCCTGTACAGAGCTGAATGAATGACAAAATCATTATTTCGTCAGTCGCGTGCGGCTGTGCGTCGCGGTCGGGAAACAAAGGAAAAATGGATTATTGATTGTTTTTCGACCGTAGCGCACAGCCGCTCGCGACCGACGAAGTAACGATTCATTCAGCTCTGCACTGGTTTTTATTTTTTACGGCTGTCACTTTCGAATTTTCGAGTTTCCCGCGAGAATTTTCACGCAAATTCACGTGGAAAGATCGAAAATTCGAATTTTCTCTACCAAATCAATTTCCCACGAAAAATTCCACATTTTCAGACATTCAAAATGTCTGAAATTGATCAATTGCTCGATGGTACAGCTGAATCTCATATTTTGGAGAATTGGAGAGTAAAATTGTTTGAATTATCGAATTATCGCGGACGGATTCGAAGAAGACAACGATTAGAAGAAGGAAATAGTAATAGTGAGGAAGATAATTGATTTGCGATTAAAAATATTTAAAAAAAACCAAAAAAAATCAAAAAATTTCAAAAAAGAAACAAAGATTCCCAATTTTTCACCTCATTTTTCATCCCAATCTCAAAAATCCACCAAAAATCCTCAATTTCACCTCATTCTAGTTCCAAACACCTCATTTATTCCACTGCTCTTCAATTTTGTTGAAAATATTCATTTTCCCGTTGTTATTTTGCTCAAATTCTCAATAAACATGTTTTCTTTCAACCAAAACCTTGCTTTCCTTCATTTTCAGACAAATTTGGAGATTTTAGGCCAAAAACCGCCCGAAAAATCGATTGGATTACTGTAGCTCGCTGGAAAAGTGTGCAAACACCAACGTGTTTGCGGTCATCGGCATTTTACTTGACGCGCACGTTTTTTCTTTTTTTTTTGTGGAAACGTGGGAATTTTCGATTTCTAGTTGAAGGAAAAGCTTGCGATTTGTGATTTTTTTCAAGAATTTCAGGAAAAAAATTGAATTGTGGGAAATTTTCAACATTTTTCCACCAAAATTACCGTAAATGACGCAATTTCCATGCTTAAGGTCAGACTGATAAAAAAGTTTGATGATAAAAATCGAAAATGTTGCGAAAATTGAAAATGTGTGGGAAAAAGATAAGAATGGTACGATTTTTGGTACGAAAACAAAGCTTTTCGCCAAAAAATTTCAAAGTTCACATGGAAAAAACAATATGACGTGGCAATTTAACGTGTCCTACCTAATTGACGTGGCAATTTTAAATCTAAAAACCTATCATTTCTATTTCTATACATCTCAAAAATGACCATTATAAAAATGATCAAGGAAAAGGTACAGTATCTCAACTACAGTACCCTCTGAAAAATTCCCGAATTTCTGCAGAAGCTTTTCCTAATAACTATAAGCCTAATAATAATAATCTTGCTGTCAATTGGAATAATTGTATATTTCATGTCGAAATCCGAGCCGAAACCAGAAAAACATGCAGAACACCAGCATTTTGATGAAATAGTTACAACAACTCAAAGAATCGGACCATTTCATCATGTGATTCAGACCTGGGAATTTTTACGTTTTCGTTTTTATCGTTTTACGGTTTTCACGGGATTTCACCGTAAAATCCAATTTACGGTTTTACCGCTCAAAAAATCGTAAAATAATTCGTTTAAAAATATCACTAAATATAGTTTCATTATAGTGAATTTTGATAGAATCAAATAGAAACTTCAAAAAAAAACATAAAATTTTTCAAAGAAAATTTTGATTCAATCCTAACTGATTAATTTTTTGACGAATATGAAGAATAATATTGTTAAAATTATGTTGGAGTTACGATAAGTTACCAACTCGCTATTTCTGAAGAATTTTTTTCTGTTTTTCAGTGAAAAGATTGAGTAACAAAATTTTACGTTTTTCTCGTAATTTTACGGTTTTTCAAAACCGTAAAAAGTGTGTTTTACGTTTTACGGTGCCTCGTAAAAAATTCCCAGGTCTGATGTGATTCTATTGAAAAATGATGATTTGCGGATTTTCGAACTTCCCAAGAATCTGGGACCGATAAAATATGATCTGATGATTCGAACATATCTAGAAAACACTTTTGATGGAGAGCTGAAAATCAAGATCAAAGTTCTAGAAGCCACAAATATTATAGCATTGAATTCAGAAGATTTGACGATTCGAAATGTGACTATTGACATAAATAAATTGGAATATTTGCATATTCATAAAAATTATATAGAAATATTTTTGATGGAAGAACTTTTGAAGAATTCAGAATTTGAAATAATTCTCCAATATTCTGGAAATATTCGAAATGATTCAAGAGGATTCTATAATACTTCGTATTTCGATGAAAATAATGAGCTAAAAATTGCATTGGCTACACAAATGGAACCGAATTCAGCGAGATTAGTTGTTCCTTGTTTTGATGAACCAATATATAAAGCAATTTGGAAATTGACAATTATACATTCGAATGAAACGAAAGCTTTTTCGAATGCTGAATTGGAAGATCAAGAAGATGATGATGGAAGTTCAGGACAAATAGTTTCGAAATTTCAAGATTCCCCCAAAATGTCATCATATCTTCTAGCCTTTGTTATATCTGATTTTGCTTGTATTTCAAAAAATACCACAAAAAATGCGATAAAAATTCGAGTTTGCTCGAAACCCGAAGAAAAAGATAATCTAAATCTAGCCCTGGATACTGCGATAAAAATCCTGGACACTTTTGAAACAACATTTGGGGTGCCTTATCCATTGGGCAAATTAGATATGATTGAGGTGAAAGAATTTCGAAGTGGTGCAATGGAAAATTGGGGATTGATAATTTATAAGGAGGGAAAATTGAGTTATAATGAGGAAATGGATAGTTTGGAGGATAAGCGGATGATTCAAACTGTTATTGCACATGAAATTGCTCATCAGGTTAGGTTTGGGCTGAAAATCAAGGCTTGCATGATTTTCAGCACAAAATTCTGATCTGGAAACCTGGATTTTGTGCTGGAAATCAAGGGAATCCTGATTTTCAGCAAAAAATTTCAACCAGGAAACTTTTTAGGACGAAAAAAAATAAATTTCAACTCAAAAATCGTTTCTAGACCTGAAAGTTTTGAAAATCATGGAAATTCTGATTTTCAGCGATTTTTCCCAGATTCAGCACAAAATTCTAAACTAGAAACATATTTTTGACATTTTGACCAGCCAGGAACCTTTTTAGGACGAAAAAAAATGAATTTCAGGTCAAAAAATGTTTCTAGACCCGAATTTTGTGCTGAAAGTCTTGGAAATCCTCATTTTCAGCAATTTTCAATGATTCCAGCGTTTTCAGCACAAAATTTCAGCCAACATCGAGGTTTGGCCGCTGAAGCGGAAGATTGTGCCGCTTCGCGGAAGCTTGCGGTTTACACTCGCGCAGAGCGCTCGAAAAAGGTTTAGGGCTGAAATTTTGTGCTGAAAATCAACAAAATGCTCATTTTTCATGATTTCAGCAATTTTTCCAGATTCAGCACAAAAATCTGATCTAGAATCATATTTTTGACATTTTTATCAACCAGGAAACTTTTTAGGACGAAAAAAAATGAATTTCAGGTTGAAAAATTGTTTCTAGACCCGAATTTTTGGCTGAAAATCAAGATTTCCCCGATTTTCAGCACAAAATTCCAACAAAAATGATTCTTTCAGTGGTTCGGAAACCTGGTAACAATGAAAAATTGGAGTCAACTCTGGCTGAATGAAGGATTTGCCACGTTGTATCAACTTTATGGAGCGGATATTGCAAATAGTGGAGCTTATAAATGGGTAAATTTCGAAAATTTCAAAATTTTGAAGAAATTTATGAATTTCAGGATACCCAATTCCTACTAAATTCACAAAAATCAGCATTCGATTTTGAATTCGAGAGCCTCAGAAAACCGGAAAAATATAAAAATCACCCAATGACCTTTGAACTTGAGGAAAATGACAATATTCGAGATTTTTTCGATAGAATCACATATAGAAAAGCTGGCTCAATATTATTTATGATTCGAAAAGTTATCGGAACTTCTGTGTTTGATAAAGCGATTAGAAGTTATCTGAACTCGAGTAAATTTGAAAATGTGGATGAGGATATTTTATTCAAACACTTTCAAGATGCTTATGATACTGAAATACCGGGAAAAAGTTGGGATTTGGCAGCATTTGCAAAATCTTGGACGGAAAATGTGATGTTTCCTGTGGTGAGAGTGGAAGAATTTAATGAAACACATTTGGAAATCAAGCAAATGAATATGATTTATGATAAGAAAATGAAGAATAAATTGCTGGCTTCGATGACAAATCAAAGTTGGGAAATTCCAATTTTCTATCGAAGAGATCAAGAAGAAAATGTTGAATTTCTATGGCTCAAAAAGAATCCAATAATAATCAATGCTTCCCAAATTATACTAAACATTGATTCAGATTGTTATTATCGAGTTGATTATAACGAATCAATATGGAATCTAATTTCTGAGCAATTAAATGAAGATGAAACTGTTTATTCAGTAAAAACAAGATTCAGATTGGTAGAAGATGCGATGTTTTTCAAGAAACATTTGGAAATTGATGATTATTTGAAGAATGAAAAAGAGAAATTGCCGATTTTGGCGTATTTAAAGAAGAATGAGAAGAATTGGAAGGTTTTTGATAAACATCGAAAATTTAGAAAAGGTTGGCAATTTATAGAGGATAATTATAACAAGGAAAATGATAAAATTGATCAAGTGTGAGTTTTTTAGCATTTTCCAACCAACAATTGGTTCAAAATTTATATTTCCAGAGAAACTACTTATCAAATAATTGAAATTGAATGTAGATTTAAAAATTGTCTACCTGATGCTCAAAAATATATAGATCAAATGAAAAAATGCGCGGGGAATGTGCAAATTTCGAAATGTTCGAAAGTTCCCGGGCAATTTCGACGATTGGTTTATTGCATAGGAAAAGCTTATGATGAAGAATTCCGAAATTTAGTTGAAGAATGGAAAAAAGTTGAGAGAAGAGCGTCGGAGATCAGATATTTCAATGCGATCAAAAATTGTCAGCCGAAAACAGAGAAATCACGAAATTTTGTTGAAAAATCTGATTTTGACAGTGAAAATGAGGAGATTTTTTGAATAAACACTTAAAAATTGATAGTTTTCACGCGAAAAATGCAAAAAAAAATAGAATTTAGGCCAAAAACGGCCCGAAAAAACAAAAAAAAATCGATTGGATTACTGTAGCTCGCTGGAAATGTGTGCAAACACTGACACTGTTGCGGACCATGGCATTTTATTTGACGCGCACGTTTTTTATTTTTTTTTCGCGCGGCGCTTGTTTTTTCATTGAAAAACGTGGGTTTCGATGGGAAATTTCGAAATTTTCACAAAAATCAATAGAAATCTCGCATTTTTCTCCAAATTTTTCATTTTTTGATCTACCCCGCCATCAAAAAATCCAAATTTTTTCCAGAAATTTTCAGACGGCCCCAAAAAATTCAGTCGTCTTCGAAATTGGGCCGTTTCCCCAATTTTCTCCAGAACGACATCTAAAATGTCGTAATTATTGATTAATTATATTCTAATACTGAAGCGTGAGTTTTGAAGTTTTGAGGCTTGAAATTTCGAAAAAATTGAATTTTCAGTAAGCTTGTGACAAAATAGATGCGATTTGCTTTTATGACTGTGGATACGGGGGCGATTATGTGGCTGACAGCTATTTTGGAAGAAACATGCCAGAAAATCTGAAGGAGCTCACACAAAACTACAACTCTTTGCTCAAGGTTAGTTTTTTGGGGTGGAATTTTCCCCATTTTTCACTTTCCCATTGTCTAAAACTACTTAGCTCAACTCTAAATATGATTTATTCTTGTGAGTGGCAAATTTTGAGAAAACCCTGTTGAATTCACCCAAAAATCATGAATTTTCGAGCTTCTCGGGATAATTTGCATTGGAGCGCATTTTCTTCCCTATGTGTCTAAAGAAGAAAATGCGCTCTAATGCAAATTAACCCGGGAAGCTCGAAAATTCATGATTTTTGGGTGAATTTGCCACTCACAAGAATAACTCATGTTCAGAGTTGAGCTAAGTAGTTCCAGACAATGGGAAAGTGAAAAATTTATCGATTTTTCATGAAAAATCTTATTTTTCAGATTTTCAAACAACCTAAAATCAAAGAATTTGAATTTTGATGAAAAACACAATTTTTGGTGAGTTTTGTTGAAAAATCCCATTTTTCCATATAAAAATCGTGTTTTTTTGCAGATTCTCCCTCGAAACCACCCAAATCAATCAAAATTTATGAGAACTTAATTGAAAATTGATAATTATATTGATAAAACTGTTTTTTTGATTAAAATGACAATTTTTGCCACGTGGCATCGATTTTTATGCGGAAATTCGACGAATTTAGGCTGAAACCGCCCAAAAATCAATTGGATTACTGTAGCTCGCTGAAAATGTGTGCAAACACCGACACGTTTGCAGACCTCGGCATTTTGTTTGACGCGCATGTTTTTTTATTTTTTGCGCGTTGCCTGCTTTTTTGGGGGGGAAATGGGGTTTTTCGAAGGAAAAGCTGAAAATTCGTTATTTTCGCTGAAATTTTCAGGGAAAAGCTTGATTTTCCAGTGAAAAACGTGGTTTTTGATGGGAAATTTGGGAAAATTTCACAAAATTTGAACTTTGATTTGGCAAAACGTATTTTTTCTAGTCTCTCTGGATAAATTGTGACGTTTTCTCATTTTTTGAAAAATACTATGTTGATTAGGTAATTCATGATAAAAATAGCAAAAAAAAACTAGATTTTTACTCACTTTTTTTCTTCATTTTTCCTTTTTCATCTCTGAGTTTTGTTCTGGCTCAAAAATCGGGAATTTCCATTTGTTTTCCCCAATTTACCTAATTTTTGAGCAAAAATCAGCGAAAATTTTATTATCTCTCAAAGATTAATCATTGAAAAATTGATTATAAAAGTTGAGACGAAAATTTGTCAGCGTGACTCAATTTTCAGCAATTTGTCTGGAAATTTTATGAATTTCAGCCGAAAATCAAAATTTCCGTTTTTTTGGTGAAAAAATATTTGAATTTTCTCATTTTCCCGCTCGAAATATGCAATGGAATTGCGGAGTATCGTTGTTTTTCCATTTTTCACCTTCCAAGCTCAAATTTCCATGAAAACTCGTTTTTTTGCTGAAAAATATTTGAATTTTCTCATTTTACCGCTCGAAATATGCAATGGAATTGCGGAGCATCGTTGTTTTCACAAAAATTGCGTTTTTTGGTTCAAATGGCCTACAAACCCTCATAATGCAATTTTTGTTAAAACAACGATGCTCCACAATTCCGTTGCATATTTCGAGCGGTAAAACATGAAATTTGAATATATTTCTTGTTTCTAGGCTCAAAATCCTATGAAAAATCTGAATTTTCAGTCATTTTTCAGCATGTCTGAATCGCGTTGGCTGGAATTGACAGATCTCTGCGGAAAGATCGGATTCTCCACCTCGATCTTCTCAAATTCCCTTCTCCTCTTTCTGATTTGCGGTCCAAAGACAACAAATCGTCAAATCGGATCCTACCGTAATCTACTGATCTTCTTCTCGATTTTCACGGTGTTCTATTCGTGCGTCGAGATTTTGTTGCGACCGTTGATTCATATTTATGACGACACGTTGTTTTTGATTCAACGAAAGCGATTTGAGAGTTGGGGGAAGTTGGCAACACGTTTGGTGCCTAGTGAGTGGTTTTCCGGTGTTTTTGAGCCAAAATTCAAGATTTTTGGTGAATTTTGACCCAAAATTCATGAAATTTGATGAAAAATCGATAATTTCGAAGTCCTGGACGTATTTTTATTTGAAAAATTGCAATTCCCGCGTCCAAAAACGCAACGGAACCGCGGAGCATCGTTGTTTTATGAAATATTGCATTTTGAAGGGTTATAGACCATATTTTTGAATTTACAACGCAATTTTCATGAAAACAACGATGCTCCGCGGTTCCGTTGCATTTATGGACGCGGAAAATGCAATTTTTCAAATAAAAATACGTCAAGCACCTCAAAATCGATAATTTTGAGGTCCTGGAGATATTTTTATGTGAAAAATTGCAATTCCCGCGTCAATAAACGCAACGGAATCGCGGAGCATCGTTGTTTCCTAAAAACGCCGGGTTTTTGGTGAAAAAATTTGAACTTACCATTTTGCCGCTCTCAAAACCTAGTGGAATTGCGGAGCATCGTTGTTTTTATGAAATATTGCATTTTGAAGGGTTATAGACCATATTTTTGGTTTCACAACCTGAAAAATAGCCTAGGATGCGATTTTTGGTGAAAAACAACGATGCTTCGCAATTCCGTTGCATTTTTGGAGCGGGAAAGTGTTTCCAGAGTTAAAATTTCGAGGAAAAATCGATTTTTCAGCAGAAAAGCGTTGGAAATGGCCTAGAAACCCAAATTTTCAAGTTCCAGGCTCAAAATTTCACCAAAAATCTCGAATTTTTGCTCAAAAACAGTCCAGAATTCAAATTTCGCGTGAAAAATCCGATTTTCAGCCACCTATTGCGGTTGCTACGCGATGAGCTTCACCATTTTCGCCCTCCAATTCACGCATCGCTTCATCGCCACCTGCAAACCACATTCCTTGCATTATTTCGACGGAAAATGGTTTTTCGTGTGGATTTTTGCGGCTTTTTCAATTGCGTGCAGTTGGGCTGCCGCCGCATTTTTTCTCTTTCCACAAACTGCACGCACTTTTGAGAGCTTTAAGTTTGTGATGAATCATAATTATGGGATTAATGAGAGCCTGGCTGATTATGTTCCGTATAAATATGTGAGTTTTTTGTGGGCGTGATCGCTGGCGCACATTTAAATATGCAAAAATAGCTGTGGAGAGAACGGCGCGTGTGTGCGAGTGGTCTAAGGCGCCGTCGCCACGCGCAAGGTCAAGGGTTCGAGCTCGGCGTGAGAATATTTTTTTTTGAAAACAAGGCGCTGCACATTTAAATATGCAAAAATAGCTGTGGAGAGAAAGGCGCGTGTGTGCGAGTGGTCTAAGGCGCTGGCGCCACGCGCAAGGTCAAGGGTTCGAGTTTTGCTCGGCGCAAAAAATTTTTCCAGTTCTACTACGATGAATTAGCCGTGAAAAAACCAGATATCAAAAATATGCTCGGTGTCTGTCAACATCTCCTAGTCATCCTATTTTCCTATACAATTCTATTCTACTGTGGCACTCGAACCTATTTGGAACTCCAGAAGTTCCGAGGAATCTCCACCAAGACTCGTGACCTACAACTCCAACTTTTTCGCGCCTTAGTGGTACAAACTACGTTTCCCATGATATTTATGTATTTTCCGACGGGTTTCATGTTTGCTTGCCCGTTTTTTGGCCTGGAATTGGGTGCGACCACGAATTATCAAACTATTGTTGCTCAACTTTATCCCGGAATTGATCCGTTGATTTTGATATTTTTGATTGATGGATATCGGAATACGATCAAAAATTGGATTTTTTGCCGGAGAAACGCGTCTCGCGAAAATTCGAGCTATCATGAGAAAAGTCGACGAATTTCGCCGTCGGAAGCAACTAATTTTTGAAAATTTGATGAATTTTGGGAATTTCGCCACGTCATCAGAAGATTTTAGGAAAAATTTCAGGTCTGGAATCGCGGAACATCGTTGTTTTCATGAAATAAAATTCAAATTTTCCATTTTACCGCTCAAAAATTCAAGCGGAATTGCGGAGTATCGTTATTTTCACAAAAATTGCGTTTTTCACGTTCCAAGCCTAAAATTTCCATGAAAAATCGTGTTTTAATGAAAAATATTTGAATTTTCTCATTTTACCGCTCTAAAATTCATGCGGAATCGCGGAGCATCGTTGTTTTCACAAAATTTGAATTTATAGGCTATTTTTCACTTTCTAAGCCTAAAATTCCCATGAAAACTCCGATTTTGGTGAAAAATATTTGAATTTCCCAATTTTACCGCTCAAAAATTCAAGCGGAATTGCGGAGCATCGTTGTTTTCACCAAAAATCGATTTATTCAATATTTTCAAATCAATTTGCTGATTGTTCTTGGGTTCCTTGACTTTCAGAAGCTTGTGGTTGATTTCTAAACAAAAATTTTTAATTTTTGAAAAATTAGGTTCAACTTACAAGTTGAGAAGTTTGAAAAGATTCGAAAAATTCAAACTTGTATCCAAAATCGATGCCAAATTTGTGGGATCGAAATTTGCTTGAGCGAAAATTGAGGCGGTCAAGACAATCAGGCAGAATAGGGTTAGAAAATGCATTTTTTTTCGAAAAAAATGGTTTTTTCCTGATTTTTGCACTTGAAATCTATGATTTTATAGCGAAAATTGACAAAAGAATATTAATTTTGGGATGGGAAAATTCAAATTTTCATTTTTTTTTCAAAAAAAAAATAGAATATATTTTCTTGAGAAAAAGTTGCTAGAAATGCAATTTTTGTGAAAACAACGATGCTCCGCGATTCCGCATGGGTTTAAGAGCGGTAAATTTGAAAATTTGAATATTTTTCATTAAAAAAAATGATTTTTCATGGAAATTTTAGGCTTGGGAAGTGAAAAATGGCCTAGAAATGCAATTTTCGTGAAAACAACGATGCTCCTCAATTCCGCTTGAATTTTAGAGCGGTAAAATGAGAAAATTAAAATATTTTTCATTACAAAAATGATTTTTCATGGAAATTTTATCTTGGAACATAAAAAATAGCAAAAAGAAATCCAAAAAAAAAAACGTGACCCCCCGAAAAAAATCCCGTGAAAAAAAATCCGCATCTCCCCCCATTTCTACCCTAATCAATACTACAAAAAAGTCAAATGACGTCAAAAAATGTGCGAAGATTGATGCGAAATGATTACGATCAAATTGTGTCGACGATATCCGAAGATGACACTGAAGATCAGCCGAAACATCAGGCAAAAGATCAGGGATCAAAGTCGAAATCACAAGATCCACCAAAAAATTCGAAAAATGACACAAAAACCACCAAAAGTGGCTCGAAAGAGAGCGAAAAATTGAAGAAAAAGCCTAGTCGAGTGGATATTGCGATGGTAAGGGCTGATTCAGGCTTTTTAGGCCCGATTCAGGCTTCCTAATCACATAAGCCTATTCCAGGAAAAAGAAGTGATCACTCATCCAACATACAGCTCAAAATTCGAAGGATTAATGGCTCTGCTCTCATTTGTGATTTGTTCGAGCAATTTTTGGCTTTTTCCGTTTTACTGTGTGGTTAATGGAGGTACGGAGTTAGACTAAATCACTATTTTCACGGTGTTCAGCGCAAAAAACTGGCCTAGAAGCTTAAAAACTAGAAAAAACGAAACTTTTTCAAAAAAAAAAAACAAAAAATAAAAAAAAACAACGACACTCCGCAATGACGGGCCGTGTAGTTCTCCCGGACAAGCGTCATTTTTTTGTTTTTTTTTCAGTTTTCAAGCTCCTAGGGGTTATTTTTGATGATTTTCACAGTTTTTAGGCTCATTTTGATCGCCAAAATGTGAATTTTCGGATTTTCAATACCAAAAATCATGTTTCAGGCTGGTTCCCGATCCAATTCACAATATGTTTCCTAATAATCTCCGTTCCGCTATTATACATGGAAATCAGTTTGGGACAATACGCTTCGGCCTCTCCGCTCTTCACATTTTCACAAATGGTTCCCGCAATGGCCGGTTTATCGGCCGGAATGACGTATTTACTGGTTTTTCGCATGATTTTGCAGGCTATTTGGACGTCGTGTGATTTGAGTGTTTGGTGCGTCAAAAATGCGATTTTTTGCTCAATTAAGAGCTCTCTGAGCTTAATTTTGATGAATTTCAAGGATTTGGAAGTAAAATTGGGCTCTGGAGCCAACTTTTGGCTCATTTTCGAGCTCTGAAGCTTCGAGATCTCAATTTTCATGAATTTTTAAATTTTAGAACTCCTAGATCTCAATTTTGATGAATTTCAAGGATTTTGAAGTAAAAATGGTCCCTGGAGCCAAATTTTGGCTCATTTTTCCAGCCTCAGAGCTCCCAGAGCTCAATTTTGACCAATTTTTCAATTTCAGAGCTCTCTGAGCTTAATTTTGATGAATTTCATGGTTTCTAGAGTCCCAGAGTCAAATTTTAGCTCATTTTCGAGCTCCAAAGCTCCCAGAGCTCAATTTTGGCTCATTTTTCAATTATAGAGCTCTTTGAGCCAAATTTATGCTCATTTTTGAGCTCTAATGCTTCCAGAGCTCAATTTTGATGAATTTCAAGGATTTTGAAGTAAAAATGGTCCCTTGAGCCAAATGTTGGCTCATTTTCCAGCCTCAGAGCTCCCAGAGCTCAATTTTGACCAATTTTTCAATTTCAGAGCTCTCTGAGCTTAATTTTGATGAATTTTAGGCATTTTGAAGTAAAAATGGTCCCTTGAGCCAAATTTTGGCTCATTTTTCAATTTTAGAGCTCCCGGAGTCAAATTTTGATGAATTTCAGGGTTTCTAGGGTCCCAGAGCCAAATTTTGGCTCATTTTCTAGCTCCAAAGCTCCCGGAGCTCAATTTTGATGAATTTCAGGTTTTCCCGGGTAAAATTGAGCTCAGGAGCCAAATTTTGGCTCATTTTCGAGCTCTAAAGCTTCCAGAGCTCAATTTTGACCAATTTTGGCTCATTTTCTAGCTCCAAAGCTCCTGGAGCTCAATTTTGATGAATTTCAGGTTTTCCCGGGTAAAATTGAGCTCTGGAGTTAAATTTCGGCTCATTTTTGAGCTCCAAAGCTCCCAGAGCTCAATTTTGATGAATTTTTCAATTTCAAAGCTCTCGGAGCTCAAAAATCCCCCAATTTCCAGGTTCATAATCGTCTATCAATCAATAACGCGCGAAATTCCCGAATGGACAACTTGCCTCACAGAAAATTGTATGAATTATCGATTGGCCGAAAATTGCACGTGGATCGAATACGGTAGCTCCAAACAATGCGATCGATATCAGAATTATATTTTGAGGAATCGTGCCAGACAGCTGAAAATTTTTCCGTTTTTGAATTTTTTGAGAACTTGGTTGTTTGATGTGAGTTATTTGGAGCATTTTGAGCCTAAATAAGCCTGGAATTAGCCTTGAAAAAGGCCTGGATAAGATCAGATTCCGGGCTTTGAAAAATGGAGCATTTTGAGCCTAGATAAGCCTAGCTTCAGACCTGAAATCTAGGCTTATCTAGGCTTGAAAAGTAGGCTTTTTTTGAGCCTAGATAAGCCTGGTTTCAGTCCCTAAATCTAGGCTTGTCTAGGCTAGAAAAATGGAGTATTTTGAGTCTAAATGAGCCTGGTTTCAAGCCTGGAATATGGGCTTATTCGGGCTTGAAATTTGGAGCATTTTGAGCCCGGATAAGCCTAGTTTCAGGCCTTAAATCTAGGCTTATCTAGGCTTGAAAAATTTGAGCATTTTGAGCCTAGATAAGCCTAGTTTCAGGCCCTAAATCTAGGCTTATCTGGGCTTGAAAAATGGAGCATTTTGAGCCTAGATAAGCCTATTTTCCTAGTTGAAAGCCTGAAATCTGAAGAGCCTAAATAAGCCTAGTTTCAGGCCCTAAATCTAGGCTTATTTGGGCTCAAAATGCTCCAAATTTCAAATCCCGAAATCTAGGCTTATCCAGGCTTCCGGATTTTCCAGGCCCCTCCCAAATTTGAGCCCAAAACCCCCACCATTTCCAGACCGAGCCGCTCTTCTCCCACTGGTCTTTTCCCTCTCTGCACGTCTGCCTCGCCGCTCTCGTCGTCTGGACTCTCGTCACCCTCTTATCCATCGGTGGCTATAGAGCACTGAGTAAATCTGGTTGTCTGATTCTCGTCATCCTCTTCATCTCTCACACTCTCCTCTTCTCCTACAGTCTTTTCTCATTCTCCAATTTTTGGCCAAGTTTTCGCGCGCTTTTTGGCGGAGCACAAAAGACGGGCGGCTCATTTATGCGATGGATTTGGTCGTGGGCGGATGCGGCGACTTGTGCTCTTCGAGCTGTAAATGTTGGATGTGGCGGTGTGCAGAAGTTTGCGAGTTTGAATCGATTTAGTCAGAAGATCAAGTATCAGGTGCTGATTGTGTCAGGTGAGCCTTTTTCGGGCCGAAATTTGGGATTTTTTGAGCCCGGATAAGCCTAGGCCCGAAATTTGCAATTTTTTGAGCCCGGATAAGCCTAGGCCTGAAATTTGCAATTTTTTGAGCCCGGATAAGCCTAGGCCTGAAATTTGCGATTTTTTGAGCCCCCATAGGCCTGGACTTGATCTGAGCAATTATCTAGTTTCTAGCATTGCTCATGTCAAATTGCAGTTTGATCTGAGCAATTCTAGACTGTTTTTGAGCATTGCTCATGTTAATTAGTAGCCTAACAAACCAGAAAAACAAGTTTGGAAAGCCTAGGAAGCCTGAAACTAGGCCTAAAAAATTTTCAGGCTTAACATGAGCAATCCTGATAGATTTTCTAATATTGATCATGTTAAATTGGAGTTTAATCTGAGCAATCCTAAATAATTGTCTAGTATTGCTCATATTAAAACTCAAAAAAGGTTAATATGAGCAATGCTTGAAATTAATCTAGCATTGCTCATGTTAAACTCGGTTTTCTCGATTCTAAATGAGTTTAACATGAGCAATCCTGATAGATATTTAGCATTGCTCAGGTTAAAATTCAACTGACGGGGTTCCTTTAACAAGAACAATTAGTTTAACATGAGCAATCCTCAAAAATTTCCCAGTATTGCTCATGTTATTCTATTCAAAATGAGCAATTTCCAAAGGCCTAAAAGCTTAGATTTAGGGCCTGAAACTAGGCTTATTCGGTCTCAAAATGCTCCGAATTTTCAGGCCTAAATCCAGGCTTATTTGGGCTCAAAATGCTTCATTTTTCTTCCAGCTTTTGCCTATCTCACCTACATCACAATCGCAATCTACTCGTTCATGTATTTAGCCGAACTCGGTCGCTATTATTATCCGGATGTTAGTGTAGAGGAACGAATCAACATTTTCAAATCGCCTGGAACTTTGTTCTCGGGAATTTCCGAAGTTTTGACAAATGCGACCGGTTCGATGTTTTGGCTCACGGCACTTTGGATTGCGATGCCGTTGATGGGAGTTCAGGGAATTGCCGCCTATTTGTGGGTGGGTCATGTTTTTTTGGGCCCGAAATTCGGGATTTTTTGAGCCTAGATACGTCTAGGCCCAAAATTTGCGATTTCTTAAGCCTAATATGAGCAATGCTCAAAAATTCAGGATTGCTCAGGTCAAGTAAAGTGTAATCTGAGCAATACCAAGAATTTTCGGATTGCTCATGTTAAACAAAACCTAAGATGAGGAATACTTTAATATTTTTGCGAATTGCTCATGTTAAACTGGCTCAGAAGCCAAAAATTGATGAAAAATTCAGGATTGCTCATGTTTAAAAAAAAAGTATAATATGAGCAATACCATGAATTATCTGATTGCTTATGTTAAAAAATTAACCTAGAATCAAAAATTACAATTTAACATGAGCAATACCATGAATTTTCGGATTGCTCATGTTAAACTAACCCAGAAGCCAGAAATTCGAGTTTAACATGAGCAATGCTGAAAAATTTAGGATTGCTCATGTCAAAGAACCTAGTCATTCTAACATGAGCAATGGTCAATTTTCACGTAAAAAGCTCAAATTTCCGCGCCAAAACTGATTTTGGGTCAAAAATTCAGGTATTGCTCATGTTAAGCCAATTTTCCCACTTAAAGGAACATCCCCCAACGGGTTTTAATATGAGCAATGCTCAATTTTAGGTTGTATTGCTCATGTTAGCCATCTTCAGAGTCCCGATTGCTCATATTAAAGAAAATGGGCATTTTAACATAAGCAATGGTCAATTTTCACGATTTTTGGTCAAAAATGTACAAATTTCACAATTTTTCATGTGAAAACCCTCAAATTTTTACGGAAAAAACTGATTTTTGTCGAAAATTCGGCAATTTTTTTTGTAAAATTTCCAAATTTCCCAAATTTTCAGATCATAACATCGCTAGTCATCGAAAAAATCAACGCTCGAAATCGTGCCGTTCAAAAAACCGACAATAAAATGGAAACACCGTGCTCTTATCGTTCTCTGCATCTCTGCACTCTCCTTTCTCTCCACACTCCCTCTTCTGGTCAAATCCGCCGTGATTACTGTAGTCTCTATCGAATCCTACGCGGCCTACGGTACACTTTTCATTGCGTTTTTCGAAATTTGCACAGTCTCCTATTTTTATGGCTTCAAGAGATTTGTTGTCAATATTCGAACGATGGAAATGGGCGGAAAATCGATATTTAATGTGTATTGGTGGTTGAATTGGGTGGTTTTGAGCCCCGGGCTGCTTTTGGTAGGCTTTTTTTGGGGCTTTTTGGGGGTCTGGGCCTGGTAGAGATGAAAATTTGCAAAATTTTGAGCCTAAACTTGGCCTGATTCGGGCCTTCTAGGCCCTGAAAATTTCAAAAAATTTGAAATTTTATTACAGAAAAAAAGTATTACAAAAAATTCACCGAATTCATAAATTTTGGCTCGTTGTTGGAGCATTTCGTTGCTCTTTTGCAGCGTCGACAAATCTTTGAATTGTATTGCGGCGATTTATCTGAAAAATTAGATTTTAGGCTATTTTTTGGGCCTTGGGCTTAGGTGGATTTCAGGCTTTTAGGGCTTTGAATTCAGTTTTTCAGACAATTTTAGGCCCGGTGTTAGGCTTTAAATCAAACAAGTTTAGGCCCGTTTAGGCATGGTTTAAGGCCCGGTTTTTAGGTTTTTTTTGGGCCTTGGGCTTTGTTAGGCTTAGGTGGATTTTAGGCTTCTGGGGCTTTGAATTCAGCTTTTTCAGACAATTTTAGGCCTAATAGGGGCTTTGAATCGAACAATTCTAGGCCTAGTTTAAGGCCCGGCTTTAGGCTTTAAATTTAGAAATTTTAGGCCAGGCTTCAGGGCTTTGAATTGAACAATTTTAGGCCCATTCTAGGCATGGTTTAAAGGCTTCAAATTAAGCAAGTTCAGGCCCGTTTAGGCATGATTTAAGGCCCAGTTTCAGGCTTAATCTAGATCGAATTCTAGGCCTATCTCAGGCCTAGCCTATACCAAATTTAGGCTCAAAATACCACGTCATAACTCAATTTTTTGCAGTGCATGTTCTTCGCCATCATTTTCACCCTTCAACGTCGCAATCGCTTTTTCCAAATCGAATTTCCGCTAAATTGGCTCGGTTGGATGATGATGTTCACCGCAATCATCTTCGTTTTCGCCTATTTTTTGCGCGAAGAAATTTTGCGTCGAAAAAATCGCGAACCGCTGGCTGTACTTTTCCGCCCGGCCGGAAATTGGGGACCGGCCGATGCGGAACAGCGGAAAGATGCGCAGCGTGCGGAAAGAGCCGCAAGGGTTCGATATTGAAGTGGATTAATGAAGATTTTGTGATATTTTGAATATAGATGAGCCTATGGGCCTGAAAAGTCTATATTTTAGGCCTAGTTTTCTAGGCTTGTTTAGGCTTAAAAATGAGCCTGAAAAGCCTAATGTGGAGCATATATTTTCAGGCCCTAAAAGCCTAGTTTCAAGCCTGAGAAGCCTAGGCTTGTTCGGACTCAAAAAATCCCAAATTTTCAGGCCTACTAATCAGGCCTAGTTTTCTGGACCTACCTCAGCCTCGCACAAATTGTGCGCGTCGAAATAGTGTGCACAATTGAGCATTTTGGTCGAATAAAAGTAGTCGAAATCGTGTGCAATTGTCAGCTGCAAAAACAAATGGCCTAGAAAATATTTTGGTGGCCTAGGAAACCAAAATTCATCAATTTTTATCATTTTTTGACTCAAAAATCGATAAATTTAATTATCATGGCCTAGAAAACCAACTGATGGCCTAGAAAACCAAATTAGGTGAAAATTCATCAATTTTCATGATTTTTGACTCAAAAATCGTCAAATTTCCGGGCGTGGCCTAGAAAACCAACCTCCTCATTCTCTTCCACATCGCGAATCGCCGTGATGAAAATCTCCATTCGCTGATCCAACAAAACGTATTGAATAATACAATTTGGTCGGCAATTGCGGCGAATCGCTTGCGATTTTGCGCATGCCGTGCGGAAATCCACGCACATAATATATTTCTCGAAGATGCTCGCCTCATCTTCTTCGTCGTCTTCCGAATTTGAAGAGGAGGTTGCCGGAAGCGGAAAGGATGCGGATTCGCCGCGTCTGCAAAGGAAATGCGGATTTTTGGAGCTAAAAATCGTGAATTTCAGCTCTAGAAGCTATATTTGGATGAAAATCTCGATTTCTAGCCAAATTTTCAGTCAAAAATCGATATTTACCTGCAAAATAATGCAATCATGCTCTCTAGCTCGATTTCCAGCCAAAAATCTGGAAATTTGGCTGGAAATCGAGCTAGAGAGCATGATTGCATCATTTTGCAGGTAATTATCGATTTTCAGATGAAAATTTGACTAGAAATCGGGATTTTCAGCAAAATATGGCTTCTAGAGCTGGAATTCACGATTTTCAAACAAATTTTCATCCAAAAATCAATAATTGCATCATTTTCCAAAGAATTATTGATTTTTAGATGAAAAATTATTTGAAAATCGTAAATTTCAGCTCTAGAAGCTATATTTGGCTGAAAATCTCGATGTCTAGTTAAATTTTCAGTCAAAAATCGATAATTACCTTCAAAATGATGCAATAATGCTCTCTAGTTGGATTTTCAGTCAGAAAACCGGATATTTCCAGATTTTTGGCTGAAAATCCAATCAGATATCATTATTGCATCATTGTGAAGGTAATTATCGATTTTTGACTGAAAATTTGGCTAGAAATTGAGATTTTCAGGCAAATATAGCTTCTAGAGCTGGAATTTACGATTTTCAAACAATTTTTCAACAAAAATCAATAATTGCATCATTTTGAAGGTAATTATCGATTTTTGATGACAATTTTGCTGAAAACCATGAATTCCAGTCAAATTTCAGCTCAAAACGATCAGAAAACCACGAAAAATCCAATTTTTACCCTCGTTTAACAGCTGGTTCAAAACGAGCCACCGAATTTCGTCGTTTTCTCTTCCTCTCCTCTTTCGGCACCTCAACAACATCAAAAAACCCGAAATCATGTTTCAATCCCTGATACAACGAAACACCGTGCAAAATCCGGCCCCTCGTATTTCGCCCAACTTCTTCCGGGCTCGCCAGAAAGGCCTCAATTGAAACCAGAATAAATTCGTTGGCTTTGATGGGTCGAGTTGCGAAAAGTCCGCATTTGTTGGATTTTGAGGCGATTCTTGAGAGTGGATCTGTGGGATCGGCGAAAATTGGACGGATTTCCGAGTTGGGCGAATCTTCGAGAGCTTTTCGACCGAGAAGGATTATCTGAAATTAGATTTCAGGTTGGAAATAGGTTTTTTATGATTTTCAGCATGGAATTTGCTTTAAAATGACTGTAAATATGCTGAAAATCCGAAAAATTGCGATTTTTCAGGTCTCGCAGCGAAAATAGATGATTTTTCGCCTCGAAACCCAAGAAAATCCACGTTTTCTGGGTCTCGCAGTAAAAAAACATCAATTTTCGCTTCGAGACCTTGAAAATCCACATTTCCCGGGTCTCGCAGCGAAAATCGGTCAATTTTCGCTTCGAGACCTTCAAATTCCAGGTTTTCATGATCTCGCAACGAAAATTGATTCTTTTTCGCTTCGAAACCCAAAAAATCCATGATTTCCGGGTCTCGCAGCGAAAATACATGAATTTTAACAATTTACAGCAAGTTTACACAATTTCTCGCCGCAGAAACCACGAAAAAATAGATTTTCCACCAAACCGCCCATATTTACAGTCATTTTGCAGCAAATTTCTCAGAAACCTCTCTAGCATTCGCCGAATCGGCAAAATATCTCAGCGCTCTTCGAATTTTCAGCGACATTTTGGCGGCTTTCAACGGATTCTGCGGCTTCGTCTCATCGTTTTTCGTCATTTCCTCGTCTTCCTCGTTGTTGTGCAGTTTTAGACTTTCGAGAGCTTCCGGACGAAAATCTTCAGTGGTTAGCAAATACAAATAATAGTCCTCGTCTTCGAAATGCATTCTTTCTTTTTGTTTTCCTTCAAAAATCGATGAAAAAAAATTAAAACCACGCGCGGGTATACGGTCTCAAAGGCGCACACACATTTTTGCATTTTCGCTGCGAGATATTTCTCGAGTGTTTGCATGTTTCTTTGTTTGTCATCATTTTTTTCTTTTTTTTTCACGTTTTTCGCGTTTTCAGGCCAAAATGTGGTCATTTCGAGAAAATGTCGGCTTGCGAAACGTGCCGAAAAACGGATGACGTCAAAATAATCCTGCGACAATGCGGTCACATCATTTGTCTTCCCTGTATATTGGATTATTTGAAGCACAAGATTATTTTGGAGGGCGAGCCACGAATTAAATGTTTGAAAGTGGATTGTATGCAACCAATACATCAGAATGATATAAATGCGGTTTTAGATGAGAAGGAGGTGATTTTTGGGCAAAATTATCGATTTTTAGTGCAAAAAACTGGATTTTTTGATTTCAGGCAGCTTTGGAGCATTATATGTCAATCGATAATCGCCGCTATCTTCAATTCAAGCAAAACAAGCATTCGATTTATAAGGCTCTTCCTACTGATGAAATTAAGCGATGTCCATTGTGTAGGGTGGGTATGTTCCTTTAAAATTGGTAAAAATTTTTGAATTTCCCGTTTTCCCGCTCAAAAAGCGTTGCGGAATCGCGGAGCATCGTTGTTCTCATTGAAAATTGCTGTAGGAACCGATTTTGTTCATGAAAATTCAAAAATTTCATTTTACCGCGCAAAAAAACCTAGCGGAATCGCGGAGCATCGTTGTTTTCATTGAAAATCGCGATTTTCGGTATAAAATATTTGAATTTCCCGTTTTCCCGCGCAAAAAAACCCAAGCGGAATCGCGGAGCATCGTTGTTTTCATGAAAATCAAGATTTTTTGATAAAAATATTCGAATTTCCCATCTTCCCGCCCAATAAACCTGAGCGGAATCGCGGAGCATCGTTGTAAAACCCCCAATTTTTGCAGTCAATCTACATGAAAGAACCCGGCTGTCATTTCGTCACTTGCGCTAACTCGGCCTGTGGCCTGGCCTTCTGCTGGACCTGTGAGAAGCCCGTCCCACGGCCCGTCTCGCATTTCACAGGCCTAAAGGCCCGGGCTTGCAGACTTGGATATTTGGACTATGAAAGGCTTCTCAATTGTCTGCGCTATGTTTTGGATATCAATTTTATTGCGTTGTGGGCTTTTCTGCCTGTTGTCTATTTTTTGGCCTATTTGGTAGGCTTTTTGGGCTTTTGGGGGCTGAAAAATGGCCTAGAAACCGAAAAAATGGCCTAGAAACCCAAATTTTCCGAATTTCTAGGCCATTTTTTAATTCCAGTTCATCCCAATCGCAATCTTCTTCACAATCCCAATCAGCATTATCTATGAAATTTGGCGTGATGCCAAAGTTAGCCGAACTTTTTGGATTGCACTGATTCCGCTTATGATGAAGTCGATTTTGAGCCTGATTTTTGGTAAATTATTTTTCAGCATGAAATTTGGAGAAAAATGACTGGAAATATGGTGAAATTCGGGAAAATTGAGATTTTTCGCTTCAGGACCCGAAAATTTCGAATTTTAAAGGTCCCGGGGCGAAAATTCACTAATTTTCGCTTCAGGACCCGGAAAATCATGATTTTTCGCTTCAGGACCCGGAAAATTCAGGTTTTCAGGGTTCCTAAGCGAAATTTTGTGATTTTCCGTTTTGGGAGCCTGAAAATCATGATTTTCTGGGTCTTGAAGCGAAAATTCACAAAATTTCGAATTTTCAAGGTCCCGGGGCGAAAATTTATCAAAAATGACTGATTTTCGCTTCAGGACCCGAAAAATCATGATTTGTTGTGTCCTGAAGTGAAATTTTGTGATTTTTCGCTTCGAGACCCGAAAATTTCGGATTTTCAAGGTCCCGAAGCGAAATTTTGTGGTTTTTCGCTTCGAGACCTCAAAAAATTGAAATTTTTGATGAATTTTCGCTCCAGGACCCGCAAAATCATGATTTTCAGGGTTCCCAAGCGAAATTTTGCGATTTTTCGCTTCGAGACCCGAAAATTTCGGATTTTCAAGGTCCCGAAGCGAAATTTTGTGATTTTTCGCTTCAAGACTCGAAAATTTCTGATTTTCAAGGTCCCGAAGCGAAATTTTGTGATTTTTCGCTTCGAGACCCGGAAAATCCAGGTTTTCAGGGTTCCTGAGCGAAATTTTGTGATTTTTCGCTTCGAGACCCGAAAATTTCGGATTTTCAAGGTCCCGAAGCGAAATTTTGTGGTTTTTCGCTTCGAGACCTCAAAAAATTGAAATTTTTGATGAATTTTCGCTCCAGGACCCGCAAAATCATGATTTTCAGGGTTCCCAAGCGAAATTTTGCGATTTTTCGCTTCGAGACCCGAAAATTTCGGATTTTCAAGGTCCCGAAGCGAAATTTTGTGATTTTTCGCTTCGAGACCCGAAAATTTCGGATTTTCAAGGTCCCGAAGCGAAATTTTGTGATTTTTCGCTTCGAGACCCGAAAATTTCGGATTTTCAAGGTCCCGGGGTGAAATTTTGTGATTTTTCGCTCCAAGACCCGGAAAATCCAGGTTTTCAGGGTTCCTGAGCGAAATTTTGTGATTTTTCGCTTCGAGACCCGAAAATTTCGGATTTTCAAGGTCCCGAAGCGAAATTTTGTGGTTTTTCGCTTCGAGACCTCAAAAAATTGAAATTTTTGATGAATTTTCGCTCCAGGACCCGCAAAATCATGATTTTCAGGGTTCCCAAGCGAAATTTTGCGATTTTTCGCTTCGAGACCCGAAAATTTCGGATTTTCAAGGTCCCGAAGCGAAATTTTGTGATTTTTCGCTTCGAGACCCGAAAATTTCGGATTTTCAAGGTCCCGAAGCGAAATTTTGTGATTTTTCGCTTCGAGACCCGAAAATTTCGGATTTTCAAGGTCCCGGGGTGAAATTTTGTGATTTTTCGCTCCAAGACCCGGAAAATCCAGGTTTTCAGGGTTCCTGAGCGAAATTTTGTGATTTTTCGCTTCGAGACCCGAAAATTTCGGATTTTCAAGGTCCCGAAGCGAAATTTTGTGGTTTTTCGCTTCGAGACCTCAAAAAATTGAAATTTTTGATGAATTTTCGCTCCAGGACCCGCAAAATCATGATTTTCAGGGTTCCCAAGCGAAATTTTGCGATTTTTCGCTTCGAGACCCGAAAATTTCGGATTTTCAAGGTCCCGAAGCGAAATTTTGTGATTTTTCGCTTCAAGACTCGAAAATTTCTGATTTTCAAGGTCCCGAAGCGAAATTTTGTGATTTTTCGCTTCGAGACCCGGAAAATCCAGGTTTTCAGAGTTCCTGAGCGAAATTTTGTGATTTTTCGCTTCGAGACCCGAAAATTTCGGATTTTCAAGGTCCCGAAGCGAAATTTTGTGATTTTTCGCTTCGAGACCCGAAAATTTCGGATTTTCAAGGTCCCGAAGCGAAATTTTGTGATTTTTCGCTTCAAGACTCGAAAATTTCTGATTTTCAAGGTCCCGAAGCGAAATTTTGTGATTTTTCGCTCCAAGACCCGGAAAATCCAGGTTTTCAGGGTTCCTGAGCGAAATTTTGTGATTTTTCGCTTCGGGACCTTAAAAATCATGATTTTCTGAGTCTTGAAGCGAAATTTTGTGATTTTTCGCTTTGGGAGCCTGAAAATCATGATTTTCTGGGTCTTGAAGCGAAATTTTGTGATTTTTCGCTTTGGGAGCCTGAAAATCATGATTTTCTGGGTCTTGAAGCGAAATTTTGTGATTTTTCGCTTTGGGAGCCTGAAAATCATGATTTTCTGGGTCTTGAAGCGAAATTTTGTGATTTTTCGCTCCAGGACCATGAAAATCCTAATTTTTCATGATTTTCACCATATTTTCAGTCATTTTTCAGCAAATTTTTTCGAAAAATTCGCTAATTTCAGCTCTACTTTTATCAATTCCCGTCACTTTTGGCTCAATTTTAATGGGATTTTTCGTTTCTGGCTTCTATGGAATGTATTGTATGCTGAAATCTGTGCCTTTTTTATGCTCTGGAAATCGAATCGGAACAATTCTATGTGTTATGAGATGGTGTGGACGAATCTTCAGAATCGGACCATATGGACAACTTTTGGATGAGGCGAGAGCAAATCAGAAAGCCGCGATTTTGAAGATGGAAGATCAATTGGATGATTTTGAAAATGCGGTGCAAGATGACGTGGAATCCACAACGAAAATCGAAAAAGAGACGGAGACATCGAAAATTTCGAAGAAATGAAGATTTTTGAGCGGAAATTCGGTAATTTTCGGGTTTTTATGGGGGAAAGTGGGTTCTAGACGCTTTTGAAGCTGAAAAATCGGATTTCTTGTGAAATTTTACCCCTGGGAACTGTTTTCCGCCTTATAAAGCTAGTGTAAACGCGGAGCATCGTTGTTTTCATGAAAAATATTTAAATTTTCCAATTTTACCGCTCGAGAAGCCTAGCGGAATCGCGGAGTATCGTAGTTTTCATGAAAAGTCATGTTTTAGGGTAATAAATTTTAAATTTTCTCATTCTTCCGCCCAGAAAACCCAGCGGAATCGCGGAACATCGTTGTTTTTATTAAAAACATGTTTTTGAGGTAGAAAATTCAAAATTTTCCATTTTCCCGCGCAAAAGCAAAGCGGAATAGCGGAGCATCGTTGTTTTTATTGGAAATTGCTGTCCAATTGGATTTTCGCTCAGAAAATTTGAATATCATTGTTTACCGCACAGAAAACCTATCGTAACTGCGGAGCATCGTTGTTTGCATTGAAAATCGATATTTTTCGCTCAGAAAATTCAAATATCATTGTTTACCGCCTTAAAAATGCAAGTGTAAACGCGGAGTGACGTTGTTTTTATTGAAAATCGTTATTTTTCGCTCAGAAAATTCAAATATCATTGTTTACCGCCTTAAAAATGCAAGTGTAAAAGCGGAGCATCGTTGTTTTCACAAAATTGGTTGTTGCAACCTTATTTTGATATAAAAAATTCAAATTTTTTCATTTTTCCGCTCAAAAAACAAAGCGTAACTGCGGAGTATCGTTGTTCAACTCATTTTTCATAAAAAATCCCTTCATTACTAAAAATTCCACAGAAAATTCAAATATTCACACTAATATCATCCAAAAACACCATATTCTTAGCTTCCAATGCAATTTGCACACTTTTCGCAATCTCCTGCCATTGTGCCAAATATAAAGACTGTGTAGAATTGGCCGACACTTGCATTGATTGCTGCACCAAGATCTTTGTAAAGGTTCCGGAAGCGGAAGCGGAAGTGGTTGCGGAAATTGTGGTATCACCTTCCGCACCATCTCCACCATCTGTAGATGTTTGTACAGCTTGGGTGGTGGGAGCTTCTGTAGATCCTGAGGAAGCTCCCGAACACTGGTAGATCAAGGTTCCGGAATATTGTATATAATTCTTGTCGGCTGTACAATTCGCTCCCGCTTCCACCGTCGCTGCCAAACCGCTGAACCCGCTGACACTCAACATCGGCGCCGAGATCAGGCTGATCGAGTTGGACTTCAGGGCCGTCGAGACGGCGGAATTGAGCTCGGAGATCAGGCGATTTGAGGCGCTCGCATTATTGATTGATTGGCCCGTGGTGTAGGTGGTGATGGAGGGGGGATAGGTGAAGATCAGCGGGGGTTGGAAGGTGATTTGGAATTGGGCCGAGGTTGAGGGAGCGCCTGGAAAGATTTGTGGGAGTTGGGAGGCCTGGGGAAGTTTTTGGGGGCTCTGGGAAGCCTTTAGAAGTCTCCAGAAGCCTCTAGAAGCCTCCAGAAGCCCTGGGAGGTCTCCAGAAGTCCTGAGAAGCCTTGGGAAGCCCTGAGAAGCCTTGGGAGGCCCTGGGAAGCCTTGGGAGGCCCTGGGAAGCGCTGAGGAGCCTTCAGAAGCCCTAGGAAGCCCTGAGGAGCCTTCAGAAGCCTTTAGAAGCCTTGGGAAGCCTTGGGAGGCCCTGGGAAGCCTTAGAAGCCTCCAGGAGCCTTCAGGAGCCTTGGGAAGCCTCCAGAAGCCTTCAGAAGCTCCCAGAAGTCTTCAGAAGCCTCTAAAAGCCTCCAGAAGCCCTGTGAAGCCTCCAGAAGTCTTCAGAACCTCTAAAAGCCTCCAGAAGCCTCCAGAATCCTCCAGAAGCCTCCAGAACCTTTGTCTAGACCAAAAACCCACCTGAAACATCAGTTCCACATCCAAAAATCGGTCTAAAAATCAGCAAAACTTCAGCCAGCAAAACCAGACTCCAAAACATTTTTTAAATCAAAATTTTTAAATTTTTTTAAAAATTTCTCGATTTTATAGCGAAATTTGCACCTTTTTTTACAAGGCTTGTAAAAAATTTTGAAAAAAAATTTTTTTTCAAAAAAATAAAATTTTTGTTTGTTTTTCCTGGTGTAAATTATGCAAACATCAAAGTTTCATTTTTTTTTTGCAAAAAAAAATCAGAAAAAAATTCGCAGGTACCGGGAATCGAACCCTGGTCTGCTTCCTCGTACTAAAATTTGAATTTTTCTCGATTTCTCCGGATTCTCAGTGGAGCGCACTTGCAAAAAAAACTTCTTTTTTTTTTCAATTTTTAAAAATCAGATTACATAATTAATTAATTAACTAAAAAATCATTGCTAATTAATTTTGATGACAAAAAAATTGTCATCCAAAGATTATAAGTTGTAAATTTTTTAAAAAAAATTGATAAAATTTGATAGAGAACAGTGCAAACTACATGAAAATCGGAAAAATTAGCAGGAATTAGGTCTGGGTTCGATCCCCGGTGCCTGCGGAACTTTTTAAAAGTCAAAAAATGCAAGTGCGCTCTATGGAGAATCGAGCGAAAATGAGGAAAATTCAAAAAATTAGCAGGAAAGAGACCTGGGCTCGATCCCCGGTGCCTGCGGAATTTTTTTGTTTTTTTCAGAATCATCAATCTCAAGACCATGGTTCGATCTCCACTGCCTGCAAACTTTTTTGTTTTTTCAAAATTTAGCAATCTCAAGACCATGGTTCGACCCCCGGTGAGTGCAAAACCAATTTTTTTTGTTTTTTTTTTATTTTTTCAAAACAAAACGATTTTGAAAGGGTAATCCCATGAAAAATAACAACTTTCACATTTTCGCTTTTTTTTTTTTTGAAAAAAAAACCTTTCAAAATTTTTCGGGTCCCAAGAGAAGGAGACCGGAATTTTTCACTTTGCTCTTTTTTTTGTGCTCCGCAAGTGATTTTTTCCGAAAAATTTGATAAAGAGCCTATAAAATCAAGCTTCTTATCAATTTTTCGGTCATTTTTTTGTGACGAGACGATTTTTTTGCCACGTGGAGCAAAAATTGAGAAAAAAAAAGTTATTTTTTTGATTTTCAAAATTTCCCGCCTTGAAAATTTGAGCGGGAAAATTGAAAATTGAAATTTCTGAAGTCATGTTTTTCCCACGTGGCAATAATTTTTTAAAAATTCAAATTTCCCGCCTCGAAAATTTGAGCGGGAAATTTGAAAATTCAAATTTTTGCAGTCATTTTTTCCCACGTGGCAATAATTTTTTCAAAAATTCAAATTTCCCGCCTCGAAAATTTGAGCGCGAAATTCAAAAATTCAAATTTTCCAGGCATGACTCAGGCTAAGGAAAATCGAGCTTTCGAATTTGACGCGGCGAGCCGGCGGAGCTCAAAATGCTCCAAATCGTCCGTGGACATGTCGAGGCCGTTTTTCAACCCAACAGGTCGGTTTTGGCGCCAAAAATGGGGATTACTGTAGATTTTGGCGCGAAAAATCCCGTTTTTCAGGTCTGAATTGGTTTGTGACGGGACTTTTTGTGGTGGGAGATTTGGCGGGTGGTGGATTGGTGGCTCTGCCAACAGCCATTATTCAGTCTGGTAAGTCTGGGCTTTTCTAGGCCCCTTCAGGCCTTTCCAGGCCCTCTTTAGGCTCATTTTAGGCCTGATTCCAAAAATTACGAATTATCAGCAAAAAGAGCACAAAAAAGTGCTCTTTTTCATTTTTTGATAAGAAAAACCCGAATTTTTTGAGGGATTATTGAAACAAGGAAAATTTGGTTCTTTTTATCAAGCGGGAAAAAATTTCGAAAAAAAATTCTGCAGGCACCGGGGATCGAACCCCGGGCTATTTCCTGTTAATTTTTCAAAAATTCCAAGTGTTTTCTGGTTTCTCAATGGAGCGCATTTGTGATTTTTCTCTAAAAATTGCGAATTTTGCAGATGCGCTCTATTGAGAACTCGGAAAAACATGGGAAAATTCAAAAAATTAGCAGGAAATAGACCAGGGTTCGATTCCCACTGCCTGCGGAGATTTTTGATGATTTTTTAGCAAATGCGCTCTATTGAGGAAGGGGAATAATTATGGGAAATTCAAAAAATTAACAGGAAAGGGGGCTGGGTTCGATCCCCGGTGCCTGTAGAGATTTTTGATGATTTTTTAGCAAATGCGCTCTATTGAGAAAAGGGGAAAAACATGGGAAAATTCAAAAAATCAGCAAGAAAAGGGGCTGGGTTCGATCCCCACTGCCTGCGGACTCTTTTATTTTTTCGAAATTCAGCAATCTAGGGACCAGGGTTCGATCCCCAGTGCCTGCGGAGATTTTTTATTTTCTAGTCTAACATGAGCAATGCTCAAAATGCTCCAAATTTCTTACAGAATTCTACCCCGGCCTCATAATGTGCTCAATAATGATAATTGTGGTAACCTACACGGCCTACGTGCTCGGCCTAAGTTGGAATATTCTCCTGGACACTTGGCCTGAATACCGTCATCATTGTCGTAAACCATATCCGGAGATCGGAGCCCGTGCTATGGGTCCATTTGTCGGAAGTCTTGTCTCGGCTTGTATCGATGTTACTCAATTCGGAATCGCTGTTGTCTATTTGTTGTTGGCCTCGAAGAATATTCAGAATATGATTATGGCTTTTTGGGGAGTCAACATCACTTTTTGTGTGTTGGTATTGATTGTTGCCGCTTGCCTGTTGCCCATCACGTTTTTGAAGAGTCCACAGGATTTTTGGTGAGTTTGGGAGCTTCTGGGGGGCTTTTGGGGGGCTTTTGAAGGGCTTCTGGGGGGCTTTTGGGGGGCTTTTGGGGGGCTTACAGGGCTTTTGAGAGGCTTGCAGGGCTTTTGAGAGGGCTTTCAGGGCTTTTGAGAATCCTAGAGGGCTCTTGAGAGGCTTGCAGGGCTTCTAGAAGAGCCTATAGGGCTTTTAAGGGGCTTACAGGGCTTTTGAGAGGCTCACAGGGCTTTAGGAGGCTTACAGGGCTTTTGAGAAGCTTACAGGGCTTTTGAGAAGCTTACAGGGCTTTTGAGAAGCTCTCAGGGCTTTTGAGAGGCTTACAGGGCTTTTGAGAGGCTTACAGGGCTTATGAGAGGCTTACAGGGCTTTTGAGAGGCTTACAGGGCTTTGAAGAAGCTCACCGGGCTTCTAGGAGAGCCTACAGGGCTTTTGAGAGGCTTACAGGGCTTTTGAGAAGTTCACCGGGTTTTAGGAGGCTTGCAGGGCTTTTGAAAACCTTACAGGGTTTTGAAGAAGCTCACAGGGCTTTTGAGAGGCTCATAGGGCTCTAAGAAGGCTTACAGGGCTTTTGAGAGGTTCACAGGGCTTTGAATAGGCTTGCCGGGCTTCTCAGAACCTCAGAGGGCTTTTAAGAATCCTAGAGGGCTTTCGAGAAGCTTACAGGGCTCTCAAAAAGCTCACCGGGCTTCTAGGAGGGCCTATAGGGCTTTTAAGGGGCCCATAGGGCTTTTGAGAGGCTTACCGGGCTTCTTAGAGGGCTTTTGAGAGCTCTTAAGGCCCCTAAGGCCCCCAAAGCCCTTAAGGCCCTTAAATGCTCTAGAAGTCTCCTTATTTCCCAGAGCCAAAGATCAGACTTCAACAAAAAAACGATTTCTTATCATTTTCAAAAATTGTTTCGCAAATACTTCAAAAATAATCCGATTATTTCGGAGATTTATCATTTTTACATCATAATAGTGAGGAAATACGAAAAGGGGCCTAAAATGGGCTTAGGGGACTTACAAGGCTCAAAAATCCTATTTTAGGCCCAGAAAAGCCCCCTAAAGCCTAATTTTTGCAGGTGGGCCGTGGTGATTGCAATGATGACAACTTCAGCCGCTGTGATTATGATTATTGTTGGAAGTATTATTGATCTACCGACTTGCAGTCCAATCAAGTAAGAGGGCTCTAATATGAGCAATGGGTCGGAAAATTTGGGAAAAAATGATGTTAGAGAAGGTTAACCTGAGCAATGCTTCTAAATTTTGGAAAATATGGATTAACCTGAGCAATGGTTTTAGAATTCTTTAGGATCAGTATAATCTGAGCAATGCCTTAAAAATACCATAATATGAGCAATAGCCAAATTTCACCAAAAATCACGATTTCTAGCTCAAAATTCTTCAAAAATCACGATTTTTGGCTCAAAATTCTTCAAAAATCACGATTTCTAGCTCAAAATTCTTCAAAAATCACGATTTTTTGGCTCAAAATTCTTCAAAAATCACGATTTCTAGCTCAAAATTCTTCAAAAATCACGATTTTTGGCTCAAAATTCTTCAAAAATCACGATTTCTAGCTCAAAATTCTTCAAAAATCACGATTTTTGGCTCAAAATTCTTCAAAAATCACGATTTCTAGCTCAAAATTCTTCAAATTTTGTGAAATTTCCACGAATTTCCAGACAAATGCCACCCTTCACCATCACCAACATTTTCCTGGCCATGGGAACTTTCTTGTTCTCCGTTGGTGGACACTCAGCGTTTCCCACAATTCAACACGATATGAAACATCCGAAAGAGTTCACCAAAAGTGTGGCGTTGGCGTTTTCCAGTGAGTTTTTTGGGCTCCGCGACCGAAAATTTCTGAAAATTCGAAAAATTTGGGTCCTGGAGCGATTTTTGAAGCTTCAAAACCAAAAATTTCTGAAATTTCCGATTTTTTGGGTCCTGGAGCGATTTTCCAAGCTCTACAACCAAAAATTCCTGAAAATTCAAAAAATTAGGGTCCTGGAGCGATTTTCGAAGCTCTAGGCCCAGAAATTCCTGAAAATTCCAAATTTTTCGGTCCTGAAGCGATTTTCGAAGCTCTACAACCAAAAATTTCTGAAAAATCAGGAAATTTGGGTCCTGGAGCGATTTTCGAAGCTTTATAACCAAAAATTTCTGAAAATTCAAAAAATTTGGGTCCTGGGGCGATTTTCGAAGCTTCATAACCAAAAATTCCTGAAAATTCGAAAAAATTGGGTCCTGGAGCGATTTTTGAAGGTCCACAACCAAAAATTCATGAAAATTCAGGAAATTTGGGTCCTGGAGCGATTTTTGAAGGTCCACAACCAAAAATTCATGAAAATTCAGGAAATTTGGGTCCTGGAGCGATTTTTGAAGCTTTATAACCAAAAATTTCTGAAAATTCAAAAAATTTGGGTCCTGGAGCGATTTTCCAAGCTCCACAACTAAAAATTCCTGAAAATTCGAAAAATTTGGGTCCTGGAGCGATTTTTGAAGCTCTACGATCAAAAATTCCTGAAAATTTAAGAAATTTGGGTCCTGGAGCGATTTTCCAAGCTTCACAACTAAAAATTCCTGAAAATTCGAAAAATTTGGGTCCTGGAGCGATTTTCGAAGCTACTGGACCAAAAAAATCGAAAAATTCAAAAAATTTGGGTCCGGGAGCGATTTTTGAAGCTCTACGATCAAAAATTCCTGAAAATTTAAGAAATTTGGGTCCTGGAGCGATTTTCCAAGCTTCACAACTAAAAAGTCCTGAAAATTCGAAAAATTTGGGTCCTGGAGCGATTTTCGAAGCTACTGGACCAAAAAAATCGAAAAATTCAAAAAATTTGGGTCCGGGAGCGATTTTTGAAGCTTCAAAACCAAAAATTCCTGAAAATTCCGATTTTTTCGGTCCGGGACCTTGAATTCCAGCCAAAACTTCATATTTTCAGTCATGGCTTGTATGTACATCCCAGTTTGTATTATGGGTTATGTGGTGTACGGTGATTCGCTACGAGACTCCATAATTCCGTCGATTCAAACAGTTTGGATTCAGCAGGTTATTAATATTCTGATCACTGTTCACTGCATTTTGACATTGACTATTGTTTTCAATCCATTGAATCAGGAGGTTGAGGAGTTCTTTGATGTGCCTCAGAGTGAGTTTTTTGAGATCGGGAAGGGGATTTAGAGCATTTTGATATCGAATATGATAAGGCTCGGCTGCTTGACAGCAAATATCACAAGGCGATGATCCTTGACAGCAAGCTCCTCAAGGCTCGGCTGCTTGACAAGCATGTTCTCAAGGCGCGGATACTTGACAAGCAAGCTCCTCAAGGCTCGTCTGCTTTGCAGAAACTATTTTGAGGCTGTCAAGGAACCACACCTTGAGATCATCGCTGTCAAGCAGCAGACCCTTGACATACTTGATCTCAAGGCGCGGCTGCTTGACACACTTATTCTGAAGACTCCGCTGCTTGACAGCAACTATCTCAAGGTACGAACCCTTGACAGCAAATATCACAAGGCGCTGATCCTTGACCGCAAGCTCCTCAAGGCTCGGCTGCTTGACAGAGCTGTTTTCAAGATGCAACTCCTTAAGAGCAAGCATCTCAAGGCTCGGCTGCTTGACAAGCGTGTTCTCAAGGCATGGCTTCTTGACATACCTCTTCTCAAGGCGCGAGACCTTGACAGCAATAATCTAAAGGCTCTCAAGGAACCACACCTTGATATCATCGCTGTTAAGCAGCAGAGCCTTGACATACGTGTTCTCAAGGCGCGAGAGCTTCACAGCAAAGACCTCAAGGCACAGCTCCTTGACATACCTGTTCTGAAGCAGCCGTTCCTTGTCAGCGACTATCTCAAGGCACCACTCCTTCCCAACCAAAAATCTTCCAGAATTCTGTATTCAACGTGTTTTGGTCCGTTCCGGAATCATGGTGGCCGTCGTGTTCGTTGCGGAAAGTGTTCCAACCTTCGGCCCGCTTCTCGATCTTGTCGGAGGCTCCACTTTAACCCTAACCTCCGTAATTCTACCCTGTCTATTCTTCCTATACTTGGAAGCACACAGGAAAAAAGAGGAGCAATTGGGGCTGAAAGGAACACCGCCAGTTTGTATCAAAGAGGTTTGGGCTTATAACAATCAGACGACTCTCGTGATTTGTTGTACGATTATTGTGATTGGATTGATTGGTGGAGGATGTGCCACGTTTTCGGCGATTGTTGAATTGACTTCTACACAATTTAATATGCCGTGTTATGTTGCGCCGTTCTTACATGTGAGTTGGGGGAAGACAGCTAGGGTATGCTAGAGACGCAGAGGGAACTGCACTCGAGATTCATAGAGCTAGAGAGTACGGGTTGTCAGAGACGCAGAGGGACCTACACTCGCTCCGCTCGAGGCCGCTTCGCGGAAGAATCCGGGGCGCTTCGCGCAAGATTGCTAGAGAGCAGAGAGGCTAGACGGACAGAGAGCATAGGGAGGTTAGAGACGCAGAGTGTCAGAGACGCTGAAGGAACTACACTCGAGATGCATAGAGCTAGAGAGTACGGGTTGTCAGAGACGCAGGGGGCTAGACTAGGCTAGGCAGCTAGAGAACATAGGAGAGTTAGAGACGTAGAGGATTACACACTAACCTAAGCCTGGACTGAGCTTAACCTAAGCCTAACTTAAGCCAAACCTAAGCCAAATCTAGACAGCTAGAGAACATAGGGATGTCAGAGACGCAGAGGGGCTAGACAGCTAGAGAATGCAGAGGGACATACTCGCTCCGCTCGAGCCGCTGCGCGGAAGCTTGCGGCAGACAGCTAGAGAACATAAGAAAGTTAGAGACGCAGAGAGGATAGACAGCTAGAGATCACTAGGTGTCAGAGACGCAGAGGGATACACACTCTAACTTAAGCCAAACCTAGACAGCTAGAGAAAATAGGAAGGTCAGAGACGCAGAGAGGGCAGTTAGAGAGTACAGGATTTCAAGAGAGTGCAGAGAAACTGGTTAGAGACGCAGATAAGTTAGGTTAGAGAGGCAGAGAAGATAGCATAGGGATCAGAGAGAGTGCAGAGAAGCTAGAGAGATAGAGAACATAGAAGAGTTAGAGACGCAGAGAGGCTAGACAACTAGAATTGTCAGAGACGCAGAGGGACCTACACTCGCTCCGCTCGAGGCCGCTTACGCGGAAGATCGCTGGCCGCTACGCGGAACCTTCCGGAAATCAATTTTTCCGTTTCCAGAAATCCGCCACCAACACCTCAACAGCTCAAACCAATTGTTGCGGACCATTGCAGGACATTTCGATTTTCAACAACACGGCACTTTGTAGTCCAACACAATTGAATTTCTATAATTAGTTTTGTTGCCACGTGGCGCCTGGATTTTTGGCGCCAAAAATTGTCTCTAGATCTTGTTATATGCTCTTTTTGTGTACAAAATTTTTGTGTGTATGAAGAATTTGGATTTTTCCGTCCGGAATCTTCCGCGCACGCGGCTCGAGCGGAGCGAGTGTATGTCCCCTCTGCGTCTCTAACCATCTTCATTTTCACTAGCTGTCTAACTACTCTGCGTCTCTATCGATTCACTGAATTTTAGCTGGATTTGTGAGGTTTTCGAAAAAAAAAAAAACGCATTTTTTCCAACGACACTCCGCTAAATGACGGCTTGCCTGTTGTTTAGCGCATTGTCGGGCGTTGTTGGCATTTTTCCCATATTTTTTCGCGTTTTTTTTTGTTTTCGGCTGAAATTTTCGAGGAAAACACGATTTTTTTGATGGATTTGTGAGTTTTTTGGGGAAAAAATACTGTAGTTGTCTGCGTCTCTAACCTCTCTATGTTCTCTAGCTGCCTGCCGCAAGCTTGCGCGAAGCGCCCCGGAATCTTCCGCGAAGCGGCTCGAGCGGAGCGAGTGTATTTCCCTCTGCGTCCCTGATACTCTAGCTGTCTAGCATCTCTGCGTCTCTAACCTCCCCATGTTCTCTAGCTGTCTACCGCAAGCTTGCGCAAAGCGCCCCGGAATCTTCCGCGTAAGCGGCTCGAGCGCAGCGAGTGTATCTCCCTCTGCGTCTCTAACCACCTCTAGCTGTCTAGCCTCTCTCCACTCTCTTCATTTTCTGTGTTCTCTAGATGCCCAACTACTCTGCGTCTCTGACAATTTTATTCTCTAGCTGTCTAGCCTCTCTGCGTCTCTTACCTCCCTATGCTCTCTAGCTGTCTGCCGCAATCTCGCGCAAAGCGCCCCGGAATCTTCCGCGCAAGCGGCACGAGCGGAGCGAGTGTATATCCCTCTGCGTCTCTAACCATCTCTAGATGTCTGACAATTCCACCTGCCACGTGGATTTCTAAGCCAACATCAAAAATCAACAAAAAATTAGTAGGGAAGTAATAAAATTATTACAGTTTCCATTCTCTTATCGCAACTTTTTTTTTGGCGAAAAAAAAATGTTTTTTTTTGTCGTTTATCCGGTGTAAAGTGCTTAAACAGTTTTCATGTCGTTAAAAAAAAATTTTTTTTTTTTTTTTTTTTTTTTGGGACGCGGAAGCAGACAAATTTTTGGGGTATTTAAGAGGAGGCTGGAATTGTGGTAGAATAGACTTCTTCTTCTATTCACCTAGAAAAAGGTAGGTCAAAAATAGCTGGAGTAACCTACAGTAACCCTAGGTTTTCGACGCGAAAGGCTCAGGGGTACTGTAGGTTTTGGCGCGCAAAAATTCCACGTTTTTTGACACCAAATAAGCCCGGGAAATTTTGAATTTCAAAATTTGAACCATTTTTGAAACCGAAGCGGGAAATTTTCGAATTTTTTAAATTCGCCGCCAGAAAATCCACGTGGCAAGATCAAATCTTCCCGATTTCCAGCAATGTCCAAAGAAATCGCTCGCGAAACCGAATCGCTGCGACGCGTCGCCTTCTTCGGCGTCGCCATCTCAACCATCGCCACCCTAACTGCCATCATTGCCGTTCCGATGTTGTACAACTATGTTCAACACGTTCAATCGTCGCTGAAGTCCGAGGTGGAGTTCTGTCAGCATAGATCCGATGGATTGTGGGATGAATATAAGCGGGTGAGTTCTGGATTTGGGGTGGATTTTGCGGATTTTTTGAGTCTAGATAAGCCTAACACCTAGGCCTATTTAGGCTCAAAAATTGCAAATTTTTGGGGCCTTAAATGGCTAAGCCTAAGCCTAAAAGCCCTTAAGGGTTTTGAGGCCTTTTAGGCTGAGACTAGGGTCTTTCAGGCCTTGAAAATTGGCAATTTTTGAGCCTGAAAAGCCTAAACCTAGGCCCAAAAGGTCCCTAAGCGTCTCTAAGTCTAAGCCCAAAACCTAGGCCTATTTAGGCTCAAAAATCGCAAATTTTTAGGCCTTAAAAGCCTAAGCCTAAGCCTATGCTTAGATTCAAAGCCTAAACGAGTTTTGAGGCCTTTTGGGCTAAGGCTTAGGCTTTTTAGGCCCTGAAAATCGCAAATTTTTGGGCTTGACAAGCTTAAGCCTAATCTTAGCCTTATCTAGGCCTAAATAGCCTATACCTAAGCCGAAAAGACCCCCAAGCTTCACTAAGCCTTTAAAAATCGAAAATTGTTGAGCCTTAAAAGCCTAAGCCTAATCTTAGCCTTATCTAGACCGAAATAACCTAAACCTACGCCCAAAAGGCCCCTAAGCTTCTCTAAGCCTAAGCCCAAAACCTAGGCTTATTTAGGCTCAAAAAACTGCAAATTTTCAGGTCTTAAAAGCCCTAGCCTAGGCTTAGGCTTAGGCTTATCTAGGCTCAAAAAAAGCCCCATTTTCCAGTTCTCCTCCAACTCCGACTCTCGTCTCAAACGCGAAGCCTACAAACATTCCGGAATCGCCACTTCCGGCACCAGAAATCACCAAAAACGTCAATCATACGGTAGTGATGACGTGGCAGTTGGCGGATTCTCCGCGGGCTCTTCCGCTTCCGGACAATGTTGCTCTTGCGGAACCGGAGAAGCCGGGCCAGCCGGGCCACCAGGATCCGATGGTCAGCCAGGAAATGATGGGCAGCCCGGAGCTCCAGGGCAACCAGGAAATGATGCCAGTTCTGATGCCGTCCCAGATGCCTCGCAATTCTGCTTCGATTGTCCAGCCGGGCCACCAGGAGCCCCAGGAAGCCCAGGGCCAAAGGGGCCATCAGGCCAACCCGGACAACCAGGACAATCCGGAGGGGCTTCACTTCCAGGGCCACCAGGACCACCAGGACCAGCTGGAGCACCAGGAGGTCCAGGAGGACCAGGCCAGCCTGGACAACCTGGACAAGCTGGGCAAGTTATTGATGTACCGGGCACTCCAGGCCCAGCTGGACCAGCCGGACCACCAGGACCACCGGGAGCACCAGGAGCACCAGGACAGCCAGGAGCTGGAAGTCAACCAGGAGCCCCAGGGCCACAAGGAGATGCGGGAGCACCGGGAGCACCGGGACAACCTGGAGCACCAGGAGGTCCGGGAGAGGATGGTCCGGATGGGGATGAGGGAGCTTGCGATCATTGTCCACCACCAAGAACTGCGCCAGGATATTAGACACGATTTTTTTGTTGGGTTTTCAAGATTTTTATTGTATAAATTGTGTTCTCTCAAAAACAACGATACTCCGTTTTTACACCTGCTTTATAAGGCGGTAAACAATGATATTTGAATTTTCTATGCGAAAAAAAATCAATTCTACATCAATTTTTAGTCGAAAACAACGATGCTCCGCGTTTACGCTTGCATTTTTGCGCGGGACGATGGGAAATTCAAATTTTTTATTAAAAACAACGATGTTCCGCGATTACGCTAAAAGATTGGTGAGCGGGAAATTGGGAAATTCAAATTTTTCATCAAAAACAACGATGCTCCGCGATTACGCTGAAATCTTGGTGAGCGGGAAATAGGGAAATTCAAATTTTAATTGAAAACTTAGCGATTTTTCATTAAAAACAACGATGCTCCGCGATTACCCTGTGTTTTTTGAGCGGGAAATTGGGAAATTTGAATTTTTCTTTGAAAACTTGGCTTCCAAAGCGATTTTTCATCAAAATTACGATGCTCCGCAATTACGCTGTGTTTTTGAGCGGGAAAAAGGGAAATTCGAATTTTTCATTGAAAACTTCGATGCTCCGCTTTTACACTTGCTTTATAAGGCGGGAAACTGGAAAATTTGAATTTTTGATATAAAAACAACGATACTCCGCGATTACCCTAAACAATTGATGGGCGGGAAAATGGGAAATTCAAAATTTTCCATTAAAAACTACGATACTCCGCGATTACCCTTAACGATTGTTGAGCGGGATATAGGGAAATTCAAATTTGTATCTGAAACAACGATGCTCCGCGATTACGCTTGCAATTTTCAAGCGGAAAATTAGCAAATTTGAATATTTTCGTTGAAAACAACGATGCTCCGCGATTACGCTAACCAATTGGTAAGCGGGGAATTCGGAAATTTAAAATTTTTCGGAAATTTAAAATTTTTTTTTTTTTAAATTTTATTGCAAAAAATATGTACAAAAAATCAGATCATCTCAAAAATCAATCAACTTTTTTTCGAATTTTCCGCTTCCGCTTCCGCTTTGTCAAATCGCTCCGCAAATTTGGCATGAACAATTTGATGGAACATTTCATAGCAAGGCCCGCTGAAATCGCGAATTTTTTGTCTGAAATTTCCGGCGGCGCACATTTGATTGAAGACTCGAGTCACGAATCCCGAACATTTTGGACAGGATCCGTCGAAACAGTGGAAAGCACAATCGTGTCGGAGACATTTGTTGATTTGGAATATATCCTGATTCGATTCATCCACACACTTCAGGGCACAATCCATCAGAGCCGGACAATCTAGAAAAATCAGGGCTCTGAAGAGAGTGCAGAGAAGCTAGAGGGCTAGAGACGGAGGGGGATATACACTCGCTCCGCTCGAGCCGCTTGCGCGGAAGATTCCGGGGCGCTTCGCGCGAGATTGCGGCAGACAGCTAGAGAGTATAGAGGTAGTTAGAGACGCAGAGGGGCTAGACAGCTAGAGAACATGAGAGACACCAGACAGCTAGATAAAGTTAGAGATGGAGAGGGGCTAGACGGCGAGAGTGGGTTAGAGACGCAGAGGGAGATACACTCGCTCCGCTCGAGACCGCTAACGCGGAAGATTCCGGGGCGCTTCGCGCGAGGTTCTCTAGCTTCTCTGCACTCTCTCTCTCCCTCTGCGTCTCTAACTTTTTTTTATCCTCTCTAGCTGTCTAACCTCTCTGCGTCTCTAACCAATTTCGCTCTTCCTATCTAGCTTCTCTAACATCCTCTGCATCTCTAACCCATCTATTTGCTCTCGTCGTCTAGCCAACCCTCTGCGTCTCTAGCTTCTCTAAGCTCTCTAGGCTACTCTTTAGCATACCAATTCTCTAGCCACCCTCTGCGTCTCTAGCTTCTCTGCATCTCTAACCACCTCTGGCTGTCTAGCTGTCTCTAACCGCCTCTGGCTGTCTAGCCACCCTCTGCATCTCTAACCACCTCTAGCTGTCTAGCCATCCTCTGCGTCTCTCTCACCTCCCGTCGATTTCTCGCCCGACAAAATATCGACAATCTGCAATTTCGACGTCAAACACAACGGACAATCGTTGCACTCATCCTGACAACCCGTCGTGAAAATGCAACCGTAATCTGTGTGCTGCAAGAAAGAGCTGAGGGGGTTTTGGGGGCTTTGGGGGGCTTTAGGGGGCTTTAGAAGGCTTTAGAGGGCTTCTGGGGGCTTTTGGAGGCTTCCCAAGGCTTCTGAGGGCTTCCCAAGGCTTCCCAAGGCTTCCCAGGGCTTCCCAAGGCTTCCCAAGGCTTCCCAAGGCTTCCCAGGGCTTCCCAAGGCTTCCCAAGGCTTCTCAAGGCTTCTTAAGGCTTCTGAAGGCTTCTGAAGGCTTCTGAAGGCTTCCCAAGGCTTCTTTAGGCTCCTAGAGCCCCTAGAGCCCCTAAAAATCACCTTATCAATATCATCATACATTTTCGAGCTGATCGTCTGATTCTCAATAAGTTTCGATAACTCCGGAAGCTGAAAAACCCGGATTTTCAGCCAAAAAATTTCCAGAAAAACTCACATTCACACATTTTCGCTGCACAGAACACTGCAAAAGATCGCGACACTGTTTATTGATGTTCGAAGCTCCGAAAACCACGGCTGAGCCCAAAAGTGCCAGCAACAAGAAAATCAGCAAGTTTTGAGGCATCCTAGGATGAAATTTTGTGCTGAAACTCGTGGAATTATTGATTTTCAGCGATTTTCAGCATTTCCACGAGTTTCAGCGCAAAATTTGGAGCTAGAACAGCTTTAAAGGGTACTGTAGAAAATTGTGCCAGAGATTCCGAAAAAATGGATCAAGCGGATTACTGTAGAAAACAAGTTTCTAGGCTGAAATTTTGTGCTGAAAGTGCTGGAAATACTGATTTTCAGCGATTTTCAGCGATTCCACGAGTTTCAGCGCAAAATTTGGGTCTAGAAGAATTTCTCAAGAATCTTTTAAAAATTCTGAAAATTTTTGGATCATTTTAGAAATGTTCCAGAAGCTGAAAATAAGCTTCTAGGCTGAAATTTTGCGCTGAAACTCGTGGAATTATTGATTTTCAGCAATTTTCAGCAAATTCACGAGTTTCAGCGCAAAATTTGGAGCTAGAAGAATTTCTGAAGAATCTTTAAAAAATTCTGAAAATTTCAGGATCATTTCAGAAATGTTCCAGAAGCTGAAAATCGGTTTCTAGGCTAAAATTTTGCGCTGAAACTCGTGAAATAATTGATTTTTAGCGATTTTCAGCGATTCCACGAGTTTCAGCACAAAATTTGGGTCCAAAAAATGGTCTAGACCTAAGCTTCAGCCAAAAAAAAAAACAAAAATAAATATGTTGGCATATGAAATCCTGATCTTATCAATGTTAGCCAATATTTCTTGATTGCCGCAAATTTTTGGGGCTGGCAAAACAACAAAAATAAATAATTTATCATTTTTTTGTGGGGAAGAGAAGGGAAAAGATAAGGAATCTCCTTTTTCCCTTTTTTAGAGACTTGCCACAACTTTTCACAATGTTTTTTGGTTGGAAATAGTACACCGTGTACTTACTACTAAAGATTGAAGTTTTCTGGCTGGAAATTGACACCAGGAATGAAAAAATCTGAAAATTTCAGCCCAGAAAAAATTTTTAAGATTCTCAAACTTTTTTCAGCTGATCCATTCAGACCCAAATTTTGTGCTGAAACTCATGGAATTGCTGAAAATCGCTGAAAATCAATAATTCCATGAGTTTCAGCACAAAATTTCAGCCTAGAAACCTATTTTCAGCTTCTGGAACCTTTCTGAAATGATCCAAAAATTTTCAGAAATTTTTAAAAAATTTTGAGAGATTCTTCTAGACTCAAATTTTGTGCTGAAACTCGTGGAATTGCTGAAAATCACTGAAAATCAGCTCTTCCATGACTTTTAGCGCAAAATTTCAGCCTAGGAACATGTTTTCTACAGTAATCCGGTTGATCCATTTTTTCGGAATTTCGGGCACAATTTTTTCGACAGTAACTTTTGAAGTAAAATAAAGTTTCTGGACCCAAATTTTGTGCTGAAACTCGTGGAAATGCTGAAAATTGCTGAAAATCAGTGGTTTCATGAGTTTCAGCGCAAAATTTGAGTCCAAAAACTTTTTTTGCTGATCAGCACCTTTAATTGTAAGGATTTAGATAATTGAACTCTCTCAAAAATCAAAAATCAAAAAATTTCCGAGATGTTTTTATGGGAAAATAAAGATATTTACGATCACAATGTGTGACACGTTGTAGAAGAGACAAGAGAGTGTTGGAAGTTGAGAGAGTCTAGAGAAACATTCAGCATAAAAGTGCCTACCAACATTCTGGAAAACACACACACAAAAATGAATCGAAAAATCTTCGCATTCTTGCTGCTCATCTGCCAAAGTTCGGAGGCATGTCTCACGTCGTGTGATCCTGGATTCGTGACAATTCAACGCACCCCAACTGCCGCCAATAAGTGCACCAGAAGATTTTGCTTGAAAATCGCAAACTCATCGGATGCTCTCAGTCATTCTGATGCTGAAGATCTTTGTTCGAAGGACGGCGAAAAATTGGCAATGTTTGAGAGTCTTGATGAGCAGAACTTGTTTAGCGAATGTGAGTTGTGCGATGCGTGTGCGTCGCGGTTTGCGTCTCTAGCCTCCACATGCTATTCAGATCTCCAACCAAATGTTCACATCCGAATCGACGGTGTCCGCCGAACCGAATGCATTTTACCCGAAGATCTCAAGGATACGGAAAAGTGCTCACCACAAACGGTGAACTTAGGCTAACTAGATTTTCACGACTCGAAAAAAAATTTGCAGGCATTCATCGCGCTTAACGCAGGCACCGATCCAACATTCACATTCAACAATTGGAGTGACAACGATCCGAATCACGATTATGTGTAAGTTTCAGTTGCGATGCGACACACGCAACGCTGAGCCGCGTCGCAACTGACGACATTCAGAAATATCGATGAGCAATGCTTGATTCTTCGGAATGGTCGAGGAACTAACGATATATCGTGTAATGCAACGCCCAACACTCAATTTGCAACATACATGGCATTGTGTGGAAAATTTCCGAATTGAATTATTGATTTTTTTGGGGGGGGGGGGTTCGGGAAGGGGGTAATAGATAAATAATTTATGCAAACGGGTTTTTTGGAACTTTCAGATTGTGCTGAAAATCATGAAAATATTGATTTTCAGCAATTTTCAGCATTTCCATGAGTTTCAGCACAAAATTTGGGTCTAGAAACTTGTTTTTCTACAGTAATCCGGTTGATCCATTTTTTCGGAATCTTTGGCACAATTTTCTACAGTACCTTTTGAAGAGTTTTTAGGCTGAAATTTTGTGCTGAAACTCATGGAAATGCTGAAAATCGCTGAAAATCAGAATTCCCATGAGTTTCAGAACAAAATTTCAGTTTAGAACCTTATTTTTAGCTTCTGGAAGCTTTCTGAAATGATCCAAAAATTTTCAGAATTTTTTCAGATTCTTGAGGAACTCTTTTAGACTGAAATTTTGTGCTGAAACTCATGGAATAGCTGAAAATCGCTAGAAATCAATGTTTTCATGAGTTTCAGCACAAAATTTCAGCCTAGAACATGATTTTTTCGAAGTTTTTGAAATTTTGAAGCCTACAATTATTGTTTTTTTTTACAAATTCCAATAAAAAGTGTCAAATTAGCCTAGAAACCCACAATTTTCCACTCAAGACCCACTTATTTACATTTTTTCCACACACAATCACCAAAAAAAATTCGACCTTGGCCCAAAAAATTGTGATTTTCTCTCGCAAAAATCTTGCATTTCATCAATTTTTCCTGATTTTTTTCGATTTTCCGAGCGAAAAATGCAAATTTTCTCAATTTTCCTAATTTTTTCAATGATTTTCTCCTCGATTTTCGCCGCCGATTTATCGATTGATGGAGAATCGGTGAGTTTTTTGAAATTTTGAATTTTCAAAATTCGCGCCTCCGAAATTTGAGCGCGAAATTCAAATTTTTCCAGCTGGTTTTGTCGATTTCCGAGCCCGGAGAAATCAAAGTGAGAAGAGCACGAGAAGCTGGAGAACACTGAAATTAATTTCAGCATTTTTAATTTGAATTTTTAATTACCCCGCTTTAATTAATCAATAAATATAAATCTGAAATTTTGTGTTAACATGAGCAACACCTATAATTATTTTTCGACCAAAAATTTTCTATTCACATTAAAAAAATAAAATAAAATGGAGTTATTGATTCATATTTGGCTGATATACGGTGTGATTTCGGTATTGCTCATGTTATTTTTTATCGTGGTTTTTGGTGTGAATAAGAGATTCGATAACTCGTTTTATCGTGTTGTGCAATGCGATCAGATTATGGTAAGAAAATTTGAATTTTTGAATTTCGCGCCTTGGAAAATTCGAGCGGGAAATTTGAATTTTTGAATCTCAAATATCCGCGCTACAAAAAAATTGTGCGGAAAATTCAAATTTTCAAATCTCAAATTTTCCCGCCAGAAACTACAGTACCTTGCTTTAGCCTAAGCCTATTTAGTGTCAAAAAACGTGGATTTTTTTGTTGAAAAATTTGAATTTTCAAATCTCGCGCCAAGTAAAATTCGAGCGGGAAATTTGAATTTTTGAATCTCAAATTTTTGCGCAGAAACTACAGTACCTTGCTTAATCCACGTCAAAAAACGTGGATTTTTTATACCCAAACCCTACAGTAACCCTAGCCATATTTACTATCAAAAAACGTGGTTTTTTCGCGCCTGAAGTTAGGATTACTGTAGGACCTACAGTAATCCTAACTCCAGAACCTCTGCTGCTACTTCAATTCCTGGATTCATCGCCTGGCTCAACGTCCCGACACCGGCCACCTTCTTCAAAATCTTCCCACCCAACTTTTCACCCTAGCCAGCTTCACCCAACAATTTTTCTTCCAAACCCAAAGTGCCTCCATAATTCTACTCTGCTTCTATCGATTTAGCCTAATTCGCTTCGAAAATGCCCAAAAATTCTGGGCAAAATGGTGTATTTTCATTTATTTTTGCCTGATTCTTTATTCAATGGCTATAATTCTACCCATTGCTCATACTATACATCCACTGATCTTCAATGAGACATTAGGATTCTATGTGGATGCACCGGAATTCACGGAGCAACGTTACATTTTTTGGAGTACACCTAGGCTTGTGCTCCTTGACTTATTTCACAATTATCATTATCCTAGGGCTCAGAACGGTTTTGAGCTTGCGAGCAAGATTTTTGGAGCATCAAAATGCTCCAAGAGCACAAGCGATGCTCAAAAGGGTTACTGTAATTGTGGCGATGAATACAGTAATCTACATGATGATTATTGTCTGGGAATTTACTGTAGGCATTTTTGTGCCCGACATAAATCGGGTTTTGCAACATAATATGATGATGACGGTTTCTGATATGGTGAGTGTCTGGCTGTCTGTGCTCTCACCATTCTCTGTGCTCTCTAACCTCTCATTTTTTTGCAGCTCAGCTTCAGTATGCCTTATACACTGCTGATTTGCGATAAAAATGTGCAGGAAATGATTTGGCAAAAAGTTCCGCGGATTTCTCGAATGCCTAGTAGTATTGTACCGATTTCTTGAATAAATCAGGTTGGGTTACTGTAGAAAATTGTGGCCAAAGATTCCTGAAAATCAGTTTCTTGGCTGAAATTTAGCGCTGAAACTCGTGGAAAAACTGATTTTCAGCGATTTTCAGCGATTCCACGAGTTTCGGCACAAAATTTGGGTCTAGAAAAATTTCTAAAGTATCTGAAAATTTTTGAATCATTTCAATAATGTTCCAGAAGCTGAAAATAGGTTTCTAGACTGAAATTTCGTGCTGAAAATGCTGCAATTATTGATTTTCAGCAATTTCCAGCAATTCCACGAGTTTCAGCGCAAAATTTGGGTCTAGAAGAAATTCTGCAGAATCCTAAAAAAAATTCTGAAAATTTTTGGATCATTTCAGAAATGTTCCAGAAGCTGAAAATAGGCTTCTAGGCTGAAATTTTGTGCTGAAAACGCTGGAATTCTTGATTTTCAGCAATTTTCAGCAATTCCACGAGTTTCAGCGCAAAATTTGGGTCTAGAAACATGGCTGAAAAAAAAGAAAAGAATTTGCAAACAACACTCCGCTTTTTGCACTCTGCCCCTATTTTAGTGATAACGCCGTTTTTATTTTATTTTTCTTATTTTTCGTTTTTTTTTGTGAAAAATGATTATTTTTTTGAAAATGGTGAGTGAAATTCTGTTATTTCAAAATAATTTCTTGATTTTTTTGTGTTTCAGAATTTGAAATTGCTTGCGAAGCTCAAAAAATTGAATTTTGGCAAGGATTTTGATGGAAAACGCGTGAAAAAGGTTTGTATTTTCAAGTTTTATCTTTTAAAAAATGTAAATTTTCAAATATTTTTTGGAAAATAAGGTTTCTAGGCTGAAAATTTGTGCTGAAAATCATGAAAAAGCTGATTCTCAGCGCAAAATTGTCTGAAAATCGTTAAAAAAAATATTTTTTTCCGAATTTTTACGATTTTCAGACAATTTTGCGGCTTTTTAAGGCATCTCCCAACTTCTAAAAAATTCAACAACATGAATTTCTCAATCTTTTTCATTGCCGTAATTTCTCTCGTTTTGTTGGTGGCTCAAATTTCGGCTGGACCTGGAACTTATGGAGCTGGTTCATATAATAATAATGATTTGAAGAAAAAAATTGAAGAAAAATAAAGATTTTCAGCATTTTCAGCGCGAAATTTGGGTCTAGAAGAATTTCTGAAGAATCTAAAAAAAAAATCTGAAAATTCTTGGATCATTTCAGAAATGTTCCAGAAGCTGAAAATCAGGTTCTAGGCTGAAATTTTGTGCTGAAACTCATGAGATTTCTGATTTTCAGCGATTTTCAGCAATTCCACGAGTTTCAGCACAAAATTTGGGTCTAGAAGAATTTCTGAAAAATCTGAAAATTTTTGGATTATTTCAAAAAATGTTCCAGAAGCTTAAAATCGGTGTCTAGGCTGAAATTTTGCGCTGAAAATGCTGGAATCATTGATTTTCAGCGATTTTCAGCAATTCCACGAGTTTCAGCACAAAATTTGGGTCTAGAAGAATTTCTGAAGAATCTGAAAATTCTTGGATCATTTCAGAAATGTTCCAGAAGCTGAAAATAGGGTTCTAGGCTGAAATTTAGCGCTGAAACTAATGGAAATACTGATTTTCAGCGATTTTCAGCGATTCCACGAGTTTCAGCACAAAATTTGGGTCTAGAAGAATTTCTGAAGAATCTGAAAATTTTTGGATCATTTCAGAAATGTTCCAGAAGCTGAAAATAGGTTTCTAGGCTGAAATTTTGCGCTGAAAATGGTGGAATCATTGATTTTCAGCGATTTTCAGCAATTTCATGATTTTCAGCACAAAATTTAGGCTAGAAAAATTAATTAATAAATTAATAATAATTTATTTACATAACAATTTTCAAAATTAACAAAAAAAATCAATAAATTATTTTTTTTTTTCGAAGAAAAAAAAATTAACCAGCTAAAGGTAGTGGTAGACTAACTACGGACCATTGATTGCAAGCACGGACTTTTGGGAAAATCTGCAAAATTTTTGGGTTACTGTAGGTGGAAGCTAGCGCGAAGCGCCCCGGAATCTTCCGCGCAAGCGGCTCGAGCGGAGCGAGTGTATATCCCTCTGCGTCTCTAACCATCTCTAGCTGTCTAACTTCTCTGCGTCTCTAACCATCTCTATACTCTCTAGCTGTCTGCCGCAAGCTTGCGCGAAGCGCCCCGGAATTTTCCGCGAAGCGGCTCGAGCGGAGCGAGTGTACTTCCTCTGCGTCTCTAACCATCTCTAGCTGTCTAGCCTACCTTCTTATTCGTGACCTGCGGAAGGAGTACAGGCGGTGCAGGAATGGGAGTTGGTGCAATCCGCGGCGGTGCCATCATCCGCGGCTGCGGAATCGCAGGCGGCGTCGCCTGCGTCTCCGCCGCGGCACTTTCGCGCATCAGCTGCTGGAATTTGATGAGCGGATCGATAGAGGATTTTGCGGCGTCGGCCGCGACGCGTTGATACGCGTTGTATTGCGGAAGGTACTGTACATTTTGGTAGAGCTGCTGACGTAGCAGATTGGCTTGGAAGTCGGCGAATTGTTGCTCGACATTTTGTGAGGGTCTTGGTGGTGATTTTGGGGCGGGTGTTAGGGCGAATTGCGGCGGTTTTTGGGTGGCGGAGAGAGTTGAGCCGGTCAGAGTGTCGATCTGCAAGAAATTTGCGATTTTTTGAGCCTAAACATCTACAGTACCCCATTTGATCCATTTTTTTTTGGAATTTTTGGCACAATTTTCTTTCTTGGCTCGAATTTTGCGCTGAAACTTGTGGAATTGCTGAAAATCGCTGAAAATCAATAATTCCATGAGTTTCAGCACAAAATTTCCGCCCAGAAACTTTATTTTAAGCTTCTGGAACATTTCTGAAATGATCCAAAAATTTTCAGAATTTTTTTTTCAGATTCTTGAAAAATTCTTCTAGACTCAAATTTTATGCTGAAACTTGTGGAATCGCTGAAAATCGCTGAAAATCAGTATTTTCATGAGTTTCAGCACAAAATTTGGGTCTAGAAACTTTATTTGACTTCAAAAGCTACTGTTTAAAAAATTGTGCCCAAGATTCCAAAAAAAATGGATCAACCGGATTACTGTAGAAAAACATGTTTTAAGACTGAAATTTTGTGCTGAAACTTGTGGAAAAACTGATTTTCAGCGATTTTCAGCGAATTCATAATTTTCAGCACAAAATTTGGGTCTAGAAACATAGAAATCGTGGGCTTTTCAGGCCTAAGCCCTTTTTCGGGCTCAAAAAAGAGCAGAAAATATGTCATTTTGAGGTTGAATCTTGTTATCAGTAAGATATTAATTTTGAAATGTCGTTGACAGGCAAAAAATTAATTTTTTTTCAAATCTTGAGAAAAAAAAATTGATAAGACAATTTTTGAAGATTTATAATGTAATGTGTAGTTTGGGGATTACTGTAGGGCCTGAAACTAGGCTTTTTTTGGGCTCAAAATGGCCCAAATTTCTAGGCCAAACCTAGGCTTTTCTAGGCTTGTTTAGGCTCAAAAAGGCCCAAATTTTCAGGCTTTTTCTAGGCTTTCTAGGCTCACCTTCATACTAACAATCCTCATAATCAAATCATCAAAAACCCGGATTTTTTGCGAATTTTCAAAATTTATTAAATTCAGTTGGATATGATTGATGATACTTTCCACGGCTATATTTTCTGCGGCTTTTGCCACGTGGCCGCCGCCCAGAAATTCGAAACTCGACGGGGCGCCGATGAAATTGGAAGAGATTGAGGAAATACTGTGTAGACGTTTGCGAGAGGGTTCCATTCTGGAAAAGGAGAAGGTTAGAGACGCAGAGAGAGGTTAGACAGCTAGAGAAAAATTAGAGACGCAGAGGAATATACACTCGCTCCGCTCGAGCCGCTTACGCGGAAGATTCCGGGGCGCTTCGCGCAATCTTGCGGCAGACATCTAGAGAGTATAGAGACGCAGAGGGAGGCTAGACAGCTAGAGAAAATGAGGAAGTTAGAGACGCAGAGAGAGGCTAGACAGCTAGAGAAAATGAGGAAGTTAGAGACGCAGAGAGAGGCTAGACAGCTAGAGAAAATTAGGAAATTAGAGACACAGAGAGATTAGACAGCTAGAGACGCAGAGGAATATACACTCGCTCCGCTCGAGCCGCTTACGCGGAAGATTCCGGGCGCAGAGAGGCTAGACAGCTAGAGAAAAATTAGAGACGCAGAGGGAGCTACACTCGCTCCGCTCGAGCCGCTCACGCGGAAGATTCCGGGGCGCTTCGCGCAAGCTTGCGGAAAGCCTTGCGGCTCAGCCGCAAGTCTTCAAAAATTTTTAATCAAAAAATTATTTTTTGCCACAAAAAATCATCAAAAATGTGTCTTATCAGCCCAAAAAAAAATAAAAATCACAGGATTTTATTTTTATTATTTTTGTTATAATATTAAGTTGTGTGTGCAAACACACACAATTTTGATAAGAGCCAAAAAAAAATGATAAGAGAGTACGGTGCCGCAAGCTTGCGCGAAGCGCTCCGGAACCTTCCGCGTAGCGGCTCGAGCGGAGCGAGTGTAGGCCCCTCTGCGTCTCTGACACTCTAGCTGTCTAGCCCCTCTGCGTCTCTAACACCCTCTAGCTCTACACTATCTCAAACCCCTGTGCTCTCTACGTCTCTAGCCTCTCTGCGTCTCTAACATCTCTATGCTCTCTAGCTGTCTGCTGCAAGCTTGCGCGAAGCGCCCCGGAATCTTCCGCGCAAGCGGCTCGAGCGGAGCGAGTGTATGTTCCTCTGCGTGTCTAGCCATCGTCATTTTCTCTAGATGTCTAGCCTCTCTAAATTCCCTGTAGCTCAGCTGGTTAGAGATTGAATTAGTGATCTGGAGGTGCCGAGTTCGATCCCGCTAGTGGTCAAAATTTTTTTTTTCAAGCCTAAGCAGAGAGGCTAGAAAGCTAGAGGTGGTTAGAGACGCAGAGGGATCTACACTCGCTCCGCTCGGACCGCTAACGCGGAAGATTCCGGGGCGCTTCGCGCAAGCTTGCGGAAAGCCTTGCGGCTCAGCCGCAAGTCTTCTGAAAAAACTACTAAAAAATGAAAATGAGATGAAGGAAAAATAGGGGGAATGAATAAAAAATGTATGAGGCTTGACCAAAAATTGATACATAAAATATGAAGGGAAAGGGAATTTGATGCATTAAAAATGCATCAAATATTTTGTGGAAAATAATAAAAAATTTGGAGAATAATAACAATTTGTTTTCTAATATGAGCAATGCTAGAAAAAATGGGGGAAAACAGTAGCTTTTGAAGAGTTTCTAGACCTAAATTTTGTGCTGAACCTCGTGGAATCGCTGAAAATCGCTGAAAATCAGTGTTTTCATGAGTTTCAGCACAAAATTTCAGCCTTGAAACCTGTTTTCAGCTTCTGGAACATTTCTGAAATGATCCGAAAATTTTCAGCATTTTCTACAGTACCTTTTGAATTGTTTCTAGACCAAAATTTTGTGCTGAAACTCATGGAATTGCTGAAAATTGCTGAAAATCGGTATTTCCAGCATTTTCAGCGCAAAATTTCAGCCTAGAAACATATTTTCAGCTTCTGGAACATTTCTGAAATGATCCAAACATTTTCAGACTTTTTTAAAGATTCTTGAAAAATTCTTCTAGTCCCAATTTTTGTGCTGAAACTCATGGAATTGCTGAAAATTGCTGAAAATCAGTGTTTTCATGAGTTTCAGCATGAAATTTCAGCTTTGAAACCTATTTTCAGCTTCTGGAACATTTCTGAAATGATCCAAAGATTTTCAGCATTTTTTTTAAGATTCTTGAAAAATTCTTCTAGACCCAAATTTTGTGCTGAAACTCATGGAATCGCTGAAAATTGCTGAAAATCAGTATTTTCATGAACTTCAGCGCAAAATTCCAGCCTAAAAACATACTTCTCTACAGTAACCCGGTTGATCCATTTTTTCGGAATCTTTGGCACAATTTTCTACAGTAACCCACCCAACCTGGTTTATTCAAGAAATCGGTACAATACTACTAGGCATTCGAGAAATTCGCGGAACTTTTTGCCACATCATTTCCTGCACATTTTTATCGCAAATCAGCAGTGTATAGGGCATACTGAAGCTGAGCTGCAAAAAATTGGGAGGTTAGAGAGCACAGAGACAGCCAGACAGCTAGACACTCACCATATCCGACACAGTCATCATCATATTATGTTGCACAACCCGATTTATGTCGGGCACAAAAATGCCGACAGTAAATTCCCAGACAATAATCATCATGTAGATTACTGTATTCATCGCCACAATTACAGTAACCCTTTTGAGCATCGCTTGTGCTCTTGGAGCATTTTGATGCTCCAAAAATCTTGCTCGCAAGCTCAAAACCGTTCTGAGCCCTAGGATAATGATAATTGTGAAATAGGTCAAGGAGCACAAGCCTAGGTGTACTCCAAAAATGTAACGTTGCTCCGTGAATTCCGGTGCATCCACATAGAATCCTAATGTCTCATTGAAGATCAGTGGATGTATAGTATGAGCAATGGGTAGAATTATAGCCATGGAATAGAGAATCAGGCAAAAATAAATGAAAATACACCATTTTGACCAGAATTTTTGAGCATTTTCAAAGCGAATTAGGCTAAATCGATAGAAGCAGAGCAGAATTATGGAGACACTTTGGGTTTGGAAGAAAAATTGTTGGGTGAAGCTGGCTAGGGTGAGAATTTGGGTGGGAAGGTTTTGAAGGAGGCGGCCGGTGTCGGGACGCTGAGCCAGGCGATGGATCCAGGAATTGAAGTAGCAGCAGAGGTTCTGGAGTTAGGATTACTGTAGGTGGTTTTAGCGCGAAAAAACCACAATTTTTGATAGTAAATAGGCTTAGGTTTGAGCAAGGTATTTTCTGTAGTTTCTGGCGGGAAAATTTGAGATTTGAAAATTTGAATTTCCCGCTCGAATTTTACTTGGCGCGAAATTCAAAAATTCGAATTTTCTTACCATAATCTGATCGCATTGCACAACACGATAAAACGAGTTATCGAATCTCTTATTCACGCCGAAAACCACGATAAAAAATAACATGAGCAATACCGAAATCACACCGTATATCAGCCAAATATGAATCAATAACTCCATTTTATTTTATTTTTTTAATGTGAATTGAAAATTTTTGGTCGAAAAATAATTATAGGTGTGTTGCTCATGTTAACACAAAACTTCAGAATTATATTTATTGATTAATTAAAGCAACAGGGTAATTAAAAATTTTCAGAATCCCGAAATTAATTTCAGTGTTCTCCAGCTTCTCGTGCTCTTCTCACTTTAATTTCTCCGGGCTCGGAAATCGATAAAACCAGCTGGAAAAATTTGAATTTTTAAATTTCGCGCTCAAATTTTCAAGGCGCGAATTTTGAAAATTCAAAATTTCAAAAGCACTCACCGATTCTCCATTGAAAATTTTTGGTCGAAAAATAATTATAGGTGTGTTGCTCATATTAGTTGACATTTATTAGGTTTTTTTTTAATTTTCAGCACAAAATTTCAGCCTAGAAACATCTCAAAAGGTACTGTAGAAAATTGTGCCCAAAATTCCGAAAAAATGGATCAACTAGGTTACTGTAGAAAATTACTTTTCTAGGCTGAAATTTTGTGCTGAAACTCATGAAATTACTGATTTTCAGCGATTTTCAGCGATTTCATGAGTTTCACCGCAAAATTTGGGTTTAGAAAACAGTTCTCAAGAATCTAAAAAAAATTCTGAAAATTTTTGGATAATTTCAGAAATGTTCCAGAAGTTGAAAATATGTTTCTAGACCCAAATTTTCCGCTGAAACTCGTGGAATTGCTGAAAATCGCTGAAAATCAATGATTCCAGCGTTCTCAGCACAAAATTTGGGTCTAGAAACTCTTTGAAAGGTAGTGTAGAAAATTGTGCCCAAAATTCCGAAAAAATGGATCAACTAGATTACTGTAGAAAAATATGTTTTTAGGATGAAATTTTGTGCTGAAACTCATGGAAGCATTTATTTTCAGCAATTTTCAGCGATTTCATCAGTTTCAGCGCAAAATTTGAGTCCAAAAACTGATCAGCACCACTGAAAAACCCTATAATTTTCTTTGAAAATGTCAAAAAATTCTAGTTTTCTAGCAATTTCAGTCAAATTTTCAGCCTACTCAAAAAATGGAGCTCCTGTTGCACATTTGGCTCTACTACGGTGTATTTTCGGTATTGCTCATGTTATTCTTCATTCTGATTTTTGGGCTTCACGAAAGATTCCGAGGCTCGAGCTTCTACAAAATTGTGCAATGTGATATGTGCCTGAATTTGGCGTGTTATTTTAATTCGTGGATTTTCAGGTGAAAATTGATGAAAATTAGTATTTTCATGATTTTCAGCACAAAATTTCAGCCTAGAAACTAATTTTCAGCGTTTTTCCGGTTGATCCATTTTTTTGGAATTTGTGGCACAATTTTCTACAGTACCTTTTGAAGCGTTTCTAGACCCAAATTTTGCGCTGAAAGTCGTGGAATCGCTGAAAATCACTGAAAATCAGTATTTTCATGATTTTCAGCACAAAATTTCAGTCTAGAAAAATATTTTCAGCTTCTGGAACATTTCTGAAATTATCCAAAAATTTTCAGAATTTTTTAAAGATTCTTGAAAAATTCTTCTAGGCTGAAATTTTGTGCTGAAACTTGTCGAATATCTGAAAATTGCTGAAAATCACTATTTTCATGAGTTTCAGCACAAAATTTCAGTCTAGAAAAGTGGTTTTCTACAGTAATCCTTGGTTGATCCATTTTTTCGGAATTTCGGGCACAATTTTCTACAGTACCTCTCGAAAAGTTTCTAGACCCAAATTTTGTGCTGAAAATTGTGGAATCGCTGAAAATTGCTGAAAATCAGCATTTCCATGAGTTTCAGCACACAATTTCAGTCTAGAAACTTCATTTTCTACAGTAATCCGGATGATCCATTTTTTCGGAATTTCGGGCACAATTTTCTACAGTACCTCTCGAAGAGTTTCTAGACCCAAATTTTGTGCTGAAAATCATAAAATCGCTCGCCTAGACTCTAGTTTCAGACTAGCACAACGTCCAGACACCGGTTTTCTTCTCGAAACTCTCTACTACAATCATCACTGGATTTTTCGCTTCATCGCATTTTCCAACCACTTTTTTTTCCAAACCCAATCAATTAGCATAATTATTTTATGTTTTTATCGATTTTCGCTGATTAAATTCGAAAATTCCAACAAATTCTGGTCAAAATGGTATATTTTTGTGTATTTGGCGATTATTTTGTATTCTGTGGCCATTAATTTACCTGTGGCCTATATTTTTCATCCATTGATTTATAATGAAACTCTCAAGTATTTTGTGGACTCGAAGACACCTTTGGTGAGTTTTTCAGCGATTTTATGATTTTCAGCACAAAATTTGGGCCAGGAAACATCTTAGAGGGTACTGTAGAAAATTGTGCCACAAATTCCGAAAAAATGGATCAATGTAGAAAAACATGTTTCTAGGCTGAAATTTTGTGCTGAAAACGCTGGAATCATTGATTTTCAGCGATTTTCAGCAATTCCATGAGTTTCAGCGCAAAATTTTGGTCTAGAAGAATTTCTGAAGAATCTAAAAAAAATTGAAAATTTTTGGATCACTTCATAAATGTTCCAGAAGCTCAAAATATGTTTCTAGGCTGAAATTTTGTGCTGAAAACGCTGAAATTGCTGAAAATTGCTGAAAATCAGTATTTCCAGCGTTTTCAGCGCAAAATTTGGGGCTAGAAAGGTACTGTAGAAAAATTGTGCCAAAGATTCCGAAAAAATGGATCAACCGGGATTACTGTGGAAAAACATGTTTCTAGGCTGAAATTTTGTGCTGAAACTCATGAAATTGCTGAAAATTGATGAAAATCAATTTCAGGACGAGCAATTCGTGTTCAGTTGTCATCTGGTCGTCTGCACTCTCGTCTATTTCCTCACAATCGTCACTCTCGGCACTCTGACCCTCAAAAATCTTCGAATTCGATTTTCAAATTTGAATTCCCGCCAGCAAAAAGAAGATCAGCGAACTCAAGAAATGATGAAAAGAATGACAATTATTGTGGCAATCAATACCGTAGTCTATTTGATGTTAATTGTTTGGGAATTTACTGTAGGCCTGTTGTTTCCTAATATGAGCAATGATATGCAAACAAATATGATGATGTGTGTTTCGGATATGGTAGGTGCAAAGAAGAGCTACTGAATGAGCCGAAATTTGAGACTAGAAGAGCATTTTTCTACAGTAATCCGGTTGATCCATTTTTTTTGGAATCTTGGGCACAATTTTTTTTAGACCCAAATTTTGTGCTGAAACTTGTGGAATCGCTGGAAATCGCTGAAAATCAATAATTTCATGGTTTTCAGCGCAAAATTTGAGTCTAGAAACGTATTTTCACCTTCTGGAACATTTCTGAAATTATTCAAAAATTTTCAGAATTTTTCAAAGATTCTTCAGAAATTCTTCTAGACCCAAATTTTGCTCTGGAATTCGTGGAATCGCTGAAAATCGCTGAAAATCGATATTTCCTTGAGTTTCAGCGCAAAATTTGAGTCTAGAAACTTATTTTCAGCTCCTGCAACAATCCAAAAATTTTCAGAATTTTTTTTAGATTCTTGAGAACTGCAGAAAAATATGTTTCTAGGCCCGAATTTTGCGCTGATAATCATGGAATCGCTGAAAATTGCTGAAAACTAGTTTCTTGATGAGTTTCAGCACAAAATTTGAGCCTAGAAACTCTTCAAAAGGTACTGTAGAAAATTGTGCCCAAGATTCCAAAAAATGGATCAACCAGAGATTACTGTAGAAAAATATGTTTCTAGACCCAAATTTTGTGCTGAAACTCGTGGAATCGCTGGAAATCGCTGGAAATCAGTATTTCCATGAGTTTCAGCACGAAATTTCAGCCTAGAAACTTATTTTCAGCTCCTGGAACATTTCTGAAATGATCAAAAAATTTTCAGATTTTTTTTAGATTCTTAGGAAATTCTTCTAGACCCAAATTTTGTGCTGAAACTCGTGGAATTGCTGAAAATCGCTGAAAATCAATATTTCCTTGAGTTTCAGCGCAAAATTTGAGTCTAGAAACTTATTTTCAGCTCCTGGAACCTTTCTGAAATGATCAAAAAATTTTCAGATTTTTTTTTAGATTCTTAGGAAATTCTTCTAGACAAAAATTTTGTGCTGAAAATCATGGATTCGCTGAAAATCGCTGAAAATCAATATTTCCTTGAGTTTCAGCGCAAAATTTGAGTCTAGAAACTTATTTTCAGCTCCTGGAACCTTTCTGAAATGATCAAAAAATTTTCAGATTTTTTTTTTAGATTCTTAGGAAATTCTTCTAGACAAAAATTTTGTGCTGAAAATCATGGATTCGCTGAAAATCGCTGAAAATCAGTATTTCCATGATTTTCAGCACAAAATTTCAGCCTAGAAACTTATTTTCAGCTCCTGGAACAATCCAAAAATTTTCAGATTTTTTTTTAGATTCTTAGGAAATTCTTCTAGACAAAAATTTTGTGCTGAAAATCATGGATTCGCTGAAAATCGCTGAAAATCAATATTTCCTTGAGTTTCAGCGCAAAATTTGAGTCTAGAAACTTATTTTCAGCTCCTGGAACCTTTCTGAAATGATCAAAAAATTTTCAGATTTTTTTAGATTCTTAGGAAATTCTTCTAGACCCAAATTTTGTGCTGAAAATCATGGATTCGCTGAAAATCGCTGAAAATCAATATTTCCTTGAGTTTCAGCGCAAAATTTCAGCCCAGAAACATGTTTTTCTACAGTAATCCGGTTGATCCATTTTTTTGGAATCTTGGGCACAATTTTCTACAGTACCCTTTAAAGTGTTTCTAGGCTGAAATTTCGTGCTGAAAATCATGGAATCGCTGAAAAAGCACAAAATTTTTCCAGCTCAGCTTCAGTATGCCCTACACTTTATTATTCTGTGATAAAAATGTGTGCGAGGTGATTTTTGGCAATTTCAAATTTCAACTTCGCTCTGGTGTCACTTCAATAATTGCGCCGGGAAGTATAACATGAGCAATGTATCAAAAACATCTGAAAAATGACAACTAATATGAGCAATATAAACATTTATTCATTTTTGTGTTGTGACGTCATACACTCGACTCAGAATATTGTTGTTCTGACGTCATAAATCTGTCTATCTTTGTGACGTCATAAACCTGTCTAACATAAATCATCCAAGATTTACTTTTCTTCGAAAATTTCTCGACTGTAAACTGAGCATGTCCTTCTTGCAAATTCAAATCGACCATCAAAAAATAGTCCGAAAATTTTGGATGAGTGAATAGATATCGTTTGCTGCAAAAAATAGGGGGTTTTGGCTGAAATTTTGAGCTGAAAACGCTGCAATTATTGATTTTCAGCGATTTTCAGCAAATCCATGATTTTCAGCGAAAAATTTGAGTCTAGAAACTTGTTTTTCTACAGTAATCCGGTTGATCCATTTTTTTGGAATCTTGGGCACAATTTTCTACAGTACCCTTTGAGGTGTTTCTAGGCTGAAATTTTGTGCTGAAACTCGTGAAATTATTGATTTTCAGCGATTTTCAGCGATTCCACGAGTTTCAGCGCAAAATTTGGGTCTAGAAACTTGTTTGTCTACAGTAATCCGGTTGATCCATTTTTTTGGAATCTTGGGCACAATTTTCTACAGTACCTTTTGAAGAGGTTCTAGACTGAAATTTTGCGCTGAAACTCATGGAAATACTAGTTTTCAGCGATTTTCAGCGATTCCACGAGTTTCAGCGCAAAATTTGGGTCTAGAAACATGTTTTTCTACAGTAATCCGGTTGATCCATTTTTTTGGAATCTTGGGCACAATTTTTCTACAGTAGTAAAAAAAGGTTTCTAGGCTGAAATTTTGCGCTGAAACTCATGAAATTACTGATTTCCAGCGATTTTCAGCAAAGCCATGATTTTCAGCGAAAAATTTGAGTCTAGAAACTTGTTTTTCTACAGTAATCCGGTTGATCCATTTTTTTGGAATCTTGGGCACAATTTTCTACAGTAGTAAAAAAAGGTTTCTAGACCCAAATTTTGCGCTGAAAACGCTGGAATTATTGATTTTCAGCGATTTTCAGCCATTCCATGATTTTCAGCGCAAAATTTGGGTCTAGAAACATGTTTTTCTACAGTAATCTGGTTGATCCATTTTTTTGGAATCTTCGGCACAATTTTCTACAGTACCCTTTGAGGTGTTTCTAGACCCAAATTTTGTGCTGAAAATCGTGAAATCGCTGAAAATGACTCACAATGATTCATAGGCCCATAATTGATGATCTAATCCTTGAAAAATCACAGATTTGTCCAATTTTGATTTGATATTTTCCAGTTTTGTGATATAAAAAGTTCTCGAACCAAAATTTAGCTCAATTTTTTCCGCTTTTTCGAGCCAAGTTACGATAAATCGCCGATAATTTTCAATTTTCCAATGATTTGTGTTGATATTAACACTGCGCAGTGTTTTCCAAGTTAGCACATCTTCAAAATCATAGCCAATTCCATGGGTTTTCCTCTTATCTACAGTAATCTGTGTGATTTCTCGAAGTTTTCGGAAGTTTTTCGGGTCAACCATCAAATTCCGTTGGTCCCAATACATTTCGATTGTTTTCACGTGATTTTTCGAAAAATTCAGGAATTTTTGAAATACTGTGCTCGCCGCCTCTCTGTAGTTTTCAGCGAGAACAAACTTGGCTCGAGAAGTTCCGTCTGCATGTTGGATGGTCCTGAAAAACAAGAGGAGAAAATTTGGATTTTCATGATTTTCAGCACAAAATTTGGGTCTAGAAACATTTTTCTACAGTAACCCGGGAATTTTTGGCACAATTTTTCTACAGTAAGAGTTTCTAGACCCAAATTTTGCGCTGAAACTCGTGGAATTACTGGAAATCGCTGGAAATGAATAGCGTTTTCAGCGCAAAATTTAGATCTAGAAGAATTTCTGAAGAATATAAAAAATCTGAAAATGTTAGGATCATTTCAGAAATGTTCCAGAAGCTGAGAATAGATTTCCTAGCTGAAATTTTGTGCTGAAACTCGTGGAATTGCTGAAAATCGCTGAAAATCGGTATTTTCATGAGTTTCAGCGCGAAATTTCAGCCTAGAAACACTTCAAAAGGTACTGTAGAAAAATTATTCCAAAAGTTCCAAAAAAATGGATCAACCGGATTACTGTAGGAAAAAATCCTTCTAGACCCAAATTTTGCGCTGAAACTCGTGGAATTGCTGAAAATCGCTGAAAATCAATAATTCCAGCGTTTTCAGCACAAAATTTTGGTCCAGAACTCTTCAAAGAGTACTGTACAAAATTGTGCCAAAGATTCCAAAAAAAATGGATCAACTGGATTACTGTAGAAAAACATGTTTCCTGGCCCAAATTTTGCGCTGAAAACGCTGGAATTGCTGAAAATCGCTGGAAATTAATAATTCCAGCGTTTTCAGCTCAAAATTCGGGTCTAGATCCATTTTTTCGGAATTTTCGGCACAATTTTTCTACAGTACCCTCTACAGAGTCAAAATCATGTTTCCTGGCTCAAATTTTGCGCTGAAACTCGTGGAATTGCTGAAAACTCACCAACTAACTTCACATTTCGCCTGATCCTCTTCCAATTTCCTAAAAAGTCCACTAATCTTCACATCAAACTCCTCATTTCCCAATTCATCATATTTCTGCGCACCGCCCATCGTAAATCCACACTGAAAACACGTCGTGACCTGGGTGTTCAAACATTCATCCATCAATAAAAGTGAGCTGATGAATTTGGGATGGAGCCAGAGGCTCAAATTCAGCTCGGGTACTGTAGAAATCGCGATTTTGGCCAAATTGTGTTGCTCACTTTGCTCCAGAATAAGTTGACGTAACTCGAGTGGTAAATCTAGCCACGATTTTTCAATTTGCTCCATTTCTGGAAAAATTTAGGCCTTAAGGGTATTAAAAAGCCTTAGAAATAGGCCTTAAGGTCGCTTAAAAGCTTAAATTTAAAGGCTTTAAAGAAAGGCCTTAAAAGTAGGCCTTAAAAATAACCCTAATTAAAAAATTGAGCATTTTTTGTGTAGAGTCAGATAAAATCAATAAAAATACCAGAAAAATGGCGGTGTTTGGGGCGGAGCCTAGATTTGGACAGGTGCCAATTTTTTTTTATTGTTGCGTGCAACAAAAAAGGGGGAAGGTGTCAACTTTTGGCATTCTTGACCCAAATTTTGCGCTGAAACTCGTGGACTTGCTGGAAATCGCTGAAAATTAGTAATTTCATGAGTTTCAGCGCAAAATTTGGGTCTAGAAGGTTTTCAAAGGATACTGTAGAAAATTGTGCCCAAGATTCCAAAAAAATGGATCAACCAAGGGTTACTGTGAAAAATATGTTTCTAGGCTGAAATTTTGCGCTGAAAACGCTGGAATTATTGATTTTCAGCATTTTTCAGTGATTTCTTGGTTTTCAGCGCAAAATTTGGGTCTAGAAAGTTTTCAAAGGGTACTGTAGAAAATTGTGCCCAAGATTCCAAAAAAATGGATCAACCAAGGGTTACTGTGAAAAATAGGGTTCTAGACTGAAATTTTGCGCTGAAAACGCTGGAATTATTGATTTTCAGCATTTTTCAGTGATTTCATGAGTTTCAGCACAAAAATTCAGTCTAGAAACCCATTTTCAGCTTTTGGAACATTTCTGAAATGATCAAAAAATTTTCAGAATTTTTTCAAGATTCTTGAAAAATTCTTCTAGGCTGAAATTTTGCGCTGAAAACGCTGGAATCGCTGAAAATCGCTGAAAACCAGTATTTCTATGAGTTTCAGCGCAAAATTTGGGTCTAGAAAGTTTTCAAAGGGTACTGTAGAAAATTGTGCCCAAGATTCCAAAAAAAAATGGATCAACCAAGGGTTACTATGAAAAATATGTTTCTAGACCCAAATTTCGTGCTGAAAATCATGGAATCGCTGAAAATTGCTGAAAATCAATAATTCCAGCGTTTTCAGCGCAAAATTTGGGTCTAGAAGCCTAGAAAAGCCTAAAATCTAGGCTAAAAACACGTGGATTTTCATAGAAAAAATTTTATTCACAAGAAAATTATTCACAGATTATGGCAAAAAATTGGGCGATTTATGGCAACTCCAAATTCACACAACTCTAAAAATGCGAAAATTCCAGTTAGAATTCTAAAAATCAGACACATCTTCACAAAAAACGACGAAAAACTCCGAAAAAAATCGGAGAAAAAAGAGAATTCATCAATTTTATATGAAAACAAAAAAATCTGGAAAAAAATCTGAAAATTCTGCGAAATTATGAGCTTTTCCCCAGTCAAATCCCTCTTTTTTTAGCGATTTTTCAAAATGACGTGGCAGCGTTTTCGCCACGTCATCTCATTAATTTCACGTCACAAAAATCCCATTTTTTTTTGTTGAAACTAGACTCTAGTCTTTTGTTTTAATAAATAAATAGGTTTCTAGGCTGAAATTTTGTGCTGAAACTCATGAAAATACTGGTTTTCAGGGATTTTCAGCGATTCCATGAGTTTCAGCGCAAAATTTGGGTCTAGAAGAATTTTTCAAGAATCTAAAAAAATCCTGAAAATTTTTGGATCATTTCAGAAATGCTCCAGAAGCTGAAAATGGGTTTCTAGGCTGAAATTTTGTGCTGAAAATCATGAAATCAATGATTTCCAGCGATTTTCAGCGATTCCATGAGATTCAGCGCAAAATTTAAGTCTAGAACATTATTTTGAGGTTCTTTGATCAAAATCTCCAGAATTCCTTTCTGAACCAAAAATTGAGTTCCAGAATTTTTCTAAACTCAAATGTTACGCTGGAAATGCTGAGAATCACCAAAAATAATGATTTCCAGCGTTTTCAGTGCAAAATTTGGGTCTAGAAACCTTTTGAAGCTACTGTAGAAAATTGTGCCACAAATTCCGAAAAAATGGATCAACAGGATTACTGTAGAAAACATGTTTCTAGGCTCAAATTTTGCTGAAATTTTTTTTTTTTCATTCCGCCAAGGATCATTTTTCGAGCGAAAAACTTGAAATTCTCTTCAAAACACTTAATCAGAAAAACAAGTTTATTAACTTTAAAATTCATGTGCACAACAAAGGTGAACACCTTGTGCGTAAGGAGTTTTGACCAACAATTATAAAGCCCGGACATGGTACTATGCTTCGGGCCCAATTGCAATCCTAAATTTCATAATATAAATTAGTATCTCTAAATTTATTAAATGCACTTACTTTAAATCTCGCTGAAGATGCACTAAAAGAAAATACACACAATATTCCGGTTCATTTTTGAATATTTTCTGAAAATATTTTATGATTTTCAAAGCAAAAAAAAATAATCAAAAACATTTTTTCGCGAAAATTCAAGAAATTGTTGTGATGACGATCCAATTATTCATATGTAAATATTTTATTTCTCAAAATTTCAGCGATTGAAACTCATGGAAATGCTGGAAATCGCTGGAAATCAATGATTTCATAATTTTCAGCACAAAATTTGAGCCTAGAAACATGTTTTCTACAGTAACCCAGTTGATCCATTTTTTTTTTGGAATTTTTGGCACAATTTTCTACAGTAGCTTCAAAAGGTTTCTAGACCCAAATTTTGCACTGAAAACGCTGGAAATCATTATTTTTGGTGATTCTCAGCATTTCCAGCGTAAAATTTGGGCCTAGAAAAATTCTGGAACTCAATTTTTGGTTCAGAAAGGAATTTTAGAGTTTTTGATCAAAAAGCCTCCAGAACCTCAAAATAATGTTCTAGACTTAAATTTTGCACTGAAACTCATGGAATTGCTGGAAATCGCTGGAAATCATTGATTTCATGATTTTCAGCACAAAATTTGAGGCTAGCAAAATGATTTTCTACAGTAATCCGATTGATCCATTTTTTTTTTTGGAATTTTTGGCACAATTTTCTACAGTACCCGGAAGAGTTTCTAGACTCAAATTTTGCGCTGAAACTCATGGAATTGCTGGAAATCGCTGAAAATCAGTATTTTCATGATTTTCAGCACAAAATTTGAATATAGAAACATGTTTTTTTTATAAAACCAAAGACTAGAGTCTAGTTTCAACAAAAAAATGGGATTTTTGTGACGTGAAATTTATGAGAAAATGACGTGGCGAAAACGCTGCCACGTCATTTTGAAAAATCACTATAAAAAGGGAGATTTGGCAGGGGAAAAGCTCATAATTTCGCAGAATTTTCAGATTTTTTTCAGGTTTTTTTTCTCTTTTTTTTTATAAAATATATCGTCTTTCATCTCTGACTTGTTCGAGTTGATTTGATTTTTTTTCAAACTGGCGAAATCAATGGATTCATTTTTTGCATTCTCTAGAATTCTAACCGGAATTTTGTATTTTTAGAATGCTGTGAATAGCGATTTGCCATAAATCGCCCAATTTTTTTTCTGTCTATAATCTGTGAATAATTTTCTTGTGAATAAAATGTTTGCTATGAAAATCCACGTGTTTTTTTTTGAGTTCGCCTGGATTTTAGGCTTATTTTAGGCCTTTTAGGCCAAGCTTCTCTCAAATCTAGGCCTAACTTTGTATAGGCTTTTCCTAGTGTAGTTTTCAAGGCCCAGTTTCTAGGCTTTTACAAAATCTAGCCTTCTTGAAAAATTCTTCTAGACCCAAATTTTGTGCTGAAACTCGTGGAATTGCTGAAAATTGCTGAAAATCTATATTTCCATGAGTTTCAGCACAAAATTTCAGCCTAGAACTCTATTTTCAGCTTCTGGAACATTTTTGAAATGATCCAAACATTTTCAGAATTTTTTTAGATTCTTCAGAAATTCTTCTAGACCCAAATTTTGCGCTGAAACTCATGGAATCGCTGAAAGTTGCTGGAAATCAGTAGTTCCATGATTTTCAGCATAAAATTTGGGTCTAGAAACCCTAAATCTAAAAAATTGTGCCTCCTACCGTACTCACCTCTAATGTGACGTGGCAATTTTTTTTGACGTGAAAAAATATTTCGAAATATTTTTGTCGAAGAGAAGAAGAATGTAAGCAAGGGAGAATGAGACCTGAAAAGAGTACTGTAGACTACAGTACCACCTACAGTAACCCACCAAATCTGAAGCGCTCAATAAAAGCCTAAACGTTGTCGAAATGCTGGGCTTCAAAATGCTGGAAATTTGCCAAACTATAAATCCGAAGTAGACAAGGGAATTTAGAAAAATTATGATTTTCAGCTTTCGGCGAGTCGTTTCTTCTGAAAATTTGGGAAAATTCGGGATTTTTTGAGGTACAGTAACTCTAGTTGATCCATTTTTTTTCTTTCTAGACCCAAATTTTGTGCTGAAACTCGTGGAATCGCTGAAAATCACTGAAAATCAATAATTTCACAAGTTTCAGCACAAAATTTCAGCCTAAAAACATGTTTTTTCTACAGTAACCCTTGGTTGATCCATTTTTTCGGAATCTCTGGCACAATTTTCTACAGTACCCTCTAGGAGTCAAAAATAACTTTCCCGACCCAAATTTTGTGCTGAAAATCACTAAACCCACCATGAACTCTGTCCCTCACTCCAACAATCGTAAAAACACCCAAAAAAACAATGATCAAAAAATAAATGCCAGTCTCCAGTGCAATCATTTTCTTCCTCAGCTCTTTTTTCCACGGCTCCAAATTATCCGAAAATTTCTGGAGCTCAAAATCCCAATAAGTACGGTCTAAAATATCCAAAAAATAATTGGGAAGGGTTAGAAGAGTACTGTAGATTAGGCAAATTAGGTAGATTTTTAGGGAGATTTTGTTCCAGATCTGTAAAAATTGGGGCTTTTGGGGCCTAAAAATGGCCAAAAATCCATAATTTTCAGCCAAAATTACTGTATTCGCTGTCAAATATCTGGAAATCGTCAATCGATAACAGCACAGAATAATAATACCCGAACTTTGTGCGTGAAAAAACCAGAATCGAAAAAATGTCAAAATGTAGATCAAATTTGGGTCGCGAAAAAGGAATTTGCTCAATTCTTCGTCGTATTCGATTCTGGTGAACCAACTATTCAAATAACATGATAAATTCTGAAAATTCCGGATTTTTTGAGGTACAGTACACCTTGATCCATTTTTTCGGAATTTTTGGCACAATTTTCTTTCTTGGCTCAAATTTTGTGCTGAAACTCGTGGAAATGCTGAAAAACGCTGAAAATCATTGTTTTCATGAGTTTCAGCACGAAATTTCAGCCTAGCAACTCTTCAAAAGGTACTGTAGAAAAATTGTGCCAGAGATTCCAAAAAAATGGATCAACCGGATTATTGTAGAAAAACAATCTTCTAGACTCAAATTTCTTGCTGAAACTCGTGGAATTGCTGAAAATCACTGAAAATTAGTAATTCCATGAGTTTCAGCACGAAATTTCAGCCTAGAAACCTATTTTCAGCTTCTAGAACATTTCTGAAATGATCCAAAAATTTTCAGAATTTTAAAAAGATTCTTGAAAAATTCTTCTGGACCCAAATTTTGTGCTGAAACTCGTGGAATCGCTGAAAATCACTGAAAATCAGTATTTCCATGATTTTCAGCACAAAATTTGAGTCTAAAAACAATGTTTTTCTACAGTAACCCGGTTGATCCATTTTTCGGAATCTTTGGCACAATTTTCATCTACAGTACCCCAGAACTCACAATAATCAAATCCACCTTAACAATTTGATAAAACGAGTGTCGAAAACATGATTTTTTGCTTTGAAGAATAAAAAGCAGAAAAATTATCAGAAATACTGAAAAACTACCGTAACCCAGCCAGACAAGAATCATAAAATGCATTTTTTTTTTGGAAAAAAATTTATCCAAAAAAAAATTTTTTTTTGTTTTTGTGAACAACAAAAGGGCTAAACAATTATCTTGCTGAAAATAATCAGAAATTAATTTTATTTTTTTTAGCTGACTATAAATTTTGTGCACTTTTTTGTAGTTTGAAGGCTTCTGGGCTGAAACTTTGTGCTGAAACTGGTGAAAATTGTGATTTTCAGGGATTTTCAGCAATTTCCTGATTTTCAGCACGAAATTTCAGCCTAGAAACACTTCTAAAGGAACTGTAGAAAATTGTGCCAAAGATTCCAAAAAAAATGGATCAACTGGGATTACTGTAGAAAAACATGTTTCTAGGCTGAAATTTTGTGCTGAAACTTATGGAAATACTGATTTTCAGCGATTTTCAGCGATTGTACGAGTTTCAGCAAGAAATTTCAGCCTAGAAAAAATTCTCAAGAATCTGATAAAAAAATTCTGAAAATTTTTGGATCATTTCAGAAATGTTCCAGAAGCTGAAAATAGGTTTCTAGGCTGAAATTTTGTGCTGAAAACGCTGAAAATGCTGATTTTCAGTAATTTTCAGCGATTCCACGAGTTTCAGCACAAAATTTCAGCCTAGAAAAATGTTTTGCCGCAAGCTTGCGCGAAGCGCCCCAGAATCTTCCGCGTAAGCGGCACGAGCGGAGCGAGTGTATATCCCTCTGCGTCTCTAACTTTCCATACTCTCTAGCTGTCTAGCTACTCTGCATCTCTAACAAGCTCTATGTTCTCTAGCTGTTTTGCGCGAAGCGCCCCGGAATCTTCCGCGTAAGCGGCACGAGCGGAGCGAGTGTTTGTCCCTCTGCCTCTCTAACCATCTCTGGCTGTCTAGCCGTCTACCCCCTCTGCGTCTCTAACTTCCTCATACTCTCTAGTTGTCTGGCTCTCTAGCTCAGGCCCGAAAAATTTTTTATGAATCATTATTATGAAAAAGTACAAATCCTACAGACACCTATAATTAATTTTACTACAAACTAATTGCAAGTTATCCTAAGTCACAATTCCCGACGAAACAACTCTCGAATTCCCACGAAATTTCGAATACTCCAAAAATAGATCGTGCAAATTCTTATCAAACATCAAAATGACAATCGGAATCGAAAAACATCCAACATCAGCACAAGACATCAAAAAAGCCACACTTTGCTCTTGGCTCAAATTCGGGAACACAAATCCATTGATTATTTCCCATAGAATTAAAGCATCGTAATTAATTGTGATAATTAAGGTCATTAAGGTCATTCGCCTTAGGGTTTTTGAGGAAGTTTGAAGGGCGGATAAACGATGACGAAGTTGGAGAAGTGTTAGGATTCCGATGATTGAAATTAGGAAAGAATAGGTGACTGTGGAAAGGCCTACGACTATTTTGAAACCGATCATCGGGATATCGTAGTCCTGAAAGATTTTGGTGATTTTCAGCGTTTTCAGCGCGAAATTTGGGCCAGGAATTTTTTCAGGGTACTGTAGAAAATTGTGCCAAAAATTCCGAAAAAATGGATCAACCGGGGTTACTGTAGAAAAACAAGCTTCTAGACCCAAATTTTGTGCCGAAAATCAAGAAATCATTGATTTTCAGCGATTTTCGACATTTCCAGCATTTTCAGCGGTGAATTTCAGCCTAGAAATGTTTAAAAACTACTGTAGACAAAAATTGTGCCACAAATTCCGAAAAAATGGATCAACCGGAAAAAAACTGAAAATAAAGTTTCTAGACTCAAATTTTGCGCTGAAAATGCTGGAATTAGTGATTTCTAATAAATTTCAATACTTTCAGAATTTTCAGCGCCTAGAAGAATATTTTTCTACAGTAATCCGGTTGATCTATTTTTTCGGAATCTTTGGCACAATTTTCTACAGTACCTTTTGAAATGTTTCTAGACCCGAATTTTGTGCTGAAAATCATGAAATCGCTGAAAATGGATGAAAATCAGTATTTCCCACATTTTCAGCACAAAATTTCAGCCTAGAAACATGTTTTTCTACAGTAATCCGGTTGATCCATTTTTTCGGAATCTCTGGCACAATTTTCTACAGTAGTAGGAAAAAAGTTTTTAGACTAAAATTTTGCGCTGAAAACGCTGGAATTCATGATTTTCAGCGTAGAATTGCTCACCTCAACATCTAGGCTAAACTTCTGTTCGATTTCATCAAACTTCAACGCATTCAACACATTAAAATACAAAACTGGATAAGTTAGGATAAATCCATAAGATAGAAGCCCAAAATAGATGAAAATATAGTATTTTTTCCAAAAAACACTTGAACTCTCATATTTTGTCGTAGAATATCTGTGTAAACACAATAAAATGACACTTCCACTTTGAATATGCAAAAAATATAAATTCAGGAACATAGTTAGCACAAATACCCAATGATAGTTATAATAAATCGGAATCATTAGATTTTTTGTGGATGGATTCATTGATAAACGGGTTATCCAGGTGTTTAGGTAGGATATTAGGTTCTGGAAGCGGGATTTTTGAAATCTGCAGGGTTTTTGGGTCAAAATGATATCTCACAAGCCTAGGTTTGGGCCTGGGCTTAGGCTTATTGGATTCTCCTTGAAATTTGGATCAAAATGATATCTCACAAGCCTATTCCAGGCTTCTGAAAAGGCTAAGCCAGAATCTAGGCTCTTCTGAGGCTTTTCCAAAATATAGGCCTATTTTAGGGCTTAATTAGGCTTCTCTGAAAATCTAGGCCTTTTTTAGACTTGTCAAAAATCTATGCCTGGTTTCTAGGCTTCTGAAAAGGCTAGGCCTATTCTAGGCTTCTCCAAACTCCAGGCCTACTTAAGGCTTTTTCTAAATCTAGGCCTATTTTAGGCTTTTCCAAAATCCAGGCTCATCTTAGGCTTGCCCAGAATCTAGGGCTGAATTCTAGGCTTCTGAAAAGGCTAGGCCCGAGTTCTAGGCCTTAATTAGGCTTCTCAAACATTTAGGCCTTTTTTAGGCTTGTCAAAAATCTAGGCTTGATTTTTAGGCTTCTGAAAAGGCTAGGCCTTATTTAGGCTTGCTCGAATTATAGGCCTATTTCAGGCTTTTCAAAAAATCTAGGCCCACCCATATTCGGTCTCATTTTGAAGCCCTTCTCCAGGTCTATAAGCCGAAACCCAGGCCTAGGCTTAGACCCTTTTCAGGCCCTCAAAACTCACCAAAACAATATCACACTGAACCAGCCTATAAAACGAATATCCGAATTTTTTGGACCTCGAAAAGCAGGCCAACAAAAAGAGCATCAATAGGACACCGGCACAACCGTAGTACAGCCAAATTCGAATTTGCAACATTTTCAAAATTTAAATTCAGGTTTTTCGGGGTTTGAGAGCAAAAAACGTGATTTTTTGCATGCGAAAATGAGCTCAGCGGTGATTTTTAACCTAAAATTAATTTTTTAAGGCTGTAATTAGGGCTGGGTACGATTTTTTGAGAGTTCAAAGTTTTCAGATCTCCGAAATCTGGGCTCAAAACTTGCTGGAAATCGATGTTTCCAGCATTTTCAGCACAAAATTTCAGCCTAGAAACATGTTTTTCTACAGTAATCCGGGTGATCCATTTTTTTGGAATCTTGGGCACAATTTTTGTTTACAGTAGTTCTTAAACATTTCTAGGCTGAAATTCACCGCTGAAAACGCTGGAAACAGTGAAAATTGCTGAAAATCCTGAATTCCAGCATTTTCAGCACAAAATTTCAGCCTAAAAACCGATTTTCAGCTTCTGGAACATTTATGAAATAATTCAAAAATTTTCATAATTTTTTTTTAGATTTTTCAGAATTTCTTCTAGACCCAAATTTGGACGTTTTAAAGAAAAAAACGGCCCAAAAACTTTCGATTTTAACACATTTTATTGAATTTCTTAAGAAGAAAGAAGGCAAAATAAATGTTGGGAACAGCGAAAAAAAATTATTAAAAAAAAAAAAAAAAATTTTTTTTCGAGCGATATCAATTGTTGGTAAGAGTTTCGTTGGCAGCATAGTTTTCACAGTGTGAACCAGAGAAATTTCTGAAAAAAAAATGAAATTGACAGCTTTTGGGGTCAAAAAGGGTAAAAATCGGGAAAAATAGTGATTTCTAGCGTTTTCAGTGCAAAATTTGGGTCTAGAAACTCTTCCGGGTACTGTAGAAAATTGTGCCAAAAATTCCAAAAAAAAAATGGATCAATCGGATTACTGTAGAAAATCATTTTGCTAGCCACAAATTTTGTGCTGAAAATCATGAAATCAATGATTTCCAGCGATTTCTAGCAATTCCATGAGTTTCAGTGCAAAATTTAAGTCTAGAACATTATTTTGAGGAGGCTTTTTGATTAAAAACTCAAGAATTCCTTTCTGAACCAAAAATTGAGTTCCAGAATTTTTCTAGACTTAAATTTTACGCTGGAAATACTGAGAATCACCAAAAATAATGATTTCCAGCGTTTTCAGCGCAAAATTTGGGTCTAGAAAAATTCTGAAACTCAATTTTTGGTTCAGAAAGGAATTTTAGAGTTTTTAATCAAAAAGCCTCCTCAAAATAATGTTCTAGACTTAAATTTTGCACTGAAACTCATGGAATTGCTGGAAATCGCTGAAAATCATTAATTTCATGATTTTCAGCACAAAATTTGGGTCTAGAAAGTTTTCAAAGGGTACTGTAGAAAATTGTGCCCAAGATTCCAAAAAAATGGATCAACCAAGGGTTACTGTGAAAAATATGTTTGTGGACCTAAATTTTGTGCTGAAAACGCTGAAATTATTGATTTTCAGTGATTTCTTGGTTTTCAGCACAAAATTTGGGTCTAGAAGGATGTTTTTCTACAGTAATCCGGTTGATCCATTGGAATTTTTGGCACAATTTTCTACAGTACCCTTTGAAGAGTTTCTAGACCCAAATTTTGCACTGAAAACGCTGGAAATCATTATTTTTGGTGATTCTCAGCATTTCCAGCGCAAAATTTGAGTCTAGAAAAAAAACTCACTGTGGACAGTCGACATTTGTTTCAATGTTCACTGTGATACCAAAATCTGATTGACGTCTAAATCCTCCAACTGAATCGGCGGAATCTTTAAAGTGAAGTTGAATATTTTGATTCTCAGATTTGAGTCGACTTGGCAATGTTGAACCCATAAATCGTCCACTAATCATATCGTTTAATTTGAATTTATATGAAAGAGTTTTGTGATAAGGAATAGCAAAATAGGTTGGAGTTCCGGGGAAAACTGGAACAACCGCTGTCAACATAAACTCTCGTTTATTTGTGTACACTTCGACGTGGGTTATACATCTTTTATTCGATGTGAACTTCGTACGAAGGAAGTTTGAATCAGAAGAAGATATTGGGAAGAAGACAAAGAGAAGAAGCAACCACATTCTTCTGAAACAAAAATATATTTTTCTGGTAAATGAGAAGACATGTGCACTGACTAAAGGTCAAACCATTATAATTAGTCTATTCATAGTCCCCACCTGTTGTGGGCGGAGTTTGGGATTTTGGGAAAACATTTTTTTTACCCAATGGACCTCTGAGCCAAGTTCCGGGCTCTCGATTTAAAAATAAATTTTGTGAAATTCCGGATACTGTTTTTTTTCTAGACCCAAATTTCATGCTGAAAATCATGAAATCAATGATTTCCAGCGATTTCCAGCAATTCCATGAGTTTTAGTGCAAAATTTGAGTCTAGAACATTATTTTGAGGAGGCTTTTTGATTAAAAACACTAAAATTCCTTTCTGAAGAGGAAATTGAGTTGCAGAATTTTTCTAGGCCCAAATTTTACGCTGGGAATGCTAAAAATCGGGAAAAATAGTGATTTCCATCGTTTTCAGTGCAAAATTCGGGTCTAGAAACTTTTCAAAAGGTACTATAGAAAATTGTGCCCAAAATTCCGAAAAAATGGATCAACAGGATTACTGTAGAAAACATGTTTCTAGGCTCAAATTTTGCTGAAATTTTGAGAAATAAAATATTTTCATATGCGAACGCATGATGACAATATGAATAATTGGATCGTCATCACAACAATTCCTTGAATTTTCGCGAAAAAATGTTTTTGATAATTTTTTTTGTATTTTCTTTTAGTTTGAAAATGCTTTGAAAATCATAAAATATTTTCAGAAAATATTCAAAAATGAAAATGAACCGGAATATTGTGGTATTTTCTTTTAGTGCGTCTTCAGCGAGATTTAAAGTAAGTGCATTGCAATAAATTTAGAGATACTAATTTATATTATGAAATTTAGGATTTTGGTAAATTTTCCCAATTAGTATAGTAGATTTTTCAGAACCAATTATCGCACGCTATTATTCCAACAACAATTGAAAACCCATCAGAACCAATTCGACTTCCTTACGCACAAGGTGTTTACCTTTGTTGTGCACATGAATTTTAAAATTAATAAAACATTTTGCGCCTGGCTTATTTTCAACATTTTATGGGAGTACTGTACTTAATTCTATCTACAGTACTCCCAAATTCATTCAGGTTTTCTACGGTAACTCAAGAAGCCAAAAGAGCTCAGGTCACTGAAATCAGTGCTCAAAATCATCTACAGTAATCCAGACAAAAAAAAAATTAATTTCTCAACAAAACAAATCAACAACAATAACAATGGTGTCAAAAGACACGTGGATTTTTGGCGCCAAACAAAAAAAAATGGTGACACGTGGCGCACAATTCTAGTCTTCGTCGCTGAAATTTTGCGCATCAATTTCGTCGCCAAAATCCTGGTCCTCTTCCATTTCCTCTTGATTTCCAGACTCGTTTTTGACTTCCTGCAAGAAAAAATGGAATTTTTAAAGGCCTAGTTTAGGCTTAGGCTTCGGCCCGAAAACTAGGGATTTGAACTGAATTTCAAGCCCAGTTTTTTGGCCCAAAATTTAGGGATTTGTGCTCATTTTCAGGGCTAAAGGTAGGCCAAAAATTCAGGTTTCTAGGCCCTTTCAGGCCTGAAATTGGACTTGCTTAGGCCCAAGATTTAGGTTGATTTTCAGGGATTTTAGGCTCAGAAATAGGCCCGAAAATCTAGGCTCAATTTCAGGCTCAAAATTGGGGCCCGAAAATTCAGAAATTCAGCCTAATTTTCAGGCCCAAAGGGAGGCTTGTTTGGGCTCATTTTAGGCCCAAAAACTATGGGATTCAGGCTCATTTTCAAGCCTACCTTTAGGCCCGATTTCAGGCTTTTCAGGCTCAATTTTCCCCTAGTTTTTGGCTCAATTTTCCCGGCTCAAAAAAAGTTCCCTTTTTTCGTTCTGAGCGAACAAAGAGATTATTATTTTTATTTTGTTGTTTTTTACTCTTTTTTTCTTTTTCCTCCGAAGACTCATCATAAATAAAATGAGTTTTCTTTTCATTTTTCCAGTGAAAAAACGTCGTAAAATTTTCATTTTCTCATTTTTGTTATTGTAATTTATGATAACTTGGAAAAATTTGAGCAGAAAAACCATGCCGCAAAATTGCAGAACAAATTTTCTTGCAATTTCGCCGCACAGTTTTTAATGTAATTTTTCATAAGAAAAACCATGCGGCGAAATTGCAGAACAATTTTTCTTGCAATTCCGCCGCACAGTTTTTTAAAGAGAATTTTTGGTATCAAAATTTGCTTCAGAAAAACTGTGCCGCAAAAGTGCAAAAAACTTTTTTTTTGCAATTTCACCGCACAGTTTTCAATGTTTTTTTCCCGCCAAAACCCCTACAGTACTCACGGTTTTCGCGCCAAAACCATATTCATCACCGAATTTGTTGACATCGAAATTTTTGCCGTCAAACCGGGATCGGGCCTCTTTTCGCTCGCGAGCCGTCATTTTCTCCTTGACCGCGTCCGACATGGTTTTTTGACGATCCGAGACGGCGTTGAACAATTGAACCACTCCTCTGCAAAGAAATCAGGGGTTTTGGTGCATTTTGGAGCTCTGGGAGCTGAATTTTGATCTTGGGACCATGAAAATTGGATTTTTGATGAATTTTGCAGTTCTGGGAGCTAAAAATGAGCTCCAGAGCTCAATTTTGACTCTAGGACCATTAAAATTGGATTTTTGGTGAATTTTGGAGCATGTTGAGCTAAAAATGAGCTCCGGGAGCATAATTTCGACTCTAGGAGCATGAAACTAGGTTTCAAAGCTCATTTTGAGCTCTGGGACTATGAAAAATGGAATTTTGGAGCTCTATGAGCTCTAAAGCTTATATTTAGCTTCTCGAGCATGATTTTCATCTAAGGACCATCGAAATTGGCTCCAGAACTGATTTTTGAGCAAATTTCGAAGTTCCCAAGTTCAAAAACATTTTTTTTTGATTTTTTGAGCTCTATGACTCAAAAATTAGCATTATAAGCTCGAAAAGTATAAAATTTCAAAAAAATTGAGCCAATTTTCAAAGTGTAGTGCTCAAAAATTGGATTTTTAGCATTTCTTTCTCGCTTTTCAGCTTCAGAGCTCAAAAACCCCTTCGAATATAATTTTCATGCAAAAAAAACCACTAAAAAGCGATAATTTCACACATATTTTTCCCCAGCCGTAAATCTGGCTGCAAAAAAAAACAGCAGATGACTTTTCGGAAAAAAAAACGGAAAATAAAAAAATAAATTATTCTCAAGTGTTTTCCCTTCGCAGAAAACCCATAGATTCGGCTTCTCATTTTCGTCGCAAGTTTTTTTTCGAAATTTTTTGCTCGAGGAATCGGATCTGGAGCTGAAAATCCAGCTTCAGAGCTCGAAAACTCAATTTTTAGTGAATTTTTGAGTTCCAGAACATATTTTCTAACTTTGGAGCTCAAAATTCAGCTTTAGAGTTCAAAAATCATATTTTCCGTGAATTTTTCAGCTCCAAGGCTGAAAATCTAGCTCCAGAGCTCACAAATTACATTTCCAGTGATTTTTTCAGCTCCAGAGCTCAAAATCTAGGTGTAGAGCAAAAAAACTCAGTTTTCAATGAATTTTTCAGCTCCAGAGCTCAAAAAACCGCATTTTCCTTCAATTTTTCACCCAAAATCCCCCCAAAAACCCTCACTTAGTGGCAAGTTTCCTCAAATTTCGCTCCTTTTCTCTATCGGTAATAATATCTGGTTTGACAAGTGCCAATTTCACTCGATACTCTTTCAAACTTCTCTTCATACTCTGCTCTTTCCGCGTCAATTTCTTCACAATTTTCCGCTTCTGCCGCAACGCGTTTGGCGCGTTTTGAAAAGCGATTGTGTCTTCGCGACTTTGCCGCGCCGCTTCCGGACCCTCTTCTCCGGAATCGTCCGATTCTCTTTCGTAGTCATAATCTGAATCTTCTGTCACTTCTAATCGATCACCCATTTTGTGTCGAAAATCTACAAAATCTTGTGATTTTAGGTGAAAAATTAGGTTTTTTCTATGCCACGTGGCAATTTTTTACGCAAAATTTGCTTCAAATTCATCAAAAACCACCGAAAACCCCCCAAAAACAAAAAAAACCCAACATTTTCGCCTCAAAACGAAAAAAAAACGCGTTTGGTTTCCTAGGCCACGCTTCTTCGGCCATGCATCTAGGGTTTCTAGTCCCCCGCGATTTTCAGCCGGATTTTCAGATTTTCTTCAATAGATTTGAGGTTTATGTGAATGAGAAGAGTGCGCGGAACATTTTGATATATGACACGTGGCATTTTCAGTCCAAATTTTCAGATTTCTTGTAAAAATTCAGAATTTTTCAAATTTTGAACATTTCAGCTGAAAATCCACGTGGCATCTAGAAAATCAGGAAATTCGGGAAATTTTCAGATGCCACGTGGATTCTGCAGCCAAATTTTCAGATTTCTTGTAAAAATCCAGAATTTTTCAAATTTTGAACATTTCAGCTGAAAATCGACGTGGCATCTAGAAAATCAGGAAATTCTGAAAAATTTCAGATGCCACGTGGATTCTGCAGCCAAATTTTCAGATTTCTTGGAAAAATTCAGAATTTTCTCAAATTTTGTGAATCTCAGCTGAAAATCCACGTGTAACCCAGAAATTCCCGAATTTCCTGATTTTCAGATTCCAAGTGGATTTTCAGTCAAAAACATCTGATTCAGCTGAAAATTCACGTGTAACCTGAAAATTTGAAATTTTCAGATGCCACGTGGATTTTCAGCCTAAATTTTCAGATTTCTTGGAAAAATTCAGCTGGAAATCCACGTGTAACCTGAAAATTTGAAATTTCCAAGAAAATTTCAAATTTTCAGATGCAACGTGGATTTTCAGCCCGAATTTTCAGATTTCTCGGAAAGTGTAGGTGGATTTTTGAGCTTTTCTGAGCTCTCTGAACATTTTTTTTGATTTGAAAAAAAAATGTGCACACTTGAGCCAAATTTTTAGTGGCTTTTTTTTCACATAAAGAGCAAAGATTTTTTTGCTGTCTTCTAAAAGGAAAAAGTCATTTGATATTCAAACAGATTTTTTTCCACCAAAACGAGGAAAAAAGGTTAGGTTTCGTGGCCGAAAAATGCTCATTTTGGAGCATTTTCGGGCTCCGAAGAAGCCATATATGTTTTCTAGTAGATTTCGACCCGCTGATCACGATTCCGACGTTAAAAACTACTTAGCCTAACTCCTAATATGAGTTATGACGTGGCAAAGTTGGAAAAGGGTAACTTATACATATAGCAATGTAAAGTCACCATTTTCCAACTTTGCCACGTCATAACTCATATTAGAAGTTAGGCTAAGTAGTTTTTGACCTCGGAATCGTGATCAGCGGGCCAAAATCCACTAGAAAACATGTATTTTATCAGCTCGGAGCCCAAAAATGCTCATTTTGCACCGAAAAGAGCATTTTTGCTCATTTTGGAGCAAAAAAAAAGCGAGTTAACCTAATTTCTCTCATGTGTTTCGCTTTTTGTTTCGTGTCAAGAGGTCGTGGCTCAAAAAAATTTTTTGAAAAAACATTTTTTAAGAGCTTCTTTTTAGTGTCTGTGAGCAAAAAGAGCAAAACTCCCCCGATTTTCAAGAGTTTTTTTTGTTTTTCGCGCCAAAAATTTGGCTATTTTTTCACACGACTCTGTAAATTTCCCTATTCATTCGAAAAAAATGTGATTTATTATTTCTCTATTTTTTTTTGCTTAAAGGAACCCCCCGGAAAAAGTTAATGGAGCGAAGACTTTTTTTCTATTTTTTGCCTCTAGAGAGACAAAAACGGAGATTTTTGAGTTGCACTAACTCAAAAATGTCCGGTTTTGTCAAAAAATTTGTCATTTTCAGCTAGAAAAATGCGAATTTTGGTGATTTTGACGTCAGTTTTGTGTTTGGCGGATTGCCAGCAAAAAGAACTGCTCAACGCCTTGTTTAAGGACTATAAGAAGGAGTTAAGGTAAGTATGGGCACGAAATTCAGATTCTTCATGAAAAATCGATAATTTTGAGTGCAAATTTGGTGGAAACTGCTCAAAAATGAAGATTTTTATGAAAATTTGAATTTTCCCGCCAAAAATCGTTCCCCCAGGTTTCCCGCCAAAACCGCACCGCGCAATACGCTGCGCTTGCCACGTGGCAACATTTCGCCACGTGGAATTTCAGTTTTCCCGCCAAAAACCCGGGTTTTCCGGGTGAAAATGAAAAAACCCAAAAAAAAAAACAAAAATAATTTTTTTCGAAAAAAAACTGGGCGGGTGCGCTAGAGCGCACTTGCATGCACGCTGCGAGACCCATGTGTGTTTGTGTGTGCGTCTTTGAAACTACAGTAAGATTTTTTTTTCAATTTTTTTTATTTTTCACCGAAAATCAAGGTTTTTGGTGTGAAAACGCGTGAAATTTTGCGGGGAATTCGAATTCACTATTCATTTCCAATGAAAAAATAATTCTAGACCAGTGCGCGATGAAAACAGTGGTCCAACCAACGTGACAGTCCAATTATACTTCAAACAAATTCAAAAAGTTCACGAAAACGATCAGATTATCACGTTGTATTGTTGGATTGAGGAATATTGGTATGACGAGTTTCTGACGTGGAATCCTGAAGATTTTGGAGGTGTCAAAAATATGCATGTGCCTAGTGAAATGATTTGGAAACCGGATTTATTGGTGTATAATAAGTGAGTGCTGTAGAGACGCAGAGAAGCCAGAGTGCTCTCTAGTTGTCTAGCTTCTCTACATCTCTAACCTCCTTGGGGCTTTATAGCTTCTCTAGCCTCTCTGGGCTCTCTAGAAATCTAGTGCTCTCTAGGCTCTCTAACATCTCTAGCTTCTCTAACCTCTCTAGCTTCTCTGCACTCTCTAGAAATCTAGTGCTCTCTAGGCTCTCTAAAATCTCTAGCTTCTCTAACCTCTCTTGTTTCTCTGCACTCTCTCAAAATCTAATCATCTCTAGCTTCTCTGCACTCTCTCAAAATCCAGTGTTCTCTAGCTATCCAACTTCTCTGCGTCTCTAACATTCCTGGTGCTCTCTAGCCTCTCTGTGCTCTCTCAAAATCCTGTTATCTCTAGTTTCTCTGCGTCTCTAGCCTCTCTGTAGTTTCTTCCTAGCTTCTCTGCATCTCTAGGAATCTTGTGCTCTCTAGCCTCTCTGCGTCTCTAACCTTCTCTTTAACCTCTCTAACCTCTCTAGCTTCTCTAAGCTGTCCTAGAGCCTACTGCTCTCTAGTTGTCTGGCTTCTCTGCGTGTCTAACCTTCTATATACTCTCTAGCTTCTCTACACTCTCTCAATCTCTAACTTCCCCATCTTACTCAAATTTCCAGCAAATCCTGAACCTTTGCTCTTTTTTTGTAGCCGTGGGAAAAAAAAAAATCAAAAATGTGCATTTTTTGAGCCTAGGGCTCATTCAGGCTCAAAAAATTGCAAATTTTGAGCCCGGCCTTATTCGGGCTCAAAAAATCCGCAAAAAATTCCAGCGCCAACATGAACATCAAAGAAAATGAGCTTCAAACAAATGTGCAAGTGGAGCACACCGGAAAAATCTCACTTTTCCGCGCCATCATCACCGATATCACTTGTGATTTGCAAATGGAAAAGTTCCCATATGATCAGCAGATTTGCTATATTATGTTGGCTTCTTGGTCGTATGATGGTAGTCAGATTATGTTGAATACGGCTGAAGAGCCCACGGAAGCTCCGGATGATTTTAGAAATGGGTACGGTGGTTTTTGGCCGGGAAAATTTGATCTAGAAATGTTCCCTGGGCCCAAAACCTTGTTTTAGCCTGAAATTTTGCGCTGAAAACGCTGGAATTATTGATTTTCAGCGATTTTCAGCAATTCCATGAGTTTCAGCGCAAAATTTGAGTCTAGAAATAATTTTTGGGCTTCTGGAACATTCTAGAAAAAATTCCAAAACTTTGTAGATCAAACTAAAAAATGTTCCCGAATTTTCCTAGGCTCAAATTTTGTGCTGAAAACGCTGGAATTATTGATTTTCCGCGATTTTCAGCAATTCCATGAGTTTCAGCGCAAAATTTGAGTCTAGAAACGTTTTGGAACTGGTCAACAAATTTTTGAAAAAAAAGTTCCCGAAGCCTAAATCTTGTTCTAGACCCAAATTTTGTGCTAAAAACGCTGAAAATGTTGATTTTCAGCAATTTTCAGCATTTCCATGAGTTTCAGCAAGAAATTTTGTTCTATAAACGTTTTGGAGCAGATGAACAACATTTTTGCAAAAAAAGTTCCCGTAGCCAAAATTCTTGTTCTAGGCTGAAATTTTGTGCTGAAAACGCTGGAAATACTGAAAATTGCTGAAAATCAATAATTTCAGCAGTTTCAGCATGAAATTTCAGTCTATAAATAATTTTTGGGCTTCTGGAACATTCTAAAAAAAATTCCAAAATTTTGTAGATCAAGCTAAAAAATGTTCCAGAATTTTTCTAGACCCAAATTTTGTGCTGAAAATGCTGGAAACGCTGAAAATGGCTGAAAATCGAGTTTTCTATGATTTTCAGCACAAAATTTCAGCCTAAAAGAATATTTTTCCACAGAATCCCTGGGTGATCCATTTTTTCGGAATTTCTGGCACAATTTTTTTAACAGTTGCTTTTGAGGTCAAATAAAGTTTCTGGACCCAAATTTTGTGCTGAAACTCAAGAAATTGCTGAAAATCACTGAAAATCAATATTTTCAGCATTTTCAGCGCAAAAATTGGGCCTAGGACAAATGGGGTCTCAAAAAATGCGCAATGAATTTTTCAGCACAAATCTGGCAATTCTAAATCACTACATTCCAAATATGGAATGGAAATTGGTGGATTTCCGCTACCGTACCAATCTAAAATACTACGATTGTTGTCCTCAACCCTATCCAGATATCTCCTATTTTTTTGCCATCAAACGAAATCCCTCGTATTATTTGTTCACCCTGATTATTCCCTCCGCTTTCATCACAATTGTTACCGTTATCGGATTTTTCACACCGCATTCGTCGACCGGCGAAAATACGGAAAAAGTCTCGTTGGGTGTCACAGCTCTACTTTCATTGGCCATTATTTGTGAGTGAAAAAAATTTGGGATTTTTTGAGCCTAAACAAGCCTAGGCCTACTTTTTGGGCCCGAAAATCCGGTGAATTTGAACCTATACAAGCCTAGGCTTTAAAATTCCGGATTTTTTGAGCCTAAACAAGCCTAGGCCTGAAAATTTGCAATTTTTAGGCTTGGCCTAGTGTTAGGCCTGAAAATTTTGGATTTTTTGAGCCTAAACAAGCCTAGGCCTACTTTTTAGGCCCGAAAACCCGGTTAATTTGAACCTATACAAGCCTAGGCCTGAAAATTCCGGATTTTTTGAGCCTAAACAAGCCCGGGGCCTGAAAATTTGCAATTTTTAGGCTTGGCCTAGTGTTAGGCCTGAAAATTTGGGATTTTTTGAGCCTAGGGTTACTGTAGATCAAAAATCCTGAGAGCTACAGTACTCCTTGCAGTTCTGATCTTTTGAAGAGAAGAGGTTAATATGAGCAATTCCTAAATTTCTCTAGTTTAATATGAGCAATGCCTGAATTTCTAGTTTGATATGAGCAATGCCTCAATTTCTAATTTAATATGAGCAATGCCCAAAATTCTCTAGTATAATATGAGCAATTCCTAAATTTCTCTAGTTTAATATGAGCAATGCCTAAATTTCTAGTTTAATATGAGCAATGTCTTAAAATGAGCAATGCCCAAAATTCTTTAGTTTAATATGAGCAATGCCTGAATTTCTAGTTTGATATGAGCAATGCCTCAATTTCTAATTTAATATGAGCAATGCCCAAAATTCTCTAGTATAATATGAGCAATTCCTAAATTTCTCTAGTTTAATATGAGCAATGCCTAAATTTCTAGTTTAATATGAGCAATGTCTTAAAATGAGCAATGCCCAAAATTCTTTAGTTTAATATGAGCAATGCCTGAATTTCTCTAGTTTAATATGAGCAATTCCAGGCATGTTCATTTCGCCGGCGATCGCCGGCGTTCGCTTCTTGCCGAAAAGCGAAAGGCGAGCGACGCCTGTTTTTATTTATCGTGGTGAAGGCGAAGCGAGGCGAAGCCTGGCGAATCGCCTCCGAAACTCACGCCCCGCCCACTTTTTCTTACAAACAAACAGTGCGAGTTCCGTTTTTTCGGCTTACAAAAGAAAGAAAACACCAAAAAACCGAAATTATCATAAATTTCATAGGAATTTCAAGTACAAAAATTAATTTTTTAGAAACCGGCTTTAAGAATATTGTATAATTTTTTTCTTCACTATTCTTAGAAATGAATTAAGCACATACATAAACAATTTTACAATGGAATTTAGAAATTATTTGACCGTGATGAAACTTTTCCTGAACTTTCAGTGATTTTTCAAAGTAGTAATTGATTTTCAGAAAACCGCTTGTACAATTTTATAAAACTTTCTTCTTTACTAATTTGGAAGAAATTTTAGTGAACTTCTATCTAAATAAACAGGTTGAGGCGATTCGGGCGGCGAAGGCAGCGAAGGCGAGATTCGCCTTTTCTTCTGCAGGCGATTATCGCTGAGGCGAGGTTCGCCTGCAATAAAAATCGCCTAGCGAAAGGCAGGCGAGCGAAATGAACATGCCTGAGCAATTCCCTTAATATGAGCAATGCCCCCTTACAGTAATCCAAAATTAGGCATGTTTAGGCTCAAAATGACGCAAATTTTCAGGCCCCTTAAGCCTAAGTCTAAGGCCTAGTTTTCAGGCCTCAGTGGGCCCGAAACCAGGCCCATTTGGTCTCAAAAAATCCCGATTTTTTTGCAGTAATGATGGTTTCTGACAAACTTCCCGCAACTTCAAGCTCTGTCCCGCTTTTGGGCCAATATTATATCGGTCTGATATTTATCATGTTTTTGGCCACTTATTGTACAACTTTTACATTGGGAATTCAAATGCAAGGAAATGCCGGGAGACCAATTACAAGAAAGCTACGATCATTTTTATTATCGATTCGAATGAATCGAAACTCATTTTTGATATGGTTTTTTGGCAGGGAATTGATGAATACACAGGAATCTATCAAAATGAGGCTTAAGAAATATGTGAGTGAGAAAAATTTGGGGATTTTCAGCGTTTTCAGCGTGAAATTTGAGGTAGGGAGACGTTTTTTAACTTGAAAAATGGTTCCAGAAGCTTTCCAGCTTCTTCTAGACCCAAATTTTGCGCTGAAAACGCAGAACCTGCTGGAAATCTAGGTTTCTGTGATTTTCAGCGCAAAATTTGAGCCCAGAAACTTTTTAAAGGGTACTGTAGAAAAATTGTGCCGAAAATTCCGAAAAAATGGATCAACTGTAGAAAAACAAGTTTCTAGGCTGAAATTTTGTGCTGAAAACGCTGGAAATATAGATTTTCAGAAATTTTCAATAATTCCATGAGTTTCAGCACAAAATTTGAGCCCAGAAACTTTTTAAAGGGTACTGTAGAAAATTGTGCCAAAGATTCCGAAAAAATGGATCAACCGGGTTACTGTAGAAGAACAAGTTTCTAGGCTGAAATTTTGTGCTGAAAACGCTGGAAATAGTGATTTTCAGCGATTTTCAGCGCAAAATTTGGGTCCAGAGTGATTTTCTAGCTTCTGGAACATTTTTTGAAAAATTCCAAAATTTTGTAGATCAAGCTAAAAAATGTTCCAAAATTTTTCTAGGCTGGAATTTTGTGCTGAAAACGCTGGAAGTATTGATTTTCAGCAATTTTCAGCAATTTCACCATTTTCAGCACAAAATTTGAGTCTAGAAATTCTTACTGTAGAAAATAGTGCCAAAAGATTCCAAAAAAATGGATCAACCGGGTTACTGTAGAAAAAAAGTTACTAGACTGAAATTTTGCGCTGAAAATCGAGAAATCAATGAAAATGACCACTTCCAGCATTTTCAGCGCGAAATTTCAGCCTGAAATCAATTTTCAGCATGGGTTTTTTGAGATTTACAGCATGGTTTTTTGTCCGTTCCCCCTGGTTTTTTTTGTGTGATTCCAAATTTTATAGGACAAGTTATCGGAACTCAAAAAATCGTTTGCGGCTGGATTTGTGCAATTTCAGCAGAAATTGCTGAAAACCGAGGATCCAAAGGTAAATTTCTGGATTTTTTGTGAAAAAAATATGGTTTTTGGTGGTTTTTTTTCAATTTGCACGGTGTTTTAAGCTTGTACCTTTTTTTCAGGCCCAGGCTTTTTCGGGCTCAAAAAACGTGGAATTTTCAGGCTCTAGGCTTGAAAAACGTGAAATTTTCAAGCCTGGGCTCTTTTGGGCTCAAAAAACGTGGAATTTTTAAACCTAGGCCTTTTCGTGCTCAAAAACCGTGAAATTTCCAAGCCTAGGCTCATTTGGGCTCAAAAAACGTGAAATTTTCAGACTTCAGCTTGTCTAGACTCAAAAAATCTGAAAATTTCGAGTCTAGGCCTTTTCGGGCTCAAAAAACGTGGATTTTTCAGGCCTGGGCCTTTTCGGGCTTTAAAAATGTGAAATTTCCAAGCCCAGGCTCATTTGAGCTCAAAAATCCAGAAATTTTGAAGCCTAGGCCTTTTCGGGCTCAAAAAACGTGAAATTTTCACGCCTAGACAAATCTAGACTCAAAAATCAGGAAATTTCGAAGCCTGGGCTCATTTGGGCTCAAAAAACGTGGAATTTCGAGCCCAGACTCAAAAAATCCCGAATTTCAGCACAACAAATCCTCCCTGGTCGAAACTGTCTCAATTGATTCGTCAAAAATCCAAGATCCCGCTTTGTACAACGTGGCAGTTGATATTTTAGCCGGAGTTCAATCAATTCGACAAGATTTGACATCACAAGAACATTTGAAGCGAATTCGAAAAGAATGGCAAATGTTAGCGAGAATGTTGGAGAAAATAATCATGTGGTTTTTTATTATATCTACAGTAATCTTTGCATCGGTTATGTTATATGATACACAACAATTACCTTATATTACTGATGATGTTATGCGCTCAAAAGCTAAATAAATCTCTTTTTTTCTGTAATTTTCAGCATTTTCAGCGTTTTCAGCACAAAATTTGGGTCTAGAAACTTCTCAAAGGGTACTGTAGAAAATTGTGCCACAAATTCCGAAAAAATGGATCAACCGGATTACTGTAGAAAACAAGTTTTTAGGGTGAAATTTTGCGCTGAAACCCGGGAAATTGCTGAAATTTTCTGGAAATTAATAATTCCAGCGTTTTCAGCACAAAATTTGGGTCTAGAAAAATTCGGGAACATTTTTTAGCTTGATCTACAAAATGTTGGAATTTTTTCAAGAATGTTTCAGAAGCTAGAAAATCTTGTCCTAGACTGGAATTTTGCGCGGGAACTCATGAAATTGCTGAAATTTGCTGAAAATCAGTGTTTTCAGCGTTTTCAGCACAAAATTTGGGTCTAGAAACCCTTCAAAAGGTACTGTAGAAAATAGTGCCGAAAAATCCGAAAAAATGGATCAACCGGGTTACTGTAGAAAAATAAACTTTTCTAGACTCAAATTTTGTGCTGAAACTCATGAAAAGCTTGATTTTCAGCGATTTTCAGTAATTCCAGCGTTTTCAGCATAAAAAAACGTTAAATTCTTGAAAAGTGCACTACAGTAATCCTACAGTAATTTTGGCGCTGAAAATCCACGTTTCTAGCCTCAAATCGGCCACGGAATACTGTAGTTGAGTCGATTTTCAAAAATCATCATCTGGGCTCCATTTTAACCGGCGAAAAGGTTCATTGTAGCCGGCAAAAGTAAAATGTAACCGAAAATTCTGATTTTTTTGTGATTTTGTCCAAAAAATCGACCAAAAATCGTCATTTTTGTCATCGTTTTGGTGATAAGCGAAAAGTATATAAAAAATTTTCTCGCAACCCAAAAAATCACAGCTTTTTCCGCTTATCGAAAGAGCGAAGCACAATGCACAGAGTTTTATCGATTTTTGCACTTTTTCTCGGTGAGTTTTCTCGGAAAATATCGATTTTTGGCTATTTTCAGAGGCCTCAGGGTTACTGTAGCTTTTTCGCCAGAAAATTTGCAACATTTTGATACCAAACATGCTTAGGGGGTACTGTAGAAAATTGTGCCAAAAATTCCAAAAAATGGATCAAATTCTACAGTAACCCTGGGCATGTTTAGTGTCTATAAACGTGGATTTTTGCGCTGGAATCTACAGTAACCCAAATACAGTAACCCGCGAAAATCCACGTTTTTTGACACCAAACAAGCTTAGGGGTACTGTAGAAAATTGTGCCAAAAATTCCAAAAAAATGGATCAGAGTTTCTACAGTAACCCTGAGCTCATTTGGTATCAAAATACGTGGATTTTCTACGCCTACAGTACTATCGGAGAAAAATTTGGAACATTTTGACACCAAACATGCCTAGGGGTACTGTAGGCACTAAATCTACAGTACCCCCCAAGCCTAGGCATATTCGGTCTCAAAATGCTCCAAATTTTCCCGCCAAAAAACTACAGTAACCCAAATTTCCCTACAGTATCCACCTCGTTGGCACAATTCCAAGATTCGTGTCCGGACACCACCTACACGGCAATTCAAAAATGCTATCAAACCTATTTTGCGGGCTACAATATGACGATGACCGACACAATTCCCGAATATTGGAGTTTTCACGGTGTGCGCAAGCAACTTTTTAGAGGATGACGGGCTTCACATTCAACCCTACGTTTGCCAGTGAGTCGGGCCTGAGGGGCCTGAAAATCGGGCCTAGTTTTTAGGCCTGAAAATTTGGAGCATTTTGAGCCCAAACAAGCCTAGTTTTGGCCCGGGCCAAAACTAGGCTTATTCGGGCTCAAAATGCTCCGAATCTCGAGCCGAATCCAAATTTTACAGGCTCGCCAACTCCCTGGTCTCCTGTCTAGCACCATATCAATGTATGGGCCCGAATGCCTACGTGCATTTCAACGCCGCCAACGCCACCCAGGCTCAGGATTATTGGATCGATTTGGCCGTGTCGAATTATCAGTGTGGAGTTGGATATAATTGTGAGTGGAGGGTACTGTAGCGGGGGTACTGTAGCAGAAATTTGCTAAATTTTGATACCAAACATGCCTAGGTTGGGGGTACTGTAGAAAATTGTGCCGAAAATTCCGAAAAAATGGATCAACCGGATTACTGTAGAAAAAAACATGTTTTTGACTGAAATTTTGTGCTGAAAACGCTGAAATTATTGATTTTCAGCGGTTTTCAACATTTCCAGCGTTTTCAGCATGAAATTTGAGTCCAGAAAGATTCCAAAAAATTTTGTAGATCAATTTTTCTACAGTACCTAACCCTAGGCATGTTTGGTATCAAAAAACGTGGATTTTCTCGCCAGAAGCTACAGTAACCCGAATTCCAAGAGTACTGTAGGAAAATCCACGTTTTTTGACACCAAACATGCCTAGGTTAGGGATACTGTAGAATATTGTGCCAGAAAGATTCCGAAAGATTTTGTGGATCAAAATTCTACAGTAACCCTAGGCATGTTTGGTGTCAAAAAACGTGGATTTTCACGCCGAAAAATCCACGTGGCACTAAAAATTGATCTACAGTAAGCCTGGTGTCAAAAAATCCAATTTTTGGGCCCGAAAATTGATCTACAGTAACCCTAGGCATATTTGGTATCAAAAAATCCCAATTTTTCATCTACAGTAACCATGACCGAATTCTACTGTATGGCATTCTGCCGCGATCGCTACACACCGGATTTGGACGCGTGCGACGCGCAAGTCAACGTGGACGTCGCCGGCGGAATGAATGTGTGTGCGGCGATGCAGAAGGACTACAATTGTCAGGCGAAAATCTACTCGAATTGTTGTGACACAAATGCCGGAGTGTATATTTGTAATGTTAATTTGGCTGGTGAGTTGAGGAGAGTGCAGAGAAGCTAGAGAAGGTCAGAGACGCAGAGGGAAATACACTCGCTCCGCTCGAGGCTAGACAGCTAGAGAACATGGGGAGGTTAGAGACGCAGAGAGCAAGACAGCTAGAGACAGAACCCAGAGGGTTAGAGACGCAGAGGGATATATACTCGCTCCGCTCGAGGCTAGACAGCTAGAGAGCATAGGGAGGTTAGAGAGCATAGAGAAGCTAGACAGCTAGAGCAAATACCCAGAGGGTTAGAGACGCAGAGGGAAATACACTCGCTCCGCTCGAGCAGCTTCGCGGAAGCTTGCAGCAGACAGCTAGAGAACATAGCGTTGGTTAGAGACGCAGAGAAGCTAGACAGCTAAAGAAACTACCCAGAGGGTTAGAGACGCAGAGGGAGATACACTCGCTTCGCTCGAGCCGCTTCGCGGAAGCTTGCCACAGACAGCTAGAGAACGTGAGGAGGTGAGAGACGCAGAGAGGCTAGACAGCTAGAGATAATAATCAGATGGTTAGAGACGAAGAGGGAAATACACTCGCTCCGCTCGAGACGCTTCGCGGAAGCTTGCAGCAGACAGCTAGAGAGCATAGCGTTGGTTAGAGACGCAGAGAGGCTAGACAGCTAGAGGCAATAGCCATGTTTTCTGGCCAAAAATCATGTTTTCCTGGCCAAAAATCAAGTTTTTCTGGCCAAAAATCAAGTTTTCTATCCAAAAATCATGTTTTTCTGGCCAAAAATCAAGTTTTCCTGGTCAAAAATCAAGTTTTCCTGGCCAAAAATCAAGTTTTCCTGGCCAAAAACAGCCTAAGAAACTGTTTTCCGGTGAAAAATGACGTAAAAAACCAAGAGCTAGAGAGCATTGGCTATGGAGAGAGTGCAGAGAGGCTAGACAGCTAGAGAAGGTTAGAGACGCAGACAAACACAGTATTTTTCCCAGGAACCAACGCCGTCGATCCAACCTGCTCCAACGCCGGCCTTCTCTCCTGCCCACAACCAAAATAATTCATTTTTTTTTTGTCCCCGTGTACTTCTCTCGGACAATAAATTTTTTGCTACAGTATCCACAGAAAAATCCACGTTTTTAGACACTAAACAACAGGCAAGCCGTCAATTAGCGGAGTGTCGTTGTAAAAAATGCGATTTTTTCAAAAAATTCCCCAAAAAACTCACAAATTTTGTCGAAATCCATCAAAAAATCGATTTTTCGTCGAAAATTTCAGCGATTTCAGCGATTTTCCTGCAAAAAACACAAAATTTTCACCTAAAAACTATGAAAAAATAAAAAACGGCGAAAAAAATGGAAAACGCCGACATTGCGCTAAACAACAGGCAAGCCGTCATTTAGCGGAGTGTCGTTGGAAAAAATGCCATTTTTGATGGAAAATTGTGATTTTTATCTGAAAATCTTGGATTTTTTGCTGAAAAAAATCAATTTATATACAAAAAATACAGAAAATTAATTAATTGATTAGAAAAAAAATTTTCAGCAATGATTTTCAGCCAAATTCGTGGCTCCAGAATACAAAAACGGAAAAATTGCATTATAAAAAAGATGCGATAAAACCTCGCCAACTACAGTAACCACACAAATCCACACGTTAAAAGTCATAAAAATGAGCATCAAAAAATAGGCCAGGCCTAATTGGGCGGCCTGGAGAACCGGATCAATCAGGTCCGGAATTGTGGGCTGGAATTTGGTTGGGGACGCGGAAGCGGAAGGTTTTTGAGCTTTGCGGAAGGCGCGGAAGAAGCGGATTGATTCCATGAGGAAGGCGATGAGGAAGATGATGAGGCTGGAGAAGATCAGGCCTGAAAAATTGACACGTGGATTTTCTAGGGGGCCGAAAAAGGCCTAGGCTTGTTTCTAGATCCAAATTTTGTGCTGAAAACGCTGGAAATCTCAATTTTCAGCAATTTTCAGCGATTCCAGCATTTTCAGCACAAAATTCCAGCCTAAATGAAGCTTCTGAGCTTCTGGAATCTTTTTTTCCAAAATGTTTAGTGAAAGCTTTAAAATCTTGTTCTAGACCCAAATTTCGTGCTGAAAATGCTGAAAATGCTAGTTTTCAGCGATTTTCAGCGATTACAGCATTTTCAGCACAAAATTTCAGTCCAGAAACATGTTTTTCTACAGTAACCAGGTTGATCCATTTTTTCGGAATCTTTGGCACAATTTTCTACAGTAAGAATTTCTAGACCCAAATTTTGTGCTGAAAACGCTGGAAATCTTAGTTTTCAGCAATTTTCAGCGATTCCAGCATTTTCAGCGCAAAATTTCAGCCTAAATGAAGTTTCTGAGCTTCCGGAATCTTTTTTTCCAAAATGTTTAGGGAAAACTTTAAAATCTTGTTCTAGACCCAAATTTTGTGCTGAAAATCATGGAATAGCTGAAAATCGCTGAAAATCAATAATTCCAGCATTTTCAGCGCAAAATTTGGGTCTAGAAACTCTTACTGTAGAAAATTGTGCCAAAAAATTCCAAAAAAAATGGATCAACCGGGATTACTGTAGAAAAACATATGTTTCTGGGCTCAAATTTCGTGCTGAAAATCATGGAATAGCTGAAAATTGCTGAAAATCAATAATTCCAGCATTTTCAGCACAAAATTTCATCCTAGGCTCATTTAGACTCAAAACATCGCATTTTTTCGTGTCTACAGTACCCCTAGACCAAAAATCTACAGTACCCCCCTACCGTACTCACCTCCAACACTTTCAATTTTCCAAAAATCAAATAAAATCGTCTCCTGGGTGCCGAAATGAAAAGACATTGAATGCATTGAAGGCATACTGTGCTCCATTGGATTTCCTGAAGCGAAAATTTGGGTTACTGTAGTTTTTGGCGCCAAAAAAATTGGGATAAAAACCTTCAAAAATGAAGCCGGTTTCCATGGAAAAGTGTTTTTTTGGGCGCGAAAAAATCAATTAAAAATTTTTTTTTGAAAAAAAAATTTTTTTTTTTAGATCATGGGAAAATGGGCATTTTTGTGAATAAATTTCCGGAATTCCAAAAAAAAAAAAAATTTTTTTTAATTTTTTTTTCTGAAAAACAAAAAAAAAATACCTATATGATCCTTGTGATTGTGATGATGATGATCCATTTTTTGAAGGGCCTGCAAGAAAATCTGGGCTTTTTCAGGCCGAAAACCGGGCTTTTCTGGGCCAAAATCGGGCTTTTTGGGCCTGAAAAAGCCCCAAAATCGATAATTTTTAGCCCACAACAAAACTAATAAACACAATTTTCTATTCTATTCATTTTATCTCCCATCCCCAAGAAAAAAATCGAAAACCAGTTTTCCAAGGACAAAAATGCAAAAAAAAACATTCTAAGTGTGACCAGATTTTCTCCTAACTACAGTACTCTCTAACTACAGTACTATAGTAGTACTGTAGTTCCGGGAATTTCCAATTTTCAAAAAAAAATTTTTTTTTCTTTTTTTTTCACTGGGAAAAAAGTGTGATGAAAAATAAACAAACAATTGTATAGTGTGAAAAATTGAGAAATTTTGCAGTTCCGGGGGGTACTGTACTTTTTAGCTCCAAATTTCGAATTTTCCAAGAGCACAGGGTTACTGTAGGTGAAAATTCGCGATTTTTGACACCCAACAAGCCTTGGGTTACTGTAGATGCAAAAATGTTTAGAGCTACAGTAGCTTGGGTTACTGTAGAGCTACGGTAACCTGAAAACATGGATTTTTGAGCGAAAATATCTAGGATACTGTGGATCCAAGATAAATAGGATACTGTAGAAAAAGTGCTAAAAGTGAGCCTACAGTACTACCCCGAACTAGAGTCTAGTTTAGAAAAAATTTTCTTGTGAATAAATTTTTTGTACTTGTGAAAATCCACGATTTTGACAGCAAACATGCCTTGGGGTACTGTAGATTACTGTAGATTTTCTGTAGTGAAAAATTCGCGTGTTTTGACACCAAACATGTCTAGGAATACTGTAGCCTGGGTTACTGTAGATTTCTGTTCCATTTTTTTTTGGAATTTTCGGCACTTTTTTGACCTACAGTAACCTGAAAACATGAATTTTTAGCGGGTTACTGTAGATCTAGCCGAAAAATTGATCTACAAAATTTTTCACCAAATCTACAGTATCCGGTGTCAAAAAACGTGGATTTTTCGCGCCCAAAAAAATGTGGGGTACTGTAGATGTTTAAGTTTTGAACTTTTTCCAGATTTTTTCGCACTGATGAAAAAATTTGAGCAAACAAAAGTGATAAAAATAGTTGCGTGGGCTCGAAATTTTTTTGAAAATTTATTTTATTTTCAAAAAAAAAATTGGAAGATATATCATCATATCTTTTTGGAGTCTTTGAGATGAACAACTGACTCACGAGACAAACAAAAAAACTTTTTTTGAGCAACAAAAAAAATGAGCGGAGCTCATTTTCTCTTCTTTTTCATCCCCGAACAACAACATGCCGGATACAGGTGAGCGTTTTTTGAAAATCCCATTTTTCCCGCCAAAATTTTGACATCTAGGGTTACTGTAGATATTTTAGCGCGAAAAATCCACGTTTTTTGATACCAAAATGTCCAAGAAAAAATTTTGATCCATTTTTTTTGGAATCTTGATATTGGCACAATTTTTCTAGGGTTACTGTAGATTTTTGGCTCACAAATTTTGATCTACAGTACTCTAATTTTGAGCTACAGTAACCCTGATCCATTTTTTTCGGAATCTTGTTTGGTACAATTTTTGTTTGAAGAAGCTACCTACAGTAACCCAAAAAACGTGGATTTTCCGCGTCTCTACAGTACTCTCCCAAAATCTACAGTAACCCTTGGCGCCAAAAATCAATGCACTTAAAATTCATGTTCAAAAACAAGTAGACAAATATTTGTTTGGTCAGTGGGGTTTTTGGAGTACTGTACTTTTGATCTGGTAGATCAAAATTTTGGCGCCAAAAAGCTACAGTACACCTACAGTACTTCCCCAAAAAACCACCCACTTGTTTATTTTTTGTTTCGCAAAAAAAGTCATCTGACACATGGGCTAACTACACAGCTGTTCGGGAAAAAAAAATTGATCATCAAAAATCTAAGGCCTGGTCTAGGCCCGGGCCTACTTTAGGCCTGGCCTGGCCTAGACCAGGCCGGGGGGTACTGTAGCTACAGTACCCCATCTACAGTAATCGTGATAAAGATGAAAAAAGCTTCAGCACGCAACAACACGTCATCAGAGGAGGAGGAATCCGATGAGGAGGTGGGTCAAACTAGACTCTAGTTTGAGATACAGTAATCCTAAGCATACTGTAGGTTAGAATCTACAGTAATCCAATTTTTCCACAGACTAGACTCTAGTTTCAGGAGAAACAAATGCTCTACACATTTGTTTTGAACAATTCAACTACACTAAATCAGGCCCTAAACTAGACTCTAGTTTTCTAATGAACTACATTCCAGTTTAGCTTAGATTCTAAACTAGACTTTAGTTTACAGTAATCCAATTTGTCAAGCAAATATCACAGACTAGACTCTAGTTTAAGCACGAAACAATCTTTGAACAGGCTCTAAACTAGAGTCTAGTTTAAGCAACGAGGTCAGGCTTTTCCGCAAGCCTTCCGGAAGCTTCCGCGCGGCAAAAATCCCCAATTTTTTTGCAGATCATCCTTCCGACCAAGAAAAAATCGTTTGGTTTCCGCGTCGCCGCGCAAGCCACTCCGCAACAACAAGTCTTGACGCAGATCGGCGAGCTTTCCGCGCAGCGTCAAGCCAACGAGGTGGTTGCGGAAGCACCGCAAGCCGCGCCGCAGCCAAAATCCGACGCGGAACTGCGCGCACTCGCCGCGCAGAAAGCGCTGCAAGACGCGCAGGCTTTGGCGAAAGCGCAGCAGGCTGCGGCGTTGCAAGCGGCTGCCGCAAGGGTTGCCGCTGCGCAGGCCAGCGGCGGTTCGGCGAGAGCGCAAGAGGAGGCGGAGGCGCGGGCTCGCGAGGCTCAGGCCCGGGCTCAGGCCCAGGCCGAGGCCCAGAAGAAGGCTCAACAGGAGGCGTTGGCTAGGGTGAGTTGTTTTTGACACAGGGTTACTGTAGCTGTACAGTAGTCTAGGGTTACTGTAGAATTTTATTGATCTACAGTACCCCTAATTTGATGCTACAGTAATCTTCTACAGTAACCCAGAAGCCTAGGCTTATTTGGGCTCAAAAAATGTGCATTTTTGGCAGGCTCAACAACAAGCTGCTCAGGCCCAGGCCCAAGCTCAGGCCCAGGCCCAGAAGGCCCAACAAGAAGCTCAGGCTAAGGCTGCTCAGGCTCAGAAGGAGGCTCAACTTAAGGTAAGTCTTGTGGAAATTTCGGAATTTTTCTGTCAAATCTGGAATTTCAGGCTCAACAGGAAGCCCAGGCTCGGGCTCAGGCTCAGGCCCAAAAGGCCCAGCAAGAAGCCCAGGCCCGAGCTGCTCAGGCTCAGAAGGAAGCCCAACAGAAGGCTGCTCAGGCCCAGGCCCAAGCCCAGGCTCAACAAAAGGCTGCTCAGGCCCAGGCCCAGGCTCAGGCTCAGGCTCAGGCACAAGCCAAGGCTGCTCAGGCCCAAGCTCAGGCTCAAGCCAAGGCTGCTCAGGCCCAGGCCCAAGCCCAAAAGGCCCCTCAACAAGGCTTCCGGGCCGCTCCAGTTGCTCAAAATGGCGGGCCTAAACAAGCCCCACAGGCTCCCCAGAAGCCTCAGGCCCAACAGGGCTTCCGGGCTGCTCCGCAGGCCCAGGCCCAAGCCCAGGCCCCCCAGAAGCCTCAAGCCAACGGAACACTCGCTCAACAACAACCAATTCAACAAGAAGTATCAGGTAAGCCTCAAGGCGCAGGCCCTTGAGGCCTATTGAGGTGTCAAGCAGCCATCCCTTGACATCCCTACCTAGCTCTCAAGCAGCCATCCCTTGACACACATACCTAGCTCTCAAGCAGCCACCCCTAGACCTAATTTTTCAGCTGCAACCGGTCCAAAATGGACGCGAACACCGGGAAAAGTCCAAACGCAAGGCCCACAACCGGAGCAGGCCTTCAAATCTCAAGCTCAGGCCTCGTCAGGCCCGCAGGCCCTAAAACAGACTGTGCAGGTAAGAAAATTTAAATTTTTTGGGCCAAAAATAGGCTCCGCCCCTTTTTTTGTTGAAATCTCTCTTTCTCTTGTGCAAAAATCTCTCATTTTCATTTTTTTTTTCGAAAAAGTGTAAAAATTATCGATTTTTCTCCAATTTTTCAGATCCAAGAGCAAATTTTGGCTGAAAATCCAAAAATTGCTCCAAAAATCATGGCCGCAAAACCACAGATTCAAGAGAAGAACATTTCGGAGAAATTTGTGGAGAAATCCGAAAACCAACCGGAGAAATTGGTGAGTTTTGGGCCTGGCCTAGGCCTGGTAGGCCTGGTTTTAGGCCTAGCAGCTAGGCCTGAAAATTCGCAAATTTTTGAGCCTAAATAGGCCTAGGTTCCGGGTTACTGTAGGTCCAAATTTTGGTGAACAAAAAAATTCCAAAAAAATGGATCAAAATTTTTTGGTAGCAAAATCTACAGTACCCCGGAAAAAAATTATAGATCAAAATTTTCAGAGCTCTAGAATCATACTGTAGTGTGAAATTTCGAGCTACAGTATCCCATGGTTACTGTAGCTCGAGAAAATTGTGCCAAAGATTCCAAAAAAAATGGATCAGAAATCTTTCCTCAGCCTATTTTCAAGGCTTAAAAGCCCAGTTTTCAGGCCCAAAAAGCCTAGAATCTAGGCCAAAAAGCCTGATTTTCAGGCCAAAAATCCACGTGGCAAAAATATGCATTTTTAGTCTCAAAAAATTCCAAATTTTTTGCAATAAAATCATTATATCACTGTGTATGATTCAGCCAGTGCTCTGCTTTGCTCAAAATAAAAATGTGTCAAGTGTGTGAGCAAACAGAGTTCGCCTAAATCACCCCCACACACAGGATTTTCCCCAATTTCATTTTGTTCAGCAGCAATCATTCGGTAAGCAAAATCAATTGGACGGTGCGAAAAAGTGGATGGCTGATTCTGCAGAACGCGAAAATTTCCAGCAGCAAAATGCTCTAAATTTGGAGCACGGTCCGAAAGCGGTGATTCTACAGGTGAGCAAAAAATTTAAAAAAAAAAAAAAAAGTTTGCTCGCACCGGGGTTCGAACCCTCGATCCCACGCGCGTTGCCAGCGCCTTAGACCACTCGCACACGCGCGCCCTTTTCTCCCTTCGCTTATTTTGCATATTTAAATGCGACCCCCTCTTTTTTGGGGTGTGCTTATGATTTTTGGGACCCAGAACACATCTGGCGGGACCCGGAAAAACGTCTGCAATTTGAGACTTGTGGGAAAATTGCCTGGCAAATGGGAGAAAAAGAAAAACAAAACGTTTTTACACAAAGAAAGCAGCCTGGGGGCGTTTTTGGAGGAAATAAACACACAACTGTTGAAATTTTTTTATTTTTTATCACCTTCCGGGCTCATTTTATTGGGATTTTCTCAAATTTTCAACTTTTCCGGCTCGAAAATCACTTTTTTTCAGCTTTTCCGAGCAAAAAAACCAAATTTCCATCGAAAATTTGTAGTTTTGTTTCGTAGTTTTGCGCGGGGATTTTCGCTTACTTGTTCATTATTAGTCACATTTTCTCAAATTTTTCGTTTTTTCTTTGCCACGTGGCATTTTTGGCGCCAAAATTCGAGTTTTGTAGATGTTGGCGCATCAGCAGGCGCCTTTTTTGAACACCGCCGATTTCAACAGCAAATCGCATAAATTAATGGTAAGGCGTGGGCCTTTGGGGGGCCTAAACGGGCCTTAGGCTTGATTTTTAGGCTTTCGGACCTTGAAAATCGGATTTTTCAGCCTAATTTAGGCATAGAACGGGAAAAAGTGACCCAATTCTCTGAATTTGGAAAAAAGGTGACCACCCTGGCCTTGAGTAAGGAGGGGGGTCACATTTTTTTCAAAACGGGCCTGAATGGGCCTGAAAATTGGATTTTTAGGCTTTCGGGCCTTAAAAATCCGATTTTTCTGGTAAAATTAGGTCTAGAAGTGATTTTAGGCACTATTTAAGGGGTAGGGTCACTTTTTTTTTTCATAATAATAAGCCTAAACGGGCCTTAAAAAGTCCTACATAGGCCTAAGATGAACCTAAAAATCAGATTTTTCGGCCTAAATCAGGCCTAGAAGCCTATTTTCATCAAAATCAGGCCCACCGGGCCTAAAAACCCTCAAAAATCACGTATTGCTCATGTTAATCCTCGAAAATTTTGCAGAACGACGCTTGCTGGCAAACACAAAGACGTGTGGCTGCTGAAATTCAACAACCACAAGTTGGCCGAATTCAAATTCCGGAATTGAGTGAGAAAGAGATTCAGGTAGGCTTAAAACTTGGCTGAAAATCGATTTTTCTGGGCTCTGGAGCTCAGTTTTCAGCTCTAGAGCTCAAAAATTGACTAAAATTCGATTTTTTGGCCAGGAAACTTTGTTTTGGACGAAAATTCGAAATTTTCATGATTTTTTGGCCAGGAAACCTTGTTTTGGACAAAAATTCGAAAATTTCATGATTTTTTGGCCAGGAAACCTTGTTTTGGACAAAAATCAATTTTTCGAGCTCTGGAGCTTAAAAATATGCTCCAGAACTCAAAAATCCACCCAAAATCCGATTTTTTCAGCGTACAATAGTCGCACAACCAGCCTCCTATCACAAAGTTCAATGGAACGAGTTTCCGGAAGAGCAGAAAATCGAGCTCGCGGCGGCTCCGCGCACCAAAACACAAGAGTGGATTCCGGTGAATCAGGAGCAGGTGGAGTTGCAGCGCAGTTTGTATCGTCCGGCACGCATTGCTGCCGTTTGGCCGCCGCCGCAAGATGACGTGGCAAAAGAGGTCGGGGAGGTGTTGCATGTGAAGACGGTGGATGACAAAGGATGGATTCAACAGGTTAGAGACGCAGAGGAAGATACACTCGCTCCGCTCGAGCCGCTTACGCGGAAGCTTGCGGCAGACAGCTAGAGAACATAGAGATGTTAGAGACGCAGAGGGGCTAGACAGCTAGAGGATGGTTAGAGACGCAGAGGGAGATACACTCGCTCCGCTCGAGGCCGCTTCGCGGAAGCTTGCGGCAGACAGCTAGAGAACATGGGGAGGTTAGAGACGCAGAGGGGCTAGACATCTAGAGAATGGTTAGAGACGCAGAGGGATATACACTCGCTTCGCTCGAGGCCGCTTCGCGGGAGCTTGCGGCAGACAGCTAGAGGATGATTAGAGACGCAGAAGGAGATACACTCGCTTCGCTTCGCGGAAGCTTGCGGCAGACAGCTAGAGAACATGGGGAGGTTAGAGACACAGAGAGGCTAGACAGCTAGTTAATGGTCAGAGACGCAGAGGGAAATACACTCGCTCCGCTCGAGCCGCTTCGCGGAAGCTTGCGGCAGACAGCTAGAGAACATGCTGAGGTTAGGGACGCAGAGAAGGCTAGACAGCTAGAGAACATGGAGAGGTTAGAGACGCAGAGGGGTTAGACAGCTAGAGCAAGTTAGAGACGCAGAGGGAGATACACTCTCTCATGCGTCTCTAGCTGTCTAACCTCTCTGCATCTCTAACCCCTTCATTCACTATCAAAATGCTCCAAATTCCAAGCTCTACAAAACTACAGTACTCCCCACCTACCGTAACCCCTACAGTACTCCTTTTTGCAGGATCAAAACGGCGTGACAAAACAGGCGGTGTGGGGAAACACATCACGAATCAACCGGGTCTGGCCACCGCCAGAAAATGAGCACGGGCTCACCGAGTTTTCAGGTAGGTACAGTAACTCTAAGGGGGTACTGTAGGTACAGTACCCCACGGGGTACTGTACCTACAGTACTCCCATTTCGCTTCAGGACCCCAACACATGCCTGTGGTTCAATGGCCACCTCCGGAACACGAGAGAGAGCAGGTTGAGGTGCTCCAGAAGCACATTCCGACGAAGCGGATTGAGAGACAATGGCCACCGGCACCACCACAATATCACGGTACGGATAGCATGCGGAAGGGTGCGGAAGCGGAAGATTCCGGAGCGGAAAACTTGGGGTTTTTAGTCAAATTCAGAGCTCTGGAGCTTGGAAAATCACCTTTAAGATCACTTAAGGCTTTCTTAGGGCTTCTTAAGGGCTTTAAAGGCTTCTTAAGGTTTTCAGATGTTTCTTAGGCTTTCTAAGGCTTCTAAAGGCTTCTAAAGGCTTCTTAAGGCTTTAAGGGCTTCTTAAGGCTTTTTAAGGCTTTCAGAGGCTTCTAAAGGCTTCTTGAGGCTTCTTAAGGGCTTATTAAGGCTTTTAAAAGCTTCTTAAGGGCTTTAGAGGGCTTTAAGGGCTTTCTTAGGCTTCTCAAGGGCTTTAAGGGCTTCTTAAGGCTTCTTTAGGCTTCAAAAGGCTTCTAAAGGCTTCTTAAGGGCTTTAAGGGCTTTAGGGTTTCTTAAAAGCTCATTTTTACAGTAGTCGAATCGACTGGCGAAATTGAGACACAATACAATCCAGCAGAACAACAACAGGTAAGCCTGGGCCCGGCCCAGGCCAGGCCTAAATCCAGGCCCAGCCTAATTTCAGGCCATTTTTTCAGACCATCATCCAACAAGTCGTCCAACCGGTGAATAGCATGAAAATGGGACATATTCAAGCCTAGAAAGTAGAATTGCTTTTACTAACCGAATTTCAGGGCGTTCGGGCCGATTTTTAGGCCTTGAAAGGCCTAAAAATCGGCCTGAAAGCCTAAAAATCGGCCTTGAAATCTATGATTTTTTTCAGGCCAAATAATGTGCGATATTTCAACATGGGCTTAATTTTTTGTAAAAATTTGGATTTTTTCTCTCTTGTAACAGTATTATTTTTGCTTTTTTTTGCGAAATGAACTTTTTTTGATCTACTCTACAGTAATCCTACAGTACTCCTTGGAAAATTTGAAAAATTCCACGTTTTTTGATACCAAAACATACATAAAATGGGTCCCCAAATTCGGTGCGGGGGGCTTAACTTTTTCGAAATTTTTTAAGGGAAGGGGGTCTAACTTTGATGAATTACATAATTTCTGTTTTTTCAGAGTCAAAGTCCAACTGGAATTTTTTTTGTAATATTTTTTATTTGTAAAATTATAACATTTTATTATTGCTTTCTAAATAATTTGCAACTCGATCGGCGTTGGCAGAGTCTGTCCCAGAAGAACAAATGTATATATACAAGTAGCTTGTTCAATTTTTTTTAGCAACGGATTTGGAAACTCCAAAAATCGCCTTCATCATTAAAAACCTTGAAAACACAGTTGGAACTGGACTGAATTTGTCGATCGATTTTGAGTTTTTCTTTTTCTACCAACCTCCATTTGCCACTTTCTACAAAATTCAGCTCAATGAAATTCTATTGTTTTGCTTCAAAAACTTCAATGGATTTTTTTTTGTTTTCTGATTCTACAAAAGCCGATTTTCTCAATCTGTCACTGGAACTCGAAATCTCGACGAATTATTAAAAAACTAAACAAAAAACATCAATTTTGTAAACAAAACTCAGGTATGTTATGATGGGAAAAATAAGGGAAAAATTTAAAATTTGAAAAAAAAATCAAAAAAAAAATTTTTTTTTTCTTCAAAATTTTTTTTCACCAAGAATTTTTTTGGAACTACTTGACCAAACATGGTGATATTTGGTACGAAGATACTTCAACTATTCTAGATCTAATTTTAATAGACAATGTTCTCTGATTTTGCACCTCCCGTCTTTTCACCACCCCTCTTTGTCAAAAATCACGATTTTTGGTCAATTTCATGCATTTTCAGATCCTAATTCAATTTTTACTTCACCAATTCTAGTAAGACTTGGCACAAAGTAACTTCAACTATTGTTCTTCAAAATCGAAATGATACATTGGTAGTAAATTGCGTTTTCAGACACTTAGACACCCCGAACCTAATCCGATGCGTATGGCCCCAAAAAGAGGGGCGGGGTGTCTAAGTGTCTGAAAACGCAATTTACTACCAATGTATCATTTCGATTTTGAAGAACAATAGTTGAAGTTACTTTGTGCCAAGTCTTACTAGAATTGGTGAAGTAAAAATTGAATTAGGATCTGAAAATGCATAAAATTGACCAAAAATCGTGATTTTTGACAAAGAGGGGGTGGTGAAAAGACGGGAGGTGCAAAATCAGAGAACATTGTCTATTAAACTTAGATCTAGGATAGTTGAAGTATCTTTGTACCAAATATCACCATGTTTGGTCAAGTAGTTCCAAAAAATTCTTGGTGAAAAAAAATTTTGAAGAAAAAAAATTTTTTTTTTTGATTTTTTTCAAATTTTTAAATTTTTCCCTTATTTTTCCCATCATAACATACCTGAGTTTTGTTTACAAAATTGATGTTTTTTGTTTAGTTTTTGAATGATCCGTCGAGATTTCGAGTTCCAGTGACAGATTGAGAAAATCGGCTTTTGTAGAATCAGAAAACAAAAAAATCATCGAAGTTTTGGAAGAAAGTCACAGATTTTTAAAGTTGAAGCCTGCAGTTTGTAAAACGTGGAAAGTCACGGAATTTTCGGCAGATTAAGAAGAAAAAACTCAAAGTGGTTTATCTACAAAATTGTTCCATTTTATAGTTCCAACATAAGTTGATATCCATTTCCAGAGTGATAATTGATAAAGCCTCTCTCATTTTTTTAAAGAATAAATGAACAAGCCACTTGCATACATTTGTCCTTTTTTGAGCCAAACTCCGACGATGCCAATCAAAATTCGAATTATTAAAAAAGCATTAACAAAATGATACATTTTTACAAATGAAATATACATTACATAAAAAATTCTTTTAAAAAATGAAAGGAAAAAATCCGATTCGATTTCGTCTCTGAAAAAATTAGATTATATGGGAAGGAATATAATATTTGAGAATGGGCAGTGCTGAAACAGTAGATTCTTGAGTTTTGAATTTGTCTGATTTTTGTCAAAAAATTTTTAAATCTTTCGAATATAGTTCAAAAGTTAGAGGAAAGGGGTGGGGGGGGGTTAACTTTTGAAAAAATTTTGGGAGGGGTGCTTAACTTAAAAATTTTACGTGGGGGACCTATTTTATGTATGTACCAAAAAGGCTTGGTTTGGGTACTGTAGAAAAATTGTGCCAAACAATTTTGTAGATCAAAAATCCCGCGCTTATTAGGTATCAAAATACGTGGATTTTCGCGCCAAAACCTACAGTAACCCAGGAACTCGGGTTACTGTAGATTCCAGCGCGAAAATCCACGTATTTTGATACCAAACAAGCCTGGTTTGGGTACTGTAGAAAAATTGTGCCAAACAATTTTGTAGATCAAAAATCGCGGGCTAGAAATTCATCATCTACAGTACTCCTACAGTAATCCTTCAAAAGCTTCAAGAAGATGAATTTTTCCGAAGAAAAAGGTAGCTGGTTCGTGCCCCACTGCCTACGGAACTTTTTGTCCAAGCTTGTGGGGTGTCAAAAAACTGCAAATTTTACGAGGTAAAAGGTCAGGGGTTCAATCCCCACTGCCTGCAGCAATTTTTGTCCTTGAAAAGTCGCGCGTTCCACCGATTTTCCCTGGTTTTTTCGGCAGCTTTTCCCCTTTTCTTCTATTATATAAACCCATAATTGTGTCTTCTTCTGGGAAAAAAGTGAAACTTTTTTTTTTCTCATTTTTGCTGTGTAAGAAACTTTGGCTTCTTTATTTATGCAAAAAAAAACATTTTTGTGTAAAAATTTTGTTTTTTTTTAGGTTATGACGTGACAAAATCACCCTACAGTACTCCCTACAGTACCCCTAGAAAATCCTGTAGATCAAAATTTTTGAAATTTTTCTCTAGAGAGTTAGAAATTGAGTTATGACGTGGCAAAATCACCCTACAGTACCCCAAATATCCAAATTTCCTGTAGATCAAAAATCCCCCACATTTTTCGCGCCAAAATCTACAGTAGTAGATCAAAAACCCTGGCCATTTTGAAGATTAAAATCTCGTTGTTTTTATGTCCAATTTTTTTTGCCAGCTAAAGAAGAACTATATAAAAATTATCAATTGAAGCGTAAAAATTTTGGAGAGAGAGATAAAAGCTAATTTGTCCGCTTTTCTTCCGCGCGCGCGGAAGGCTCCGCCCACTTTTTTCCCAGCTTCTCCTTAGCTTCTTCTTGATTTTTATTTATTTCTGAGATTTTCTGGCCAAAAATCTTGTTTTTGTTGTTGTTTTTGGGATATAATAACAATTATTAGCTAATTCTTATTCTTAAGTGTTTTTTCCTGGGTTACTGTAGGGTTTTTGCCACGTCATAGCTTGAAAATCGCGAGATTTTACAAAAAAAGTTCCGCAGACAGTGTGGCACGAACCCGCGACCTTTTACCTCGTAAAATTCGCCCTATTTTGACACCCCAAAGGCTTGACAAAAAAGTTCAGCAGGCAGTGGGGCACGAACCCGCGACCTTTTTCTTCGGAAAAAATGGAATTTTCTTGGAGCTTTTGAAGGATTACTGTAGGAGTACTGTAGATGAATTTCTAGGCCCGGGATTTTTGATCTACAAGATTTTTTGGCACAATTTTTCTACAGTAACCCTAGGCCTGTTTGGTCTCAAAATACGTGGATTTTCGCGCTGAATTCTACAGTAACCCAAATTCCAGGGTTACTGTAGATTTCGGCGTGAAAATCCACGTATTTTGAGGTCAAGTAAGCCCAGAATTTTTGATCTACCAGATTTATTGGCACAATTTTTCTACAGTACTCCTCAAACTAGGTGTATTTGGTCTCAAAATACGTGGATTTTCGCACTGAAATCTACAGTAACCCGAGATCTAAGAGTACTGTAGATTTCGGCGTGAAAATCGTGAATTTTGGACCTTACAGTACCCCAAAAACCAAAAATGAAGGTCATTTTATACCCATTTTCCTCATTCAAATCCTTATCTCTAGCTGAAATCTCTCTTAAAAAGTTTTGTACCTCTTTCTGAATACAAGCTCCGCCCCTTTTCGACCTCCAAAACTTGGTATTTAGCCTAACTTCCACGCCAATTTCAGTTGTCCGATAAAATGCGCAGTTTCTGTTTGTTGGTCTGTTTGGTTTCGGCCGCCGTTTTGGCTCAAGACAATTGCTATATCAATGATAGTGGTGAGTTTTTACATTTTTAAAAATATTGGCGGGAAAATTTGGAGCAAAATGAGTCTAGACACGCCTAGGGGTACTGTAGTGCCCAAAATTTGCAATTTTTTGATACCAAATAAGCCTATGCTTGCTTGGTGTCGAAAAACGTGGATTTTCCAGGGCCCAGAAAGCCTAAGGCCTTGAATCCAGAGAATTTGGATACCCAGGCCTACTGTAGGCTTTTCTGGGCCAGAAAATCCACGTTTTTTGACAGCAAATATGCCTAGGACCAAAAATCGTGATTTTTTGAAGCCTAGGCTTGTTTGGTGTCTAAAAACGTGGATTTTCCAGACCCAAAAAAGCCTGAAGCCTAGAATCTAGCTTTAGGCCTACAGTAGGCTTTTTTGGGCCCGAAAATCCACGTTTTTTGACAGCAAATATGCCTAGAACCAAAAATCGTGATTTTTTGTGTCAGATATCAAAAAATCGCAAATTTTTTGCCAAAAAAAGCCTGAAGCCCAAAAAAACTCAAATTTCCCAACTGTCAATCAAAAATCGCCGAATCAAATTAGACTTTTCTCTCTCCAATTAATTAATTGATGAAATCTAAGCTTTATCTCTTTTTTGGGCGAAAACTGGTCGTTATCTAGAAAATTTGTAGCTGGCAATCCAAAAAAAAAATGAAAAGCTAACCGATTTCGCGTTTTTATGTTCTATGATGATAAAAAACGCATAAAATCTAGTTTGATTCAAAAATAAAAAAAAATAAAAAATATAGTTCGCACCGGGGGTCGAACCCATGACCCCGAGATCAAAGAACGCGAGCGCTAACCGACTGAGCTATGGGAGACGTTGGGAGAGAAGGGGGAAATTGTCAATAAATAATGGGGGGCTAGCGCGGAGATATAGATTTTCCGCAAGCGGAATCCTTCCGCGCGGAAGCCTAGGCATATTTAGGCTCATTAAATCGGCAATTTCCAGGCTTCACATGTTGCAACAAAGAACTCGAAGCAGCAATGAAAGGCGCAATGGCCGGAGATGATTTATTAGGCGCAGCCGATTCGATTCAAAAAGGTGCCGAAGGAAGTTTGGGCGGCAAATTCGAAACCGTCGTCGCTTTGGACGATTTCGCCTACAAATCCCATTTCAAAGAGGGAAAATCATGCAAAATCGAGAAGAACGGACAGTACGCCTTGGCGTGGCAACCATAATTCTTGTTTCCGCTTTCCGCGTGCGCGGAAACCCTTCCGCATACAAAAATTCCCATTTTACCGGTCCCCCTCCCTCCCTTTCCCCATTTTTTTACTATTTATATCAACAACTTGTGTTTTTCTGTACATTCAACGAGCTTCCATCCAATAAAAAATTTACAAAAATGTTTTCGCAGGCAGCGGGGATCGAACCCGCCACCTTTTACATGGGAAAATTTGCAAAAACCCAAAAAACCCAAAACTAACCTTTTTGCATTGCAAAAGTTGCTAAAACGAGCCGCCAACATCTGAAAATTCAAAAATTTGAGCAAATCTTTCAAATTTTCACCATTTTCAGCAAAAATATGAAGATTTTATGGTTTTTCCTTGTTTTTTCATCAATTTTTTGATTTTTCAGGATTTTCAGAGTGTTGGAATAGTCTGAAAATCCTTGAAAATCAATAAATTGCCGAAAAACCCGGGAAAATCCAAAAAATCATCATTTTCTATCAATTTTCCACCAAAATCATCATATTTCTTCACATTTCCTGAGAAAATGGTGAATTCTAAGTTAATTTTCACATTTTAACATTGAAAACCCCTAATTTCCATCAAAAAACCCCCGAAAACAGAAAAAAACGAAAAAAAACGATAAAAACAAATTCAAAAAAACATTTGGCGGGACAACCGGTTGCAAACACCACGACGCACAAATGCACACAAAAAAATTATTTTTTTTTGTTTTTTTTTTGTTTTTTCAGGTTTTCACTGTTAAAATGGGCAATTCCACGTGGAATTTATTGATTTTTCAGTAATTTTGATTGAAAATTGAAGAAAACACCGTGAAAATCATGAAAATCCTAATTTTAACTCAAAAATTTACCATTTTTGCTATATTTTTTCAAATATTCCGCCTATCCGGTTTTTTCCGCGCGTCAACCTGTCAAAATCTCCAAAAGTTGTTTCAAAATGTGTCAAAACTGTGTGTGTATGTTGTTTGCTCAGAGAGCTCACTATAAAATGCTCCAAAAATGCTCAGAATCTATCCATTTTCTTAAAAGAATATGCTGGGATTACTGTAAGTTTTAGCGCGAAAATTTCGAAATTCAAATTTTTTTTTTTAGTTTTTTGCTCGCCACAACAACAACAACTTCATTTGCACAATTATCGGTTTGTGAAATCTTTTTGTTTTTTTTTTGAAATTTAATTGCTATACGAAAAGCATAAAGACTACTGTAGATTTTGGCGCTAAAATTTGATCTACAGGGTATACTGTAGTCAAATTTTCGTTCCAAAATCCTACAGTAAGCCTAGGCTTAGGCCTACAGTGCGTTTCACAAGTATAGGTCCACCCCTGAAATGTCTCAAAATGATCGTAACAATAATTTTCAAGTTGTAGCCCTTTATTTTTCGAAAAAAGTACGTAAAATTAGGCATGTTTACCAAATTGTATCCTACTTGGACATGTTTTTGATTTTATATTCGAGAAAAACTGAAAATTGGCTATTTTCTGTGTTTCAAAAGTATAGGTCCACCTATATCAACTATGAAATGATGATTTCTAACCTGGTTTTTTGTTGTTTATTTTTTAGTTAGGATTGCCCCAAGCCTGATTAAATCATATTCAACAAATACAGTTTTCCATTTCTGGGTTTCTGGAGCCATTCCTGGTGATCAGACCCACTTTGCTCTGTTTATCAGACAACATGGTTCAGTATCCTTTCATTTTCTATTGAGATCATGTCAGAAGTAACTAAAAACCTCTTTAATGTTGTATTACTTAGTTTTCCATTCAATAAAACTCAATTCATCAAAAATGGAGATCATTTCAGACCGAAAACTGTCAGTTATTGTTTCAAAATTCTGAAAATTTCAAGATTTTTCAGTGAATACACCCAAGTTGTGTCACAAAACTTCATATATTATTTGTTAACACGGTTTCTATGATCGATTAAATTGGTTCCATAATTTTGAAATAAACAAATCTTGACTTCCTATCGTGATTGTGCGAAAAACAGGACTTGTAGCATTTCGAAATTTTTATGAACAACTGAATTTTCATATTATTATTCTTGAAACGATTTTTGATGAAAAGCATACCTCAGATCAGCTCAGAAACATTGTTTACAACTATTGAAGTTCAAAAAAACAAATTTAAAAAACATTTTTCATGTTTCAGTACATTAAAATATTTTTTGAGTTTTTCTGAAATTTCGGAACTTTGTTCCATTAGCTTGATAGCATCACAGAAAGTGTTTTTTGAGTTCTATGAAATTCTCGGTGATATTTTGAATCATGTGGAGACATAGCAGTCATATCCAGTCACAAAAACGGAATAAAAATGGATGAACTTGGGTGTATTCACTGAAAAATCTTGAAATTTTCAGAATTTTGAAACAATAACTGACAGTTTTCGGTCTGAAATGATCTCCATTTTTGATGAATTGAGTTTTATTGAATGGAAAACTAAGTAATACAACATTAAAGAGGTTTTTAGTTACTTCTGACATGATCTCAATAGAAAATGAAAGGATACTGAACCATGTTGTCTGATAAACAGAGCAAAGTGGGTCTGATCACCAGGAATGGCTCCAGAAACCCAGAAATGGAAAACTGCATTTGTTGAATATGGTTTAATTAGGCTTGTGGCAATCCTAACTAAAAAATAAACAACAAAAAACCAGGTTAGAAATCATCATTTCATAGTTGATATAGGTGGACCTATACTTTTGAAACACAGAAAATAGCCAATTTTCAATTTTTCTCGAATATAAAATCAAAAACATGTCCAAGTAGGATACAATTTGGTAAACATGCCTAATTTTACGTACTTTTTTCGAAAAATAAAGGGCTACAACTTGAAAATTATTTTTACGATCATTTTGAGACATTTCAGGGGTGGACCTATACTTGTGAAACGCACTGTAGGCCTACTTAGGCTCAAAAAACGTGGATTTTTTGCAGGCCTGCGCAGCTCCACCCTGCCCCGAGCCACAACCGCTTCTAGCGCCATGCGCAACACCACCATGTATTGTGGTGGAGGCTGCGCCTCCACCAATGGTATATGAGCCAGTGCCAGCTCCGGCTCCGGCTCCAGTTTACGAGGCTCCGATAGCTTGCGCAGCTCCACCATGCCCAGCCTATGCTCCACCGGCTCCAATTCCAGCAGCCCCTCTTCCATCTCCTCCAGCTTACGGTAAGCACTCGCTCCGCTCGAGGCCGCTTACGCGGAAGATTCCGGGGCGCTGACGCGCAAGATTGCGGAAAGCCAACGATATACTTTCAGCTTGCGCGGCTCCACCTTGCCCAACCTACGCTCCACCTCCACCAGCTCCAATCCAACAAATTCCAGTATACGGTGAGTTCCGATGGTTAGAGACGCAGAGGGGCTAGACAGCTAGAGGATGGTTAGAGACGCAGGGGGAAATACACTCGCTCCGCTCGAGCCGCTGCGCGGAAGATACCTGCCGCTTCGCGGAAGCTTCCGGAAAACTCATATTTTCAGCCTGTGAAGTTCCGCCATGCCCAGCTTATGCTCCAGCTCCACCAGCTCCAATTCCACAGCCAGTTCAACAAATCCCAGTATACGGTAAGAGTGTAGAGAAGCTAGACAGCTAGAGGAGGTTAGAGACGCAGAGGGATATATATGCCGCTGCGCGGAAGATTCCGGACCGCTTTGCGGAAGCTTGCGGCAGACAGCTAGAGAGCATAGGGATGTTAGAGACGCAGAGGGCCTAGACAGCTAGAGAGTCGAGCGGAGCAATTGTATGTCCCTCTGCGTCTCTAACATCTCTATGCTCTCTAGCTGTCTAACCTGCTTGCGACAGACACCTAGAGATCAATGCTATGTTAGAGACGCAGAGATGCTATACAGCTAGAAGCAATACCCAGATGGTTAGAGACGCAGAGGGAAATACACTCGCTTCGCTCGAGCCGCTTGCGCGGAAGTTTGCAGCAGACAACTAGAGATTAGATGTTAGAGACGCAGAGGCTAGACAGCTAGAGAAAATGAAGATGGTTAGAGACGCAGAGGAACCTATTTTCAGCCTGCGCAGCTCCACCGTGTCCAGCATATGCTCCAGCTCCACTTCCAGCCCCAAGAATTCCAGTATACGGTAAGTTCCGCGTACGCGGAAGCTTGCGGAAAAAAATTCAAAAACAAAAATTTTCCAGCTTGCGCAGCTCCACCATGCCCAGCCTACGCTCAACCGGCTCCAACTCCAGTCTACTGTAGGTTTCCGCGCGCGCGGAAGCTTGCGGAAAAATCCACATATTTTTACAGCTCCTCAACCAATCTACACGGCGCCAGTCGCTGCTCCAACCTACCAACCATACGCCTGCGCAGCTCCGCCATGCCCTTCCGCAACCTACCAGCCTTACGGACCTTCCGCGCCGCAACCTTCCGCCTCTCCGTTTTACGCGCCCTATCCGACACTCCAACGCTTCCGCACCGCCTATTATGGTTTTGGAGCGAATAAGAAAGTGGGAGGCGCGAAAAATTGAAAATTCAAATTTTTTCTCGATTGTCTGTATATTTTTTGATAATAAAATATTTTATCGGCCTGAAATAGCCTGGTTTATGGGCCTAGAAAGCCTAGATTTTAGGCCTGAAAAAGCCTAGATTATAGGCTTGAAAATGAGCCTAAACAAGCCTGAAAAATTAAAATGTCATTCTCCACGTGAAAATTTCGCAAAATTCTTCATTTCTTATGAAAAATGACACAAAATGATGAGGTTTGTTGATTCTAGGCTTAAAATTAGGCTTTCCAGGCCGATTTCAGGCCTAAATCCGGGCTTTAGGCCTCTTCTAGGCCTAAATTTGCAGAACGGCATCTATTACACCATCGAATTCTTCCTAGTCTTATCCATAATTTTTCTGGCCTGGTCGGTTCCCACCGCATTTTATTGGTATACGATTTTGCGAGCCTCGAATCCATCGGCAACTTCGGAAGATCACGAAGATCAGCAGCCGGTGCAGACGATTACTGTGATGAGAAAACGAGAATGAACATTTTTTGCGATTTTTTTGACACCAAACATGCCTAGGCTTGAAAATTTTTGATTTTTGGGCCTGAAAAAGCCTATTCGGCCTGAAAACTAGGCCTAGGGCCGAAAATCTGGTTTTTCTATCATCCGCCTTCATTTTAGTTACCCCTCCCCCCAGCAAGGGGGGTTTTCACAGTGTAAAAAACAACAGCCAGAAATATTTCACAATAAAAACAAAAACCGCGCCGCAAAATTGCAAAAACACATGTTTTCATCGGCCAAAAATAGGCCACGCCCCCATCAGCTGATTTTTTCCGCGCGTTTTTTTTCGTTTTCCGCCGCGTTTCCGCGTTTCCCACCTAATTTTTAACGGTGAATTCGAAAAAAATCGATAATTTTTGATGAATTTGAGTTGCAGACCGTGAAAAATGACGTCAACAGCCAGTCCAACACAAGCAAAACCCGAAAAGAAGTCGACCGATCCGATTTTGAGCATTAATTTCAATCAGGACGCAAAGTATTGATTTTTTTTTTGCTTCATAATACAGTAGTCTTTTTAAAGGTTCATATCGGTCGGTCATCAGGAGGGCTACATGTTCTACAAGACGCTGGATATTTTGGACAGCTCCAATTTGCATTATGAGGGCGAAAATGCGTCGAGTAAGCGGTTTTGGGGGCGGAAAATTGATGAAAATGAGCTGAAAAACATGAATTTTGACTGAAAATTGGTCTTGAAGCGAAAAATCATAAATTTTCGCTCCAGGAGCCCTTCTAGACTCAAAATTTGTGATTTTTCAGTTCTGGAACGGAAAATAACTAAATTTTTCGCTCCAAAACCTGAAAATTGATATTTTCGGTTCGGAGAAGGTCCTAATACGAAAAATCACAAAATTTCGTTTAAAAATCATAGATTTTCACTCTGGAGAGGGTCCCGAAGCGAAAAATCATGTTTTTTTTGCTCCAGGAGTCCTTCTAGACCTGAAAAACCTTAAAAACCATGATTTTTCACTTAAAAATGCTCCCCGAGCCCAAAAATCCCCGATTTTCAGCACCATTTGGCAACGAATGCGTCATTTTGGAGCGTCTCTTTTCATCCGCTTTGATGGTTGTGGTCTCGCAACGCGAACCACGTGTCATGCACATTTACAATATTACTAACAAGAAGATTATTTGCGATCACAAGTTTACACAGTCGATTTTGAGTGTTCGAATTAATCGCGAGGTGGGAAATCGTTTCGAGATCCGCAATGCGCCTTTAAAATCGATTTTTGGTTAAAGGAACATGTTCATCGTCTCGAGACCCACATTTTCATACTAAATGAGCCTTTAAAATCCAAGAGGGCTTTAAAGGGTCTCGACACGATGAACATGTTCCTTTAAACAAAAATTGCTTTTAAAGGCGCATTTAGTATCGAAATGTGGGTCTCGAAGCGGAGAACATGTTCCTTTAACCCAAAAACCCCTATGTCCCTTTAAAACCCGATTTTCCAGAGAATCGTCGTTTGCTTAGAAGACTGCATCTACATCTACAGTCTCAACGACATGAAAATGATGCACAACATCCAGGACACGCCGCCAAATCCGAATGGATTGATCGATTTGTCGACCAATACCGGCGAGTCGTTGTTGGCCTATCCGGGAAGTACCGAAAATGGAGCGGTACGTGGGGGGTTTTGGGCTGAAAATGAGCTGAAAAATGAGATTTTTGAGGAAATTTGACTCAGAAACGTGTTTTTGAGCTAAAAATCATGATTTTTGAGCGAAAATGACCCGGAGATCATTTTTGGAACCAAAAGTTGGTTGGGAGAGCGCATTTGCTTCATTTTGAGCTAAAAATCATGAATTTTGAGCAAATTTGACCTGGGAGATCATTTTTAGCGCCGAAAGTTGTTCAATGGAGCACATTTGCTCTGTTTTGAGCTGAAAATGACCCAGGAACGTGGTTTTTGGCCTAAAATTTAGCAATGGGGCGCATTTTCTCAACTACGGTGATTTTTAGCGCCAAAAGTTGTGCGATAGAGCGAATTTGCTCATTTTTACTCAAAAATCGTCAATTTTTCACTAAAATCATCGGATTTTCACTGAAAATCTCAATTTTTCACCAAAAATGCAGATTTTTGGCTGAAAAAATCCCAAAATTTAATTTCAGGTGCACATTTTCGATGCCAAAAGTCTCTCCTCAGTCAACACATTCGTGGCTCATGACGGAAGCCTGGCAGCGCTGAAATTCAATTTGGCTGGAACAATGTTGGCCACAGCAAGCACAAAAGGAACTGTGATTCGTGTCTATTCGATTCCTGCCGGCACTAGATTGTTCGAATTTCGAAGAGGAATGTCGAGGTGAGCAAAATTTTTGCGGGTTTTTCGAGCCCGAATAAGCCTGGGCCTGAAAATTTGGGATTTTTTGAGCCCAAATAAGCCCGGGCTTGAAATTTCTGATGTTTTTAAGCCTAAATAAGCCTAGGCCTGAAAATTTGGGGTTTTTTGAGCCCAAATAAGCCCGGGCTTGAAATTTCTGATGTTTTTAGGCCTAGGCCTATTTAGACTCAAAAAATCCCAAATTTTCAGGCCTAGGCTTGTTTAGACTCAAAAAATCCCAAATTTTCAGGCCTAGGCTTGTTTAGACTCAAAAAATCCGAAATTTCCAGGCCTAGGCTTGTTCGGGCTCAAAAAATCCCATTTTTTCGCGCCAATTTCAAAAATTCAAATTTTCTTTCAGATGTGTCACAATCTACTCATTGGCTTTCTCATCAGATTCGGCCTATTTGTGCTCCTCCTCAAACACCGAAACAATTCACGTCTTCAAATTGGACAAAACTGAAGAAGTCGAGAAGAAACCGTGAGTTTTTGGCGGGAAATTTGAATTTTTGATGAAAAATAAGCCAGAAATCGTGATTTTCGATGAATTTTGACCTAGAAATCGATTTTCGCGCGAAAATTTCGACCTACAGTACTCCAAATCGTTCCAAGACCTAAATTTCGATAGAAATCACGTTTTTTGGGTCCTGAAACGATTTTTGAGGGTACTGTAGGTGATTTTTGGCGGGAAATTTGAATTCTTGATCAAGAAATGAGAAAAACTTGAACCTACAGTACTCCAAATCCTTGCAGGACCCAAATTTCGATAGAAATCACTTTTTTGGGTCCTGAAACGATTTTTGAGGGTACTGTAGGTGATTATTGGCGGGAAATTTGAATTTTCGGTCAAGAACTGACCAAAAACTCGAATTTCGCGCCGAAAATGCTAATTACAGTACTCCAAATCGTTGCAGGACCCAAATCTCCGTAAAAATCACAGATTCTCGGTCCCGAAACGATTTTTGAGTGTACTGTAGATGATTTTTGGCGGGAAATTTGAATTTTTTCCTATTTTTACTTGAAAATGTTCATTTTTCATCAAATTTTATAATTTTTCCATCAAAAATCCCCAATTTTTGCAGAGAAGAAGTGCCAGAAGCGGCCGGATGGTTCGATGTCATAAATCGTACCGTATCGGCCTATATGCCAACCCAAGTCACCGATTTAATGACAACTGAGAGAAGTTTTGCCACCGCCCGTTTGCCGGGTGTCACAAAACGAAATGTCGTGTCGATTATCACGTGAGTTTTGAAAAATGATGAATTTTGAGCTAAAAATTGAAATTTTGGGTGAAAAATGATGAATTTTGACCCAAAATTTTAAATTTTCATGAAAATTTGAGTTACAAAATTCAAATTTTCAACATTTCGCGCCAAATTTTGATATCTACAGTAACCCTAACCATATTTAGTATTAAAATTCATCATTTTTCGCGCCAAAACCCGATTTCTTACAGTAATCTCAATCAAAATTATGTGATGGTAGCAACTTCCGATGGTTTCGTCTTCACTTATCGATTGGACCCAAATGGCGGTGAATTGGATCTGGTAAAACAGCACAAAATCGGGCCGAATGCCGAGGGAACTTGTCGAGGACCAATGAGTCCAGGTGGTGGAACTGATGCTTCGAGTAAGCGATTTTTTGACTGAAAATTCGAGATTTTTGACTGAAAATGACCTAAAATTCATGAATTTTGAAGAAAAATGAATATTTTGGGCCCTGGAGCGAAAATGAGTACTGTAGGTAAATTTTTAGCGGAAAATTTGAATTTTTGCGCCACAAATCACCTACAGTACTCCTAGACCTTGAAAATTCAAATTTCCCGCCAATTATTATCTACAGTACCCTCTCATCTCGCTCCAGGACCCGAAAAAGTCGATTCTTTCAATTTGTTGGGTCTTGAAACGATCTGGAGTACTGTAGATCAAACTTTAGCACCAAAAATCGTCTACAGTACCCGCAGATCGTTTCGAGACCCTATTAGCCTTTTACCAATCGGTGCACCTCGCTCTATCGCACTCGCCATGGAAGAGAAAAGTTTTTTTTCGCGTCCTAGGAGCCGACACACTCGGCCATATTTTTTGTTTTTGTTTTTCTTTTTTTCGAAACGTTTTTCGTTTGTTTCTGGACGAGTTTGCATTGAATCAAGCTCCAAAATGTTGATATTTCGCTGGAAAGTGATATTTGAAGGTAAGACTAAGTTTTTCTATGAATTTTAGTTGGGTTTTTCCAGGAATTCGGCCATTTTTGACGGAAAAAGGAAATTCGAGGATTTTTGCCGATTTCGCGAGTTTTCAGCAACAATTGGATGAATTTCAATTGATATTTTTGATTGGTGGATAAAAGGAATGAGGGGATTGCACAAAAGAAGGAAAATAATGGCAATTGAAAAGCAAATTCGCAAGGAATTGTGAGAACAAGGAACAGATCTGGCGTTTGGACTGGTCGATTGAAAAACGAAAATTCGAATTTCAGTTGTAACACACAATTGGTGGATGAAGGGATTCGAGAAGATTGGAAGAAAATAAATATGCGAAGTTGAGATGAATTTGATGGAAGATGAAAATCGAAGAGAATCGGCAAGAAATAAAAGAAAATTGCGACAATGCATTTTGAGCATTAATTAGCAGATTCAATGAGGTTGCGAGAAGACAATTTTCGATTGCATACAATTGCAAAAGTTCCGACATTATGATGAAGACATTTGAGAAGACCATATGAAGGATTTGCTATTTTTCTGTCGAGGTGGTGGAATTTTGGTTCGAAAACGTCGTTTTTGTATAATTTTCTGTTTGAAATTGATTAAAAAAACAGAAGTTTCGCTTTTTGTCTCGTGTTTTCTCTAATTTTTTTTATAAATAAAGCTCTGATTGTGAGATTTTCAAAATCATGTGGTTTTCTTTCCGGATTCTCCAGGTGAGTCGTTGAAATCGGTTTTTTTGACAAGAATTGTTGAATAAAATAATATTTATCGTTGTATTTTCTTTACTCGTTTCATTTGAACAAATTTCAGTGAATTTCTAAGGAAAAATCTAGCGAATTCGCTCTCGCCAGCTTTTTTTGAAAATTAAAAAAAAGAAAAATAATTCGAGTTTGAACTCGTGCGCCTTTTTTGGTGCGTCGCGTGCGATGCGGAGCGTGTTTGTTCGATAGAGCGAGATGCACCGACGTATGAAAGGCTAATAGAAACTTGATTTTTCGCTGTTTTTTGGTCCTGGAGCGAAAATTAGTACTGTAGATTGAATTTAAACGCCAAAAAATCCGATTTTTCAAAAATTTCGCAAAAAAATTGGTCTCGGAGCGAAAATGACTACTGTAGGGAAGATTTTCGCGCCAAAAATCCTAGAAAACTAGATTTTCCGCACCAAGACCCAATTTTCGCGCCAAAATTTTGAATTTCAAATTTTTTTCTGCAGAACTCCACAATCAAGTGCCAAATGTCGATGACGTCGAAGATTTTCCACCAATGAGCCATCCAATTGGCTAAAATTTCAGATTTTTGGCTGAAAATCTGAAATTTTCTGTAAATTCTCATGTAAATTTTGTGTATTTTCCCCAATTTTTTTTATTTTGTAAAATTTTCAAATTTTCCCCAAATTTCCTCTCAAAACCCCGCGCCTTTTCACTAATTTTGATTTTTTCACAATAAAAATTGGAAAAAAAACCGATTTTTTGGGTCCCGCCACGATTTCGGCGATTTTTGGCGCGAAAAATCGAAAATGTGACGAGAAAAACACGATTTTCAAGTATTTTCTCCGTATCTCTTCTCTTTTTGCGGATCTTATCATAATTTGCTTGATTTATCGATTTTTTGCCCACAAAACAACACGAAATGTGGAAAATTTGGTGTTTTTTGGTGATTTTTGCCGAAGCTCAACACAATTTTCGAAGTATTTTGATTGAGGTAAGCTAGTTTTGGGTCTTGCAACGAAAATTTGCGATTTTTTGAGTCCAAACATGAAAAATTGCGATTTTTCGGGCAAAAATTGGGGTCCTAAGACGAAAAATTGATCTACAGTAGTCATTTTCGCTTTGGGACCCAAATTTTTGGTGAAATTTGCGATTTTTTGAGTCCAAACATGAAAAATTGCGATTTTTCGTGTCAGGACCCGATTTTTTCGTAAATTTCACCAAAAATTGGGTCTTGCAGCGAAAATGACTACTGTAGATCAATTTTTCGCGCTAAAAATCGCATTTTTCATGTTTGGAATCAAAAAATCACAAATTTTGGGCAAAAATTGGGTCCTGAAGCGAAAATGACTACTGTAGATCAATTTTTCGTGTCAGGACCCAAATTTAGGCTCAAAAAATAGCAAATTTTCGCTGCAAGACCCAAAATCCTTCCAGCGTGCCTGCACCAAAAAGCCAGATCTCGATTTCTGCGCCGATTTCATCACCACCACCACTTCCACACTTCCACCAACAACAACAACCACCCAGAAATTGGAGCTGCCAATTCCACCCGAAGCTCCGCCCACCACCAAAAATGCCACCCACGAAGCCGATGACGTGGATTTCGAGGAAGATTTCACGAATTCCACGAATTCGCTGAAAACCGGCGAAAAAGAGCAATTGGGAAGTTTGGTGCGGCTGCCGAAACCTGAAAATTCTGAAAATGAGGTGAATTTTTGAAAATTTCAGAAAATTTCGAGCATTTTGATATAGAACACGTGGAAAACGTGGGAAAACGAAAAAAAAAACGCGAAAAAAGAAAGTAAAAATGGAAGTGCGCTCCACTGACAACACGGTGTTTGCGGACTTGACGCCAAATTGCACAGAAAAATTCAAATTTTTTCGTTTTCCCTCAAAATCCACCAATTTCCACGTGTTTTACCTCATTTTGAAGCAAATTTTCAGCAAAAATCGATTTTTCAGAAATCCCAAGCTCCAGCAACCTCAAACTCCACGGAAACCGAGAAAAATGTGCTGGTTTTTGTCAGTGAATATTGTGTGATTGAAAGGGAGCATTTTGTGAAGGCTTGTAATGGGGATATTGAGAAGGAGGAGGTAATTTGGTGGATTTTGACACCAAACACGTGGATTTTGGAGCCCTGGGGTGAAAAATACGGGTTTTCTCAACCCTGGGGTGAAAAATACGGGTTTTTTCAACCCTGGGCTGAAAAATACAGGTTTTTTTCAACCCTGGGGTGAAAAATACGGGTTTTTTCAACCCTGGGGTGAAAAATACGGGTTTTTTCAACCCTGGGGTGAAAAATACGTGGAATTTTGAGCCCTGGGGTGAAAAATACGGGGTTTTTTCAACTCTGGGGTGAAAAAGACGGGGTTTTTCAACCCTGGGGTGAAAAATGCGGGTTTTTTCAACCCCGGGCATGTTTTTCCTCAAAAATCCGCAATTTTCAAGATAACCTTCTGCAAAACCTATCCATCCGCCTGCGTCTCAACAAACGGTGTAATCCCAGTCATCTCCTACTGCCAAAGATACTACAAATTCTACCCGAAACACTGTGGAAAACAATTGATTGCTCATGATAGTCTTCAATTTTGCTTCGCCTTCGAGAACTTCTGCCTACCCGAATTGCATGCTGCCTCAAGTGCCGCTTCCGCTCCCGCTAAATCAAGCTTGCGGAAATGCGAAGATGTGGTGGCGGAAGCGCGAAAAGTCTGCAATCCTTTCCCAAACCCCAAAGACACTTTTAATTTGTTGCGATGCACACATTTTTTGACGAATTGTAAAAAGTATGCGGATTGGTTGCAATAAATTTTTATTTTTTGAAAAAAAAATTCAAAACCATAAAACACCAAAAATTTGGAGCGGAAAAGACTCTAAATTATTGATTAAAATTTTGTATAAATTCTTCTTTTTTTCACTTTCCATCAAGAAAATCCCTGAAAAATCAAAAAAAAAAGTTTTTTTTGAAAAACACACCCGCTCAAACAATGAAAAAATTAGCAAAATGCTGTTCTCATTGGCGTACCAATTTTAGTTACCTTAGAGGTCGTTATATGTAAAACTAAAAATACCATTAGAATCAGCGTCTCAAGATCTACATTAAACTATGTTACTCATATTTTTAGGGGTCCTGCGAAGAAAGTTACGATTTGCGTCGAGACCACGCGGTTAAATAAATACGTGTCCCTTTAATCTGCAACGTAAATCAATGAAATAGTTGGCGTACCAATTTTCGTTAGGAAAACATGCGTTAGAGAAAAAATGAAAAATATCACGAGATTCAGCGTGTCGAGATCTACATTAAACCATAAGATTCATAATTCCTAGGAGCCCAGGAAGGCCAGCTTTTCGAGACCCAATAAATTAATAAATGTATGTTCCTTTGAACGAACAAAACAGTGTGAATTCTCGAGAGACGCAGAGACGCGGTGTTTGCACACTTTTCGATTGCGTACTACAGTAGAAAAACAGTCATTTCTCGTTTCAGCGGGGTGTGAAAAAAAAACAATTCGCAGTGGAGCGCACTTGCATTGCCATCGTTGCGAGACCCAGTTGCAGGTTGTTGTGCGCCTTTGAAGAATACAGTAGGATTTTCGAAAAAAAACATTTTTTTGCGAAAAAAACGTGAATTTTGACAAAACAAAATTATTTCTACGTGTAACGAATACGTGGAATGCTGGCAAACGTGGATAGAAAAATGATGACGTCAGTTGAAAAACGGCAATCAAAAAATCAGTATTGGATTTATCAAATATCCAAAGCGACAAAATGAATATTTATGATATTTGTGCTTATATCATTCTTGGAATTGTTATTCTTGGATTGATTATAATAATGACTATCAAATTATTATGGAAATATACATATAAATGGTTTCCAATGTTATCTTCATCAAAAATTGGTTGTTTTATTGGTTTCAATGGTTCTCATTTTATATTATTGATTTGTGCAATTGCTTGTGTTGTTTTTGGATTTTTATTTGGTGGAATATGGAATGGAAATGGAATTGATAATAATATTCAACAAGACATCAAGAATGACACCAAAAGTGAGTTAATTACCCCAAAAATTCTTTTAAAATACCTTTTTCTTGCAGTTCTCATCGATAAATCAATGTCTGCTGGACAGAAATTGTCAAATATTCCCGATATTCCTTCTGACGATGAGATCAATGAAATGCTGAATATTTCAACAATCGCAAATCAACTTAAAACACAATTTTCATTTGTTAAACCGATGGTTTATTCGCTTCTCCCATTGATGCGCAGTTATGAGCCAATCAAAGTCGAAATCGAAAATACAGCCCGCTGTGAATTGGTAACGGATATACCTCTACTAAAAATAAATATCACAGAAACAGTTGAAGCAATCGAAGAATCTGTTAGTCGTTTGAACGGATATTCTGTTAATATATTCACAGATCTCGCAAAAAATAATAAAAATCAGCAAAACTCAATTAGCGTGTTCAAAGAGGAAATGAAGAAAGACACAATTCATGCAGAAAACATCAAAACGGTGAATTTATCACAATTTTTTTGTTATATTTGTATATCAATTCATTTTTTGCAGACTTTGACGAAAGCTTGGAAGTCTGCAGTGATTCAATATGAAAATGCAGTTGATACAAGAATGAACAAAGTATCGGAACAACATCAATCGATATTTTGGACAAATCTGCTTACTAATATTGGATTATTATGTATTCCCTTAGTGGTTATTCTCTATTTTATCATTGTATCAATTTCTATTCACTTTACAAGTCCAACATCTAAACTCCATCGATTTCTTCTCATCTCAAATCACATCTGTTATTATATTATAGCATTACTCATATTAGGATGTGCTGGATATATTATTTATTCAATTACTTATTCAACTAAACACGAATCTGCAATTGCAAATGATAATTCGATATATTTTGATGTTTCGATTCCAATTTATGATAGTACTTCAACTAAATCATCATATCAAATTATATCAAAATCATCTGGAAAATTATTCGATTCACCAAATAATGATATTTTGATTGGAGAAATGGTATTTTTTGAGAATTGGGAAGCACAACTTGTGAATAGTTTGGATTCGTTGATGGAGGATCAAGAAAGAAATTATAAATTCGTCAAGCACAGTGAAACCATCACGAAAAAATGGAAAACGCTCAGAATTTTGACCGAAACTTTTTCTAAAGTATTAGGTGATTCAACATGTAATGAATCGTGGCCCGCGATCAATGAGTTTTTGAAAGAATATGGGGATGCTAATAAAACGATGCTGCAACATATGGAATTCATGCCAAAAAACATCAAATCTTGGAAAGAGTTGCCGACAAAATTGAGAGGAATTGTGAAAGATCGTGTGAAAATTGTGAAGAGTTCGGTGGAAAAACGAAGAAATCATATCAATGTGAGTTTTATTAACAAATTCATTGAGACAATTGAACAATATTGTTTTTTCAGGATGGAATCAATATTCTGAGCATTGATTCGAAATCAACCAGGAAAACATTTGCAAAAATCAATAATATTCAAGTTGCGAAAAATGATGAAAATATGCGAGGAATTGTTGTATTGATTCATTGCTTGATATTGATTGTTGCATTCGTTTGTGAGGTTCTCTATCTTTACACTTATCGAACATTTGGTCCACAACCGCCGGAAAAAGCGAAGCAACCATCTGAGCAGCTAACTCCAACGGATTCGCAACCAAATTTGGATAAACCAGCACCTCCACCACCACCACCACTACCAAATCTTCCTGATGCACAAGCTCTTCCTCAACCTGCAGAAAAACAGATGGATGTGGAGTCGACTCAAGAATCCGATCTGATTCTTGAAGTTTCGGTTATTGAAACTCCAATTGATTACCGCAAAGAATGGGTTGAAAGAGTTGTGAAATTGGTGAGATTTTGAGAAAATTCACGAAAAAAAAACAAAATATCAAATTTCAGAATTTTGACGTATTGAAAGAACACTTTATTATAGTTATCCGTCGTGATAAATGTACTGAAGTTGTTATCGATCAGGAAACTATGAAGAATCGTTATTCCGTCATTTGGCCCTACAACATTCCATGTATCGAGAAGACAAGAGTGAAATTGAAGGATCGTGATGAAAACAATAATTTTTATCATGCGAATCTTGTACATCTGACAAATTCGAAACGCAAATACATTGCATCAGGCGGTCCACCGACTCTAAAAGACGTACCCAACTTTTTGCATATGTTATTCAAGGAAAAGGTATTTTTTGGGGGGAATTTTATCTTCTACATGTAGAACCTTGATTTGATTTACAGGTTAAAATTGTGGTGATGCTGTGTCCATTGGATGACGAAAATTGCGCGCGTTATTTTCCCACAACTCTTGACGCTGAAAACGATGCAACTCTCACATTTGGCGATTATTCGGTGAAATTTGTCAAGTTTGAGAAATGCCCAATAAGTGATGTGGTATGCCGTGTTTTGAGATTGAAATGTGCAAAAGATGGAAGCAAGATCACCATCAAACATATTCATTATTCTGAATGGCCGAATAATTCGATTCCAAAAAAACATGGGGATGTGTTGAGAATGATTGATTTGGCCAAAAAATGGAATCGCGAATATAAGGACAAATTTCCAATTGCAGTTCATTGTAATGATGGAGTTGGGCGGACTGGAACATTTATTGCAATTGATTTTTGTGACACATATCTTCATTCTTCAGCGGCTCAAGATTTATATGGAAATGTGTCGAATTTGAGAAATATGCGCTTTGAGGCTGTGAAATTCGCTCATCAATATGTATTTATGTGTGCAGCCCTTGTCAGAAAATATCAGACTGTATGTTTTTCTTTTCAAAATAAAAATTATGCAAATACAAATAAATTTGCAGTTCAAATTGATAAGTGCTGAAGAAACTCAACAATTTTGGAAGGCTTATGAGGAATTCACATCGAATTTGGATGATTTTTTCGATCCGACGAAAAGTAGAATCGAGCAAGCCATTAAACAACTAGTTTGATTATCTTCGAGCCAACAACTTGTTTATTTTATGTATTGTCATCAAAAAAATTTTTATGCATTTTTTTACTTGCATTTTTTTGTATACCAGTCAATGAAGATTTTATGAACAATATTTTTCGAAAGCTGAAAATAGAACAACTCGTATTGATTTTCCTCCGATTTTTCTGACACGTCTGCTTTTTTTATGTGTCCTGAGAAATAACAAAATCCAAATTTTGCTTCATTTTCGTCAAAAAAATGTTGATCTTATCACTAGCATTGGCTGTTAATAGCATTGGATTAGCTGTTGGTTTTTTTGCTACACCCGATATTGATGTCAAAGTCTATCCAACATGTCGTCTTGACACCAATTGGTGTTTTATGGTTTTCCTTCTCGAATATGATGGAGGGTTGGGAACTTTTTTCTCTGACTATGATTTTGTTGGCGGTTTAGGCAGATTTTGTTCATCGCATAAGAAAACAGCATCTGTTGGTAAAACATTTAAAATGCCTTTAAATGGACTCCTACTTAGTCGGACGCATTATGAAATAGTTCTAGGTATTCGACACAATTGTACAGAAACTGGAAATGTTCATGATCATGTTATTTATGAGGAGGATGTGTTGAAGAGCAAACCAAAGATTGCTTTTACGGTTAAACCGGATATTACCGGTCAAGGCATGTCATATGAGAAGGATACATGGAAGGCTTGGATAAGGACAAAGTTTGGGGCTTTAGATATTAAGGGTTTTGAGGATGGTGATTTTTCGTTTGATACTTACAACTTAGAGGCACTTAAAGGGGGTACGGGCTAATTAAAATTTGTTGGAAAAAAATATACCATTTGAAAGAGGAGGTTTCGTTTAGTATGTTCCCAATTTTTTAGAATTTTTTTTCACGTTTGAATACCATTTTTTCACGCGCAAACACAAAAAAGTTGCGCTCGACCTCAGAGAAATAGCATGCAGAAAAGGGAGACACAGCGCATAGAAGCCCCGCCCCCCCCCCCTTTTTTTTTTTTTTTTTTCTTGTTCGTTTTTGCTTATTAATTTGTTTGTTTTTGAATGTTTTGAACTCAATTTTTTTTGGTTTTTTTCGGAAAATGAGAAAGAGAATGAGAATGTGATGAGATTTTCCGTCTGGAAGCGGAGGTGTGAAAAAATGGCTATGAAAAAGGAATGAAAACATACAATATGGATAAAAACGTGTAGGTGAGTTGTAAAAATAGAGTATACCTGGAAATGTTTTGGACTAAACTTTTTTGATCTCATGATCTTGAAATTCAGCGCGTGCGCGAAGAAATTTTTTACAGTTTTTATTTTCATATTCAAGTTTTCCATGTTTTATTTTGTTTTTTTTTTTGCTAGAACTTTGGTATTTGTATTTTTTTCAGAATGAACTCGGGAAGAAAAATTTTTAATAGAATCTGTGCTATATGCGAAATTCCAACAGATAGAAGTCTGATGATACGAGTACCGACAAGCGAGCGAAAACTTCGCCAATGGAGCTTGAAGTTCGGTGAAGGGTTCAAAGAGAGAATTTCGAAGTGTTCAATGGTTTGCGTGGACTGCGATGCAAAATGTTCTGGCAATAAGAACAATTCACTTCGCGTGAGTTTCATTGTTTTATGAGGGGGGGGGGGGCGCAAAAATCTTATTTTCCTGCGGAATTCGAAAATCTTTTGAATCCCTTATTGAATGTGATTAGACCTAAGATCCTGATTTATTTGATGAATCCGAACATCTTCCGATTTCAATGCTGGATCCAGCAATCTTCCAGTTTCCGTTCCTCATTTCCTTGATGAATCCGAACATCTTCCGATTTCAATGCTGGATCCAGAAATCTTCCGGTTTCCGTGATGGATTTGACTAGACCGAAGTTCCTGATTTCCTTGGTGAATCCGAAAATCTTCCGATTTCAATGATGGATCCAAAATTATTCGATTCCCACGATGAATTTGATTCACGCCAATAGAAATTTTCAGATTAGAACTCCGAATCGATCATCACATTCATCTCATGGTTTGTCGTCGTACAAAGAAGAACAACTTGCCGAATCTGACGAATCTTGCGGCAATGAAGATGATGACAAAAACCAAGATCCTGACGTATGGTAATAAACAAAAAAAATATTTATTTATATTTTTCAGTTTATTCCGCCTGAACCTTGCACAACATCGATTGAGTACCTTATTTGTGATATGCGTAACGTTTTGCCATATATAAGAAAATGCTACAAATGTTTAGAGAAAGGGGTTCACTCTGATGCATCAATAAGTATTGATACTCAAGGAGCAACAGTGAAGGTACCGTAAATTTGAAAGAAAAACTTCATTGAACCAGGTTTCTCGCTTCTTATAGGCTAAGTTAGTATGTTTCCGTTGTGCTCACGCGTGGAATTGGTGTTCGTCGATTGCTATTGACGAAAATCGACCTGGTCGAAAACAACAGTGTCTCAACCTAGATATAGCAACAGCAATTGTTGTTTCGGGAAATGGGATTTCTGTGAGCTTTTCGCTATAAAGTTCTTACGAATTGCAAGTTTTTTAGGAGATTAACTCACTTTTCGACGTATTAGGAATGCCAAAAAATTTCGAAAGATTCGTTCTATTCAGTGCAAAACCAACGTATATTCCCAACAATAAACCAATTTTTCATCCAGCACGAAGAGAAGGTTTTCAAAATTATTGTAGAGAATCTGAAAAAGGTGGAGACTATTGCAAGGCAAATTACAAAAATGTTTTTTAGTTTGGGTGTTGTCATATTTGTGGGGATGGACAGTTCGACAGCAGAGGATACTCTGCATGTTATTGCCGATACACAATACAAGATATTCGTACCAAATTGATCCTCACGATGGTCGTTTCAAGAAAAGAAAGAGGAGGTCAGAATTTCATTTTGAACTGAAAATAATCATTATTTCAGGAAGTTCGCCGAACTTGGAAAATATTGGACATCTTGAAGCAATGAATAAATTGATTGTCAAACTGGAAAATCTAGGATTCAAAGATGCTATTGGTTCCTTCACATCCGATAGATGTTCTTCGATGGAAAAACAAATGGCACTTCATTTTCCAAAAATAGCACATGTTTTCGACATGTGGCATTTTATTCGTTCAATTGTTATGGAAATCAAAATGGTGATTGTTTGAATCAAAAATATGCTTCCAGAGTTATGAATAGAACAAATAATTCATTTTAAAATTATCTCCTTCAAACTATTGTCATGATATACCATAATTGCAGAGAATACATCAAAAACAATTTGCGGCTATGAAACCTTGGTGTCGTGATATGATCAATCACTTGTACCATGTCATCACTAATTCAAATGGTGATGGTCAACGTACTTATGAACATCTTTCATCGTTTTTCCATCATTGCACAGATCGCCACGAACAATTCACGGTATTTGCGATAATTTCATCAGAAAAAAGTTTATATATCTGTGTTTCAGAAATTGGAGGGTGCAAAAGATACAAAAGCTGCAAAAAGTGGGAAAAATGTTGCAAAAAATGGAAAAGAAGTTGCAAAATGTGGGAAAGGCGATTCAAATTTTGAAAAGTTCAAAAAATGTCAACATCCTCCTGTCCGAACTGCAAACGCTCCGCCATATTTGAATTTGGCAAAACCGTCTGATAAAAAAGCGTGGGAATTGATGAAAGATATTATCATGACGCCAAAAAGATCTAAAGATATTGGAAAAGTTTCTTCGCATTGCTCAACAAGTGCTCTGGAAAGTTTTCATTCCATTGCCACGAAGTATGCACCAAAGCATAAATATTAGTGAGTTTCCCAATTCTGCTGTTCTGAAAACTACTACGTATAATACATATCACTGAGAGTTTATTTCAGTTCAAAAAGCAGTCATGAAATTCGTTCAAAAATTGCCGCGATTGATTGGAACTGCAAACAACTTGATGAGATGAATGGTTTGCGACCAGTCATTGGACGGAAAAAAGTTTTTTGTAAAACAAAGCAAGAAGAAGTTTTCAAAAAATTGAAAGCTCCGGCCAGCATGACTTGGCGCAGAGAAATAAGGGATGCTGTTCGAACCACATCGCTTGTTGATCTCAAAGCAATGCCGGAAATTCAATATTCTACTGAATCGGAGTACGAGGAATCGGATGTTTCTGAAAATGAGGCTGATGAAAATTTAAGTGTTATTTTTCTTTACATCTTTTATTCGAAAATTTCAGCATAATCACAAAATTGGCATGTCTCTTCAACTTCTAGATGATCCCGAAAAATCCGACAGCGAATTGGACTCTGAATCGGAAGACTGATTTCATATTCAATGTATTCAGTTATAATCATAATCATAATTAATTAGGTTTTCATTATTCAAGATTAGGGTTTAATTAGAATTAGGTTTTCAAATTTATAATTTTATTTTTCAATTTTTATTTCATTTTTTCCATGTTTTTCTTCTAAAAACGAGATGATTTTATTCACATTCTCATTACATTCTCATTCTCTTTCTCATTTTCCGAAAAAAACCAAAAAAAATTGAGTTCAAAACATTCAAAAACAAACAAATTAATAAGCAAAAACGAACAAGCGAAAAAAAAAACAAAAAAGGGGAGGGGGCGGGGCTTCTATGCGCTGTGTCTCCCTTTTCTGCATGCTATTTCTCTGAGGTCGAGCGCAACTTTTTTGTGTTTGCGCGTGAAAAAATGGTATTCAAACGTGAAAAAAAAATTCTAAAAAATTGGGAACATACTAAACGAAACCTCCTCTTTCAAATGGTATATTTTTTTCCAACAAATTTTAATTAGCCCGTACCCCCTTTAAATAATTTGATTTTTTTTCAAAAATAAATTTCTTTTCATTTGTCTGACACGTTATTTTAACATAAATGCCAGAACCCACCTAGACAACCTTATTAATTAGCTTCTTAATTAATTAATTAGGGCTAATTACCTCTGAAACTATTGAAAAATTATCGATTTTTTGTAATAAATTTGAATGCTCCATGTTACACGCACAATTTTTAATTAGAAATGCCTGTAAACACTGCTACGCAAAAATGCACAGAAAGAAATGTGTCACGTTTTTTTTTTATTTTTCAGAAAAAAATGGATTTTTGCTCATTTCGGATGGATGGAAAGCTAGGAAAATGTGATTTCAAGGGTCGTTTTGCAGATTATCAAATTCTCCACCTTCGAAAACCCCGGGAAACGTGAGTTTTTGCTCGAAAAACAAAAATATTTCTCAAAAAAAAAATAAATACGGTAGTTTTCAAAGGCGCACAACAAACCGCACACGGGTCGCACCGCGCTACTTTGCAAACGCGCTCCATTGCAAATTCAAAAAAAATATTTTTAATTTTTGCGCATTTTCTCAAGTTTTCTGGGTTCAAAATCGATTTTTCAGCTGAAAATTTCGAGCTGGAAGTGATTTCTAAGATTTTTTTTTCAAAAAAAAATTTATACAAAATTTAAAATAATTTAGGAACAAAAAGCACACAGTATTCTACAACCACCACCACGGCATTTCGGGTTTCTTCTCAAATCTCGGCTCATTTCCAGCAAGCGGATCGGCGCGGAAGAGTGCGGCACTCGTCGGATTCACGCGGATCTCCACCTCGTCATGCGGCATCTTCCGCCCATAATCTTTTCCGCTCCAAATTTCGCGAACTCGATATCCGAATTGATTTGTGAGACCGAGATGTTTGAGGTGGAATTGCACGGATTTTGGGGTGGAGAGGTTGCGATTCAGGATTGCGATGGCGAATGACAAACTGACTTCAGGGCTCTCAGAGGAGAGGGGCTTGACGTAGAGACCAATGTCGGTGGTCTGCAAAAAAATATGGAGGAGGTTAGAGATGGAGAGGGGCTAGACAGCTAGAGAGTGTAAGATTTGAGAGATCGCAGAGATACTAGACAGCTAGAGATCACGAGAAGGTGAGCTAGAGAGGTTAGAGATGTAGAGGGACATACACTCGCTCCGCTCGAGCCGCTGCGCGGAAGATTCCGGGGCGCTTCGCGCAAGACAGCTAGAGAGTATAGGGAGGGGAGAGAGTGCAGAGGAGCTAGATAGCTAGAGATCATGAGAAGGTTAGAGACGCAGAGGAATTAGATAGCCAGAGAACACGAGGGAGTTAGAGACGCAGAGGAGCTAGACAACCAGAACATGTCAGAGACGCAGAGGAGCTGAGGTAGAGAGGTTAGAGACGCAGAGGGATTTACACTCGCTCCGCTCGAGCCGCTGCGCGGAAGATTCCGGGGCGCTTCGCGCAAGCTTGCGGCAGACAGCTAGAGAGCATAAGGAGGTTAGAGACGCAGAGGAGCTGAAGTAGAGAGGTTAGAGACGCAGAGGAATTGTACTTTGCCCACGTGGCAACAGATTAAATTTGAAAATTTTTCCGCAAGCTTGCGCGAAGCGCCCCGGAATCTTCCGCGTAAGCGGCTCGAGCGGAGCGAGTGTATGCCCTCTGCGTCTCTAACCATATCTAAATGTCTAATTTCTCTGCGTCTCTAACCTTATAATATTCTCTAGCTGTCTAACTTATCTACACTCTCTAGAAATTCTTTACTTTCTAGCTGTCCAGCTTCTCTGCGTCTCTAACTTCCCTATGCTCTCTAGCTATCTCGCGCGAAGCGCCCTGGAATCTTCCGCGCAGCGGCTCGAGCGCAGCGAGTGTATATCCCTCTGCGTCTCTAACTGTCTCTGGTTCTCTAGCGTCTCTGCGTCTCTAACCTTTCTCTAGTTGTCTAGCCTAGTAGCCTCTCTCAAACGAATCTAGTGCTCTCTAACCTTATCTAGCTGCCTGTTTTTCTGCGTCTCTAACTGTCTCTAGATGTCTAATTTCTCTGCGTCACTAACCTTCATATAATCTTTAGCTTCTCCACACTCTCTTGAAATCCCGCAATATCTAGCCGTCTAGCCCCTCTGCGTCTCTAACCATCTCTATACTCTCTAGCTGTCTGGTGCAAGCTTCCGCGCAGCGGCTCGAGCGGAGCGAGTGTATTTCCCTCTGCGTCTCTAGCCATCTAGCCTACGACTAGCGGCGTGCCGCTAGTCTCCCCGCAAGCTCGCGCGAAGCGCCACTATCTTCCGCGTAGCGGCGAGCGGAGCGAGTGTATGCTCATTGGCCTGAAGCCCTTCAACCCAAGCCCAAAGCCCAAAGCCCGGTCCACTCACATTCGCCACCAATCTTCCCATAATTCCCATTCGATCCTGATTTATCCTAATTGCTTCTTTATTCAATAAAATGTCTCGAAATTCTTTTCCAATAATTCTCAAATCATTCGACATAATCAACGGAGCCGCCCAAATGCACCAAATAGTCATTTGTGCCAAACTCATATCTACAGTAATGCCCGGATTTCCGATAACTAACATATCTGGATCATGCCATTTTCCGGGTCCATGTGTTGGAATATGTTTATCCTGATTATGATCGTAGTAGTTTATGATACTTTGAATTGATTTCCACGAGGAATTGATGTCATCGAAGTTACGCCAAGTATTACACCATTTTCCAATCAAATTATAATCCACTTTTTGCGGTTGATCTATGAAAAAATTGGACATTTTCAGCGTTTTCAGCACAAAATTTGGGTATAGAAACTTGTTTTTGTACAATTTTTTAGACCCAAATTTTGCGCTGAAAACGCTGGAATTATTGATTTTCAGCGATTTTCAGCGTTTTCAGCGTTTTCAGCGCAAAATTGCAGTCCAGAAGTTCATTTTCGGCGATTTTCTGGTTGATCCATTTTTTTTTGAATTTTTTGCACAATTTTCTACAGTACCCTTTTAAATGTTTCTAGGCTGAAATTTTGCGCTGAAACTCGTGGAAATGCAGAAAATCGCTGAAAACTAGTATTTGCATGAGTTTCAGCACAAAATTTGGGTCTAGAAACGCTTAAACAATAATTGTGCCGAAAATTCCAAAAAAAAATGGATCAACCGGATTACTGTAGAAAATATGTTTCTAGACCCAAATTCTGTGCTGAAACTCATGAAAAGCTTGATTTTCAGTGATTTTCAGAATTTTCAGCGTTTTCAGCGCAAAATTTCAGCCTAGAAGAATGTTCTACAGTAACCCAGTTGAACCTTTTTTGGAATTTTTTGCACAATTTTCTACAGTACTCTTTTAAATGTTTCTAGACCCAAATTTTGCGCTGAAACTCATAGAATAGCTGAAAATATCTGAAAATCAATGATTCCAGCGTTTTCAGCGCAAAATTTGGGTCTAGAAACGCTTAAACAAAAATTGTGCCCAAAAATTCCAAAAAAAAAAATATGGATCAACCTGGTTACTGTAGAAATTATGTTTCTAGACCCAAATTTTGCGCTGAAACTCATGGAATCGCTGAAATTCTCTGAAAATCAATAATTCCAGCGTTTTCAGCACAAAATTTGGGTCTAGAAACGCTTAAACCAAAATTGTGCCAAAAATTCCAAAAAAAATGGATCAACCAGGGGAAAAATACGTTTCCAGACCCAAATTTTGCGCTGAAACTCATGGAAATCGCTGAAAATGGCTGAAAAATACATACCCACTAAATAAGCCGGCCAACTACACGAATATATAATAGGTCTACCAGTTTTATTCAATTCTCTTCCCATTTCCGGATATCCGATTGGCATTAGATCCAAATTTATATTACAACCATCCAATTTCAAATAATCCACATCCCACGCGGCAAAAGTTTCCGCGTCCGTTTTTAAATGTTGATAACTTCCCGGATATCCTCCGCAAGTCTTGGTACCGTAATCCTCATAGATTCCAAAATTTATGCCCTTGTCGTGCATCTGAAATTGGACATTTTGGGCATTTCTTGGGCTCTAGGCTTATTCGGGCTCAAAAAATCCCAAATTTTGAGCCGAAATGGGCCTCTAGGCTTGTTCGGACTCAAAAAACGTGGATTACCGGGCTCTGGCCTTATTTATACTCAAAAAATCCCAAATTTTCCGCCCTGGCTCAAAACCCCCCTTACATATTTCGCCAGCGCTTTCATTCCACTTGGGAATCTTGTCTTGTTCGCCACCAGCACCCCGTTCGAATCTCTCTCCATTTCTGACCAACAATCATCAATGTGCACCGAATGATAGCCGGCTTCCAGATATCCGTCTTCGGCTGAAAAAATCGGGTGAAAATCGGGAATTTTGGGGGATTTTAGGCCTAGAACCGTGTTTTTAGGTCCTCAAGGCTCGGCTGCTTGGCGAGCATGCTTTTAAGGCTCAGCTGCTTGAAAAAGGGTGTCTGAAGGTTCGGCTGCTTGACGAACATGCTTTCAAGGCGTGGCTCCTAGACAAATAGGTTCTCAAAGCTCGGCTGCTTGCAACAGGGGTGCCTCAAGGCTCAGCTGCTTGACGAACATGCTCTCAAGGCTCGGCTGCTTGACATGAAGCTCTAGAAGGCGCGACTGCTTGAAAAGGGGATTCTCAAGGCTCGACTGCTTGACATGAAGCTCTAGAAGGCTCGGCTGCTTGACAAGCATAGTCTCAAGGCTCGGCTGCTTGTCATAAGGATCGACAAGGCTCGGCTGCTTGAAATATGGGTTCTCAAGGCGCGGCTGCTTGACAAATAGTTTCTCGAGGCGCGGCTGCTTGAGAGGTAGGTTCTCAAGGCTCGGCTGCTTGACATACATGCTCTCAGGGGCTGTGGCTCTAGAAGGCGTGGCTGCTTGAAAAGGGGGTTCTTAAGGCTCAGCTGCTTGAAAAGGGGATTCACAGGGCGCAGATGCTTGACATAGAGGTCGACAAGGCGTGGTTCCTAGACTACTTGGTTCTCAAAGCGCGGCTGCTTGACAAACATACTCTCAAGGCTCGGCTGCTTGAAACAGGGGTTCTCAAGCCGCGGCTCCTACAGACAACGGTGCTCTCAAGGCTCCGCTCCTTGACAAAGACTTCCACAAGGCTCCCAACCCTATAGGCATATTTATACTCAAAAAATCGCAAATTTTTTGAATTTTTCAAATTTCCCGCCACTCACCCAATCGATCCGTCATATCCTTATACAATTGCTCATTGATACAACCAGTCGGATGTTTGACACAATCAATTTCACAGTAGAACGCCGTCCACGACATCCAACCCATTGGTGGGGTCCTGAAGCGAACAATTTTGGGTTACTGTAGTTTTTCTTGCGATCATTTTGAGACCAAACAAGCCCAGGGTTACTGTAGATCTACAGTAACCCGAACCTAGTCATATTTGATATCAAAATACTGGCGCCAAAAACTACAGTAACCCCCTTACCTTGCTAATCCATTATCCAACGCCGTGGCGAGACCCAAAGCTAAAAATAGTAGTACTGTAGCGGAGGAGTACTGTAGGCCACCCATTTGACGATACTAAATAAAAAGTATAATAAATTGTGTTATCAAAAAAAAAAAAAAAAAAAAAAAAAAAAAAAAAAGATTACGGTTTATTTGCGCGCCAAGCAAAAAAAATTGATAAAATGAGCAAATATTTGGAGCAAAAAGTAAACTTTTTGATAAAAATAGAAGAAAAAGTAGATCAAAAAGTGGGTCAGAAGGAGTACTGTAGGTGGGATTTTGGCGGGAAAATTCAAAAAATTTCCATATTTTTTTATCTACAGTAATCCTAGGCTTATTCGGGCTCAAAATGCTCCAAATGTTGCGCGCGAAAATCTACAGTACTCCTTTACACGTGTAAAATCCTCAAACAATTCTCGTAGACCAAAAAAATGACGGAATTCACAGTGAATCCACGTATCGAAATTGCCAAACCTCCTCGATAAAATGCCGTGAAACCTTCGGTTTTGAGAATTTCCGTGGCGACTTTTAGGGGTTTTCTGGAAGAAAAATGGAGTACTGTAGGGGTACAGTAACCCGGAGGCAAAAATTTGCAGTTTTTTGATGGTAAATGTGATTGGGCTTGGAGTACTGTAGGTCGGTTTTGGCGGGAAATTCAAATTTTCAAATTTTCCGAAAAAAAATTCAAAAAATCTGTGTTTTGCTACCAAAAAATCTACAGTAACCCGTTGAATTTTAGGCAGGAAATTCAAAAATTCAAATTTTCAGAAAAAAAATTCAAAAAATCAAAATTTTCGCGATAAAAATGATTACTGTAGGTCAGTTTTGGCGGGAAATTCAAAAATTCATATTTTCCCGCTAATGAAAATTACTGTAGATTTTAGGTGGGAAATTCAAAAAATTCAAATTTTCCAAAAAAAAAATTCGAAAATTCAAAATTTTCGCGCTAAAAATGATTACTGTAGGTTAGTTTTGGCGCGAAATTCAAAAAATTCAAATTTTCCGGAAAAAAAAATTCAAAACTCAAAATTTTCGTGCTAAAAACATCTACAGTAACCCATGGAATTTTGGCGGGAAATTCAAAAATTCAAATTTTCCACAAAAAAAAATAAAAAATTCAAATATTCCAAAAAAAATTCGAATTTTCAAATTTTCGCGCTAAAAACATCTACAGTAACCCGTGGAATTTTAGCGCAAAATTCAAAAATTCAAATTTTCAAAAAAATTTAAAAATCTGTTTTTGCCACCAAAAAATCTACAGTAACCCGGGATCAAAATTTTTCGCGCAAATATCGAAAATTCAAAAAATCAAAATTTTCCCGCTAATGAAAATTACTGTAGCTTTTAGGCGGGAAATTCGAAAAATTCAAATTTTCAAAAAAAAATTCAAAAAATCAAAATTTTCGCGCTAGAAACATCTACAGTAACCCGTAGAATTTTAGCGCGAAAATCAAAAATTCAAATTTTTCGGCGCTAAAAAATCAATTTTCAAAACACAGAACAAAAAAATGGCAAAAATCGGTCAATGTCAACAATACAAACAGTTTTTTTGGCCAAAAAAATGTGTTTTTTTCTCTTTTTCTCTGCACTCTCTCCTATCTCTGTGCTCTCTCACCTTTTCTCATTTCCTCCTGCCGCTTGTATACGATTTTTGACAACTTCCAACGGACAAACTGATATCCATCCACTTACACCAGCACATCCTCCAGAGAAAAGCTGCAAAAAAATTGGGGTACTGTAGGCAGAGGGGTACTGTAGGCCAGAAAATTTGGAGCATTTTGACACCAAACACGCCTAGGCTTGGGTTACTGTAGGTTTTTGGGCCCTACAGTACCCCCAGGGCTTGTTTGGTGTCAAAAAACGTGGCGCATCTACAGTAACCCAAGATTAAAATTTTTGTCCAGGGTTACTGTAGCTCTGTTACCACGTGGCAAACAAAAGGTGTATAAACAAAACAAAAAAAAAATTTTTTTTGTTCAAAAAAATTTTTTTTATTTATTTAGTAATGTTAACTTTTGTGTATTTATCAGTAGATCAAAAAATCGTTAACCAAAAACTACAGTAACCCGGGAATTACAGTAACCCACGGAAAAATCCACGTTTTTTGAAACCAAATATGACTGGGGGTACTGTAGCTTGAGAAATCGGCGCGAAATTCAAATTTTCAAATTTTTTTTTGAATTTTTGAATTTCGCGCAAAAAACAATTGAGCTACAGTAACCCTAGAAAAAAAAGCGCGAAATTCAAATTTTCAAAAAAATTTGAATTTTCAAATTTCGCGCAAAGAAAAGCATGAGCTACAGTAACCCGAGCGAAATTTTGAATTTCGCGCAAAAAAATACGTGAGCTACAGTAACCCGAGAAAAATTTGAATTTTCAAATTCCCGCGCCTACAGTACCCCAGTCATGTTTGGTCTCAAAATGCTCCAAATTTTCCCGCGCGCCAAAATACAGTACTTTTCGCTCCAAAACCTACCGTACCTGCGTCCAAATATTGTCCAAATCAAAACTCCTGAACTGCCTCAATAATCCCTCATAAACTGGGATATAAAATAGATATCCAATATTATCTCGCGCAAAGACTACGGTACCTCCCTTGAAAAATCCACGTGGCCCAGATTGGCGCCAAATTTGACGACAACACTCGACGGGACCCGAGAATACGGTAGCCGCGTGGCGTTTTGAACGGGATACGGTATCCAGTTGAACCTGCAAAGGATTTTGGGTTACTGTAGTTGATCTACAGTAATCCTGGCGCTACAGTATCCTACCGTACCTGCAATTTCGTCTTGATAAGTTCCACCGGAATCATTGGTCCCACCTGAGCCATTGTACTGCAAATCGAGGCGATCAGAATCTTAAAGTGAAACCGGGTTACTGTAGGGGTACTGTAGGATTACTGTAGAGAAAATTTGGAACATTTTGACACCCAACACGCCTAGGGTTACTGTAGGACTAGGGTTACTGTAACTTACAGTACCCCTAGGCATGTTGGGTGTCAAAATGTTCCAAATTTTCTCTACAGTACCCCTACAGTACCCCTACAGTACTCACATCTGACATTGGCAAATCCTTACGGCTCTCCACATTCTTCTCACCCGGATGCAGATACCGTAGTGCGATACCGTAACCCGAGAACAGAATTGAGTGCATTGCGCCGGCTGTGATGAAGGGGATCAACATTCCCTTGTAGAGACCGTATACCTGAAGGAGTACTGTAGTTCTTGGATTACTGTAGATCAAAAACAATTTGGATTACTGTAGATCGCACAAAAACCATCATTTTTGCTCAATTTTGATGGTTTTGGGGTCAAAAAACGTGGAATTTTCAGGGCTACAGTAATCTACAGTAACCCACCGACTCTTTTCGCACTGTCTTCACCGCACAATCCCAAATGCCCGTGTAAATTGTCATGGTTTGCAGGCGGGCTTTGATTGTGTCCATTGGATGGCCAACTATTAATCCAGCACCACCTGGAAAGGGGTACTGTAGATTTTGGGGAGTACTGTAGGCAGGAGGGGTACTGTAGGGAAAATTTGGAGCATTTTGATACCAAACATGCCTAGGGGTACTGTAGAATTTTTATTTTCAAAAAAAAAAATTTTTTTTTTTCAAAAAAAAGAAAAAAATTCCACGTGGCGCATATTCGAGCTCAAAATGCTCCAAATTTCACGGGGAAAATTTTGGGGCCAAAAAAATTCGAAAAAAAACTCACCAGCCACCCAACCAGCCAGAAAATCCTCATACATTCCGAAAAATTTGCAAATTTTCGTTGGGGACGCCAAAAATGCCCAAATTTGACCCGAATTGATAAGAAAAATAGAAAAAAAAGAAAAAAAAACACAATTTTTTATAAGATAAGAAAAAATTATTGGCCAAAAAAATGCAAGATTTTTTGGCGGGTAGATCAAAAATTTCAAAAAAAAACAATTTTTTTCGAAAAATTTTTTCAAAAAATTTAAATTTCCAAAATTTCGCGCTCAATTTTTTTTCAAACCAAATTTGGGCGCGAAAAGCTTGAAATTCAATTTTTTCAAAATTTTTGAAAAAATTTAAATTTCGCGCTAAAACCTTCTCTACAGTACTAGGATTACTGTAGGGCACCAAATTTCGCGGCAAAACTCAAATTTCTCAAATCCGGGCTCAAAAAATCGCAAATTTTTCAAAAAATTCAAAAATTCATTCAAAAACCACAAAAAAATAATAATAAATCTATCAAAATCAAAATATACAAAAAAAAAACGGAAAATAATGTGTCAAAAATAAAATACCCATAAAAAAAATGAAGAAAAATCCGAAAAATATCGATTTTTGATGAAAAATGGCTCAAAATTCACCAAATTTCACGATTTTTACATCAAAATTCGGCAAATTCGCCTCTGAAATGCCTAAAATGCGGTGCGTGGCCATGCAATTTTGGCCTCGTGTCGTTTGTAGGCAAAAAGATGCGGTTTCTGTTCGCATTTCAATTGTTCGTGAATTTGAACTGGACAATCATTGGGTTGAAGACAAGATTCGAAACCATCCGCTATCAAATATCTGCAAAATTTCAGAATTTTCAAGATTTCTAAGGCTGAAAATCTGAAATTTTCTGAAAATTTCGGATTTTTCGAGTATAAATAAGGCTGGGGTCGAAAATCCGGGAAAAATTGATCTACAGTAATCCAAACTACAGTAATCCTATATTTTTCGGCGCGAAATTTCAAAAATTCAAATTTTTTTCGTGAAATTCTGTTTGCCACGTGGATTTTCATCACAAAAATTTTGAATTTCAAAATTCTGGCGGCAAAATGATCTACAGTAATCCTATAATTTTTGAGCGCGAAATTTGAAAAATTCAAAAAATTCTGCGAAAAAATGAGCTATGACGTGGCAATTTTGAATTTTGCTTTGAAAATTCAAAAATATAATGATCTACAGTAATCCAAACTACAGTAATCCTTTGATTAGAGCGCGAAATTTGAAAAATTCAATTTTTTCCGTGAAATTTTGTTTGCCACGTGGAATTGCATCGCAAAAATTTTGAATTTCAAAATTTATCCAGGTTACTGTAGGTAGGTCTCAAAACGCTCCAAATTTGTCTGACCTACAGTAACCCGTGCCACGTGGAAGCATTTCAACACCAAACATGACTAGGGTTACTGTAACTACAGTGTTAAAATGCTCCAAATTTTCTCGCCTACAGTACTCCTACAGTACCCCCAAATCTACAGTACTCACAATCCATGCTCCTCCGGGTTCGTAATACCCTGTTGATGTGCAATGAGTCGGCTCAATTTATTCGTGGTCAACATCGGAACACCGGGAAACGTGGCATACCGTACACATCCTTGCGTCTCATCGGGTATCGCAATTTTGACAAAAGCCTGAAAACCGGGCTGGGCCTGGGCCTGGGCCAGGCCCTTGCCACGTGTCAGGGTGGCAGTTGATAAAAGCGGTGAGCACGTTCGAAATGGCTCCGAATTTGGGCTCAAAATGGGGGCGTCTCGATTTTCGCACAGTCTTTTGATGGCTTCCGCTGATTTGAACACGTGAACTGCGGAAAATAGGGCGGTAAGATAGAAACTGGCGGCGGATTGCATGAGAATTGGTTGGGGAAGGAGTTCCCACATGTACCAGGCTTCAACTTCACAGCCTACTGTAGATGTGCGCGCCAGAATGTAGACAAGCCAACGGACAAGGTCTGAAAATAGAAAGGGGGCTTTTGGGGGCTTTTAGGGGGCCAAAATAGGCCTAAAGGCTTTTTGAAGGGAAAATTCGGAATTTTGGGTCAAATTTCACCCTAAAATCACAAATTTCAGGCTTTTGGGGGCCAAAATAGGCCTAAAGGCTTTTTGAAGGGAAAATTCGGAATTTTGGGTCAAATTTCACCCTAAAATCACAAATTTCAGGCTTTTGGGGGGCCAAAATAGGCCTAACGGCTTTTTGAAGCGAAAATTCGGGAATTTTAGGTCAAATTTCAGCTAAAAACCCGAATTTCAGGCTTTTAGGGGGCCCAAATAGGCCTAACGGCTTTTTGAAGCGAAAATTCGGAATTTTAGGTCAATTTAAGGTCAAAAATTCGAAATTTCAGGCTTTTGGGGCCCGAAATAGGCTTTTAGGCTTTTTTAGGCCATTTTTCACCCAAAAATCCCAAATTTCCACCAAAAATGTCACTCACCATCAGCTCCTTCACCATTTTCCTCAATTTCCTGATTTTGGCAAGTTGCCAATATCAACGAGACAGATTTCATCAAATTCTCCAATTTTTTGAGAGGTGAATAGTGTCCCTGCATTTTTCGCATATACAATTTGACTTGTTCCAGAGTAGAAGATGACGGGGGGATTAGCTGCAATTATTATTGATTTTTGGCTGAAAATTTCAGATTTTTTGAGCCTAAATAAGCCTAGAGCCTGAAAATCCACGTTTTTAGAGTCTAAACAAGCCTAGAGCCTGAAAATCCACGTTTTTCAAGCCCAAATAAGCCTAGGCTCAGAATTTTCAGATTTTCGACCTAAAAATGAATTTTCACAGATTTTTCATGCTCAAAATTCCGAATCTTCAAAAATTTCAGAACAATTTCAGTGCTGAAATTATGAAATTCAAATTTTTTGTAGAAAATTTTGATTTCTGAGCTTGAAATGCTCCAAATTTCAAATCTAGGCTTATCTGGGCTCAAAAAACCCCATTTTTCATGATTTCGTGCTCAAAATGCTCTCTAGAGCTCAAAAAACGTGGATTTTCAGGTCCTGGGCTCAAAAATGCTCCATTTTTCATGATTTTGAGCTCAAAATGGTCCGAATTTCGAGTTAAGGCTTATCTGGGCTCAAAAATCCTAAATTTTCCAGGTCCTGGGCTCAAAAATGCTCCATTTTTCATGATTTTTAGGTCAAAATGCTGTGTAAGCTTATCCGGGCTCAAAAAACCCCCAAATTTCACAATTTTGAGCTCAAAATGCTCCCCAGGGCTCAAAATACGTGAATTTTTGGGGTTCGAGCTCAAAAATCCGAATTTTTTCGGTCCTGGGCTCAAAAAACCCCATTTTTCATGATTTTTAGGTCAAAATGCTCCAAAAATTGCAAACATACCTTCTCCGAATTTGAAAATCCCATTTGTTTCAATGTCAATTTCCTAACCATTCCAATATTTGTCGAAATCATTTGTAAATGTCCATTTTTCGAATGTTCTTTTATCATAACATGATATAATAATGGTTTAACTTCTTTCAACAATAATTTATGTAAAATTGCTTCCAAAACTGCATCAATATTCAAAATTTGATTTGAATTAAGTCTTGCTGATTCTTCATCAATTATTTGATGCAAATCTCCTTCTCCATGTTTTACCAAATAGTTTTTCATTCCATTTATAAATTGTCGAACATTTCGAACTACAATTGATGGATCTGTTTCTTTTGTATCTTTTGTACATTGAATAAATTGACGAAGAGTTTGACCAAAACATGCATTTGAACCATGAAGGATTTGAGCAAGTCTGGAAGAAATTTGAGGGATTTTTAGGCTGAAAATCTGAATTTCTTGGTGGAAAATGGTCCGAAATTGAATTTCTGGGCTCTTCGGATGATTCTTGGGATTCTTAGAAGCATTTTTTCGTGAAAAATAGTCAAAAATTGCATTTTTAGTGAAATTTTGAGCATTTCTAGACTTTTGGGAGCATTTTTGGGCTTTTGGGAGCATTTTCAGGCTTTTTGGATGATTTCTGGGCTTTTGGAAGCATTTTTGGTGAAAAACTGTCCAAAATACACGGTTCGGAGCATTTTTCAGGTTTCAGAGCTCAAAAATCATCCAAAATCCAAATTTCTAGATCCAGGAGCTTAAAAATCACTCAAAACTCATTTTTTCGGAATTGGGAGTTCAAAAATCGTCCAAAATTCAAATTTTCACTTCCCGGAGCTCAAAAATCACTTCTAGCTTCAATTTTTAGGTTCGGGAGCTCAAAAATCACTCTCAGAGCTCAAAAATGGCTCAAAATTCAAATTTTCAGCTTTAGGACCTGCAAAATCCCTCCCTAAGCCTAAAAATCGTCCAAAATTCAAATTTCCAGCTCCAGGAGCTCAAAAATGGCTCCTAGATTCAATTTTTCGGTCTTGGAGCTCAAAAATCACCCCCAGAGCTCAAAAATCACTCAAAACTCATATTTTCAGTTTTAGGACCTGCAAAATCCCTCCCTAAGCCTAAAAATCGTCCAAAATTCAAATTTCCAGCTCCAGGAGCTCAAAAATGGCTCCTAGGTTCAATTTTCCAGGTCCCAGAATTCAAGAATCCCTCCTAGATTCAATTTTTGAGTTCAGGAGCTCAAAAATCACTCCCAGCGCTCAAAAATCGTCCAAAATTCAAATTTTCACTTCCCGGAGCTCAAAAATCACTTCTAGCTTCAATTTTTAGGTTCGGGAGCTCAAAAATCACTCTCAGAGCTCAAAAATGGCTCAAAATTCAAATTTTCAGCTTTAGGACCTGCAAAATCCCTCCCTAAGCCTAAAAATCGTCCAAAATTCAAATTTCCAGCTCCAGGAGCTCAAAAATGGCTCCTAGATTCAATTTTTCGAGTCTTGGAGCTCAAAAATCACCCCCAGAGCTCAAAAATCACTCAAAACTCATATTTTCAGTTTTAGGACCTGCAAAATCCCTCCCTAAGCCTAAAAATCGTCCAAAATTCAAATTTCCAGCTCCAGGAGCTCAAAAATGGCTCCTAGGTTCAATTTTCCAGGTCCCAGAATTCAAGAATCCCTCCTAGATTCAATTTTTGAGTTCAGGAGCTCAAAAATCACTCCCAGCGCTCAAAAATCGTCCAAAATTCAAATTTCCAGCTCCAGGGAGCCAAAAATCACTCCTAGGTTCAATTTTTAGGTTCTGGGGCTCAAAAATGATCCACAATTCTATTTTCCACCTCCCAGAGCTCAAAAATCCCTTCCAGAGCTCAAAAATCATCCGAAATTCAAATTTCCAGCTCCAGGAGCTCAAAAATTCCCCCAAATCCCCCCAAAACAACCCACTGTTCCACATAATTCTGCACATTTTTTCCAATTCCCTGTCCCTGTGCATGTGCATTCACATTCTTCTGACTAGTTGTTCCAACCGAACTTCCAGCTCTTCTCATTCCCAAAACCGGTGAACAACAACAAGAAGCTGGAAGTGTTGTTGGCAAATCATCAATCGATCCAAACGATGCTCCGATATTTCCAGTGCTTCCAGAATAACGGGAAAGTGTGCGGGGAAGCGATTTAACTGAATAAGTCTCTTCGCGTCGAGACCCGCCACGACTATCCAGGGTACTGTATTTGGGTGCTTGGGCATCCCATCCTTTTACAGTAACCCGATCACTTGGCAATTTTCTCGCGTGATTTTCTGGCCACGGCATTTCAATATCTACATCTTCAGCTTCTGAATCTTCTTCTGAATCCATTGCATTATCTGATTCTTCTTGAATTGCATCTGATAATTCTGGAAACAAAAAATATGTTGAGGGGGCTTTTGGGGGCCGAAAATTCGGGCTTTTTTGAGTCCGAATAAGCCTAGGCCCGAAAAATCCACGTTTTTTGAGCCCAAACATCACTATAGGCTTTTTTGCCACGTGGATTTTTGAGAAAAAAATTCAAATGTTCAATTTTCCCGCCAGAAGCTTTAGCTACAGTAATCCAGTAATTTACGCGCGAAAATTTCTGAATTTTCTAATTTTTTAAAAAAAATTCTGAAGAATTTTGTTGCCACGTGGATTTTTTCTAGAAGAAAAATTCAAAATTTAATTTTCGCGCTAAAAACTTGAGCTACAGTAATCCAATATTTTAGGAGCGAAATTTTGAATTTTCAAATTTTTCAAACATTTTTTGCCACGTGGATTTTTTAGAAGAAAAATTCAAATGTTCAAGTTTCTCGCCAGAAACTTGAGCTACAGTAATCCAGTTTTTTAAGAGCGAAATTTTGAATTTTAAAAATTTTCGAAAAAATTTTTTTGCCACGTGGATTTTTCAGATAAAAATTCAAATTTCAAAATTTTTGCGCTAAAAAAGCCTATAGCCATGTTTAGGCTCAAAAAATCCCAAATTTTCAGGCCTAGGCCCATCCGGTCTCAAAAAATCCCAAATTTTCAGGCCTAGGCTTATTCGGGCTCAAAAAATCTGCAATTTTCAACCCTAGGCTTATCCGGGCTCAAAAAATCCCAAATTTTCAGGCCCGGCCCAAAAACACTCACTGATTCCAGTCTCATTCGTCTGCTGATCTCCATGATGTGCCAAATCCAACAAATTCTCCCACACATTCGAATCCCACGGTTCATTGAATACAGTACCGGCAACAGACAGTGTATCATCTTCGATTTCGGCGGAAGACGCGGCGGCGAATTTCCGCCGCGCGGCGTCAAAATCCGCAAGTTGCGCATAGTCTGACGCGGAAGATGCGGTGGAAGAGTCGCAGGCGGCGAGCGAAATCATCGCGGCGGCCGAAATTTGACGCTGGCGAGCTTGCGGTGTCGGCAACACTTTTGCCACGATTTTCGGATGCGGATGCGGATGCGACGCGGCTGCCGCGCGTTGTCTCCAAATCAATTCAGATTCCGCGCCTCCGGAAGAAGTTGATGACGTGGAATTTGAGGAAGACGACGAGGGACTGTAAAAAATGGAGAGATTTAGAGAATAATGGCCTAGAAATCCATTTGGAAGAGAAAACATGGCCTAGGAAACCAAATTTCGAGTTTGGAAGAGAAAATATGGCCTAGGAAACCAAATTTCGGGTTTGGAAGAGAAAATATGGCCTAGGAAACCAAATTTCGGGTTTGGAAGAGAAAATATGGCCTAGGAAACCAAATTTCGGGTTTGGAAGAGAAAATATGGCCTAGGAAACCAAATTTCGGGTTTGGAAGAGAAAATATGGCCTAGGAAACCAAATTTCGGGTTTGGAAGAGAAAATATGGCCTAGGAAACCAAATTTCGAGTTTGGAAGAGGAAATATGGCCTAGAAACCCAAATTTCGGGTTTGGAAGAGAAAATATGGCCTAGGAAACCAAATTTCGAGTTTGGAAGAGAAAATATGGCCTAGGAAACCAAATTTCGAGTTTGGAAGAGAAAATATGGCCTAGAAATCCATTTGGAAGAGAAAATATGGCCTAGGAAACCAAATTTCGAGTTTGGAAGAGAAAATATGGCCTAGGAAACCAAATTTCGAGTTTGGAAGAGAAAATATGGCCTAGGAAACCAAATTTCGAGTTTGGAAGAGGAAATATGGCCTAGAAACCCAAATTTCGGGTTTGGAAGAGAAAATATGGCCTAGGAAACCAAATTTCGAGTTTGGAAGAGAAAATATGGCCTAGGAAACCAAATTTCGAGTTTGGAAGAGAAAATATGGCCTAGAAATCCATTTGGAAGAGAAAATATGGCCTAGGAAACCAAATTTCGAGTTTGGAAGAGAAAATATGGCCTAGGAAACCAAATTTCGAGTTTGGAAGAGAAAATATGGCCTAGGAAACCAAATTTCGAGTTTGGAAGAGGAAATATGGCCTAGAAACCCAAATTTCGGGTTTGGAAGAGAAAATATGGCCTAGGAAACCAAATTTCGAGTTTGGAAGAGAAAATATGGCCTAGGAAACCAAATTTCGAGTTTGGAAGAGAAAATATGGCCTAGGAAACCAAATTTCGAGTTTGGAAGAGAAAATATGACCTAGAAACCCGAATTTTGGCTCAAATCGCATTTTTGAGCACACTAATTAACACTTGAGAGCTCTAGGCTCAAATTTCCCGAAAATCTGGGATCTGGAGCGAAAATGATACGGGGTGGATCGAATTTCTCCAGATTTTCGCCTCCCATCAAAAACAACAGATGTTTCTTGGGGAAAAATGCGGAAAAAGTGACATTTTGTGGGAAAATTGCAACATTTCTTTGAAACTCTGCCAATTTTCGGCTTAAAGTTGTTTTTTCGACCTTTAAAGCTCAAAATTGGCCAAAAACAGCAATTTCTGTACAAAAAAACCAATTTCTGGCCAGAAACAAGAAATTCTGTACAAAAACAACAATTTCTGTACAAAAACCAGAATTTTTGTCCAGAAAACACGAAATTTTATCAAAAAACAGAAATTTTTAGCCAGAAACACCAATTTTTGTCCAGAAAACACCAATTTTCTGTCCAGAAAATCAATAATTCACACCCAAAATATCGAAAAAAAGTGACAGGTGTCACCTTTTTCATCAAAATAATATATTATTATGGGGTGTGCATAATAAAAGTAGGTAAAAACAAAAAAAAAAAGAGCACACACATGGTGCACAAAATGCGCGAAAATTTGGGGATTAACATGAGCAATGCCTAAAAAATCATCTAAATTATGCTCTAGAGCTCAAAAATGCCCAAAAATCCATTAAAAATCAATTCTGGAGCTCTAATATGAGCAATAGCTCAAAAATGCTCCAAATTTCACCGGGAAAATGCAGGTAGTTAGGCTAACTCAAAGGTAAACATTTCCTGGGCGGATAGAACTAATAATTATAATTAAAAGGCCGAAAAGGGAACATTTTCCGGTGGGAAATGTGTAATTAGGCTAATTGAAATTGTGAAAAATGTTGACATTTTGAAATTTCATAATTATTTCGAAAAATCACAAAATTTCATGTCAAAGTCCAAAAAATGACGAAAATTTCATTTTTTCGGCTTCTAGACCAAAAATCAGGCTTCTAGACCAAAAATCAGGCTTCTAGACCAAAAATCTAGGCTTCTAGACCAAAAATCTAGGCTTCTAGGGCCAAAATAGCCCCAAAAAATCCAATTTTCTGTCCAAAAACACCAGATTTTCGCGAATTTTCGATTCAAAAACCTTTCAAAACAAATTACACACCATATGTTGGTTAAAACCATGAAAAATGAATCGAAATTCAAATTGACCTTCCCAAAAGTGGGCAAAATCCACTTGAAACATTGTTAAAATCCAAAAATTGTTTGAAAAAGTGGAACAAAATGCGGAAAAAACTCATTTTTCGGCAGAATTTCAAAAAAAAGCGAAAAACATGGAAAAATCGGAGGAAAATAGTTAATTACCTTGTTTTTGACCAGACAAGGTCAAAAAACGAGAGAAAAAAGGAGGAAAACAACATTTTCCGGTTCAATTACCATGTTTTGTTAGGAAAAAGGGGAAAAAAGATTTATGGGGAATTTTGGGGGCAAAAGTTAGGCTAAATTCAGGATTTTTTATGGAAAATATCAATTTTAGGTCAAAAATTAGCCAGGAAATCATGTTTCTGGTCAAAAATAGGCTCTAGAGCCAAATTATAGCATTTTTCACTAAAAATTTGATTTTTAGGTCAAAAATTAGCCAGGAGTTTGGGATTTTTAAAGGAAGCTGTAATTCAATAAATTTCAGGTCATTTTTCATCGAAAATTCCGATTTTAGATGAAAAATAAGCCTAAAAATGGCCTAGGAAGCCTAAAATGGTCTAGAAAGCCTAAAAATGGTCTAGGAAGCCTAGAAATGTTCTAGAAAGCCTGAAAATGGCTTAGGAATGATGAAAATGGCTTAGGAAGCCTAAAAATGGCCTAGAAAGTCTAAAAATAGCCTAGGAAATCTGAAAATGGCCTAGAAAGCCTAAAAATGGCCTGAAAGCCTAAAAATGGCCTAGAAAGCCAGAAATTGGTCCAGAAATTCAGGATTTTCTAGATTTTCTGGTCAAAAATGACTCCAAAACCCAGAAAAAACCAGAAATCCACTCGAAAAACAATAAAAGCGTGGGTTAAGCCTAACCCACTTAATTAAAAGCCTATCCCCCCTTTTTTCTTTCAATACAAATTTTCATTGAATAATCAAAAAGGTGACAGATGTTGGTGTGGAAAATGGGGAAATTTGCTGGTTTTGGTGAAAAAATTGGTGAAAAATTGGCAATTTTGGGGTGAAAATTGTGAAAAATTGCATTTTTGAGCTTCCAAAAGCAAATTTTCTCTTAAAAATCATTAAAAATCCACATTTTCATGGAGAAAAGCCCGAAAATTGCAAAATTTTCATCAAAAATCAATTGAAACCCAAAAATCCCCACAAATTAGCGCTGGTAGATCACAAAAAGATCAAATTTTCAAAAAAAAAAAAAAAATTTTTTTGGGGAAAATGGGTTTATGACGCAATGGAGGAGAAATGAGTAAGTATGGGAAGGTCGAGCAAATTTTTTTTTGTGAAAAAAAATTTGAAAAATTTGCCACGTGGCAATTCTAGGCTAGAAATTCATGATAAAATCATAATTTTCACAGAAAAATTCAAAAATAAGGAAAAATAAAGGATTTAGGATAGAAATTCATGAAAAATTACAAATTTTGGTCATTTTTAGGCGCGCAACTTGATAATTCGATGAAAATTGGAATTTAGGGTTAAAATTCATGAAAAATCACATTTTCAAGCAAATTTTCAGTCAAAAGTCCAATTTCAGCTCAAAATTCATCAATTTTCACGTAATTTCCATTAAAAACTAGCGCCAAAGCTCCAAAATTCAAAAATTTTCCGCGTCAAAAATCCACGTCACGTGCTCGAGCTCAAAATGAGCAATAAAACAGGCTGCCGACTCTTCCTGCCTTCTTTTTTTTCGCTTAAACAAACAAAAATTGGGCCTATTTCATATTATTATAATAGAACAGAAGGAGAAGAAGCTTCAATTGGTGAAAAAAACGCTATTTTTCTGTTGTCAGGCGCGCAACAGCAAAAACCAGTTAGGCTAACTTCCACAAAAAAACTTGGGCTTAGACATATTGTTAGGCTTAGGAAAAGAGAAAAAAAAATAACAATAACAATAAGAAAAAAGTTTTAATGGGGTTATTATTATTATAGTATAATAAGAACCGGAACTTTCCAGGAAAATTTGAATTTCTAGGCCATTTTCGAGCTTTCTAGACCATTTTCAGGCTTTCTAGGCTTTCTCGGCCATTTTCAGGCTTCCCAGACCATTTCCAGGCCTTCTAGACCATTTCTAGGCTTTTTAGACCATTTCTCAGGCTTTCTAGACCTATTCTAGGCTTCCTGGAGCATTTCCAGGCCTTCTAGATAATTTCCAGGCTTTCTAGACCATTTGCAGGCTTTCTAGGCCCATTTTTGATGAAAAATTCAGAATTTTCAGCCCAAAAATCACTCACATTCTCTTGTCTCCTGATGTTTGTTTCCTTCGATCGATCAGAGCTTCAAGAACCTGAAAAAAAAGTGAATTTTGGCTTAAAAATCATCATTTTCAGTCAAATTTTCAGATTTTCAGCTGAAAAATCATCATTTTCAGTCAAATTTTCCTGATTTTCAGCCCAATTCCCCTACCGTACCTCTCGTCTCTTCGCAACTTCTCCCGCTTCAACACAAACTCCCTCAACTTCGGCAATCATTTTCGAATTTCGATTTTCGGCCGATTTTTGGGCCGAAATGAACATTTTTCGGCGGACCAGTGGAGTTACGAGGCCTTCGTTTATTGTTGTCTGCAAAATTGGGAAAATTTCAGATTTTTTCGATTTTCTGGCTGAAAATCTGGGATTTTTGATGAATTTTGAGCTAAAATTCATAAAAATCGGAAAATTTTGAAGCATTGCTCATATTAGTCAGAAAAATGTCAAATTTTCGGATTTTTTCAAGCTAACATGAGCAATGCTTCAAAATATCATTAAAAATCGATTTTTCGTATTTAACATGAGCAATGCTCAGAATTTTCCAATTTTCTCCATTTTTGGCTCAAAATGCTCAGAATTTTCCAATTTTCTCCATTTTTTGGCTCAAAATGCTCAGAATTTCTCAAATTTAACATGAGCAATGCTCAAAATTATCCAATTTTCTCAATTTCAGACCCAAAATATTCAGAATTTCTCAAAATTTTTAAATTTAACATGAGCAATGCTTCAAAATTTTCCAATTTTCTTAATTTTTGGCTCAAAATATTCAGAATTTCTCAAATGTTTCAAATTTAACATGAGCAATGCTCAATTTTCTCAATTTTTTGCCCAAAACACTCACCATTTGCTCATCTTGTCTCGGAATCAGTGGATTTGTGGCCGCAATCAAATTCGGCACTGATAATCTGTGATCCGATTTTTGTTTTTGAATTCCAGCAAAACTCGTCTTCTGACCATTGTTTCGACGTCTGAAAATGTGGGAAATTTGAGGAAATCTGGAATTTTCAGCTGAAAATTGAATTTCAAGCTGAAAATCTGAAAAATTCTGCATTTTTTGAGCTAAAATTCAAGTTTAGGTTCAAAAATTCATGTTTAGGTTCAAAAAACTGGAAATTCTCTGAATTTTTCAAATTTTCCTACCTCATTGAAATCAGCGGGGTGGAATTTGCACTATTTGATGAATTTGTGTTATAGGGTTGAAGCAACATTTCATTGGTGGATTGTAGTCTGAAAATATTGGGATTTTAGGCTGAAAATGGTGAATTTTGATGAATTTTGGTGCAAAAATCATGGAAAAATACCTAGATTTAGGCTAAATCAACCTAAAATCAATTCTAGCTCAAAAAAACCCGAAAAACCTTAAATTTTCACCTAATACCCTTAAATTTGATGAAAAATTGGCCAAAATCAACCTAAAATCAATTCTAGGGCTAAAAATGGTGAATTTTGATGAATTTTGGTGCAAAAATCATGAAAAATGAGCCAAAGTTAGGCTAAATCATCCTAAAACCAATTCTAGCTCAAAAATACTCGAAAAACCTCGAATTTTCACTCAAAATTCGTCCAAAACACCGTGCAGAACCCACAAATTTCTCTATTTGTATTCTCAAAACAAATAGAGAAAAAAGCGAAAAAGACAAAGTGATTATGTTAATCTTTTCTTCTTTTACACACACAAAAAAATGTGAAAAAAAAATTTTTTTGCGAAAAAAAACTGTCAGGAAATTTCGGGGGATATCATGTGATATTTGTTTAGTTTTTGAGAAAAAAAGAAAAAAAACTGGTTTTTTTCAAGTATTTTTCAAATTTTAGGTAGAAAATTAAGGTTCTTAAGGTCATTAGGGCTAAAATTAGGTTTATTTTCAACTTAGAAGCTAATTAACACAAATTAAGGCTGAATTCAAGGGTTTTGAGTGAAAAATTAAGGTTCTTAAGGTCATTAGGGCTAAAATTAGGTTTATTTCCAATTTAGAAGCTAATTAACACAAATTAAAGGTGGACAGCGCCGAAGCACACAAAAACCGTCTGCAATTGCGCGTCAATTTGTGTGTTTGTCGAAAGTGTGTGAATTTTCATTGTTTTACGTTTTTCAACCCAAAAACGTGAAATTTTTGATTTTCAAGAATTTTTTCATGCTTATTGATATTCCTGAGTGAGAAAGGAACAAATTGATATATTTTATGTATTGTTTTCGAAATATTGCTGACATTAATTTTGAACTGGGAGAAAAAAGCTGAAAATTGCTTATTTCACGATTTCTAATCGCTGATTAGGTAGAGAATCTTCTCCTTTTTCTTTTTGTGTGAAGTTATTATGCTCAAAATTCATTTTTCTCCTTGTATTTTGCTTGAAAAGGTTGAACGCTGAAAAAACGAGAAAGACACACAGAAAATTCAAACGTGCCGCTTGTTCGCTAGAGCGCGTTTGCCTCACCACTTCCTCGTATCCTCATGGCGGTTTCTGTGTGTTTTCTCGCTGCGATGCTACTTTTTTCTAATTTTTTGCGTAAACGCTCATTTTTTGAAAATAGGAGCTGCTAGAAATAAAGGGAAACTTCATTTTTCCTCGCAGTCCACCTTTAAGGCTGAATTTAAGGGTTTTGAGTGAAAAAATTAAGGTTCTTAAGGTCAATTTAACTTAAAATTAGGGTAATTAAGAAGCCAATCAACAGAATTAAGGTAATTAAGGTAATTTTTGCGTAAATTCCTTAATTAGGGTCAAAATTAACGATTTTCGGCTAATTTTAGGTCAATTTTCATCGAAAAACCTGAATTTCAGGTCGATTTTCACGATTTTCAGCCATTTTCAGCCCTGAAACCGGTACCTTTTCCTTCTGAGCTCCTCCACACAATTTCGAATCGTTTGTGGATCATTTCCATTGGCTGGCGGTGTCATTGGAATGCGGGCTGAAAAATTTCAATTACAGGCTGAAAATGGGCCGTTTTAGGCCAAAAACGGCCCAATTCGATTTTTGGCCCAAAAAACGGCCCGGAAGCCCGGATTTTAGGCCTAAAAGCCTAAAAACGGCCTGGAAGCCCGAAAAGCCTAGAAAAGCCCAAAAGCCTACCAGGTCCAGGACTACTTTCATTATGAAACGCCAATCGTTGTCCATTCATATTTTCCAACGACACTCCGCTTTGACGCAGTGTCAGGGGTCGTAAATTTGGTGAATTTGAGGAAGAGGCCGAGGGTACTGTAATTTGGGGGTACTGTAGGTCAAATTTTGGCGGGAAATTTGAATTTTTCATGAAATTAGGCCCCAAATTTTCGGATTTTCTTGAAATTTGGCTCAAAATGCTCAAAATTTTCAGATTTTCTCGAAATTTGGCTTAAAATGCTCCAAATTTTCAGATTTTCTCGAATTTTGGCTCAAAATGCTCCAAATTTTCAGATTTTCATGAATTTTGGCTCAAAATGCTCCAAATTTTCAGATTTTCTCGAATTTTGGCTCAAAATGCTCAAAATTTTCAGATTTTCATGAATTTTGGCTCAAAATGCTCCAAATTTTCAGATTTTTTCGAAATTTGGCTTAAAATGCTCCAAATTTTCAGATTTTCTTGAATTGGGGCTCAAAATGCTCAAAATTTTCAGATTTTCATGAATTTTGGCTTAAAATGCTCCAAATTTTCAGATTTTTTCGAAATTTGGCTCAAAATGCTCCAAATTTTCAGATTTTCATGAATTTAGGCTTAAAATGCTCCAAATTTTCAGATTTTCATGAATTTTGGCTCAAAATGCTCAAAATTTTCAGATTTTCATGAATTTTAGCTCAAAATGCTCCAAATTTTCAGATTTTCATAAATTTTAGCTCAAAATGCTCCAAATTTCCAGATTTTTCCAGATTTTCAGCCCAAAACCCCCAACCAACCATCATAAATCGGCTTGAACGTCTTCATCGATTCGGATCGATTCGATCTTGAGCCAGGCGATTTTTTGACGTCAGAATCCTGCAAAAATCCAAAATTTCATGAAAAATCTGAAAATTTGGCTGAAAATTCGAGATTTTGGCTGAAAATTCGAGATTTTGGCTGAAAATTCGAGATTTACAGCGAAAATTGATAATTTTACCTGTCTCCAGCCTTTCGTATAGTTTTCGTCGTCAAAATTGGATTTTGAGGGGATTTTTGGCGCGGCCAAAAATCCCTGAGGTGGCGGTTGAGTGATGTCGAAAGCTGAGCGACTGCTGAAATTAATTTCAGATTGTTTAGGCTGAAAATGAGAAATTCGGAGCATTTTGAGCCCAAATTTGACATTTTTCATGAAATTTCAGGAATTTTGAGCTCAAACTTAATCAATTTCAAAAAACTCGGCTAAAAATTCAGATTTTCCAGTCTTAAAATCAAATTTTGCTGAAAAATTTGAATTTTTATGTGAAAAAAACCTGAAATTAATTTCAGGTCGGAAAAAATTGGCTAATTAAGTGAAAAACACATCAAAAAATTATATTAGATGGGTAAAAACCAGTTTTTCTGAGAAAATTTGAAAAAAATTGAATTTCAGGTTGAAAATCACATTTTTATACTGAAAATCTATAAAAATTCAAGATTTTCAGTCAATTTTTCATGAAAATTCCAAATTTTCAGTTCAAAAATCCACTTTTTAGTCCAGAAAACCCAAAAAATGTTACAAATCTAAAAAAAAAACTGATAAAAAAGAGAGGAAAGTATGGAATGATTCATCATTTTCCTTCCCTTTTTCTATCCCAATGTTTTTGTGGCCAAAAAATGGCAAAAAAAATGTGATTCATAAAAAGAACGCACTTATCTTATATATTACAATTTGTGATTTTTTTTTGTTTTGAGAAAAAAAAATGATATTTTTGGCGGGAAAATGATGAAAACCCGATTTCTAGGTCATTTTCAGGTCAAAATTCCAGATTTTTGGCTAAAAAATTGATAAAAATCAGGTTTCTCGTTGAAATTTTGGCCAGAAAACCTTGTTTTTTTTCAATTTTTATCTAATTCAGGTTAAAAAACAAGATTTCTGGCCAATTTTCCGGATTTTTGGTCAGAAAACCTTGTTTATTTCAATATTTATCAAATTCAAGTAAAAAAACACAATTTTTGGCCAGGAATCTTGTTTTTTCTCGAATTCAAGTAAAAAACAAGATTTCTGGCCAATTTTAGCCAAAAAACCTTGTTTTTTATCAAATTCCGTTCAAAAACAAGATTTCTGGCCAATTTTCACCCAATTTCTGGCCAGAAATCTTGTTTTTTCCAATTTTCATCAAATTCAGGTTAAAAAACAAGATTTCTGGCTAATTTTTCATGATTTTCATCAATTTTCACCCCATTTTCACCCAAAAATCCCAGAATTTTCCCACCAAAAAACCCACCAACAAAGTGATATCAAAATATTGGCCATTTTTTTCGGGACTTTTTCTAATTAATCGCTTTTTCTCTCAACAAAAAGTGGGAAGCATTTGTTCAGAAAATCTTTTTGAGATAGGATAATTTATCATTGCTCATTTTATATCTCTCTCTCAGATTTTCTTTGGATAAATATATAAATCTCACAGAATGGGGTGCTAATTTTTTGGTTGAGACAAAAAACAAAAAAACACGTTTGATACTCAGCCAAACGAGGTACGCAGTCAAATTTGGCTGCGTACCTTGAGTTAGATACTCAGTTAAGGACCAAATTTCTACCTACAGTAACCCAGGGCATATTTGGTGTCAAAAAACGTGAAATTTCCCAAATTTTTCAAAAATCAATATTCCACGTGGCAAAAATTCGCCTACCTTCTCACTTGTCGTCCAAATCCCTGATCCCACGGTGCAAAATATTCCTGTGGTGTGGAATCTGGAAAATTTTCAGATTTTCAGACTTTTGGGTCAAATTTGGCTGAAAATCACGATTTTCAGCTCATTTTCAGCCAAATTTTCAGATTTTCAGACTTACCAATCTGTTTTTTCGCGATTCCTGGCGATTCCTTACTTCCAAATGATAAAAGCGATCTCAAAAATGATCTGGGTCTTGAGGCGCGCGAGGTTACTGTAGATGTTGTGGATTGAGTGGAGGTTACTGTAATCAGAGAGCAGGGGGTACTGTAGGTGAAAAATTGTGAATTTTTCAGCAGAAATGCTCATTTTCAGCCAAAAATTCCAGATTTTCAGCCGAAAAACTACAAAAACTCACCACTTTTATGCGATCTGACAGATTGTGATCTTCTATCGATTCTTGAAATTGAGGGAGAAGCTGAAAAGTGAAAAATTATGAAAAATCTGGAATTTTGAGCTAAAATTTCAGATTTTCAGGTCCCAGGCCTAATTTTTCATGAAAAATCCAGAAAATGAGGTTTCAGGCTCAAATTTAGCTAAAAAATCTGAATTTCCAGCTAAAATTTCAGATTTGTAGATCCCAGGTTCAAAATTTGCTGAAAAATCTGAATTAAGGCTGAAACTTCAGATTTTCAGAGCCCAGGGTCAAAAAATGCTGAAAAATTCAAATTTCCAGCTAAAATTTAAGATTTTCAGGTTCCAGACCTAGTTTTTCATGAAAATTCCAGAAAATTAGGTTTCAAGCTCAGAATTTGGCTGAAAAATCTGAATTTCCAGCTGAAAATCCAAAATTTCCCAAAAATCCAATTTTCTAGCGAAAAAATGCCCCAAAATTACCCCCAAAACTAGTTATATCCAAAAAAAAAACAAAAATCCATTACATATCCAAAAATAAGTGGTCATGTCATAAATTACTACTGTACTGTCCAAAAAAAGTGAAAAAATGTGAAAAAAAATAGTTTTCGGGGAAAAACATGGAAATCTGGTTAGCAAAGAGGAAAATATGGGAAAATATATCAAGTGAGGTGGAAAATCTCAATTTTCAGCCAGAATTTCAGATTTTTCATGAAAAACTGAGTCTAGGACTAGAAAATCTGAAAATTTGGCTTGAAATTCAGTAATTTCATCATTTAGGACTAGAAAATCTCAATTTTCAGACAGAATTTCAGATTTTTCATTAAAAATCAAGTCTGGAACTAGAAAATCTGAAAATTCGACTGGAAATTCAAAATTTTCAGCATTTTCTGAATCTAGAACTAGAAAATCTCAATTTTCAGCTAAATTTTCAGATTTTTCATCAAAAATGCAGTTTTCTAGCTAGAAATGACTGGAAAATCGATTTTTTCAGCATTTTCAGTATCTAGACCTAGAAAACCTCAATTTTCACCTAGAAATCGTCTAAAAATCAATTTTTCTGTACAAAAATTGGTCAGAAAAATGGTCAAATACAAAAATACCAAACTAATCTTCTTCTTCTCCATTTTTCGCAGAAAAAAAGGAAGAAGATTATTCTAATTCCAAAAATTGAAAGTTACTTTTAGGACAGGATTTTGAGTGGGGAAAATGGGAGAAAAATCGATTTTTGACCAAAAAATCGAGATTTTCAGGTCAAAATGGACCATTTTTCACCAAATTTCCACTTTTCCGGCCCAAAAAGCCCCCAAAAAGCCTACTTTCAACATCGGGCCTACTGTATCCGGTGAATCCACAAAAATCCGTCTCATCTTCTCCAGAAGCACCAGATTGAAAGTCTCCAACACAGACTGTGGCAAATCTCGAGTTAGACAAACTCGAACGCGAATTTGAGCGTTTTTTGGGTAGCGGCTGGAAAAATGTCGATTTTCAGACAATTTTGGGCTTAAAAATGCTGAAAATCATGATTTTTCATCAATTTTCAGCCAAAATTACAGATTTTTAGCCCGAAAACTCACCATTTTATTGTTATTCTTGAGATCCTCGATTTTTCCACCTACAGTACTCTCATTTTCAGCCGGCGAATTATTCATGAACCAAGTTGAAGCGGTTTCTGAAAAAAAATTGAATTTCAGGCTGAAAATCTGAAAATTTCAGCTAGAAAACTGAATTTTTCATGAAAATTCCAAAAATCTGGCTGAAAATCTAGATTTTCAGCTTTCAGGTTCAAAATTTGCTGAAAAACTCGAATTTTCAGTCAAAATTTCAGATTTCCCACTTCCAGACCCATTTTTACATGAAAAATCCATCTTTTAAGCTTCCGGGTTCAAAATTCCATAAAAATACAAAAATCTGGCTGAAAATTCAGATTTTCAAGCTTCCAGGTTCAAAATTTGCTGAAAATTTCAAATTTTCAGCTAAAATTCCATTTTTCCCACTTCCAGACCCAAAATTTCATGAAAAACCCAAAAATCTCACCCATTTTCCTCAACGTATCCGTTGAAGCCATCGAACATCTCGACAAAGATCTCGACGGTTTTCGTCGTGATAATGACATATCACTTGTCCAGAAATCTGCAAAAAAATGAAATTTGGGTGGAAAATCGAGGATTTTAGTGGGAAAATCATGAAAAATGGCCAGAAATCAATAGTTTTGGGTCAAAATTGGCCAGAAATCTTGATTTTTACTCAAAAATAGCCAAAAATCAAGTTTTCTGGCTCAAAATTGCTCAAAAATCCCGGATTTTTCTCGAAAAAGTGCATTTTCCGACCAGAAAACATTGAAAACCCATAAATTTTTATCGGTTTTTCTTCGGGAAGAAGAAGCTTTTATAAAATTCATTGGAAAACAACTAAAAACTACTAATTTTCTGAGGCTTCTTTTTACAACTTACTATAAAAATTTGAAAAAAATTTTTTTTTTCAAATTTTATGGGTCTAGGAAGCCTGAAAATGGCCTATAGGCTTAAAAATTCGAAAATTTTCAAATTTTTGGGTCTAGAAAGCCTGAAAATGGCCCTTAGGCTTGAAAAAAACAAGAAATTTCAGATTTTTCGGTCTAGAAAGCCTGAAAATGGCCCTCAGGCTTGAAAAATTCGAAAATTTTCAAATTTTTGGGTCTAGGAAGCCTGAAAATGGCCCTTAGGCTTAAAAATTCGAAAATTTTCAGATTTTTGGGTCTAGGAAGCCTGAAAATGGCCCTTAGGCTTGAAAAATCGGAAATTTTTCAAATTTTTGGGTCTAGAAAGCCTGAAAATGGCCCTTAGGCTTGAAAAATTCGAAAATTTTCAAATTTTTAGCTCAAAATGGTCTTCCTGGTTCAATAAATCTCAAAAATTGAGCATTTCCGTCTCAGAAATTGCTCCAAATCAAAATTTGAGCAAAAAATGGCTCCTGGGCTCAAAAACCTGGAAAATTCCAGATTTTCTGGTCAAAATACATCTAGGGACACTTCTGGACCTTAAAAATCCATGAAAATCAATTTTTCAGGCTAAAAATAGGCTCATGGGCTCAAAAACCTCGAAAATTCCCAAATTTTTGAGCTCAAACTCCTCCAGGACCAAATTTTGTGCCAAAATTCCAATTCCAGGCTCAAAAATCACCCAAAACCTCCATTTTTATCAGATTTTTCTAGGGGTCATTTTTTATAGTACAACAAACAAAAAAAACAGTACTGTGACACCAAAAAGGTGTCGTAAAACTTGTCAAATGTGGCGACGACAGAAAGAAAAGAAGAAAAAAGAGGAGGAGAAGAGAAGAAAAACAAATAAACAGGCAAAAATTGGGGGAAAACATCCAATTTTGGGTGGAAAATGTGGGATTTTTGAGAAAAAGAGCATTTTTGGGCTCGAAAATGAGCTCCTGGGAGCATTTTTGGCATGAAAATTGGATTTTTCAGGCTTTCGTGGCCCTAAATCAGGCTTTAGGCTTTCTAGACCTAAAAAATCAGAAATTTCAGGATTTTTTTAAGCCCAGAACTCATTTTTGGGCATTTAAATAGTCCATAGGCTTTCTAGACCCAAAAAATCAGAAATTTCAGGATTTTTTGAGTTTATAACCTAATTTCAGGCCCTAAATCAGGCTTTAGGCTTCCTAGACCCAAAAAACCTGAAAATGTCAGATTTTTTGAGCCTATAACCTAATTTCAGGCCCTAAAGGCTTTCCAGACCCAGAAAATTCAAATTTTCCAAACTTTTCAGCCTAGAACTCAATTTTCTAGCTCAAAACCCTAATTTTCGGTCAAAAATATCCAACACAAAAAGTTTCTCAAAAAGAAAAACGACTTTTTGAAATCGGATACTTTTATTTTTATTTTCCAATTTGTTTGTTGTGTTTCTCTTGGTTAAAAGAAGACAAATTCGTATTTTTGAAACCCATCGCATTTTCTGTACAGTATAGGAAACAAGAGAATAGGATTGCTCATGTTAGGTCAAAAATTCAAAAAATTTCGAATTTTCAAAGCATTGCTCATATTAACCAGAAAATCGGTTATTACAAGCAAGATTTTTGAAGATAATGAAGAAATTGCTCATATTAACCAAATTTTTCTATGAAAATTCCAGAAATTGATAAATTTTCAAAGCATTGCTCATAACTGGAGAAAACAGGATTTTTTTCTGGATAAAAATGAAAATATCCAAAATTGCTCATGTTAACCAAAAAAAAATCCAGAATTTTGCCACGTGGCATTGAAAATTCACGAGAAATCTCAATTTTGGGTCAAAAAACATGGAAAATATGGTTTCCGGATCAAAAATTCATGAAAAACCCAAATTTCCGGTCAAAATTCATCCTTTTTCACCCAGAAAACCTCAAAAATCCAAATTTCTGGGTGAAAATCCCAAGGTCAAACCTAACCTAATAATAATAATAAATAATATAAAAATGCGGTAAAAAGAAAAAAAAAGGGAGAACTACCTATTATTAGTGTATATCCCGATTTTTGTATAAATTTTCGGGGGAAAAAAAGAGGAGAGGAGAGGAGAGAAAAAGATATATTATTAGGATATAAATCGACTAATTATCTCTCTCTTGATTTTGGCTAATTTTCAAGGTCTTTCCGGTCAAATCCAATGATAAAATCTGGATTTTTCGAGAAAATTCGGGAAAATCTAGGATTTCTGGTGGGAAAATTCGAAAATCTGGTCAAAAATTGACCCCAAAAACAAATTTTCTAGCAATTTTCATCAGAGAAATTTTAAATTTAGGTCGATTTCAGGATCGTCTAATCAATTTCAGGTCAAAAATTAACAATTTCAGGCCTATTTCGGCCTGAAAAATCCAAAAACCAGGCTTTTTTTTAGGCCTAGACCTTCTTTATCATAATAAACCGCAAAAAATGACAGACACAAAAATATTACACTTTTTGTTTCATAATTTTTTGTGTTAAACAAAATTGGACAGAAAAAATCGATTAGGCCTAGATTTTGGGCCTAAAAGGGCCTAACATCATCAAAAAAGCCTATGTTTTAAGGCCTATTCTTAGGCTGTTTTAAGGCCCTATTTTAGGCCCTAATTCCGACAAAGTTAAGGCCTTACTTAAGGTCTAAAATTCAGGATTATTACACCTTATTTTAGGCCTAAAATTCAGGCTTTTGACCCTACTTTAAACCGTATTTTAGGCCCATTTTTAGGCTACTTAAAGGCCCTATTTTAGGCCCAACTTTCAGGCTTTTTAGACCTTATTTTAGGCCCATATTTAGGCTATTTTTAGGCCTAAAATTCAGGCTTTTTAGGCCAAAATTCACTCCAAAACCCTTCAAAATTCTCCTAATTAAAAAACAAATAAAAATATGCATAAATTAGTCGAAAATTTCGGGAAAAAAGTGAAAATTTCTGGATTTTTCTCCTCGAAATTTCATAAAAATGAGAAAAATCAATAAAAATCGGAGATGGGGTGGAATAAAAATCCACGGAAAAATGTGGCAATAAATCAAAAAACAACATCTGGAGACCTTTTATTGGGGGAAAACAAATTTTTTTAGCGAATTTGGTGTAAATTTTGGGGATTTTCAGTGATTTTAAGCCTAGAAAATGCTGAAAATCACCATTTTCAGCTCAATTTTCGATGAAAAATCCAAAATTTCAGTCAAAATTTCAAATTTTCAGCCCAAAAACCCAACCAACCTTGTTGCATAAGCGAAATACTCTGAAGTTGTTTGGTAGTTGTGCAATTTCGAATTGCAGCAGGCAATTGGAGGCGAATCAACAATTCTTCGCTGGAAAATTTGGGATTTTCAGCATTTTCAGATCAAAAATCTGGAAATTTTCAGCCATTTTCAGCCAAAACTCACTCATTTACACAATAATGTTCAATCAAAAGTGGCAGCGATCGAAAAGTTCGTGGACTTCCCTCAAGTCGAACCTGAAATTCACAAATTTTCAGCATTTTTGCAGTCGGATTACTATAGATCAGAATTTGACTCCAAAAATGGTGGTTACTGTAGATTTTCTAGAAATTCATGATTTTTTGCAGTTCTTGGGTTACTGTGGGCTTCTCTAAATTTGCAGTCCTAGATTACGGTAGCCTTTTGCAGTCCTAGATTACGGTAGCCTTTTGCAGTCCTAGATTACTGTAGCCTTTTTGAAGTTCTTAAATTACTGTAGATATTTCTGCAGTTCTCGGATTACTGTAGATTTTCTAATTTCAAAAAATTTTGCAGTTCTTAGATTACTGTAGATCATCTTAATTTGCAGTTCTTGGGTTACTGTAGCCTTTTGCAGTCCTAGATTACGGTAGCCTTTTGCAGTCCTGGATTACTGTAGCTTCTTTAATTTTGCAGTTCTCAGGTTACTGTAGCCTTTTTGCAGTTCTTAGATTACTGTAGAACTTTTTGCAGTTCTTGGATTACTGTAGATCAAAATTTCGCGCGAAAAATCCAATTTTCTTCAAAAATGGCTCATTTTTTCGCGTTTTTTCACCGGATTACTGTAGGTAGATCAAATTTTCGTGCCAGGACCAACCACATTCGTCAAATTTCCGGGAACATGAATTTTTTCGATGATATAATGATCAGTTTCCATTCCAGAGGCTTGTGGAAGTCGCATTGAGAGGGCCATACAATTTTCACGGGTTGAGGCGCGGACGATGAAATTCTGTAAGGGAAAAATTTGAATTTTTGAATTTTTAGAGTTAAAAATCATGAAATTTGGTTGATTTTGAGTGAAAATCAATATTTCTGGCCAATTTTTAGGCCAAAATTTCATAATTTTGGTCAAAATCATACCCCAGGTTCCATTCTTTTGAGCAAATGCAATACTTCTGGTCGTCCAAGATGCGGAAGATACCTGAAATTAATTTCAGGTCAATTTCAGGCTGAAAATCATGATTTTCAGCTCAAAATTGTCCAAAAATCCCAAAAATTAGCTCAAAATGCTCACCAAATCGCATGAGTTCGAATAATTTGCTCCAAAAGTGTCACCGAGTTAGCAGAAGTCGTCGAATTTTGGCTGAAATTCGTCGAGGAATTTCGTCTGATTACAAAATCCGAATAATTTCCATCATCAGCCGATTCTTCGCCCAAATTCATATAAATTGCCGGAATTTTGGGAGGGGGTCTCTGAAAATTGAAAATGAGCCTCTTGGGGGCCAAAAATAGGCTTTTTCAGGCCAAAATCGGGCTTTTTCAGGCCAAAAATAGGCTTTTTCAGGCCAAAAAACCTCCCAAAACGAAAAAAAGTGGAATAATTGAATGATTCAAAACTAATTTGAACCTTTTTTTCTAACTCAAGGTTATTTTGGGGGAAAAAAGTGGTTCAAGGATAATTTAAAGGTAATTTTCGGGGGACGAGGAATCCAAACATGGCCTAGAAACCCAAATTTTCACTCTGTGAAGAGGAAAAATGGCCTAGAATCCCAATTTTTCCCTTTGGAAGAGAAAATATGGCCTAGAAACCCGAAATTTCCCTTTGGAAGAGAAAATATGGCCTAGAATCCCAAATTTTCCCTTTGGAAGAGAAAATATGGCCTAGAAATCCAAATTTTCATTTTAAAAGAGGAAATGTGGCCTAGAAACCGCGAAAAATCTCTTCCCGGGGTCAAAAATCACGAAAAATCTAATTTTTCGCTCATTTTCCCGCCAAAATCTACCGTACCTCCTCAATTCGACTCTCCTCTAATGCTTCTACAATTGGACTTGTCGCATATTCACTTGGCACCGCCCAACTTATCATTTCTTCCGATTTTCTTGAATTTTCCAGATCCTGATCTTCTTGCTGAACAATGGTTTCAGTCGATGTTTCAGTCTCGTCCAAATCTGCGAGAAAAATTGAATTTGGGATGAAAATTCATGAAAAATCAAGATTTCTGGACATTTTTGACTAGAAAACAAGGTTTCTGGCCAATTTTTAGTAAAAATCAAGATTTCTGGACATTTTTCAGTAAAAAACAAGATTTCTGGCCAATTTTGACTAGAAAACATGAAACTTTGTCATTTTTTAAGTAAAAAACAAGATTTCTGGCCAAAAATTCGTATAAAACATGAGAAAATCGCAATTTTCCAATGTAAAAATCAATTTTTCTCGCGAAAAAATCAAAAACACATGTTTTCCGGGTCAAATTTCGTCGAAAAATCCGATTTTTTCAGAAAAAATAAAAAATTACCCGCTTCCAGATGGAGATTTTCAGCGTTTGTGGTGATATCTTCGACTTGAACACGAATTGCACCAAATTCGGGGCTCAGCCTGTGAAAAATTGGGAATTTTTGATATCAAATGAGCCCAGGGGGTACTGTAGCGCAATTTTTCGCGCCAAAAACGCTACGTGGCTAACTACTGTAGATTTTCGCGCCAAAAATCAATAAAAAAGGTCATTCATGCAAAATTCAATGACTCATATTATAAATATACATTATGACCAATATTTAATTGGATTTTTAATTGATTTTTTGCAGTTCGACAAGAGTACTGTAGATTTTTTGTTTCAGGACCCAAAAACCACTATTCTAGCCGAAAAATGGGTCCTAAAGCGATTTGGATTACTGTAGCAGGCGCGAAAATTGAAAAATTCAAAAAATTCTCACGTTCTTTCCATTGGCAACACAGCAATACTGGCTCTTCGTCGATTTTTTTCGGATTTTCGCAAGCTCCGCCCATTTTCAGCCGGATTTCCATTTTCAGCCGCAGCATATGCTGAAATAGGTCGAGAATTTTCAGCGGTTCGCGAACGAGCCGCTGCAATTGCTCGAGCTGACATTTCAGCGATTTCAGACGGTGTCAGCGAAGAGGTTTCGAAGATTGGCTGAAAAAAATGTCAGCTAAAAATTTGGGCATAGCTTCCGCAAGCTCGCCACAAAAAATGCTGAAAATCCAGAGAATCTCGGGATTTTCAGCATTTTTTCAGCGAAATTTCGGGATTTTCAGATAATTTTAGCCTTTTGAGTCGAAAATTAATTTTTGGGCATAGCTTCCGCAAGCTCGCCACAAAAAATGCTGAAAATTCAGAGAAGCTCGGCATTTTCAGCATTTTTTCAGCGAAAATTCGGGACTTTCAGCCAAAAATCAATTTTTGAGCAGAGCTTCCGCAAGCTCGCCACAAAAAATGCTGAAAATCCAGAGAAACTCGGGATTTTCAGCATTTTTTCAGCGAAAATTTTGGATTTTCAGATATTTTTAGCCTTTTGAGTCAAAAATCAATTTTTGAGCATAGCTTCCGCAAGCTCGCCACAAAAAATGCTGGAAATCCAGAGGAACTCGGGATTTTCAGCATTTTTTCAGCGAAAACTCAAATTTTCTCACACCACCAAATAGTTTACAACTGGCACCAACAAAAAAAACGAAGAAATCGTAGTTTTTTTTGGCGCCAGCCCAAAAGGTCGTGTGAAAATAAACAAAAACTTTTATATTTTTATGTAAAAGATGGGAGAAAATTAGCACTTTTTTGGTAGAAATATCGATTTTTGGGCTTTCGGGCCTAAAAATCAGGTCTAGAGCTCAAAATTCGGCTCCGAAATCAATTTTTGAGCCTTGGAACTGAAAAATGAGCTTCAGAGCTCAAAAACTTGCTCTGGAAACAATTTTTGAGCTCTGAAGCTCGAAAAATGGCTCTGCAACCAATTTTTGAGCTCAAGAGCCTAGAAATTAGCTATGGAGCCTGAAAATTAGCTTCAAAACTGAAATTTTCAGCTCTGGAACTGATTTTTCAGCTCCAGAGCTCAAAAATCACTTCCAGACCTAAATTTCGAACTCCAAAGCCTAGAAATCACCTCCAGAACCCAAATTTTCACCCAAATCCACCCAGAAACATCAAATTTTCCAATTTTCCCGCCACAAACCTCCATTTTCCTCGCCTTCCGCATCGAACGAGTTCGCGGAAGTGGCTGAGGCATCGAATCTAGCGATTTCCTCGGTGGCGCCACAGGAATTTCACTCATTTTCAGCCAATTAGTTTTTAGAAAAGTGTCAAATTTATCACCATCATCGAAAAAAACAAGATAGCGAGATAGTGAAAGAGTGGTTAGAGAAAGCAGAAAAAACAATGAGTCACTAACCGCAAAAAGTGATTTCTTTGTGACCAAAAGGTAAAGAAATCGCTTTTTTTCGGCTTTTTTCCACAAGTTAACGAAAAAAAGAACAAAGCTGTCAAAAACCGACGACTTTTTCCTTGGAAAACTACTATGTTCTCTCACTTTTTGCTTGGTTTTCTTCCTATGTGACCTAATAAATATTCGATTCGATTTTATGTGATTTTTGCTTGGCTGGTTGGCTACTGCCAATTGATTTGGACGAAAATGAGCGATTTTTGGCGGGAAAATCAGAGAAATTCTGATTTTGGGATGGTTTTTGGGCTTCGGCAGCGAAAAAATCGAGTGATTCTGGGCCTGGAGAGTCAAAAATTGGATTTTTGAGCTTCTGGAGCGAAAATTTGGATTTTGGGACGATTTTCCGAATGCAGATGCACAAAAATTGGATTTTGAGCCAAAATTTGAGCTTGGAAGTCTAGAAAATGAATTTCAGGCTTTTGACCTGAAATTCGAGCTCTAACGTGCTCTAGAAACTTTTAGGCTTCTGAAACAACAAAACGAAACTAGAGAAAATGAGAAAGTTAGAGACGCAGAGGGAAATACACTCGCACCGCTCGATCGAAAGTTAATTTGCAGACCACAGTGGTCTGCTTTTTAAGTTTACACGGTTTTTGAGTTAAAAAGCAGACCATCGTGGTCTGCTTTTCAACTTTGCACGGTGTTTTGAGTTAAAAAGCAGACCACGATGGTCTGCAAATTAAAATGCTTTGAAGTAAATTGCAAGCTTGCGAGTTCAAAAATCAGTTTCAAAGCTGAAAATTGGCTTCTAAACCTAGAAAACTTGTTAAAACACTCATAATACGTTTGCAAAATGCGAAATGGCGAGAAAAAGCGTTTTATTACACACCAAAAAGTTTGTGCTGGCACCAATTGGTGTCAACAACCGAAAAAATATCCGTTTCACTGGAAAACTCAACTTTTTATTTATCAATTTAAAAAAAAAGAGGGAAAGTTCCAGTTTTGAACGAGAAGAAGCTGGAACTCTTTAACTTAGTGATTATATATTATAATATTATATTATATCATTCTTCACATTCAAAAGGCGGCTAGTTGTGTGCGAAAAAGCAAAAAAGAAAAGAAAGGATGATGCTTGGAACGTTTGAGCATTATGCAAACAATAATCGCGGCGACGCAAATATTCGTAAGACTATAGTTTTTTGGTGAAAATGCGCAAAATTAAAAGTATTTTTTTGAATGCAAACGAGGTGGCGGTTTGCAGTGGAGCGCGTTTGCAAGGTATCGCGATGAGACCCGTGTGTGGTTTGTTGTGCGCCTTTGAAAACTACCGTAATTATTTATTTTTTTTTGCAAAAAAAATTTGAAAAATATTTTTGTTTTTTGAGCAAAAACTCACGTTTTCCAGGGTTTTCCAAGCTGGAGAATTCGATAATCTGCAAAACTACCCTTGAAATCACTCAAAAAAATGAAAAACTCGCCTTTTCCTAGCTTTCCATCAATGCAAAATGAGCAAAAATCCATTGTTTTTCTGAAAAAAAACGTGACACATTTTTTTCTGTGCATTTTTGCGTCGCAGTGTTTACAAGCATTTCTCAGTAAAAATTGTGCGTGTAACATGGAACATTCAAATTTATTACAAAACATCGATAATTTTTACATAATTTTTTCAGAGATAATTAGCCCCAATTAATTAATTAAGAAGCTAATTAATTAATAAGGTTGTCTATCCAAGCAATTCTTCAAAGTGTGTTGAATTGGATATGGATTAGAAGCGGCTTGCCAACTCGAATCCTCATCAAATTGCCAAAATCCTTGTTTGACATTGGGAAGTTGCTCGCGGTGCACATTTTCGAAAAGGCGAATCTCATCTTCATGTGATTCTGGATCATAGGTGGAAGTTGTGGTGGTGGTTGTGGTGGTTTTTCTGGGAGAAAATTGGAGATTTGGTGAGATTTTCGGGGGGTTTTGGTGAAAAATAGCTGTTTTTCAGTTCTTAGAAGCTGTAATTTCAGATTTCTGGCTGAAAATCGCATTTTTCTTGCTAAAACTAGGTTTTGGAGTTGGAATACATGATTTTGAGCAATTTTCGCTTGAAATCATGTTTTAGAGCTGAAAATGGCTGAAAATTATGATTTTCAAGCTCCTGGACTTGAAAAATCTTGATTTCAAGCAAAAACAGCTGAAAATTCATGATTTTCAAGCTCAAGGACTTGAAAAACATGATTTTTGGTGAAAAATAGCTGAAATTCATGATTTTTGAGCTCCTGGACTTGTAAAATCGCAATTTCGACTGAAAATTGTGATTTTTCAGCTCCTAGACCTAGAAAATCATGATTTTAAGCAAAAATTGCTGGAAATCGCTATTTTTAAGCTCCACAACCTTGTCTAAGCTGAAATTTATGATTTTCAAGCTTCAGGACTTGAAAAATCATGTTTTTAAGCAAAAATAGCTTAAAATTATGATTTTGAGCTCAACAATGGCTCAATTTCCCACCCAAAATCACTAACTTGATCGGAATTTGTCCGTGATCATCCAAAAGATATGCGGCGTAGCCGCAATGGAACAATAGTAGACCAAGGATCAGCAAAATTAGGGCAACTGGCACAAGAAGAGCAGCCCTGTAACAAAATATTGGAAATATTTTCCGCAAGCTTGCGCGAAGCGCTCCGGAAACTTCCGCGTAAGCGGCACGAGCGGAGCGAGTGTATTTTTCCTGTTTTGAGTTAATTTGCACGGTATGTTTAGTTAATTTGCAGACCACCGTGGTCTGCAAATTAACTTTCTTTCGAGCGTAGCGAGTGTATTTCCCTCTGCGTCTCTAGCTCTCTAGAGACCCTAGGCATGTTTGGTATCAAAAAACGTGGATTTCTTCCGCGCGCCTCTTCCGCGCAGCTTCAGCTTCCGCAACTCACCATCCTCCGCACTCCAACGCAATGCACATAAGAAGCATCGTAAGTAAAATGACGACTCCGAAGAAGAAGAAAAGGGTTCCCAAAATCAGTAGACATTGTCTTCCCGGCCAAACTCCCATATAAATTGGGAGACACGGGAAACAGAAGACTGGAGGAGCACGGCGGGAATACCAGGGCACGTATTCACCTTCTGTCACCAATTGCACCATTTTTTGCTGAAAATTGATAGGTGGTTAGAGACGCAGAGAAGCTAGACGGCTAGAGACAATTTAAAAGGTAGAGACGTAGAGGAACACACAATTGATTTGTGAGAAGCTAGGCGGCTAGAGAAGGTTAGAGACGCAGAGAAGCTAGAGAGCACCGTCTTTTGAGAGAGTGCAGAGAAACCAGCGAAGTTTAAATTTTCTGAAATTTTCAGCCACGTGGATTTCTATCTGTCTAAAAATTTCTGATTAGAAATTTTCAGAATTTTTCTGAAAAATAGTTTTCCGCCCTCAAAAAATGATGATTTTTAGTGTAAAAAGAGCCCAATAAAACTCTCGAGAGCTTCTCAAAACACATGTTCCAAGAAATTTTGAAATTTAAAAAAAACTACAGTAAACCTACAGTACCCCACAAAAATATTTGCGCCTTTAAAAAATATGGTCCAAATCAATAAAAAAAAGTGGAAAATCTCCACATCTTATCACAAAATTTTGAAAAATCGAAAATTTTTGATATGAGAGAAAATCTCGACGAGCCCACAACACAACAAAAACAAAAGTTTACACCGTGTATTTTCTCGTCTAGCTTCTCTGCACTCTCTCAATTATCTATGCTCTCTCGCACTCTCGCCGGGAGATGAAAAATGCCCGAAGATTTTTTGAGGGGGAGGAAAAATTTGAGCAAAAAAATTGATTTTTTTCGTGCTCAAAAAGGGAATTTTCAAAAAATGAGCAAATAAGAAGGAAAAACTGGATTTTTGGCTCAAAAAATCAATTTTTCCAAAAAAAATCAGAAAATTGAACAAATATGAGTCATACGGGAAAAAACACAACAATTTTTGATTAAATTTTTTTTATTGATTATCAATTTTGAAATTTTGGCGGCAAAAAAAGCATGACTCAGATTAGAAATTTCGAAATTTATGGGCTGAAAATTAAATGTAGCTAAATTTTTTTCCAGAATTCTCTAGTTCAGCTACAGTATTCCTTAGAAGACTGTAGTCTATGACCCCAAAACTACCGTACTCTAAGCTAGGCTTATTTGGGTTCAAAAAATCGCAAATTTTCTACAGTAATCACTTTATTCTCTCAATCAATAACCACGATAATTATCAATACATTTCTGTGCACAAATTTCCAAATTATCCAAATCCGCTTGCGGAACACGTGGCGGATAATACCGGTCCAAACAATCGCCTTCACATTGGATAAAAGTCTTGTCAGCTGGCTTTAATTGACCATCAAAACACGTTGGAGCACACAATTTCCACTCTTCTACCGTATCCCCACAACTATTCACACATTCGATTTGAATCTCCTTGTTTTCAGCGTCTAAAAAACTATGGTTTCTGAAAAAAAAAGAAAAAAAGATCGCCGGCAGCGTTGATCGAACTCGTGACCTTCTGATTAAGAGCGCGCGCACTAACCGCCTGAGCTATAGACGCCTTTTGTTCAGTGCTGTTGGATGGCTAATTTATGGAGGGCGCTCGCGCGCGCCAAAATTCGACCCACCTGTCACTTCCTCCTCATTATCACCACCATCCTGCGCCCAAACCACTACAGTAACCCAGAATATGGCTAGAAACGTGAAAAACCTCATTTTTCATTTAAAAAACAAAGTTTTTTGAGCAAAAAATACGTCCCAAAATCTTATCTTATCAACCTGAAAAACAACATTTTTTGCCAAAAAAAAAACGAAGATAATATGCATTTTTATTGTTTCAGTACGGAAAATTTCAGCAAAAAAAAATTTTCAGCCAAAAAATTATTACAGTGTCTAGCACAATGTGCACATGCAGTTTCCGTTGATGCATTCGGCCAATTTGCAGCTCTGCAAAAAATGGGGGTTACTGTAGATAGATCTAGGGGTACTGTAAATTTATGGGGCGAAAATTCCACGTTTTTTGAAAATTACAAAAAAATCTGGTACTTGGATCAAAAAAGCCCTCCCAGCAGATCAAATTTTCGCGCGTAAAAACGTGGCAGGGGTACTGTAGGGACTACGGTAACTCACTCTGCAAGTGATCGATTTGCAAATAGTGTCTCCCAACCAACACGAAGCATCAGATTGAACCATTTCGAACAAGGCGAGCAACAAAACGAGCAACAAAACCAACTTGAACATGATTTTTCTGAAAATTTGGGAATTTGGGTGCGGGAAATGGGTAAAAATGACAAAAAATGAGTTAAAAAGCAGACCACGGTGGTCTGCAAATTAACTTTGCACAGAGTTTTGAGTTAAAAAGCAGACCACGGTGGTCTGCAAATTAACGTAAAATGCTAATTTGAAGCTAAATTTGACGATTTTTAATGAAAATTCGCTCAAAAATCACGAAAAAATGTGAAAAAGGGCGTTTCGCAGCGAAATTTATATCTTTTTCGAGCGAAAATTGATGAGAAAAATAGATTTTAGTGTGATATTGCAAACAACAGTTGGCCATGTTGGAAAGTTCATAAATCACATGTCAAAGTCAAGTCGAAAAGAAATTTAAAGGCGCAGCAGTTGGCCAGCAACAGTTGCTTGGAAACGTGCCAATTGGTAAACAACCCAAGTAAATTAGAGCAAATTTCGAGCATTTCTACAGTACTCCAACTACAGTACTCGTAAAAGACGGGAGAATTTGATCTACAGTATCCCTTGGTACAGTTTTACTGATTTACAAAATTTTTTGGAATCTTTGAGAAAAATGTTCCAAAAATTTGATGTGCAGTAGTCTGGGTTACTGTAGGAGTCAACTACAGTACTCCTGAGGGCTGAAATTTGATCTACCAATTTTTTTGGAACAATAGAAAGTTGTGCCAGGGTTACTGTAGTACTCAGAGGTCCCAGAAAATTATTAACAAAAAAATTGTAAACTACAGTAGCCTCTACAGTAATTTTTTTTTCAATCTACAGTAGGAAATTTCAAAAAATAGGCTTATTTGGTCTCAAAAAATCGCAAATTCTGCGCTGAAAACTGAAAAAACATAATATTTTCGAACCAAACAACTGTTCAAAAAATCCGGTCCCGGCGGATTTATAAAACATTTTTTTTCGAGTGTAACAAAAAAACAAAAAAAAACTTGTGATCCGATCGATGTTCGAACATCGAACATCGAGAAATGTTTCGATTTTCAGCAAAAAAAAATCTGAAATCTGAAATTTTCCGAGAAACGACACTTGTTTTATAACACAAAAATGTTGTTTTTTGAAAGAAAATGAAGAAGAATGATTCAGAAACCAACAAAAATTGTCATTTTCCAGAAAAATTTGTGACGTCACAACATTTTTGAACAAAAAGAGCATTCCAAAAAACCTCACAAATATTTCCTAACACAAAAATCGCTCAAAACATTGAAAAAATAGATTACAGTAACCCGCTGCCCCTCCCCATCATGTTCCTTTAAAAATGGTCGCATCGGCAAAAAACTGACATTATGGTGAAAAATCCAATTTGTGAAATCGTTGAATTTTCGCGCATTTTCCATTTGAATTTCCACGTTCAGTTGGCATACTGTAATTTTCAATTTGGCCAAAATCCCGTTTTCCTCGAAAATTGTACGATACTTGAAATTTCCGTTCAACCATAAAATATCGATTATCTAAAGGAAATGTGAATTTGCACAGTGTTTCGAGTTAAAAAGCAGACCACGGTGGTCTGCAAATTAACTTTGCACAGTGTTTTGAGTTAAAAAGCAGACCACGGTGGTCTGCAAATTAACTTTGCACAGTGTTTTGAGTTAAAAAGCAGACCACGGTGGTCTGCAAATTAACTTTGCACAGTGTTTTGAGTTAAAAAGCAGACCACGGTGGTCTGCAAATTAACTTTGCACAGTGTTTTGAGTTAAAAAGCAGACCACGGTGGTCTGCAAATTAACTTTGCACAGTGTTTTGAGTTAAAAAGCAGACCACCGTGGTCTGCAAATTAACTTTGCACAGTGTTTTGAGTTAAAAAGCAGACCACCGTGGTCTGCAAATTAACTTTGCACAGTGTTTTCAGTTAAAAAGCAGACCACGGTGGTCTGCAAATTGACTTTGCACAGTGTTTTGAGTTAAAAAGCAGACCACCGTGGTCTGCAAATTAACTTTGCACAGTGTTTTGAGTTAAAAAGCAGACCACCGTGGTCTGCAAATTAACTTTGCACAGTGTTTTCAGTTAAAAAGCAGACCACCGTGGTCTGCAAATTAACTTTGCACAGTGTTTTGAGTTAAAAAGCAGACCACCGTGGTCTGCAAATTAACGTTCCACAGTGTTTTGAGTTAAAAACCAGACCACGGTGGTCTGCAAATTAACTTTGCACGGTGTTTTGAAGGCTTGCGGGATATCTTCCCAACCCAAAATTCATGAAAAATTTGAATTTCCCACCAAAAACCCACCATTTCTCCCTCATCCTCTACATTTTGAGATTTTTTCATATCCTCAAAAATTTCCGGAAAATCTTCAATGGATTTATGAGCAAGATTGATTTGGGCAAATTTTGAATTCGGAATTTTCGCGCGCAAATTTTCATAAGCTTCGATGGCAGCCGGAATTGAAGAGACATAGAGATTAGAAGAGGAGTTCTGGAAAAAAGGTCAGGGGTTCGAGGAACGGTGCCTGTGGAACTTTTTATTTTTTTGCAAAAACTTACACAATTTGGCACCATACTAAAATACACATTTTCCCGACCTATCGGAAAAACTGGAAGATCCTTTAGATATTTTTCCTGATCACAAACATAGGATACTGTAGGCCAGTTGAGCAATTTTGAAAATGGATCATCAAAAAATCGATTTTGAAAAACTTTTGCGCAAAGTTTGTAAACGTCTCGAAGTTTTGTAACGTTGAATTTTGGTGGCAATTTTGAATCACAGCTTTTCAGGTTTTCAAACTCGAAATTTTCCAAAATTGTGCGATTTTTGTCGAAAAATTTCATCCGATTCTCATAGATAAATTCATCCGGCTCGAAAAAATCGATAATTTTCTGCGCATCTTTTGAGTCAAAATTTTTCAGGCCTAACCCAAAAATATAACCAAAAAATACTGAAATTAAAACCAGGTTGAGAATGAGCAAAAAATAGTGATGAGAAAAATAATACATTTTTTTCAGATCTCAAAAATTTTCTGGAAATTTTGGGTTTTAAAGAGAGAAAATTTTTTGATCCCAATCAAGTTTTGCAAAAAAAAAAATCGAGATTTTATCGCCGTTGAGAAACGTTTCAGCACGAAAAACACCACGTTTCGGATTTTGTTTTTTTTTCAGAAAAAAAAAACTTGAATACTGGAAAAACTGTTTATAAAGGAGGAACTTTATGAACTCAAAATATTTTTCATTTTTTTCTCAAACAAATCCGTGTACTTCTCTCGGACTGCTCGAAACTCCGTGCAAGGTTAATTTGCAGACCACGTGGTCTGCTCTTTAACTCAAAAAACCGTGCAAACTTAAAAAGCAAACCACCGTGGTCTGCTTTTTAACTCAAAACACTGTGCAAAGTTAATTTGCAGACCACCGTGGTCTGCTTTTTAACTCAAAACACCGTGCAAACTTAATTTTCAAACCCGCGTAGTCTGAATTTTCTTTTTCAACCTACACTGTATTTCAGTGAATGAAAAATGGTCACGATGTTTCTTCAAGATGTTTTCGTGCGATTTCCAATAAAATTTCTACAATTTCTTCTAAAATCACTGATTTTTATCGCTCGAAAAACGTTTAGAGATTGACGCCTTCGATTTTCGACATTCTTCAAAAGATGAAGTACAAAAAAACTTGAATACTGGAAAATACCATTACATATAAAGGACAAGAGTCTCTTTGGATTGAAAAAATGCTGTGCAAAATGTTAGGCGTCTTATTTTGCATATTTTTCTGTTTTTTCTACTATCAAAAATTGGCGGAGCTAGAAAACACCGAACTCGAATTCATTCTACCGTATATGGGAAATTTTCGAGCCGATTATTTGAGTGTTCCTCAATATAATCTCACGGCATGTTATTATAGAAAATCCATGTCTCAAATGATTACCAATACAATGTGTATGTTGTATGATCCGGAGCATTTTTTGAGCGGAAATCATTCGTTTAATGAGACGTGGATGGATCAGAGGTAAGAGACGCAGAGAAGACAGATAGCTAGAGATAATAAGATGTTAAAAAGCAGACCACGGTGGTCTGCAAATTAACTTTGCAAGGTGTTTCGAGTTAAAAAGCAGACCACCGTGGTCTGCAAATTAACTTTGCACAGTGTTTTGAGTTAAAAAGCAGACCACGGTGGTCTGCTTTTTAACTCAAGATGCCATTTTTCAGAGCTTGTAATCCACACGACAAAAATGGATTCGCAAATTTCCCCGAAAATCTTCAAAACACTTCACAAAATACAAGATTTGTTTTCATTCGAGACCCATTTGATAGATTTATCTCATTTTACTTGGATAAATGTTTAAACGAGGAACAATGTTATAATTGTGAACGTGAAGATATTCGATGTGTAGTTCGAGAAATGTACAAAAGTTTTTTGAAGATTTCAAAAGGACAGAAGAAATTAGAATCGAGTTATAATAACTCAACATATATGGATATTCATTCAACGCCAACTACTTGGAATTGTGATTTTGTCCGATTTCGAAATGTTTATTATATTATGGTTATTGGATCGGATTTGGAAGAAAGAAAGGAGCCAATTTCAAAATTAGTAGATATTTTAAGAAGAAAAAATGTGCCTGAAAATTATATCTCAAAAATAAAATTGAATTTATTAAAATCTGAAACTAAACATTCAACACATTCCTCGAAATTTCGAAAACTTGTGGAGGAAAAAGTTAGAAATGATAAAATAATTCGAGAATATTTGCATAAAATCTATTTTTATGATTATTTGGTTTTTCCCGAATTCGATAGAGCGCATTTGGATCCACCGTATAATATGAGCAATTCAAGTTTCGATGAGAAATATCGAAAGGATTATGAGAATATTATAAGAAATCAGGAAGATTTATCGATGTTGAAGAATTGAATTGAAATAAATTGTGTACATTTTTTTCATTTTTGAGCACTAAAAAATGTTCACTTAGAAACCTTTCAAAAATCAGCATCAAAATTTTTAGAAAAACAAAAATAATTTTTTTCTTTGAATTTCAGCCCAAAAACCACGTGGCAAACATTTAAAATTGTTACTTTTTATTCAGAAAATTTTGTGTACTTCTTCCGGACAAAAATGCGTTAAAAAGCAGACCACCGTGGTCTGCTTTTTAACTCAAAACACCGTGCAAAGATAATTTGCAGACCACGGTGGTCTGCTTTTTAACTTGAAATGTCGTGCAAAAACAATTTTCGCTTGTAAAACACCGTGAAAAATCGTTGTTTTGTTGGTTTTCTTTGAGAATTGTAAAATATTTTCATTTTATTGTCGAAACTTGGCGAAAAACGTGTTACCAAGGCAAATAAGTGCATAATTCATTTTTTTTCTTGTGTGTGTTTTTTTTTTTTGAAAAAATAGTATTACTCATATTATAGTTCAACAATAAACCGTGGGATTATTTGAGTATATCTACTAGACAAAGAACAATATTTGAACCCGCATTTTTGTATTTGATCAGCTTGCCACGTTTTTTGTACATGGACAAAAATTTGTACCAAACCGGGTCAAATTTTGAGGCGACTCCAAAAATGTCCACCACAAATTGCTGGAAAAATTTGGCATTTTTGATAAGTTTAATATTTTTGGCCTATCTTATATTTACTACGGAGAATTTTTATGAGACCACAATTTCGATGGCCAAAAATTCGTATGAGAATTTTGGCGGGCAAGAGAATTTGAGGATTGCTATTGTAATTGTGATTACTGCTGGCACTAAAGTCGAGAATTATGAAATTGCGACTAGTGAGTTTTCTAGGCCCATTTTTGGTCCGAAAAGGCCTTTTCTTCCAGAATCCGTCCACTGTTACGCTAAAATCCAAGGCTATGATTTCATCCACGTTTTGGACAATAATTTTGGCTGCAATCATAAGGATGTAAGTATTTCCTCAAAATTTTAATTTTTTTTTCAATTTTTACAATTTTTTTTTATTGTTAGAAATTTTTCCGTCGACATTGTGTAGCCGCCAAAATTCTACCAAAATACGATGCAATTTTATTCCTCGACGCTGATATTGGAGTGGTAAATCCAAAAAAGTTAGTTACGGAAACTTAGGACCTTTGAGGCTCATAAATTTTCCAGGAGAATTGAGGAATTTATGGATGAGGATGTAGATTTGACATTTTATGACAGATTTTATAATTGGGAAATTATGGCAGGTTCTTATATTGCTAGAAATACACCGTATGCTGTGCAAATGCTGGAGGGTATGTCAAAAAACACCGTGCAAAGTTAATTGGCAGACCACGGTGGTCTGCTTTTTAACTCGAAACATCGTGCAAAGTTAATTGGCAGACCACGGTGGTCTGCTTTTTAACTCGAAACATCGTGCAAAGTTAATTGGCAGACCACGGTGGTCTGCTTTTTAACTCGAAACAGCGTGCAAAGTTAATTTGCAGACCACCGTGGTCTGCTTTTTAACTCAAAACACCGTGCAAAGTTAATTTGCAGACCACCGTGGTCTGCTTTTTAACTCAAAACACTGTGAAAAGTTAATTTGCAGACCACCGTGGTCTGCTTTTTAACTCAAAAAACTGTGAAAAGTTAATTTGCAGACCACCGTGGTCTGCTTTTTAATTCAAAATGACATGCGCGCTCTATGGCAAACACATATTTTGCCTGTTTAAACTCAAATTTTTCACAGATTTCGCTGATTATGAATACAAGTTGCCGAAAAGCTTTCATGGAACTGATAATGGAGCACTTCATGTGAGTTTTTGACTTGAAAAAAGCTGAAGCCCAAAACATATTGGATTTTCAGATTTTCCTGGCCAAAAAGCTTTTCCCACATTCCAGCGTGGAAATCGAGAACTGCGAAAAAATCTACAATAAATCCGGGGGTTATGAGGATCTCTTCACCTACGAGGCTTGTATTAGGCAAATTTTGGGAGCCCAGGAAAAAATGGGAAAAGTTCGGATATTCAAAAAAGGAACCGGATGGGCGAGGGATGTTTGGTTGAATTCGGGAATTTGGAACGGGGAGAGGGATTTTATGTTGCACGGGTGGAAAATGAATCAATTGAAGAAAACGCCAAATGGGACCATTATGTAGGTTGGAATGAGCCAAGGCTCAAAATTTGAAGATTTTTGAGTATTATCAAAATAAAAAAATTTGGCAAAAAAACGGAGCCCAGAAATTCAAATGACACTCTTCTCAAGTACGGTGTTTCTTTCAGTCGCTGCGAGACCCATATGTGCGTCTTTGACTTTGTTTCTCTGCCCAATGGTGTGGTCTCGAAACGGTGTTAGTGACGCAGAGGAATACCGTACTTGGGGAAATTGGGATTTGAATTTCTGGCTTCTCTTTTTTTGCCAAATTTTTTTACTTTGATAATATAAATATGCCCTAAACCCCCTTAAGTTCCCTAAGCCTCTTAAGAAATCTCCTAATTTTTAAGGACCACAACAATGGGTTGGTCACAATGGTACAACCCATTCTTGGGACCTTTTGACGTTGAAAAATGCTCACCCTCGAATTCCACGTGGCAATATGATTTAAGACTTATCGGAACTCGTGAAAACATTGAGGCAAATCATTTGGACTATGAAAAACAGGTTGCGATAAAGCAAATCAAAAGTGGAGCAAGAATGGCGGAATTGTTGGTGCCGAAACTAGTTGATGCAAATGGGAAATCAAAGACTGTGTGACTTTTGGCTTCAAAAAAATCACTTAGAACGAAAATTTGAAGTTTTTAGGTTTTATGGGTATTTTTATGCATTTTTTGTGATTTCACGTAATTTTTTGTTTGTATAAATGAAGAAAAATGAATTATTCAAAACACCGTGTAAAAATAAAAAGCAAACCGCGGCGGTCTGCTTTTTAACTCAAAACACCGTGCAAAGTTAATTTGCAGACCACGGTGGTCTGCTTTTTAACTTAAAACACCGTGCAATGTTAATTTTTTGCTCTCAATACATGATAATTCGCCAAAAACAAGAAAAACAAGAAAAAATCCCAAACCTAAAGAAAGAACGGAAAAAATAAGAGTGTATGTCAACACCGACTGCCCGCAAACACCAAATCCTACGCGCAACCTTGACGCGAAATACGCGCTGTGTGTTTTCGCGAAGAAACTTCTGGGGATTTTTAAAAATTGGGAACCCCTCCCGGATTTTAGAAATGGACACGTTTAAAGTATAACATATGGGAACCCTGAGAATCTCTCCAATGTCGCTTTTCCCTTGGAGAATACTAGTGCAAAAAAAAAGAAAAAATGAGGGTGTGTGCAAACACGGTGACGCACAATTGCACACAAAAATTTTCTTCTCTTTTTTCCACATTCTTCCGTTGTTCCTCCGTTTTCGGCTCGTTTAGCCTATTTTTTTTCAATTTTTCCGAAATCCCTCCCCAAAAAACTCACCAATCGCTTCTACACACAAAAATCATCGAAAATCCCGAATCCTCCAAGTTTTCCACGTCAATAATCCTTCTCCTCACATTTAAAATCATTTTTGACGCTGAAAACTCAATAATTTCAATCGAAACAGTGTTTCTCTAGAAAAAACCCACTTTTCTTCGATAATCCTCGGATTTTCCGTTGGAAGCGATGATTCGAGCCTTGTAGAACATCTGAAAATTTAATTTTTGATAGAAATCCACTGATTTTCCCCGGAAACCTGAAAACCCGGCGAAAAAAAAACGAAAAATGAAAGAAATATTCTCGTGTTGCGCTAAACAGCGCGCAAGCCGGAGTGTCGTTGTAAAAGTCATGATTTTTCTTCGTTTTTCTTCGTTTTTTCTTGGTTTTTCTTCGTTTGTGGGTTTAAAATATTGATTTTTGTGTTTTCTTTTTAATTTAACAATTTTCAGTGTTTCAAACAATGCGAGCCATTTAGGATTTATCATATTTCAATGTTTTACGGTTAGTTTTTCAAAAAAATAGTTTTAAAAAAGTGTTATTTTCAAATTCTTCGGAATCTTCGAACATAAAAATTAAAGATTATTTGAAGATTGCTCATATTATTTCTCGATTTTCCCAATATCATACACATTTTAATTTAAAAATAACCAGACATAACAAAAAACTGATCAACTCCAAGAAATCCATTTTTATTCAATTTTTTTGTGGGGGCAACGTATAATAAAAAGAAAACAAAAAAAAATACAATTTTTGGTCTTTATTCTAGCTACAAAATTTATTTCTCAATTTTTCAAAATCTTCAGCGCCTCCTGTAGTTCAATAATATCCCTATAATCCCTTCGATATTCCTCATCAAATCTTGAATTGCTCATATTATAAGGTGGATCCAAATGCGCTCTATCGAACTCCGGAAAAACTAAATAATCATAAAAATAGATTTTATGCAAATATTCTCGAATTATTTTATCATTTCTAACTTTTTCCTCCGCAATTTTTCGAAGTTTTGAGGAATGTGTTGAATGAAGAGTTTCAGATGTTAATAAATCAGTTTTTATTTTTGAAATATAATTTTCCGGCACATTTTTCCTCCTTAAAATATCGCTTAATTTTGAAATTGGTTCCTTTCTTGCCTCCAAATCCGCCCCAATAACCATAATATAATAAGTCTTCAAATATTTGTGGAATTCACAACACCAAGAAGCTGGAGTCACATGCATATCAGTATAACTATCATTATTCATCCAAGATATCATTTCCTTTTGTCCTTTGGAAATTTTCAGCAAATTTTCATACATTTTTTGTACTACACAATGCATATCTTCTGCCGCACAATTATAGCATTTTCGCTCATTTACACATTTATCCAAGTAAAATGAGATAAATCTATCAAATGGGTCTCGAATGAATACATATCTTGTATAATAGGAGGTGTTACGGTATTCGCTTGGAAAATTTCCCAATCCATCTTTTTCAACACCATTGCAAACTCTGAAATGCGCGGTGTTTTGAGTTAAAAAGCAGACCACGGTGGTCTGCAAATTAACTTTTGCACGGTGTTTTAAGTTAAAATGCAGACCACGGTGGTCTGCAAATTAACTCAACACACCGTGCAAACAGCGTGTAAAAATAAAAAGCAGACCACCGTGGTCTGCAAATTAACTTTGCACGATGTCTCTAGCTGTCTAGCTTCTCTGCGTCTCTCACCTATGATTCATCCAAGTCTCGCCCAACGAATGATTTCCGCCCAAAAACTTTTCCGGCTCATACAGTAGACACATTGTATTTGTCGCCATTTGAGACATTGATTTTCGAATAGAACACGCCGTGAGATTATACTCGGGTACTGTCATATATTCGCCGTGGAATTTTCCGAGGTACGGTAGAATGAATTCGAGGTCTGGTAATGGTGGATTTGCGGGCTTTTTGGGCTCATCAGGCTTGGAGAAATTTTTCTGGATGTAGAGAAATATGCAAATTGCTAGAAATATGACTAGAAATAGTTTTGGGAGCGTCATTTTTGAGATTTTTTTTGAGAAATTATCTTTATAAATACCATGTGGACGAAAATCGGGTATTCAAGTTTTTGCCGGAATTTTTCGTGCTAGATTCGTGGTGCGATAAAAATCTGATCAAAATGTGTCAATTTGCAAAAAAAAACAATTTTTCCGAAGATGAAGAACATATGGATTTCAAAAACAAATTAAATTAAGTATTTATATACAAAAAAATTTTTTTTTGCTCAAAAATTCTTACAAAAAAAGGGTTCCTAGGCCTTTGCCTTCTTCTTGCCAGGTTTCCATTTCAAAAGTGCCGCCATTTTCGACATTGCTTCCATTTCCTTCACAGCCACAGTCTCCCACAAATCTCGATGATTTTCCAGAATTTCGAAACGATCTCCGATTAGCCTTGGATCATATTCCCACGTGGAATTTGAAGGCGAACATTTTTTGAGATCAATTGGACCAGCAAGTGGATTATACCAAATTGCTTTGTTCATTTGTTTCGGCCTGAAAATTGGAGGGCTTGAAGTTAGGCTTGAAACACCGTGCAAATTAACCTTGCACGGTGTTTTGCTGCGTAAAAGCGATTCTAGGTCAATTATCGCCGAGAAATTCAAAAAAGCACATAGATTTTCCTCAAATCTCCTCCCAATCTTCAAAACTTACAAAACATTTCCTTGAAAAGTCCTCATCGATTTAGTTTTCCAACCATGCAACATAAAATCAATTTCCGGATTCCACATTCCACTATCAATCCAATCATCCCTCACCCAACCAGTTCCTTTTTTCACAATTCGAATTTTTCCGAAATCAGTCGAGGCTCCTAAAAGTGTTCGAACACAAGCTTCGTAAACAAATAAATCTTTGAAATTATTCGAATTATTATACATTTTTTCGCAGTTTAGAACAGCTATGTCATTTGGTGAGAAAATATGTTTGGCGAGGAAAATCTGGAGAAAAAATTTTTTGAAAAATTTTTTTCAAAAGTTTATTTTTGGCTCACATGAATTGCTCCATTATCAGTTCCATGAAAAGCATGAGGCAATTTGAAATAAAAATTGGCAAAATCCCTCAAAAAATCCCGGGCATACACGGTATTTCGCACGATATACGAACCCATCGCAATTTCCCAATTATAATATCGATCGTAGAACATTAGATCGATTTTTTCGTCCATGAATTCTTCGATTCTTCTGAAAAATTGGATTTTAGGGAAGCCTTAAGGGCCTCAAGAAGCCTTACTTTCTTGGATTCACCACTCCAATATCAGCATCCAGAAATAGAATTGCGTCAAATGAGGGAAGAAGATGGGCGACGACGCAGTGACGACGGAAGAATTTCTGAAATGCCGTGTTAATTTGCAGACCACGATGGTCTGCTTTTTATTTTTTCAAAGGTGTTTTGAGTTAAAAAACAGACCACCGTGGTCTGCAAATTAATTTTGCACAGTGTTTTGAGTTAAAAAGCAGACCACGGTGGTCTGCAAATTAACTTTGCATGGTGTTTTGAGTTAAAAAGCAGACCACCGTGGTCTGCAAATTAACTTTTTAACTCTATTTTTAAAAAAACCCACATCCTTCTGTTCACACACAAAATCATCATCATACGCCAAAATGAATTGATAATTCTGAATTTTCGAATAACACTCTACAGTATCCAGTGCCATTTTATAGTTCTCCATACTCGTATTTTTCACCAAAACCATCAAAATCGCGATTTTCTGCGTGATTTCAATCTCGATTTTCTCATTTTTATAGAATTTTTTCTCGGGGGAAGAAAAATAGATTTTCTTTTTGAGGTGCGCGAAATTTGTGCGGGTATCGTCCAAATATTTGATAAACGTTGTCGAGATCCCAAAAGCCACCAATAAATAGAAAAATATTGATTGAGTTAGCAGCAAAAGTATGAATTTCAGTTTTTTTGTCATTGTTCAAAAAAGAAAAAAATATAGTGCGAAAAAATAACAAAAAAAATTTTGTTCGAAAAAAAATGAGCCATGGTAACTGGTGTGGTTATTTGATCAGCTTGAATCCTTTGAAACAGAACTGCAACAAAATAAATACGATATTAGGAGAGAAATAGTGAAAATTATATAGACATGACGTTTTGGACAAAGATTGGATCACGAAAAGTTCGAAAAATCAAATTAACAAGGCTAAGGCTGGATTTTCACGGTTTTTTGAGTTAAAAAGCAGACCACGGTGGTCTGCAAATTAACTTTTCACAGTGTTATTTTTCCTGCTTGATTTTTCCAGACTTTAAAAATTAGCATTGTTCCATGGGCTACTGTAGAGTTTTGGCGCGAAAAAGATGATCTGATTTTTTTTTGAAAATTCAAACTTCTATTGTCCGTTTGGAAATGAGATTCACCCCGCGAAAAAATAAATTTGAATTTGAGAAAATCTCTAATTTCCCCCTACCCCCGCGATGCGTGTGCGTTGCGGTCGCTTTCCCATACAAAACCCCCGTTGGCTGTTTGCCAGCGCATCTCTCGCTGTCTGCGTCTCCTGCAGCAAATTCAAATTTATTTTTTTCGCGGGGTGAATCTGATTTCCAAACGGACAATATTTTTTTAATTTTTCAGAAAATCATGAAGTTTTGTTTTATGAGGAAACCTTTTGAATTTAAGCCGAAAATTTTTGGTTTTGGCTAAAAATCTTAATTTTCCATGTTTTATTTTCTCAAAAAATTCACTTTCCCCATTTTCTCATTTTTCAAATAGAAAACTGGAAGAGAAAAGTTTGAATCATGCAAGTGCGCTCCAGCGCACACATTTTTCACCAGCGTTTTTTCGAAAAACATTTTTCATTTTTTTGTGTTTTTCAGTGTTTTCGAGCCTAAAACTAACTTGAATTCTTTTAAATTTTGTGATAGCAACTTGTATTTTCCAGTAATTTCATGAATTTCATTGAATTTCATGTTGAAAACCTTGGAAATCAGCAAAAATCGTTGATTTTCACCGTGTTTTATTTGTGCTTTCAAAACACCGTGCGAAGTTAATTTGCAGACCACTGTGGTCTGCTTTTTATTTTGGCACGCTGTTCGCACGGTGTTTTGAGTCAATTTGCAGACCACCGCGGTCTGCATTTTAAGTTTTCAAGGTGTTTCGAGTTAATTTGCAGACCACCATGGTCTGCTTTTTAAGTTTTACACGCCGTTTTGAGATTTCCCCTCAATGTTTCTCCATTTTTCGCTCATTTCTCACATTTCTCATTAAAAATCCCCAACTAATTCATCATAATCCTCATTAAAAATGTGTCAAATCCCGTGTATTTCTCTGGGAAAACACAAATTGCTCTATTTTCTTCCTTCTTTTTCCCTATTACGTCACCCCCACACACACAAATTCCAATAAGCTCACAAAAAAGGGAAAAAGGGTCCGTGTTTTTCGTTTTTTCCGAGGTCCCCAGAGGTTAGAGTGCAGAGTGGCGAGAGAGCGGCGCATAATAAACAGCAGAAGCAGCACATGGCGAGGTTAGAGACGCAGAGAGATTTCTCTCACACATATCGATATTTTCGTCTCGTCTTCTTCTTTTTTTCTGTTTTTCTTCGCCATGACTAGTTTTTTTTTAGTTTTTCAGCAAAAAAATCGATTTTTCTATAGTTTTAGTTAGAAAAATCATGTTTTCATCTGAAAGACCCGTTTTTCTTCTGAAGAAACACGGTGTTTTATCGATTATTTACTTCAAAAAGAGCCCCGGGTTTAATGATTAACAGCTGCTCAATTTTATTGTCAGCCTAACTTTCATCGTTCAAAAATCCATCGCATAAATTGAACATGTTCCTTTAAAAATCAATAATTCTTTTTTGCGCGGAAAAGTTCCTGACATCAATCATTTTTAGTAATCCCCAGAGATTTTTTTTTGGCGAAAAAAATTTTTGCGATTTTTTTTGTCGCAGGTCATATGATTTTCCATTATCATACAAATTTATATATATTTTTCTGACCAACAAAATTTTTAGGGAAAGAAAGGAAATTTGTAATTCAATCCGTAAATACGATGCACTTTTTCTTTCCACAGAAAAAAAAAAAAGAAAATCCTTTGTTTTCCCCACATTTTCTCTTCTCCTTTTTCCATATTGCCCTCAATTATTATTCTTTGCTCAACAATTTTTCGATAACAATCGTATAATATTCTTGTTTTTGTACATTTTTATCAGTTGACTGCCGAAAATTCATCAATTTTGACCTATAACAGATGATTTTTGCGAGAAATCGATAATTTTCACGGTGTTTTGAGTTAAAAAGCAGACCACGGTGGTCTGCAAATTAACTTTACACAGTGTTTTGGGTTAAAAAGCAGACCACGGTGGTCTGCAAATTAACTTTTCACAGTGTTATGGGTTAAAAAGCAGACCACGGTGGTCTGCAAATTAACTTTTCACAGTGTTATGGGTTAAAAAGCAGACCACTGTGGTCTGCAAATTAACTCCGCACGGTGTTTCGCTGCTGAAAATCTCGTCTAAATTATAGATTTTTCGCAAAAAACAAGTCTGAAACATCCATTTTTCTTATATTCTGGCTCAATAGCTCCTATTTCCCAGCGGAAATATATATTAATTGAATATTTGATGAGCTGTTCTCATTTTTTCACTGAAAAATCGATTTTTCTCTAATTTTCACAATTTTACATGGAAATCTGAATTTTTCCCAAACTTTGAGTTGCGAAATCTTTTTTGCTCTTTATCAAATGCAATTTTTCGTCAAATTTTCTGTTATTTTTGCTCCAAACACCTGTTCAACTTTGACCTTTTGCCCTTGCACAACAATAAATTCCAGAAATTTTTGCAGAATCAAAAAACCAATGTATTATTATTAAAAAATGGAAACATTCGACGGTTTCGAGTATAATAAACGAGATTTGCTCGGACATGGAGCATTTGCGATTGTCTACAGAGGACGTTACACTGATGTGAGTCGAGACATTTTCGAAATTTGACACTTTTTGTGATGAAGATAGTAGATTTTGAGCACAAAAAATGCATGACGTGGCAAAACTTGAAAAAATTCCTTAAAATCTAATTTGTGCAATTTTTAAGCATATACTTATGAAATCGAGCCTGCTGAACAAAGCTATGCTTTCAGATTTTTATTAAATTCACTTTGAAACCAGTTTTAGCCTTGTAAAGCCAAAAATCAATAATTTACGCATTGTTTCGGGTTAATTTGCAGACCACGGTGGTCTGCTTTTTAACTCAAAACACCGTGAAAAGTTAATTTGCAGACCACGGTGGTCTGCTTTTTAATTTTGCACGGTGTTTTTAGTTAATTTGCAGACCACCGTGGTCTGCAAATTAACTTTTCAAAGCATTTTGAAGCGTGTAAATTATCGATTTTCCAGCTTTTGCCTCAAAATCCATCAAATCTCACGAAATTTTCAAAAAAAAAAAACAATTTTTGCAGCGCCCCGAAATCCCAGTAGCAATCAAAGCAATCGCCAAGAAAAACATCAGCAAATCGAAAAATCTGCTAACCAAGGAGATCAAAATCCTCAAAGAATTGAGCAGTTTGAAACATGAAAACCTGGTTTCGCTGCTCAAATGCACAGAGACCAATTCGCACGTGTATTTGGTGATGGAATTTTGTAATCGAGGAGATTTGGCCGATTATTTACAGTTGAAGAGTACGCTGAAAGAGGACAATATTCATCATTTTATTGTTCAAATTGGTAGGATTTTGATGAAAGCTGAAAATTAAAGTTTTTCAACTGGAAAACTCGAATATTACACTTTTTGCAAAAAAAGTTGCGATTGAAATTGAAGATAGAAAAATTTTGAAAATGAAAAAAGATGAAAGATGAAAAGTGTGAAAATTTTGATTGGCACGTGACATTTTGACGTGGCAATTAGAAATTTTTCATTTTCAAATTGGAAAATTGAAGAATTTCTTAATTTTTGGCTAAAAAAATGGGATTTTCACGGAAGTTTGATGAGTTCAACTGGAAAAGCTGATTTTCCTGCTGAATTTCAAAGTTTTGATCAGAAATTCATCACGAAGCTTTGAATTATAGTAAAATGAATGAATTTCAGCTGAAAAACATGCGTATTCGCCTGAATTCAAGAATTTTTAGTGAAAATTATCAAATTTCAGATTTACAATCTATTTTTCAGTCAAAATCTACAATACTTCACTGATTTTCATGATATTAGCGTAAAGAACGTGTAAATCATGACATTTCAGCTCTAAAACCTGTTTCAAGCTAAATTTCAAGATTTATCCTGAAAAGTAATCAAAAAACGTGATTTTCAGTCAAAAAAACCTTCCCAAATCTCTAATTTTTCCAGCCGAAGCTCTGAAAGCAATGAACAAAAAAGGAATCGTCCATCGTGATTTGAAGCCCCAAAACATTTTGCTATGCACAACAAGCCCCGAAAAAGATCCGCATTTCTCGAATATCACCATCAAATTGGCCGATTTCGGTTTTGCTCGCTTCCTCAACGAAGGTGTTATGGCTGCAACTCTTTGTGGTTCACCAATGTATATGGCACCTGAAGTTATTATGTCAATGCAATATGATGCAAAAGCTGATTTATGGTCGATCGGAACTATTGTTTTTCAATGTCTAACTGGAAAAGCTCCATTTGTCGCGCAAACTCCACCCCAATTGAAAATGTATTATGAAAAACATCGTGAATTGCGACCGGCTGTACCGGAATGGTGTAGTGCATCGTTGCGAGACCTATTGCTCAGATTATTGAAGCGTAACTCGAAGGATCGCATTAGTTTTGAAGATTTCTTCTCGCATGAATTCCTCTTGACTGCTCCCCTGCCCTCCCCATCGAAGAGAATCCTGGAGAACGCGCCAATCTCCTCGCGCTCCCCACTCATCTCCCGCCGCCCATCACCAAGTTCTCCGGCGATTTCTGGTCTTCCGGTTCCGCGTCGTGTTCCGCAAAGCCCGACACCTTCTCGCAGAATTGCCGAATCGCCGAGAGTCACCCGCCGAATTATCACACCATCGATGAATTCGCCGATTCCCAGCGTTGCTCCGATGCAGGATAGTGGAGATTTCACGTTTTTGCCGCCCAGACAAGACACGAATCCAGTCAAACAGGTAATTCTGGGTTTCGGGGAGGAAATGTGATTCTTTTGGTGTATTTTTCAATGATTTTGGGCACATATGAGGCTAGAAATGCTAGTAATCGATAATTTCGTTAATTTGCAGACCACGGTGGTCTGCTTTTTAACTCAACATACCGTGCAAAGTTAATTTGCAGACCACGGTGGTCTGCATTTTAACTCAAAACACAATGTAGAGTTAATTTGCAGACCACGGTGGTCTGCTTTTTAACTCAAAACACAATGTAGAGTTAATTTGCAGACCACCGTGGTCTGCATTTTAACTCAAAACACAATGTAGAGTTAATTTGCAGACCACCGTGGTCTGCTTTTTAACACGGTATTTTGAGTTTTTTCGAAAATTTCACCAATATCTCGATTTTTGCATGTATTTCCAGTGTTTTTTGCAGTCTCCCAACCCAAACCCTAACATTTTACAGGTCCAAGTTCACACCAACATCTCGCCAGCCGCCGCCAACATCAAAGCCGTCCCGGTGCCCTCGCAACGTTTGGCCTACCAGAAAATGGAGGAGCGACTCGCGGCGGCGCATCGCAAACCCTCTCCGCCACCTTCCGCAATTGTTGCCGCGTCGCCGGTACGCGGCGTCGCGATCAACAGCGATGAGATGAATTCGTCGCCACCGAGTGCTGCGAGTATTGAAAATATTAACCTGCCTCAGAGTGAGTCGTTTTTTTCGTTTCTCTCACATTTTTTGCTTCCGCGAAGCGAATTTTAAACCAAAAAAAATCTGAAATCTTTCTGTTTTCAGCTACATTCCTCGTACGTAATGGCAGTACTCGGCGATCACTCGCGGAAAGCAGCACCACCGCCGGCGGCATTTCCGCGCCGCGAATCCGTCGCTCAACAATCACGGCGTCCGAAGAGCCGTTTAGCCTTCCTGGTCAAGTGCCTCCTTCCCAACACCAAATAACCGCCATCCCGAAATCCGCCACCACCGCCAACCTCCAAACATTTTCGCGACGCGACCGTTCCGCAACCGCACCGTCGCCACAACATTTCGCCAAATCGCCGCCGATTTTGGAGAACGAGCCATTGGACAATGCGAAATATCAAAATGTTGAGAAAGAGGAGGAGAATATTGTGGCCGCAAAACCGTTTGTTATCAATAATCGACATTCTTCTGATAGCATTTCGGAAGATGAAGAGGAAGAAGAAGAACATGATCAAATCCATCTACCATTTGCTACTGGAAACTCGCCACAAGGTTAGAATTATTGATTTTTGCGGGGAAATATTGATTTTACACGGCGTTTTGAATTAAAAAGCAGACCGCCGTGGTCTGCAAATTAACTCAAAACACCGTGCAAAGTTAATTTGCAGACCACGGTGGTCTGCTTTTTATCTCAAAACACAGCGCAGATTTAATTTGCAGACCACCGTGGTCTGCTTTTTATTTTTACACGGTGTTTTGAGTTAAAAAGCAGACCACCGTGGTCTGCAAATTAACTTTGAAATACCGAGTAAACGTGAAATTTACTGATTTTCAGCTGAATATCATGGATTTAAACAGAAATTTTGAAGAAAATCTGTAAATTTTGAAGTTTTTTCTGAAAAAAAGCCCAAACTCAAAAAATCATTTTCAGACACATCCCGAATGATGGAGGATAGTGTGGGCGATGTAATCTCCGCCGGAGCCCCACAAAACCACGTGGAAATCTCGGAGCCCAGAAACGCTGCTCTCTTGGCCGATGTCGATACAATTGAAGAGGAAAACGAGCATCATAATCCACCGCCAGCACTGGAGCCAGAAACAATAATGCTCGAAGAGCACAAGCAAATTTTGGCGAAACTCCGATTTGTTGTGGAATTGGTGGATACTTTGGTGTTGGTTGCCGAACAAAAGGATAATCCGCTGGCTTCGGCAATGGCTACCAATAAAAAACCCGAAAATTCCAACCAAAATGAGCAGAACAATGAAAAAACGACGGCTTATCGAAGAGCCGAACAATTGGTGGTTTATGTCCGGGCACTCCATATGTTATCCTCTGCACTGCTTTTGGCTCAAACTAATGTTGCCAATAATATTTTGCAACCATCGGTGGCGGTTCAACAAGTTTTGAATCAGTTGAATGATAAATATCATCAATGTTTGGTGAGTTTGAAATACTGTGCAAAGTTAATTTGCAGACCACGGTGGTCTGCTTTTTAACTCAAAATACCGTGCAAAGTTAATTTGCAGACCACCGTGGTCTGCTTTTTAACCCAAAACACCTTGCAAAGTTAATTTGCAGACCACGGTGGTCTGCTTTTTAACTCAAAAAACCATGCAAATCTGGTTTTTCTGCGATTTCTTCAGAATTTTATTGACTTTTTCAATTTTTCCCCCGAACTCACCAATTTTATTTGATTTTCTTCAAATAATGACCATTTTCTACATAGATGTGAAAATTAAGAAATGATTTTAAAAAATATTTTCAACAAGAAATAATGAAAACGTGTATTTCCAAAGGTCACGTGGAAAAATTTCTGATTTTCAAATTGAAAAAAATCTGAAATTTTCAGATTATCAACTTTTTTATGCACAAAAAAATCAAAAATTTTATAGAATTCATTAAAAAACCCTTTTCTGAAGCATTTCTGAAGTATTGGAAAATCCTCTCAAAACGCCGTGTAAAGTTAATTTTCAGACCACGTGGTCTGCTTTTTAACCTGAAACGTCGTGTAAAAATAAAAAGCAGACCACCGTGGTCTGCAAATTAACTTTTTCACTGCATTCTGCAATAAAAAGCAGACCGTCGTGGTCTGCAAATTAACTTTTTCACTGCATTCTGCAATAAAAAGCAGACCGCCGTGGTCTGCAAATTAACTCAAAACACCGTGTAAACCTCAAAACCCTCTATTTTCCAGGTGCGCTCTCAAGAATTGGCCTCCCTCGGACTCCCAGGCCAAGATCCAGCAATGTCAGTCATCTCAGCCGAACGTATAATGTACAAACATGCAATTGAATTGTGCCAAGCGGCTGCTCTTGACGAACTTTTCGGAAATCCACATTTGTGTAGTCAGCGATATCAAACGGCCTATATGATGTTGCACACGTTGAGTGAACAAGTCAATTGTGATCAGGACAAAAATGTGCTATCCAGGTAGGGTTTTGAGCCTTGGGATGGGGAAATTTGGAATTTTTGGGCTGAAATAACTCTAGAACTTTTTTTCAGATACAAATCTGCTGTCGAAAAACGCTTGAGAATATTGGAACGCCAAGGATTTGTGACAGCTGTGAATACTTGAATTTTTCCTTGCTTTTTAAGGTAGCTAAATTCCCCGGGTTTTTCACCCGAATTTTTTTGAACAAACTTTTTTTATTGAAAACGTGTAGATATTTTGTGCAGCTTCTTTTTTTTGAGATTTCTATTTTTCCCCGAAAAATTGTATTTTCCCCCCTGAAAATCACAAAAAATTCCTAGTTCTCCTCCCTTCCTCCACAGTTTTTTTTGTATATATTTACTCTCTGTCTCTTGCAAAATTTGTTGATTCCTTTTTTTTTCTTTTGGAAAAATGCATAAACCTTTTTTTGTCGTGAAAATTAGGCTAACTTGTAAGTTTCTATGAAAATTCGAGTTTTCCCCTCAAAAAATAAATATTTTGTGCTCTTTAAAAGTTGGCCGATCAAAAATTGTTACAACAAATATTTTGTGACGTGAAAAAGAGCAGGAATTTGGTCGATGAACCCATGTAGACTAGAGAAAATTAGTGACTTTTCGAAAAAATTGGGTTTCTTTTGAAATTTGGGCATTGCTCATATTAAATGCAAGCTTCGAGTTTTTTTCTCTTTGAATTTTTGAAGATTTGGAGAATTGGCGACACCGTTCTGCAAAACAATTCAAAACACCGTGTTAATTTGCAGACCACCGTGGTCTGCTTTTTAACTCAAAACACCGTGCGAACTTAATTTGCAGACCACAATGGTCTGCAAATTAACCTTTTTCACGGCATGTTGACTTTTTCTAGGCTTATTTAGCCTCAAAACAATCCAAATTTCAATATTTATTCATCTTTCTCTACTTCTCTGCGCCTCCTCTCTCAATATGCTCTCTCTTCTCCAATCTTTTCGCCCAATGGCAATCCAAATCATACGGTTTATCATCGACCAAATAGAATTCGCCATTCGGAAGCGGACGATTGCACGATGAACACGTAAAACAACGTGGATGCCAGTGGCGATCCAAAGCCAAAAGACACGTGTCAACAAGGGTTTCCATACAACCCGCGCATTTTGGGTTGTATTTTTGGGCGAAACATTGGACACAGTAGGCATGATTGTCGGCGGCCTGGAAATTTTGGAGGCTTTAGTGGGCTTCAGGGGGCCTTAGGGGGCTTTCGGGCTCAAAAAATCGGCAAATTTCTCACCTGAAACGTCTGCTTGATGGGTCTCTTACAAGAGGAGCACGTAAAATGATCCGGATGCCATAGTCTATTCAAAGCCACCAGCGCCTCATCGCCAATCGATTGGTGACAATGTCCACACAAACGTCTATCAATGCTACGATCCATTTTTCTGCGCAATTTGGTTTTGGCGAAAACAAAAATCAGAAACTGAAGGTTGGCCGAAAATTCTGCTTTTTTTGTTGCTGGATTTCATGATGACGTGGCAAATTGAACTGGGTCACGTGAAAAACGCTTTTTTTGCATGGGAAATTATTTAATTTGCAGACCACGGTGGTCTGCTTTTTAACTCAAAACACTGTGAAAAGTTAATTTGCAGACCACGGTGGTCTGCTTTTTAACTCAAAACACCGTGCAAAGTTAGCAAATTTGCAGACCACTGTGCTTTAATTTGCAGACCACTGTATTTTGAGGTTGTCAAAAATCACACCATATTTTTCCTACCAACTGAAACGTTTTGTCAAATTTTAGAGTTACTGTAACTACGTTTTTGAATTTTTCTGTAACTACGTTTTTGAACCCGAACATTTTGAATTTTCCCGGCTCAAACTACACACAAAATCTTTTTTGTCATCATTTGTGTTCAATAAAACAAAGTGCTCTAATCCTAGAATTCCGAGAATTTTTCGTTTTTTTTTCACACGCCCTTTCATTTTTTGTGTGACCAAGCTGGATATTTTTTTGGAGAATCACATTTTTCAGTCTAAAAATATCCTACTTTTTCACAAATTTTTGGGTGATTTTTTGCACCAAATCTTTCTGTGTGTGTATTTTCTTATCAACTTTATTTTTTTTTGATATCACAAAATTTGTCTTCTCCTCCCCCAATTTTTTGTGTGTCCGATTTTGCACGTTTCTTACTATTTTCGATGTTTTCTGGTTTTATTTTTAGATGAACGTGGATTTTCAGCGCGAAATTTGCCACGTGGCACATTTTTTTAGGAGAATAACAAATCTAGAGATAATCTTACAATCCTCAAAGTCAGAAAATCGCCAGAAATTGTGAAAAATATTTTTTACACGGCGTTTCAACTTAAAAAGCAGACCACCGTGGTCTGCAAATTAACATTCCGCAATGTTTTGAGTTAATTTGCAGACCACCGTGGTCTGCTTTTTAACTTGATAGAGAATCCACATTTTGAAGAGAGCACGGAGAAACATAGATTTTTCGCGCTAAAATCCACGTTTCAAATTTTTTGGCACCAAAAATCAATTAACAAGTCTTACTAACAATTCGTCTTCCATTTTTTTCAAAAAAAATAGTATGCATTTTAAGGAGCGCGCAGACAAAAATAGAAATAGTGTGTATTTCTGAGAGAGTGCACCAGACATCAAAAAAGCATGAAACGCACGTTCGTTTTTTCCTTCTTTTGCTATGCGCATTCTCACTCTCGTCGTCTCGCCCTCTCTCCACCTCTCTCCACACTCTCTCCACACAGTCACCTCTTCTTCTGCACGTAGACATTTCTCTGCACTCTCTCGCTTTTTCGTGCTTTCTCCGCTTTCTCCGTGATATCTAGCAGTTTTTTGATGTTTTCTTTTTGTCGCCATTTATTTTTTTGTGACACTGACTTTTTAATATTGTTTTCAATTGGGTTCCCCTGGTTTTTGCGGGGCCTGAAATTAATTAATTAATTTTATTATGGATTTTTCCGGTGTCATGTGATGTTTTTCTCTAGAAAAAAGGGAAAAAGTTTTTTTTTTTTTGAAAAAATGATGAAATTTTTTGAATTATGTCAGATAATCTGAAAATCCTAGATTTTTAGCGCCGAAATCTTTTAAAAACTGAATAGGCAAAATATGATAGGATTTTTGACAGCCTCATTTTTTTCAGTAGGAAAAAAATTTGTGTGATTTTCTACCCACAAACACAAAACACCGTTAATTTGCAGACCACAATGGTCTGCTTTATAACTCGAGATGCAGTGCACAGTTAAAAAGCAGACCACGGTGGTCTGCAAATTAACTCAAAACACCGTGCAGAGTTAATTTGCAGACCACCGTGGTCTGCTTTTTATTTATTCGACATTCTGTGGTCTGCAAATAAAAGCGCACGTAGTTCAGTGGTAGCGCTCTAGTTTTTGAATCTCAAGGTGACGAGTTCGATTCCTCATGCGAACTGTAATTTTTATTTTTCTGTGGAATTTCCTAAAAACCACCTTGTGTCTAGCCAAATAATCGTCATTTTCCCAAATTTTTTGCACACATAAAATTTAGTTCAGAGATCACTTTTATGTCTCTACACCAGAGAAAACAAAAAAAAACTTGCACTTTTTCTCCCAGACTTTTTCTTCTGTTTTTTTTTGTCTCGTTGTAAAATGCAACACATTTTTGGTCTACGATCATTTCCGATTTTTTCCACGAAATGTATATATTTTTGAATTTTTGCAGAAATAATTCGAAAACATTTTGAAAAACGCGATTTTTGATGGAAAATCATGCCAAACACGTCATTCGATGAACTACAGAGCACTTCGGGAATTTTGAACAGTATGGTGAGTTTTTTCCTGGAAATTTTTGGGCTGAAAATTTGCCACGTGGCATGGGTTTTCAATTTATTTTAGTAGAGAAAAAAGAACATCTGGTAAATTTTGTTGCCATTTTTCCTCCCAGATGTTTGTGAGTTTTGAAGAATCTAGGCATTTCTATGATTTCTCAGAAATTTTCAAAACACAATTTTTTTTTGTCAATTTTTGCACGCGGAAGAAAAATTCAAAAAAAAACAAATAAATTTTTCAGAAAAAAAATTGTTTTTTCCAGCAGCAGGAAAAAAACTTCCTGGATCTTTAGACAAATTCAAATTTCCCGCCAAAAATACTTACAGTACTTTTCCAGTAATCTCTTTAAAGCCTAATTTTAAGTCTAAAGAAATATTGAGTTAAAAAGCAGACCACCGTGGTCTGCAAATCAACTCGAGACACCGTGCAAAGTTAAAAAGCAGACCACGGTGGTCTGCTTTTTAAGGCAACACACCGTGCAAAGTTAATTTGCAGACCACTGTGGTCTGCAAATTAACTTTGCACAGCTTTTTCGGTTTCAAAGTGACAGTACCCCCTACAGTAACCCCAGTCTTATTTGGTATCAAAATGACCCCCTCAAAATCTACAGTACCCCTCTCTTCCAGACAATCGGTCAAACGCGCTCCATGGCCAATTGTGCCTATTGCCAAATTCGCGACGTCCCCCTCCAACCGTGTTTATTTTGCGGTACTGTAGCCTATTGCTCCACAGAACATCAGGTAAGAAAACAAAAAAAAAGTTTTTTTTTTCTCTGCCCTCTCTCAATCTCTAGCCAAAATGCAGAAAAATCACGTAATTCAATGAATGGCACAGCGGAAAAAAGAAAAAAAAGTGGAAACTTTTTTTCGAGGGTCCCTAGAAAATCTGAAACTTTTCAGCAATTCAACTGGAAAAAGCACAAAATGATTTGTAAAACGCTTCAAGCTCGAGGTTTGGTCGCAAATGGACAATTGGAAAATGAAGAGGAGAAAGGTACGGTAGGATTACTGTAGATCTTGATTTTAGCACTAACTTTTATTGCTCATCTTAAAATAGGTGACTTCTAGAGAAGTCTCAGAGTACTGTACCTAGGTTACTGTAGCCTTGGAACACAAAATATTTTGTGATCTACGTCATAAACACATTTTTTCGCACCGCGTCCCCAATTTTTCCTATCTTCTTTTGAAATTTTTTGCATCATTTTGTATTTTTTTCCGACAAAGATCAGTTTCATATTAATTTTTCTGGGGACCACTGGAAAATTCATTAAAAAACAACTTCAAGATGCCAAAAACAGCTACAAAATGCAGTAAAAAGTTAATTTGCAGACCACCGTGGTCTGCTTTTTAACTTGAAATGCAGTGCACAGTTAAAAAGCAGACCACCGTGGTCTGCAAATTAACTCAAAACACCGTGCAAAGTTAATTTGCAGACCACGGTGGTCTGCTTTTTATTTATTCGACATTCGAATCTCTGTGGTCTGCAAATAAATGCGCAAGTAGTTCAGCGCTCTAGTTTTTTTATTTATTTATTTATTTATTTACGATGAGCGGAAAATACACCGTTAGAGAAAAAATCACGCAGTAAGTAAGATAAAACACAATATATAATGAAATCGAACACAAAGTAAAATAAAAAATAGAACAAAATCAAATTGAATTAAATTATTTTGGGGGGGGGGAGGATGACACAAGCTAAATTAAAAAGACTAATCGGAGGTGAGGAGACCAGAATCAGTGGAGATAGCACGAAATTTATAGTTTTTATGGTTTTTATGTATTAAACATAATTATAAATGAGACTCATAGACATAACCGTAAGTTTTAGTTTGATTTGTAATGTGTACACCAATGTCAGATCAATCGCAAGCATTTCTAATAATTACATCTAGGAAATCATCCGAGTAGGATTTGATGTTTTTCAAAAATTCAGGAATCACTCGCACTGAGAAAAAGTTACCACGGATTTTCTTTTTTGGAATTTTGTAAGAAAAATTAATACGGGATCGCGTTGTAGATTTCTGGATTTGAAATAAGGATTTGAGATTAATTTTGGATTTACCAGAAAGGATGTCCTCAAGGAATTTTAGATCACATTTCTTCCTCCTGTCACTCAACTTCTCCAATTCAAACATATCTAGCCTTTCCTCATATGATAAATATGAGGAAAGGCTAGAGAAAGGTTTTTGAATCTCAAGGTTTCGAGTTCGATCCCGCATGCAGACTATCATTTTTTCTTCAAAATCCCAAGTTTTACAGATTTCGACACCTCCAAACCCACCACCTCATTCAACATCAAAACCGAAGAGGAGCCGGGATTCTTGGCGGGACCATCAAGCGCCTTTAAACCCTACCGTAGTCAAGGCTCCACAACTTCTTCGCTCGGATCGAGTAGCTCGGAAAAATTGACGCCTTCAAATTCAAATTTCGGCGCTAACACCAAAACAGTGCCTGTGAAAATCATCAGTCCACCCGAGCCACCCGAAAAATCCACAATTGCCACGTCACCCGACATTGCCACGTCATCATCGCCCTCGAGTTCTGGCGGATCACTGGAGAAGATTATATTGACTGATGATCCGGATATACAGGTGAGGGACCATTTTTTTTTTGCCACGTTGATTCTACTACAGTAGTCTAGATAACTTTGAAAAATTATTGATCGATAATATTTTCTGAGGTGAGAAGATAAGATCGGTTTTCATTTTCAAAAAAAAATTTTGCAAAAAAATCAGATAACGAAAAAGATTCTTTGGACTTTGGAGGGATCTTTGGAAAATGTATTTTTTGCCACGTGGAAGCTTCTCTGCGTCTCTAACCTTTATCGAGAAAATTTCAATTAAAATGATTCGATTAGCAATTCCGGGATCAAAAAATCAAAAATTAAGAGGTACGAGGAACCGATCCAGGGCCTTCTGATTCAAAAAATCAACCTTTCTCGCTTAAAATTCTTTGCTGAAAAAGATGCGAATACTTAAAATGAGCAATCCCCATCATTTTCAGCGCAAACATTTGATCTAAACATCATGATCAAAACAATTTTTTTCCAAAACACAATACACTGTATTTTGTGTGTGTTCTGATTTTTTTGTATTAATTTGATTTCACACGTAGACATTTTCCCAAAAAAAATAAAAAGTTTCGAATTTCAAAAAAAAGATAGAAGGGTTTTGAATTTCAATCTGTCTGAGCCAAACTCTGCGTCTCTAACTTTATTGGGCGTCTCTAGTTGTCTAGCTACTCTACGTCTCTAACTTCCCCCATGTTCTCTGGCTTCTCTCTCTCATCCGATCCCTAATTATAAAATGTTTCCAACACAAAAACCATAAACAAGATTCATCAAAACATTTCGTGTAGATGTGCAAAACGGCGAAAAACACGTAGATCAAAGAATAGTTGGACAGCGAAAGAAGAAAAGAAGCGGGAGATTCTGAATAATACGTGACTTATCCAAAAACGCGCGAACGCACGGCCTCCCAATTCATTCTCTCCTTCTCCTTCTCATTTCATATTTGTATGTGTATATACATTATTTTATTTGACTAGACTAGACTTCTCCCTCTAATAATTATTCATAATTACTAATTATGAAAATTAAAATTCCCCTAATTAGCTCCACACATGCAAAACGCTGGAAACCGTACAGGGTAAGCTAGAGACGCAGACAGCTAGAGACAATAAAACGCAGACCACCGTGGTCTGCAAATTAACGTTGCAGGGTGTTTTGAGTTAAAAAGCAGACCACGGTGGTCTGCAAATTAACGTTGCAGGGTGTTTTGAGTTAAAAAGCAGACCATCGTGGTCTGCAAATTAACTTTGCACGATGTTTTGAGTTAAAAAGCAGACCACAGTGGTCTGCAAATTAACTTTGCGCGGTGTGTTGAGTTAATTTGCAGACCACCGTGGTCTGCAAATTAACTTTGAATGGAGTTTTGAGTTAAAAAGCAGACCACCGCGGTCTGCAAATTAACTTTTCACGGTGTTTTCAGTTAAAAAGCAGACCACCGTGGTCTGCTTTTTAAATAAAGAGCATGATATTGTTAGAGACGCAGAGAGAAATACACTCGCTCCGCTCGTGCCGCTTACGCGGAAGATTCCGGGGCGCTTCGCGCAAGCTTGCGGTGCCACGTCATAACTCAAAATTTCCTACAGATCATCGAAAATGACTCCTCAAAACCCACGACAGTGCGAAATCGAAAACGTCCCACTCCATCAAATTCAGCCGAGCTCAAATACAAAGATCACAATAAAAATGTGGTGTACAACACGACACCTCAAGAACACCAACGACATTTACAGCAGAGGGGTTTGGCTGTGAATTTGCATCAGGCTGTGATTATTCGGATGAGGGTGAGTTTGGGCCTGGATTTTTTGAGTTTAGACAAGCCTAGGCTTGTTTACAATCAAAAAATAGCAATTTTTTGCGCCAAAAATCTTACTGTAACCTGAAATTTTTTAAAAATTTCAGTACATTGCCGAGCATGTCATTCGAAGTCTCAATGAATTTGGCTGGGCGGTGGTCGACAATTTTTTGGGTGCACAACATTCGAAATTTGCTGCAACGTGAGTGACTAGAGAAACTAGAGTCTAGTTTGCTGCTTTAAACTAGACTCTAGCTTAACCCTCCCAAAATCTGAAACTAGACTCTAGTCTTGCGTCATTTTTCCAGTGAAATCGAGCAACTCTACAAATGTGGCCTTTTCACAGCCGGTCAACTTATGGAGAACAAAAATAAGGACGAGTTTCACATCAAGGATATTCGGTCTGATCAGGTAGGCTTTTGGGGGCCTGGAGGGCTTTAGGGGGCTTTACAGGGCTTTGGAGGGCTTCAGAGGGCTTTAGAGGGCTTTGGAGGGTTTTAGAGACCTCAAGGCTCATTTTTTCCACGTGGAAATTTTTCCCGGGAACTTTTTGATCGTTGGTCTTCTCATCATTTTGTATAGTGAAAAATGTCACGGATTTTTTTTTATTAGATGAACAACTGTCAAAATAAAATGCCGTGTGATTTTTGGTGCCAGCGAGCGCGTAGCGCGAGTGTAAACCTTCCGCAAGCTTCCGCGTCAGCGGCACTGTCTACCGCGACACAGGCATAAATTCTTGACTTTTTTAATTCAGAAATGCCTGTCGCAGAAAAAACAAATTCTCGCGTGAATCGGGAGGCGGGATTTATTTTGCAAGGTGCGGCACGTTTTTTTTCAATGAATAATTATTTCTGATTTGTTGCATTTCGAAATTTAGTGAAGAAAAAAAGATGAAAACGAAAAAATTATTTTAAAAACGTGAAACGTGTATTCGTGGCAGGGGGCGGAGCCGACAGGAAAAAAAGTCAGAAATTTATGCCTGTGCGCGAAGCGGCCAAGCCTAGAGTTAGGCTTAGGCCTAGGCTTATCTGGTCTCTAAAAATCCAGAATATTTGGGCCTAGTAACCCAGAAGCCTATAAAATCTAAAAAATATTGGAAAGCCTGAAAAACTAGTTCAAAATTGAGCCCAGAACTTCTAGGGAATCTAGGCTTATCCACAGTAACCCTAGGCTTGTTTGGACTCTAAAAATCTGGAATTTTAAGCTCTACAGTAATCTAGTACCCCAGACTCACCTGGCCTCGAAAAATCTAGAATTTCAGGGACCAAAATGTAGACTACAGTAATCTCAGGCTTTAGGCTTGTTTGGACTCTAGAAATCTAGAATTTCAAGCTCTACAGTAATCTATATGTCTACAGTAATCTAGAACCTACAGTAATCCAGAACCCTAGGCTTATTTGGACTCAAAAAATCCAGAATTTTAAGCTCTACAGTAATCTAGTACCCCAGACTCACCTGGCCTCAAAAAATCCAGAATTCCAGGTTTAACATCTAGCCTACAGTAATCTTAGGGTCTAGGCTTGTTCGGACTCAAATAATCTTGAATTTTAAGCTCTACAGTAATCTAGAAGTCTACAGTAATCTAGAACCCACAGTAATCCAGAACCCTAGGCTTGTTTGGACTCAAAAAATCTGGAATTTCAAGCCCCACCCTGATCTCCCCTCAAAAATCCCCAATTTTCTTCCAGATCTACTGGTTCGACGGCGTGGACGAACGTGCAAAAGACGCAGCCACAGTTCGACTTCTCGTCTGCATGATCGACTCCGTCATCCAACACTTCAAAAATCGCATCGAACACAACATTGGCGGAAGATCGAGAGCCATGCTGGCAATCTACCCCGGAAACGGCACACGCTACGTGAAACACGTGGATAATCCGGTGAAAGACGGGCGGTGCATAACAACAATATATTATTGTAATGAGAATTGGGATATGCAGAAGGACGGCGGAACCCTGAGGCTGTATCCGGAAAGTTCGCTGACACCAATGGATATTGATCCGAGGATGGATCGATTGGTGTTTTTCTGGTCGGATCGAAGAAATCCACATGAAGTTATGCCGGTTTACCGCCACCGGTTTGCTATAACAATCTGGTATATGGACAAGGCCGAAAGGGATAAGGCACTGGCCCAAAAGAGCCCCACACGGGCCAAGACTAGTCTTCTAGAACTCTCGGATTCGAGGGATATGCGTGTCTTTCCATCCACATCGTCGGATCCAACGTTGGCCCATAATTCGGACTCGGGAGTGGAGCTGGATTCTCAGGCCCAAAATGTGGGCCTGGGAAGGGCTGGAAGCCTTCAAAGTGTTTCGGACGCCTTTAAATCGGAGAGAAGTGCGGGGAGACGAAGCTCGACTTCGTCTAGTCAAGATTTTGAGGAGGAACTTCCGCCGCCGCCTAGTGAAAATCCGGAGTATATTATTTAGGCTTTTGGGCTGAAAATAGGCTTGGTTTAGGCTTTTCTGAACAAAAATACCCCGATTTTGAGCCTGAAAAGCCCAGGAATTTTGGCCCAAAATCCGACCTATTTTAGAGCCTAGAATCAGCCTAAAATTGACGTCTTAAGTCCCTAATTAATTACCTTATGTTCCCTAATTAATTAATTAATTTTCCAAAAATTCATATGTTTCTATGTGTGCTTAAAGTTTTCCTTAAACGGGTTCCCTAATTTTTTTTTGTATTTTAGGTTTTTTTTCACGCCCTTAAAAATTATTGTGATATGTAAACATATTATTTTTTTCAAAATTATTTTTGTACATATCTTTTTTTGCATTTTTTTGTATATTTTTGAATAAATGCTCTAGAATTTTGATTTTCTGAGAAATTTGAGTTAAAAAGCAGACCACGGTGGTCTGCAAATTAACTCAAAACATCGTGCAATGTTAATTTGCAGACCACGGTGGTCTGCTTTTTATTTTTACACTGTGTTTTGAGTTAAAAAGCAGACCACCGTGGTCTGCAAATTAACTCAAAACGTCGTGCAAAGTTAATTTGCAGACCACCGTGGTCTGCTTTTTATTTTTAAACGGTTTAGATCAGATTTTAAAAAGATTTTTTTTAAATTTAAATATTTGAAATTTAAATTTTCCCACACACATTTCTTCTATCATCCCAAAAATCAATAATTTTTCCTCACATTTTTTTCTCACAAATGCAATTTTTCGTCCTAAAATTGACTACCCTATTTTGGACCTGTCTGGATTTGTACGATTTTCGAAAATGCTCAAAAATCACGGTGTTTTGTGGCTGTTGGCAAATTGCCAGTTTTCAAATTCTGAACTTGGGAGAGCATTTTTTCGACGTTAAAAATTTGGATTTTTGGATTTTCACGTATTTTTCCGCGTTGGCTGTGCAGTTTTTGGAGAAAGGTGAGACTGGAAATCCACGTGGCGAAAAATGTCAACCAACATTTTTCCAGATTCTCCCAGCCTGGCATTTTTAACCCAAATTTATTTGCACGGATTCCTGTGGATTTCCGGAAATTGGAAAACTTTGTTTTGGAATTTCGAAAATCTGAAAATCGCATACAATTTTTATTTCTCACAACAAAACTCTGATTTTTTTCTGGTATTATTTGGGATTCACGATTTTCTGGCTGAAATTTTGTGTTTGCGGCAAGATTTTCCGCAATTTTAGTGAGTGAAATTGAATTTTTGAAGACAAAAAAAATCTGAAAATTTTCTAGATCTTCACCTGGTTTTCTGCATTTTCAATCAAATTCTGGTCAATTTTTCACAAGAAAATCGAATTTTTGGTTTTTCAAACATTATTTTCACATTTTTTGTGTTCTTTTTGAAAAATAGGAAATAACAAAAAAATTTTATCTGAAAAATTAGTTTCAGAATTGATTCTTAAGCTTCTAGAAAAACCTGATTTTTTTTCTCAAAAAATAATTTTCTTTGTTTTCTTGGAAACTTGTTTAATTTTCTAGTATTTAACAATAAAAACTTCAATTTTTCCTCATTTTTTTTGTTTTTGAGAAAAAAATGATACCAAAAACCAGTGCCTACAGTTATGTTCTCTACATTTCCGGTAAGTTCCCGCAACTTCACGGAAATCCCCAAAAAATTTTTGCAGCCACAATTTCGCTATGCTCAATTTTCATGATTTTCTCCACACTTCCTTTGCTCTATGATTATATTTATGCAATTAAGGATGAGATTTCAGAAGAGCTCTCGATTTGCAAAAGAAATGCTCAGAATATTTATTACGAAGTTAATTCGATTCAAATGTATTTGAAAAATTGAAACCTTTGAATTTTGTACATATATATTTCTGAATAAATGCTCTAGATTTTTGAGATCTCTTAAAATGTATAACTCAAAACACCATGCAGAGTTAATTCGCAGACCACTGTGGTCTGCTTTTTAACTTTTCCCGGTGTGTTGAGTTAATTTGCAGACCACGGTGGTCTGCTTTTTATTTTTACACGGTGTTTTGAGTTAATTTGCAGACCACGGTGGTCTGCTTTTTAACTTTTCCCGGTGTGTTGAGTTAATTTGCAGACCACAGTGGTCTGCTTTTTAACTTTTCACGAAGTGTTGAGTTAATTCGCAGACCGCTATGGTCTGCTTTTAACGATTGTTAGAGACGCAGAGGTGAATGTATTATTAGAAAAGCCCTGTATCATATAGAAAGTTCTTGAAAGCCCCTTGAAAAGCCCTGCGGCCTCTAGAAAACCCTACATTATCTTTAAAGCCCTGTATTTTCTGTTAAGCCCTCTACTATCATAAAAGCCCTGTATTATCCAAAAAGTCCCCTGTGTCAAAATTTTGTGATAACTATCAAACAATCAAAAAGCTTCGCTTAGTCACCTGTTAAATTTCCCTTGTGTTTATGACATTTTCTTGTTAAAAATAATAATTTGGCAAATGATGTGATATTTCTTATCACAGAGAATTGTGTTTCGATGATCTTGCGCAGACAACATTTCCAGGGGTATAAAAGCCCCGAAAAATCTCCACATTTTATCAATTCTCTATCAAAATATGCGATTCGCCGCGATTTTCTCGCTAATTTTCGCGATTTTTGTCGCCAGAGTCGCGTGTCAATGGGGTGGCGGCTGGAACAATTATAATAACTATAATAATTATGGTGGAGGCTGGAACAATGGTGGCGGTGGATTCGGTGCTCAGCAAGCTTGGAATGTTCAAAATGCGGCGAGGGTTGGAACCGAGGTTGCGGAAGCCGTTTTGGTCGCGGAAGAGGTTCAGGAATCGATTGGGAAATAGTTAAGTGGTTAATTAGTTAGGATAATTAATTAACTATCTACATAATTATGTATATTGATTAATTGTAAATTTGTTTTTTTTTTCTATCAGAGGGTTTTTGAGATTCTACAAAAATCCTGGAAAAAATGAGAGCGTAGAATTCGATTTTGCAGAGCATTTTCCTATTTGCAAAAAAAATTGATTCAAATTGCAATTTCAAATCGAATTATCAGGTTTTTGCAAATCACAAATACATAAATGAATGCATCAGAATCATCAGAATCCACTGCAAAAATGTCGAATATTTTCTTCGTCTTCTTCTTCTTCTTAGTCATATTAGTGTCCAATATTTTGGCGCAGTCATGTGGTAGTAGCAAAGACTGTGAACCTGGAGAATTTTGCTGGCCTATGGGTTTTGAGGGTCAACATATCTGTTACAAACCTCTGATTTTTGATTAATTAATAAAGTGTTAACAGCTTCAGGTACCAAATTTTTGTTCACAAATTGAAGGTTGAGATTTTGTGGGTAGTGAAAATATGATAGGATTTTTTTGACAACCTCGAGCAGCCTTCAGGATGTAATTACATACTGCGTATACAAGCGGAGTATCGTTGTTTTTTGTTTGAAACATACGCGAGCCGCTAGCTTCTGCGGCTTCAGGTTTTTAGGCTTGGCCGCTTTGCGGAAGATAGTGCCGCTACGCGGAAGCTTCCGCGCAGAACACTCGGCTCAGAATGTTCCCAAGAAGGAACTAAATTTTTGATTGTTCAATAAAGTTTTCTGCATTTCGCAAGCTTTTTTTTAATAAGTTCGATCAAAGAATAAATAAACATTTATCAAAAAAAAATCGGCCCGAGTTTTTTCAAAAAAAAAAATCGGCCCGAGTTTTTTCAAAAAAAAAAAATCGGCCCGAGTTTTTTCAAAAAAAAAAATCGGCCCGAGTTTTTTCGTTGGATGAAAAAAATTTTTGAAATCAATCCCTTTCCTGTTCGGTAAGCACTGCGGAGTCTTGTTGTTTTTTCCCAAGCCTAAGCCACGTGGAATATAAAGTTATCCTAAGTCCAAAGAAATTTTATCAGAATCAATAAAAATACTTAAAATATCAATTAAACATCTTCAGCACGACATAGTCCAAATTCATTATTTTGTTGAATATCACAATAATGCTTTGGTGCACATTCCATACCTTTAGCACAAATTGTATAAGCACCACCACCACCTTGCGCCAAAATCGAGTTGGTGAAGAAGATCAGGAAGATGGTTAGAATCGAGAGAAGATTTGACATATTTTTAGTGGATTCTGAAGATTCTGTGGAGGAATAATGTGATTTTTATGGGGGGAGAATCTGTAGATGATGATTCGATTATGGATATGTTGTGCAAATGCAAAAATGTTCTGCAAACTCCTGTGCAAAATCAGAATTCAGCAGAAAAAAACAACGAGACTCCGATTGTTTACGCAGTACTTATCGCGCGGGAAAAGGATCAAATTCAAAAATGTAGAAAAGCTTCAGCTTAGCCGCTGCGCGGAAGCTTCCAGTTTACACTCGCGCACAGCGCTCGGCTTTCAGGCTTCTGAGCATATCCCCGGCCGCTTCGCGGAAGATAGTGCCGCTACGCGGAAGCTTGCGGTATACACTCGCGCACAGCGCTCGGCTCAAAAATGGGCTTCCGCGCAGCGTCTTAGCCCTCTAAGCACATTCAAAATATTTAAATTCAATCGTTTTCCCGCGCAATAAGTACTGCGTAAACAACCGGAGTCTCGTTTCATGCAGAATTCTGAAGAAATTTGCACGGGAATTTGAGTTTGCAGAACTTTTATAATCGAATCATCAAATCTACAGGTTCCACATAAAAATCACATACATATTCCATCTCAGAATCTTCAGAATCCATCGAAAATGTCAAATCTTCTCTCGATTCTAACCATCTTCCTGATCTTCTTCACCATTTCAATTTTGGCGGATGATTTCAGAATTTGCGGTCGCGGTATTCCATGTCCACCAAAGCATACCTGCATTTATATCAAAACTAATCAATATGGAACCTGTCATCCTGACTTTTTTTGATGATAAAAGTGTTTTGAATTGTTAGATTTTGTCTTGAACTTGGATTTCCTATGCATGAAAAACCAACGAGACTCCGCAGTACTGATCGCGCGGGAAACGAGTCAAATTGAAAATTTTGAATGTGCTTAGAGAAAGCTTAGCCGCTTCGCGGAAGCTTGCGGTCTACACTCGCGCATGGCGCTCGAGCCTAAGGCTTAGAAGCTAGGCCCAGCCGCTACGCGGGGATTTTTATGGGGCAGAGGAATCTTGATGTGATCAGATCAAATTGAATCAGCTCCCCTGCAAAATTCAGTTCCTTCTGAGAAATTCCACGTGGATTTCTGTGGGTACTATTCAGAAAAAAGAAAAAATTGTGTCGAATGTTTTGCGAAGGGTTGAAAAAAAATGGATGTTCTCGATGAATTTGAATTGGAAGTTGAACAGGAACAACAACATTTGGACAAAGATCACGCAATGGAGTAGATGATTAGTTCTGCCCGATAACTGTTGCATGTGACTTGAAATATAAAGATTCGGTGAAGCTTACAAAAATTTATTTTAAAAAAAACCCTCCCATATCCCAAAAATTATAAACTTTTTGAAAAATTGCACACTCTATTCATTTGGTGATTTTCCTGAAAAAAAGAACTTTTTTGAATTTTGGGGGTACAAACTCACCGAAAGGATTAACAGATGGTGATTTTCCCATTCTCATGAAAACTGGTGATTTTCCTCTGTAAATAATTCCAGGTTGTCCCCCTATCGTATAAGGAGGCGGTCTGCGAAAAAATTCTGGCATAAAATCCCTTTTTTCAACAATTGGTAAAAAACGGTCTGCAACAGTCACGGCCAAAACACCTGAAACAGCCACCAAAAGTGCACAAACAATGAAGAATTTCATGATTTTTGATATGATTTTTTCAATGAAATAGGCTCCTGTTTTATACAGAAAAATAGGAACAAGAATTTCAAAAATTCATGCATTTTTTTGAGGGTGGGAAAATGAGGAATTCCTTGAGGAATGTTTTACGTTTCAAATATGTAGTTTTTTGGAGATTTGAAAATTTTGCATATCCTGAAACCTGAAATTTTTCGCAGAGGAAAATCCCCAGTTTTCATGAGAATGGGAAAATCACCATCTGTTAATCCTTTCGGTGAGTTTGTTCCCCCAAAATTCAAAAAAGTTCTTTTTTTCAGGAAAATCACCAAATGAATAGAGTGTGCAATTTTTCAAAAAGTTTATAATTTTTGGGATATGGGAGGGTTTTTTTAAATAAATTTTTGTAAGCTTCACCGAATCTTTATATTTCAAGTCACATGCAACAGTAATCGGGCAGAACTAATCATCTACTCCATTGTGTGATCTTTGTCCAAATGTTGTTGTTCCTGTTCAACTTCCAATTCAAATTCATCGAGAACATCCATTTTTATTTTCAACCCTTCGCAAAACAAAAATATGTCTTCCGCGAAGCCGCTGGGCCTAAAAGTCCAAAGGCTCGAGCGGTCTGCGCGAGTGTAAACCGCAAGCTTCCGCGAAGCGGCTACGCTCATGATTTAGCCTAACATAGGCGTTGCCGCTTCGCGGAAGCCTGCGGTCTAAACTCGCGCAAAGCGCTCGGCCCAGAAGGAACCAAATTTTGCAAAGAAAAATTCTTCTTCTGCTCCTAATTCAATTTGTTGATGATTTGATCATTCCAAGATTCCCCCCATAAAAATCACATTTTCCTCTCCAAAAATTCACCGAAAATGTCAAATTTTCTCTCGATTCTAACCATCTTCCTACTCTTCTTCACCAATTCGGTTTTGGCCGGCGATGGTTTTCCAGCTTGCCGTACGGATGCTGATTGTCCACATCCAGAACGGATATATATTTGTTACATAGGAGTATGTCGTCCTAAATATATCGGATGATCAAAATGTTTGTTAATAAAACTGTTATTATCATGTTTTGACGCACAAAACAACGAGACTCCGATTGTTTACGCAGTTCTTATTGCGCGGGAAATACATTTTATTTGAATTTTAAATTATGTGAACATTAAGATTGTAAGCTTCACAATTTTATTAACGATCTCTACACTGCCCAAAAGTATGCCCCGGTTTCACATAACAATATTGATTAGGTTGACACTCGACACTTGCATTATCCAAAGTACAAACTATAGTCGGCAAGTCCTCACAAATCCCATCGTAGCAAAACTCATTTGCGGGACAATCCTGGTTGCTGGAACACGGTGTACCATAAGGACAATAGACACCGGGAGGGCAATTTTGAGCGGAAATTAGGGAGATTGTGAGGATGAGAAGGAAGAATATCGAAAATGACATTTTTTCAGTGAAATTTGTGGGGAATTATCTGATTTTTATGCAAGAGAATTTGCAAAATTTGAAAATAATTTGCAAAAATCGGCAGATATAATAAAAATCACATTATTCGCCGCAGAATTTACTGCAAAAATGTCAAACATTCTCCTTGTATTCTTGATCTTCTCCACAATTTTGGTGTCCAATATTTTGGCAGAACAGTGTCGTGACGATGCAGATTGCAAGCCTGGTCAAATTTGCCAAGTGGGTTGGGAAAATCATCGATTCTGTACAATTTGGCCAATTTTAACTCATTAATTTATTGATTTATTGAATAAATTGTGTAAACTTCAGAAGTTATCAAATGCTATGCTCTAAATGTATAGGAGTTTTGAAGCATGTGAAGCCTAACAATGGAAACCTGGACATAGGCGTTGGAAGCTTCCGGTTTACACTCGCGCATAGCGCTCGATTCTATACCTAACAAGGAAAGGTTTTCAATGTTCCCCCAAGGAAAAAATCGAGAGTATGTGGAATGTTGAGGGTTCCCATGGGTAAGAAAAACCCTAACGGGAATAAGGAGAAAAATGCCTTGTTTTAGAAAATTTTGGTGTTATTGATTTTTGCGATGAAATTTTTTAGAAAAATCGAAACTTTTTTCAAAATTGATGAAAAATGTCAGTCTAAAAATCCATTTGTAGCGCAAACGGCGCACTTTAGTATTACTTCGACTAAAATTAGGAATAAAATAATTTTGGTCCCAAAAGTCCACTAAATCAAAAATCCAGTTTGAAAAATTCATAGAAAATCAACGTTTTCGTTGTGAAGGAGAAGTTTGTGTGAATCGAGACTATGATTTTTGGATTCTACGGACCAAATTACGTCTGTCGACCGTCATAAATTTTTCAAGTTCCGTTCATTTGAAAATGGAAAAAATTATTTTTTGTGTTTTTTGGTGACCATTTGATCAGAAAAACCCCGACTAAAAAAACCAAATTTCAAAAAATGTCTAATTTTTTGATAAAAAGTTTCACAAACACGTAATCGACCATTCTGAACAACTTCCACGACTCAAAAGTTCATGAAATAGATTCAAAATCGAGTTACAGATGCTCTAAAAATCAAAAAATGGTGTAAAAATCGACCTAACAAGGGAACCTTTTTTACTCAACACTTCAAATCATGATGAAATTTGGTTTATGAACATCTTTTGGGACCATAAGAACACCCTAAAAATTTTAGTCTCCCAATGGACCTCTGAGCCAAGTTCTGGGCTCTCAAAAGTTCAAAAAAGGCCTAAAAATGGTCATAAAAGTCATCATAGCTCCATTTCAAAATTTTTTTTGGGAGAAATGAAGTTTCAGATATTGATCAGCATAGTCGATTACCTAAAAGTACATCAATAAAAAACTTTATTTCGAAAAATTTTGAAGTTTTTTATTTTTGGGCTGAAAATTCATGAAAATTCATATGTGCCCCTGCTCATTCTTTTTTTCAAAATCAACAATTTTTCTGAAAATTTGATTTATTTATGCTTTTTGGGTAAATCGACCACGCTGATCATCATCTGCTACTCAGTTTTTCATAAAATTGATCGAGAATTGAGTTATGACGTGTTTTATGAGCCAATTCTGGCAATTTTCGAACTTTTGAGAACCCAGAACTTGGCTCAGAGGTCCATTGGGAGACTAAAATTTTTAGGGTGTTCTTATGGTCCCAAAAGCTGTCCATAAACCAAATTTCATCATGATTTGAAGTGTTGAGTAAAAAAGGTTTCCTTGTAAAATTCATTTTTTCTCGAGAATAAGGCATTTTTCTCCTTATTCCCGTTAGGGTTTTCTTACCCACGGGAACCCTCAACATTCCACATACTCTCGATTTTTTCCTTGGGGGAACATTGAAAACCATTCCTTGTAAGCTTAGGCCCGGCCGCTGCGCGGAAGCTTGCGGTCTACACAGCGCTCGGCCCACGAAGCACTAAATTTTGCACAGAATAATTCCTCTTCTGCTCCTAATTCAATTTCTTGATGATTTGATCATTTCACATCAAGATTCCCCCCATAAAAATCTATGGACAACGATGTTGGGGAACTGGAATTGGAAGATATTGTGCATACAGACCTGATCGTTGAGTATTGTTGAAATAAATATGTTTTTAAGCAAGAGATACATAGATACTACTTAAAGAGTGTGATACGTAGTGCGTAAACAATCGGAGCCTCGTTGTTTTAGGCTGAACCTAGGCACTCGCGCACAGCGCTCAAGAAAAATTCATTAATCAACACTTATCCCTACAATACCCAAAAATGAACCCCTTTACATGCTCACAATATTGATTTTTCGGGCACGGATGATATTTACTGCAGAATTGATCCATCGCCAAAACATTCCGGATGAAGAGCAGAAAAATTGTGGAGATGAAAAAGAACATTTTCAGAATTTTGGGGGAAATCAGAAGAATTTTATAATTTTATATGAGGAAGGCAATTTGAAATAATCGAATCAAGTTCGAATTGCAATGTGGTCCCTTATTAAGGGACCCTTAAAAATCGTTTTCCTATTATTTATTCAAAAAAAAAATTGTTTCTTTTTTGATCAATGATTATCTTATCTTAAGTAATAATTCTATTTTTCACAAACCCATTAATTACAAGAAAAAAAGTTATCACAAGTCAGAGTAGCATTTTCATATTTCTACCACCTCGAGCTTTCAGATTTAGCCTATTTCTGGAAGTTTCAACGATCCCCCATCATCAATTTGATCACCGCATCTCGATATGGTTTATGAATAGCCAGCATGGAAATCGAAGAAACAATTCCATGAAAACCACAATCGAGAGTGACCAGGTTGTTGAGAGCCTGAAGGTTGGAAGCTTCCGCGTGGTGTGAGGCGGAATTTTCCGCGTAACTACTAACCTGATTATAATAGTCAAAAACACACGAAATTCCCACATAAATCCACGGAAAAAATATGATAAAAATCGGAATGAAAATCTGCAAACTAATACTATAAAAAAACGCCTTTTGCAAATTCCTCGTCCTCGTCGAAAATGCGCTAACTTTCTGCTGATTTCTGATAGTCAAGTGATAAATCGAGGCGAAAAGAAAGTATAGAAGTTGAGCAGTTGCTCCGAAAACAATGATGACTATTAGGGCTCCGATTAGATCTCCATCTAGATTCATCACAAAGATCGGGTGATTTCGATGTTCTATCGGGAAGCATGGGATATATTCGTAGATCTTGGGGAGAGCTGTGCGTTGCTCGGGGACTTGGGAGAGCGATATTAGGATTGCTAGAGAAGTCACAAGAAGGCCTAGAAAAAACAGGAATCTGATTAGGTTTACAGGTAACCTACTCACCTATCCCAAACAAATAATTCTGCAAATAATCACATCTGCGATGTCTTATGAGATTATATCGATTCAGAAGCAAACAAGTGATCGACAAAATACATCCACTGATGAAAAAAAGAGTCATTGCTGTTTGGATAGGTGTGCTAACTCCCCAACTTGTGAAATAGCCTATCGGATACCCGGCAATCGCGGGAAACATTACAAAAGGTTTGGAGAAGACTGTGATGTGTAGGTCTAGAAGCAAAGTCCATACACAAACCATCAACATACTAGATTTGATAGATAGCATAGTTTTAGGGGTTTTGAAAATAACACAATAAAATGAGAGAATGTGACAGGGAATTGAGAGAATTGTGATGGAAATGAACATGTTTTCCAGAAATTCTGGAGTATAGAAATAGGAATTGAATGGGGAGCAATGCATTTTTCCTTTTATAAGAAAATTTTAATATTAAAATGTACATATGTTTTAGTTACTGAACATTCTGAATTTTGGAGCTTTTTTAAAATTATATACAATTATAATGCACATGTGATTAATCTTGTTTTTGAAAATCAGAATATACTGTAATTAGAGATCGAGTACAAAAAACTTTCGAGCACTCGGAGCGAGTGTAAACCGGAGTCTTCCGCGCAGCGGCCGGGCCTAAGCCTAGGCTTATGCTCGAGCGCTTTGCGCGAGTGTAAACCGCAAGCTTCCGCATAAAATGCCGAGCCTAGGCCCACAAGATTGAAACACCCAACAACATTCCAAAAAAAATCATTTATTTCCACACCAAGTTCAAAAATCACTTCTTCCCAAACCCTTGCGATGCCATCTCCGCATTCAAAACCGCCGTGCCAACTTCGGCTCCAATCGTCGCCGCATTCTGCACATTATACGCCTGCTGCAAACCATATCCACCATATCCGCCGTATCCACCATAATATCCGCCATACCCACCATAATAGCCACCCCATTGCGAACTAACGAGAAGAAGGGCGTTGAGAAGAAGGAGAATTGTTGAGAGAAATTGCATTTTCAGATGAAAATTGATGAGAATTTTCAGCGTTTTATAGTGGAACTGACCCGGGTTCAATGAAACAAAAAGATAGTATTTGTTGAAAAAAAAAAAGTAAAACCGTTTTTTTTCGGGAAAAAACTGATTTTGATCGATTGGCGAAATGGACAAAAGGTAAAACTTATAGGCTAGAACAAAATAATTCACTATAAAAAGGCTGAAACTCTCTCCATTTTCAGTAAATTCTTTAAAAAATGCAATTCCTCTCCACAATTCTCCTACTTTTCAACGCTATTTTCATGGTCAGTTCCCAGTGGGGTGGCTATTTCGGTGGGTATGGCGGATATTATGGTGGATACGGCGGATATGGTGGATATGGTTTGCAGCAGGCGTATAATGTGCAGAATGCGGCGACGATTGGAGCGGAAGTTGGCACCGCGGTTTTGAATGCGGAAGAAGGATTTGGCAAGAAATAATTGGATTTGATGGGGGAAATAAATGATTTCTTTGAAGTTTATGTATATTTGGGGGGCTATGTGCGCGGAAGCTTCCGCTCTAGGCTCAGGGTTAAACCCGGCCGCTTCGCGGAAGCTCGCGGTTTACACTCGCGCAGAGCGCTCGAGCACTGAGCTTGGGCCTGGGCGTAACCGCTCCGCGGAAGCTCGCGGTTTACACTCGCGCAGGGCGCTCGGGCTTGAATGCTTAGGGTTAAACCCGGCCGCTTCGCGGAAGATTGCGGTTATCCTGACTAACTATGAAGCTTACATTAGTACTGCCCTAAACTATATAGTTATGACGTGGCAAATATCTTTTAAGTTACCTTAACTCCCATTTTTCTTCTCCAATTCAATGATCAATAAAACAAACACCATCTTATCAAAAAAAAACAAAAAGAACTTTCATCATCTTCATTTTTTTCTTTTTAATTACAAAAAGTTTCTTAATTATCTCATCCTAGAATCTCTTCAGTCTCAATAATCGCAGTTCCAATTAGCCCAGGTTGTCCATATCCACCATATCCACCACCATACGGCCCCCATCTTCCACCATATCCACCATAACGGCCCCATGGCCCACGGCCCCCATATCCACCGTAACCTCCCCATTGGCCGGAGACCGTGAGGAATACTACTAGAAGAAGGATTAGAATAATTCGGGAATACATTTGGATGTTTTGAGGGGCTAGGCTGTTTTTTGGGCGGTTTAAATACCCCCGCAAGCAGGAGATAAGGCTGATCAGAAAAACAAGGTTAGATACATATCACAAATGTAACATTTATCATAGGATTTTTTCGCGTATAGCTGAAATTCAAGCTGAAAATCTCTCTTCAAAATCAGTTTATTTCTCTCAATTCCCTGAGAAATCAAACACCATCAATTAGATTCTTGCCATTTGCATTTCCCTGTTCCCCAAATCCAGGCATCCAACCTCTTCCAGAAACCATTGCACCACCTCTTGGCATCGCTACACATTTATGTTTTTCAGCTAATGTACGAGGCGAGTTTTCGGGTACATCTGGTACATTTTGGGACCAAATTGGATTTGTGAAGATCAGAAGGATAAGAATCAGGAACATACTTACTTTTTCTCACTTGGAAAAAAATGATGAATGGAAATTTTGGAAATCAGAACATTTTTAGAGGGTTTATGATGGCTAGACATTGATAGGATAATAAAAAATGCATTTTTCACAAAATTTTCAGATTCGTTAACTCCCTATTTTCAACCAAAAATATTGATTTTTCCTCGAATTTTCGGCGCCAAACTTATTCCACGTGGAAAACCCTCTCAAATATCCCAACTCCTATCAAAAAACCGCGAAAAACACCTACTTTTCAACCTCAAACTCAAAAAAACAAAAATTTTCGAAAAAAAAATGAAAAATACTCCGGGAGAACTACACGGAACACATTTCGTGGCGGGGAACACGTGTCGATTTACAGCGCCTCCCTTTATTTTGTTTTTTCATTTTTTTTTCGTTTTCAGCCGGAAAACCTTGAAATCCCTGGTTTCTGGGGGATTTTCGCTGAAATTATTGCTGAAAATTGAATTTACAACAAATTTCTATAAGTTACATATGAAATTTGCAGGAAAATTGATGGTTTCTGGGATGAAAATGATATTTTCGGGATTTTCAACATTTTGGCTGGAAAATTGAGCCTGGTGAGTTTTTTGCGGGTGGGATTTTGAAAAATTCAAAAAAATTTTATATGAAAAAAAAAGTGAATTCAATTATTCCCTACTCTCTCTCTTCTGATACTTGGTAGAATATTTAGATTCCGAAGATCTTGAGTTCGAGTTCCTGCAACTTGCACAGAAATCATCGCTATTATCGAAAATCTCATCGGTACCATGCGCTCCACCGAAATAAACACGCAACGCAGACCGCGCCGCGCCACAACACACACAAATAAGGGAACGATTCAAATTCCCTCCCTTTTTTGTGTGTGTTGTGGTGCGACGCGGTCTGCGTTGCGTGTTTATTTCGGTGGAGCGCGTGGTACCGATGAGATTTTCGATAATACCAATACCAAAAATACAAGGATTAGAATTGAGAATCTCATATTTTTCTTGGGGAATCTTGAGGATTCTAGTCACTTTTATACTAACTTAACTTAACTTAGCCTAACTTGTAAATACTTTGCAAGATTAACAATAAACAAAAATGTTGGTAAATAAATAGACAAATTTCAAGTTTAGGAATCCTAAAATTAATTAATTTTTTTTGTTTAATTCTTGAAGAAGCCTGGAATCTGAAAATTCTAGATCTAGTAGCTTCAGATTTTCAGATAATTTCAGATTCTGAAGCCTGAAGTCTTAAAATTAGCACTCAATTCTTCCTTTGTTTATTTATTTACCAACATTTTGTCCCTCAAAAATATTTTGTTAATCTTAGAAGGTATTTCCGCAAAGTAGTTACTATAAAAGTGTTAAGAATTTTGCTCAGAACTCAAAAATGACAAGATTCTCTACACTAACTCTCATATTCTTGGCTCTGGTGGCCGTGATTTCTGCGCAATATGGTTCAAGCAACAATTTTGCGACTCAACAACAACAAATTCAAATTCGTAGACCTGGAAGAGGTTCCTATGGCCGGAAATAATTGATTTTGTACAAAAATAAAGCGTTGCTCTGTTGAAAACTTAGCCTAACTCCCCCATTTGATACAATTCCTGACAAGGAAACAAACACCTAATACAAAACACTTAGAAAATGACCACAAAAACAAAGATACAACACTTTCTCTGCGCTCTCTTCTCTCCTAATACTCTCTCGCCATAGTTCAGCATCAGATTTGATTCGAAATTCGGGGCGGGGAATTGAAGGTGATATAAAATTGGTGGAAAATCTTGATCAACATAGATTCAAAATTTAATATGAATTCTCTAGTTTTGGCTATATTTTTGGTGTTGGTGGCTGTGGTTGGTGCACAATTTGGTGGTGGGCCTGGTGGATTTGGGGGCCAAGGTGGATTCGGGGGCCAACAAGGTGGACGTGGAGGCTTCGGAGGTCAACAAGGAGGATTCCAACAAGGTGGGCGTGGTGGATTCGGAGGCCAGCAAGGTGGATTCGGTGGTCAACAAGGCTTCGGAGGTCAAGGTGGACAATTCGGAGGTCAGGGTGGATTCGGTGGACAACAAGGTGGATTTGGCGGAGGATTCGGAAGAAAATAGATTTTTATAAGTTACTAGTGGTTCCTGGGCGTGTTGTTCAAACTGATTCATTCACTACCCTTTTATAACAATCTATTCACTTAGTGCAAAATTGATAAAAATTAAATTCATTCAAACCAATGTTCATACTGCTTAGATATATGCTGTGCTTTCGGCCCATACTAAGCCTAAGCCTAAGCCTGATCGGAGTCTGGGCTTTTGGTCCATACTAAGACTAAGTCTAAGCCGTGATCCAAGGAATATTTTATTACACATTCGAACATAAAGTAGGTAGCCCGTGCTAAAAATTATCAAAGTTAGTAATATTCAGATAAATATTTAAATTCTGAATTCTGACTACTTCTGACTCTCAGAATCTGGGAGCAACTTTGAATATTATTTCGAGCTTCAAAAACACAGATTTTGAAAATCGCTCTTTTTTCTGAGAACCTCTTCGAAGATCTTTTTGTCGTTCAGAGCCGAGACAATTTCCCGAAATTTATGGTTTTTAACGGAATCGAAAAATCATGATTATACGGTAGTTTTCGGACTCTTTCCTGACCTGAATTCAAATCCCTCAGTTCACGTAAGCGGGTGAAACGTGGAAACGAATACATTCCAAAAAACCAAATTAACAATGATTGCGATTTCACAATATTTATTGAAAATAAAACAATAAAAATAAAATTACCAACATGTTGAATCTCCCATTGTCGATGTCCTTGTTGATGTCGATACCTGAAAATTGTTGAATTTTTGATAAATATGAGAAAATTGATAATTTCACTGAAATTGTATGATAATTTGGAGTTTAAGTCAATAATAGTTTGAAACTGTGTTTAAAAAAACAATAAGTTTTTTGGTTTTGAGACTGAATGAGGAACTACGATGAAATTGATAGAAAACATTGTTTTTTGAAGTTGAAAAATGATCTTTTTGTTAGATATTTACTGTCGTTTGTTTTTGTTTATTTTTGAACATTTTGAGCTTCAGAAATGAAGCTAGGAGTATTGTTAGAAAAAACTCGTACCTGGGAGATTCTCAGGGAATCACGGGCAAGATTCGCGGGGTTTTTTCGGGGTTTTTTGCCCGCGAATCGCGGAGATCTCGCCTGTGATTCCCTGACTTTTTTGATATTAGAATTTAATGGGGCTATTCAGCGAAAAAAATATGTTTTCTCAACGGGAGAAAAGCGAAGAAAACCTATTCAAGTCGGTTGAGAAATCATAAAAAACAAACACTTGAAACACACAAATTGCGACGAGACCCAACGAAAAACAACATGTTCCTTTAAGATACTGTAGAAAATCGCAACGGGACCAATTTACAGTAATGCAAAAGGTCAAAGGAACATGTTGTTTTTCGTTGGGTCTCGTCGCAATTTGTGTGTTTCAAGTGTTTGATTTTTATGTTTTCTCAACCGACTTGAATAGGTTTTCTTCGCTTTTCTCCCGTTGAGAAAACATATTTTTTTTCGCTGAATAGCCCCATAATCGATTATTTACCAAAATGATTTAGTTTGTTCAAAGAAATTTTCGACTTAGAAGTTTATAACAAACTTAATTCTGCTTTCGAGGTCTAGAGAAAATCAAAATGTTGGATTGGCTTTAAAATTTAGTATTCATAACTGCAACGAAAGTTTATGATTATTGATAATCGGAGAACGTTTTTGTTATGGGGTTTTTTCTCTTAAATATATTTATTTCATTTTAAAATCAATTTTCATTATGGGACTATTCAAGTTATTTTCTCAACGCTGAGAAAAGCGAAGAAAACCTATTCAGGTAGGCTGAGAAAATACGAAAAAAGTGAAGAAAATACATTTTCTCCGCATTTCTCCTGTTTTCTCAGCGTGTTGAGAAAATACTTGAATAGCCCCATTATTATTATTGAAAAAAAAGAACTCACTTTTTTCCCTTTTATTGAGCGAATCCGTGTGGCTGAAGGTGCAGCGCCTGGAAAAGAAAAGTTTTTGTTTATATCAAATAGAAAGTTAAGTTTGACTTACGTCTCGAAACCTCCAAAACCGCGACAAACAGGAAAAAACAAAAAAACAAAAAATGAAAAAAAACACACGCCACTTTAGTGTTACCGTAGTCATCGCGACAAGATAAAAACCGAACAATTGGCTGTCCCTTTATCCGACCAAACCACCCGTTTTTGGTTTTCTTTTTTTTATGTAAAGAAGATTTTTGTTCTCTAATGTTTTACGGGAAGTTAATGAATTGTTCTTTGGATGTTCTTTGAGTTAGGATAACTTGATGACGTGGTAAAAGTGAGAAATCTTCATTTTTGACCAAAATCAATTATTTCCGGCCATAGGAACCTCTTCCAGGTCTGCGAATTTGAATTTGTTGTTGTTGAGTCGCGAAATTGTTGCTTGAACCATATTGCGCTGAAATCACGGCCACTAGGGTCAAGAATATGAGAGTTAAAATTGAGAATCTTGTCATTTTTGAGTTCTGAACAAAATTCTTAACACTTTTATAGTAACTACTTTGCGGAAATACCTTGTAAGATTAACAAAATATTTTCATTTGTGAGAGAGGGAAAAAATGTTGGTAAATAAATACAGAAAAATGAAAATTTTCTGAAAATTTCAGGCTTCAGAATATAAAAATATCTGAAAATCTGAAGCTTCTAGATCTAGAATTTTTAGATTCCAGGCTTCTTCCAGAATTTTTTAAAAAATTGATTAATTTTAGGAAAAATTTTGACAAGGTTTGTCTATTTGTTTACCAACATTTTTTCTTATTGTTAATCTTGCAAGGTATTTACAAGTTAGGCTAAGTTAAGTTGGTATAAAAGTGACTAGAATCCTCAAGATTCCCCATAAAAATATGCGATTTTCAATTCTAGTTCTTATATTTCTGGTGTTGGTAGCGATGATTTCTGCGCAAGTTGAAGGAACTCCAATTCAAGCTCTTAGGAATCGAAATATTCTACCAAGTATCAGAAGAGAGAGAGCAGGGAATCATTGAATTCATTATCTTTCATATAAACAATTTGAAAATCCCAAAAACTTCAATTTTTCAACAAATTCCAGCTGTAACTCATAGAAGTTCGTTGGAAATTCAATTTTCAGCAATATTTTCAGCGAAAATCTCAGGAAAGATGCCTAAAGTTCAGGTCAATCATAACAAGAATCTAGTTAAGCCTAAGGTTCTGGTTAAGCCTAAAGCAAATTTAACCTTACTTAAATGTAGCTTAAATCTAAGCTATTGATTTATCATAACTTCATAGCTAAGCCTCAGAGGTTAAGTCTAGATTAAGCCTAAGGTATTTTTCGAGCCTAATATATGAACTAAGGATCTTAAGGTAGAGCCTAACGTTTTTTTAAATTCTAATTGTAAAGTCCTCTTCAAGTCTATCACCAATCCAAAAAATTCCAACAAAAAAAATAAATTTATTTACAAAACCACAAAAAAAATGAGATCATAAAACAATTATCCCAAAAGTCCACCAATAACCTCCTCGGCAATTCTCACACCAGGACTCCCGCCTCCAGGTCCACCAAATCCACCTTGTCCACCTCCTTGTTGACCTCCGAATCCACCTTGTCCACCTCCACGACCACCTCCACCACGACCTCCTCCTGGACCTCCACCTCCGAAGTTTCCTTGACCTCCGAAGTTTCCACCTTGGCCTCCGAAGTTTCCGCCTTGACCTCCACGACCTCCTGGACCTCCGCCGAAGTTTCCTTGACCTCCGAAGTTTCCTTGGCCTCCAGGTCCGCCTTGTTGTCCACCCCAGCCGCCTTGTTGACCACCCCAACCTCCGCCTTGTCCACCACGGCCACCTCCCGGACCACCTCCCCATCCGCCTTGTCCACCTTGCTGTCCACCCCAGCCACCCTGGCCTCCACCAGGTCCACCACCCCAGCCTCCTTGCTGTTGTCCACCCCATCCACCTTGTCCACCTCCCGGGCCTCCGCCCCATCCGCCGTTCCATTGACACGTGGCATAGCCCACGATTAAGCTGAGCGTCAGAATTGTTGTGACACGTGGCATAGTTAGGTTCTGGAAAAATAACGGAGGTAGATCAAGAATAGCAGGTGGTTTAGGAAGGTACAAAAAAACGCCAAGAAGATCCAGAATAATCTAGCAAAGCCATATGAAGATCAGCTAAGTCCAAAATAAGCCTGAAAGGTTCAAAAATGCCCCTTAGCTTAATGACCTTAATCACCTAAACTGCCAGCCAGAAAAAAAAGACACAATGACCAAAAATGTCACTATTTATACCCCTTGCAATCTAATGGACCTTATCATGATTTATGACGAATTGCGATGAGACAAACAAAGAATATATCAGAAGAAAAAACTTGAAAATATTGTCCGCAAGACAACGGGACACAATTGATAAGTGTTTCTGTCTTTGATCGCACCCAAAAACAACTATTCTGTTTATATATTGATATACGATGATTGTTTTAATGATCTATCATGAAGTTTGATGAATTCTAAACGAAATTGGAAGAAGCGGAAGTGATTTTGATCTATTTTTGAAACACCAATTAATATGAGTCATGGAAGAGTATTTCCACATGGCATCAGTTTTGAAGCCAAGCTGTCTCTAGCTGTCTGACTCTAACGATATATCTGCTACAGAAAATGCCACATCATAACTCGACTCTCTGCGTCTCTAACCAGCTCTAGCTTTATGACTATAACAATAGAACCGCTCTGGAAAATACCACGTCATAACTCGACCCACTGCGTCTCTAGCTTCATCTGGATGTCTGCGGCTCTAACCTCCTCTCTAGCTGTCTGACTCTAACAACACAAGTGTCCACTCGTTTTCTCTGCGTCTCTAACCTCTTCTCTTCTCTTCTCTAGCCGTCTGATGTCTGCTAAACACAAAAAAAAAGAAAAATCCTCACGTGAAAAAAATGTGACGTGGCAGACGTGACCTACATTTTTTTTCGAAAAAAAATCAGAGCTCAAATTTTTGCGGCTCTATTTCTTGACATCATGGAGGCAGGAAACCAAACACCAAAACCTGCTGGAAAATGGCAGAAACGAGTGGGTTACTGTAGGGGATTGGGGTACTGTAGAGATCTATTGAGTTACTGTAGATACTGTAGGAACATCTATAGAAGTTTCTAGAAGATCTATAGATCTATATGAAGCTCTAGTTCTACTGTAGAGATCTATAGATGTTCTCTGATGCTCAAGATCTATAGATCTTCAAACATCTAGAGATCTACTGAAGATCTTCAGACCTCTCCCATCAAAATCCGATCTTTCCAGGGAGCCCTGCTGATTTTGGCGATTCTCTGGCTAGTGGTCTATTATATGATAGCACCACAACATTTCGATTATCTCGTCGGCAAAATTCAAGGCGCTTCTGGAGCAGCTGTGCCTCCTGGAGTGCTTCCTGGAGCTCCACAAATTCCACCACTCGACAACCCTCCCAGAACCTGGCTCCCGCCCAGAGCACAAACTCTTCCGCCTACCACGCAAGCTGCGCCGGTACGCGGAAAGGACAATTTGTTCCGCCTCCCGAAAACTGTCGAACCGATTCATTATGATCTTACACTCAAGGCTAATATTTTGGGTAAGCTTCCGCAAGCTTCCGCGCGGCATTTTCCGCGAGTATAGTTTCTGACTGTCTGATGAGTTATGACGTGGCAAAATTTCAAAAAAAAATGCTTAGCATTGCTCAGATTAGCCCCAAATGATTCATATAGCTAGATCATTAATAGGATTGCTCATATTATAGTCAAAAATCCTGATTTTCTACAAAAAAACTATAGGATTGCTCAGATTAGCCTCAAAAATCCAAAAATTTCACGAGATTATTCATTTTACAGGAAATTTCATAGGATTGCTCAGATTATAATCAAAAATTGCTCATATTAGCTTGAAAACTTATAGGATTGCTCATTTTGAGATAAAATTACTGACTCTTGAACCTTTCAGGTTCAATATGAGCAATCCTAGTGATATTCAAGCAATTTTCCAGATTTCTGAACTTTTTGACTATAATTTAAGCAATTCTTGGAATTTCGAAGCTAATCTGAGCAATCTTCCAGATTCCTCAGCAATTTTTAGTATAATCTGAGCAATCCTATAATTTTTTGCAGGAAAAATGACTGTTTTGGGTTTACTATGAGCAATGTTATGAAATTTCATGCAAAATGAAAATTCTCGTGAAATTTTTGGAACTTTGAAGCAAATCTGAGCAATTTTCAAGTTTTCTCAACATTTTTGACTATAATCTGAGCAATCCTATACATTTTCAAGCTAATATGAGCAATCTTATGAAATTCAGGGTCAAAGTAATCATCTCATGCAATTTTAAAATTTTTCAAGCTAATCTGAGCAATTTTCCAGTTTTCTGAACATTTTCGACTATAATATGAGCAATCCTATGAAATTCAGCGCTAAATTAATTATTTCATGAAATTCTAAGACTTTTTTAATATGAGCAATGTCAAATTAATCTGAGCAATGTCAATTATTTGCAGGCTATGGCTATACACCAACTTTTCCACCCGTCAACTCAACCTTCGAAGGAAATGTCACAATCCAATTCAAAATCGTCAAACCCACTCGAATCATTCTCCTCAATGCCGAAGATTTGCACATTGAGCAATTGGAACTATCCGCCGGCTCACCAAATGGTCCCGAAATTGTCAAATACACGGTCTATCAAAACTATATAGCCATCGAATTGACTTCAAAAGCGAAACGCGATGCGATTTTCCGCATCGCAATTCGATATTCGGCACAGATTCGCAAGGATAACAAGGGTTTCTATGATACCACATATTTGGACGCGGAAAATCGGCCGAAATCGGCGGTTGTCACGCAATTTGAGCCTGATTTTGCCAGACTTGCTGTGCCATGTTTTGATGAACCCGAATTTAAGGCCGTTTGGAAGGTTTGTAGGGGTTTTGGGGGCTTCTAGAGGCTTTAGAGGGCTTCTAGAGGCTTTAGAGGGCTTCTAGAGGCTTCCAGAGACTTTAGAGGGCTTCTAAGGGCTTCAGAGGGCTTCTAATGACTTCTAAGGGCTTCTAAAGGCTTCTTAAGCGCTTCTAAAGGCTTTAGAAGGCTTCTAAAGGCTTTAGAGGGCTTCTAAAGAACTTCAAAACCATGAAATATTCAAAATAACCTTCTAAATTCACAAATTTCAAAAAAAAAACAAGAAAAAAAATCAAAAAACAAAAAAAACCTCGTTTGTGCTAAACAACAGGCAAGCGGAGTGTCGTTGTTTTCATTTTCGCGCGAATTTTTGTTTGTTCCTGTTATAGGATGTTTTGGAGGGCCTTGGAGAGGTTAGGAAGCTTTTTAGAGGGTTTAGGGGACTTCTAAAGGCTTCCAAAGGCTTTAGAGGGCTTCAAAACCGTGAAATATTCAAAATTACCCTCAAATTCACCAATTTCACGAAAAAAACAAAAAAAAACTATAAAAATAATAGAAAAAGTAAAAAAAAAATAACATTTCAAGGGATTTTCCCTGTTTTCCACAAGTCGTTGTTACTGAGATCTCAAATTATACATTATTGTACAAATATACCCCAAACTTGGTTGAATTTAACCCAAAACCCATTAAACACTGACCTGAAATGAGTTTTTTCTTGCCGGAATGCTTTTAGAGGCTTCCAAACGCTGAAAAATGTATGAAATTTGTCGAATTAGCCTAAATTTCCCCACTTTTAAGAAAAAAAAACAAAAAAACGCCGTTTGCGCTAAACAACGGGCGAGCGGAGTGTCGTTGTTTTCTTTTTGAAAAATTATTTTCGCGCGCGTTTTTTTGAAGCTTTTTAAGTAGAGGGTTTAGGGGGATTCTTAAGGGCTCTTGGGGAATTTTAAAGCTAAACACAATTTCAGGTTAAAATAATCCATCCGTTGGGAACTTCTGCGATCTCGAATGCTGAGCAAATCAAAGTCAGCCCATTTTCTGAGCAATTTCAAATTTCTGAATTTGAAGAAACTCCCAAAATGTCGACATATCTTTTGGCATTTTTCATTTCCGATTTTAAATATTTGGAAGGAGTTACGCAATCAGGTAGGCTCTCAAACTTAGCCTAAATTCACAAAAAAATTTCCAGGAATCCGTGTTCGAATTTGGTCGCGCCCGGAAGATGTTGCAAATCACCAATTGGCTCTCGAATCATCGATCGGAATTTTGGACAATTTTGAAAAATTGTTTGACATTCCGTATGCGATGAGAAAGATGGATATGGTTGGAGTGAGAGATTTCCATTTTGGAGCCATGGAAAATTGGGGGTTGATTGTGTATCGAGAGGCTGTGTTGAGCTATCATCCACAGATGAATACGCATGCGGAAAAGGCGAATATTCGTAGGATTATTTCGCATGAGTTGGTGCATCAGGTAGGATTGATTACGCGGTTTAGTCCTTAGCTTAAGCCTGAGGAGTTAAGCTACGGACTAAACCTAAGCCTAAGTGTGGCCGCTTCGCGGAAGCTTGCGGTTTAGACTCGCGCACGGCGCTCGAGCCTTAGCCGCTGCGCGGAAGCTTGCGGTTTACACTCGCGCAAAGCGCTCGAGCCTTAGCCGCTACGCGGAAGCTTCCGGATATCGATTTTTTCAAATTTTCAATTTTAAGTGGTTCGGCAACCTAGTAACAATGAAGTATTGGGATCAAACTTGGTTGAACGAGGGATTTGCCACGTTGTATCAAGTGTATGGAGCGGATTTGTTGACAAATGGGACTTATAAAAACGTAAGGACCTTGGGCCTGGCCTAAAGCCTAGGTTTGGGCTTTAGCTACTTCAAAATGTGTCTTAACCTTCTTAAAAATTAGCCTAAAGCTTAGATTTTGGCTTTAACTACCTTAAAAAGTATCTTAACCTTGTTAAAACCCTTGCTCACGCTAATTATGAGGGGGAAATCACTAAAAACTGCTTAAAAATATTGTCTGCAAAGACTTTTACGTGAAAATGCACAATAAATATATTTTTCGCTTTTTTTACAACGATACTACGCGTTGACGACACGTGTATTTCACCTAGTTTTCGAAAAAGCCGCGTCAAATACACGTGTCGTCATTTCGTAGTGTCGTTGTCAAAAAAGCGAAACCATTCTGTGCATTTGTACGTAAAAGTGTTTGAAGACAAGATTTTTAGCGCTTTTTGATGATTTTCCCCTTCATAATTAGCCTAAGTAAGGATTTTAACAAGGTTAAGATACTTTTTATAGTAGCTAAAGCCTAAACCTGAGCTTTAGGCTAATTTTTACGATAAGACACCTTTACTCGGAAAGGTTGAGGCGAAAACTGCGGCGCGTTCAAGGCTGATTCGGCCGTTGGTTTCAGGCAAGCAAATGATTGACCAGCCGTAAAATGCCTTTTTCCTGCGGCAAACCCGCCTACACAGGCGGAACCCGCCGTTAGCGCGGCGGGAACATGCCGATTTAATGAGGCAGTTTGCGCCTTTGCGTTTATTTATAGCTGCTCCTAGGCGTTTTCAACAATAAGCGAACATGTTTTACATACATAGTTTATTGATAACAAAAAAATGATCAAAAACGAAAATTGTATTTAAAATTAGACGAATTCCATTTATGTTCGATCAAGTGAAGTTGGTTGATGTTGATTTTGGACGATACTGAAAAAATGTGTATTTTGACAAGAAATTAATAATGGGGCAGATTATGTAAATTTACGAAAATTAAGACTTTGGGAGCTGAAAACTAGCTTGAAAAATGTTCATTTAGAAATCCGAAAGATTTTTCAGAAAAGTTTGAACCTGAATTAACCTTTTCCACTGACAAGGGATCTTTTTTTACACAACACTTCAAATCTTGATGAAATTTTGTCCATAGACAGCTTTTAGGGTCATAAGAACACCCTAAAAATTTTAGTCTCCCAATGGACCTCTGAGCCAAGTTATGGGCTCTCAAAAGTTCAAAAATTGCCAAAATTGGCTCATAAAACACATCATAACTCAATGTTCGATCATTTTTATGAAAAACTGAGTAGCAGATGATGATCAGCGTGGTCGATTTACCCAAAAAGCATCAATAAATCGAATTTTCAGAAAAAATTTCTGATTTTGAAAAAATGAATGAGCAGGGGCACATCTGAATTTTCATGAATTTTCAGCCGAAAAATAAAAAACTTCAAAATTTTTCGAAATAAAGTTTTTTTATTGATGTACTTTTAGGTAATCGACTATGCTGATCAATATCTGAAACTTCATTTCTCCCAAAAACAATTTGAAATGGAGCTATGATGACTTTTGTGACCATTTTTAGGCCTTTTTTGAGTTTTTGAGAGCCCAGAACTTGGCTCAGAGGTCCATTGGGAGACTTAAATTTTTAGGGTGTTCTTATGGTCCCAAAAGCTGTCTGTGGATAAAATTTCATCGAGATCAAGATTTGAAGTGTTGAGTAAAAAAGGTTCCCTTGTAAACATGGTTTTTTTCAATCGAAACAAGTCCCTGAAAATAACATACCGGTTGTCAAAATGAAGAAATCATTCATACCAGTAGCCATCTACATACATCGCTCGGCACTTCTTTGATTTTTCGTATGTTTCTTCTCGAAATTCAACGATTTCCAGATGATGCGGTCTGTAATATATAGTTTTTCATTGAAGACACATTTCAACTTACTCGATCATTGATTTTTCTCTCTTCGTCATGAAGTTGTGCTCGATTTATAGGCAAAAAACAAAAAATTTAGGAGAAAAAAATAGAAAATATTTTCGAAAATTCGAAATAAACAACAGGCACTGAGCGCAGTTTTGTTTGAAATTGAACGGCATGTTTGCCGCAGAAAAAGGCAGTTTCCGCCTACAGCTCAAGAGGCGATGCCAGAACTGGCGGGTTTGCCGCTGTCATGCTTCAAACCTGCCAGTGAAGGCGGTTCGTGCCTTTTTCCTGCCCAAAAACTGCCGAGTCACTTCCCCGCCGCAATTTCCGCCTCAGGGTTACCGAGTAAGTACCCTAAAATAACCCTAATTTTTCTCTACAGCGTGATTTCCTCATCCACCCTGGCCAACGAAAAGCGCTCGAAATGGAGACTAAAAAACCGAAGCATGCGATGAGCTTTGAAATCCTCAAAACTGACACAATTCAAACATTTTTCGATGTTGTCACCTATCAAAAAGCCGGCTCAATTATATCAATGTTTCGCAGAGTTTTGGGCGAAAATGAATTTTTGCATGGAATTCGTCGCTATTTAAAGGCACATATGTATCAGAATACTCAAGAGGAGCAACTTTTCAAGTATATTGGAGCGAGTTTTGCGGGTGGAGCCGAGGAATTTGAGAGTTTTGCCAAGTCTTGGACGAATTCTGAAGGATTTCCGACGGTTAATGCGAGAATTGTGGAGAATAATCAAGTGGAACTCTCGCAAAATGATCCGGAAGGCTTGTGGGAAATTCCAGTTTTCTACCAGAACGGGCCGCAAGAGGCCGAGCTTATTTGGCTCAAAGATGAGCCGGTTACAATTCCCTACACCCCTGGCTCATTGCTCATTTTAAACCCCGATTCGCACGGACATTTTCGAGTAGATTATCAGAGTGTGGAACTATGGGAGCAGATTGCTTCGCAGCTTGAGCAGAACCCTCGGATGCTCAGTGCCCGCACCAAAATCCGCCTCATCGATGATGCTTTCCACTTCCGTCGTCCGGAAGCGGAAGCGTTGCGGAAATATATTTTCCGCGAGACGGAACGATTGCCGATTTTGGCGTATTTGTTGAATTTAAAGGGACATGACGAGGAGTTGCGCAGTGTTTTGAGAGGATTGCAGCAAGTGGAGACGAGTTGGAAGTTTGTGGAGATGAATTATTTGGAGGATAGCAAGTTTGATGAAGTGTCAGTGGATTTTGGGGGCTTTTGAGGGCTTCTAAGGGCTTCTAAGGGCTTCCGAAGGCTTCTAAAGGCTTCTGAAGGCTTCTGAAAGCTTCTGAAGGCTTATAAGGGCTTCCGAAAGCTTCTAATGGCTTCTGAAGGCTTCTGAATGCTAGAAATGCTCAAAATTCAGTTTGCGAAACACGCTCTAATGCAAACAGGAGCGGGAAGAGTGGAAATTCAAATTTTTCGCGTAAAAATTATCGATTTTTGATGATTTTTCATTGGGCTTTGGGTCTAGGGCCTAGTTTTAAATTTGGGCCAGGCCGCTGCGCGGAAGATTGCGGTTTACACTCGCGCAGAGCGCTCGGGCCAAGTCCAAGTCTGAAACTAGGCCCAAGACCCAAAGCCCAATGAAAAATAGCCAAAAATCGATAATTTTGACCTGAAAAATTTGAATTTCCACCCTTCCCGCCCATATTTGCATTAGAGCGCACTTTCTTCTTTTTTTTCAAGACTAATAAATTTGGAGCAATTGCTTTTCAATGCTCAAAAAACCCCTGGATGGAATTTGACTGCGTACATTGTTGTTTTGGCTGAGTATCTAATGTGAATTTCCTAACTGACCTAACTGACTGAGTATTCTAGCCAAAATCCTGTCTTAACCCAACAATTTTGAATTTTTTGCATTAGAGCGCATTTTCTTTCGAGCTTCAGGTTAAGCCTTAACAAAAATTAAAAATTTGAATTTCCACCCTCCCCGCCCACATTTGCATTAGAGCGCGTTTGCTATTTTTTGAGTAAAAATTCAAATTTTCTTCCGAGCTTCAGGCTAAGCCTAAAATAGCCTTTAAAATTTGAATTTCGACCCTTTCTGCCAACATCTGCATTAGAGCGCGTTTGATATTCTCTGAGCTAAAAATTTGAATTTTTCTGGCTAAACCTAAAAAAACCAAAAAAAATTAAAAATTTGAATTTCCACCCTCCCCGCCCACATTTGCATTAGAGCGCATTTGATATTTTCTGAGCTAAAAATTCAAATTTTCTTTCTAGTTTCACTCTATGCCTAAGAATATCCCCTAAAAATTTGAATTTTCACCCTTCCCGCTCACATTTTCATTAGAGCGCGTTTGATATTTTGAGCTAAAAATTTGAATTTTTCTGGCTAAACCTAAAAAAAATTAAAAATTTGAATTTCCACCCTTCCCGCTCACATTTGCATTAGAGCGCATTATCTCTTTCACCTAAAAAAAATTCAAATTTTTTCCAGTGATCTTGCCACTCAAATCATCTCAACCGAATGTATGGTCAACCCAACTGAATGCTATGAAAAATCGGAGCCGTTCTACGAGCATCTCCTCAAATCGTGTCAATATCCCGGAGTTCAAGTGTCAAATTGCTCAAAAGTCCCACCACCGCTGCGAAAAACTGTATACTGTGCAGCGATTTTGAATCAAAAACACACGGAATTGTTGGAATCGTGGATGAAAAATGAAAGAAGAGCCAGCGAGAAGCAAACACTGAAATTGGCTTTTGAAAATTGCAAACCCAAGGCGAATAATTTGGAGAGAAAGAGCAGAAAAAAGGCCGGATTGGATTTGGCATGGAATTTGGAAGTGGAACAACAATTGTATTTGGAGCATTAGAATGAATAAATTATGTAGATTTGAGTTTTGGGGCTTTTTTGGGCCATAAACGGGCTTTTAGGCCCTAAAATTTGGGATTTTCGAACTCTTCAGCAGCTTTTTCCTAATATATGTTATATTCCAGTATATCTACATACAAAATTGATCACTTAATTGGGTCACGTGATCAATTTTTTTTTTGGATTTCTAAAAATGCTCATCAAATCAAGATGTGATTCATTTTATTTTAAACGTGACCTTTTTATTTTGAATGAAGCGAGCACTCAAAGAGAGTCTCATTCTCTATTTTACTAAAATTACGAAATGCCGGTTCGAAAAATGCTGTTCTTAATGTACGATTTCTGCTAATATTCAGATGGATTTTTATTTTGATCATGTGGAAAGTTGAAGTAGACCGTTTGAGAATCTCTTATATAATAAAATTTTTAATTTTTGTGTTGCAGCTTAAAATTCAGATGGTACCGCTACGCGTTGCAAAATTGCGCTTGAAAAATTAGCAAAAAAATATCGCCCTCGAAATTCAGCTTCTGAATGCGGCATTGTCGGAAAAAATGTTGTTTGTTTCTGAAGTTTCGGTGTTTTGTCAGTTCTTTGATTTTTGGAACCGAAAATCACCGCCGTATCCAATTAAATGGCACTCGATTAAAAAAATAGGTTTTTCCCCATTTCTTGATAATTTTTAAAACGTCAAAATTCGATGAGCATTTCTGAAAAGCCCACAAAAAATTTCAAAAATTCAAAATTAATCACGTGACCCAGATCGGTGATCAATTTTGTATGTAGATATACTGGAATGTATATATGTTAATATGAGCAATGTATACTTTGCCACGTCATAACCAACTACAATTTTTTCCACCAAAATTTATAATTACTCATGTTAAATTGAGCGTTTCCGATGAATCATCCCAAAAAATGTGACGAATTCCGAAAAATTCAGATCAATCATGGGATTTTCTATGAAAAAAAAATTTTCAAAGATTAGATAAGGAAAAATGATCTGGAGGCAGAGTTAGAGAGGTAGAGAAGGTTAGAGACGCAGAGAAAACGGGTGGGATGTTTTCAGAGCATCAAAATCGAAATCCTGGAATATTAAATTCAGGTTTCAGAGTGCAGATTTTTCTAGATGTTCAGCTACAGGTTCAGAAGCTTTAGAGTATCTTGATTTTGAAGCTCGAAAGCTTCTGAACCTCTAGTTGAAGATCTAGAAAAATCTGAACTCTGAAACCTGAATTTTTAATTCTAGGATCTTGATTTTGAAGCTCTGAACTTCAGAAAACATCGTAGATTTCCGAACCAGAATATTTTCCAACTTCAAAAATCACAGTTCTACTTTGTGTCTTATCATACAAAAAAAATCTTTTTCTTTTCAATTTTTCGTCAAATCATCAATCATTTTGCCCGAGAAATCTATAAAAGTGCGCGAATTTTCATCATTTTCTCAAAAATTCCCTTCAAATCATGTTTCGCTTAACAATTTTGGCGCTATTCGCTATTATCGGCATGGCCACGTGTCAATGGGGACCACAATTTGGTGGACAACAAGGATTCCAACAGGGAGGCTTCCAACAAGGGGGCCGAGGGGGCTTCGGGGGCCAGCAAGGTGGATTCCAACAAGGAGGCCGAGGGGGCTTCGGAGGCCCACAACAAGGTGGATTCCAACAAGGAGGCCGAGGTGGATTCGGAGGCCCACAACAAGGTGGATTCCAACAAGGTGGACGAGGGGGCTTCGGCGGACAACAAGGCTTCCAACAGGGAGGCCGAGGGGGCTTCGGAGGCCCACAACAAGGCGGATTCCAACAAGGAGGCCGTGGTGGATTTGGTGGACAAGGCTTGATTGGATCTATTCTTGGATAATTGCTTTTTTGATCTCAAATAAATTTTTTTTTCTACTTCCTTTTTGATTTTTGTGAGAGATAGGCTATCTTCTGGCTGATGCAATTGATCTAAATGACCTTTAGGTCAGGAAATGAAGAGACTTTAGACTTTTAATGATAGTTATAGAAACTTTATCACATAAAACATCAGCTTCTTGAAGTTATCACAAGTTCCCTTTTAATTAGGGAAAATTATTTCAAATAAGCCCGAATTTTCAAACAAAACATGTAGAAGTTTGCTGGAAATTCAATTTTCAGCAATATTTTCAGCGAGAACCAAGAATTTCAAGGTTTTCCGGATGAAAACGAAAAAAAATGAAAAAACAAAATAAAGGGAGGCGCCGTAAATCTACACGTGTTACCCGCCACGAAATATGTTTCGTGTAGTTCTCCCGGAGTATTTTTCATTTTTTTTTCGAAAATTTTTGTTTTTTCGAGTTTGAGGATGAAAAATAGGTGTTTTTCGCGGTTTCTTCGACAGAAATTGGAAGATTTGACGAGATTTGCCACGTGGCATCGATTTGGAATCGGAAATTCGAGAAAAATCAATATTTATTGCCTAAAAAAAGGATAAAAGAAATTTATTTTAAATAACTCCTAACAACATTTTGTAGCATAGCAATAGCTTGTTGTGGTGCATCATGAGCCAACATTTGACCAGCTCCAATAATCGACCAAACTTGCAAATTCTCAAATCCTTTTTTATATCCAGCAAGTGGAAATTGTGTTAATTTTAGAGGATAACGAGTTGATGAGTTGAATAAATTCATACCATCCCAGGTTAGGCGATTTATCCATGTAGATGTGCCTGGAATAAGGGCTTAGAATCGGCATGGACTAAGCTTGGGCGTAGGCCCGGCCATAGCCCCGGCCGGGCTTAGGCCCCCTCGGTCTCACCTAATCCATTACTATACAAATCCTCATTCCCTGTATAAATCACAAGATTTACACCGGCTTTCAACAAATCATCAACTTCTTTGTAAATCGGCACCATTAAATCGAAAAACATCGCACTTAGCACATGATTCGAGCAAGTTTCGAATTCCACTGTACTTGGGATAACTCCCAACTTTCCGCGAACCACTGAATTCATATATTCGCTCAAGTCATCCTTTGTTTCACCACTTTGACTTTCCCAAAGTGTATTCCACGTGTCAGATCCCTCAGCTTTCAAAATATTAAACCATGATACACCTCCAGTGTACTCTTGCACCATATTCTGAATTCGCACATAGCAATTCTCAGCGCCAGCGTAATCTTGCCTATTTAAATAAATTTGACAGAGTTCAGCTTGGGAGTTGAGAGAAGTCAATTTTTGATCATCAATGAGTGACTGGAAAAAAGCTAGGTTTATTTTCTCTTTTTGCCACGTCATAACTCACATTAACATGCAGATAGGTGCCCCAGCTCGCCAGAAAATCGCCCGGTGAAATCCATGGTGCACCCATTATCAGACCTCTAAGGTTTATCAGAGACGCCTCGCGTAGAACCTGCGCGAACTCCACAGCAAACTTGCCGGCGTAGCCCTCAGATACCAAGAAGACCGGGCGGGTTCGGTATTCTGAGTGATGGGCCAGGAATCCGTGAAGCCAGGAGAGTAACTCTTCAGCAACTTGGCTGGAATTCTGCGCGTAGTTGTGGTTTTCGACGTATGAGAAACCACTGCCAGCTGGTGCATCGATATAGACTAAGTCAGCTATCTGTAGCCAAGTTCCCAAATTATCCGAGCCATTCAAACCCTTCGGCCCAGTCTCCATAAAATTCCCAAATCCACTCGCAGAAGCCCCCGGTCCACCTTGTAACATAATAAACAATGGCCGGCTAACATCAAGTGGCTTCACCTGATACAACCACCAAAATACATGAGCTACGGTGTTTCGAGCATCCACATATCCCCAATCCTCGTCGTACTGTAGTGAACCTCCCCAGGTGTTCACGGAGCCATGAGCGCCACAAAAAGCTAGGGGTATGAAGACTATCAGGAACACCTGAACCTTTTTCATGAGTTAAAAATAAAGTGTTCTATCAGGTACTATGTAGGTATTATATACGATTCCTGGAGACCTGATCTTTTGATGTCATAGGTGGAAAATAATATTATAATCTGTTGATTTTCTAGCTGATAAGAAAGAAGTTCTTCCAGAAAGGAAAATGTGTAGTTTAGGTTGACATCTTTGAACAAAAATCAAAATTTCAGTTGAAAGATTTCAACAAAAACTGAAATTTCGATTTCAGTTTCTTTCAACTGGTCAAATGTTGGCTCATGATGCACCACAACAAGCTATTGCTATGCCACAAAATGTTGTCAGGAGTTATTTGAAATAATTTTCTTTTTTTAAGCAATAAATATTGATTTTTCTCGAATTTCCGATTCCAAATCGATGCCACGTGGCAAATCTCGTCAAATCTTCCAATTCCTGTCAAAAATCCACGAAAAACACCTATTCTTCATCCCCAAACCCGGAAAACCCGAAAATTTTCGAAAAAAAAAATGAAAAATACTCCGGGAGAACTACACAAAACACATTTCGTGGCGGGGAACACGTGTCGATTTACGGCGCCTCCCTTTATTTTGTTTTTTCATTTTTTTTTTCGTTTTCAGCCGGAAAACCTTGAAATTCTTGGTTTCTGGAGGGTTTTCGCTGAAAATATTGCTGAAAATCAGATTTTCAGCTAATTTCTACATGTTTTGGTTGAAAATCGCAGAAGAATTGAGGTTTTTTGGGCTGAAAATGCGATTTTTGGGAAAATCGAGTTTGGTGAGTTTTTTTGGCGGGGTGGGAATTTGAGAAATTCAAAAAATTTTCACACATTGTATGATGTATTTACCAAAAAAAAAACACTATACAAACATGTTTTTATGGGAAAAATTGGACAAAAACATTGTTTTTGTCCACATTTTTTGCTACTATACACAAAAAATCCTGGTTTTTTTGTATAAAAAATTCAAAAATTTCGCCACGTGGCAACATAAAATCCCATCGTACACTTGTGTGGTTTTTGATGCATTCTTGTGTTGGAAAAGTAAACACCGTGTATATTTGTGTGTGTGCACCGCAAAAGCAACACACATTTTGTACATAGGGGTGCGCGGAAGGTTTCCGCGCTCGCCCGCGCGCGCGTTTTTCTCCGCGTCTCTCACTTTGTACACACTATCTATCTCCTCTTAGTTTTTATCGTTTCCAAAAATCTCCTCACATATTTTTCATTGTGTTTTGAGGTGTTCCTTTATTGAATCCACGTATTTTTGTGTGTTTTTGGGGCCTTAATTAGGACTCAAAAATAGACTTTTTAGGGCCATTTAAGCCTAAATTAAGGGCTTCTTAGGGCCTTAATTTAGGCTTGAATATAGAATTTTTGAGGCCTTCATTTAGGCCTAACTTATGGGCTTTGATGAGCCTTAAATATAGGCTTTTTAAGGCCTTAGTTTAAACTTAAATTGTAGGCTTTTTGGGGCCTAAATTTAGGCCAAATTATAGGCTTTTTGAGGGCCTTAATTTAGGCTTGAATCTAGGCTGTTAGAGTTCTTAATTTACGTCTAAATATAGGCTTTTTAGGGCCTAAAATTAGGCTTTTCGAAATCATTTAAACGTGACCCAATTTTTTTTCAAAAAAAAAAAAAACAAAAATTTTTTTTTCGGAAAATTCAAAAATCCAGTTATTTTTCAGTATTTCTAGACTAGAAAATGGTTGAAAAATGAAAATTTCAGGAATTTTTTTTCAAAAAGTGAGTTAAAAATTGATTTTTGAATCCAACAAAAAAAGAATCGCATCAATCAAAAAATCCACGATTTTTCGCGCGCGAAAAATAAATTGACCAGGTTTTGGACGAGTTTTTTTTAGTTTAAAGATTTTTTGAGAGCGATAACAAAGTACATTTGCCATTTTTGAGGGAAAATCCATGATTTTTGGTGTTAATATGAGCAATCGTAATTTCTAAGCTAATATGAGCAATGACCGATTTTTCTTCAAACTTTTGGCTCTAATCTGAGCAATCCTATGATTTTTCTTCTAAAATTAAGTCATCTCATGAAATTTTTTTATTGTGCAAAAATAAAAAAATCAAAGTACTAATTTTTCTTATCAAAAAAACTTTCACTTGGTTTTTTTCGCATAAAATTTTCACTTTTTCCCAAAAAAATAGGCTTTTGACCAGAATTTCATCCAAAATTCAGAAAATTTCCAGAAAAATGACATCGAACTCGGAGAAAATCATCAGAAATACAGCAAATGATGAGCCTAATCCCGATTTTCCACAAAATCGCAGTGTGGCTTCAGTGCGAAGATCGACGACATTTCAAAGAAGAGGATCAGCTTCGGCTAGGAGAATGGGTGAGTTTCGAGTTTTTGGGCTGAAAATCTGGAATTTTCATGAAATTTGGCGTCGAAAGACACCCCACAAGCCTGGGAAAATTTGAATTTCCCGCCAAAAATGGCACGAAATTCAAATTTTTCAAAATCATAAGCTTATGGGGTATTTTTCGAAGCGAAATTTCACTAAAAATTTGAATTTTCCAAATTTGGCGCCAAAAATCATTCAAAAATGGCGCGAAAATCAAAAAAAAATCCCTGACACGATTTTTCCATGTTTTTTTTTCTCCACTGAAAAATAGGTCGAAAAGTGTCAAGGATGATACGATTTTCGATCAAGGAAGAAACAGAACAGAAAAAAACGGTTTCATCTTTTTTTTTTTTTTTGAAATGAAAAATGACTTGTACTTATACAATTTTTGATGGATTATTGTGATCAAAAATCGCGCGAAAATACGGTTTTTGAAGGCTTTTTAGGGCTGGAATCTACAGTAATCTAGGCCCTATTTTAGGCCTAAACAGCTCAATTCTGTCTGAAATTGATTTAACTATCATTTTCAGACCCATTTCAAAAGTAGTTCAAGCACAAAACTTGAAATTCCAACAGTTTTCCAGGGGTCTGAGATTATGTGGAAAATAAAAACACCTATTTTTCAGTTTTTATTTCAGCCTCATTTTTATCTGAAATTTGAAGTAGGGCACATTTATGTATCACCTTTTGACATATTTTGGTTATACCAAATTTCTCAGAAAAAATCAAGATTTCGAATTTTCGAAAATTGTATATCTAAGCGATATCTGCGAAGTCTTCCGCAAGCTTCCTCGAGCGCTCTGCGCGAGTGTAAACCGCAAGCTTCCGCGAAGCGGCTACGCCTATGTCTACCGCAAAGTCTTTCCAGCCACTACGCGGAATCTTGCGGTCTACACTCGCGCAGAGCGCTCGAGCCTTTCGGCTTTTAGGCTTCTAGGCCCAGCCGCTACGCGGAAGATTGTGCCGCTTCGCGGAAGCTTGCGATTTACACTCGCGCAGAGCGCTCGGGATTTTCAATTTGTTGTTTTCCCCCCATGTTTATCTGGTTTCTTTTTCTCACCCAGACATACACACAAATAAATACAATACATAATACAAAAAGGTCACCCCCCCCCCTCCCCTAGTTTCTTTTTTTTTGCCCTCCCGCACCCTGGCACCAGCCAGGCCTAAAAAAGTGCGGAGAGTATCTCATCTCTTTTTTTTTCATCTCATCATTTTTTGTTGTCCTTTTTGTCGCCGCGGTGGCGGCGACCCCCAGGACAATTAAATATGACAGAGTGTGAAAGTCTTGGTGGCCGCTGCGCGGAAGCTTGCGGAAGACTTTGCGGAGAGCGCTCGACTTGTAGACTACTGAGCATAGGCCCAGCCGCTGCGCGGAAGATAGTACCGCTACGCGGAAGCTTGCGGTCTAGACTCGCGCAGAGCGCTCGAGCCTTTTAACTCAGTAAACCCGAGCGCTCTGCGCGTGTGTAGACCGCAAGCTTCCGCGAAGCGGCCACGCCTAAGCCTACAGGCGGTCTACACTCGCGGAGAGCGGTCGGGCCTTTGGGCTTCTAGGCTTCTAGGCTTCAAGGCCCAGCCGCTGCGCGGAAGATAGTACCGCTACGCGGAAGCTTCCGGTCTACACTCGCGCACAGCGCTCGGAAATCTAGTTTGAATATAGTCCAGTCTGAAAATGTAATTTATCTAGAAACATTCTAGAAATGTGAAATTCCAGTCAAATTTTCAGCTCCAAAAATCTGAAAAGATCGAATTCTCACCAGGAGAAAATTAACCTATGAAATTAATTTTTTGAAATTGCGGTCTACACTCAGGCCTTTAGGCTTTCAGGCCTCTAGGCCCGGCCGCTTCGCGGAAGCTTGTGGGGAATTTTATCTGAAATTTTTGAACCTAGAAATTCTAGATTTTCAGAGAAAAATAGGTTGTAATGTTGTAGTCTGAAAATCTGAAATACAATCCACATTTTCAGCCAAAAATTCTGAATTTTTGATCATTTTATCAAAATTCCTAGACAAAAAAAAAGGAATTTTTGCTGACTTTTCAAAAAAATTGTTCATTTTTTTTTGTGGTGGTCACACATTTCTTTCTTTTTATCTCAAATTTTTTGGTCTGACACGTGAAAACTTTTTTTTTGTTCTTATCTTGAGAAAAAATGGAAGATTTACTGATTTTTCTGTGGCATTTTTCATTAATGAAAAATGGAACAAAGTTCGTTTTTTCCTCGCGGAAGACCTTGCGGAAGACTTCCGCTTCGAATTTATAGGCGTGGCCGCTACGCGGAAGCTTGCGGAATAATTCAATTTCAGGTTGATTTTCGCAAAAAAATACGACTTTGAATCGATGAATTTTTAATTCAGAAAATTTTAGAGCATTTTTTGAAACCTATTTTTTACTGGGCCATTTTTTTCCAGTATTTTAGGCTTAGAATAGGGCCTTTAGATAAGTTAGTGTGTAGATTTTAGGCCTGAAGGTAGCCCGAAATTTAGAATTTTTTGAAGCCTAAATAAGCCTAGATGTATGGGCCTGAAATTTCTGGCTTAAAATAGCCCAGAAAGCCTAGAGATTGAATGAAAATTTGGGGGATTTTTTTGAAGCCCGAATGAGCCTAAAAAGCCTAGATTCTCACATCTGCCACGTGGCAACAGAAAATCCTTTCAAATTTCACTATATAAACCAAATCTAGGTCATATCTTCTGCCACGTGGCAAACTACTATTCAAATTTCACAGTACACCATGCCACGTGGCAAAAATCCCTTCAAATTTCACAGTAACCCTATCCATTTTGCCACGTGGCAATTATATGTAACCTATATTTTTTTTTTCCCATATGCTACCCCCCAGGCATGTTCATTCTGCCTGCTGGCCGGACGGCACGGCTGCCGTGTGGGCGTGGCTTCGCTGTTTTGCTGGCCGAGCAGCAAAGAAGAAAATAGCAGAAAACAGCAGCCGCGGCTTGCCGGCCGGCTGCCGTTTTTCAAAATGGGAAGGAGAAGGTCGTCGCTCCGCCCCCTGCACACAACACACACAACAGCGCGCAACCCGAAAACCGTCGCACACACAATTTATTTAAATAGTCTCGCGCGCGCGTGTCTCTAGCTCTCTTTCTCGGGGTGTTTTTGGAGGATTTGTTTGATGATTTCGACATTTTTCTTCACGAAGTAGACAGCAATGCCGGCATTTCGGCACGGCAGCCACGGCATGCTGTTTTGTTTTATTTTTTCAAAACAGCAGCGGCTGCTGTTGCCGTTTTTGAAACGGCAAACGGCCGGCATTGCCGGCAAAATGAACATGCCTGGTAGTACCCCCCTCAAAATTGTAGTATGTATACAAAAAATCTCCTCCTCCTCATCTTCTTCCTGATGAAAAGAAAGGTCATTAGAGGTCAGTTTTTGTCTGCTTCTCTAGCCGCTCTCTTCTCTCTCCACACACTCTCTCGCTATCCCTCTTTTTTCTTTTTTCTCTGCATTCTCTCTTCTCTACTATCTCTCTCCCTCTTATTTTCGTTTGAGGTTGTGTTTTTCATTGTTTTTTCGTCGGGCCCGGCCTGTTTTTTTCAATTTTTTAATTTGGATTAGCTTAATATGAGCAATCGGCTTGGTTAGAGCATATTTTATTGATTTTTGTGTGAGAAATGAGATTTTTGACCAGTTTTTGTGTTGTGGGCGGATTTTTCGGTTATTTTCGCCTTAATCTAAGGTTCTCTAAGCCTAACCTTATGGTTAAGCCTTATCAGCTAAGCTAAGCCTAAGGTATCAAGCCTAAGCTATTAGCTAAGCCTAACCTTACCAGTCTAAAATGAGCAATATTGAAATTCTGGCTGTTTCTAAGGTTAAACCTTAATCTAAGGTTCTCTAAGCCTAAGGTACTTATTATCAGCTTCTAATGCCTGAGGTATTAGCAAAGCCTAACGGCTTTTTCTAAGGTTTCGCTTTAAGCCTTAAACTTAAGGTCTCTTAATCCAAATCTATAATAATAATAATACGATACACAAAATCCACACTACACTGCCTCCCCAAATCTACGTGTGTGTGGAAAAACGAAAAATGTCTGGCACGCTCTCGCAAACACACACTCTCTCGCACACAACTTTTTACTTTTATTTCGCGAAAACAGTGCATATTAGGAGCTGATTTTTATGTGTTTTTCATCGGAGCCACAATATGTGTTATACATAGTTCGAAAGAGAATTTCTTCGGCTACAAGCACATATGAAATGTTATAAATGAAACCGAGATAAAAAAATAAAAATTTCATGCAAACATGACATGGTTTTTTTGAATTGTGTGAAAAACGCATGTGTTTTTTGATGACCTGGCTTATTTTTTGAATATCGAATATATGTATAATCGAGTCGTAGTTTTGTTCAGAATCTCAAGGGCTTTCAGATGGTATAAATCAATATTTATGAAATTGTGAAATCATGGAGGAGTAGGGATTTTTCGTTTGTCAATTTTTAAAACGAAATTTTCATTTTCATTTGAAAAGAACTCGAATGAAGTTTACATACGTTTTGAAGAGAATTTCTCGGGCTTCAAAATCATATATATTTCTATACACAAAAATGGAAATTGAAAGCACCGCTTTCGGTTGAAAACTTGTTGGGTTTGCACCAAACAAACAAACCGCGTTCAGTAGCGTTGCGAAAAACAGCGGTGAGTTTTCAACCGAAAGCGGTGCTTTCAATTTCCATTTTTGTGTATAGAAATATATATGATTTTGAAGCCCGAGAAATTCTCTTCAAAACGTATGTAAACTTCATTCGAGTTCTTTTCAAATGAAAATGAAAATTTCGTTTTAAAAATTGACAAACGAAAAATCCCTACTCCTCCATGATTTCACAATTTCATAAATATTGATTTATACCATCTGAAAGCCCTTGAGATTCTGAACAAAACTACGACTCGATTATACATATATTCGATATTCAAAAAATAAGCCAGGTCATCAAAAAACACATGCGTTTTTCACACAATTCAAAAAAACCATGTCATGTTTGCATGAAATTTTTATTTTTTTATCTCGGTTTCATTTATAACATTTCATATGTGCTTGTAGCCGAAGAAATTCTCTTTCGAACTATGTATAACACATATTGTGGCTCCGATGAAAAACACATAAAAATCAGCTCCTAATATGCACTGTTTTCGCGAAATAAAAGTAAAAAGTTGTGTGCGAGAGAGTGTGTGTTTGCGAGAGCGTGCCAGACATTTTTCGTTTTTCCACACACACGTAGATTTGGGGAGGCAGTGCACTATAATTCGTCATTTTTCCTCAGATTTTTGATTCCATTCATTCCATCATAAATACATTGGAAAAAAAAAAGAAAAAAGGCGCAAAAATCCGGTTTTGTTTCGAAACCAGACGAATTTATGTGTGTGTATATTCTTTTTGTGTTCGATTTATTTTCGTACATATTTTTGTATAATAATAATATTCTTTTGGAGAATCGTTTTTGGCCTGTTTTTGGGCTGAAAACTAGGCTCTTTAGGGATATTTTTTGGCCCATTTTTATCCCGAAAACTAGGCCCTTTAGGGATAATTTTCAGGCCTATCTTTAGGCTAATAGTTAGGCCCTTCAAGGCTGATTTTGAGGCTGATAATTAGGGTCTTTAGGGCTGATTTTTAGGCTGAAAACTGGGCTCTTTAAGGCTGATTTTCAGCCCTATCTTTAGGCTAATAGTTAGGCCCTTCAAGGCTGATTTTTAGGCTGAAAACTAGGCTGTTTTTAGCCTGAAAAACAGGCTCTTTCAGGCTGATTTTAGGCTCATTCAGGCTTTACTTTAGGCTTCTAATTAGGCCCTTCAAGGCCTATTTTAGGCCGAAAACTAGGTCCTTTAAAGCTGATTTTCAGGATTATTTTTAGGCTGAAAATTGGCCCTCTAAGGCTGATTTTCAAGCTGAAAGCTAGGCCCTTTAAAGCTGGTTTTCAGCCTGAAACATAGGCCCGCTAAGGCTGATTTTTAGGCTCATTTTTAGGATGATAACTAGGCCCTTTAAGGCTAATTTTAAGGTCTATTTTTAGCCTGAACCTAGGCCCCTTCAAGGCCCATTTCCAGGCTTTCTAGGCCAATTTTTCTCATCGCGACCTTTTCTGACCCAAAAACACATCAAATCTTAATAATAATAGTGTCACCTTCTTTTTTTGATCGTCTCTAATCTTTTTCATAAATCAGTCAGTTTAGGTCAAATCTTATTGTGATCAATCATTTTTGGACTTGGATTTTTTTCTGGCCGTTTTGACTTGAAAATTGGGATTTTTACACAAAAATGCTTCCAAATCATCAAAAATCCTCCGAAAAAACCAGATTTTCCTCGCTTCCTCTCAAATCTCATTAATATCAACGAAAACATGTGAGATAGGCCCGTTTTAGGTATTAAAATAGGCCTTTTCAGGCTTAGTTTATGTCCTAATCTTAGGCTGATTTAGGCCTAGCTTCTGACAAAACCAGGTTTTTTAAGGCTTGTTTTAGGACTATTTTTAACCTGAAAAATAGGCTTGTTTTAGGCTGATTTTTGGACTTGAAAATAGGCTGATTTAGGCCTAGCTTCTGACAAAACCAGGCTTTTTTTAAGGCTTATTCTAGGCCTATTTTCATCCTGAAAAATAGGCCCATTTTAGGCCTATCTTAGGCATGTTCTAGGCTCGTTTTCAGTTCTAAAAATAGGCCTTTTCAGACTCATTTTCAGGCCTATTTTCAACCTGAAAAATAGGCTTATTTCAGGCCGATTTTTGGTCCTGAAAGTAGGCCTAAAGCCCATTTTCATCCTGAAAAATAGGCTGTTTCTAGACTTATTCTAGGCCTATTTTCATCATCAAAAAATAGGCAGTTTCTAGGCTTGTAATAGGCCTAGGTTCTGCCTGAAAAATAGGCGTGTTTTAGGCCTATCTTAGGCCTATCCTAGGCCCATTCTTAGGCTGATCCTAATTTTTTTCCTCTTCAAACTTTTTTTCCCCGCAGTTTTCTTCTGTCTTCTTCTTGTTGTGTTGGCCGAAAAATGTAGAGAGAAATGACCCAAATAAATCTGCCCCCCTTTTTTTCTCTGTGTCTCTTCTCTCTCTCACTCTCTAGATGAGAGAGAGAGTTAGAGACGCAGACATCAACAGTACCTCCTACCGTACCTGGTTCTTATTCTTCTTCTTGTTTTTCGTATTTCCTAGTTTTCTTCTTGTTGTTTTGCCGATTTCATCAGCCATTTTATGAGGAATTTTGGGCCCGGAAAAGCCTGGAAAAGCCTAGAAAGCCTGGGACATTTTTGAGCCTAGTTTGGCCTAGTCTGGAATTTTCAAGAGCTCTGAAATTTCAGCCAAATTTTCAAGAATTTGAAAATTATCTGGAATTTTTCGAATCTGAAATTCTAGATGTGATTTTCAGCCCTGGAATTTTCTAGCTTTTTTTGAGGTCTGAAAATTTCAGCCCTGGAATTTCAGACAAATTTTCTAGCTCCAAATTTTCAGCCTAAATTTTTTAGAATCTGAAAAAAAAATTGAAATTCTGAAGATCTGAAATTCCAGATGTGATTTTTCAGCAAAATTTTCTGGTTTTTCTTGAGGTCTGAAAATTTCAGGCCCAAAAATTTCCAGCCAAATTTCTTTTTTTCTTCCCCACTTCCGCCTTCTCCCCAAGCTCCGCCCCTTTTTTTTGCTCATTTTGCTCATTTTTTTTGTGCTCAAAAATAGCTTTTGGATAATCCCTCATTATTACGCATTTTCAGCACGTTTTTTTGGCTGAAAATCTGAAAATTGGAAGATTTCTGATCACTTTTTTTAGTGTAAAAAAAGCTGCAGAAAAAACAATCAGCTGACCATTTTTTTGTGTAATTTTTATTAGTTAGCCCAAGTTCTGGAAGCTTCTGGAGGATTCTGAAGGCTTCTAAGGGCTTCTGAAGGCTTCTAAGGGCTTCTGAAGGCTTCTAAGGGCTTCTAAAGGCTTCTAAAGGCTTCCCAAGGCTTCTAAGGGCTTTTAAAGGCTTCTAAGGGCTTCTGAAGGCTTCTAAGGGCTTCTAAAGGCTTCTAAGGGCTTTTAAAGGCTTCTAAGGGCTTCTGAAGGCTTCTAAGGGCTTCTAAGGGCTTCTAAAGGCTTCTGAAGGCTTCTGAAGGCTTCTAAAGGCTTCTAAAGGCTTCCAAAGGCTTCCCAAGGCTTCTAAGGGCTTTTAAAGGCTTCTAAGGGCTTCTGAAGGCTTCTAAGGGCTTCTAAAGGCTTCTAAGGGCTTCTAGAGGCTTCTAAAGGCTTCTAAAGGCTTCCCAAGGCTTCTGAACTTATCCGAACTCAAAAAAATCCCCTGAAAAATTGATTTTCCCATTTTCTTCCGTCGTCGTTTTTTTTCGTTTCTCGAAAAAAAAACACTAAAAAGCGGCCAGTCACACACACACAAAAAAATGGGGAAAAAAGAGCAAATATTGGGGGGAGCACAAAAAATGTCTGTTTTTTTTCGACTAGTATACTTTTTTTTTCAAAAAAAAAAAGAATTTTTGTGGCTCCACAAAAAAGTATGAATAACAAATTATTGGGAGCTTGCTCTGGAAAATGAGCAAATTTTTTGAGTTTGGATAAGTTCGGAAGCCCTTAGAAGCATTTAGATACCCTTAGAAGCCTTTAGATGCCTTCTGAAGCTCTGAGAATTTTTTGACTGAAATATTTTTGTCTGAAATTCTGGAATTCCAGAATTTAAGCCCTTCAAATCTTCCAATTTTCACTAATTTTTTAAAGCCTATATTAAGGCCATATTTTGGACCGTTTTCTAGGCTTTTTGGGCTAATTTCAGGCTTATCTTCTAGACCTGTTGAAGCCTAGTTTTAGGCCCAGTTGCAGCCTATATTCTAGACCTTTTGAAGCCTATTTTCAGGCTTGTTTTCTAGGCTTTTGAGTCTTATCTTGTAGATCTTTTGAAGCCTGTATTCTAGACCTTTTGAAGCCTATTTTCAGGCTTGTTTTCTAGGCTTTTGAGTCTTATCTTGTAGATCTTTTGAAGCCTGTATTCTAGACCTTTTGAAGCCTACTTTCAGGCTTATCTTCTAGATCTTTTGAAGCCTATTTTCAGGCCTGTTATCTAGGCTTGTTTTCTGGGCTTTTTAGGCTATTTCCTAGCCCCTTTTCAGCATATTTTTAGACCCTTTCATAGGCTTGTCCAGTCTATTTTTAGGCTTATATTTTGGATCTTGAAGCCTAATTTCAGGCCTATGTTCAGGCCCATTTCCAGCCTATGTTCAGTCTAAATTCTGGACCTTTTGAAGCCTAATTTCTAGATCTTTCGGAGACCATTTTCAGGGCCATTTCTAGCCTATTTCAGGTCTATTTTTGGGCCCATTTCCAGCCTAATTTTAGGCCTTTTTAGCCCCCATCCTCAAAAAATCCAATAATTCTCATCTTCTTCTTCTATATTTTGTGTGTGTTCCAATTTCCTTCCTTTTTCATTCATTTCTTCTTCTTTTTTCCCATTTCCCAACTGGTTTTTCTTGTATTTTCATCTCCTTTTTCTATTTCTTCTTCTTCATGTCCTAATTTTTTTATATAATATTTTTAGGGGCGAAAATATATGTATTTATATATATTTGTATGTATTTTTGGGCTTTTCTGGGCTTTTTTCGGGCTTTTCAGGCCGATTTTAGGCTTGGTTAAGGCCCATTTCTCTAGGCTTTTAGTTTCGCTCCAACGAAAAAATCGATAATTTTTCTGCCACGTGGAAAATACCCACAAAAAACAACAAAAATATAAAATTTTGCTCTGCTTCTCTAACCGCTCTCTCACTCTCTCGCCCCCTCCTCGTTTTTTTTTTGTTCAAAGAGGAAATGTAGCGATTTGTTTTTTGGTTGTTATTGATTTTTTGCTGGAAATAGTGTGGAAAATGTGGAGAGCGGTTAGAGAAAAATTCTCTAATTCTCTCAATTTTCCATACTATTTCTCTCTGCAAAAATCTAGGAATTTATCGATTTTTTTCCCAACACGTGGCAGATTTTTGCAAAAATTATTGATTTTTTTTTTGAATACGATGATTTTTCGCCACGTGGATTTTCAGCAGCCATAAAATTTCAGCTCTGAAATTTTATAGCTCATCATAAAAAAGGGCTCATTTTCAGCCATTTTTTTGATGCCACGTGGATTTTCAGAGCCGAAATTTCAGATTTTTTGTGCTCTGAATTATTCCAGCTATAATTCTCTAGTCTTCAAACTATAGTCTGGTTTACAAACTATAGTCTAGTTTTTTGTTAGGCCTATAATTATAGTCACAACATTTCAAAGCAAACTCTCTGCGTCTCCAGCATTCTCATGCTCTCTAGTTATCTATCCTCTCTGTGTCTCTGACAATCTTGTTCTCTAGCCGTCTGACTTCTCTCTGCGTCTCTAACCTCGCCTTTTTCCAGCAATTCGCCATTCAACATCTTCTACACGGCGTCGCATCTCGGACTCTCCAAAATCAGCAGTAGAAATGTCCTCCTCGTATTTTCCACCGCAATCACCGCCGGGCGGCGAAAAATCGCCGCGTGCGGCCGAATGCGAAGACGACGAAGACGATGAGATTGAAGAGGACGAAGAAGAACAACAACCGTCTTCATCATCATCCACAAGCGCCGCCGGGCGACGATATTCGCCGCCGCGCGGCGAAAGCGGTGGACAGGCGGCGGCGGCCAGTCAGCAGGCCAGTAGCCCCAGTTTTCCGTGAGTTTTTTTTTGGGGGTCAGCACCGGAAATGCGTCAGTGAAGCTTCAACAAGGCTTGACGCGTTTTTGGTAGGCTACAAAATTCGCGTCAACAAAGACCTAACCGTGTTTGGTCTCATTTTGAAGAGCTACCAAAAATGCGTCAGTAAAGGCCTAAGCATGTTTGGTCTCATTTCAAAGAGCTACCAAAATTGCGTCAGTAAAGGTCCAAGCATATTTTGTCTTATTTTGAAAAGCTACAAAAAATGCGTCAGTAAAGGTCCAAGCATATTTTGTCTCATTTTGAAGAGCTACCAAAAATGCGTCAGTAAAGGCCTAAGCATATTTTGTCTTATTTTGAAGAGCTACAAAAAATGCGTCAGCAAAGACCTAAGCGTGTTTGGTCTCATTTTGAAGAGCTACCAAAATTGCGTCAGTATACCTACCTTTTGACGCAAATTTCCTAACCGGTTCCAGATATTCCCTACGAAAACGGCGAACTTGCCTATCACAAAAAGACGAAGACGCGTGTTTTCCCATCACAGCAGCCACCGCCGACGAAACACCTCAACCGATTTCGAAAAAATTCAAATTGGAATCTGTTTCACCCGGAGAAGCGAGGAAAGAGTAGGTTTTCCCTAAGGTCCCGAATGGAAATTCATACAGTACTCCTTGCAGTTTTTCAATCGATGATGATGATGAGATGAAATATGACCCGAATGAACCGCCCGATCATATAAATACGCTACCCGATGAAATTTTGCTGAAAATCTTCTCATATCTATCCGATGCTGATGTTCTTGCGTGTAATTCGGTTTGTGATCGATTCAATCGCATTGGGAATTCGAATGAGGTTTGGAAGGAGCTCTACTGTGAACTGTATGAATATCGTCTGCCACTCTATCATCCCTCCCATGGGAAGTTTGAGTTTCGCGAAGTTGCGCGGTGGAAGGATGAGAATGCGTGGAAGGAGAGTCATCGACAGTTGGTAAGTGGTTTTTTGGGCGGGAAATTTGGAAAATCCAGCTTGTAGCCCGCAAAATTTGCTCCATTTTGAGCCCGAATTTGGAAAATCCAGCTTTTTCCCTGGAAAAAATGCTCCATTTTGAGCCCGAATTCAATGTGGGAAGCTAGACGGCTAGAGAAGTTAGAGATGCAGAGAGGATAGACGACTAGACAATATAAAAAGAGGGTCTAGACGGCTAGAGACGGCAGAAGACTATCAGAGACGCAGAGGGACTATATCCATAGGCTTAAACTAGACTATAGTTTGAAGACTAGAACTGTAGCTGGAAAAAACTCTGAAATCTTTTCCATGACTGAAAAATCCACGTGGCATAATTTGAAGTTAGAGACGCAGAGAGGCTAGAGAGCATAGGATTGTTAGAGACGCAGAGAGGATAGACGGCTAGAGAGCATAGGATTGTTATAGATACAGAGAGGCTAGACGACTAGAGAGCATAAGACTATCAGAGACGCAGAAGGAAATACACTCGCTCCGCTCGAGCCGCTTACGCGGAAGATTCCGGATTCTAATATAGCATTGCTCATATTAGTGCTCCTGTGAAAAATCCTCATTTTTTGACACCAAATACGGTAGTGTTCCTTTAAATTTAGAATTGCTCATGTTAACGAGCGCTTTGCGCGAGTGTAAACCGGAAGATTCCGCGAAGCGGCACTGTCTTCCGCGAAGCGGCCAGGCCTGAGCCCGAGCGCTCTGCGCGAGTGTAAACCGGAAGATTCCGCGCAGCGGCACTGTCTTCCGCGAAGCGGCCAGGCCTGAGCCCGAGCGCTCTGCGCGAGTGTAAACCGGAAGATTCCGCGCAGCGGCACTATCTTCCGCGAAGCGGCCAAGCCTAGGTTCAAGCCCCACAAGCTTCCGCGCTGTCTTCCCCACAAAAATATCGATTTTTTGCAGCACCGCGGAGTCCACGTGATGAAAGAAGACCCCGAAAACACACGAATCGCAAATCTCAAAGTGTTCGATCAAATCGAATACGCGATGTCATACCTCGAATCAAATCCCGAACGCGAAAAATTAATATTCCTCCACGCTGGAATCCACGAACCTATCGATACAATTTACATCGCATCAAATGTTCAAATAATCGGAGCAAGTGATACGCGAGATATCACAAGTTCAGTGATAATTGAAGGATATCGAAATACGGCGGTGACTTTTGTCGATGGAAGTGCTGGAGCCTATTTTGGATTCATCACAGTGAAATTTCGGCCCGATCCGGCCCCTCTTAAAACGCCTCCGATCTCCCAACAGGGCCAGAATTCCAATCATTTTTATGCGATTCTGGTGACCGATGAGAATGCCGAACCCTACATTGAACGATGTGATATTAGCTCGAAGGTTGGAAGTGGCGCGGCGGTTTGTGTCAAAAAACACGCCAGCCCCAAATTCAAATATTGCACTGTTGTGGATTGTGAGAATGTCGGGATTTATATCACGGATCACGCGACGGGACACTATGAGCATTGTGAGATTGCCAGGAATACGTTGGCTGGGGTTTGGGTCAAGAATAATGCGAATCCATATTTCCGCAAGTGTCATATTCATTCGGGAAAAGATGTGGGAGTGTTTACGTTTGAGTGAGTTTTTTGGGGGATTTTTGATACTAAATGAGCCTGGGACGTTGATAAGCCCGAAAAATGCGAATTTTTGGTACCAAATAGTCCTGGAGACCTTTTCTCAGAGAAAGTATGGCTTGAACGGCGCGGTCCGCGGACGATTTTTCACCGATTTTTGGGTGAAAATCATTACGCGGATTCCGCGAAAAAAATTTCGCGGACAGCGAAACTTCAGCCAGTGAGAGTCTAATTTCGCGCATTCCGCGAAATTTTTTGACTCGGAAATTTGATTTTTTTGCGTTTTTCGCGGATTCGCGGATGGACTCGAGAGGGAGGGTATAAAAAGGATAAATTGTATCGCGTACGCGACAACGAGGATAGCGCAGCAAGCCTTAAGGAAGATGGATGACTACAAAACGACAGGATTGGGATCGAGGCCCGGTTGGAACTACAAGTCAATACTAACTTCTGATAATTATCAGGGGTAGTGAAGCATTTTTATATTTCGAGAGTGCATTGCGCGGATGTTTCGCTAACAGCGGAGTATAATTTCGCGGACGTTTCGCTAAAGTTCTTGTGTCAGCCGCGGATTGGCAGATTTCTCGGTTTCGCGAACCGCGCCGTTCAAGCCAGACCTTCTCTGAGTTTAAGCTCGAAAAATGCGAATTTTTGATACTAAATAGTCCTAATGGGCTTCCAGAGCCGCACAATTCGAAATTTCCATTCCTCAAAGCCACGTGGCATTAAAGTTAGCCTATCTCGAAAAAATCCGATAATTTTCGACACAAAAATAAGAAGCTCTCATCAGGGTTCGAACCATGATCTCTAAATCAATAAGCAGAGCTCCTAACCACCAGGCTACCTCACAATGCTTAGCCTAACTCAAAGAAGCGCTTATCGGGGTTTGATCCAGGGCCTTTTGATCAATAAACACAGCGCTTAATGAAAAATGGACGATTTTCTTGCGATAACATAGCCTAACTCTCATTTTTCAACCATAATCCAATGATTTCGAATTTCAGACACGGTCAAGGCTACTTTGAGAAATGCAACATCCACTCGAATCGCATTTCGGGAATCGAAGTGAAGAATGCGGCGAATCCGGTCGTAATCCGATGTGAAGTTCATCACGGACACACTGGCGGAATATATGTGCATGAAAAAGGACGCGGACAATTCATGGAGAATCGCATCTATGCCAACGCGTTTGCCGGAATCTGGATAACATCGCATTCGGATCCGACGATCCGGAAGAATGAGATATTCACCGGACAACAGGGAGGAGTCTATATTTTTGGCGAAGGTGAGGGAGTTTTGGGAGAAAATGAGCCAAAAATTGGTGGATTTTAAACTTAGGACCATGAAAAATGGGATTTTTAGCCTTAAATTTTGGGAAAATTGGTGAATTTCAAGCTTAGAACCATGCAAAATAAGGTTTTTAACGAAAATTCATTAACAATTGTGGATTTTTGACCCTGGGACCATGAAAATCAGAATTTTCGACCATTTTTGAGCATGGGAGCATAAAAATTGAGTTTTCTGAGCCGAAAAATGGGAAAAGTGATGCATTTTTGACCCTAGGACCATGAAAAATGAGATTTTCTACCATTTTTTACCTCTGGAGCATCAAAAATGCTGATTTTTTCACCCAGAAAAATGTACGTTTCAAAATATTTTCAAATTCTGTTCCTGGGATTTTGCCTCGATATTTGGATATCAAGTTTTTTCAAATTTACTCGAATTTTGGCCAGGAAAACAGGCCTATGACGTGGCAAAAAGGGCTTTTAACGTCTAATTAATGCGGGCTTTAAAATGAATTAATTTTGACAATATTTGGCCGAAAATTAGCCTATGACGTGGCTAAAAGAGCCCCCAAAATAAAGCCTTAGAAACCTTAATTAAAATTTTTTAAACTTAACTAAATTAGCGTATGACGTGGCAACAAAAGACCTAAGAATAATCATACCCTTTCTGAGAGCCTAAGCCTGTGACGTGGCATAACCTAACTCCGAATTTCCAGGCCGCGGACTCATCGAACAAAACAACATCTACGGAAACGCCCTTGCCGGAATCCAAATCCGCTCACAATCCGACCCGATAGTTCGGCTCAACAAAATTCACGACGGCCTACACGGTGGCATATATGTTCATGAAAAAGGAAAGGGCCTCATCGAGGAGAACGAAGTCTACGGGAACACTTTGGCCGGAATCTGGGTGACGACCGGAAGCTCGCCGATTTTACGAAAGAATCGAATTCATTCCGGAAAACAGGTTGGAGTCTACTTCTATGATCAGGGACACGGACTACTCGAGGAAAATGACATTTTCAATCATTTGTACTCGGGCGTACAAATTCGCACCGGAAGTAACCCGAAAATCTGCAGAAATAAGATTTGGGGTGGGCAAAATGGTGGAGTATTGGTGTACAACGGTGGAAAAGGATGTCTGGAGGATAATGAGATTTTCGACAATGCGATGGCTGGTGTATGGATTAAGACGGATAGTGAACCGATTTTACGGAGGAATAAGATTTATGACGGGAGAGATGGAGGAGTTTGTATATTTAATAGAGGCAGGGGGCTGCTCGAGGATAATGAGATTTTTCGAAATGCTCAAGCTGGAGTTCTTATATCTACTGAATCCAATCCAACACTTCGAAGGAATCGGATCTATGATGGGAAGTCTGCGGGAATCGAGATCACTAATGGCGCAACTGCTACCCTCGAGGAAAATCAACTTTTCCGCAATAAGTATGGGGGGCTTTGCGTGGCCACTGGGGTAAACCCGGTTCAACGGAATAATCGGATTTATGATAATCATGATACGATTGCACGGGCTATTAAAAGTGGACAATGCCTGTTTAAAGTTAGCAGCAATAATAGCTTTCCAATGCATAATTTCTTTAGGTGAGTGGGGGCCTTAAAGAGGGCCTAGGGGGGCCCACATCTTGGCCAAGCCATTGGGGCCTAGAGGTTTAGGGGGGGGGGCTTAAAGCCTAAGGGCCTTCCGTGGCTGGCTAGAGTAGAATTTTGAAAAATATCTGAGTGTTTTAGACTCCCAAAACGTGAAAATTCACAGTTTTTACACTGAAATCAAGTTAGCGTACAAAATTTTTCAGGATTTTGACCGAGGGGCCTTAGGCTTGGGTTTAGGGGGCTTTTAGAAGCCTGAAAGAAGAGCCCCCTGAAAATTTGGAGCATTTTGAGAGCAAATTTGACGCGAAAACTCGAAAATGCGAAATTCCCAGGGAAATCTGAAAAAAAAAAAAAAGAAATCTGAAATCCTAAATTCCAGAAATTTTTGAGAAAAATCAAATTTTCCTTCTGAAAATCGAGTCTAGTGTCAAAAAACGCGTATTTTTCAGGGTAGAGCTCAAAAATCCCGGAAAAAGTCCAAATTTTGAGCTCTAACCTGAAAAATGCGCGTTTTTTAACCAAAATCCGTATTTTTGCACAAAAATTCATGGATTTTCATGAAAATTTCGCATTTTTTGCTCTTAAAATGCTCCCAACCCCGAATTTCAACCAAAAAATGGCTAATTTTCAGATGTGCCACGTGTAACACCACTGAACGCAATGCGATTTGCTATAACTGCATCAAAACGTGTCATCGTGGACACGTTGTGGAGCATGTTCGATTTGACAGGTGGGTCTAGATTTTCAGCTCAATTTTCAGCCAAAAATCTGAAAATTTGACTGAAAATGATGGATTTTGAGCCAAAAATCAGGGTTTTTGGCTAAAAAATATCCCAAAAACAAAAAAAAAAAGAAATTTTCAGATTTTTCTGCGATTGCGGCGCTGGTACACTGGAGCGCAATTGCCACCTTCAAAATGTGCCACGTGACAATGATACGGTATACGATTCCGCAACGCCCATCTCTACAGAAACTGGGACCGAAATTTGAACCCCCCTCTCTACCCCAAAAAAATCGATAATTTTTGCCACGTCATCAAATGTTTTTTGTCTTTCTCCAGATCTCCTTGGAATCCCCACCCCTTATTGATTTTTTTTTGTGATTTTTCCTAGGATTTTCTTCTTTTTCTTGTCACCGCACCGGTATACGGTAGTTTTTAGGATATTTTCTCTGAAAATGTGATTTTTGCGCGACTCTTTAGAAATGTTTTTTTGTTGAAATTTCTTCATTTTTTCATTGTGAAAATGAGACTGGTCTGTCTTTTCTTTAAGTTTTTTGCGAATTTCTGCGATTTTTTGTGGTAATAATGAATATTTTTATAATAATTGGCCTAAATTCTCAATTTTCAGCAAAATTTATAGAAATTTGCTGTTTTCCACAACAAATATCCCCCCAAAACAAAGAATTTCAAGATTTTTAGGCTGAAAATGAAAAAAAATTAAAAAAATAAATCAAAGGGAGGCGCCGTAAATCGACACGTGTTCCCGCCACGAAATGTGTTTTGTGTAGTTCTCCCGGAGTATTTTGAATTTTTTTTCGAACATTTTTGTTTTTCCTGGGTTTGGAGCTTCAAAGTTAGTGTTTTCCATGGTTTTTGACAGGGATTCGAGGATTTTGTCGAGATTTGCCACGTGGCATTGATTTGGAGCTGGAAATTGCGAGAAAAATTGATGAAAATGGGGTTTTTCTAGGGTTGGAAAAACAGTGTATTTGCGTACACGGATACACGCGCAGCCAAATACACGAATACACGGTACACGAATACACGCGATACACGAATACACGGATACACGAATACACGCAATACACGAATACACTGTACACGAATACACGGTTTTCTTCTCTTCTCAAGCAATTCAGAAAAAAGCGTGTATTCGTGTATTCGTGTATTCGTGTATCCGTGTATTCGTGTATCCGTGTATTCGTGTATTGCGTGTATTCGTGTACCGTGTATTCGTGTACTGCGTGTATTCGTGTACCGTGTATCGAGCGCGTGTATTCGTGTATTTTTTTCCAACCCTAGGTTTTTCAATGAAAAATTGGGTTTGACCTAAAAATTATGAAATTTATATCTAAAATTTTAAATTTAGAAGTCAAAATTTGAACAAACCAAAGCTTAGCCTTAATTTAAGCTCCTTAATATTTTCAAAAATTCAATAAAAAAACATCGATACGTTTCCGAGTTTTTACAGCTTTCTCTTATATAAAATATCGGAAATTCCCAGCAAATTTTCACTATAAAAAGGGGTTTCATCAAATATAGTTATGATACGTCGAAAATTATGCAATTTTCTATTCTTCTAACACTTCTCATCATTTCAATATTTCTGATTTTCGAAAGTTCGGCTTATGTTTGTAAAATTAGAGAAGAAAGTTTACGAAAACTCAGAGCTTGTTGGGACCATTATTATAGAACCCACAGATGGGAGCCACATTTGTTTAATTAGAAAACTAATATATAAGTAGATAATGAATAAATTTTTGAATTCGTTGAATTTAAATCTGTTTTTTATTACCTTTTCAGGCTATTTTACCCTAAAAATGCATATTTTTCACTCAAAAACCTTCCGGAACACATTTATTTTCTGAAGAAAAAACGGCAACGCCAGTTTAAAAGGACATGAACCGTTTGCGATTGAAATACTCAGAATGACCGAACCATATGAAAAGTTACATGCAGCATTGGAATCCACGTTGAAAACTGAATCGCCTTCGTGCAATTTTTTCTCGCGGTATTCGTGGCTTTTTCGAACATAATTTTTCTTACGAGAGAGCGTACGAAGAAGAGAGACACAGCTGCGCACGAAATGTTTCTCTTTCTTCATCTTAAAGGAATTTTTCGAAAAAGCAATAGGGTCCCGTCACGAATACCGCGAGAACAAAGTTGCACCAAGTCGATTCAGTTTTCAACGTAGATTCCAATGCTGCACGTACTTAACTTTTCATATGGTTCGGTCATTCTTAGTATTTCAATCGCAAGCGGTTCATGTCCCTTTAAACTGGCGTTGCCGTTTTTTCTTCAGAAAATAAATTTGTGATTCCGGAAGGTTTTTGAGTGAAAAATAGCCTCTAAATTCCACGTTTTCAAATTTTTTTTTCATTTTATGTTGAAAAAACAAATTTGGCTCCCATCTACCGGTTCTTCTATAATAATCTTCAAAAGCCCTTACACGCATAAGCCGAACTGTCGGATATCAGAAACATTGAAATGATGAGAAATGTTAGAAGAATAGAAAATTCCATAATTTTCGACTTTTGATAACTATAGTTGATGAAAACTCTTTTTATAGTGAAAATTGGCTGGGAATTTTCGAAACCTTATGCAATTTTTGAATAGCCAAAAATTAATGAAACCAAATTTCCAATTTTTTTTACAGTTTTTTCTCATATAAAATATCCGAAATTCCCAGAAAACTTCCACTATAAAAGGGTTTTCTTCAAATATAGTTATCATAAGTCAAAAATTATGCGATTTTCTATTCTCATCATTTCAATATTTCTGATTTTGGAAATGTTGGCAATGCCTAACTTGACAAATCCGTTCAAAGGTAGTCAAGAACGTGCTCGAAAAATAATAGCTGTGTATGACCATTATAGAAAAACCGGTAGATGGGAGCCGAAATTTTAAATATAAATAATTAATAAATATTTGAATTTGTGGAATTTACAGCTGTTTTCCGACAACTTGAAATTAAAGAATTCGTCACGGGACCTTATCGCTTTTTCGAAAAAAAAACTGTTTCAACTTGCAATCAAGATTTTGAATAAAAAATATGTTTTCTAGTAGTTTTCGACTCGCTGATCACGATTCCGTCGTCTAAAACTTCAAATATCGAGTCCTAACATGAGTTATGACGTGGCAAAGTTGAAAAATTTTGGATTTTGCAGGGTCAGAAATCCCATCATCCCATCTACCGGTTTTTCTATAATGGTCATATACAGCTAGTATTTTTCGAGCACGTTCTTGACTACCTTTAAACGAATCTTTCAAGTTCGACATTGCCAACATTTCGAAAATCAGAAATATTGAAATGATGAGAATAGAAAATTGCATAATATTCGACTTGTGATAACTATTATATTTGATGAAAACCCTTTTATAGTGAAAAAAAATGCTGGGAATTTCGGATATTTTATATGAGAAAAACTGTAAATAATCGGAAACGTTTTCGATGTTTTTTATTGAATTTTCGAAAATTTTAAGGCTAAGCTTTGGTTTGTTCAATTTTTGGCTGAAATTTCGACATTTTCAGTCTGAGCTTAGGATTCCTACAATACAATACAATCACCTCTAAAAAATTGTAGGAAATTTTCGAAAATTCAACAAAAAACATCGAAAACGTTTCCGATTCTTTATAGCCTTTTCACACATAAAATATCCGAAATTCCCAGCAATTTTTTCACTATAAAAAGGGTTTTCATCAAATATAATAGTTATCATAAATCGAAAATTATGCAATTTTCTATTCTTCTAACATTTCTCATTATTTCAATGTTTCTGATTTTCGAAAGTTCGGCGAATCCGTGTAAAGTTAGAGAGGAAAGTGATCGAAGAAATAAGGCTGTTAAGGATCATTATAAAAGAACTGGTAGATGGGAGCCACATTTGTTTTGAAATAATGAATAAATATTTGAAATAATGAATAAATATTTGAATTCGTGGAATTTAGAGCTGTTTTCTTCATTCGTGACGGGACCCTATCGCTTTTTGGAAAAAAAACGGAAATCGGAAAAACTGTTTCAAATTGCAATTGAGATTTTTAATGAAATATATGTTTTCTAGTAGTTTTCGACCCGCTGATCGCGATTCCGTCGTCTAAAACTGCAAAGCTCAACTTCTAACATGAGTTATGACGTGGCAAAGTTAGAAAATTTTGGACTTTGGAGGGTCAGAAATCGCCCTCAAAATGATTTTCATAAAAATCTGATAGCACAGGGTTGAAGATTTTTCTAAATGTTTGGAATCTGCAATTTTTTACACCGAACAAAACGAAGTTTTCAAACTTGATTAAAAATGGAAAACACCAAGTTCACTTCTGTAATCGACCTTCCTGAACAACCCTGTGCTATTAGATTTTTACAAAAATCATTTTGAAGGCGAAAAGTTCAGATTTTTCGAAATTTTCGTACTTTGCCACGTCAGAACTCATGTTAGGAGTTGAGCTTTGCAATTTTAGACGGCGGAATCGTGATCAGCGAATCGAAAACTACTAGAAAATATATATTTTATTCAAAATCTCGATTGCAGTTAAAGGATTTTTTTTTCGAAAAATCAGTAGGGTCCCGTGACGGATATCGCGAGAAAAAATGCAGCAATTTTTGAATAACCATCAAACTGCAGATTTCCAATTTTTTACTGCTGTTTCTCACATAAAATATCCGAAATTCCCAGAAAACTTCCACTATAAAAGGGTTTTCTTCAAATATAGTTATCATAAGTCGAAAATTATGCGATTTTCTATTCTCATCATTTCAATATTCCTGATTTTCGAAATATTGGCAATGCCTAACTTGACATATCCGTTCAGAGCTAGACTAGAACGTCGTCGAAAAGCTTTGTTAGCCCATTTCAAAAAAACTGGTAAATGGGAGCCAAATTCGTTGAAATATAAATAATTAATAAATTTGTTAATGAGTTAAAAATGTATGTTTTCTAGTAGTTTCCAACCCGCTGATCATTATTCCGTCGTCAAAAACTGCAAAAATCAACTTCTAACATGAGTTATGACGTGGAAAAGTTAGGGACTTTTGGAGCTAAACCATTTTGAAAGTTCCAAACTTTGCCACGTCATAACTCATGTTAGGAGTTGATTTTTGCAGTTTTTGACGACGGAATCGTGATCAGCGGGTTGAAAACTACTAGAAAACATACAAAAAATCTTGATTTATCCAAAAATATCACAACTCTCCAAAAATTATCGAAAAATCCCAGGAATCCGCCTATTTTCTCAACATAACAACCAGCAATTTCTCCTCAAAATCGAATTTTCCATTTTTCGACACCACAAAATCACGAATCACTTTCTCGTCGCATTTTGGAGTGTTTTTGACGGCCGGAAAGCAGCCTGAAATTGAATTTAGGGCTTTTTGGGGCTTCTAGGCTTATTTTAGGCCTACCTGAATACAAAATATTCTCCCACTGAACTTTATCCGCCGAAATCGGTACAGCCACCGAAAAACACGCGGAATTTAGTTGAGCCTGATTGGCGGCCGCCAAAATCTCCTCCTTGGTGCACATTAGCTTACGCCAGAGAACCAGGCAGACATCGGGAACTGGCAAAGGTGGATTTTTGGGGCGAGAAAATATGACTATTTGACCGGCGTCTGAAATTTTGTGGGATTTCTTAGAGGAATCGTTAAAAATCCAGAGAAAAAATGAAATGTTCATATTTTTTGAGCAACTTGGTTGAAATATTGGATTTTAGTGTTATTTATAGGATAGACAGGGCTAAGGGAATTCGAATGATATCAAATTTCATGGACCTTAAGTGACTTATCGCCTTAAGGTCGTTAAATCACTTAAGGTCCATGAAATTTGATATCATTCGAATTCTCTTAGCCCTGTCTATCCTATAAACAACACTAAAATCCAATATTTCAACCAAGTTGCTCAAAAAATATGAAAATTTCGTTTTTTGTTGTCAAAAACGACTTAGCTCAACTCCCTGATGAGTTATGACGTGGCAAATCGTGAGTTTGAGAGGTGAAAACTGGCTTCTAGGTCAAAAATGCTCATTTTGCATCCAAGTCAGCCTAAATTGGCTGGAAAATGAGCATTTTTGACCCAAAAGCCAGTTTTCACCTTCCAAACTCACAATTTGCCACGTCATAACTCATCAGCGAGTTGAGCTAAGTCGTTTTCTGACCTACCTGAGAGCAATGTCTTGAGTGTTTTGAAAAACGCATCAAAATCCGAAATATCGTGCGAAATCTCGTTGACCAAGATCAAATCGAATGGTCCGAGCTGCAAAAAATCGAATTTTCGGGGCCAAAAATTTTGACACGTGGCATTTTTTGGCGGGAAATTTTCAAAAATTCAAATTTTTCATGAATTTTAGCTTCGAAAGACATCCCACAAGCTTGGGTTTTGAGAAAATTTGAATTTCCCGCCAAAAATCCTATTCCACGTGGGATTTTCGGCGGGAAATTCAAATTTTCTCAAAACCCAGGCTTATGGGGTGTCTTTCGAAGGCAAATTTTGTGAAAACCTTGAATTTCGGTGCCACGTGGCATTTTTTGCATGAAAAATCCCATTTTTTTGACATTTTTCATCCAAAAAACCTTCAAAAATCATTATTTTTCATATATTTTCCCTTGAAAATCTCAAATTTCCTCATTTTTCAGCCGAAAAATCGGAAAAAAATTTGTTTTCCCTCGAAAAAGCCTGGGTTTTGAATTTCCCGCCAAAAATCCTATTCCACGTGGATTTTTGGCGGGAAATTCAAAACCCAGGCTTGTGGGGTGTCTTTCGAAGGCGAATTCAATGAAAAATTTGAATTTCGGGCCAAATCTTCGCCACGTGGCATTTTTTGCATGAAAAATCCAATTTTTTGACATTTTTCGCCCTAAAAACCTTCAAAAATCGTATTTTTCTCAATTTCCCCTTGGAAAATCTCAAATTTCCTCATTTTTCAGCCGAAAAATCGGAAAAAAATTTGTTTTCCCTCGAAAAATCACACAGTTGTTTGTTTTTGTCCGGAAAAGCCATGTGTTTAGTGAAAAAGAGCGGAAAATAAGAGAAATCCCCGGAAAAATCATCAATTATTATAAAAAAGAAGGAAATAGTGGGAGAAAATCATTGAAATATCACGTAGATCAAAAATTGGGCCTTTTCGGGTTTTTCTAGGCCGAAAATCCGGATTTTTCATGCCCCGTAGGCCTATTTTAGGCCCATTTTCGGCCCAAAGACTAACCTGAGCAATGCTATTTGTGTCCTTTTGAATATCGCCCTTATGATAGTCGACATTTGATGGTAGATCAAATGTTGGCTTATCGCCAACACTTGAGATTATGAGCCTGCAAAAATCGATATTTTCTAGTGCCACGTGGCATTTTTAGCGGGAAATTTTCAAAAATTCAAATTTTCCATGAAATTTCGCGTCGAAAGACACCCCACAAGCCGGGGCTTTGGAGAAAATTTGAATTTCGCGCCCAAAATTTTGACACGTGGATTTTTGGCGGGAAAGTCAAATTTTGCTCAAAACCCAGGCTTGTGGGGTGTCTTTCGACGCGAAATTTTGTGAAAAATTTGAATTTTTGAAAATTTCCCGCCAAAAATCCACGTGGCAAAATTTTTGGTGGGAAATTCAAAATTTCTCAAAACCCAGGCTTGTGGGGTGTCTTTCGACGCCAAATTTTGTGAAAGATTTGAATTTTTGAAAATTTCCCGCCAAAAAATGCCACGTGGCAAATTTGACCTACCGATTTGTCGGATGATTCTCGGCCAAAGTTAGCGCAAATACACACGCCTCTTCGGAAACGTCCAAAATCTTGAGCCCATCTGACTTTCCGATTTTGCTCATTATCAGGTTCCAAATGTCGGCGTGATGCCGTGCCTCGAACTTCTTCATCGCCTCATATTGTTCGGCGCCGAATTTGACCTTCTGAAAACATTTTGCCACGTGGATTTTTGAAAAATTCAAATTTTTCTCGAAATTCGGCGTCGAAAGACACCCCACAAGCCTGGGAAAATTTGAATTTCCCGCCAAAAACGCCACGTGTGAAGATTTTTGGCGGGAAATTCAAATTTTCCCACGCTTGTGGGGTTTCGTTCGACGCCGAATTTCGAGAAAAATTTGAATTTCCCGCCATTTTCTCGCCACGTGGCAAAAAAAATGGCGGGAAATTCAAATTTTTTTTTTCAAAACTCACCACCATTTTTTCCAAGTACTAAATTCAGTAAAAATGAGAGAAAATCTTTAAAAAATGAGTTTGCGAGAGAGAACAGAGAGACGCAGAGAAAAAAGTATCTGAAGAGATCTGGGATAAAAACTAATTGTGAACAAGTGGGCGGAGCTTGGAAAAAGATAGAGGAAAAGCTGGATTTTTTGGCGGGAAATTTGGGAAAATTCAAATTTTTCATGAAATTTCGCATCGAAACATACCTCAAAAGCTAAAATTTGAGCTACAGTACCCCTGGGGAAAAATTGTGCCAAAGATTCCAAAAAATGTGGTAGATCAAAATGATTTCTACAGTAATCCCGGTCAAAAATGATATCAAAATGTTGCAAATTTCGCGTAGATTACGAATTTCCACCTACAGTACCTTGAAAACTTGAAAAAATTCCTGCCACGTGGCATTTTTGGCGGCGAACTTTGAACTGTTATTCTGGAAAAATCTGTTGATAATATTTTACGACTATTTTTTTTGATCATTAAAAATCAGTGATAATTTTTTTTGTGATTTTTAATTATCAAAAAAAAATTCCAAAAAATCTGGTAGATCAAAATGATTTCTACAGTAATCCTGGTCAAAAATACACCAAAATGTTGCAAATTTCATGTAGATCACGAATTTCTACAAAACCTACAGTACCCCTCAGAAAAAATTGTGCCACATTTTTTCCAAAAACTTTTTATCACAAATTTTTTCTCCGCCAGGTCTATCTATATATTTAATTAATAATGATAACCCCTCAAACCTTTTTTTCTGATAAAAAATTTCATTTTTCGTTTTTTTCTTCATCAGAAAACGTTTCATTTTCGGATTTTTTGGCACATTTTTTTTACTCCAGGGATACTGTAGGTAGAAATTCGTGATCTACGTGAAATTCGCAACATTTTGATGTATTTTTTGAGCAGGATTACTGTAGAAATCATTTTGATCTACCAGATTTTTCGGAATTTTTGGCACAATTTTTGTTCTAGGGGTACTGTAGATCATATTTTTAAGCTAAAAACCTCATTTTCTCCCAATATTTGTCCAATTTCTGTGTCTCAAGTACCAAATTTTCTAGAGACATGACAGCGAGAAGTGAAATTGAACACAGAAATTTGTACTACAAGCGTCGAGCCTCGTGTTCTGGGCTATACGGTGCAAAATATTCGAGAGATGAGGAGAGTGGAAAGGTAAACACTGGGGATTTTTCTCGGTTTTTGACCGAAAATCCGCGTTTTTTGACACCCCACACGTCTAGGGTTACTGTAGAGCGATTTTTGGCGCGAAATTCAAATTTTTCCACAAAATTCGGCGCCGAAAGACACCCCACAAGCCTGGGTTTTGAAAAAATTTGAATTTCCCGGGCAAATTTTCAGCGGGAAATTCAAATTTTCTCAAAACCCAGGCTTGTGGGGTGTCTTTCGAAGCGAAATTTTATGAAATTTGAATTTTTGAATTTTGGCGGGAAAAAAATCAATAATTTTCAGGAACGCGCCGCCAGTTCAGCAACTTTGGACGAATCTTCCTCTACATCCACAGCAACACCTCAAAAAACACCGTACGGAAATCGAAGGGTGAAATCCACAAGTGTTTGTGTGGGAACACTACAATTGGTGAGTTGAACTGTGTACTACGACACTCCGCTTTTACGTTGCGAAAATTGGAAATTTGAGCGGGAAATTTGAATTTTTCATGAAAAACTGGTCTGGGAAGGTGTTTTTGTGGAAAAAAAACAACGACACTCCGGGTTTACAGAAAGAAATTTAAGCGGGAAATTTGGAAAATTCAAAATAATTAAATTTCAAACGATACTCCGCATTTCCACCATCAAATTTGAGCGGGAAATTCGAAAAATTCAAAAAAATTAAATTTTAAACGACACTCCGCATTTACACCTTGAAATTTAAGCGGGAAATTTGGAAAATTCAAAAAAATCAACAATTTCGAGTTTCAAACGACACTCCACGTTTACACCTTGAAATTTGAGCGGGAAACTTTGAAAATTCAAAAAAAAAATGAATTTTAAACGATACTCCGCATTTACACCAGGATTTTTCCGGCGGGAAACTCAAAAATTAAACAAAAATATCTGTTTCCAACGACACTCCGCATTTACACCCCCAATTTTCCGGCGGGAAAACTTCAAAATTCAAATTTCAGGAAGGCGAACGGCGATTTCCCCGAGCTCCACCTCGAACTTTGAACGACTTCCAATTTTTGAACCCCGAAATTTTGACAATGCAAAATTATGAGGTTCAAATTATCAGGTAGGCTGAAAATTTCAGAAGTTTTTGGCTGAAAATCTGGATTTTTGACCTAAAAAAGCCTAAAATCCACTATTTTCAGTCAAATTTCACAAATTTTCAGCCAAAAATCACTATTTCAGACCGCCGGCCTTGTCGACTTCCGAAATTTTCAACGAACCTCCGCCACTCTATGTATATAGAGCAGTTCCAGCGCTGGAAAGTGAGTGAAAACTACGACACTCCGCCTTTACACCTCTCGATTTTCTTGCAGGAAAACGTCGATCTTATTATTCCACCAATTCTGGCGAAAATTCAAAAATTTCAAAGATTCGCGCCAAATTCCATCAACACAAGCATACTGTAGTCGCGTGGCTTTTCGGATTTTTGGCAATTTCTCTATGTGTAGCTGTTGTTGTGTGTCAGACGTGGAAAATTTGATAAAATTCCAAAAATTCATCGATCTATTCACAAAAAAAACTATAAAAATCTGAAATTTTCAGCCTTTTTCGGCCTAATAAGCATCCAATAATTCGGCCATCGTTTTCATTTTTCGAATCACTGGAATTGACGAGTTTGAGGCGAAGAATTCGATCTGAAAGTGAAATTTTTGGAAATTTCAGAAAAAATGGGTCTAGACAAGGCATGGCGCCTAGAGGAAGCTTTTGGCAAGTGTTGACGTCTAGAGCAATGTCTTGACAAGGGTTGGAGACTAGAGGAGACATTAGACTAGGGTTGGTGCCTAGAGAATGCTTTTGACAAGGGTTGGAGCCTACAGGATATTTCTGACAAGGGATGGAGCCTAGAGAACACACTTCTCAAGCATCCAAGCCTAGAGAAGGAGCTCAGCAAGGGTTGGAGCCTAGAGAATACATTCGTCAAGCAGCCAAGCCTTCAAAACAGTATTGTCAAGGGGTGGAGCCTAGAAAATATCCCTCTCAAGCACCCAACCCTTGAAAACACCCTTTTCAAGCAGCCAACCCTTGAAAACACCCCTATCAAGCAACCAACCCTTGAAAACACCCCTGTCAAGCAGCCAACCCTACAAAACACCCCTGTCAAGCAGCCAAGCCTTCAGAACACCCTCGTCAAGCAGCCAACACTACAAAACATCATTTTCAAGTGGCTCCTCCTAGTATCTATGACGTGGCAATTTTCCCCCGTGTTTTCCAAGATCAAAAACTCAATATTTACAACTGATAACTAGTCTATTTACTGCACCCAAAATAGACATTTTCCGTGTTGAAGGGTAGAAAGTTTCTCCTAATCTTATTTTGATGATAATAAATAATCAGATTATTTGTTGGGAGGGGTTATTTTTCGATAAAAATTAATGGAAATGACGTAAATTCGAGGTTGGAGCGGGAAAAATGATCAAAAATCGACCAAAATCGGGTTTGTAGGGTTATTTGCTTGACAAGGGTGTTTTCAAGGGTTGGCTGCTTGTCATTACTAGTTTCAAGGGTTGGCTGCTTGACGAAGGTGTTCTATAGAGCGCTAGCCTTTCTTATCGTGCTTGTCAAAGGTTGGTTCCTTGAAACGAGTGTTTTCAAGGGTTGACTGCTTGACAAGGGTGTTCTATAGAGATGAAGCCTTGAGAATGGAGATGTATAGGGTTGGCTGCTTGAGAGAAGCGTTCTCTAGGCATCAACGCTTGACGAGGGAGTTTTCAAGGCTTGGCTGCCTGACAGGGGTGTTTTCAAGGGTTGGCTGCTTGACACTAGTGTTCCCGAGGCGCTGAGCCTTGACAAGACCCTTTTCAAGGCGCCACCCCTTAAGAAGCTCATTTTCGAGGCTACAGCCCTTGGGAACTCATATTTTACCGTTTTTCATGAATTTTAGCTCAAAATCCATCATTTTTCCCGATTTTTAGCTCTAAATTCAAAATTCCTCACCTCAAAAACCAAATCCAATCGTTCCAACAACTTCTGCAGTGCTTCCAACCTTCTTTTTCCATCTCTTCGTTTTTCCAAATCACTCGACTTCCGAATTTCAATCGCTTCCCGACACGAAAATCCGATCAATAATTCGAGAGTTCCATTATCGATTAGACAATTTATGGAACAAGTTGTGTCTTTGAGCAAAATCTGGAACGAAAATAGGGTTTGGGAGCTAAATTTTTGGATTTTTCATGAAATTTCAGATCTGGAACCAGAATTTTTAAAATTTTCATGAAATTTCAGATCTGAAATTTGAATTTTCAGTTTTTTCATCAATTTTTGGACAATTTTGTGATTTGATATCACAATAAAAGTTTCTTACGAATTTCTGAAAATTTTGAAACGTAAAAAATCCATGGAAAATTTTTAGTGATAAAAAAGTCGAATTTTTCAGATTTTTCATCAAATTTCAGGTTTAGGACCTTGATTTTCAGGTTTTTTCAATCTAGAGCTGAAAATGAGTTAAAAACTGCTGAAAATCATGAAAAATCCAATTTTCATGGTCCCGGAGTCAAAAAAATTCGATTTGTCTCAATTTTCAGCGTATTTGGGCTCATTTTCAGCCAAATTCTCATAAATTTCAAGATTTCCAGCTGCAAAATGAGCCCAAATATGCTGGAGGTCGGGGAAAATCTAATTTTCATGGTCCCGGAGGCAAAAAAATCACCAGTAGCTCGAAAAAATGCTCAAAAATCCAATTTTCATGGTCCCGGCGGCAAAAAAGTCGATTTTTCTTCATTTTCAGCATATTTATACTCATTTTCAGCCAAATTTTCAGAATTTCCAGCCAAAAATGCTCACTTTCATGGTCCACAATTCATCAACAACTCTCAACGGTTCCACAATATCCTCAACAATCAAAATCAACCAAAACCTGCGCGAATTAATCGAAAATTTCATTTTTTTCTGCGCCTTTTCCAGATTTTCCCACGAAAATTCGCGGAATTTCAGCAAAATCGGGTCAATTTCAGCTTTTTCAGCCAAATTTTCAGCTTTTCCCGGGATTTCCTCAATAATTTCAATATCATCATCGTCTTCGGGCTCTTTTTTGACCGGTTTCAGGCCCGGGCTGGGCCTGGGCTTGGCCTGAAAATAGCTGCTCAGCCTCACATTTTTAGGCCTTTCAGGCCTGGTTTTTTCAGGCTGGATAGGCTCCTCGTCGGGCTCAATCATATTTTCGAGCATTTCTTCGAGCGGGTCCGGTTTTTTGGCGGTTGACAGCATTCCACGTGGTTTTGGGGGGATTTGCTGGAAAAATTATTGATTTTTTGAGATTTGGAGCATTTTTTGAGCTCCTGGAGCATTTTTGGGTGAATTTCAAGCTTCTGGAGCATTTTTGGGTGAATTTCAAGCTTTTGGAGCATTTTTGGGTGAATTTCAAGCTTCTGGAGCATTTTTGGGTGAATTTTAAGCTTCTGGAGCATCTTCAGGTGAATTTTGAGCTTCTGGAGCATTTTTGGGTGAATTTCAAGCTTCTGGAGCATTTTTGGGTGAATTTTAAGCTTCTAGAGCATTTTTGAATGAATTTTGAGCTTCTGGAGCATTATTTGATGAATTTTAAGCTTCTGGAGCGAAAAATGCTCAATTTCCATGCTCCAGACCTAATTTTCATGATTTTTAAGGTCCTGGAGCTGATTTCCAGCCAAATTCATCTTCTGGAGCACGAAATGCTCAATTTTCAAGCTCAAGACCTAATTTTCATGATTTTTCAGCTCCAGAAGCTCATTTTCAGTCAAAATTAGCTCCTGGAGCACAATTTTCAGCCAAATTCAGCTCCAGGAGCCCAGTTTTCACCAAATCCCTCACATTCTCAACAATCGACGTTTTCAGCTTCTTCCTAACCGGACTCGAAAACACCTCCTTCTCCTGTGCAAGTCTAGTTGAGCCCAATGAGCCCACACTCGGCCTGAAGCCTGAAAACAACACATTTTTATTGATTCCGCAGATTTTCTTGAGCTTACAGGGTTCATTGAGATTTTCAAAGTCTTCCGGGTCCGGTTCAGGCTCTAACATGGGCTGAGTGGGCCCTTTGGGCTTCTCAATCACCTTGAGGCCCAGAAGCCCCTTCAGCCTATCAAGGGGCCGTTTATTGTCCAGCAGGGGTAGCACCTCTCCCCCGAGAACCTGACAATTCCCGGGTTTCAGCAGAAAAGTGCCTTTTCGGAACTCGCAAGGTGGAAAAATCAATAATTTGCATCCCGGTTTGATATACATTGATAATTCGGGGATTTTGTATAATTCTATGGCTTGCACTTCAAATTCCCCATCAGAAATCGCAATTTTCAGCAATCTACTCGATTTTTGATCATTGTCCTCTTGTTTTTCCTCGAAAATCTTCTCAAATCCACTGTTATCTTCTATCGATTTATCCTCCAATTTACAAATTTGTGAAAAATAACTGGTTCCTGTGTCGATTAGGCTGTCGATTTGGCACACGAGGGGGGCTTGAAGATTTGATTTAGAGCAACTCGGCGAGATTCCATGGTTTGAAAATGTTCCGAAAGAGGTTTCGCCGAAATTGGAGCATTTCCATTGCTCGAAAATCAGGTTTGCCAACTGATTTTCGTTCTGAAAATCGTTTTTTTCATGAAAATTCCATTTTTTTCAATAATTTCACTCACAAAACTCGAAAATCCCGGAAATTTTTGCTTCAAAAACCTCAAGGTCACTTCCAGCCACTCGTCTTTCAGCAAAATGTAGCGATCCGCGAAGAATTCCCTCACAAAATCAGCCATTTTCAGCAATGAAAACAAAAATAAAATATTGGCGCTGCCCTGAAAACCGTGCGGTGTTTGCATTTTTTGTGTGCCGACGCTTGCCAAAATAGGCCCCGCCCCTTATTTTTATTTATTTTTTATTTTTCTCACCGATTTCTCTTCAAAATGGACGAAAAAGAGTCGGATAACGAGCATCAGGAGACAGACACTGAATCTGAATGTGATTTTGATCCCCTAGAATATGAAAAAATGTGAGTTTTCGCCTAGTTTTTCATGAAAAACTTGAATTTTTCCAGAAAAGAGGAAAACTTACGGAAAGTCGTGTTGACTGAACATCATTATCATCAAGTTCGACAATTATTGCGAGATCGGCGATACGAAGAAGTTCGGCTGAAAAAGCAGCAGCTCAGGGAGCAAACATGCCCCGAATTTTTGAAAAAACAAAAAGCCATACTGGATGAGGAAAGGAGGAGTAGAAATGTGGGAAATTTATTGATTTTTATCTCTAGAAACGTGGAAAAACACGTAAAACTCATATTTTTCATATAAAATGGTCTTAAATTTAGGAATCGCGTGCAATTTTCGACCTCGAATCGCATTCCCTGGCTATAACCACAGGAGCTCGCCGGGAATTTGTGGATACTGAGCAAGAAGACAATTACCACGTGGCAAAACAGAGTTTGATCGATGCGATTCAGGAGATTTTGAATGAGAAGATTGGAATGGATTTGAAGTTGAGGAGAGCGATTAAATCGCTGGCTTGTGAGTTTTTTGAGGGGCTGAAAATGACTGAAAATAAAGTCTACGAGGTGAAAATTCCGAAATTTTAGCTTCTGAAGCTTAAAATGAGTGAAAATTCAGCTTCTGAAGCTGAAAATGACTAAAAATTTGCTTCTGAAGCTGGAAAATCATGAATTTTCGGCCTGGGAGCTGAAAATTGAGCTGTTTTTGCTCATAGAGGAGAAAATGAGATTAAATTGGTTTCTGGAGCTGAAAATGAGTGAAAGTGCAGCTTCTGGAGCTAAAAAATCCGAAATTTTAGCTTCTGGAGCCAGGAATTAAATAAAATGAGCTCAAGGAGCTGGAAAATCCGGAATCTTAGCCTCTGGAGCCAGAAAATCAAGGAATTTCGGTCTAGGAGCTGAAAATGACTGAAAATTGGTTTCTGGAGCTGAAAAATCATAAATTTAGGCTTCTGGAGCTGAAAAATGTCAAAATTCAGGCTTCTGGAGCTAGAAATCAAGGAATTTCGGTCTAGGAGCTGAAAATGACTGAAAATCAGTTCCTAGAGCTGAAAATTCTTAAATTTCAGCTTCTGGAGCTAGAAAATCAAGGAATTTCAGTCTCGGAGCTGAAAATGACTGAAAATTGGTTTCTGGAGCTGAAAAATCATAAATTTAGGCTTCTGGAGCTGCAAAATGTCAAAATTTAGCTTCTGGAGCTGAAAATGACTGAAAATCAGTTCCTAGAGCTGAAAATTCTTAAATTTCAGCTTCTGGAGCTAGAAAATCAAGGAATTTCGGTCTAGGAGCTGAAAAATCATAAATTTAGGCTTCTGGAGCTAGAAATTACTTAAAATTAGCTCAAGGAGCTGGAAAATCCGAAATTTTAGCTTCTGGAGCTAGAAAATCAAGGAATTTCGGTCTAGGAGCTGAAAAATCATAAATTTAGGCTTCTTGGGCTAAAAAATGATGAAAATTCGATCTTCTGATCCCTGAGCTGAAAAATCCCATAAACTCGATTCTGGAAGCTGGAAATCGATCAAAAAATGCTCTGAAAAATGCCACGTTGGCAAAAATTTGAGTTCAAAATGAATTTTTTGTGTCACGTTAGAACATCACCTTAAAAATGCTCCAGAATTCAAAAAATCCAAAAAATTAAGATTTTTAGCTTCAGAACCTAGAAAATCACCTTAAAAATGCTCCAGGGCCTGAAAAATCATGGGAAAATGCTCCAGAATTCAAAAAATCCCTCAGAATTGTTCAAGGACCTGAAAAATAGTGCATTTTTGCTTTAAGAGATGAAAATGAGCTTCTGGAGCTTAGAATTCTCATTTTTGAGCTTCTGGAGCATAAAAATCAAGATTTTAACTACATGACCCAGAAAATCATCCAAAAATGCTCCAGAAGCTCAAAAATCATCCAAAAATGCTCCAGAAGCACAAAATTCACCAAAAACTGCTTCAAGACCTAGAAAATCATCCAAAAATGCTCCAGAAGCTCAAAATTCATCCAAAAATGCTCCAGAACCTAGAAAATCATGGGAAAATGCTCCAGAAGCTCAAAATTCACTGGAAATAGCTCGAGAACCCAGAAATTCATGAAAATTAGCTCCAGGACCTCAAAAATCCGAATTTTTCACTGAAAATCCCACATTTTCCAGGCATCGACCACGAAAAACCGAAAAAATCGCCAAATCTGAAAATGGCGGATTCACTGGAATATAACTATGAAGCCAGAAAACGAGCGATTGTATTTGAACACGATGAAAATGTGAGTGGAGTTTTGGGGCTGAAATTTGGCTGAAAATTTGATGAAAAATGACCCAAAATTCAAATTTTCAATCTGAATTTGATGAAAATTTCAAAATTTTCCCTTGAAAATCCCCAAAAATCCCAGTTTTTCATATTTTTCCTCACATTTTTTTTGTTTTGTTCTTCAAAACGGAAAAAGTAGAACAATTATATGTTCTACCCTTTTTTGTTGAACAAACTTCCGTATATTAGAAAAGGGCACGGAAATTCAATAAAAATTGGGATTTTTGCTGGAAAAATGCGTTTTTTGACCTGAAATTAATTTTTGAAATTCAAAATTCCCCCTGAAACCTGAAAAATCCAATTTTTCTTGATTTTTTGAAATTTTCTCAATAAACCAGGTCATTAGAGTGATATTCAACAGAATGTTCTTTTTTTTTTTGAAAAAAATTATTTTTTAGTTCAAAATGTTGTCATTTTTATAAGAAATCAGAAACTTTTGATTTTCAAGCTGCAAATCCCCAAAAACTCACTATTTTTCTTGAAAATAATTGAAAAAAACACAAATTTTTGATGAATAGCTGAAATTAAAGAGAAAATAATGGAATTCGTGATTTTTAAGTGAATTTTTGCAGTAAAAATGGATTTTTAGCTGGAAATACTGAAAATTTAATGAAAAATCCAATTTTCTGATAAAAAATCTGAAAATCTGACTTCCAGAGCTGAAATTTGATGAAAAATTTGAAAACTTGAGTCCGAGGCTCAGAATTTCATGAAAAATCCAATTCTCTGATGAAAAATTAAAAAATCTGACTTTCAGAGCTGAAATTTGATTAAATATCTGAAAATCTGACTTCCAAAGCTGAAATTTCATGAAAAATCCAATTTTCCAGTCAAAAATCTGAAAATCCTGCTTCTAGACCCAAAATAACACAAAATTGGCCAGAAATCTTGTTTTTTAGCCTAAAAATGGCCAAAAATTCTGTTTTCAAGCTAAAAATTCTGTTTTCAAGCTAAAAATCCAGAATTTTCACTTCTAGACCTAAAAAAACCATGAAAAATCCAATTTTCGCAGCCGGACACCACAATTTTCACCCACGCGGCCGCCATCGAATCACCGTGTCCCTCCTCATCTTCCCCGTCACCATCACCATGTCTGACGCCAAAAATCGAACTAGAACAGACGCCTACAACTTCGACCGGGCGATTTAGGATAACTACTTCTTGACACGTGGAAAATCTGAAAATTTCAGCCAAAAACACTCAATTTTGACACCGGTTTGTATTTATTTTCATCTTTTTTGCCTCAAATTAACATAAATTATGATTTTCGAGACGAAAAAGCCTGAATCGGGCCTTGAAATGGGCCTGAGATAGGCCTTGAAATGGGCCTGAAATGAGCCTAAGATAGGCCTAAATATGGGCCTAAGATAGGCCTTCAAATGAGACTAAGATAGGCCTAAATATAGACCTTAGTTTGACCTAAAAATCAGCCTGAAATGAGCCTAAGCTAGGCCTAAATATGGGCCTAAGATAGGCCTAAATATGGGCCTGAGATGAGCCTAAAATTAGCCTCGATTGGGCTTTAAAAAGCCTAAAAAAAAAAAAAAAAAAACTAAGGCCTTAGTTTTACCTTAATATGAGCCTAAACTAGGCCTAAACATACCTCAAATTGGGCCTGAAAAAGCCTAATCTGGGCTTAAACCAGGCCTAACTAAAAATTATCACAAAAAATTTTAACAATTTTTCAAATATTTATTCGATATTTCACTGTACACACACACAAATGGCTAGAATTTGGAGATTTTCGCGATTTTCAGTCAAAACTTAAAAATAGTTGTTGTAGTTAGCGGAACTTGGAAGCGGAAAGCGTCCGGCACGTTTTCCGCGCAGCCCTTTGATGCTCGCCAAACGTTTGCCGCGCAAACCGCGAAGATTTGGAGGCAACGAGTCGCGTTTCAGAATGATTGACGGCATGTAGAGGGGCTGAAAGAATTAACGATGCTCCGCGATTACGCCCTGTGATTTTTGGGCGGGAAATTCGAATTTTTCGTCAAAATCCGGGCAGAAATGATGAATTTTGACCGAAAATGATGAAAATTCGGTTTTAAACGATGCTCCGGGTTTACACCTATAGTTTTCAAGCGGGAAATTTGGAAAATTCAAATTTTCTGACCAAAAATGATGAAAATTGATTATTAAACGATGCTCCGCGTTTACACCTGTAGTTTTCAAGCGCGAAATTTGAAAAATTCAAATTTTCTGACCAAAAATGATGAAAATTAGGTTTTAAACGATGCTCCGGGTTTACACCTTCAATTTTCAAGCGGGCAAATTAAAAAATTCAAATTTTCTGACCAAAAATGATGAAAATAGAATTTTAAACGATACTCCGCGTTTACACCTGTAGTTTTAAAGCGGGAAATGTATAAATTCAAATTTTTTCGAATTTTCTTGTAAAAACCTTGCTAATATAAGCAATGTCCCAAATTTTTTCAAAAAAATTTTTTTTCCTAATTTTTTTTCTCGGTCAACCCACACTTTCACATTTCAATGAGCAATTTTTTTGGTGAAACTTTTTTTCGCCGAAAAAATTTGGCGAATTTTTTAAAAGTCAAATCAACTGGAAACTGGTATTTCCGGAGCAAAAAAAGATTCTTTTTTTTTTTGGAAATTTTTTTTTGACCTATGACGTGGCAAAGTTTTTTTCAGAAAAAAAATTCAAATTATTCAAATTTCCCGCTTGAAAATTGACGGTGTAAACCCGGAGCATCGTTTAAAACCTGAATTTTCATCATCCTACTCAGGCAGTAGAAAACTCCGGAGGGGGACCAGAAAACGCAAAAACTCCGGAGATAGGCCAAAGTGGGTACAGAAAATCGAGAGAGCGCCTGTTTTTTCTAGTTTGGCACGCCTTTCTAGTTTGGTTTTGGCGATTCTCCGGAGCAAATCGCTGTCGATCGAACGCGCTCCATCGAATGATGACAATGACGAGTCATTTTTTCATTTCATTTATTTTTTTCGGTTTTCTAGTTTTTGCTATTTCTTCAAAATTGCTCAGTTTTCAGAGTGTCTTTGCCTAATTTGATAATTTTCAGACAAATGAAATCGTCTAGAAACAATGTGCGTCCTACAAAATCGTCATGGATAAAAGTCGGCCTGGACTTAGAATAAAATTAGCGATTTTTGCTCCTGGTGAGTGAAGTGTCTTCAACAAAAGTGAATACTAGTTTTATTTATAGATTCAATTGGAATCCCTCGTGCTAGGAGAATTCGAAAGCAGAGGCTCGTTCAATTTTCATTTCTGGAGGATCGCCTTGCAATATTTCCAAAATCGTGAATCACCAGATGTATTCTATTTATGAGGTGAGTCATGAGAAAGAAAATCGATGAACGTTTGTTTTTCGAGTTTTTGAGCTTTGAAAGTTTTCAAATTTCAAGTTTATGACCATTATCACATCCTATCTCAAAAAGGTCGTTCACAATTTCAAAGTGAGAAATTACGATTAATAATACTCTTGGAGAATCATCCTTATAAATCTATTATCCTTTCTCAATTTTCAGCATGAAATGGCTTATGGCGTCTCCACACACAGTGCTGCGTCTCTCATCGTTGGCTCAAAATGATAAAAAACAGAAGTTCTCGTCAAAAGATTGCCGAATTCAACACCCAATCTCCATTAGAATGCCAAAGGAACCTTCTGATGCCTATATTCTACTCGTTTGGAGATTGGAACAATCAAAAAATAAGTTTAAATAACTAATTTTTCCTTTTTGTTGAAAATAAATATTGATTTTTGAGAGTGAAAGACTAGAATGTATTCGAAAAAAGCAGGCGACAAAAACAAAAAAACTCTGGAGAATCGCCAAAGCGTACCGAGAAAAGATCCGGAACCGAGTTTGGAGCCTTTTTAGCGACATTCTCGTTCCATTTCGGCGAAACTCCGGAGTTTTCTACTGCCTGAGTAAATCAATTTTGGGTCAAAATACTCAAATTTTGCAAATTTCCCGCTCAAATTTAGAGGTGTAAACGCGGAGTATCGTTTCGAATTCAATTTTTTGACCTATGACGTGGCAAAAAGGTCCCATTTCAGATTTTTTTTCTAGAAAATCAAAAAATCAGAAAAAAAATGTTTTTCCCACAATTTTTTAGTTGCGGAAAAATTTATGACTTTTATACATTTATAATATGAGCAATCTAGAAAATTGGATTTTTTTTTGGAAAAATTATTTTTAGGAGAAGCCTAGAATTCCACGTGTCTAAATTTAGGCCTGGTTTTTGAAAAGCTGAATTTTAAGGCCTGAAAGTTATGCCTAAATTATGAAAAGCCTGAAATCCAGGCATTGCTCATGTTAAGCCATTTTTGGCCCCCCGAAAAAAATTCCCAATAAATTTTTCATGTTTTTTTTTTCGAAATGAAAAATTGCCCCGGAAAATGATAAATTGCTCTGTTAGGATGGGAAAAAAAGTTGAGAATTTTTCTAGAAATTTTCACTACACTATAGTTTAGGGGTACTGTAGTTTTACAGGTGGAAATCTACAGTACTCCTAAACTATATTATGGTTAGTTAGTTATAACAAGAAATTCTCGAAGTTCCGACCTTTTTGAAATGAAAACCTACAGTAACTCGAGTACTGTAGAAATATTGCTACAGTACTCTTGCAGTTCTACAGTAACCAAGGCTTCAGAAGCTAGTTTTCCCTCATTTTTTGAGCTACAGTATCCCAAATTTCCCCTACAGTAACCCAGAATATTGAATTTCCTAGATCCAAAATCTACAGTACCCTCAAATAGAAGTACAGTAATCAATTTTGAAGTACTGTAGATCCCATTGAATTTTGTAGATCTACAGTAATCTATGTAAAAAAAAATTGGGATTTTTTGAATTTGATCTATTTTTCTGGAATTTTCGAGCTACAGTATCCAAATTGCTTCAAATTTCCCGAAAAAAATCTACAGTAACCCGAATTCTCAATTCCCTAGATTAGAAATCTACAGTATCCCAGATCAATTCAAATTTCTAGATCTACAGTAGTGGATTTTTTAGCTACAGTATCCCAAATTGCTCCATTTTCCGGCGCTTGCAGTTCTACAGTAACCAAGGCTTCAGAGGCTAGTTTTTCCTCATTTTTTGAGCTACAGTATCCCAAATTGCTCCAAATTTCCCGCGCTAAAATCTACAGTAACCCGAATTGCCTTCCTTCCGGGACCCGCCGCCGAACTAACCTCATCATAATTAATTTCTGCCAAATCCTGTGCTCCGTCCGAAAATTGCTGCTCATTTTGTTGTGCTCCAACTGCTCCAAATGTCATCCCGAATATGGCTAATGTGCACCAAAAAACGGCGAGAATCTGGTGGGCGCCAAACATTTCTGAGATTCTGAGGAGCTCAACTCTGGGCGAGCTCGTAAAAAATGAGTTGGGATAAGTTGTGGAGAGAGGGGCGGAGCCGAGAGAAGGAAGTGGGCGGAGCTTAGCCGAAAATTTTGAGCTCTTGAGGGCTCTGGGAGGCTTCTAGGGGCTTCTTAGGGCTTTTAAGGGCTTCTAAGGGCTTCTAAGGGCTTCTGAAGGCTTCTAAAGGCTTTTAAGGACTTCTGGGGGCTTCTAAAGGCTTCTAAGGGCTTCTAAAGGCTTCTAAGGGCTTCTGAAGGCTTCTAGGGGCTTCTTAAGGCTTCTTAAGGCTTCTAAGGGCTTCTAAGGGCTTCTGAAGGCTTCTAAGAGCTTCTAGGGGCTTCTTAAGGCTTCTAGGGGCTTCTTAAGGCTTCTTAAGGCTTCTAAGGGCTTCTAAGGGCTTCTGAAGGCTTCTTAGGGCTTCTGAAGGCTTCTAGGGGCTTCTTAAGGCTTCTTAAGGCTTCTAAGGGCTTCTAAGGGCTTCTGAAGGCTTCTAAGAGCTTCTAGGGGCTTCTTAAGGCTTCTAGGGGCTTCTTAAGGCTTCTTAAGGCTTCTAAGGGCTTCTGAAGGCTTTTTAAGGCTTCTAAGGACTTCTGGAGGCTTCTAGGGGCTTCTTAAGGCTTCTTAAGGCTTCTAAGGGCTTCTGAAGGCTTTTTAAGGCTTCTAAGGACTTCTGGAGGCTTCTAAGGGCTTCTGAAGGCTTCTGAGGCCTTCTAAGGGCTTCTCAAGGCTTCTAGAGGTTTCTAAGGGCTTTTAGGGGCTTCTAGAGGCTTCTAGAGGCTTCTAAGAGCTTCCAAGGGCCTCTAAAGGCTTTTTAGGGCTTCTGAAGGCTTCCTGAACTCCCTGGATTCCAAAAAATCTCAAAATTTATTCAAAAATTCACAAATTTCTCAGAAAAACGCTTCAGTTTCAGTCTCCTTCTCGTCTTCTTTGCTCTCCGAACTTGCCGCTTCAGATTTGGTCTCAGCATTATCAGGATCCATATAATCCGAGTTCATTCCTCCTCTTCTCTTTCGGCTCACAATCAATTCGCGTTCTTCTTTCGCGAAAACCGTTTCCAAGTTCAAAATTCCTATGTCAAACACTTTTTGTGGGGTTTTTCCGTTGGTAATGTACGATTTCGGTAGAGCGAATTTGACCTTACGAGAGCCGGGCTGCAAAAATGAGGTGTAAACGCGGAGCATCGTTTGACATTCTATTAGTTACCTTGATTCCATCGTCACAATCATGATAGACTTTGAAGATTGGATCGATAGGTGTAAGTTCAGCGGTTCCACCACCGAGTTGGAATTTTCCTTGAGCATCGGTGTAGCCTTGATCAAGGAGGTCGTCTGGGTCCGGTCCTGGAAATAGAGAGGTGAGTAGGGATGGATGCTTGAGGGATAGATAGAGGTGTCAAGGGATGGATGCTTGAGAGCTAGATAGAAGTGACTAGGGCCATCTACTACACACCTCATATCACCTCAAGGAGCCACTTCTTGAGAGCTAGATTATTCTGTCAAGGAGCCTTTGCTTGAAAAATCAATTTTTGATCTACCTAAATTTTTGCTCATGCAAAAAAAATTGACATCATATTTCTTTTTCATTTTCACACCTCACTAACTTTTTTCTTGCAATTTTCGAATTTCTCTGAACCTTCTCGGATTTCCTGTCCAAGTACATTTTCCCCAGATTTTTCTGGAGCCAAAATCAAATGTCCAATTTTTTGTTGGACACAAAAAGTTGTTTACGGCTCGGGAAAAATCGTAATGCTTATCAGTGGAGAAAAAAAGGTTTTTGATAAAAAAATTGACCAGAAAAGCTTGTATGTACTTTGGTATAGGGTTGGGTGCTTGGGAAGAGGGATGAGTAGGGATTGCGCCTAGAGAAGCTTAGGTGCTGTCAAGGCTCGGCTGCTTGACAAGTGATGTATCAAGGAGTGAAGTCTAGACTACCTGGAGGCTCTCAAGGGCTACCTGCTTGACTAAACATATCTCAAGCACTGGCGCCTAGAGAAGCTTAGAAGGTGTCAAGGGCTCGCTGCTTGACCCCCTATACAACTTTTTGCGCTGAACCCACCAGTATCCTCCTCCCACAACTTGATTCTGACATTCGCCGCCGGCTTTGCGCCACACAACAACTGTCCCTTGACAGCAATCGATTGATCTCGCATAGCTACGGACCATCCTACCAAAAATGCCAATAGCACCACAAAAATCGATGATTTTGTTGTTGACAACATTTTTGAGTGTGTTATCAACTGATTTTTTGGATGGTTTGGAGGGGGGTTTTATATGGGGGAGAGGGGAGGAGAAATTTTGTGATTGACAGAGTTGATGAGGAAGTTGGGAAGCTTCTAGGGAGTTACAGGAAGTTCCAGAACTTTTAAAAAATTTCCGGAAGTTTGTAGGCTTCTCTAGAAGTTCTTGAAGATGTTGGGAAGTTCTAGAGCTCCTCAAAAAGTTCCAGATAGGTTTCCTGGCTTCTAGAAAGATTCAGAGAATTTTCTAGAACTTCTGGAAGCTTCCATAGATCTTATAGAGCTCCTGGAGCATTTTCAGAGCTTTCAGAGCATCCTTAGAGCTTCTGAAAGATTTCTAGAGCTTTTGGGGAATGTTCTCTGTGAGAATCCCGAGCTCCTGGAGAATCTACAGAGTTCCTGGAGCATTTTTAGAGCTCCTGGAGCATCTACAGAGCTCCTGGAGCATTTTTGAGTTTCCAGAGCATTTTCAAAGCTTCCAAAGCATCCACATAGTTCTTGGAAGATTTCTAGAGCTTCTAGAGTATCTTCAGAGCTCCTGTAGAATTTTCAGAGCATCCGGAGCATTTCCCGAGCTCCCAGAGCATTTTTCAAGCTCTCAATGGATTCCCGAGCTTTCAGAGCACCTTCAGAGCTCCTGGAGCATTTCTAGAGCTTTTAGAGCATTTTCAAAGCTCCTGGAGCATTTTCTGATCGTCCAAAAAATCACCAGAACCTAAAAATAGAAAACCGGAAACCGGTTCAAAATGAATCATAGGTTTTTTGTCGATTTTTCGACCAAACTTTGATCACTTCACCTTATTTCACTTCATTTTATTATATGTAGAAAATAATAACAACAATTTTCAAGATAACAAAATTTTTTTGTTTCGTATAAAAACTGAGAGTCGTATTTATCACTTTATATTTTTCTCAATTGCTGATTGGTGAAAAATAAAATGCTATCAAAATTCCTGATTCTGATCTTACAATTGATTTTGCTAGTCAATTTGGCGTCGGGTTTGTCGGATCAATCGATTTCGGTCAAGGGAAAATTGGTGTGTGGTGCGAAGCCGGCGGCAAATGTTCGAGTCAAATTATGGGAAGAGGATTCGGGTAGGTCATAAAGGTGTAGGGTTGGCTGCTTGATGCTTGCACTCTCTAGCTGTCATCCCTTGACAAGCAGATTCTCAAGCGTCTGCGCCTTGAGACATCTATAGCTAGTCCTTGTCAGATGCTTGGGTCAAGGCAGCTGAGCTTTTCTAGGCGCCATCCCTTAACACTCTCACAAGGTCTCTAGGCACCATCCCTTGTCACATCTCTTTTCAAGCACCCACGCCTAGAGGCAGTTTTTTCTCAAGCAACCATTCCTTGGCAGAGAACGCAAGGATTCTAGGGTTCACTGCTTGCCTCTGAAGCAACCAGCCCTCAAGCAGCCATCCCTTGACACCTTTACCTAGCTCTCAAGCGGCCATCCCTAGACATCTCTACCTAGCTCTCAAGCAGCCATCCCTTGACACCTCTATCTAGCTCTAAAGCAGCCATCCCTAGACACCTCTATCTAGCTATCAAGCAGCCATCCCTTGACACCTCTATCTATCCCTCAAGCAACCATCTCAAGACACATCTATCTAGCCCTCAAGCAGCCACCCCTTCTCACCTCTCTATTTCCAGGCCCGGACCCGGACGATCTCCTTGATCAGGGCTACACCGACGCTCAAGGCCAGTTCAACTTGAAAGGTGGAACCTCAGAGCTCACCCCGATCGATCCAATCTTCAAAGTCTATCATGATTGTGACGATGGAATCAAGGTAGGTTAAACGATGCTCCGCCTTTACACCGGGGTCATTTCTGTTGATTTTTGGGTCAAAAATCGTCATTTTTCACTCCAAAATTCGTGTTTTTACAGCCCGGCTCTCGTAAGGTCAAATTCGCTCTACCGAAATCGTACATCACCAACGGCAAAGTTCCCGCCAAAACTTTTGACATTGGAGTTTTGAACTTGGAGACAATTTTCCCGGGAGAGGAAAGAGAGATGTTGGTTTCACGGAAACGCCGTGACTTAGAGAATTTGGACGCATTTTTTGAAACTGTTTTGGAATAAATTCATTTTTAACTATGAAAATAGGATTTTCCTGATGCTCAAAATTTTTTTTGATCAATTTTTTGCGCTAAAAACGCTGTAATTGCTCATTTTAAGCGATTCCAGCATTCTCAGTGCGAAAAATTGATCTTGAATCTTTTTAGACAGAATTTTTCTGAAAAATGGAAAATTTGACCCCCCCCCCGTTTTTCTACAGGGGGGTCACAAATTTTGTTCTAGATCAATTTTTCGCGCTGAAAATGCTGGAATTGCTCATTTTAAGTGATTCCAGCGTTTTCAGCGCAAAAATATGATCTAGAAATTTTTTAGACAGAATTTTTCTGAAAAATGGAAAATTTGACTCCCCCCCCCCCCCCGTTTTTTACAGGGGGGGGTCATAAATTTCACTCTTAATCTATTTTTCGCGCTGAAAACGCTGGAATTGCTCATTTTAAGTGATTCTAGCATTTTCAGTGCGAAAAATTGATCTAGAAATATATGTTTCCTGAACTTTTCAATTTTAATTTTACTTTTCCTTTCACTTTTTTCCTAAAAAAGGAAACCTAAGAGTTAATTACTGTATAATTAATATCTGGTCAACTTTTTCCCTCTTATTTTCTTTTTCCCGTTCTATAATTACCGTGATCTTTTTTTCTTGCTGGCGAAGAAAAACTGGATTTTTCCTTGGATGTTCCCATTAGGCTTTTGGTCAACTTAGACTAACTTATTATTTTTTCTCGGAAAAAATTCCAAAAATGTGGAATTTATTGATTTTTCTAGTGGTTTTTGTTAGTTTTGGTGAGTTTTTTGAAAAAAAAAACCGACATTCTAGAAAATTTTACAGTTTTCAGCCAAAATTCTTCAAATTTTCCATTTTTTTTTTAGAAAAAAAGTTTCTAGCTTATTTTTTCGCGCTGAAAACGCTGGAATCACTTAAAATGAGCAATTCCAGCGTTTTCAGCGCAAAAAATAGATCTAGAACAAAATTTGTGACCCCCTGTAGAGAAACAATGGGGGGGGGGGGTGTCAAATTTTCCATTTTTTTCAGAAAAATTCTACGTAAAAAGTTTCTAGCTCAATTTTTCACGCTGAAAATGCTGTAATCACTTAAAATGAGCAATTCCAGCGTTTTCAGCGCGAAAAATTGATTTAAAAAACGTTTCCAGCTTCCTCGGAAATCTCTTCAAGTTCCGATTTGAACTGCGATTTCGGAAGTTCGTGTCGATGGCGAAATTCGACAGAATCAATGACTGGAAAGTTCGAAATTGCGAATTTATTCGAGGCCGATGCTCAGAATCGAATTAGCTCAAGAATTGAGAATGATCGTAAGTTCTAGATGAGAAATTTGGGATTTTCAGGAATTTTTGGGTAGGGGAGTTACCCTAAGTCCCTTAAGGCCCCTAACCTTATTTAGTCTCAAAAAACCGCGCATTTTCAGCCACACCCTTCGCCTACACAACAGGCCTAATGGGCCGAACCCTAGGCCTACTAATTAGCGAGGTAATTAGCTGCCAATTAGGCGGAGCCAGTTTGAAATATTGGTATTATAAATCGGGAGCCGAATCAAGTCTCGAAGTTTGCATTCGACAACCGCCCGGAAATCGAGATCTGAATTCGATGAGGTTTGTGGAGTTTGGAGCATTTTGAGCCCAGAAACGGTGTTGCCACGTGGATTTTTGAGCTCACTGTGAAATTTGGAGCATTTTGAGCTCAAATCTTAAAATTTTTGGCTGAAAATTAAGGTTCTATTCAGGATTCTTCTAGATTTTTGGAAAAAATCAAAAATTTTCGTGAAAAATTATTTTTTGAATAGATTTTGATTGGGAAATTTGGAAAAACAACTTTTTTCGGCGAAAATTGAAAAAAAAATGAGGGGATCAAAATATTCCCGGTCGATTTTTTGCGCTGAAAACGCCGGGATTGCTCATTTTAAGTGATTCCAGCGTTTTCAGCGCGAAAAATCGATCTAGAAACTTTTTTTATGAAAAAAAAAATGGAAAATTAGACCCCCCCCCTCCGTTTCTCTACAGGGGGGTCACATATTTTGCTCTGGATCATTTTTTCGCGCTGAAAACGCTGGAATCACTTAAAACGAGCAATTCCAGCATTTTCAGCGTGAAAGATTGATCTAGAAACTTTTTTTCTAAACAAATGGAAAATTTGACCCACCCCCCTGTTTCTCAACAGGGGGGGAGGGTCACAAATTTTGCTCCAGATCGATTTTTAGCGCTGAAAAAGCTGGAATTGCTCATTTTCAGTGATTCCATCATTTTCAGCGCGAAAAATTGATCCAAAAATGTATTTTTTCTAGATGCTACGACGGAGTTTCGACAACATTCGCTCGTCAATGGATTTTCCGGGCCGTCGAGCTTCCACCGATTGCACAGCCTTTCGAAATCGTTTTCAAAACGTGGTTCAATCCGCCGATGAATATTGTGGCTTTGGATGATATTTTGTATGAGGCCGTGCTTTGTGGTGAGTGGATTTTTAGGCCTTTATTTTAGGCCGAGCCTTAGGCCTAAAGTCTAGACTAGAATTTGAAGGCTTCAATTTCAGGCTTATCTCTAAGCTTGAAATCTAGACTCTAATTTCAGGCCTCAATTGTAAGCCTGAAATCTAGGCTTCAATTCAAGGCCTTAAGCCTAAGCCTAAGCCTAAAAGCCCAAAACCGGACTGTTTTTGAGGGGGGCCCCCTATTCTGTGTCTAGTTCTAAGCTCACTTTTTGGGTGGGGGCCCCACAAAATCCTCCTCCCCCCAAAAAAGTGAGCTTTTTCCAGGCTCAACATCCACTTCAAGCTTGGGATTTCAGGCCAGGCCCAGGCCTGACAACAGGCCTAACAACAGGCCTAAAAGAGAGATCAGGCGAATCGGCATCGAGGATTGGAAATCGTACAAAAAATCGAATTTGTATTCGGGAGAGCTGATGTTGATTGTGGCGCAAGATGTTGCGGATCAGATTTCGACACCTGCAACATCGACGGAGTTGGGAACTTCAGTAGAAGTCAGAACTTCGACTGAACTTCAGGGCCAGGCTACAACATCTACTGAAGTTCTAGCTCCAGCAACAACTCCTGAACCTTCAACAACATCTACTGAAGTTCCCAAAAACATCTACTGAAGTTCCAGCCACAACTTCAAGCCCAGTTCCAGCTTCCAACCTAACCAACGAGCAACATCTCTCAAATTTCATGAATTTCCTGAAGCAGGCAGCTCCAGTCATACCGCTGATCCCGAACATCGTGAAATCATTCTCATCCCTAGATTCTGGAGCTCAAAACCTCGCATCAGCCTCCGAAGGTCTAGCTGGCGAGCTCAGAAGAGCACCAGTGCAATCCAGTCACTTCTACAACACTGATCCGGGCCTGGAGGGCCCAGGGGGCCTTTCAGGCTCCCAGGAATCCCTGATCGACTTGGCGAAGAAGTTCGGAATCGTGGAACCCGGCTTCACAACGCTGGCTCCGCCCACTTTGGCCCCTGAGGGGCCTCAGGCCCCCCGAAATTCCTTCGGGCTTGCCAGACTTGGCGATTCGATCTACCCGCAAAATCTACTGAAGTCACATATCAATCCGATCCGCGCGAAAATCGAGGAGCAGCATCGGAAGATTTTCAAAGGGGCCTCGGGGGCTTTGGGGGCCTCGGCCCCCTCCACCCCGCAGCCCCTTATAGTCTTCAAATCCCCCAGCCCCGAAGAAAGCCTGGTAGCCACTCAACTCGCCGATTTAGCCCAACTCCTCCCGCAGAACGATATTTCAGCCCTGAGGAATATTCCGGACCTAGCGGGCCTGACTAAAGGAATGGACCTAAGTGACATCAAAAGGCCCGGAGGCTTTTCTAGGCTCAAAAAGGAGTTTATGGAGAGACTGATGCGACGGACACTGGGCCTACCAGTGGTCCAGAATTCGGGCCAGGGAGATCTGAAGATTGTTGCGAAGCCGATTGTTCCGATGAAGGTTACGAGACGGATGATGGCTGAGAAGATGCGGAGAAGCCGCAGAAAAATTGTCTAGGCCTGGGCCTGGGCCTAGGCCTAGTCTTAGGCTTAGGCATAGTCTGGGCTTAGGCTAAGCCTGTGTTAATTTTTTACCTCAATATTCCATGATTTTTTTTGTTTCGGGTATTTTTCCAATAAACGTAAATGCGGAGCATCGTTGTTTTTCTCTTTTTCCATCAAAAAACCTCGGTTTGGGCTCAAAATTCACCCAATTTTCTAGCGTAAACGCGGAGCATCGTTGTTTTTTTTTCTAAAAAAACTCGTTTTCGAGCTCGAAATTCGCCAAATTTACAGGCGTAAACGCGGAGCATCGTTGAAATTGCAGGTTTTCTGATGGAAAAAGAGAAAAACTACGATACTCCGCGTTTACACTCATTTTTTCCCTTCTGATTGTAGTCTATACAGGTTCTAATAAAGTTTTTGGAGTACTGTAATTTTTGGCGCGAGAAAATCGATATTTTAAGCCTGAAAAAGCCCAAAATTTCGGGCCTAAGCCCAAAAAAGCCTACCAAAATTCAAATTTTGCAGAATCTTCGAATGGCGGAGCTTCCGAAGGTGCTGGTGGCAACTTCGACGCAGTTCCAGACAATTTGCAAAGGCACACAACGCTCGCAGATTTCGATGGAAATGGTGAGATCTTCAGACTTCTATAGATCCCATAACATCAAATTTTCAGACGTCACCATTGATTCCAGCCACTTCCAGCCTTCCACTTCAGGCTTCAAGGCCCACTCGGCCCAGGCTTTTCGGCCAGTCCATCACGCTGCCAAAACCTCCACCGGCTCGGCCCACGAATTATCCGGGCCTCGAACTGGGCCTATGTACAAATCGCTGTGTCCCAAGATTGATTGTAGCTTTGATGATAATGTGAGTAGGGCTTTGAGAATCTGAGCAGGGCTTAGGATTAGGCCTGGGCCTGGGCCTAATTTTGTTCGGGCCTATTTCGATTTGGTCTGAAAACACGTGTCACACGTGTTTTCAGGCAAAAAACCGGGAAAAAGCAAAAAAAAAACGAAAAAAAATAAATGTTTGTCCGAGAGAAGTACACACGGTGTTTGGTTTTCTCGGCCACGGCCACCAAACTTTTTTTTCGATTTTCGTTTGAAAATCGGCTCAAACACGTGGATTTTTCGACCACGTATGATTCTATAATCTGAGCAATGCCAAAAATGAGCAATGATTCGGAAAATTTTTGATTTTTCCTTGAAAATCGACTATTTTCAAGCCTATAGGCTTATTTAGGCTCAAAAAACGTGGATTTTTCGATGGCGCCAAAATTTCAAATTCAAATTTTTTGCTTCCAGACCTTCTGCAACTACGTCACAAGTTCTTCACCCAACGAGACAAGCCTCAAAAAATGGGCGTTGTCGAATCGCAGTGTCTCGAATTCGCTGACCGGAATTCCCGGCGATTTTTCAAAGTCGGGATTTTTCGCGTACGCGGGGGCTCCGGGCCTGGGATCAGGCCCTTCAGGCCTCAGCCCCGAGGACACCTTCATCCTCTCCTCCGCGTCTCCCGTGCTCATTCCGCCTCCCGCCGCCCGTCTCGACTTCTTCGTCTACCAGGCCGGCTTCCGCGGACAATTCCGCGTTTGCATCGATGACGACACGGACTGCCCCATAGTTCTAGACGGGCGGGATATTGATCAGAACGCGCAGAAATGGCGCAATTTTTGGATGGAGATTCCGGGCGGCGCGGAGCACACGATACATTTTATTGTTGATGGTTTACATGAGAATTATGTTATTGGGTTGGATAATGTGCAATTGTTGAATCGATTGGGAACGGCCGCTTTGGGCTGTTAGGCCGGCCCGGGCCTCAGGGGGCCTTTTTGTTGTAATAAACACATTATTTATCCTATGCAGAACATTAGAGAACCTGTTCTCTAAACCCTCTTACTTTCACATTGTCTCTAATCGCTCAGCAATTTGTCACTGAGCGATTAGAGACAATGTGAAAGTGAGAGAGTTTAGAGAACACGTTCTCTAAACCCTCTCAATTTCACGTTGTCTCTACTCTTATCAAAAATAATATTTGTCAATAAAATTTTCACATTTTCTAGTAGTTTCCAACCCGCTGATCACTTTTCCATCGTCAAAACCTACTTAGCTCAACTCGCTGATGAGTTATGACGTGGCAAATCGTGAGTTTGAGAGGTGAAAACTGGCTTCTACGTCAAAAATGAGCATTTTAGCTTAAAATGCTCATTTTCAGTCATTTCCATTGAAAAATGAGCATTTTCGACGTAGAAGCCAGTTTTCACCTCTCAAACTCACGACTTGCCACGTCATAACTCATCGGGGAGTTGAGCTAAGTAGGTTTTGACGATGGAAAAGTGCACAGCGAGTTGGAAACTACTAGAAAACATATATTTTTCAAAAAATTTTGAAGTTAGCATGGTTTATGAGTAATTATAATTAATAATTGTTCAAAAATTCTCGGCAAAATGTCTAACGCACCACAAAAAGAAACTATAATTCCTCTCCGATTTTCTTCGCCAATATTCCCAAAACATATTGAAGAGAAGCTTGAAAATCTTCAAAATCACACCAGAATCTCCTCTTTCTTCCACTTCCAAGTCTTCGTATGCCAAAATTCCATCAGCTTCTCGTTTTTTTGGTTGGAATTGTTGGTTGGAAAATGTGAAAGCAGTGGTTCCGAGAAGGATTTTGGATCGGGTGAGTTGGTGTAACTTTGGCAGCTTGATTTTGCTCAATCTTCTTGTGAGCTTTAGTATTGGCAAAACTTGTTTCATGTTCATTTTTCCTGGAAAATCTTGAAATTTTCAGAGAGCTCCATAAAAATCTAACTTACCCAGTGATTTTGCACCACAGGAATCGATTAAAATATTGATTTTCTCGAAAAATCAGTTTTTTCTATAAAAATCTTGAAATTTTCAGAAAAACCGTTTACAAATCTCACTCACCTATGTATTTTTACTCGTTTTATCGATTCAATAATCGATTTCACACGGAAGACCTCGAAAACCCCGTGAAAAACTGAATTTGCGCGAAAAACAAAAAAATTTCAAAAAAAATTCGCCATGGAGCGCACATGCGCGCGCCCGCCAAACTTATTTTTCAAATATTTTTTTTTCATTTTTTTGTTTTTTTTTCTTTTCCACGTGTTCGGTGTCAAAAAACGCGCAAAATTCCAACTATTTATTAGCAACCTATAAATTACGCAAGAAAATGATGAGAAAAACCAGTAAAATTTCCAAATAAAATATATGAACAAATATGTATGAAATGTTGTACAAAAGAAATATAACTATACACAGTTTTGGGTTAAAAATGCTTATTTTTCACGTAAAATAGCTCAAAATGCATCAATTTTCTTCAAATTTTCTTGGCACAAACCATAAACATGCCATTAATCTCGTAGAAAACACAAGTTCGATCTTTTTCGATGAAAAGTCCAGCTTTGGCCAGCGCATCCAGCATAATTTCTTTGGTAATATACAAACAGGTGAATTTCCTTCCGCCGAAACTGCACCAATTTTCCTCCAAAATTCCACCGTACACCAAATAGCCGCCCGATTTTACGTTTTGCGCAATGTTTTTGATGGCTTTGTAGTATTCGTCAAGGGTGTTGCTACAGTATTCGACGCAGAATATTGTGACTACGACCTGCAAAATTGAATTTTGAAATGGTACGGTTGATTTTAGCGCGAAAATTTGAAATTTTTTGAGACCAGGGCTCATTTAGTATCAAAAAATCACGAATTTTTTGGTCTAGAGCCTAAAAATAGTGTGAATAGGCTTAGGCTTATCCAAAAATTTAGGCCTAAGGTTAGGCTTGTCTAGAAGCTAAGGCTTAGGCTTATTTGGACTCAAAAAATCGCGATTTTTTCGGCCTAAAAATGGTCTGAATAGGCTTAGGCTTGTCTAAAATGCTAGGCTTGAGGTTAGGCTTAACTAGAAGCTTAGGCTTAGGCTTATTTAGACTCAAAAAATCGCAAATTTCTCGGCCTAGAGCCTAAAAACAGCCTAATTTAGGCCCTAGGCTTATCTAGACTCAAAAAATGGCTCACATCAAATTGTCCCTGAAGTTCCTGCGAACATTCGGTCGACGGATTTTGAAAGCAATCACAATGAAAAACGCCGCGAATTTTGCCACGTGTCTCCGTCAAAACTTGCTCTTTTTTATCCAAAGTTCGACCTTCCCGCGTCAAAATCATGTTTATTGGATGACTCCAATCGAAATTTGAATTTCCCGCCAACCATTTTTCGAGTTCCTGTCGATTTTGCGGCAAATAATCGGCCAAATAAATCTCCTCAGCTGTTTCGCGATAACAAGCCGCCACGTGGATGGTGGGTCCCGCACCGAAATCCAGAATTTTTTGAATTTTTCCGACTCGCGCCACGATGTTTGGGAGGAAGGTGAGGACCATTTGCATCGCTGGGTCTTCTACATTGTTGTAGAAGTCTTCCAGATAGGCGGTGGTGGAGAATTCGGTGAAGAAGGTGGTGCGATCCAAGAGTTTTTCGCCGTCTAGCTCGCGGATCACTTCGGTTGGCATGTTTGAGGGGAGGATGAGGTCGCAAGGCTGAAAATTTGCGATTTTTTGAGACCGGATAAGCCTGGGGTGAAAACTGGGCCATTTTTGAGGCCCAGGCTGAAAATTTGGGATTTTTTGACACTAAACAAGCCCAGGATCATTTTTGGCGCTAAAAATAGGTCTAGAAGTAATGTAGATCAAATTTTGGCGCCAAAAATCCCACGCTTTCTTCCGGTTGCCGTTCATTTTTGCTTGCTGTAATATTTTTTTTCCTAAAAAAAATTTTTTTTTAAGCCAGCTGACCTACCAGATGTTTCGTATAGAATCATATTGATTTTTAGCCCCAAAACCTGACCTACAGTACACTTTAGCCTTATTTATTATCGAAAATTTCATCGGTACCACGCGCTCCACCGAAATAAACACGCAACGCAGACCGCGTCGCGCCACAAAACACACAAAAAATGGAGGGAATTTGAATCATTCCCTTATTTGTGTGTTTTGTGGCGCGACGCGGTCTGCGTTGCGTGTTTATTTCGGTGGGCGTGGTACGATGAGATTTTCGATAATAGTGTCAAAAATTCAAAAATTTTCCAAAAACTCACCTCATTTTCCGAAATAATCGTCATTTTTGGATCTGAAAAAATTCAAAATTTCGAAAATTTCAATTTTTATTCAAAGATCAGCTCAGAGTTCCGTGCAAAAGAGTGCAAACAAACAGAAAATCGAGAAAATTCGATGTGTGTGACTTAGGCTAAGTTCGAAGCCTGATCTTAGGAAAAAGAAGATATAAATGAGAGGAGATGGGCGGTCGCAAGAAGCTCCGAGAGCCAATTGTTTTGTGCTCGTTTTTTTGTTTTGCTGACGTCATACAAAATGAGCAACACAAAAAAAGAGCAAAGGTTGGAGTTGAGCGACACGTGGCATTTTTTGACGTGGAAAAATTTTTTTTTTTTTGATGAATTTTGAGGCTGGGAGACCAGTTTTATGGAAAATTTTAACTTTTTGAGGTTAGAGGTCAAATTTTCGGGAAAAATATGACACGTGGCAATTTTGGCGCGAAACTATATGGAAAATTTGAATTTTTGATGGATTTTAAAGCTGGGGGACTATTTTCGGGTGAAAATTCGGATTTTTTAGAGTCTAGAGGTGAAATTTGATGGTTACGTGTCATGATTTCCGGCGCCACAAATCTCAATCTCAAAAATCCTCTCGACAGGTAACCCGATCTTTTTGCTTTTTTTTCAAAACTCAAACTATAGTCCTGCCAGTCACATGTTCTTTTTCCATCATTATTTATCCTGTTTGCCATCATCTTGTGTAACACAACACAAAAATTCGAAAAAAGAGCACAAAAAATAGGCGAAGATCATTGATTTTTAATGGGATTCGCAACAAAAAATTCGTTTTGCGCTAAAAGTGTCACTTGAGATATCGTTTTTTGCGTTTTTTCGTTTTTTGCAAACAAAAACACGGAGCTTTCGAGAAAATTGAAAAAAAAAATAAATTTGAAAATTAAATTTGGCGGGTGCGAGCATGTGCGCTCCATGGCGAATTTTTCAAAAAATATTTTTCTTTTTTTTCGGTTTTTTGCGGTTTTCACCGGGTTTTCGAGGATTTCCAAGGAAAATCGATATTTTAATCGATAAAAGAGCTGCCAAATCACTAGGCAAGTCCAAATTCCCACTTGGAAACTAAAAAATTTCAAGATTTTCATAGGAAAATAGGGGAAAATTGATTTTTCACGGGGTTTTCAAGGAAAATCAATATTTTAATCGATAAAGGAGCTGCAAAATGACTAGGTAAGTTAGTTTCTCACGAGATTTCTCTGAAAATTTTCAAAAAATCAATTTTCCAGGCAAAAAATGACGAAGAAGCTGCTACTTTCAATACTCCGCAAAAAATACAAGCTACACAATTATCATCTGATGTATAAAATCATGAGGCCTGCGATGTCTGAGCAATTCCAATTCCGAAGAAAAATCTTGGCCCCGGTCCAGCCATATTTCACACCAGAAGTCAGGAAATTCACGATTTTCCTGATTCTCAAGCTGATTTTCAATATTTTGTTGGCGATTTTGGCCGCAGAAATTGGAAAACGCTCATTTTTTCATTTGAAGGATGTTTTACTTTGAAAAATTTGAAATTTATGTTAAAAAAATCTACACGTGGCAAAAAATAAAGGAATGTTATGGTTATGGTTATCGGCAAGAAATATATGATAAAAAAGCGGGGGAACAGAGATCAGGGAATTTACTTGGGGCCGGCCTTTTTTGGCCCAATTTTCGGCCCAGGTGGGCTTAGGCCTCATCTCCAAATTGACAATCGTACAAAACCTTGGAAATTTCGATCCTGGTCTTTGAAAACGTCCGTTTATCCATAGATGCCAGGCTTTTAGCGATAGATCGGACAAAAAGTGAGACCTCATCTTCTTCCTCGAAATTCGCGTGCTCAAAATCTCCTCCTCTTTTTCGCTTTCGACTCGCCTCAATTTTCGGGATATTTTGGAGCATTAAACTTGGCTCAAGCTCATTTTCCATCGGATTTTCCACCGGATTTTCAGCACTCACATTTTCCGACGATTCTCCCGAATCTGAAATCGGTCCGGATTTGAGGAGAAGCGATTCGTAGAGTTGATTGAACGCGTCGGAATTGGTGATTTCGATGTGATTTTGGTCGAAATCCTCGTCGTCCGATTTGTTTTCACCGTCTTTTCGATTTTTTCGATTACGATGTTCGACGTAGGGATCCAGGAACGACATTTTTTGAAAATAGTTGTACCTGGAAGCATTTTAGACGTTTCTTAGCTTGTTTTTGACCAAAAATTTCGATTTTTGGCTTATTTTTGACCAAAAATATCGATTTTTGCTCACCATTTATTGGATTTCTTGATCGGGGCCTGTAATTTGTCCTGTTTCCTCAGCCGCACATATTTATCCCTCATATGTCGCCATTTACGCTCCAATTCCACGGGTTGACCGTCGAATTCGGTTTCTGTAGCGATGAGTCGCCACACTTCGTGTTTGTAGTCGGTGATTTTGTGCAGTGGGTCGTAGCTGGAAGATTTTTGAGGTTTTTGGTAGAAATGCGGTCGAAAATGATGGATTTTGAGGGATTTTTGAGCAAAAATGAGCAATTTTAAACTTTTAGAAGCTAAAATGAGCAATTTCAGACAGAAATGAACAATTTTGAGCTTAAATGAGCAACATTTTGCTTCTTGGAGCAAAAATGAGCAATTTTGAGCTTTTAGAAGCTAAAATTGTCCAAGAATGTTACATTTCAAGCTTGTGGAAGCTAAAATCCACAATTTTTCATGAAAAATCCATTTTTCCAGCTCATTTTCAAGCTGAAAATGCGAAATTTTCAGATTTTTCAGTCAAAAAACATTTCTCACCGATTATATACACATGGATTCCTCTGAACAGCTTCGATCAAATTCAAAATGAACGCATCGTCGAGCGGATCTTGAGACGGCGAAGTTTCGCGAAATTCCGAGCCTCTCATCTGAAAATTGGGCATTTTTGGTGGAAAATGACTTGAGAATGCTTAAAATTCCCTTAAAAATGACCTTATGCACCCTAAGTTCACCCAAAGCCCCCAAAATTCCCAAAAAATGGACGTAAACAACAAAAATATGTGCATGAACAGCTGCGTTTCGACGCAGCGAGAGAGTATGGGAAATTGGAGAGACGCAGAGATGGAGACAGCGAGAGATCGATTTTAGTGTGTGTGGGAAATGAGAGTGAGAGAGAGAGTGAGAAATGGGAGTATGGGGAAAATTCCAGAAAGGTCACGTCAGAAAATGAAAAAGTGGGGGATTTTACGTGAATATGCTGTGTACTTCTTTTGGACAAAGTAATTGACTGAAATTACTAATTTCAGCTTCAAAATTTAAAAAAATGGAATTTCAACAGAAAATGACGTTTTTTGCCTTAATTTCAGTAAAAAGTATATTAAACGCGTAAACTCCTTTAAAATCATTAGAAGATTAGTTCTGGACGTTAAGAACACTGTTTTGACGCGTAAAGACCTTTAGAAACACGTATTTTACGTTAAGAACAAGAAAATGCGTATTTTTCGTCTGTTAAGCGACGTTTAAACGTTAAAACCACTGAAAATAACGACTTTAACGTTAAAGGTTATATTTGAAACGTCAATAACGTCTTTTTAAGCTTAAAAACTTTAGGAAACACCTATATTGCGTTGAAAAAACGATTTTTAAGCGTTAAAAACACAATTTTAACCCAAAAATCATGACATTAACGTGGAAAACGCTATTTTAAAGCGTACGACACCTACTTTTGATGTTAATACCTAAAGAAATACCTATATGACGTTGAAAAAGCTCTTAAAACACTGAAAATCATTACGTTAACGTCAAAATCCTCTATACGGTGTACACAACCCTATTTTCAAGCGTTAAAACTTTCAGAAGCAGTTAGTTTACGTTAAAAACAGTAAAGCGACTTTTTTTTAACGACATTCACCTCGAAATCCCTTTAATAGTGCGTAAAAACCTTAAGGAATACCTATGCCATTGGAAAAACGACTTTTAAGCGTTAAAAACCCTATTTTAACCCGAAAATAATGACATTAACGTGAAAAATGCTAATTTAAAAGCGTACGACACCTACTTCTAATGCCAATACGTAAAGAAATACCTAAAAACGACTTTTAAGCGTTAACTAGTGGCTTTAACGTTAAAAGTTATATTTGAAACATCAATAACGTCTTTTTAAGGGTAAAACCCTTAAGAAATACATATGGCGTTGAAAAAAAAACGACTTTTAAGCGTTAAAAACAATATTTTAAGCCGCAAATTTCCCAATAGAACACGGTGTTCAACACAAAAACAAAACCAAAAATGAAAAATACGACGAACGGAAGAGTGTCTTCTGGGGGAAAGGAGAAGAATGCCTAGGCACAGCGGCACCCCACGCAAGATCGATTCACATTTTTGCATGTGCTGCGGTCTTTCCCCCCTACTACTCTTCCTCTTTTTCGCCGTCGCCGTTACTTTTTTTGTTGGTTGGTTGGTCGACGCTGTGTGAACACACACAGCACTGCGAAAGAGCGCCGAGAGACGCAGACGGCGAAAAGAGAGAGCGCAGCATTTTTCGGACGGCAGCCGAAAATATATATTATATTTTTTTTTTGCTTTTGGTTGGTTGGTTGTTGGGGAGAAAGGAAAGGTTGAAGGAAGCGTAGCCAAAGATTTGGGCGCCAAAAATTTGGGGAGCCTATTTTCGTACACAAACATTACACGTATTTTTTTGAGCCTTCACATGAAGTTGGAAAATTTAAATTTTTTTGAATTGTTGTTTTTCGCGCATTGGAAAATTGAGCGGGAAATTTGAATTTTTGTATTTCGCGCCTTGGAAACTTGAGCGGGAAATTTGAATTTTCAAAAAAAAACATTTTAAACGTCAAAGAATCCACGTGGAAATATCTAATTTTGAATTTTCAACTTTCCCGCCTTGAAAAATCGAGCGGGAAATTTGAATTTTCAAAAACAAAACATTTTTCGCGCTAAAAATCCACGTGGCATGAAAAATTTGAATTTTTGAATTTCCCGCTTTTTGAAAAATTGAGCGGGAAATTTGAATTTTCAAACTTTTTTGAAGGCAAAAATCCACGTGGCATGAAAAATTTGAATTTTTGAATTTCGCGCTTTGGAAAATCGAGTGGGAAATTTGAATTTTCAAACTTTTTTGAAGGCAAAAATCCACGTGGCATGAAAAATTTGAATTTTTCAATTTTCGCGCCTCGGAAAATTGAGCGGGAAATTTGAATATTCAAAAAAATTCGCGTAAAAAATCCACGTGGCATGAAAAATTTGAATTTTCAAAAAAAATTAAATAAATTACTTTATTCTTCTCTCTGTCTCATATAAATAAATTAAAATTATTGCAAAAATAAATTAAAATCTGACTAGAACAAAAAAAATCTGAAAAAAATTATTGCGCGCCAAATAATCTGAGATCTCAAAAAGTATTACTGTAGCTAAAGAATTCGAAAAAAAAATAATTTTGGTGAAAAATTTGACAAAAATCGGATAAATGCACCAGTTGAAAAGTGAAAAAAGCTTGGAAATTTGGAAATTTCAGACAAAAATATATTAATACTGTAATTGGGTACTGTAATTTATTAATTAGGTACTGTAATTAACTAAAATCAATCAATATCCATAATTTTTCATGTCGATTTGAATTATGGGCATTTTGTGTGAGTCGACTTCGTCATCTGAGCTCGAATCATCGCGCGGTCGATTGGCTCCGCCCATTTCAGCCTCATTGAAATCGATACGGTAGCTGGAAATGGGAAATTTTGAGGGGTACTGTAGGATTTGGGGGTACTGTAGAAAATTGCGGATTTTTTGAAACCTCATAAGCCTAGGGAAATTTGAAAATTCAAATCTCACGCCTGAATTTTCGAAGGAGAGAAATTTGAAAATTCAAAAAAAAAAAAAAAAAAAAGTGAAAAAAAGCCACGTGGATTTTTGACGTCAAACAAAATTTCAAAAATTCAAATTTCGCGCCTTGAAAATTAGGCGGGAAATTTGAAAATTCAAATTTTCATGCCACGTGGATTTTTGACGTTAAACAAAATTTTGAAAATTCAAATTTCCCGCTCAATTTTTCTGGCGCGACATTTGAAAATTCAAAATTTCATGCCACGTGGATTTTCGGCGGGAAATTTGAAAATTTGAAAATTCAAATTTCCCGCCTAAATTTTCCAAGGCGGGAAATTTGAAAATTCAAAAATTCATGCCACGTGGATTTTTGACGTTAAACAACATTTTGAAAATTCTAACTTCCCGCTCAATTTTCCAGGGCGGGAAATTTGAAAATTCAAATTTCCCGCCATAATTTTCCAGGGCGCGAAATTTGAAAAATTAAAAATTCCCGCCTAAATTTTCCAAGGCGCGAAATTTGAAAATTCAAAAATTCAAAAAAAAAATTCAAAAATTCAAATTTTATGCCACGTGGATTTTCGCGGGAATATTGAAAATTCAAAAATTCAAACTTCCCGCCTAAATTTTCTTGGTGGGAAATTTGAAAATTCAAAAAAAAAAGGATTAATTTTCCCATGGCCTAGAAAACCAAATATCAAAAAAATTCGGCCAGCAATCTGGAAAACTAGTCCGCAAGTCTAGCAACCGGAAAAAATGGTCCAGAAGCCTGAAAATCGGTCTGGAAGTCTGAAAAACCAAATTTCAACGGGAAATTCAAATTTCCCGCCAGAATCTCCCAATGCGCGAAATTCAAAAATTCAAAATTTTCCAACTCACCCCTGCTGATTCTCCGCATTCTGATCAGGATGATTGAATGTGGGTTGATGCATGTCCGGAACGGGTGCGGAAGCCGCTTCCGGATTCACGGAAGGATCAGCCATGTCAAGATCGAGGTTGGCACATTGGACATAGTCGATTTCGACCTGAAATTGAAGAAATGGAGATACGGAGGCTTCCGGAAGCCTGCGGAAGCTTCCGCTTCCGCAAACACACCCACCTTATACTGATACTTGGCGACATATCTGACAAACTTCTCCACTCGATCACTATCCTCATGTTGTTCCACCGACACACTTCTCACTACCGTATTCGATACCGTAGCCAGTGGCATTGTGAATTCCACGTCACACCTTGGCAGAAAAGCTTCGGGCATCAGATCAAATGAAGAGAGTTCGAATCGACACTTCAGGAGATGTGCTTTGTAGGCGGCGTGATGTTTTTCGGGCAGGCGAGGGATTCGCCAAACGAGACTCCGGTAGACGTGCTCGTATTTGGCTTCGCCGATTGCGCATTCGATGAGATTGGCTTCGCTGGTTTGCACGGCGCCGAGGAGGCGATCTTTGAGGTTCTGGAAGAATTGGGGAGAGGGGTTAGAGACGCAGAGAAGCTAGACGGCTAGAGTCTAGGAGGTTACAGAGCAGCTGGACAGCTAGAGACGCAGAGTGTTTAGCTAGACAGCTAGATTTAACGAAGCTGGTTAGAGATGCAGAGAGGCCAGACAGCCAGAGAAACTAGAAAGCTATATGGTAAGAGACGCAGAGTGTTTAGCTAGACAGCTAGATTTAACGAAGCTGGTTAGAGAAGCTAGAGAGGCCAGACAACCAGAGAGCCTAGACATCATTATTGATTAGAGACGTAGAGTGTTTAGCTAGACAGATAGAGAGAAACAAGAAAAATTGAAGAACCCAGAGATCAAGGGATGGTGTGAGAGACGTAGACTAGCCAGAGGGTGCAGAGAAGCCAGACAACTAGAGAACTGATATCTTGTCAGAGACGTAGAGTGTTTAGCTAGATACGTAGAGATTAGGAAACCGGTGAGAGAAGCTAGAGAATCCAGAGAAGCTAGAGATCAGGAAATCTGTGAGAGACGCAGAGAAACCAGAGTAGCTGGACAACTAGAAAACAGGAATCCCGTTAGAGACGCAGAGTATTTAGCTAGACATCTAGAGAAACTAGAGAATCTAGAGACGCAGAGAAACCAGACATCTAGAGTGTAGAAGATTCCAGAGAAGCTAGAGAAAAAAAGCCAGGTAGCTAGAGACGCAAAACTAGAGTCTAGGAGATTATCAGCTAGATGGCTAGAGAAGCTAGAGACGCAGAGTGTTTACCTAGACAACTAGACAGCTAGAGAACATGAATCTTGTTGGAGACGCAGAGTGTTCAGCTAGACAACTAGACATCTAGACACGCAGAGAGTCTAGAAGGTTCCAGAGAAGCTATCTAGAGACGCAGAGAAGCTAGACGGCTAGAGACTCACCTTAACCTTTCCAGGCCTCAACTTTTTCGAATGAATCGACCCGACTCCCCAATGCCGTTCCTCCCTGAACAAATAGATCCACGCTTCGGGAATCGGAAACCTGATCGCAATATCTTCGCACGGAATCTGCCTGCGTTCATCCGAACCGCGAGTTCGCTGAATTTGCGCCGCCGCCATCGCCTCAATTCGAATCTCCACTTTACTTCCCGCAATCTTCATGACGCACTTGACGCTCATCGCTTTTTCGCGATTCCGCGGCGGACGCACGCGGAAACGCATGATTTCGAAGAAGCAGCCGTCTGGTGGACTGAAACTGATCACCTGCTCTTTGTCGAACTCGTTTTGGTTGATGATCGAGTGGAAGTCGAGATTTTCGAAGCGGATCCAACGTTCGGTGTACATTGGGAGGATGTCTTTGCGGCGGACGATTTCTTTGCCTTGGCGGCGGCGATCGTTGAGACCGACTTCGAGAACTGGTGAGCCTGGAAAATGGGAAGGCCTTTGGAAGGCCTTTCGGACCATTTAGGGCCCTTTAGGTGCTTCTAGAACCCTTTTAGTAACCTTAGGCGCTTCCGGATGCCCTAAAAGCCTTCCGCATCCTTTAGAACTCTTCAGGGACCTTAAGATGCTTCCGGAAGGCTTTTAAGGCATCCGGAAGTCTTTCCGCATCCTTCCGGAAGCCTTAGGTGCTTCTAGAACCTTTTTTAAAACCTTTAGCGCTTCCGTAAGCTCTAAAAGCCTTTCCGCATCTTTTAGAAGCCTTCCGGAAGCCCTAAAACCCTTCCGCATCCTTCAGAAACCTTCCGGAAGCCTTTCCGCAATCTAAAATTAGCTTAATTAATTACCCTAACTTCCTTAATTACCCTAAAATTGACCTTAGCTTTTTCTAAATTACCCTAAAATTTAGCTACCACATTTTTCAGCTCAATCTGAGCAATATGGAAATGTATTGGATTGCTCATATTAAAATCTCACAGCATAACATGAGCAATCAAATTTCATCAGAAAATTTGAATTTTCAAATTTCCCGCCTCGAAAAAACCGCGTGGGAAATTTTGAATTTTCAAAATGTTTTTACGCGCCTAAAAAACCAAATGGCAAAAAATTTGAATTTTTAAATTTCGCGCCTCGAAAAATTGAGCGGGAAATTTGAATTTCAAATTTTCGAATTTTCCTAGGCAAGCTCAGGTTCAAAAAATTGCAAATCTCCGAAAATCAAAATTCGTACATTTTTGGACACACTACTGTATGTACCTTTAAAATGTATGTTTTCGGCCAGTACTGTATGGTCCTTTAAAATGTATGTTTTCGGCCAGTACTGTACCTTTAAAATTTATGTTTTTGCCCAGTACTGTACCTTTAAAATTTATGTTTTAGGCCAGTTCTGTACCTTCAAATCATACATTTTTGGACACAGTACTGTATGTACCTTTAAAATGCAAGTTTTCATCCAGTACTGTACCTTCAAATCATACATTTTTGGACAATACTGTATGTACCTTTAAAATGTAAGTTTTCGGCCAGTACTGTACCTTCAAATCATACATTTTTGGACAATACTGTATGTACCTTTAAAATGTAAGTTTTCGGCCAGTACTGTACCTTTAAAATGTACGTTTTCGGGCAGTACTGAATGTACCGTTAAATCATACATTTTTGGACACAGTACTGTATGTACCTTTAAAATGCAAGTTTTCATCCAGTACTGTACCTTCAAATCATACATTTTTGGACAATACTGTATGTACCTTTAAAATGTAAGTTTTCGGCCAGTACTGTACCTTCAAATCATACATTTTTGGACAATACTGTATGTACCTTTAAAATGTAAGTTTTCGGCCAGTACTGTACCTTTAAAATGTACGTTTTCGGGCAGTACTGAATGTACCGTTAAATCATACATTTTTGGACACAGTACTGTATGTACCTTTAAAATGCAAGTTTTCATCCAGTACTGTACCTTCAAATCATACATTTTTGGACAATACTGTATGTACCTTTAAAATGTAAGTTTTCGGCCAGTACTGTACCTTCAAATCATACATTTTTGGACAATACTGTATGTACCTTTAAAATGTAAGTTTTCGGCCAGTACTGTACCTTTAAAATGTACGTTTTCGGGCAGTACTGAATGTACCGTTAAATCATACATTTTTGGACACAGTACTGTATGTACCTTTAAAATGCAAGTTTTCATCCAGTACTGTACCTTCAAATCATACATTTTTGGACAATACTGTATGTACCTTTGAAATGTAAGTTTTCGGCCAGTACTGTACCTTCAAATCATACATTTTTGGACAATACTGTATGTACCTTTAAAATGTAAGTTTTCGGCCAGTACTGTACCTTTAAAATGTACGTTTTCGGGCAGTACTGAATGTACCGTTAAATCATACATTTTTGGACAATACTGTATGTACCTTTAAAATGTAAGTTTTCGGCCAGTACTGTACCTTTAAAATGTACGTTTTCGGGCAGTACTGAATGTACCGTTAAATCATACATTTTTGGCCACAGTACTGTATGTTCCTTTAAAATGTAAGTTTTTGACAGTACTGTACCTTTAAATCATACATTTTTTTTTAAATCATACACTTTTGGACACAGTACTGTATGTACCTTTAAAGGGGTCTCAAAAAAAATCTGCGTGGGAAATTCGAATTTTCAAATTTCCCTGGGCTTGTGGGGTCTCAAAAAATGCGCAAATGGTCCAAGAGTAAAGGGTCCCTAACTAACCCGTCAAAAACGCCAAGCAAAACAGTCGAACCCGCGCCTTCTGATCCGACAGCACCCCATCCTTATCCACGTAAGCCGAGTACTCATCATAGCAGTGCACCTGCACCTCATCCTGTTTATAGATCGGTTTGGCAGTCCGCGAAATACTACACTTGAATAGCACATCCTCAATAGTGGTGACAAAACTCTGCAAATCCGCCGCATTCAAACTGCCAAACTTCAAGAGTACTGTACACTGCGCAGAGTGCTCTAAGGGCAGCCCATACTTGGTGACATGTCCATCAACAAGCCTACTAATCTGTCCCGGCCTTATTCCCACTTTCTCCTTGTAAACCACAAATTGCAGCTTCACCGTATGAATTTTCCCATAAACATCATAAGCCTGAAGTGTCGTGTCCGACAGAGAATAGGTCGCTTGCAGTAAGAGCTCCTGAATTGGGCTCGAATCTTTTTTATCGTTAAAAACGTAGAGGGTTTGACCGTGTAGCTTCACGAAACAAGGTTTCCAGCATCGCTCCGCCATGAAGGATTTTTTCTTGATCGGATGTCGAACCATCAAATCCCACCCGTCACCGTTGAACTTCGGAATGAAATCGCCAAGGGGTTGCGAGTCATCTTCATCGTAGAGTGGGGTTGGTGTGTCGAGAGTTCCTTGGGGTGGACATTTGAAATCGTCTTCGAAGCGGTTGGGGCGAGCTTGGGAGATTGGGCTACCGCCTTCGGGAGTTGGGGTGGAGAGGGCGGGAGATTGGCGCGCGTAGAAATCCTCGTCGTTTTCCGCGTTGGCTGCCGCTTGTTCCGCTTTCGCTTTTGCCATTGCCACCACTTCTTCTACTGACACAACTGCGAATGGATCATAGCTCTGGAAAAAACATCGATTTTTTGAGAAGGATTTTGCTCATGTTAAAATTTTTCTTAATCTGAGCAATATATAGCTCTTATTATTGCTCATATTAAAAATAAAGCACATTCTCAGCTGGTAAGCATTACTCATGTTAAACCTCAATTTCCCAGTTGATATGAGCAATGTATAAATTTCTAGGATTGCTCATGTTAAACCTAAATTTCCCAGTTAATATGAGCAATGTATAAATTCCTGGCATTGCTCTCATGTTATACCTCTTAGAAGGATTGCTCATCAAATTTTTCAACGCAATTTTCAAATTTCCCGCTCAAATTTTTCGAAGAGCGAAATTCAAAAATTCAAATTTTATGTCACGTGATTTTTGGCGGGAAATTCAAATTTCCCGCTCAAATTTTTCAAGGCGCGAAATTTGAAAATTCAAAATCTCATATCAACCCAATTTTTTTTAATATGAGCAATGTAGGAATTTCTAGGATTGCTCATGTTAAACCTCAATTTTCCAGTTAATCTGAGCAATCTAGAAATTTCTAGGATTGCTCATATTAAGCCTATACTTTTCCTTTAACATGAGCAATTATAAGAAACTTAACATTTCTCATATTAAAATTCTAAAATGAGCAATGGTTTCTTAAAGGAAGCTATCATTTTTGAAAAAAAAACAGTTGCTCATATTAATCCCACATTTTCTTACTAATCTGAGCAATCTAGAAATTCTTAGGATTGCTCATGTTAAACCTAAATTTCCCAGTTAATCTGAGCAATGTATAGATTTCTAGGATTGCTCATATTATAGCCTATCCTAATATGAGCAATGCTCGTTTTTTTCGTTAAAGGACAACCCCAGCTAATTCTTAATATGAGCAATCATGTAAAATTTCTAGGATTGCTCATATTAAATCTTAAAACTTCCTTTAACAAAAAATAGCATTGCTCATATTATAGCTTATCTTAATATGAGCAATGCTCGTTTTTTTCGTTAAAGGAAGATATTCAGCTAATTGTTACCATGAGCAATCATCAAAATTTTTAGGATTGCTCATATTAAACCCCAAAGCTTCCTTTAACGAAAAATAGCATTGCTCATATTATAGCCTATCTTAATATGAGCAATGCTAGTTTTTTAACGTTAAAGGAAGATACCCAGGTAATTGTTAACATGAGCAATCATGCAAAAAATAGCATTGCTCATATTAAAGACCCACCTCATCAATAAGCGCCGCCTGTTGCGGTGCAAACGGATCCGCAACCGGTGTCGTCGCCTCCTTTTCCGCGTTCCGCTCACCAACCACAAACGGATCGTCTTCCGCGTCGCGTTGACCTGCGGAAGCGGAAAAGGGATCCGCAGAGTCTTTGTTGGACGCCGAGAAGAAACCACTCTCACTTGGGGGTAGAACGGGGTCCGATGTTTCGAAATCGGCCCAGGCCGGGGCCGAGAGAATCGGATCATCGGGCGCAAAATCGCCGACCGGATCCGGATCCTGTTGCGATGTCGCGAGGTGCGCTGGAAGTTCCAGACTTCCGCCCGAATCCTGCTGAACATCTTTGATCGACGATTTTTTGCGAGGCGGAATCGCGGAAGCGCTGTCAGTCCGCTTGAGATCCGCAACGGGTTTGGGGACCGCTTCCACCATCTCCGGCGCCTTCCACTCTCCAATATCCGTTCGCATCGATGCCAATTTGATCGCCAGCTCTTGCGCAGCGCGATCCATCGCATCTTCCGCGTCGAAATCTTGCGGCGGACTTGCCCCACCCTTTTTTCCCTGTTGCTTCAGTTTTTTCTTCTGCGCTTTCGCCGCCTTTTTTCTCGTCATTCAGCCTTTGAATCTCCCTTTGGGTTGCATCATTTACAAAACCCTGAGATCCTCCGATTTGCGCGAAATAACTCTCATCTTTGATGTCATTGGCTGCTGATGTTTCTTCGAGGTTCTTCAGTGTTGATTCGGTGTTCTTGACGAGATCGGACACCTGAAAATTGCAAAATTTTGAATGTAAATAGGCCTAGAGCCTAGGCCTAGCCCAGGCCCACAAAATCGAGAAAAAATAGGCTCATGCTAGCGTTTTCCTCATAGCTTTAGGAACAGGTCTGTGCCACATTTCATCGCCACAATAGTTCGCAGCGGGGTTCGAACCCGCCACCTCTCGTCTCACACGCATCTCTTCTCACCACTCGGCCACACACACGTTTCACCCTGCCTGCTTTTTTTCGCTTTAAATATCTCTCCCCTTCTCTCTCCCTTTCTCTGCACTCTCTCTCTTCTCCATTGTCTATCACTCACTTTTTCGGTCATTTTTTTGAATTGCGCCCATGCGTCTTCCTCTTCTTTCGGCTCCTTTTCTTTTTTCGGCGCGGCTGCGGCGGGTCGCGGAGGCGGCGCGGATTTTCCGGATGCCGCAGGCGGTCTTGGTGGAGCCCTGTTGGCCTGCGGGGCTTCTGGTCGAGCTGGTGGGCCGGGCCGGGCTGGAGCAGGCTTCGGCTCCAATTCTGGTTCGGGCTTGAGTTCGGGCTCTTCGGGAGTTGGTGGTTTGTAGGGTTCGGGTTGAGCTGGAGCATCCCAGGCATAGGGATCATTGGTGGGAGCTCTGCAAAAATTTTAAATTTCGAATTTTGGCGCCAAAAAATCCACGTGGCGGGAAATTTGAATTTTTGAATTTCCCGCCTTGGAAAATTGAGCGGGAAATTTGAATTTTCAAAAAAAATTTCTATTTTTATTTCTAGAGATGATCAAACTAGAGTCTAGTTTCCCAAAAAATCGATTTTTTGGGAAACTAGACTCTAGTTTTTTCTGATGTCAAACTAGAGTAGAGTTTTTAAAAATTCTTCAAAACTAGACTCTAGTTTCATTGTAGTTTTAAGCTAGAGTGTAGTCGAATCCAGGATCAAACTAGAGTCTAGTTTCCCAAAAAAAAATCTAGACTACAATCTAGTTTCTATTGATGTAAAACTAGATTCTAGTTTCTACTTATGTCAAACTAGAGTCTAGTTTTGAAAAATCTTCAAATTTTTGAGAATCTTCAAAACTAGACTCTTGTCTCATAACTCGGGGTCAAACTAGAGTCTAGTTCCATAACTCGGGGTCAAACTAGAGTATAGTCTCATAATCTAGGCTCAAACTAGACTCTAGTTTCCCCTCAAAAAGAACTCACTGTTCAAAAAGCGGCTTGATCGGGGCCGGAGCCTGGTAGGCCTGGGCTTCAGCCTGATAGGCCTGCTCTTGGGCCTGATAAGCCTGGGCTTCAGGCTCGGCCTGATAGGCCTGAGCCTCATCATACTGTCGGCAGGCCTCCAAATATCCCTCATATCCACCATAGGCCGAATAATCGTACTCCTGGGCCTGGGCTTGGCCTTCCACGGGCTGCTGGGCTTCCACATAGGCCTGATCTTGGGCCTGATAGGCTTCGGCTTGAGCCTGCAAGGCCGCCGCATACGCTCCCTCTCCATAGGCCTGATCATAATCATAGGCGGCCTGATCTTCGGTCTGGGCTTGAGCCTGCGGGGCCCCATACGCCGCCGCATAGGCCCCCTCCCCATACACCTCATCATAGGCCTTCTGCTGGGCCTCATAGGTGGCCTGATCATAGGCTTCCGGATAGGCCTGGGCCTGGGCCTGCGGGTCTCCGTAGGCCACCGCATAGGCACCCTCGCCGTAGACCTCATCGTAGGCCTTTTGCTGGGCCTCGTAGGCCGAGTAGTCGTAGGCCTGGGCCTGATCTTGGGCCTGATCTTGGGCCTGGACGTAGTTCGGATCATAATCCCATTGTTGAGTTTCATAGTTCCAAATATAGCCTGCAAAAAAAAATGTTTAACATGAGCAATATAGTTTTTTCGTTAATGGAAGCTACCCAGCTAATTCTTAACATGAGCAATCATTGAAAAATTTGGGATTGCTCATGTTATAATCCAACTATGAAGCTTCCTTTAACAAAAAAACCAAATTTTGAACCATTGCTCATGTTAACCCTTTTTAACATGAGCAATGGCTTTCTTTAACAAAAAAATCAAATTTTTAACCATTGCTCATATTAAACCTCACCTAGGAAGTTTCCTTTAACAAAAAAAACTGAAAATTTCGGGATTGCTCATATTAAACCCCACCTAGAAAGCTTCCTTTGACGAAATTTTTGAGATTGCTCATATTAAACCCCACCTAGGAAGCTTCCTTTAACAAAAAAAAAAAAAAAAGTTGGGATTGCTCATATTAAACCCCGCCTAGGAAGCTTCCTTTAACGGAAATTGGGAGATTGCTCATATTAAACCCCAACTAGGAAGCTTCCTTTAACAAAAAAATCAAATTTTGAAGCATTGCTCATATTAACCCTTCTAACATGAGCAATGGCTTCAAAAAACAGTAAATTATGAAAATTTTGGGATTGCTCATGTTAGAATACAACTAGGAAGCTTCCTTTAACGAAAATTTAGGGATTGCTCATATTAAACTCACCCGGATAAGCATTTGGATCATAGGATTCTTGATTTTCAGCTAAACTTCCATTTTCAGCCTGAGCTCCAGAATATTCTACAGTTTTAGCCAAATTTTCAGCATTTTCAGCCGGATTTTCAGCCGAAAACCTGCGTCTCTCCTCATCCATATCCTCTGAAAATTGCGGCTCCTCTTCCTCTTCCTCTTCAGCTTCTTCTACCAATTTTGGAGCATTTTTGGGCTCTTTCACATCGTGAAATGCCTGAAATTTGATAGCGTAAAGCTTTTTAGCACTTTTGTGGGATGAAAATGGAAAAAAATTTCAAAAATTTTCGGATTTGGGGTAAAAAACTGGGCTAGAAACTTGGAAAAATTCTGAAAATCTGATTTTTTGCTGGAAAAATTGAGCTGGAAATGCTGAAAATGCTCAAAACTCTGGATTTTCTAGCTTCTCTGCGTCTCTAACCCTCTTATATTGTCTGGTTGTCTAGCTGTCTAGTCTCTCTCTCAAAATCTAGTGCTCTCTAACCTAACTCTCTGGCTTCTTTAGCTGTCTGCTTCTCTGCGTCTCTAACACCCTATACCTTCTCTAGGTGTCTGGTTGTCTAGCTTCTCTGCGTCTCTAACATCTTACAAACACTCTCCACCTTCTTCATGTTCTCTATCTGTCTAGCCTCTCTCAAAATCTAGTGCTCTCTAACCTTCCTCCAGCTGTCTGGTCTCTAACCTCTGAAGTTCCTCTGCGTCTCTAATATCCTATACCTTCCCTAGCTGCCTATCCTCTCTCTAACCTTCCTCTACCTGTCTGGTTGTCTAGCTTCTCTGCGTCTCTAACCTCCCTCCAACCTTTCTCTAGATGTCTGGTTGTCTAGCGGCTCTGCGTCTCTAACACCCTCCACATCTCCCGTGCTCTCTAGAGTTATCTAGCTATCTGGATGTCTAGCTTCTCTGCGTCTCTAACACCCTCCACATTTCTAGTGATCTCTAACCTCTATAGTTTCTCTGCGTCTCTAGTACCCCTAATCTTCTCTAGCTGCCTGGTTGTCTAGCTTCTCTGCGTCTCTAACCTCTCCACTTTTTTCATGATCTCTAAGCTTCTCTAGCTGTCTTGCCTCTCTCAAAACCCAATGCTCTCGAGCTAGCTTCTCTAACACCCTCCACATCTCTAGTGCTCTCTAACCTTCCTCTAGCTATCTGCTTTTCTGCGTCTCTAACACCCTATACCTTCCCTAGCTGTCTATCCTCTCTCTAACCTTCCTCTACCTGTCTGGTTGTCTAGCTTCTCTGCATCTCTAGCATCTATAGCTTTCCAACTTCCCTCTAGCTTCTCTAACACCCTCCACATCTCTAGTGCTCTCTAACCTGATCTAGCTGTCTATCTTCTCTATGTCTCTAAAGTCTTTATCTTCTCTAGATGTCTGGTTGTCTAGCTGCTCTGCGTCTCTAACACTCTCCACCTCATCCCCCAATACTCTCTAACCCCCTTCCTCTGCGTCCCTACCCCCCTCTGCATCTCTGCACACTCACCCCCTGATGTGGCGCATCCGGCGAAGTGATCTCCACAGTCGGCGGCTTCGCATAAAACGCCAATTTCTTATCCGCCTTACTCGGCACCTGCTTCTCTGCGTCTCTAACCGTCTGCTGTGTCTCTTCTCTCTCACTTCCCTCCTGGTTTCTGCTGACGTCATAATTGACTTCCGGGTTCTTGCTGATGACGTCATCCTCTTTTTCAGACCGGGCAGCTTCTCGTTGTTCAGCCTCATCCATTTTGTCTGCAAAAAAAATTTCAGAAATAATTTTTTTTTTTTTGGAAAATTTTGGAAAATTCTAGAAAACACGTGGATTTTCACGTGGAAAATCCAAAAAATTCCATTTTTTTGGAAAAAATCAATGCTCGCATGGTCAAGTGGGTTGGGGTTGGGAGTGTTGAGTGGAGGGTCGGGGGATCGAGTCCGGCTCGAGGCGAGACATTTTTTCTAGGCAGCTAGAGAAGGAAGGTTAGAGAGCACAGAGGAGCCAGACAGCTAGAGAAGGGTTAGAGAGCGAGAGAAAGCAGACAGCTAGAGAAGGAAGGTTAGAGAGCACAGGGGAATCAGACAGCTAGAGAAGGGTTAGAGAGCACAGGGGACCCAGAGAGCTAGAGAAGGGTTAGAGAGCAAGAGGAAGCAGACATCTAGAGAAGGGTTAGAGAGCTAGAGAAAGCAGACAGCTAGAGAAGGGTTAGAGAGCACAGAGGAAGCAGACAGCTAGAGAAGGGTTAAAGAGCACAGAGAAGCCAGGTAGCTAGAGAAGGGTTAGAGAGCTAGAGGAAGCAGACAGCTAGAGAAGGGTTAGAGAGCAGCTAGAGGAAGCAGACAGCTAGAGAAGGGTTAGAGAGCATTGGAGAGGTTAGAGACGTAGAGAAGCTAGACAACCAGACACCTAGGGAAGCTAAAGAGGTTAGAGACGTAGAGAAACAGACAGCTAGAGAAGGTTTAGAGAGCAAGAGGAAAACGAGAGAGTCTAGACAGCTAGAGAAGGGCTAGAGAGCACAAGGGAATCAGAGAGTCTAGACAGCTAGAGAAGGGTTAGAGAGCAAGAGGAAGCAGACGGCTAGAGAGGGGTTAGAGAGCAAGAGGAAGCAGACAGCTAGAGAAGGGTTAGAGAGTAAGAGGAAGCAGACGGCTAGAGAGGGGTTAGAGAGCACAGAGGAAGCAGACAGCTAGAGAAGGGTTAGAGAGTAAAAGGAAGCAGACGGCTAGAGAGGGGTTAGAGAGCACAGAGAAGCCAGGTAGCTAGAGAAGGGTTAGAGAGCTAGAGGAAGCAGACAGCTAGAGAAGGGTTAGAGAGCAGCTAGAGGAAGCAGACAGCTAGAGAAGGGTTAGAGAGCATTGGAGAGGTTAGAGACGTAGAGAAGCTAGACAACCAGACACCTAGGGAAGCTAAAGAGGTTAGAGACGTAGAGAAACAGACAGCTAGAGAAGGTTTAGAGAGCAAGAGGAAAACGAGAGAGTCTAGACAGCTAGAGAAGGGCTAGAGAGCACAAGGGAATCAGAGAGTCTAGACAGCTAGAGAAGGGTTAGAGAGCAAGAGGAAGCAGACGGCTAGAGAGGGGTTAGAGAGCAAGAGGAAGCAGACAGCTAGAGAAGGGTTAGAGAGTAAGAGGAAGCAGACGGCTAGAGAGGGGTTAGAGAGCACAGAGGAAGCAGACAGCTAGAGAAGGGTTAGAGAGTAAAAGGAAGCAGACGGCTAGAGAGGGGTTAGAGAGCACAGAGAAGCCAGGTAGCTAGAGAAGGGTTAGAGAGCTAGAGGAAGCAGACAGCTAGAGAAGGGTTAGAGAGCAGCTAGAGGAAGCAGACAGCTAGAGAAGGGTTAGAGAGCATTGGAGAGGTTAGAGACGTAGAGAAGCTAGACAACCAGACACCTAGGGAAGCTAAAGAGGTTAGAGACGTAGAGAAACAGACAGCTAGAGAAGGTTTAGAGAGCAAGAGGAAAACGAGAGAGTCTAGACAGCTAGAGAAGGGCTAGAGAGCACAAGGGAATCAGAGAGTCTAGACAGCTAGAGAAGGGTTAGAGAGCAAGAGGAAGCAGACGGCTAGAGAGGGGTTAGAGAGCAAGAGGAAGCAGACAGCTAGAGAAGGGTTAGAGAGTAAGAGGAAGCAGACGGCTAGAGAGGGGTTAGAGAGCACAGAGGAAGCAGACAGCTAGAGAAGGGTTAGAGAGTAAAAGGAAGCAGACGGCTAGAGAGGGGTTAGAGAGCACAGAGAAGCCAGGTAGCTAGAGAAGGGTTAGAGAGCTAGAGGAAGCAGACAGCTAGAGAAGGGTTAGAGAGCAGCTAGAGGAAGCAGACAGCTAGAGAAGGGTTAGAGAGCATTGGAGAGGTTAGAGACGTAGAGAAGCTAGACAACCAGACACCTAGGGAAGCTAAAGAGGTTAGAGACGTAGAGAAACAGACAGCTAGAGAAGGTTTAGAGAGCAAGAGGAAAACGAGAGAGTCTAGACAGCTAGAGAAGGGCTAGAGAGCACAAGGGAATCAGAGAGTCTAGACAGCTAGAGAAGGGTTAGAGAGCAAGAGGAAGCAGACGGCTAGAGAGGGGTTAGAGAGCAAGAGGAAGCAGACAGCTAGAGAAGGGTTAGAGAGTAAGAGGAAGCAGACGGCTAGAGAGGGGTTAGAGAGCACAGAGGAAGCAGACAGCTAGAGAAGGGTTAGAGAGTAAAAGGAAGCAGACGGCTAGAGAGGGGTTAGAGAGCACAGAGAAGCCAGGTAGCTAGAGAAGGGTTAGAGAGCTAGAGGAAGCAGACAGCTAGAGAAGGGTTAGAGAGCAGCTAGAGGAAGCAGACAGCTAGAGAAGGGTTAGAGAGCATTGGAGAGGTTAGAGACGTAGAGAAGCTAGACAACCAGACACCTAGGGAAGCTAAAGAGGTTAGAGACGTAGAGAAACAGACAGCTAGAGAAGGTTTAGAGAGCAAGAGGAAAACGAGAGAGTCTAGACAGCTAGAGAAGGGCTAGAGAGCACAAGGGAATCAGAGAGTCTAGACAGCTAGAGAAGGGTTAGAGAGCAAGAGGAAGCAGACGGCTAGAGAGGGGTTAGAGAGCAAGAGGAAGCAGACAGCTAGAGAAGGGTTAGAGAGTAAGAGGAAGCAGACGGCTAGAGAGGGGTTAGAGAGCACAGAGGAAGCAGACAGCTAGAGAAGGGTTAGAGAGTAAAAGGAAGCAGACGGCTAGAGAGGGGTTAGAGAGCACAGAGGAGCCAGACAGCTAGAGCAAACCCTATAATTTTTTTAGCTAAAAAATCTCCGAGCCGCAAAAATTTGTGCGCTCATCAAAAATCCAAATTGGGCTCCCCCGCTGCTCAAAAAGTGCACAAAAAAAGTCGCGCGGAGCACACGTCATGAATAATGTGCCGCACACACTTTTACTCTTTTTTAGTAGTTGCTGTGTGCTCCGCGAGCAGCTTATGAGAGAGTGAGAGAGTGAGAGACGCAGAGAAAAAAAGTGGAGAAAAATATATATTTTCAGCACCAAATGAGGGGATTAGTATGTTTTTCAAAAAAAAAAAAAAAAAAAAAAAAAATTTTTTTTTTCGAGCTCACCCGCAAAATTCTCCCATTCGACGCTGGAACGACGGTGGACGACTGGAGCTGGTGGAGCCTGGAATTTCAGAGGGGTACTGTAGGGTTCAGGGGGTACTGTAGATGACTCTGGGGTACTGTAGAGGCTTCCTAAGGGTTCAGGGGTACTGTAGAGGCTTCTGAAGGCTTCTGTGGTACTGTAGAAGATTATTATGGGTTCTGGAGATTACTGTAGAGGATTACTGTAGGTCTGTAATTTTTTAAATCCCTCTAGATAACTACCTCCCTTTAAACCCATATAGATTACTGTATCTCCCTTTAAACCCATATAGATTACTGTACCTCCCTTTAAACTCCCTCTAGATTACTGTACCTCCCTTTAAACCCCCTCTAGATTACTGTACCTCCCTTTAAACTCCTCTAGATTACTGTACCTCCCTTTAAAACCCCCTCTAGATTACTGTACCTCCCTTTAAACCCCCTCTAGATTACTGTACCTCCCTTTAAACTCATCTAGATTACTGTACCTCCCTTTAAACCCCCTCTAGATTACTGTACCTCCCTTTAAACTCCCATTTAGATTACTGTACCTCCCTTTAAACTCCCTCTAGATTACTGTACCTCCCTTTAAACTCCCATTTAGATTACTGTACCTTATTTTTGTAGTTCGGATTCTCGTCCAAAATATCACCCTCATAATCATTGAGCGGAGTTGTACGACCCGAAACACTGCCACGTCTTGTCTGCAAAAAAAGTAGGGGATTGCTCAGGTTAGGGGAAAATTTTGATGGGGATTGCTCAGGTTAAAGTATTTCTAAAATTTTTCTGGTATTGCTCATGTTAAGCTTCACAGAAGTCTATAATTTATGGAAATCTTGAGAAAAAAAGAAAAATCATTGCTCAGATTAGATTCTGGAAAATTTTCGGGATTTCTTAAGGTCCCTAAGAGCTCCCTAAGCTCCCTAAGAACTTTCAGAAATCTTCCTAAACTTTCTAAGGTCCCTAAGATCTTACTAAAAACTTAAAAAACATCTTAAATTCCTTATTACCTCCCTAAGGCCTCTAATATCTTCCTAAAGAACCTAATTTCTTATTAAGGACTCTAAGAACTTCCTAAGGTCCTTAAAACCCTCTTAAGAACTTCCTAAACACATTAAGTTCCTTGTGCACTCCCTAAGGTCCATAAGATCTTATTAGAGGCTCTAAGATCTTCTTAAGGACTCTAAGAACTTCCTAAGGTCCCTAAAGCCCTCTCAAGAACTTCCTAAACACAATAAGTTCCTTGTGAACTCCCTAAGGTCCATAAGATCTTCTTAAGGTACCTAAGAACTACCAAAAAAACTTAAAAATCATCTCAAGTTCCTTATTAACTCTCTAAGGTTCCTAAGATTTTCTTAAGAACTTCCCAAAGTCCCTAAGAACTTCTTCGAGGCTCTAAGATCTTCCTAAGAACTTCCTAAGGTCCCCTAAAAACTCCCAAACCCTCCCCAAAACTTCCCCCTCACCTGTCCCGGAATCTGACTATGCATCTGCTCAAAAAACTCGCTCATATTCTCCGCTCGCTTCTTTTTCGGTATCGACACTCTGATCTTCTCCTCTTCCGATTTTCTCTCCTGGATCTCCTGTTCAGCCAGGAATGCGATTCCATCCAAAACACATCCAGAAGTCGGTGTGGTCGGCCGCTTTCGGATCTTCTGATCGTAAGCATGTCGAAGTTCGAAGTTCAGGGAGCTGGGAGGCTCTGGGGGGCCCTGGGGGCCCGGAGGCCCCTGAGGGGCCCCCATAAGCCCCTCAACCTCCGCATCCTCCTCATCCCGAATCAGACTCTTGTGCAACTCTTGCTCTTGCTCACTATGTCCTGGCCCAGGCACAGCCATCTTATACTTCTGAGTCTCGCCCAACTGTGGATCCACCTTCCTCGAACTTGTTCCAGATCTGATCTCGATGATTGTGTCATTCGTATCTGACGTGGACATCGTGCCCAGTGGAATCTGATCGATGTCTAGAGATGCTGGAAGTTCGGGAGGTCCGCCGAGATTCTCGTCGTCGATGGATTGGGTGAAGGAGCGCATCGCGCGCATTGAACGTTCTGGAAAATGTGGAATTTTGGCTGAAAATTCTGAAAATTCCACGTGGATTCTGGAATTTTTGGATTCAGCTTGAAATTTGGAGCATTTTGACACCAAACATGCTTAAATTCTGACTGAAATTTCTGGAAATGCCACGTGGATTCTGGAATTTTCAGATTCAGCTTGAAATTCAGAGCTGAAAATTTTTGCCACGTGGATTTTGAAATTTTCAGATGTGCTCTAAAATTGGGATTGCTCAGGTTAGACTTATTTTTTTCAAATTTCAGAAAACATTGCTCAGGTTATTAATTTTTTCTAAGAAATCCTGGAAATTTCGGGATTGCTCAGGTTAGAAATTTTTTTTTGAAGATAATATAGATTGCTCAGATTATACTTTGGAAAAAGTTTAGAATTGCTCAGGTCAAGCAGTAAAATTAGGATTGCTCAGGTTAAATTTAAAAAAATTTAAATTTTCAAAAATTGTTCAGATTATACTCTGGGAAAAGTTTAGAATTGCTCAGGTTAACTTTTGAAAACTTTTAGAATTGCTCAGATCCACCTATAAAACTAGGATTGCTCATATTAAACCCAAAAAAAATCTTCAAACGACACTCCGCATTTACACCTATCCCAAAAATCCTTTTTTTTTCAAATTTTCTCGAATTTTTGCCCATTGCTCATGTTAAAAATCATACCTGAAGCCGAAATTTCATCAGAATTCATTCGAAACGCATTTCTCCCACCATGTGGATCGTAGTTCGACGAATTTCCACCACCACCTTCATCCTCATACCTCCACGACATTTTTCGAGGCTGAAAATCTTAAAAACTGAAATTTTTGGCTGAAAATGGATGGGATAATCGAGAAAATCACGATTTTTCGACCCTAAAATGACCTTAAAGACCTTAAGGAGTTATTAAGGTCGTTAAGGTAAAATAAAACCCTATGACGTCAAAAAAATATGGAAAAATCTGGAAATTTTTGGCTGAAAATCACGATTTTTTAACCCTAAAATAACCTTAAATACCTTAATCTGCTAAGGAGTTTTTAAGGTTCATAAGAGCTATGACGTCACAAGCAAAAAAGTGTATAGCTAAAATAATGGCGAAAAATTGCAGGTAACCAAAAAAAATTATGAAATTTGATACTTTTTTCCGGGGGAAAAATTGGGGCGTGTGAAAAAAATTGGATTTTTTTTACCTTAAGGGGTTTAGGGCCCAAAAATAAGGTCTTCTTAGGGTAAAAATCAGCCTGAATTCATAGTTTTTAGGGCCTTAAGATAAGGGCTTTTAAGGCCTTAAGTTTAGGGCTTTAAAGGTCCGAATTTAGAATCAAAATGAACCCTAAAATTAGGGCCTAAAATTAAGTTCCTAATTAATCCTTAAAATTAGGGCTTCTTAGGGTCAAAATTATTGGTTTTTGCACCAAAAATCCCAGAAAATCTCATTTTTTCCTCAAAAAAAAAGGAAAAGCTGATGAATCTGACATTTTTATATGAAAAAGGAGCATTTTCCCTATTTTTCCCATTCTCTTTTTGAAGAGTCAATTATATAGAAAAAAAGGCTATTCAGAAGGATTTTCTCCTTTTTAATGGGATTTTTTTGAGGCTAAATAAGACTAGGGTTGTTAAGGATTTAAAGAAGTTAGGGGATTTTTAAGAATCCTGGGAAAATTTGCGATTTTTTGAGACCAAACTTGTTAAGGAACTTAAGAAATTAGGAAAAACTCCTCAAAAAAAATCCTCAAAAAATTCCCTAGGTTTTTTAAGTTTCTTAAGTACCTTAAGTAGATTTTAAAAATAGTTCCAAAAACTTCTGAAACTCAGAAGAATCTTTAAAATTGTTTTGAAGGTTTTTAACGACCTTAAGGCTTCTTAAAGTTCCCTAAAGGATTCCCTAGAGCTAACCTTAAGGCGTCTTCAAAATTCCTCTTAAAATTCCCTAAAGCTCCCTAAAAACCTTAAGGCTTCTGAAAAATTCTGAACACTTCCTAAAGCTTCTTAAATACCTTAAGGCTTCTTAAAGTTTCCTAGAAAATTCCCCAGTGCTACCCTAACCTTTTAAGAACCATAAGGCTCATTTAAAGTTTCTTGAAGCTTACTAAAGCTTCTTAAATACTTTAAGGCTTCCTTAAAGTTTCTTAAAAGATTCTCTAAAGCTATATAACTTTTAAAGAACCTTAAGGCTTTCATAAAATTCCCTAAACCTCCCTAAAGACCTTAAGACCTAAAAATACCCCAAAAACAATATAAAAACCTCACACCAAAACGCCAGGAAACAAAAAAAATCGAAAAACTACTAAGCTTCTCCTCCTACTTTCTTTTTTGCGCCTCTGCTGCTCTTTTTTTGGTGCAAAGGCGAAAAATCGATAAAAATATACGAGAAAAAAAAGGAAAACGAGGGGGAAAAATGCAGAATTTTTGTTTTGGACAAGTCTAGGAGCAAAAAAAAAGAAGGAAAAAGCTGCGCGGAAAAAAAATTGAGGAAAAATGAGTGAAAGGAGCAAGAAAAGATGAACGATTTGTTTTAGGAGCATATTTGGAGCTTAGGGTACTTAAGAGCCCTAAGAATACCCAGAATTTAAGAAATTTCAACCTTAGGGTTCTTAAGAGCACTAAAATACCTAAAAAATTCAGAAAATTCAGGAAATTTTAACCCTAAGGTCATTAAGTGCATTAAAAATTCAAACAATTATAAAATTTTGACGGTAAGGTCTTTAAGAGCACTAAAAGTACCTAAAAATCACAAAATCTGGGCCTTAAGGTCGTTAAGTGCACTAAAAGATCCCAAGAATTCTAAAAATTGAAGCTTCGAGTCTAGCAGCATTAAAATACCCAAAAATTAAGAAATTGTAACCTTAAGGTCATAAAGTGCATTAAAGATAGCCAAGAATAACAAAATCTGGGCCTTAAGGTCGTTAGGAGCAAAAAAAATCCTAGGAAACTTTTCTGGACCTTAAGGTTCTCAAATTCCCTTCAAACACCCTAAAAAATTTGAAATTCTGAAATTTTGACCTAAGACCACTAAAAATACCCAGGAACACTGAAATTTGAACCCTAAGGTCGTTAAGAGAACAAAAAATACCATTAAAATTCAAAAAATTCAGGAAATTTGGACTTTAGGGTCGTTTAGAGCACTGAAATACCTAAAAATCAGAAAATTCAGCAAATTTTGACTTTAAGGTCTTTAAGAGCACTGAAAATTTAGAAAATTCAGGAAATTCAGAAAATTTGGAGCTTAAAGTCTTTAAGAGCACTGAAAATTTAGAAAATTCAGGAAATTCAGAAAATTTGGAGCTTAAAGTCTTTAAGAGCACTGAAAATTCAGAAAATTCAGGAAATTTTAACGCTAAGGTCGTTAAGAGCACTAAAAATATCTAAAAATGAAGAAATTTGACCTAAAGGTCGCTAAGAGCATTAAAAATTCCCAAGAATCACAAAATCTGAGCCTTAAGGTCTTTAAGAGCAAAAAAATGCCCAAGAAAATCAAAATTTTATAAAAATCAGACCTTAAGGTCGTTAAGAGCACTAAAAATACCCAAGAATCACAAAATCTGAGCCTTAAGGTCTTTAAGAGCACTGAAAAAATCCTAAGGAACTTTTCTAGACCTTAAGGTTCTCAAATTCCCTTCAAACACCCTAAAAAATTTAAAATTCTGAAATTTTGACCTTAACAGCACTAAAAATACCCAGGAACACTAAAATTTGAACCCTAAGGTCGTTAAGAGCACTAAGACTACCCTGGGGACGTTTTCCGAACCTTAAAGCCCGCAAATGTCCTTTAAACACCTAAGAAAATCAAAATTTCAATAAATTTAAACCTTAAGGTCGTTAAGAAGCCCTTATATTACGCAAGAATCCCGAAATTTCAACCTTAAGGTCGTTAAGAGCACTAAAAACACCCTAAGAACATTAACAAACTCAAAAAACCCCCCAAAGGTCGAAAAAAAAAGAACGCCTTGTTTTTTTTTGCAAATAAGAGAGAGTGTGGAAAAGAGAGAGAGTGTTAGAGAAAGAGAGGGATAAACAGTTTTTGTGGTGTTTTGCATATAAGAGTGTCTAAAACTATACTCTAGTTTGACCCCTGGCTATTTTTTGGTTGTTTTTTTGGTTTTTTTTCCTGAAGGTCATCATTTTTTTTTTGAAAAATTGTAATTTCTTGATTTTTTTTTCATTTTTTTCTATTTTACAGCTTTGCTTCTAGTAGATTCCACATAACAGTAAAACTATAGTCTAGTTTGATATTTTATAACAAAGTACTTTGAGGTATAGAAACATTTCATTTAAAAAATTACAAATCAAAATGATTCTCCTCCATCAATTTTCGAATATTTTCCATAAATTCATCACTTGGAAACTTATCCAGCTCAGGATTTCCCAATTTTCCCATCGAAATATTTGGATTCCTCTCAATTTTCCAATAATCCTCATTCACTTTTCTCAAATATTCATCAATTCCTTTTTTGAAATCCAAAACTTTCACCACCATCATCAGAATTTCGGTGGATTCTGGTTGACTTTGTATCAATCTGTCAATATTTGATATTAGTTTTGGAAGTAGAGAATCATAATTGGTTCGAAGAATTTTCTCATATTTTTCATGAATTCTACGAACATTTGGACATCTTATAGTCATTCTAAATGCATTTTTCGACTCGTTTTTCTGATTTTCAATGATTTTTTCGAGTTCATCAATCTTGAACTTAAAATCATTGATTCGAATTCCTTCCTGTTTCAACTGTGCTTTCATTTCTACACATTGAATTGTCAACCGATCATTATCAGCTGATACATTCTTGAGAAGCTCGTTCAAATTTTCAATCACATCGCAATCGTTTTCAATAGCTATATCATCAATATCCAAGCCAAGAGGTGAATATCGAAACAAATCTTCGATCATTTTCTGAGTTCTTCTTCTTCTACAAAGTGGCTTCAGTTTCGCAAGCCTCGAGTAAAAATAAATCTGATCGTCAAGATAATAATTGATGTTCGATAATCCAGATGACATTATAAAAGCGATTCCACATTGTATCGCATACTAAAAACTATTGTTTTTCGGGCTCTATCGCAATATAAGGGTCCGTAAAAAAATATAGGGGGCCGTTATTTTGTTCAAGGGTCCAAAAAAATATCAGGGTCCATTATTTTTTTTGAAAGTCTTTAAAAAATTTTTTTTTAATTTTTGGGACCCTTAAAACAAATAACGGACCTTTTAATTATTCTGGGACCCTTATATTGAGATAGAGCCGTTTTGGCTGTCAAAATGAAACGTGGCTTACCTCATTCTCAACTATTTCATCGGTTTTAATTGCCTCGAACCATTTATCAGGAAGTTTCGCCAGTGAATGAACACTATCGATTGCAAGTGCCAGAAATCGTCTATAGAAATATTGATCTTTCAAAATTTGTGATAACACAAAACAAAGCTCACATCTTTTTCCAATCGTCACCTTTATAATCCAAATCCTTATCTTCCACAATATTCATTATATCATCCGAAAACCGTTCAGCATAATAACATTCGATTGCTTTCTCGAATGTGTCTATACCATTTTCTATCTCTTTCACCAATTGAATTTCGCAGATCTTATATATATATATATCTAGAAGATTTTTACTCTGTGTGCAAACAAGTTCAAATATCAAATCAATTATTTCGGTGAGCATTTCAGAATTGCAGTTTTGATTGTAGAACTCAATTTTGCTCTTTAATAGAGTAAGTCGATCTTCTCTAAAATCAAGATTTATTGAATTTCGCATTTTCGAACGCTTTAACTCACTGTTCCTCCATTGAAAATACAAAATTAAAAAAAAAATATCAATGATAAAAAACTTTTCACAAAAAAAAAAAGAGAAATCGATTGAGAGATAATAAAAATTGTCACGAGTGATGAAATATTTCAAAATTTTATGTAGGTGAACTTGTAATTAAAAAATAAATTACAGCAACTTGATTACAATTAAAAAATAGTATGAAATATTGCAAAACCTGGCTTCATCACATACATATTTATAACAAATATAACAAAATTCTAATTTGTATAATTGAAATCGCAACTATTGACAACGAAACCAATACCATTTCTATAATTAAAAATAGGTTAATTTTTTTGATGAGGTAATCACAATGAATAAATATTTTATTGAAAAAAAAGGAGGGGTATCAATGAAATGTGTTATGAAATAGTCATTTTTTAAAATTTATGAGGCAATTTATAGTTAGTTGAGAATAGTGACGCACAATTGCGGACTTTCTTTTTCACGTAGGAGGACAACCCCTTTAAAAACTTTGAAAAAAAATATTTGCTTAACTCGTGAGTTAAACAGATTCAAATTCCAAGATCTCAAATGATATCGAAATTATTATCAGCCATCAATTTTCGAATATTTTCCATGAATTCATCACTTGGAAACATTTCAACCTCTTCATTCCCCAAATTTTCCATCAAAATACACGGATTTCTCTCAATTCTCCAATAATCTTCATTCACTTTTCTCAAATATTCATCAATTCCTTTTTTGAAATTCAAAACTTTCACCACCATCATAATCAAATCTTCATTGGATTCTGGTTGACTTTGAATTAATCTGAAAATATTTCATATACATACTTAAATCTACCAGGTTATTATGAGCAAACCTGTCAATATTTGCTATTATTTTTGGAAGTAGAGAATCATAATCAGTTCTGAGAATCTTCTCATATTTTTGATGAATTCGTCGAACTTTTGGGCAGAATATTGAGATTCTATTCGTTCTTTGAAGTCTATCAATTTCAAACTTAAGATCCCTGATTTGAATTCTTTCTTTCTTCAGCTGCGCTTTCATTTCAACACACTGAATTGTTAATCGATCATTATCAGAAGACATATTTTCCAGTAGCTCGTTCAAGTTTTCAATTTCACTATCCTCTCTGTAATTCGTCAATTTTTCAGCATAATTTCCAAAATGATAATATATCATACTCAAAAATCCACATAACATAATTAATATGAATCCGTAATGCATAAAATCGGGCTCATTCTCCAATTTATTAATTTCCACTTTTTCATCAATGCAGACAACATAACTCTGGAATGTCTGGCTACATTTTATTGCCTGGAACCAACTGTGCAGCAGCTTTAATAACCAATCGATGAAGATCATTGGGAGTTAGCCTATAACTAAGGATGTTAGGGTATATAGTGAATGGTACACACAATTAAATTAGGTAATAAAACATTTAAAATATGGTTAAACCTTAGCCTTTTAAGTAAAGTTAAGTCTATTTAAGTTAAAAAACCCGTAGAGCTCCAATTTAAATTTCGTAAACATAATTTTACTAAAAAAAATCACTCGTACTAAATAATCCCCAGAAACAATAGATAATCTATGTCCGGTATAATCCTAGATTAATTGAACATTTGATTTCACACTTATTCTGCAAATTAAAATTTAAAAAAAACAATCAATATATAATTTTGGGTTATCAATGAAACTGTCGACTTAATTTAGCGATAAAAATGACTGATTTATAATTTGAAAGATACAGTTTGAATGTTTTTTGAAGGTGTTGTCTTTCTACGAGGCCTGATTAGCTTAAGCGCGAATTCCGATCTTTTATTGAAAAATAAAACCCTCTTAATCCTTAAAACTAGGAAATAAAGTTTGCTCTATCACACTTAAACATTTATTTATTATTTTAGGTATCTCCAATCTAGTATAGGCTCATTTACACTTAATTAAAAATACTGACGAAGGAACCCCTTTAACATTGGTTTTATTACTCACTAAAAGCAAACCTGATTCCTGATTATTCTCCGGAATTGTTTACAAATGATTTTTTGAGGAAAAATTGATAAGAAAATTGACGATTTCTATCATTCGTGTTCAAAATCGCCTCAACATTTCTTCTTTCTAAAATAATTCTTGCAAAATTATTGTGTTTTCAGCGATTTTCAAAAAATTGACCTATTCACAGCGATTTTGATGGAAGAAATAGCGAGAATGGGACAAAAAGATACTGTAAGGGTTTTACTTGGCTTTGAAATTTGAATTTTGAAAAAAAAAGAAGAGTTTTGAAATTCCCTCGTATTTTTGACAGGTTACAAGAAGATCGACTTATGAGAGTCCACGTGTTCTATTAACAAGAAAAATCGAACAATACAATGAAGAAGTGTATAAATCTTCTGCTATGCTGACTGAAATTGTCGATTTGATATTCAAAGTTGTTCGCGAAGAAAGAGAGAACATGTGGGAAACATACAAAATCTGCCAGAAGCAATTGCACAAGGAGAGAGAGGAAAAGGTTGGCACTTTCAGAAGAGCCATTGAAAATTATGTGGAACGTTTTTCGCTGAAAATATCGGTTGAGGAGGAGTTGAGCCACAAACGTGATGATGATAATACGATGTGAGTTTGATTTAGTTTCATCCTGAAAATGCTCAGTCAGTTATAGATTTTTCTTTGCATTGTTGACAATTGGAATTCCGGAGTTGCCAGATAGTATAATCCCGAAGTTACTGAACAATTGGTTCCGTGCGATTGAATGCAATGATATATTTGAAAAAGACTACGTTTGCTCTGATCGAATTGTCCATATAAATCAATGAGTGAGGAGGAGAAGAAGAAATTGAAGAATGAGGTAATTTTAAGTTAAAGTCTTAACACTAATATCAGTTTTCTATAGTATCCGATTCAATGTGGAATTGTTTTTATGAAATCGTGTGGATTATTGATGATTAAACAGAATTTGATGAATGTTTGGTCATGTTGGTGCGAGAGACTTGTGATTCTGAAACCATGTTTCGAAATAATCACCCAGAAAATGATTGAAGAACTTTTTCGAAGTTTACCGATTGGATTGCAAGGAATCGTTAAAGGGAAGTGTTTTAGATTTGAGTTCAGATGAAACTGTGTATTTTTCAGAAGATACTTTTAGTATAGATAACAAAATAATTAATATGCAGAATGTGATAATTGAACATCTGGAGAGCAAGATCGAACAGTGAGTTAGGTTGAAAGCTTTCAACTAATCAACAACATTTATAGAATGGAAGAATACGAACAAGTTTTGAAAGAGCAAAATGATAATCTTAAAAATATAATTGAAGAATCGAAGAATAAAGATGTTGAAGATATTGACTCGTGAGTTGAGATCTGACTATGTTAATGAATATTTGGTGTTTACAGAAAATCATCATTAACTAATCCATTGAAAGATCAGATGGAAAAAGATTCAAATGATATGAAGGCTTTAAGGTTGAAATTAGAAGAAATGGAAAAAGTGAATGAGAACCTGAAAAGAATGTCAAATGGAATTACTATAAGTTGTCCAAATGTTCGTCGAATTCATCAAAAATACCACAAAATTCTCAAAACTGATTATGATTCTCTACTTCCAAAAATAACATCAGACATTAACAGGTATACATTGTCAGTAACTCAAATAATCATCAAAATATTTCAGTTTAATTCAAAGTCAACCGGATTCAACTGAAATTCTGATGATGAAAGTAGAAGTTTTAAAATTCAAAGAAGGATTTGATGAATATATCAGAAAAGTGAATGAAGATTATTGGAAAATTGAGAGGAATCCGAATATTTTGGTGCAAAAATTGGGAAATCGAGAGGTTGAGATGTTTCCGAGTGATGAATTCATGGAAAATATTCGAAAATTGAATGTGGAGTCTGAGAAAACAATTGTGAAACACCGTGTAAAATGGCTTGATGATGAGTAGTTTGGATTTAATGTTTGAGAAGCTTTTGTGATTCTTATTCAAATTTTTATATGTTATATTGGAATTAAATGAATATTTTCCGGAATTGTTTACGACAATCAATTTTTTTGAGGAAAAAGTGATAAGCAATGTGACTCTTCTTATCATTTGTGTTCAAAATCGCCTCAACGTTTCTCATTTCCTATTCTTGAGCAAAAAGTGAGAATTTTTTTTGCAAAATCAATATGTTTTCAGCGATTTCCCAAACGTTTGCCTATTCACGATCACAATGATGATGTACCAAGAAGAAAGACCGCGGATAAGACAAGAATATATTGTAAGAAAAACATAGCTAGTTAAAAAATCGAAGAGATTTGAAACTCGTGTTTTTGACAGGTTACAACAAGATCGATTGAGACCCCACGTGTTCTATTAACAAGAAAAATCGAGCAATACAATGAAGAATTGCATAAATCTTCAGCTCTGCTCACTGAAATTATCGATTCGATATTCAAACTTGTTTGCGAAGAACATGAAAAACTCTGGGATACATTTATAATCTGCCAGAATCAAATCAACAAGGAGAGAGAACAAAAGATTGATAATTTCAGAAAAGCCATTGGAAATTATGCGGAACGTTTCTCGGTGAAAGTATCGAGTGAGGATTTGCGATATAAAAGTGATAATCATAATACGATGTGAGTTGGATTTAGTTTCATATTGAAAACACTCAGTCAGTTATAGATTGTTCTTTGCATTGTTGACAATTGAAGTTCCGGAATTGCCAGATAGTATAATCCCAAAGCTACTGAACAATTGGTTCCGCGCAATTAAATGCAATGATATATTTGAAAATGACTACGTTTGCTCTGATCGAAATTGTCCATATAAATCAATGAGTGAGGCGGAGAAGGAGAAATTTAAGAATGAGGTAATTTTAAGTTAAAGTCTTAACACTAATATCAGTTTTCTATAGTATCCGATTCAATGTGGAATTGTTTTTATGAAATCATGTGGATTATTGATGATTAAGCAGAATTTGATGAATGTTTGGTCATATTGGTGCGAGAGACTTGGAAAATTGAGGCCATTTTTCGGAATAATCACTTATAAAATGATTGGGGAACTTTTCCGAAGTTTGCCGATTGGATTGAGGGGAATCGATAAAGGAAAGTGTTTTAGATTTGAGTTTAGATGAAACTGTGTACTTTTCAGATGATACTTTCAGTGCAGATAACAAAATACTTGATTTGAAGAATGAAATAATTGAAAAACTGGAGGAAAATATTAAAAAGTGAGTTGAGCTAACAAGTTTACAACAATTTGCAAGATTTCTAGAATGAAAGAATACGAACATGCTTTGGAAATGAAAGTTGATGATTATAGGAATATAATGGAAGAATTGAAGAACAAAGGTCTTGGTGTAATTAGAATTGTAGAAACGTGAGTTGAGATCTGAAAATGAATAGATTCTAATATTCGTCATTTGCAGAAAAGACGTTCAATTAGCAGAAATGACTAAAATGTGTGAAACTGTGATATATCAGAATGAAATATTGAAGGCTGATTTGGAAAAAAATGCAATTAATAAGAAGGATTTAGAGTTGAAAGTGGTAGAAATGGAAAAAGTGAATGAGAATTTGAAAAGAGGGTCGAATAGAATTTCAATAACTTGCCCAAATGTTCGTCGAATTCATCAAAAATACCACAAAATTCTCAAAACTGATTATGATTCTCTACTTCCAAAAATAACATCACAAATTAACAGGTATACATTGTCAGTAACCATACCACACCCAGCTTCGTGCAAATTAACTTTGAAAATTGGCGGTGTGGGTTTTGAAATTTTCTGGCGAGGTGAAAACAACCTTTTCGACTAAAAATACCACGTTTTAACGGAAAAACAAGCAAAAATTTGCTGTTTTTCAAGAAAATCTCAAATTGGCGAGGTGAATGTCCGTAAATTTTTATTGGCGCCGTGCATATGCCTCACCCTGGGCGTGGTATGTCAGTAACTCAAATAATCATTCAAATATTTTCAGCCTAATTCAAAAACAACCGGATTCAGATGAAATTTTGCAGTGGAAAGTGGATGTTTTGAGATTCAAAAAAGGTATTGATGAATATTTGAGAAAAGTGAATGAGGATTATTGGAAAATTGAGAGGAATCCCGATATTTCGATGGGAAAATTGGGAAATGAAGAGGTTGAGATGTTTCCGAGTGATGCATTCATGGAAACTATTCGAAAAATGATAATGTAGACTTTCTCACAATTTTTCACTTCAATAAATTTATTGCGAAAACTTATAATAATCCAAATTAACCTTGGCACCATCAACATTCTGATTCAAAACAGTTTGCTTAACATCAGCCGCTTTCCAACCACCAAACGCAACAAAATCATCAAAATTCCCATTCGAATCACCCGAATAATACCACAATTTCAAACCCATACTCGCAAACTCCAATGTGTTCCCAGTAACCATCTTCCAATCATCAGAACTTGTGAAAATCCCGATTTTTTTGAAATTTAATTGATTCGCCGTGTTGAGAAGAGTATGAAGGAATTCCCGATTTTTCGCGATGTCAGCTGACCATTTCGAGGCAGTTTGACTAACTTCAATCCACAATCCATCGGCATGAATCAGGTTTTCACTGACACCCGTTGCAATGCTTTTTACCTGATCTCCAGGGCTCACAGAGCTCCCAAGATTTGGCGACATAAAGAGCTCCACACTGAATCTTGTAACGTATGCTGATTTGATAGTGGTCACCATGGATTTATCGAAACTTGCGGAATTTGTGTCGAATGCTCTTACGTAGATTTTTGTGTACATATCGAGGCGGAGATTTTGCAAGGTGATGAAATCAAGAGGAGTTGACACATCGATTGCAGTTCCATAGGGTGAAGCCTGCAAAAATTTTCACGTGACCTATGACGTGGCAATTCAAAAATTATTGTATTTATAAACATTATAAAATGACATTAGGATTTTGGGCTAAAAACGAAAATTTAGAAAATTTTCAAAATTCTGCGTGGCGAGACCCACACAATGTTTCTCCCGTGTGCGCCTTTAAACCCCCCAAAACTCACAGCTCTTCCAAAAACCACCAAAACCCACGCAGCCAACAGAATCAGAGTTCTCATTTTCTCAGGTCACAAATCAAAAAGTCCCCCCCCCTCCGCTTTTTAAAGCATTTTCTTATCTTTTCGTAATAAAAATCGCGAAAATCATCATTTCTTGGGGGGAAATGATGATTTTGCCGTGCACACCGTGACAAATAACATGCTCCCCGCGTCAGATTACGTGAGAAGCTCGAAATTTTGAAAAACCCTCTGGAAAAAACGAGACAAACAAGCAAACGCGCTCCAGCGCACACCAACTATTCGTGTACTTCTCGCGGACGATTTTTTATTTTTCTCGTTTTCATCGCATTTTCTCAATTTTCCCAGGCTAAATGACGCATATTCAACATTTATTTGTGATAAATCGCGCCGGAAGTTTGATCTACCATTGGGAAGGCAAAAATGAGGTGGTAAGTCGAGTTTCCGCTCAAAAAACACCGCGAAAACCGCGAAAAATCAATAAAATTGTTTATTTCAGGCGGAAATCGATAAAACCTACACATCGCATCCGATGGCGGTGCATTTAGAGGAAGTCGATCAGAAGGCGGTGGTGGTTTTTGGCGAAAAAGAGGGTGTCAAATTGCGGTATTATGTGAAATCGATCAATAATTCGCCGGTGTCGGGAACTCGGTTTTTTGTGGATAATGAGGAGGAGCCGCAGAATGTGTTGGAATTTTTGCAAAAACCTGAGAATTTTCCGGTAATTTTGAGGGGTTTTGGCCTGAAAATGGCCTTAGAAAGTCTAGTAAAGCCTGAAAATACCCTGAGAAGCTTAAGAAAGGCCTCAGAGCCTAGAAAAGGTCTTAGAAAGTCTAGAAAAGCCTAAAAATGGCCTGAAAAGCTTTAGAAAGGCCTTAGAGCCTAGAAAAGGCCTCTGGAAGTCTAGAAAAACCTAAAAATGGCCTGAGAAGCCTAAAAATACCCTGAAAAGCCTAAGAAAAGGCCTACAACTGTCTGGAAAAGCCTAAAAATGGCCTGAAAAGCTTTAGAAAGACCTTAGAGCCTAGAAAAGGCCTTAGAAAAGCTTCTAAAGCCTAAAAATGGCCTGAAAAGCTTTAGAAAGGCCTTAGAGCCTGGAAAAGGCCTCAGAAAGCCTAGAAAAGCCTAAAAATACCCTGAAAAGCTTCCGAAAGGCCTCAAAGCCTAGAAAAGGCCTCTGAAAGTCTAGAAAAGCCTAAACATGGCCTGAAAAGCTTCCGAATGGCCTTAAAGCCTAGAAAAGGCCTCAGACAGTCTAGAAAAGCCTAAAAATGGCCTGAAAAGCTTCCGAAAGGCCTTAGAGCCTAGAAAAGGCCTCAGGCAGTTTTCCCCGTAATTCTCAAAGGAACATACAGTAATCTCGAAATTTTGCAGGTTACCGTGAAATTCGCAGCTCCGACAATTTCAACAAACGAAAAAATCATTCTCTCCTCCATGTTTCACTCACTCTTCACAATTGCCGTTCAATTGAGCCCGTGTATGAAGAGCTCGGGAGTTGAGGTAACTTTTTTGAGTTTTTCGGGGGAATTTCGAAATTCTGGGCTGAAAATGATGAATTTTAAGCCAAAATTTGAGATTTTTGATGAACTTTGAGTCTGGAAGCCAATTTTCAGTCAAAATTTCAGATTTTCAGCAATTTTTCTCGAAATTTTGAGCTAAAAATGATAAATTATCGATTTTTGACTTTCAGAAAAAGCTGAAAATACTATTCTTCAGTTTTTTTCGGCTCAAAAAGGTTCCTAGACCTGAAATTGTTGATTTTTCTTAAAATTTGGCTTCAAATGCTCAGAAAATGCTGAAAATCCCAAATTTTGACTGAAAATTCTCAAAGAATGCTGAAAATTATGATTTTCAGCTCAAAACTCATCAAAAATCCTAGAAATTTGGCTCAGAAATGCTCAAAGGCTTAAAATTATTGATTTTTCACAATTATTGGCTGAAAATGCTCAGAAAAATCTGAAAATCATAGTTTTCAGCTCAAAATTCATCAAAAATCCTAAATTTTGGCTCAAAAAGGTTCCTAGACCTAAAATTGTTGATTTTTCTCAAAATTTGACTCCAAAAAATGCTCTTAGGCTAAAAATTATCGATTTTTCACAATTTTCAGCTTAAAATGCTTAGAAAAAGCTGAAAATCATAGTTTTCAGCTCAAAATTCATCAAAAATCCTAAAATTTGGCTCAGAAAATGCTCCCAACCTTAAAATTATAGATTTTTCACAATTATTGGCTGAAAATGCTGAAAATTGCAGTTTTCAGGTCAAAATTCATCAAAAATCCTGAAATTTGGCTCAGAAATGCTCCTAACCTTAAAATTATCGATTTTTCACAATTCCTTGCTTAAAATGCTCAGAAAATGCTGAAAATCATAGTTTTCAGCTCGAAATTCATCAAAAATCTTGAATTTTGGCTCAAAAAGGTTCCTAACCTTAAAATTATCGATTTTTGACTGAAAATTCTCAAAAAATGCTGAAAATTATGATTTTCAGCTCAAAATTCATCAAAAATCCTAAAATTGGACTCAAAAAGGTTCCTAGACCTCAAAATTATCGATTTTTCACAATTCCTGGCTTAAAATGTTCAGAAAAAGCTGAAAATTATAGTTTTCAGCTCAAAATTCATCAAAAATCCTGAAATTTGACTTCAAAAATGCTCCCAACCTTAAAATTATCGATTTTTCACAATTCCTTGCTTAAAATGCTCAGAAAATGCTGAAAATCATAGTTTTCAGCTCGAAATTCATCAACATACATGAACTACCTCTCCGAAACCGGAGGGAAGGGGGTTAACTTTTGAAAAATTTTTGTGGGGGGCCTTAACTTTTCAAAAATAAATTGAAGAAAAAAATTAGAAAAAAAATTTTTTTTTCATTTTTTTTCGAAATTTTCAGATTCCAAGAAGGTGATATGTGTTTAAAATGCAGTAAAACTATTGTTTATTCAATTTTACATAATCTTGTTTCAATTTATTGTGGTTTCTTTCAAGTAACCCCCCTTCCTAGATCTAGAATGAGCATTTTTAAGCATATTTGGGCAATTTTTTTGAATTTTCATATAAATATAGCATCTAATCGTTACTAAGCGCGATAAAACTTGTTTCAAATATAGTTTAACTCTCGTAGATAAGATATATAACAACTCTGGTCAATTTGGTGACGTTTCCTTTCTTCTACCCCCCCTCCGTATGTTGAAAACCAACATTTTCTTCAATTTTCAGGTATTTTGACAAATTTTTTCTCCTGAAACCACTAAATGGGCATTGATTCGTGCTAAACACTAGTAAATAAGTATAAAAAGGTATGTCTAACAATTATTTGAAGTATAATTGCAAATTACGACCTCTACCCCCCCACTCCGTTTTCGGAGTCTCAGGCTCCGAAAACGGAGTGGGGGGATAGAAGCTCCATTTCTTCATAAAACTTCAAAGAATTGTTTGGCATGCCTTTCTATACTTATTTACTAGTGTTTATCACGAATCAATGTCCTTATGGTGGTTTCTGGCTGATATAAATTTCGAAAATACCTGAAATTTGGTGAAAAATGATGGTTGTCAACATACGGAGGGGGGTAGAAGAAAGGAAACGTCACCAAATCGACAAGAGTTGCTATATATCTTATCTACGATAGCTAAACTACATTTGAGACAAGTTTCACTTGGATTGATTTAGTGGAACATGAAATATTGAGAAATTAAAAAAATTTCAAAAGAAAAAAATAATAAAAAACAAAAAACATACACATAGGTGGAATCGAACTGGCGACCTTCCTACTCAAAAACCCACGTGTTAGCCAGTACACCAAGAACGCGATGAAGACGCTAGCGGCGAAAGTTCATGATAAAGAAAGTTTGGCGCCGTAAAATTAAAAATGTGGCGGAGGCAAATATAAAAATTACTTTTTTGACAGAAATTTTTATAAAAGCCTTCGCCATCAATTAACTTTTAAGACTTGAGAAAAAACTATTGTATAATTTTCACGGCATGTTTAACTTTTTTTCAGAGGTCAGAAAAAATTTGACAAGAGGGGGGGGGGGTTAACTTTCTCGATTTTTTTTTCTGGAGGGGGGGGGGTTAACTCGGGGGTCCCCGGAGCGACTAGTTCATGTATGTTCATCAAAAATCTTGAATTTTGGCTCAAAAAGGTTCCTAACCTTAAAATTATCGATTTTTGACTGAAAATTCTCAAAAAATGCTGAAAATTATGATTTTCAGCTCAAAATTCATCAAAAATCCTAAAATTGGACTCAAAAAGGTTCCTAGACCTCAAAATTATCGATTTTTCACAATTCCTGGCTTAAAATGTTCAGAAAAAGCTGAAAATTATAGTTTTCAGCTCAAAATTCATCAAAAATCCTGAAATTTGACTTCAAAAATGCTCCCAACCTTAAAATTATCGATTTTTCACAATTTTCAGCTTAAAATGCTTAGAAAAAGCTGAAAATCATAGTTTTCAGCTCAAAATTCATCAAAATTCCTAAAATTTGGCTCAGAAAATGCTCCCAACCTTAAAATTATCGATTTTTCACAATTTTCAGCTCAAAATGCTGAAAATTCCAGTTTTCAGCTCAAAATTCATCAAAACTCCGAAATTTTGGCTCAGAATTGCTCTGAGGCTAAAAATTATCGATTTTTCACAATTTTCAGCTCAAAATGCTCAGAAAAAGCTGAAAATCCCAAATTTCAGGTGCTCGAAACCACACAATTCAAACTTTTCTGCCTGCAAACTCGAACCGGTGTCAAATTTGTTGTCATAACTTCAGCTGCCTCAAACATCGCCGCCGACACTCTTTTATCCAAAATGTATGAGCTCTACGCGGATTTTGCGCTCAAAAATCCGTTTTATTCAATTGATATGCCGATTAGGTGAGAGATTTGGGGGTTTTTTTTGAAATCTGAAAAATTTGGCTGAAAATGAGGGATTTTAAGCCAAAAATTGTGAAAATTGGACAATTTTAAGCCTAGGAACTGAAATTTTCAGCTTTTTCTGAATAATTTGAGCTCAAAATTATCAGAAAAAGCTGAAAATCCTAGTTTTCAGCTTAAAATTCACGAAAAATCCCGAATTTTGGCTCAAAATCATCAGAAAATTCCAGATTTTCAGCCAAAAACCAAATTTTCAGATGTCAAAAATTCGAGGAAGGCTTGAAAATTCTGCTGGATCGTGCTGAAAAATCGAATGGAGCTCTGACTTTTTGAGAGCTGAAATTTAAGCTGAAATTTTTTGTGTAAATAAATGGATGGGAAATTCATAACAACATAGCAACAAACAAAAAATGTGGAAGATCATGGGAAAATGGTGCAAAAAAGGGGGATAAAATGGGGCCTTTTCGAGCCTGGCAGGCCTGAAAATAGGCCCGAAAAAAACCGGGCTTTGTTTAGGCTTTACTGAATTGTTGTTGTGTCAAACGGGCTTTTTTGAGCGATTCCGAACGATCCATGAAAAGATCCACGCAACGTTGAACATCGGATGTCTGGAACATTTTGAGCTTTTAGGCTTGGAAATAGGGGGCTTAGGCCTAGTTCTAGGCTTTCAGGGGCTGAAAATCATGATTTTTAGCCTGGAGACCATTTTTAAAGCTAAAAATCATGATTTTCCGACCTGGTTTCATTTTTGGAGCTAAAAATAGGGTTTTAGGCTTGGAAATGGGCCTAGGCCTAGTTATAGGCTTTTTAAAGCTGAAAATCATGATTTTCGACCTACGACCATTTTTAGAGCTAAAAATCATGATTTTTAGCCTCGGGACCATTTTTTGAGCTAAAAAATAGGCTTTTAGGCTTGGAAATGGGCCTAGGCCTAGTTATAGGCTTTTTGGGGTGAACTTTAGGATTTTTGGGCTGAAAATCATGATTTTTCGACCTGGTTTCATTTTTTTTGAGCTAAAAATCATGATTTTTCGATCTGGGGTCATTTTTAAAGCTGAAAATCATGATTTTCAGACTCGGGACCATTTTTAGGCTGAAAATCATGATTTTTGAGCTAAAAACCTTCAAAATTAGTGAATTTTGACCGGGAAATCGAGATTTTTCAAATTTTTCCCCAAAAATCCTCACATTAATAACATCTCTTCCCGAACATTGTGCCGATAATCTGGCTGGCGCAATAATTTGCAACGCATATCTCAATGATCTTTCTGTAGCGACTTGTGTCATGAAGTTCAGCGCGTCTTTGTCGAATTTCACATTTTCGGCTTCGGAGCGAAGAGCGAGGATCTGGAAATTGAGAAAATTGAGGATTTCGGGTGGAAAATCATATTTTTTCAAAATTTTTGAAAAAAAATCTCTGCAGGCACCGGGGCTCGATCCCCGGACCTTATGAGCAGAAAAAACACTATTTTTCATGAATTTTTGGTAAAAAATCACCCATTTCTGGTCATTTTTAATATTTTCTAAAAAAAAACTTTTGCAGGCACCGGGAACGATCCCCTGACCTTCTGATCAAAAAATTCAAATTTCTCATGATTTTTAACACAAAAATAGAATTTTTAAAGTAATTTTTTAATATTTTCTTTAAAAAATCTCTGCAGGCACCAGGAATCGATCCCTGGACCTTCTGATCAGGAAAACCACCATTTTTCATGAATTTTATGTCAAAATTATCGATTTTTAACAATTTTTAGCTCAAAAATTCAAACCTCGCGCATTTCATCTGGTGTATATTTCAAAGTCGGAATAATCATGAGTCGATCGAGCATTTCTGGCGGAATTCCGTGAGCTGATTTGATGTCCAAACCTCTGCAAAAAAATGGAGGAAATTGGGGGAATTTTTTAGGTTAATATGAGCAATGGTCAAAAAATCATGAAAATTTCAATTTTCTAGGTGAAAATTCATTAATTTCAGCAGGATTTTGACCAAGAATCGATAGTTTCAATTTAACATGAGCAATGCTTTAAAAATCATGAAAAATTCGATTTTCTGGATCAAAATTCACAATTTTTCTATCTCGAATCGAAAAATGAAGGAAAATGTGATTTTTCTGGGTCAAAATTTATTAATTTCAGCTGGAATTTGACCAAGAATCGATATTTTCAGTTTAACCTGAGCAATGGTCAAAAATCATGGGAAATTCGATGTTCTGGGTCAAAATTCATGATTTTCAGCCGGATTTTGACCAAGAATCGCAATTTTTAAGTTTAACATGAGCAATGCTCAAAAAATAATGGAAAATTTAATTTTCTGGGTGAAAATTCATTAATTTCAGCTGGAATTTGACCAAAAATCAATATTTTCCGGGTCAAAATTTTAATTTTCCGTTAAATTTTAATTTTTAATTTTCCGGGTCAAAATTCCTTAATTTCAACTGGAATTTGACCAAGACTCGCAATTTTTAAGTTTAACCTGAGCAATGCTCTAAAAATCATGAAAAATTCGATTTCCTGGGTCAAAATTCACCATTTTCACTGGGATTTCGACCAAAAAATCCCATTTTTTCCCAAATTTCCCGCCAAAACCCTAACCTAACAGTCGAATTTCCTCGATTTGTCGCAAATACAACAATTGGACTAATCGACGATTCCAAACTTCTGTGCAAATATGTAAAACATTCGGCATCCAACATATGAACTTCATCGATGAACAAAACGCCGGGCATTAATTCGGCAACACCACTTTCGATATATTCGTTTACGACTTTGTTGATTTCCGAGCGGAGACGGTCTGGAAATGAATTTTGATCATTTTTGAGCTTTTGAGGTCAAAAATTAGGTTCCTAAAGAGATTTCTGGTCATTTTCTAGCTCTGGAGCTCATTTTTTGATGAAAATTCATTCTAGAAGCTTCTAGGCCCATTTCTGAGCATTTTTCAAGATTTTAGAGCTCCAGAGCTCAATTTTCACGATTTTCAGGTAAAATTTCACATTTAGCCGCTCTGGAGCTTCATTTTGATATAAAAATTCCAATTTGAAGAGTTTATACGGGATTTTAAGCTGAAAATCAGATTCCTAAGGTTCTGAGCTGATTTTGGAGCTATTTTTCATGGTTTGTGAGCTCCAGAGCTCAATTTTCCCATATTTTTGATTAAAATTGATACTGGAAGCTTCTAGGGTCATTTCTGAGCATTTTTCACGATTTTTGAGTCAATTTGGAGCTCTAGAGCTCAATTTTCATGATTTTCAGGTAACATTTTCATCTTTATCATCTCTGGAGCCTCATTTTGATATAAAAATTACATGTGATGAGTTTACACGGGATTTTAGGCTGAAAATCAGATTGCTAAGGTTCTGAGCTGATTTTGAAGCTATTTTTCAAGATTGTTGAGCTCCAGAGCTCAATTTTCATGATTTTCAGGTCAAAATTGATACTGGAAGCTTCTAGGGTCAATTCCGAGCATTTTTCAAGTTTTTTGAGCTCCAGAGTTCAATTTTTGATCAAAATTGATACCAGAAGCTTCTAGGGTCATTTCTGAGCATTTTTAAACGATTTTTGAGTCATTTTTGAGCTCCAGGGCTCAATTTTCCACCATTTTTCCCCCAAATCACTACTCACCAGTAACTTCAGTTTTCTTTGGCGCCATCAATTGCGACACAATACTACTAACATCTCCCTGTCTTCCTTGCGGTCTCGCATTTGCCAAATCCAAATCATGTAATGTGACATCTTGAACAATATCCTTGGATTTTCGAACATCTCCTTTTGGAAGTGGCACAAATTCGTCGGCTTCAAGATCGAATTCTGAAGCATACACATCACATCGACCAACGCGCTGGAAAAAATGAGATTTTTGAGATTTTTCACGGTGTTTGGGTCATTTTCATGTATATTGCATTGATTTTTCATTAAAAATCGATTTTTCAGATCGAAAATTCGCTTTTTCAAAGGATTTCGGTCATTTTCATGTAAATTTCATTAATTTTTATCAAAAATCGATTTTCCGGATCAAAAATTCGCTTTTTCAAAGGATTTCGATGATTTTCATGTATATTTCGCTTATTTTTCAGAAAAATCGATTTTTCAGATCAAAAATTCGCTTTTTCACGGGATTTCGGTGATTTTCATGTATTTTTCGCTTATTTTTCAGAAAATTCGATTTTCCAGATCAAAAATTCACATTTTCAAGTATTTTTTCACTGAAAATCTAATTTCAGGTCAAAATTTAGCCAAAAAACTGAATTTTCAGTATTTTTCAAAGGCAGAAGCTATTTTCAGCTGGTAAATTCAATTTTTCACGAGTTTCAGACAGAAAACTGTGCTTTGATAAGATTTTCGTGGATTTTTTATTAAAAAATCGACTTTTTCAAAAATTTTCACAAAAAATCCAATTTTTGATGAAAATTCGTGTTTTTTTTCATTCCAAATTCAATTTTTCCAGAATTTTGAGTCATTTTTTGAGCTCCAGAGCTCAATTTTCATGATTTTTAGGTCAAAATTGATGGCAGAAGCTTATAGGGTCATTTCTGATCATTTTTCATGATTTCAGAGCTCCAGAGCTCAATTTTCATTATTTTTAGGTCAAAATTGATAGCAGAACCTTCTAGGCGATTTTTTTTCAAGATTTCAGAGCTCCAGAGCTCAATTTTCGGTCAAAATTCATTCTAGAAGCTTCTGAGCTCATTTCTGAGCATTTTTTAAGATTTTTGAGCTCCAGAGCTAAATTTTCATGATTTTTAGTTCAAAATTGATACCAGAAGCTTCTAGGGTCATTTCTGAGCATTTTTCAGGATTTTTGAGTCATTTTTGAGCTCCGGAGCTCAATTTTCACATATTTTTGGCCATTTTCAAAATTTACCTTAACAATTCCCGAATTCGCCTCAATATAAATAACATCACCAATCTCAATTCTTTGCTTCAAAATCGAATCATAAATACTTGGATCCAATTTCAATTGTTTACTTCCTTTCGCCGTTTTCAATGACAAAACCAAATGTGAAATTGTTTTTCCGATTCCACTACTTTGACTGTTTGCAGTTTCGATTGGATTCAATTCGGTCACTTCTCCTTCGTAAACATCTTTGGTTTCTGGAAGAAAGATCGGATTTTTGGGTGGAAATCAGGTGAAAAATATGTGAAAAATGAGCTCTGGAGCTCAAAATTGACTCAAAAATCTTGAAAAATGCTCGGAAATGAGCCTAGAAGCTTCTGCTATCAGTTTTGACCTAAAAATCGTGAAAATTGAGCTCTGGAGCTAAAAAATCTTGAAAAATGGTTAGAAATTGTGAAAATAGTATATTCCGGATGGAATTTTGGCGCGAAATTAAAATTTTTTTAAATTTTTCGTTTTTGGATCCAGAAAACTCTGAATTTCAGCTGAAAATTGATAAAATAGCGTCCAAGTTGAATTTTTCACGATTTTTGAGCTCCAGAGCCCAATTTTTATGAATTTTATGTTAAAATTGATACCAGAAGCTTCTAGGGTCATTTCTGAGCATTTTTTCACAACTTTTGAGTCATTTTCTGGCTCCAGAGCTCAATTTTCATGATTTTTAGGTCAAAATTGATATCAGAAGCTTTTAGGCTCATTTCTGAGCATTTTTCAAGATTTTTAGTTCACTACGCGGCATTTTTGGCGGGAAATTTTGAAAAATTCAAAATTTTCACGAAATTTCGCTTCGAAAGACACCCCACAAGCCTAGGATTTGAGAAATTTTGAATTTCGCGCCAAATTCAAATTTTCTCAAAACCCAGGCTTATGGGATGTCTTTCGAAGGGGAATTTTGGGGAAAATTTGAATTTCCCTTCAAAAAATCATGAAAATTAGGCTCTGGAGCTCACAAATCGTTTAAAAATGCTCAGAAATGACCCTAGAAGCTTCCAGTATCAATTTTGACTTAAAAATCATGAAAATTGAGCTCTGGAGCTCAAAAATAACTCATAAATTGTGGAAAAATGAGCCTAGACCTTTCTAGAATGAAATTTTCCGTCAAAAATCCAAAATTTCTAGATTTTCCTCACTCACCCTTAACCCTCAATCCAATGGCCCGTCTAAAATTCCTCATCAAAATCTCGGTTTTCTTCACCTCACTGGAGAACACTTCACTAGCAACCAATGGCACAAATGGTACACCATCTCCCAATTCTTGTGACATGGCTAAAGCGATGGCAGTTTTGCCTGTCCCTGGCGGTCCGGCTAATAAAACCGCGCGGCCCGCCATACTCTTCATACGAATCAGATCGACAATCACCGAGGCCGAATTGCGCGCGGCGGTTTGGCCGATGAAACCGGCGGCCTTGTCGAGGGCCTCTTTCGTCTCCTGATTGAGCCCGAGGCCTTTCACGTGACTGTGGGCCGCGATTCGTTTGCTTTGTTTTGTGGTCGATTTGACTTCTTCGATTGGAGCGAGACGCGAGGCAGCGGAACTCGGAGTCTCGTCGATTTCCATGTCCATTTTTGCTGGAAAATCGGGGAAATTGCAGATTTCCTGGACTTTCAAGGGAAAAAAAGATAGAAAAACGAAAAATTCTCCTTGAGAACTACACAAAAAAACCTATTTTCGCTTCGAGATATCTATGCGCCTTTAAAAAACAGCAAAAATAGGCCTAAAAGCGAGGAATTCTCCTCGAGAACTACACAAAAACCCTATTTTCGCTTCGAGATATCTATGCGCCTTTGAAGATTTTCTTGTGGACTACACAAAACCCGCTTCTGTGTAGTTCTCTCGGAGAATCCCAATTTTCCCGAAATTCTCCTCGAGAACTACACAAACCCCCAATTTCGCTTCAGAAACTTCTCTGCACCTTTAAGGATCCTGTGTAGTTCTCGTGGACAATTTTGAGCATGTCTCCAAGAGAATTCACACCCGCTCAAACAATGAAAAAATTAGCAAAATGCTGTTCTCATTGGCGTACCAATTTTAGATACCTTAGAGGTCGTTATATGAAAAACTAAAAATACCATTCGAATCAGCGTCTCAAGATCTACATTAAACTATGTAAATCATATTTTTAGGGGTCCTGCGAAGAAAGTTACGATTTGCGTCGAGACCATGCGGTTAAATAAATCCATGTCCCTTTAATCCGCAACGTAAATCAATGAAATAGTTGGCGTACCAATTTTCGTTAGGAAAACAGGCGTTAGAGAAAAAATGAAAAATACCACGAGAATCAGCGAGTCGAGATCTACATTAAACCATAAAATTCATAACTCCTAGGAGCCCAGGAAGGCCAGCTTTTCGAGACCCAATAAATTAATAAATGTATGTTCCTTTGAACGAACAAAACAGTGTGAATTTTCGAGAGACGCAGAGACGCGGTGTTTGCACACTTTTCGATTGCGTACTACAGTAGAAAAACAGTCATTTCTCGTTTCAGCGGGGTGTGAATTACACGAAACTCCCTGAGGCTTCTGTGTAGTTCTCTCGGAAGAATCCCAATTTTTCTCCTCGAGAACTACACAAACCCCAATTTCCCTTCAGAACCCAACCTTCTCTGCGCCTTTAAGAAATCTGTGTATTTCTCGTGGACAATTTTGAGCAATTATCCAAGAGAACTACACAAAACCCCCTGAGGCTTTTGTGTAGTCCTCTCGGAGAACCCCAGAAAATCCGAAATTCTCCTCGAGAACTACACAAACCCCTATTTCGCTTCAGAGCCTTTTCTGCGCCTTTAAAGGATCTGTGTAGTTCTCTCGGACGATCAAGGATTTCACTGAAAACAAACAAAAATGCCCATTTTTGGGAGAAGCCGCGAAAAAAAACACGAAAATGATTTGAATTCGAAAAGCGCGCTAAACAACGCGCATGCGGAGTGTCGTTGTTTTCTACACACGAAAATGGGATTTTTTTGTTTTTCATATGAAAAAAAGCGAAACTGGGGATTATTGCGGTTATTACAAAACTACAGTTATGACTGTCTGCAAACACCAAAATTGACGAGCAAATTTGATGACGAAATATTGCTCATTGCTCATGTTAACCAACTGAAATGGCTGATGAAAATCATCGACAAGTTGCACCGCCTTCTAAATGGTATCCGCGACCCATCGAAAAATGCAGCGCCGAATTTTACACCGAAAAACAAAAATTGCTGGTAAACTGGTTTCGGCTGGCCAAAAATTGCACGGGAAAACGGATTTTCGAGTTCAGAGTGGAGGTGAAGAAGGTTATCGGAAATCGAGAAACCAAAGTAACAAAGTAGGTTGCCACGTGGCAGCAAATTCCAAAAAAAAATTCCAGGAAAAATCGAGTCGAAAAATTCTGGGAGTTGATGCGCAATGGCCAATTTCCAATCGAAAAATTCGTTTTCGATGATTTTGAGACTTTGTATAGTTATGAGTCACACGAGCCACAAATGGGCTATAAAATGGAATCATCTGCTGGAAGTGGAAAAGCTGAAATTCACGTGCTGGAAATCACCTATCTCAACACTTTCGAATTGCGATTCTCGCGCGAAAACCCGCAAATCGATGACGAAACAGCGAATCGCTCGCAAAAATTTCTCAAATGCCTATTCACCCAGAAATTCCGCTATTCACCGAGCCGCCAAGAAGATCAGAATTTCGTCAGGAATTTTGTGAATGATCGGAACTCGATAATCCATGTCTCGACAATCGAAATGAATCCGAAATTCGAGGTGGCGCCTGGAATTGGCGCGTGGTTGGGCTTTTATTTTGCAGTTCGGGAGACTGTGAAATACGAGCCGGTGTTGAATTTTGGACGTGAGTTTACTGTTTCATGTTTTCCAGTAGTTTCGGACCCGCTGATCACTATTCCGCTGTCTAAAACTGCAAAAATCAACTCCTAATATAAGTTATGACGTGGCAAATTTGGGACTTTGGAGTGTCAGAATTCATCTTCAAAGTGATTTTCATGAAAATCTAATAGCATAGGGTTGTTCAGGAGGTTCGATTGAGTACATAAGAAACTTTTTGGAAAAATTTTTGTATGAACCATCCTGAACAACCCTATCCTATTAGATTTTCATAAAAATCACTTTGAAGGTGAATTCTGACCCTCCAAAGTCCCAAATTTTCCAACTTTGCCACGTCATAACTCATGTTAGGAGTCGAGCTTTGCAGTTTTAGACAGGGGGTCGTGATCAGCGGGTCCGAAACTGCTAGAAATTATATATCTTATTAAAAATCCCGATTTTCCAGTGGTCCACAAACTATTCTACAGTATTTCCAAAAGCAACCTCCTCGATTACATGCTCATTCTAATCGACGAAAAATCTAGAAATGATGATAAAATCCGGGAGCAATATAAATCAAAAATCCAAAGAGGTGAATTAGGAATGTCTGAAAATCAGCGAAAACAGGCTAAACGTTTGCTCGAAGGTCTGAAACTCAAGGCTGAAAATGTTCCCGATGTTCGTAAAGGATTTGTAGAGAGACATGTGACATTTATCGAATTTACCGATCAAATTGCAAGATGTTTTGTGCTCCCAGGATTTCGCGGAGCTCCGACGATGGAGCAATATTATGCAGAGCACAGGATGACTCTCAGATATCCCGCTTTCCCTCTGGCTCGCTGTAAATCGGGAAAACACGAATTACTCTTGCCCATTGAGGAATTATTCATCCACGAAACCGGACAGCGCTTCAAAAATCATCTAGACTTCAATATGCGCACTCAATTTGTCCGCGGAGCAACTTTGCCACCTCACGAGCATAAAAAGAGCATCGAAAATATACTGGAAGTGTTTGATTTTTCCAATGAGAAGCATCGGGGAGCCCGCGATTTTCTAAAGAGTTTCGATATCTCGCCAAAACTTCAAATGATCGAATGTGTTGGAAAAGTGCTCAAAGAGCCTGATTTGGTGAATCGTGAAAATCAGAAAATCGCATTGACGAAAGATGATCGAGGATTACAGGAGGCAGTGCTGAACATCGTGCCACGTGGCAAATTAGCGATTGCGCTAATTGTTTTGAGAAAAGATGATGAAGTAGATGCGTGTGTGGATGTGAGAAGTTTGAAAGAGTTCTATACTATTTTGATGGATGTTTGTATTAAGAGAGGATTGCCGATTGAGGAAAATGAGAAAGCGTGGAATAGGTCGCTTTTTAGACGTATGTTTTGGGGCGAAGACTCACATTTTTCGTAATTTTTTTTTGATGAGAAATGACGATTTTACACACGTGAGATTAACATAAGTAGCTCACGTTTTTTTATTTAGAAGCCTGTAATCCTGTAAGCTGAAATTCATGATTTTCAAGCTCTAGGACTTGAAAAATCAGTTTTTTAGGTGCAAAATAGCTGAAAATCTTAAATTTTGGTGAAAAGTATCTGGAAATCATGAATTTTGGTTCGAAATGGCTGAAATTGTGATTTTTCAGCTGCTGGACTTGAAAAACAAAATTTTCAGTGGAAAATAGCTGAAAATTATGATTTTGAGCTCTAAAATGACTCAATTTTTCCAAAATCACTAAGCGTTAACCTAACAGCCTTGTAAGCCTAAATCGTATTCCAAAAACCCCCGTTTTCAGGCGATACAAACGTGGCTTGCTTCAATGGTCCTATAAATTTCCAAACCGCCGTCCAAAAAACAATTCATGAATTCGATAAACTACCCGACAAATCCGAAAAACGGTTATTTTTCCTGATATTCCATAAACATTCCTATGGTGCTTATGGAAGAATCAAATATATATTGGATAGGGAATTAGGACAGGCAAATCAAGTAATCGATGTTAGCACAGTTAGAAAAGCACTTTTGGAAGCGAGTGATTCGAAAACGATTTTTTATAATATTGCACTGCAAATCAATGCGAAATTAGGAGGAGTCAATCAGGAAATTGGATTTAGTGAGGATTGTGAAATGAGTGCGGAAGAAAAAGAAAAACGAGAAATGGAGCCGTTGATTATGTATGTTGGAATTGATGTAACTCATCCGACTGAGGGAAGTGGCATTGATTTTTCGATTGCTGGAATTGTTGCGAGTATGAATCGGGGAGCGACTAGGTGAGGAAGAACGTGATAAATTTGGTATCAAAATTCACGGAATTTTCTCAAATTTCACCTGAAAATCACACCTCGGCCAAGTCGTGGCTGGCCAGAGTACAAATTTTCGAAAAATCGGAATTTCAGTTTTTAGAGGTCAAAAATTGAAAAATCACAATTTTTAGAAGACAAAAACTCAAAAATGCACAATTTTTGTACTGTAAAAAGTTAGCGTACAATTTTTTATTGTGGAAACCACGATTTTGGCCGAGGTATGCTGAAAATCTTCAATTTGCAGATACAGCGAAGCAATCGTAGCTCAAATGGAAAAGAATCCGCACCTCCGGAAAGCGGAAAAAGGCCAGCCAAATCAAAAACAATCGCGCGAAATCACTGATATCCTCGAGGGAAAATTCGTGACTCTCTTAGGACGTTTCGCGGAAAATAATCGAAATCGATTGCCCGACAAAATTGTGATTCTGAGAGATGGTGTAAGTGATTCGCAAATGTTGGAAACTGCTCATTTTGAGCTGAAATCCATGCAAAATGAGGTGAAGATGTTCATGAGGAGTCGAGAAATTTCCGAGAACCAAAAAGAGCCCGAATACACTTATATTGTTGTGCAAAAAAGACACAAGACGAGATTTTATCGGGTTTCAGAGAAGGAGAATACGGGGTAAGTGTTGAAAAATACGAACTCTGCCAAAAATCTGTTTCCAGCTTGGTCAATCCAAAATCCGGAACCGTTGCTGATAAAACCGTCGTTTCACCATACAAATTCGATTTTTGGCTAATTTCTCAACATGGAGAATTGGCAACTTCGAGACCTGTACACTATACTGTACTTTATGACAATTCTGGAATGACTCAGGATCAGGTTTATGTAGGTTATATGATTTTTTGGTGCAAAAACCAATTTTTCGTCCAAAAATCAATAATTCCTTTCAGAAAATGTGCTACGAACTGTCATTTCTATCGGCGAGATGTCGAAAACCGATCTCAATTCCGACTCCAATTCACTACGCACATTTGGCTTGCGAAAAAGCCAAGGAAATTCACAAGGCTTCGAAAAAAGGCTATGCGAGACCGGAAACCGAACGAAAATCGATTGAGGACGTTTTGCAGCCGAATAGGTGTTATCCTGGAATGTCGTTTGTATAAATTGTTGGGGTTCTTGTACATTTTTGTTGATAGATTTGGGATTTTTGGGAATTCTGTACGAAATGTGGTAAATAATTTAAAATTCAAAAAAATTGGAATTTTCAAACGTGACCCATTTAAATTTACAAACGTGGAAAAATGCCGGATTTTGGGTATTTTGGAAAATTCATAAAACAGAAAAGTGAGTTCTCCTGGAGAATTCCAAAACCCCAAAATCTATCCATTTTCAGATGGCAAGTGTAAAAAACAGCGCTGAAATCGATGAAAAACAAATGATAATTTACGATGTTCCCCTAAACTGCATTCAATTATTCGTCCTCCAAAAACCCGGAGAATATTGCATCACCCAAAGTAAAACCGACAAAACAATGCTGTTTTTGACGATAATGCTCGAAAGTGAGCATGGAGAACTTATTCTAACTCGTCTAAATATTCAAAAAATCCTCGAAAATGATATGAAATTGTACGAAATTCAGGGAATTATATTCTCGAAATCATCGACGATTCATGGAATGATTAATAAAATCACATCGGATTCGATTAATTTGTTATCCGGGATTTTGGAGCAGAATATTGAATTGAATAAATTGATAATTAACACAAGTTTGGCTCAAAATAATATCTATGAGAATGAGATTGAAATTCGAAATAAGATTATTATCGCGAATGATCATAAGACAATGACTTATAAAGGTGAAATCACATTATTTGATGGAACTAAACAAGAAGTTGAGATTGTTGAACCAAGTCCAGCTATGGATTCCGATGATTTTAGGAAGAAGATTTTCGAGGAATTTCGATTCAAAATGCGACAACTGCCTGTGAGATTGCCTATTGCAGCGGTTTTATCAACTCCCGCTTTAATGTTCCCGTAAGTATTAGTCATTTAGCTGAAGGCGAGCGTTTTGCGCCAGTGTAAACCGGAAATTTCCGCGTAGCGGCCACACGCAGGCTTGGGTTTAGTCTTAAGGATAAGCCTGAGGACCAAACCTAAGCTTGGGTCCGGCCGGAAGCTTGCGGTTTACACTCGCGCAAAGCGCTCGAAGGACCTAAGCTCAGGTTTAGTCCTTAGCTGAGGAGTTAAGCTAAGGATTAAACCCAAGCTTAGGTCCGGCCGCTGCGCGGAAGCTTACGGTTTGAACTCGCGCAGAGCGCTCGAAGTATAGTTGTACATCGACTAAACGACATTTTCAGGTTTTTTAGGCAAATGAGTTGAAATTTTGGATTCTAATGTTATTCATATGATAGAATGGTCTAAAACGAACAGAATGATATAAATTTTGATGAGTTTACCTTATCCATAAGTGATTTAGCGAGCTTATCGACTAAACCTCGCTAAATCACTTATGTCTAACGTAAAGTCATCAAAATTTATATCATTCTGTTCGTCTTAGACCATTCTATCATATGACTAACATTAGAACCCAATATTTCATCTCACTTGCTTAAAAAAACATGAAAATGTCAATTAGTCGATGTACAACTATACAAAAAGTGGCGGCCTAGAAATCCAGTTCTAGGCCACCAAAACCAACATCTATTTTCAGAGCTGGAAAAGGCTACAATTTGTGCTATATTCTATGCAATTATCAACATTCGCTAGATTTCGTTCAAAGAATCAAAATTTGCTCCAGCATTTGCCGAGTTTTTTCCGAAGTTTTAGCCGACGATTTCTATCACGGTGGAATTTTGGCCGAACATTTCTATTGTCAACAAATTGACGAAAGTGAAACAGGTGTCAAAACGATGGAATTGATGTTTGCAAGTGCTGATGGTCTTGTCGATTCTCGAATCGAAAAACGAACGAATATGATTGATTATGATCAATATGCACCCGAAGTTTCGTTTACACGCATTTTGAATCGACCAAGCGGAGTTTTCAATACGGGGAAATTGTTTGCGAGGATTTTGCAACCGGATTTGGTGAAGGAAGAGAAATGTAAGCTTTTTTCCCCCGAAAACCTAGAAAAACTCGAAATTTCAGCATGGCCCGGTGCTCTCAAAGCTATGAAAGTGCTAATCGACAAAAGTGTTCGACCAAATCCATATGATCGCCCAACAATTGATGGAATGGTTATAATGTGTCGCCATATTTTGACTCTACTTGAACTATCGCCAAAATCCGATTGTAAATTCAATTTTGTTCATTATAATCAGTATGACTGATTGGTTTACGGGAAAATGAAGATTTTTGTATGAAAAATTTTGTGTCTAACACTTAGGGATGGAAAAATGGGCGTTAGGGCCGCCCGATCGCCCCATTTCTGGAGGACCCATTTGCCCGGAGGCCCGATCGCCCAGACGCCCGATCGCCCGTTCGTCTCCGAAAAATTTTTGTTATGAAAAAACATTCGTCGACACGTGAAAAAATGAGCCATTTCTATTTTTAGGCGGCGAACGGGCGATCGGGCGATCTGGCAAAAAAAGCGATGCCAAAAAAAGTAGGTCACGTTTTCACGTAAGCGGGGCCCGCTTTTCCATCCCTACTAACACTAGAAAACCATTGGAAAACGTGAAATTTAGGATTTCGAAAAAAACAAAAAAATAAAAATAAATTTTCAAAAAACACAAAAATGTTGTGTGCCTTTGAAAATGTACTGTACTTCGCGACGAGACCTTGCGACGAGACAATGTTTCTCTTGTTTGCACTACGGTACTTTGTGTTTTTCTTTTTTTTTCGCTGAAAATTCGAAAATGCGAAAAATAATGAGTTTTGAGGAAGAGGACTTTTACGTGAGTTGAGAAATCTCGAAATTTTTCGAATTTCCAATGTTTTCAGAGTGAAAGCACTGAAGAATGGTTTGAAATTGATGAAGAAGAGATTTTTTTTAGATTTTTGTTGGATTCGCTGTTGGACAAGGCTTTTGATGGGAAAAAGAACCGTTCTTCCTAATTCCGAGGAATTGCGGTTCATGGATTTTCTAGACCATTTCTGCGTCTAGGTGGTGTCTCCTGCTTAAGCCTAATTTAAGTCACGTCCGGGCTAGGGAGTGTGACCGATTTACCATTCGTAGCGAACTACTTACGACTGGGTGAATCGAGGAGGAGCGGGCATCGGGGATCGAACCCGTGACCCTGAGATCGCCAGCGGCCAACCACCCCATTAAAAACAGGCATGTTCATTTTCCCGGCATTGCCTGCTTTTTGCCGTCCCCCGAAAAAGCAAAGCCGCTTTTGCTTTTACACGGTAAGACTGTGAAAAAGCAACAGCAAAGCAGCTTGCCGAATTGCCGGCAATGCTTTTTTCACTGCTTCCAAAATCATCTGAAAGCAGTGAGAATGCATTGACAAAACAACCTCTTTTTGCTTCTCTAACGCGCGCGCGAGACTACTTGAATAAATGGCAAATACCGAATGGGTTCGCAAAATGCCTCCGAAGGCATTTTCGAATGCCTCCGCAAAATGCCTTCGCGGTACCAAATCGAAAAGCCTCCGCGAATTCAAAATGACTCCGCGGTTCATATTCCAAAAATGTCGAAATGCCTCCGGGGTTTCAAAATGACTTCGCGCCACCTAATCAAAATGCCTCCGCAAATTCTAAATGACTTCGCGGTGAATATTTTGAGACTGTCAAAATGGGTCCGCGAAACAAGGCCTTTCAACACGTTTTGAGCTACAAATTTCAATTGTTATTTTCCAGATTTTTTTAAAGTCTGAAAAAAAGGAGAAATTTTTTCAATATTTTGATTGTTCAAGTTCCAACTTTAGGCCTAGGCTTAGTTAACGTATTTAAATGTAGTTTTGAATGTTTCCTGCACCTTTCTGGGCGTTTAACTAACCTAAGCCTAATATCCGAACTTGTATAACCAAACTATCGTCTAAGTTTCTAGGCTTAGGCTTAGTGAACGCCTTGAAATTATAATTCTCATTGAAAATCAACTTTTTGGCCAAAAATGTGGTGAAAAGTACACCTTGTTCGCGAAGTCATTTTGACATTCTTGAAATTTTTACCGCGGAGTCATTTAGAATTCGCGGAGGCATTTTGATTTGATAGCGCGGAGTCATTTTGAAGCCCCGGAGGCATTTCGACATTTTTGAAATATCGAGCGCGGAGTCATTTGGAATTCGCGGAGGCTTTTTGATTTGGTAGCGCGAAGGCATTTTGCGGAGGCATTCGAAAATGCCTCCGGAGGCATTTCGCGAACCCATTCGGTATTTGCCGAATAAATGCATACGCGGACGGTTCGCTGGTTTTGTGTGTTGCCATGTTTTGTGTGTGGAGGGGCGGAGCTTCGCTTGTTGCCTTCTGTATTTTGAAAAAGCAGCCCGGCAGGCAGCCGCGGCTGCTTTTTTTGCTTTTTCCTTACTTGCTTTTTGCCGGCAAAGCAAAATGAACATGCCTGATTAAAAATAGAAAAAAAAAATAATACGTGTCGCACGTTTTCTGGTTGGATTTCGCCATTTCTCTTTTTTTTTTCAAATTGATCCAACTTATCTGTCAAATCTAATGATTTGGAGTCCAAATTTTGGACAGATATTTGATTTTTTTCGACAAAACCTGCAATTTTTCGAATTTAATCAATCCCATTTAATTCAAAAATGTTCATTCGTACACAATAAAACTTCGCATTTATTTCTCACTCGCTTTTCTTCTCGGCCAATGCTCGTTTCCTTTTTCTAGTCAAAGTCGTCTCGATGTTTTTTTCCGTTATATGATTTGTTTGATGATTTCACTCAAACTTTCTCCGTCTAATATGGTGCACCATTCAATTAGCTTTCCATACAATGCCGATGGGAGAATACTATTGGGTGGCTCAATCGCTTGCCTCTCAAATATCTTCTCACTTTCTATTATTTTTTTCCCCGCCAAAAAACCAAGCAATTCGAATTTCTTCTGAATAGAGTCATTATGATTATGAACTTTGGATGGAAAAAAACTAACTTGTTTCAATTCGCATTCCATTGTTGCATTGTTTGGAAAATGTGACTTCTCGATCGTAATTTGCCCAAGTTCTATCCGATAGTTGTGAGAATGATGGTTCCGATCTCATATTCGGACCAGTTGTCACTGATATTTCACTCTTTGCCTTTTGGACTTTGTCCAACAAACCATTCAAAGTTCCAACAGTTGTCACTGATATTTCACTTTTTGCCGCTTGGACTTTGTTCGACAACCCATTCAAAGTTCCACCAACTTTAACATTCTCTCAATCCAATAAAAATTTCCAATTCATCTGTTTGTGTTTCACAAGCGAAAAAAATTATTGTGACCGATTTATGTTGTATGAATTCTTGCATATGATTGATTATTTTCCCAGTTTTGGCTGAAAAATGTGATACTATTAACATTTACCAGAGATTTCCATAAACTTGAAAACGAGGATCATTTTTTTTTCTACTTACTGGAAGAAATCTCAACTTTCAAATCAATCGGTTGAGAATGAGAAACATAGAACCAATTTGGTGTTCCAATTTTTCCAAATATTCCCGGTCCTCCAATTGCTGAAATGTTTGCGGAATGTGTTGAGTAGAGCTTCTCAAAAAATGACATCTGTAAAATAGTTTTCATTAAATTCAATCTAGAACTTTGCCTAACCTTGTAATAATACGAAGCTCAAGAGTTTCGTAGATAACAATTATTCAGAAATGACCAATTTTATTTCACTTTGGCTGCGAAAAAAAATGGAACAAGGCGTGACCTAGGCCGATGCAAAAATCAAAAACGTGATCATTCTTTTAGGATAAACTAGTGGTTCCTGGGCGTGTTGTTCAAACTTATTCATTCACTACCCTTTTATAACAATCTATTCACTTAGCGCAAAATTGATAAAAATTAAATTCATTCAAACCAATGTTCATACTGCTTAGATATATGCTGTGCTTTCGGCCCATACTAAGCCTAAGCCTAAGCCTGATCGGAGTCTGGGCTTTTGGTCCATACTAAGACTAAGTCTAAGCCGTGATCCAAGGAATATTTTATTACACATTCGAACATAAAGTAGGTAGCCCGTGCTAAAAATTATCAAAGTTAGTAATATTCAGATAAAGATTTAAATTCTGAATTCTGACTACTTCTGACTCTCAGAATCTGGGAGCAACTTTGAATATTATTTCGAGCTTCAAAAACACAGATTTTGAAAATCGCTCTTTTTTCTGAGAACCTCTTCGAAGATCTTTTTGTCGTTCAGAGACGAGACAATTTCCCGAAATTTATGGTTTTTAACGGAATCGAAAAATCATGATTATACGGTAGTTTTCGGACTCGTTCCTGACCTGAATTCAAATCCCTCAGTTCACGTAAGCGGGTGAAACGTGGAAACGAATACATTCCAAATAACCAAATTATCAATGATTGCGATTTCACAATATTTATTGAAAATAAAACAATAAAAATAAAATTACCAACATGTTGAATCTCCCATTGTCGATGTCCTTGTTGATGTCGATACCTGAAAATTGTTGAATTTTTGATAAATATGAAAAAATTGATAACTTCATCGAAATTGTATGATAATTTGGAGTTTAAGTCAATAATAGTTTGAAACTGTGTTTAAAAAAACAATAAGTTTTTTTGGTTTTGAGACTGAATGAGGAACTACGATGAAATTGATAGAAAACATTGTTTTTTGAAGTTGAAAAATGATCTTTTTGTTAGATATTTACTGTCGTTTGTTTTTGTTTATTTTTAAACATTTTGAGCTTCAGAATTGAAGCTAGGAGTATTGTTAGAAAAAACTCCGGTACCTGGGAGATTCTCAGGGAATCACGGGCAAGATCTCCGCGATTCGCGGGGTTTTTTCGGGGTTTCTCGAGAAAAAAACCGCAATTGTGGCAGCATTTGTCGCAGCGCTGCGGCAATTTGTCGCAGCGCTGCAGCATTTTTTTTGTTGCAACACATGCGCCGGAGTTGCGACAAAACTCGCAACTGTTGCGTGAACTGTTGCGGAAATGGGCGCAACTCCGGCGCATGTGTTGCGGTGCCGCAGCGCTGCGACAAATTGCCGCAGCGCTGCGACAAATGCTGCCACAGTTGCAGTAAGTTGCGGTTCTTTTCCCGAGAATTTTTGCCCGCGAATCGCGGAGATCTCGCCTGTGATTCCCTGACTTTTTTGATATTAGAATTTAATCGATTATTTACCAAAATGATTTAGTTTGTTCAAAGAAATAGGGGCGGTGCCCCTAGGCGAACCAGTTGTACAAATCCTCAAAAATTCCAAATTTCAAAGAAAATGCATTTTTTCGCATGTTTAAAATGATCATTTATAAATTGAAGAAATAAACAGGTTTTCACGTAGGCATTCGTGGTCAAGTGGTACGTGACTTTGCCTTGTGATCAGAGCATTTTTGACGGGTTCGATTCCCAGTCGAAGCATTTTCCTATATCCGCTAGGTATGATTTTTAAAATTTCTGAAGAAATGTGAAAAAAATGGTGAAAAAAATGTGCGAAAAAATTTATAATCAGAATGCATACCTACGGGATTTTATAAAGAGGTTAATTTTCGACTTAGAAGTTTATAACAAACTTAATTCTGCTTTCGAGGTCTAGAGAAAATTAAAATGTTGGATTGGCTTTGAAATTTAGTATTCATAACTGCAACGAAAGTTGATGATTATTGATAATCGGAGAACGTTTTTGTTATGGGGTTTTTTCTCTTAAATATATTTATTTCATTTTAAAATCAATTGTCATTATTGAAAAAAAAGAACTCACTTTTTTCCCTTTTATTGAGCGAATCCGTGTGGCTGAAGGTGCAGCGCCTGGAAAAGAAAAGTTTTTGTTTATATCAAATAGAAAGTTAAGTTTGACTTACGTCTCGAAACCTTCAAAACCGCGACAAACAGGAAAAAACAAAAAAACAAAAAATGAAAAAAAAACACACGCCACTTTAGTGTTACCGTAGTCATCGCGACAAGATAAAAACCGAACAATTGGCTGTCCCTTTATCCGACCAAACCACCCGTTTTTGGTTTTCTTTTTTTTATGTAAAGAAGATAAAAATTTTTTTTGAAAATTTCAAATTGAAAAATATTTTCCACTAGTTTTTGTTGAAATATCAATTTATCCACATGAATTCCACTTCAAACAACCGAGAAAACAGTTTGTGATTATTTAGCTTGTAATTTTCAGGAGATCTTCCAGTTCAAATAACACCAAATGGTGCTTCAATAACCATTCAATAAAAATATGAACTTTATTGATAAAAAAAATTAAATAATTCAGAAAACAAGAAGAACATCAAAATTGAAAATTTCGAAATCTCGAAGTGCTTGATCGTAGCCACGAGTTCCGGTAACTTTGCAATCCTGGAAAAAATTTTGAAAACTAAACTAGAATTTTGAATTTCCCCCCGAAAATCTGGAGTTTTCAGCCTGGCCTGGTGCTCTCAAAGCTATGAAAGTGCTAATCGACAAAAGTGTTCGACCAAATCCGTATGATCGCCCAACAATTGATGGAATGGTTATAATGTGTCGCCATATTTTAACTCTACTTGAACTATCGCCTAAATCCGATTGTAAATTCAATTTTGTTCATTATAATCAGTATGATTGAGTGGTTTGAGGCAAAATAAAGATTTTTGTATGAAAAATTTTGTTTCGAAAAAACAAAAAAAAATAATAATAAATTTTCAAAAAACACAAAAATATTGTGTGCCTTTGAAAATGTACGGTACTTCGCGACGAGACCTTGCGACGAGACAATGTTTCTTTTGTTTGCACTACGGTACCTTGTGTTTTTCTTTTTTTTTTTGAAAAAAAATGCCAGAAGTTCCGCGGAAAACAATGAGTTTTGAGGAAGAGGACTTTTACGTGAGTTGAAAATTGTCGAAATTTCTCAAATTTACGAAGATTTCAGAGTGAAAGCACTGAAGAATTGTTTGAAATCGATGAAGAAGAACCGGATTTGTTGGATTCGCTGTTGGACAAGGCTTTCGATGGGAAAAATGATGAGGATTCGGCAATTGACACAATGAAAGAAGAGGAATTGATGTCTGGTGATGAAGATCAAGAAAATCTGGAAATTTCAGCAGAAGACGAGGAAAACTGGTTTAATTCAAAAATGTTCATTCGTACACAATAAAACTTCGGGTTTATTTCTCACTCGCTTTTCTTCTCGGCGAATGCTCGTTTCCTTTTTCTAGTCAAAGTCGTCTCGATGTTTTTTTCCGTTATATGATTTGTTTGATGATTTCACTCAAACTTTCTCCGTCTAATATGGTGCACCATTCAATTAGCTTTCCATACAATGCCGATGGGAGAATACTATTGGGTGGCTCAATCGCTTGCCTCTCAAATATCTTCTCACTTTCTATAATTTTTTCCCCGCCAAAAAACCAAGCAATTCGAATTTCTTCTGAATAGAGTCATTATGATTATGAACTTCGGATGGAAAAAACTAACTTGTTGTATTTCGAATGACATTTTTCGGAATTGAAGAAATTTGTGAAGAATTACTGAAAATCAAGGGCTTATTTCTGAATGCGCAACACTTTTGGGCCCCATCTTTGCCTAATTAACTTACAGTGTTGATGAAAATATGGGATTCGGGGAATTTGTGAGTTCTCGAGCGTAATTTGCCCAAGTTCTATCCGATAGTTGTGAGAATGATGGTTCCGATCTCATATTCGGACCAGTTGTCACTGATATTTCACTCTTTGCCTTTTGGACTTTGTCCATCAACCCATTCAAAGTTCCAACAGTTGTCACTGATATTTCACTTTTTGCCGCTTGGACTTTGTTCGACAACCCATTCAAAGTTCCACCAACTTTAACATTCTCTCAATCCAATAAAAATTTCCAATTCATCTTTTTGTGTTTCACAAGCGAAAAAAATTATTGTGACCGATTTATGTTGTATGAATTCTTGCATGTGATTGATTATTTTTCCAGTTTTGGCTGAAAAATGTGATACTATTAACATTTACCAGAGATTTCCATAAACTTGAAAACGAGGATCATTTTTTTTCTACTTACTGGAAGAAATCTCAACTTTCAAGTCAATCGGTTGAGAATGAGAAACATAGAACCAAATTGGAGTTCCAATTTTTCCAAAGATTCCCGGTCCTCCAATTGCTGAAATGTTTGCGGAATGTGTTGAGTAGAGGTTCTCAAAAAATGACATCTGTAAAATATTTTTCATTAGATAAATTCAATCTAGAACTTTGCCTAACCTTGTAAAATACGAAGCTCAAGAGTTTCGTTGATAGCAATTATTCAGAAATGGCCAATTTTATTTCACTTTGGCTGCGAAAAAATTGGAACAAGGCGTGACCTAGGCCGATGCAAAAATCAAAAACGTGATCATTCTTTTAGGATAAATAAAATGTTTTTGAAAATTTCAAATTGAAAAATATTTTCCACTAGTTTTTGTTGAAATATCAATTTATCCACATAACCAATCAATAAAAATATGAACTTTATTGATAAAAAATTAAATAATTCAGAAAACAAGAAGAACATCAAAATTGAAAATTTCGACCTTCCAATGAAACAGTTACTGAACGACTTGTTTTCAATTTTTTGGTTTGTTTTTGGAAATCTCGAAGTGCTTGATCGTAGCCACGAGTTCCGGTAACTTTGCAATCCTGGAAAAAATTTTGAAAACTAAACTAGAAAAAGAAAAAATCAAGCTTGAAACTAGAAAAGTTCAGAAATTTTTTAGATATTGGGAATATTGTAGTGACATTGAATTTGCTCAAAAATGACTTTCAAAGGCATATTCAAGGCTATTAAATTTTTCAGAATATTTTTCACTAAAAAAGTTGTGTAAGTTCAAACTGTTTCAAAATTATCTGACAATATTGAAAAATAACTGATTTGTGAACGTTTCTCTGAATAAAACTAAAAAATGTTTTATAGCCTTGATATGCATTTAAAAGTCATTTTTGAGCAGAATTGTTTGAAATTGATGAAGAAGAGATTTTTTTAGATTTTAGAACTTTTGAGAGCCCAGAACTTGGCTCAGAGGTCCATTGGGAGACTAAAATTTTTAGGGTGTTCTTATGGCCCCAAAAGCAGTCTATGGACAAAATTTCATCAAGATTCGAAGTGTTGAGTAAAAAAGGTTTCCTTGTGAGATCGCCAGCGGCCAACCACTACTGCTGAGCTATCTCACCCCCTTAAAAATAGAAAAAAAATAATACGTGTCGCACGTTTTCTGGTTGGATTTCGCCATTTCTCTTTTTTTTTAAATTGATCCAACTTATCTGTCAAAGCTAATGATTTGGACAGATATTTGATTTTTTTCGAATTTAATCAATCCTATATTTTAAAATCTCTGCTGCTATTTAATTCAAAAATGTTCATTCGTACACAATAAAACTTCGCATTTATTTCTCACTCGCTTTTCTTCTCGGCGAATGCTCGTTTCCTTTTTCTAGTCAAAGTCGTCTCGATGTTTTTTTTCCGTTATATGATTTGTTTGATGATTTCACTCAAACTTTCTCCGTCTAATATGGTGCACCATTCAATTAGCTTTCCATACAATGTCGATGGAAGAATGCTATTGGGTGGCTCATTCGCTTGCCTCTCAAATATCTTCTCACTTTCTATAATTTTTTCCCCGCCAAAAAACCAAGCAATTCGAATTTCTTCTAAATAGAGTCATTATGATTATGAACTTCGGATGGAAAAAACTAACTTGTTGTATTTCGAATGACATTTTTTGGAATTGAAGAAATTTGTGAAGAATTTCTGAAAATCAAGGGCTTATTTCTGAATGGGCAACACACATTTGGGCCCCATCTTTGCCTAATTAACTTACAGTGTTGATGAAAATATGGGATTCGGGGAATTTGTGAGTTCTCGAGCGTAATTTGCCCAAGTTCTATCCGATAGTTGTGAGAATGATGGTTCCGATCTCATATTCGGACCAGTTGTCACTGATATTTCACTCTTTGCCTTTTGGACTTTGTCCAACAAACCATTCAAAGTTCCACCAGTTGTCACTGATATTTCACTTTTTGCCGCTTGGACTTTGTTCGACAACCCATTCAAAGTTCCACCAACTTTAACATTCTCTCAATCCAATAAAAATTTCTAATTCATCTGTTTGTGTTTCACAAGCGAAAAAAATAATTGTGACCGATTTATGTTGTACGAATTCTTGCATATGATTGATTATTTTTCCAGTTTTGGCTGAAAAATGTGATACTATTAACGTTTATCAGAGATTTCCCGAGGATCATTTTCTACTTACTGGAAGAAATCTCAACTTTCAAGTCAATCGGTTGAGAATGAGAAACATAGAACCAATTTGGAGTTCCAATTTTTCCAAATATTCCCGGTCCTCCAATTGCTGAAATGTTTGCGGAATGTGTTGAGTAGAGGTTCTCAAAAAATGACATCTGTAAAATAGTTTTCATTAAATTCAATCTAGAACTTTGCCTAACCTTGTAATAATACGAAGCTCAAGAGTTTCGTAGATAGCAATTATTCAGAAATGACCTCACTTTGGCTGCGAAAAAATTTGGAACAAGGCGTGACCTAGGCCGATGCAAAAATCAAAAACGTGATCATTCTTTTAGGATAAATAATTTTTTTTTGAAAATTTCAAATTGAAAAATATTTTGTAATTTTCAGGAGATCTTCCAGTTTAAATAACACCAAATGGTGCTTCAATAACCATTCAATAAAAATATGAACTTTATTGATAAAAAAATTAAATAATTCAGAAAACAAGAAGAACATCAAAATTGAAAATTTCGACCTTCCAATGAAACAGTTACCGAACGACTTGTTTTCAATTTTTTGGTTTGTTTTTGGAAATCTCGAAGTGCTTGATCGTAGCCACGAGTTCCGGTAACTTTGCAATCCTGGAAAAATTTTTTAAAACTAAACTAGAAAAAGAACAAATCAAGCTCGAAACTAGAAAAGTTCAGAAATTTTTTTAGATATTGGGAATATTGTACTGACATTGAATTTGCTCAAAAATGACTTTCAAAGGCATATTCAAGGCTATTAAATTTTTCAGAATATTTTTTATGTTCCTCGTATCGAAAAACCTCTAATCTTCAAATATCAAAAAAAAAATTTTTACTCATGGTTACTGCTTTTAAAAGTGAGTTTTGAGCCGAAAAATCAGCACCGCATGACTCCCCGTACCGAAAAACCCCGAAACACATTTTTCTAAAAAAAAATATTTTTTGAGTTGAAGGAGGAGAAATGAAAGCTTGGAAATCTTCAATTTCCTTTGAAAATCTGGAATTTTCAGCCTGGCCCGGTGCTCTTAAAGCTATGAAAGTGCTAATCGATAAAAGTGTTCGACCAAATCCGTATGATCGCCCAACAATTGATGGAATGGTTATAATGTGTCGCCATATTTTGACTCTACTTGAACTAACTATTTTTTTTCGATATTTCGAAAAAAAAACAAAAAAATAAAAATAAATTTTCAAAAAACACAAAAATGTTGTGTGCCTTTGAAAAAGTACTGTACTTCGCGACGAGACCTTGTGACAGGACAATGTTTCTTTTGTTTGCACTACGGTACCTTGTGTTTTTCTTTTTTTTTCCGAAAAAAGATAATGCCAGAAGTTTCGCGGAAAATAATGAGTTTTGAGGAAGAGGACTTTTACGTGAGTTGAAAATTATCGAAATTTTTCAAATTTCCAATGTTTTCAGAGTGAAAGCACTGAAGAATTGTTTGAAATCGATGAAGAAGAACCGGATTTGTTGGATTCGTTGTTGGACAAGGCTTTCGATGGGAAAAATGATGAGGATTCGGCGATTGATACAATGAAAGAGGAGGAATTGATGTCTGGTGATGAAGATCAGGAAATTTCAGCAGAAGACGAGGAAAAACTGGTGGATTTGGACCTGATTCCGAATTTCTCAACAGATCGCAATGTTTATGGCACAAGTTTCAATGTTTACAACGGGGAATTAGAGCGGCCACGGAATATTCATGTTTATACCAGGAATTCGATCTGGTTCAAGTTTCCGATCGCAAAATGCCTCCGCAAACGAACTTCGCGTCTTGAGAAGCGATGTGAGAAGTTTGAGGTGGAATTCGGGACGAAAATCGATAAGATGAGCAATGTGAAGATTGTGACGAAGACGGCGAATGATGTGGAAGTTATGGAAACTCGGAATATTCAAAGTTTTATTGTCGATTGTTTTCGAGAGGGGAAATTGGGCGTTTTATTGATTGGTGTGGAGAATAATAAGGTTTTTTTGATGAAAAAGCTTTAAAAACAGCTTAAAACCCTAAAATTTGACCTTAAACGCAAGAAAATCCGTATTTCTAACCTAAAAATTTGAATTTCAGAGCTTCCCGCTGGAATTTGCATTGGAGCGCGTTTGAGCCTAACAGACAAATGCGCTCCAATGCAAATCCCAGCGAGAAGCTCTGAAATTCAAATTTCTGGCTAAAATTTATGGATTTTAGCCATTTTTGAAGCTTTAGAGTTGAATTTCTAGTAGATTTTGCCCTGAAGCTTTAAAAATAGCTTAAAACCCTAAAATTTGACCTGAAAATCATGAAAATCCATAATTTTAGGCCAGAAATTTGAATTTCAGAACATCCCGCTGGAATTTGCATTGGAGCGCGTTTGAGCCTAACAGGCAAATGCGCTCCAATGCAAATCTCAGCGGGAAGCTCTGAAATTCAAATTTCTGCCTAAAAATTATGAATTTTCATGATTTTTTAGTTATTTTTGAAGCTTTAGAGTTATGTTTCTTGTAGATTTTGCCCTGAAGCTTTAAAAATAGCTTAAAACCCTAAAATTTGACCTGAAAATCATGAAAATCCATAATTTTAGGCCAGAAATTTGAATTTTCGAGCTTCCCGCTGGAATTTGCATTGGAGCGCGTTTGAGCCTAACAGGCAAATGCGCTCCAATGCAAATCGCAGCGGGAAGCTCTGAATTTCAAATTTCTAACGGAAATATTTGAATTTCCGAGCTTCCCGCCTTGAATTTGCATTGGAGCGCGTTTGAACCTAACAAATGCGCTCCAATGCAAATCGCAGCGGGAAGCTCTGAAATTCAAATTTCTGGCTTAAATTTCAGAATTTTGAGCCATTTCTGAAGCTTTAGCGTTAAGTTTCTAGTAGATTTTGCCCTGAAGCTTCAAAAAATAGCTCAAAACCCTAAAACCTTGATATTTGACCTGAAAATCTGTAAATTTGAGCCAAAATTTTGAATTTTCGAGCTTTCCGCTGGAATTTGCATTGGAGCGCGTTTGTGCCTAACACGCAAATGCGCTCCAATGCAAATCGCAGTGGGAAGCTCTGAAATTCAAATTTCTCGCTAAAAATTTCGGATTTTCGAGCTTCCCGCCTGAGTTTGCATTGGAGCGCGTTTGAGCCTAGCAGGCAAATGCGCTCCAATGCAAATCGCAGTGGGAAGCTCTGAAATTCAAATTTCTGGCTTAAAATCATGGATTTTCAGTTAAGAATCCCAAATTTTTCCAGATCACGGGCTGCCCAATGGGAATTTCGGACCAAGACAACCTGCGTTTGGCGCTCGACACGGCATGTCAAACCGAATTCGAGCCGAGAATCGAAAACGTCCTGGACACGGTCGATATTCGATTCTACCGTGTTTTAAAGGCGCATGATGATGATGATGATGACGTGGCTGCAAATCGCCATTTGGTTGTGATTTGGCTGAAAAAATTGCGAAAAAATATTTATAGTTTGGCTTCTGAGCAGTTGTACGAGTTTTTGATATGAGTTTTATTTGTTTTTTCTTGTTTATTTTTGTTTTAGCATGAATTTATGGAATTTTAACGATGCTCCGCATTTACACATGCAAATTTGAGCGGGAAATATCAAACATTCAAATATCCGGCCAAAAACTAAGATTTTTTGGGATTTAAACGATGCTCCGCGTTTACACCGTGAAATTTGAGCGGGAGATTTGAAAAATTCAAATTTTCTTGGTTTCAAACGATGCTACACGTTTACACCGCGAAATTTGAGCGGGAAATATGAATTTTTCAAATTTTTGGTTGCCAAACAACAAATTCTACGCAAGAATGCACAGAATCTCCAAAAAACACCGTATCCTACGCAAAAATGCACAACACACACCAAACATTACGCAAAACTACACTGAAAAAAGCTAGAAATGAGCAAAAAACTTGAAAAATCTCACTGAATTTCCACGTGACCCAGAAAAAACTCAAATCAGATAAGAATTGCTATAAAAGAGGCGACTAAACTCTCAGATTTCTTCAGTTGCGAATAAGCTGTCTTCAAAAGTACCTGTTGTTCTCTGATTTGCCAGCCAACGTCTCGAAAAAATGCCAAATCCACCGCCAAAAGAAGATACTTGGGCATTCCAACCGATCGGTTCGCCATTTCCACCGTCGCCTGTCAAATGTATGGGTGAACAGAATATGTATGTTGCTCTTTGGTATAAGCACGGTAAACCGATTCATGGAAGATCGTGGAATAATGGCGGAGTTGTTGAATGCTCGTTTCCGTATAAATCGGCCGAATTGACCACCAAAGCACAATTGGAGGGACAAATTCAGGTTTTGCAATATTTGGGTGACCATAATAGTCAAGGTTAGTTGGGAATGGGCTTTTGGAGGGCCTTGGAACCCGAAAAATCGGTTTTCTAGGCCTAGAAACCTTGCAGATGGCCTAGAAACCCGAAAATTCGTTTTTCTAGGCCTAGAAACCATCCAGATGGCCTAGAAACCCGAAAAATCGGTTTTCTAGGCCTAGACAAGCTTTTTTCCTGCTGAAAAACAGCTAAATAGCTTTCCTGAACTCAAAAAATCGAATTTTCCGCCCATCTACCGAAAATGCGCCAGTGAAAAGTCTTGGTTGGCGTGTTTTTTGTAGAACGGGCGGTTTTGAGTCATTTTTGAATGAGAAATCAGGTTTCTAGACCAAAATGGGCGGTTTGCAGCTGTTTTAAATGAGAAATCGGTTTTTTTCAGTTTCTAGACCAATTTTTTGCGATTTTTCACCTTCTAGGCCTCAAAACCCCCCATTTTTCCCCCCAAAACCCCATTTTCTTGCAGGTTTCTGGTACGAATGGATCAAATACAAGGACCGTTTGGAAAAATTGGACGACAAGCATCAATTGGTCCGTTGCGGTGATTCGTTCCCAATCTTCTGGAAACGTGCCGAAGGAAACCTTCTCGGCTACGTTGACAACAAAACCGAAGAGGCACTGTTCTCGTTCAATGGAAAAGTGTATAGCAAGAAGGGTGGCGAGTTGGCTGATATGTATATTATCACGAGAAACTGTGTGGGTGGTCCGCCGAATTGTGAATGTGCCGGGTGTGGAAGTGGTCCGAAGACGAAGAGTGTTATTGATGAATGGATGGATATTCGTGAGGGAGATCCATGGCCAACACGACAATTGGTTAGAGCGTTGGATAAGAGTTTGGACACTTTGCCTGGTGAGTGTTTAGGCGCTAAGCCTTAGGGGGTTTTTGGGGAGCGGGAGAAGCTTTTAAGGCTCTAGGAGGCTTCAGAGGGCTTTAGAAGGCTTTATTAGCTTCTAGAGGGCTTTTAAGGCCTTTTTTAGGCTCTAGTAGGCTTCAGAAGCTTGTAGAGGGCCGCAGATACTTCTGGAAGGTTTTTAAGAGCTTTTTTAAGCTCTCTAGGGCTTTAGAAGCTCCTAGGGGGCTTAAGGGACTTCTAAAAGGCTTATAGGAGGCTTTAGAAGCTTTCAGAGGGCTTCAGATACTTCTGGAAGGCTTTTAAGGGCTTTTTTAAGCTCTAGGAGGCTTCTAGAAGCTTTTAGGAGGCTTTAGAAGCTTTTAGAGGGCTTTTAAAGCCTTTTTAAGCTTTAGGAGGCTTTAGAAGCTTTTAGGGGGCTTTAGAAGCTTCTAAAAGGCTTTAGGAGGCTTCAGAAGCTTTTAGGGGGCTTATAGGAGGCTTTAGAGACTTCTGTAAGGCCTTTTTAAGCTCTAGGAGGCTTCCGAAGCTTCTAGAGGGCTTTTAAAGCCTTTTTAAGCTCTAGGAGGCTTTAGAAGCTTTTAGGGGGCTTATAGGAGGCTTTAGAGACTTCTGTAAGGCCTTTTTAAGCTCTAGGAGGCTTCCGAAGCTTCTGGAGGTCTTTTAAGGCCTTTTTCAAGTTCTAGGGGGCTTTAGAAGCTTTTAGAAGGCTTTAGAAGCTTCTGGAGGGCTTTTAAGAGCTTTTTAAGAGGTTTTCCGCACAGCGGCACTATGTTCCGCGAAGCGGCCACGCGGATTACTATGACTTAGAATCCGTATGGCCGCTGAAGCGGAAGATAGTGCCGCTGCGCGGAAGCTTGCGGTAGAAGTCTAAAAACCTAAATATGATAGGGTTGAAGAACCTTAAGGTGCTCTTAAAGACCCTAGTCATATTTAGACTCAAAAATTTCCCTTTTTTCCAGGCGTGCCAGCCGATCAATATGTTGCCCTTTGGTACATGCAAGGTGAACCAGTCATGGGTCGTGTCTGGAATAATAATGGCAAGATTGCGGCCTCATTCTCGTGGTTTAACAATGAATATGCGAAAAATGTGGGTTCGATTCAATTGTTGGTTCATTTGCCGGATAATATGCGAGGTTCGTAGATCTTCTGGAAGTTCAGTGGATCTTGGAAGATCTGAAAGTCTAGCTAGACCTTCTAGAACTTCAGTAGAACTTGAAACATCCAAAAATCCCCAATTTTTCCAGGCTTTGACTATGGTTGGATTCCATTCCCAGAAGCTGCCAAATTTGGCGACAAGGAATGGCACCCTGTACACGTTAACAATCACAAGGGTGACATTTCGGTTGGTGTCGTCAATTTGCCAGGTGGAAAGCAGATTTTGGCCAAGGTATGTGGTTTTTTGGCGGGAAATTTTTTATTTTTAAAAAAAATCAAAAAAAAATTAGCAAGTTCTTTGAATGCACCGCGTTTTGACTAGAAAATAGCTGAAAATACAGCCAAAATATAAAATTGCCAGGAAAATGCCCAAAAATTGAGAGACTTGTTTGAAATTGTCGAGATTTAGGTGAAAATTCATAGAAATTTGAGAAAAAATATGAGATGTTTGGAAAATTTGGATTTTTTGGAGCGGAAAATGTTCTGATACGTCACTGGGCTCAAAAAAAATGCAAATTTTCACCAAAAATTCAAATTTTAATTTGAGGTCGATGTTCGTAACGAGAAATATGGCTATGGTCACGAAGGAAAGGAGCATTCGGCTCAAGCCAAGGCTTGTGCTGACACCACCATTGTTTTGTGCCGTAAACCAAAACCCGGATACAAGTTGGACGGATAATTTTGGCGTTTTCCAACACTCTCGCATAAAGATTTGTATCAGAATTGGCATTTTTGAGCAAAAAAATTTGAATTTTTCAAAATTCCCGCTCAAATTTTGTGGTGTAAACGCGGAGCATCGTTTAAAACTCCAGAAATCGAGGGTTTTCGACTGTTTTCGCTCATTTTTCGAATTTCTGGCTCAAAACAAAACCTGTATCAAATTTATTGTCAAATTCAGCATGCAAATACATAAAAATACACAAATTTCTCAAAATGCTCAACATTTTTTGAGCAAATCCTTGGCTTCAGCCAAAGTTTCTTTATCCGCATCATTTTTTGGTGGCAATTCCAGCGCTTCTTCCAAATACTTTTTAGCTTCTCCTTTATCTCCTTTAGCAATTAGAGCTTTTCCCAGCGCCACCAAATTATCGATCCATTTTGGATTGATGTCATAAGCGGCTTTGAGATCTGCGATTGCTTCTTCGATTGTTGCAGTTGGTGGTTCGGCGTAGAGAAGAGCGGCGGCTTTTCGTTCGAGCCAGCTGCAAAAAATTGGGGTCTTTTAGACATCGAATAGGCTTTTCGGGCTTTTTTAGGGCCTTCGGGGAGAAGCTCCGCTTTTTTTGAGACCAAAAAATTTGAATTTCACAAATTTCCCGCTCAAATTCCGTGGTGTAAACGCGGAGCATCGTTTAAAGGGTTGGTGTTCCGCCAGGGAATCTTGCTTGGTTTAGATAGGAATAAGGTGCTCCTGGAAGGTTCCAGTTTTAGAAAAAATTCTAGTATCAATTCAGCCCATGCTTTTCCGCAAAAACACAAGCGAGTTAAAACCTACGAAATAAAACATGTAAATGCGCTCTAGCGCACAACTTGTTTTTGAATTTTCGTGTGTGTGTTTGCACACAACTTTGAACACAACACTGTGACGCCTTTTTGCAGACGATTTTTTCACCAGGAAAGCACCAACCCTTTAAAATCTAGAAATCCAGGATTTTGAGTGAAAATTTTTGAATTTCCCAATTTTCCCGCTAAAATTTCAAGGTGTAAACGTGGAGCATCGTTTAAAGTATAAAATTCAGGATTTTGGTTGAAAATTTTTGAATTTCACAATTTTCCCGCCGATATTTCAAGCTGTAAACGCGGAGCATCGTTTAGAATCTAGAAATCCAGGGTTTTGAGTGAAATTTTTTAATTTCACAAATTTCCCGCTCAAATTCCGTGGTGTAAACGGGGAGCATCGTTTAGAATGTGAAAATCGAGTGAAAATTTTGAATTTTTCACGTTTCTCGCTCAAATTTCAAAGTGTGAAAGCGGAGCATCGTTTAGAATGTGAAAATCGAGTGAAATTTTTTAATTTCACAAATTTCCCGCTCAAATTCCGTGGTGTAAACGGGGAGCATCGTTTAGAATGTGAAAATCGAGTGAAAATTTTGAATTTTTCACGTTTCTCGCTCAAATTTCAAAGTGTGAAAGCGGAGCATCGTTTAGAATGTGAAAATCGAGTGAAAATTTTGAATTTCACATATTTCCCACTCAAATTTCAAGGTGTAAACGTGGAGCATCGTTTAGAATGTGAAAATCGAGTGAAAATTTTGAATTTTTCACGTTTCCCGCTCAAATTTTGAGGTGTAAACGCGGAGCATCGTTTAAAATATAAAAATCATAAGAAATTTGAACATTTCTCATATTATATATCATTTTGTAGCAAATTTCACGCTCTTTCAGATCCTACCTCAAATTCGCCACCGAAAAAGCCCATCTTCCTCTCAAATGCAACAAAGCATCCTCTTTTGGTTGCAATGTGAGCGCTTTATCCAAATACTCTTTGCATTTTTTGCCCTCCGCAATTTTGTCCTTAGTTCCCATATATTCGGTCGATTTTCCGCTCATAATAGCCGCCCATCTTGCCGCCAAAAAACTATTTCCGTCGATTTCCAGCGCTTCCAACGCGTATTTTTTGCCCTCCTCAATTGGTTGTTGTCTTTTCGACTTATCGGATCTTCCGGCGATTTCGTTGCAAAATTTGGCGAGGCGCCAGAGAATATCGATTGATTTTGATTCGCCGGCATCGTAGCGCTGCAAAAATCAGGTTTATTTGAGAGTGTACACGCGGAGCATCGTTTGTATCGTGATTTTCCAGTGAAAAATTTGAATTTCACAATTTTCCCACCGAAATTTAACCCTGTTAACGCGGAGCATTGTTTAAAACCGAATTTTCTCAGTTCAGGGGGTTTTTGAGGTCAAATTTTATGAATTTTCCAAATTTCCCGCTCAAATTTGACGGTGTAAACACGGAGCATCGTTTAAGACCGAAATTTCGCAGTTTAGGGGGTTTTTGAGGTCAAAAATTTGAATTTCACAAATTTCCCGCTAGATTCTCACGGTGTAAACACGGAGCATCGTTTAAAACCAGAATTTAGCAGCTCGGGAGCTTTTTGGGGTCGAAAATTTTGAATTTCACAATTTTCCCGCTCAGTGTTTATGGTGTCAACGCGGAGCATCGTTTAAAACCGAAATTTCTCAGTTCAGAGCGATTTTGGGGTCAAAAATTTGGATTTCACGATCTTCCCGCTCAAATTTGACGGTGTAAACACGGAGCATCGTTTAAAATCGAAATTTCTCAGATCATGGGGTTTTTGGGGGTCAAAAATTTGAATTTCACCATTTTCCCGCTCAAATTTGACGCTGTAAACACGGAGCATTGTTTATAACCGAAATTTCGTAGTTCAGAAGGTTTTCGAGGTGAGAAATTTTTGAATTTCACAATTTTCCCGCTCAAATTTGATGGTGTACACGCGGAGCATCGTTTAAAACCGAAATTTCGTAGTTCCAAAGGATTTCGAGGTCAAAAATTTGAATCTCACAATTTTCCCGCTCAAATTTAACACTGTAAACGCGGAGCATCGTGTAAGACCGAATTTTCTCAGCTCAGGGGGTTTCTGAGGTCAAAAATTTTGAATTTCTCGAATTTCCCGCTATATTTTCACGGTGTAAACACGGAGCATCGTTTAAGACCGAAATTTCGCAGTTCAGGGGGTTTTTGAGGTCAATTTTTTGAATTTCTTGAATTTCCCGCTCAAGATTCATGGTGTAAACACGGATCATCGTTTAAAACCAAAATTTACCTTCTTCAATTCATCATATCCTTGTTGAACACGATCGGTTCCAAACAAAGCGTCCAATTCGGCAAAAGTCTGAAAATTTTCAAATTTTCAGATGATTTTTTGGCTGAAAAACTCACCATTCTCGTTGATTTTTGTGGAGAAATTGAAGCGATCTGAAAATTTTTTGAATTTGAATTTTTGGCGCGAAAATAGGAAAACAGGAAAAATAGATTTTTTATATAGCAAAAAAAATTCTGGGCCAAAATCAAAATAAAATACATTTTCTTATCAATTTGCTATCAACAAAAAAACCACGTTTTCCCCAAATTTCTCAATTTTTTCACAAAAAAAACTTGTTTACCTGATAAAAAATGGCAAAAAGTCCAAAAAACACTAGAAAATTGGCCATTTTTTGAGCTCCACGATCAAAAATGAGAAATACACGGTGTGTAACAAAAAACACATGTGATTTCTCGAAAATGACGCTTCCCAGAAGTTTTTTCACATTTTTTGGGAAGTCATGGGTTTTGACACCGAAAATTCGGGGAAAACGTGGATTTTTCACTGTTTTTTGGGCTGAAACTTTCAATTTTCAGAGAAATTTTGAAATTTTCCCAAAAAATTTCGTAACATCACAAAAAAATGGGGGAAAACAAATAAAAAAGCTGCTGAAAAATGTTTTTTTTCTCGCTGTTCTCAAAAAACGAGAGAGTGTGGAGAGCGCAGAGAAAAACACAAAACCAACCTTTTTCGACGACGATTCCGGTTTTTTGGGAGTATCTTGATCGAACCTGTTCGAAAAATGTTGCTTTTCCTCATTTCTCATCAAAAATCGAGATTTTCGGCGAAAATCCCAGGGTTTTTGAGGAAAAATGAGAAAAAATCGATTTTGCGCGGAAAATTTCAAAAATCCTCCGGGAGAAGTACACAAAACCAATTTCGCTTCGAGATATTTTCAATTTATCATCTGCGCCTTTAACCCTTTCGTGTATTTCTCGAGGAAAACGTGAAAAATCGAAAAATTTCAAAAATCCTCCGGGAGAACTACACAAAACCAATTTCGCTTCGAGATATTTTCGATTTATCATCTGCGCCTTTAACCATTTTGTGTATTTCTCGAGGAAAATGTGAAAAATCGAAAAATTCAAAAATCCTCCGGGAGAACTACACAAAACCATTTTCGCTTCGAGATATTCTCGATTTATCATCTGCGCCTTTAATTCATTTCGTGTATTTCTCGAGGAAAACGTGAAAAATCGAAAATCCTCCGGGAGAACTACACAAAACCAATTTCGCTTCGAGATATTTTCGATTCATCATCTGCGCCTTTAACCATTTCTTCGCAAAAATTCACCATTCCTCTTCCGCATCACCGTATTCCGAGTCGCTGGTGGCACAAAACGTGGCGCGGACGGCTCTTCGTGGCGAGACCTCATCTACAGTAACCCGCCGTTGAAAATGCACACTTTTCACGGGGCTTTTGGGCAGTTTTTCGAGGTTTTCACCAATTTTTCGAATTTCCTCCTCTAGTTTCGAAATGCGTCTCGACACGAAATAGAGTAGGGTTACTGTAGTGGCCACAGTAATCGTGGCAAGACATTTCAGCTCCCAAGTATTATTGCTCATGTTTGGGGGGCTCTGGAATTGTGTTTTGGGGGGGGGGGAAATTTTTAAATTTTCTGGAAATATAGGATGTTTGGTACCATTTTGATGGAATTTTCACATAGAATTCGATAAAAACGGGCAAAATTTATGAAAAACAACAATTAATTATCTAATTTCATCTTTTTGGCATTCGTCTCATTGGGTTCCTGTGCTCCAATTTCGAGAGCTTTTCGTGCCATCAAAATCGCACCTTCTTTTGTCAAATTTCCACCGATGAAACCTGAAAAATGCGAATTTTTGGCATTTTTGAGCTAAAAATGAGTTTCTGGGCAAAATTAACCAAATTTTATGATTTTTCATGTAAAATAGCCCATTTTTCACGATTTTTGGTTCAAAATCCCTCAAAATCTCACCCGAAATGTGCACAAAAACACCGCCATCAATTCCGCTTTCCTTGCTCAATTCCTCATCTCTCAAACCTCTCCAATTGGCTGGCAAAGGTAATCGATTCTCAAAACTCGCATTTTTATCAGTGGGAATTGCTTGAACTCGCCACGAGTTTGCTGTCGAATCACCAAACAGAATATATGTGATATTATCGTCTCTGATATTTTTTTCGGCCTCAATTTCGAAGAAATGCTCTTTCCACGGGCAACCGCCGTTTTCGATCAGAATAATTCGGCCAGATGGATCGATCTGCAAAAAATCCGAGCATTTTGAGCCCAAACAAGCCTATATATAGGCTCCGCCCCTTTTTGCAACTTGCGGCATGGTTTTTGAAGCATTTTGAGCCCTCAGAAGGCTTTTTTGATGCTCCTAGTGAGATTTGGAGCATTTTGAGTCCAAACAAGCCTATATGTAGGCTCCGCCCCTTTTTGCAACTTGCGGCATGGTTTTTGAAGCATTTTGAGCCCTCAGAAGGCTTTTTTGATGCTCCTAGTGAGATTTGGAGCATTTTGAGCCCGAATAAGCCTATATTTAGGCTCCGCCCCTTTTTGCAACTTGCGGCATGGTTTTTGGAGCATTTCGAGCCTATTTTCAAGCTCCGCCCATTTTTCTGTGCCCTGCGCGAAATTTGGAGCATTTTGAAACCAAATAAGCCTGAGCTACGCTTTTTCAGCCTCTATCTTTAGGCTCCGCCGATTTTTGCAATTTTGCGGCATGGTTTTCTTGTGAGATGTTTGTTTCTCTCAAAAAATACCGTGCCGCAAAATTGCGAAAATGGGTGGAGCCTAAAGATAGAGGCTAAAAAACGTAGCTCAGGCTTATTTGGTTTCAAAATGCTCCAAATCTCGTGCAGGGCACAGAAAAATGGGCGGAGCTTGAGAATAAACGATCAAAATGCTCCAAAAACCATGCCGCAAGTTGCAAAAGGGGGCGGAGCCTAAGTATAGGCTTGTTCGGGCTCAAAATGCTCCAAATTTTCTCTGGAGCCCAAAAATCGCCTTCATTTGGTCTCGAGATGCTCCAAATTCAAATTCAACACCAAAAAATGCTCGCAAAAACTTTATCCCTCAAAAATCGTCTTAATTTGCTGTTGAAATAGTTGGACATGAGAATTTTCCAGTTCCCAAACAATTTCCAGCCAAAAATCTCACAAGATGGAGTTAGGATATCTCCACATTGGAAGGAAATTGCGATTAGAAGGCAGAAAATGAGATATTTGAACATTTTTTGGGGTTTTTAGGGTTTCGGGGGCCTAAAGTTCAATAAGTTCAAACTTCGAACTTTTTCCAGCTGAAATAACAAATTTTCCCATGTTCTTTCTATGGGAAAGCAAACAAATCTAAACTATATATAAAAAGGCTGTCCGAAACCATAAAAAAACTCAAAAAATGTTGAAATATCTAATTTTCTGCCTTCTAATCGCGATTTCCTTCCAATCTGGAGATATCGGAACTCCATCTTGTGATCCAGGCAACAAAGCCAGTCAATTATTCTGTCGCAATTTCTGCATTGATCTCGGATTTTTGGCTGGAAATTGTGTTGGAACTGGAAAATGCTCATGTCTCACGATTTCACCAGCAAATTAAGACGATTTTTCGTTGAATAAAGTTTTTCGGGAGCAATTTTTGGTGTTGAATTTGAATTTGGAGCATTTTGAGTCCAAACAAGGGCGGTTTTTGGGCTCCGGGGGGAATTTGGAGCATTTTGAGCCATCAGAAGGCTATTTTTGATGCTCCTAATGAGATTTGGAGCATTTTGAGCCCAAACCACAGGCAAATTCATATGGATACATAATGGATACATTATGGATCCATCATCCATAATCGACCCATTTCGGTTACATCAAGGGTCCATATAAGATCCATCTGACATCAATCAGGGGTGATGTACCCATGATGGGACTCAGATTAATACTCAGCTGATTGAGCTGATTGTTGATTGATTCAAAATGGATTGATGATGGGTGATGGATCCATAATGTACCAATTATTGATAAATCATCAAGTCCTCCTTCACAGTAGAGTTTTTTGAACATGTTTTCTTCCATTCATTCTATTTAAAGATAAAAATGATAAATCGTGGTTTCGTAGGCACTACGAATTCCTGATTTTTAAATCTAGCTCGATTTTATGGATAAAACTGATGAATCGTGATTTCGTAGTCACTGCGAATGCCCGATTTTCAAATCTAGCTCAATTTTATAGATAAAAATGATAAATCGCACGATACCTTTTTAAAACAACTCACATGTTTTGCTACATTTCAAAAAAATAATGCAGAAATTGAATGCCGCAATTCAAACGCGTTTTGTAAAATCGAAAATGAGCAAAACAATTCACGTCAAATTATTTAAATTTAAATCTAGGGCACAAAAGTAGGTCGACAGACAGATCACCGTTTAATATATCAGAAAGATTTATACAATCTTCTCATGAGATCGATTATCATGCATGCACATTCTTTTGTTTAGAAGCTTCTGAAAAAGCGAAAAAAAAACATTTACTCAATTTCGGGCTAAATTTTGAGCTTTTACGAGTCGTTCAACAAAAACTGATAACTGGATATTTCTTAGCAGGAAAAACTCTATCGAATGGTATAGTGTAACTGAGTGAAGTTCACTATAAACATTCACATTTCTCAAAAACCGAAAAATTGGAAATCGCTCGAAACAAGGGATGAATTTATAATCATTTTGTTCATCGTGAAATTCTGAGTCGAATGGTATATATCATTTTCACTCAAGTGCTCTTAATTGGTGCGCAAAAGTGTAACATTAAAGGCGCAGACATTTCAATGAATTTATCCTGCAGCGAAATGTGTGTGTGTGTACTTCTCTCGGACGATTTGCACGCCACATTTTTTTTCTTTTTTTTTCGTTTTTTTTGTTTGTTTCCCGTTTCATAGAAAAATTGAGTGTTAAAAACTGCGGAAAACATATAGAATATGTTCCTCGACTAGGATCTAGCAGCAACACTGGTCCTGGGAGTTTGACCAAAAATTGGTCAATTTTTGGTCAAAAAAATTTTGAACAAAAATTGACCAAAAATGCACCAAAAAATTTTTCACCATTTTTTGGTCAATTTTTCAACTTTTTCCCACCAATTTTTCACCATTTTTTGATCATTTCCCCAGACTTTTTTCAAATCAAAAACACATTTTTTTCACAAAAATTTATTGAAAAAGAACAAAAAAGAAACAAAAAATGGTTCTAACTGTTAGGAATCTGCCTTATATTATGAACTTTAATTTTCATTGAAAAACATTTTGAGCTAATTAGAGAAAAGAGAGCTGGAGGTTTGTGCTCGGAAGAATGTAAATTTTGCCCTAAGAAAGTTAATTTTAGAGCAATCGCAGACTCCTAGCAGTTTGTGAACCTTAGAAACAATAAAAATTACTCAGTTTCGACTAATCCTTCTGCCTTCTCTGCACCAGCAGAAAAAGCAGTGTCAAATTGTTCCTTGATTTGCTCACGTTCGTCTTCTGACAATTTATCCGGATTACCATATTGTTCCTCGTCGATTGAATTGTTGTTGGCATCACCTTCTCCTACGGTTGGCATGATAGTCATGGCATTTGAGAATACTTGATCTTCAAGTTATTGAGTTCCAAAGGGCTTGTCCATAGTAGAAGTAAGGATCAAATGATTGTTCGCTGTCGTCTCCGAAGAGTTTACCACTGAAATGCATAGAAATAGAAAATGTATGAAAATTTCAAAACTTACGCAAGTTGAGAAGCCAAACTCAAGAGATCAGCAGTATAGTTGGACATGGTTCGAAAACCGAGCGAAACCAGTTTTTTTGGTTCGCTCACTCATTTGGTTTTCGGTTCGCCCATTTGAAATGGTTTGGTTTGGTTTTGGTTCGCTCACTCATTTGAAAACCGGTTTTCGCTCAAATGTCAACTGGTTTTGGGGTATTAGGTATTGATGAATTTCGAGGTTTTCGACTATGGGGATTCACGTGATGGACTTATTTTCACGTAAAATCACTCTTAAAGGCACACACCGAGCAAAAAAAATTTTGTTCGAAAAATGGGGTATTTGGGCACGGGGAACATTTTGGTGAGGTATACGCTCCAAAATAGACTTTTAAAGACACATGCCAGGTTATTATACATTTTCGAGACACAAAAACTAAAAAGATCATAACTCGGGCATTTTTTGAGCTTTTTCAAAATTTCGACAACCATTTTGACGTGCTCGTCGTCAGCTAAATTTTTTCTCATTGGACCGAAATTCAAATGTTGCTCCTAAGGAGTGAAAATACGCATTTTTGCTAAAATTTGCGTTCAAAAATTGATATTTCCGAGAAAAAAACGTATTTTTCACTCCTTAGGAGCAAAATTTGAATTTCGGTCCAATGAGAAAAAATTTAGCTGACGACGAGCACGTCAAAATGGTTGTCGAAATTTTGAAAAAGCTCAAAGATTGCCCGAGTTATGATCGTTTTAGTTTTTGTGTCTCGAAAATGTATAATAACCTGGCATGTGTCTTTAAAAGTCTATTTTGGAGCGTATACCTCACCAAAATGTTCCCCGTGCCCAAATACCCCATTTTTCGAACAAAATTTTTTTTGCTCGGTGTGTGCCTTTAAGAGTGATTTTACGTGAAAATAAGTCCATCACGTGAATCCCCATAGTCGAAAACCTCGAAATTCATCAATACCTAATACCCCAAAACCAGTTGACATTTGAGCGAAAACCGGTTTTCAAATGAGTGAGCGAACCAAAAACCAAAACCAAACCGAAACCATTTCAAATGAGCGAACCAAAACCAAATGAGTGAGCGAACCAATCAAACTGGTTTCGCTCAAACCATTTGAAAAACCACTCATGTCCAACTATAATCAGCAGCCTTGCTGAATTCGCTTCTCAACAAAAGACGCTTTCCAGATGTCAAGTTGTTCTTCGATTGTGTAGCCCTAGAAATAAGAACCAATTTTGATTAAAATTCTTCAGGAGAAAAAACTGACTTTTCCTCGGAAGTGAGCTCTGTGGTGGCAGCGGTGGAAGTTTCAGCAGTAGTTGGAGTTGTTTCTTCGGTAGTGGTGGTCTTGATATTTTCAACTGGAACAGTGGTTTCTCCGGTCATTGTGTTGGTAGTGTCAGCAAGAGCAGCATCCATTCTTTCTTGATTAGTAGTTTCTAAAAACAGCACAAATATCAATATTGCGAAATAAGGTAGATGAGAATCGGAAGATAGATGAGAATCAGACGGCCGTCTACCGGCTGTTGAGACACTTCTGATTGTAACATAGGAACTCATGCAAATGTTGCTGGAAATGTGTCAAACTGAGAAACAGCCCCGTTCTGATAAAAATCTGACACTCTAACAAGTAACAAATTAACAAATTTGTAAGAAAACCAAATTTTTTTAGTTTTTGGCCTAAATTCAAGTTTAATATGTGAATTTCAAAGTTCTGGTAAAACTTGCTGCTAGATCCTAGTCGGGGAACAAGCTTTATATCTTTTTAGCAGTCGTGAACAATCAATTTCTCTATAAGTAGGGCAACACACAAAAAAACGAAAAAAAAAAAAGAAAAAAATTTTGGCGTGCATTTCGTCCGAGAGAAGTACACACACACATTTCGCTGCAGGACCACATTGCATAAATATTTGCGCCTTTAATCTATTGTTTTCGCGCCCCAATTAGTTGTTTTTGGTGATAAATAGTTCGCACCATTCGATTCAGAATTTCACGCTGAGTAAAATGATATAAAAATCATCTCTGTCTGTGGAAGTTTTTGAGTTCACGTTTTTGGGAAAAATGCATGATTTTTGGGTCACTGGTGTTATTTTTTCGAAGCTGATGGCTATCACAACAATATTCTTCCAAAAAATAATAGAAATTATTGCCTCTGAACCCAATACTTCTGAATTCTCTGAGCCCTAGTTCTTGATAAATCAAGGATCAATCAATACAACTGATAGATTCGAGATAGGTCTCTGCTTGATATCAAATAGCTCCAAGATAAGTCAAAACTGATTTTAGTTGAAGATTTGGGACTGACATTTGCGCCAATGGTGCAATTGGTGTGAGTGGCGCCAACATTCAACAAACGAAGTATTTTACTCCTACTTATTGATTCACCAGTAGAAAAACAACGAAATTCATCAACCTAACTTCACCAAAAGCCGCAAAACGACATGTCTGCCCAAAAACATTAAGATTTTCGCAATTTTTCACAATTAAAATTTTCACTGAATTTTGGCCAAAATTCGACCAATTTTTTGACCAATTTCTGACCATATTTTGGCCAATAAATATTTTTGATCAATTTTTGGCCAAAATTCGACCAATTTTCGTTTTTGGCCAAAAATTGGTCAATTTTTGGTCAACCTCCCAGGACCAGTGAAATGTCATCAGAACTTTGAAAATCGCATATTGAACATAAATTTAGGCCAGAAACTTTGAAAAATTGGTTTTTTTCGATTTTAGGTAGTAAAACGAGACATTTTTCAGTTTCATTCAATTGAAGCATCATTTAAATGAAATGAAATAGAAGATTCCCTATCAGAGCTGAAAATTGAAATTCCCTATATCGTACTTTCTTGAATTTCGCTCACATTGATTTACTACTATCGTCAACTGGTTTTTTTTCAGACATCGCTCTAATTCAAACGTCGAAATCGACATCAACTATCTGCCAAACAGCGGTAAATTGATTATTTAAAGAACTTCGTGAATAAAAACAACTTTTCAGGTCACTACAGTGTGTACAAGAAGGTTATCGAACTGACTGCCTAATGCATCAGTTTGGCTAGGAAGACACTTGGTTCGTAATAATGGAATGAAGTTAAATGGCGAGAAGAAACAGTCTTCAAATATCTCAGGAAGTATTGCTCATCAATCCATGTTATCACTCACACTCAGGTTGGTTAACTTGAATGAGAAAATTTTTTTCAAATGGTTCTTTCTTTTCAGGCCAAGGTTCTCGACCGCCGTGTCAAATGAATGAATATTGATTTGGTCGGAATCCAAATCAACTGAGGATTCGTCGCTCAAAAGGTCGATTGAGCTTGTGAGCACCGAGAAGAAAACTCTGATTGGGTCCGACTTCTCCCAAATATGAAATGATCGACAACATCGGGTGTTGCCAAGGGTTGCGGATTCAAGGAAGCCACCAAGAGATGGAAGGTCAAGAAACTTCCACGTTAGTCTCCGCAAAGCGGCCTCTGCTCGAGCTAGGAAATCACCTTCGCCGTTGCTCGTGATGACCACAAAACCTGCTCCAACTGCCATCTTCCTCGTGAATCTAATTAAGATGACCGAAAAGATGCGCCCACACCATGAAAAACAAGTTCTTCTAACTTCTAATTTTGTTATATTTCAATTTTTACTATGAATAAACTTTACTTTTAACTGTCTACTTGAAAAAGAGTTAAAAAGAGAAAATGGATACATCAAGCGTCCATCAAGTATCAATCAAACGAGTTCAGATGGATCCATTATGTGTACCCGATGTATACATCTGAACTGGGGACATGATGTATCAATTATGGATCCATTATGTATCCATATGAATTTGCCTGTGACAAGCCTATAATTAGGCTCCGCCCCGTTTTTCAACTTGCGGCATGGTTTTTGGTGCATTTTGAGCCCTCGGACTCTCTAAAAACCATGCCGCAACTTTGCAAAGTGGGCGGAGCCTAGATATAGGCTTGTTTGGGCTCAAAATGCTCCAAATCTCACTAGAAGCATCAAAAATAGCCTTATGAGAGATCAAAATGCTTCAAATTCCATGCGGCAAATTTGCAAAGTGGGCGGAGCCTAAATATAGGCTTGTTTAGGCTCAAAATGCTCCAAATTCCCCTCCAGAGCTCGAAAAATCATCGTGTCTAGTCTCAAAATGCTCCAAAACCGTACTTGCTCGCGATTCTCGACCGCCTTCTCAATAATCTCTCTCGCCGGCCACCAAACATTCGCCAAATACTTGACATTGCGCACAAATTCGTCGCCAATAAATTGCACGGCGAGTTGAAAACGCTCATCCGGGTCCACGTTTTCCTCATTCCAGTGTGGATTGAATTGGCCAGCACGCGCTGAGAGATTTCCAGGCGAGTGATATCTGAAATTATATTGATTTCAGGTCGCGCTCCACCGCAAATAAACACGCAACGCAGACCGCGTCGCGCCACAACACACACGTGGCGCGGCGCGGTCTGCGTTGCGTGTTTATTTGCGGTGGAGCGCATGGTACCTGGGAACCCCGTCATATTGTGCAATTCCATTATCAATTGCATCGATCGCTTCGACGAAATTCTCATAAAGCCGGTGGTAGAACAAATCGATCATAGTTGGCGCAATTTTCCCGCCCAAAATCTGAAAAAAACTAAATTTTCAGCCAAATTTTGCAGCTCAAAAACCTGCTGAATGACTTGTTTTCCATAATGTGCATAAATCAAGCCGGCGCTGCTCAATTTCGTGTCAAAATTCAGTTTTCCCAGGCTGCGCATCGTCTCCTGAAACCCGCGTTGATGATGATCAAATCGCTTCGATTTCTCATCAAAAACACCGCCAACATCCACGACAATATCGCAAGTTTCAAGCAGTTTCGCGTCGCGTGTTCGAATTACACGATGTTTTTCGAATTCGGGCAATTGTTGCAGCATGAAGACGGCGAAACTCTCGTCGCAGTGGAATTTTCCCGAATGCGTTCCGATCGACATTTTTCTGATTGTTTGAGCCAAGAAATTACGAAATGCCAGCCTGAAAATCGCAATTTTTAGGGCGAAACACAAAAAAAAATGAAAATTTTCGAAAAAATAAAAAAGAAAACAACGAGACTCCGCACGCCTGTTGTTTAGCACACTTCCCTGAATTTTCTTATTTTGCCCATTTTTCAACCTAAAAACTACGGTAATCCTAGAGTACTGTACATGGTCTTGTAGAGAATTGCAAGGGCTACAAAATGGTGTATTTCATTGGCGCGCGCAGAAGAATTCGCAAAGGATTTTGGGCAAAAATAAACATCGAAAAACAACGAGACTCCGCCGCTTGCCCGTTGTTTAGCACCCGCGCTTTTTTGAATTTGAAAATTTTATTTTTTTATTTCGCGGGGGTTTTGATCACATTTAAATTTACTATGCATTACTGTACATGGTCTTGTGGGGAATTTAAAGGGCCATGAAATGATGTACACGTGGTTTTGGAAAAAAAAACATTTTTGCATAAAAAACCTCAAAATCGTGAAATTTTCGAATTTAACCCGCTGCTTCAAAAAACCTAGAAAAGAGTAGATTTTCACGTCATTTCAAATTTTTACGCGTTTCGGCAAAATCATCGAAGGGAGCAAGCGCGCTCCATTGCACAAAAACAACTCTGTGTAGTTCTCTCGGACAAGATTTGTTTTTTTTTCGCTTTTTTTTTCATTTTCGCTTGTTTTTCCTGCAAAATCCATGAAAAAATTTCAGGAAAAAATGGGTGACAACACGATTTTCGGAAAGATGACGTCACGCGCGGCAGGCAAGCGGCAAATCAAACCCACTGCGGTGCTCTATGAGACGCTGATGCAAGAGCACGCGGATTCCGATGAGGAGGATGAGGATTTTGAGATGGCGGATAGATCTATGACGTCTGGAGGTTCGGGATCGGGTTCGGGATCGGAATCGGGTTCAGGTTCAGAAGAGAATTCTGATGAAGAGGAAGATTCTGAAGGAGAAGAAGAGCAAAAAGAAGCTTCAGCAGAACCCCAGGAAGTTCTACCAAAAATGAAAATCTGTGCAGTTTGTGTAAATCAGAATCATATCGAGAATCTTGATGACGAGTTCATGACTTGCGACAATTGTCAAATCACCGTGCACGAATCCTGTTACCTCGGTGTATTTCTCGAGGACAATAATTCGGACGACGCTCAAACCAGTTGGTTCTGCGAGCCTTGTATGTATGGGCTAAACGACACTCCGTTTTGCGAGTTTTGTCCCAGTAGAATCGGCGCGTTCAAGCGGAGTGACGTTGGTGGAAGATGGGTGCATTTGACGTGTGCCCTGTTCACGCCAGGGATATCCTTTAGCGCTGTGGATGTGCTGTCGGGAGTCAGTTGGCAGGAGATTGGCAACTCGCAATTCGGCCGGAAATCGTGTGCGGCATGTCGCGGAAAGCGGCTTGCGGAAAGCCGCGCGGGAATTGTGACGCGTTGCGAGAGCGGCATGTGTAAGGAGCATTTGCACGCGAGTTGTGCGCAGAAATTGGGATTGTTGGTGGATGAGACGGATGAGGCGGAAGAGGCGGAAGCGGAAAAGGAGACCGCAAGCGTTTTGCGGTATTTTTTCTGTCGGAAGCATTCGAATCCGGAGAAGGCGAAGAGGGAGCAGAAAATGTGGGTTTTTTTGGGGCAAAAGTGCTTAAAATGCAAAAATTTGATGAAAATTGGCAAAAAATCGCATTTTTCACAAATTTTTCCTTTAAAAATTTGAATTTTCCAATTTTCCCGCTCAAATTTTACGCTGTAAACACGGAACATCGTTTAAAACCCGAAAACTCCTTATTTTGGGTGAAAAATTTGAATTTCCCAATTTTCCCGCTCAAATTTCGATGTGTAAACGCGGAGCATCGTTTGAAACCCGAAAACTCCTTATTTTGGGTGAAAATTTTGAATTTCCCAATTTTCCCGCTCAAATTTCGAGGTGTAAACGCGGAGTATCGTTTGAACCCTGAATTTAATGGTTTTCGGTTCAAAATTGAGCAAAAATCACATTTTTCACAAATGTTTCCTTCAAAAATTTGAATTTCCCAATTTTCCCGCTCAAATTTCGATGTGTAAACGCGGAGTATCGTTTGAACCCTGAATTTAATGGTTTATGGGTTAAAAACCGTCATTTTTCACAAATTCAGAGTTCAAACGATACTCCGCGTTTACACCTCGAAAGTTGTGCGGGAAACTTGGGAAATTCGAATTTTCTGGGTGAAAAATGCGATTTTTGGTCAATTTTGACCCAAAAACCATTGAATTCGGGGTTAAAACGATACTCCGCGTTTACACTTCGAAATTTGAGCGGGAGAATTGGGAAATTCAAATTTTCTGGGTGAAAAATGCGATTTTTGGTCAATTTTGACCCAAAAACCATTGAATTCGGGGTTTGAACGATACTCCGCGTTTACACCTCGAAATTTGAGCGGGAAAATTTGAATTTTCAAATTTTCTTCTTGCAGATATTCAATTTTCGAGCAACAAGAAATGCGGCGAATCACACAATTTCGACGAAGAAAATCACCAACTTCAGAAGAGATTCGAAATCGAAATTGGATGCAGAAAAAGCTGGAATCGCACTTTGATCTACCTGATAATACGATAAATATTCCCACAGAGGTACGGTAGGGTTTTTTGTTTTTTGGAGCCAAAAATCCGTGAGAAATGGTGGATTTTAACCTAGAAACACCCTAAAATGACCCTAAATACCTTAATTTCAATTCCAGGCCATCGAAAAGACACGCCGTGCTCGACTTTTTGATAACTTCTCCCGAATTTTTCGATCGCTTCGAGACCAAATCAATGGATTGCGGAAAATCGCGAGAAGAATTCCGGGAGCCGTTTTTCGATGTGAAATTGACGAATTCGTGGCCGATTCCGATTGGATTCTCTAAAGAATATATGGAGTGAGTTGCGCCTGAAAAGCCTGAAAAAGGCCTGAAAATTGGGCCTAAAATGAGCCTAAAATCATGAATTTTGACCGAAAATTGGCCTGAAATGGGCCTTAAAATTAGGCTTGAAATTAGCCATAGAATAAGCCTAAATTTAGTCTGAAAATAGGCCCAAATTTAGCCTGAGAATAGGCCTAAATCTAGCCTGAGAATAGGCCTGAAAATAGGCCTAAATTAAGCCCTCATCTAGCCTGAAAATAGGCCTGAACTTAGCCTGAAAGTAGGCCTAAAAATAAGCCTAACTTTAGCCTGAATTCAGCCTGAAAACGAGCCTAAATTCATGAATTTTGACCGAAAATTGGCCTGAAATGGGCCTTAAAATTAGGCTTGACTTGGGCCTAAAAGAAGCCTAAATTCAGCCTGAAAATGGGCCTAAATTAAGCCCTCATTTAGCCTGAAAATAGGCCTGAACTTAGCCTGAAAGTAGGCCTAAAAATAAGCCTAAATTTAGTCTGAAAATAGGCCTGGAAAATAGCCTGAAAATTAGCCTGAAAATAGGCCTAGAAAACGGGCCTAAAATCATATTTTTTGACCGAAAATAAGCCTGAAATGGGCCTTAAAATTAGGCTTGAAATAAGCTTAAATTTAGCTTGAAAATAGGCCTAAGCCTAAGCCTAAATTTAGCCTGAAAACAGGCCTTAAAATAAGCCTAAACTTAGCCTAGAAAACGGGCCTATTGGGCCTTAAAATTAGACTTGAAATGAGCCTGAAAATAGGCCTAAAATAAGCCTGAAAACATGTTTCTAGGTTCAAAATTTATCAAAAAATGCAAATTTTTCACTAAAAATCCTGAATTTCAACCTGAAATCGATATTTTTAGCTGAAAATTCATCAAAAATCACCAAATTTTCAGCTACATAACCTACCGTGATTTCACACAAATTCCCGAAGAAGAGGAAAAAGTTGCAAAATTGCGAGACGCCGTAAAATTGGCCAAACAAAAACAGGAGAAACTCGAAAAATCGGCGGAAATTTCGGCGAAAATCGCCGAGAATTCGCGAATTTTGGGAGAAAAATCGCGCGAAATCGACGCGTTTTTCGAAGTTTTGAGCGGATTTTACGCGGAAAAATCGGGCGAATTTGACGCGTTTTTTGAGCAATTTGGACATAGAAACAAGAAGGAGAAGAAGAAGAAATTGGCGGCGAAAAATGAGGAGAATTTGGAGAAGAATTGTGCGATTTGTGGAGAGGTACGGTAGGCTTTTTGGCCTGGAAAATCCACGTTTTTTGACACCCAATAAGCCTTGGTTCACTCAAAAATTTGAATTTTCCAATTTTCCCGCTGAAATTTGAAGGTGTTATTGCGGAGTATCGTTTGAAATGGGTTTATGGCTAAAATTATCGATTTTTCACTCGAAAACCAAATTTTCTAGTCAAAATATTTGAATTTTCAAATTTTCCCGCTCAAATTACGAGGTGTAAACGCGGAGTATCGTTTGAAATGGGTTTATGGCTAAAATTATCGATTTTTCACTCGAAAACCAAATTTTCTAGTCAAAATATTTGAATTTTCAAATTATCCCGCTCAAATTTCGAGGTGTAAACGCGGAGCATCGTTTAAACCCTGAATTTAATGGTTTTCGAGTTGAAATTGACAATAAACCAAATTTTCTAATCAAAAAATTTGAATTTTCAAATTTTCCCGCTCAAATTACCAGGTGCAAACGCGGAGTATCGTTTAAAATGATTTTTGGCTCAAAATGAGTCATTTCTGCTCATTTTTATATCAAAATTTATTATTTTCACTCAAAAAAAATCCTGAAATCAATTCTAGGCTAAAAATGCTCAAAATTATCGTTTTTTGGCTCAAAATTCATAAAAAATTCCATTTTCAGACCTCAAATCAGCACAAAATCACATCCTGCGATGAATGTCACAAATTCTACCACATTTTCTGCCTAAACCCTCCACTTTCTCGATTGCCAAAAAGATCGACGAAATTCGGATGGATTTGTGAGGATTGTAATGAAACATCGACTGAAAATTCGGAAATTTCCGAAGAAAACTCTGAAGAAAAACGAGAAGAGACGCCGGAAAATCAGATAAATTTGAGAAGTTCGAGGAATCGACGACCTCCTAATAGACATTCTGCTTTTTTGGAGCATTGAAATGAAAATTTGGAATTTTTTGATTATAAATAAGCCTAGGGGTACTGTATTGCATAGACTTTACATTCCGAAAAAAAGAAAAAAAAAGTTGATGAGAGTGGGGTTCGAACCCACGCCCCCGGAGGGACTGGTGCCTAAAACCAGCGCCTTAGACCACTCGGCCATCTCACCTGCGATTTTTCGCTCCCCGAATTTGCATATTTATTTTTCGCCAGTGTTTTTCTGGTTTTTGACCTGATTTTTGAGAAAATATCCCATCTTATCACACGATTTTTTTTTGACCCTGAAAATCAAAAAAAGAAAAGTTCCTGGTTATCTTCTCTCATTTCATTGCTGTTCTTTCAAACAAAGAAATGTGTGGTGTTCTTCTCCTGATTTTTGCGCTGATTTTTTCGAGTTCCGGTAAGTCTAGAGCTCTTTAAAGTGAAAAATTCGGATTCAGCGCGTAATTTTGGCCTAGCTGCATTTCTAGGCCACCAAAAATCTTCCAAAAACCGTCATTTTGCTCCAAATGGCCTAGAAAACCAAATTTCAGCACTCGTCCCTGACGTCTGTGCTCCAAAACTGGACCTCGGCTGCCCGAAACCAAATGCCACACAAAAATCGGAAATTCGCTGGCATTTTGACCCCGAATTGGAGCAATGTTTCGCCTTCAAATACACGGGATGTGGCGGGAATTCGAATAATTTCAACACTCAAACACTTTGCGAAGCTCTGTGTTTAGCCGTGGATCGACAGACGTGTCCAGCTAACACAAAACCATCGAGCACTTGTGAAGCTGAGGTGAGCCGTGTTTTATATGCGACATTTTCAATGGCAGAGAAAAAGAGTCAGATGGCCGAGTGGTTAGCACGCGCGCCTCGCGTTCGCAAAGCCCGGGTTCGAGTCCCCATGTTGCCTAACTTTTTTTTTACTTTTTTTTTTTAATTGTTTTCTCTTACAGAAAGACTGTGCCCCCTCTGAATACTGCAAAAATCGTATCATGGGCTCCTCGATCTGCTGCTCCAAAGAGGTTCGCACCAAATTCGAGCATAATTTCGAAATCTGCCCGCAAGGCAAACAACTCGTGGGACAGGATTTCTTGGGGAAATCGTGTAAATCCAATTTTTGCCCGGAAAATTCCACGTGTCACGATGGAGCATATTTTGCTGTTTGTTGTAAATGAATCTGCTATCTAACCGGATATATTTCGTTTAGTTTCTCTGCACCCTCCTGAACCCCTATGCTCTCTAACCGCATCATTTTCAGAGAAAAAATGTATTTTATTGATGCATAAAATAAAAAAACAAAAAAATAAAGTGTCTAGGGTAAAAAATGACGAAAATTTCAAATTTTTGGCGTAAAATTCAATCCCACGCACTCCGGGAGCCTCTTTTCACCATAACAGTTCCAGTACCCGTTCCAGATCCATTCTTCTTCTTCACAATACAACAACATATGAATTGCAGCAATTTTTCGCGAATTTGTCGCGAGAAAATGACCAAAAGCCAGGGATGCGAAAATGTGAGAAAATCACTGGCGAATGGTGTGAGAATCTGAGTTCTGACGTTGTAATATTTGATGGTGTCGGTCTCCCAGAAGAGTTCGAGAGTTGACATCGAATTTGAGACCAGGTAGTTGAAGACCTGCAAAATATTACGGTAACTTTAGAGGGTACTGTAGGGGGGCCTATAGGCCTAAGCCTATAAATTTGGTTGAGCCTAAGCCTAAGCTTGGCCGCTGCGCGGAAGCTTGCGGTTTACACTCGCGCAGAGCGCTCGGGCTTCAGGCTTCTGGGCTTTTGTTAAGAGTCTGGTTAAGCCTAAGCCGAAGGGTTTTGTTAAGCCTAAGCCTAAGGGTTTGTTTAGGCCTAAGCCTAAGGGTTTTGTTAAGCCTAAGCCTAAGGGTTTGGTTAAGCCTAAGCCTAAGGGTTTGTTTAAGCCTAACGAGGGAAGTGTGTGACCAGTCCCCGGAGATTTTCAATGAGACCTATATTTTTTAGGTCAGTTTTTCACGCTGATAAAGCTCCTGTTTTCAGTTTTTGCTGAACGACTCTCTGAAGAGCCCAAAAATTAGCCAAAAGTTGAGAATTTCCTGAAAATCGGGTTTTTAGAAGCCCATAACTCATGTTAGAAATTATTTTTATGGAAAACTGAATGCATCACGTTGTTCAGGAGGGTCGATTTACCAAAGTCACAAATTTTTGATTAGTAAGTCCATACTTTTTCAAAAAAAAATTTTGTGGCTCAGAAAATAGGCTCATGGATTGCACATTTGAAAATTTTTGGAAAATTTTGTCAAAATTTGTGACTTTGGTAAATCGACCCTCCTGAACAACGTGATGCATTCAGTTTTCCATAAAAATAATTTCTAACATGAGTTATGGGCTCCCAAAAACGCGATTTTCAGGAAATTCTCAACTTTTGGCTCATTTTTGGGCTCTTTAGAGAGTCGTTCAGCAAAAACTGAAAACAGGATCTTTATCAGCGTGAAAAACTGACCAAAAAAACATAGGTCTCATTGAAAATCTCCGGGGACTGGTCACACACTTCCCTCGTAAGCCTAAGGGTTTGGTTAAGCCTAAGCCTAAGGGTTTTGTTAAGCCTAAGCCTAAGGGTATGGTTAAGCCTAAGCCTAAGAGTTTTGTTAAGCCTAAGCCTAAGGGTTTGGTTAAGCCTAAGCCTAAGGGTTTTGTTAAGCCTAAGCCTAAGCTTAGGCCTAAAGTTTAGGCCCCCTGTAGAAATATATATTTTTGATCTACCGAGAGTACTGTAGCTGCCTATTTTTAAGCTAGACTAGACATTTTGTAGCTTCCTAGAAAGACAAAAGTGAAGCTACAAAAAAGAAAAACGTTTTCTGATCTACAGTAACTCTGGAGAACATTTTCTGACCGTGGCCTAGAAATTCAGGAAGAGAGAACCGCAAGCTTCCGCGCAGCGGCTAAGCCTAGGGTTGATCTGAAAACCCCGAGCGCTTTGCGCGAGTGTAGATCGCAAGCTTCCGCGTAGCGGCACTGTCTTCCGCGCAGCGGCTAACCCTAGGGTTGAGCTGAGAGTCCGAGCGCTTTGCGCGAGTGTAGATCGCAAGCTTCCGCGTAGCGGCACTGTCTTCCGCGCAGCGGCTAACCCTAGGGTTGAGCTGAGAGTCCGAGCGCTTTGCGCGAGTGTAGATCGCAAGCTTCCGCGTAGCGGCACTGTCCTCCGCGAAGCGGCTAAGCCTATAGCTGAGCTGGAAGCTCGAGCGGCCTTGCCGCGAGTGTAAACCGCAAGCTTCCGCGCAGCGGCACTGTCTTCCGCGAAGCGGCTAAGCCTAGGGTTCAGCTGAAAACCCCGAGCGCTATGCACGAATGTAGGCCGCAAGCTTCCGCGTAGCGGCTAAGCCTAGGCCCCGAGCGCTCTGCGCGAGTGTAGACCGCAAGCTTCCGCGCAGAGCTAATCCCAGACCATTGTATATCAAAATGGTCCAAATTTTCTCGCGAAAACCCCAGTTCCCCTCCCCGAACTCACCGAAAGAGCGCTCAAGAAAAAATCGACCAAAAAAACACAAAATGACATGATCAACAGATTCATCTCCAAAATCCTATGTCCATACGTATTCATACAAACCATTCGAATAAATGTCATCACATTTATCACGATATTCAGAACAGTCAAAATGATCAGAGTTGGCATCAAATATTTGTAGATTGATGCTTTTCCGTAGGTTGTATTGATTGAGAAATAATCGGAATCGACAGAATATTCATAGTAGGAATGATGGAGGAAGATTTGAGATGTTGTGAGGAATGGGGTTAGGAAGAGGATCAGCACTATTGGGATCAGGTAGCGACGCCAGAACTGGAAATTTGATACGTGGAATTTAGAGAGCTTAACATTTGTTAAGCCTAAGCCTATAGGTGTGGTTAAGCCCAAGGCTAAGCCTATATGTTTGGTTAAGCCTAAGCTTGAGGCTTAGACTTGAAATTGGATAAGCCTAAGCCTATAGGTTTGACTAAGCCTAAGAGTTTGGTTAAGCCTAAAAAAATTTGGTTAAGCCTAAGCCTAGGATTTGGCCTTTTGCAAAGCCTTTGTGCTCAAAGGGGAACAAGCCTATTTTTAAAATTTTGCTAAAATTCTAATCACAAGATCTCCATCCCACACTATTTTGTTTTTTCTGAAAATCACGGATCTCTCTAGAGAAACATCTTTTCCTTGTGACGTTGATAGGAAAAAATTAGATTTAGGCTAACTCAAGGCAGAAAATATGATGCAAATTTCAAATTTTTGTCATTTCCTTGAACTTTAGAAATCAGGAATTGCTAATTTTTGCAAGCCAATAAAATCTGATTTTTGAAAGAGCATAGTGAAAATGTCCCAGATTCTCTAGAAGGTAATTTGGAATTCAAACAATCAAAAATTTCAGTCAGAAAATCAGGCTGAATTTAAAAAAAACTCTTAGGCTTAGGCTTAGGCTTAACAAAATTCAAAGGCTTAGGCTTGACAAAACTCTTAGGCTTAGGCTTAACAAAACCTTTAGGCTTAGGCTTAGGCTTAACAAAACCTTTAGGCTTAGGCTTAGGCTTAGGTTTAACAAAACCTTTAGGCTTAGGCTTAACAAAACTCTTAGGCTTAGGCTTAGGCTTAACAAAATCCATAAGCTTAGGCTTAGGCTTAACAAAACTCTCAAGCATAGGCTTAACAAAACCCTTAGGCTTAGGCTTCAAGCTCTGCTGGCTAAGCCTAGGACCTGAATTTGCCACGTCATACCCCCCCCCCTTGTCCCTGTCCCTCCCCCAAACTCACATTCTCACTTTTCAACGGAAAAAACACAACCATAGCCCGATTCCAACACATCAACGCATTAAATAAATACTGTGTATAAGCGAAATGAAAATGAAACATGTGAAAAAAGCTGAGCGGAAATCGCACATCCAAATTCGTTCGATTGTGTTCCCAGAAAAACTGTGCAAAATAGCCGGTTTTCGGCGTGTTTTGGGGTACACGCAATGTCACGAAAGAGTTACCATAAGTCCAAATATTCATGAAGAATCCGACGGCGAACAGCTTGAAGAACGATCCTTTGAAGTTCGCATTGTTTTTGGCGAAGATGAATGTGGTTACGGTGGCGTAGAGAGCGACTGAAGTCACACCGTAGAAGAGTGTGATCATGAATTTGAAGTTTGTCAGAAGATCCATTTCTAGTTCTGAATTTCAGCAGCAAAAATATATATAATATATTATAAATTGAGGTGCGGTGCGGTGAAAAGTGGGCGGAGCTTCCAAGAGTTTAGATTTTTTTTGGAGTTCAATTTAATGATATAGAATTATATAGACGCTGAGTTCTTGCAGGCCAGGAGTTCGAGGCTGGAAAAATATACGGGCTTCTGAAGGCTTCAGGAGGCTTTAGAGGGCTTTAGGAGGGATTCTGAAGGCTTCAGAGAGCTCTGGAGGGCTTCTGAAGAGATCTGGAGGCTTTAGGAGGGATTCTGAAGGCTTCAGGGGGCTTCAGAAGAGGTCCGGAGGCTTCAGGAGGCTTCAGAAGAGGTCCGGGGGCTTTAGAGGGCTTCCCAAGGCTTCTCAAGGCCTTTAAGGCTTTTAAGGGGACCTACTTTCAAGGAATTGTTTGATCTACCGTAACTTTAAAGCCTTAGGCTTAGGCTTAGGCTTAGGTTTCTTAAGAACCCTTAAGCCTATTTAGATTTTGAGGCTCAGCAGGGCTTTCAGGCAGGCCCACAATTATCCACAGTAGGCCGGCCTATCTCTAGCCTATGACGTGGCAAAAAACCAGGATTTATTTTCGTCTCAACTTTGCTCACCCGATGACGTTTTTGTCTTTTTTTCCAAAAAAAAAAAAATTTTTGAAAATATGATTTTTCAACATTTTTCTTGATGAATCATTTTGAGATTTCAACTGATGATTTTTCAAATTTCAAAAAAATTGAGGAAATTGGAAAATTTGAGTTCAGCGTGGGTGATGTTTGATTTCGGAGCTCGGAATTCAGAATCCAGATGCTTCCAGGAAAAAGGTGGCCACGTGGGCTCATTAATTGATAGCCAAGGGACTTTAGAGGGCTTTAAAGGGCTTTAGAGGGCTTTAGAGGGCTTCAGAAGGCTTCAGAAGGCTTCAGAAGGCTTCAAATGGCTTCAAAAGGCTTCAGAAGGCTCTCAAGTGTCTTATGAGCTCTCCAGAAGCCCCTAAGCCCTATCTCAGGCTTTTTCCAGGTTCTCAGAGAGAGATTCTGCACCCGATAAACTTTGTGCGCTACCCAGACTTTTTGTTATTCCCAAATCATCATTTTTATTACTAACTATTACCTCATGACGCTGACAATGATTAGCTGATTTTCAGCAAAAATTCCAGAAATACTACTACTACTCATATTTTTCGACCACCCACGAAGATTTTTTACTTCCAGAGACTTTTGAAAAAGCTGACTAGACAGAATCAGCAAATTTTTAGGTACAAATGTTACAGCAGGGGGCCGTTCCTAAGTGCTTCCTGAGGACCCTAAGAACTTCTTAAGGTTTCTAAAGAATTCTGAAACACCTTGTGAAGCTCTTAAGGGCTTTACAGCTTCCTAAAGCCTTCTGAAGCATTAAAGGCCTTTTGAAGCCTTTAGAAGCCTTAGGGACCCTTCGGAAGCCCTCTAAAGCCTCCGGACCTCTTCTGAAGCCTTCAGAAGCCTCCTAAAGCCCTCTAAAGTCTCCGGAACCCCTCCAGAGCTCTCTAAAGCCCCCCAAAAGCCCCCTAAAGCCCCCTAAAGCCCCCCAAAAGCCCCCTAAAGCCTCCAAAGCACACCAAAAACTTTACAATTAAAATCTTCCGCTCAAATTCACCAGAACGCAACAATTTTTCTCTAGTTTTCAGCTTTTCACAGAACAAAAAAAAATCGGCGAAAACAAAAATAAAAAGTTCAAAGGTGCACTGAAATTTAAATTTAGGGGCTGAATGAATTTTGAAATTTTATTTTTTTTTTGAGAAAAAAAAAGTGGTCAGCAAATTTTCACTAATTAGACCACCCATGGGGACAAATTTTCAGATTTTCCACATTTTCAGCACAGCTATACGAAATTTTGTGCTGAAAATGTCATCAAAATACGTGTGTGGCCGTAAAAAGTTGTGAAAATGTCGAAAAATTAAATGTATATCATGGGGAAGGCTAGAATTATTACGAAAATAATTAGAGGGGGGCGCCTAGGAGAATAATTATTTTTGGAAACAATTTTTGGAGTAAATGTGTAAGGAAAGTGAGAGAGTATGGGATTTGGAGAGAGCGCAGAGAAGCTAGAGGAAAGTTAGAGAAGCAGATATGCTAGATGATTATCAACTCTGAGAGGGTACAGAGAAGCTAGAATACGAGATAGCGTTGGTTATTTAGAGACACCAGACGACTGAGAGTCGAGAGAGGCTAGGGACGCAGAGAAGTCTAGATATGAGTTTAAGAGAGCGCAGAGACACCCTGTAAAATAGCACATGATTTTGAGAGAGTACAGACAGCCTAGAGAAGCTAGAGACGCAGAGTAATCTACCTAAAAAAATATTGTTTTCTCAAAAAAATGCTCATTTTTCTTGCAATTCTCAATTTCCTGTATCTATTTTTACTCGAAAAATGATGAAAAATTATATTTTTGTACAAAAAATCCCAGATCTGACCTGAATTCCAAAAATAGTTTTTTCAAAACAAGTTCACGGTGTTTTGAGCAAATGACGTTTTTTTTTCGAAATTTTTTTTTGAAAAAAATTTTTTTTGATAAAAACAACAATAAGAGTTAGGGGGAACTGATTTTTGCATCAGTGAATTCAAAATTTTCAAAAAAGTTTAAAACACACACAAAATTCTGCCACGTGGCATTTTCAGCATAAAAAAAAGAGTTCACAGAACTACTCACTCACAAGACCACCCATATTATTTTTAAATGAATTTTTTGCTCCGAAATTTGTAGCCGCATTTTGTAGTCTACAAAAATCCCTTTGACCTGAATTTAATTTTAGGTTTTTTCGCTTGCTAGATACCTGCAAATCTCAAAATTTTTTCTGAAAATTTTTGTATTGCTACAAAATACAAAAAATTGTGATTTATTGACCTGAAAATCCATTTTTTGTTGTATAGTTTGTCTGATTTTTTCGCACACAAAAATAGAATTTTTGGAAACGGAACAGCAAAAAACTTTATTCAAAAAGAGCACTTCAAAGCCCACGAAGATCTGCAAAATTATCACCTCCTAAAATTTTCGGATCCCCAAAGACTATAGTATAGTTTTGATATTGCTCCTCACTGAATCCAATACATTTTGAATAACCTGAGCAATAGTCACTTTGAATATCAGAAAGTATGGTATATGCCAAAATTCCCGAATAAATTTTAAAAACTGGGAAATAGCAGCGATTTGATTTACACGAACTATTGTAGACACCTTGAACAGTTGGCCCGAAATATTGGTCCATAAAAAAAGTGGAATTTGTTGGCCGGGTTTTGCCGGCCAGGAATTTGTAGGATAATTCGAGTTTTGCCACCTTTACTGGGAAAGTTGGGGGAACTAGGAGAAAAAGCACAAGGAGCATTTTTCGAGAAAATGAAAAGTTTTGGGAAATAAAAATTTGCAAACTGCTTGGTTACGCTGAAAAGTCATAAGTCAATAATTTATGGGTTGGAGACTTGGGGCAAAGAACTTTTGTAGATTTTTTTTTCTTAAAACAGGGTTGAGCCTTAAAAGTTTAAAAAAAGGCTTAGGCTCAAAGTTTAGGCTTAAATTTTAAGTTCAAAAAATACAACTGCCACAATAGTATTTTCCAGCCAGCAGCCTATAAATCATTTTTACACCACCCCCTAAAAATCTACGTTACCAAGCAGTTTTCCCCCCTAAATTTTCACACAAAAATGCTTTTCCTCCTATATTTTCCCCTTATTCCTCTAATTTCCCCAGTAAACGTGGCAAAACTCAAAATACCCTATGAATATCTGGCTACCCGAACTCGCCCAAGTTCTACGAATTATAAAATGACCGATAAATTCACTTCTGCTTTCCAGGAAGTCTATAATAGTTATTGTAACTCGAATCGTTGCTATTTTCCAGTTTTTAATGATTCGGGGGTTTTGAAATATACTATACTTACTGATGTTAATAGCACTTGCCGAAGTTACCCTAATTGCTTAGGATTTACCCAAAAACAATATCAAAACTATAGTATAGTCTTTGGTAATCCAAGTATTCAAGATGATGATTTGATGGATGGAAAAAGTTATAAAATCTCAAGTTGTCCCACGGGTTCCTACACTTTTAGAAGAGCAAATGGGCTCAATTGGTGTTTTAATTTCATACGAGATATGGTAACTCACACAAGCGCTGCAAAAAGCTGTCAATCCCGAAACCAGCATTTAAATGGATTTCAATTTATTGAAGAGCAACAATATTTTCTGAAAATTTTGAAACGTTTGAAAATGAATTTACCAATTCATCTTGGAGCTATGAAAAATGGATCACAGGTAACTCCTCGGGAATTAGCCTGAATTTAAAAAATTTTAAGAAGTTTTCTAGATGGTCTGGACTGAAAGTGTTGTGTCGACAAATCAATCGTTGGCCAATAATTTGAAGAGCTCCTGGTTCACCAAAAATAGCTTGTATTTGCTTTATCGACCAGATTTAGGGTCGTATTTTGATCTTAGGTGAGTTAGGAAAAAAAAAATTTGAAAAAGTTTTTTTTTTATTTTCAGGGATAATCAATCGCCACTTTATAGTTGTTACAGTTGTGGATGGTATGCCGCATAAATTTTTTATAAATGTTGTTTTTGAATAAAGTTATGTTGGTAACTAACTCTTCCTATATATAAATCTTCGCTCAAACTATCCCAATATATCAAAAAGTGCCGTCCTACTTTTCAACGTTACCAAGCAGTTCTTCTCACAAAATTGTTTCAAAACTTCCACCAAAAATGCTGTTTCTCCTATATTTTTCCCTAATTCCTCTTACGTCCCCACTAAACGTGGCAAAACTCAAAATACCCTATGAATACCTGGCTACCCGAACTCGCCCAAGTTATACTAACTATAAAATGAGCGATAATTTCAATGTTGTAACTCGAATCGCTGCTATTTTCCAGTTTTTAATGATTCGGGGGTTTTGAAATATACTATACTTACTGATGTTAATAGCACTTGCTTGAGTTACCCTAATTGCTTGGGATTTACCCTGAAACAATATCAAAACTATAGTATAGTCTTTGGTAATCCTAGTATTCAAGATGATAATTTGATGGATGGAAGAAGTTATAAAATCTCAAGTTGTCCCACGGGTTCCTACACTTTTAGAAGAGCAAATGGGCTCAATTGGTGTTTTAATTTCATACGAGATATGGTAACTCATACAAGCGCTGCAAAAAGCTGTCAATCCCGAAATCAACATTTAAATGGATTTCAACTCATTGAAGAGCAAAAATATTTTCTAAGAATTGTGAAACGTTTGCAAATCAATTTACCAATTCATCTTGGAGCTATGAAAAATGGATCACAGGTGAATTAGAGTTAGCCTGAATTTAAAAATTTTAAGAAGTTTTCTAGATGGTCTGGACTGAAAGTGTTGTGTCGACAAATCAATCGTTGGCCAATAATTTGAAGAGTTTCTGGTTCACCAAAAATAGCTTGTATTTGCTTTATCGACCAGATTTAGGGTCGTATTTTGATCTTAGGTGAGTTAGGAAAAAACATTTCAAAAAAGTTTATTTTTATTTTCAGGGATAATCAAACACCGTTTTATAGTTGTTACAGTTGTGGATGGTATGCAAAATAATTAATTTTCTTAAAATGAAGTTTTGGTCGTTTCTTATGCCACGTCATAACTAAATCTTTTATAAATTTTTTTAAAATTTTTCGGGTCAAAATCCAGTTCCTATGTAGAAAGAGCAATTTTTTGCATTTTAAATTCCTAAGTACTTGTATCCAACCACAACCACAACCAAAACGTAAAATAAAAATAACTTTTTTTAAAACTTTGTAACCAAGCAGTATTCTAACATAACAATTCCACCAAAAAATGTTGTTTCTCCTATATTTTTCCCTAGTTCCTCTAACTCCTAGAAAACCCAGTGAAAGCGTTGGAAGTTGTACTTAAAGCTAATTGGAAATTGTTCTAAAAAATTATTAATGAAGTTATTAATTTTGTAAAATTTTCTTGCATCACAAAGCATTTGTTAACAAAACTTTATTCGGAAAAAGTTATCAGGAAGTTTATATGCAAAATGTTATGTTGCATACCATCCACAACTGTAATAAGCCGAAGTTGTGTTGCTGAAATCGTCCGTTTTGAAAAGACTGTATTATTGTTAATAATTAACTTACTCGTGTCTACCATAATAACGATCAGATGCAGATAAAACTAACAAATACAAAAATTCGCCATTTCCATAATATAGTTTCAAGTTGTTAGCTAACGTTTGATTCGTTGAAACAATTGCCTCGTTCCAGATCATCTAAGAAATTGTTTATAAGTGATTCTAAACGTGTTGTGACGTGAGAAGAGTAAACTTAACAATTTATTTTGAATGTTCACGAGTGATGTCCTAACTCCACTAAACCTATATTTTCGATACTTACCGACATATCAGTCGTCATATTTTTGGAAGATCGTGTAGCTCCAAGATGAATAGTGCGCGCCGGTTGACTTGTCATGTATATTAAAAAATCCTCTTGCTCTTCGATAAATTGAAACCCATTTAGATATTTTCCATCCGCTTCGCAAGCGTTTTCAGCTTCTGAATGTGTCACGCTTGTTTTATTAATATCAGCACACCAATTCAACCCATTTGCTCTTGTGAATGAAAAATATCCCGAAGCACATTTTGCAACTTCATAACTTCTTCTATCCATTAAATTATCATCTTGAATACTTGGATCACCAAAGACTATACTATAGTTTTGATATTGTTCTTGGGTAAATCCCAAGCAATTCGGATAACTTAGGCAAGTGCTATTAACATCAGTAAGTATAGTGTATTTCAAAACCCCCGAATCATTAAAAACTGGAAAATAGCAGCGATTCGATTTACACGAGCTATCAAAAGCTTTTTGAAGAGCATCATTGAAATTATCATTCATGTTATAGTTAGCAGAACTTGGGTGATCTCTGGTAGCCAAATATTCATAAGGAATTTCGAGTTTCGCCACTTTTACCGTGAAAGTTAGAGGAACTTGAAGAAAATAGAGGAGAAACAGCATTTTTGTTGGTTGTTACAAAAAACTTGTGAGGGAAGTTTTGAGAAAAATGCTTGGTAACGTTGAAAAAGCAGGACGACACTTTTTGATATATTGGGATAGTTTGAGAGGAAACGTATAGTAGCAGATTGTTTCGCTGCTAAGTTTGAGAATTCATTACCTTTCTGATTCAGAAAATATAGAGATTTTCAACAGTTAATTAATTTTGAACATTAATGTTTCTGTTTTAATGTTTAGTGTTTTCCCATAGTAACGTTACTATGCAGTTTTCCCTATTTTTTCCCACAAAACTCTGCATTTTCACAACAAAAAATGCTGATTCTCCTATATTTTTCCCTAATTCCTCTTACGACCCCAGTAAACGTGGCAAAAATCGAAATTCCTTATGCATATTTGGTTACTAGAGATCACCCAAGTTCTGCTAACTATAACATGAATGACTTGTTCAATTCTTCTCTTCAAAAAGCTTTTGATAGTTATTGTAAATCGAATCGCTGCTATTTTCCAGTTTTTAAAGATTCTGGGGTTTTGAAATACACTATACTTACTGATGTTAATAGCACTTGCCTAAGTTATCCGAATTGCTTGGGATTTACCCAAGAACAATATCAAAACTATAGTATAGTCTTTGGTGATCCAAGTATTCAAGATAATAATTTAATGGATGGAAGAAGTTATGAAGATGCAAAATGTCCCTCGGGATATTTTTCATTCACAAGAGCAAATGGGTTGAATTGGTGTGGGGAAATTATAATAACAAAGGTGGCACACAACGAAGCTGAAAATCGATGCAAATCTCAAGAACACTATCTAAATGGATTTCAATCTATCGAAGAGCAAAAGGCTTTTTTGAATTTCACAACGATTTCTCGATTTTTCAATGCTGCCTATTCTATTCATCTGGGAGCTTCAGGATCGCTAATGAATGTAAGATCTCGAAAATGTTTTTAATTTTTTCTAATGTGAACATAAACATTTTCTAGATGACATGGAGTGAACCTATTGTATCAACGAATCAAACATTGGCCGGAAACATGCTTCGCAATCAAAACACGACTGGTGACAACATATATTTGGTTCTCTACCCTGTTGATGATTCTGGGCCTTATTATTCACTGATCACGTGAGTTTTAGCTATAAATATTTACAATTTTTAACTTTCCGTTTTCAGCAACACAACAATGACATTTTACAGTTGTGGATGGTATGCCTGATAATTTTTTCTGAATAAAGTTTTGTTAATAAATATTTTTTTGTAATTTAACTTTATTTCAACAATTTTTAACAATTTCCAACACTTTCACTGGGTTTTTTGGGATTACCGAAGACTATAGTGTAGTTTTGATATTGGTTCTTGGTGAATCCGATACAATTCGCACCAGCTGCGCAATTTCTGAGAGTATTAGTGAGTATCGTATACTTCAAAATTCCAGAATCATCCTTGTAAATGGGAAAATAGCACACATTAGAGTTACAATATTTGTTATAGGCTTCTTGAAAGGTTTTCCCAAAATTCTGTGTTAATAAATAGCTTGTGGCACTTGGTTGCGTGACAGTATTCAGGTAATTGAAACCAAGTGGTAGTTTTGCTACTTTAATTGGGGAAGTTAGAGGAATTAGGGAAAAATATAGGAGAAACAGCATTTTTTGGTGGAAAGAAGAATGTGAACTGCTTGGTTACAAAGTTTTTGAAAAATGTATTTTTACTTTACATTTTTGCTTGTGGTTGGATACCAGGGGGACAAGAAATTAAGAATTTGAAAAATGCACAGTATACTCTTCATAAAAAATTTTGAAAACAATCCAATCAAAATTAATTCTCATACCATCCACTACTACAATAAGCTTGCTTCGCAACAGAAACTTTATTCACATAATCTTAAAAATTAAATAAACCTTAATTTTCAAAATCAATTCGCATACCATCCACAACTGTAAGAACCCAATGTTGTGTTGCTGAAATTGGCACATTAAACACTTCTTATAATTTCAGAACTCACCTGACTAGAGAATAATAAGACATTGCCCAAGGTTCATCAAAAGGAAACAGAACTAAATATACGTGGTAAGCATTGGTTTTCATAAAGATGATTGTGTTGTTGAACAACCCTTGATTTGTTGAAACAATAGTTTCACTCCAATTTATCTAGAAACATGTTCTGATTGTGAGGTAATTTTATGAATCAAAACGGTTTTTTATTTTGTCTAAAATCGTGAAGTTTGTATTTTTATACATCTTACAGTCACGTCAATTCCCATTTGAGTTCCTGTAGCTCCCAGATGAATATAATTGGCAGAAGGGTAAAATTGGACACGCATTGAATAATTCAGGAAAGCCTCTTGCTCTTCGATAAATTGAAACCCATTTAGACATTTTCCATCCGCCTTACAAGCATTTTCAGCTTCTGAATGTGTCACCCTCGTTTCATTAATATCAGCACACCAATTCAATCCATTTGCTCTTGTGAATGAGAAATATGTGGATTCACATTTTGCAACTTCATAACTTCTTCCATCCATTAAATTATCATCTTGAATACTTGGATTACCAAAGACTATACTATAGTTTTGATATTGTTTTTGAGTAAATCCTAAGCAATTCGGGTAACTCATGCAACTGCTATTAACATCAGTAAGTATAGTGTATTTCAAAACCCCCGAATCATTAAAAACTGGAAAATAGCAGCGATTCGAGTTACAGTAACTATTATAAACTTCCTGGAAAGCAGAAGTGAATTTATCGCTCATATTATAATTAGTAGAACTTGGGCGAGTTCTTGTAACCAAATATTCATAAGGAATTACGATTTTTGCAACTTTTACTGTGAAAATAATAGGAATTAGAAGAAAATAAAGTAAGCAGAGCATTTCTTCTGAGCAAATTTAGAGCTCGTTTGAAAAAAATAAAAAATCTGCTTGGTAACGTTTCTATGGAAAAACCAAACTAAAAAAATTAGAAAACCAGTTTGAAAAATGGGGCAAGAACATTTTCGGTATTTACTGTAATTTTTCTGACGCTAGAAAATTCGCGTAGAGCGCACTTACATATTTTCCAGCTTATTCATGAGTTAGCCAATCTCAATGGCCAGAACCAGACCAACACTTCAAGACAATTTTAACCTATTCTTAAAATTGTCCAGAAGTGTTGGCCTGGTTCTAGAGGGCTGAAGTTTTTAGGAATCAGAAGAAAATAGGATTTTAGTGTGTACATAGTGTGTATTTATTTTTAAAATAACTTTTCCGTTGAAAAATTGCCTGGTAACATGGATGTTTTATTTCCCATAAAACAACATACAGGCACTATGGAAACCCATAAAAAACGTATTTATTTTCAAAATGCCGAAATTTATGTTGCGTACCATCCACAACTGAAAAATGCTCTTTCGTTGTTCCTGAACAAAAATAAAATTAAAATTAGGCTTGCTTCCCAAAACAAACTCACAGTATATCATAATATCTCCAATTAGAAGTATCACTTGGGCGGAGCACCAAAGTTGCTCCAATTTTTTTCGCAGCGAAAATTGTGGTGTACAGGTTATTGGCCAATGTGTGATTCGTTGAAACAGTGCTATTCGTCCAGATCATCTGAATATTTGGGGTAAAAACCGCAACGCAACCGCAACGCCTACCAAACTCACCCCATTTCCAGCTCTCCTGGCTCCCAAATGAATTGCCTGACTCATCTCATTCACAATCTCTTTGAAATAATCCTGCTCCTCTTCAAATTCAAAACCATTTAGGCTAACTCCCCACTTGTTACACTGCCTTTCAGCTTCGTCATGTGTCAGGAATTTTTGATAAACCTGAAAACACCAATTCAAACCATTAGCCCTGGTGAATTTGTGAAATTTTCCGCAACTTGCAACTTGGTAGATTTTATTTGATAGAAACTGAGTAACGATTCTTGGATTACTGAAGACTAGAGTGTAGTTTTGATATTGATTTCGGGTAAATCCCAGGCAATTCGGATAACTTGTGCATTGACTTGGAGCATCGTTGAGGATTTGATATTTCGTGAAAATCCCCCTGGAATCCAGGAAAATCGGAAAATAGCATTTTGTCGAGAGACAATACGTGTTGAATATATTCTGGAGGGTGGAGTTGAAGTTATCGGAAGTTCTGAAGTTGGAAGCCACTAATCTGCGGGTCGCTAGGAATTCGTAGGGAATGGGGAGTTTTGATATTTTGAGGCTTAGGCTTAGGCCCAAGCTTAAGCCTAAAATAGTGAAAATAATATTTATTTTAAAATTCATTTTTTTTCAAAAAAAATAATGGAATTCTAACAAAGGAGAAACTTCTGGGACCATTAAAAACATGACAATTTTAATGAGGCATTGCTCTTCTCCACGAGAAGTACACAGCTCCTTTGCCTATGACGTGGCAAATGCCCGTAAAATCCATTAAAAACCCAATAAAACACCGTGTTTCCACTAGCATCCAACCACAAAAACATTATTTCCCCGGATTTTCATTTCCCCCCCCCCCAAAAGCAAAAAAAAAATGCTTAAAATTCTAGTTTTCCTATTTTCGGCGGCTCGAGTTAGCCGAACTTCGAATGTTGGGAAATTTGAAGTGCCCTATGAATACCTGGCGACTCGGAACGCTATAAACAGAGGATTTTTGATGAAAGATAATTTTGGAAGTACGATTCAGGTGAGCGCTGTGCGCAAGTGTATTCCGCAAGCTTCCGCGTAGCGGCTAAGCCTAGGCTTTAGCTGAAAGTCCGAGCGCTCTGCGCGAGTCTAAACCGCAAGCTTCCGCGCAGCGGCACTGTCTTCCGCGTAGCGGCTAAGCCTAGGGTTTAGCTGAAAGTCCGAGCGCTCTGCGCGAGTCTGAACCGCAAGCTTCCGCGAAGCGGCACTGTCTTCCGCGTAGCGGCTAAGCCTAGGTTCAGTCATGAGCTCAGATGTCCTTAGCCCGAGCCTAAACAAGAATCTAATTGTAAGCCCAAATGAGGCAGTCTGGGCTACACACGACCTGCGCCCGAGCCCGAGTCTAAGTCCGAGCCTAAGCCTAGGCCTATCCCGATCCAAATTCCAGGGAGTCTATGACACCAATTGCAACGCAACCCGCTGCTTCTTCCCAATTTTCCTGAATACCAATGACAATAATTTCGCCTACCAAATCCTCACCGACACTCCTAGTCAATGCACAAGTTATCCAAACTGCCTACTCTTCACCAAAACCCAATATCAAAACTATAGTATAGTCTTCGGTGATCCAAGCATTCAAGATGATTTGTCGGATAATAGGAATTACAATGTTTCAAAATGCGGTGCTCTCGGATTCACCAGAGCAAACGGTTTGAATTGGTGTTTTAGCCTAACTCAAGTATCGACAGATCGTGAAGATGCTGAAAGTAATTGTGGACTGGAGGGAGAGTTTTTGAATGGTTTTCAATTTATTGAAGAGCAAGAGCACTTTCTGGAAATTCTGAATCAGAAATCCTTGGAGAATAACACTATGATTCACTTGGGAGCTAAACGAGCTTCTGGAGCGACAACTGTGAGTTAATGTAAGTACTGATATACAAATATTTTTTTTAGTTTTCCTGGACTTCTAGCACGGTCTCAACAAACAACACATTGGCCAATAATTTGAAAACATTGCTGGTTAATGGAAGTGGTGTAAACCTGGTGCTTCGTTTGATCAATAATACATGGTTGTATGATAGTGTTGAGTGAGTTAGGCTAAGTTTTGAGAAAGAATTCATTAAAGTATTGATTTTTCAGGGATACAGTACTTGCTTATTATAGTTGTGGATGGTATGCGAATTAATTTTTTTTTTAAATTTTTTTGGGATGTATAAAATTTGAATAAAAAATCGTGTTACTAGGCAATTTTCCAGCGGAAAAACATAAATGTTGTCATTTCGAAAATAATAACACATCATCAAACTATGTGCAAAATCCTATTTTTCCTTCTGATTTCTCAAGTTTTCTCAACACTTATCTATAAACGTGAAGTTCCTTTCGGTTTCTTGGCCACCCGAACTCGACCAGTCACTAAGTTCTATGAATTCAGAGAATTTTTTGGAGATGCTATCCAAACAGCCTATGATACTAATTGTGCAGGCCCAAAACTTCGCTGCTATTTTCCAATCGCTAAACAAAATGATATCCTGGTATACACAATGCTAACAGAAACCCCAAATTATAATTGCTCATCTTATCCATATTGCATAGGCTTCAATCAAAGTCAATATCAAAACTATAGTATAGTCTTCAGTGACACCGATGTTCTACCCGAAGATTTTATTTTGCCAAATTGCACCGCCTCCCAATTCTCTTTCACCAGACCAAACGGTCTGAATTGGTGCTTTAATATCTCAAAAAATGGAGATTGGCTAACTCACGATGAAGCTGAAGCTGAATGTGCATCTCAAAATTCTTCTTTAAATGGTTTTCAGACTATTGAAGAGCAAGATTATTTTCGAAAAGCATTCAGAATAACCAGAACTGGAGAAAAAACATTTGTGCATTTGGGAGCGACGAGAAATTGCACTGAAGATTGTAAAAATAAAAATGCGGATGGGTGTATTAAAGAGGTATGTTTGCTCTATTGCCACGTCATAACTGAAAAAAAATCAATAATTTCAGATGGCTTGGACTTCTAGCATCATCTCAACTAATCAAACTCTCGCCAATAATATCAACAGTGGTTATCTTGATTGTATTGGTAAAAATTTGGTTTTGCGAAGTGTCAAAGGCAACTTGACGTATGACGATACCAAGTTAGTGTTTCAGTGTGGCTTGACGCCAAAAAATTTATTGATTTTTTTCAGGGACGACAACGAAGGTTATTACAGTTGTGGCTGGTATGCCGTGTAATTCACTGAATTTTTGTGAAATAAAGTGATTATTTTGTTGTTTGTGTTGCCAAGTTCCTATGGTTTTTCTTGTTGTTGAAATGTCAAATCCATGTTTCTAGGCAATTTTTCAACGCGAATATATAAAACATGAATTTATTTCCGTCATTTTGAGAATAAAATATATGGAGCTGTCATTCAAGCCAATAGGGGTTAAGAAGACGTCAGGACTCCGCCCCTAAATCAGTTTAGCCTTAAGCTTATGGTCTACGAGGTCTACCTTTTAAAGTTTTTTTTTTTTTGAAACCATTACTTATGTACCTGTTATATGCTTTTAAACATTTTCTTAAACGTGAATTAGCTTTAAATTAAACTTAAATTAATAAATTACTATTTCAGCTTTATCAATGCGCATAACGACCCCAAATTCCTCACATGGAGCTTCCACCGACAAATGTTATATACATACATCTCTATGTGCAAAGTTCTTCTGATGTCATTTTAAGCACACATAACTTTTTTTGTGCAGTTTCTGCAATACTAATTTGGAAACGCAAAGATTCGGACCAACACTTCAAGACAATTCACAGGACCAAATGGACTCAACTGGTGTTTCAATATTTCGGAATCTGGTCTGACTCATAAAGAAGCTGAAAACTTCTGCACATCTCGAAGTGCATATTTAAACGGATTTCAAACAATCGACGAACAAGTATGACCCCCAGGCCAACACTTCAAGACATTTTTTGGCAACAAGAGCTAGATCGATACTCCAGGATAATATGAGCAATGTTTTTTTGTTGATTTTACAACCTGCCTATGATTCAAATTTCATAGGATTCAATCAAACACAATACCAAAATTACAGTATCGTTTTTGGTGAGCCTTCACCCGACCAACACTTCAAGACAATAATATCACAAATATGTTCGTCTGAGTGATTTTTATGGCTGAATATTCAGAATACCTATGACTTGGATTGTAAGATGCTCTTATTGCTCCAAGATGAATCAATTATAATTGAGATGTGTGGATTTTTTTTTAAATATAAAATTTTAAATAAAGTTATGTTATTTCGTTTCGAAGGTTCTACAAATTGAAAAAACGTTTTTTTCTGGATTTTTAGGCTGTAAGGCCTTTTTATTCACTTTTAAAAAGTTCAAAAGTTCAAAACATTTTTTAATTCCGGATTCACCACATTACAAAAAACTATTCGTGTTACTAGGCAATATTTCAACGGCGAAAACATAAAACAACTTAAATGTCTATATTTCGTCCTCAAAATAAAATAAAACATACAACAAACTATGTGCAAAATCCTATTTTTCCTCTTTTCTCAAGTTTTCTCAACACTTATCTATAAACGTGAAGTTCCTTTCGATTTCTTGGCTACCCGAACTCGACCAGTCACAAAATTCTATGAATTCAGAGAATTTTTCGGAGATTCTATTCAAACAGCCTATGATGAATATTGCGCAGGCCCAAAACTTCGCTGCTATTTTCCAATCGCTAAACAAAATAATACCCTGGCATACACTATGCTAACCGAAACCCCAAATTATAATTGCTCATCTTTTCCATATTGCATAGGCTTCAATCAAAGTCAATATCAAAACTATAGTATAGTCTTCAGTGACACCGATGTTCTACCCGAAGATTTTATTTTGCCAAATTGCACCACCTCCGAGTTCTCCTTCACCAGACCAAACGGGTTCAATTGGTGTTTTAATATAACTCGTGTTGAGCTAACTCACAAAGAAGCTGAAATACAGTGCAAGTCCCAAAATGCTTCTTTGAATGGTTTTCAGACTATTCAAGAGCAAGAGTATTTTCAAAGTGTTTTCAATACGGAAAATGGGTTAGTGAGTTTGGGAGCTAGAAGAGATTGTACTGATGGATGTCAAAATGCGGATAGAACTTTCAAAGATGTAAGTGTGCTCCATTGCCACGTCATGACTAAATAATCAATAATTTCAGATGGTCTGGACTTCTAGTATCATCTCAACTAATCAAACTTTGGCCAACAATATAAACAGTGTTGATGTTGACGGATGTGGTGATAATTTAGGTTTGAGCTATTCCAATGGCGAAAATACATATTATGATCTTACGTAAGTTACAAGGGGGAATCCTAGTAAAATATTGATTTTTTCAGAGACGGCAAAACTGCGTCCTATAGTTGTGGATGGTATGCTGTGTAATTTGAAAAAATATTGTTTTTTTTTAAATAAATGATGTTAATTAATTTTTTGAAAGTTTTGGCGAAATTTCAGAGATAGAAACAATTATTAAAGAACGTTAAAAGAAAGATTTTGTTAGTTAAGGGCTTCTGAAAATCCCTAGAAGTGTTTTAAGGATATTTGAAAAAGCTTTTATAGATTTTTCAGATTCTATAAGGCCCCAGGAGGTGAAAATAGGCCTGAGAAAGTCCTCGAAAGGCCCTATGAAACATTGAAGAGTCCTAAACAATCCTAGAAGGTTCAAAATTCTCCTACAAGTTTTTAAAAACGACTTTTAAGGTCGTAAACCTCCTAGAAGTTCCTTAAGGACTTTGAAAGCCCTAAAGAGTATTAGAAGATCTTTAAAAGCCTTCATACATCATTTGTTTTGTTCCTACAAAATTATGATGTTTTTCCGCAGTTGCAAAAAACCAAAATTCGGGTATCTAGGCAATTTTTCAGCGGAAAAAAACATATAATAGTCATTTTAAAAAGCACATTCATTAATCTATGAGCAAAATGAACATGTTGCTCGTTTTCCTTCTAATTTCCCAAGTTTTCTCAACACTTATCTATAAACGTGAAGTTCCTTTCGATTTCTTGGCCACTCGAACTCGTCCAGTCACACAATTCTATGAATTCAGTGGATTTTTCGGACCTACAATCCAAGCAGCCTATGATAAATATTGCGCAGGTCCAAAACTTCGCTGCTATTTTCCAATCGCTAAACAAAATGATATCCTGGTATACACTATGCTAACCGAAACCCCAAATTACAATTGCTCATCTTATCCATATTGCATAGGCTTCAATCAAAGTCAATATCTAAACTATAGTATAGTCTTCAGTGACACCGATGTTTTACCCGAAGATTTTATTTTGCCAAATTGCACCACCTCACAGTTCTCGTTTACGAGACCAAACGGGCTCAATTGGTGCTTTAATATAACTCGAGTTGAGCTAACTCACAAAAAAGCTGAAATACAGTGCAGTTCACAGAATGCTTCTTTGAATGGTTTTCAGACTATAGAAGAGCAGGAGTATTTTATAGAAAAATACGTGGAGGTCAATGTTGATCCGCAGAATTTGGTGCATTTGAATGCGGTGCGGATATGTTATGGTGAGACCCGGTGCAATGATACGGATGGGATTTTAAGAGAGGTAAGTGTAGATGGCTAGGCCCCGTCATAACCCAAAAAATCAATAACTTCAGCTCTCCTGGACCTCTGCCATCGTTTCAACAAATCAAACTTTGGCCAATAATCGTCCCAGTTATCTATTGGACGGAAGCGGGAATTACCTCCTGATGACTATTATTAATGGCGAATATTTGTATGATGATACCGGGTGAGTTAGGTTAAGTTTTGACGCGAGAAAACGATTTTTTTGCAGTGACAAAACAACTGGGTTTTATAGTTGTGGATGGTATGCGAAGTGATTTTTTGAACTCTTTTTTGGGGAAGTGGTGATGTCAATGAATTTTTTTTTGAAAAATTTTTTTTCGGGTTTCTAAGAGACATGGAATTGTAGTTTAGGAGATCGCGAACGATACAAATTTTGCAATGGAGCGCGCTTGCTTACGACCTTAAAAATCAATAAAATTATGTTTACCATAGAGCGCATTTGCTCAAAATCCCCCAGAAACCCAAAATACACCGTGAGCAGTATCAAAATAATCCGCAGAGCCTGAAAATGATCAAAATTCGTCATATATCACGTGTATGTGCTATTTTTAAACAATTTTTTTATTTGTATTTACACTAACTCTGTACTTTTGTTCTTTTATTTTGTCGAACAAAAAAGTTTTATTTTTCGCAATTATCTATATGAATCATAATAACAATATGTTTTATGACCTTCGATTTTTTGACCTACCACATTTATTTTTATTTACATTAACATGAGTCATCGTTATTTTCATAATAATTTCGAAAAAATCGGTTCCGCCTTCCCCCATTTTTTTGCCAAGTATAAATATTTGCTCTCTAAATATTTTTTTAAACAAAGTTAGTATAAATAGACCTAGCTACTTACTTTTTTCGCTAAGTTATCCTAACTCAACTCAAAAATGTTGAAAATTTTTGCAGTTTTCCTTTTGGCTACAATTCCCTTGGCTCACGCGTTATTCGGAGTTTTGGGCTCGAAGCAAAGTGTTACGGTGACTGGAAGGTTGATTTGTAATGGACAACCGGCTTCTGGAGTGCTGGTGAAGATGTATGAGGATGGAACTAGTGAGTTAGCTTAACTACCTTAAGGTATTAGGGAGGTTAGAGAAGCTTTTGAATTTTTAAATTCAAAAAAATCCACGTATGGCCTAAGTTTATGAGCCCAAGCCTAAAAGCCCCCTGAAAAAATCCTAATGTTTTCAGTCTATGATTCAAAACTCGACTCGGTCAAAACCGGCGCCGACGGAACATTCCGCATCTCCGGAACCCAAACAAAAATCCGCACAATCGACCCAAAAATCAACATCTATCACAAATGCAACTACAACGGGTTGTGCTCGAAAAAAGTGGCGATAAATGTGCCGAAATCGGCGGTGCAAAGTGGCTCGAGCTCATCGCAGAACTACGATATCGGAACGCTGAATTTGGCGAATCGATTCAGCGGTGAATCGGTGGATTGTATTCATTAAGAAAATTTGTGGACTTTTCCGTGTAAAAATGTCATTATTTGTACAATTTTTTAAGTGAATGTAAATAAAAATTCTTATTTTTTTGACCAAAAAAACATTTTTTTTCGGGCGAAAAAAAAAACAGTTATCCGATCGTTGAGGAACTTTCAATCAGATAAAAAAATTAGGCTTGTCCGGGAGAACTACACAACAAAATATATGAGGCCTTAGGTCCAGGCCCGGGCCTAAGCCCAGTCCCTTTATGACACGTGTGCCACAGCAACGCTACTCGGAGTCTTGTAGAATATCGACAATTTTTTCGACATCACATCCTGCACATTTTTATCGCAGAGCAAAAGGGTGTAGCACATAATGAAGCTCATCTGCAAAAAAAGTTTTTTGCTGTAAACTTTTTTCCCACGTGGCAGAGAGCATAGAGTTTGGGAGAGTGCTAGACAGCTAGACAATGTAAGGGTGCTAGAGACGTAGAGAGGAATATCATTGCAACTAGACAACCAGAGATAGGTTAGGAAACTCAGGAAGATGGTAGATACGGAGAGGAAAGCCAGAGATCACAGAAATATGAGAGGGTGATAGACAACTAGAGAAGGCTAAAGACAGTATAGCAACTTGAGAGAGTGCTAGAGAGCTAGAGGAAAACCCACCATATCATAAACAGTCATAAGCATACCAATCTGCGTAACCCGATCAATGTCCTTGAAAAGAACTCCAATAGAAACCAACCAGCAAATAATAATAACATACATAAATGAATTAATCGTCACAATTAACGTAACTCTCTTCATCATATCTTCTCGTCATGTTTGTCGCCTCCACGTGGTTCGAGATGGAAACATATTATTGTCACGTGCATTTCGATCAATGCAATCAAGCTCTACAATATTATGGCCAAAGGACAACAAAAAAGCCCACAATCTTCGGCCGGAAAGATCGAATGAAGGTGCTGATTGGCCAAAACCGGGCTGGAAACCCGTGTTACCTGGATTTGGGCATCAATTTCCAAAAGACAGCTAAAATATAGAAAATTGGATGGATCTTACGCTGGCGATCAACCTCCGAAGGGCTCAAGGCATCCAGTCCGAGGAGGCGCCAGTTGCTGCCGGGGTGCCGCTGGAAACGGAATAACAGCCAAAACCTCCAAAAAATCGAGTCTGAAGTTAGGATCACACAACACCAGATCCTTGGCAAATGAATCGAAAAGAGAGGCTGAAAACAACTTGGCAAACTACTCTAGTTGTGATTTTATCGCACTGCAAGAAACTAGAATGAGCAAAGGATGTTCACTGATAACAGAAGATGGAAATGAATTTATATTCCTCGAAATGATCAACAAAAAAGTCGGAGGTCTCGGGTTCTGGATAAAGAAAAAATTCAGAAGATCAGTGGTAGAGGTTGTGAGCTGTTCGGATCGAGTAGCCATTCTGAAGCTAAAAATCGGTGAAACAAACCTTGCTTTATTCAATATGTACTCACCCACTAACAACGCCAAACAAACCGAAGTCGATAAATTCTACAAAATGGCGTCAAAAGCCTATAACAGCGTAGCAGATAACTGGGTTCGGATTGTATGTGGCGATTTCAATGGAGCAATTGGGAAAACATCTACCCAAGAGCACCCAACCGTTGGAAGATATGGCTTGAAAACCATCACAAGAAACGACAATGGTGAATCGCTTATTGATTTCGCGAACTCAAAAAGATTGGCGATACTAAACACGCATTTCAAAAAGAAGAGATCAGCATATTGGACCTGGAGAGGTCCAAACGAGAAGTCCAGATCGATGATTGATTATTTCATGATAAAAGAATCGAGACGATTTATGATCCGTGACATCAACACCTTCAACTCCAATTACAACCTATCCGACCATCGATTGTTGAGATTGACTATAAATGTAGCACATCGAGACATATCCAGAAAATTGAGACGACCACGAGAAAGAATGGATCGAGTTGTGAAACTAGATAAATTGGAATATTTAAGATCTCTCGATTCAAATCTCGATTCAAACTGCGCAAACTACAGTAACCTCATCAAAACTATGAAAGAATGTGCAAAACACACTTCAATTCCGACACCAAAAGAATCAAGGATTTCTCAAGAAACTCGTGAATTATTGGAGAAAAGATTCAGAATCTTGGCGTCAAATCAAGCAACCGCTCTTGAAAAACGAGAAATATGTAAGATCACTCGGGAATCCTATCAAAAAGATCTGGAAAACTGGAGATGTCGCAAAATTGAAGAAGCAGTGGCCAAAAGAACCAGCGTGAAAAAGATGAAGAAAAGAATCGAAGAGAAGTCGGAATTGTTTCAAAGATTGACTCTTCAAGATGGATCAAGAACTTCGAATCGATCAAAAATCCGTGAAGCTGTTAAAAACCACTTCAAAAAACAATTCGAACGCACCGGTCCAAAAACAACAAAAATCCAATCAACCACCAGAAATCCACTACCAATTTCTAACTCAGAAGTTATGAGAGCAATAAGCAGTTTGAAAGTAAACACGGCCAGAGGCCTGGATGGAATTGGCGCGGATATGATAAAATATGGAGGAGAATTGGTGGCAAAATGTCTGACTAATTCGTTCAACAAAATAATCGACGACGATGAAATACCAGATGATTGGAACAACATCAGATTGAAATTGATTGAGAAAAAGCCAAACCCAGAACATCTAAAAGACGTCAGGCCAATATCGATTTTATCGATTCCTGGTAAAATCTTCACAAAAGTTATGACTTCAAGATTAATGGGCAAATCAGAACAAACCTTGGATGAAAGTCAACACGGATTCAGACCACGACGATCATGCAGTGACAATTTGCAATCGATTTCAATCTTGTGGGAAAGAAGTCATGAGTACAAGCTTCCATTGATTCTGACGTTCATCGATTTCAAGGCGGCTTTCGACTCAGTTGATTGGAATTCGGTGCAAGAAAGTGTAATTGAAACTGGATTCTGGCCACAATATTTGGAGTGTATTAAAGGCGCAAATGAAGTCGGAATCGGAGAGTTAACAGTACTCGGAGAGAAGATGAAAATTGCGATGGAACGCGGAGTCCGTCAAGGCGACTCATCCTCACCAGCACTATTCTCAATCGCGTTGGATCATCTGTTGAGACAAGCTGACCCGATCCCGGAAAACGACCTTGATGGAAACTATGGGTGCAAAATCCACGGGCAGTATATCTCAAGACTTTTATTCGCAGACGATCTGGTGTTGATCGATACATCGAGCAAAGATGCCCAAAAACGCGCTGAAAACATCGCCAAGAAATGTGAAGAAGCTGGATTATTATTCAACACTTCAAAGTCAAAAGTGTTGCGAAATGAAGCAGCTGACAAGAGGTTCATTGTGGTCCGGGGAGAAAGACTGGAAGACGTTGATCAGATAAAATATTTGGGCCGCATTTTCATGAAAGACGGATCATTGGACTCCGAAATCGCAAATCGGAAAAGATCAGCGTGGGCTGCTTATCACGGAATAGCCGAAGCGTTGAGTGGAATTGGAATGACCAGAAAAAATCAACTGCTGAAACAAAGTGTTGTTGCAGCTGCAATTTATGGTGCAGAAACTTGGAACACAAAGGTCAAAGATGTCGAAATCATTCAAAGAACAATCAACCACATTTGGGTGCAAGCTGGAGCCGGTAATCCGCCAGATATGACAAATTTGATTATGAAAACAAAAATCAGATGGGCAGGCCACGTGGCGCGCATGTCTCCGACTAGATATTGCAAAATCATAACACTGTCGGACTTCCCAGATAAGTATCCAAGAAGGAAAGGCAGACCAAAAAAGCGCTGGGTGGACGACATCAAAGAAGCAGCAAAAGTCCACAATCACAACCAAAATTTATTGGGTCTCGGTGGGACAGAAGAAGAAGAAGGATCGGGATAATATCCAGCAAAATTCCCTGGTCACGAATGGCTCAAGATCGTTCACAATGGAGCTGTCTGGTTCACAGTTATGATCAATGATTATGGCTTGATATAATGGACCATCAAAGTATCAAAGTAAGTAATGAATTAATCGTCACAATTAACGTAACTCTCTTCATCATATCTCGAGTCCTTGGATCATTTGAAGAATGATGATGGGCGAATCGCTTGCGCAGTTTGTAAAGTGTTAAAAGGCCGAGAGTTGTGATAACTAGCAGATAAATCATACAACAATACCAGAGATATCTGCCGAAGTTATAGCGATAGTTTTGAAGGTAATACGGATCGGAGATATAGTATCCTACTGATTCATCGTAGGTTAGTGGGAAAAATGTGAAAGAAATCGGGAGAATTATAGCGATGGAGGAAAGAATCAGACCGAAGTACACTAGAATATACCTGGAACATATTCGGGTTAAAGGCGCATACCGTATATCTACTGAGTACACAATACAGTTGACCCTTATCGTACATTTAGTGTTTACTATCCTGTTCAGTTAAGGTATACGGTACGCTGGTGGCCTACTTAAGGTATACCGTACTGCTAAGAGTTACTATGCAATTAACGTGAAGTACAGTACAGATGCTTGAAGGCGCATACCGTACACCCAACTTGAGAAATATCGTACGGTTAAGGCTTAAGGCTATCCTAGGGTTAATTTTGAAATGTACAATACAGTTGAGCTATGTTAAGTTAAGGTACGTACTGTTAAGAGTCACTATGCAATTAACATAAAGTACAGTACAGATGCTTGAAGGCGCATACCGTACACCCAACTTGAGGAATATCGTTTTAGCTGTACGAACTTCCTACATCTAAACGGCGCATACCGTACCCACCATTTCGCCCAGAATCTACTAAAATTCCAGATTTTCAGCAACAAACTGTAGCGGTAGAAGCACAGTAGGACGATGCTAAGACTTTGTGATTGAAGAGCGAATGGCATTGTGTAGGAGGTGATGACTAGAATTTGGCGAGGAATATTTTGGAGGAGATTTCCGGTGGAAGGACGTTGAGCTAGGCGATGGATCCAGGAGTTGAAGTAGCAGAAGAGGTTCTAAGGGAAATTTGCGATTTTTAAAGACTAAACATGCTTAGGGGTACTGTAGGCCAGAAAATCCACGTTTTTTGACACCAAACATTTTTCTACAGTACCCAAAAAAAGCCCTTACCAGAACCAAATTGCATTGCGCAATTCGATAGAACGAATTATTGAATCGTTTATTCTTGCCGAAAATCACGATTAAAAATAACATGAGCAATACGGTTATCACACCGTAAAATAGCCAAATATGAAGAAGTAGGTCCATTTTTTAACGAGAAAAAGGTCAAGGGATCGATTCCCACTGCCTGCGGAAGTTTTTTTTCCAACTAAACTTTTTTTTCAAGTGAAAAAAGTACAGCCAGAGAAGATTAGAGGGGGCAAAAAACATTTTCTCAGCAAAAAAAAGTATAATTATAGGTATATTGCTCATGTTATTTTATCGGTGCTGATTTATGAAGAATTCAACATTTTTGAGTGCAGAATTTTTGCCACGTGGAATCAGCTAAAATTCCCGTTTTGCCTCGCGCAAAAACAATAAATCCACATGTTTCTGAAGGAGATATGTATCAAGTTTTCACTGCGCGCGCAACAAAAAAAAAACAAATTTCCTCAAGATAAAAATCTAGACCTCTCTCTTTCATTTTCATTTTCCTCCCACCCAACATGTCGTGGAAACGACAAGTTCCTCGAAAATGGCCAATAGCATTGCTCATATTAGCTCTAATCATTCTAATTTGTTGGGGGAATCTGGGAGGCGAGAGCCCAGCCCCTTTTGAGCCCAAATCTTCGGGCCAGGAGACAGTGCAAGAGCAAGAAGATGTGGTAGAGGTGCAAGAGGAGCCTGAGATGTTCGTAGAGTCTCCAGGGGATCTGGATTTCGTCTCAAAGATGATTGATTTATCCTATCTCGCCGATACCTCTCCATATTCCTATGAAACGCTGCCGATCTGCACTGATCTCACGCAAGATTTCGCCGCAAATCCGCCGACGTCGAAATTCGATTTTGCGATGGTTTTGAACGAATATCAGCAGTGCTCTTTCATTATTCTGATGCGGTTTTGGCGCGAAGTCGAGGCACTTTTGCTGAGTTATCCGAGTGTGATGTATGTTTGTGATCAGGAGCCGAATATTCGACGGGTGCCGTTGAAAATGTTCAGGGGGAATTATGGGGGAAGGCAGGAGGGGATGACGTTTTGGGCGGCGATGCCAAGTTGTGTGAGTTTGGGGGAGAGAGGGGGGGGGTAGAGAAGCTAGAGAGCATGAGGAAATCAGAGACGCAGAGGGACATACACTCGCTTACGGAAGCTAGAGAGCATAGAAAAGTTAGAGACGGAGATAAGGTAGACAGCTAGGGAACACGTGGAAGTTAGAGACGCAGATGGAAACACACTCGCGCTACCGCGCTCGAGCCGCTACTGGAAGCTAGACAAGTAGAGAGCATGAGTAAGTCAGAGACGCAGATGGAAACACACTCGCGCTACCGCGCTCGAGCCGCTTGCGCGGAAGATTCCAGAAGCTAGACAGCTAGATAAGTTAGAGACGCAGAGATGCTAGACAGCTAGGGTTAGAGACACAGAGGAACATACACTCGCTCCACTCGAGCCGCTTGCGCGGAAGATTCTGGAAGCTAGACAGCTAGAGAGCATAGAGATTTTAGAGACGGAGAGAAGGTAGACAGCTAGAGAGCATGAGATTGTCATCAGAGACCGAGAGCGACATCCACTCGCGCTACCGCGCTCGAGCCGCTTCGCTGAAGATTCCGGAAACTAGAGAGAAGACAGAGACGCAGAGAAGCTAGACAGCTAGGGTTAGAGACGCAGAGGGACATACACTCGCTTCGCTCGAGCCGCTTGCGCGGAAGATTCTGGAAGCTAGAGAGCATAGACGCAGAGAGGCTAGACAGATAGAGATCATGACGAAGTTAGAGAGTATAGAGTAGTTATAGACGCAGAGGGAAATACACTCGCTGCTCTCGAGCCGCTTACGCGGAAGATTCCGAAAGCTAGACAGCTAGAGAGGATGACATTGTCAGAGACGCAGAGGCTAGAGAGCATGGAGAAGTCAGAGACGCCTAGAAGCTAGACAGCTAGGGAGCATAAAATTGTCAGAGACGCAGAGGGATTTCTGGTAGATCAAATTTTTTCGAACCAAATTTGTTTCCAGCAAAACACCACAAATCTTCTGGTGAAACTTGGCGATCCAACAAACGCCGACACATTTTTGGCGCCAAAAATTGCGAATTTAAAAATCGAGGAAAATCGCGGCACGGATTCGGCAGATTATGAGAAATATTTCGAAAGTTTAAAGGGGGGACAGGAGGAGTTGGTGAGTTTTGAGCTCAAAATTCGTCAAAAATGCTCATTTTTCACCCAGATAATCGATATGTTGTGGATTTCGGCTAACTCTCAATTCCCCATCGACGAATATTTCAACAACGACCAAATTTTCGACAAAATGCACATCACAGTGTGTCAAATCAACTTGGAAGTTGGCGGAAATTCGCCGGAATTAGCCAAAAAATTCCACGATTTGCTCATAAAATTGTACAATCAGAAGAAGTATATTTCAATGCGTGCGGGCATCGAAAAAATCAATAATTCTACCACAAGCTTCTTCCTGAATGTCAGCGATAAGAGATGTGTTAATAAGTTTTTGAGATAATGATGATGATTTTCATGGAAAATAAATTTTATTCGGGTTTTGATACCAAACATAAGTATAACATGAGCAATACCTATAATTAATATTTTTGAAAAGGTTTTCCACAGCTCTCTAAATTACAATTTTCTTTCTCAAAATCTGAAAAATTTCCGCAGGCAGCAGGAATCGATCCCTTGACCTTTTCCTCGTTAAAAAATGGATCTAAAACTTCATATTTGGCTATGAAGTTTTTGGGGGGGGGAGGGGGCAGAGAAGCTAGAGAGCATGAGGAAGTCAGAGACGCAGAGGGACATACACTCGCTTCGCTCGAGCCGCTTACGCGGAAGATTCCGGAAGCTAGAGATCATAGAGAAGTCGGAGACGCAGAGAAGCTAGACAGCTAGGGTTAGAGAGGAAGAGGGACATACACTCGCTTCGCTCGAACCGCTTGCGCGGAAGATTCCGGAAGCTAGAGAGCATAGAGATGTTAGAGACGGAGAGAAGGTAGACAGCTAGAATACACGTGGAAGTTAGAGACGCAGAGGGAAATACATTCGCTTCGCTCGAGCCGCTTGCGCGGAAGCTTCTGGAAGCTAGAGAGCATGGAGAAGTCAGAGACGGAGATAAGGTAGACAGCTAGGGAACACGTGGAAGTTAGAGACGCAGATGGAAACACACTCGGGCTACCGCGCTCGAGCCGCTTCGCTGAAGATTCCGGAAACTAGAGGTCATAGAGAAGACAGAGAAACAAAGGGACATGAACTTTATCTACAGAAAATGCGTCAGTGTATGAAGCTGACGCATTTCTGGTAGATCAAATTTTTTCGAACCAAATTTGTTTCCAGCAAAACACCACAAATCTCCTGGTGAAACTTGGCGATCCAACAAATGCCGACACATTTTTGGCGCCAAAAATTCCGAATTTAAAAATCGAGGAACATCGCGGCACGGATTCGGCGGATTATGAGAAATATTTCGAGAATTTGAAACAAGGACAGGAGGAGTTGGTGAGTTTTGAGCTCAAAATTCGTCAAAAATGCTCATTTTTTCACCCAGATAATCGATATGTTGTGGATTTCGGCTAACTCTCAATTCCCCATCGACGAATATTTCAACAACGACCAAATTTTCGACAAAATGCACATCACAGTGTGTCAAATCAACTTGGAAGTTGGCGGAAATTCGCCAGAATTGGCCAAAAAATTCCACGATATGCTCATCAAATTGTACAATCAGAAAAAGTATATTTCAATGCGTGCGGGCATCGAGAAAATCAATAATTCTACCACAAGCTTCTTCCTGAATGTCAGCGATAAGAGATGTGTTAATAAGTTTTTGAGATAATGATGATTTTTTTCATGTAAAATAAATTTTATTCGGGTTTTGATACCAAACATAAGTATAACATGAGCAATACCTATAATTAATATTTTTGAAAAGGTTTTCCACAGCTCTCTAAATTACAATTTTCTTTCTCAAAAACTGAAAAACTTCCGCAGGCAGCGGGAATCGATCCCTCGACATTTTTCTTGCTAACTCTTTAGAAAATGGATTTAAAACTTCATATTTGGCTACTTTATGGTATATTTTCCGTATTGCTCATGTTATTTCTCATAGTGATTTTCGGCAAAAATAAACGATTCAGTAATTCGTTTTATCGTATTGTTCAATGCGATTTGGTTCTGGTAAGTGCTTTTGGGTTACTCTAAGATCTCTACAGTACCCATAAGCATGTTTAGTGTCAAAAAATCGCAAATTTCCCTCAGAACCTCTGCGTCTACACGAATTCCTGGGTCCATCGCCTAGCTCAACGTCCTTCCACCGGATATCTCCTCCAAAATATTCCTCGCCAAATTCTAGTCATCACCTCCTACACAATGCCATTCTTCTCTCACCTTCAAACTGTCAGTATAACCCTACTGTGTTTCTACCGCTACAGTTTGCTGCTGGAATTCATGAATTTCAACAAGTTCTGGGCAAAATGGTAAGGTGCTTTTTATCTGATTTTTCCATATAGAGTTAATGCACAATAAATCCTAACCGAACTTTTTTAAACGTAAAAAACCATGTTTAGCGATAAGCCTACGACAGACTTTAAAGTATTACTTATCACACCCCGGTACCTTTATCGTATAGTTAACTTTAGGCGAAATATCAACCGTACAAGCTTAACCGTATTTTACATATCGAGGTTAACTCTAAACAGCTTAACCGTACAAGCCCTCACACTAATAAGGTTATTCAGGTACTGTAAACCCTAATTTTTTACCAGGTATCTATTAGTATACCTCGGCCTCATCACCTACACCATCGCAATGATCCTCCCAATCTCATTCACATTTTTCCCGCTGGTCTACAATTCAACAGATGGTTGTTTCGTCATACATCCCGATTACTACGGCACAAATCACTATGTATTCGGTGCAACTGTGTGGATTGTCTCAAATGTTCATCTAATAATCATCACAACTCTCGGAGTTTTAACTGTTTCTAAGCTGCGCAAACGATTTTCCCAACATCAGAATGATACGATAAGGACTCGAGATATGATGAAAAGAGTTACGTTAATTGTGGCGATTAATTCGGCTATCTATATTATAATCATTTTTTGGTTGCTTGTGGTTGGCGTCATTTTTCCGGATATGAATCAGGTTACACAGTTTGAAATACTCGTGACAGTTTCGGATATGGTGAGTTAGCCTAAATCGACCCTTCCAACAAAAAGAAAATGAATTTTTTCTTCAGATCTCCTTCAGTATGCCCTACACTCTTCTATTTTTCGATAAAAACATCCAGGAAATGATGTCAGAAAAAATTCCAAGCTTCTCAAGGAACCCAAGTAGCATTGCTGTTGCACCAATGACATGAGATCGGCCTGAAATAAGGCCTAGCCTGATGATTTTCTGATTTTCTAGTAACTGAGCAATACCTATAATTATTTATTGTTTTCAAAAGGTTTTCCACCGCTCCAATCTTCTGCCTACATACAATTTTGTTTTCAGAAAAATTTTCATTTCTGACTTATGGACATATTGATTCATATTTGGCTACTTTATGGTATATTTTCGGTATTGCTCATGTTATTTCTCATAATGATTTTCGGCAAAAATAAACGATTTAGTAATTCGTTTTATCGAATCGTCCAATGTGATTTGGTTGTGGTAAGGGCCAAATCCACGTGTTTGGTGTCAAAAAACGTGGTTTTTTCCTTCAGAACCTCTGCGTCTACACCAATTCCTGGGTCCATCGCCTGGCTCAACGTCCTTCCACCGGATATCTCCTCCAAAATATTCCACCCCAAATCTTAGTCATCACATCCTACACAATGCCATTCTTCTCTCAACTTCAAACTGTTAGCCTTATTCTACTTTGTTTCTATCGCTACAGTTTGTTTCTGGAATTTATGAATTTTAATACTTTTTGGGCGAAATGGTAAGGATAAGTAATTTTAACCTAACTTAAAGTATCACATGCCGGTATGCTCCTAACGAACGTTAAACCCTAGTCTTAACCGATAAGCCTATTTTTACGGTGAAAATCCGTGAGCTTAAAAATTACCTAGTATCCCAGTAGTGTAAAAGTGTGTTAAGTGATCACTAGGTTTACGATATGCGCCTATAACCGGTGTACCTTTATCGTATAGTCAAGCCGTACAACCTTAAAGGAATCTTGTTGAACCTTAACCGTACTGTAAACGTGAAAATTTTCCAGGTATCTATTAGTATACATCTGCCTAATCACCTACTCCTTAGCTACAATCCTCTCAATCTCATTCACATTCTTCCCGCTGGTCTACGATTCAACAGCCGGCTATTTTGTAGCTCACCCTGAATACGTGGGTGCCAATCGCTACACATTTGGTAAATTTGTCTTTTTTGGCACAAATTTTCATCTGATACTTATCACAACTCTGGGAATTCTAACAGTTTACAAGTTGCGCAAGCGGTTTTCGCATCAAAATGATTCGACAAGAACTAAAGATATGATGAAGAGAGTTACGCTAATTGTGGCGATTAATTCATTGATTTTTCTGATTATTCTTTTCTGGTTGCTTTGTGTGGGGATATTTTTTCCGAATATTGATCGGGTTTCGCAGATTAATTTGCTAATGACTGTTTCGGATATGGTGAGTTAGCCGAAGTGATTCGAAGAAAAAAAATCACGATAAATTCTTTGCAGGTCTCCTTCAGTATGCCCTACACTCTTCTACTTCTCGACAAAAATATCCAGGAAATGATTTCACAAAAAAATCCGATATTTTCGAGGAATCCGAGTAGCATTGCTGTTGCACCAATGACGTGACTACTGTAATTTTTGGCGCCAAAAATTTCCACGTTTTTTGACATCAAGCATGAAAAATTGCTCCAAAAACAGATTTTTGTCCAAAACAAACCACCTAGGCTTGTTTGGTGTCAAAAAGCGTGAAATTTTGGGGCAAAACCGAAAAATTGAATAAAAAATTTGAAAATTCGTATTTCGCGCTAAAATTACTCCAAAGTACTGTACATCAAAACGCCGTGCCAAATTCCACACAATTTTCCCGCCAGATAAACAACAGATGCTCTTTTCGTCAGAAAAAGTTCCCCAATTTATCAAATTTTACACAAAAACAACTGTTTTTCCAATAAAAAATGCGAAAAAACAACAAAAATCCAATCATTTTTCAGAAAACGATGTGATTTTTCTCGATTTTTTCATGATTTTCAGCATTTTCAGACCCAAAAAAATGCGATCTCTTCAAATTTTCGCAATTTTTGTTCTCATCGGGTCATTGCACGCTCTTTTGGGAGCCGTCGGCTCAAAACAAACTGTGACTGTTGTCGGAAAATTGGTGTGTAATGGAGCGCCGGTGAAAGATGTTACTGTGAAGTTGTACGAGGATGGAACTAGTAGGTTTTTTCTGGGCGGTACTGTAGTCATTTTGGCTCAGAAATCTACAGTATACCCTGCGTACCGTATATATTTCTTGCAGTCTACGACTCCAAACTTGATTCTGCCAAAACCGGACCAGACGGAACTTTCAAAGTTCACGGATCGCAAAGAAAAATCCGAAAAATCGACCCGAAAATCAACATCTACCATAGATGCAATCATGTTGGAGTGAGTAAAAAAAAATAAAAAAGTGTGCGGGTACCGGGAACCGAACCCAGGACCTCTGCAACAAAAAGCAGCGCGCTAACCGCCTGCGCTAAACGTGAAAGTGCGCGGTGTTTCGTCATTTTTGGCTCAAAAACCCGCGAATTTTACAGGTTTGCCCGAAAAAAGTCACAATTCACGTGCCAAAAAATGCGATTGCCAAGGGCAAAGACGGCGGTCAACAATTCGACATCGGCATGTTGAATTTGGCCAACCGATATCCGGGAGAGGGAACCGATTGTATTCATTAATCAATAATTTTTGGCCCGCGAAAATAAAGATTTTTCTCAAATTTTCCGTGAAATTTCACATCTCACAATCCATGTGGCAAAAAATCCACAACTTTTTGATTGTTTGATCTCGGCCATGTGTTGTGTTCGTGGTTTTTGACCTTAGCACGGTGTGTACGCACGTAATCTTTCTCTGTCCGCTCTCTCATTTTCACACACTCTCTCGCCACTTTATTTTGATGATGATGGTGATGACAATTAAAATAGGCTCCGCCCCATTTTTGTTTTTAAGGTCATCACACACATAAATAGAGTATATTTTTGGTTTTGCAGGGGGGTTCAGGCCCATTTGGGGGCTATTTTAGGACTGTTTTGTTCTTAGGCCTGATTTAGGCTCGTTAAGCTGTATTTTAGGCTCTTTCAGACCTTTTCTCTAGGCTCAGGCTCATCTCAGGCCTCGTATTTTCAGGCCCTCCCCCCAAAAAATGAATCGCTCCGAGGTCCGTCAACTTTGCATGACGTCATTGGCTCAAAAAATGGTTGGCACTGGGCCAGAAAATCTTCAAGCCGGCAGGGGATTTTATGAATAGTGAGTAGGCCTAAATCAGGCTTTTCGGGCCTGAAAAGCCTGAAAATATCGATTTTTGCAGCTTCTTCACCAATTTTCCCGATCTACGTGTGTATTTTAAAGGCGCAGAGAAATATACGGCTGAGGATGTGAGAAAAAGTGAAAGGTACGGTTTTCGGGCTCAAAATGCTCCAAATTTCATGAAAATTCTGAAATTTTCAGAATCCACGTGGAATTTGGGCTCAAAATGCTCCAAATTTCATGAAAATTCCAGATTCGAAAAACAAGGTCAACGCATTTTGCTGGCCTGTCATCTTTTGGCAAATATTTTTGAGAATCCCGAAGTTTTCAAGGCCTACGTTCGAGAAACAATCAATCGACATCGAATTTACAAAATGGATCCGGCACTTTGGAGCGCTTTTTTCCAGGTTTGTCTGGATTTTTTTGAATTTTCGGTGAAATTTGGGGCATTTTGATAGTAAATATGACGAAATTCGGGAATTTTTCAATTTTTGGAGCATTTTGAGCACAAATTTGCTCATTTTCAGCTGAAAATCCTAAAATATTCATCATATTTCATATCAAAATTCGCCGAATTTCGCGCCAAAATCTACCGTAACCTTCAAAATTCCCTAATTTCCAGGTTTGGACCGGATATTTGGCTGAAAATGGCTCGCTGAAATCGGAAGAAAAAGAGGCTTGGTTGGAGCTGGGAAAGGAGTTCAACGAGGAAGCACAGAAGCATTTGAAAAATTCCAATTTACCACATGTTTGAGCGAATTTTTGAATAAAAATTTGAATTTTCTTCAGATTTTTCACAATTTTTGGAGCATTTTGAGCCCAAACTCGACATTTTCCATCAAAATCCTCGATTTTTCCGTAATTTCCAGGTTAATTTCAAAATTACTCACATTTTCCATCGATTTTTCCATCAAATCCTCGCTTTTTCCTCAGAAATCCAACTTGAAATGCAAAATTCCTCGAAAATCCAATTTTCTCCCTGAAAAAATCGATTTTTTCCCCAGAAAACCTTGAAAAATCACAAACCTTAAGCTTTTCTTCAATTTTCAAATCCAAAATTCTCGAAAATTTCCAGGTTTCCCCAAGGAAAACCCAGAAAAAAACAGGCGGCGCGCGAAAAAAAAGAAAATACGAGCGCGTCGAATAAAATGCCACGGTCCGCAATACTGTCGGTGTTTGCACACTTTTCACGCCGGCTACAGTAACCCAATCGATTTTTCCAAGTTTTTCATGGTTTTTCCAGTTTTTCAGCGTAAATTTTTTGCCACGTGGCAATTTTTCGTTGTTTTTTGAAGTAAATCCCTATTTTTCCCCTCAAAAATACTTTTTTTATTTCAGAAAAAAGTGAAAATTGTATTTTTGCCCCCTTATAATTTTTTTTTGTATTTTCAATTTTTGAGCACAGAATTTGAGTGTTTTTTGCTCGGAAAAAGCACAAATTTCATCATAGTTTTCTATGAATCATAGAAAATTATGAAATTTTTTGGGAACTTTTCAATTTTTTTTGTTAAAAAAATCCCCAAAAAATGTATTTTCGATGTTTTTCATTGGAAAATAAATCCTCTGGACTTAGCCTAAATTCGAAAATCCCGGATGAATACGCCACAACAATTAATCTGAAAATTTGAGGAATTTGGGATTTTCAGAGCACTATACGAAATTAATTTTAGAGAATTGGCAAAATGCATGTTTGATCTCAAAAATAAGGAAGTTTTCTGCCACGTGGCGGAAAATCCGCTGAAAACCACGGATTTTCAGACAAAAAAAAAGGAATCTCGATTGGGTTACTGTAGCTCGCTGGAAAAGTGTGCAAACACCGATAGTATTGCGGACCTTGGCATTTTATTTGACGCGCACGTATTTTCTTTTTTTTTTTCACGCGCCGCCTGTTTTTTTTCCTGGTTTTCTTTGGGGAAAGCTTGGAAAATTCGAGTTTTTTGAATTTGAAGTTTGAGAAAAAGCTCAAGGTTTGTGAAATTCTAAGGTTTTCATGGGAAAATTCGATTTTTTCAGGAAGAAAATGTGATTTTTGCATTTCAAGATGAATTTCTGAGCCAAAAGCTGGGTTTTGATGGAAAAATCGATGTGGAGTGACCAAATATGAAAATCGATCTGGAAATTTGAGGAAAATGTTGTTTTGGACGAAAATTCAAAGAATTTGACTGGAAATCGATAAATTTGCTATTTGAAGTCGGATTTTTTGGAGCCAAAAGCAAGTTTTTGATGAAAATTTGGAATTGGGACAAAAATTCGATGCCACGTGGCGAAAAAACCTGAAAATTTGCGTTTTGAAGCTCTTGGACCATGAAATATTGTGAAAATTTGAATTTTTTCTCAAAAATCCCATTAAAATTCTCAAATTTCTTCTAAATCCCTCATTTTTCTTTTGCACTACTTATAAAAAGCGTAAAATTGTGGAGATTTCGTAACTCTTATGAAATTTGTGTTGATCAAACTACACACACATCTTCTTTACATACATATAATTTTTCACGTTCAGTTCGCTCAAGTGAAACTGGAAAACTTTACGTCGCAGGTGTGTTTATGAAAATAAATCAAAAAATTCCTAATCCGAGAAAATATACATATATCTAATAAAAACTTCGATGAATATTCATTTGTCTACAAAAAGCTGTTTGGTACAAATATTGCCGTTGGTTGAAATCAACCGTGTTTATTGAGAATATCATTTGCTAAATTGATGAAGTATGGTTTAACTAATTCGTGTCCCGGTTTTGTTAAATGAATTGAATTATCAAAATAGGATAACATTGTGTTTCCGTCAAATAATAAATATTTTTCGTCGCTCGCAAACATTGGTGACAAATCGATTATCTGAAGAAAATGTTGAATTCATTATAGACAGTATTGTGCCTGATATTGATTACCTGACAAGATTTGCATTTTATATTGCTCAATCGTTTTCGGATATAATTCATTTCAACATCTGCATCATATCTTTTCAAATGTAAACTTTCCAAATGTTCTGGTTTATGAAGAAGATCACGAATAAAAGCATTCATCGAATTTGGAGGATATAACGGAAATGCTCCTAATATAAAAATACGTTTTGTGTATTTCTCTAAAATTTCGATATTTTTATTGAATTCTTGAATCCATCTGTCATTTTCGAGAAAATAAATTGGTTTTTTGACAGATTCAGAAAATCTGCACATAATCATCAGAATATCGGGTTTTTCTTCGGCGATTAATTTGTGAGTAATTGATAAAGCTACATCTGAAGTCGGAATATCACTATATATTCCAAAACTTGCTGAAAATCAGTAACATTATAATTGAGTTTCAAACATTTTAACAAGGGAATCTCTTTTACTCAACACTTCAAATCTTGATGGGATTTCATCCTAAGATTGCTTTTGTGGTCATAAGAACACCCTCAAAATGTTAGTTACCTAATGGACCTCTGAGTTAAAGGGGGGGTAAGACGACAAAATTTTATTTGCTCAACGAATCGGGCTCCCTTTGAATAGTAAAAGCCCCAGGGGATTTTTTCTCGAAAGGCCTAAAAAGGTCCGAAAAAAATATTCCATGAACTTTTTTCAACGTATAGCTATACGTTGTCCAAAAGTTTATGGAATAAATTCAACGTATAGCTATACGTGGTACCTAGTTTATGGAACATTTTTTCTGGACGTTTCCAGAAAAAATCCCTTGGAGGTTTTACTTCTTTTGGGGAGTCTTTAACTTTGCGACAAAAAAATTTTGTCGTCTTACCCCCCCTTTAAGTTCTGGGCTCTCAAAAATTCAAAAAAGGGCTAAAATGGTTCATAAAAGACATCATAGCATGGAAGGATTTCAAAAACATTTTTGTGAGGAATAAATTTTCAGATATTATTCAGCATAGTCGATTAACTTAAAGTACTTCAATAAAAAATATTTTTTCGAAAAATTGTGAAGTTTTTTTTTATTTTTCGGCTGAAAATTCATGAAAATTTTTTTTTTCTCATTCATTTTTTCAGAATAAAATTTTTCGGAAAAATTAATTTAGCGATACTTTTTGGGTAAGTCGACTAGGCTGATTATCACCTGCTACTCAGTTTTCATAAAAATCATCGAGAGTGGAGTAATGATGTGTTTTATGAGCCAATTTTTGAATTTCTGAGAGCCCAAAACTTGGCTCAGAGGTCTAATTTCCCAAAAGCTGTCCATGGACAAAATTTCATCAAGATTTGTAGTGTTGAGTGAAAAAGGTTCCCTTGTAAGCGTACTATGAAAGGAGGCATATTGAAAAACAGAATATGTTCCAACTTCATCGATAGTGTCTTTGATTGTATTCACTAAATTTGCAGCATAACTATTTCCAACAACCATTATATTTTTTGTTCCATTTCCAAAATATTTACAGGGTGGTCCAAAATTACCCGCACAAACGCAATTCCAGTTCCAGCATTCCATATTCAATATAAAATGCACCAAACCTGGATCCGTGCTATCAATTAGTCAGTTTTACTGATTTCTAACTAGTTGCCAAAGTCTCATAAAGAATTTTCATTTTTGAGCCGAGTTAGAGGGGTTATCCGGAACAGCATAAAACGAAAAAAAAAAAGATTTTTTACACGCTCTATTTTTTTCGAGTGATTTTCATACTTCGCGTGATAAATTTGAAACAATTTCTGAACTTTAGAATCATAGCAGAATTTTTTGATGTTTTTTGGGTATTAAAAAACAAATTCAGCGAGATTAGACCGTCTGTAAAAATTATTGAGATCATTTCTGGTCTTGTTATGAAAATTGACCGTTTTTTGATAGGAATTTTATAAAACGAGGTCAAAATCGAAAATATTGTTAGGTGTGGGAAATGTGAGATCCGTATAGCCAAACCAAGCCTACTAGTGACAATTGACATCGAAAATACCATGGATTCATCTTACACTACGATGGTTAACATGATAAATGATAAAAATTGAGTTTTTGAGTTGAAAAATCCGTTTTGAGGAGTTCACTCTACTGCTCCTTATTCTTGTTCTAAAATTTTTGTGAATCATTTCCGTCAAGGATCAAGCATGCCTAGGGGTTATCTTGAAAATCTGAACCGGTAACATATAATTTGAAACTCCCTATGGGTATAGAAAGCTCGATTAACTCAGAAAAAGCAGCGTGTCTGATGCGAAGTTCTGAAGTTCATTCCCGATATTCCAGTCACCCTAAGACCGACTTATATCACAATATTCTATGTTAAAATGATGAACACAATATCTGGGAATAATTTTTGAGACCAGAAATCATATCTATGTTTACTCTGTGGAAAATATTTAACATTATATTTGTGCGGGTAATTTTGGACCACCCTGTACAATATCCAAAAATATAATCGAGTTCATGAGAATCCTCGAAATCAGAAACATCACATTTTTGTGATGGTTTCCATGATTCATCGAGATTAACAAGATTTGTGCTTATAACTTCTTGCAATTCTTCTGGATATCCATGCTTCCAGAATTCGTGACTTTTTACACTTTTGTAAAGATATCCATTTGCCATAACCAATAAACCAAGAAAACTCAAAAGAAATAGTTTTGATTTAATTCTCGCCATGTATGTTTTCTCGAAACCATAATGCAACAGTGAGGATATAATTATCATCAAAAATATTGTAGAAATGAAATATTTTGGAGTAGAAGGTCCAATTATTATAATTATTGGCCAATGAATAAGATAGATTATATAGGATAAATCACCAATATGCGATAATAAGCGATTATTGAGAATCTGAATGAAAATTTAATCACGCGAGCTTTGAAAAAAACTCACAATGTTGTCATTTGGATCGTCGAATGTTAGTAATATTCCAGTGCACACTGTGAGTAGTATTCTTAACACGGTAACATCAATTTTTGTTGGCAGAAACATCAAAAATAGACAAGTCAATAGAATATTTTTGAAACTTGCAGAATCGATTGGAAAATTCAATTTCGTTTTTTTCAGAGTGTTATTATTATCATACATATCAATAAAGCTAACTCGGATGTAGAAAAATGCAATGAATCCCATTGAAAATTGCCATAATCGAAGTGGCATAAAATTGAAAGCAAATTGTGAGTTGATAAAATGAAAAAGGATCATAGTAATGCAAGTCATGATTATAGATGCAATGAACTTCAAAAAATCAGATTTGAGAATCGCGAATCCCATAAAAATGAAAGGTACAATAAGATAGAATTGCATTTCAACACCCAAACTCCAACAATGAATAAATGCATTCAAAGAAGATCCATCAGCTTGAAATTCAAGAAAATAATCACCTCTGTCATGAATAATTAATTGATTTGTAACCAGAAATAACGATGATAAATGATATCGATGATTATTATTCCACCAAACTTCAATCAAAAAAATATGAACAGCTATCGCTGTCAGAAATAAAATGAGGTAATACAGTGGCAAGATCCTTCGAGCTCTTCGATAATAGAAATCGAGAATATTAATTGGTTTTGCACTTGACATCAAAAATCCGGAGAGAACAAAAAAACTGAAAAAAGATTTGAGAATTATAATTTTATTAATATAGGAGAGACCACAAATTGAAAATCTTGTTTTTTGGCATTTTGTAAGATAATAAAACAAAAAATAAACAATTCAAAAAATATGCTCCTTTTATATATCGATCGATGAACTTGTATAAAAAAGGACCAAGCATAGGATTGAATAAAATTTTTACTGATAATAATAAATATATACTTATATATCACTTTTAATGAACATTAGTGGTACGAAATTTGATTTCTGCGGGAAACACGACGAATCAATCGGATGAAAAATCTTGAATCAATTTTTAAGATTTATTTAATGAAGTACTTTATTTTTGTTTTTTATGCTTATCATTTTTATGATGTTTCAATTTTTCTATATCCATGAAGTTTGGCTACTTCTGTTACCCATGGAATACACAAGTTTATTCATTTTTTTAAAGCCTCATCCAGAATTCTTGAAACTGGAAATTCCAAATACTACATAAAATCGCATCCAGATTAAGGATTGCTTTTTGAATTAAAAAAATATAACATTCTAAAAAATTCAAATTCAATGAATATTATAAGCACACTTTTTGAAATAAACTTTAACAACAATAATTCCTAAAAATCGGGGTCGAATGATGGTCACTAAAAATTAAAAAAAAAAACAAAAATTGAAGATTTCTGGAGAATGATTTTCGGAAGAACTGGAGGATTGTTGGAAGAGCAGCAAGTGTTGGAAGTGTTGAAAGAAAAACTGAAAAAAAAAAGAAATGAAGCAATTTTTGACTTGGAAAATAAAATGCCAAATTTTGCAATTTGTCAAATTTGTCCTATTTTTTTTTTGAATTTGAAAAATCATTTTTTCTTTAAACTAACCTCCAACAAAACACCAAAATCATGCAAAATAACCCCAACATCATCTAATTTGCTTTCAAACATTTCAAAAGTTCTTCTTGAAGTGCTGATTTTTGGGGGATAATTGCAACTGATGATGATGTGATGATGGTTCATTTGGAAGATTGGAAAGAAGATGGGGCGATTGTTGGAAGAGAGACCGATGGAATTGAAGTCGAACAAACAAGAAACTGAAAAAAAAAAAGAAATGAAGCAATTTTTGACTTGGAAAATAAAATGCCAAATTTTGCAATTTGTCAAATTTGTCCTATTTTTTTTTTGAATTTGAAAAATCATTTTTTTCACGTGAAAAACGTATCATTTTGACACGTACTTCATTTCAATTATTTTTTGACGACAAATTTTGCAATTTGTCAAATTTGTCCTATTTTTTTTTTTGAATTTGAAAAATCATTTTTTTCACGTGAAAAACGTATCATTTTGACACGTATTTCATTTCAATTATTTTTTTTTTGACGACAAATTTTGCAATTTGTCAAATTTGTCCTATTTTTTTTTTGAATTTGAAAAATCATTTTTTCTTTAAACTAACCTCCAACAAAACACCAAAATCATGCAAAATAACCCCAACATCATCTAATTTGCTTTCAAACATTTCAAAAGTTCTTCTTGAAGTGCTGATTTTTGGGGGATAATTGCAACTGATGATGATGTGATGATGGTTCATTTGGAAGATTGGAAAGAAGATGGGGCGATTGTTGGAAGAGAGACCGATGGAATTGAAGTCGAACAAACAAGAAACTGAAAAAAAAAAGAAATGAAGCAATTTTTGACTTGGAAAATAAAATGCCAAATTTTGCAATTTGTCAAATTTGTCCTATTTTTTTTTTTTGAATTTGAAAAATCATTTTTTTCACGTGAAAAACGTATCATTTTGACACGTATTTCATTTCAATTATTTTTTGACGACAAATTTTGCAATTTGTCAAATTTGTCCTATTTTTTTTTTGAATTTGAAAAATCATTTTTTCTTTAAACTAACCTCCAACAAAACACCAAAATCATGCAAAATAACCCCAACATCATCTAATTTGCTTTCAAACATTTCAAAAGTTCTTCTTGAAGTGCTGATTTTTGGGGGATAATTGCAACTGATGATGATGTGATGATGGTTCATTTGGAAGATTGGAAAGAAGATGGGGCGATTGTTGGAAGAGAGACCGATGGAATTGAAGTCGAACAAACAAGAAACTGAAAAAAAAAGCAATGAAGCAATTTTTGACTTGGAAAATAAAATGCCAAATTTTGCAATTTGTCAAATTTGTCCTATTTTTTTTTTTTGAATTTGAAAAATCATTTTTTCTTTAAACTAACATTGAAAAAAATAAATGGTCGAGGAATTTTGTGGCGAACGATGCTCATTTATTAATTTGTTTGGCCAATTCTGGATCAATAGATAATGGTTTAGGGTTGGTATGGCATTGATATCCGTGTTGTTCAAGATACTCAACAACAGTCAACTTCGATTTGGGAGGTAAAACAAGCGGTAGGTTTCGTGGAATTTCGCTGAATCTTTGCAGAAGGTTTTCCCATTCTGAATACAACGAATTTGAATAGCTTATCAATCGACATGAATAACTTACCGATTCGTGTAGAACAGAGCGAGGATTCATACGATTTTCTTTGGTCCATTGTAAAAAAAGAAGCCGATGATTTTAGAAGTCTCTCAAGTTTACATTTGGCTTGTTCCAAATTCGGTAAAACAATTGCTGGTTTGAAATCACTCAATAATGTTTCGTCCTGTAATGCTTATGATAATTAGTTTTTAAATATTTATAAACACAGACATAAATTCTTGCCTTTTTTAATCAGAAAAAAGAATTTCTCGCGTAAATCGGGAGGAGGGGTTTATTTGGCAAGGTGCGGCACGTTTTTCATTTCAAGGAAGTATTCTTTTGAAAATTCAGTGATGGAAAAAAATGAAATCGACCATTTAAGGTATTTTTTTTAAAGAGTTATAATTATTTAAAGAGGGACTCTGAAGTTTTTCGATTTTTCTAGCGGAGGGCCGGAGTTTCTGTTTCCCTGAGTAATAATCGGCAGGAATCGGTATTTTTGTGAAATTAGGCGGTGATATACCTACAACTAGCAGTTTTGTGCTGAATTTAAATAGGAACAATGCATTGTCATTTATTTCCATTAATCATCACTGAACACACTACGCACAACTTTTGAGAAATAAAAATACGTCGCGTCAATTAAAATGTGTGCTGTGCACAAACACACAAGGCGACGCAAAACTACACACCGCTTTTTTGAGATTAATCTAGAGATTATTATTTCAATGACTGTGAAAAGTGTACTCGTGGCAAGGGGTGAGTTCAGCAGGAAAAAGTCAGAAATTCATGCCTGTGATAAATACAAAAAAAATACCTTAAATAGAGGTATAACATCGGATTTCGTCTGTCCAATTGGAGAAAATGCATCCGATCGTATATACTTGCCAACTGATATCGATATTTTGTCTGGAATGAAACATTTTAGATCTCAAACATAAAAAAAAATATTTCAAGACTCACCATTATAACGAAATATTTTTACAAGGTGATGTGTTGCTCGATTATTGATTTTATTCAAAAATCCTTTAATTGGTGAAAAATCATAAATTGTGTCGATTTTTCGGACTTCTTGGGTGGAGGCCAATTCCAAACATCGATTATCGAATTCTATAAGAACTACATTGTCTCAGAAAATTCCTACAAACTAACCATGCGGCGAAAGAGTGTTTTTTTCCGAAAAGTGCCTAGTCAACAACCCAAAATAACCATCTACACTTGTATGTGAGTGTCCCACCATCATATAGCACAGAGTTACCTTAAGAACAAAAATAATTTGAAAAAATATTGTGGTTACTCACCGAATTTATTTCTTTCAAAATCAGCATTAAATATCCCATAAAACCGACAAATTCTTCGCTTTTATTACATCGTGCATTATCCAAAACAATAATAACATCGGAAGGAACAGTTGACAATGTTGATAAATAATTGCATAGTAGAGAAGAATAAAAACTTGAGCTTTTTGGATATAAATCTCCTAACATGGTATAGACGGCATTTTTATACAGGGTTGATCCTGAGAAAAATAAATAAATAGAGTTCATGATTAAACCGGATAATACCTGTATTCGGTGATTGGAAAACTACAACATTGTAAGCCATTCGAGAAGTGTCATCAATACATTTTGGCCGATCGTTTATTATGGGCATTTTCGTTCTTTCTTTTCCCATCGCATCGAGTTTGATTAAAATTGTGTTCTTGTTTGGTTGTCTCGCTATAATTTCCATCAATTCCACTACCGTTCGATCATTGCTGAAAACATTTTAATTTTCCAGTGTATCAACTTGAATAAAAAATCTTACAATACTTCTTCGCAATGCTCATTTTGTAATTCATAAACCACTTCTTTTTCAATAGTTTTCGTAAAAGCGTTTTTTAAAGCGGAACAAACGTTGCATTTTGTAAAACTGCAATTCTGAAACAAAAAACATGTTAAAGTAATATTTTTAAATTTACCTTGATTTTCTTCACTTTAGTCATTGTGAAATTCTCCAAACTTTTGACCTTATATCGGGTTTTTTGCTCCACTGAAAATTTTTCTGAAAAAATATATATACAAGAAAACCAAAAAATATATTGTTTTAAAACAATGAAAAACGTTTTGCGAAATAAATAAACAATAAAAATTTGTCCGAGAGAAATACAAATGTGTTTGGTTTCCTAGTCCACGGTCACACATTTGTAAGTATTTTATTCAAATCTTTGAAATTGGGGAAATTGTGTTTGTGTGTTTTCACTCATTTTTCATTTCTCTGATGTCGCGTTCCGGGCACAGTGAGACAGTAGGTGAAAACTTACTTTTTCTTTAAAGTGTCGCTACAGAACCGGCCACCAGTTGGATGCGGTTCCGTATTTGCCATCAAAACATGAACAGCATTTGCAAACATTGTACTAGTCTTTTTTGCCTTTATCGGTTGTCTTCTCTCTGGCCCATTAACGAATTCTTCGAGTGGTCTAGTTATCCATTCTTGAATTCTGAATTGAATAGATTATCTCAATCAGTCAAACTTTAACTAACAAATGCGTAGGCCGACACAGAATCAGCGACAAAAGAATTGGACAAATTTTCCGGCCAGCCAAACTTGAATCGATTGAGATAACATCATTGTTAATAAAACATATTCTTTTTAAGAACAGTCTTATAACCTAAAATTCAAGTTTTCCTGTGGTTTCTAATTATCGTAGTAAATCTCACTGTATTGATGAATGACTTGTTTGGGAAATTTCCAAGTGACAACACCAGCATTGCTCGAACAAAAATCACAGAAAATCTGTAAACAGTTCCTGTGATGGATAGATTTATCATTATGATTTTGAACTGACGTAGGAACTCGAATACTGCAATAGCTGTTACAACATTTTATTGTTGTTATAAAAGCCGGCGATGTTCGTCTTCTTGGTTTAGCCATTGAAATAAAATCATCACTCAATTCGATGAGTTCACCGAACGATTTCTAAAACTGTTGAAATACTTTTCAAACGATAATAACACTCACTCCTTCGGCAAAATCTTGATAAACTTCGTCCATCAGTTTAAAAATAAAGTGAAATAAATAAACGTGTGTGTGAATTTTAATAAATGTCATGCCACATCGATCCACGTCGATCCACGTCGATCCACGTGTTTTCCACAACTAAGTCTACGTAGACAATATGAGGACTTTTTCATTTGCTGTTTCACACGAAATTGATGGCGACGGTGAGTTTTATTTTATGAAGCTTTAACAAGAATAACATTTTTTTTACAGCTCTTTGAATTTGGATTGACAATAATCAATTACAATGAGGGAATGCATTGTAAGAAACTATTGAATCATGCGTGCAAAAACTCAGTAGTGATTATTAAAAATCACGTATACAGAAACGAAAATATGGTGCCTGGAAGTGTGCTGAATCACATTTTGAAAGAAAACGAGATGTTTGCACTCAAACATGAAAAAGAAAACTTGTTCATAGTTTCATGTAACAAATTGGGCGAAATTGATGAGGAAAATATGAAGGAAAATATCGAAATGCTTGTCATGCAATCAGATGTTGTCAAGGTGAGCTACATTCAATAATAATAATTTCATAAAAGCATATTCACATATTCAGGTTTTCAAAGAGTCGACGTTTGAAAGTATACCAATAAATTCATTTTTTCGCCAAAGCATATCAGGATTATATGAAGACCAAATGTCTAGTGATGAGAGTGATGTGTCTTTGTTTGGAACAAGGAATATTTCAGAAGGAGAAGAAGAAGCCGAAGAAGCCGACAACAATGATGACGATTCAGATAGTGAGTATTATATGACGAAGTTACGACAAGCTTTGGAAAAGAAAAGGAACGAGACAAAAACAAAACCAACGGATAAGTCGGTAGGTTAAAAAAAATACTTGACTATATATTCCAATTATATTCAAAACTCAATAGAGAAAGTAACCATAAATTAATTTTTACAGCCAGTAACTGATTTGGATTTGGACACGTATAGAGAAGTAATTTCTGCTGAAATCGATGAACATATATCATCACTGAATTCTTTCCAAATCGATTTATCTGTTCGTCGTTTAATGCCAGCGAAGGATATCGATTTTTGCCGAATAATCAGAAAAGTTACGAAATCTGGATCGTTGAATTGTAATGTACCGGTTGGATATATTGAGTGAGTATGAAGTGAGCTCTAGGGACTGATGATTGAGATATTTCAGATATGCTGTTGTTTTTATAACATCGGATCATTGTAGTATGAAGGAGGTGAATCATATGCTTGTGAATGGTGAACTTCCAGTTGTGATTGTCGACAAACAAACTGCTATTTTATATGCACTTTCCCAGCTTGGAAATATCAGACTTACGCGATATTTTTCAACGCCAGAGAAAATGGAGCATTTACGCACATTTGCGAATTATTTTAGTATTGACTTTAACACAATACGAGAACTCCCGAAATCGACACTCGAAAAGATTCAAACGTTTTTTTGTAAGGTAGAATTTTTATTTTCAACACCTATAACATTATATAGCTGAATAACAAACATAATTCCAGAATCTGTATCCTGACTGGCTAATGCGCATATCATTTTATTCTGGTTCATCACATAAAATAATTGCGACATTCTTAGGAAATTTGAAAACCACCGGGCATAGTATAGGACGTGCTCTTCCGCGATCACTAAGAAGAAATGAAACGGCTGTTTTGGATCTGTTGGAGAAGTTTGATTTTGAATTAGGAAATTTGGCCCAATTGAAAACGGTAACGAAAATGAAAAAATGCAATTTTTTATGAACCACATTATTATTTAGGATTTGGAAACTGTTTCACCAGATCCAAAATCTGCATTCAGAAATCGGTTAGTGGATACAACGATTGTCAATAATTTTATTCGAAACAAACCAGCTGCAAATGTAGAGAAATTTTCTCGAACAATTCGTAAACGGAAAAAACCATTCACCAAAGATTCGTTGGAGGAGAAATATGAGAAATTTTTGAAGAGACCGAAATCAACTATTCCAGTATGGTGTCTGCGAAAAGCCGCATCAACAAGTGCTATAGCTGTAAATTTAGAAGTAGGTTTTTAAGAAAGTTTTATTAAATAACAAAAAATAATTTATAGGATGTCAATGAGTGGATTTTGGCAAGTTTGGAGTTTCAATTTGTAATAATGGTTGGAACAGTTGATGCTGGTTTCAAAACCAACATTTTGTTGAAAAAAGAATCGGTTGAAACAGATCAAGAATATTCATGTACGATTCGAAGTCGCCAAGTTTCATTTTTGTTGTATAACAACGGAGTACTATCTTCAGCAAATGATGTAAAGAAATTTTTAAAGGAAAATGGATGTGTTGTGACAAATCTATATAAACAATCTGAAATTTTTGAGTTCTTGAGACGATTTCCAGACACATGCTCTGTTCACAGCCTAGAAGGTAAGATTCCAACAAATTTTAGGATGTTCTAAGCTGAAAAATATTACAGGCCCAGTTCAAGATATATTTGATGGTTTCTTAAAAACCGGAAATGAAGAAAAGAAGAAACAACGAGAATTGAAATTGAGAAAAAAAATTACCTCGAAAAAACATTAAGAAAATATGCTCCGTCTTTCGAAAAACCATCCACACTTTGCAACAATTCGCCACAAAATTCCTTGACCATTTATTTTTTTCAATGTTAGTTTAAAGAAAAAATGATTTTTCAAATTCAAAAAAAATAGGACAAATTTGACAAATTGCAAAATTTGGCATTTTATTTTCCAAGTCAAAAATTGCTTCATTGCTTTTTTTTTCAGTTTCTTGTTTGTTCGACTTCAATTCCATCGGTCTCTCTTCCAACAATCGCCCCATCTTCTTTCCAATCTTCCAAATGAACCATCATCACATCATCATCAGTTGCAATTATCCCCCAAAAATCAGCACTTCAAGAAGAACTTTTGAAATGTTTGAAAGCAAATTAGATGATGTTGGGGTTATTTTGCATGATTTTGGTGTTTTGTTGGAGGTTAGTTTAAAGAAAAAATGATTTTTCAAATTCAAAAAAAAAATAGGACAAATTTGACAAATTGCAAAATTTGTCGTCAAAAAATAATTGAAATGAAGTACGTGTCAAAATGATACGTTTTTCACGTGAAAAAAATGATTTTTCAAATTCAAAAAAAAAATAGGACAAATTTGACAAATTGCAAAATTTGGCATTTTATTTTCCAAGTCAAAAATTGCTTCATTTCTTTTTTTTTCAGTTTTTCTTTCAACACTTCCAACACTTGCTGCTCTTCCAACAATCCTCCAGTTCTTCCGAAAATCATTCTCCAGAAATCTTCAATTTTTGTTTTTTTTTTAATTTTTAGTGACCATCATTCGACCCCGATTTTTAGGAATTATTGTTGTTAAAGTTTATTTCAAAAAGTGTGCTTATAATATTCATTGAATTTGAATTTTTTTAGAATGTTATATTTTTTTTTAATTCAAAAAGCAATCCTTAATCTGGATGCGATTTTATGTAGTATTTGGAATTTCCAGTTTCAAGAATTCTGGATGAGGCTTTAAAAAAATGAATAAACTTGTGTATTCCATGGGTAACAGAAGTAGCCAAACTTCATGGATATAGAAAAATTGAAACATCATAAAAATGATAAGCATAAAAAACAAAAATAAAGTACTTCATTAAATAAATCTTAAAAATTGATTCAAGATTTTTCATCCGATTGATTCGTCGTGTTTCCCGCAGAAATCAAATTTCGTACCACTAATGTTCATTAAAAGTGATATATAAGTATATATTTATTATTATCAGTAAAAATTTTATTCAATCCTATGCTTGGTCCTTTTTTATACAAGTTCATCGATCGATATATAAAAGGAGCATATTTTTTGAATTGTTTATTTTTTGTTTTATTATCTTACAAAATGCCAAAAAACAAGATTTTCAATTTGTGGTCTCTCCTATATGTATAATTATGATGTAAAACTCACACATCAACACCTAAAAATCCATTTTCAAAAATTGTTGGAAATAAATGATAAAGTACAACAGCTAAAATTGCAATAGCTCGAATACATTGGATATCATGTCGTTTACTCATTTTTTCTTCTTCTGATCTCCTAATTTTTTCACCTTTTATAGTTCTTCGAAAAGAAGGTCAACGCACCTATAGGTCAAATATGCAAATGTGAGAATAATGAGGGTTCCGGAGACAAATTGAAAGGTTTTCCCAATGTTTCTTTTTGGATCGTTGATTTTTTTCGAATTTCTTTTCTTTTCTATCTGGGTCACATTCTACTATAGTTTGTGTGTAGTTTAATGATTCACCGCTGATTTGAACTTTCGGAATTTATTGCTTGAATCATAGACCTAAATACCTCTCATTTAAATCCCGTAAAGTGCAATTTATTCAGAAATGTTCATTTCTACCGGTCTTGTGAAAATCTGATGAATATATGTTCACTAAAAGTGCTTCTTTTCTTACCTACACGCGTGGTGTAGGCGGGGGGAAAATATAAAACATACAAACTTTGGGATAAAATTCAACAACTTCGAAAAAATATTCAAAAAATGCATTTTCCCGCCTCAATTGTTGTTTGTCTATTAGCATTCATCGCTGTTATAAATTGTCAATGTAAGTCACGTCTAAAAATGTACGCGTGGCTCAGGCGGTTAGCGTCGCTGTTTTTACCAATCGAAAGACCTTGGTTCAATCCCAGCTTCCTAGATGTTTTTAAATTTATATGTTTTGCAGAGGGAGGTGGCCCAATGATGGGCGGCGGTTCGATGGGATATGAAAGTGGATTTAGCGGAGGACCAATGCTTGAAGGAGGAATGGGAGGAGGTGGACCAATGTGGGGAAGACGAATGATAATGTGTGGAATGAATCCGTATATGAATATGATGTATGGCAAAAAGTAATTTTTGTTGAATTGATTGTTAATTGGAAAATGTATAATTAATGAATGTTTTGGAAAATGTTATTGACATTGAGAATTTTATGAAAATGAAAATATAAATTTGATAGATTCCGAAAATTGTTTCTAGAAATCAACGTGTCACGGATTATTTATCAAAAATTTACCTCGCTGAAAAATGCTCTAACATGAGCAACCCCTTACAACTGTTCTACTTTTCTAATTTCTGTTTTTTTGCTCCTCAAAAACTACAGTCAGCCTAATCTTTTGATGTCCCCTTTGGGTAAATCGACCACGCTGATCATCATTCCTTGTCAGTTTTTCATAAAATTGATCGAGAATTGAGTTATGACGTGTTTTATGAGCCAATTTTGGAAATTTTTGAACTTTCCAGAGTCTAGAACTTGGCTCAGAGGTCCATTGGGTAACTAAAATTTTTCGGGTGTTCTTATGGCCCCAAAAGCTGTCCATAGACCAAATTTCATCATGATTTGAAGTGTTGAGTAAAAAAGGTTCCCTTGTGAAATATTTTCGCTGCGAAATATCTCTCATTTGTGTGTGGAAAAAAATAAGGTTTTTTGACATTTGCTGAATCGAATTTTTTTGTAAAAAAACGTTTTTTTTTAGTTTTTTTTCGACCTGAATCACCCCATAATAATCAGTGAGTCAGTCAGCGGAACACCGCAACTTACTGCAACTGGAACACCGCAACTTACTGCAACTGTTGTCGCAGCGCTGCGGCACTGCAACACATGCGCCGGAGTTGCGCCCATTTCCGCAACAGTTCACGCAACAGTTTCGAGTTTTGTCGCAACTCCGGCGCATGTGTTGCAACAAAAAAATGATGCAGCGCTGCGACAAATGCTGCCACAATTGCGGTTCTTTTCCCGAGATGTTTCTCATTTTTTCCATAATGAATTTATTCTCAATGTTAGTCGCTGCCTATTATGTGTGTTTTGGTAGAAGTGAGTGAGGTAATCTAGTTTTTCTGACAAAATAATTATGCAGAAAATTTGTTTTTTTGATCAGGAAAACAAAACTAGAGTCTAGTTCGATTCTACGAGTAAAAACGTGTCCAAAAGAGTCCAAAAATAGAGTAAAAACGTGTCCACATTTTCATTGTTTGAAAATGTTAATCTTGTTATAGAAACTCTGATTTTTTCAATAAAATAAATAGACTTTTTTGGGTAATTAATTGGATTAAAATGTATACAATTTTTGTTCGAAAATTTCAAAAAACCAAAGATTTTTTCCCCTAATATACAGTGCGTTTCATAATGATAGGTTCACCCCCAAAATTTCTGAAATCAGCCGAGGTGTGAGTTGTAATAACAATCCGAGTTAAAAATAAAAAAGAGCACACAAAATTAGCTAAGAAAACTCAATTTTATCTGAAACTACCAAATAATAAAAAAATAAATGACCGGAGTTCAAAAATTTCAAAAATTTAGCGTTTCAAAACGATAGGTTCACCCGCAGTAGTACTGTAGTTATGTTTCGTGGTAGGAGTTTTATCGAATATTCTGGAAAATACGAGTGATATTTGATTATTTTAACGTGTTTCTGTTTTTGTTCTCGTTTTTTCACGTCATTCATCAATGTCGCGGGGAAGTCATCTTACAAAAGAGGAACAAGCTCAAATTAGAGCATTCAAAATCGCCGGATGGTCCAATAGAATGATTTCGTCAAAATTGAAACGATCTCTCAACTGTATTAATCAATTTGTCAACAATCCGGATCACTATGAGCGAATGAAAAACACTGGAGCTCCCAAAAAACTCACGGAGAGAGATAAACGAGGGATTGTTAGGTTGGCTTCGAACACAATGAAATCGTGTAATGACATCAAAAACGAGCTGGGTTTGAATATCAGTAAGACTACAGTTTGGAGAGCCATAGACCAATCCCCAGAAATCGTTCGAGCCAAATTGGTGCCAGCTCCGCGTCTCACACTTCGCCACAAAGACAACCGTCTTACTTTCGCAAAAGCCAACATGGCCACAGATTGGGATAAGGTAAGTAATTTTTCTAAAAACATCAAATATTGATGTTTTCTTGTTCAGATAATTTTTTCTGACGAAAAAAAGTTTAATCTTGATGGTCCGGATGGTTACAACTCATACTGGCATGATATCAGAAAGGATCAACTTCGCTTCCCAAAGAGAAATTTTGGAGGAGGACGGGTTATGTGTTGGGGCGCATTTTCTGCAGCTGGAACGTTAAAAATAGCTTTTGTTTCATTCAAGATGGATTCGTTAGATTACCAAAAAACCCTCCATGACTATCTTTTGCCATATTTGAGGCGGTTCCGGACCAGAAAGTTCACTTTTCAACAGGATAATGCTGCCATCCACGTCAGCCAATCATCAAAAGATTGGTTCAAAAGCCACAAAATCAAAGTTTTGGATTGGCCAGCGTGTTCTCCTGATCTTAATCCGATGGAAAACGTATGGGGGGAGCTCGTTCGCCGAGTTTATGCTCAAGGAAAAAATATGATACTGTGGACCAACTCAAAGATGCCATCGAGACGGAATGGAATAAAATCGATAAGAACTACCTCAAGAGACTTGTTGACTCGATGCCAAATCGTCTCTATGATGTCATTTCTAAACATGGAGGTCCAACTAAGTATTGATTTTCGATTATATGTCTCCAATGGGAATTCTGGATTAGGTGAACCTATCGTTTTGAAACGCTAAATTTTTGAAATTTTTGAACTCCGGTCATTTATTTTTTTATTATTTGGTAGTTTCAGATAAAATTGAGTTTTCTTAGCTAATTTTGTGTGCTCTTTTTTATTTTTAACTCGGATTGTTATTACAACTCACACCTCGGCTGATTTCAGAAATTTTGGGGGTGAACCTATCATTATGAAACGCACTGTATTTTTTTCCGCTTGAAAATCAGTGAACTTTTGGCTAAAAAATCTTGAACTTCCGGGAACGTTTCTACGTTTTAAGAGACGTTATTTCTAAAAACGGAAATTCGTGCGGCCAAGAAAAAAGTCATAGTCTCGGATTCGGCTCAAATTTTTTTCTTTGAAAGCCCTATAGGTGAGGATGACTCTCCACCAAAAATTTTGACCCAAATGTGTTTCCCCCCTTTCACGTGATCACGTGAAAAATTCGTGGGTGGTCTCCAGTAAAATTTGAGGAACTTTCTTCAAAGTCAAGCTTTTTTCACAAACTCAACGCGGTTTTGATTCATTAATGATGGACTTTCATCGACAACATCCGCCCCATAATGGTGCAGCTCCCTAAGGGTTGCACCAAAATTTTTGGAAAATTTTTTTTGAAATTTTTCTAAAAATCGATTTTTCTCCTTTTAAACCAAAAATGCGCGCGCTGTAACTGCTTTTATAATGTTCCTCATCCCTTTTTACCCCCAGGAGCAAAGTATGAGAAAATTAATCGATACTCTTTTTTAGTTATTTCAGATTGAATAAGCTCACCTAGAGCGCGCGCTGCACACAAACACACACAATCTCAATTATTTTTTATTTATTTCTTGTTTTTGTCTGTGTTTGTGTTTTGAAAAAGTACTACAGTGCCCATAACTGTTTTTTCAATATATTTATGGGAAAAATATGCATTGTGAGATCTATTCCGATGTTTCCAGTGAGAACATCTAGAAAAATTGATATGGCTCAATACATCGATTTTTATGACATATTATCGTCGGATATTCGATAAAACACTTCAATTTGATCATTTACATTCCGAAGCATCATTTTTCAATCGAATTCCGATGTTTTCGGTGTGATTTTGACATTGATGGAATTCAGATGTTTGTCTAGATCTTTGATTCTAGACTACCAGGACATCAAACTTTGATTTTGATGTTGGATTTTGTCACCAATATCTGTTTATGTTCCACAATCAAACTGAAAGTCGGAGAGCCCAACTATTAAAATAAATACCAGTAAAGAAAAAGTTTCCTGATTCATAGTGTTTTCTATAGTTTTCTTTACAAAAATTCAGTTTTGTTTTCAACTCCTATGAGACAAATGATGTTTGCAGAGGTGAAATTCTTCGTCAAACGTATTCCTGAACACTTCGAGCATAAAATTCAGCAGTAAAATCAAAGTTTGATGTCCTGGTAGTCTAGAATCAAAGATCTAGACAAACATCTGAATTCCATCAATGTCAAAATCACACCGAAAACATCGGAATTCGATTGAAAAATGATGCTTCGGAATGTAAATGATCAAATTGAAGTGTTTTATCGAATATCCGACGATAATATGTCATAAAAATCGATGTATTGAGCCATATCAATTTTTCTAGATGTTCTCACTGGAAACATCGGAATAGATCTCACAATGCATATTTTTCCCATAAATATATTGAAAAAACAGTTATGGGCACTGTAGTACTTTTTCAAAACACAAACACAGACAAAAACAAGAAATAAATAAAAAATAATTGAGATTGTGTGTGTTTGTGTGCAGCGCGCGCTCTAGGTGAGCTTATTCAATCTGAAATAACTAAAAAAGAGTATCGATTAATTTTCTCATACTTTGCTCCTGGGGGTAAAAAGGGATGAGGAACATTATGAAAGCAGTTACAGCGCGCGCATTTTTGGTTTAAAAGGAGAAAAATCGATTTTTAGAAAAATTTCAAAAAAAAAATTTTCCAAAAATTTTGGTGCAACCCTTAGGGAGCTGCACCATTATGGGGCGGATGTTGTCGATGAAAGTCCATCATTAATGAATCAAAACCGCGTTGAGTTTGTGAAAAAAGCTTGACTTTGAAGAAAGTTCCTCAAATTTTACTGGAGACCACCCACGAATTTTTCACGTGATCACGTGAAAGGGGGGAAACACATTTGGGTCAAAATTTTTGGTGGAGAGTCATCCTCACCTATAGGGCTTTCAAAGAAAAAAATTTGAGCCGAATCCGAGACTATGACTTTTTTCTTGGCCGCAGCCTTTCATTAAAATTTCCTTTCTTACAAATAACCTCTCTTAAAATATCATAAAAATAGCTGAAATTCACCTGAAAAAGTTGAAACTTTAAAAAAATCACGTAAAAAGCACCTGTTGTGGTTTTTGTGACCGGAAAAAAATCAGAAAATCAAATGTTAGTATTTAAGTTCATCCTAGGCCCATTTCAAGCCCAGAAAAGTCTAGTTTTGGGCAGAAAATTGTGCTGAATCATAATTCTGATTTGATGTTTAAGCGAAAGCAAAAATTTTTGGTTTCAATTTTTATTTTCAGACCAAATCTTCTTGTTTACAAAAAGATTATCCAAAGGATTTTTTGCTGAAAATGAACTTCACAAATCCTATTTTTGCTTTCAAAACACATCAAATCAGAATCATGATTCAGCAAAATTTTCTGCCCAAAACTAGACTTTTCTAGGCTCAAAATGAGCTTTTTGAGCCCAATTACAACATTTGATTTTCTGACCGGTCACAAAAAACACATCAGGTGTTTTTTGCGTGATTTTTTAAAATTTTCCAACTTTTCCAGGTGAATTTCAGCGATTTTTTAGATATTTTAAAACGTAAAAATGTTCCCGGAAGTTCTAGATTTTTTAGCCAAAAGTTCACTGATTTTCAAGCGGAAAAAAATTTTTTAGGGGCAAAAAATCTTTGGTTTTTGAATTTTCGAACAAAAATTGTATACTTTTTAATCCAATTAATTACCCAAAAAAAAAGATTATTTATTTTATTCAAAAAATCAGAGATTAGCATTTTCAGACGATGAAAATGTGTGTATTTTTGGACACGTTTTTGCTCTAGAACCAAACTAGACTCTAGTTTTGTTCTCCTGATCAAAAAAACATATTTTTCTGCATAATCATTTGGTCACAAAAATGTGTGTGTAGTTTAGTCATCGAGAATTTCATAAGAGTTACGAAATCTTCACAATTTTACGCTTTTTTTGAGTAGTTCAAAGGAAAATGATGAATTTAGAAGAAATTTGACAATTTTAATGGAATTTTTGAGAAAAATTCAAGGTTCTATTTGCCTCTGAAACTAAACTAGACTCTAGTTGGCCCTGAAGTGAGCCCAGGCCCATTCCAGGCCCCCTTAGACATGAAAAACCCCCCAATTTTCGGCTCTGAAACCAAAAAACATGTTCTCAAAATGTTCTCCCGAAATCCCGTGCACGGATCATCCTCAAATCATCAAAAGTGATGTTTTTTCTTTGGCGAAAGCATTTTTTGAAGTTCAGGGGAATCAGCAAAACAAAAACAACATCATTGACATTTATGGAATCCGCGGATTTGGCTTAATCCAGTCTGGAAATAAGCTGAGCAAGTAGAGCTGAAAATAAACTTGGTATAGCCTGAAAAGGGCCTATAAAATGAGCCCAAACAAGCCTGAGATACACCTGGATTTGGTCTAGAAAATGAGCCTAAACTTGGCTTTAGTTGGGCCTGGGAAAAGCCTGAAAAATGAGCCTAAACAAGCCTAGACACTATTTTCGACCAAGCCTAAAAAGGCCAATTTTTCTTCTGTAAAAATGCCCCCACCTTCATTTTCCCCCCAATTTTTGATCCTTGCTTTTTTCCAAAAAAAAATCCAAAAATAAAAAGTTGTATACAATTTTTGCTAATCCAATTAATCAACGAAAAAAAAGATTATCAAATTTTTTTTTCACAAACAAGATTATTCGTTAATCTTTTCAATGGAAACAATTTTCAGACAATGAAAATTTGTCTGAAATTAATTCCAGGTGAACTTTCAAATTTTAATTTCTGGTCAAAAGAGAAGCTGGGTTCAAAATATGACGTGACTTATGATAACTCTGCCAAAAAAAGTTGTTTTTTCGAGGAAAATACGATGAAGCTTCAATTAGTTAGGCTATCTCTGGAGAATTTCGTGATGCTCAAAAATATATGTAGTTTGATCAATTCTACACAACCCTGGCTAGGTACAGCGCCTAGAGAACCTACTTGTCAAGGAGGAGCGCCTAGAGACGCATCCTGTCAAGGAGCAGCGCCTAGAGAACCTATTTGTCAAGAAGCGACGCCTAGAGAACCTACTTGTCAAGCAGCAGCGCCTAGAGGCCCTAATTTTCAAGGAGCAGCGCCTAGAGAACCTATTTGTCAAGGAGCGACGCCTAGAGACGCATCCTGTCAAGGAGCAGCGCCTAGAGAACCACCCTGGCAAGCAGCAGCGCCTAGAGAACCTATATGTCAAGGAGCAGCGCCTAGAGAACATACTTGTCAAGGAGCAGCGCCTAGAGATCATAATTCTCAAGGAGCAGCGCCTAGAGAATCACCCTGACAAGCAGTAGCGCCTTGAGATCCAAATTTTCAAGGAGCCGAGCCTTAACCCCCAAATTTCTTATGATTTTTTTTTCAAATCCAAATGTTTTTTTTCTGAAACCTGAAATTAAATTCAGGTTCTCAGAATTCTCAAAAAATTGGTTGAGATGTTTGTGTCAAATTCTGAATAAGTTAGAATTAAATTTGAACCCGATTAAATGTCTTGAAATTGAAGGTTTCCAGAAAAAATGTCAGATCTTGTAGATCACAATATGATTTCGCTAGAAAATTGGAATTTTTGAATTTCAAATTCAGGTCAAAGGAGAATCTGGGTTCAAAATATGACGTGACTTAGGATAACTCCAAAAAAGTTGTTTTCCTCGAAAAAATTATGATGAAGCTTATTTCAATTAGTTAGGCTATCTCTGGAGAATTTTGTGATTTTTTTGGTTGAAAATATGTGTGTAGGTTGGTCAGAACAACAGAATTTTAAGTTCTCGACTTGGCTCCTTGAAAATTGGGATCTCAAGGCGCTGCTCCTTGACAAGTAGGTTCTCTAGGCGCAGCTTCTTGTCAGGGTGGTTCTCTAGGCTCGGCTCCTTGAAAATTGGAATCTCAAGGCTTGGCTTCTTGCCAGGATGGTTCTCAAGGCGCCGCTCCTTGAAAAATTCTCAAACTTTTGCACACAACTCTATTTTTAGTCCCAAATTCGAATAATTTTTGATTTCCAGTTCAAAAACCAGGTGAAACCTTGCACTGCAAACATCATTTTTCCAAACTTTCCTTCTAGACACCAAAATTAATCATAGCTTCTATTTTTATCAATTTTTTTTGAAAATCTAATTTCAGATGTCAGAAGACAGAACTGCAACATCATAGAATTTATCAAACTACATATATTTTTGAGCATCGCAAAATTCTCCAGAGAAAGGCTGACTAATTGAAGCTTCATCATATTTTTTCGAGGAAAACAACTTTTTTGGGGGAGTTATCATAAGTCACGTCATGTTTGAACCCAGAGAAAATTCCCTAGACTTTATTTCAGACTAACTAGAATAGTTTTTTGGAGCACAAAGAGCACACATTTTTTTTGCAAAAAAATAGCTGGAAATATGCACGTTTCAGACATTGTTTGTCTGACCAAAGTATACATAGATTTTCTGAGAATTTGGAGAAGACCAAAGTTTTGACTAGAAATCGAGGAGGAAGTTCTGGTTACTGTAGTTTTAGCCTGGATTCAGGGCCCGGAATTGTGGGAATTTTGAGGCTAGATAAGCCTGGATTCTAGGGCTTGAAAATCTGGATTTTTAGAGTCTAGATAAGCCTAGTTTCCCGATTTTTCAGGGCCTGAAATCTAGGCTTATCTAGTTTCAGACAAATCTGCATTCTAGAGCCGGAAAATCTGGATTTTCTTGAGCCCAAAAAGCCTGATATTTCGGGATTTTTATCAGATTCATCTAGATTCTCCAGAATTTTCAGAAATATCAGAATTTGCCACGTCATAGCTCACTTTTTTGAGCAAAAATTGAGCTTTTTTTGGATTTATCATAATTTTCCGCAAAACAATGACAATTAATTAGAGCAATTGACGTAACAATTTTTCGGCTCAAAACTTTTTTCTGGAGCCAAAAATAGCTAACTCGGATTTTTCTCGTGCAAAAAAAATTTGACATATCTCAAATCCGACATTTATATAATTTGTCAGGAAAAGTTTGCGAAAATGCATAAAGTTCATGTTCTTTTCGAGGAATAAATTAATTTTTGAACTCGTAGGCTAAAAAGGCTGGGCCCAGGCCTAGGTTTTTCCATGTTAGTCACAGAGTTACCGTAATTCCCCGAGTTCAAAAATCGTACTTCGTAAATTCTACAATTTTTGTCTTTGTAGACAAGGTGAACGTACAATTTGTCTGCGTCTCTCGATTTGCCATACTCTCTAGATATGAGTTAGAAGAACTCAAGGGATACTGTAAAGCAGCTGATTTTCTTCGAATATTTTGTGCTTGAAACATCTGAAGTATAAACTATAGAAAAATCAAGGATTTCACGAGGAATACGTGGATTTTCAGATTTTCCTGGTCCACAAGAACTTTAGGATGCTTTTCTACTTGCGCAAAACATATATTTTTAGTATAGAAAGGATAATCTGGGCTTGGAAAAACATCTATATGTAATTCAGGATAATCTATCCATTACTGATAATTGAATGGTTTTTTGAATCCGGAAGCAAGGCGGAAGTTGAATTTTCCGCGAGCTTCCGCGTTGCGGTCTTGATGGGGTTTTGAAGAGCAGCGAATTTGCCTCAGAATGATGGGCGGCTTGATGAGGAAAGTTGAAATTTTCGAATTTTCAGCTGTTTTTCGATGGAGAATGTGGATTTTGTGCTTTTTGTTACCAGAAAATGTGTTTTTCTGATCACAAAGAGATTTTGGGAAAATGTCTAGAAGCTTGAAATTTTTCAAAAACATATCAAGCTTTTTGAGTTCTTCTAACTTCTTCGAATAGAAACCACGTCATAGCTCTCTGAATTTTGAGCTTAAAATGTACCCAACATGTATTTTTTTCGGATTTATCATAACTTTCCAAATAACAATGACAAAAATTAGTAATTTTCCTGTTATTTTTAGCACCATGTCATTTTCTAGTTCTCCAAAATTCCCCCAGGGTTTTTTTCTAGGAAAATTAATAAAGCTTTGTTTTGCTGATGAATCACGAGATTCTTGTTGTTCTGTAAGATCACAGCTTAGAAGTTATGCTAATTCAAAACAAAAACCAATCAACTAGAAATAAAAATTAACTAGACAATCTTCAGCAGAGGATTTTCTAGTTTGAAGTGCTAAGTAGATCACATTCTGCTTTCTTTTCCTCCCGTAGTTTCAGGATTTCTGGCAAACAGATTATTGCCCATTTTAAAACCATCTGAATCAAAATCGTATAGCAAAACGCTTTTGTGATCACCTAAAACAAAAAACTCAGACTTCAGGTGAACTTTCTGAAACACCGTGTAATTATTGATGTCCCTGCAGGTTTCCAGGAAAATCTGATTTTTTTTCTATTCGCGAACATGTCTAGAGCTATGTAAATCCAAATCCAGGTGAAATGTGCAAAATTGAAGTTTGGTAGAATTTTCGTAACACACTTCAAAAATATGTCAGATGATCAGCAAATGCTTCCGAATGTATTTTAGAACCCTGTGATTATGCAAGTAAACAAAATAATTATGAGTTAGGATAAGTTTGTCACGTAACAGAGTTTTTGCTTTCGAGATCACCTAAATTAATTCCTACTTGACTATCATGAGTTAGACTTACATAGCCTAACTCATAATTATATTTTGTTTACCAGTTGCTGACGGTGTCAAACATAATCACAGGGTTCCAAAATACAATCTAACGTATTTTTGAAGTGTGCTATGACGTGGCAAAAATTCTAACAAACTTCAATTTTGCACATTTCACCTGGATTTGGATTTACAGAGCTCCAGACATGTTCGCGAATAGAAAAAAAAAATCAGATTTTCCTGGAAACCTGCAGGGATATCTATAATTACACGGTGTTTCAGAAAGTTCACCTGAAGTCTGAGTTTTTTGTTTTAGGTGATCACAAAAGCATTTTGCTATACGATTTTGATTTAGATGGTTTTAACATGAGCAATGATTTGTTTTCCATGAAACTACAGGAGGAATAGAAAGCAGAATGTGATCTACTTAGCACTTCAAACTAGAAAATTCTCTGCTGAAGATTGTCTAGTTAATTTTTATTTTTAGTTGACTAGTTTTTGTTTTGAATTAGCATAACTTCTAAGCTGTGATCTTACAGAACAACAAGAGTCTTGTGATTTATCAGCAAAACAAAGCTTTATTAATTTGCCTAGAAAAAACCCTGGGGGAATTTTGGAGAACTAGAAAATGACATGGTTTTTTGGTGCTAAAAATAACAGGAAAATTACTAATTTTTGTCATTGTTATTTGGAAAGTTATGATAAATCCGAAAAAAATACATGTTGGGTACATTTTGAGCTCGAAATTCAGAGAGCTATGACGTGGTTCGAAGAAGTTAGAAGAACTTGAAGACTTTGATAAAAGCTTGATATTGTTAATCCGAAAAAATAAGAACCTTGGAAGACTTCGCGAAATTTCGGAGTCTATTTGAAAAATAAAATGCAAAATTTACACGCTGGATATTTGCCAACCAGTTTGATGTGCATGTGCCACGTCATTTTTTAGTCTACTGTATAGGAGCACCAAAATGTCAAACTTCTTTGAAAATAATCCTAGAGTTAGACATTTTTCCATAATCTCTTGTTTTTGTGATCAGAAAATCACATTTTCTGGTAACAAAACGCACAAAATGCACAATTTCCCTCGAAATTCAAAAATTTCAACTTTCCTCACCAAGCCGCCCATCATTCTGCAGCAAATTCGCTGCTTTTCAAAACCCCGCCATCCATTTCCCACCAAACGCCTCCCATATCACCACACCCAAACACCAAACTTAAGGGGCGTGACTAATCGGTCAACTTCTCAATTAGTCTCCACCCCTTCCCATCAGGGCGGAGCCTAAAATTCACTATAAATTTTCGAAATTCTTCAGTAGAATTTCATTCTTGAACCTCTTGTTCTAGACAACTTCAATTGGCTAACTCCGCCCACACAAAATGTCGACTCTTCTCGCATTCGTTCTCGTCGCTCTCGTCGCTTCAATGGAAGCGAAAGTTTTTCGGTGCCCATTCAGGCACGCACATCATTCAAGAAGAAATTGTGAACGATCAGATGATTTCCGGAAATTTGTTGAAGAACATCCGGAAGAGAAAAATCGCCGCCCTGACATCCACCCTCACACCGAAGATATTTATGAGCAAGAACAGGTTAGTTATCTCAGAAATTTATCCGAGTCATTTAACAATTCCAATTTTTAGCTCAAGTATTGTTGTTATGAAGAACAGTGTCTTGAAGAATGCGGCTACAATATCAACGAACTATACAAAAATAATTATGCCAAGTACATCCCTGAAAATCCTGCGAAACTCATAGAGGCTGATGAATACAAACAATTTTTTAACTACATTGATCCAACTGAATTCACCATGCTGGCCACAGCCGATGCCAGGATAGTTGGTTTTTGGAAGATACGAGCCACCCACTTCAACAAACAGAAACCAAGAATCGACCGCCACATTGCGAGAAAAATGAAAGGCTAAACAAGATCAATAGATGTTATTTGTAGAATTGTTTTTTGAAACCTCGTAGCCTCTCCCGATCCTCCTTCTTGTTCCTCTTTCATGCGTTTTTTGATATTTGATGAACCAATAAATTATTTTTATTTTAAAAATGTGTTCATGTTTTTTATGTAACATTACAGGGAAAAGCTTCATCTATTTCTAGAATGGAAACCTTCAGACTCGACTCGAGTTGTTTGAACTCCTCAGAGAACACTAGAACTTACAGTCTTTTGAAACTAGCAATTATGCTTTAAAGGGGGGTAAGACGACAAAATTTTATTTGCTCAATGAATCGGGCTCCCTTTGAATAGTAAAAGCCCCAGGGGATTTTTTCTCGAAGGGCCTAAAAAGGTCCGAAAAAATATTCCATGAACTTTTTTCAACGTATAGCTATACGTTGTCCGAAAGTTTATGGAATAATTTCAACGTATAGCTATACGTGGTACCTAGTTTATGGAACATTTTTTCTGAGCGTTTCCAGAAAAAATCCCTTGGAAGGTTTTACTACTTTTGGGGAGCCTTTAACTTTGCGACAAAAAAAATTTGTCGTCTTACCCCCCCTTTAATTTCAGTCAAGGTAATATAAATATACCTTGGAATCTGATTTTGCTAGAGAAAACAGCGGAAACTTGCGGAAAATTGAAATTTGGCCTTGCTTCCTGGATTCAAAAAACCATTCAATTATCAGTAATGGATAGATTATCCTGAATTACATATAGATGTTTTTCAAGCCCAGATTATCCTTTGTATACTAAAAATATATGTTTTGCGCAAGTACTTAGAAGAGCATCTCAAAGTACACCAGGAAATTTTGAAAATCCACGTATCCCTTGTGAAATCCTTGATTTTTCCGTAGTATAGACATCAGATGTTTCAAGCACAACATATTCGAAAAAATCAGCTGCTCTTATTTCTACAGTAGCCCTTGAGTTCTTCTAACTCATATCTAGAGAGTATGAAAAATCGAGAGACGCAGACAAATTGTACATTCACCTTGTGAAATTCTTGATTTTCGGTCAGATATGAAGTAGTTTAATGTTTCAAGCACAAAATATTCGAAAAAAATCAGCTGCCCTTTAAAAATAGCCTTTTTTGTGCTAGTCACGATTTACCGTAATTCCTCGAGTTCAAGAAATCGTACTTCGTAAAATCTACAATTTTTGTCTTTGTAGACAAGGTGAATGTACAATTTGTCTGCATCTCTCGATTTTTCATACTCTCTAGATATGAGTTAGAAGAACTCAAGGGATACTGTAAAGGCAGCTGATTTTTCTCAAATATTTTGTGCTTGAAACATTTTCAGATTTGACCGAAAATCAAAGATTTCACTAGGGATACGTGCATTTTCATAACTTCCTGGTGTACTTTGAGATGCTCTTCTACTTTCAGTATACAAAGGTTAATATGGGCTTGAAAAACATCGATATGTATTTTTTTAATCCCGGAAGCAAGGCGAAATTTAAATTTTCCGCAAGCGGAAATTTGCGGAATATATACATGGAAAATGTTGTTCTACACATTTGCCACGTCATAGCTCACTGAATTTTGAGCTTAAAATGTACCCAACATGTATTTTTGGATTTATCATAACTTTCCGAATGACAATGACAAAAATTAGGTATTTTTCTGTTATTTTTAGCGTCAAATTTGCCACGTCATAGAGGTGCTTTGGGATTTCAGAGGATTTTCAAGTAATTTTTTCAATTAAACCCGAAAAGAGTTCTTCTAACTCTGTGCAACAAAATATCTAGAGAGTATGGAACATGGAGAGACGCAGAAAAATTGTAGATTTTACGAGGTACGATTTTTTGCACTCGAGGAATTACGGTAACTCTATGACTAACACGAAACATTGGCTATTTTTGGCTGTCCGGAAAAAAACTCATCAAAACATGAAGAAACACAAATTAAAATTTGAAAAAAAAACAAATAAAAAATGAAAAAAAAATGTTTGATCTACCCGCCAAAACTTGCAGGTTTTTGAAGCAGCCGGAAGATTTCCCCGGTTTTTGTCATCATTTGAAGCACCAACCTACAAAACGGCCCTTTTTAATATTTTGGACGGATTGTAGGCTGAAATACTCGACTTCAAGTTTCTAAGTAAGTCTCTAACTTCAGCTTGAAAATAAAAATTAAAGATGAGAAAATTTCGATTTTCAGAACCATTCGAGAGGAAACTGCGAACGGACTGACAAGTTCGAGAATTTTCGGAAGCTCCACAAAATGTCTACTTTCGTCGTATTTGTCTTGGTCTTCTTGATTGCTTCAATGGAAGCAAAAGTTTTCCGGTGCCCATTTCGGCACGCGAATCACTCGAGAAGAAACTGTGAAAGATCGGATGATTTCCGAAAATTTGTTGAAGCACACCCAGAAGAAAAAAACCGACGCCCAGATATTGATCCACACACCGAAGATCTATATGAACAGGAACAGGTTAGTTATCTCAGAAATTTATCCGATTCATTTAACAATTCCTATTTTCAGCTCAAGTATTGCTGCTATGAAGAGCAATGCTTGATTGAATGTGGCTACAACCTCAAAGAACTATACAACAATGAATGGGCAACTTACAACGCACAACACCCTGAAAAACTCGTCAACCTACATGAAGATGAATACAAAAAATTTTTCAACTACATAGATGACACCGAATACCAAATGCTGGCCACAGCCGATGCCAGGATAGTGGGATTTTGGAAGATACGCGCGACCCACTTCAACAAAAAGAAACCTAGCATTGATCGACACACAGAAGACTTATACGAGCAAGAGCAGGTTAGTTATCTCAGAAATCTATCCGATTCATTTAAAAATTCCTATTTTCAGCTAAAATATTGCTGCTTCGGAGCTGAACTCTGGCGCGAATGCTGCACCGATTCAGGAAGATCCGCACTACTCATTTCAACAATAATTTCTGATGTATTCAACCCTATTTCCCTAATTTTCCCAAAATCTAATTTTAAACCCTAAAAACTAATATTTCTACATTCTCTACTATTTATTTAAGTAATAATAAACTTTTTCCACTGGAAAGTTATCAAAAATACGCTGAAAACGTGAAAAATTAGGCATTTCTGCTGAAAACCGCCCGAAAAATCAATTGGGCTACTGTAGCTGGCGGGAAAAGTGTGCAAACACCGGCACGTTTGCGGACCGTGGCATTTTATTTGCCGCGCACGTATTTTCTTTTTTTTCGGGCGGCGCATGTTTTTTTCGGGTTTTCTTTGGGAAAATTCCAATAATCAAGCTTTTTGATGATGGGAAATTTGAGGAAAATATAAAGGTTTGTGAATTTTGAAGGTTTTCATGAGAAAATTTGAATTTTTCAGGCAGAAAATGGGATTTTCGACGAATTGTTGGAGTTGGAAGTTGGATTTGGGAAAAAAATCGTCTAGGTTTGTGGTTTCATCAAAAAACTTTTGACCTACCCGCCAAATATCTCTCTCTCAAAACAATGTTCAAAAAAAATTGTCTAGTCTCAAATTTTCTTCAGTCTTCCATCTTTTCACCGCCGAAAATGCTCGGCCTCTTGATTTTCTCCGTCATTTTTGCCACAACACACAGGCAATAACGGAAGGATCCATAATGGATCCATTATGGATCCATCAAGTCCCCCGAGGTGATGGATCCATAAGGTGCACATAATGGATCCATCACACCGACCACTGATTGATCGTTGATGGATCGATGATTGATTCATGATTGATGCTTGATTTATTCAAAACTTTTAACACTTTTAAGACAAAAAAATTTATTGAAGCAAAAAAAAAAACAGTGATAGAAAAAAATAAAATAAAAATAATTCGAACTGCTAGAAGTCTACAACTATTTTTTTCTCAATATCAGGAATTTAGTTTCCTTTAGAAACTTTTGAATAAGTTTTTCTGACAAGGGAAGTGTTATGAGAACCCAGAGATTTTCAATGAGACATTTATATTTCTGTACAGTTTTCCACGCTGTGAAAGATTCCGTTTTCAGATTTTGCCGAGCGACTCTCTGAAGACGCCGAAAATTAGCCAAAAGTCCAGAATTTTGTGAAAATCCTGTTTTTGAGAGCCCCATATTCATTTTAGAGAACATTTTATGAAAAACTGAATTCATGACGCTGTTTTTTCCCTCTGAACATGAGCTATGCGCTCTAAAAACCGCAATGTTCACAAAATTCTGGACTTATGGATCATCTTCGGGCTCTTCAGATAGTCGCTCAGAAAAAAATGAACACAGGCAAATGCAAACTGACCGAATACTTGCCAAAAATTGAAAAACGGTCCGAAACTTGTACGTTTTGGACAAGTGTTGAAAACAGCCGGAAACCACTCAAAAACCGGCCGGTTTCTGCTCAAATTTAACAAAATCGGCCGGAAACCGGTGAAAAAACACGGCCGGTTACCGGTCAATTTTGGAAAAGCGGTCAGAAACCGGCCGGTTTTTAAGTGGTTTTCGGCCGTTTTCAACACTTGTCCAAAACGTACAAGTTTCGGACCGTTTTTCAATTTTTGGCAAGTATTCGGTCAGTTTGTATTTGCCTGTGGAAAACGGGATCTTTCTCACCGTAAAAAACTGCACAGAAACATATGTGTCTCATTGAAAATCTCTGACGATTTATAACACACTTCCCTTGTGAGTAACAAAAACTTTGCCTTGCTGAGTGTAGACTTCATACAGTTTGCGAATCTAACAAAAAATTAAAAAAATTAATAACTTATCTCATTATAAGGTAGTTGGCCGAGCTGCGCAGTCCTGTCGTTGTCCTCCCAGTTGTTTGTCCATCGCTTCTGCAATCAGATTAGACTTATCGTGAAACATTGTAAATTTTTAGGAGAAACTTACAATAACATCGCCATTTCCCGCCATAGATATCCATGTTCGATGCTCGAGCATTTTTGTGACGAATATACCTGAAAATATAGAGTTAAGCAGAAACTAAATCATATAATTACAGATTGAGAGAATGAGAAATACGAAAAATTAGGAGAAAATTAACTTAACACCATTACATGATTAGTGAAGGGCAGAACCGATGATATGAATTAAAAAAATAATAATTTGAAGTGAAGTATAGTAAAAGTTGTAAGAACAAACGTGATAGGTTGAATTGATGACTAATAACATTCACTTGGTGTGATGTTCTCTCAAATCGTCTAAGAAATTATAAAATTCAACCAGAAAATCTCAAATGAGCAGCTAAAGATAGTTCTAGGGACTGTTGAGCGGAGATACACTTCGTTTCAACCCTGTGTTGGGACGAACAAATAGAGAATACACGACGCAGACACAAAAAACCCCGAAAATTTTTTAGAAATGAGAATTCTTGGATCATCGCTGCAGGACCCAAGATTTGGCTGGTTGCCAGCCTCAGGCATGTTCATTTCGCTCGCCTGCCTTTCGCTAGGCGATTTTTATTGCAGGCGAACCTCGCCTCAGCGATAATCGCCTGCAGAAGAAAAGGCGTATCTCGCTTTCGCTGCCTTCGCCGCCCGAATCGCCTCAACCTGCTCTTTTGTTTCACCGTTTGTAGAAAACCAAATATTAAGATAACGATAAAGAAAATATTAATATTAATATTATTCATATGAATTTGTGTTTATTTCTTTAAAGCTGCATTAAAAATTACCTAAAATTTATTTCTTCGTTCAACTAGAATAACAAATAACAATGATAAAAATAAAACAACGGAAAGAGAAACAATAAATCAGAAAACAAACAAGAAAAATCAACATTTAGTTGATTTTTCGATTTCATGGGCTACCAAAAGTTTCTCCAAGAATGTGGTTTTGAGTCGTCGTCGATTATTGCGATAAGTATTTTTGAGCAATGAAAAGCTACGCTCTGTCGACGCTTCACTGGCCACTGCGCCAAACAGTTTTTTGGCAACCAGAGTGAGTTTCGGGAAAGTTGTCATGTTTTGTGGCCAGAAATGATGAAGACTGAGGCGGCTTTTTGTTGCCAAAAAGATTTGGAATTCGTCTTCTAGAGTTTCGGTCTGCTCTTCTCGCTTTAAAAATTTCGCCATTAAACCATTTTCGTTTGATGCGCGTGGCTTTGTAGGTGTTTTGGTTGGCTCAAGGTTCAAAATTTGAGATATTTTTTGAAGCGCTTTTTTTGCTTCTTTTTCTACGTCCAATTGGATCTGTAAAACAAAAGCAAACATTTCATGTATTTTGAAGAACAACTCACATTTAAAGAATTTATATTTTCTTGAACTTCTACTCTTTGAGGATCGAGTAGATAAGCCAAACAATGAAATTCGCTGATATCTTGAATATTGTGAAGGAGCGAATTGACTGCTGATTCTCCTAAGCATCTTGTTGTATCATCTAGAAGTTGAGCTTTTCGTTGAAAATGGATAATTAGGCCGATCATTGTTGGCAAAACTGCGTGAATTGTTACATCATCTTGCTGTAACAAAATTATGATTATTTTTAGAATTTATTCTTTTTGTACAGTACCTGGAAATAAATACAGATTTCATCGAACTCGGCAAGAGTTTCAATTGTATTTTCAATCATTGGCGTATTTGATATAAGTTTTAGAATGAGTTGTTTTCCTTGCTCATCGAAAGAATCCTTATGCTTGGCTAATGCATCAATGTTTTTAGAGATACTTCTCAGAACCATCAAATTCGACAACCATCTAGTTTCCACATAATTATCGACACGGTGCGGCAACAGCATTTTTATCTGAGTAATATCATAATTTTTTGTCAAAATTTTATAAAAATACCTACCGAAAATCGATTTTTAATTTTTTTAACCAAATTGTTGCAATCAGTTATGATGGATTCGATTTTCTTGAGATGGTCCAAAACATATTGTGGAAGACCAGAGTTTGCATACGGATTTATCGTATGTTGAGCGAGGATGTTGGACAAATGAGCGCTGCAACGCACATCTGAAAGTAATTACTACTTGAATTTTTTAAAATTTGGATAACTTACATTTTAGGAAATGTGAATCCCCGCACTTTCTCATATACGCAGCGCCGTCAGCAGTGAAGAGAAAATCTGATAAATCGACATCCAAATCATTCATTTTTTGGATCTCTTGCAAACACAATTTTGCGACTAAATCAGAATTTTTCGATGATTCGTTACACACGTTTATAGCCAATGGCAGAATGATTAATTTCCAACTCTTGTCGCCGGTCTTCTTATCAACAATAGTTTCGATATAGCTGACTTTTAAACAAAAAAAGTCGTGATGATTGCGACCAAAATCTGCTGAGAATGACGCAAACTTGTTGATTATTTTTGGTTTGATTCGCGCATATACAAGTTTCATACACATCTCCACGTTTTTTTGCATCGATTCTCTTATCACTTTTCTTTTGGGCATAATTATATTGAAATGATCCTTGGTCATGTATGAATGGATATTCACAACTCCTCTCAATAATTTCTGAAACGGGAGTGAATCAACTAAAAGAATTGCCGATCCGGATGCGACAATAAATTCCGAAATCAATCCAGTCAAAATGCGTTTTTCTTCAACAACAGTTTTTGGTGACAACTGATTTTTCTTGTGATTCTTCTCATCTTCCTCTCTTTTCATTTCCAAACACTTTCTCACGTGTGGCGTAACTGCTCCTCCTCCTCGTGAATACACAGTCTTGCATAACCCACAGAACACGAATTTCGTTCCATAATTTGTAACTCCATCCGAAACAATCACATTCTTGACAATCCTCGGATTATCCATTTCCCGCATCTGCAAAAATAACTTTTTTTTTTGATAAGAAGACTGAACCTACCAATCGATATCCTCCAATTGTAGCGCCTTGCACGATTTTTTGATAGTGAAGTTTCTTCATATCAAAAATCGATATTTTCTCAGCCGCACCATCTCCCTCTTTAACAACTTCAATAATTGGACCATCTTCACTTTCTTCTTCTTCATTTCCCGTCATGAATTCTCCCGAATCCTCATTTTCAACTCTAATATCATCTGGATCATCATCCTCTTCTTCCATTTGATCTAATTCAATCTCCTCTTCGCAAAATACTTCACAAACATCATCTTCGATTTCAACATCATCAAAATCATCTGAATCATCATCACTTTTCGAAGAAGCCATGGCACAACCGTGCGATTTTGCACAAAATAGGAACAAATTCCTGATGAAAAACAAAAAAAAATGTGAGAGCGTGGGAATGTTCGAGACCATTGTTTGTTTGTTTGATGTGTGCCTTTAAAAAAACTACGGTGGTTTTTCATTCGAAAAAAATTGAGAGGCGACTCGCCTGGCTTCGCCTCGCTTCGCCTTTACAATGAAAAACAGAAAAAGAGGCGTTTCTCGCCTTTCGCTTTTCAGCCAGAAGCGAACGCCGGCGATCGCCGGCGAAATGAACATGCCTGGCCAGCCTTATTAAATTTCGCGGTATTTTCAGTTTCGCGGGTTTTTCTTTCGCACTCTACACACTCTCTCTGTCTCTATTTGTTCGCCCTAAACGAAGTGGATAATCAGTCACCAAGTGAATTTCAAGATTCCCAGGAGAAACTTGATGCTCCAAGCTGAAATGAGTTCTTCACAACAGGAGAAAATTATTGAAAAACAACAAATGAATAGCTCACACGTCTAAATATCTATGAAATACATGAAGAAAACACATTTTGGCCTAATTCAGGCGTGTGAAGAGGATTTCCAATGTCCCACTATAATTCCTCACTCGTCAATAGTCCGGAAAAGGTTTTTCTATTCGTTCTACGTCTCATAAGTTACTCATTGCCCCTCAAAAACAGAAAAAAAACGAGAAAAAAGAAAAAAAAGAAAATTTCGAAATGCACACAAACGGCGTGCGCTGCGAGACCAACTCAAACAAATGTGTGCGCCTTTAACTGATTGTTTTCGCGCATCAATTAATCGAGTTTGGTGAAAAATGGTAAACACCATTCGATTCAGAATTTCACGCTGAGTAAAATGATATAAAAATCATCCCTCTCTGTGAAAGTTTTTGAGTTTACTTTTTTGGAAAAAAATTGAATGATTTTTCGGCTACAAGTGTTATTTTATATCACTTTGTAGTGATGACAACAATATTCCTTCAAAAAATAGTTAAAATAATTGTTCTTGGACCAAATACTTCTGACTTCTATAAACTCTTGTTCTTGATAAATCACGGATCAATCATGGATCAATCAAAATCACTGATTGATGCGAGATAGGTCTCTGATTGGTCTCAGATGGATCCAAGATGGGTCAAAATCGGTGATGGATCCATAATGGATCCATTATGGATCCTTCCGTTATTGCCTGTGCACAAGCTCAAGTCAATCTTGAAGAAGATCTTGATTGTCCCTTCAAATGGATTAACAATGATACAATGAATTGCGTGTATTCGGATCGATGGCTGGAAAGTTTGAGTAAAAGACCGTGGTTGAGAAATGCGAGAACGGATATTGTTGCGAAAGAAGCGACGGAAATGGAAAAACTAGAGGTTAGTACATTTTCTAGCGATTTTTTCAATTGAAAATCTCAAATTTTCAGAAGGAATTGTGTTGCTATGAAACGTTTTGCCTCGCACAATGTGGTGTTTTTGAAGGATATATAAGGGATCTGGAAATTCTTCCAATTTATCCTGACACATTCATTGATGAGATCATCGAACATTATCCCGAATTCTTCAAGGTAAAAATTCAGTTTGAAACCGGCTAAATTTGAATTTTCAAGCTTCCCGCTAGAATTTGCATTAGAGCGCATTTTTGTCTTGGTTTTGGACAAAGACAGAAATGCGCTCTAATGCAAATTCTCGTGGGAAGATTGAAAATTCAAATTTTCGGGTGAAATTATAGATTTTCAAGCATTCCCGCGAGAATTTGCATTAGAGCGCATTTTTGTCTTTGGAGGTTCAAAATGACCGAAAATCATGAAGAAAAACGTGGATTTTCGGTCATTTTGAACTCCCACAGACAAAAGTGCGCTCCAATGCAAATTCTCGCGGGAAGATCGAAAATTCAAATTTTCCGGGTGACACTAAAATCTCAAATTTTGCAGGAATACAGTGCAGAGGAGGTTCAGCTCATCAAAAATCACACGGCAAACGACACGGTGGATTCAAATTGGGATGTTCGATACAAACATCTTGATATGATTTTGGTGGAAAGCGGACGGAAAAGAATGGAAGACGAAATCAAGGCTGCAAATCGCATCGAATTGAATGCGATTTTGATTTTGATTTTGCTCACAATCGGACTCTTTTATTGAATTTCTTGTTTCACTGAAACTCGCATTTTCCCTCTTTGTATTTAAGATTAAAAAATCCAAAAACTTATTAATTATAATCATTCTTATGTTGAAATCCTATTTTTTATGATGATGATCACTAATTCCATAATAAACTTTGTTTAATATCAAAAATAATTGAAGGGTTTCTAGTTGGTCGAGATCTTTACATCATAATTTTTAACAGCTGAAAATAGACTGTTTCAGATTTGCATAATTATAGACTTGGAGCTGAGAATTTTCGAGGGATTTTCTGATTTTCACCTGAAAATTCCAGTTTTCCCCGTAGAAAACCTGTTTTTTCCAGAAATTTCTGAAAAGCTTGATAATTTCCTCAAACTTCCAATCAGCAAAAACCTAGATTTTTCTCATTTTCCCGGAAAAAAAAAAGAAAAAACGTGCGCGTCAAATAAAATGTCACGGTCCGCAACACTGTCGGTGTTTGCACACATTTCCCGCCAACTACAGTAACCCAATTGATTTTTAATTCATTTTTTTCAGTTTTTCCAGCTGAATTTTCAGGTTTTTCAGCTCATTTTTGATGAATTTGCAAAGCCAATTATACTTTTCCTACTGTTTTAACCAAATTTGTGTTTTCGTCTGAAAATTTGATGATTTTTGAGTTTTTGAAGTCTCCGCCCATTTCGAGGTTTGCTCAACTAGATAAATTTCGACAAGGAACCAAAATTTAATGAGAAATCTAGAAAGGAACGTGAATTTTTCGAAAATTATCAAAAATCCGCTCATTTCTCAAGATTGTTGAACCCAAAAATGTATATTTAGCTCAAGTTGGACAGAATCAAAGAATAATTGCAGATTTCAGACAAAAAAGATGTTTGATGACGAAAATGTGAGTATTTTTAGACGAGTTCGAACAACCAATCTTGAAAAATGCACATTTAGCACCAAAAATCAGGAATTTCAGGGCGAAATACAGTTTTGAGCTTGAAAATCACTAATTTTCGCACTAAAAACTAGACAAAGCTTTGAATACGGCTTCTAGTTGCCACGTGGCAACAATTCCAGCCAAAACATGGATTTTCAGACGAAAACCCGGAAAAAATCGATTGGATTACTGTAGCACACGGGAAATGTGTGCAAACACCAACACTATTGCGGACCTTGGCATTTTATTTGACGCGCACGTATTTTCTTTTTTTTCGCGCCGCCTGTGTTTTTTTCGGGTTTTCTTGGGGAAAATGGGATTTTTGTAGAGTTTTTTTGATTTTTAGTTGAAGGAAAAGCTAGATTTCAAAGGAAAACATGTTTTTTCTGGACGAAAATGAGATTTTCAACGAAAAAAAAGACAATTTTCTCTAAAAATTTATTAATTTCATTATTTCGTATTTACCCGAACTCCATGAGTTGTGAATTTACGTTGTCGATTTTAATCTAATCATCTTTGTTGAGTTCTGATAAGTGGTGACCGCATTGAACCAAACATATTTGCTCGAAGCAGCAGTATTTTAGCTGAAAAATGAATTTTCGAATTTTCTCATCAATCAAATACATTTATAACTCACCTGTTCGTGCTCAAAATTGTCTTCGGTGAAAAATTTCAACAATTTAGATGTCGAATTGAAGTTTGTTGTACTTAAATAATTGGTGTAGAATTTCGACTTCGATCTACGACATCCAAAAATTCTTCCACTTCGGCCAACTCTTCCTAGGAATCACAAAAAATCGGGAAATTTTTTGATTAATTGAATGTCGGTGGGGTCCATAAAGTTGACGTTAATTTGCACTGAAAATCGATGAAATTTTGCTTAGAATTTTGAGAAGAACATGACAAAAACCAACCTTTTATAAAGTTTTCGGCAGAATTTCGACAATTTAGATGTCGAATTGGGGTTAGTTGTTGAAGAAAACTGGACGATTTCGGGGAAAACTGATTTTTTTCGGGGCCGCCCGAAAATTCTAGAAAAAATATTGGATTTTGCGTTTTCGAGGGGTAGATCAAAACGAAAATTTTATTGATTTTTGGGTCAAAAAGGGCCTAACGAGCCTGAAAAAGCCTAATAGGGCCTTGAAAGCTTTCAAGGTCTAATAGAGACTGTGACTAGGCTTGTTTGGGCTCATTTTGCACCCGATTTTTTATAGAAAAACTTGGCTACGTGAAAATTCGCAAATCCCATTCAATTATGAATAATTGTGCGTTTTCTAGTTGAAAAATAGAGATTTTCGAGCAAAAAACACTCAATTTTCAGTTGCAAAAATCTGTTTCAGCTACAAATTATTCGATTTCGAAAAAAAAAACACAAAACATCTGCCACGTTTCCCAAAAAGTTCGTCTCAAGTTGAAAAAATTTCATGCACTTGTAAACAACTTTGATTATAAGTTAGCATAAGTTTATCTCAAATTAATCACAAATAACAGAAATCCCTAGATAGTGTACGAAATTGAGAGACACAGAGATGGAAATTGTATTTTTGAACTCTTTGAGTTGTTTTTTTCCTCTCTGCGTCTCTCAATTTCGTACACTATCTAGAGATTTCTGTTATTTGTGACTAATTTGAGATAAACTTATGCTAACTTATAATCAAAGTTGTTTCTAAGTTCATGAAAATTAGGGGTTTTAGGAAAATACTGAGAAAATGTATACAATGTTTGATTTGGCCAGATTTTTGAGCTCTGAAGTTTAAGGTTTTCAGCTGGAAAGTGATCAGACATAACTTCTGATCAGCCCCAAACTTCAGCATCAAATTTGAAGATTCAAAAATCCTAAAAACCCGAATTTACCCCTAAAAAAAGAAAATACGTGCGCGTCAAATAAAATGCCACGGTCCGCAACACTGTCGGTGTTTGCAGACTTTTCCCGCCAGCTACAGTACACCAATCCATTTTCCGGGCGGTTTTTTCTTTTTTTCCGGGTTTTCGTCTGAAAATCCATGTTCTAGCTAGAATTTTAGCTTGGTTTTTTGCCACGTGGAAACTAGAAGCTGTTCACGAAGCTTTTCCGGGTTTTTAGACGAAATATTAGTGAATTTTAGGCCAAAAATTCAAACGTTTGTCCTAAAATTCATGAAAATCCGCATTTTCAGATGAAAATAGAGTTTTTTTGAACAAAACACAGTTTTAAAACAAATATTTATTGATTCAATGAGTTCAAGATCAAAAACGAGGCTTCGGCTAAAACTTCGAGGTTCTAAAGCAAAAAACAAGGTAACAAGTTGATTAATCAAGAATTATTGTTTATTCAAGCGTTCGCGATGACGGTCAAGATAAGGTCTTCTGTTGTAGAGATGAGCTGCGCGGATTTTCCAGAACTCCATGAGTTTTGAATCGTTGTGGGCGAATTGAAGGTTGTAGAACTCTTTCTCGTCAACATTCACGAAGAATTCTGGGTAGATCCGGAAGTATTTTCCAATATCTTCTCTAACATGCTGTGCAATATCATTGTTGTAGAGTGAGCTATCTGAATGGCCGCATTTGAGCAAGCATTCGATTTCGTAGCAACAATATTTCAACTGAAAATTGATTTGGGTTAATTTTTCGTGTGTTTTTCCGGATACGCGGACGAAAATTGATTTTTCGTCCGCGTGCTATACCTACCGATTCGTAATCATAGTAGCTCGCATTTTCCGGTCTCATATCTGGCCGGAGATTCTTGTGCGCCGGATGTTCCTCAAGATATTTCATGAAGTGCGAGCTTCTCTCGCAATTCCTCAACTTGTTCTCGTAGTGCTTGAAGGGACAGTAGAGCAATTTGGCAGCCGCCAAAGCCACAAAGGCCAAGATAAGGATTGTGGTTAGGGCAGACGACATTTTCAGCTAGCTGGCTGGCTGAAAATGAACACCGCACTGCGCTAATCCCCTCGTTTTATATGGGGGAGGCGGAGTTTGAGCAGATAGCGAAGATTAGAAGTCAAGTTTGATGTTCTAGACACGCCCTTGATGTTTGGTCTTGGCTGGTGGATGGTGTTCGGTGAAATCGTAATAGGAATCTAGAGCTTCAAAATGACACCAAACGTGCCATGTCATAGCTCGAATTTTCTCTGAACCCGGAAGTAACAGTTTGGCGTTCCAAATTCCATTTTTCCTTGATTCTGGTCAGATTGGTGGTCCGATTGGTCCGATTGGTCCGATTGAGATCAAACAACTAAAGACCGAATTCACAAAAGTGCTGTACGAAAAATTGCCTAAGATAATTTTTTGGTACACCAAAAATTTTTTCATTAATTTTTGGTATACAACTTTTGTGAATTCGGCCCCAAATTTGCCACGTCATAGCTCAAAATCCAAGTCCATCCCGATTTTCTGCTCAAATCCTCTCATTTTAAGTCCGAGATCAAACAACTAAACTTTTTTGCTCACTGAATACGAAACTAATTACATTGTATACATTTTCTCAGTATTCTGTCAAAACCCTATAATTTTCATGAACTTGTAAACAACTTTGATTATAAGTCAGCATAAGTTTATCTCAAATTAGTCACAAATAACAGAAAATCTCTAGATAGTGTACGAAATTTAGAGACGCGGAGAGGAAAAAACTCAAAGAGTTCAAAAATACAATTTCCATCTCTGCGTCTCTCAATTTCGTACACTATCTAGAGATTTCTGTTATTTGTGACTAATTTGAGATAAACTTATGCTAACTTATAATCAAAGTTGTTTACAAGTTCATGACAGTTCTCTAACCTGAGACGAACTTTTTGGGAAACCTGGCAGATGTTTTGTGTTTTTTTTTTTCGAAATCGAATAATTTGTAGCTGAAACAGCTGAAAATTGATGTGTTCTCAAAGAAACTTTGCTCTTTTTGGGAGAAAATAACAGAAAGTGATCAACTAGAAAATGAACAATTATTCATAATTGGATGGTTTTTGTGAAATCTCACGTAGCCAAGTTGTTTGATCAAAAATCGGGATTTTCATGGTGAACGTGGGAAATTCCAGATTTGAAGCCAAAAAAATCAATTTTCCCAGTTTTTCGTCTGAAAATCCTGGAATTTTGAGCTTTGGCTAGTTTTAGACCGAAATTTTGTGGTTTTTAGGCTCAGAACTCCATTTTGTCGTAAAATTTCTGATTTTTGTCTACTATGACGTGGCATCACTGAAAATAGCGTCAAAAATAGACTTAATCCTGTTAGAAAATGTTTACTAGTATTGATATCATACTAATAATCCTCTTGATTAATTGGATTAACATTTGAAACGGGAAAAATTGTTGCATACAACTTTTTTCGGATTATCGTATTTTTGGCGCCGAAAAAATCGAGGGATAACGGAAATTTTGAGCTTGCATAAAAAATGCCTAAAATTTGGACTCAAAAAGTGATCTTCTCAGTTGTGCTCTCCTACTTATCTACACATATTTTCAGACAAAAATAGTCTGGAATTATAGTTTATCCGAGGATTTTCGCATTTTCAGAATGTATTTCTAGAGACTTTGAGAAGTTCATGCTAATCTTCTTCATTTTTTCTTTTTTTTTTGAATGACGAAAGTGTTTTTTTGGTCGGGGAAGGGATTTACCTAAATAAAAATAAGCCTGAAACGGGCCTAAATCATAGAAATAGGCTCTCCAGATAAATTATAAGTGCACAAGGAGCTCTAAGGCCATCCTTAGGCTTTCTCAAATTTTGTAAGGCCTTATAAAGGCTTTTTCAACAGTGCTATTCCTATTTTTGTCTTTTCTAGATTTTTTATTCTTGTTCAAGCCTGAAAAAGCCTATTTTCTTTGGTCAAGCCTAAGATAGGCCTATTTTTCATGGTCAAGGCTAAAAAAGGCCTATTTTTTTTGGTCAAGCCTATTTTTCCAAGCTAAGCCTAATATAAGCCTATTGTCTTTGGTCAAGCCTTAAATAGGCCTATTTTCCAAACCAAGCCTAAAAAAGGCCTATCTTTCTTAGTAAAGCCTGAGAAAAGCCTATTTTCCCTGGCCAAGCCTAACATGGGCCTATTTTTCCTGGTCAAGCCTTAGATAGGCCTATTGTTCTCGGTCAAGTATAAGGTAGACCTATTTTTAGTGATTTCCAGCCTTTCTAGGCTCGTTCTAACCAGATTTTGGCTTTTTTCCTCAATTTCAGGCCCTTCAGGCTCTTCCAGACCATTTTCAGCCTATATTCCATCTTGTCTGCAAAAAATACTTTGCTCTTTTCCAGTGCAACAACTATACGATTTAGGCTCCGCCCACTTTTTTTGATTTAAGATGTGATGTCTATAACTATGCATGAACTAAACTACAAAATGTGTTTTGCAGGTGCGTCAGACAAAAAAAAGTCTGAAAAAATTGTTGTAAACAAGTTTTTTTTCGACGAATAAGTTGAAGTCAGAAAGAATGATTTTTGATGCTCTTGGAAATTTTTGCAAAAGGAAAAATGGCTGAAAAATAGGAAAAATCAGGAATTTTAGGACAAAATGTTTGTTTTGAGCCTGAAAATCACAAAATTTCGAGGGAAAAACTGGAAAAATCGATTGGATTACTGTAGCTCGCTGGAAAAGTGTGCAAACACCGACAGTGTTGCGGACCGTGGCATTTTGTTTGACGCGCACGTATTTTCTTTTTTTTGGGAAAATTTGGGTCTTTAAAACTTGTTTCATCGAGAAAAAGCTCAAAATTTGTGGTTTTGGCAGGAATTTGGGAGAAAATTGAGAATTTCATGAAATTTGGCTGATTTTCGCTTAAAAACCAAAAAATCCCAAAGTTTTCCCCATTTTTTGTTGTTGTTTCAAACCTAGAAAAAAGTCGTTCATCTTCTCTTTTGTTTAACATGAGTCATGCCCAAAAAATCTAGTTCTCCTTGAGTTTTCTTATCTTATTTTATCATCTTTTTTTTGTTGTGTTCAAAATAGATGGGGAAAAAATGGGGGTTACTGTAGGGAGATGAGAAAAAAAAGAAGAAAATAGCGAAGTTTTTGGGCATGACTCATCAAAAATGTGGAAAATGAGAAGAAAATTGTGAAAATCACGTTTTTTGGGGGGAAAATCTTGTGATTTTTGGGCCAGATAGGGGTACTGTAGAATGTAGATGTAAATTTGGCTTTCAGAAAAAAAATTATTTTTTATAGGGATGATTCGCGAACCAAAAATATTTCAAAAAAAAATTTTCAACATTGAAAGATCAATTCACGAAAAGTCAAAAAATGTCGAAAAACATTGTAAATCAAAAAAAAATGATTTTTTCGAGTTTTTCAGCCAAAAATGATGACAAATCGAGATTTTCAGAGCTTCTGGAGCGATTTCTGATGAAAATAAGCTTCGAGAGCCATAATTTACCTCATTTTATTAATTTCCTCGAAATTCATCAAAATTTGAATTTTTTATTTTACGAAAAATCAACACAAACTTCGGCAAATTGGATTCCGAGGTCTTTTTCACAAGTTTGTGTTGATTTTTCGTGAAATAAAAATTTTTTAAATTATGATGAATTTCGAAAAAAATAATGAAATCAGGCAAAATAGGGTTCTCGAAGCTTATTTTCATCAGAAATCACTCCGGAAGCTTCAAAAATTATTGATTTGTCATCATTTATGCCTGAAAAACTCGAAAAACTAATTTTGACCTATAATGTTTTTTGACTTTTCGTGAATTGACCTTTCAATGTAAAAAAAACGTTTTTTTCGTTCGCAAATCAGCTCTTGTGTGGTAATGGTGCAAGCGGTTAGCGTCCACGCGTTCGTGAAATTTCGTCCACGAAATTTTGCTCGCGGGTTCGATCCCGGCCCGAGACTAGCATTTTTTTCATATTGTTTTTTTTCTTTTATCATTTTTCATGGGTTTTACACCGAAAAACGCCAAATTTTTGCTATGACGTGGCAAAACCCTTTAAAAAATTCCCTTAGAACTTCCCGTTTTGAAGAAATTTTCAAAATCCCCCCTTATTTCCTATTATTTTTCCATCACCCAACATTTTCTCTATCCTTCAATTTATTTTCGAAACTATACGAAAATGGGCGACTCCGCCCATTTTCTTCACGGTCATCTGATAAGATTACTGTACAAGGAAAAATTCGAAAGCAACAAAAAAAGTTGCAACTTTTTTTTTTGGGTCAACAAAACATCGGGGGAAATAGGAAAAAAGAGAAAATTTATATTTTTTATCAATTTTCAAGATTTAAGTACAAACTTAATTAATTAATTAACTAATTAATTAATTAGGAAGCGGTGTAAAAGTACATTCAATAGTTGTATCAGATTCGACGCGATTCACCTGATAAACTTTGATTTTTTTAATCGCCGCCAGGCGAAAATACAAAATTTCCAGCAAAAACAAAAAACTGGAAATTCCGAGGCCAATCAGATAAATATAGAATAGTTGCTCCAAATGTTTTTTCAAGCTCAGACGCGTCTTTTTCACTTGAACTGTGATGTCTTCCGGTTGTTTTTTGGTGCCATAACCTGGTCCGAGAGTTATGCTGGCGATTCCGGGAAGGATTTTGAGGAGCGCTTTGTTGAACCTGGAATTTGGTTATGGTTATGGTTTTGGTTTGGGAAAGGGCTGGGCCTAGGCGTAGGTCTGATCTTAGGCTTAAGCTAGGCGTTGCCGCTTCGCGGAAGCTTGCGGTTTACACACGCGCAGAGCGCTCAGGGCTTTCAGCTCAACCCTAGTCTTAGCCGCTTCGCGGAAGACAGTGCCGCTACGCGGAAGCTTGCGGTTTACACTCGCGCAGAGCGCTCAGGGCTTTCAGCTCAACCCTAGTCTTAGCCGCTTCGCGGAAGACAGTGCCGCTACGCGGAAGCTTGCGGTTTACACTCGCGCAGAGCGCTCAGGGCTTTCAGCTCAACCCTAGTCTTAGCCGCTTCGCGGAAGACAGTGCCGCTACGCGGAAGCTTGCGGTTTACACTCGCGCAGAGCGCTCGGGGCTTTCAGCTCAACCCTTGTCTTAGCCGCTTCGCGGAAAATAGCGAGTGTAAACCGCAAGCTTCCGCGTAGCGGCACTGTCTTCCGCGAAGCGGCAACACCTATGCTTATGTCTTAACCTACACATGAGCTTAGGCCGAGCGCTCTGCGCGAGTGTAAACCGCAAGCTTGCGCTTAGTGGCCGGGCCTAGCCACAGATAACCAGAAGCCGAAGCCTAGAAGTTCGGGCACTCTGGGCTTACCCAGAGGTTATCTAAGCCTAAGCCCAGTAGCCCCCCTCAAAACCCACATCTGACACAATTTCCGATTGCTAATACTAAACCCAAACGCCACATAGCTCACAATTCCAGCCGTGTCTCGAATCACCGTCAAACCCTGTCGCTTATCCCACGTCGACACAGCCTGTGGCAAAAATTCGATATCATAAGTCGAATAAAACACGCCGCCCTTCTGAATCTCCTTGATCAGATCCGATTCTTTGCTTCGCACAACAATCGGATTGAATTTCATGGCTTCCGAAATAATCCGCTGATTTTTGACACTCGAACCTTCTAGACTATAATTGAAGTAATAGGTGAGATATGTCTCTTTTTTATATAATTGCTCGGCGAGTTGATCTTGATGTAGGAATGGAATTCGAGACGATGGTGGAGCTGTTAGACGAGAATTCATTGATGTTTGATAGTATTGGGCGATTGACATCATTGAAATTATCAGAAAGCCTTCGAGGAACTGAAAAAATCCAGATTGTCGGTCTAGGCTTCTAGACTTAGTCTAGCCTAAGCCTTAACCCTAGGCTTAGGCCCCCCCCCCGCTGAAGCTTGCGGTCTACACTCGGGCTCTTGTTCAGCTTCTCTGCGTCTCTTATCTTCTCTTCTCTCTAACCTAATCTGGCTCTCTATTTTCACTGCGTTTCTCAAATTCCCATGCTCTCTTATTGGCTCTAGCTTCTCTGCGTCTCCAATCTTCTAGTACACTCCAGGATCTCTGTGTCTCTAGTCTCTATACACATTTCCTCTAGCTCTCTGGCTCCTCTTAACATCTTATGATCTCTAGCCCAATCTAGCTTTCTATTCTCTCTGCGTCTCTCAAACTACTTTGCTGTCTCAATGGCTCTAGCTTCTCTGCGTCTCTAATCTTCTAGTACACTCTAAGCTCTCATGATATCTACCCCACTCTGCGTCTCTTACCATCGTCGACACCGCCGACGGATCCTGAACCCTCTGATTCAACATCAATCCAAACGTCTCCAAAACACTACTAAAATAGATGTTGAACTTCGAGCCAACTCGACTATCCCAATAAAGTGCACACATGAATCGAACAGTAGAAACCGCCATAATTGTGGCCAAGAGCAGAATCCACATTTCGGTGGAGAACGGGGCGAATACGAAATTGCGGAAATCGTTTTCCGGAGGCCGACGGATTATGTAGACTTGCTGGAAGAATTTATATATGTATCTTAGGTGGCCTAGGAAACCAATAGGGTTCAAAAACTCGGCCATGTGCTTTATCTAGCTTAAAAATGCTCCCAAATCGTACATTTTAGCTCATTTTCTCCCGTTTTTTCTGTCGCGCACCTGAAAATATCGAATCGGAAATGTGAAATGTGCAAATTGCATTCGATCGGGCGTGATTCGCATTGATAATCCACTCATATCGATCTTGTCTTTCGCCAACAGTCCCATTATTCCGCTGAAATTTCCGTCTGGTTGAAGATTACCGAAATCATTCACCACGTTGAAACGAGCCTCTGTATCGATCTGTATTGTCAAAAAAACATGAAAAGTTTTTTTTTGTAATTTTAAAATGATGAGGTGGCATTTTTTGATTTATTTTACATGCGCGCTTTCATTTTCGTGTATTTCTCTCGGAAAAATTGGTTTTTCTCAAAAAAAATTCTTTTCTATCAAACTTCATCGTTTTTCTCGATTTTTACATCAAAAAATCGCAAATTTTGGTTATGACCTGGCAAAAATTCCCTTACAACTTCCCACTGCCAATCCAACAATTTCATAACCATCGAAATGATCTCCACCTCGGCTCCCGGTTTATCGCACGATTTTTTCGGCATCCGCCGGAAACAATTGAACGCGTCCGGATCGTGCTCGAAAATTCCGACGCGGATCGGACGACCTATCGGTGACCATGACATTTTTGGCTGAAAATTTCGAATTTTTTTGAGCTGAAAATGGGAAATTTTTGAGCAAAAGTGATATTTTTTTTAGAAAAAAAAAAAATTATACACTTTGAAATTTTTTGGGATCAAATTTCATGATGCACTTGAAAAATTCAAGTGCATTTTTGAATTTTTTGTTTATTTTTTTTGGTTTAAAATTAATTAATCAAAAGCTAATTAATTACTTCCGTGCAACAGTTGTCTTTTTTCGTTTATTTTCGAAAGTCAAATAAACAGCAGAAAAAAAGGAATGTTTTAGGGACCAAAAATTTGAAAGTTTTTACTTATGTTATGACCTGGCAAATCTACAGTAAGGAATTTTTCTATCCTTGATCATTGATCAAGAATAGTTTTCAAAAAGTTTTTTCCTTCAAAAATCACATAATTTGTAGTCAACTTCTAATTCGATTAGTCTAGACTTCCGAGAACGTTTAAAAAATAAACAAAATGTGGACCTTTGATGCTTCCTGGTTACAGTAGATGTTTAGTTAATGTCTAGTCTAATTTGTAGTTCCGAAAAACACATATTTTTGTATATAGTTTGGTCAGGAAAATGTCGAGTTCCGGTAACTTTCTCTGATAAAAACACAATAAAACAATTTAATAAACATGTTTCATTATACCGTGATTTGTGTTCAGAGAAAGACTTATCTTAATTAATAAAGACCAAACATTTTTGTTGTTTTTGGTTGATTTGGGAAGAAATTTGGCGCCAAGACCCATTTTTTGGTTTTTAAATTTCGACGAAATTCGATTTTTTATCTGATCAAAGCACAGAGAAACAACAATTTTCATTTTTTCCGACGTCAGAGAACATCTAATCTAAGACCAATAAATGAACAGAGGGGATAATTTTTTAGCCCCAAATTTTTTGTCCGGTTAAAAATCGCAACTTTTTCTGTTTGATTGATTGGAAACACGTGATTAGGAACGTTTTGCAACAAAAAAAATCTAGTTTCCAAATTTTTGACCGGTCAAAACAGTATAGTTTGTGATTTTTTGTGTCCAATGTTCTGGCGCCACAGATCTTCCTAAACTAGACATAAACAAAACATCTATGTAGTCCTAATTAATCAAATTAATTTGGATAAGTCTTTTTTCTTCTTTCGAAACACAAATCACGAATTGATAGAGAAATCAACAAGAAAAGTCGCGCAACAATTAAAATTGTTTCTTTGTGGTTTGATTATTTTCGTAGGAAAACTTTTTGATCATAGTGATCATTGAACAATTTTCCATCGATTTCGACGTCAGAGAACAATCTAAGACCAAAAAATGTTGCGAAAACCGAAAAATGGGGTTTTTCCGAGTGTTTTGGCCAAAAATGCGGTTTTTTGTGCTAAAAATTCTCATGTGATAGATATATACGTGAAAAGGAAAAGAACGATTTCATCTCCTGATCAAACTAGATAGATACAATTTTTTGGTTCGAGAGAAAACATCTTTGATAGTTCCTTTTGTGTGAGATCAAACCAACAGAAAATTGGGGATTTTTGGTATAAATAATCAACTAAAACGACAATTTCAAAGTTTTCGCGCAAGTTAGCTAAAATCTCGGATTTTAATCGTATTCATAGGATATACGGGACTGAGACAATTCGAAAGATATGATTTTTGATGAGTTTAGGTTACCCATAAGTGATTTATTGACTTAAAAACCGCTAAATCACTTATGGGTAACCTAAACTCATCAAAAATTATATGATTCGAAATGTTTTAGACCCGTATACCCTATGAATACGATTAAAATTCGAGATTTCAGCGAACTTGCGCGAAAACTTCGAAATTGTCCTTTTAGTTGGTATCTATACCAAAAATCCCCAATTTTCTGTTGATTTTTTGATTTCAAAATGTTCGCTTGACACACAGTGAACTATCAAAGATGTTTTCTCTCGAACAAAAATTGTATCTAGTTTGATCAGGAGATGAAATCGTTCTTTTCCTATTCACGTAGGTATTTTAATAAAATCTTTAATGATTTTATCTCCCAAATCACAATATTTACCGTTTCTGTTGCTGATCTTATATCTATCCGGTTTAAAAACGAATGCAACATCACTTTTGTTGTTTTTCTGCTTTCGTTGTCACCAAATTGTTGTTTGATCTCACATTGGTATCTTTCATTTCATGATAACTGTTCAGAAGAAAAAAAAAAGGATTTTTCGTAACACAAAGATAAATACACGTTTTTGTAGTTTGATCGAAGTGGTTTTGACAAGAGAAACATGAAAAATATGTTTTCTAGCAGAATTTGGAGCGCTGATCATTGTCTCGTTGTCAAAAACTGCAAAGCTCAACTTTTAATAAGAGCTATGACGTGGCAAAATTTACTAAATTCAATCTAGTTAGAAGCCCTCGTTCAGTCGTGATTTTCCAACTTTGCCACGTCATAACTCATATTAAAAAGTCGAGCTTTGCAGTTTTTGACAACGACATGATGATCAGCGCTCCAAAATCTACTAGAAAACATATTTTCATTGAAAATCCAGCCTGGCGAGTTTCGGCCACACCCAAGCTTAGGCTTAGTCCTTAGCTTAACTCCTTAGGCGTAAGCTAATTGTAAGGACTAAACCTAAGCCCAATTTTCCCTATTTCTCCTCACAAGACACAAAAAAACCGTTCGAAAATGATGTTTGAAACCAAAAAAAAGTTCGTCAAACTCATCTCTTTTCAAGTTGTTCTAATTTCTCCCCAATCTTTTTTGTCATCTTTTTTCGTGTATCGACCAAAAAAAAAGATGAAAAAAGCGTTCAAAACCATCTTTTTCCCTAGCCGATCATTTTTTGCAACAAATACGGACACTACAGTAAGCCAGAGAGAAAAGATGACATTTTCGAAGCAAAAAAGATGGAAAGATAGGGAAAACTAGAAAAATTTGGGGATTTTTTAACAAATTTTGAGGAGTTTCATGAAAGTTCAGTGAAAATTTCAAATTTTTTCCACGTGGAATTGAATTTTCCTCAAAAACTCGAAATATTGCATCATTTTCAGACTTTCTTCGATGTGTCCCAGCTAGAAATGATTTTCCAATTTCCACATCACAAAAGTTCACGTGTTTTCATCAAAAAATCAAAATTATCGTGAAATATTGGCATTTTTCCAGCTAAATATCGATTTTTCCAGATTTTTTCGTTCAGAGAACTGCTGAAAATCCAGAATTCCTCTCAATTTTCATTTTTCGGTTTCAAAATCGATTTTTTGACCATTTTTTCCCTGAAAATCACAAACTTTAGCTTTTTCTTCAACTGAAAACCAAAAAAATTCTGCGAAAATCTCATTTTCCCAAAGAAATCCCGAAAAACAAAAGAAAATACGTGCGCGTCAAATAAAATGCCATGATCCGCAACACTGTCGGTGTTTGCACACATTTCCTGTGAGCTACAGTAATCCAATCGATTTTTCGCCCGGTTTTCAGGCCTAAAATCTGTGAACTTTGTCTGAAAATGAAGAAAAAGTGAGGGTTTTTGAGAAAAATACATATTTATTGACAATTTGAGCACAGCAACAAGAGAAAAATGAATATTTCATGGGAAAATTGAGAAAAATCGATAATTTTCAACAAAATGGGGAAAAATGAGGTGTTTGGAACTAGAGTGAGGTAATTGAGACGAAAAAATGAGGGTTTTTGGAGATTTCGAAGAATTTTTGGTGAATCTTTGAGATTGAGATGAATTTTGAGAGTTCAAAGTGATTGTTTTGGTTTTTTGGTTTTTTTCATCGAAAATCAAACATCTTCATCCCTCTTCTTCCTTTCTTCTGCAAATCTTTGCTTCCTCTCGATTTTCCCTCGATTATCCGACAATTCCAACAATTTTATTTCCCAATGCTCAATTACTATATCATCAGCCGAATCATCCATCAATTGATCGATTTCCGTTTTGTTGAAAACCTGAAAACCTCAGATTTTTGGTGAAAAAAACTAATTTTTCCTCAAAAAAAACTCACTTTGAAGAAAGAATAATATTTTTGTATCAATTGGGGCAGGTTGTCTGGCATTTTTCTTCCAAAATAACTGTCCTCGATGTAGTTCGAGCCAAATCCACAGTCGTGAAGGCAATGCCTTTCATAACAGCATTTTTCAACCTGTAGAAATTCAATTTTGAAGAAAAAAACATACAGGGTGATTCAAGAACGGTATTTTTATTCATTTTTTCACCATTTTCTTAACACATTGAAAAAAGTGAATGTAAAACGCACAGAAATGCTATTTCAAGACCTTCTAAGCCTTCAAAATCAAATTTTTGATTTTCGAAAATGTTGATTTGTCTTTTAGGCTGATTAGAAGGTTTTGAAATAGCATTTCTGTGCGTTTTAGCTTCACTTTATTCAATGTGTTAAGAAAATGGTGAAATGATGAATAAAAATACCGTTTGTGAATCACTTTTTTGGTTTTTTAACGTTTTTTCCCCGAAAACTCACATTTTCCATATCCAAAATCGTCGTATTCTCATTGATTAGAATATTTGGCCGTGTATTTCGATATTTTGGCTTTTTATCGAGAATTTTCTTGAACTTCTCTTCCCGGTAGCAATTTTTCCGGGTTCCCATTATTTGGAATGGGCATTTTAAGTGGTTGGATTCCGTGAATCCAGCAATCAAGAAGAAGAAGGCGAAAATGTAGTGAATTGGGGACATTTGAGGATTTTTATCTGCAAAAAATAAATACAGTTATAAATTGCCACGTCATAACTAAGGGGTTTTTTGCACAGAAAATTCTTTTATTATGAAATTCTAGTTGAAAAGGAAAAAAATCGCAAAATTCAAAAAAAAAACATGATTTTCCCTAAAATCTCAATTTTTCTCAAAAAATTTGAAATTTTCTTGAAAACTCAGTTAAAATAACAAACTTTAAGCTTTTCCTTCAACTAAAAATCAAAAAACCCCCATTTCACCAAAGAAAACCCGAAAAAAACACAGGCGGCACGAAAAAAAAAGAAAATACGTGCGCGGCAAATAAAATGTCATGGTCCGCAACACTGTCGGTGTTTGCACACTTTTCCAGCGAGCTACAGTAACCCAATTGATTTTTTGGGCGGTTTTTTGTCGCGTTCGAAAAAAATTGGAAAAATGAGAAAAAAGTGAACACCTTCTACTTTTATACCATAAACAAAAGTGGGCGGAGCCTGGAAAATCGCAACATTTTTCGTCAGAAAAATTCGGATATCCCCCAAAACTTTTTTGAATGATTGATTTGATAAAAAAATGTTTTTTCGTGGAGATTTTTCACAGCAAAAAACAAAATTTTATTGAATTGCCACGTCATAAATAACAAAATTCTACAAAAAAATCTGATTAGCCGGCGTTTTCTCGAAATCCCAAGCTTCTCCCCATTTCATGACAGCCGGTTTGCAAAAATACACCAAACTTCGACATTCCTCGATTTTTCTGCAACAAATATCAATAATTTTGCCACGTGGCAGCAAGATGCAACTCACTCCAATTTCCCAAAACACTCATCCAAATCCTCGTTGAGTTTGGGGCGAAGTTTTGGCGGTCGGCCAAAAATTTTTGACACCAAATTCTGTAGATTTACGAATGCTGAGAGGTTTGCGAAGATTTTGACGTCGAGTTTGATTTGGGTGGAATTGTCCTGGAATCCGTTGTGACGATAGTGAAGAAGGGCGGCGTTTTTCTGGAAAAATCGGATTTTTGGGAGGAAAATTGAGAATTTTAAGGCAAAATTCACCGAAAATTACTAATTTTCAGGGCCAAACGTTTGATGTGGCCTAGAAAACCAAATTACACGATTTCTAGGCCACAATGCTCAATTTCCAAGGTTTTTGAGTCAAAAATCAGTAATTTTGCATCAGAAACGTCTATTTTTAGTTCCAAAAGCTTGGCGTGGCCTAGAAACCCAAATCACGCGATTTCTAGGCCACAATGCTCAGTTTCCAAGGTTTTTGGGTTGAAATTCATGAAATTTCACCAATTTTGCATCAGAAACGTCTATTTCTGGTTCCAAAAGGTTGTCATGGCCTAGAAAACCAAATTACACGATTTCTAGGCCACAATGCTCAATTTCCAAGGTTTCTGAGTTAAAATTCATCAAATTTCACTAATTTTTCATCAGAAACGGGTATTTTTGGTTCCACAAGGTTGTCATGGCCTAGAAAACCAAATTACATGATTTCTAGACCAAAATTCTCAATTTTCAAGGTCTTCGAATTCAACTTCATCAAAAATCACAAATTTTGCATTAGAAACGTCTATTTTTGGTTCCAAAAGGTTGTCATGGCCTAGAAAACCAAATTACACGATTTCTAGGCCAAAATACTCAATTTTCAAGGTTTTTGAGTTAAAATTCATCAAAAATCACTAATTTTGCATCAGAAACGTCTATTTCTGGTTCCAAAAGGTTGTCATGGCCTAGAAACCCAAATCACAAGATTTCTAGGCCAGAATTCTCAATTTTCAAAGTTTCTGGGTTAAAATTCATTAAATTTCATTGATTTTGCATCAGAAACGTTTATTTTTGATTCCAAAAGGTTGTCGTGGCCTAGAAAACCAAATCACAAGATTCTCGTCCCCGCCCAAAAACTCTCACCAAAATCTCAGCCTTGAATTTGTCCTCAATAAATGTGTTCACATGATGAACATCAATATTATCAACACGAGAAGCGTTGAAAATGAATTTATCCGCTTTTTTTCTGTCCAAAACCATCGGCGTCAAAACTCCAGAATACTCAAAATTCTCGATTTTCGGCTGAAAAACGGCGAAAAAATGGCGAAAAACAGCAGCAGCAAGTTCGGGATTTGCAGCGAATTCGAGACGAACTCGAGAATCTGCTGAGAGATTATTTTCGGATACCAGAATCTCATCGAAATCCACTGAAGTTGCGAGATCTGTATCGGTTTCCAGGACGGCTATGTTTTGAGCCAAAGTTTGACCATTTCGACAAACTGATGAATCTGGCTGCAAAATTCAGTTTTGAATTTGAAAAAACACTTTTTTTTTGAAAATTTACCTCAGGATATCGATTTTGGATATATTTTGGCAATTCGCCAAATCCAGACCACGGTAAAATCTCCAAAATTCCTGAATCTCGATAAAATTCCAATATTCTTCGTGTTTCAATGGTCCCAGAATGATAAAACACCAAGAATTTGGTGGCTCCTTGATTTTTCCAAGCCGAAAAAAAGAAATTTTTGAAATGGCGCGTTCGCTAGAGCGCACATGATGCATCGCGGCGAGACCAAAGTGTGCGCCTTGACTCGAGCGTTTTTAGGCGGTCGTTCGAAAAATTGTGGTTTTTGCGATGGTTTTCGAGTTAGGGTAAGTTATACGGATGGGGTTGTGATTGAAAAAATTGATTGTTATGTGAAGAATCAATAGAAAATTAGAGAAATGCCAGATTTTTGGAGAAAATCTCAAAAAACAGCGATTTTTTGTTGAAATTTTAAGACTTACTTCAAAAAACAGCAAAATGTTGTGAGGATGTGAATAGAAATACAAAGGCGCCACAATCACTGTCAACCCTTTTTTCTTCGATTTCCCAACAATTTTCGATTTTGTGAATTGCACGACTCTTCTAGAATTTCCAATGTATAGTTCTAGGTATTCAGGAATTTCAGAAGAAGTTTCGGCTTCGTAGAAAAATGAATTATAAAAGCAAGCCATGTCCCACTCATAGGGACACCATTTTTCAGTTTGTCGCGCTAGAAATTGCAATGTTTTTGCCTTTTTCGCAAATCCATAGAAAGCTTTGCCAAAAATCGTGTGATTTCCGCAAGGTTTCATTGCAAAAAGTCGAATTCTCCATGGCGAATAGCGTTGATCGATGTAGAATTTGTGGTAGAATTTGATAGGCAATTCGTTGGTGTCTCCTTCCTCCACAATTTTAGTCACACCATTGTATTGTGGCAAAAAATACCAGAAAGCGAGAAATGTGGCGATTAATAATAGGAGCAACTTTTTTAATAACATTGGTTTTTTGAATGTGCGCTTTTTTTCATTTTTCATCAATTCTTTTTGAATGAAAAAGCAGTTTTGGACAAAAACGTTATGAATTTCCCTACAAAATATAAACCTGCATAGACCTTTAGAATGTTTTGAAAAATCTGAAAATTCAAGATTTTCCAAGAAAAATTGAAAGATTTCTGATTTTTAGCAAATTTCAAAAATCCACAAACAAAATTTTCATAACGTTTCTGTCAAAAACTGCTTTTTCATTAAAAAAGAATCGATGAAAAATGAAAAAAAGCGCACATTCAAAAAACCAATCTCGGGAAAAATACGGCGGGCATGTCGCGATAGTCGCGGCGCTTTTTCCTGTTGATGCGAGTATCCCATCACCAAAATCTCAGATTTTTGGGATGCATTGTTTTGACGCGATAGTCGCATCAAAAATTACCGAGATCGAGAGTGATGCGACTTTCGCGGCACTCCCGATTACGAAATGCGTCAGTGATGAGAATGGGTTAACGCATTGCATGTAGGAAAAAATATTTTCATTTGTTTTTTTTTTCGTTTTTCCTATTTTTCTCATTTTAATGTGAAAGGGCTGTTACTTTAATATTTCAGATATGTGATAGGAAGAAAGGCATGAACAAGTAATTGTGGACATACCGATGTATCCTGCCCGATCAAAGCATGAAGGATTTTTATGATTTTTGGGAAGAAAATTTTTGTGAGTAATCTTCAAAATCTTATGTTCTGGAAATCACAATATATCATTATTTCAGACTCTACAAATTTTGAATTGCAACAATGTGACGAAATTTATGTCATTTGATGTTTGGTGTTCAATGAAAAATTGTAAGTTTCATTTCTAGATTGGGGAAAGCACACACGCATTTGTAAACAGACGAGAAACGAAATTGTCATCATTTTTGAGACTTTATCTTACATTCAGGCGCCCAATTCAGAAAACTATAGCCTCACTTTATGAAATCGCTTTGGATATTTTTTTTTTGGTTTTATAACTTAGGTTATTGACTCATTTTGAATTAATTTCAACAAATTCTGATCGATTTCATTGATTGTCATTTACTTACAATCGAAGTTAATGACTTTTAACTCAAAAACAAATTTTTTTGTCAACTGTTTTTTGACCAAAGCTTGAGGGACATTATGAAATTTTTACAGTACATTGATATACGGATAAAAATGTCTCAAATTTTTAGTCTCCCAATGGGCCTGTGAAAAAAATATTTTTCATAAAGCTTGACACAATAAACTCCATCAATTTTTCAGATTTCGAGATCGATCAAACAAAGTTGCGACTACGGAACGATTGCCGAGCTTCTTTGAATGAATGGATAGAAATATCGAAAGCTATGGTGGAATTTAATTTGTGACTCTTATTTTGATTTAATTTTGAGTTGTTTTAAAGTTTTCATAAAATTTTCATGCTGAGAATTCTTTTTGAACGCCTAATTTTGAGCTGGGCGCCACAAGCGCCTCAACTGCCGCAACTATTGAAAAAAAGCCGCGACAGCGTGACGCGGGTCCGAAAAAAAGGCCGCATCAAAATGATGCAGGTTCGAAAAAAAAGCCGCGCCATAAAAGTGATGCGAGCTCGCATAAAAGTGATGCGAATTCGCATCAAAGTGATGCGAAACCCGCGGCTTTTTTCCCGAGATGTTATTAAAAAAGTTGCTCCTATTATTAATCGCCACATTTCTCGCTTTCTGCTATTTTTTGCCACAATTCAATGGTGTGACTAAAATTGTGGTGGAAGGAGACACCGACGAATTACCTATCAAATTCTACCACAAATTCTACATAGATCAACGCTATTCGCCATAGAGAATTCGACTTTTTGCAATGAAACCTTGACGAATTGTCAAATTTCGAAAAAACCATCGATTTTTCCAGAAATGCAACGTGAATTGAAGAAAAATTGATGAAAAAGATGGTTATCTCGTTTCACGTGCCACATCATGACCTCCACGTCATCAAAAACGTGTATAAAACCGGCTGTGAAACGTCATCAATCCTCAGTTTACCAACGAAGAGCCGCCCCAAAACGGTCTTTCGTTTGCTTCTCATCTGCTTGCTGCAAATTTCTGCCGATTTTTTTGTCAATATCGTATCAACACTTCGTTCGCGGTCCAAGTGAGTATTTTCTCGCTCCAAAAAAAATGCAATATTTTTTTTCATAGATGAAGTTCCGTGTCATCGAACAACTTCCCGTTGTGTTTTTCCTTTTGGCAATATCATCGTCGATTTGCCATGCTGATATTGTGATGCCCTCCTCGTCTACAGATCCAACCAGCGACGCGAAATTTTGTCCTACTGGTTTACAGGGCTCACAGAGTTGTAGTACCGAACCGTGCACCGATCAACACCCCCTGTGTTACAGTGGAGGTGATTCTAACAAGTTATGTTGCGGTGAGGACATCTAGCATTATTGATCCAATGTAGTTACAAATTTGACTTTCTAGACAGAGTATCATTTTGCGAGAACACTGGGATGTTGAGTTATCGAAATCCTACACAAATCGGCAATCATGAAGCTTTTGAATACCAAGCGGAAACTGATCCGTTTTACTATGAATGGAAATCACAACATGTTTACAGATCCGTTGCTTGCCGTAAGTTTGACGCGAATTATGGCTCAATTTGAATAGCACTATTTTTACAGCCTACCCCATATCGTTATTTTTCCGCAAACATTGGATTAATAAAGACGACACCGCACATTTATTGGCGATTGGTTTCCAAACGCAAGGTCAAAAAGAAGCATTGAAACACTGTGCGGCAAATAAGGACTGTGAAGGGGCGGGCAATTATTGTGACTACCCTTATATGAGAATCGCCAAAGATGAAAAGACACCTGGTTATATTCCAGAACACAAACCATTCTGTTTCAAACGTAATTTCGATTGTTTTTTTTTTCTTAACGAATTTATATCTTCTGTTTCAGATGGCATTGCGCTACCCCCCGATGTTGAGTATTTCGAAGACCCAGACAGTGTATCTTTGGTTGGGTGTGAGAATAACGATGATTGTGTGACAAAGACTGGATTAGGAGATACTTTTTGTCATCTGGCATTCACGGATGGTGGTAAGAAATTTGAAACCGCCAATTTGACGAGCAACGGAGTGAATCCGCATTCTGGCGTTTGCTTGAAAGGTAATTTTTAGTGAACAATATATTGTCGAAGTTAAGAAATGTGGCAGCCGCAAAAAATAAAAATCAGTGCAGAGCTGAATGAATGACAAAGTCATTACTTTGTCAGTCGCGTGCGTCGCGGTCGGGAAACAAAGGAAAGATTGAATTATTGATTGTTTCCCGACCGCGACGCAGAGCCGCACGCGACTGACGAAATAATGAGTTTGTCATTCATTCAATTCTGCACTGGTTTTTATTTTTTACGGCTGCCACATTTTTTACACAGGGAAATGCAAACTGACCGAATACTTGCCAAAAATTGAAAAACGGTCCGAAACTTGTACGTTTTGGACAAGTGTTGAAAACGGCCGGAAACCACTCAAAAACCGGCCAGTTTCTGACCGGTTTTCCAAAATTGACCGGTAACCGGCCGTGTTTTTTCACCGGTTTCCGGCCGTTTTTGTTAAATTTGAGCAGAAACCGGCCGGTTTTCGAGTGGTTTCCGCCCGTTTTCAACACTGGTCCAAAACGTACAAGTTTCGGACCGTTTTTCAATTTTTTGGCAAGTATTCGGTCAGTTTGCATTTGCCTGTGTTAACTTCGACAATATATAATAGTTTCACATCGACTAAATGACATTTTCAGGTTTTTTAAGAAAGTGAGTTGAAATATTGGGTTCTAATGTTTTTCTTATGATATAATGGTCTAAGACGAACAGAATGATATAAATTTTGATGATTTTAGGTTATCCATAAGTGATTTAGGGGCGTTTAGTCGATAATTAATCGCCAAATCACTTATTGATAACGTAAACTCATCAAAATTTATATGATTCTGTTCGTCTTAGACCATTCTATCATATGAATAACATTAGAACCCAATTTTTCAACTCATTTGCTTAAAAAACCTAAAAATTTCATTTAGTCGATGTACAACTATTAGGTTTTGAATCTTCAAACAATATTTTTTTCAGCCAAAGTTTGCAAGGCGCCCTTTGATAGATGGCCATATGGTGGTGCAGCACTTCAATTAAATGTACGGACTACAGGATGTGTGACAACAGAAGATTGTTATAATGGTGGAAAAACGAGAAAAAATGCGTCAGACGGAGCTGCTGGAGAATATTACGAGTGGGTTGATTTTTGTATAATGAATAGAACTTGAAGATTAAACATTTGTTTTCTTCCAGTGGTCAATGTACGGAAGTCAAGAGAACACTTGCAAATAATGGTGAATTCAAAAACAGTGTTTGCTGCTATAAAACAGTTGACCCATGTGAATACGGTGAACCAGTCACACCATCGGTCAAATGCACCGCCAGCAACCAAAAAGAAGCGTTTGAGAAGTGCAATGGTGGAGCTGCTGATTTGCCAAAGAAGACCAAAACATCAAAAGCGACTTTTTGGTGTGACGAGGGAACCAAGAATTGCTGCAAGGATAAAAGCGGAACAAACACAGATTGGGCGTGTCCGGATCAGCAAACACCGCTTTTTTACGAAGAAAAGTGTACTGGTGTGAAGGCTGGCGATGAGAATAGTGGAACTTGTCCGCAAAAACATGCGATTTGTCGCAAAGGTCATTGTTGTCCTGATGGTATGTTTTTTATTGATTTTCTCTGAAATTTGGCTATACCCATTGATTGTTTACAGCAACGCCAACAAGACTTCCCAAATACTCGTATCGCACAAATTATCCATGCACCCCCGGATCTCGTCCAGAAATGATTGCCAATGGTTATTGTGATCCAAAAACCAAGAAAGTCGTCATTTTCGGCGAAAGATCGCTTGTTGGTGAAGATTTGGTGACAAAATTCTCACCGGAAAAAGTTTGCACCATCGATTCGGAATGTCCACCAAAAACATTGTGTATTTATGATTTGGGCACAACTGCTCGTTGCTATCACGATCCATCACTTCCACTTCAACCACCAGCCAATGAATTGTGGTTGTATGTATTGATTGCATCGATTGTTTTGGCGTTTGTCTTCTTGTGCACATCGATTGTTTGTATGGTTTGCTATCGATCGAAATCAGTTTTTGACAAATATAAACCGTCGAAAAAAGGGAAGAAGGGTGGAAAGAAGGGCGGAAAAAAGAGTGGAAAAAGTGAGAAGACTGAAGGAGCGACGACTGAAGGTGGTGCAACAACTGAAGGAGCAACTGAATCGAAAATGTCGACTATGGGATAGGATATTGGGTGTACTCGTGTGCAATTACTCGTCTTTTTTTTTGTATCTCCCCCCGCCAATGAAATGAATTTTTAGAGAAAATTGGGTTTTTTTGCTTGTTTTGAGCTCAAAATGCGCTTCAAAAGCCCCAAAATTCAACCTGAAAGCCCTAAAACTTGAATTTTAAGTTCAAAACATTCCTGAAATTTGAACTTTTAATCTAGATAAGCCTAAAATTTGGGATAAAATGAGCCTAAACAAGCCTGAAATTAATTTCAGGCTTTCCTAGGCTATGTTTATGCTCATTTTTCCCAAATTTCACTCTGAAAAGCCTGAATTCAATTTCAGGCTTCCTGAAGCCTGAAATTTACCTTCAAAGCCCATAGAAGCCCCCCCCTCAGAAGCTGAAAAATGGCTCTGAAAATTTCAAAAAAATTCTGAATTTTCTCAACATTTTTCACAAGAAACTTTGGTTTTTCATTGAAAAATCCAACTTTTTCTCCTCCAATTTTTCAGGTGAAAATGAGAGATTTATAGAAGTGTTTTTCAACGACAACTGTGAACAAATCGCTGTTTTTTTGTTATTTTTTCGGATTTTTTATGATGTGAGTTTTTTTCGGGTTAAAAATTGGGAAAAATTCACTATTCCAAAAATCACATTGGAAAAAAGTCCAAAAAACCAAATTTTTTTCGACTCCCACGTGATCTTATCACTCAAAAAATTGTTTTTTTTTCCGTCAAAAATAATTATTATCTGAAAAAATTAGGTTTTTATCGATTTCGCGTGCGTCATTTGCGAAAAAGTGCAAAATTTTGGTGATAAGGTGATTTTTGAAGCAGGCCTAGACTTTTGATAAGTCAAAATTAGTGGAAAAAATTTTGAAAATGTGTTTTTTGGCGCCCAAAAATCCACAATTTTGAAAATTTCGGTAGAAAATTTGAATTTTTTAGAATTCAAAAATTTCGAAAATTGTGCCACGTGGATTTCTAGACTGCTCCAAAAATCCACGTGGCAAAAATGCCGCCTACAGTACCCCACACATCACATGCTCCCGTTTTTGCTCCCAAACGACGAGAGAGTATTGGAGGTGTGAGAGAGTGCAGAGAGCAAAAAAATTAGTGGTTTTTTTTGCCTTATCAAAAACTACTATGTATGTATAAAAACACGGTGTATTGAGCCATTTTTCGAATTTCTTATCAAATTTTCTTTTTTGTGTGTGCTCAAAAGAAAAAAGTTTTTTGAGCAAAAAAAAATGGAAAAATCTAGGCAGATATTGGTGGGTTTTTTGCTGAAAATCTGAAAATTCTAGCCTTAAAAATCTCGCTGAAATTCCAGAATTTTGCCACGTTGCTCATACCGATTTTATTGATTTTTCTCATTCGCCAATTGCCCGAGAAGCCCAAAGAGAAGCTGTTGAAGGAGAAACAATGTTATGAGAGTTGTCGGTGAGTTTTGTTTTTTTTGGGGCCCAAAAATCCACGTGGCATGATTTTCGGCGCGAAATTTGGAGCATTTTGAGACCGAATATGACTGGGGTGGGAATTTTTGACGAGAAGTTAGAGACGCAGAGAAGCTAGACAACTAGAGAGCATAAGATTGTCAGAGACGCAGAGAAGCTAGATAGCTAGAGAGCATGAGGAAGTTAGAGATGCAGAGAAACAAGAGGGTTAGAGAGTATACGGAGGTTAGAGACGCAGAGAAGCTACGCAACTAGATAGATGTGTAGAGATCATAGAAAGTGAGAGTATGAGGAAGTTAGAGACGCAGAGAAGATGGACGGCTAGACAGCAAATAAGAGTGCCAGAAACGCAGAGGGAAATACACTCGCTCCGCTCGAGCCGCTTACGCGGAAGATTCCGGGGCGCTTCGCGCAAGCTTCCGGTTTGCACTACTTGATGACGTGGCACAATTTTTGGAGCCAAAAAAATCATACCATATTTTTTTTTCCTGGAACCCGAATTTTTTATCGGTGTCAGACACCGATTCAAAAATGCATTTTTCTCGGAAAAATTTCGGGCTGATTTGACCTGAACCTGAATGCTGACGATTGCACAAAAATGAAAAATTGTGCACTGAATTTTGCTACAGGGTTAGAGACGCAGAGGGAGATACACTCGCTCCGCTCGAGCCGCTTGCGCGGAAGCTTGCGGTCTACACTCGCGCCAAAGGCGCTCGCCTAGGCCTGGCCGCTACGCGGAAAATTCCGGGCCGCTTCGCGGAAGCTTGCGGTCTGCACAATTTTTTTATGGGTGCTCCCGCTCCTGTTTCTCTTTCTGAGTGATAACAAAATGTGTAGTTTACCCCAACAAAAAATGGCCAAAATTAAATTTTGAACATTGCTCGAGAAAAGACCAGAGACAACTTTTTATCAACATTTTTTTCGCGGGGAAAAAAAGTGAAATTAATTCAATTTTTGAGCACCGAAAGTTTTTGGGGGGAGCGACAAAAATTAATTTAAAAAAAATATATATATAATCTGAGCAATCTCGCGCGAAGCGCCGCGGAATCTTCCGCGTAAGCGGCTCGAGCGGAGCGAGTGTATTTCCCTCTGCGTCTCTAACTGTCTAGCCTCTCTGGGTCTCTGACTTCTTCTAGCTGTCTAGCGTCTCTAACCCTGTAGCAAATTATGCCATTCAGTATCTCTAGCCATCTAGATTCTCTGCATCTCTAGCCCAACAGAATATTTGCAGCCTCCGCGTAGTCGAATCCATCCCCACCAACATCTCGTTCGGCAATTCGCCACTTCCAATGTCAACATTCCGCGCCTGGAATTCGCTGATCTCAAATGCCAAATCCGAACTCTTCATCGCCGCCTACAAATCGTCACTTCAGGGAAAACATGTGTTAGGCGAACTCGACAAATTCTATTCGGTGGAAGGCGATCGAATCTATGAGAATCTGAAGAATGTCGGAAAATCCATAGATGTGAGGATTGTCGAGAATTATCCGCCCAAAGATAAGGGAGATAATGCGGATGGTGTGATTTTGCAGGTGAGAGAGAGTCCAGACAGTTAGAGAACACGAGAAAGTTAGAGACTAGAGAGCTAGAGACGTAGAGGGAGGTACACTCCCTCCGCTCGAGCCGCTTACGCGGAAGCTTGCGGACTACACTCGCGCCACAGGCGCTCGACAGAAACATCTACAGTACTCCTAGAATTTTTAAAGGTTCATACAGTAATCTATCAAAATTTGGTGAAAAATTCGAGTTCAGACAAAAAATTGCGATTTTTAAAGGTTCATACAGTAATTTATATGAAAAATGTGATTTTTAGTGGGAAAATACAGTAATCCTTATTTAAAGGAACATCTACATTTCTATAGAATTGGAAAATTCGGCGGGAAAACTTTGAATTTTGCGCCTCGAAAAATTGAGCGGGAAATTTAAATTTTTGAATTTTGCGCCTCGGAAAATTCGAGCGGGAAGTTTCATTTTTTGAATTTCGCGATTTTGAAAATTGAGCGGGAAATTTGAATTTTTGAATTTCGCGCCTCGGAAAATTCGAGCGGGAAATTTGAATTTTTGAATTTCGCGCTTCGGAAAATTCGAGCGGGAAATTTGAATTTTTGAATTTCCCTCCACAAAAAATTCGAGCGAAAAATTTGAATTTTTGAATTTCGCGCCTAGGAAAATTCGAGCGGGAAATTTGAATTTTCAAATTTCCCTCCAAAAAAAAAAATTGAGCGGGAAATTTGAATTTTTAAAGGAACACCAAAAGCTAATAGTCACTCTAGCGTATCCGAACAAACACTTCAGAACTCGAAATAATCAATGTCAATTTACAAATGTTCGCAAAAAGTAAAAAAAAATTTGAAAAAATGGTGAAGTTTGCGCCAAAATAAAAAAATGGGAAAAAAACCGTTTGAATTCCCTCCTCAGAGGACTCAGAGCGAAATGTGCAAACACCGTCACGGCAGAATGCACACAAAAAAAATATTTTTTTTATTTTTTTGTTTTTTCGGGAGTTTTCGCTTGTTTTTCACTTTTCAACGATGAATTCATATATTTTTCAGTAAATTGATGTTGGCAATTCTTCTCCCAACTGTCTCGATCATGTTTTTGACGGAGGAATGCGGAATTTCGTCGATTTTCAGCCAAAGAGTGAGTATTTTGAGAAATTACAGATTATTCTCATAAATCACTGTTTTCCAGGCTCATCAATGTGAAACATGAATAAAAACTGCTGAAAAATCAAAGAAAACCGTAGAAGTAGAAGAAAGACTCTGTGAATAGTCATGAATCGAGGCGAATTGGAGAGATTCGATGGATTTTCATGATTTCAAGTCAGTTGCGACCGGAAGTCGTCATTTTTGCCATCCAAACTCATCCAAAGCACTTCTTCGTCGATAATTCTGCTCATCAATGTTCATATCACAATAATTGTATACATTTACTCTTTTAAAAGCTGTTTTCTGTCATTTTTCAATAAAATTTGATGAAAACCGGTTTATTTGTTATAAAAAACGAATTTATCAGAACTCCGACCATTCAAAAACAACTGTAGGCGCTCGAAGTTCGTGGATGTCATATTTATTTTGAATATCATCAGGTTGTGTTGGAGAAACGATCAAAATCCGCGATTGCAGGTTGAAAACGCAGATTCCTACCAAATTTACTTATTTCGCCACAAATGTTCTTCCAATCTGCAATCAATAAGTTTTGTTGATAACTAGAATATCGAATTTACTACTTAAAATCGTAGTTTACTATGAGAAACAAAGAAAAAACGCGAAAAACGCGAAAAATATTTTTCGAAAACAAAAAAACAAAAAAAGAAAACAACGACATTCCGCTCGCCTGGTGTTTAGCGTAAAAGGCGTGGCAATTTGATTTCGAGTTTTTTCATTTTTCCACAGAAAAATATTTTTTCCTCTAAAAGTTCAGAAGAATTTTTTCATCGAAAAGTGAGTATAGGGAATGAAAGTAGGAGTATTGAAGTGTCTGTTTTGGTATGCGCGGCTTCACCTAGCGATGTTGACCTTTTAGTTTTTGGTGTTCCTTTAAAAATTTCCAATTTTCAAAAACTCTGCGTCTCTGACACCTATATGCCTATATGTGGAAAAATGTTGAATTTCAGAATTTCGGCGCCGTCTCGCGTAAATCAATCGATATCGAAAATATTATGGGACGCGGAAAAATGCACTCGAAATTCCTCGTGGCCGATAAAAAATCCTTCTATTTGGGAAGTGCAAATCTGGATTGGCGAAGTCTGAATCAAAAAATGGAATTGGGAGTTTTGGTGGAGAATTGCGAGTGTTTGGGTGAGGATATGCACAACATTTTCGATATTCTATGGGATCTCAAAGATCGAAGCATCGAGAAGAATCGCGGAATCACGCGGAAAGCCGCATTCAACCGCGAGCGACCGTTGCGAATTCGAATTCAGGACGAAGATGCGCAAGTATATATTGCCACGTCACCCAGGGAATTGAATAATCCACGTAGGACGTGGGATTTGGAGGCGATTGTTGGCGAAATTGATGGAGCACAAGAGTTTTTGGATATTCATGTTATGGACTATTTTCCGCTGTTTATTTATCGATCGCCGAGAGTGTGGGTTGATTTTTGATTTTGGACAAAATTTGCGATTTTTTGAGACTAAATATGACTAGCTTTGAGAGAGTTGGGGGAGGTTAGAGACGCAGAGGGAGCTATACCGCTAGAGAGCACGAGGAAGTTAGAGACGCAGAGAGAGCTATACCGCTAGAAAGCACGAGGAAGTTAGAGACGCAGAGGGAGCTATACCGCTAGAGAGCACGAGGAAGTTAGAGACGCAGAGGGAGATACACTCGCTTCGCTCGAGCCGCTACGCGGAAGATTCCGGGGCGCTTCGCGCAGGCTAGCTAGAGAGCATAGGGTTTGGAGAGAGTGCAGAGAAACTAGACAGCTAGAGAGCATAGGATTTTGTAGAGACCCAGAGAGGCTAGACGGGTAGAGAGAATAGAAAAGTTAGAGACGCAGAGAGGCTAGACGGCTAGAGAGCATGAGAGAGACGTAGAGGGATATAGACGCAGAGAAGCTAGGCAGCTAGAGAACACGAGGAAGTTAGAGACGCAGAGGGAGATACACTCGCTTCGCTCGGGCCGCTACGCGGGAGATTCCGGGGCGCTTCGCGCAGGCTAGCTAGAGAGCATAGGGTTTGGAGAGAGTGCAGAGAAACTAGACAGCTAGAGAGCATAGGATTTTGTAGAGACCCAGAGAGGCTAGACGGGTAGAGAGAATAGAGATGGTCAGAGACGCAGAGCGAGCTAGACAGCTAGAGAACACAGGGGCTATAGAGACGCAGAGGGAAATACACTCGCTCCGCTCGAGCCGCTTGCGCGGAAGATACCGCAACCTTTCCGCACCCAAAATCTCCCATTTCAGTCATTTCGCCCACATCGATGACGCAATTCGCCGCGCGATTGTCCGCGGCGTCAAAATCCGCCTCCTCGCCGCCGCCTTACACTATCCGGACATTGGAACGCGGTTTTTGAGAAGTCTGGAGAGTTTGAACGATATTCATGCGAATGCTACGATGCAAGTGGTGAGTTTTGACACGAAAATAGGCCACGCCCCTTTTTGCAAGTCTGGCACACTTTTTTCGGGGCTTCTTTTTTTGATACCAAATAAGCCACACCCATAAAATTGTGCGTTGCAGACGAAATTTGAAAATTCAAACTTCCCGCCTTGAATTTTTAGCGCGAAATTTGAAAATTCAAATTTTCCGCCTTGAAATTTTAGCGAGAAATTTGAAAATTCAAATTTTTCAGTATATGTTTTGAGGCGGGAAATTCAAAAATTCAAATTTCCCGCTCGAATTTTCAAGGCGCGAAATTTGAAAATTCAAAATTTTCAGTGTTTTTTGGAAGCGGAAAATTTGAAAATTTTGAAAATTCAAATTTCCCGCTCGAATTTTCAAGGCGCGAAATTTGATAATTCAAATTTTCCGCTCGAATTTTCAAGGCGCGAATTTTAAAAATTCAATTTTTTCAGTGTTTTTTTGAGGCGGGGAATTCAAAAATTCAAATTTTTCAGTGTTTTTTTTTTGAGGCGGGAAATTCAAAAATTCAAATTTTCCCCCGCAAATTTGATATCAAAACCCCCCAAATCACCCGCCAAATTCAAATTTCCCTTCAGAAAATCTTCAAAGTGCCCACCTCTGCCGAAAACATTGTGATAAATCGCGAACGTCGAACCCACAACAAATTCATGGTGACCGAAAACGCGGTGATAATTGGCACCTCAAATTGGTCGGGTGACTATTTTATGGGCGGAACAACGGGTGCCGCTATAATTATTCGACAAACTGGAACACGTCAACCTTTTATTCGAGAGATGCGCGAGATTTTTGAAAGAGATTGGGATAGTGAATATGCTCATCAATTGGATTTGTATTATGAGAAATGTGTTTTGGGCAAAGATTTTGGAGCTGGTGATGATTTTTGTGAGGGAAAAAAAGATCCACGACTTTTTGCCAACAAGGAACAGGTTTTGGATGAATAATTTGGTGGATTTTGGTTTTTGACAAGTTTTTTAATGATCTCGGGTATTTTTTTGCATTTTTTTATGAAGTTTTGCTTTTTTGAGAAAATTTGGGTTAGAACAAGCCTAGAAAAGCCTGAAACTAAATTCAGGGTGAAATTTGGGATAAAATAAGCCTAAACAAGCCTAGGAAAGCCTGAGTTTGAATTTTAGGCTTATCTAGGATTGTTTTGTTAGCTTTTGGGCTGTTTTTTACCTAAATTTCAGTTTCCAAGCGAATTTTCAAGTTTTTCAACTCAAAAAATCAAAATTTCCAACAAAAAAACACATTTTTCATCAAAAAACAAAAAAAAACATATTTATTTTCAACGACACTCCGCTAAATGACGGCTTGCCCGTTGTTTAGTGCTTTTTCAAGTTTTTCGGGGATTTTTTTGGCTTAAACTTCAGTTTTCAAGCGAATTTTCAAGTTTTTCAACCAAAATTTTATTTGAAAATGGGAAACCATCAAATCAATCTGATTTTTTCACTAATCCCAGTTCTCAAAATAAAATGTTCATAATTCAATCGATATTCTTTTTTTCATTTTGTCCTTCATTTGTTTTGCATCAATTATGCAGAACACAAGGGGCTTTCCGCATCCTTTTATCGGCCTGATTGATTTTTTTTGTTGAATTTTATGTAGCTCCTGAACCTCTTCTAATCTCTGTTTCGCAACTTGTTCCAAACAAAATTTCGACAATTTCGATTTCTTTGCTCCCAATTCCAACATTGGATGATAAATTTGCAAACAAGTTTCCAAAATCTCCAGTAAATGTTCTGAAGTATTATGAAATAGTTTCGATTTTTGCTCCGCATCTTCTTCATCAAAATCTCTTCCCGATAGAAATTCCTCAATTTTTCGTCCCACTTTTTCCAGCCAATTTTTTCCTTCTCCTATGATTTTTGGATGATTTTCGTGGATTGTGCTCAGAAGTTTGTATTTTTTATGAGGATGAAAGAGTTGCGGATAATTTGAAGACAGTGTATTTTTATCGAGCTCTTTTTCAAAGTTTTTTAGCTCGGAATTGATTTCTGCTGATCGATCTTCTTCAGATTCCTGAGGGTTCTCCTGATCTTGATCTTCGTCTTCAGATTCCTGATTTCTGACTCCTGATTCCTGATTATTCTCCTGATCTTGATCTTCGTCTTCAGATTCCTGATTTCTGACTCCTGATTCCTGAGGGTTCTCCTGATCTTGATCTTCGTCTTCAGATTCCTGATTTCTGACTCCTGATTCCTGAGGGTTCTCCTGATCTTGATCTTCATCTTCAGATTCCTGATTTCTGACTCCTGACTCCTGAGGGTTATCCTGATCTTGATCTTTGTCTTCAGATTCATCCGATCTTTCCACAGTCTCCTGATCTTGATCTTCGTCTTCAGATTCCTGATTTCTGATTCCTGACTCTTGATCTTCATCCAAGACTTCCACAGTCTCCTGATCTTCAGGAATTCTTCCCGTTCGAAAAGCTTCACATTCCAAAAATATGAGCAAGACTAAAAAGAGTACAGCACTTTTCTGAAATCTCATTTTAAAAATGAAATTTTTGAAAAAAAAATATTATTTGAGGAGGGTAGGCGAGACATTTTATGACTGTGGGATAGTTCCACGTGGCAAAAATATCGAGCTATGACGTGGAATTTTTGGAGGAAAGCTCAAAATTATGAAATTGGTCAATTTTCACGGGAAAACAAATCATTGAACATTTTTTTTAAAATTATTTAAAAAAAAATTTTTTTTGTTAAAGGGTTGGTGAATCTTGCTTGGTTTAGATAGGAATAAGGTGCTCCTGGAAGGTTCCAGTTTTAGAAAAAATTCTAGTATCAATTCAGCCCATGTTTTTCCTCAAAAACACAAGCGAGTTAAAACCTACGAAATAAAGCATGTAAATGCGCTCTAGCGCACAACTCGTTTTTGAATTTTTGTGCGTGTGTTTGCACACAACTTTGAAAACAACACTGTGACGCCTTTTTGCAGACGATTTTTTCACCAGGAAAGCACCAACCCTTTAAGAAAATTTTTTTGTTTGTAATTTTTTGTTTTTTATTTGTTTAAAAAAATTTTTAATTTGAAAAAAAATTTTATTAACATAAGAAAAAAAATTTTTTGTTAAAAAAACATTTTTTTTTAAATTTAAATTTTTATTTTTTTAAATAAAAAAAAAGTGTTTAATGCGGTTTTTATCGAAAAAATAGAATTTTAAAAATATTGCCACGTAAAACTTTTCTCAAAATCCCACAATATATAAAAAAGTCTAGCCACCATAAAACACAATTTCTCTCTCTCTCTCTCTCTAAAAATAATTTTAATCAAAAAAATATCGATGAAGTTTCTAATTTTAGTCATCATTATCATCATATTTATGACGGTGGATTGTAGAAGTGCAAAAAATTCAATTGAAGAGGAAGAAGAACATGATCAGAAGCAAAATTGGCATCGGATTCATCAAGATCAACATCAGAATCATTGGGATCACCAAGTACTTCGAACTATATTACACCAACATCAATATCAACAAGATCATAAGAATCTAGAACATCTCAATTCAGAAGATCAGAGCGAAGATCTAAGCCAAGAATACGAAAACTTCTTCGAAGATCTAGAAATCGACTCAGCTGACAGTCAAGAAGAAACCAGTGAAGAACAAAACCTGGAAGTCGCCAAAGAAATCGTGGATAGCTTGGAAAACCTAGCCTACGATGAATTATCAGCGGAATTTCCGATTTTATTGATTCCCGGGGTTCAGGGTGTAGTTCTAGGAATGGTGAATTTGTTAATTGTGGATAATGTGTTGCCAGAAATCGTAAGAGAGGGAAAAGATTTTTTCGATATTTTGCGAAATGTTAGGAATACGATTTATGGGATTGATATGGATGAGGAAAATGCTGAAAAAAATGTCGCTACTTTTTCGAAAACCCAAGGAGCATATAATGAAATTGATGAGAGAGTGTACGATTACAATGAGTCCGATGCGGAAAGCGAAAGTTGCGGAATGGCGGATTCGTGATAGATGTATGGAGATTGTTAGTGAGCAACATGAAAAAGAGTTAGGCGAGCTCGAGGAAATCAGAGCGAGAAAAGAGAGATTTGATGAGATTTGCTCGAAATTCGACATGTTTAATGAGCATAGATTCATCCAAGGATTGCAATTTATGTGTACGAGAGAGGCGAATTTCAGATTTTCACATTCGAAAAGAGAATATCGTGAATCATTTGAGCATTTGATTGATATTGAATATGTATGAACATTTTTTAATGAAAAAAATTGTGGAAAACAAAAAAAATTTATTTTTTTTTTTGCGAAACAACGATACTCCGCTGACAGCACGCCGCTCGTTTTTATGCTTTTCTCGCTGAAAGGGGGTAAAAAGGCTGGGATTTTGAGAAAAGATCCACGTGGCAGAACTGAAAATAAGTGCTTTGATCTAATTTTTTGAGAAAAACCGCATTTAAACAATTTTTTCAAAAAAAAAATAAAAAAAAATTTTAATTTTTTTCATCAACAAAGTTTTATGAGTTTTTCCCGTGAAAATTGACCAATTTCATAATTTTCACAAAAATTCCACGTCATAAAAAATTTTTTCATTTAAAAAAATTAGAAAAAAATTTTTTTTTCAAGAAAAAAATTTTGAATTTTTTATTTTTTTTTATCCTGGGTTTTTTCCGCGAGAAAATTGACCAATTTCATAATTTAGAGCTTTTCTCCAAAATTGTTTAATTTTTTCAAAAAAAATTTGTTTTTTTTTTAATTTTCAAAAAAAAAATTTCAAAAAAAAAAAAAATTTCGTAACAAAATTTTTTTCATTAAAAAACATTTTTATGATTTTTTTTTCCCGTAAAAATTGCTCAAAATTTCATAATTTTGACAAAAATTCCACGTCATAAAAATTTTTTTCATTTAAAAAAATTAGAAAAAAAATTTTTTTCAAAAAAAAAAAAATTATTTTTTATTTTTTTTATCCTGGGTTTTTTTCCGCAAGAAAATTGACCTATTTCATAATTTTGAGCTTTCCTCCAATAATTCCACGTCATAGCTCGATATTTTTGCCACGTGGAACTTTCCCACAGTCATAAAATGTCTCGCCTATCCTCAACAAATAATAATTTTTTTCGAAAATTTCATTCTTAAAATGAGATTTCAGAAAAGTGCTGTGCTCTTTTTAGTCTTGCTCATATTTTTGGAATGTGAAGCTTTTCGATCTGAAGATCAGGAAACTGTGGAAAGATCGGATGAAGATCAAGATCAAGATCAAGATCAAGATCAGGAGAATAATCAGGAATCAGGAGTCAGAAATCAGGAATCTGAAGACGAAGATCAAGATCAGGAGAACCCTCAGGATTCAGAAGTCAGAAATCAGGAATCTGAAGACGAAGATCAAGATCAAGATCAGGAGAATACTCAGGAATCAGAAGAATCTGAAGAAGATCGATCAGCAGAAATCAATTCCGAGCTAAAAAACTATGAAAAAGAGCTCGATAAAAATTCGCTTGCTTCAAATTATCCGCAACTCTTTCATCCTCATAAAAAATACAAACTTCTGAGCACAATCCACGAAAATCATCCAAAAATCATAGGAGAAGGAAAAAATTGGCTGGAAAAAGTGGGACGAAAAATTGAGGAATTTCTATCGGGAAGAGATTTTGATGAAGAAGATGCGGAAGAAAAATCGAAACTATTTCATAATACTTCAGAACATTTACTGGAGATTTTGGAAACTTGTTTGCAAATTTATCATCCAATGTTGGAATTGGGAGCCAAGAAATCGAAATTGTCGAAATTTTGTTTGGAACAAGTTGCGAAACAAAGATTAGAAGAGGTTCAGGAGGTACATAACATTAGAAAAAAACTATTAGCAATCAGGGTTATGTGCTGGAATCGTCCACCATTGCTGATGGATGTATGTTCTGAAAAAGAACTATCAAGGGATATGAAGAAAAAATATCGATTGAATTATGAACATTTCATTTTGAGAACTGGGATTAGTGAAAAAATCAGATTGATTTAATGTTTTTCCCATTTTCAAATAAAATTTTCAAATTCTAATTTCGCCGCCAAAAAATCCCCGAAAAACTTGGCAAAACACCAGCAACGCGCTAAACAACGGGCAAGCCGTCATTTAGCGGAGTGTCGTTGAAAAACAATTTGTTTTTTGTTGTTTTTTGATGAAACATGTGTTTTTTGTTTGGAAATTCTGATTTTTGAGTTGAAAAACTTGAAAATTCGCTCGTAAACTGAATTTTAAGCCAAAAACAGCCCAAGAGCTAGCTAAATAAGCCTAGATAAGCCTAAAATCCACTGTGTTTTTTCCTAATAGAAAAATGCAATTTCGAGGAGACGCAGACACTCGCTGGTCTCGACACGCAGTGTGTCTGCCACACACTATTTCTCCCCCTTTTCCGGCGAGAGATTTGTCTGCACACGTTAAAGTCTGCGTCTCTCTCGAATTGCAAAAAAAAATACAGTGAATCCAATTTCAGGCTTATTTTATCCCAAATTTCACAGAAAAGCCTGAATTCAATTTCTGTTTTTCCCATTTTCAAATAAAATTTTAAATTCTCATTTCGCCGCCAAAAAAATCCCCGACAAAGCGCTAAACAACGGGCAAGCCGTCATTTAGCGGAGTGTTGTTGAAAATGAATGTTTTTTTCTGTTTTTTGATGGAAATTGATGGAAAATGTGTTTTTTGTTTGGAAATTTTGATTTTTGATTTGAAAAACTTGAAAATTCGCTTGAAAACTAAAGTTTGAGCCAAAAAAATCCCCGAAAAACTTGAAAAAGCGCTAAACAATGGGCAAGCCGTCATTTAGCGGAGTGTCGTTGAAAATGAATATGTTTTTTTTGTTTTTTGATGAAAAATGTGTTGAAATTTTGATTTTTGATTTGAAAAACTTGAAAATTCGCTTGAAAACTGAATTTTAAACCAAAAAATCCCCGAAAAACACCAACAAAGCGCTAAACAACAGGCAAGCCGTCATTTAGCGGAGTGTCGTTGAAAATAAATGTTTTTCTTTTGTTTTTTGATGAAAAATGTGTTTTTTTGTTGAAAAATTTTGATTTTTGAGTTGAAAAACTTGAAAATTCGCTCGAAAAACACCAACAAAGCGCTAAACAACGGGCAAGCCGTCATTTAGCGGAGTGTCGTTGAAAATAAATATGTTTTTTTTTGTTTTTTGATGAAAAATGTGTTTTTTCGATGGAAATTTTGATTTTTGAGTTGAAAAACTTGAAAATTTGCTCGAAAAAACACCAACAACGCGCTAAACAACGGGCAAGCCGTCATTTAGCGGAGTGTCGTTGAAAATAAATATTTTTTTTGCTTTTTTTTATTGAAAATGTGCTTTTTGGTTGGAAATTTGAATTTTTGAGTTGAAAAACTTGAAAATTCGCTTGAAAACTGAATTTTAAGCCAAAAAATCCTCGAAAAACTTGGAAAAGCGCTAAACAATGGGCAAGCCGTCATTTAGCGGAGTGTCGTTGAAAATAAATATGTTTTTTTTTGTTTTTTGATGAAAAATGTGTTTTTTTGTTGGAAATTTTGATTTTTTAGTTGAAAAACTTGAAAATTTGCTCGAAAAAACACCAACAACGCGCTAAACAACGGGCAAGCCGTCATTTAGCGGAGTGTCGTTGAAAATAAATATTTGTTTTGCTTTTTTTTATTGAAAATGTGCTTTTTTTTCATTTAACCTCATCCAAAACCATATATTTCTCAAAAGTCCTTCTATATTCCCGATTCATTTCCGCAATCTTCTGATTCGCCTCTCTTTCACACAATCCAAATTTCGCAACATCCAAAACAACAAGAAATAGTGATGAGTCTTTAAATTTGTTCACACAAGCCTCTTTAAGGTGCCTCGCTAATTTCTCAATTTCCTCGTGATTATAGTTTTCGCCACCCCGCTGATTGATGATTTCCGCAGAACAAATCTTGCTGATCTTTGAAATCGGCACCTCTTCATACTTTGAATAGATATGCAGACATTTTCTCATTAACTCCAGCATATGAGCTTTAGGTTTATGAAACAAATTGGAATTTTTCTCGATTTCCTCCTCAGACAAATCTCTTCCCGTGATTGTACCCATTACTTCATGTTCAACTTCTTTCGCCTGCTTTTTTACTACATCAACAATATTGTTAACTGTATTTTCCACCTCTGTTACCACATTGAATTTAGGTTCTGATTTTAGGACATCAAGATCTGATTCTGCTGATTCTTCAGTGTTTTTGATAATTTTATCGATCATTTCTCGATATTTTTCATCTTCTGTTTTGTGATGTTTATCCTGATCTTGATTTTGAGGTTGATTCTGATCTTGCTCATCCTCATTCTGATCTTCTACATTTCCAAGCTGATCCTCACCGCTATCACAGGGTTGATTCACCTAAAAAATTATCGATTTTTCTCCCTTTTCCACGTCATAACTCACCCAATCTTTTAAATTCACTTGATTTCGCGATTCACACTTCGAATGTTGAGCCGTGATCAATTTTACAATCAGAAACACTAAAATCAACCAGTTCATTTTTCGAAAAATGATGAAAATTTCGATTTTTTTTGAAAATTTCGAATTTTTCGGGATTATTATGTCTAGACTTAGGGCGGTTTTTTATGCCCAAACTATTTTTTTTTAATTTTGGCGCCAAATTAAAAATTTTCGAAATTCTCAAAATTTAGCGCCAAAATATCTAGTTCACGTGGATTTTTCTTAAAATTTTTTTGCTCTAAAAATAGATTTCTCCCTCCTCATTTTTTGAAATATTTTTCAGCCAAAACAGCTCAATGAAACTATAGTCTAGTCAAACTCAGACTAGACTCTAGTCTACAATATTGCTATGCTCTCCTGGATTCGGTGAGTGTTTTTTGGTTTTTGAATGTGGCCTAGAAATCCAAGCCAGATTTCTAGGCCATGTTTAATTTTTCTTCAAAAAATCGGATTTTTAAAATCCTCATCAATCATTCCCCAGAAATGCGGAAATTTGAATAAAAAATGACACATTTCGCAAATTTTCGACACAAAAAAGAGGAATTAGTTAAGCAGAAGGCGATTTTTTCGGACGCCAGAACATCTGCCCGATTTTCTTTCGCATTTTATGACTTTTTGCTGGTTTTATATGCGATTTCACAATTTTTTGTGGAAATTTTTGGAAAATCCCGGAAATTTTCGGTTTTTTGATGAATTTTACGTTAAAATTCAAGAAAACCTTCAAAAATCAATAAATTTCGCATAAAAGTATAATTCTAGCCTAATATTAGGCCTATTTCAGGCTGAACTAGGCTAAGGCTCATTTTAAAGCTTTCAGGTACATTTCAGGCCTGTCTTAGGCACTTTTATGTGAAAATTCGAGTTTTTTAGGTCCGGAAGCCTAAAAATCTGCCCAAACCCCAAATTTTCAGATATTTTTGCCACGTGGCTTCAAAAATCAATAAATTTTATAGAAAAGTATAGTTCTAGTCTAAAATTAGGCTGATTTCAGGCTTAACTAGGCTTAGGCTCAATTTTAAGCGTTTCAGGTACATTTTAGGCCTGTCTTAGGCACTTTCATGTGAAAATTCGAGATTTTCAGGTCCGGAAGCCTAAAAATCCACCTAAACCCCCAAATTTTCAAATATTTTTGCCACGTGGCTTCAAAAATCAATAAATTTCGTTGGAAACTTTAATTCTAGCCTAATACTAGGCCTATTTCAGGCTGAATCAGACTCATTTTTAAGAGTTTCAGGTACGTTACAGGCCTGTCTTAGGCACTTTCATGTGAAAATTCGCGATTTTTACGTCGGAATCCCAATTTTCATTGATTTTTGCAATTTTTTCAACAATTTGCCAATCAAAAAGTCGGAAACAATTGTTTTCGATCGAAAAAATTTCCCAAATTTTTTGTGACCGGAAACTTTTCCTCTCAATTATTTTTGAGAGATACTTATATCTTCTTATTTATTTTTTTTGTCAATTTTTACACATGTTCCTCAAAATTTTTGGGGTTGAAATTGATTTTTTTGAGGTTTCCGGCTGAAAATTGGGATTTTTCAGGCTTCTGGACCTGAAAATCTCGAATTTTCACGAAAAAGTTCCTGGGACAGGCCTAAAATTTACCTTAAACACTTAAAATGAGCCTAAGCCTAGTTCAGCCTGAAATAAGCCTTATTTTAGACTAGAATAATACTTTTCGCTGAAATTTATTGATTTTTGAAGTCTAGAAATGCCACGTGGCAAAAAAATCTTAAAATTTGGGGGTTTGAGCAGTTTTTCAGGCTTCTAGACCTGAAAATCTCGAATTTTTACATGAAAGTGCCTAAGACAGGCCTAAAATGTACCTGAAACACTTAAAAATGAGCCTAAGCCGAGTTCAGCCTGAAATAGGCCTAATTTCAGTCTAGAATCATACTTTTAGCTGGAATTTATTGATTTTTGAAGCCAAATAGCAAAAATATGTGAAAATTTGGGTTTCTAGGCCACGTTTCGGGTTTCTAGGCCATTTTTGAGCACTTTTCGATTTCACGGCTCATAAAAATGTGAAAAAAACGTTTTTTGATTGACGGATTTTATGATTTTTTCCGGCCCCATATGTTTTTGCTGCGGTTTTTGATTGACACTTTTTTGCGGGCGGATTTATGATTTTTTTTTTGAGAGAAAATCGGGTTTTAGGCTATTTCCGGGCTTCCTGGGCCGTTTTCAGGCTTCCCGGACCATTTTAGGCCATTTTTCCGCGAAAAAACACGAAAACTAGTTCGTCCTTGACTTTATTTCCCTTTTTGCTAGTAGTAAATATACAAAATTCCCAAGTACACTTCATTTATTTTCCCATTTTTTTGCACTCACTGAATAGAATAGATATATATGTATTTAAATGCAGTGTAATTCAGGTAAATATTTTTGTTTTTGTGTGGAAAAACTGGATTTTTAGCCTCTCATTAATATATTTTGTGGGAAATTTTTGAGAAAATCAAGATTTTTTGAGATTTTCTGGGCCTTAAATCAGACTTTTTGGGCTCTCGGAGCGAAATTTTATGGTTTTTCAGGCTTCCTGGGCCCTAAATCAGGCTTTTTGGGCGCTTGGAGCGAAATTTGAGGTTTTGAAGGCCAAACTAGGCTTTCTGGGCTTGAAATCCCAAATTTTCCGTAAAAAAATCCGTGTAGTTCTCTCGGACAACTCTAGAAATCAATTACCTAAAAAATCAATTTTTTCATGAAAAATGTTGTCTAATCAAATTATTCCATGTCAATGACGAGAAAATTGAATCAAATCTTCATTTTTTTTCGGAAAAAAACGAAGAAAATCGGATTTTATTCAATTTTCGCGCAGCGAAAAAAAATGTTCCGTTTTTTTCGGCGAGAAAAATAGGAGGTTCTCAATTGTGAATTTTTTTTTTCGGTTCGACAAGCTGTGGTTGCTTGACTACAGGGTTGTCAAGGCGCCGATCCTTGAGAGCCCTGTAGTCAAGAAGCTGCGCCTTGAGAACCTTTCTGTGAAGGAGCCGCGCCTTGAGAGCGTTTTTGTCAAGGAGCTGCGCCTTGAGAGCCTCTTTTGTCAAGGAGCCCCGCCTTGAGAACTTTTTTGACAAGCTTCAAATCCTTAGAAACAGTATGTGTAGGGCCCAAGCCTTGAGAAGCCTTCTGTCAAGGGGCTGCAGCTTGTCAAGCTTGCTGTCTAGTAGCTGAGTCTAGAGATCTTGCGTGTCAAGGCGCAACTGCTTGTCATAAATTCTCTCAAGGCGCTGCTTCTTGTCAGACAATTTATTGCTGACAAGCTTCGGATCCTTCTGGAAAATAGGTTCTGAAGGCGCCGCTCCTTGACTGCTAGGCTCTCAAGGGGCTGCTCCTTGTCATAAATGCTCTCAAGGATCCGCTGCTTGACAATCACTTTCTCAAGACACGGCCGCTTGACACCAAGATCCTCAAGGCGCTGCTTCTTGACTACTAGACTCTCAAGGCGCGGCTGCTTGACAGCCATGTTCTCAAAGCGCGGCTCCTTAACAAAAATGCTTCCCAAGGCTCCGCTCCTCAACAAAAATGTTCCCAAGGCTCCGCTCCTTAACAAAAATGCTCTCAAGGCTCCGCTCCTTAACAAAAACACTCTCAAGGCTCCGCTCCTTGCCGAAAATGCTTCCCAAGTCTCCGCTCCTTGAGAAACTTGATTTTTTGACCATTTAAAAATTCATAACCCACTCCTTTTCGTTTTTTTTTTCAAAAAAAAAGTTTTTCCCGAAAAAACTGCTCTTCTTTGTACTCTTTTTAATAAATGTGTGAGTAAATATTTATTTTTCTTCAAAATTTTCGACAAAAATGGGTTTTTGAGCAAATTTTCCGAATTTTCAGCAAAAACCCACCTGAAAATGTCAATTTTTGAGTGATTTCGCGAGAAAAATTCAAATTTTCAAATTTCCCGCCACCAAAAATGGGTGTAATTGGTCTCACAGCGATCGAAGTTCTGGCCTACTGTCTGGGGGCCGGCCTTGTTTTGGCCATTTTTGTCGTCGTTTGCAATTGCGTCACAACCTGCTATGACACACTGAAATACCGTGCGAAAAAGTCGAAAATCGAAAAGCTGCCCGATGATTATGTGGATGAAATTCATCAATTATTGGCAAGGAATCGGAATTTTGGGGCGAAAAATGGAAATTGTGTGGTTTTGGAGGGAAATGAGCCCAATATTGAGGTGATTTCGAGCATTTTGAGCCAAAAATGAGCAAATTTGGAGCATTTTGAGCCAAAATTCATGATTTTTGATCAATTTCAACCCAAAATTCCAGAAAAATCGATAATTTTAAGCCTAGATATTGTAAAATTCAATTTTTGACCAAAAAAGCACAAAATTCCGATCTAGAAACATATTTTTGACCAAAAATTAATTTTTTTTCAAAATTTTCATCCAAAAAAGTTTCTAGATCAAAATTTTGTGCTGAAACTGGAAAAATCGCTGAAATTTGCTGAAAATCATGGTTTTCATGATTTTCAGCACAAAATTCCGATCTAGAAACATATTTTTGACCAAAAATTAATTTTTTTTCAAAATTACAGTAACCCCAGGCTTGTTTGGTCTCAAAACGACCGGAATTTTCGCGCCAAAAATCTACAGTACCCCCCTCCCCCCAAAAAATCGATATTTCTTACAGTACATCGAAGACACGCGGCTCTCCTCCTCCTCACAGCAACAAATTTTCGCGCCAAAATCATTGCAGCACCGTATCCTCCGCCAAATCACCGAAGAGGACACAATCCACAACACCAACACGAATTCCTCTTCAAATTCTACAGTATCCCTGGGTCCCGACGCGAATTTCAAAGAAAAACATTGTTGTGTCGATTTACGCGAGAAAAGAGAGAGTGTGGATTTTGGAGGAGACGCAGAGAACAAAGCGAAGAACTTGGGGAAGGCTAAGCAACTCACAATTTGATACGGTATTCATGCCGTCTGTAGACACCACGACGACTGAGGAGAGTTTAGAGACGCAGACGAATCGGTAGGTGGGGGAGGTACTGTAGATTTTTTGGCGGGAAAATTTGGGTCGTTTTGAGACCAAACATGACTGGTTTTTGACGCGAAATTTGATCTACAGTAATCCAAGGGATTCTGCGGGGTACTGTAGATTTTCTCGCGCGAAAATTTGAGTCGCTTTGAGACCAAATATGCCATGGGTTACTGTGGGTGGCGAAAAAATAAAAAATTTAAAAAAAAATTTTTTTCGAAAATTTTTAAATTTAATTTTTTCGCGCCAATCAACCTACAGTAGTTCAATTTTCGCGCGCTAAACCGAGAAAAATTCAAATTTTTATTCCAAAAAAAAAATCAATAAATACAGTATCCCATTCAAAAATTAAATTCAGCTCAATTCACAATTCGCAAAAATTTCGGAGCCGATTTCTCAGGCGCTTCCGAATTTCCATACGGATTCTGATAGTCCTTGGGAAACGGCGAATGAATCAAAATATCCGATAGAGTGCTGCAAAAAATTTCGAATTTTGCTATTTTCCCGCCGAAATTTGCCGTGGAGCGCACTTACCTCGAAATTACTGAAATCGCCCAGAAAATTGCGAAAATTTGAACTAGAACTCGCATTTTTTTGAGAAAATCTGATATTTTTGAAGGAAAAGCTTTTTTTCAAAACTCTCTGCACTCTCTCACTTTCCCACACTCTCTCGTCTCTAGTCACATTCCGGAGAGAGAGTGTGAGAGATGGAGAGAGTGCAGAGATGGAGAGAAAACGACAACTGTTGTTTTGCAATATGTATTGAGTCATCGGGGATACGGTAGATATTTTAGAATTCAAAAAAAAAATTTTCCAGCTCCTCCTGCTCCATCGACAATCTTCGAATCGGCATGAAAATCGAAACTACAGTATAGTTTGTGGCGGCGGCAAATCATCCGAATTCAAATTTTCTATCATTTTCCACGTGTCTCGATCTCACTTATGTATTTTATTTGGTTTTTTGACAAGAATGAATGAACATATTTATTTTGCGTCTCCTAAAACCGCAAACACCATGACGCAACTGTGCACACTGGCGACTTGCCAAGTGCAGCAAACGCGCTCTGTTGCACACTCATTTTAATTTTCAGATATTTAAAAACAAATTCGTTTTTTTCCCGTGAACGTGAAATTTGTCGTGGCAAATGTCATTTCAACAATAATTTTTCAGTCATTTAAAATTTTCGGCGAGATGGCAGATCAGTTTGTTTTCTCTTTTTTCGCATACATTATCATTAGAGCGCATATTCTCTACTCCCCTATTACCGTTATGAAAAACTGAACTAGATGCAAAAAAAATGAAAAAAATTTGAATGTGGCCGAGTCGGCGTCTCGGCCACGCACCTCCGTGTACTTCTCTCGGACAATTTTTGAAAATTTTTTTGTTTTTTTTTCGTTTTTTCACCGCGCAAAAGCTTGAAACTAGTTTCCCAGGCTGAAATTTGGCTAGAATTAGAAAAAGTGGGTCTGGAAGTGTGAAAATCATCCGGGGAGCTGGAAATTAGGCCCCAAAACGTGGAAAATTCCTCAAAATCCTAAATTTCTTTGAAAAATGGGTTTGGAGACCTAAAAATAGTTTCCCAGGCTCATAATTGGCATAGAATTTGAATTTCTGGGTGAGGAAGCCTGAAAATAACCATGGGAGCTGGAAATTAGGCTCTAAAACGTGGAAAATTCCTCAAAATCCTAAATTTCTTTGAAAAATGGGTTTGGAGACCTAAAAATAGTTTCCCAGGCTCAAAATTGGCGTAGAATCTGAATTTCTAGGTTTGGAAGCCTGAAAATCATCCGGGGAGCTGGAAATTAGGCTCTAAAATGTGGAAAATTCCTCGAAATCCTAAATTTCTTTGAAAAATGGGTTTGGAGACTTAAAAATAGTTGCCCAGGCTGAAATTAGGCGTAGAATCTGAAAAAGTGGGTTTGAAAGCCTGAAAATGAGTTTTCAAGGCCTAAAAATGACGGGAAGCTTGAAAAATCGTATTTTTGTGTGTTTTCTCTGCGCCTAACATAAACAAAGAATTCAGAAGCCTCTACCCACTCTCCGCACTTCACACACTCTCTCGCCGCTTGCTATGTTGTCCTCTCCATTTATGGGAAGCTCTCCATGAAGCGTGTTTTCTGGCACCGTGCCAGAAATTTTTTTTAAATCAAAATTATAATTTCCACGCACCGTGTAGGGGTTTTGGCTACAAAATTGCCAAATTTTTGCTTCACCAATGAAAGAATGTGAGTTTTCGGGACTTGGAGGGTCCTTATGCACGGCATTTTGGTGGAAAATGAAAGTTTTTGGCCATTTTCGGTCACCTTGAGAGTGATGGATGGGTTTTTTGAAGAGAGAAAGTTGCGAAAACGGTTTTTTGAGTTCCGCGTCGAAATTTGGGGCTTTTTCAGGCTTCCAGACCGATTTTCAGGCTTTCAGACCGAGTTTTTCGATTTCTAGACCAAATTTTGGTCCAGGAAGCTGGGGGGACTAGTTTTCCAGCTTGCTGGCCGAAGTTTTGGTTTTCTAGGTCATGTCTATAGCGATTTTGAATGAAAATCAGGATTCTAGTGTTAATTTTCATGAAATCTCATAGAAAAATCGAATTTTTCAGACTAAAGATAACCGAAAACCGAGTTTTCCAGTTTCTAGGCCATTTTTGGTCCAGGAACATGGGGGGACTAGTTTTCCATCTTGCTGGCCGAAGTTTTCGAGTTTTGGTTTTCTAGGTCATGGCTATAGCGATTTTGAATGAAAATCAGGATTCTAGGGTTTATTTTCATGAAATCTCATAGAAAAATGAATTTTTCAGGCTTCGAGGCCTAGTTTTCCAGTTTCTAGGCCATTTTTGGTCCAGGAACATGGGGGGACTAGTTTTCCATCTTGCTGGCCGAAGTTTTCGAATTTTGGTTTTCTAGGTCATGGCTATAGCGATTTTGAATGAAAATTTTGATTTTTGATTGAAAATTTGACCTGAAATTTGAATTTTTCTCAATTTTCAACCAAATTTTCCCATCAAAAACAAAAAAAATATCAAAAATTTTGCCAATTTTCAAATATTATCTGTCAAAAAACCTTGAAAAATTGTTATTTTTGTAGTAAGAAAAATAAAAGGCGTGATTTTTTTTTATAATTGATTGATTACTTTTTGATAAAAATCTCTAACACTTTTTTTTTCATTTTTTCTCGCCTACTCTGGTCATTTATGGTCAGAAAATCAATTTTTTAGTGAAATTTCCGAAATTTTAAACTTAAAATCAAAAATTTTCGTGAAAAATTAGCCTAGAATCCCGATTTTCATTCAAAATCGCTATAAACATGGCCTAGAAAACCAAAATGCGAAAACTTCGGCCAGCAAGCTGGAAAACTAGTCCTCCAGCTTCCTGGGCCAAAATTTGGCCTAGAAACTGGACAACTAGGCCTGGAAGCCTGAAAAATCGATTTTTCTGTGAGATTTCGTGAAAAATAACCCTAGAATCTCAATTTTCATTCAAAATCTCTATAGCCATGACCTAGAAAACCAAAATTCGAAAACCTCGGCCAGCAAGCTGGAAAACTAGTCCCCCAGCTTCCTGGACCAAAATTTGGTCTAGAAGATCGGAAAATCAATTTTTTATTGAAAATCCGTGATTTTTCCTCCAGAATTCCAAAATTTCCCCCGAAAAATCGATATTTTTACAGAAAAACTGGCGCGAATCGGTCAAAAACGTAAAATTTCACCGCTGAAAGAAGGTAAGGGTTTTTTTTTTGAAAATTTAAATTTCGCGCGAAAAATTTTGATATAAAAATTGATCTTTCTATATAAGGTTGCCTAGAAACCAGAGAAAATCCTCTTTTTTTCTTGCGCAAAATTTTTTTTTGATTATTTTTTTTGTGACGTGAGAAAAAGTTAATATTTGCACAAGTCATTGAATCAAAATTTATTTTTGTATTTTCAATTTTTTTTGTATTTTTCGCGCCAAAAATATCGATTTTTTGCAGTTTGGTGCACAAAAACTCGTGTCCAGATGTTTTATTTTTGCGCACTTTTGCACCATTAAAAAAGTGCGCACCAGATGTTAGAAAACATTAGAAAAAGTTCACTTCTCCCTGCATTTTGACAGAAATTTTCCCCGGCTGTTTTTGTACAGTTTTTGGCCTAAAATTCTACCAAAAAGTGCATTTTTGGACCCAAAATCATGATTTTTAGGTTAATTTTCATCAGAAAATCGATTTTCTAGTCAAATTTCCAAAAATTTCATGAAAATTAACCCCAGAATCCCAATTTTCTTTCAAAATCGCTATATACATGGCCTAGAAAACCAAAATTCGAAAAACTTCGGCCAGCAAGCTGTAAGACTAGTCCCCCCAGCTTTCTCGGGCCAAAAATGGCCTAGAAACTGGAAAAATCGGTCTGAAAGCCTGAAAAGTCCCAAAATCCAGCGTCCTGGACCAAAATTTCGTCTAGAAATCGAAAAACTAAGTCTGAAAGCCTGAAAAATCGGTTTTCGGATATTTTTAGTCAGAAAATCGATTTTTCCGTAAAATTTCATGAAAATTAACCCCAGAATCCCAATTTTCATTCAAAATCGCTATAGCCATGACCTAGAAAACCAAATTTCCAAAACTTCGGCCAGCAAGCTGTAAGACTAGTCCCCCCAGCTTCCTTTGGTCTGGAAACTAGAAAACTAGGCCTGAAAGCCTGAAAAATCGATTTTTCTGTGAGATTTCATAAAAATTAACCCCAGAATCCCAATTTTCATTCAAAATCGCTATGGCCATGACCTAGAAAACCAAAATTCAAAAACTTCGGCCAGAAATCTGGAAAACTAGGTCTGAAGGCCTGAAATTGGCCCTTTTCGGTCCCTGATTTTGCCACGTATTGAACTTTGATCTTACAGCAAAAAAAAAAAACATTTTTTTTCCAATTTTTCCCACATTAAAAAAATCAAATAAAATAAAACCATTC